CCTCTCCGCTCTCAGGCTCTCCGTGATCGCAGGAAGATGGACAAGCGTCCCGGTCTCTACCTCGAGCCCATTGACCTCGCCAAGATCAAGACTGACCTCAAGGCGAAGTGGGGAGATGCTACCGAGTGCGACGTTGCCTCGTACGCCATGTACCCTAAGGTCTTCGACGACTACAAGAAGTGGACCTCTAAGTACGGTGATCTCTCCGTTCTGCCGACTCGCTACTTCCTCGCTCGTCCCGAGATTGGCGAGGAGTTCCACGTCGAGCTCGAGAAGGGTAAGGTGCTTATCCTGAAGCTCCTTGCCATCGGTCCGCTCTCCGAGCAGACTGGTCTCCGCGAGGTCTTCTACGAGATGAACGGTGAGACCCGTGTCGTCACCGTCGAGGACCAGCACGCTGCTATCGAGAATGTCCGGAGACCCAAGGCCGACCCCACCGATACTAGCCAGGTCGGCTCGCCCATGTCTGGTGTGCTTGTTGAGGTTCGTGTCAAGGATGGCAGCGATGTCATGAAGGGCGACCCTATCGCTGTTCTCAGCGCCATGAAGATGGTAAGTCATTCGATGCATTACTCCATGTACTAAGACGCTAATAATGTCCCAGGAAATGGTCATCTCCGCACCTCACTCCGGCAAGATCGACGGCCTCTCGGTCCGCGAGGGCGACTCAGTCGATTCTGGCGACCTTGTCTGCAAGCTCGTCAAGTGAGCCACTGCACTGCAAACATGAACCTTACATGTTTACTGCGTTGGTGTTTTGACTAGACGGGTGGCTAGTTCGGGGTGCGCACGCAAGGGCGATTGAGCCTGCGGCGACATCTTACATCGCCGGATCCGGCTTTCGAGACGATCAAAATTGGTGTGTGTGTAGGTTTGCGAAAGTGATTCTGAGGTTACTTTGCTTGACGACTATATGATATGACATGGCGGGTATGGGAGGGTTAGGATGTAGTTTGAATGCAATGAAACGGCTGGCTGCCGGGTTCTTATATGAAGCGAGTCCTGGTCGTATACATGTGCTGCAAGTGTCGTACGATTGTGACGTTTGGGGCCTGGGTTGCGGGTCGGAGCGAGGGCGTGGGTGCGTGCGCTGCGAAGCCTCCGATGTGCTAAATCGGTGTGTCGCCCCCACTTGCATTTCGCCGCTCTGGCCCTTGTACTTCGGCTCGCATTGTGTATTCATGTTCAACTCTACGTCAACCTGGACGGTCTGGCGCGTATGTGCATTCAACCTCCCAGACCACTGAAAAGCGGATGCGAAATGCTTTCAAAGAGCTTTTTAGTGGAAACAAAGACGTATTGTGAAATACGAATCCAACTGCGTTGTTTTCGGATCTTGCCGAGCTACGGAAATCGAGCATCCGCACTATATTTGGCTCTGGGCAGAAGCAGCCGTGGGGACTCTGCAGTAATTTATCGGCGATAGAAAGGATAGAGTGACAAGTTGCCGAATGATAGGAAAAGCGTGATAAGGCTGGGCAATAGGACTGCTCGTTCGCGCTAGAGATTGCAGTGCTTCCCGCCTCACGAATGCGATTGTTACCCTTCCCGTCTTACGAATACGGTTCGCTTACCGTTATACGAGCACTGTTCGCTTACCGTCATACGAGCGCTGTTTGATCCGGATAGGTTGAAGAAAACTGGTCGTCCGGGCTAAGATCGCAGTGCTCTTCTTCATCCGGTTCCACTTCTGTTGTGATCGGAGCGACATATTACATTATACACGACGTGTTGCGTTATTCTCCCTGGGTTGCAGAGAATTGCCTCATTGTTTTGCGGGGTTACATAGGAATGGCCCACCGGAAAGTCTGCAGTGCTGGTCAATGAGCAGGGGAGGGACTCTTCGTTGGGCTCGAACTGCAGTGCAAATTAACAGCCATGCGAGGCATACCCAGGGCTCACCGGAGTTATGAAGGTGCTGCTTGGTTGGTCACTGAGAGATGGGACTGCTCGTCAGCGCTAAAGATTGCCGTGCTTGGAACTTTTGGTGGCGTAATGATTGGGAAGCACTCAAGTATTCACCAGATGGGACCAGTACCGTCCAATTAGTACACCGAAGTGACTGCCCTTCGAGACTAAAATTGTAGTGCACGCCACTAAATCGCCCGCAGGCCACACCTGCTGCGAACAATGGTCATGTAACACACCCCATCCACTCATGTGAGCAGAGCACTGCTTGTGGACACTAAAGATTGCAGTGTGTGTTCGTATTTGCTCGCGGTTGTGGGCAGGGTTATACCGCTGTCCCATTAGGTAAGGTAAGTTAATCGACTCCTCGTTGGGGCTAAAATTGCAGTGAGAGATGTGCTACAAGGGCAGAGCACACATTCCGGCGATCTGGTCCACTACACTGGGATCGAGGCCGCGGACTCAGCCTCACCAAGTCTGTCATTACCGTCCACTCAGGTGAGTTTGAGGGCGCTCGTTCACGCTAAAGGTTTGCGTGCTGAGATCGTATTCTCGTCGACCTCTACGCTAGATTAAGAAAATTCATCACTGTCCATGAAGCGCGGAGAGGACTGCTCGGTCGCACTAGAGATTGCAGTGCTCGGCCCCAAGGCCAGTCATCCTGCAGGATCGTGCTCTCAATCTGATGCAGCTGCTGCGTGGCGTCTCACAAAACTTCTCCTCCCCTGTCCATACTGCTCGTCGGAACTAGAGGTTGCAGTGGAGTTTCTATTACCCTAGGAAATCCTTAATATAGCATGCATGTCCTAGCTTAAATATTAGCTGTTGTATTTCCCCGGGGTAATGGAAACGCTGTGAAGAGCTTGCACGAGACTGTATTAATATTTCCGGTGGTGAAGACACAGATTCATTGGCATGCCAAGGCAGTTACTTTAGCCTTTGGTTGCTCACCAGAATGTTTCGTACACACCAATCGTGAGAGCACGCACATGGTATTACACGAATTTGCGGTAGAGTTGGAATTCCCGCCATGAGATCATTGCGCACTGAAATCTCTACTGTAAATGAGCAGTCTCAAGTGGTTGAGCACCGCCGTCATTGGCCACTCCTCAAGGTAAACTTACAGTTCAAAACCACCTTTTAGGCTGCAATTATGTTTCCTAGATGCGCCTTCAAACCCAATCACGCGAGATCAAGACTCTTCAGTCCACCGGGACATGTCTGTGCAGTCCAGTGTAACGGGTTGGGGGACTGCTCATTGGAGCTAAATTTGCCGTGCAATGTGGGCAGACTTGACAAAGCCGAAGTTAGATATTTCATCCCCCCGGATCAGAAATGAACCAATCTGAAAGACAAGTATATTGTGAGAAGACTGCTTGCGGAGGTTAAAATTGCAGTGTGTTGATGAATCGCAAGGTGAGTCAAGTTGCATTCTCTGCTCACCGGAATTATAAATCGACCAATCGAAAGAGCGCATAAATGATATTCCATGAATCGCTGCGGCGTGAAATGCCTGTCACGAGATCGCATTGCATTTTCTTAGTGCTGCCGAGCACCATCATTATTGGTCACTCCTGCAATCCCCTAGTCAGCCAAGCAAAAGAGCGATCACGGATGTGCCTTTCATCTTCAGCCTTCCGTTAAATGGTCCCCTCGCCCAACGAAAGGCAGTCTTGGAGTCGACCTGTAGGCTCTATTAACCCGATGCCCTTTTACTAGTTATTCCAGATCAAGAGGTGAACTTTCCTCTTGGTACAGCTTTCGTGATGTATTGGCAGAAATTTTGTCTGGTATGAGATATTTCAGAAAATTGCATACATGGGACCGGAAACCCATTGTCAGCCCAGCCCAGCACGTGGCAATGAAAGTCAGAAAATACCTGGCGATCAACCATTAGCCCTTGAGTCCCTCAAAGCATATGCATAGGTTGAAGAAATCATTTCTCGAAATAATGCAACCAATGTCGATCTAGCCATAATAGGTCCTGGCGGTGTTACACGCTATTGTTTCTTCGAGGACGTATGTAGTCGCTTTCACTATCTGACATGTATTGAGAAAAGATGAAAACGGAGATAAGAACGCCCAGACAAGTTCCAATCAAAGCCCCTCGATTAATGTGTCTGCGAAGCCTGATATGCAAGATCCATTTCAAAGAGGAAGGATCATGTATAAATAAACTCACTCAGTGTTACATCTGGATATTATGGTCACTTCTAAACATCGGTACAGTCGTCAGAGAAACCATCATTCACCTCATGAGATTTGGCAGAAAGGTCCGTCGCACCATTTCGCGCGAGCACTTCTTAGAGGACGCAGGCAATGACGAATCCGTGGTCCCCAAGATTGACTCTGGTCACGTACAAAACACGTTTTTTCATGCAAGCCAAATCTTGATAAAGCGATGTGGGCGAGCCAATGCAACGCGGCGGCATAACTTGATTTATTGGAAACAGCTCTCAGCTAGTTGCGATTACAATGAGGATGCGAGACTAATGCTCTGGCCACCCTCAACAGCTGATATCTCCGAGAGAGTTGCTCGTAAAGCGGATTTACTGAAGAATGTTGCACGCAATTCTACCTATGAGGATTTCGATAACTATAAAGCTCCGAAGACTTTCTACGCTTCTTCAGTTGACAGCGGCATAAAGCTGTCAACACTCCCTCTTCCGGATAGAGTCTTTGAGACAAAGATCCTTATGTTTATCCCTTTTGAAATTGGAACGTGAACAGTCACACGAAGTACGACTGGATGTAAGACACTTCACCACTAGAACTCAAATTCGTACGCCAAGACGCCACAGTCCACTCCGCACAGATAAATTCGGAGTACATATTTTCAGAGGCGGAGCATCTTGAAATCTAAGTTATCTTCTCTTAGGGAGAACTGTCATGTCTTGGAGATGGGTTTGGTAACATGTTGGATTTTTCGGTTAGTGTTTATGTTTCATCTTTTCTTAGTGGCGGTTGGCGTAAGAATGGTTTGTACATTATGGTGTTTCTGTACATGGTGATTACCGGGAATCCATGGGCTGAGGAAAGGCTGAAGCTACGGCGGAGGATATTTTCTGGAGAGCAAAAATATGTATATTGAGTTGAATGATAGATATTAGGGTAGACACTGCCACAAGCAAATAGGACAAACTGGTAGAATAGACGTATTATATGCAAACGCCGATTTGCTCGCGTGGGACTACGTTCGCTCATACACAGCGCCTGATGCGTTCTTAGGCTTGTCAATTAGCACAAAAGAGAGGAATAGACTAAGCCCGCAAAGTGGTATCGAAGAAAAGAATCTACACAAATACCTTGCAGAGCGACCGCATGGCCCTGCAGCCATTAACCGTCACTCGATTACCATCCAGCCGCCTCGTGACTCTTGTCCCTGATATCCCTCGTAGCAATGCGTCCCACTCCCCTGAACATGTCGTGTCTGTCGATCAGCGAATTGGCCGTATCCGCATGGTAAAGATTGCTTCCTAGGCTGTCACTCTTGTCCAATGGATCTACGTCGTCAATATCCGCCGTGCTTCTCGTCGGTACCTGCGTCAGTGTCGCCTGTACGTTGGCATGCGTCTTCTCTGCACCAGGTATATCGTGAAAACTTGTCACTGGCGCGAGTCTTTCCAAATCACCATCAGGGCCATCATGCCCGTCTTCTACGGACAAGCCCGCAATTCTGGCGTCTATATCGAATGGCGTCGGGTCGTCTGGCATCGCAGAGAGGGACTTCGAGCGCACAGTTGTAAGCGCGTTCGGATCCTCGGAGGTACCATTCGCGCCTCCGTCCGAGAGAGAGCGCTGGGGGTCGGCTTCGTCCGGCGCAGAAACCACGCTTTGATTGCGGTGTTTGTTTTTGCTGGACTTATATCCGGAAATTCTTGACCATAAGCTCGGTCGCTTCTCCTTGTGCGCTCCGACTCTCAGGTGTTGCTCGCTTGCCTTTACACCGCCTTTCTCATCGCTTACCCTTCGTACTCCTGCGGGTGCCTGCGCCATTTGCGCCTCTTTTATCATTTGGATCTTTGTGCCGCGTAACTCTTCAACAAGGTACTGCAGGGCCTTATCTGCAACCTCTACATACTCCGGATAATCCTCCGTCACTGCCTCTTTGATCAATCTCAGCTTTTCCCAGTCCTGGCGCACAATCATAGACTGCAGGTCGGGATGCCACGCCATGGCCTTGATGTCGGTCCTCATCCCTCTGTCCACCTGTTCTTTGACACCCATCAAAGCGATTAACCCGTCGACCTCGATGCGCACGGTCCTGACGAACGCATCAAAGCGCGCGACGTCTTTGACCGTCCAGTGATTCATCGTCATACTCCCCTTTCTGTTCTTAATTTCGGGCCGAATACCTGATTGCTTGAGGAGATCATTAAGCAGCGCATACTTCTCGCGGAACGCCTCGAGACGGTTGGTATCCAGCGATGGTTGCTCAATGGTGCTGAAGCGCTTCGGCTGCTTCAGTCCGTACTGCTCCATCAATTGATCGCGAGACAGATGCGCTGGCCGACCATATATCTCTTCCAGGGCGCGCGTAATCTTCTCTCGCATCGCGTCTTCATCAAGCCGCGCATCCCTGACGCCAAAGTTGACAGGCAATGTGGGATCGGGGTTTGTCAGTCCGGGATGGCTAGGCACCATGTGTCGCGCGATGGTCGCTGGAGGCGCAGATATACCAACTGCATCGCCGAAGATGAGCAGGCGGCCTTGCTGGATGCCAAGTTTGGTAAGGGCGACTTTCTGCGCGCGATCGCTATCCTTGTGCGGATGGATCAGATTGAAGGCTTCCACGCAGGTCGCAAAGGCCGTGGCCAGCGAGTATACATTGCTCAGTATCTGGGCTCTGGACAGGGTCGCTGTCGCAGGAGGAGTTGGTGGAGGAGTGCACAAGGCGGACGCCTGAGTGTGATTGGCTACTGCAGGCATTGCGGGGTTGTTCGCGTAGGAAAGGCTCCACCCTTCGCTGAGCGATGTGAAAAAGCAAAGACAGCGTTATTCAGGACCTTCAACTGGTAAAGGTAGGAAGAGGGGTGCATGGTCTAAGAAAAAAGAAGTTCACGATTGCATTTCAAACAAGAAGGCTGGCTGTTCTGTCTCGTGCCGCGCATGTGCGCAATGACGTGGAGGATGAGCCCTGCTGGTGATTGAGTCGCTTGCTGCCCTTTGTGGCGCACCCACTAAAAATGTTTGAGCGGGGAATGCAGGGCGCAGAGAACCTGCATCACGCGTCTAGATCGGCGCATCTGTCCTGCGTCGCTGATTGTCAGATAATCCGCGTGCGGTTGGATACTCGCAAGATACCGTGGCGGACCGTGCCTCCTCGCACAGCATTGCGAAAATGACCGCAAAGCTTAGGTCGCCCAGGCTCCAATAATGTTGGGAAATTGTCGGTGAAAAGTCTTCCACGCTCAAGTAAAATTTGGAGAGAAAATTATACGCTTGCTGGCTAGATGCGATTGTTATCTTATTGCTGTCTGTAGTATTGCTAATAGGTACCCGATACCGCTACTTCAAACCTCCTTCTCGGTCTGCCTCTTAGGGTGTTGCAGCTTGCGGTCAACGCGATCCGTGAAATGGCTGTTGAACTCTTTGCAGCAGAAGGCGCAGACTACTGCGATGCCCCCAAAAGCAAGACTAGAGTAGAACACCATATGATAGCTTTTGACATTACCATCGCGAATGGCAATCATGTACGCTGGTAGTCTCTCGGACCTGATTCCCGGGATCTTTGCGACCGTCGCGGCAGCACCCGAAAGCCCAGCTTTGATCAATGCTCTAACAGACGCAGGCGCGAGGTTATCTTCGGCCGCGAGGGACGTGAGTCGTGGCGGGATTTCTTTAGCTTTGCGTGTGGTAAGGATACTGGAAAATATGGCCGTGGCTACCGAGCCTAGAGTAGAGCGTACTGAGCCGAGAAGACCACTAGCGAGGCCCAGGTCCTCAGGTGCAACGGTGAAGGGCACGGCGACGATACCAACAACTTCTACAATACCGACTGCGAAAGCTCCGAGAGCGCACATTGTTATAGCTAAGCCGCGCGTAGAGGCATCGGTCGCTGCCATAGCGCCAATGAAGCCGCACATCGCAAGAGAAGAGGCACGAAGTTGCCAGTGACCCCAACCGAGCTTGATGGAGCCGCCGCCGAAGACCTGTCCGAATGCGATGGCTGTAAAATTTAGCATTAAGTGGGCCAGTGGAGAGCTTCACACTTACAACCACCTAGAGTACCTGAAACCAAACCAATCATGATGGAATCCGATTCGTACAGCGCCGTGACCATCTGAGGCCAGATGACTGTCAAGCTGTAGTAAAACATCTGCGAGAGTCAGTCTCCGCACGCTGAGTTTCCAGAAGGAGTTCTTGGGGTATCACGTACGCTTGCTACAGATGCGACGCCCACTAATGCCATAAATGGTCCATTCAGGAACAGATTCATGGGAATCAATGGGTACTTCAACGGCATATAGATCTCTGCTTAGAGTCAGCATGAAGACCCAAACCACATCGCCAAGAAGCGTACCATATAGTGCGAAAGCGACCAGAATGAAGAAACCCAAAATGAGGGGAACCAAAACGTGATAGGAAGCCCAGGGATACAGTCCACCGCCCCATGAGAGCGCAAGGATGAAGCTTGTCAGTCCACCAGAGTACAAGACAATGCCTCCCCAATCAAGGTCTTTGAGGTCTTGTCGCATACTTCTTCCTTCATGTAGCTGTCTGTGGCTCGGAGGGTGGTAGCACACGTAGAAGAGGAGGACAGATAGAACGTTTGTAATGAGGTTGAGGTAGTAGTTCCAGCGCCAGCCAAGTGCGGTGTATGCAGCAAGCGCACGAGCAATGAGTGGACCAAACGCGGCGAGTGGGCAGGTCGTCAGGAACAAAAAACCTGTAAGCACAGCTCTGTGCTTGTTGGCAACAAGCTCCATCAAGACGAAACTGATAATGATCAGCCGGGCTGATATACAGGTTGAAGGAGATGTACCTGAAAGACACTTGAACGGCGCCTGCGAGCCCAATGAAAACGGTGCCTCCGAGAATGGTGTTGATGTCCTTTGCAGTTGCGTTTATCAAGGATCCGATTATGCCTAGAACCCCTCCTCCGATCATGAACCATCGTCGGCCGAAGATGTCGCTGAGACGTCCGACCATGATGAGCCCCACACCACCACAGAGTGTCTTGACGACAGGTATGAGCGCGTAGTTAGGATCTGGTCCCAGGTCGGCATTGATGATGGTAATTGTGTTTGCGGGCAGTACGTAACCTGGTATAATGGTGAGTATAACCTTGAGTCGGACAAAGCTGACACGTACCTAGATAGAGTCCCTGGGCCATGAAAACTACAGCGATCAACGATCCGATGAACCTCCAGTTCCAATAGTAGTTCGAAGGAAGCTCGCTCAGGTCGCCGCCCCTCGCTTCCGCAGCAACACTGTCGTGCGTTGAGTCTTGAGACACATTCTCAATGTGCATATCTCGCGACTCTACAAACTCTTTTTCGCTTGTCGCCATGATGTCCTACTTGAAAAAGTTGAGGACAGAGGTTGTGCGGGGTGCACACGCATATTTTTGGGGATGATCGCCATGCAATATATATTTCGTGCCAGCTGCACCAACCACAACAGTACGGCAATCAGCTCATACCCTTTCCGAAGTTCTTGAAACGGACACGACCAGGTGGACCGCCATGCCGGTAGATGTTCCCCAGAATACCCCAGAATATCTTTCCCCGCGCGGGAAAGACATGCTTGGCTGGCATTAGCGACAACTCTGGTTGGGGGACAGTCGCCCTAAAATTGGTGGAGGCATGTCGCCAAGGACCGTGAAGGCACTATCGTGCGGGAGGCCAAGAGCAGGGAACGCAGCGCGGGAAAGCGCGACCGAATGTTAAGCGCGGGAAGGAAGTAATGATAGGAAGTGGTAGGATGCGGCGTGGGCAGCGCGGCCCATTAAATGCTAATGAATCAGCGCCAAGGGCAATGATTCACTCGCACTTAGGACCACATGAAAGATGCTACTGATTCGCGTCACCTTCGAACAAAGTAAACATTGAAGATTGAATATTTCTATTCCATTATTGGTGTAACATCATGCCTAGTGAACGGCTGCCCAACCACAGGCGCGAACTAAGCCGAAAGAGCGATGAATGTTCAGCTCTAGGACTGACACATCATTTAAGGAAGGTTCATAAGGTAAACTGAGGGCTGCTAGATACCGAGTAAGCTGAGTCATAATGTGTAGTAGAGGCAGCTAGCTCCAGAGCCTGACTTCTTCGTGATGTCGCCCAGGTCGTAAATGTCCGTTTTATCCAAAGAATTCGGGCTTCAGAGTAAATGGTCAATAATTCGTCCCAGATCACCAACTGTTTGAGCTCACAGGATATGGTGATTCACGAAGAGTATCACGTCATATCCTCAACATGGTATAAGAAGAGATATACTGATTCATTCGGCGCCACCAAAAGGAAAGAGTGGTTGAAACATTGTTCCGTATTCTTCGCATAACGAACAGCATCATCTTTACGTCTATCAGCCACAGCGGTCTAAGCCTCTGCGAGAACTGCGACGTCTTCTAGATGGAATTGCTACAGCTTGGATGCCTTGGCACTATCACTGAGTACGAAACCGTCGTAGACGTTGTCGCGAACAGCGTTTAAGGCTTTGTAATACGCAGGAGTCCCTCCTCAGTACGCGATAGGCTCGCACGGCTTACTCGGAATGTTGCCGCCACAGTACTAGGACTTCGTTCCGCACAGAAGACTTGCCTATGCAAGATTCATCACCCCTTTTCTCCATTTCGCTTTCGAGACTCCGGTTGCTTCTATTATCTTGACGCCATAGTTGCGACAGTGATTAATCGTGTTTATGACCCAAATATCTTGCATTCACGCGCAAGTTGGACCGTTTCAGAATAAAGTAGGGGCCTGCGGGCCATGCTGGAAGAACATATTAGGATATCCGTGACGCGAGGTCAAGATAATATCTTTCCCGGGTAGTAATCCGTCTTTTCCTTTAAGTTTGATGCGTGTGAGAGCGCCTGTCAAGGCATCAAATCTTGTGGCAGCAATCACTACGTCGAAATCCATCTCTTGAAACGGCATTCGTCATGATCCCTCACTTAGTGAAGACCTCAATAGGAGTTGCATGGAGATCCACAAGGTTGACATGTAATTCATTGAAGATTCCAGAGAAACCTTGCTCGAGTGGTATACGTTTGGTACTAAAGGCGTACGCATGTTCCATTGGCGCAAGAAAATCGGCAAACCTAGGGTCTAACTATGCTTAGCAGAGTGAGATTTGTAACACTTGATCAAATATGCTCACCGTTGATAGTAGCGCGCGTTTTGTCGCGCCAAAACTTGTAACATTCGCGGCTACCGTCTTGGTTAAAGAAAGTATCGCTATACGTAGTAAGCCAATACTTAAACGGTCCATCCCTCCAAAGCTGTCTGTACACGTCACGTCGCTATTCAGGCGTATCATCGAAGCAATTCCGTGGGATGAAATTGCAGTCGAAGCCGCTGAACGACTCCGTGCGCGCCACCAACGAGACTTTGACGTCATCGAGAGAGAAGGGATTATTTTGGTCCTCGTAATCGATATGACACATAGATAGTGCTTGATTAGGTGTGCGCTGCCACACTGTAAGCTGACCGACGACCTTGTTCAACTCTTGGATGATCTGCACTTCAGTAGCACCGGTACCAATTACACCTACCTTTATACGTCTGAGTTCCAGCTTCTCACGAGGCCAAGTAGTTGAATGGAAGAAACTCCCTTCACACACATCAGCTAGCCGTCAAGAGGACAATGTGTTCGGGAATTTACCTTTGTATTTCCCCACACCTCTCCACTTTGTAATGAACTTGTCAACCGGCGCACCAACGCACAAGACCAGGTATTTTGCTCTGTACGTTTTCACGTTGTTCGCAAAAGCGAATCAGCGAGCCATCCAATCATCCCAGGTTGCAGATTTGATTTAAGTATCAAAATGCGTATCCTTGCGTAGAATTCCACTTGTCACCGATGTGTTCTTCCCATAGCATGTTGATGCACTCCAGGAGTATCGATATGAGATCAAAAACGAGATCCACGTCTCAAAGCCTGTGGGTTACGTCTTCTCACGACCGGAAGATATCATCGTCTGGATATAGTCGCCATTGGAACCACACCTAGAGAAACACGACAATGATAGACGTGGACTTACACAATCGGACTGAACTCTCCCCGAGCGCACGGACACATGTAACAGCGTAATGTGGGATGACCCAATGGACGAGAGAGAAAGTTGGGGCGAATAATTGGAGCTCCTCAATCTAACACCATACACGATCACAACATGACGTACAACGCAGTCGTGCCCCAACGCACGAAAGAGACAAATATCAGTGGCTTCACGCTTGAATGTTATCAGCATCCGCCGAAGCACGCGTTTCAAACGCCCCCGTATCGTTATGAATATGATGTATACGCTCTGGGTATGCTTTTGTTTAAAGTCGGGCTCTAGGAGAAGTTAAGAAACTACGAGGGATTATCACAGAGGGTCTATTCCAATCCTGATTATGACCAAAAAGATCGTTATGAGCGACGTTTTCGAGAGGATCTCGATCGCCTTGGATGGGCATGCGGAGACACCTAAGCTGATGTAGTGCTTTGTTGCCTGACAAGTGAAATCAGTGATGACGAGTTGGGACAGGCGAGCGAGCGAGAGCTTTTTGCTAGGCTTGTGGCTAACCTAGAAGGTTGCCGGACCTAGTTCCAATGCCCCGAAGTCATGGGTGGTATAACATTGAGCATTCGGCATCCAGCCGTCCTTCTCTTAGACATTTATTTCCATTAGATTTTCGCCCCTCGGAGACTTCGAACCTCGCTTCTTCGTGTGTCTTTCATTGCTGAGATGAGTTACCATGTGACATCCCTCCAGAGAACAGACAGAGAGACAGTACTCTGATCGTCGCCTCATAATAACAACAAGAAGCGTTGTAAATCGACAAATCATTATCATTCATATATACGCTGTGACAACTGATGTGTGCTCAGCTAATCGGATTGCCCGGATAGACAATTGAAACTCGATGTCTTGAATGATCCATTCAATTGTCGCGTGTACAGGCCGCGCACCAGACTCTAATGGAACTGTAGATGGGCGAATCGAAATTTAGTTCCAACGGATCGGCAACCACAAAGCATGCATTGAATGTTGTGCTCTGGTTGGAAGAAGCAAAGCGATGTTGCGTCGCTCACACGTATTGCTCGACTCCGTTGAACGTCTGCATCGTCGCAGATGTTTCCAACATCCATTGCTGATTCATGACTCTCCACAAGATACCGAAAGCGATTGAGCCTGGTTAGTGGTATGGTCTGCTTCAATAAGGATGAGAAGAAGATATAACGTATCGCCAGGCGAACGAAGATCCCTTCAACGAAGTTCGAAAAGTGCAGGATCTCGAAGAACTCGACGTAACGTTGGGTTGAGCTCGGAGCCTCAAGAACCCATTGACAAGTTCATCTCGGAGGGTATTGCTGACCACAGCTACTAACGCCGGTGCTCCTACCAGCGGGCGATCCTCGACCTCAACTACCGAGCCGAAAAACCCGTAGCCACGTCGAACCACACGGCTGGTAAAGTGATTCTGTAATCCTCGAACGCTTCTCTATCAGCGAAAGCGATCAATGGCCACGCAAGCATCGCATTATCGAATCTCGTAACGAAGTAGAGGTGCTCGTCCAATAAGGGCGGTTCAAGTTTAACAATTGCAAAACTAATCCACGCTTGCGTGGGTCAAGCACGTATTACATGGGGTCTGTCAAGATGGGGGCTGGGCACCATTCCTTGACCTTGACGATTTCGTCTACATCTGACTCAACCTGCAGCATCGCGTACGAAGCAGTTGCATGAGAGGCGTTCTGGCAGCGCACTGGCGGCATAGGCGGCTCAGCCATCCTGCTTACAATCGGGCCTCCCACCGCTCACCAGCAGGCGCGTGCCTGGTTTCAAAACGTACGCGTTCCTGCTAAGAGACAAGGACCATCTCTATCAGTTACTTGAGTGTTCATGCTTCAGTACCGGTACAACGGCTCAAGCACCTCGGAGAGATGAAAGCGAAAGTGCCGAGCCTAGAGGGGCGGGAGGATTGGCCGCTAGGCTCTGTGTAGCGAATACGTTCACTACCCCTGCTAGGAGGCGTAGCTAGGCTTGATCACGCTTCGCCCACGTGCAATAGATAAACAGGTCCAGATTGAACCTGCCGGCGTCTGCACGGAACCTAGGAGACACTCTACGTTGCCTTCCTAGTCACGTTGTCAGGCGCATCCACTCCGACGTCCTTTCTTTGATTCGCGAACGAATTTTCCGACAGCAATAACTTCTGCCGCGTTAAGTTTGAGGGTCAGGATGTCGGCGCTCGGCAATTGGACGTTCACGCCACTCGTCACGTCGTTCCCGTCGACGGTGCTCCCGAACTTAGGCTTCTGGAACGCCTCCAATGGCACGTGGGAATATCAGATCGAAGTCGCCTGGCCATTGAACTGGACTTCGAGAGAGGACAGTGCCATTGTTGAGACGTTGTAAGTCTCGAACACTGAATTGGCGCTAGACATGGAGGTGCTAACAAGCGTCGCAGATACGTCCTCGATGGAAATGCGCAAGGAAACATTGCCGCACAGGCAGTACGTAACCGGAGACCTGTGGAATTCGCGATGCCGGATACTATCGTCGTCAGCCTAGGATACCCGGATCTCATTCCAGATTCACCCTACAGCACAGGCCGATACCACGACTATCAGCCCCCAGTCTGCGCAACCTGCCCTTTGCCTGATCAGCCTGGGGTCCCTTCCAACGCAGACAATTTTCTGGCGTGGATCGATGAGATCCTCAAGCCTTGGGTCCGCAACGAGCTCTTCCCCAACACCGAGTTCTCCCGCGATGCGCTGCATGGGCACTCCATGGCTGGCCTTTTTGCGACGTACGCGCTCATCGCCCGTCCTGATCTCTTCGATACCTTTCTCATCGCATCGCCGGCTCTGTACTGGAACAACAATTACATCTTCAGCCAGCTAAGCCCTCTGAAAGAATCATTGCGCACGAACGGAACTAAGCCAGCTGTTGCACTTAGCTACGGCGGCCGGGAGCAAAACCCTGTAAAGAGGCGAGTCGAAACAGAAGAGGAGTTCGAGGTCAGGAAGTCATTCCTCGCGTTCTCGAACATGACCAGCAATGTCAACGCGCTGTATAATGAGATCAAAAATAGCACGCAGTTGAGGGACGTCGAGCTGCATGAGTATCCGTTCAGCGACCACTCGGCGGTGGGGATCGTGTCGATTGCTGATGGGCTCGATTACTTCTTGGATTGGGCGCCGAGGATTGCTTTTCAGAATCTTACGGTTTAGTCGTTGGATGAAGAGTATGGATATGGATGGCTAAAGTCACCGTGAGCGATCTCGCAAAGTCTCAACCTTATCTCCTTCACCAGTCTTGAAAATGTCAAGTTGTTCGGTCAGGTCACTTCCAGAGTGATTTTGGCGCAAGACTGCCACGGAAAACGCAGCCGTCTCACATGCACGACAGCGCGAAAATTGAACACGCAACAGCACCATCCTACCTACCCATTAAACAATAGCCTCACTCAATACATCATTCTGTGTGTCATGCACATGATTAATCGTGTTTCATCGTGACGGTATTGATACTCGCCTCATGCGCCTCATCGTAACGCTTCCAGCTCGCGGCAGGATCGGCGCACCAGTTCCGAACAGAATTGCATGTCTTCCACTCTTCGTCTCTGGTACAAAGAAGTACGCAAAGATAAATGCGACAACCATGCAAGATCCAAAGAAAATGAACGTGCCGTATGTGATGCCAGCAATCATCTGCAGCAACGAGTAGACAACCATGAGTTGCGCGAGCCACTGCATGCACACGGCGCACATCCACCCGGCGGCCAGCAAATACCTCGCAAATTGTAAATAGAATCGTGCTTACCATTCCCAAAGTACGCACTCTGGTCGGCAGCACCTCACTCGCGAAAATCCACGGTATTCCATTCCACGAGAACCCATAGAAGATGGCGTAGATGTATATCATTCCCAGCGCCGCCTGGCTCCAGGAGTCCCTGGCCGGCGTCTTACCCTCGAAACTGCCGCTCATCGCGGAGTATCCAGTAAGATAGAACATTGCGACCATGGCACCTACCGCACGAGCAATGCCGGACGACGCCCGAATCGATCGACGAAGAACACCATGGAGATGAGTGTTGTGATTATCTTGACCAGTCCATAGATCCCAGTCGCAAGTAGCCCGTCGGAAGTTCTAGTGTACCCGATAGCTTTCAGGATGGTTGGCCTGTAATAGTTAATCGCATTGATCCCAGTCAAGTTTTGCAGCAGCATGAGCAGCACGCTGATGAGGACACGATTGCGGATTCCTGGCGCGCCAATCTCGCGAAAAATCCGGATGGTGCTGCGCCGGCCGCCACTGACTTCAAGCTCGTGCGTGATGGCGGTTAGGATTTCTTCCATCTCAGCCACGATATAGGCGTGCTCGGCAGGCAAGTTGCGCACCCAGCAGAGAGCCTTTGTCGCTTGGGAAATGCGGTTCTTGCTGAGGAGCCACCGTGGGGACTCGATGATGAACGGCATGCTGATGAGCAGGAGGCCGGCAGGAATAAACTGCGCTGCGGCTGGGATATGTCATTGTTTTCCGAGTGTCCCAGAAATATTTCTCTTTACACCATAATTGACCCAGAAGCCGAAGACAAGCGCGATCTGCAGCATGATTTCGAAGATGCCGACGAGGCGACCTCTGATTAATGCGGGACTGCATTCTGCGATGTAGATCGGGATCATAGTGGAGGTTGCCCCAATGGCTGGTCCAGTAAGCGCACATTCGGCATAGAGCCCTAGTGTGCCGTGGAGCATCAATCCAGCGCCCACCATAAACAGCGCTCCTCCGCCCATAATAGTGATCTTACGGCCCCATCGCTCGGCGAACAAAAACCCGAAGATGGCGCCAAAGAATGCACCGGCCTGAAATGTGGATACAATTTTGGACGAGAGGTTGGTCAGCTCCTTTGGAGAGACGGTGTCCAGGCCGAAGCGGTGTTTGAAAGAGGGAAGCGCAAGTGTAGTGCCGATGAACGCGCTGTCCTAACCGTACGTTGCTGAAGCCTGATCGCTTGTTAGACTCAGACGTCAATGGCAGTCTTAGCGAAAAGACTTGCCCATGCTGCTGGAAAGGCAAGAATGTACGGCCACGTTCCATGTATTTCCATTGGTATGTCGGAGTGCACATATGCGTCTTCTTTCAGCGCAAAAGGGCTCTTCATCTTTGGATACCAGAACAATCACGTTTACAATCGCAGTTTTGGAACCAGATCCCAGTCGCGACGACGTTGGAAGAAACAGTGGCAACGGTCAGCCACCCGCTGCTGGCTCCCGCTGCAGGCTCCCGCTGCAGATTTATCCTAATCTTCAAGTCACCGGAAAACTTCTCCCCAAATTTTCCATTTTTTTGCCCACGGGGCTGGCCTCTGCTTCTCCACAGGCCAGGCAAGCTACCTGAATCCGCGGCCTCCTAGCCCAGGGTCGTGACTGGGGAGACGTCACGTGTCTGCCGGTTGCCGAGCGAAATCGGATTGGGCAGGTCTCTCGATGGAGTCGGTGTGCACTGTGGAAGCTATCCGGCCGCGCTACGTAGGAACATGCTACCGGTGAGATGCGGGCTCCAGTATTGCCGTTTGGGATGCTTAGATGCGATGCGCTGTATGGTGACGCAACGAATCGGTGGAACGACGGTGGCCAGCTAGGTGGAGCCACTACTCCCGGGACCCTCCAAAACTGAAAATCTTCAAAACATGACGAAAATACAGGTGCAGCATTGATAAAGGCACCCCACGCAGCTTCGCAGCCAAAACAACAATTCTATGAACCCACTACTGGACAAACGACACACGATGGCGACTGGCATGAACACCCCCGGAACTCCAGGCATCGGCGTGGAGCCGCTTAACACGCCCAGACTGCAGAGGAACCCCACTGGCTATTTCCGCGTCCCGCTTGCGACCCATCGGCTTGCCAACAAGGTCGCTTTCATCACAGGTGGAGGCGGCAAGATTGGCGTTGAGACTGCTGCCCGGCTCATCCGCGAGGGCGCAAATGTCACGTTGATGGACATCAGCTTCGACGCCCTGGAACAAGCGCTTGTCACACTCAAGGATGCTCTTTTCACAGGCGAGATCGCCTCATCACGGGTACTAACCGTAGTGGGCGATGCGTCAAAAGAGGAGGACGTGATCGCCGCTGTTGACCGAACGCTTAAGATGTTCAAAAGAGTAGACATTGCATTCTTGAACGCCGGCATCAGTTATAAGGCCACCCCGTTGTTGGAGACTGACGAGGAGCGGTACGACGAAGTGATGGGGATCAACGTTAAGTCGGGTATGTTCTGCCGGGGCTATACCTAAACGGTAGTCTTTTCCATCCTACCATGCGCAGTACTCACACAGAACTATAGCATTCCTAGGACTCAAGCATGTGGGCAAGGCGATGAAGGACCTTGGCAATGGAGGCTCTATTATCTTGACTTCGTCCATCGCTGGACTGCGGGGTACACCCGGTCTCAGCGTCTACTCGGCATCCAAATTCGCGCTGCGAGGTCTCGCGCTCACAGCAGCAAACGAGCTTGGCCCCGACGGCATCAGGGTCAACACAATCCACCCCAGCGGCGTCGAGTCCCCCATGTTCCGGGAAGCCTGGAGCGAAGAGCAGCTGGAGGAGCTTAAGAAGGGTATGCCCTTGGGCCGATTTGCACAGACGCACGATGTTTCCAGTGTAGTCGCGTTCTTAGGCCACGAGGATTCGAAGTTCATCACGGGTTCTTTCCTTAAGATCGATGGCGGTTGCCTCAGTTTCTAGTTCACAAATGTGTTAGCGATATCGGATGGAGGTGTCGCACGGGTGCGAACGCCAGTGGGGAATCGGATATAAGCGCATTGCTCTGGAGTCATATAGACGGTTGGCGTGCTTTTACACGCAGGACACTTGAACGCTTAAACTTGAATGAATCAACATCTACACTATGAAAGCGAGTAAGGACCTCAAGTGGGCAGTGGCATCGGTATCGTTGGGAAAGCACCCTTCCCACACACTCGAACGCAAGATTCAGGCAGCGGCCGCGAACAGCTTCCAGGGCGTCGAATTGGTGTACAATGAGCTCCTCCAATATGCAGCATCACATTTGCAGTCAACAATTGAGTCAGCTCGCCAGATCTGTTCTGTCGCCACAGAGCACTCCATGACCATCCTATCGATAAGCGCCTTGAAGAACTTCGATGGCAACCTCGAAGTCCCCCCTTCCAGAACGCCTGACGCAGGCGCAAGAATGGATAGCCGCAGCCCGCGCTCTGGGTACGAAAATCATCCAAGTCCCTTCAATATTTCTCCCTGGCTCTACCGGCGACGAGAAAGTCATCATCAGCGAGCTTCAAGCCCTGGCCGACGTCTCCGCACGCCACAGCATCGCTATCGCATCCGAAGCTGTGGCATTCGCGCAACACAATTCACTCTGACAGGACAGTCTACGCATTGCGAAGCAAGGAAATAGGCCGGAATTTAAAGATTTACGTGGACTCCTACCACATCCACGCAGGGCTCTGGGGTGATGCATGCGCTGCAGACGGCCGCATACCCCGCGGCGATGCAGCACTCGATCAATCGATACGAGAATTTGTCGCGAATTGTCCGAAAGAAATGGTGCCCTACGTGCAGCTTTCTGATGCCTCGAGATGGAGCCCGCCACTTTCAATGGACGATGTTGCGTTCGGGAGTCTCGAGGTACGGGACCCGCGGCTGCGGCTGCTGTGGTCAAGGATGGCGCGGCCCTTTCCGCTAGAACAGGTATTTTCCGATTGTTGATATCTCAAGGGTGTGGTTGGTGGAGTACAGATGGGATGGGTGGGTTAGCTTAGAGGGATTCTTCAAAGAGACGGAGCGGGAGGAGTGCGGGCCGGAGATGATGGCGAAGTGGGGAGAACATCGATCGAGAAGCTTCTGGGACAGCTGTGATCACGATGTTGTCCCAACATCCCTCATGCTGTTGCGGGTGTCCGCTTTTGATAACGCGCTATCGGTGGGTTGAGGTTGGGTTTCCGACACAATGACGTCGACGGAAGCTAGCTGCACATCACACTATTCAGCTACGGAAATGGGACGCTCATGGGCCTTGATATCTTGGCAGATCTTTCTGGGCGAACGAGCCATCCCTTGAATATGATCACAGAAAGGAATCAACCCATACACGAAGGGATGAAAGAAGAAGTATTGTAGACCTGCGTCATCCGAACCCGGGCAGTTCCGGCTTCTACGCCGAATTACGTACATGTGTAGACGTCAAGGCAGTATATATGCAGGTCCAAGGCCGCCAGAGCAGTTATCTAACACTGAAGCATCAGCATTAACAGATATCTCGAACAAGGTGTTCCATCCCGATTATTAAGAATCATTTCACCGCACGAGACCATCATGACACAGGAGCAAGCAGCGCAACACCGCGCTCGGTTTTCGGACCACAAGCCGCAGCAAGATGCCTACGACTACGAAATGGACACTTACCAGAAAGGTCTCCAATATGGACGCCCACCTCTTACATTTCAGGCCTCGAAGTGGGAATCACTAGCATGTGAACGCATGTCCGCTGAATCCAAGGGCTACGTCCACGGCTCCGCTGGTTCGCGCGAGACCGACGACAAGAACAAATCCGCTTTCAAGAAATGGAGTATCGTGCCCAAGAGGCTCACAGGCCACAAGCAATTTCCCGACCTGACCACCGAGATCTTTGGCGAGAAGCTACAAGTTCCAATTGCTATGGCGCCTGTCGGCGTGCTGAGAATATTCAATCCCGAGGGAGAAGTCGCTGCTACAAAGGCTGCAGCAAAAGAGGCGGTGCCATATATTCTCAGCACGGCAGCCAGCACGAGTATTGAGGATGTTGCAGAGGCGAACGGGGAGGACGGTCAGCGGTGGTATCAGCTATACTGGCCGAATCGCGGTAACGATAATATCACTATTTCGCTCCTGCAGCGTGCGAAGAAGGCAGGCTACACGGCCCTTTTCGTCACTCTGGATACGTACCTTCTAGGCTGGAGACCCTCGGATATGGACAACGGATATAACCCATTCCTAAGAGCTGACCAGATTGGTGTGGCGCTTGGTTTCTCTGACCCGGTGTATCGTCAGAAGTTCAAGGAGCAGCACGGTGTTGAGATCGAGGAGAAAATGGGCGAAGCGGCGGCTGGCTGGATGCGCACTATCTTCAACGGGTTCAGTCACAGTTGGGAAGATTTGAAGTTCTTACAAGAGCATTGGGACGGACCAATAGTGCTCAAGGGTATTCAGACAATTGCCGACGCAAAGAAAGCCGCCGAAATTGGCATTCAGGGTATTGTTGTTAGCAACCATGGAGGTCGCCAGCAGGTAAGTAAAATCGGGACGGTTTTTAGAGCCGTTTCTCCTCCTCTTTCTCTAGACTGACCTTCTACAGGATGGCGGCAACAGCAGCTTAGGCATGCTCCCGCACATTGTCGATGCCGTAGGCGACAAGCTGAAAATTTTCTTCGACAGCGGCATAAGATGCGGTGCAGACATCGCGAAGGCGCTTGCATTGGGCGCCGACTGCGTGCTAGTAGGAAGGCCGTACGTCTACGGTTTGACGCTAGGTGGCGAAGGCGGAGTTACCCACGTGTTGAAGAGCTTGATTGGGGACCTTGAATTGACGCTGCACATCGCGGGTATTCCCAGCGTCAGCAAGAAGGATCTGAACAGAGAAGTTTTGGTGCGGGAGGACGATCTGTTCGAAGGCATCAAGGGCGTAAGCATTCACTAAAAATTCTTGGGTAAATAAGATATAGCAAATAAGAAGAACGCACCGCTCCGGACTAATGACGAAGAAAAAAACACTAAGTAACGCTCTTCTGGACGCTTCAAATGAAATGCGGAACTGTAGCAAGTAACGGAAACGGCTTGAAATTATGCAAATTGCACATAATACTGTGCTGCATGAAGGTTGGAGGTTCCTGCCCGACACAGAACTGTTGGGGTGGTCATCGTGTCTTCCTCGGGCGCACGGGTTGTTATTCTTGACGAAGACTTGCCATTGAGCGCGTCACTCATCCACCTATCGCTCTATAACATCTTGTCGCTCATGCAGCTGTTGTGCTGCTAGTAGGCTGAGGCAGATCTTAATCAAGACCGCCAGCATAGTACAGACAAGGTCATCAACACTCGCGGCGAGGTCGTCTGCTGGCGAAGCGCTCACGGCTGAGCCCAACTCATCCACGGACAAGGATTTTACAAGATATAAGCTTCCCTGGTCAACTTCCTACATTTGGATTTTAGCATTTCAAGGTTACCTAACTCCCTACGAAGCATCGCCATACATCTACGACCAGTTGCAAGAGTGGCCATAGGATAGACATCAACCTGACAACGAGTACGCCACTTCGTCGCGCGACGAATATAGGAGACCACAGTGCATTCCCGCTACTAGACAGTCCAGTAGCAAAGCAATTTCAGAGGCCATTCATTACAAGAGGACTACCGAAAAGGCTCTCAAAAAGATGGTGGCCGCTTCAGGGACATTCTAGATCAAATTGAATGGATTTGCCATCACATGCGATAATCAAACTGTCAAAGGGCTTGAAAAGGGGCTTGAACATGACAGCTCAGATCGACACTAATTAGACGGAGCTTGAGAAGAAGATTGAAGAGCTCCATGATGAGATTGATTCAGAGAGAACGGGGAGTGTAGATGCGAGCATTCGTGTTCTCACGCTTAGAATTCGATATTAGCTTAAGACCCAGGAGCTTGAAGACGCAGTAAGACAGCTGGCTGACGAAAGCATGGGACTCAAATCAGAGCTCACAGGGATGGGGAAGCTATGCACAGCACTCTTACAGAATGTTCGGCCATGAGTTGGAGGATCGACATAAAAACAATCTCATGGTGCAGCGCGAGATCCATCGAGCCCTCTAAGATGCACTCGCCAGCCACGGCCTTACAAAGGAAGCTATGCAACAACGACTTGGGGTGAGTTTCTGGCGAGATCCACACAGATACAATTTCAACACGCAGGAGATACTCCTGAAACTTTTATTTTGGAGACCAAGAGATCGGCTTCGCACGATTCGTGTTAGGCAATGTAGGTACATAGTCACTAATCTCACAAGATCTGTTACCGTAAGAGGCGTATTGTGGATACGTCAGTGTAGCCATGTGCACCGAGCCCCAAGCACTCGGCTTGGGCTCAGGAAGCCGTCACATCCGTTCGGAACGCCCAGCGAGGTTGTACGGCCGTTCCATCCGAGTCCAGCTGACTCTCCACGAGTGTCCCCGCAATCGCCAATGGCGCTTACTTGTCCACAGCAACACTATACAACACAATTCCGGTCGAATCACGGCTAGCCGTGCGCGTCTTTACTTGGGGGTTGAAACTAGACAAGTCAAGGTGAGGCTCTGCGTGGAGACATGACGTACCGCTAAGCGCGACGCGAGCTCGGCATGGGCTGGGCATGACCGATGCCACGACAAGGATACGTCGCGATGGCAATCTGCTATGAAGTATAAGAATTGAAACTTCCCGGATCAGTTTGGAGACGCCTTTCTGCGATACAGATCGTAGTAAAGAAAGTCGCAAACATGGGTTTAGGCAAGCTGTGGGTTTCTTGCATTGCAAAGCATCATCTTGGAAGCTACATACTAACAACTAAACAGATCCATCCGAGTGAATGGCGCAGACTGCGGAATAGAAGCCGTCATGCTGGGTGCGGTCACATCGATAGGCGGTTTCTTGTTGTAGGTATGCAGCTTCGAGCGCGCTTGACCAAAGCTGACTTGAATTCTTCGCATTGATCAGTGGTTATGACACCGGGTAAGTCTCCGTCCGTATCCAAGAGCAACAACGTATCTAACCTTACTTCAGCCAAATCTCGGGCCTACTGTTGTTCACAGACTTCAAAGACCGCTTCGGCCAAACCCAGCCCGACGGCTCCAAAGAATTCGAAACCATCATCTCCTCCCTCGTCGTCTCCCTCATGTCCATCGGTACACTCATCGGCGCGCTTTCGGGTGCCTACACCGCCGACTGGTGGGGCCGCCGCCGAAGTCTCAGCTTTGGCGTGGGTATCTTCATCGTTGGCAACATCATCCAGATCACCTCGATGAGGTCTTGGGTGCATCTCATGATGGGTCGGTTCGTTGCTGGTCTAGGTGTAGGAAATCTCTCTGTTGGTGTACCGATGTTCCAATCTGAATGCTGTCCGCGTGAAATCCGAGGCGCGGTGGTGGCGAGCTATCAGTTGATGATTACTATCGGTATTCTCGTATCCAACGCTATCAACTACGGCGTACGCACTTTCCAAGAAGACGATGCATCGTGGCGGATCGTTATCGGGCTAGGCATTGCCTTCTCGCTTCCGCTGGGTATTGGCATTCTCTTCTCGCCTGAGTCGCCTCGATGGCTGGCGGGCCGTGGCGATTGGGAAGGTTCGCGGACGGCGCTGGCCAGGCTGCGCGGCATGAAGCACGATCCGTACAACAAGCTCGTCATGAGCGACTTTGAGGAGATGCAGGCTTCGATTGAGGAGCAGAATCAGGCAGGACAGGGAACGTGGTTGGAGTGCTTTACCGGGAAGCCATCGTTCATTCCAAAGCTCGTGTACAGAACGTTGTTGGGCTGTGCGATACATTTCCTGCAGCAGTGGACTGGTGTGAACTACTTCTTCTACGTGAGGTCGCCCCAGTCCCAAACCTCCTCTATACTGACATGACACGACAGTACGGCGCGACCATTTTCGAATCAGCCGGCATTGAGGACCCGATCATGGTGCAGCTCATCCTCGGTGCTGTCAATGTGATCATGACCTTCCCCGGTCTGTACATCGTTGAGCGACTCGGTCGCCGCACGCCAATGTTCTTCGGCGCTCTTTGGCAGGCTGCCTGGCTGCTCATCTTCGCTGCTGTGGGCGTCGCGCGGCCGCCGACCGAATACACCAGCTCCGGAATCGTCATGATTGTGGCAGCGTGCATGTTCATTGCGTCCTTCGCCATGACATGGGGCCCATTCGCGTGGGTCGTCATAGGAGAGACGTTTCCGCTCCGCACGCGCGCAAAGCAGGCTTCCCTCGCAACTGCAGGAAACTGGCTTGGTAAGTACTTGACACCACTCACTTTCACGTTTGATCTAACACCAGCAGGCAATTTCCTCATCGGCTTTCTCACCCCGTTCGCCAACGACGGCATCGGGTACGCATTCGGTTTCGTTTTCTTCGGCTGCAACCTTGCTGCTGCACTCATTGTCTGGTTCTTCATGTACGAGACGAAGTCGCTGTCTCTTGAGAACGTGGATACTATGTACCAGGAACCTGGGCTCAAGGCTTGGCGAAGCAGCAAATGGATTCCTGCAGGTTATGTGGACAGGAATACGCGCGATGAGGCGTACTGGACGCGTCGGGCATCTATTGGCGGAACGGGTGGTGTTGCTGCACGGGAGGCGGAGAAGTTGGAACATCCCTCTAAGTACGAGTCCGAGGGAGAGAAATCTGCGTGATTATTTTTTGGGGAGCGTAGAGTGGATGAAATCTTGCGGCCCTGTTCTGGCGCTGTTGCTTTGGGAGTTCTCGTTCTAGTCCATATTTTAGCTCTCGTGCATATTGAAGCAAATTTACCGAGGTTCACTCCATAGCGAACATCTGGTCTGTGGATTTGATGCATTCTGCAGACCAGAGTACAATGATGTTTCTCGGGAAATCAATAGGCATGAACTTGTAACATTATAACAAACACTTTGAGCGGGTATACTAATAATAACGCCGGATCTTCCATTTCGTAGATTCTGGTCATTCTCCCAAGATCCAATCCCCAAATGCAATCTCACAAAACAAGTCCGTAGTCGGCTCTTTTAAATCTTCAACAACATGCGCACCGTAGGGATGAGATGCTTCGAGTCCTCCTCCTGCTGCGCAAAGCTTTGCTTGAACGCCGCTAATCCGGCTATGATACCGCAGATCATGAAGACTAAGCTGATCATGGACCAGATGATGCCCCAGCACTGCGAAGAACCGCCGTACCGCTTCGCGAAAACGCTGGCATCGGACGAGTTGACTTTTCTTAGGATGAGATCGTCGCAGATGTCCCATACCGAGTAGAGACTCGACATTACGCCGATGAAGAGCTATTCCAGTTAGGGCCTGTCTGACGTCTTATTCACTTTCAATTGGTACTCACCACAACGAATCGCAGCGGCTCAGCATGCTTGATGAACCAGCACGCGACCAGCAAACCCACTGCCAGTAGGATCGTCAGAATAGTAAGCCAGTCCTTCTTTCCCCACCACAAAGTGAGAAGGAAACAAACACCCAAAACAATACTACAGATCTTGCTGGCATTGATGTTGAACCCGCAGAATGTCAACAACGCCCCGATGAGACTGGATCCAAGGTATCCTGCGGGTAGCGTGATGGCCTGCTTGCCGCCGCGCATGTGCGTAACACCGCCCTCATGAGGGTCGAGTGAGATTGATTCCACGCGACCGCCAGTGCAGCACGCTGTTATTGCGTGCCCGAATTCGTGGAAGGCGATGACCAGCATCTGTGGTCTCTCGATCAACACAAAGCTTGGGAATGTGGGTGATTGCGACGACGTACCTTGAACGGCCACAACACCCATCGTACATACGGCAAATTCCACAACAGCGCAATAACAACCACATACGCGGCAATCACACCCAGCGTGACACCCTGCGTGTGGTTCACGCTCAGCCCACGCTTCGCGAGCGTGTGAGCGGTTGCGGGTCCGGCGGTAACTAGGGCGCGGCGCGCTAATGCGCCGACTGAGCTCCTCAGGGGCGGCATATTCAACGATAGTGTTGCCTTCGCGACAAGATGAAGTAAGTGTGGTAAGCGAGCGTAGGAGGGAGACGAAAAGATACAGGAGATTATAGTCTGGGGCTTCTGAAGATTTTGTTGCCAGGGTTGCGCACGCATGTTCGGCAGGGCAGATGACGACGCGCGCGTCGAAGCCGCGCCACGTGGCTATTTTTGGTGTGGCTGTGCGCTGAGGAGGGCCCTTGCTGGGTGTGACGACCGCTCTTGTCAACAATAGCAGCACGAAGCAATAACAACGACCACGGCTTGCATTTTGTCACCAGCGTTCGTTACGGACCTACTGAAGAGCCTCGACGTATGTGAATTTGGCTCGCTTTTTATGTGTGCGCTTTACATGATGCGGGCGGCTGGCAAACAATGTCGGCTGCACGAAGACGCGCAAGCAGACGACCTTGGATGGGCACGAGTTACTTCACGAATCGCATTCATCATAGAGCCTTCTGCAACTGTATTACCGCACCACGTGTTTTAGATGAGGCCGTGAAGAAGAACTTAGCTGCAGTACGAATTGAAAGCCACGTGACTGTACTGGGCCTCAGCCTTGCTCCGCCTCTTCATCTCTGTGCATAAGATGCCAGCGCGTCGCCTGTCGTCCGCCCCAGCCTGTCGGGGTACTTCCACATTGTCGCTGCATCCGGACTTCTTGGGCACACCTCATCATGGAGATACTCATTGTATGCTACAGTTATATAACTATCTTTTGATAGTTGACCCTAAATTTACACGTGCGCTGTATATTGATCATGATATTCCATCCAAATTGCACGCTTCCAGGCTCTTCTCCAGTATTTGTGTCCGCGCCAAATGTCCGCTCCACGACCGAAATCCTATGGAATTGTCTCAGCACAGTGTTCCTGTGTACTTGGTCCATCCTGTTCCTGAACATTCCACCTCAAACGAAACCCAAGACCACATCGTAGTGGATCAGGAAACATCTTAACTTGCTCTGGACAAAAGTGAAATGGATGATTACCACTCTTTTGGCCCTTGAGCTTATCATCGGTTTCGCTGCGTCGAGTTTTTGGAGTGCCCGCTCTACTACTGAAACGCTGAAGAATCTCGCTCTTGATGATGTAGTGGACTGGAGTATCGCGCACACGTGCTATGCGGACATGGGGGGATCTGTCATCCGGTTCGAGGAGACATCGGCAATCGAGACTGCAGAGACAACTGACAAACAACGTTACTTTGGCCTTGTGAACTTGAAATCTCTTTTAGTCCTCGATCAGATAGGCGTCAGATTCCAAAATATGGATTAGTTTATCAAGCTGGGGAGTCCTGTTTGGAAGAGCGATCTCGAATACCGCAGAATGGTCGCAGAAGTTTTGGCCCCACCCGAGAATGTGATTCCAGAAGAGTGTGCTGCATTTGCAGGGTAATGTCTGGGTTCTTAACCCTCGACAATTGCGCAGGGCAAGAGAGTTCGGCGTGATCACAAGACTTCCTCTGCTTAGCGAAGACGAGCTCGGAGATAAAGACAAAGGAGACAATCTGGTGAAAACGTTGGATCTGGTCCAGATCATGTTGATGTTAGCTCAGCTCATTTCCAGACGGTTGAAAGATCGACCGGTGTCGCAGCTGGGAGTCATGACATTGTCTTTCGCGGCATGTGCAGTCATCATCTATCTACCAGTCCTACCAAGTCCACAAGGAGTCGAAACTCCAACTGTAAATCTTGGAAGGAGGGCTTCCTTCGACGAAATGCGCTCAATAGCCAAAGCCCAATCTATTTCCATCATCATGAGATCACTTTACACGATTCCTAACGACATATGTCATCATAAGGAGGCATTCGTGGTAGGTACAGGACTTGGTGCGATTTGGTTTGGCGTTCTCCATCTGATTGCATGGGACTTCACCTTCCCAGCCGCAGTGGAGAGGAAGCTTTGGAGAGTGTCGTCCGTGGTGACTATTATTTCACCAATGTCAAGTCTCGCCTTCGGCTTGATCGTGGTGTGTTTCGGCTGGGTCGATCATAAGTTTGCGGCTCGGACATGGGCGACCTTCAGCTCTTTTTCAATAGCTGCGTTCATCGTCGCTCGGATCTTCCTGTTGGTCGAATCTTTCCGGTCATTGTACTACCAGCCCGTCGATGTGTTCGTATCTACCTGGGCCTACTGAGCGCGTCCATACACCTTTGAATGCACAGTGGGTGACAAAAAAGATCGGAGTCAGCACAGCTTATCTTGTAGCGACTCACTTTACGATACGGTCGTGAAACAACTATATGCTAGTCTATTCCGAAATATTATAGCTGTAAAGGTCATCTTTCTTTCTGCCAGCCACTGCGATGCAATTGAACAGCAGTGCATCTTCGAAGTCCATGTAGGTACGCTGCCTGAGGCGCTTTTGACGAAAACGTATTCTTCTCTTCGAGGAGCGCTAGATGCATACTTTATGTACTACCACATGTCACAGGAGATGCCTGTCACTGCGCTACAGGTGCTGATCATACCCTGGAAGGAGATCTATCGTCTATATGTATCTTGAAGTTCATTTGGAAGCAGCGGGCTCGCAATAGAATCTCACCCTTGCATAGCTTCAAAAACGATTCTCTTTATAAGTTATTGATGTTTGTATCGCTACCCTCGGCCTATTCGCTGTCACCGCCAGCTGTACTACCGGCAGAGGTGAGACCCACGGATGAGTTTTTCTTTGTAGCGCTCGCGACAGTTGGAGTATCAACAATCGTTGTTGTCGCACCTTTGAGTCTGATGTCAGTTTTCTTGGCTCGCAATCTCGACGATAGACGATCCGATAAGAGATGTGTTCACTTGTTGATCGTAAAGATAAAAGAGTTGATGGTACTGTAGTTCGTTCTGAGCTTAGTGCGCCTTGGCATACTCGAGGCATGAGTGATGGCATCACATCATCGCTTATGTTTGAGTGGGATGTTTGCTTTTTGCTGCATCGTAAGAAGACGTCCAGGGCAGCAGTCTAGTCGATTTCTCTATTCCATCCTTATTCTCACAATGTAAACAAATCAACCGACATGCAGCATCTAGCGGGATGTGAATTCAACGACCGCACAACGAATCCATACGCATGGCGCACCCCGAGCACGCGGCGGCCGACGCGCACCTCACCCCGCCCTGTTAGCTAATGGTAACTCGCAGACCGAGCAACAGGGCAACGGGCAATTTCGTCACGCAGGCCCTCGCTACGAACAAGTCTGAATGCCCAGAGGTGCCAGGCGCAAATGGAACGCGCTGGCGCGGTCACGCCGGCGCGAAGGCCCTGGAAAGGTTCTGTTGATGGCGCCTTGTTCGTCTGGGCTGCGAGCGGTGAGATAAATTAGAGACACACAACGGCTGCTGTGGTGGTCTTGTTCCTGCGGTTTGCTGGTCGCGTCATCTGGAGCCGCGCTTTGTCTATCCGTTGCACCTGCCGCTTGCGTTCACCGTCGTCGTGGTCCTAGACTTGCACTTGCACCTGGACTGCACCTGGACTGCACCCTGACTCTGCAGCCCGCACTACGAGATCTTCGGCCTCAACACCAGCAAAACGGCCCGGCGCATACATACACACACTCGCAAGCACCATGGCAGACCAGCGCGCAACCCCCGACCGCGCAACCCCCGACCGCGTTGCCTCGTACGGCCGCGGCGGCGCAGGTGCGTCTCCGCTCCTCGCCGCGCTCTTACGCCCGCTAACACAGCCAGGCAACATGGGCAAAGAAGACCCCGCCACGCACATCACCCCCAAAGACCTCGTCACGCCCACGCTGAAGTCGGAGCACTACACGACCGGCCGCGGCGGTTCAGGCAACATGGCCAAGAATGACCCTGCCCGCCCGGAGGTCGCGCGCGCCGCGCAGGACGTCGAGGCGCCCGCACACCGCGAGCCCGATGGCCCGCACCACTACGGCCGCGGCGGCGCAGCCAACATTGCAAAGATGGAGGAGGAGAAGCGCGCGGCGAGAGTGGCGGCGGGGACTGAGAAGGACAAGAAGCCATCGGGCGAGAAGAAGAGGGCCAGTGGGGAGATGAAGGAGAGGAAGAGCGAGGAGGTGAGGCGCGAGGATGGTAGAGCTGAGAAGGGGATCGTGGACAAGGGAAAGGAATTTCTGCAGAAGTTGGGGGGCAAGAAGTAGGGTGGAGGTCGCGGTGTGCGTCGGAAAGGCTGTCGCGGTATTGACTCTTTTGCTTTACGTGTTAGGAGGTGAGCTTTACCATTATGATATCCCCGGGTATGGTTACGGTTTGATAGAGTTGCAATGAGGAGTTCCACGGGCTTTGAAGATCTTGTGCTTATCTCATTGCTCCAAGAACAGTCGTGCTATGCGTACAGGATGCGTCGTGCTGTTCACCTGAAGATGTTGGCGGAAGGTACGACTGGGAGAAAGAAAGTGCATCTCGCGACTCCGGCCGCATATTGGCCGGATGGCCATCTCTAGCACTACTCTGTCACTCGCAGACCTCCTTTTGCACCGTACCAATTGATGCGCCCCTCCGCCAGCCTCGTCCTGCAGGCAAGAACCAATCGCAACCACCCGCGCATTCGTCGCCGCCCACTCTGGGGTACCGGCAGCCCTACCACGGAGATGGATAACTCGCGCTATCAGGAACATCACTGCCGTCCATCGCACGATTGCCGCTCGCCACCTCACTGTGAGCTCATATCTGCTCCCAACGGAAGTTGCAACCGGTGATGGCGGGGTAGAAGCCTCGTAGTGCCCACGGTGGGGTAGAGTTCGCCTAGCACCAACGCAAGCTGGCCAGCTCGACCAGGACGTGCGTCCAGGAGGGCTCGCAATAGATGTGCGCGATATAGCAGGCGGCCAATCTCGGCCTTGCTGAGGAGTGTAGACATGCCGTCGGCTTCGATTCAGGTCTTGGATTGGCCTGTAATACTAACCGAATACCTCGTCCTGCGCTGTTCTCCGACTGAGGGAAGCAGGTCTTCGCACTAAACACGTCGTTGTAGAAGACACCCAGCAGGATGCACATCCCTCCAATCTTATCCAGTGGCACCGGCGAGCACATCTTCCAGACTCGCATCCGCACACCCCCGAAAGCACGCGAGAGTGGAGCAAGAGCCTGAAACAGAGCACCGGGGTGAGGTCTGAATTGATATCGGCTGCGTCCGACCACAGGGTCGTTCAGTTCACGGCTACCGAGGACTCGGTATCGCGAGGGCTTCTGTCGGCAAGCGCACTCGGGCGCAACACCTTCTGTTCACGGCGCTTGACGCGCAGGCGTGACGGATTGACTGCCGCCCAGGCTACGGGCCTAGCTCTCAGCTGATCGCTGCGGCCTTATCCGTTGCTTGCAACTTGCAACTTGCAACTTGCAACTTGCGCTTCTGAAGCGAACAAGAAGAGGCGAGCCTTGAAGGGTGGTCTAGTGCGCCGCGCGCCCATATGCGAAGACTGATGCATGGGAATCACGCGAAGCAACTGCATGTGTTGATACCCGATTGGTGAGGACGAGACCGCGCCGCGAGCGTGCTTGGTAGCTTGAGGGTCCCGCTGTTGCGGCCCGCTTATGTAGGTGCGTCGCGCATTTCCGGTGACATAGGGCTGAGCGGAGAGCAACTGACATGTCGCGGTTAGTCTGTGGCTCCGTCCTTAAACTGCGGTTGGCCGCACTGGATAAGACGAGGATCATTGGTACCTATCGCTCTTTCGCCATGTCGAGCACGGAAACAGAAACGCAGGAAGAGACGTATGTGTCCTACCATGACGGCGGCGTCTTCGGCAAGCGCCGCGTTTTGACGGGGAAGGCCGCGAAGCCTACTTTCAATGCGGTGCCGAAAATTGATATGCGGCGCATTTACTCGGACAACCTGGATGATCGGAAGGAGCTGGCGAAAGAGGTCGGGGACGCGTGCAGGAATGTGGGGTTCTTCTACGCGGTAAATCATGGTGTGGAGGAGCAGATACTGGACGATACGTTCTCGGCTGTCAAGCGGTTCTTCGATCTCCCTACGGAAGTGAAGATGGAAGTGCACAACCAGAAGACGGAGAAGTTCAGGGGGTACGAAGCATTCCTAGAGGGCAAATTGGATCCCAGCACGCGCGGTGGTACGTTCCTCTTTCACTTCTTATTGGCTTTCTCCCAACTAACGCCCTCCAGACCTCAAAGAAGGCTTCCTCATGGGCGAAGACGCCACCGACCCCGAACAAAAGCTTCCCGTTCGCGACCTCCCTTTCATGTCCACGCCCCGCAACCAATGGCCCTCCCACCCCACCGCCACCTTCTTCCGCCCCGCCCTCTACACCTACTACACCGCCATGCTCACCTTCTCCCGGCGCCTTCTGGGCATCTTCGCCCTCGCCCTGGACCTCCCCGAGCACCACTTCGACACCATAACCCGGCACCCCATGACCAACGTCCGCGCCGTGCACTACCCGCCCCAGCACTCCGACGCCGACGTCGGCATCGGCGCGCACACGGACTTCTGCTGGTTCACGCTCGTCTGCCAGTCCCGCACCGAGTACCCCGCGCTCGAGGTGCTGAATGCGAATGGCATATGGGTTCCCGTGTCTCACGAGCCGCACTCCTTTGTCGTTAACATCGCGGATTTCTTGAAGCTGGTCACAGGAGGCGAATGGATGAGCACAGTGCACAGGGTGAGGAATATGGGTGGAGAGGAGCGGTATAGCATGCCCTTTTTCTTCAGCCCGGATGAGGATGCGAGGGTTAGTGTGCTTGAGAGATATAGTAAGAAGGGCGGGATGTATGAGGAATTTGGGGTTGGCGAGTATTTCCAGAAGAGATTGGTTGTAGATCGGAGGACGCATTTGGAGGGGGCGGAAGGTGGTGAGGTTAAGAGGAGTGCGGGGTATTGAGGGTTGGTGGGTCGGGCGAGGTGTGAGGCGGAGGGAGGGAGGATATACCACTGATGACGGGACAGGGCATGTATGGGTAGTAGGAGAAGAAATTTCAGTCTTCTGTTCATAGGGGGTCGTTCTGTCAGTGCTGTCAACGTTACACAAGAAGCAGGCGTCCCTTGTGCTCAAGCGAGAGCGATCCTGGTCGTCTGCCTCCTCGTGCAGGCTAAGGAATGCAGTGTACTCGTATAGCAAGCAATCGGGGGCGGGATTGAGAAGTTCAACATCCCTGCAAATATAGTCATTGATCCAAATATCTCCATATAACGTTAGGGTACTTTGTCGGGTTTGCCTTTTGCCTTGCAGCACGGGCCATCTATGTTTCACAAGTGGTTCGCAATTTGCACTGCAATCTTAGCCCGCGCGAGGAGTCCAGCGTCGCTGCCTACTAGCAAAATCCGCTATCTCGCATCTCGATAACTGCGATTTCATTCCCTGTAGTGTGTTGCCTTCGTAGGATGTGCGCCGCAATCTGGTTTTTGCACTGCATGCTTAGCCTGCACAAACACCCCGTAAGCTTATTCTCTCCTCTTTGGGAATTGAATTGCCTGGAGAATCCTGGCTAGCACAACCGTAATCTCGTCAGCATTTCACTGCAATTTTTACCACTTCTGAAGAGCACTAATCCGTCAACAAAGCAGAAGGTGGTTGATAGCGAGCTCGTACAGTGTTCGAGAGTTGAGGCTCGGTTGACGGGGTACGACTGAACATTGAAGGTAGTGTTGGATACCTATAAGGTCACTTTTTGTGCAATTAGCCCTTCGTGCGAGCCAGCTAGACACCGGCACCTCAACGACTCCGACTCGTCAAATGAATTCATGATGCCCAGCGCGATTGGATCCCGCGCCCAAAGACTTCTCGGCAGACTTCGAGCAACGTAGATATATCTACGATCGAAGATGTATCGCTCATGCTAGAGCCTCGAAAGCTTCAAACCGCCCGGAACGGAGTTCTGACATCCCTCATCCTCGTTACACTCTCTTGCCCGTACCCAGCCAGTACGCCTTCCTCGTGGTACCCGTAGCTAGTGAAGACGTACCTGTGAAGTAGCCCCCTCCTAGCCGCGATGTTTTATAACTTCTGCTGGAGCTCTTCTACGGTGCCGTATACTTGTTGATCGTTCTCTGGCAAGCCCCAGGTAGGGTAGATGAGAATGACAAAGAGCATTCCATCAGCAGGACCGATGTTCCTCGCATTGCCACCAGCCTTCAGGAATTCTTAAGCAGGGGTTTGGTAAGTGGAAACTATGCAAAGGAGAAAATGAAACCTTGCAGAGGCCGAAATGAGTCGAGAATCTGCAGCCAGATTTGATGGAGCTTCTTCATCAGAGGACCATCGGCCTTGATCGTGAGAGTGGCATAGGATGATCTAAATCTGTCAATGGAGTGTGAACAATGGCTTCCCAGCAGATTTACCTGATACCATCCTGTGTAAACTGGAACAACTTGTAGAGAAGTCCATATGTTTGCCCGTCCGCCAAAGTACTGTACCCTCAATGAGATCGAGCAGTGACCTGTGCTTCTGCATCTCCTTTGGGACGGTACATACAACATGTGCAAACATCCTATCCAAATCCGTATTCAGCACTCGACATGATATGTGTCTTCATCCGTCTCATTATTGACAAAATCAACCGTGACCTCGATGAGCTGTCTAGAAGAGTCGGGCATCTAATAAGGCATGCCACCCCATATCTCCGATGATGGAAAGGTCTTAATTGAGAACGCAGTCACTGTCCTGACGATGTTGAGCCCGGCTTTCAGAGAGATGAAGAGGTCCGTGTTCTTATCGCGTTGGCGTGGATTACGTCCCCAGATGCGAGGACTGCCTCGTAGTCCAATAGAGAATCGCACGCGAACCCATGCTTTGTAGAATGAAAAGACATTCCACCTACTTACTCAATCAAAAAACCGATTTGGATGATGATTTGGAATGCTTACCTCCGAGAATCAAAACAGTAACACCCACTCTGCCAACTCGACCACCAGGCGCGGTCAGACTGTGTCTTTCAAGCTCTGTATATACAGAGTCCCATGTCTCACCAGCTCCAATCGTAACTCAAGTATTGTTCCCGGATAACCACATGCCCTTCAGCCCTTCCGAGGTGATAGTGATGCCGATTTGTACATTGGCAGCCCCTATGTAATGTGCCAGTCGTCATATTGTTCAAACTGTGAAAGTGGAACGCTTTGGCCTGTACCTACGAAGGGAACATGCCCAGTCCCCTTTACTGCACCAGAGAGTCCAATCTTGAGCAAATTTCTTTTTTGTCAGAGTGCTCACTTCTTGACTTGTGGGCTGAGAAATTGCGGCTGGCTTGATACAACTCTCAAATACAACGAAGTATGCTTCATTGCTCTTCAAGTAGAGCTCGCTCCCTTGCAAGGCGAATTTTTCAGGATGAATTTCTTGAAGCACAGATTGTAAAGCCATTGTGATCGGGACGGTTACGACCGAAAACAGACGATAGATCTAGTAGGGTGCTTCAGAATTGCAATGGTAGTGGTGAGAGGTTGTAGCAGGAACTTCGGAGTAACGAGGCTGGTCAAAGTCGGGGCGCTTTGGGTTGGGCCTTTGCGGCACGGCAAGGAAGTCTTCACCGCTCTCCAAAGGCAAGCATAACCTCCGCTCATATACAGCTCAAATCAAGGCAATTACAAGGTGTCTATGCCCTCGGACTCTTTACCCTATGGAGTTAGACGGAACTTTCTCTCTGTCCATGTTCAATCTGCTTGTTATCTTTATATATATCTCTAACGGCTAGGATTTGTTAAACAGCAAAGCAACCGCTACTTGGGCCCTCTCAGAGCATGAGCACAAATCCCTAACGTGGTGTAAAGGCTACTAGAAGAATTCAGGCAGATCGCTGGCAAGACACGGCTTCTACAAAGGTACGTGCCATAGCCTCGCCTACACCTAGCTGACCCGCTAGGTAAGCCCAATATCAAACCAAAACTATCTTCTCCTCCTGCATGCTCTCCATAATCTCCCCATCCATAATTCCATCACAATAGCACTCTCCCAGGAACTTATAACGGTTTTCCCTGAGCGGTCTAACGATGAAGGGCACCGAAGCACCAAGCAAGACCACGATCATATCCCCCGGCTCTGCCCACGAAGGAGCCATACCGACATAACCCATGCGCGAGAGAAACGGCCGCTTACCCCCCATCTGTCTCATGTAGAGGCGGTATATGGAGCCTCCACTGCCGCCATTTGGGTTGTGTAGGCCCTTAATTAGTGAGGTAGTAGCAGCGGTGGGGAGGTCCTGCGCGAGAAGCGTCTCCAATTCCGCCCGGCTTCTGGCGTACGCTTCCCTCGCCGTACTTGTCGTACTCGCAACCGTAGACATGCCCTCCGCCTTGATATGGGTTGCCAGCTCCCGCAGGCAATCCACGTACCGCGCCCTGCACGTCTGCGTTTCCGACGTCCTCCTTGTCATAGACGAGACATCTTCGTCTAGGTCTCCGACAGGGATCCGCCATGCGGCTTCGGCGCGGCGCGCGGCGGTGGGGTATATGGGGAAGTTCTTTGCGGTGGAAAGCGAACAGAGGTGGTGAATCTGCGCCAGGAGAGCGATGTACTCTGCGTGAGGAATTTCATAGGTGCCGTTAGTGCGTGCGGGGCTGCCATCAGACCAGGGAGTGGGGGACAGGGTTTCCAGGGTGTCGACGGTGTAGCCTGCGAGAGAGAGGAGATCCTCATCGGTAATGTCGTCGTTGTCCTTATCTAGAGGGTAGATTACAACGTCTTTTCCTGAGCTGGCGTTGAAGAGAGGGGGGCGATACTCGTCTGAGAGCCAGGCGAAGGAACGCCGTATCTTCGCGCGCCAGTCTGGGACCCAGCTTGGAAGCTTCACCCCACGGTTTTTTTCCTCATTTTCCTCGGGGTGTTGTGATAATGAGAGTAAGTCTACTTTACCGGATGCGACAATAGCCCGCGCGACTTTTGTGAACGCCAGATCTGCTTGACGGTTGGGATCGCCCGCACTATAGTCGACGGTGATGCCCAGCTCCTTTGCATCTACCACGAGGCCGAGAACGCCGTAGATCATGTCACAGGGCTGCGTGGCCGTCACATCTTTCTCTACGTACAGCCTGTACAGAATGTGGAACAGTGTATCCCCTTTTATCCTGCCCTCGTCGCGGGCTTTTCGGCGCTGGCGCGAAGAGAAGAATGGTTGGATGGCACTCAGCTCCATGATTTCGTGCCAACACGTCACAATATCTTGGTCTGCGGATAACTTGTTCAAGACGAGGGGAAAGATGGTGGACTCGAATATTTGGAGGGCCATCATGAGCGTCTCTGCAGGAATGGTTTTGTGGCCGCAGAGGAGGGTTACACGTGGTGGGAGGGAAAATTCCTGGATGACCCACGCGCGTGAGAACCAGGGTCGTTTGTAAAACGCGATGAGAGCATCGAGGTACTCGCGCTGGAACGACTGGGCGGTGGCCTTACAGAAGGCGTGGTACTCCTTTGTCATGGCGTCGTTCGGATCAGACTTGCTCGTTATGGCAAAAAACTCCGCCCTCCGTGCTTTGGTCCAGTACACGAGCATGTTGTGCGTCTCCGCAAAGGTGCCGATCCTTGCGAAAAAATCGAGCAACCCGTCGGATCCGTTGGCGGAGGGACCGAGCCAGACGAGGGTTTCTTCAGAGGTTCTGTAGATGCGTTCCATGAGGCTGACCTGTTCTTCTTTTTCCTTGGAGTCTTGCTGATTGATGCAAATTTGGTCGATCCATATTTTGAGCGGGTGGGTGGAGGGCTGCAGATGGGAGAGAGCATCGAAGAGAGACCGAGTAATCTTGAGCGATGCTCCGTTGACAGTGATGCTGTGAGTTAGACTGCCGTTGCCCCATGTATACGAAAGGGCCTTGTAGGAGAAATCATTGAGCGGTTGTTGCGATGTGTCATTTCCTGTTTCATCTCGAGGTATGGATGTTGTTAGCGATAATGGTACCCACGCAAGAGTACCGTGCAGCAAGTTGGCATCTGCATCGCGACTCGGATACAGCTCAAGAATTCGGATCCGTGCGTTACTCTCTGTAACCGCGCGTTGCCACTTTTCCAAGGAATGGTCATAAGAAAACGACATGGTTGCAGACGGCTTTGCGGATGCCATGGGTGAATGCTCCCATTTTATCTGGCCGTGTGGTAGTATTCGTATCCAGCCACAGCTGAAGCATGGCAGCCTCGCTTATGTCACTTAGGCGATTGCTGAGCAAATTGGATGCTAATTCTCGTTCTACCCTTGTATGAGGCGCTTCGAACCGAGATAGGGCACAGCTGCGGCAAAAGCAAGTACCGCACGACTGACCGCGAATTATGGTCCTACATGCGCAATATGTCTGGAAATTCGGATATGATGAAATCGCAATTGAGAAATTTTTACTGATGAGCGACTTTCACTGGAAGCTGTGGCGCATCACCGCGTTGCTTGCATACCTGGGGGTGTCCGCACGACGTGCCTCCAAGACGATGAAGCCATTTCGAGTCGCATAGTCGTCGGCCTCGTAGATAGACAAAGCGCGAACCCACCCCGGCGCATTTCGTGGCGATGCAGGTGCGTGAAAGGCTCATGAGGCAGCACCATCAGACAAACACGGAACACTGAATGACACCTCACCTTGCCCTAACCACTACCGGTTAGCGCCACAAGGCGAATCTAACGTCACGTGCAAACCGTCACCACGGCCCGTGGACTTGAACGCATCTTCATCACGCAAGAGCCATCTTCCTTCAGCACCTATCTACCTCCATTCCACTCAAAAAATCAATTCCTTCCAAGGAACGGCGTTTGAATACCGCGTGGTCGGCGCAGGGCGCCAGGTGTTTCGTCTCCAGTTATTCCTCGATGAACATGTTCACCTTCACTTGCCAGAATTCTGGATGCAATTTGTAGTGAAAAACAATGAGCATTTACTTCAAACATGGATGGCATGATATCTATGCCCAATGGGATCACCTTGTTGCCGATGGTCGCCGACTTGAACCCCGCACCCTGTTTGGGAAGCCCTCCATGCAGCTCTTCGCCCAGCCACTTTCAGCTTATGCGAGCAATATACATCAAGAGGCGTTCCAAATTTCCCCGCAGATCGAAAGAGATAGAGATTCCTCCTCCGAAGGAAGTGGGAAAGTTAGGAGGGGAAAGAAGGGAAGAAGATTATTTTCTCATAGTAGACGAGACCGCAGTAAGATATACTGTGCTTGCATAGCTGCTTTGGATACAGAAGTATACCTTAGGGTTATACAGTGGTCCCACTGCGTGTCTCTTTGCTTGGCCGACAACTCGTGTTCAACGCTGATCGACGTTGGAGGTACAGTAGGCTGATTACGTCCGAACACACGGTGCACAACACTTGCTACCTTTCCCCAAATCACTGCACTGCTGTCTTTCAAGTACATGCCGTGTCTACGATGAAAGAAAATTTGGCCTTGTTTGTCGGCACATCTTTGCTGCAGAGTAGCTGTTCGGCGGTGTCTGGTAGACTGCGCCGTGAATCGACGTGGATGTCGGCGAGTTCTTTGTGGGCGTGCTGACCTGCGTTTTGGATGTTGTAAGGGTGGTGAGCCAGACCAGTAGGTGTTGACCTAGGTGTGTCGATCTAATGCCCTCACGAGTGACATCGCTTCGCCCTACAAGGACCCTTCCCGCATCCGGCCACACAGATGCAGACGACTTCACCGCTTCGAGCCGAAGTGCTCTCCAGCGACGCGCCGCATTCGCCAATGTCAACCCACCCCAGTGGGCGCTGCTGAGAAGAGCGGCACAGCGTAAAGTGAGTGCAGATAACATATATGGTAATCCCGCTCGGCAGTGTCAGCTGGTGCTGCTGCAGCTGGTCAGTTGTCGTCAATGGAACGTTTCATCAACGATGGACCCCAAAACGAAGGTGGACACCACCTACAGGATCGATAGTCCGCCGGACAACACCACTCCTTTCCAAGATGATTCTCCCAGCACCCAAGCGCCCGAGAAGCTTTTTCCCGTCGACCAAGAGTGCGTTGGCTGTCCTAAGCAAGCAGCCGAGCTAATGAAGTACTTAGACCGACGTCCTCGAAAGAGGCTGTTCACGATGCACCAGAGGTAGTTCTCGAGCCTTGGCTGGTACAGCAGCAGCGACGACCTACATCACCCTATTCGATGGACGAGACGGTCGTGTCAGGCTTCCAGCCGCTAGAGTTCGACGAGAAAGGGCAGCCGGTTTCACGTAGGGTCTCCGAATTACCTTCCGATAAGGCGCCCAAGACATGCGGGATTCCACGTCGATATCTGTTTGGAGTCATCATCCTCATATTTGTCGTTGCGACAGCGCTAGGTCTTGGGCTAGGTCTGAGTTTGGGAAATAAAAAGAAGAGCGACATAATGTAGGTTCAGTGCTCGCTTGGAAGCGTTACCGCTAATATCACGCAGCAGCGGCCCAGGCGACATCGATCCGTACTGCGCAGCTAACCCAGACTTCTGCGTTGGTGGTGCGCTAGGCTCGTCGTACTACACCAGCAACGGCACCTACAATGGCTCTGGCATCGCGCTGGCAACCGAGTTCTGGAATCACCAAGAGCGCAAAATCATGACAGTCTACTTCCAACACTGGACTGGTGAGATTCGCTCGATACAGCTCACGCCGAAAGGCGAGTGGATTGGTGGAACAGCATCTGAAGTCGTCGTAAGCGATGCGAAGAATGCGACCCCCATATCTGCTGTCTCATACTCGCTCAATGATACCTCAGTGGTGAGCGCTCAATCCAAGTACGATATTGCAGTATCTGCCTAACTCAACATTCAGTGGCACATCTTCTACATCTCCAAAGACGGCCACGTAAAGCAAAAAGTAAACAGCAACAGCACCAACATCTGGCAAGACGGCCCACTCAACTCGCTCAATCTCACTGCCTACGCGGCCCCAAACGTCGGCCTTCAAGCCTGCTGGTACGGCAACTACTACGGCGACTCGGACGCGTCAAAATTCCCCACCCGCGACGGCAACAACGACACTATCCCCTTCAGCAACAGCACCCCAGGCATGCACCTCTGGTACCCGACCGACGAATCCACATTTCAGCAGTACGGATGGTACCAAGGGCAGGACCAGTGGCTCAAGGAAAACACCTGGAGGGACATGAACGCCCACGCCGGCGTCGGGTGCTATAGCTGGCAGCCCGGCACCACGACATACGCGATGATGGTCGACAAGCAGGATACAGCGACCATCTGGTGGCGCGACACGAACAGTACCCGTAAAGCCACCGACGCGCATCCCATCGACAGCTGGGAAAACGTGACGGGCTACGCGATCCCGGATCTGTATCCCAGCAGCTCGCTGGGCTTCACGGAGTACTTCTACACGCAGATGGCGGACGGAACGATCGTGGGGCACGATATTGACTGGGGTGCTGAGAAGACGAAGGGCGTGGATGCGAATGTTTTTACAGTGGGGAGCGCGAAGGGGGCCATTCCCGGGCTGAAGGGCACGCATTTGAGTGTCACGGCTGTGGAGGATCAGTCCGGGGGGACGAGCTTGTATGTGTTTTACCAGACGAGGGGAGATGATTTAAGTGTATTTACGAGGGATTTGGATGGCGGGCAGTGGACGCAGGGGGAGCTGCCGATTCCGGATGCTTGATGGGTGGGGAGGGGGGAAGGGTCTAGTTGCACGATGGGATTGATGTCCTGGCGCGGAAGTTCTCGGGAAAACGCTTCGGACTGTATATCGTGACTTCGTGGTGGCAGGATTCATGTTCAGCTCAAATGACTCTTGCATGTTGCTAGTAAGCGGTGCTTTCTGGTACATATTCGTTGTCGTCAAATTTAGTTCATCTTCTGTGGGCTATGAAGAGGTGACGACATAAAGTAGGGAGAGGTTTTGGGTCATGTCGAGAAAATTGGAGGTAGTTTGTTGTTTTGATGCTCTGCTTAAGATCTACAGTGGGCCACGTAGTATCTCATCCATTCAGTTCCATGCAAAGCTGCAAGCCTGTTACGTGTCGGATGCCAAACCGAAGGTGCCACCACCCACCAGTACTTCGATGCTCTTACACTTCTTCAGTCCATCCCACCCATTATCACAGATCCCAACTACGGTCGTAGCTGCTGATACAGTCCGCTGTATAGAACATGTGACACTGGAACTTGCGGAGCTGGTAGTCCCCAAATATGCTGAACGGCTTGTCAGTCGGCGGTCAGGGCGCAGGGTCGCACTACCCTGCGGTCTCGCCACCCAGACCGAGAAGCTCCTACGGGCGTGACTGGGCGTCCCGAGCCTTGCGGCGAGGCGGACTGATCGGGATTCTAGGCCAAGTCTGCTGGTTGGTCTGGTAGATAGCTGTGTATGTCTCGTTAGCAATCCATTCTTCTGCATAAACTCCATCATATTTGAGTCGAATAACGGTAGTGAAAGTTCGGCCTGTCGGCAAGATGCATCTCCATCGCGTCAACGTTGGTGGGGAAGTTGTCGTCGCCGGCATAGCAACCGTTGATTGCCTTTTTGCCCCAGTATTCGCAGCGAGATACCAATCTTGTTGCCGCTTACATCAGAATTGAAGTTAAACATGCACGTGTGAGCCGGGCCCGGGTAGCTGTTTTGATTCGGGTCGAGGAAGTGCCAGCCAACGCTGTCCACCGTCCAGGGGGTCGCATCATCACCAGGTAAATGTCGAAGTCGGCGGATTCGACCAGCGCCCAGAAGGACACAATGAGGTAGTAGAGCAACATTATGGATGGATGTGTCCACGGCTAGCTGGAGAAGTGGAGGGGATGTAACCCATACACTATGTGTGGGCGTCAACTACGAGTGAGTGATTCTTGAGAACTAACATGAAACTCACTTGAGCCTCATCAAACAGTCATCAAAATCTTGCGTTCGGTCCACGGGTCTCACAGTGAGTGGGCGCAAAAGAGTTAGCTGCAGGATCTTCGTTCACTCATTGAGCGTCAAATTTCTGCTACCCCCTCGCCGAAGCCAGTGTCCTTCGCCGTGAGGAACAAGACGTTTACACTTCGTCAGTTCACCACCATTCGCACCTCAACCATTGTTCACGGGTGCCAACCGCGCTCGTAGTCGTTCACCCAATCCGCCGTATAGAACGACAAGCACCTCATCTTCTTCCACAGTGTGTACTCTCCGCAATTGGCGAATTTTTGATCACTCGGCGGCCAGGGCTGTGGTTCGCAATGACCCGCCGATTCACCACCCAGGCCGAGCAGCTCATAGGACCTATGGACTCCGTGGGTGCCCTTGTAGATAGCTATGTGTTTCATGTCAGCTAGCCACTCCACTTCTGGACCATGCTCCAGCTGACTTACTGTAGTGCATCTTCGGCGTCTCAGACAAGTGCATCTCCATAATGTCGATGTTGGTCGGTAGCGATGTCGTGAGGGGACCGCAGCCATTGGTCCCGGAATTGGTGATGCAGCGGATTCCGATCTTGTTACCGCTGACATCAGTCTTGTCAAGGATCATGCGCGTGTGCGCGGGGTCAGGGCAGGAGTCCCGGCTTGGGTCGACGATTTGCCAGCCGACGGTGGCGACGAACGGTTTTCCGGGATTCGAGGCACTAGTGACCAAGTAGACATCGAAGTCGGCCGAGACGAGCAGTGCCCAGAGGGAGATGAAGAAGTAATAGACCAGCATCTTAGATGGAGATGCGGCTGTGTAGGTGGAAGGGGTGCAGGATTTCAGAGGAGAGAACACCAAGATGAGTGTTGTGGTGTGACCGCGGGAGCACGGTCGGGTTTTGTTGATATACTTCGTGGGCTTTGAGTGCCAAGCGGACGCTAGAGCACTCAGTGCGACGGTGAAGGTAGGAAACGGCAGGTCAAGGTAGGTAAGATCAAGTGAAGGAGACTTCTTCGATGCAAGAAAGTACGACCAAACAAGGAGGGCTTTGTGCATCTCCAGAATTTTGCTCGCTCTCACTGAAGTGAACATCGGCCACTCCCAGCTGTGAGATGCGTTCGCTATCAAATATCTATGGATGCCAACCGCGCTCATAGCTATTGATATAATCCGCCGTGTAGAACGTGTAGCACCGGAACTTCCTCCAGAGCCCATAATCTCCACACTGAGAGTTGGGCGGGTCAACAGGCGCCGGCCACGGCGCGGGTGCGCAGTGGCCCGCCGATTCACCGTATAGGCCGATCATCTCCCAGTTGCCGTTTTTGTAAAGGGCTGGGTGCATCTTGTCAGCTATACCATTATGCATCATCACCGACCAGCTGACTTACTGTAATGCACCTTTGGCATTTCTGAGAGGTGCATCTCGAACAGTGTAATATCCCGGGGTGTAGAAGTATCAAACCAGAGGCAGGGACCCAACGGGTGAACTAAAGGCGGGTATGTAGGCTCGCAACGAATACCGAGCTTGTTGCCGCTGACGTCACCCTTGCTGTCGAACAGGCGCGTGTGGGCGGGATCGGGGCATTCGTGTCGATTGGGGTCGACGATCTGCCAGCTGAGGTGGTTTGAATCCAATTTCGGCAGTGTTTTAACCACCAAGAAGACGTCGAAGTCGGCCGAGATGAGCAGCGCCCAGAGAGAGACAAGGAGATAACCGAGCAGCATGTTGGATGGAAGGTCGGTGTCGTGGGCTGACAGAATTTGAGAGAGAAGTGATGAGTGTCGGGATGCAGTCGGTATCGTGGAATCGGAGAGTGTCAGAGAGGGTGATGAGTGTCGCGGTGTAGCATCGAGGCCGCGGCAAGGGACTTTTTATATCCTTCACGGGTCCTGGGGTCCAAGCGGGCGCTAGCGCAGGTCCAGCGAGGGTGAATGTGGAAAGAGCCTGCTTTGAGCGACCCGTCTCATGATCAAGGCTGGTGACTTGCAGGTCGAGCGACTGCAGACAGCTCAAGAGTCCTATATATTGTTCTCACCCTACGCACGTCAGCGATCATTTCCTTTTGGTTCGCGCTGAAGCAATCACCGCCGGCTACTCTCGGCCTTGGGAGACTGTTCATGCGGAAGTCGCGATCAACGAAGCAGTCAGCGGCTAAATTTGGCTATGCAAGATATGCCTGTGAAGAAGTCATGTAATTTCGTGCTCCAGCTAGAGGTACAATGAATCGACGCTGCAATAGGGCAATCTGCTGGGACAGACACCGACATAGGATCTAACTGACATGTGACCTAACTGACATAGAACATATATAGACGTCTTGATCGGCTGCGTTAAGACACAAGTGATGCCATAAAGTCGTTATGACAAACACATGATTTTGCTCAATCGTCTTTTTCAAAAAGTTTGATGAAGATATATATTCATACCTCAAGATCTTATACACTAAGAGCGATTGTACTCTTCTCATCTACCGCGCCCATCAGGCAAAACTGCTCAGGGAGTAGAACAGTCTACCCAAGTTGTGATACATTTCTATCCCATGCCAATACGCCAAAACACACATCCTTTGTCATCCAACCCCCTCAATTACCGCAATATTCCCGCACCCAAACACCCCCAAAACACAAACCCACCACCGCTTGCCCCTAGCATCTCTAACCTCCATAGCTCACCTCCTCCCACCAATCATCCCCGACGTCGTCCTCCACCGCCACCGGCACCTCAGGCGCCTCCAACACTTCCACCCTCCCCATGCCCACCCGAACTTCGCACCACCCCCTCCCCGCATCCCGCACCGCCCGGTCCACCAGCCTTTCCACCAACCGCTGCACAACCCCATACGTAACTAGCCCACGCAACTCACACGCCTGCCGCAGCTCAAACAGCCCGTCCCCGACAGAGAAGAGGGTGCTGTTGTTACCGATGTCGGTGTAGATCTTGGTCCAGTGCGCCGTGAATGCGGTGAGGCGGGGATCTGCGAAGCCAGGGGCTGTAGAGAGGGTTGCGTGGTGGGCGGATGGGTGCGGGCGGAAGACTGGGTAGCCGGCTGGCGTGGTGCGGAAGGGGTGGGTTGGTGGGAGAGTCAGTGTAGGCTTCGGTGCGGAGATCTTGTATATGTAGGTTATGCCTGGGGTAGGTGTGAAGCCGCTGTTCTGGAAGGTCGAGGGCTGCGGCGGGGCGTGCTGATTTTTGGCGTAAAGGCCGTCGTTGTCGAAGTCCGAGACGTAGTCGGAGGCAGAGGCGGCTATGGTGGTGGACACGGAGCTTGAGGGCGGATTGGCTGCGACCTCGGCTTCTTGGGCTTGGACGGCGTCGTCGGCGGCGAGGGTTGTGGGGGAGACTGGCTCAGCCATGTCTTCTTCTGAGCTGGGGTCGCCGCTGTTGGCTGCTGACGTTTGGTTAGCTTTGTGCAATTTGCTGGGTGTTTGCCTACTACCGTGCCGCATATTCTGGAGACTGTCGACAACGTTTGTGTACCGCGTCATAGTCTTGGTATGTACAGATGTGTCGAGTTGGTCTGCAAGGTGTGGGGGAATGTCAATAAAGTCGAAATGAAGGTGGGAGTCGCGGCGAGTCGGCATTTTTATGTCGAAAGCCTTGGGTGTCGAGGGCGGCACGACGCTTGGGCGCAACGCCATGGCCTATGTACAGGTGCAAGACTCGACTGAAAATAAGCCATTCGTATAGCGGTTGGGTGAGTACGGCAAATTGCAAGATATAAAACTGTGCAAATTCTCCCACATGTGATATCTGTGGGCTATCAGAGAACAACATCGATTTTTCGAGAACTGTTTTAGATCAGAGAAGAGCTTGTAATGATCTATATGTACTCGATCACTGCATTGGCTTAGCTGATGTTCTTGTAACCCTTGTTCCTGAGCACTTGTCTTGACGTATATGTCAAATTTACACTGACTATACTCCACCGGCTAGACTTCCATGTCTACATCCAAGCTGACTGCTCTAATAATCTTCCCACACATTCACTCAAATTCCACACCATCTATCATCGTACGCAGCCAGGACAGTCTACGTCCAATCGGACTTCCCACACGCGCTCCTTGATCCCTACACCCCTCAAGACCCCGTGGACACGTCCAGGTTCCAGCTCCAGCACCACAACCTCATTGACCCGCTCATCGGTATATAGCGCCGTCCCCGGCAGATACAAACTCTGCTGCGGTCCAACCCCCCAATACCGTCCCAGGTGAAGCCCATTAACCCAGACATTCCCCTTCACACCACCCTCAACACTCAGATACGTATCCAGACCCGCTGGGTCATCCCCATTCCCGCCTTTGCTCCTCGGTGTTGCAAACTTGCCTCTGTAAAAAACCGGCTGCGTCGTATTGCCCGCGCCACCCTCTCCCGCGGTATACCCACCACCCTCTAACCCGGGCAGCTCCGCCAGCGCAATAGGCGTTTGCGACCAGTTGTGCAGTGTCGTATTGCCAACGCTAACGGCTCCGATGATCCCCTTGTATGGGTCGAGGATGTGGTTTGGAAGGTCTGTGCCACGGGAGTAATAATCCACCCTCCCAAGATTCTCCACCAGGAGCTGCAGTCTCGCGCCTGGCGCCAACCTCACGCTGATATTTTGCGGATACGCATACGTGGAGTCCACAACGCCGACGAAGACGTCGTCGAGGTATACAATAGCCCGATCTCTTGCGCGGTCGCCTGGAGAAAGAACCCCAGACACAGGCGTGGACTCGCCATGCGTGTAGGTATACAGGACGAAGCCGTAGGACTGGTCGAGATGCTCCATGCTCAGCGGGTCTCTGGATTTGACGACAGTGCTAGGATCAAGGGTGTCGAATAGCGCCTTCGCGGGGTGGAGGTCGAATGCTGGGACTTCAGCGAGGGGGACGTTGGGCAGTACATCCGGCACGCTGCCTTCTGGTGCGTATTGCAGAATAACGTCCCTCAGCGCGTCGTACAACTCCCCTGTCCTCCCCGCCTCATCAATCGGCGCCCCATAATCATAACTACTCGTAAACGCGCGCGTCTTCTTCTGCCACAGCGCCCCATTCCCCCATCCAAAATTCGTCCCGCCATGCACCATGTACAGACTAATCGACGCGGACTCGCTGCCGAGCACATACTCCAAATCATCCACAAACCCCTGCACATTCGGCGTGCTGCGATTATACCCCCAGCTGTCGAATGTCCACGTGTAGTACTCGCCATCCAGCAGCGGGCCCTGCATGCTCGGGTCTGTGATGTACTTCCTCAGCGCGGCGAAGCCCGCGCGCGGATCGCCGTCGACTTCGGCGAGGACGCCGGGGACAGAACCACCCTCGAGGGTCCATTGTTCTGTGCCGTCATTGGTGTAGAAGATCTTATCGTCGCCGAAGGCGTTCTGGAGGAGGACTTTGACAGCGGAAGTGTAGGCGTGGTCATCGCCGTAAGAGCCGTACTCGTTTTCGACTTGGATCATGAGGATGGGACCGCCTTGTTTTATGTGCAATCCGTGTAAGTTCCGCGCCAAATTCCGCAGGTACACTTTTGAGGCGGACAGGAAGGGGGGGTTGTTACTCCGCACGACCATGTCTGGAACGGTGGCCAGCCACGCGGGAAACCCACCCCATTCTCTTTCGCCACAGATATACGGACCGGGTCTGAGTACAACGTGTAGTCCTTCTTCCTGCGCAATTTTGAAGAATTTTGCTATCCCTTCTCCTTCCTTTTCGTCCCATTGTCCTTGGACGGGCTCTAGCAGGTTCCAGAACGTGTACGTGAAAATGGTGTTTAGACCGAGAGCGCGCGCTTTACGCAGCCGGTCGCGCCAGTACGGTGCCGGTATGCGCTGCGGGTCCATCTGCCCGCCGATGATCTGGTGCGGGCTGCCATTGAGGAGGAAGTGCGTGGCGTTATAGGTGAACGATGGTGATGCCGCGGTTGACGTGGCACTAGGTGACGGGGCTGCGAAGGTTGAAATGGCGCAGAAAAAGAATGTTGACAATCTTCTCAATCTCATCGTTGTGCTAATGTGCTTCCTGCCTGCGCGGGTGGACTGCAAAGCGAGAGTTGCGCAATGGCAGCGGTACCTTTGTCCAAGTATAACCGGTCGCCAATCCTTCAAGCGTAGGTGATGCCATAGGTATCCTTCATGGCGGACGCGTGCTAGCCTCCATCACGGAATAATCATCGCAGCAGCGATATGAAGTTACATCGTTACACTACGACAGACATAGCGTACGCGACGCTAGAGCGGGGAACCTAGATCGCCGCTCGGCTGCCAATCGTCCGAGCCACCGCGGCCTCCGCGAAACCTAGGTCTCCCGATAGTGAACGCCTAGGTTGAGATCCGTGTTCGCTGTTGGCGGTCCATCTTCTTAGTGTAGAATCCGCCACCGGTAGAAAGCTTAAGCAGGTTGATAGCGACTACCACGCACGATTGTTCCTTGCCGTTGCATCGTCTAGATTCTGCACAGCGGCAGCTTCTGGAGGTTGTGGGAGGTTGTTCTTGGCCTGTGCGTATTGCTCCTCCATACCCCGCCGCTGCTAGCAAATATTCAGCGCCTAGCAGCTAACGCTAAGAGATAAGGAGAATGACAGTCTGTGGCACTCCATTCAAGTATACCGCATAGGTCCAGACGCACGAGTCAACAAAGGGGTAACAAATGTTCGCTGTGACATAATTCCACCGTTCCTGGATGAAGATTTCATTGGCTTTAGTGTTGTAAGGGCGTATCAGAGACATTCCGGTGAAGCCTTCATGTTGGAGCCCCATTATAGTGAGGATGGGCACGTACTGTATCGTATCCCAAAACACGATGGTCGCAAACTGATTCAGAGGCTCTATCTCCTGAGTGTGGAGTATGTTTCACAAGTTGTCATCTTTGTCAAAGGTGAGCTGTGTCTAATGGGGTGCGAATAGCCTACATAGTCCCTAGTATCCTAGGATTAACATAAGTCGCATGGTAGTGCTATCTTAGGTTTAGTAAAGTAAGTACAGATATAGATACGTACATAAGTCCCACTCTAGACTTGCCTATATATCTTAAAAATACCCTTCTATCCTATATCTACAAATACAGGATATACACTCAAAGTAGAAAGTACTGTAATGCCATAAAAGTCTGAGTAGCTCCAGTAATTGTGGAAAGAAAAGTGCTCCACTCCTTCGGAACAAACACATAAAGAGGGATCGACCCTATGGCACAAGCTCCTGCAATCGCAGTTGGGAGGCACCAGCGCCAGCTTGAAAGACTACCACGCCTCCGTTCGATAAGAGCAGAGACTGTCAGCCCTAAAACCTGTACGCATGATGCTTGTATAAGGAACCAGAAGTCTGGGTCATCTGCATTCCCCGGGAGATGGAGTGAGCGGCCGTAGCCTATAGCAAACGACGCGGTGGAAATGGCAGCACAGGTAAAGAATGACGACCATAGGATGAATGCACTGAAGCGTTGGTTCTCAACGAGCGAAACAGCTGCAGCAGGCTTGCTTCCATCTCTGGCATTACCAGCAGGTTGAGTCTGGATTTGCTCCTTCTCACCCTTTGTCATCGCTTCATGGTGCTGAATCAAGCTTTGCATTTCTCGCCTGCAGCTTCGATCAGCCCTTTTTCTTGCCATTCTGAACTTCGTGACTAACCATGTAGGCGAAATCCTGAGCCATCGTTGTTCAGGCTCATCGGCCTCTCGTTTGTGCAAGTCATAATACCAATTCAGAATCCCATCCAATCGGAGCCAGCGCCCCTGGATCGAACTGAGGACCTCTGGGTCTAAAAGTCCCTCACGAGCAATATCAAGCATGTGATCCTTTACGTCGTTCGCCAACGTATCACATCTGTGTAAAATTTGCTCATAATGGGTTTGCTTCTGAGACCGGTTGGACGTTTGGTTGCCTGCAAGAGCCTCCTTGATGATCCTCAGGCTTTCTGCCCAGATAGGGATGAGCCATTTCCTCCTCATATATAAATGAGTGAATTCGCATTTTCCTGAGTTGATCTCTTTCCATTGCCGTTTTATTTCAATGCAATCGTTTACCAAAGGAACCATTTTGGTTCTGCGTGCTTCGTCCACAGATAGATTGCGCTTTTGGTAGAATCTTTGAACTCGCTTGATCATTTCATCGTCAAGTAAAATTAGAGCTCGTGCGAGAGGTAGAATGGTTGAGTCTAGCGAGAGGTCTCCATATTGGTCACAGATCCTGATTTCCGGGACAGAAGTCGGAGCGGGAGCCTGATTCGGTTCGACTAAAACGTGTTAGCTGATGTTAAAACATCACAGTTACTCGGATCAGCCTACCAGGCAAGCAGTAAGCTAGAACATCAAGTTGTTTTCGTCGTTTCAGATTACTTTTCACGTCACGTGCAGAGCTTGACGTCGTGGTGTTCTCCATAAGCGGAGACGTGTTCTAACAAGGGGGACTAAAAGTTGGGAAGTAGCAAGGCTCACGGTGGATGCATTTATGAGGGTGCGACTTCCCGATTTGTAGTTCCAGAGTGCAATTCGAATACGCCTTTCTGCATTCTCACCGGTAGGCTGACCACCTGCGCCACTTCATTGCAGCGAAGGCAACAACGTTCCCGTATTCGAACGCTTGCGCCCGTGCATTTGGCCTATCAGGTTAACGTCATTCCGAATGCCAAGACTTCGCTTATGCGTTGTGTGCAGCCATGAGGGTGGCGCCATTTGTATCAGCGAACATGTGGACCGCAGTTCTTCAAGTTGGACTGGGGTCAAGTCACCAATACGTGGGTGAATGCATTGACATCGGGGGCGGATTGTGCGCGGCACGGGCCGGAGAGTGGATTAGCCGAGAGGGGAGAGCATGCACTCGCGCAAGTGCACTGACAAGGCAGCGGACCCAATTCGTCCGCGCAGTAATTAGCCTGTGAATGTGTGGCCTGCGAAAATCCGGCTTTGGTTGGTACCAAGTTGCAGTGCGCTTCGTCGGCATACCATGTTGCCCTCGTGTACTTCCTCTGGTCCTCCAATTCTGCGTATTCCATTCTGAATTGTCGACGATCGATTCCATGTATTACTATGGTTCGGTTCGCGGTCATCGTTGACCTGATTGTTTCCGTTGGCATTCGCGTCGTCGCTTTCCGGCATGACTTGGCAAAGCCAATTGTATACATCCTGGATGCGCTCCGCAGGTCCTTGCTCAACTCGTCTTTCATACGATGCTGGTATAGCTTCACACATTCGAGGTCTACGAGCACGACTACGCGGAAGTGACGGGATGGATTGATAACCTACGATTTGCCAATCTGGATCACCGGAACTCAAATAGCCGAGCTTCGATATCAATAGTAGTGCTTCCATCCTTCATCGCACTATGCAGATAGCGATCCTCGAGAATCTCGAATACATTTCCAGCTTGTCTTACAACAAACGGTACCGCGCAGCCCCCAAGAAGGCATCTGCAACCACCTAACATCGTGCTCCTTGCGACCTACGCAAGATCCCCCTTGCCAGTAACGTCGAATTTTCGAACAGCCGAAAGCCCCTAAACCAGACTCTCAAAGACGATATCCTGGTCTATAGCAAAAATAGGACTTGATAACGATAGCGAGCTATATAGAAGAATGCGCAATTATAATCACTGCCATGTAATAAGCACTGATCGATACTTGAACTTTTGTATGTGCAAAGCGCAGGTGCTTTAGAGCTCGTGGTGCACTTTAGACTTCCGGCTATTCTGGCTCGAAGCTACCCATGCACACGATGATAGCTTCCAGTAAGACAGGAATAGCATCGTACAGGTCTTTCAAAGGTCTGCACTGTGTGTCTTATCGTATAAATGCATGGAGCTCACCGGTCTGCACCATATCCCTTATCGTACAGATGGATGGAGCTCACCGGTAACTAATTACCGCAGAAAGGTGCATAGGAGATCTCGCTTCAAAGATGTTAGATCTATACTCATACACTCTCATTCATTGTCTTGAGTGTCACAGCAATCAAGTCTCACCGTCAAAGATTATGGACATGTGCTGATCGATTTTGTCAATAAGTGGAACTTGTCTACGGGAATAATTACCCGTGGACCCTATTCTGACCAATTTTTCCAGTTGTGACTAAGTCAATGGTGGGCTATGTTCGCTGAAGAGCGCCACCGGAGAGCCAGTATCTTTGTATGTATGGCAGGTGACCCCGGGAAAGCCTTACTAGGCTTCTATAGGGTGGCTTACCTAGTGAGAACCCCTATTCGACCCTCATATTGCAGAAACATCCACAGAAGACTCCACGAAGACCAATTTCGCACATGGCCGCGCGCTACATGATAGAAGCATTCGGCTTCTGCAGGTGAAACCGGATTCTCGTTCGAATATGTTAGTGGTTGAGTTTGCGGAGCAAAAGCTCAAGGGGGCAAGCTTCGAAGCACTTTCGTACGTATGGGGGGATACAGCGGAGAGGAAGACGATTAAATGCAACGGCGACAGTTCGATATCCGGACTGCCCTCGAAGCCGCTTTGCAAGAAAGGCGCTACCGCAATTCCCGCATGCTCTTGTGGGTGGATCAGATTTGTATAAATCAGTCCAATGACCAGGAGAAAACACACCAAGTTCGCATGATGCCGGAAATATATGCCAAAGCAGACAAAGCCATCGTTTGGCTAGAGAGTCAGCAACTCCAGGACATTATTGGGGTCGATCTTGCGAATAATCTGTATGGTAGGCGAAACGGCAAGCATTATGAGCCTGAAAAAGGTATCTACGACTTTCACAATTTCGAATGTAAATCCAAAGGGGTGCCAACCCCGCCGTTCGATCCCACTTGGACCGTACGCTTCAAGATTCTCGGAAACCCTTAGTACGGTCGAGTAAGGATCATCCAGGAAATTTCTCGTGGCTTAAAGATCGGTGATATGGAAAGGATCGTTAAATATAGATACAAATGTGATACTTTGGTCAGCTAGGCTCGTTGGACGTCACAGAAACATTTACGAAAATTTCGACGTCACGATGGCCAGTCCGCGAAATTCCGCACTCATGGCTCGTAATACTGCAGCAAGTTACTTTGAATACAAAAGAAAAAGCCCGCTCGCGCTTTACGATATGCTGTTTAGGCACTCTAGTATGGGAGCCACAGACCCCCGCGATCGAGTTTTTGCACTCGCTGGTGTTTCGCATGGACGAGCAATTATACCACACGTGGGAACGCGCTCCACATCACTGGAAATAGCCTTTCCAAAAGTAAGCAGAGGTCTTGTGATGATTCCAGCTACATAGTTGCTGAATTTCCACATTCCAACCTAATGAAACAGAATGTCAAAGGCAAAGGAGCTGTCTTTGATCATGTGAAACCTGTCGCTCGAGACCGGCCAACCCTACCCTCGTCCATAACCAACGTGATAAACAATCTTCCCAGCACTTCGAAGGAACTGGAGGAAGTCTTCAAGTACGATGGTCGGCTGGCTTTCCGAGATTGGGCTGCTAGCAGATCCGGCACTAGGTTCAAAGGCAAGCAGTAACCTCACCGCACCAGTCAGGCCCAAGACGTCTTCTCCATGTCTACTTCCTCCATCTACCATCCTCTCTAGCCTCTGCCGCCGAGGGGATACCCGTCGCTACAGCACGTAGGGAAGTTGGATGGAAGCAAACCCCTCACTTACTCACTCATAGCGCAACTTAGTTTGATCCCGCATCCGCAACCCAAGTGCTCCTAGCCGCCGCCCATCCCCTTTCCGCAACCCTTCCACCATCCCCGAAGATTATCCCACGATTAAGGATAGCACCAGAATTGTTAGGACTGGCTATCTCTCCAACAGCGGATCAAATACCTGCCCCCACAGAAAATCGGTGGCCTGTATTCGACATTGATAGGTACTTGATCATGTCCCACTATTTTGTGTCTAAAGCGGGTAGTCGTAGCTGAATGCAAGTTAGCATGTTACAAACGACCCGAACAATTTCAATGAATTCGCTACGCAGATGTGCAGGTTGATCATAGATACAAGATGTAGTGTACAAAACGTGTTTAATGTAATTATGTCTACCGAACTGGCGCTAAGTAGGGGTATCAACGACATGCCATGAAACCGGTAGTAATAGAATATGGAAAATGTTTTCGCCAAGGACGTCACCACAGCGCGTATGTACACCGCGCTCACCTGTACGGTCCTGGCGCAGACCCTGGAGGCAGGCCCGGCGACATGGTCTGCTGCGGTATGGCCTGCGAGACTTGGTGAGGATGCGTGCCGTCGGGACCGAGCAGGTTACCCATGTCTCCCCAGTGCCAATCCTGAATGTTGTTCACGGTAAAGTCCATGAACTGCATTTGGGTACTGCGGTCGTATCTGGTGTTGGAGTAGGGTGCACCGGCGGCATAGTCCGTGTGCGAGTAGAAGCGACTGGGCATTGTGTCCGCAAAGACGAACGCGCCGTTGGTGGTGTTCTGATGCGAATATGCAAATGGTGCGACCTGCGCCTGGGAAGGGAGCGTTTGACTGGCCGGTTCAGGTTCTGACAGGCTCGACCGCACTTCCGGCTGAGACATCTGAGGCGAAACCTGAGCCGCGATCATCGCTTCGACCATGGCATGTAATTCTGGAACCAGAGAGCCAAACTTTGCGATGGTGCCGGGCACGTTTGTGTTTTGCAAATGCTTGCGAATGAGATCTGCGAGCCGTGGGAGCAGGTCGCGCGATTCGGAAGCGTCGAGTGCTCCCATCTTGCTCTGGCAGACCAGATCCAGAACAAGGGTAGAGCTAGCCGTCAGCGAGTACCAAACGTCCCACCAGGTGATGGCATCAAATCGTCCAATCGCGTCCAGCTTCAAGAGTATGTGGGCCAGAGCGCGTCCAGACTCGGTGCAGGTGTTGGACATACCGACGAGTGCGGGGTTGGTAGAGTCGGTGTCATCATTACAAAGAGTGGTCGCTCGCGCGAGCAATGCCGCCCTGCACAGCACGATTGTGGTGTAGTGGAAGAGACTATGTAAGAGCAGAATAGGCCGGCGAAAAGCGGGCACAGTGTCGTCGACAGCTTCCATGCGCAGATGATGTGGCAGGTCGGCCTTCCAGCGTTCGAGATCACGGAGGACTCCTGCGGCAGGGGAAAGGGGACCCGCGTAGGATTCGTCCGAGTGTGGCTTGATGTGCTTGGGGGCGCGGCACGTCGAGCTCAGGTTGACAATCAGACGGTCGAACCATCGCGAGTACTCTGGCGGAGAGTACGCGGCAGCCCCTAAGATGCGCTCGTTTGGACAAGAGTTCTTGGACACGTGATGCTCAATGGCACTCGGGCGATCGTACGACGAGACCTGCATTTGCTCAAAGGCGTAGAGAGTCCACCACAGGCGCTTCCGCAATTCTCTCGCAAGCGGCGGCTGGGAGGTGCTTGCCTTGTCCTGGTGGAGGCCAATTGCAAACGCTATGCGAATCGCGGTGCCGGTGAGGTTCCAGCACGCGTCGCGATGATTTGTGTTGTGCAGATGGATGGCAGCCAGCATGATGGCCTGGACAGCAGTGACGCTCGAGGTGAAGATGACAACAGGCAAGAGGGCTTGGATGCGCTTCCACCAGTCCCGTTCCTGTTCCTCTGGCACCGCGACGTGGGCCACGCGGCGGGCGAGCAGGAGCACGCACAAGAAGCTACACTGCCAGGCCAGATCTGCCTTTCCCGGCCTGGCGAGCCATCCCTCGTAGGCCTCGCGGAAGGAGTGCTCGTAGAGCACAGGGAAGTCCGGGTTGATGTGCTCGAAGTAGGCCGCGACCAGCGCCGCGAGGGTTGCGGCCTCGTCGGCGGGGGTGCGCCGGAAGTCGCCCGCAGAGGTGTGGTCGAAGAACGAGGCGGCGGTGGGCGTGAGCAGCGGCTGCTGGGCGGCGTCGTGGGCGGCGTCTCGCTCGCCGCCGGCCTGATGCGCCGCGTTCTTGCCAAACAGCACGAAGGAGGGAAAGGGCGCCTGCCCGCACAGCGCGCGCAGCTTCAGATGGAAGGAGAAGCTGCTGGCGGGGCCGATGTACTGCACCTGCCCCTGCTGGTCGGGCAGCAGCGACAGCGGCTCGTCGGCTTCGGTGGCGGGCGTGGCGGCGTGGTCATGGCCCGCGTCGGCGCCGGGCGAGTCTGGGATGGCGATGCCGAGCGACGTGCCCAGCTGGCGCAGCTCGTCGAGGTTGGAGACGTCGGCGTCGGGCAGCAGGCCCTTGACCAGCGACTCGAGCAGGGCGAGGCGGTTGCCCAGGCTCTCGACGCTGCCGTACAGGCGCTTCTTGCGAGGCTGCGTCGTCTGGCACTCGATGCTGTGCTGGAGGCAGTAGCGGCACGCCTCGCTGCCGGGCTCCTTGCGGCACTTTTGCTTGCGCGACTTGCACTTGTCGCAGCTCGTCTCGGTGCGCTTCCGCTTGTCGAGGGGGACGCGCCGCGAGTTGGCGGGGTTGTGGCTCGTGGACGGTGTCGAGGTCGCGGCGGGCGTCGGCATCGTCAGCATGCTGGGGGAGGAGAGCGGTGCAGGGCGCGGACGACGGGCACGGCAGCGGCGACGGAGCGAGGCGGGCGCATCATGTACCGCGCATCGTTCATGTCTGAGGCAAAAGACGTGAGAAGCCTTCAGCTTAGCACGCGCAATCCGGCGGCTCCAGCTAGTGCGCAGGGCGAACGCTGCCCATGAATCTGAGGTCGCGCGCTGCGACGGTGGGGGCTGCGGGCTGGCCTGCGCACCGCCTGCACTGCTCCACCGTGCCCGGCAAGGACCCGGACGACCCCGGCTTTGCCTGCCAGCCTGCGCGCAGTGCCTCTCCAAGCTCCGCGCTGCTGGGACCCGCGGGAACCAGCGCCAGCCGCGCCCACGCTGGCCACGGCGAGTCAGCCGCGGCCGTAGCGCGCTGTGCGTGCTATTCAGCGAGCGGGCACCGCCAGCATCGCCCAGCAGGGCCGTTCTGTGCAGCGCCAACGCCCGCCCTGTGCCTCACCTCTCCGCCAGCCAGGAATGCCTTCCGCGCCTGGCCTGCCGCCGACCCAGCGCCCGCGGACCCCTGCCGGCGAGCGCGCTTGCTCTGGAATGCACCATGAGCGTGTCGGGAGGATTCGGCCGCCCACAGCACCCAGATCCAGCAACACCAACGTCGATTGTCCAGATGAGCTGCACCAAAGAGGCAGATTCAACGACGCCCGCCCCACCGTGCACGCTGCTGCTAGCCCTCTCTGGGACCCTGCCATGGCCGCGCCCCGTCCATAATGGCTGGACTGCCTCTTTTCCAGCTCTCCCAATCTCCACAGCCTGGCCTCAGCGTCCAGTCCGATGCCGTTAGGCTGCCGTCACGCAACGTGCTCGGAGAATACCCGCGCTCGTGGCCGCCTGTTGCAGCTAGCCTACCGTCACACACGTGGTAGCGTGGTGTCGAAAGATGGAGACGAGACCCATCGCCATCTCAGAGGATTCTTTCGCATCTTTCCGCCGCACCCCTACACAATCTTAGGACGCAAAAAACATCTCAATCAAGGCGCCAGCAGCTTGTCGAGGTATGAAGCCGCTCTTCGCCATCTTCAAGCGTTCCAGCCTCGCCTCCAGTTTGCATGCCGTGCACAGTCGAGTCGGATCGCTGGTCACCTTCACCCCTGCTACCCAGGATCCCCATGGCAGATGGTCAAAACCTGCGCACAACAGGCCCAAACGCGTACTCTTATCCTCCCTACAAAGTTCTTGGGAGCTCCGTGGAGCACACAGAGGTACTAGATCCGCGGAACGTACCGTGTTATGTCAGTCAGACTGAGGTCAGTCTCGCTATCAAACTCTACCCTCGCCGGCCAACCTTGTGGCCCACCACCAGCACCAATCTCGGAGCCAGCCCGACATGTCACTCGGTGTCGAGCCGAAACGTTATTTCACGACAGCGGTAGATAACTCGATGCAGATATGTGGAGCTCAACGTCTTACACCGAGGACCTGGGCCGGCATTTGCTCGTGAGAGCGAACATTGTCCTGCACGTGGCCGCCTCGACCCTTGGAATCGCACATCTACTGTGGTAAACCCGCCAAGTCTCATTATCGCCCCTCTCATTTCAGTTCATTCTCGTCCATTGACGCAATTGAGGGACGACATCTCATATTTGCAATTACTCTTGCTAATTCAACGAACCCACCCTATCCAACTCTCCTATAGCACGCCGCCAACCTTATAGGCTACCGCCTCGCAGACCTACGCACCAGTTTGCTCACCATCCCCCTGCGACAGTAGGACCTCACTACAGTAATAGCGCGGATAGCGACAATCTTCACATCCAGCCTTCCTGACCCTCACTAGCTCAGGCTCCACATCCTCACACCAATTGTGCACGCTCCTACGAGGTTTGGGTGCGCAGCGTGGTATGCTTGCCATCGGCTCTCTTTGTAATCTCTTACAGAAGAACTCCAGCCAAACTTAGCGTGCGACTATGTGGCTAGGAGGGTGCACATCCCCGGCGAGCTCGGGTGTCGGCGACACGTAAACTCCTCCACTTCCCTTGACTTGGTCCGACCGTTTTTCCCGTAGTCGGTCGGAAGTAAGACTAGGCAACTCTTGGTCCGACAAATTTCCCCCAGCTCCTTGCAAGCAAGGCTTGGCACTGATGACGAGGAGCGGGACACTATTGCATAAATTGCAGAGCGTAGTTAGCGGCATTGGCCTCTAGTGCAAACGCAATGCAACATACGACTACCAGGAGGACGCGTGCGGTGGTCGACCAAGGCAGAGGACGCGGAGGGCTTGCCAACACTCGCAGACCACGCTGTCTGTCATTCCACACAACACCCTCAAAAAGAAGATCAGCGTCCCTCCCACCCGCCATTTTCCCCCGATGCTTTACTGCATAGCAATGCGACTAATCTACTGATCCACCAACGCACAAGCTCGGTGTACGCTTGACTAAAAGTGTCATCCGTTCAAGATGGAGTGTGAGTACCTCTACAGGTGCGATGAGAACATACTAGCGTAGTCAAGTTTCACGACACACCCCCTCGCCTGAAACAGAATGAGAAGCGGGCGGCGGGTGGCCGGGCGTGTATGGCCAGAGATGCAATACGTAGCGTGCAGGAGGCAGGCGTGGTCTGCTCCGAGCGGTGTGGCGAGGGCTGTAGCTACAAGGCTTGCGTGCGTGTCGAGCTGAGCGCCAAGGCGGTGCAGGAGTGCTGGGACTGTAGAGCTGGCAGCATGGCAGAGGTGAATGGGGGCGGAGGAAAAGGGCTGCAGAGGGCTCAAGGGGTTCAACCGTCGACGCCGGAGACGTCGTTCGTTCTGGTAGACACGGTGAACAGATTCAGAAGAAGTCTGTCGTTGGGCTTCTACTTCAGTGGTCTAGGCGAGGAGCGCAGAGGTTTGATCTGGACATGACTGGACGTTGTGTGCGAAGCTGTGGAGTAGTATCGCAGCAGAAGTATTGTCCGGCCACACTGGCGGAGGTGCATAACAACAGCAAGTATCCTCAAGCAGTGACGTCATCTCCCTGTGCCGATGTGCGGTAATACTGCAATTGAGCGTAACGCGTAGGCTTTACTACCGGCGTCCGCGACCAAGCGTCCACGCTGGACGTGGCACCATCCAGCTATTCTAGTCTGCAGTTGCGATGAGTTTTTCTTCTACCAAGGAAAGATTCCATACGTGGTACATTCGCAGGACGATGTGCAGGTCGCGACGAGGAATCGGGAGCCTGTACGTCTGGATGCGTGCTTTCCGGTCCCCTTTGATCGCCCAGAAGTCCCGATCGACACGGTCGACGACTTCGTTATTACGTATCTCGTTCCAAAAGTCCGCTTCTTCACTGCCATTCGCACCTCCGTGGAGCTCGATTGGATGGTCCCTACCCTTGTCTATCCAAGCGAAGAAGGAATCAATATTGTACTTGGCCGGAAAGCCGGGACCCTTGCGGATGTAAAGCGTGGGATTGAACAGATGATCAAAGCCGAAGTGGATGTCTCGGATTGCAGAGAGTTTCTCGCCAGTACCTGGATCTCGTGGATACTCCAAAGCCCCAATGATGCCTCTGTTATAAAACGCTCCGTGCACTGCCCACATTATCTGATCTTCTGCGTCCCACTTTGTGTGGGAGGTCTCTGGAGGGTTGTTGAGAGAGGATACCAGTGGCGTATATTTTGAGAGTGTCACGGGATATGGTAGAAACTTTGCAGCGGGAATCTCAACGCAGAACCCATATATCCATTCATCCAACCAGTGTTGATGTTTTGACAACAAAGGTAGTTGGCGTATTGAAATGGTTCGATTCACCATCCATGTCCTTCGCGGGTTTCGCCTGTAAGGTGTTAGGAGTTCCTGCTTGGCTAGCGATTGTAAAGTAGAGGACGACTCCTGGTCGTTTAGGTATGCCAAGTCTTCACCAGATAGTCGAACTCTTGCAAAGTTGTTCTCCCCGTCCAACGCGCGAAGATAAATTCCAACACCTTTGTTTCCAAAGCTCCTTTTCCTGTTCCCTCTTATGCATCCGAGAAGCATGAGATAGAGGTTGTTGCTCCAGGGTATCAGCGGGGCGGTGATGCCAATGCTACGTTCAGTAGCGTCCAACCCAGATAATTCCAAAGATGGCTTATCCGGAGATGTGTCGAGCAGAGCACCATGCCGAAATGCCTCCAAGTTGGGTGCCAGTAGCCCACCATAACGCCTGGATACGCCAGTCCAGGCAAACAATGTGTCGTCCTCGGAGGTTTTCAAGATCTCCCGTTGGAGCCTCTGGAAGGCAGCTTCTCTTTCACCGTATAGCATGGGCAGATGCACTTGGAAGATACCGAAGAGGCTATAAGCCCTGTCCTCAATACGTTTTGTTCTTCTCATGGCAGCCCAAGACATTCGCTCTGCTATACAGCAAACGTGGATGTTTGTGCGTTTCTGAAGTACATCGTGGCGTATTTTGGTGGCCTTATGAATCGACTTGAGAAGATCGTCTTGGTCGCCCAGATAGTTCCAGCTCTGGTCGAAAAAAAGAACAACTGAGTGAGTTCATTAACGAAAGTGTTCACCACAGAGCTGGCAGCATACTTCTTGGTGCGAGGAGCTCTTGCAGTGTCCAACCCCTAGGTCTTTTAGCAATCCTGTACACTTCAAGCGCTCTTTCACCTACCGGGTAAACCACTCAGATTGTGAAACCTCAACAGACGGAACATCCTGGAGATACGCATAGCACACCTTAGCTCGCTCATACCATCGGTACATGCTGTTGATGGCCTCCTGGAATAGTATAAGCGTCAGTATACGGTGACGAGACCTCCATACGGATCCTCACCTGCAACTCAGCGCTGCTGCTCTTGTCAATGCAGCATGTGTCCACCCACGCATACTTGAATCCGTGATTTCGTGCTTGTGCGCAGCACTTCCTTATTTTCTCATACCCTAATTTCCGGCACACAACGTCGGGGTTTTGTATATCGCTGAAGCTCACTTCTTCGTCGTCATTCCCCCAGCGATGGGAGAGAATGGCATATTCCACATCATCATCATCGTCAGGTTGTTGCGAGAGAGTGATGGTTTCGGTATCAAGGAGCCACATTGTTCCTGCTCAAGGTGTGCAATGGTGGACTAGGCTGCAACGCGCGTAGCTGTACAATCTTGCGCCAAAGTCACACGGTGAAAACCGTCAGTTCGTCGTTGAGGGAGAGAGGCGCTGGATCGTGCACTGCGACAACTGTGGCAGCAGTTTCATGGGGGCATTATTCTTGACAGATGTGTGAGAGTGACCGTAAAGCGTGTAGCAATGGCGGGTCTGACTGCCATCACGGACTTTGGCAGACAACCACCAACCCCAGGCCCTGCTGCGCCTGCCTTGAGTTTGGACCGCGGGTTCTTGCACCAGACGATATCGCCCGATGAAGCCTTGCGACCTCGAATCTGGCCAAACAAGTGAGACGCAAATGTTTACTTCCTAATCGAATAGTTCTGTTTCGCTTGTGATATCGGCTCGTTGTCCGATCTCACGTCGAAATACATAAAGGGCGCCTCCCGCAGTTTCCCTACGGCCACGCCCGTTCCGCGCACCGCACTCGGCGCACCTAGTCCACATGGCAGGAGCCCTTGGCAACGGCGACGCCACTGGGCCGCAAAAAGCCGGTCTGAATGGCTGCTTCCAGTAATCCAGCACTGGCTCAAAGGCGCCGATAGCGATGTCGGTGGAAGACTTCACCCAAACGGGAAAACAGCTCCCCCGCGTCGTGAGAATCGCGCTACGGGTCCGCTTCCGACACCCCTCCGAGAAGGACGCAGCACCGCGCCCTGCAACCAAACGCACCACACTTTTCCAGGGACAGCATTAGCGACCCCGCAGACCACGCCATGGAGGCGTCGCGATGGACGACATGGCCGATGGGAGCCGCTCGCTGGCTGCGTGAGCCCTTATAAGTGGCATTGCACGCGCCAGCGTTCCCCCCAAGAATCGTCGTCCCTGTATTCCGTACCCCCCATCGCAGTACTGCAATGGCGTCGAACTCATACCTCATCGTCGGCGCGGGCGTCTTCGGCGTGTCCACCGCCTACACACTCGTCCGCAAATACCCCAACGCGTCGATCACGCTCGTCGACCGCGACGCGTACGATGCCAGCTCCCGCGTCGCCGCATCATGGGACTGGAACAAGGTCATCCGCGCTGACTACGACGACATCATATACTGCCGGCTCGCGCTGGAGGCGCAGGACATCTTCGAGCAGGACCCGCTGTACCAGCCCTTCTTCCACAAGACGGGCATCTACTGGATGTGCCGGACCGACTATGCGACCCAGGTCGTGGACAACTACAAGAAGCTGGGGCGGAAAGCGGAGCTCGAGGCGATGAGCGTGAAGGACGCGAGGAAGCTGTATGGAGGATTGTTCGAGGACGCGGACTACAGCGATGTCAAAGACGTTCTCGTCAACCGAACCAGTGGCTGGGCGAACGCCGGCGATGCACTGCGGGCGGTGACAAAGAAGTGCATCGAGTTGGGCGTCAAGTACGTCGTCGCTGAGACCGAGTCTCTCACCTTCAACGGCGGACGATGCACGGGTGTCAGGACGAAGAAGGGCGACACACTCGGCGCGGACAAGGTTATCCTCTGCACCGGCGCATTCACAGCGAAGCTCCTCGAGCAGGCCGCAAGGGCGAGCAACAAGCCCGACATCTCCGCCGGCGGACGGATAATAGCAGGCGGCATCACGACGGGCATGACACAGCTCGACGAGGAGTCGTACAAGCGCTTCGCACAGATGCCCGTCGCGGTGCAAAGCTACACCGCCACAGTTGGTATGTCTCCCCATCCTACCTCTCTCACCCAACACTGTAGCTAACGCTTTCAGGCCCCTTCGTCGGCAGTCTCCCACCCACACGCGACCGCGAACTCAAATGGTGGGGTTCCAAAATCTTCAAAAACACGCAATCCATCCTGGGCAAGCAGATCTCCGCCCCACCCCCAGAACCCGACTACGCACAGTGGAAAGTCGCCGCCCCGCTCAAACAGGACATCGACGAAGCCAACCGCATCTTCTACGGCAAGAACGGCGCGAACTGGAAAATGGAGAAGCACCGCATCTGCTGGGACGCGTTTACCTCGTCCTCCGACTTCATCATCTCGCCGCACGCCGGCGCGCAAGGCCTGTACGTCGCGACCTGTGGCAGCTTCCATGGGTACAAGTTTTTCCCCGTGCTGGGCAAGTATGTGGTGCAGATGCTGGAGGGCGAGCTGGAGGGCGAGTTGCGCGAGAAGTGGGCGTGGGATCGCGAGAGGCCGGATGAGAAGCTGAACCCGGAGTTTCCGCGGTGGGAGATGAAGGAGATACTGGGGGCGCAGGCGAAGTTGTAGAGGGCGCGTAGTCGAGCGTTTGGAGGTGGCTTGGTGGCATTGCATGCAGCATTAATGATTGTGCAAGGCGTTTTGGCGCGGGCAGGTTTGTTGGAGCTTGTGTAGAAGGAAGTCACGACATTGATACATCTCACGCCACGACCGCATTGCCAGTGTTATGATTATCCTGGGCGCCTGGACAGATTTTGTTCAACATACGTCGTTTGCTGGACTACAGTATGGCGGCGACGAACAGGTCGAGACGCATGACCGTGGCATCCTAACCCATGAAACACGAAGCTTGAAACGCGTCTTGTTAATATTCTACGCCAACTATTTCGTTCTCGTGTTGAAGCCATAGCTCCACGTACGAAGTGAGGCCGCTGCTGAAGCGGATCTAAGGATACTGGGTAGGGGAGGCGGTAAGGAGGGGCCAGAAAGAACGATCGCTGCGGTTGGAGCGACCAAGATCGTTACTGCGAGGCTGTGGGACCGCGGAGGTTTTGGGAGGAGCAGGAGGGAGAGAGGGAACGGGGACTATCCGCACCTTGGCTCAACGGGAATCCGCATAGTCTGTCGGTCAGTGAAGGCAAGCTCAACGCATACGGTAGGGAGGATTTATGCTATCCAAGGCATCCAGTGAGACCAGTGTGATGATGACGATTGGCCATCGATCCTATGCGTGAAAGTAGTGGTCAAAGCTGTTATTTCCAGAGTTAGCGGCAGACTGGGTTTACTCCGGTTCGGGAAATGCACCCAAAACCTGGGTCTCTAGCTGCTAGCACGAAGGCTTAGTGAACACGGGAGGCGAATCCCGAGACCAACGCGGTGAACAAGTAAGCCTTTTGGCACGCGGAATTTTCAACTGTGCTGCCCGCAAGGATGACAAGGTCAGAGGCTGAGCAACCGGACGTCGAGGTCGAGGCCGAGGCCGAAAAGCGGAAGGAGGCAAGCAGCGGTATCGGCACCCCTGTTACGCTAGCGTACTCTAGACGCCGACCAACCCCAGCCCCGTAGCCGACATTACTCGCACCGTCGGCATCACGCAACGCAATGTGTAACGGTTTCTCACCCCAATCTTGAGGCCAGATTTTCTTATCAGGAAATATTTGCATGCCCGCCCCCGGGCAAGCGCTGCGTTCAAAACTGCGCAGCGGAGCGGGACCCAAGGATAGGGCGAGGCTGGTGGTTTAGCTTTTGAGGCTCTGCTGAGCCGCATGCGGGCGCGAAGACCGATGGGGAGAGCCGCGATGGAGTAGGGTAGGAGGTGGTGTGAGGTTTGTGGTCAATGGATGGGCCGTGGAGGTGCGCATGGGATTTTGAATAATTTCCATAGGGAGGAGCGCTGCCATCGAAACGACAACGACCCAGGCTTCACACGACAGATGCATACGTATTCCTTAGGCGAACTCGCACACCGTGTATTACTGGATCCTACGGAATCCATCTCTTTACGCAACCACGCTGCGCCATCACCTCCCTGCTAGATCTTCACCCCCAACCTCATTTCATGCCCTCGCCCTCTCCCATGTACCACAGCCCCTCCCCCACCTCCTGCAGCAACGCCCACCTCTCTGCCTCGCACAAATCCACATCACTCCACGCCTTGAGCAGCACCGCGCCCAGCACAAGCAGAACGGCACCCGCCAGACACGAAACCCAGATACACCAGCTCTTCCACCGCGCCGCGCCCTCCCGCGCCTTCCACAACTCCTCATCCACCCCCATCCACTTCGGCCCCCTGCCCCTTGCATCAGCAGCCCCAGCGCGGCGCCGAGACATCTGAGGCCGCCTCATCTTGACGCCTTTGCAAGGCCCAGAGGCGGGTGTCTGGCAGGCGGACGCGCGGTACTCCTTGTACGCCGCCGCCAGCCTCTCCCCGTACTCCTCGTCCACCTTCTGCATCTCCCACTCTGGGATCGCATGCCAGTTGAATCCATGCTTGCTGGCTAACTCCAGCGTTGCGTTGCGGTGGTCGAGCCGCGCATCCGAGACGTGCTCCTCGTATACCCGCTCCGGATCGCTTGGGTCGCGGTCGTCGTCGGAGTAGGGGAGGGAGTCGAGGTCTGGGTCTGAGGGAATGGGGGACCGTTCCCGGACGGAGTTGTCAGTGGAGGTGTGCGGGCGGTAGTCAGTGTTGGGCTCATCGGAGAAGTCGTCGTTGTCGCTGTGCCACAGCGAGGAGAGGCGGGCGGCGTCGTGGTCGCGCGGCATGTTGCTTGCAGGCTTCTCCGTCTCTGGTTCCATCTTTCAAATATCCTACTCCATCTCCTGGCTCGAGCGGAACGGCTGGAGTGCAGATAATGTGCGAGCAAGCCTCTGGTGTGCAACGAACCACTTCTCTTTATACATACTCCAGGCTGAACATGGCTCTCTTTGTCTACACGGCGTTTGTCTCACGTCTCTCTCTGCGCGCCGCAAGCAGGATAGCTGCGTTTCTTTGTGCGACAGGCAAGGTGGGACGAGACCGTCACGCAACGCTTACGGCAAAGGATATCGCGACGTCGTGTGGGAGACGAGCAGCCGACGCATTGTGTTAGATGGCCAAAAGTGATTGCGGCATGCGACTAGATGGATGATTGCGAACCCAACCCCCTCTCTCCCTTATAGCATACGTCATTTATTTTCACCCTGGGTTCTCCTACCTACCCATGACCCCACTCCTCTCGTCGAGGTTGCTCCTGCCAGCGCGTGGAGAAGGGTCGCCAACAGTCCAAGTCTGGTAAAGCCTAAATCAGTGCAACACCATCGTCCCTTGTCCGAGGGTCGGGTGAACGCATTCGAGCGTAGAGGCAAGAGTTACATCGAAAACACGGCTGGGACATCAATTCTATGGCGACACCATGTGGCATCGGCACCTTCGATTCAGAGCGATATATTACAAACTGTACGACTTCAACCCAGTGGGTATACCCATCCAGACTCCCCGCCAACACCTGATCCTATACATGCAAGCAGCACGCTAGAAGATGCTCTTGAGGGCGCGCTTCCAGGCGGGCATCGCAGCGAGCTTGGCGCGCTCCGAGTTGATGTAGTCCCAGTCGAGCTCTCTCCTGCCCGTGTTGACGTCAATCTGGTCGATTGTGAGCCAGCCCTGGCGCTTCCAGAGGTAGCCGCAGATCCAGAAGAAGCCAACGACGAAGAAGGCGAGGTATCCGTAGAAGAACTCATACGCAGTAGCGACCCTCTTTCCGGGAGGCGAGACGGAGACGTAGAACTATGAGAATTAGCTGGTGCTCTCTATCTTATGCATGAATATAGACGTACCTGAGCAACCAAGACGATAGCGATGAGGAAGAGACCGAGCCATGAACCAGCGGTGCCGCCGATGGCCTTGAATGGAATCTCATCGAGGGTGTGGCCGTGGTGAACCCAGGCCTTGCGGAATCGGATGTGCGCGAAGCAGATGGAGCCCCAAGTGAAGAGGGCAGCAAGACCGGAAAGCTGGAGGAACCAGTTGAAGACGGTCTCACCGGACGCAACCAAGTTCATGTAGCCGAGGGCACCCATGATGAGGATGGCGGCGACGGAGAAAAGGGGTCGGCCGGAGCGGTCAATGTACGTGAAGATCTTGGGAGCGTAGCCCTGCTCTCCGAGGGCGGTGAGGGTACGTGAGCCTCCATAGACACCGGAGACACCAATGGAGATGACGGAGATCAAGATGACTACGTTCATGAAGTGGTCAAAGCCCTTCAATCCGGCGTTTTTGCTGGCGATCACGAAGGGCGACGACTTGGTATCACCGGAGCCGGAGCCGAGCAGCCTATCGTCGTCGGATCGGACGAGCAGACCAACAAAGAAGAGACCGAGGACGTAGAACCTATTCACAGACGTCAGTGGCTGCCACACGTGGCCAATTACCCGTTCGGAAACGGGTGGCGCAAAGCTTACAGTGTGATTCGCCAGAAAACTTGGCGGACGGCACCCGGGAGCGACTTGAGCGGGTTCTTTGTCTCAGCGGCTGCGAGACCGACGAGCTCAGTACCGGAGAAAGAGAAGGCAGCAGTGACGAAGACACCGCAGAAGCCCTTGAAGCCGCCGCGGAAGGCACCAGGGTCGTACCAGGTGCGCGCACCCCAGTATTCGCTGTACATGCCGCTCTTGGGACCGCCGCCGAGCACCATGATGAAGGCAATGATCATGAAGATGACAGTGGCGGAGAGCTTTATCAGTGACGACCAGAACTCTTCTTCGGCATATCCCAAAGTACCCCAGATGTTGACGAGGACAATGAAGAGCCAGAATACCGTAATCCACACAGCAAGCGGGACGTCGGGATTCCAGTAACCGATGGTCAGACCGGCGACAGTGATTTCAAGCGGTAAAACAATAGCCCATTGGAAGACGTAGTTCCAGCCCATGGCGAAACCCCACGAGGGGTCAATGAAGCGAGTCGAGTAGGTGTAGAAACCACCAGATACAGGGTACATGACAGCGAGTTCACCGAGAGCGTAGACTGGAGCACAATGAGCCACTGACGGGAGCCAAGCATGCAACAGCACCACTTACCGACGTTGAAGATCATAACACCCATGAGGATGAAATCAATGGTCACTGATGCGGGGCCCTGCGCGGGTCAGTACAACAAAGAGCATGTCAATGGGAAGTACGTACACCACCGCTGAGGGCACCACCGGAGCCGACGAAGAAACCAGCACCGATACTACCACCAATGGCAATCATGTGCAGATGGCGAGGCTTCATGGACTTGTCGAGGTCGACCTGGTCGGCGGGGCGGCGCTGGAAGGACCTGAGGGTCAGACCGTTGCGCGTCAAGAAGCTCTCCTGGTCGCGCCAGTGCTCGCCATTGTTGAGCTCGTAGGCGGGAGCAGAGGGGTCGACGGGGCTGCTGCTGGTGACATGCTTCTCGTCGGCCTCGAAGCCTTTGTCGACGGTGGTCGCCATGGTGAGGAGATGCTCTTAGCAAGTTCTTGGGCGAAATGCAGGAACCACCGTCCGAGGGGAGGGCTCCTTTTAAGGCAGTCGACGAGGTGAATGCAGCCGAATGCTTCGGCGCGTCCGACCAGGGTCCTGATCCCCTCGCCGCAGGCCCATTATTGCCATCGCACATGGACGACGCCTGCGGCCGTTCACCTGGAGCAGCTCAACCACCCAGAGACGGGGACGTGCGCCAGCGCGATACCTGGACCCGCGGTGATTGGCCGTGGTGGCGGGCGCGATGGCGAATGCTGGCTAGGACTATGGATCCAAGACCAGTTTATATGACCATCGTCTTTGCTAGCGGCATGGCGGCTCTTGGAGGCGCCGGGATGGCATTGGCACGCGGCGGCGGGGTGCTTGGCGTGACGCGAGTAGCTCCGGGGTAGACTGGAGCAGCCCGACTATCGCGCGACACGCTCCACCGGCCGCTCTGTTTGGCCGCTCAGGGCTGATAAGGGGCCGAATCGGTCGTGTAGAGCACACCTGGGCTCCACCCCTATCAGCAGTCCACCCTCCTTCGCCTTGGCTGGGCGCCGCCGCGGGCGGAGCGAAGCTTGGTGTCGAGGGCCACTTGCGAGCTGCCCGAAGCGGCAAGTCGTTGGGGTCGATATCTCGCTGTGTGCTCGGCGGCCGATGGATTGGCTGCAAGAGGGAGGAGTGAATGTCGAGGAATTGGCTGGCCAAGCGTTCCTGCGCCGGCGCCCAGCCCTCACGTGCGCTTGTTTCTACCTTCCTCTTCTGGCCGCCGGCGCGCCGCACCTCCACTTGACACCCTCGCGGCTCCATGCTCTAATTCCAAGGTGTGCCGCCCCAAACTCTCGGACCACGGTAGTTTCAGAAAAAATGGACCTTGACAGCGCGTTGGGCGCCGCACCGAGCGTCTGGCCGATTCTCCTGCGCGACATGCACGACTGCACGCGCTGTGCTGCGTGCGTCGCCCATCAGAGTTTTCCACGCTGCCGCGCGGAAGCCGTTGCGGTTAATCGCGCCTCGCACGCACACTGCCTCCGCCGCCTGTCATTGATCAGCCCTCGCAACTGCGGCATGCATCGCCTCCACATCGCCGTCCCCAGAGTCTGCCGTCTTCCCCAGGTTGCTGGTGGGCCCGTCTACCCCGCCCGTCTCCACCGCGAGACTGCCAGACGGCGCATGCCGGAGGCTGCATACATCGCAGGTCACCAACTGGCAATTCGTTGTCACCATGGCACTAGTGAGTTATACACAGTAATACGAGAAGACCAGTCGTTGCCAACGAAGCCACCGCCGCGCAATGACTCCTGCGCTCTGCTGATGGCCTGGACTTGCACTGATACTGTGCCGCTTAGCCGAGTCTCAACCTCGCGTGTGCCTTCGCGCCTGATGCCCATTTCCACGCTCAGCGAGTGCCATGCGCCTGGCTTCAGATTTGCAAAACGCACTTCACGCGGCTCCGTCGATCAAGCGATGCATTGGAACGCTACGGCGGTGGACCCTTTTTTCTAGCGTTCTTCCACGCGCAAGTGGCCACGAGAGCGCCCTCTTAGCAATCTTGGGACACTCTTAGCCCGCCTTGGAGCCGTACGGGGAACATGCCAAAAGCAGCAGTCGAACACATACGCCTCATCTTAGCACCAGCGCGACCTGTCCAGACGTCTGACACGCAGTATTGGTGTTTCCAAGTAGTCAAAGTAGCTGCCAGAGTCGTCTAGTCTATGCCCCTACCTAAACGCCAACAGAATCCCGCCAAGTATCCTAGACCCACTCAACCGATACAACCCGTATGGCGGATACGGAAGGCAACAAGACAAACACCAAGACCTCGCTTCCAGATCCGTAGACAGCCGTGCACTAACAATCCACAGCCCCGGGTCTGACAGATCGTATGCGAGCCATCCCAGCGCCCCTGCATCGATCACACTTCCACGTCGACCAGCTTCAGCACCCGGAAGTTCTTCGTCCTGACTATGTTGCGCCTCTCCCTACGCTTCCTCGCCGTGGTGTAGCGGTGAACCCAGCCCTTCTCTCTGCCCGTCAAACCTTCCTCCCTTTCTATGTTCATTTCTTTGCGAATCTTCTCCTGGACCGTCGCCATCACGGCAAACAGCGACTGGTGCCTCATTTTCTCCAGTTCACTCGAGGGGATCGAACACATCGTCGAGTGCCTCCTCTGAACCTGCAAGCCTCGCTCCATGATCGGCGGCAACGGCGGCGTACGCGGGTTCAAGAATCGCGGTGAGAGGTCCGTTCCAGCACACGGCGAAGCTAGAGCAACTGCGAACAACCACGATCTGGGTGCAGTCTGCCTGTCAACCGTTGAGGGAGACGCTGCCAGCAGGGGCAAAATATCCGTCCTCGGTGAGCCTGGGCTGACAGCCGGAGGTGAGAGGAACGGATTGTGAGGTGACAACGGGGACGGCGTCTCGGGCTCCCAGTATGATAGAGGCGGAACAGGCGGAATGCCCAAGTCCACGATACCAGCCATGTCGAGCCATGCTGTTCCCGGCTGTGGATAAGTCGATCGTCGGGGTGTTGGCGGATGGACCGGATGCCATGTCGTGGTACGGAGTCGCTCGACCGAGAGCTGGAGCGAATTCGCTCGTGGGCGGCACAGCGGCATAGCTGTATGCAGGCCGGTCAAGTGATTGTTGCTAACAAGAACCTTAGGATAACAACGACTGAAAAATGACAGGCGTCCCCGTCAATGAACGAAGGCCAGGATCAAGACTGCGCAATCCGTACTGTGATAGTCGATCAACAAGGCCATTCATGTATCGTCCACACCCATTGTGCAACCTCGCCCAGTCGCCCAAACAAGAAACATATATACAACGCCAGGGCCACCGTCTTGTAAGAGTGGGTCTGTTCCTCTGGCGAACGGTCGATTCATTCGTCTGGTGAGCAGTGAGTGGACCACGCCATCGAGCAAGCAAGACAAACGCAACGCAGCCGTAAAGCAGAGCAAAACTGACCTCACGTGCGCGCGCTCTGCTCTTATGTGTGCAGCGCCCGTCTCCACATGTTTGAGGCCTTCCCGTAAAAAAAAAAGTACTCACAATTCATTTTCCTTATGTCTGAGTTCTCAGCGTAAAGGAAGACAGCTAGAACGCGCCCATGGAAGCTTGTGCAAGTCGTCTACGCGTCAATTGTGACCCTTCGCGTGTTCCGCGAATGCCTGAATACACCGCGAATGACTCGTCGTGTATTGCACGAATAGTATCCCTGCGGTCCCGCTGCGATCACAAGCAGTGTTTGCGACTACGCCGCCGCTGCGCCCGAAGTGAAACAGGGGCTCGCCTGGCGTGGACCAAGCGCTGTAGGGCTGCGTCTGTGTGAGCGCATGTGCGTATTGCGTGTGACGTGCATGCTATTATGAGTTGTAGCATGTGTTTCAGGTGAGTGCTGAGGGTCTTGAAGGTGAACCGGTAATGAAGAAAGTTGTCGGACGACAGCGAAGGTGGCTGGGCACTGTAGCGCTGAAGCTGGGAATGTGTGCCGTGCTGGTGGCGTTGTCGCGTGGACACGTGAACGTGGAGCAATTAGACGTCGACCTCGGTCATGGTGGTGAAGAACCCCAGCGCCTGCTTCCTGCTCATGCGTATTTACACTGTTGACTCATCCAAAACACTCACCGTTAAGTACGGCTTTTATGTTCAGGAGAAATGTATACTCAGATATCGATCTCACGCGAAGACAGTGAAGAATTACAAGTTGTAGGGTGGCAAGCGGGATGGTGGGTGGGGAGGACGTGGCGGTTCAGACGCTGTTGCGATGGTCTAGCACTGCGATTATACTGTGCGCGGTGGGAGGGTTAGACATCACCAATGCATCTAATGACATACTCGATACCGCTCAGCTCACATTATCACCATACCACAGAGTAACGGATATCGAGATCGTATTCACCTTCCATTCCGTAACTACCATCGCATACTACCAACCACACGCTTCCGTCCTCCCAATCTATCTACGCCACAGGGCTCTCAAACCTTGACCTCGTCCCCAACGCCAAGCACATGGCCGCTCTCATCCACCGCAACCCTCACTTTCTTCACGCTCTCCTTGCGCGGATTCTTGCTGTCAAAGATGTACTTGAGCTCCTCGAGCGTCTTCCCCGCCGTCTCGACAAAGAAGAAGTAAATCACCACCATCTCGACCACGATCCAGGCAATGTACACCAGATACAGCTTCCACTGGATCTTGGCGATGCCGACGCTGATGCCGAACGTGTTCACCATGATGGCGATGTTGAGGAACAGGAAGTTGATGCCGGAGCCCTTGGCGCGCGTGCGGTTCTCGAAGCACTCGACGGCGTAGAGGGTCTGCAGGGGCGTCCAGCCCCACGCGAAGAAGATGCCGAAGAGGTAGATGGAGACGATGGTGCCGTAGGCGAGGTTGTTGTCGGGCTTGGCCGTGGCGGTGAAGGCCGTCAGGAAAACGTACGACACCAGCGCGCCGACGAGGCCCCACAGCAGCATGGTGCGGCGGCCGAGCTTGTCGAGCAGCGTCGCGCCGTACATGGCGGCCAGCATGCTGAAGATGGGGTTGATGGCGTTGATGATGAGCTGCTTGTTGACGTCGTCGATGCCGGCGTTTTTGATCATCGCCGGCATGAAGTACGATACCACGTTGTTTCCGGACCCTGTATCTGCCTGTCAGCAATCCACGCGCAAAGAATCGGCACCATGGGACCGGGATCAGTCGGGATACGTACACTGCCCGAAAAAGCTCATGCAAATCACCAAAAACAGTCGGTACCGCGCGCCCCGCGTGTTGACCAGCTCGCGCATGTCCCACCACGGGTTCTCGTTGCGGTGCCGCGCAAAGTCCTCCTCGATCTCGCGGAGCTGCAGCTGCACGACGGGGGAATTCGCGTCGCCGTCGCCGTGGTACTTGGACATGATGGCGATGGCTTCCTCGCGGCGGTCCTTGGAGAGCAGCCAGCGCGGGGTTTCGGGGAAAAACATGACCAGGCAGGCGACGATGCCGGGGAGGATGCATTGGACGAGGGTGGGGAGGCGCCAGGACCAGGAGGAGTCGGCCATGTGCCGGTTGGTGCCGTACTGCTTCTGTCAGTCTCGTCGTGCGGACATGCATCCACGTGATGCGTGGACATGGTAACTCACAGTGGTCCACCCCGCCAGGATGTTCCCGAGCCACCAGAAGTTGTTGTACATGCCCGCCATGGTGCCCCTAAATGCCGGATGCGCAAGCTCAACCGCATACGCCGGCGCCACGGCGCTCGCGATGCTGGCACCGAGCCCGAGCACGAAGCGCCCGCCGATGAACTGGGCCTGGTCGTTGGCTGTGGTCTGGATGGCGGTGCCGATCAGCACGACGATGCAGCCGACGAAGATGGCGAAGCGGCGGCCGTAGCCGTCAGCGAGGAACCCGCAGAAGGGGAACGCGGCGATTTGGCCCAGTTGGTAGACGATGAAGACGATGCCGGTGGAGGGGCCTTCGCCGGAGAGGCCCATGGTGGTTTGGTAGGATTCCATGGCTGGGGGAGTGTCAGAAAACATATTGAGTGCTGTAGTTTACCCTCTTGCTTACCGTTGATGGCGCCCATCAATGAGGAATCGAAACCATTGAGTGTGGAGACGAGGTAGGAAACGGAGAGGATGGCGCAGAGCTGGATGATGGACTTTGATTTGAAGGAGGGCTTCTGCGCCTCGACGGCCGCAGCTGGGAACGGTTAGATGCATGTCCGGTGTCGTAGTTGCAGCTGTATCTGCTGGGGCGTCTGAACACACCTAGAGCTACAGACGCAGCATTCGTCTCTGTGACATGCGTAGCACCGACTTTCTGGTCTTCGACATGGCTGGTGGGATCATAGTGCTCTGTAGCACCCAGTTCATTCTTTTCCGCCATGCTGCCTCCAAAATGTACGTCTCGCTGCAGATCCACGCAAGAAAAAGTCGAAGCCCGCACCCATTTTACCGTGGCCAGGGCCGACTTAATATACCAACATTTTTTGCGCAAGGGCAACACATGATCGTCTGTGCTGCACTACCTGGGAGCTGCATCGGCGTGCGGGGAAGGGCCGATTCAGGCCTGGGGACCGGGCTGGGGAACATGATTCAGGGCCGGGGGATCGCACAAAAGAGGGTGAGCTCCGGGGTTCCGAGGTAAAACGTGCCTATAGAAACAACGGGGAGGTTTTTGCTGAGGGAATGGGGGCGGAAGGCTTCCTGGTCCAGGATGGTGAGCGCCTGGTGCGAAGTCTGAACGGGTAAATCTCGCGACCGCTGGTGCTAGGCGGGTGTCGTGCAGACACGAGGCGGGAGGCGGTGGTTGTGGCATCGTGTGCGGGAAGTGCTTGGTGGCGTACATTTGGGCACGTCGGGATCATGTATGCGCACGCAACCCAGCCGCTGCTCTCCCGATGGCTAGCCGCGGCCTCTCCACAACAGGGCCGACGTGCGGTCTTGAGGTTGGAAGTGGCGCCCGCGATGTTGTTAGTGCTACGGATGGGTTACCCAGAAGAGCCTGTGTACTGAATAGACGTTTACTATTCTAGTGGACGAGGCGGAAGGGACTGCGGAAGGAGAATAGGACATCATGCCGAGGTCGGGTTCTCTATGTCTTCATCACTCAGGACCACACATAAATATTTTCAGGGCAACTCAAGCGGTGGCGCATGGCTAGTGAGAAGACGAGCGGACGGCAACATTGAGTGTCGACTACTGCTCTATGAAACATTAGCCGCCTGGCCCTTATCCGCTCTTTCTCCACAAATGCGCGATGTATATGGACGCCAATTGAAGAATCACTGTTAGTGAGTTACGGAAGTACTGACCAAAGGCAGACATGTTTGGAATTGAGGGAATCGGCTGTGCTCGCGTCTCTCTACACGTCGGGTGTTGATATTTTGCTCACAGGAACATCGCAACCCCACAACAGAAATGATATTCTCAAAAATACCAGAGAGAGTCTGAGATTAATAACAGTGAATAATTGTAAAGCATATTACTGCCTTGCGATAACGAAGGACATGTTATGTTCCATTGCAAGAGTGTGGCGAATATGTCCTGCGCTTTTGAACTGGCATCCAATCCAGAAGCTGTCCGAACACGTTCTTAATACTACACCTGTATCGTGGCATGTTTAACATGAACTTTTAATGACTTCCACTAGATCGATCGTAAATAACGACTGGTTCTTTTAGTTGCAAAAGCTGTCTTACTACTGGCGGTGGGCATGATTGGAAAGACAGCACTACAACTGGACCCACGAACCTCAACACTTGCGTCGCGTGTCTCTCCAGACACACTTCAGGAACCTGAGCCCACAACGGATCATGATTAGCAGAGGCGCAGCCAAATCTCATTCTGACACCGAGTTGATATAATCGGACGTATTCATGCCCCTTTCCCTGGACAGTCTATCGCACACTGCCTTTACAGTGCTGGAACACTGCACACAGCCGACCACAAAAGATGCGGATACCATCACTATATTGCCGCCTCTTAACGGTCATGTTCACATTTGTGGGCATTATCTCGTTGATGCTAGTCTATTTGGTCTGCTGGCAGCCTGAGATCTTCTATGTCGATTGAGATCTACACCGAACCCTGAATAGCACTACACTCAGTGCAACGACTCCGGCTGTGGCTCCTCGTGGCCTCAAGATAGTGGCTTCTCAGGAAATCACTATTTCGAAACTTATGCGCCAGCGGCTTCGACATTGCGCGCTGTGGTTGCGCCTACACCGACAGGCGAGGCCCCAACAATCACGCAGGCTTTGCAGACCGCCGAACCGAGTCGATATGACATTGCCGGCCACGAGAAAAGCAATTTCGCGGTTGGACACGCTCGACACGGCCTCTTTACTCCTCCCGCCAACTTCTACAATCCCAGCTGGCTTGCCTTCTCCGAGCCTGATCAGACTCTTGGCTGCAGTGGCAAGCCCTACACCCATCTCTCTGTACACGCAGGAATACATGGCGGAGAAGATGAAGACAACTTATCCGTTCTTAGATATAGGGCTTGTACTGGGATTCACGGTCGGACTCTCCGTTGTATTGCCGCTCCTACTTGCGCTGAGCTACTGTATGCTTCACATGGTTGGTGCGGGACTGAAAAGAATGTACGCGTCTTTCAAGCAATGCTTCAACCATGCAGGTAGGCAATGCGCGGCTGATAGTGTACATTGTCAGCGAAGTTGCGGAAACATTCGGTTACGCTACAGAGGTCACGGTGCGTTGGCGATTGTGGACGGCGAGTGGAATGAAGGGACGGAGTCAAAGGATGTTGTAAGCGCGCCGTACGAATGTACGATCGCGGAATGGAATCATGAGAAGGGCAGGGCGGTTTAAGGTCGTTTGGGATGAAAACGTTAGTACCCTAAGAGGAGAGATGGACCCACCAAAACCGGAATGGCACGATGGATGACATAATCAGGCGTGACTTAACTAGCTTTTCCCTTGTCTGTTCCACGCATGTTTACGCTCTCACCCCGGTTCCTGCAGTAGTCTGAATTGGCATATCAACCTGCTGATACTTATCTAACACTACATTTCGGTGAACCTGTGCTGCAATTTTGTTGATGGTCTCTCGAACACTGCAGAACCTTTTCCGTTGTTCTCTCCGGCTACAACGTGGCAGAGACCGTGTACAACCCGCACAGAAGCCTCCCATGGTAGATAAGGAGAAGACAATTAGGTTATGTCTCGACTGGGATGGCACTCTCACTAAGAAAGACACACTACACCTTGTGGCTGCGATAGGTTATGATTGCAACCGCGATGCAAACCTCACCCCTTGGGACGATATAGTGCAGGCGTACCTCTCGGATTATAAGCAGCACAAGGAAGGCTATACTCCGCCTGCGGATCAGCGGAAGGCCGGAGATGGAGCCGCGAGAAGGGAGTCCAACTGGCTCGCTAGCTTGAAACCCGTGGAGACCAGGAGCATCGAACGCGTGCAAGCGGCGGGCATCTTCAAGGGCGTCATCAAGCAAGACGTGGAACTGGCAGCCAGGTTAGCTGTCCAGAAGCATAAGCTGCAATTTCGCACCGGATGGAGGACGCTCCTCATGTATCATCAAAAATCGGCAGCAGCACCTTCGGTATCGATACTCAGTGTCAATTGGAGCGCCACATTCATCCAAGCATGTATTGAGGCAGCTTTTCAGTTCTCGGCCTCAGGTATGGAGTCCACGATGGTCGCATCCATACCGGTCTGTGCAAACGAGCTTCCCTTAGTAGAACGGCGACCAGACTCCTGCATCAGCACCAGTACGGACAAGCTTGAGATGCTCAGACAATTGCGCAAAGACGGCGACTTCATCGTGTATGTGGGGGACTCGGCCACGGATTTCGACTGTTTGAACGCAGCTGATGTGGGAATCTGCGTCAGGGACGACCCGATGGGAAGCAGCCAGCAAGAGCTGAAAGAAACGCTGGATCGATTGGGCTTCGAGACTTTGCGATTGAGTTCCGAAGCGTACAAGGAAACAGGATGCTACGTATTTGATGGTGCCAACGAAGGGAAGAAACGGAAGCGGATAATATGGTGGGTCGAGGATTTGGATGAGATATCCAAATTCATCGAAGAAATTCATGGGCATACCTAGATCATGGAATTCGCAAGTTGACAATGACAAGGCGTAGGTGAAAGGACGCGGTCAGACATCGCCCAGCCTGATCATGTCTTGCTGACCTTGCTTCTCCTTGGCTAGAGATCAAACGCTCCCAACCTGATAGTCATTCCACATGCACTTCCTACGTTAGGCAGTCTTTCTACACGTCCAAATGTGCACGAGCTCAATTGATCAATATCGTTTGGACGTGGTTCTTCCACGCGGACGTTCGCCGAGGATTCCGTGATTCAATATTGCTTGGTTTTCGAGAAGTCGTACGAACTTAACTTCGATCTTGACAACTGATCCATAAAGCGCGAAACACAATCTTGGCTACAATGCTGGGTTGCTGCAAGTTGAAGATGACTGGAATGGTGCGCCCCATGGTCAGTTGATGTTGGCTCCACACATGGCCGATTGCGGGGTATAACGACTGGGGCGGATCTACTTCGGGCAGCTCACAACCGGGAGCCTCGGCCGTGGCATCATTAGTCCGATGCACGCGGACGGGTCCACTACGACTGACGATCTCGCCAAGTTTTCTTTACGGCGTTTCCCTGACACACTGGATGGCCTCATGCTCGAACTGAGCCTCGTGGCGACCCGTGTCGGTCGGCTGACCACTTCGGGCTAGTGCCATTGTGGGGTGGAGGGGTAGCTTCGAAACCACTTAACAGCCAACGCCAACACCTCACGGAGCAGTGCGATTCCCCTCGACATTTGAATTACAGAATCGCAGCACAACATGGCTACAATTAGCGGCGTCAAGCCTGAAAGTCGTCCGGACTGGAACAACCACAAAGTTCTACACAAGAACACGCTGCCTGTGCGAGCGTACTTCCACAACTACACCTCCGAATCGGATGCTCTTTCACGCGATGTGAGCAAGTCCAAGACGCACAGCCTGTCGGGCACGTGGAAGTTTCATTTCGCCAATTCCCCCTTCGAAGCTGTTGAGGGCTTCGAAGTCTCCTCCTTCGACACCTCGTCATGGAGCGACATCGCCGTGCCCGGCATGTGGAATCTGCAGGGATTCGGGAAAGGCCCGCAGTACACAAACGTCAAGTATCCCATCCACGTCGACCCTCCAAATGTTCCGTTCTACGATAACGAGACTGGATCGTACGTGAGGAAATTCTCCGTCCCCAAAGAGTTCAAGAATGACCAGATCCGATTGAGGTTCGAGGGTGTGGATTCTTCATACCATGTGTGGGTCAACGGTAAACAGGTGGGGTACTCTCAAGGTAGCCGCAACCCAGACGAGTTCGATATCACAGACTTTGTCGATCTGGATAAAGAAAATACGCTTGCGGTAAGGGTCTATCAATGGTGCGACGGGACGTATATCGAAGACCAAGACCAGTGGTGGCTGAGCGGCATGTAAGTGTTCAAAACCTGCTCAAAATATAGTCTGCTAACATGAATAGCTTCCGAGACGTGTTTTTGGTCGCGTTTCCCAAGAAGTCCCGTGTTGAGAACCTGCACGTGCAAACGTTGCTGGATTCTTCCTACAAAGACGCGGAGCTCAAAGTCAGCCTCGAAACAACAGGCCTCGGCGGTGTCAGCCTCAAACTGTTCGATGCTGACAAGAAACCTGTCACCAGCGCGACGGCCAACGCAACCAGTGAAAGTAGCAGCAAATGGACCATTTCCATTCGCGGCCAAAACCCCCACAAGTGGACTGCGGAGACGCCCTATCTGTACCACCTAATCATCGCGCTCGACGACAACCAGTTCATTCCCATTCGCGTAGGGTTCCGCCAAGTTGAAATCAAAGACGGCCTGCTCAAGGTCAACGGCAAGCGTATCTGTTTCCGGGGCACTAATCGTCACGAACATCACCCAAAGTTCGGTCGTGCCGTTCCTTTGGAATTCCTCAAGCACGACTTGCTAACCATGAAGCGTCACAACATCAATGCTATTAGGACTTCGCATCAATTGAACGATCCACGACTGTTGGGGCTCGCTGACGAGATGGGTTTCTGGATGATTGATGAAGCAGATCTCGAATGCCACGGCTTCGAGATGGTAGCTGACGCACTTCTCAACAAGCAGGAGCGCGAGCTCCCGTTCGCTGAACGCCAGATGCTGACTCGGGGTGGAGCTGCCAAATGGACGACAGATAACCCTGAGTGGAGGGATGCTTATATTGACCGCGCAGAGCACTTGATCAAGCGCGATCAGCTCCACCCATCCGTCATCATCTGGAGTCTCGGAAACGAAGCCTTCTTCGGGCAGAACTTCAAGGAGATGTACAAGCATATCAAAGATTACGACGATAGTCGCCCCATCCACTACGAGCCAGATTACGATGCCGAGACCATGGACGTGTTCTCGCGGATGTACTCACACCCCGATTGGGTCGATTGGTTTGGAAGAGAAGGAAGCAAGGAGAAGCCGCTCATCCTTTGCGAATTTGTAAGTTTCCATGACGTATCACAAAATAACGACTGACCCGCAGTCAGATCCACGCTATGGGCAACGGACCCGGTAACATCAAAGAATACGTCGATTTGTTCTACAAGTATCCCTCTGTCCAGGGTGGCTTCGCATGGGAGTGGGCGAACCATGGTCTCTTAACGAAGGACAAGGAGACTGGCGACGAGTACTACGCTTATGGCGGTGACTTTGGGGAGAAGGTCCACGACTCCACCTTTGTGATGGACGGCCTACTAAATTCCGACCACACCCCCAACCCGGGTCTTATCGAATACGCCAAGGCGATCGAGCCGGTACAGCTTCTCCACAGCACCAGTTCCACTGCCACGTTCATCAACAGATACGATTTTGTCACCCTGGACCACCTCACTCTCAACTGGCACGCCGTCAATGAGGAAGGCGATGAGACCTCCAAAGGCGAACTCAAGATCCCATCCGGCATCGGTCCAGGCCAAGATTTCTCCGTCGACCTCCCCAAATTCAAGAGCGCCAAATCCGAAACCGTCATCCATTTCACCTTCAATCTGAAAGAAAGCACCATCTCTCTCTCCAAGGGCTGGACCGTCGCCACAGGCGAAGCCATCGTACACCCTTCGCAAGCCATCCACGCGCCGCCGTCCTCCGACAAAGACCTAAAAGTCACCACACCTTCCCCGAATGAATTGCATATTGAAGCTGGTGACTCCAAATGGATCTTCAACACACTCTACGGCCACCTGGCTTCCTGGACCAAGCACAGGCAGGAACTGATCACGACCCCGCCCACCCTCTCCATCAACCGCGCGCAAACAGACAACGACAAGCCCCAAGACGGCTGGAACTGGCACGACCGACTTGTGCACCTGGCCCAGCCCTACACACGCAAAGTGTCCTATGACCAGCCCGACAGCAAGACCCTCGCCGTCACAGTAACCCAGCAGATAATCCCTCCTGTGCTCTCTTGGTCCATCGACATCACCACCGTGTACACGTTTTCCAGCGTGGGCAGCGTGCAGGCACACGTGAAGGGCGTGCCGACGGGGCTGAACCTGCCGGACAGCCTGCCGCGCATCGGCTTTGTGTTGGAAATGCCGCACGCGTTCCAGGCCGTGGAGTGGTTCGGCCGCGGGCCCGGCGAATCCTATCGCGACAGCAAGTTCGCGCAGCACACCGCGCTCCACCGCGCCTCCTCCATCGACGCGCTCTGGACCGACTACGAAGTACCCCAAGAGTCTTCCAACCGGACCGACACGCGCTGGGTCAAACTCTCGTCCTCCGAGAAAAAGGAGGTTAGTCTGCTTGCGCAGTTCATCAGCGGGAAGGAGAGAAAGCTGTTCGACTTCCAAGCAACTCACTACCGCATCGACGACGTGGCGGGCTCGGACCATCCGTACAAGTTGCACAAGAAGAAGAGGGAGGAGGTGGTGTTGCGGCTGGATGCGGTGCATCACGGGCTGGGGACGGGGAGTTGTGGGCCGAAGACGTTGCCGGCGTATAGGCTCGAGACGAGGGAGTTTGAGTTTGAGGTGTTGCTGCAGTAGAGTGCAGGCGAGGCAGACTGGCATAGCATATTTGAGGGCTCATTTCATCCGTAGTACGTGCGTATGTTTGTTTGGTGATCGAATCACAAGTTGAATGCGAGGATTGCGGCCCAGATCTCGGAGTCAATGGTAGCATTGCGATCGTCTCTGTTCTTAGCCTGGTGATATAGGAGCTAAATTGACTAAATAAAGCGTCCACAGCAAAGCATGTGACTAGGGAGTCGTTGCAAACCATGTAAACGCATCCCCTCAAAGCGTATCATTAGTGCAACCGTCTGTCGCGCTTCTGCTACTCAGCTCCAACCTCGACATACGGCACAACCCTCACCGAACCCAACCCGTACCTCCCCTGCGGCGGCGGTACGAACCCGTGCGCTGGTCCTGCATCGGAACTCGCGGGCCCCTCGCCACTACTCTCCAGCAAGTCCCAAATAGGCCGCAACACGTTTCCTAGTGGCGTCGCGACCACTGCTTCCACCCTATTCACGCCTTCTACCAAGTAGTCTTGTATATCCGCGCGCGCGGCTGTTACATCTAGTGGTGGCAGTGCGCGTCCATTAAGGGAGGCGCGGAGGGTGTGATAGACGGGGCCGAAGTCAATGAACGCCCCTCCTGGTGTATCTGCAGCTGAGCTTGAGGCAGAGGTGCCGGGGGGCCAGATGAAGGTAGTGCTGTAGTATCCCCTCCCACTCACATTCTGCAGCCCGGGTATCTCGAGCCAGGACACGAGGCTAGGGAGGTGGTGCGTGGTGTTGTGCTTTAGCGCGCCGGAGGTGTAGTTATACAAGTCGGCGGGCGGGTCCCAGTGCTCGACGGTGAGGGTCCAGTTGCTGAGAGTGAAGGCGGGTGCGCTTGCGCACGCGGTCTTGAGGATTGCGGTTCCGCCTTTGAGGGCAGTGCCGAGGATGTCGGGCGCGGAGCGGTTCACAGGCACGTGTGCTGGGACGTTATGTGAGGGTGACTCGAAGGCGACGATGGTGGACTGGTTGCCGGCAAGGCGGAAAGGGATGGTTGTCGTAGTGTTCGTCGTGGTGTACGTAAGTATGGGCACCTTTTCGCCGGTCCAGGCGTTGTATTCGTAGGGTGTCTTGGTGGAATGAAACTCGATAGTGCCTGTGGAGGCGCCCTGGCCTGGCGGCTCGTACATTGCGTCGTTGTAGACGAAGACGTAGTCGGTGTCTGTTGCAGGATCGTACCGCCAATATGTGTACCATGATGCGTTGGTTGAGACTTTGGTCAGTGGCTGGATCTCAAGCGATGCAATTGTCGACGCGACGAGATACGAGTCGGTGACGTGCACATTTGGAAGTCGCGAGATCGCGTCAATGTCACGGAGTACCTGGCGTTGCACTGTTGGGGCGACCGTACCCACCAATGTCGAAGGCTTTCCCCCCGCAAACACGATAGGTAGTCCGGCATTCGCGAACTCAACGAGCTTGGACACACCATCGAGAGTGAGCGAGTCATTCTGCCGCAGCACAAGCACTTTGAAGGCCTGCGCATCTGGCGCTAGAATACCATCCACCACCTTTGCAGCGGGAAGGTCGAGATTATCTGGGCTGAGGTACTCGTAGGAGTAGCCGGCCTCCTCGAGATCGGTCGGCTGATAGGTCCGCGCCTCAATGTGTCCGGGGTAAACGGTCATCTTCTGCCAGATGGCAATGTCCATGCGCGGGATTCCCGTCTGGAACACCCAGTTATTGCGCGCGATGAAGTCGAATTGGTCTCTGTAGAAATCCCATGCGGGTTCGTGAGGGCCGTGCATAGCAGAGTACTGGTAAGTGAAGGTGGACCAGGTGGGCCATGTAGTGTTGCCGTACTGTCATGTTTTTAGCACACTCCACTTGGACGCTAATATAGGGGCGACTTACATGTCCAGAATACGGAAAACCATGGAATACGAACTGGTTGATAGATCCTGCATACGACCGTTTGACCTTCCAGAGAATTTCAGGTAGCGTTTCCACATACGCCTCGCCTCGTACAGCGCCACACTCGGACGAAATAACGCGGCGACGGGCGAGATTTGCAGGTCCAGAATACTGGCGGTAACCATCGATCAAGTCGCTGAAGTCGAGAGATTCTGTCTCTGGTGCATCGACTGTGGGGATGTTGGCCAGCATGTCCATCGGGAGATTGTACGACAACTGTGCCGAGAATTGCAGTCCAAGATACTCGTTCAGCCATTTCTTTACTGCGGACTCGTAGACCTGGTACTGCGTCGCAAGCGTAGCTCTGTAGTCTGCGATGTGTGCGTTACCATTGTCTGGTTCGTCAGTGACGTACCAGACGCCAGGGTTCGACTGCTTGTACTTTCCATTGCGGTGGAAAAGAATCGGAAGCCACTTGTTGATAGAGTACTTATGCTGCTCTTCGAAAATACTGGACAGATTTTGTGTCCAGTAGACGTTGGCCTGAATTTCGACACTGTCTTCCCAGCCGTAGTTTCCGACTTGCTGCAGTAGGTCTTTCGTCCCATTATTCAGGATGTGGTCTTCCCAGAACTTGGTCATGACTTGTGCACCGAGCGCTGAGAAGTGGTCGACAGCCCAGGACCCATTATTGATATATGATTCTGGCGGGCTTTGAGGGCCGCCAATCTCTAGAGGACCTTGTTGTGCACGGTACAACGACTTGTATAAGTAGATCGCGAATATTATGTGGCCTTCGCTCCCCGCGATCGTGGTATTTGATGACGAGAAATCGAGCTTAAGATGGCCTGACCCATCCACCTGCTCGGTGACATCGGTTAGGCTCGCTGTTGACAGAGTGATCTGCGTTCGGTTTAGATGCTGATCTCCTGGCAGGCCACCTGATGGATCGTTTGAAGTGATATTTTGAGAGCCTAAAATAGTGGCTGAGACTGCACCTTGCAGCTTCCCCAGCCCCCATCCTGGAAGCACACCATCGAAAGTGCCTCCAATCGGGACTGTGACGTTGTACGCCGAGATGTCCCACATCAGACCGTCCTCTTCGATGGGAGCTGGTACACCCGTACCCTGGTTCGGACCCATCGCAAAGTCCATGATCAGGTCATTCTCGCGATGAGCATCAACGAACGCTCTGAATACCTTATCTGCTTGGAAATTAACTCATCGGTCATGAGATGGATAATGCGACATACGCCACGCTGGAGTTCCAAATCCGTATTGCGCCCAGTCCGCGGGTGCATAACCGCCGCGACCTGCACCGTTTGTAGGAGGCCCGCCATAGAGGTAGTAACCAAGCAGCTCAAGCCCGCCGCAGCCGATCTCTGCAGCGCTCTGGACATCTCGCGCGACTACCTCTGTGTCGACAGAGGCATCTGGGATCCAATACCGGAACTTCGGGCGCACGTTCTTGGAGGGGTTCTGAAAGGTGCCTTTGTCGACCACAGCATCGAATGATGGATCGGTCCGATTCTCCGGGAGCGCAAAGACTGCACAAGCGGTGAGAAGACCCAGTACAAAGCGTACAAATACCTAAAAGTTCAATTAGCAGCGCGATACATCAGACCAGTATCTGCGTACCATCATGCGGACATTAACGGGCAGCTCGATCTCCCTCCGACGCGCACCGGCGTCGGGTTAAGTACCTTTCGAAACTCGTCCTACGCATGCTCACTCTCAGGACCAAGGCACGATCAGGAATTTCGGTTGATCGATGTACCGGTACCTTGCCAAGAAGAGGCTGGTGTGTTGATGGGATGCAGGGGAGGATGACGGATAGCTCGCTTTTCCGGCTGCGGGGAAGAGCGATCGTCGAAGCTTGGGCCGCTTAAGCTCTTCCACGGACAATTAAGCTCCTACTCCTCCACGCCAAACTTTGAAGAAAGCATCAAAGAGACATTCTTGAAGAGACAGGTCACTTCCACTTACGATCGATTGCGCTTCTTCCAGACCGCTACCGTATCAGATACGCTCGCAGAAAAATCGATGACATTCACGTGCCGTCACAGCACTTTCATCCAGACGTGCCACTGAGCAATTCAGCATCATTCGAGCGCGAGTATCCTCTGACTTTTAATTCCAGTGTTGTCAGGTATACATGTCTAGACATCGTTTATTTCCATCCACGAAGGCTGTTCTTTCTGCCTCGAACGGTGAATTGACCCTGACCGCACTGAGGTTACAAAACCACCTAGACCATGGCTTTGGAAGAGGGGTCGCATCACTGGAAGGCAGGCTGCAACGACTGCAACTGATAGTTCGATTACCGCCCATATCGCCAGTTCGCTCTCCATCTCTGGATTATCGTTAGCGCAGATAACATAGTACCACCGGTCGTTGTCTTACGCCATGGTGTTTTCGAATCTATTGACGCATCAGCGCGTGGAAGTCTTGAAATTGGGAGTAACTCACTGTGAAGAGCCTTGAGAAAAGTGGACAAACGTCCGCAGGCAGCTGCTGTCGACCTCCTTGAATCAGAATTTGTCTGTATAGTAGATGTGTTGCATCTTACAGTAGGCCCAGTCCAAAGATTCCAGTGATGCCGAGCTTCCTCCCCGTCGACACTTTCATGTGCCAGACAATCGGGACCGGCGACACCAAAACCAAAACATCGGTGATGATATCCGACACTACGAAGCCATACGATGCGGGGCCAGAAGTCTTGCAGTAACGCAATATGCCTTCTGCACTGCCCCACAGCGCCGAGATATGGACACTGCACTGGAAGATGTTGGCGAACAAAAAAGCGACAGTCCACCCTGCTAGCAAGACGATAAGGGTGAGGGAGTAAATCTTGAATGTCCGGACGACATTAAAGATGCGACGGTAGAGGAAGACGACGCTGAGCTTGACCAGCCCTATTCCCGCTATAAGGAGAATGCATTTGACGAAGTTATACTTCGATAAAGTCAGTTGAGTGCGGAGACCTGGCGCGGGCAACATACCTTCGAGATCAACTGCTCTCGACCTGTTGTCTCGAGCTGACCAGCTGACGTTGTGTCCACATCGTGGCTATGGTATAAGCCTACTACAGCTCCTATATTATCGTAAGGATGGGAACGTTGGTCTTCGAATCTGGTTCTGCGCGAGCGAATTACCTGCAAGAATGACTGCAGCCAACGCCCACATCACGACCTACGATGTTGCATCAGTACTGCTCACGACTCAACCAACCGTCAATAACATACCAAGCTGGCCAACACAGTCCAATCATCCAACCCATAGTGTTGTTTCTTGATCCTCCTTGCCCAAAACCTTCCTCCAACCGCCAAAGTCGCAACCACACTAAGAATCGAAGTGGTTATTTTGACGCTGGTCGCATCCATCGGTTCGCCAGCCGCACGGGAAGGATCCCGTCTTGTATTTATGGCTCGGGGATGCCCGCTGGCATTTCCTCCGTCACAAAAATGAAATCGCTGCTGTCAGCCTGTGACACCGCCCTTCGGGGTTCGTTCGACCAATGCGGTTGGCTGCGCAAGCGACAAGGCGTTTCTGGAGGAGACGTGCAATCTGGTGTCCAATTACCGTCCCAGAATTTCCATTGTAGGTGGTCAGTGCGTGTGACATGATTTGCAGAGACACCGTGTTTCGAGATAGATCGCCGTATCATGCTTCCCCTCGTCAAATCACATTATCAACTACATGCTGCTGCCTTGCACGCGCCAAATGCTCAGAAGAACATCTGCCATATCAATGGAGAATTATAGTTCTTACTAGATATCTACGACACTAAAACGATGGGGCCTGCGAGGTATCGCGGATTAATATGACTATGGCTCATGCGCTCCATGTATCATAGCCATAAGTTCGCTTCCCCTGGCCCAGTTCGCTTCCCCTGGCCCAGTTCGCAATGCTCGTCACTTGTCCTCCATATCTCCGCAAGTTCGCCACTGCCTCAGCATGCTTCGGGAACAATCTTTCGGCCGGCGTCGTGCTATATTCGATGTGGTTTGCGATTAAAGACTGCAAGTCGACCTCAGGCAGATGAGACAGATTCTTCTTAAACGCCTGCTCGTCAATTTCCCTGATTTCTATTGATCTGCCGGCCGTTCCCGCAACGACGCGTATCGCATCTTGCATCGACATAAGGTCTGGGCCGTTCAGAAGAATGGTGCCTTTCGATTCCTGCGTGGCTAGTAGGGCGCCAGCGCTTGTGCCAATGTCCTCGGGTACGATGAAATCGAAGAGCGTGTTCGGGCGAAACAGCTCAACGACGCCGTGTTTGGCACTGTGCGTAACGAGGAAGAGATTGGAGCAAAAGTACATCGGTCGCAAAATTGCCGCATCGATTCCGACTTCGTTCAATGCTATCTCAGCCTGTGCGTGGTGCCACGATGATCCCTTTGTTTTCTCCATGGACGACAGCGGGTCTTTGACTGCGTACGACGATAACAGCACAACATAAGTGACTCCAGCATCCCTTAGAGCCTCGAAAACGGTTTTCATGCCATCTTCACAAGCGAAGACTGTGTATAAGAAGGCCGCGGTCGCACCCGATATCTTGATAGCTTCTGCAATAGTCGATGGATCGGTCAGATCTGCGATAACACGACGGTATCCTTTGACTTCGTCCAGTTCGCCGATGCGATTGAGGGCTCCTAGCTCGGCTTGTCGCACGGAAAGCCACACGGTTGCGCCGCGTTTTCTCGTTTCGATGGCTGCTGCGCCTGCGACTACGCCTGCAGCACCGAAAACGATGACGCTCGACATTACGATGATGCGATTGATATTGGGATGGCTTTTTGCGTTTGGGTCAAAGGGTAGCTGTAGACGTGCACGCTTCTCTGTGTTCGTCATGCGTCACCCATGTGCCGAAGTCCGTCTTTTCTGACCATTAGTAAAAGTGTTTCGTAAAATCCAACCTTTCACCCCTTCACGAGAGAGAGATCGTATTTGAGTTGGGCCTGGCTTGATTGATATTCCTTAACCCTCTAAACAGTCTTTACGACGCGTACTTAAAGCCAAACTCCACTGTCTTCACAATATCCCAATCTTCTTCCTTGTCCTCGTCTCCAAAGATCCTCAGTGCTTTCACTCTCAAACTATAACTTCCTTCTTCCAACACCGTCCCGTTCGCTAGTAGGCCATTGAAGAAAATCCTCGAAGCGCCTCTTGGTAGGTAGACCTGAGGTGATCCCGCCAAACTACCTAACTCTTCCTTGCCTCTGAACACATCGATGTGAACTAGGGCGCTTCCGATGAGGAGCTCCATATACACATTTGGCTGGGAGCCTTCATTTCCTGTGTCGGGCGCCGGAGGGTTTGCCGGGTCGGGTCTGACTATGGTGTAATTGGTGCCTGCGTCGATTGGGCTGTTGTATCGCGCAAGGTAAACAAGCGAGGGCATGGTGACCGGAGTAGAACGCATGCTGCCAGCCACGCCTAGGTAAGGGAGAACGAGCGTGATATTGGAGGACGTATCGCTGACGCTGATGTAGCCGCTGTAAACAGGGAGAAGCGTTACGTTTACCGAGGCTGGCGGTGTACAGCCGACTGTCACTTCAACAGATTGACCAGCAGGGACGGAGACTTCGCTGTTGGCATATCAGTACAAGGATCATAGAGCCGACCACATCCGGATTCATAATCTTACCGAGAGCTCAAATGTATATCCGCCCAATCTTCGACAATGAGGTTAGGAAAACTAGACACACGAAGAGCGTTGCCAAAGGTTTCCTGCAGTGTGTACATAGTCACAGCTTTACGGTGACTCAGCTCGAAAACAGCGTCTTTAGATCCAGTGTTGAGGATACTGAAGGTTCGGTTCCCAACAAAATGATCAGTGTCATTCCAAGCGATGTTATCGACGCTTAGCTCGGCTGTAGAGTGAACCGCGTTCCATGTCTGGATGATGCCAGAACCCTGCTGCGGTACTGGGGCGAGAATATCTGGATGTACTTTAGTGCCGTCGTGCCAAGCGATTGGCTTCGACGTTGTTGTCATGATATGACGCAGGCGTAAAGGATCGAGGCTCCCTCGCGCTTCCTTGAGTAGTGCAAAAGCGGATGCTAGAAGTGGAGCAGCTATGTTCATGATTAGCACCACGGTATAAGCACGAAGTATCTGTCTTACACATGCTGGTTCCAGTCATTACTCGATAACTGCCGCCGCTGGTCAAATATGTGCTGAGTATGTTCTCTCCTGGTGTGACAAGATTGGGCTTTACACCAAGCTCCCAGCTAGGACCCCAGCTAGTCAATGAGTTAGCAAGGAACCCTCCAGTCTCGTTGTTCTCGAGCTCTTCGAGGTGGATAGTGGCATTATTGGTGGCTGGGATATTGACTGTGACAGTCGAATTTCGCGCGAGCGAAGATAGCCATTGTTCCGCAACATAGGGCGCAACTCTTGCTACACCCTCAATTCCCTCAGCCCAGACGATTGGGTCATCCCTCATGGTCCTATAAAATGTCAGCTATCTATACGAGTCTGCTATTGTGGCTCGGAACCGTACGTACCGATTGCTCCCTGAACCATCATAGTACAGCATATATCGGCCACCTGCCGCTGCTATATTGGTGCTTTGATCCTGAGGATAACATCTAGTGGCCCGTGCATCCAGGAACTGTAGGAGCACAATAGTCTCGCTGAGGTCTGTACCATTAGGTAGAGGGTTGCAAGCGTTGTTTGAATCTACAGCAGACCAGACTGGTAGATTCACATCAGAAGCGAAACTTGGTTCGCCAACCAGAATGCTGAAGTTAGTGGAAGTGGAGTTTGCGGTACTATACGATCCTGTTGGAACGAGGATGGGGAACTTGGTGTTCGATACAGCTCCAACGCCAATCACATCAAAGCCAGTGGCTGGCGAAGATGAATAAAACATCCCAAGCCCTCCGTCATTGCCTTCAGATATGGCAAACTGGATACCTGACTTCGCGATGCGAGATGCAACAACGGCAAGTACGTGTCCTGCCCAGCCTATTTGGCTGAATCAGGTTAGATTATGGTAGAAAGTTGGTCAGATCAAAGAGGAACTTACAAGCCGTTGGAATAGGAGATGATATCGGCGCCATCTTCTACAGCGCGGCCAAACGCAGCAAGTTGAATCTCATCGGTCGTTGTGGATATGCAATTCCAGATTCTGTACGCAGCAATCTGAACACCCGGAGCGCCTCCCGAGAACCCGTACTTAGTCTTTTCGAGCTGCGCAGCTACAGTACCGGCTACGTGAGTACCATGGCCGAAGCAGTCATCCATGGGATCATCGTCTGGTTCTGGCTCATTGATGCCCAGGCGGAAGTTATCGCCCACAAAGTCGTAACCTTTACTTACCAAGCAACCCTCTCCGAAGCAGCCACCCAGGGCCGGATGCGTGTAGTCAACACCACTGTCAATGATAGCGACTTGTACACCCTTTCCAGTCAACCCTTCATTATGGAGTTTGTCGATCTGCGTTATAACGTGTGGTGAGAAAGTGTCTTCTGCTTGATTCTGGCGCTTGAGGTGCTGTGCCTCCCTACTTGCAGGAACGGAAGGCGACTGTGTTCTTGGCATCTGGAGCTTCGATGATCGTACAGGCCAAATCGACGCTACTTCAGCTCTTCCTTTGATCTGCGTGATAATGTCTGAATCGTTCGGGCCAAATGACGAGCCTGATGCCTTGACTTGGAATGAAACACCCTTGAAGAAGCGGAAACTCAGATCCATTCGATGTTGGAGATCCACACCCTCGCCCAAAAGAGAGGCGTAGAACGTGTTTGGGCTAACATTGTCGTTGGCAAATTCAACAATGTAAACGTTCGGTACAACAATCCCAGCTTGACTATGGCATTGAGTCAGATGATAGTGTGCTTGGTTATTATGGTCGTCATTGCAAAACAAATTGGCCCGACTTACCTAGCCGCTGTACTGTTCGTTGCCAGTACAGCATGTGCGCCAGCGATACAAGCGAAGCCATATGCTACCTTCATTTTCATCACCGATTTGGAGCGAGGGAATGGCGATAGGGGAGAACATCGTAGCAGAAGCCGCCTATATATTGATTCTACTTGGGTGCCCAAAAATACCCACTACCTAGGCATCCGGTATCGTACATTGGTGTTGGCTGCATGGGGCAGGTTGCAGACATAATGTTAGCAAACGAGCCTATCTGGTACTACAGAGAACAGAACTGGAGATGTCAGGAGGTTTGCATGAGGATGATCGTAGGGTCGATCAATTTAGGGGATATTGGAAGTTGGCAACCATACTAAATCCAGACAAGCGCCGGAGGAATATCGGCGTTGGGACTGTGCTTTCGCCGCGACCTCGTTATGCTCATCTTCACGTTCCTCCCGCTCGTTCCTCTCGTCTAGAGTCTATGAGCGCTCTTGCCACACAAAACGGTGCTCGGCGGACGTCAAACGCTGGTACTCGTGTGCTATTGAGTTCAGATGTCGCAACGATCGTTGCCGGCGGTTTCGATGCTACCATACCATAGAACTATTGCACGAATAGCGGACCCGAGTTCTTGCCAGTTGTCCATGCCTTACCCACCAGAAGTATGCCGATCGCGCACTGCTGTCGGTATCGCCCGTAGCTACGACACTTCAGCAAATAGCGCCTTGGTCTTACGCAACCGCATTCATCGTACATTACAGTTCCTATTCACCATCTGTTTGACTGAGTTTGAACTGTATAAGTATTGCAAATGAGATATCTACGGACGACAAGGCCCAGGCCCACCGGCGAATTCCGCTGGGCCACCCATTAAGATACTTCCTGCTGTCCTGCCATATGGACAAGTCGCATCGCCACTGCTCGGGTTTAACCCGATGGCATAAAAGCACCCATTGCGACCCAAGTATGCCCATTCGCTGCAGCTTGTAGCCGAATTATAGCACGCCATGCAGCAGTCGGCGACGAATCCCGCAGGTGACTACTCAAGTCGACCGTATGGACCAGCGGCACTTCCGCCCACATTGTTTGCTGAGCACAGGTGGAGACAGTGGAAGTGGCGGTCTCGGTTGTTGTTGTGGTTGAGGTGATGGTAACAACGTCCTAAATAGCAGTATCAGCGTCTATACTCTCTGAGGATAGCATTTGACCGGAGCACAGTGACTTGCAGTTTCAATGGGCGTTGGAATTTTAGGATTTGTAGTTTGATCTCACCACATGTATACTGTTGGATTAGTGACGTCAAGTTGTCCGTCTCTGTCTTTACGGTAGTATCCGTCGTGGTGGTAGTGCCGGCAGGAGGTGTCGTTGTCACGATCACTGTTTGCGTGCCGGCAGGCTTGGACGATGTTCTCGTCTTGGTCGAGGTCCGCGTTGTGGTTTTGTACACAGTAACTATCTTCGGCTTCGGCTTCGACCACGCCTGGTTGCAGGCTGAGCAGATCAGGTGGGATGCTTAGCCTCTCAGCCATGCCATGAGGGCATATTTTGACCGTGTCGCTTGAAAACTGTTGGGATAGGAATTTGGACCGTCGAGGTAACGGTCGAAGTAAGGGTCTCAGTCAACGTGGCAGTGGTGGAGACCGTGGATGTGGTTGTGCTGGGCGGCGCGGTTTCCATGATTTTGACTTTGGTAGACTCCGTGGTTGTGCTCGTTACTGTATCTGCTGGTGGAGCTCCTGCAGTCACGGTGCGGGGAATGGTCACGGCGTTGGGTACGATTGTGGCCGTCTTGTATGTTGTTTTGGTCAACGTCTTAAGCTTCGTCTGCGTGACCAGTCTCGGAGAGTAACCGGGACAAGCCGCTTTGCAGTAGCCATAACCGTTATGCGTCTTCAGAACTTGGGCAGCAGTACCCTGGACATCTACACCACGCCGAATCATTCAGTTATCGCCTACTTAAAGGTGCAATAGTTTCGGTTGGGGCATTCGTAACGCCAGTGCTATATGATCACTCTCATATGGCGGATGATCGAGCTTGACTGATATCCTCAACGAATTGTTTGTGCGTATTGGGGTCAATGTACGCCTTGCTGATCAATACGATGTCTGAGACATCGTCTATCTCATATGCGGTGCCGGCGACGGCGACCGCGGTGAGCGCAGCTCCAACAAGAAGAATACAGCTCCTGATGTGCATCGTAATTCACTGGAGAGAGATTCGGTACTGTCACGATGTGAACATTGCGAGCAGCGACTTATAAAATTCTCAAAACAAATCCTTCCCTAGGAAGGAAAGGCCCCGTGGGCTTCATCGCAACCCGAAATCCCGTAAGGTCGTACTGAAGCAGTGTGCCTTTCATACTATGGCTCGTTATTGTTGACTTTGGCGAGATGATGTTCTCGCGAGTAGGATACGCGACGCGCTGAGCAACGCTGTTGGCAGCCTAGACCGCCGGATCTCATCGCTTATCACGTGGTGGCCCAATATTTTCAATGGTCAAGCTCTAACGCTCTGCGGTAAGGCTGGTGTGGTGCAACGATCTCAAGGTCAGTCCGTATATGGAACCCAGCCCCAAGAAGTTCTTTTTGGTTGTCATTAAGTTACTCGCGCATGAAATGCAGTCGTCGGCATCGCTGTAAACCCGGCTCGTAGCCCCTCGTCAACATTCATAATTATGACGCCCCACATCGCATTATCTCCTCGCTAGACCAAGCAACACCATATCTCTAACATTATTTCCAGTGGTGGAAGTGTCATTCGACAGAACGACTTGCATAAGAGTGCCAAGGTATACCTAGAGCGCGAGAAACCATGCAAAGCCATGGTACTGCAAAAGTATCTGTTTGTAGATCTAATTGCCCAAAATATCACCTCTACACCTGGGCAGCTGTGTGAAACCAACTCTCACCACTGTCAATTCACACACTTAGGACCTTATTGCAACTCGGAACATAATGGCTAACTAGTTGGAGCTCATGGGCTTCTTCAATCTTTTCTTAGAGCGTTCGGAATCGTCTGATAACGTGTTTACAAGCGAGCTGCGAATACAAGCGAGCTGCGAACCCCACCAAGTCTCTCAGCCTTTTGCAGGCTGTATAGCAACAACGCATCAAAATTCTATTGATATAATAGCTATTTTAAATCAAGTAGTATCTATAGAAGCTTTCTTGCACGTACGTGAGTTGTGCCCAGGCTCCCTGCAGCGCGTGCAGCGCGCAGAAGCCTGCCGGCTCGCACCTGACCGCGCCTGGCTATACCGCGTTTCTCCCTCTAGTTGCTGCTCAACAGCCTTCTGAGCAATAATATCCTCTCCCTCTGCCTTTGATAGAGTGCCTCGCTTCTGGATCCGCTTCTTTTTGCGCTGTTTACGCGTTGTGGCTGCCTCATTTGCCCTCCGTAGACTAGCAATCTCATCGCGCATAAGCACCATTGAATGCGTGATTCTCTCAGCGCCTCTTGTAAGCCGATCAAGCGACTGGATAACTGATGTAGGAGAGGACCCTTGATGCCTTTGGATCCGCTCACGAACTAGAGTTGACTGAGCGCCTAGCTCGCGCGCGTTGCTTGGTGTTGCAGACTCCCATAGGGCCTCTGGTAGGGCTGCTGGTGACGGCGTACGAAGCTTTACATCAAGCTTTAATATCACCGCCTCTGGATCGTGCGGGACTAGCCCAGTGCCTCGAAAGCTTGCGCAAATATTCTCTTTTGAAAATGACTGGTCGTAGGCGGCGCGGAAGGCTGGTAGGAACTCAAGCTTAGTGATATGGTTGATGTGGTCGCGTATTAGGCCCTCAACCTGGCGCCCGTACGCCCGTTTTAACGGCGAGAAGCAGCCCACGTCAAGTGGCTGTAGGAGGTGTGACGAGTGTGGTGGCATGCATAGGGTATATATCTTGTTCTCCCTACAGATCTCCTGGAATTCGAGCGAGTTATGGCTCTCATGGCCGTCGAGTATTAGGAGCTGACGTGCGCCTACTCTACGCTCTACTATATGCTTGATAAAGTGCTGTAGCCAAGCAACACCAAGCTCATTTGTGGTCCATCCATTGTCGCTGAGACTAATAGTCCAGTCACCTGGTATATCATCGCCCTCGTACCAGGCAGAGAGGTGGTACTTGCCAGCAAAGATGACAAAGGGCGGGATTGCCCACCCAGCAGCGTTAATTCCGTGGATTGTTGTCACCCACTCACGATTGCCTGGCTGGATTGCTTTTGGCTGACCACGTCTCTCTGAGCCTGTAACAACTAGCTGGGAGGATATCTTGCCCATTAGAAAGCCAGTCTCATTAAAGTTGAAGGTGTCCTCATCGCAGATACCGTAGGTGGCCTTTGTACGTGCAACTAGCTCAAACCAGGCCTGTATAGCCGTCGGGTCCTCGCAGAGGGCTCGCTGTCGATCATAGGCTCGATTAAATCGCGTTATGAGGCTGTCTGTTCGCTTGATAAAGTTTCTAGGCCACTGTTAACCAACGTGGCCTGCGCTACGCTCGGCGAGCAGCTTATTTGCCATATCTCGTACAGCACCTAGAGTAGGCGCAAAGCCTCGCGAATCTAGGTCAAGTATATGCTCAATAATAACCTCCTCTTCTAATTTAGTAAGCTTCTTTAATTTAGGCTCACAATCGCGTCGCGCAGTAGTTCCGGCGCGTCGGCTACGAAGCGTGCTTTCAGGAACGTTAAATGTCGCTGCAGCGCGATTAACGCTTTGAATCTGGTTCCTATTAATAGCTAAGATAGCTAGGGAGACATCTGCTTCGTTATAGGGCAATCGAATAAGTGTTGGTTGAGCCATTGTAGTTAATAGGTTACGCGTCGCAGAAAGTTGGTGGGGTTCGCAGCTCGCTTGTATTCGCAGCTCGCTTGTAAACACGTTACCGGCGAAAAAAAACTAAATTTTTTTTTTCCCTGAGCCAGCCTATAAGAACGATAAACGTTACCCATAGCGTTCTTTCCGCAGTCACACTTGATGCAGTGTCTGGAAATCCACTGTAGGCTAACTATGCACATACACAGATCTTTTGGACCAATCAAGCCTTACCTACCTACGTGACGTCTGGATAACATCACACGCGATTACGATGATAGTGAGACTTGGCTGATCATCGTGACTCTCTTTTCCTCGTTCACGGAAGGCCTCATAGTTGAAATGGATAGAATGATCGCGGCTTATAATCTGGAGACTTTGAACGAGTCCTCGAAAACCAACTATCTTTCTATTGCGTCGTCTGGTGTCCATCGTTAGATCTTCCGTAATACCAGCCCTTTACCCTCGATTATAACATGTCGGTGCCCTCGCTCGTCGTTTCAGAGGCGCACGGCCGCTCTCGAAGCATCTTTCTCTTATCAGAGCGGCGGATTCTGGTACTCCTCTCAACCCAGTTGTCACTTCGTTGTACGCACCTCGCATTGGCTCCCTTGTTTGCAACGAAAACAACCCACCTAGCTTCTGGCATCCTTTAACTCGAAGTAAATACCCAATTCCAGTCGCCTCCGCCTGTTCCGCAACGCTCACTGGTGCGACCTAAAAGTTCGGCGCACCTAGCTTACTTGCCTCGCACCGCAGTTGCACAGGCCCCAGTCTATATATCCAAAAAGCGACCCGGCCCTAGTTTCCGTGCCCATGTTTTCTACTTCGGCCCGGTTCCGAGGGCCAGCAACTAGACGTGATAGAACAGATGGGCAGACTGACAGTCAATGATGAATAAATGTGCAACCACACAGGAAGTGTAGATGAAGCGAAGGGCGACTGGCAAACTTTCAACTGGTATCATGTTTGTGTCATGACCATGATAAACCGGCATGATGACCATCGGTGGCATTTCTAAAAAGGCACAGACGGGGAGCTTGGAATAACGCACCGCGGCCTTTCGATCTACGCAGCAAGTGGTGCAATGCGTTCGTAGATAGCATGAATACTCTAGTATATCGCCGAAACAGACTGAACGAGATCAATCAAGCCACAGTCGTGGGGCATTTGGTATCTTGGTAATTTGTGTATACGGTCCCTTACAATAAGTTAGCAAGATCAGAGTCAAGGTCCTTCACTAGAGGCTCGAGCAAATATGGAGGTAAGATTATAGATTAGTGGTACTTTATCTTAACGATTACATATCTTGAGCTCGAGAATTAAACCTCACTTGATATCTTCTTAATGTTCTGGATGGATTCAACCCTTGGCTCGTGCCCAGCCCCACGTCCCTTTCACCATCCTGCTTCTAGCTCACATGACTTATACAGCCTCCAGAAGTCCAAGCTTCTTCAACGCTACCCTCGTCTAGATAAGACACCCCTATGCATGATGTCGCCCTCAGAACATGATCATCACCCCATCCCATTCAGCCCCCGGCAACTATCCGAACCGGCACCATCGGCGCATTTATCACCTATCACTTCTCTTAAAACTTCCAGACCGCCCTTTAATTCTTAGTTCGACAAAGAATTGGACGCTTGAGTCTTGCCTTGAGTGCGCAAAACCAAAACCATGGGCAGTATCAAGCGCTTCGTGCGCAGGGTGACGGGACGAACTCCCAAGAACCAGAACGACAGTGTTGCCCCGAGTAATGTAGGGGTATCTCGAACAGTGTTCATTCCATCTTCCTGCTGGATTCAGTCCGACGCTACAATCCTTCCAGCCACTGCAGTAATCTCCTCGCATCGAGCATCGCCACCTGACATGGCACCCATACCTATGCTGCTTCCTACGCTCGACCCAATCCAGCCCGTATCACCGATCCAGATACCAAATGCGATCCGATCGACTTCTCCTGATCCTGCTCCGAAGTTTTCTCTCGCAGAACACGTTGAATCTGATGGTGATGATTCTCATCCTGTCGAAGAATCCCAGGAAGAAGACTCGTTTCGATGCCAGGTCATTTCCGCTCCACTGCCACGAGATGACACGACGGCAACAATCTTCCGTCCACCAACACCCCCGCCAGCCCCAAGAATGACCAGCGCTTCTTTCGCCCGACTTCCAGAGTACGTTGACTCCTCCGACAGCATTGCAGGTTCCGAAGTACCTCCAACACAAAGTAACTCCTGGGATGGCTCTGAAGATGTCGAAGTCCCCCGCACAGGAACCGGCTCCTTCCATTCTGACGTCGAAGACTCCGAACCTTCGGGCATGCTCAGTCCCCTGGAGTTTTCCGCCGAGCAGGAAGACCTTTTCTCCAGCTCCAGCTCACCCGATCGGCCTATAGACCGGAATAGATTTGCACTCCCAGGGCCGCCAAGCTATCATGGGTGGCCACTAGTGGATGGTGCGACGCCGTCGCGGCCACAACATCGACCAAGCAGCGTGCATATGCCGGGTGGACCGACACTGCAGCGGGCCACACATCGAGGAAGCACGCGGAGAAGTCGTGGTAGTTCTTCGATACGCCGCCTTACAACCACGCCCTCCCCTGTGGGCATGCCGCAGAAAGAATCCTCTCCATTGCCTGCCATTCGAGGACCCGAACACTCGGCTCTGCGTACTCAGCCGCGAACGGTGTATCTGCCGCCGCCTTCGTCATCCTCCCCACTGTTACAGGAAAACCCCTTCTTCACACGCATGGAGCCGTTACCCAGTTCTACCCCGATGCTCCCACGGAGCGATGACTTTGGAATCAACCTACAGGACGTGCTTCTTAACAACGTCTTCTTCCCGGATATCCAGGAGCACTCGTCTGTTGAAGATGGAGACGAAGGGAACGATGAGACAAGCTTCAACGAGAACTGGGAGGAGCATAGGCATGAGCGTACTCCCTCGGAGCAGGCCGAGTGCGAGCGCGCTGAGCGCGAGAACGCCGTGAACTTTGAGCAGAATGGTGCACAACACGCATGGTGGGAGGGCAGAAGCAAACACGCAGATCCTGCTCCAGGACGGGATCCGTACGACAGGAGCGGAGCAAGGGCTAGTTTTGGGTTCCGGAGGAATGAGTAGGGACCCATCAACGGCAGATATTGGGACTACGGGACTCCCTTATGAATACCATAGATACTATACGCAGGGACGACTGCGGAGTCATGAGCACTGTACGGAGGAACTACTAGGAATGTATGGCACTATATGGAGGGAGGAACCGGGAATAATGAACGGACTGCGGGAAAATAAGTAGGGGTAAATGAATGATCTCTAGAGGAGATACAAGTGGAGGATCCAACTGAAGCGATGTGTCTGCAGCATGACTATAGGCGGAATGGGCGTTTGGGATTTGGACACCGGGAACTCTTAATAGAAAGCTAGATAAGTTCAAGATAACTTAGACGACGGCCATACGACCAAATCATTTTGCTGCTGTGTGTCGATTCACGGAGTGCAAAGTATTGAATCTACCAATACCCCTTGCAAGGGATCAGAAGAACAATGCTCGATTCCGTAAATATAAACACAATCGTATAGACTTGGGAGCAAACCGCCCAGGAGTGATACTGGCTGTAAGAACTTTTAGGCGAAGGTATTGTATCCTGGAGACAAGTTCACGTGTACCCAGTAGCACGGATTTCTGACTTCGCAGGGAACCGACCTCGAATAGAAGTCAGAGATATCAAGTTCTACCAGGAATGTGCAAGACGGCTCTTGAGTAACGCATGCTGTTACATTTGGAGATAGGAGACGTCTCGTGACCATCACGCACAAGCCCAGATAAAAGCACAACCTCGCAACCCACTCAGATAGACATTATAGAGATGGCTGAGGCATGACAGTAGCTTTTATGCAGGACCCAAGTTAATCCTCGGTCGCCGCAGATAACTATTGCTATCAGCACGCAAGGAGCAGAGATCACCAGGCCCATTAGCATGCGCTCAAGCTACCTAGCGTGATGCTCTCGAGGGATTGATCCAGGTGCGCTTCCACCAACTTGCACTGTTCACTTCGTACGGTTGCTCTCGCAACGGCCTCGCCAGCAACGCGAAAACTGCGCGCCCTTGCAGCAAACAGACTTTCGCCTCTTTCAACCTACCTCTCACACCATACCAACCGAGTACGCCCGCAAGCGCTCCGCCCCAGAGCTCAACACCCGCCTCGCAGTCAGCATGCCCTCTCCACACACCCACAAATCCACATTCATTAAAGCCCTCAAGTCACCGATCAAAATGCTCCCACACGCCCACGGCTCTTCAGCAGCCCCAAACACGCCCCTCACACCAACCTTCTCACCTGATCGCCCGACCTTCCTTTCAAACGGCCTCCCCGTATCGCCCTCTACCAGCCACGTCCCAGAAATCACCCTCCAGCGCGCCTCGGGCTGCCTCTGCGACCCCTTCACCGACATGGACGCCGCACCCACAACATGGACCTGCTGCGCCTGCGGCACGCAGAACCGCGTGTCTATCCACTCCGGCCCACATCCCCTCGGCGAACTGGCATGCGACTGCGCGCACAAGCCGTGCGTCGCGTGCTCGATCGCCGGGACGGTAAAGCCGTTCCTGCCCATGGACGAGCCGGCGATGGTGCCGTGCAGCTACATGTCCACGTCCACGTCCAACCCCGCCAGCTCCTCAGAGCCAGGCAAAGCGAACGAAAAGGAAGAGCTGCGCTTCGGCATCCTGTGCCCCGCGTGCGGCCTCTCCTGGCGCGCCCGCGAACTCGGCAAGCGCTGGTCCAAGACGCTGCGCAAGATGCCCTCGGTGTCGCTGCAAGCCAGGCGCCTCGCGCCCGAGCACCGCCTGCGCAAGTCCCGCTCGACGCTGGTGCTGGGGACCAAGCGGGTTATCACGCCGCCGGGCATCGCGAGCGACAAACAGGCCGAGTATGCGGCGGTGAGGTTCAGTGGGGTGCCGTGTACGTGCGGGACGACGATTAGGCTGAGGGCGGCGCTGTGTTTTCAGATTGTGGTGTTGGAGGGGGGTGAGCAGATAAGGGTGGATGAGAAAGAGATGGTGGTGGATGGGAGGATGGAGATGGATGGGGGGGAGAAGACTGTCATGTGGGAGGGTAGTCTGGTGGCTTGGACGACGACGCCTGAGCTGCAGGAGAAGGGGCATGGGACGCCGACGTTGAGGCTTCTGGAGGGCGAGCATCCGAATCCACTGCGAAGCTCACCGGTGGTTGACAAGATGGCGAGGGACTCGTGGGAGGAGAAGTGTGATAGGGAGGGGTGGTTTTGAGGGTCGCTTGAGATGGCAGGATGACTTGGAAATGAGGGTGGGGGGATGATGCGCTCGAGTGTCCTGAGGATTCTTTTGGTGCAATGTTGTGTGGAGAAGTGTTGGACGTAATCGGAACCCCTTTGGCGGCGTGGTATTCAGCTGTCTGTTTGGCAGACGAATGACGAGCGCCAAAATGACGGCATAGGGTGCTCGCAGCTCTCAGGCATGCACAACTCTTGAAAGATGCAACTTTTCAATGATGCAATTTCCGGCAGCAACACAATTTTCCTCATTGGGGCAATGAACAACACTTCCTCAGGTGGAGCGAAGCGTGCTCAGCATCCCTAGTCAGCAGTTCTTCGGCTGCCTGAGCATCAGCACATCTACTCAGCTCTACCTTGAAGCCCTCCTTTCCCATCACCCGTCGCAGTCACTCGTGCTACCGTGGAACAGCTGAGCTCGCCGCCCTTTCGTGATGTTGTCGGGAGTCGCCGAGTCGCTTGGCAAGTGGCAGCTTGTTCTCCTTTGTGAAGATGAGACTGCGCTGCATTCACGTTTGATGTGACGTAGAGCATTGAGACAAGACTCATACGTTACAGCTTTGGATGTTCCCGGCCCGAAACATTGAAGACAAACCGTCGGTGCCGACCGCGCCGTACGTGCATGCTGTGACAGTAGAAGAGTCACAAAGGATGCTCGTTGCGAACAGAGACAGCCTCACGACAGCCTTGAAGGAGCTCCGCTGGCCATGAGGTCTCCCCAGCCTCAGGCTAGGCCGCAGTACCACTCGAGTTTCTCCAGGCAGCCGCAACGGGCCAATGAGTCGAGAGACCGGTGAGGGGGAAAGCAAAAGCGCGGTGAGGTGCTTGTGTGATGGAAGAACGATGACCCAGCCCCGCCACTTCACTAAGTGCGCACAGCCACGAACTGGTGCAAGCCACACGCCTGTGGATCACGGCCGTAGCTGGTTCAGGCGTGCGCCTCCAGGCTTCTGTGCGATACATAAGGCGGGGGACCTTGGTGTCACAGAACATTCCACTCGCATTCCATCTGCAAACACACGTTCGCAGCAACTCGTACAGCTCGGTTTGACGTTTGCGATTGCTTACGCCACGTCCGTGCGCTCAGCCTTATGCAGTGGGTTGCCAGGATCATGCCGCTTCCCGCGCCCCGCTAACACAACAGCTCCAGCTCTCTCAACTCCAACATACACGCTTTTCACACCGACAGCACGCCTGCGTCCCCAAGCATATCTAGAAGCTCGACCTTTGCCGCCCACGAACGCGTCCTCCAGCTCTGCAACCACCTCAGCCGTACCAACACCATGTCGGATCCTCACCCCGCCGCCCCCGTGACCAACACCGAGGGCTGGTCCGAGGAAGACATTGCGCTCCTCAAAGCCTTCAAAGACCCGACAGCCTGCAAGTTCTGCAAGCGCCCTTCCCGCTGCCAAGAGTGCAACCACGAGCTCGTCCCCGAGCCCAAACGCCCCGCCGGCAAACAGAACATCGACGTCCCGCGGCCCGACCTCTTTGGCCAGCTGCCGCCGCCCATCGCCAACCCCGCCCGCCACCGCGACTTCAGCGTCCAATTTCCGCCCGAGGCCCTCGCGCTCGGCGCCTTCTCCGTGTTTGCGGCCGGCAGCATCGAGATGGGCAAGGCGATCCCCTGGCAGCGCCTCCTGGAGAACCACCTCTGCGACCTGCCCATCACCATCTGCAACCCGCGCCGCGGCCAGTGGGACCCCGCCGTCACGCAGCGAGCCAAGGACGCCGCGTTCCGCGAGCAGGTCGAGTGGGAGCTCGGCGCGCTCACCGCCTCCACCGTCATCTGCTTCTTCTTCGACCACGCGACCATGTCGCCCGTCACGCTCATGGAGCTGGGGCTCTGGGCGCACAGCAACAAGGTGGTCGTGTGCTGCAACGGCGACTACTGGAAGGGCGGCAATGTGCACATTGTGTGTGAGCGTTATGGCGTCCCTGTTGTGGAGAGCTTTAGCGAGTTGGTGCCGCTGGTGAGGGCCATGTTGAGGACGAAGGGGTGCATAGTCGGCAAGAGCGGAAACCTGACTGAAAACGAAGCGGAGCGGGATCCCGAGAGGAGCATGAGTCTTGACGAGGCCGAGGGGGTGCTGAAGGGAGCCTTGAGGGAGAAGCAAGGGATTGCGATTGATCGGAAGCAGTTGGGGATTGCGGAGTGAGGGCGGAAAGTGGGAACAGGGGGCGCGAACTGATAGGGAGCGATCCTGGGGTGCATTTGCGGTGTTGGCGGCTGTTTGGGCATGTTGCATATGCGAGGTGGCTTCAGTCTAGTCTGGCGTTGGGCGGTTTAACTTGTTTCTGGAATGTACAACTTTACGAGGGAGGGAACAGTCACGGTCATGGTGGGGACGGAGAGGGACATAGGCCTGATGATACCCCTAGATCGAGCGATGAATTCATGTCAGGACAATCAGTCTATGCATGACCGGTCGAATCCATTGTGGCAAGGTGGTTTGAAATTGAGCCTGTCCCCTGCTTGGGTGCTTCGCATACATGTCTCGATCGAGTGCGACGTCGATGATGGCCAGCTCGATGAGCAATGGCGAGCAGGCTGTGGAGCTCGGCGTCGCGCGGTATCCCTCAGCCCCAAGTCCCTACTCGGCAGCGAAGATCTGGCTCCCAGGTCCATTTTATGTAGCAGAAGGTGCGGTGCGAAAGAGCCAATCGCGAAGGCCCGCGAGCCTCAGGACATCTTCTCGAAGACCTGCAGCCGCACCCGAAACCCTGGTAAGAGTCAGCCACATACCCACTTTGGCGCCAGAGGCCACAGACGGCGATGGAACATGCATCCTCGATTCATTCCGTAACGCTGAACCTCTTTCCGTATGGGTATCGTATCGTGTTGCATCCATCCAGTTACTCCTCGTCGCTCTCCGACATCTGCATCTCCTCGTCGTCGTCCTCGCTCTCGCTCTTCTCCTCCTCTTCCCGCCCGCGCTTCGTCCCCTTCGCCCGCTCTTGCTCGTTGACCGGGACTGCTTTGGCAGGCGCGCTGCCAAAGACCGTGGCGGCCACGCCCGTCTGCTCGGTCGTCTCGAGCTGCTTCTCGGGCAGGTCGGGCTCAGGCATCTTGAAGGTGCCGTCGAGCTTCGCAATGGTGTCGGACTTGGTCTTGGCGTAGGCGATGTGCTGCTCGGTCAGTCTTGGCTGGCGGTGCTGGGGTAGCCATGGACTCACCATGTCCTTGCCGAAGAAGGCGGCGCCCTCGAGCGCGCGCATGGCCTGCGTCGACGAGTCGATGTCGCGGAAGACGACGTGCGCCTGGCCGCGCATCTTGGGCGTCTTGAGAGCGACGACGTCGAGGATGACGCCGTACGTGGCGAACAGCATGTACAGGTTGCGCTTGAGGTCCTCCTTGGGGAGCTTGTCGGGCAGGTTGCGGACGTAGAGGCTGTTTTCGCACGTCAGCTAGGCGGCAGTGGGCGCTGTTGCGGGCAGACGCACGTTCTGTTGGGCGCAGTCTGGTGCACCTTTGCGGGCAGGCCTTGGGGCGGCGGGGGGCGCGCGAGCGAGGCCATTGTGCGGTGCGCGGTGGGTGGGCGCTCGCAGGTCGCGACTTGGGCGGTGGTGAGGCTCTCCCCGCAGAAAGCTTGCAGGCCAGCCAAAATCGCCTGGTCTGTGCGGACCCTAGTTGCCGCCGACGTCTTTGCTACCCGCGCTGCAATTGCGCCTGCACTGCACCCGCGTGCGAAGGAACATGGCACCCGGCGGCGCACCCTTCCCAGCATGATACAGCGCCCGCGAGCCCGCCCCGAGCCTCCCACGATCCCCTCGTTTGTCCCGCCGTCGCCTTGATCCCGCGCTTGGACGCGCCGCTCACTTGCGTCTCCCACCACCTTTCTCTGGAGACCAACCCACGCCCTGTAAAGATGGGCATGTCGCCCGCGCTGAGCCCCAGGCCTAATCCGCCGGGCTCAAATGCTCCGGCCAACGCAGCAAAGGCGAGGCCCCTCGTGCATCTGCTCAACCACAAGACCGTCCCGTCGCCGTCCCTCGCCAGCACAGCGACGACCCCGGGCGGCCCGGACGAGGGTCTCGCCGAGGAGATGAACGACGTTGTGAAGAACCAGTTCGTCTTTGGTGAGCACCCCGCGAGCTCCCTGCCGCATGAATGCTGATGCTGCGTCAAGGCTCGCGCCTGGGCGAAGGTACCTACGCCACCGTCTACCGGGGCCACTACCGCGACGACCCCTCCAAGCTCGTCGCCATCAAGAAGATGAAGAAGAACGCCGAATGGCAAGACGGCATCAACCTCGACTCGCTCCGCGAAATGAAGTACCTCGCCGAGCTGCACCACCCGCACGTCATCAACCTCATCGCCGTCTTCACCACCAAAGACGAAAACATCAACCTTGTCCTCGAGCACCTTCCCCGTGGCGAGCTGCAGGACCTCTGGCAGGACAAATCCATCGCCTACGGCGGCGCCGACGTCAAGGCCTGGGCCAACATGATCTGCCAGGCCGTGTGGTGGATCCACGAGAACTTCGTGCTGCACCGCGACATCAAGTCCAACAACATTCTCATCGCGGCCGATAATTCGCTCAAGCTCGCGGATTTTGGACTCGCGAGGAGCTTTGCAAATCCAGAGGCCGACATGACATACAACGTCATCACGCGCTTCTACCGCCCGCCGGAGCTCTTCCTCGGGTCGTCCCACTACGGCGGCTGCGTCGACATGTGGAGTGTCGGCTGCGTCATCGCCGAGCTCGCCTGCCGCGAGTTCTTCATCTTTTCCGAAACCGATCTGCAGCACCTGGTCCGGATCTGCGACGTCTTCGGCGTCCCGACCGAGGCGGAATGGCCGGGGATCTCCAAGCTGCGCTTCTGGCAGGAACAGCTCGAGAACAGCCCGCCCAAGCGCCCGCAGCCCATGTCCTGGTGGCGCAACAAGATGCCGCTGATTGGCGATGCGGGCATCGACCTTGTGAAAGGGCTGTTGGCGATGGATCCGGCGAAGCGCCTCGACGCGAAACAGGCGCTTGCACATCATTACTGGACTACGGCGCCGAAGCCGCAGAAGAGGGAGAATCTGCCGGGGAAGGGCGGGAAGGCGGCGGAGAAGGCGATGGGCGAGCAGTTGAAGCGCGTGGGGCCCGAAGCCGACGAGGAGAAAATGTCCAAGATTGCGCGGAAGTTGGACTTTGGGGCGATGCGGTGAAGAGAGTCGTAGAGGCTCAGCTGTGTGCTTTGGCTTGGCGTTATGGAGAAGGATAGGATACCAGGACTGCATTGCGCATTTCAAGGCGTTTAGGCTGTGATTCTATCGACATGTGCACATACTACCTGTATATCCCTTGCGGACGTAGAACTCTGCAGATTTGTTTGGGTTTCAAGTAGATGTATAATATGCTATTGTCACACCCGCAGCACGCATCCACTTCGTGTACTCAACAATGAGTGTCAGCCGCGCGCGTTAAGCTTATCCTACACACACGTCACTGCTGCCCCTTACAACTATCTACGTTTCTTGGCACCACTGCGATCTTTAGCGCAGTCAAGCAGGTCGACGGGGCTGGGCTGCTCGCAGGACATCGTGTCTATATAACGTTGTGGCACCGACGGTTGCCTATTCGATTCAAAGACCTAGGGCTTGACTTACTCCTGGGTCTTGGCTGCACTGCATTCCTAGCCGGGAGGAGGAGGTGGGCAAGGCTAGGGTATCTGCAGAACATCGCGTTTCATGATCATCGAGTGCGCCACACTGCACTGCAATCTTTGGCCCGGGCGAGGAGGTCCTCAGCCCTGGAGGGTTGTGCAGAGTACCGGTAGAGTGTAGTTTGTGAGCAAACGTGGTTGTCACCGGAAAACGCAAGGCTCATATCACTGCAGTCTCTAGCGCGGACGAGCGCCAGATGATACTAAGCCTATGTACCTGATAAGGAAGGTCAGCGTCGCATATCTGCAGTGGCATTTTCACGGGGGCCGAGAGGGACCTCCTGGAGTAGAGTTCTCACTGCAATTCTAGCCTGGACGAGGGGATCGAGTGGGCTGAGCAAGCCTTTCAATGGATTCTGATTGGGTTCCTAGTACGACTAGTGTGCACTTCAACCTGGTGCCAAACACGGGGAGCCTTCTCCTACCCATGGGCTCGGTAAGAGGGTGTAATCAAAACCGAGTTTCCATTTGCACTGCATTTTAGCTTTGGGGAGGGCCGTATTCCATTAAGACGCAGAGACGCGTCGCCCAAAAGTAAGTGTTCAATTATTAGTCTTCGGGGAAACAAAAGTGAAACTGAGATGTATGTAGAAGAGGTCAACGAGGCTGGGATATATGCAGGATATTGTTGGACCTTCAATATATGTATAGCAACTCATCATTAGTGGTTGGCTAGAGGTTCGGTGTCGGACCGGGACCGGGCCGAGTCCATGGCAAGACTCCACTGCAATCTTTCGCACGGACGACTGGACGCTGGAGGTCTCAAGAGGACTGAGATGGGAACTATCAATCAATATATCCATTTTGGAAATCTTGTGTACCAGTTTGTTAATACTATTCATGCTACGTACGTCTTTGGTGTGTCAGTCCTGTATAGTGAGCTTTGGAGGATTGGCGCACTGGCGAAAGAGAGGGAACCGTGGTTATTGGAGCAATGACAAGTGAGTGAAAGAACTTGAAGAGCCCGAAATGGTGGATTCAGTGCGACTGTAACTAGCTATGGAGAACACCACTGCGCAGAGGAGTAAGGTAGTTGAAATGATCCTAGTAGAGTCTCGGGAATGGTTTAGTCACGTGAGGTGCCCTGCAATCAACTGCGTATGTTCTAGGGCTTTATCAATCTCCTTGCTTGTTTGTGTTGTAAGTCCATCTTGCTTCGAAGGTTATTGGGTGGTTGATTTCAGTATCGCCAGGCTCGCTTGGCCAGGGTTCGGCTGTCATCCTTGCCGTGCGAGCGGCGCAGTCAAACATTACTGCGCCACTCTTTCTTTCTCTCAGCTTACCCATCTATGATACTCACGTGATACAGGCAGCGGCCTGACTGCGCCCCACGTAGTCTGACACAACTCATCTTGACTTCACTCCTGCATCGAACACCAAGCTCAACGATTCAAACTACCCCTGTGACAAGAACGGGAATGGGCTCCTACAGTGCCTACGACCACGCGTACGACAGTCGATTCAAGATCCCTTCCACCAGCTCACCGACGGCTGTGAAGCGATTCTTGGAGACGATTAAGGGAGGAGAGGGCAACGAGGAAAAGCACTACGCTCGGTGGCGCAATGAGCAGGACGAACGCTGGCGTGCCCGCTTGCCTCGCAAGAGCGAGCGAGCAGCGTTGAGCCTGAATGCCAAATCGTCAAGCCAGTTGCAATCTCGCTTCTTCCAACTGCCGCTCGAAGTGCGAGATGACATCTATCAGTACATCTTCGATGGCGGCACTCTGCGGCTCGATGTGCAAGAGAAGGTCGATGGGAAGGTCGTGCGGAACAAAGAGCCGTATAGGTTGAGGAATCTGGAGCCACAGCAGTGCGTAGCCATCCTGCAAGCTTGCAAGAGGACGTAAGTACACCCGATTGCATGCGCAACGCTTGCCATACACATGTTCAGCAAAGACGCTCATTCTACTGCAGATACGTCGAAGCTGCGCATCTACTCTACACCACCCACACTTTTATGTTCTCGGATCTCACCAGTTTCCTGTGTTTCGAGCGACTCGTGCCCAGCCATCATTGGCACCGCATCAAGAGTATCGGTATCACGTGGGACTACGATGAGGTTGGTCACGACTTCGAATACGACCACCTTCCGTGCCCGACGAATGAGGAAACCTGGAAAGAAGTGTGTCGGGCCGTCTCCGAGATGAAAGGGCTTGAACATCTCAGAGTGGATTTAGAAAAGTGCCCGATGAACCCTTATCAGGCTTCGGATCTCGACCTTCAGCAGCCACTTCGGGACATCACGGCCCCTATCGTACTCGATTTATTCGTTTATGGTAAGAGAAAAGCCTTGACCGCCATCTGTGGGTGTGGATGCGGGGGAATCGAGGGCAGGTGTTACGGGAGCGTGGCGTTCGACCAAACTTCGCTTGACTACGAGTCAGACTCTGAGTAACGTTTGACCGTTCCTCGTCATCAAATAAATCTGACTACTGAGCCAGTCTTCAGTATCCAAGGCCTAGTTTCTTTCGTCGGATCTTTCGTCGCGTGTTTCGAAAAGTCCGAATTTCCTGGAGTAAGTCTATAGATTCAGGGATTGATTACCATTAGTCAGTAGGAGTTGCACCAGTATTTCTCTTCGCAAATCATTGATATACACTGGTAGGGATCCGAATCCGTGGGCTTTTGATTTTCATTCAGCGCTACATGAGCTTCGTCGTCCGCATAACCTTGCTTGCTTCGCTGCCCGTTTTCTAGCGAGACTGTACTGAACTTCTAGGCAGGTTATGGATTCGTGCTTGTTGGTAAAAGGAGAGGTATATACTTGGAGGCTGATGGTTCAAGCATTGTTCCTCGCTTCATCCTCCATTTATCCTCGCTTTACCCTCGCTTTACCCTCGCCATAGCACACGTAGTTGATACTTCCCATACTTGCTCATTCCCACTCATTGGAAATTCACATTCCATGTGGTAATCTGATATCACTTGATACATTAGAGTAATCCAGTAAAAAGGCGTAGTGGGGGAGAAGAGGCTGAAATAATGTCACAAGCATGCCTAAGTCGCTTTTTGTCCGATCAACGCGGTAAGGTTTGGTGTTGCAACGACCCAGCTGGGGGAGGTGGGGGCGATCTATGTAAGGCAAGGCTAGTAACCGTTTAACCGGCATCCTTGCTGGTAGTACATGAACTGCTAACTGAGACAGTGATAGCTAGTGAGTCTAGCGTTTTATGGGTTAGATCTTCAAGCATTGGCTTGGGGGCGTATCGGCAGACTCCCCACCTCGAGCGGGCATGAGTTCTTCCATCTACGTCCATACCTAGATCATGATGGGCTCTATCGCCGCCTTCGACGTCGTAGTCGCCACTCTATTTCTCATCGCTTTGTTTCTGCTCACGGCATCCGTCTACCGTTTGTATTTGCATCCGCTTGCCAACGTCCCAGGCCCAAAACTCGCAGCTTTGACATCATTGCATGAGCTATGGTACGACTGCTTCCAGGGAGGGGGTGGGCAACACGCGTTCAAGATGCGCGAGATGCATGATATTTACGGTGAGTATATACTGTTGCTATCATGGATCGTCATTGGGGGGACCGGCCTGACACGTGAGTAGGTCCGATCATTCGTATCAACCCTTGGGAGGTCCACATAGATGGTCAAGCAGACCCAGCCTTCTGGTATATCCTGTACTCTCAAACGAACAAGCTAGATAAGGATGGTTGGTTCTATAGTTAGTCACCTCACCCGCGTCTGTCGTCCATCTGACTGGTATGGCTCGCAGGCGGCTTTGGCTCGGGTCTTTCCATGATCGCCACTACTTCAAGTGATCTACATCGAGCGCGCCGCGGCGCAGTCTCCAGCTATTTTTCCGCTGCCCACGTTCGCAAGTACGAACCTATGGTTCTGGCGCACATCTCCAAGCTCATCGCTCGACTTGAAACGTGCAGCAGCAACGGCGAGGTGGTTGATCTCGCAAACGCGTACCGGTGTCTGACTCTAGATGTCGTCACCTCCTTCTCAGTGCCTGAACCCGGGAAGATGCTCGAGCTGGACGACTTTGGGAAAGGATTCAATTCTTTGATGCGTGATTTCTCCAAGTTGATTACTCTCCAAAGACATATGAAAGTGGTGATTCCACTTTTGGAACTCATTCCGGACTGGGTGGGAAACGCGATGGACTCTTCTGGCTCCTTTCAACAGCTCGTAGATTGGCGCATGAGCTTCGTGAAGGCGGCCCAGCAGGCCATTCATCGAAAAGGCATACCGCCACCGGGACAGGATGCTTCCATCCTTGACACGCTTTATAGCGCACCTGAGCTGGGACAGAAGGACAAGGTCATGAAATACTTTGTGGAAGAGGCCACCAACATTACTGGTGCAGGTACGGAAACCACAGCATCGACCTTGGGGCTCCTCACGTACCATGTCCTCGCCGATCGGGACATCCGCAACAAGCTTTTGGCAGAGCTATCAGCCATCGGAGGTGATAACACTGAGCTCATAGTGCTGCGCAAGCTCGAAAGACTGCCATACTTGCAGGCCTGCATCAATGAAGCTCTTCGCCTTTCCAACCCCGTCACGGGACGTCTTCCACGATTGAATCCGCGCGCACCCACTACATATACGACACCCGATGGCAAAACGACGTACACGCTTCCTCCCAAGACAGTCATGTCCATGTCCATGCCTGATCTCCACTTCAACGCCTCTATCTTCCCCTCTCCGCACACATTTAATCCCTCTCGCTGGATCGACAGCTCGCCCGAACACCTCAAAGAAATGAACCGCTACTTTGTACCTTTCTCCAAGGGAAGTCGGTCGTGCTTGGGGATCGACGTGGCGAAGATGGAGTTGGTACTCACGGCTGGAAATGTGTTTCAGAAGCTAGGAAAGAACATGCGGCTGTGGGAAACGACGGAGAGAGATGTGAGCTGGGCGTATGATTTTTTTGCGCCGTATATCCCGGTCGATGCGAAGGGATTGAGGGTGAAGATTGGGTGTGGGCCTTAGAAAGGTCACGTGCCATTGCCCCATACATGTGTAAATCTCAAGATCTTCAGCCGCATCTCACCGCACTTTTCAGGCCTGTCAGCCAATGCGCTGAGGTTTACCACTTTCAAATTCGTTTGCAAGCAGCCCACAGTAGTCGCTACGAGTGCAATTTATTCAGGCTTGATCATTTACAGCCCCTCATTGAGGCGTGGAGCTATCAGCTAAGGTTGGACGGCTCGGGGATAGCGGTCTGTTTGATTTTCACTGCAATCTTAGCGTGGACGAGCGGCGGCGACGATGTAGCACAGCCACCGAGAGCAATTATGATTCATTCCACGCTAGTCTTGAAATGGTCAAGTCGCAAATGAATCATATCTTGTGCACAGTCCGACCTGACAAATGCCTAAGGGCCTAAGGTATGAAACATAAATAAAGACATACAATCAGCGTATCAAAGACAGCAGTTTGCATTCAATCTACTTGACAACACAGTCAATCTAGAAAACTTGAGCTACTTCTTTTAGTCCAACCACATCTGTTTACAGCCAATGGTCGACGGAACAACTACTGCAACGACTACAACCACAGAAATGCTAGGTTTGACCACCAATACGAACACAACTACCACCCAGGAAACTGTCAGCACCATGAATGGATCAGTGCGCGAGCATTATGGCTCTACCTTCACATCCATGGATTCTTCGGATGACGACTCGAATTCCCTATGTCCTGCTCTTGTACTTTTGAGCGACTCAGAAGACTCAGACAAAGGATTCCTTTATCCGTCTAGTGAGAGTGCTAGGATCCGTCTACCTTCTGGTAGAACAATATCAAAGAAAGCGAACGGTCCTCATACATCAAAGCATCGACATCGAAGAACGCCATCACCAAACACGAGAAATCATATCCACAGTTCGAGGAAGGTCCAGGGAAATTGTGCATTGTTACCCAACTCGGTCACAGTAGAAAAGCCAATGTCAGCGTTGAGGCCTAGGCATCCACCGACTCCTCTGACGTCGGACTCAGAGAGCGAATATGATCAAATATCAATAACAACAACCAATCGTGAAACTCCCAACAGCTTATTAGCACCTCATATTCGCCTCGCAACCCATCGCACTACAATCCGCAGCTCAGATGCGCAGATGCTGGCTATGCTGCCTGCATCTACACAACGTTCTCTGTTAGCGACAACGAGAAAAGCAGTGGAGAGAGCGGGGAGAGAAGAGCAGGAGTATAGGAGAAAGTTGGACGGATACGGGAACCTGAAGAGTAAAGAGAGGTTTGTCAATGATGTGCCGGGGGGGAAGAGTCATAAAAATAGGTTCATGGCGCAGTGATAGGAGAGCGGTACGGAGGTTTCCGTGGGATGTAAAATGTACTGCAAACAGTTGGAATGTAAGATTTACGAACGTATCTAGCCACGTGAATATGAAAATTCAGGACAACGGAATGCTTGAGTCGCATGAGACTGTCGTGGCGCCCTGTGCATGGTACACTCATTACAGCCCAAAAATCGAGCTTAAATTGTACTCGAGTGAAATATGACAAGGAAGCAATCCAGAAAAGGACGTGGAGAAGTATATTTTGTCTTCCGACCGATAATGAACAGAGACAGACTATCCTGGCCACAAATGAGTACCTCATGAGATGACGTATAACACGTGCAGCATTTCGATTCGCAGTCATTCGTTTCCATGAAAATTAATAGGGGTTGTCACTCTCTGGCCAACATGCGCTCCCACTTGAGCGAAAGTCAGATTTTATGACGGCCTTCCAGCCGGGCCAGAGCCACCCCTCGCATCTTGCGCTTACGCTGTGGACATTGCGGTGACTCATGTGTGTGCCCTCTACATGTCCATCTGCAGCCCGCGAACGACCACCCTCTCGAGCCGCAATCTCGTCGATCAAGGAAAAATCTCAACGGCATGTAACATCCATGAGAAAGGACGCGCCGATGGCGTGAACTGAAAATTGTCAGCAGCATGATCAACCTGGACTACAGACGCCGTGGTCTTTCGGCGAAGCGCATTCGAGCGCTTGAGCTCGAAGCTGTCAAGCTCCTCAACATGTCCAGGTCGGTATCCAAGTTCGCGGGGCGCGAACAGACCGAAACTCACGGCCATGTCAGATGCATCGCTATATTTCTGGCTGAAATCGTTCACACAGGTATTCATTTCTCGCAGTGCTGCGATATACACACCTTCGAAACCGCTCGAGTGGCCGGAAGATTCCGTGATTGACGATTCCTGCTGGTATGGAGCTTGCGCCATGTGAACGTTACCCCGATAGTCGGAGCAGTCCACCTCCCGTGACTGGGTCCAATGCCGATCAGGTAGAGCTGTTTGCGCTGGCCCCACACGCGTGAGTTGAGCAGGAAACATGATCTCCTCAGCGGGACCCACAACCTCGCTCTGCTTCGGCTCTCGGTGGCTCTTGGAGCCAAAGGCAGACTTGATCTTCGAAACGAAACCCATGTTGAATGTTCAGAATTTCTCTTGGGCTCTGGAATCTCGATTCTCAAACCCTTAGAGGCTTTTCCTTGTTCTTCAAGTTGTGGTTGTCACTTCAAAATTGGGTAATGATATGAACTCTGACTCACGTTGAAGACATATACCACGTCAGAAAAGTGTATATACAATGCGCCTAGAACTGATGATAGTGGTTTCTTGATCTCGGTGAAAATGTAAAGTCGCGCACAATGTTTTCTTATCTGCCCCAGACCTTGTCTCACAAGTGCTACGTCAAGTTGTGGTCTCATCGATAACGTACGTACCATAGGTACCTGAGACATAACGACCAGTATCCCCTACTGACAAAATCAAGATATCATATAAGTAGTATCATTTGTCTCAGTTGTTGGCAAAGAGAAATCCACGAATCCAGGCCATTATTTCAGGGTCTCACATAGTCACAGTAAGATTTTATTAGCGTTGATTACTTCCATTGGAAACTACCTGGGGTGAGGTACGTATTTTGACCACAGCCTCTGTTGCATAAGTCCTACCATACATCATCCCACTTGCAATCCATTAGCTCTTCCGTGATTTCAACATCTTGCCCCAATCATCCTATCCCACCCAATTGCCCTCTCGACCAAACTACTTCATGCCAACTTCTTGAAGTCAGAATTATTGTCCTAAGCCATACCAGAGCCGCATTCGAGCAGTACAATCAACGCCACGCTGGGCGGGGTTGCTCCTCGCCGGAAGACGCCTCCCCGCCGCTGATGATTTATAAAGTGCGTGAAGGTCCGCTTCCACCACTCTTGATTCGGAGGCCACGAACCCTACGTATAGCCTGCCCAGTGAGAATTCGGATTCCACGTGGTGTAGGAAGATCGTCGCCAACCAAACTCTTGGGTACCTCGGGTAGAGGATGAGGCGACTTGATATGATTCGAGCGCGTATCCTCGCTGTTCTGGTGCGCGGTGAGAGCGAGCTCAGTCATGCGGGTCAAAGTGTTGAGAAGGAAATGGGAAGAGTTGGAGGCAGTAGGCACATCGCTGTCTCCGAAGGTAGAAGCTTCGTCGTCTCCATCGAACCCTCGCTCTGCATCCAGATGTCTTTGCTTATCTCCGTGTCCTCCTCAAGCATCTTCGTGTTTTCGTCGTCTCCGAAATCGAAGTCTATATCCATATCCGGCTCATTGCGCGGCACGATGCCAGACACGCGATAGACTTCCTTCGGGCGATCGTAGCTGAAGTCTGGCGGAATCACGACTCCGGAGGCAGTTGTGTATGATTCGTACGTAAACTCTAGCGGCTCCTGGAAATCGGTAGTGTGAGTACGGCGGTGCGTTCGAGCTGGTCGGATGCCTTCGATAGGCGCAGGATGGATGCACTTATTGGGATGCTGATAGAAGGCCGCCGAATCGCGAACGGGAGACTGTGGTGGCGAGAAAGGCTTCCGATCGTGGTTGTCACGATGCCTTATGCGTAAAAAGGCGGTTTTCAGCTTTCGGAGGACACCCATAATTGAGTGCTACGGTTGAGCTCGCTTGGGTGGCTTGGGCAGGGACACTTGACAGGGATAGCGTCATGGATATAGGGATAGGGAAGCTTTCCCAGAGCGAGGCCATTGAGTGCATAACCTGATCCGCGGTCTATGTGAAATAACACCAGATGGTCCTCTGAATGTGAGGTCTATCTAGGAAGGGCACGTGCGTATAAAATCTGATATTTGGCGACTCAAAGCGGTACTGGTCATTGCGGAATAAGTGAATATAAACGATCTGGAGGAGAGAGTTATTTGGGATTTCTCCGACCGCTCCAAACATCTGAGACTGGAGCGACAAATAATCAAGGAGAGAATAGTACTCCTCAAACAAATTTGCAGGCTGCTACGTTGGGAACTCGACAGACCGACTTCGTCAGATCACTGCACCTTCCACAGCAATGACTGCGAGTTGCTGTATGATTCATACTAACAATCACGTCAGAGAGAAGCCGGCCACGATATGCTCCTTGGTAGAATAAGTGCGAAATGCGCTAGGTCAGGCAGAAGATCGGGTCGCGCAACAACTGAAATGTACCCTATCTTCTCACTTGATTCAGGATCCACCATCCGCATAACCAGCCTCCGATACCCCATCCACCCCTGTAGACAGCAAGCTAGTGTAAATTGTCACAGGGACTGGCTTCCGTCGAAGTTCACGGGGTACATGGCCCACATGCACCTTTCTAACGATATCTCTGACGGGAAGCAGATCCCTCTGCTCAACCGGGTCGCACGACCAGAACTCGACGGAATGAGAGCGCGTGAGAGCAGGTGTCGAGCGTTGCGCCACATCATTGTGATGAAACTTTTTCTTACCTGGAGTAGGCGGCTTGCCAAAGCATAGGATTGAAAGAAAGAATGGTTTCATATTGTGAGATTGGTCTCTGTTTTTAAGATTAGCGTAACGGTGTCTTCTATGAGGGATGACTTTTGGAACGTCTTGAGGGAATATGGCTTTTTGTCATAATATGCGCACAATACACCGACCAAGAGTTTGGGTATATTGAGACAAGTTTTTGAGATTGCATAGTTATTTAGTCCTACGGTGCAAATTTGATATTGTCTTCAGCTAAGACATTCTTCATGCTAATGTCTCGGAGAAGCCGACTTCGGGATTCTACAATTATCACTTCAGTGCTTTGATTCTCCCCTAATGAGGGCTACTGCGCGCTTTCGAGCACTCATCTAACTCTACTAAGACTCGCTCAGAGAAAGTTCAGTTCTTCAAGTCATGTTTCCACCGCGCATCAACTTCAGTAGGTACCCCTACCTTCTCGCCTAAGGTATTACTCTACCCGTCGACTTCAGACGAAGCCACACGGATATACCACGCGCACACCGGACCGTAGTTTTAGGGTGTATAATGTACGTTTGAGGTAGTGTTGATCAATATCACGAGTGTGAAAGAGCGGTTAGCCAGTGACAGTAGCGGACCCATGTTGACAACCATGCCCACAAAGCATAGACTTGTTGGAATGAGGGAGTTTGTCTATCCTCACTATATGGCCGATGCACGTTATCTCGCACAAAGAACAAGCCGCGCAGTACATTGTCGACTCTCGAAATAATACGATGATAGCAAGACTGCTCATATCAAGTGTGTGGCAAGCTCATCTGAAACTCGCGAAGGCAGATTATTGCCATTTGAAAGAGTGAGGCGCATGTCGAGGGGACATGCAAATCTTTCTCGGTCGACAGAAATTATGCATTCGGATTAGGTAGAAGGCCATCATATCACAGTGTTTCTGCGAGTCCAAAGCTGGCTCTTTGGTTTCCGGCACGTCTTGTTGGAATACCTCACACAGATTTTGGCCGGTGAAGCTGTCGATCTGTGCTTCTGAACATTGAAGAAGAAGTCATTGATGTATTCAGTGCCCAGCTGATCGTCTTTCGGCGGTTCCTGATCCTTTGGTAGGTTCATCTTGCAACCGGACCCTTGAAACCCGCGTAGCCCCTTCTTTGGTCACGCGCACGCATCGCCGAGTCATCGTTCCTGGGCCAGATCCAAGAGCCATGCTGGTATCCAACTTCGGAGAACCAATCGTGATTGGTCTCGATGAATTCTGCGTACTGTGTCAAACGGCGAGAGATAATGATGAATCATAAATGGCAGGCATGTGAACAAAAGCGGGCGGAAGCGATTCCCCTTCCGTCAACTTCATTTCGTCATCTCATTGAAAAGATTTTGGTCGAGCAGCACCGCCCCAAGACACGCAACAGTTGCGATGTGTCAATATTGATTCGATGACCAAGAGGACACATGGAGTTGTTTCAGAGTTTTGGATGGCTAGCGGTGCCGGCTCAGGGTCCAGACTTGGACCAATCAGGCTAGCAGACGCGACCCCACGCGGAAAGCCTCACCGCCTGCATCTGCCCCTCCAAAACACTCGAATATATCCTTGCAGCACTCTGCTCCTTGCTCAATTGCACTCCACCCTCTTTATAGCGTGTGTTTCTCGTCCCAGAACTTCGCACCTCGGATTCGCGCGCAAATCAGAACAAAAACGACACCATGGCTGCTGCAGTGTCCGCCTATCCCCCGCTCAGGGACCGCCCGATCCAGAACACCGTCCTCCTCTTCGATGTCGACGAGACGCTGTCCAAGGCGCGGAAGGTGCGACCAGACATACCCATCGCCCCTTCCGAATGTCACCTAACGTCAATACCAGCTTGCGAAGCCTGAGATGCTGCATTTGCTCTCTGAGCTGCGACACAAGGTTGCCATCGGCTTCGTTGGCGGCTCCAACCTCGTCAAGCAGCAGGAGCAGCTCGGCGGCAACATCGACGTCACCACCCTTTTCGACTTCTGCTTCTCCGAGAATGGTCTCACCGCATACCGGTTGGGCCAGCCGCTCGCGAGCACGAGCTTTATTGGCTGGATCGGCGAGGACAAGTACAAGCAGCTCGTCAAGTGGTGCGTTCCTTCCTATACTGCGCGCCTACAAGGAAAGTGCGACGGGCAATTGACATGCATGGCAGGATCCTCCACTACATCGCCGACCTCGACATCCCCATCAAGCGCGGCACCTTCATTGAGTTCCGCAACGGCATGATCAACGTGTCCCCCATCGGCCGTAACGCGTCTGCCGACGAGCGCAATGAGTACGAGACGTACGATAAGGCCAACAACATCCGCACGACCATGATCGCCAAGCTCAAGGAGGCCTTCCCCGACATTGGCCTCACCTACTCCGTCGGCGGCCAGATCTCCTTCGACGTCTTCCCCACCGGGTGGGATAAGACGTACTGCCTGCGCCACATTGAGGCGGACAAGGACCTGCCTGATGGCGTGGAGTACAAGACGATCCACTTCTTTGGAGACAAGGCGTACGAGGGTGGAAACGACTGGGAGATCTACAGCGACCCCAGGACAATCGGGCATGCGGTCAAAGACCCTGAGGATACGTACAGGCAGCTGAAGGAATTGTTCTTCTCGTGAAAAGAAAATCTCCTGGAGAGCCTTTAAGCCGACTGTAGCCGAAGAGTTCGGGACGAGACGTGCATGATGGTGATGATTTCCATAGAGCGGTTCGTTGAGATACAGATATCAGATGAATGCATATACCATAAGCCGAAGCTCTCTTTGGACTTGAGAGGGAGCCTGGATTAGAACTTCCGAGTCCTCGCAGGTAAAGGCTCTACCTTCCCCTCTCCTAACAAGGCTCTTTCGTAGGAGGGTCATTCGACCAACAAAGGCACATGGTATGCGTAATCTTGACTACCCAGTCCTCTAAAACACCCGCACTCTACGCCTGTTCAAGAGGTCAGCATCTCCTCGTCAGAGCTAAAGATTGCAGCGTGGAGGAAACTAGAAGTATCATGTCAATCACCACGAGCAACGACTCAGTTCGTATATGATTCTTCCATAGGCCGGAGCTTGTCCATATCGTTCCCTCTTTTCGTGGATCGAAGGATTGCCATAGTCTTCATTCCTATTCTTCAGCGCTGCTCGGGTCGACTTTCTCATATGAAACTCCTTGTTCACGCAGAAACTCTATAGTAGACACTGCTTCTTTTCAACCACTGGAGACATGGAATCTTCTCGCCTATGGGGAGCTAAGGTATCGTAGCACAGATCTTTTGCGCCTATGTAGGTGGACTTTTCACGTTGCGTCCACAGCAGCCTTGACCTGCAACGCAACGATCCCTATGGAACCCGGCTGACCTCGTATTCGGCAAGCAAAACCATTTATCATAGTAGCATTCTACCCGTCACAGCACACCCCACCACCTTCTCAGCCGCGTCCTGAAGATTCCGTGATATTGAACCTCATTTACAAGTCCATACATCCATAACCTTGATATTCTAGACCATTTCGAACGTTCGAATATTTCTATCCATTCAAAGGATGGATATCGCGATGACACAACATCCACCCCTTCCTGAAATCCACAGCTGTGACTTTTGTTCGGCACAAGAAATTGATCCTCTTGCGCGTTCAAATCTAGAGAAAGTTTTCGTCATTAGATATCGAGGATCGAGGGTACAGAGGGGTGCATCGAATGGCTGCTCGTTCTTCGCGCGCATCTTGGACAAATTCATCTCAGAGCACGACAATGATTATATCGGAGACTTGCAATTAGATTTTTGGATGTATGAGCTCCTCATACATATCCCGGACAACTACGATATTCGAATCGCATCCTCCCGATGGCGTTCGACCGTTTATCACGAAGAACATCGAGCTGAAATGTTTGGCATACTTGCACTGCCTGGTAAGACACAATGATACCTACACGAGAGGTCCAGTGATCTTACATGCGTTCAGGGGATCCTAGTGCCAAATACATCTCTCGAAGGCCAAAACTTTATGATGATTACAGAGCGCCAGAGTCCACGAAGCGCGCTGCCTCGCTTCTTCGCAATTGTGACAAACATCATCGGGGATGCCACAGTCTCCAGTCGTGTGGACGACCCAAAAGACTCATGCGTATCAAAAGGGACCAGTCCAGCAACAATCTCTGGATATACTTGGATACTGCAATTCAGCGACTACCTAAGCCCACAGTAACAAGATATTCTGCATTGAGTTACTGCTGGGGAGGAGACCAGAAACAGAAGTTGGAAAAGGATTCTATTCATGCGTACAACAGCGGCGTCGATATCTCCGAGTTATCGCAAACGTTACAGGACGCTGTGGAGCTCAGTTGGGATCTCGGTATAGATTTCATCTGGATAGATTGTCTGTGCATCATCCAGAACGACCCAGAAGATGTAGCGCGCGAGATTGCTAATCTGCCGGCTATCTTTGGCAATGCTTATGTTACCATCTCCGCAAGCAGAGCTGGTCATAGCCAGGAAGGCTTTCTCCATCCAGTGTCTTACCCATCAACGGGAGACAGCCCCTTCCGCATTCCTTATGCTTGTCCTGATGGTGGACTTGGATCCGTCATACTATATCGTTAAATCGACAATCCTATCCATTCGCGCGCTTGGACCTTCCAAGAATACATGCTTTCGCCTCGCATACTAGAATATACATGGTCGCAACTTCAATGGACATGTCGAGAGGAGGAATGGCATCAGGAGGAGAAGGAAAAGAGGCTAAGAGAGATGTACCAATTGTCTTCATCTCTCCACCGTGGTGATGTTGCACGCTCTACAGCTACTGAGTGCCAGACTTGGATGGACATCGTGTGGGTGTACTCGGGGAGGGTGCTCAAATTTTCCAAGGATAAACTTCCCGCGATATCAGGACTGGCAGAGCTTTGGAACAGACGCACACGTTCAGATCGCTACATGGCTGGCCTTTGGCTCTCTCATCTCCCCTTGGGGCTATTGTGGTTCAGCGAACAGACCTTTCTACCACAAAACCATGCATGGCGCGCCCCCTCGTGGAGCTGGGCCTCGCTGGATGGTCTCATCGTTTGGCATAGCGATATGATGACAACTGTCGACCCTGTCTTTAGAATTCTCCCCGAGACGACCGAGGCGATGGGACTTGCTCACGAAGGTGCACCCTATGGCGAAGTTGTTTCAGGGTCCTTATACATTAAAGGACGTGTGAGAAAGGGCAATGTCTCGTCGGATGGCCAAGATGAACCCAATGCCATTAATCTAGACAGAGCGGAAATCTGCTGGGATAACGACAGCTTCGCATCTTTGGCCTCAACCTCCGAGATCTTCTGCCTGCTGATATGTCAGTTCGAACAGGTAAGACAACCAGGACCGTCAGGGTTGTTAATGAAACAAGTCAATCAACAGAAGTATAGCCGGATTGGTGTTTTTCATTTCAAACCTTTGCAGATCTACGACCTTGAAGGAGACGAGCATGTGGACATTGAAGGCCGTGTAGAGAGATTTCAGCGTGCGCAAATAGCTGCGGCTGAGTTGTTTGAATCCTCTGATCCAGCAAGCATTGTGCTGATCTAATCCTGCAGTCAAAAGTCCGGCGAGGTCGCAGCCTAGTGAAGAATACTACCAGATAGTCAGCCTTGATTATCTTGCACAAGATAAGACTTACTACTTCTCGATATGTCCTTCCCATAATAAGTTTTCTTCTCGAAGGTTAAGTCCATTCAGACTTGGACCAGATGGTGAAGCTTCTTTGTGACTGCTGTTAGTGTGGCTGGTACTAAAGAAAGCCACGCTTACCCAACTCGGCTCATTATATATGGTCGTATGTAGCAAAAGCCCTAGCGCGAGCATCATATCCCTGTACAATGATGTCTCAATGTTTGACGGCTGCTGTTCTTCGCGTATGCCAATTGTGAGCACTCGCGAACGAACCGTTCACTCAATCATCTTCCTAGACTGTCCGCGTTTCCCCGATGCAGAAGAAGAACGCTATCATTAGATGCGGTCGCCTGTGGGGCACATAGAGCAGGAAAGCCACGACGACAGACATCCACTCACGAGCGCAACTCCCAGGCAAAGAATCCCTTGGCCAAATCATTGCAAGGATCGCAGTGCTCACTTTATCAGTAATTCAATACAACGATGATCTGTTCAATTAAAATCGGGGTCGCTTCATTTGCGACGAGCTATACGAGATGTCACAACGTCATGTCCGCTTTGATTCAATGAGATAGCCTTTTGCGCCGCCGGAGCTATCGGAGGAGAAGCATGTGATAGCGTTGAGAAGTATCCTGATGGCATGTACAACAAGAGCATGCTCCTCAATATGGATAATGGGTCTCAAGTTGTGGCCAAAGTTCCCAATCCGAAGCGTTACTTCGTCCAGATAGAGTGACTGAATCACAACAGGTCCGGAATGTTCTGAGCACTCCCAGTCCCAAAGGTCTCGCTTGGAGCTCCAAAGCTCAAGAACTCCATTGCTCTATTTAATCATAACTCTCCTAGACACTGAAGCGCAGAAACAACTTTTTGAATTGCGTTTTGCAATCGACTAGCACTCATCCGACAGCTGAAAGCACGATGTGCCCCAATAGTGCTGGTCCCAGTGTCGATAAGACTCAACAAGAGCATGTCAACAAGCCGGTCTCGCAACTTGGAAGCGATGCTGATCTGGAAGCCGGACTGCAGTGCCAGCGACACCCCCTATTGCTCTCAACCGTGGAAACAGCGTGACACCGTCAGAGCAAGCTCAGCCCGATAAGTCCTGAGCGTGAACAGCTCCGAGTAACACAGAAGAGGCACGAAACGGGCAGTACACGCGCTCCACCAAATCTGTGAGGCGTATGAGGGCAAAAGCCAAGCATTAGAAACATGGAAGACTCTCGCTGCAAGATGTGGGCGGAGAACAGTCCCAGCTCACACAGTGAGAAGAGAGTAGAGTTGTAGAGAGTGATAACAGTTTCGTATGCTTGAAGTCTTACAAAGGGCAAAGGCAGTAGGACTGCAGACATGCGCCCTATTGCGATGCAAGGAGTACCAAGGTACAGTAGCTTTGGTTGTCGCCTGTAATAGATGTTGAATATCGCAAACGTGCATGCGGAAGTTAAGCACAGATTCCACGGTCCGTGAGGAGCATAGCAGTGGAGAAGAGTATTATATGGAGAAGTTCACGACGTTTTGCCCTTGAAGGCATGTGGCCCATCGACCAATAAGGCGCCGTGCTAGCCAGATGACTAACTCATTTAGGTTAGCACGGTGCGGGGACAGCAGGCCTGTCAGCTGGCTGCGTCATGTTCCAATCTTGCCCTACGACCTCTCATCTACCAATAGCGTGCAAGTAAAGTATCAGGATCGATCTTCGCTACAAGATCGATCGTAATTCTATTTGCTGCGGACTTGCTTGGTTGCTGGGATGATACCTCGATGATGTATTTTGGTGGTGTGGTTGCTTGCAAAGTAGTGTCGTTTAAGTGGGAAGCCGCCACTCCATCCCCGCAATGATGTATTCCACCTGCATATCCAAGTTTCGGGGTAGCACGGAAGCTTAGTGACGCACGGCGATCAAGGTCAGATACAAGTGCCATATATAACTGTGCAATTGCCATCTCTGATCGGGATAGTATCCCCCATTCAAACTATCTCAATCAAACCAAACAACTTCACCTTCAACGACATGGACGCACTTAAGGGAGTCACCGACACTGTCGGCAACACCGCGAAAGGCGCGACCGACACCGCTGGCGACGCAGTCAAGGGCGCTACCAAGACCGCTGGTGATGCCACCAAGGGTGCCGGCGATTCCGCAAAGGGTGTGCATTTCTCTCCATTTCTAAGCATGCATTTATGCTGATCATTGTGCAGGTGCGACTGGAAAGGCATCAGGAGGCGGCGGACAAGACCACCTCGGACTAGGAAAGACAGGTCTTTAGGTTATAGCCGGTCACCAAGTACAGCATACCATAGTGAATGCATATTACACGATGTAAAGCTCAACCAAGATGCATGAACGAGTGAGAGAGAGTGAGAGATGCCAGACCTAACCTAGTACTGCTTCGGCCGCGCTGAGATTGCACATTGCAAATAGCGATATTGAAGATGTGGAAGGGTAAGCGACTACTCTCCAGTTAAGCCCCAGCCCTGCGGTACCAACATCGCAATCCGGGTAGAGTTGACCTCGCTTTGCAACCGTCATCTTCTCGAGGCATCACCACCTCTTCGTCCGGGCTAGAATGGCAGTGACAATGTGAGTTTTCACAAGCAGTAAGCTCTTTGTTTCAGGCACAACCAGCCTGTGACTGGCTATTTCCCACATCCAGCCGCTGATCCAGGACTTCCTCGTCAGCACTAAAACTGCAGTGCACTGTCAAAACCAGAGAAGAGAAGCGAAATGCTGCTGTCGTCCCTGAAACTTTCGACCCTAACCCACGCTCTCCCTGACGGATCTAAAATTGCAGTGTATACCCACCTGGTAGCCTTGTCGCTGTTTGCCACCGAGCTGAGACAGCTTCTCCTGGCCTGCATAAGATACTGCGGTGCGGGCAGCGGTCTGCAAACTGCTCAGAAACCCCATAGGAGAATTCAAGCTAGTGCAGTGTTTGCACAGTCCCTATTCATTTAATGTCCCATGCTCATATTATGCATAAACATCTCTTCTCTTTGACCTCAGCTATGGCTGACCTCGGCTATCAAAGTCCTCTCGCCGGCGCTAGAAATTGCAGTGTAAGCGGCGCTAGGGAGCCCTCACCCTGAATCGATCCTTAATGCAGCAGATCTCATCCGTAGAGCCTGCTAAGAAGACGTACAAAGTACGAGGAGAGAAATCCATCGCGCGTGGCCGTTATTTCGCGGATCTGTACACCCATACAGCCGCCAGCATTCTGCGCATCCAAGCCACTCAAAACCAGCCAGCCTATGAAGTCCCTGAGCTATGCTTATCACGATATACACATCAGACTTCAGACTATCCACATGCCCTCGCCCGCGCCCGCGCCAAAGAATGCAGCGTGCCCGTAGTGATTACCCGTAGTGATTACGATCAAAGATGATGCCTACTTTCTAACCCTGATCCATAAATCTTTCGATGGGGTTGAAATTTCCGTGCATAGTGTGGGTTTCAGACCGGATCGTGTCGAACTCACATGCAACTTGCATGCACCTTGGCAATAGCTCTGAGAAGACGAAGCTGCGGCATCAGCAACAACATACGGGCAACTCGTTAGAAGCACACTCCTAGACGCTAGCCTCGAATCTCCTCGTCCGAGCTAACGATTGCAGTGCAAAATAAGAACCGGTGTCCCAATTAGGCCATCTACAGGACTCAGCCTAGCCCTGACCTTCGCCCTTCCTCGTCCGGGCTAAAGAATGCAGTGTTGCTGAGTATGACGCAATTTCCAGTGATGCACATCAGACTCTAGGCAGCACAGCCTCAGCTGAGGCCCGAACCCAAGACCTCCCCATCCAGGCTGAAGATTGCAGAGAAATCGGCCCCCGATTGGACCGGCGAGCAAGCGAGCGAGCACCGGAAAGGGGAGACCGCGAGCCTCTTTTTCGAGTCCGCAGCCCTGACCCACGACGTCAACAATTGCAGCATTCGTGCAGACGCCACGCTTTCGTGGACAGTTCAGCCTTGCTCTAACCCACACCTCCCTCGGAGACTGCAGTCCTTCCAAAGTCATCATTGTGTAAGATCCAAAGCTTCAGCCTCAAGGCCACTGTTTACATCTACCTTCCCCTCGACGAGGCTGAATATTCCTCGCAAAGCGGAGCCGAGCCGGACCCTTTCTTTGATGCCTCAGGCACAACCCACGTCCTCATGGACGCTAAGAATTGCAGTGCTAATCTCCGAAGTAGATTCGGTGTAGTAGTATTACCTCCGGTACGGTATCCGAGTAGCAGTGTCAACCTCCGGTGTGCTTTCAAGATTTCAGTGGCTGTTCCGGTGCTGCTTCACAGCCAATGTTGTAAGTCCGATACCATATTGCTCATGATATCGCTGTCCTGATTGGTCTACGAGCTCAGCCTCTCGCTCGCTTGCAAGGTAGTTCCTCTCCTCGCTGGGGCTAAAATTGCAATGTTCACCGGTGTAGTGTTCATTGTGGCCCCTTGCCTATGGTTAGACTCGGGCCCACTGTAAATTCTCCGGTTGGCAAGAAACTCCCCGGCTGGTAGGGCTTTCGTGTGCCTTAGGTACCACCCACCTCGTCGGGTGGGCTAAGATTGCGGTACAGGGTGCCGGTACCTCTCGGCAGGCGCTCCAGATCTCTTTCGGCAACCGTTCCTGATGTATTTCAGCTCCCAAGCTTCCGTAGAAAAGAGCGAGTACGCACCTTAGCCCGTGGTCCCCTCGCCGGGGCTAAAAATGCAGTGCTGTGGCTGTGGCCGCCTCACGTCCCCCGGGCGAGGAAGTCGATGTATTGGGTGCTAGGCAGTATTGAAGCATAGCCAGATCCGCGGTCGTGGGCCGGCTTCTGCTTAGAATGGGGTAATCCCTCAGCCTGACCGATTCGCGTGATATTGCTTGGACCCCAGCCGAAGACCACCTCGTCGGGTCCAAAACTGCAGTGCAACGAACTCATGCTCTCTTCTCTAAACCCTATCCCAAGCGCCCCCTCGTGCGGGAGAAAATGGCAGTGAAATAAACAAACATATCACCCTCATCCTCGTCAAGGCTAAAGCTTGCGGTGAAGCCGCCACACTAAGGCCGTCAACGCACCACCCCCACGGCCAGGCTGAAAAACAAAAACGCGCTGCAACCTTCAGCAGCGTGAGGACCACAAGCAATCTCACGTGCAGATATCAGCTGTGCAATTCTGTTCGGCAACACCTCTTCGTCCGGGCTAAGAAAGCTGGTGCCCGCGACCGGTCTTGACATCCATCTAACCCTGGCCAGGGACCTCCCCTTCCGAGCTAAAGATTGCAGTGTCAGTGGTACTCACGTATTCCCCTACATCCACATATGCAGGGGGCCCATGTAAGATTGCCTGAACCCGGGCCCAGGACCTCGTAGGGGCCAGAAGTGCAGTGCTGTGGTTGTAGAACGGGAGCCCTAGCAAGGCTGGTCCATATACCCCGTCATCACGCGACAGGCAGCAGCAGCTCCCCGTCGGGGCCAAAAAAAGCAGTACTAGGACCGTGCGAACGACGCTGGATTGGGCGGTGCTTGCAAGTGGCCTATGCAAGGCACCGACGTTGCACCTCGAGGCGCCTCCGCGCTAAAGATGGCAGTGTCTCCATCGGATTCATGCCGCCACGATATGCTCGCTCTCGTCCTGCATGCACAACTTCAGCATCACCCAAGTACCCAAGAGGCAGCGGAAATAGTCACATGCTAAACTAGACTACATATAACGACATAACACGGGCTTTCGAAAGGAACAAGAAAAAAGTGGGTATCCATACTCCTCAACTAATCGTCCAGCGAGAAAAGCCAAAACAAAGCCCAGACAAGCAGGTTATCATATACTCGTTAGTCGCTGAAATCCATCCTCCTGTTCCCTTCAATCCCATCCTCATGTCCCTCTCCCCCATCCCTCAATTTTTGCGTTTCGTTCAGTACTTCCTCCTCACCCTCTCGGCGATACTACTCCCCTCATCCTCCTCCACAACCGCCGGCGTCCTGACCCTCATCCTCTCCCTGTGCCCCCTCCGCCTCCGATTATGACTGACATTACTCGCTGAATCGTCCGGCCCGATCTCGCTCCTCCCATCTCCGTCCCCCCAGCCCTCCTCTCCCACAACACTCGCCGGCGTCCCCATCCGCACCTCAATATCCGCCGGCCTGCGAGCTTGCGCAACCATGCTGAGTGCTGCCCCACGCTCCCGCAGCCTGCGCCGCACGTTCTCGGCCGCGACGTGCAGCGCCTCGAAAGCATCTTCCATGGCCTCCATGCCGAGGTAGATTTCGCGCTCGACTTCGGCGAGGACAGCGATCTCGGTTTCTTCGTCGATTTGCACAGGGGCGGGGCCGCCGCTTCCGGGTCGGACGCTACCTGGTCTCGCGGAACCCGGGCGGGGACTCATCATGGGCGCGCCGAACGGGGAGGCAAAGCGCTGCGGGCCACCGAGCGTAGGGACTTCGCCTGAGGGCGTGCGCGAGGCGTTGGGCGAGGGCTCGGCGCCCGACCAGAGGAAGCCATCGAAGCGGCCGGAGACGAGGATTTCCCACTCGTGTTTGGTGACTGCGGCGAGGGTGGCGAGGGTGTTGTGCATGTCCGGGTTGCGCAGCATATACATAGTGACGAGCTGGTCGCGGGGCGGTTGGTACAGCCTGTACAGTCTCTGCAGCGCGAGCGCAGCCTTCGTGATATAGGGCGGCGTGGGGCGGGCATCTTTGGCCGTGCGTGGGTGCGGCATGGTGTCCATGCCCCAGAGGACGGCGTAAAACAGTGGGCGCTGCTGCTGCTCGAGGCGCGTGAGCATGGCGAAGGTGAGGGTTTCGTCGTCGGCGTCTTCGGGGATGGCGTCTTGGTTGTTGGAGAGCCAGGACTGGACTGAGACTTTGGTTTTGCGGGCTTGCTGCTGATAGTGTTCTTTGTACTGCTCCGGGACGTCGACATCGATGCGTTGGCAGGGCGGTTCGAGGTCAGCGATTCCCAGACCGTTTGGTTGTGCTGTATCGACGGGAGGCCATGAAGGAAGGTCGCATCGTCCGGATACCAGCTCGAGAATCTCGCCCCAGTTTACTCCAGCTTGGTCTTCGTGCAGAGGTACATCCAAGCACATGATGCACGGGCATTGCTCAGATGATATGTTGCGTGCGAATACTGCTTCGAGCCGGTCGAGCAGACGGCGTGCCACAGAGCGATACCCGGTGGCGACCGCCAACGAACCGCTGGTGTCCATGACTGCATTGTAATCATTGAGCAGCTTTTTCAGGGGATTGAAGAAGGTGTGAGCATCGTGTGTCTGCGGACCGGATATGCGGGGCGACATGTACTGAGAATATGCAGGTACTGGTGTGCCGTCCATTGCAGCGAGTAGCGTTCTGGGAACTGGCTGCTTCAGGCCTCCATTCTGCAGCAAGTAATCCACTCGTGGCGGGTCCATGAGAGCAGGCGGTGGTGGTGGAGGAGGTGGCGTAAGAGGAGACTCATTATACGAGTCTGCTGATTGCGCACGAGAGAGGGGGTCGGTGATGATTTCAACTGTAGGTCTTGGGGGTGCTTGCTTCGCTGAGAAGGGGGTCGGCAGGACTGAGTGTTGGGTCGGCGTCCGTGGTGAGGAATCTACCACAGAGTCGGGCGACACTTCAGAATTGGTGGGTGAATGGTCCACTCTGCGGGATGGCTGGCGTTCCGGTGGGATCGATGTGAATTCGGAACCTGTCGACTGCGTGACTTCCGAGGATTGCTGGGAACGCGCTCTGACGGTCGTCGACGGCGCTCTTCCTGGCGGCCTCGCGTTCGAGGGGCTGGCTGTCTTCGTCCTCGGCGGCGGTGCTTTTGGCGGTGGTGGGGGCGCTCTTGTGGGGGCTGCTCTTGGAGACTTTGCGCGCACGGTGCTGGGGTGGCTGCTCGTCGTGGAAGTGAACTCGGTGCTGTCGATGTCGGCATCTCTGATGCTCGAGCGAGACGCGGCGCCGGCCCGGGGATCAGGCGTCAGGCGGGTGCCGCTGTCGACGCTCTGTCTGCCTGATGCCATCTCCTTGTGTAGCTCATCGACGTTCCTCCGCATGCTGTTCCTGCTGGCCGTCTTGCGCAGGTCAGCGCCATTGGTAGCGGCGAGCGGCGGACTGGGCGGCGCTCGAGTGGGCGCGGGGGGCGACGTGTTCTTGTGGTCGTCGCCGCCGTCGGTGGGCTCAGGCGTGGCCGGCGGCTCCTCACGCTTGTAGATGTTCTCCTTCGCGTGCGTCTTGGACAGGGTGGGGTAGCCCAGGCTGGTGCGCGAGCCGTTCAGCGAGCTCATGCCCATGGAGCTGCGGCGCTCCATCTCGGGCACGACGCCCATCTTCAGCGGCTTGGGCGCCGACGTCGACGAGGTGCGGGTGCGCTCTTTGGGCGGGCGGTCGGCCAGCTCGGTGACGTCCTCCTTGCTGGCGCCGGTGCTGGCGCTGGAGCGGGGCTTGCGGGAGCTGCCCGACGGCCGCGTCTTGCTGCTGCGGTGGCGCTCGCGGTCCTTGTCCTTGTCCTTGTCGCGGTCGCGGTCCTTGCTCTTGGGGCTGCGGCGCTCGCCCTCGGATTCCTTCCTGCGCCGGCGCGACGAGTCGGAGGCGCTCAGCATGGTGGAGGTCGGTGCAGCTCAGCAGGCCCGCTGTGAGCGCCGTGGTGTGTGGTCGTGCTGCACAAGCGCGGCTGCGAGGCGGTGCGGTGCTATTGGGCTCGTCTCGACATGTGCGGAGACGGGCGCGCCTATCAGCGGGCGGAGCGGCCAGGCAGGGAGTCGCTGGGAAACTCGGCGTGTGCGGTGTGCAGATGCTGTGGGTGCAGCGGGTATCGTCGAGGGCGAGTATGCCAGGCGGTGTCGTCCCTCTGCTGTCGGCGGGCTCGTCCCGGTGCTCTGACGTGTAAAGCCCCCAGCCGTCCAAGCCACCCAAGGCAGCGAGCGCACCCAGACGATCGACCGCGGCAGACCAGGAGCCACCCGCCTTTAGTCCCGATCCAGCCCTGCTTCCACATCGCCGTTGCGCGCCCAAGTCTGCAATCCATCGCGTCTTGCCTCAACTGCTCGAATTGCAACAGGCCTCACCGCTCCTGCAATCGACCATGGCAAGACCCACCAACTCGTGCCAGCGCCTCCGAGCTGAGGGAGAGGGTCTTGTAGCATCGATGATTGGCTCGAGCATCGGGGAACCGCCAGCGCATCCCTGCGTACAATTTGGATGTGCTGGTCGGGGTAGCATATCACTCACTTCGCGGTCAAAAGGACAGAAATACTGCATTGTTCGCACCGCATCGGATATAACGTCCACCCATTACCCATCCCCTGAGCCCACGGAACCGGCTCCCAGCATCCCACAGACACGCCTGTACAAACAAAACAAACGTAGGGGCACTGATCATGCCGTCGTAACGCGTGCACTAAATGAAAAGCATCAATCTCCCTCACAGCACCTCGCGGAACTTCGAGTCCCGCACCGGACTCCCGCTATTCCTCGCATTCACATCCGTCGGAAAACTCGGCGGCGGCGCGAGATTCTCGTTGAACGTGTCCCTGGCCTCTTCATACTCGCTCAGCTGCGACACCTTGCTCTCCTGCGTCGCTGTGCGCTCAATGGGCCGGCCTCGCGACGAGTCGGCGGACAGCGAAGAGATGTCGGAGTGGCGGCGTCCAAACTCGCCTTTGGCGTTTGGGATGTGATTCGGGATCACGTTGCCATCGCCCGCCTCCTGGTTGGACCGAGGGTTGGATTCCGAGTTGCGCAGAGAAACGCCGCCGATGAAGCCGGGCTCGGGCGTGGCCTTGGAGCGCCGCTTGAACTTGCCGAAGAGGCCCGTCAGGCGTTTCTTTGATGGTGACGTGGGCGAGGTTGGAGAAGTCGAAGCGTCCTCCGTGGCTGTCGAGGGGCGTGCGGCCGTCGCTTCGTCCTCGGTCGTAGATGCGCGGGCTGCCACAGGCTCCTCAACAGATGTTCGCTCGGCTCGGGTGGCATCAGGGTAGTGCTCGTCCTCATCGACGAGGGTACGAGTGGCAGCGGGCGAGGCGACATCTCCTGTCGGAGAAGTGGCGGTACCAGTTGTAGCAGCTCCTCCGCTCATTGCCGCTGTGCCCAGTGCAGCTCCACCCGTCGCCGCAGGCACATGCTCCGCTGGCGCTTCGCGAGACTTCCGTTTCTGCTCCTTTGCTAGCCGCTTCTCTTCCGCTTTCTTCTCCTTTTCAGCTGCCTTCTCCTGCTTGGCAGCTGCTTTCTCTTCGGCTGCCTTGGCTTTGAGTGCTCTCTTCTCCTCGGCTACACTCTATCAGCAGTGTGTCATTTCTCTGGGGAACCCGACTTACCCTTGGAGTTTTTCTCCTCGGCCTTGATCTCAGCAGCACGCTCATGTTCAATCTGCTGCTGGCGCTTCTCCTCTGCCAATTCCAGTCTTCGCTCCTCTTCTTGCGCAAATCGCTTTTCCGTCTTCTCATTGATCTCATCCAGTGTCGGCTGCATCCTAGCTTGTGCAATCGCATCGATCTCGGACTGGTCCATATACTTACCGTGGCCGATGTGGACCTTTCCGTGGTTCTCCATGCGTGCTTCGCTGTTTGCCGACGCCCGCGCTCGAGCTTTGGCGTCCCATTCTTCTACCATGGAGGGAGAGAATTTGCCCGTCTTGTCGTACACTTGCTTGTCGATGCCGGCCATCTGCAGAGCGACCTTGCGCTGCGCTGCCTCCATCAGGTATCTGCGGTCTTGCTCGCGCTTCTTCTCGTCAACCTACAAAGCTGTTAACAGAGATCCTTGGAAAACACAGCGCGTCATAGATTTCGCAAATGGCATACCTGAGCGATACCCTTGTTGAGCTGAGACATCTGCGCACGTATCCGCCGCGACTGGAACTCATCATCATCCGAGTCGGAGTCGCCTCGTTCGGGGTTGCTATTGGCTCGGTTTCGCCCACGGCGTATCGACAATCTATTCCGCGACTGCTTCTCGTACCCATAGTAACTTCGAAACTGCGATGCCTCATCCGGGCCAATCTTTGCCAGTCGCTCAGCGGCGAGTTTCTGCGCGGCTTCCTGGATACCAATGTAGCGCATGGCCTCCTGCTTGAGGTTGTCCTCGCCTCTCACGTGGGGCTGCTGTTTCTGAGCAGCAATGGCTCCAGAGTTGGCGTGTCCAGCGGACTTGTTCTTCTCTTGCACGTCCATCATTTTCTTGGCCATTGAAATCGCTGACGCACGGAGCGCGTCGTTCCGTTTCTTCTCTTCCACTTCCAAGGCCACAGGAGGACGGTCGGTGTACATCTCGCGAGAGACTTTGGAGTGTTGGATCCGAGCAGCTTCCATAGCTTCAGATCCCAACCTGTTTGAGTCGGTGATAGTGGTAGCTGTGACTTGCGGTTTCCTCATAGACGCACTGTGTGATATGGTAGCCGCACTCAGAGCGTTCTTCGCGGAATTCTGCGCATCGGGGTACAACGGTGGCGAGGCAGGGCTCGACTGAGCTCGCTTTCGTCTCGTCTCTGAGGTCGCGCCCGTAGCTGCGATTAGAGCCTTCTTTCTCCCCTCTTCCGCATTGCTCCAGTCGGCCTGAGGTCCCAGTCCTTTCTTGGCCATCGCGATGTTCGCTGCAGAGTGACCGTGAGCAGAAGGTTCAGCTTTCCAAAGGTTCAAGTTCACGCCATCTCTGTGCGCAAGCAAAGCTGCCTTGGAACCTGCTGCGCTGGCTGTGGGCTGCCATAGTGGGTCCATCTTGTAATCGTTCGCCAAAAGCGCGGCCTTCCCCGCAGCTGCAGACGTGGGCGTCGCTTTGGGATACGATGGGCTCTTGAAGTTTGCGGTAGCTAGGTTTGCGGCTGCGCCGGCAGAGGTGCGGGTGTCGATGCCGTGCGAAGGGAAGCTGGGCAAGTCATGCGCCTGCGCGTGCTTGAGGCTGGTTGCGGCGCCTGGGGTCGAGGTAAGCAACAGAATTAGGCGCAACAAACGGACATCTCACTAGCTGAAGAAAGCTTGCCGTCGGCTCCAAGCGGGTTGCGGTTCGCCTTCGCAGAATTTGTGCTGTACAAGGCGGCGGCGGACGCATGGTCTTGTAGTGTGGTGTTCTTTGTCTTGTGCGCGGAAGGGTCGGGACATCGCATATCGGCAGCACCATCTACAATGCTCCCATGCATGTGTGCGGAGGCCTTCAGGGGTGCGCCGATCGATCCGTTTGGCGGAGTCTGGGTTCCTAAGGTAGCCATGGCAGGCAACACCTTGGAAGAGGGCGGAATAGGTTTCGCTGGCTCTGCGACCAGCTAGGGGGATATGGATTGCGAATATGAGGTATTTCGCGGGGAGAGCGGACGGCGGCGACAGCCTTAGGGGCCGGCATGTTGATGATGTATGATGGCGGTGGTGTAGGACTATGACATCACAGCGCGCATGTGGGAGTGATCGGTCGCGTTGCTAGCGCCCATTGCTGGCTAGCCTCGCGGTCTTTGGTGACGATCGACCTGGGGATCAGGGCGTTAATCCAACCTCAGCACGTCCCTTATTGGATGGGAGTGTGCCTTTTGTGGCACGAAACAGGAGTGCTCGACCGGATGCAGATTCCAGACCCCAAAAGCGGTTGCGCAAGTGCTGGCCCCCTGTCCATAGCGAGATTCATCACATATAATGTACTGTGCACTTGTTCCTCACAAGCTGAGTACCAGCAGGCGAAGTTAGCCTCGTACGCTAATCGCCGTACCGTACATGTTGCTTTGCTGGGCCTTGGAGTGAGGCCGGCATGTATCTTTACCGGCCAAGAGCAGTCGCCGAGGTGTTGCCTACTTGATGCTTCATCTACCGAGCTAACTGATAGTCTGTTTACGACTGAGTGACCGACCATTCCAGGATCCAGCAGCATGATGGAGCGAAGCATAACTGTTCACAAAAATTCTCCGCGCTCCATGCGGCTAGCGTGACCGACGTCAGAGGGCGATAGGAGCAGGAAATGCACGCGACAACAACATCTAAGTTCGTTCGCAGCCAGTACATAGATCTCCGACACGATTCGTATTTCGCCGAGAGTATAGCCGGGCATGTCGAACACGCAACCACCGCTGAAGAGCATACCCAACTTTCGCGATGCCGGAGCTTTCGTGAATGAGCAGACGGAGCAGAGGTAGTGTGGCAATTTTCGAGCCTGAATCGAATTGACGAGTGTTAGACGCGTCAAGACCAGGCTACTGTATCGGGGCGCGAGACCAGGTACGAAAACAACGACTCTGTGGTACATCGGTACACGACTGACGAAGATGTAGACGATGCAACGAACGAAGACCGACGAAGGCTGGTAGAGGAATACAAGTTAAAAAGCATCATCGACCTGCGAACGAAGTAGGACAACCCTCTAGCCTCCAGTGCTTTGGCTAACAATCCAAGGACCGAACACATCGAGCAAGCACAAAAACGCGATGCCAAGATCAAGGCCTCAGCTGCAGTGCCGCAGTCCAACGACGCGATCGCAGAGCCTCTGAAGATACCTGGGGTGGCATATTACGAGATCAACTTCAATGGCTCCTCATTCTCGCGGATGCTCATCTCCAAGCTGTCGTGGACGGAGTTCTTCAAGTTGGTTTGGTTGATGGCGACGGGTTACCGGAAAGATGCGATCAAGATTCTCGCACCGCACATGGAAGAGATGGGCCTTGTGGGCCTGGCCATTGCGTCCGTGGATGTGTGCACGTCCGAAGTGAAGCAGGTGTTCGACGTGCTCGCTAAGGAGGAGAATTGGCCTGTTCTGGTACATTGCACGCAAGGGAAGGATAGGACGGGGCTTATTGTTATGCTGCTGCTGTTCCTGCTCGAGGTGGACGAGGCAGCGATTGAAAAGGACTACCTGTTGTCCGGCCCAGAGCTGGAAGCAGAGAGAGCAGAGCGCGTGAAAGAGATCCAGAGCATCGGCTTGTCGGAGCAGTTTGCGCTATGCCCACCCGACGTGGTTTCGACAGTGCATGCACATGTTCAGGAGAAGTACGGTGGGGTAGAGGCGTATCTTCTGTCCACTGGCATCACCACGGAGCAGGTAGCCCGCATCAAGCGCACGCTACGGAGCGACGTGTGAAGGAAATATATCCCTTCAGTACTACCGGCGCACAAAAATCGACCGAAGACGGTGAACACGCATGCATGTGGATACGTACCGCGTTCTTATCGGCTGGCGAGGGGCGGGCAGCTGCACCCTAGCTGTAGCTCGTCCAATTCGCTAAGCGTCACACCGTCCCTGCTTGGCGTTTACACTGCATCTGCCCACTGTTTCGCACGCTGCAAAATTCCATACACACCAGCAAGATGAGCAGCGGGACGACGTCTGAGGAGACCTTCGAGTGGATCGAGACGCCGCCGGCGCGCACGCCGACCAAGCCTGCGTTCGACTGCGGCGTGCGGACGACTTCTGTATGTAATTAATCACGTCCCCCTCAAGGGTGCCCCGCGCGCCATTGAGTTCCACCAAGGGGGTTTGCATGGCTAACAATTGTGTGTACACAGTACCCAGCCATCCCCAATGCCCCTCTGCCTGCAGACAGCAACGGCCGCGACCACTTCTCCAACACGGCCCTGATCTCGGCCCTCGTGGGTGTCCCTGGGTACATCACCTGGAAGCTCGGCGGCGGCCTCAAAACGTGGATCTTCTTCGCGCTGATTGTTGACCTGCCTATCCTCGCCGCTTTCTGGATCGTCACGTCTGAGTACGCTCCCCGCAAGAACGAGAAGGCCAAATTCCCCGGCAAGCCCATCGAGACGTACCTCGAGTTCCATAAGAGCGAGGATCGCGAGGCTTATCATGGCAAGAAGATCCCCATGGAGACCTTCTACGAGAAGTACTTTGACGGCGATGTCGACTTCAAGGGCGACTGCCTCGAGGTTATGGAGCTGCGCCACGACTGGGCCAACTTTCGCTTCACGTTCGGCCTGATCAAGCACTTCTTGTTTGGCATGATTCCCGAGATGATCATGCACACGAGGTCCCAAGGTACGTTTCACAAGTTCAAGACAGCCTCTTGATCATTCAAGTGCAGTCTCTGGAGTACCAGCTGACCGTGACCCAGATGAGGAGCAGGTCCGAGACCACTACGACCGCGGTGACGACTTCTACGGCTGGTTCCTTGGCCCGCGCATGATCTACACGTCCGGTATCATCTCCGACATCAACCGTGAGGAGACCCTCGAGGAGCTCCAGGACAACAAGATGGCTATTGTCTGCGAGAAGATTGGACTGCAGAAGGGTGAGAAGATGCTTGACATCGGCTGCGGGTGGGGTACCCTGACCAGGTTTGCATCCGTACACTACGGTGCCCACGTTACCGGTGTCACTCTTGGTCGCAACCAGACAAAGTGGGGCAACAACGGTTTGAGGAAGAACGGCATCGGTGAGGACCAGTCCAACATTCTCTGCATGGACTACCGCGACATTCCGGTCCCATCTGGCGGCTACAAGAAGATCACTTGCCTCGAAATGGCCGAGCACGTTGGTGTACGCCACTTTGCTGGCTTCGCCACTCAGGTCCGTGAAATGCTCGACGATGATGGTGTGTTCTTCCTTCAGATCGCCGGTCTCCGCAAGGAGTGGCAGTTCGAGGACTTCACCTGGGGTCTCTTCATGAACAAGTACGTCTTCCCTGGTGCCGATGCCTCCACGCCTCTCGGCTGGGTCGTGGACAAGCTTGAGGGCGCTGGTTTCGAAGTCAAGCAGATCGACACCGTCGGCGTTCACTACTCTGCTACTCTCTGGAAATGGTACCGCAACTGGATCGGCAACAAGGAGAAGGTCACCGCCAAGTACGGCAAGCGATGGTTCCGCATCTGGGAGTTCTTCTTGGCCTACTCCACCATCGCGTCCCGTCAGGGTACAGCCACCTGCTTCCAGATTACCCTCGTCAAGAACATCAACTCCACCCACCGTGTTGAGGGCATCAACACCCAGTTCGCTCTCTCTGCTGCGCTCGAGGCCAGCAAGGCCAAGGGCATCAAGGGATTGTAAATCCAACGACCGCAACGAATCGGTGACGTCTTTTACCACAACTGATATCTACCGCATGGCGGCTCTGTGTTTACGAGATTGCATTCTGCATGTGTGATTGGATGGGTACGTTGTGCAGGATCACCGCAAAGGAAGAAAAGCATCGCATATTTGCAGCTCTGGCCGTGGAAAGTAGAAGGTGTGCAGCAGCTGATAGCTAGTGATCTGCGTTGCTAGATAATTGTCAAGAGTATGACTACAAGTATCATTCTGTTTTGTTCTGGGATCAACTCGCAGGTGGTGCCCCCAGCGCGATGTGGTCAAAGCGTCTAAGGCTCCGAGTTATGACGTTCAACGACAGCAACCCTCGACCAAAGTGAAGTGCCCTATATTTCCTTTACTTTCAAGTACAGCTCGAATAGCAGACATTTGGCCTCAAAGATCTCCAATCGCTTCTCATCAACTTCCTTTGACGAGTGTCGCGTGAGCTAGACGCGTCTCCGCACGTCTGCACATACGCCAAGACCCCAACTTTTGAGTTCACTCGAAACGCAATCCATAGCTCTCCCCAGGTCCAACCACGCCACCCCATATCCACTCTACCGCCTGCAAACCGCAGCCATGTTTGCCCCGAGTGCGCTACGACAAGCGCGCACGTTTACAATCCGCCTCCAGCCCGGCTTCATCGCACCCTGCGCCTCCGCAACTGCAGCGCCCTTCTCGACCAAGACTAGCACGCGTCCTGCGCAACAGCAATGCACACAGCGATCCTCATTTAGGCCGTCTCCACTCGCCCTTGCCATTCGCCACGCGACCACAGCCGCTTCGTCTGCTTCAGCCGCCAACGCGACGTCATCCTCCTCCCAGCAGCTCACATGGAACGACTTCTTCGCTCTGCGCAAGACTCGCCGCCGCGCCAGCCAAGTCACATCGGGTATCAGTGCTATCGGCGTTGCCTATGTCGGCCTGCAAGTTTTCATTGGAGGTGGATACGACGGGCTGCTGGCTGCGTCAATAGGGCTTGACCCGATCATCACGACGGGACTGGCGAGCGCGGCTATGTTGACGGTGGGCTGGCTTGTGGGGCCGTTCTTCTCGAACGCGGTGTTCAACGTCCGGAATCGGGCAATAGCGCCTCAGATCACGAAGGTAGGTCTACTCTGTACTTTGAAAGGTTGTGGATCCACGCTGGCTTGGAAGTGACGGATGGAATGGAACGGAGAGGAGAGTAATGCATGGAGGCTAACCGAAAGAACAGAAAGAACGTGAATTCTACGACCGCATCAAGAAGCACCGCGTCGACCCAACTTCCTCCTCCATGGCGAACCCAGTGCCCGATTACTACGGCGAGAAGATCGGCAGCGTCGCGGACTACCGGAGGTGGCTGAAGGACCAGCGGGCGTTCAATCTCAAGCGTGGAGAGAGGAGGAAGTAAGTCAGAAGGGCTTCACACAATTTTCTTTTGTCACGCGGCGTGGCTGTTAGTCCAAGTCCGGCATGGAGTGCAGATGCTGTTACGACTGGGCTTTGAAGTCGATGGGGACTCGCATGGAAGTAAATACACGTTATCGGGAGAGGACGGCATTTTGGGTTCTCTGCCATGTACCAATAGGACGGTAAAATCGATGAATGCGCCTCTCCATTCAGCACATCACACCAACACATATATACTCCACCTCATACAAGCTCTGGACTTCCTGCCTGTTTTCATAGCACATCTCCATCATTCTCAAATCACACTGACGTCTGCATCATGGGCTTCTGCCAAGCGCGATGTCAACGGCTATCCGATGTTGCCAAGCAGTGAACTGTATAGAGCTTGACGCAGGCCAAGGATACCATCAAACAGTGTGACTCGAGAGTTGCTGGTCGAAAATCGGTGTCTTTTGGACCTGCTGAATTCAATCATGCTGAATTCAATCAGCAGTAGCGAATTTCGAACGGCACGTATCGTTACAATGGTAAGACGGCCCGTCAATGACAATTGCATGTGATTTGGTACACCAAATAGCTTACTAGAACGACCACGACGGAATTTGCCAGCCCATTGAAAACTCTTCTGAATCCCCGTCCAAGATTAACTTAACCATGGAGCCAAAGGTGTACATACAGCCTAGAAAATAGCGAACCAGAGGTGTGGCGCAGGACTCACACCACTCTCGCAAGTGTGGCGTGAATAGGAAGGAGCAGCCACAGATGCGACTTAAAATCGCTCAACCACAACTTCACACTTACACAACACTACGATCGCTACAATTACACCCCGAACGAGGCCTTGCGCCCTCCCGCTCCCATTCTTAGCATACGTTTGTGTGGCTGGGCGACCGCTGGATAGCCAATACGCTGACGGCACGCATCTTGAAAGAGGAAAGAACAGCCACACATACTACTACGAACGCCACATGCCAACAGTCTACTCCGACCCAGAACCAAATGCCCTTCAAAGACGGGCGAGCGGTCAGCTCCTAGGACGCTTCGAGCAACGCATCCTACGCTCGGTGTGGTTTCACGCGATTCTGACCCAAGAATGGGCTGCTGTCATGAGGCTCTTCGATGCTGATCCTCCCGCTTGACTACCGGAACAGATAACCCAAGATGGGCAAATACTCGAGGTGGTATGCAGGTACGGTAAAGCGTTGCAACACGCTGACCCGTTACCACCACACGACGCCCTCTGCTCTAAATTCATGCGGTTGGCATCATTGGCTCGCAACACAGCTGAGTGGTTGACTAACGCAGCCGTAGGGCTGAACAGCCCAGGCAGAGTACCGCAACCGTGGCTGGTGGGTGCCCGGTGTGTCAAAGCCGGGCCGATGGGGTGCGACGGCGCCGACGCTGCGTCTGGCGTATCATACGCTGGAATGGCGCACGGGAAAAGGTCGGTTACGATGTGGCTTTTGGATTCGAGCACCGCTGACACGCATGGAAGCAACGTAGAAAAAATCGGCCTGCAATGTCAGCGTTGGCAGAGAAAAGAAAGGGCCCTGTGCGTCGTAGGGCTGCGATGGCCAGTTCCGACTTCCTTCATTGTTGCTCTTCCGCTTGCGACATCGGTGGACAAGCTGGCACCAACCCCACTCGTGACAGCCCGCCTCCATCCACCTCATCGCGCATGGGACAGAAACTAGGGTGAAAAATCCAGTATCAATCAGGTCTACGAAGCAGGCTCGAGTACGCAGCCGCATCACTGAGCACAGCCGATACGCCATCTCACGTTCGCCAGGAAATGGTGCGCCAAGGGTCGTATTGCACTATCGCACTTGCATGAGGTCCAGCCCACGGCAGACCAGTAGCGTGCGGAAGGCTAGCTCACGGTGCGTTCACACCCCCGCTTCCTCCGCCAGAGTCTGTGCTTCTATCCGTCCTTGGATGCATGCCTTAACATAGAACTCAGCTTGAGCATTGAGCAACAACGTCACGAGTAGGCGTGGTTCTTAAAGACGGTTGCCCAGCGGGGTTGTGCAGGTTACGTCGAGTGTCTTTGTACACTTGGAGATAAGGACGCCTATCGTTATCTATCACAATGCCGCGACCAAAGAAAGAAGGACACATTCCCAAGACGAGAAGTCGTAAGTAACCACCCGGCGCGAGATGGTCCTGTATTCACAAGAGTGCTGGAATCTCGCTTGATTGAGACATACCATGTACCTTTTCGCTTTCGATACTTGCGCTGACTTTGTATCACAGGCAACGGCTGCTGGTAAGCTCGCCTAAGCTACCCATGAATATAAGGATTGGCATCTAACGAAAGTATAGGCCTTGCAAGGGACGAAAGGTCAAATGGTAGGCTGCTTGGTACATCTTGTGCGACGAGCATGCGATAACAGATTGCAGCGGAGAAGAAAAGCCTCAATGCTTAAACTGCGAACGCCAAGGAGAAGCATGCGACTACAGCATTCGTCTGAATTGGGGAGGTCGTGCGAAAAGAGAAAATACAACATCGAACACCGACTCCGGCTCCAGTAGGGCAAACAGTCCGTATCAGACAATGCTCTCGTTCGACGACACCGTACCACCTCTTTTCCAAGCTCACTCCCCTGGGCGACCTCACTCGCGTAGAAAGCTGGCGCAACACGGAAGGTCTCAGTCTGCCACGTCCATCCCTACTTCTGAGCCTGAGGTTGATCCAGACCTGGTGAGTCGTCCCCGCACACGCGACACAGTGTGGACCATGCTAATGCGACTCGACCTAGACCCGCATCTTCCAAACCCAGTCACATCCAGTGCTTTCAGCCAACGCAATGTTCGATGGAGATTCCCCTCCCCAGGAGCCAAGGTCACAACCCACTTCCGTACCGTTTGGCGTCTTCGAATACTCGGGCAGTTTTGACTATCCTTCACCTGCCGCGACGAGTTTTGATGCATGCAGCTACAGCAATGCAAACTATGCACCCTTCACGACACACTCTATGCCACCGCCCAATGCGTACCCAACTCCAACCCACCGTCAGTACGAAGTCATGGATTCAATGCCTACCCACCAGCGGAGTTACTCCGCGGACTCACCGGCTGCTTCAGATCCGTACTCTCCACCTTGTCCGCCTCCTAATCCATATAGCCCCTTCAATACCATGCCATTGACCCCAAATTCGACAATTGGTACTGATGAGCCAGTGCGGGCGACATCCGGACAGACTCCCAACGCACATATCCCTGTGGATCCTCGCCGCTTGTCAGTACTGTCACTGCTTAGCGGCCCTCCGGGCGACAGCACGCAGTCAGGCCGCCAGTATCCCGTCAACGAGGATGAGTATACTATCTACGGATACGACACTGGATTGCCCGATATGGACATGCCCCAGAACGATGATCAAAATCCCATTGCGGTTTCGACTCCTCAGGATAGCGCTATGGATCTTGACGGCGACAGTCCCGAGGCACATACCCCGGAAACAGCCTTTGATAAGGGAGGTTACTACGCTAAGCCCATTCCGATCAAGATCTCGAAGTCATTAGAGCCTCTGCCTCCCGTAAGTGTCTTCGACTCGGTCATGAACAGTGGCTTACATTCATGTTTAGTTACTTCTCGAGAACCCCATGAACCTGCTATATTTCCACCACTTCATCGACCATACGGCACGTATACTGGTCCCTCATGATTGCGAGAAGAATCCCTTTCGCACTATACTGCCAGGGAGTAAGAGCACTGCCCCTGCCCTGTCCCTATATATCCTTGCTAACACCTTCAGTGGCCGTAAAAGATGAGAACATAATGTCCCTGCTTCTGGCATACTCAGCTTCCCACCGCGCCCGCGTCCTGTGCCACGATGAACCCGCAAACCGAATCGCAATGTGGGTCACGGACGTCTTTCCAAAGCTCCGCCAGTCCCTCGCCAATCCGTCCACCATTTCCAACGCGGCACTCGCATCTGCAATCATGATGGCCTCCCTCGAGATCATCTCTCCCAACACCTTCGAAGTTCCCATCGCCTGGCAAGACCACCTCAGCATGGCGCGGCAAATGATCATCGCCCGCGGCGGTCCTAAGACAATGGAGAAATCCGACCACGCAGCGTACTTCCTCTCCCGTTGGTTCGCCTACCTTGACGTCATCGGTTCCCTCTCCGGAAACAAAAACGATACCCCGCTCGGCAGCTGGTACTGGAATTCTGCCAACGAGTCCGCAGATACGGACTTCCAGATCGACTGCTTGTACGGCTTTACGAACCGCTGCGTCGGCCTGCTCGCCGGCATCGCGGAGCTCGCAAAAGAAGTAGAGCCGCTCCGCATTGCTGCGGATGGTACTATCAACACCACGTTCCGACCATCCCCGGAGGTCGCCGCCCGCGCCGAGACGATCCGCCAGGAACTCTGGAAAGGTCTCACCGGCGCGAACGCGCACAAGGGCTGCACGCACCGCTCCTCACGCACGTCGTCGTCCTCTGAGATCACCTGGGACGCCACCGAAATCGACGCCACAAATGAGATGTTCCACTGGGCAGGGCTAATCCATCTCTACCGCCGCGTGCACAACTACCCGTCTTCTCACCCGGCTGTGCAGCAATCCGTCTCGCAGATAATCGAACTGCTTTTCAAGGTAAGGAAGGGGAGCAGTGCCGAGGCGTGTCTATTGTTCCCGATGTTCGCGGCGGGGTGCGATGCCCTGGATCAGGGGCAGAGAGAGAAGGTGCTGGAGCGGTTTAGGGGGGTGGAGGGGAGCGGGATGGTGCAGCTGGGGAGGGCGAGGGGGGTTATGGAGAGGGTTTGGGAGACAGGGGGTGCGTGGGAGGGGTTGATTGAGGGGGAGTTCTTGGGGTGAAGAAGCATTTTCTGTGCGGTTTTTCGGGGTTCTGGGCTAGTCGAGTCGGATGGGCGTTTTGGTATACCCCAGTTCATAGTGCTTTGGTTTCTGGTTGGATTGTGTAATATCAAAAGTTGGTTTCGAAGATTCAGGTCTGCTGTGTTTCAATCAACATGTATGATTTGGTTGGTTCGCACTAAGTAAGTGCTTGTGCTACACTACATCTTCTCGTTGTGCATAGTAGACTCGCTTGAATTGTATGACCGTCGCACAGCTGTGAGTGGCTCTCAACGCTCTTCACTGCAATCTTTATCGTGCTAGAGGGGACGACGTTGGTGTTGCTTGGCTGCACGCCTGACGACAATTCTTACTACAATATTTAGCGTCGATGAGGAGGTGTCGCCGTTGCCTAGATATGAAGGATGTCATTAGTCTAGTATCATGGTCACGTGTGTGCGCTTTGACCTTGACAGTCGCGGCTAATTTGGGCGAGAGCGGCTGACACTGCAATCTCTAGCGCAAACGAGGACACATCCTCGTTGCCTGGACGTAAGCTAACCGAACGTCCCCAATTTTTATTAGCTACGTTTTGGCAGTATACGAGTTTTCTAAAGTCATTCAGGTATTCTGTTTGGGCGAGGATACTGCGATGCCAAGAGGAAATAATTGGACAAGAGCGATTCAACGCTGCAACATCTAGTGTGGGCGAGTGTGGTGTGACAGTAGAGGCGGCAAAGCTAGAGAAGACTGAAGAAATCATCTCCAGAGTTCAGTTGCGAGCAATTCACCAGGACCAAGGTAAGTGAGGCGACGTCTCGCATTGTGATTGATGTGTGGAGACGGGATGGGCAGTAGAAGACGTGAGGTCGTTCTGTTGTTGCATATGTGCAAATGCATGAGGTGCGGTTGACGATACCTGCGTACGTCCATAAAAAGCTGATAAAAACTTCCCATACCAGGCGGAGTAGGTGAGACTGAAGGGCTTGGTGGGTCCAAATGCGAGTGAATCGGCTATGGTAGATATCTCGTCGATCTTGACATCATTGAATCAATGCGGTCGAGCGTGCGTCGATCATGACCGCACACGACACTGCAATCTTTAGCCTCGACTTGGAGGTGAAATAAGATGATAGAATTTACTGATTGGCCCAGTACCTGACATGGATTACTTTAGAACAGCGAAGTGTTTGTTCGAACTCTATCTGTATCAACGCCCAAATAGAACAACATGGTTTTGACGTGTGTACTACTGCCATTTAGGACCGAACCTTATCGACGAAATAAAATTTCTAAGCACTTGTCTTCTCGCTACGTACACTGCAGACTGACAGAAATTTCAACCTCGCCTGAGTGGACCATGAGCGTGACGGAGCGGATCGGAGACTTTTTAGCAACTGATCCGGATCTACGAGGCTATGCGCTCGTATTTCCAAGAAGCGGGCATGGGATGTTCAGTGGTGAGTTGACCAGTAGGGTGGCGCAGCATGAGCAAATGATGTTCTTACTTCAAGCTTTGACGGCTGGGTGACCATGCTGGATGTGAGGTATGTGCAGCCAGCTCCTGATGAATTTACGTCACATATACGGTGAGAATTGGCTCTCAAATTGGGTGTCGCAAGCTGAGCTATCATCATTGCCGTTTTCTTTATCACGCCTTACAACCAGTTACTCAGGTCCGCAACCCTTGCGCAACCCCAACCAAAGTCCACGCAACGGGTGTAGAGCGGCTGGTTGCAGTGACATATCAATTTCGTCCTAACGTTTTGATATACAGAGTGCAGGATTAGCTGGATCGATGCCTAGCTAATCAGACCTGTTCGTATAGCTGTGCGCAAAAGGAGAAGGAAAACACCGCAAAATGTGAGGCGCCCAGCTAGCGACCACTAGAGTGAGAATTGCACGCTGTAGGAGATGTTGGTCTGGGATGCCTCTCATTGTTCGGCCGCCTTATCGGGTCTTTGCTCGTGTGTAGAGCTTCCGCATCTAGCTACGGAGACACCACATACAATTAATTCTAATAGTAGTTGGCTTTCATTAAGCAGCTCATATTGACTTTACCGAGAATCTACTCTAATCTTCTCTTGGATCGATTGAGGAAAAGCCCAGTGCACTATTCTTACAAGCGCTTCTTCAATACATCCCAGATCTTTCTTCTGTACAATGGCGTGTCTGCTCGGTCAAATGGGAGCAAGACACTGCCCACCCAAAAGCCCTTGTCTACCGAGACTCTCCCCGCTTCACATGCAAAAACTGCCCGGAAACGGTGACTCAGATGCTTGAAAATTCGCCAGCGCGTTTCGACGTCAACTTTGCTGGTCCAAAAGATTCGGACGTGGACGAGGACAGCTTAAAGGATGTGAAGGTATTTACGTTCCCAGGAGGACCTGGTAAGTTACCTCTTCGTCGCAGAAATACGTCCCTGACTTAGGTAATGTGATGATTATGCTACATAGACCGAGACACCGCATACCAACGCACAAAGCATTTTCAAACCCCTCTGCAACTTCATCGCCGGCGGTGGCCGTTACATGGGCTTCTGTCTGGGCGCATACCTTGCCGGTACTAACCTGGATACGGGCTAACCCCGAACAGCACTGATATCGAGTCAGAGATCACACGAAAAGGCGCGCAGGTGAGGAAAGAGGACGATAGGGTCATCCAAGTTGACTGGACTTTTAGCAACTGCACCACAGAGAAAGGAAGATGGCTTAACTTCCAGGAAGGCGCGTATGTCGAGTACTTCGGTAACCGCCAGAGTTAGGTGCTGTCACGGTACTCGAAAACCGGGGATATTGTTGCGAGTCTCAGGAGGCTGGGAAGGGTTGGGTTGGGCTGGTGGGTCCGCATCCTGAGGCGGATCAGATTTGGTGGAAGTCTTGATAATTTGCACGAAACAGAATGACTGTCCGTTACATTCTTTGCTAACGTGGTCTCCATATGGTGCGGAAGAAATCAAAAACCCTGATGGTGTAAACTTTGACTTCGCCTACGACTTCCTTGAGGCTACCTTCCATGGTGGGAAGGCTGGTTGTGTGAGCGCAAAGCCGCCTTCTACAGGTACTTATGTCACTGGGTCGAAGTAGCCGTCCGGACTTTCACAAGACTGAAAGTGACGAAAGAAAAGTTGTGTGACTTTGAAATTCCTGCCTAGTGACAAGTACGTGCGAACAGACTGAGCCACGTAGCAATCTGATGTGAGAGCAACTATGAGAACGCACACGTGGGACACCGTACATGCCCCTTCTCTAAGACTCAAAGCTCATCTCTCATTCTGTCCAGCTCGTCAGCCTGCTTCTCCAACTCCTCGATTTTCTTCCTAAGATCCATCTTCCCCTTAGCCAATTCATCCTTCTTTCGTTCTAACTCGGCAATATTGTTGCCAGAATCACCAGGATCACCCCCACTCGCTGGGCGCGCTGATCCAATCTTCAACACGTTGAACGAACCATTCTGTGCCGCCTCTAGACCGCCGTATCCAGTACCGAACATTACATACTCTTGCACGACTGCGATACCCGCGTGGAAGAACGCATCTAGCACATCATCTCTGAGAATCTCTCCTGTGAACTTGTTGAGGGCGATGAAATCTCCGGGCCCCACTGCGGAGAGACTGCCTTCCTCCCACCGCCCTGACGTTCCCGTTAGCACGACATCGTTAACAACGACTGGAATGACAGTGCTAGACATGTTTCGAGGAGCACCGATCTGCCACTTTGGGCTACCGTCCTTTAGATTGACAGCACCAAAAATAGAATTAGAAACCGTCTGGTTGGAGGGGAAGAGTGTGAAGTTGTGCCGGTCCGTGTTGATTCCTGTGTAGTAGACAGTGTCCTTATCAACCGCAATACCCCAGCTCAGACCGCCTTCGAGGCCACCGGGGGCAGCATTGATAGCCCACAGGATGGTTCCGGTTTGTGCACTGAAGGCGTACAGATTCCCATTCTTCTGGCCTGCGACAATGATATCTTTTTGCCTTGGAGTGTACTCCGAGCCGAGCACAAAAGCAGGCGCCATGCCGAAGTCGGTGTCGTTGCCGATGTTCTTGGGGCAATTAGGACCAGGAGGGTCACCTGGGCCTCCGCCAAAGTACTGGGGGATGCAGGCTGCGTTCCAGGCATCGAGGGCACCGAGTGTACGATACCAGTTGATCTCCCCGGTGTCAATGTCGAGGGCAAGGACTGAGGTCTGGTACACGTTTCGTGGGAGACAAGGTTCGTTGGCAAGATGCTCCATCTGTACGCGCAGGTTCTTATTGGCATCCTGACATTCAGCAAACTCATCCGGGAGCGAGAAAAGCTGGCCCGTCCCGATAAAGACCTGATTGCGGATGGGGTCGATGGACGGCTGGGAGCCCCAGACCGAAGCCCCAGAGAAGTTGGCGCCGGGTGGAATCATGTCGGTCGTCCAAACAAGCGACAGACGGCCGTGACGGAGCTCCACTGCATTCATGGAGCCGTGGTGGGTGAGGTTGTAGCTAGGATCCGCAGCTGGGCCGCCGGATTCAGTTGTTGACACCCCAAAGAACACACGATGATTGTAGACCGTCGGAGACTGCGTGAGGATTGCTAATGGATGGTTGCCAATCTCGAGCGTGTCGATGATTTTCCCAGAGCGCTTGTTCACAGCAACAGCCAAGGCTCTTGCAAGTGTGCCGAAATATAGTACATCCCCATCAGCCACCGGGGTGCTACGCGACGCCAGTGCGCCCCCGGTTGCCAGAACTCCGTCGCTGTTTCCCTTGACTCTTAGAATTAACTCAGTGACGTTCAACGTCCATCTCTCTTTGCAGTTTTCGTAGTCGAGTGCCACAAGCAAGCCACCGAACGTATTGTAGTAAGCAACGCCATCCTCGATTAGTGGCGAAGCGCTAAGCCCAGGTTCGTACTTCTTCTGGCAAACAGTAGCCAGGGTTTTGACACTGGTTATGTCGATGAGGGAGTCGCTTCCCGCCCAATGGTTGTTGTAGACCTCAGCACCAAAGCCGAGCCAGTTGCCGCCGGGTGGTGGTCGCGATGCTGGAATTTGAGGTTCTGGTCTGCAGTTGGGGTAGTCGCAGATGTCACCACGAGAATCGCTTGTGTGCTGATCGTTTGCGGAGACGGCGCACAGAGATAGCGAAAACACGGCTAGGATGCTGCCGTATACAGTGAAAGACCACATGGCTACTGTACAAGATCGCGATTGAAGCGAGTGCGACGATGATGGAAAGAAGCCCCGAGGCCTTCTTATACACAGAGTTCATCAACCCATGTTTGAAGCTATGTTCCAGTCATCTCAGTTCACGCGCTCTTCCATCCGTCGCCTCGGTGCACAAAGGGTCACCTTCAGCCCAAAATCGAATGCGCGAAGATCTCCAGCTCGGATGTATTACCTGTAATCGACGAGGCTGACGTGATCGGACTCGAAAAACTCGCAGTTCGCACATTGCAACCCCTGTTCGTCAGGGCTTTTCGATGCTTAGTGGCTCTTCGAACGCCCCCCGAGGCTCACATTCTGGTATGGATGGTTGTGGTGAATGCTAGGTGTAGCAAGTTATGGTGGTCACATGCGAGAGAAGGGTGGCGGCCGGGCTTGACCGTAAGACACTGGCCCCATCAGCTGGACGCGCCTGTGATAAGATGCATGAATGTTGCCCCGGGTTGTAAGCGGGTGTGCCTGAGGCTATACCACAATTGGATTAGCCGAAGCCTCGTACATTACTAAACGACCGATTCAGAAGAAGAAGCATCGGGTTCAGGATACACGATCGCTCTGGGCGGGGTAGCTCATTAACGCCCGTAAAGGCTGGGTCATGAGAAATGTTGCCTAGAGGCGCATCGTCCACTTAACAAGGAGTTTATTTTGTGGTCGCCTGAGTCCTGCAGAATGATAGCCATGGTGCAAGACAGTGCGTTTGCAAACAATGATCCACACTGTGTGATCATCGATCATGATTCTCTTATACTAAAACCCCACCAGACTCGCCGGTGAATCATTTGATAGTCATTTATTTGTGCTTCTGATGGAACAAGCCCCAGAGGCCATCAACGCTTCGCGTCGTACCATCGCAGCGCGATCTTCTCGGCTCCCGCATCTCGCTTCAGAGTCTCTGCTCGATATCTTCCAATATCTTATCACTCTCTGACACTATTGCATGGTTTCACCCACTTCAGTCACTGGGTCAACACGATGATCGCGAAATAAAGCCGCCAAGGCACCGATGAGCTCAGCTTGTGAGACACGTTTGCCAGGGCAGACTAATCGACTGTAAGCCCACGCGAAAAATGTAGATGTGTCCGGTGGGATTTTTTCGTCTTCGAACTTATCGGGATATTGATGCTTCGAAGTAATGAAGCGCTTCGAGTTCCATTCCAGCCTGTCAGATCCACAGTGAGACGGCATTGTTGATAAAGACGGTAAGTTGATCTCGACGGTAGTATGTGATGGAGTTAGAAAAGTCGCTCCTTTATGGGTGATGCTTCTTGGTTTCGCTCCTGTATTCTTCACAAGTTGGTTGATCGGATGTGAGAGGCGCAGCGTCTCATACATCACGGCCCAGCAGCGCTTGAGCTCTATACACGTGGTGTATTCCCACTTGGTCACGTCTTCCGTTGTCGTGTAGTGGCGTATCTCCTCAGATATCCAGTCTTGAATACTAGCATGCGCCGCTAATTCGGCCAGGATGTAGGCCAACGTCAGAGCCGTGGTATCGTTGCTCGCGAGTGCAAACACAATCAAATCGCTGATGATCTCATCTTTTATCAGTATCGCTCTGCTCTCGCTGGAGCTGTCGGTATTAAAACTGCCAGACCGCTCATCCTCGCATGCACAAACGAGGTTCGTGACCAAGTTGGCGAAGTGGCTTGTCCTTGCGCGATCGCCACCCTTTCTTCGTCTATCAAATGAGTGACATAATCCCTGAAGTTCGCCACTGCGTGCCCAGCGTTTTGCCAACTATTGGGGAGCCACCAGCTTTCGCGGAGCTTCCGCTCACCGAAGATCATCATCGGAAGAATCATTTGCGGGATAGTGGCAATGGTGTCGCGGTAACCCGACGCCCCATCTTTGGCATCCGAGCCGATGGCTTCATTTCGTAATTTGCCCTCTTCACGTCCTTTGAATGAATATGAGCGATCGAAAGGGGCAGCCGCGAGAACATTGAGGGAAAATATTTGCGTATCCTGCGCTAAAGTTCGGATCGGTTTCTTCGCTCTTTCTAGCCAATAACATAACATCTGACTGGCCTCCTTCAGCGCTTCGCACCAAACGAGGTCAGCATTCTTCTCAGTGAACGTAACAGCAGCCACCTTGCGATGCTTCATCCACTCCTTACCTTCGTTCGGCGCAAGGTTTTTACCGTAGATGTTGAGAACGGCGAAAGCCTCTAGATCGCGACCAAAGTCATCTTTGCGTCTCAAGATGTCATCAGCGACATCGAAGTTACCAATCTTTACATAGTTCCCACCGGGTCTACAACTAGTGAATAGCTCGCCGTGCTCCTCATGCGTGTGGTAGCGTTCTCGACATTCCCAGCCGCGCCGATACTTTTTGACGAAGGATGCTGTGAAGGGCAGGCAGGTCGCGACGTGCACTATCAGCGGAGAGAATAGTCAATGTTGCCGGTTGCGGTTTTTCAGGTGCAACGCGCCATGGCGCCGACATTTGAAGCCATGAACGTCCACATGAACAGCATATCCACAGATAGATTGATCTTGGCAGTGGCTCAGGCTCGCCGATGTGATGAGGCACAGACACCTCGTATTCAATGCCACCAATCTTGCACAGCTGCGGAATGTTCAGTATACTGAAATGAGCCGAGCAGTGGCAGGTCCTGCATCGAAAATAGCCCAACGGTCGATCGATCCGAGCATATTGTACTGCATACGTGTTGCGGCACAAGTTACAGCGCCACGCGGCGTCCGAAGGTATACTGACCAGTGACTCGTATTCATGCTGCACGGGAAGTCACGCAGACCTGGCACAAGAGCCAACAGAAGCGCCCCGAAAGGGTTCTCGCTGGATGAAACTAGACCGAGTCGTTCTGAACATAAGTGAGTTTTTTATTCTGAGGATACTATCGAGCATTCTGGTGATAAAAATCCGCTCTGCGGGAGCACTCATTATGCTGCGACTTTGCTTGTTTTGTATGCAACTGGAATAGTATGTGTGCAGGTTGAAAGGACAAGTTCAAGATTACGCGTAAGACCTCCCAGGCGAATCCCCCAGGGTTGAATATAAATCCTTCAAAGGACTATCACGTTAATGATTTAGATCTTAGAGCAAGTGAAGTCCTCCGTGCGTGCCTTGTGCGTGACTGTACGACGACAAGAACGACCACCCCAAGCCATCATTCTTGGAATTTGAGTCAGCAATACCTGCAGATATCACTCTCTGGGTCATCCTGTTGCGCTTGCACTAGCAGTATCCGTCAAGATGCAAAGATACACGCAGAAGGAAGAGTCTGTAAATATCCATCCCTCCTTCGCCTACACGGTAACGGTGCCTCCTATATTCGAGATAGTTGCCAAATCTATTCGCTCGAGACGGGAGATGCGAGAAGCTAACGCCGGAGAGGGTGAATCGCGCACGGCAACATATTCACGGACCGAACTTGTGAACGAACTATGTAGGTAATAGTAATTATATGAACTATCGACCATCCTTGTGAAGCGATAGGTGATACAGATACTGGTCTACCCCAACGACAGCTGCATCCCATCCGCATATACGTGACACTCGACCAGGATACTTGTGTGTTAATTACATCTCTTTCGGTCATTCTTACTTGCGAGTCTAGCAGGCTAGACGCAGCAATGAAAAAGAATGTTGTTTGACCGTCATATTCCGTATCGAAAGGAAGCAGCGATACGAGATCAGCTCTCGGCGTTGGCGGCTTCAACACGGTTGACCTCTACCTGAGGGAAGTGATACCCTGGCGTCCGCAATCGGTCGCACTCCCCAGCCTAGAAGCTCCTTCAAGTTGCTTTAAGTGATTATTACATAGCGCAGCGCTCTATCCTGACCGGATCGCCACGGGCTCGGACGCTGGAATCACTACAGACACGTGTACCTCCATAGACGATTATCCATGATCCATTCCCTTACGCGCGAGCTATAAGATACACGCAGTAAAGGGTCAATAGAACATAGACTTCGTGCAGTATAATGGTTACACCGCTTGTATGTGCAGTGAAGGGGCTTACGCTCCAGCTACTGGTCCAGTGGACGAGTGGCCTCGGTGGTCTGTTCGGTATGCACCTCGAAGGAAGTGCGGTCGGCCAATGAACCGGCACTTTGATGGAAGTGATAGACAAGATAGAAAGACTGAGATCTTGCTCGTCATAAGTAGCGAGCGCGAGGCGGTGCAGACGGTGGGGGACGGGAGATGGGGTTCGGGGTTCGGGGGTTGAAAGTAAAGGCAAAGGAATGAACGAAAGCCCTACGCGCCGGGTAAAACTAGCTAGACAGCCATCACCTCATCAATACACTCCTGAGGAAGTGGTCGGGTAGGATGGTCACAGGCGTGCTATAGGTCGCTAACTCGTGATCAGGCCAAATGAGCTATCGTCCCTACCGTGCATGCTTCCCTTCCTTTGAAATCAGCGTGATCGCTCGGATATGTCAAATTCTTAATGATTGGCTGTCTTGGGTTACATGATAGTTGCAGAGGTTTACTTCGTCTGACTCTTTTAGACACCGGAATAGCGGCAGTGTAAAGGCTTTCACCGCTTTGGCACTCGAAATCTAGAGTGATCGCAGCCCTGCAATGTCGCAGGCTGTTTGCGAGTCCTACAGTATAAGCATCGCAACCAATCAGTAGAATGTTGAGCGTCGGTGGTGAAAGCGGTGTCCTAATTGCGGAGATTCATGTCTTAGCCGAAAATGCGGATACAGTTCGGCCTAAAGCGGCAGTAGATCACGTGACTGTGACGTCTCTCTGAAGCATGCAGGACGCTACTGGGTATGGACCCTCAAAACACATCAAGTATGCCTGAAATCTCCAGCTCCCAACCCATCATATTCCACTCGTGCCGCCTCCAGCTCGACGGAGGCGCACAATGGCTCTAATGCCAGCTGTACACAATTCATCTGACATAACAGCGAAGAGAGAAAGGAGCGTCTTGCTATAATGAGCACGCCACGGATGCGCACTTCAGAAAGTGGTCCGCGGTGTCTGCGCGGCATCGGGCCGCTGGATTTGATCGATCATGACCCCAGACCGACATTTGTGATCGACAACCAGGAGAGTGACGAAACAGGGACACCCGTGCCTTGTCACTGGAATTCCGCCTTTTTAGAGTTCGACTCTGGACAGACTTTAAATGCTTTGCTGAAGCACGCCCTTGCACATGCCATTACGATCGCAGCTATCGCGCCCAATGGCTTTGCGGACTTCAAAAACTGGATTGCCGGCAACGACGAAAGTGCGACCAGATCGTACGTTTATTGCAACTGCACCTGGATCAAGATAAATGTTTCAAAGCAATGGACAGTTATCAGTCGATTGTTGACCAACAACGCTACTACCACCAGCAAGCCTACGTCCAGTCAACCAGGAGGTGCTGTGCTGAAGCTGTCCCCTCAGTGCAAGACCACGACTTTTGACTGGACCTACCCGGCGCCACCAGAAAGAATGACGAGTCATGTCGCTTGGGCACGCAGCATCGACTGGGCCAGCACATCTTTGGGTCCTATGAATGAATGGTCGCCGCAGCTCAGGAGTATTGCCACTCTTGTAATGCAAGACGCTCGACCTGCCGTTGTGTTTTGCGGAGCCGACCTCATCATGATCTACAATGAGGCTTACATTGAACTGCTAGGAGGATTCCATCCCTGCATGGGAGTCAGTGCTCGCGTTGCACTTGAATCAGTTTGGGGCCATTACTTTGAGCCTTTGATAGCACGAAACCTCGCAGGCGAAACGATCGAAGGAACAAACAACCCTATTCAAATGGAGCGCAACGGATTCATGGAAGAATCGTACTTTTCTTGGAGTTTCATACCCATCTTCAATTCTGAAGGCGTGACCATCGCTCATTACGAACCTCTCGTGGAAACAACAAGGGAGGTCATTGCAGAGCGAAGAGCAAATACAATCTTGCAACTCAGCGAGGAGGTACCGCGAGCACGCAACTTAGAAGCATACTGGTGCAGCGCGATCGAGGTCTTGTCTCACAATACCAAAGACATCCCATTCGCAGTCTTATACTCGGCTGAAGCCCTACTCGAATCCAGCTCTTGTTCTAGCACGGCAGAGAAATTCGATGAGAGTCAGGAGTTTACGCTGCGTGGATTTTTTGGTTTGCCTAGAGATTCTCCTGCTGCCGTTTCCCAACTTGATTTCCACCAAAACGAAGGATTTATGCCATATTTTCGGGAGGCATCAGCTGCGCGTGGCCCAGTTCGAGTCGATCTTGAGCCCGGCTCTCCAGCGCACGAACTTGTGCGTGGCGTGGATTGGAAGGGTTATGGCGATCCCTGCCGAGGAGCAGTGGTTTGTCCAATAACTCCTACATCCTCAAAAGATAATGTCTTAGGCTACATGGTTCTTGGGCTCAACCCTCGCCGTCCCTACGATGAAGACTACCGCCACTTCATCATGGTCGCAAGCCGTCTCCTCTCTACCTCTTTAACATCAATACTGCTGCATGAAGATGAAATACATCGCCGCGAACGCGCGATTGAGAACGCCGAAATGATGAAAGCAGAGCTCAAACGGCAACTCATCGCTACACAAAAAGAGGTTGAGCGTAACGCCATGAAGTTTCAGCGGTTTGCTGAGCGCGCAGACGTGGGTATATTCATTGTCGGTCTGGATGGTGTATACTCTTACCGCAATGATACTTGGTGGAGAATGCTGGACCCTGAATACCAATATCGTGATGTAGATCTCACAGATGCATGGGACGCTCTTATTGACGAAGAGTTCATTCAACCCGGTAAAGAAAAATTTCAGACACTAATTGAAACGAAACAGCACCAGTAACGCTACCCATAGCTTTTATTCATCGGCATGCGACTAATTTTGAAACAGAACCTGGGAGCTCAAGATCAAGAAGACCTGGACTGTAGACAGCCAGAACATAGAGGGATCCTGGCCAAATGAAGAGCCTCGATGGATTTTGTTGTCCATACAACCTGAGCTATCAGAAACGGGAGATATTCTAGAAATCGTGGGCTGCTTCCAAGACATCAGCAGGCAAAAGTTTGGGGAGAAGTTACAAGCTACACAAGCCCTCCATGCGCAGGAATCGAAACGGAAGCTGGAGAATTTCATCGATACTACGTCGTAAGTTGTAATTTCTGTAGACATTTAGATCCTCTCAGGTTATTTTCGGAGGCTATCTGGGTCTAATGGCTGCTTCATTCACAGTTGATCATCACCACAGGCACGAAATGAGGAATCCGCTATCAGCGATCGTCCAATGTGCCGATGTAAGGGAAATCTGCGCGTATTTAAGATTCATACTTACTGCAGCCAGAGCATTATCTCTTCCCACAAAGCCTTCCAGGAATCTCCAGACTACCAAGCTACATACAAAAACATTCTTGATAGCGCTGTTGAGGCGGCGGACACCATCGTTCAATGCTCAAAGCACATGAAAACAATCGTGGATGGTGAGTATTAGCCCAACGTATAGTTCAACAAGTCTAATACGTACCAGATGTCCTCACAATGTCGAAGCTGGATTCTGGACTCTTTGTTATGACCCCAGTCGATGTACCACTCCAGTCAATCGCCCGTGATGCGGTTAAAATGTTTGAGGGTGAAGCTAAGGCTGCTGCCGTTGCACTTGAATATCACCCTGAGGATTCCTGCAGTAAGATAAATATCGAATACGTGTCTTTGGATCCGACGCGAGTTCTTCAAATTCTGATTGTAGGTGCAATCACAACATATCCTACAAGCATAATTGACGTTCTAGAATCTCATCACCAACGCCATCAAATTCACACGGCTAGAGAAGACGCGTCATATCAGTGTGAGGCTAGGAGTGTGCACCGAACCACCACTCCAGGGGTTTGATGAACGTGTCAAGTTTCATCGTACCCCTGGGGCAGAAGAATCGAAAGCATTACGAATGGACTGGGAAAAGGGAGAAGTCGTATATATCATCTTCTCCGTACACGACACAGGCCGTGGATTAAGTGATGCCGAACACGAGCTACTCTTCGCGCGCTTCTCGCAAGCTTCTCCGCGAACTCATATCGATTATGGTACGTTGCTTTCCTTCTGTATGTCTGCTTCAACTAACCGCGTCTATCAGGTGGATCAGGTCTCGGTCTCTTCATCTCACGCCGGCTCACCGAACTTCAGTAAGTCTTTTGCTCACCGTTTCTCACCCTCCACCACTAATATCATTACAGTGGGGGGGCCATAAGTTTTACCTCGAAAGTCAAAGTCGGCAGCACATTCTCCTTCTACGTGAAATGTCGCAAAGCCTCCCCACCCTCACCCATGGACAAATCTGCGACCAGCCTCAGCGTGCGCGCACAGTCCACCGTTCTAGCTAATCGCTCTCGGGATGTTAACGACAAGCCTCCAGCTCTGGGTCGTAAGCTAAGCGAAAGCAAAGAAGAAAATGCCCTTATTAAAGTTCTGATAGTAGAGGACAACCTCGTGAACCAGCGGGTGCTAGCGAAACAATTAAAGATCATCGGAATGCACGTTGCGGTCGCCAATCATGGGATAGAGGCTCTCGAATACCTCCGCAAAACCAAGTACTGCATTCCTGACGAAGGGACCCCTGCACAAGAGTTATCGTTGATACTGATGGACTGGGAGATGCCAGTCATGGACGGTCTGACGTGTGTGCGCGAGATTCGCAAGCTACAGGCTAGAGGGATCGTGAAGGGACATATTCCCGTCATTGCGGTGACAGCCAACGTGAGGAGCGAGCAAGTGGCGGAGGCCCTGGAGGCAGGCATGGACGACGTCATCAGTAAGCCGTTCCGTATCCCTGAATTGTGCGCCTGCATGCACAAAAATATCGTCGCCGTAAATGGTAAATGGGGAGACGAGGCGTAAAGAGATACTAATCATTATAATCAACTACATGAATCTTCCCACAGAGCGTGGACTCTCCGCAGATGTGTCTTGGCGATTCATCTGATTACCCAAAGAGCTGCGACCGCGTTGGTTCGTAGGATACAGAAACATGATATCACGAGGGCTCTGCATGACCAAGCGGATATCGGTCTCGAAGGGACGGCCACGCAAAGATCCAGTTCGCCGACCCACAGGCGTCGTGCGCAAAGCAACGTACTCACCGCCCGCCTGATTAACGATGAACGGAATTCCGCTATTCTGTTCGCGCTAGTCATTAGAACGCTTCAGTCGAAGTCCGGGCCGTCGCTCATCCGCTAGCCGGTGCAGGACCTGCAGGATGTGGAGTGTAGACTGTTCGTAGTCATTGACTGACCGCTGCTAATCCGATATGTTGTCCAAAATGGTATAAATTGATTTCACGGTCTGGAGTAAATGCCGATCATACATGTTCAGCAGATCATAGTGATGATAATCGATGTGAGAACAAAGCCAGCAATGCAGGCACCTCATATTTAGCGACCACATCCCACATACTCAGCCCCATTGTCACCGCTGGTACTGTGCAAGATTTCAAATATAAAATCAATTGCATGGTAATCGAGCGCAGCAGCCCAGCCGGTCCGCTGACAGCGACATATTGCGGGTTGCCATCATGGGCACAGAAGCAATGCAAGACGACACTCGACTCAGTCAGTGCTAACGCAGCAGCCGGGGAAGCACAGGATATGGATACCGGCAATACCCTTTCCTGGCCTAGGTTCATGCAATGTCCGTGTACAAGCAGAATATCTGGGAATGGAAGACCCATCCAATTGCGTTGCTGCTCTGTTGAGATGAGACTGCGCACTTTCTCAAGCCCTTCTAGATGCATGGCGTACGTGACGCATAGTATGCTTTTTGTTTCAGCGAGAATCGGTTTTTGATCAACGTTGAGGACATGTACGAGTTGTTCAAGGGGACCTCTATCAGTTAGTACGCGAGAGTTTTGTGTTAGGGAGTAGGACGTGGAAGCCATCAATTCCTATACGGCCCTTAGTATGGACGGCGTATTCAAAATAAGCGTGGAGGCACTTACTCTCAGCACTTATCTTTTCCCCTATGAACTAGTATCATACTTGTAAATTCTTACTTCTCCTTCTACATGCCAATTAGACTAGAGTTGAATTCTTACCTTTAGCCCTCAAGCCGTCGCGCTACTAAGATTTCAATAATACTTTTGAGGATAGCTTTGGCATTATTAATGGAGATTCTAAATCTAATTAGCTACGTGCGGATATCTTAGTTCTGAATGTAGGTCTTCTTAGCAGTCTACTATATTGCCCGCATATTATAGGAGATCTCATTTATATCCACTACCATATTAAAACCATTATAGCATATAGCTTACCTTATACGTCCAGCATCCAGCCTATATAGGTGGACAATTTTCTTCTTCCTCTACTAGCTTCTAGGGCACAAATGAAAGCGCATATCCTTCACAGACCTATAGCGGACTAATAAGTGAACCTAGGGGATCTTCTATGGCTAATGAGCTTTGGAACAACACTAGGCTTATAAACAGTAGATACTAGAGCTATATTCTAATTAATGCGCAGCCACGTAATGCCAGAGGTGGAGGCACCTAGTGGTAGTTACAGCGTGATGGTTAGTGTAGATACTTTTAGTCAATTGCTAGACGAGCGGCTTAAATGGGACAATAGCAGGGCTTAGTAGACACTCGTCCTGTTATATAGGTAGAGCTGGTGAAGAATACACAAACACTACTAGGGTTAGGACTAAATGATTGTAAATTAGTAATTATGTGGCATTCCATATTTGGATAAGTCCACTAGCAGTTACCTATAGATTATTAAAACATCCTACGAAATTAGACTCTTTAATATACCTAGGAAGCTTTCGCCCGTACAGGTGTATACACCTCTAGGTAAGCCTATATTCTCCTAACGATATGCAAGGTTGCTAGGAAGAGCGGACACGCACGCCAACGCAGCAAATGTACCGAACAGTGATAGAATATGTATGCTGAACTTTAAGTACAAAGTCAGGGATTTTCTGTGTTGCAAATGATAAGTAGTGTCGTGAGCCGTGAGTTTGCAGCACATTTAGTTTACCTATATGTGGATCGGCAATTATGCTGTATTTAGATTCTTTGTCTAGAAGTCAAACGTGCTATATAAGGGCCAATTACTGGGGGACAGGCGGTCATAGTTCTTTGTTTCAGAGGGCTGCGGTGCGACAAGAGCTAGCAGCTGATGCTTCCATTATATCTTAGGACAGTGACAATGTTTTTCTCGTTCTAGGTGACTAAGTCAACACATCTGGTGAGTCACGAGCTTCTCCCAACAGCTGCCATTCACATCTGCGCGAGATTGGGCGTCTTATGTTTGTATGAATCTGTGAGAAACTAGTCTTTTATACGTACTCTATGTACAAGAATTTCAAAAGCTTGTGTATGATAGCTTGTTGTTTGCCGGTGACGTTTATTCTTGGCTTTCTGTAGACTGATATATTACATTTCCACAATCCCTACATGCTATAAAGTAAAGTTCATCCTGTTTGCCGACATATAGAGTTCCCTACCTCTGGATGAATCAGTGTCTCCGATTGAGGATATAAGACTCAAGACTAGCAAAAGTTCAGATGCCTTTTGATTATACTGCGTCTAGGAACATACTTCGAAGCCTCTATTGCTCCTGCGTTCCCTCCGGAACCCAATGTATACTGGTCAGATCCTGAAAATGGGCAGATTAAGTCGCTGTGAACTGCCCCGATATGATCTATCCGTCCTTATTATGCTTGACGAGTCCAGTTTGAACGGTGCATGTAACCATGGAAGCCTTCAGCCCCGCATCACTGTGTGTGACACAGCTTCCAAGCTCAGTCCGACCAGGCAAGTTTTGATTGTGTTGTCAATGTAGCTTGTCCGCGCCATGAGACCTCTTGTGCACGTCAGCGTTTGCACGTGTTTTACTAATTACCCCAGTAGTATGACCCCATCAGTTGTTCCTTGCGCCCAGGGCTCGAAAACCGCCCGGACTTGCCCTGTTACAAACGGATAATCGAGTGAATAGGGCTTGTGCGTCCGTTAGCGCGTTCAAAGTGTCTGTCTGCACCTATATAAATCCCACGCACTTCTTTCCCATCAGCTCCAAAACTTCCGACAATCCTCATTTCACCAACTTGCCTGCCACTTTGCGCCGTACGACAGCTTTTTCTAAGTTCGGTATGTGCTCGCTAAGCTCAGACACAATTCTTTCTTCGCGGCCTTGACTCTGACACTATCAATAGTAGAATCTGGGTCAACAACTCCGCAAATTTCCCGGCACCTCGACTGCGTTTCCACTTACCTCGCGCACGACTTTCGCCTTGGAGTCCTGACACAACTCTCCGCGTACTTCGATCGCGATGTCTTCCTCAGCTTTCCTCCGCACCATCTTACACCTCGTGGCCTTCCTCAACCTGTTCCAGTGTGCGCTCGGCCATTTCGATGTCTTTCGGATCGACCTGTCGACGTATGACCCGCAATGGAACCGCCGGCACGCACGGGACATTCCCAGCAACGTGACAGTGACCGGTGAGCCTTTCAACGGGAACTTCGCCGAGGTCCTCGCAGCCGCTGGGCTGTACAAGGACTCCTTCTGGATCGTGCTGCCCCACAACTGGCACTGCTCTCAAGTCTTGGACGCGCGCCTCGTAAACGATAAGAAAGATGTAAGTAACGCCCTATCACTCTGCCCACACTATTAACTCAGATATAGGTGAGCGGGAGGAACGTCGGCGTGCGTTGCCGTGGCGATGGATGCATCAGCGACCACAGCACCGACAACATCGACCTCATCGAGATGCACTGGAGCAACACGCCGCTGTATCACTGGACGCTGTACAAGGATCGACTTGACGACGATAAGCACCAGATCATGTGGGGCGTCGACGGCGAGAAGTACGGCGCATGCGAGAAGATTGGTACGCCCACCCACTGGACTCAGTGTTACGACCGTCCCCCGTTCATGGGCAACACGAAGACTTTCTTTGTGCATCCCAAGTTCAAGTGCTGGGATGCCTATGACTGGACGCAGATCAACGCGGCTCCCTGAGCGTGAGATCTGTCTGGAGGGTTGAGAGCGTGGTTTGCTGACAACGAGATTGGGATTTGCGTCCCTGGCATGGAATTCGGACCGGGTGGTTGATTGACAGCGTTTGTATGATTCGTGGTTCCTTCCGCGATACCATAACGATCGTTTGCGTAGGATTTGTTATAAGGCCAAGAGAACGATGGTACATGTACCCCGATCAGCTCGCTCACCTTTTCCAATGCGTTAAATTAGACCACACACGTGCTATGTCGCAAGGGTCTGTCTGTAAGCGATGACAGCAGCGATTAATTTCGTGGCTTTTTGCGAAGCCCACGCAACATGCAGAGACGTGTCGCGTAGCCTGCGCACATCCGTCAACCACGCGATAATACGGCACGTTGAACACCATTGCGGAGACCGGATGTAAAGTCATTGTAATTTAAGTCGGGGTAGTACATATTTCGTCTAAGCGAGAAGTCTTTCCCTCTCGAAGATACGTCTACTTTGTACTTGATGATTTACTCAACACAAGGAAACTAGAAATACTTTACTTCATTAGAGACTACATATGTGCAGATATTTTCCCCATTACAAGATGTAGCGACGCATCCTCTACGCCCTGGCCTTGATCAAGTCCGCCGCCTTCTCACCAACAGCATACATAGTAGACTGAATGTGCTGAGTAGGAACAAGCGGCAAGATACTAGCATCAACAATCGACAGCTTCTCAACTCCGTAGAACAGCAGCTTGTCCGACACACATCCACCGTACTTCTCAGGCATCATAGCGCACGAGCCGCTAGGATGCGAAAGCGTAGGCCAGATGGTGCCAGCAGCGTTCATCTTGTCAATGATATCCGCATCGCTAGTGTACTGCGCGCCCGGTGAGGTCTCGACAAGACCATACTTCGCGATCTCAGGACGCTTCCAGACAGTGCGAAGGAAGCGCACGCAAGACGCCATGACGGCCTTGTCAACGGGGTTGCTGAGCGCGTTGTACAGCATCTTCGGGGGACCTTGTGGGTCAGCGGGGTTGATGGTGATGGAGCCACGGGCGAGGGGTTTCTCGAGGCCGACAAGAACACCACCACCGCCCGGACCGACGGGAAGCTCGACAATGGCGGCGTCCTTGCTGGCGAATAGGTCGGCGAGGACCTTGCGCTGGGCCTTGACACCGGCAATGAGCTTCTTGCTGCCAGTGTAGATAGCTGGAAGGTAGGAATCGTCCTTCTGGGACTTGATCTGCTTGACGAGGTTCTTGTAGTCGTTGGGCGCGACCTTGGGAAGGGAAACCATGGAGAGTGTGTTTCCACGGGCCTGGGTGAGAGGACCGGTCTTGTTGGCTTCGTACTGCGCCCATGCGGATGCGTTGAATGCGGGGTCGGTGGCCAAAGAGGCGGAGTTGGGGGTGCTTGAGAAGGACTGGTTGAAGAGGACAAGGGTGTAGGGGTGGTCTTGGAAGTTGGCGCCAACACCGTCGTGTGCGAGCTTGACGGGGACCCCAGCGGCCTGGAGCACAGACTTGGGTCCAATGCCACTGAGCTGGAGGAGCTTGGGAGTGTTGATGGAGCCAGCAGCAAGTACGACTTCCTTCTTGGCATAGACGGTGGTGGTTTTGCCGGTGGTTTTGTCTACAATCTTCACACCCGAGGCAACGAGCTTCTTGCCACTGGCGAATACAAGCTCCTTCGCTTCGGTGCGGAGCAGTAGCTTGAGGTTCGACCGCGATGACTTGACTGGGTCGTAGTACGAGTTACGAGCCTGTGACCTTTCTCCGGTCAACGGGTTCATGGTGTTAGGGTACCACGAGAAGCCGGCTTGTTCACCATTGTTGCCATCGAGGAGCTTCTTGACACCCGCACCTTCGTAGGCCGCGATGAACGGCTTGATGTCAGGGTACTGGAAGTCAGCAATCCCAAGGTGAAGAGGGCCGTTGCCGTACCTGCATGATGTTAGCTGCAACTCGGTCATGCATGGTGGTGTACGTACGCTGAAGTGTCCCACGTGATGTCGAATTCATCCGCGGTGGCCTTCGGCGGGGGAATGAAAGTGGTGCCCTTCTTGAAGTAAGGATAGATTCCCTTCCATCCCCAACCGGAGTTGCCCAGAGCCTCCCACGCATCGTAATCGGCTGCGGAGCCACGGTCATAGAACATGCCATTGACAATGGAGCCTCCACCGAGAACCTCAGCGACACGGACATTCCATGTCTTGTTGTTGAGATACGGCTCTGGTTCAGAGACATAGTTGGGCCACAGCAAGGACGTATTCAGAGCACTGGCCGCCCCGTACGGCAGACGTTGCTGGAAGGGCAAGTCGTCAGTACCAGCCTCGATGACGAGAACAGTTGCTGCAGTGAATGATGATGAGCATTGTGCCAGAAGGTCCGATTTGGCATCGACTTACTTTTCTTGTTCTCGGTCAATCGGTTAGCAACAATAAGGCCGGTAACACCACCACCAACAATTACATAATCGTAGGTGTTGGATGCTCTCTTCTCCCCGCTTGGAAGCGCGGCAGCCAACCCCAGCAACTGGGTGACAGCAATGAAGGAACGCATGTTGACACCGCCTTGATGGACTAATGGAGTATCTGGAAAGCAAAAGCGAAACAAACGAGTGACAGGTTGGGCAGGTTCCGAGAACGCGGCGCACAGTTGGTCGCAACAGGCGCGCTGCGAACTTTAAGCTTCCATCTGGCCCCCTGTGCAGCAACGCCCGAGCAGGGCGAAGGGGACATCTGCCGTTCGCTGGATTGCACCCCACCGAACCTGTGGTCCTCTACCGGAAGCGAAATGTGATGCGAGTCAATTGGGGCGTAGCAACACGCACTCGATTTGGGACGATTTGACTCGAGGGTGAGCATCTAGCCCCCGGGCCTGGGTTTTCGGGCGCATCTGTGCTCGAACCAGGTACCAGGGGAACATAGCCGCCACGCAGGAAAATGACAAGTACCTCAGGATCGTCACAATTCGACACCTTCGTGGTTAGAAGTGTGCTTGGCCACACTCCACGCTAGAATTTCCAGGGCAAATGCTAGTGTCATGTTGCTAGAGGCGGGCCCAGAGGCTCGGGCCGCTGATGAGCGATAACGTTCGTTAGAAGATGAAAGAATTTCCCGGGGCCGGTGCCGTGGAATCTCGCACGACTGCGCCGTTGAGCATTTCTAACGCCTTTCTCGAAATTCGATGCGGCCAACCTTGGAGACCACGTTGTAGGATCCGGCGGGTGCAAATGCGAGGCTCTCGCTTGCTAACGCAATAGGTATGGTCGAATGCGAGCACGGCTGGCTAGTTCGTTGTGGCGCAATCTATTTCGCAGACCTCCAATCCTTCCACCACTCTCCGGCTTACGGCGAGCCGTGGCATCCCATGCAATGCAGGCCGCTACCGGGACCTGAACCGGAACGAGCTTCGTCCCGCACCGCCGTTGATAATGGTTGAAACGAACGTACGATTTCATTTCAAAAATTCTTGCCGACGACCGAAATGCTGGTACGGGCAGTAGACGCATTCTAGACGTTGCTTATTGCGTGGACAGCGCGAAGCAAAAGGATTCGCTTGAAGCGTGCATGAGTAGCGGATACGATCTGGGTCAAACTAACTGGTGGGGAAGAGGGAAGGATTCCAGAGAGTTGGGCCTGAACGCCAAGTGCGTCAAGTACCGGGGCACTACCCGTGTGACTATGTACGTTCTTCTGCGGCGGATAGCACCAGCCACTCTATGCGTGGGGTGGCATGGAGACGATATTGGTTTATTGGTTTTGAAAAGGTCAAAGGTCAAGCCGACAATCAATGACAGGCAAGAGATACGGAAGACGCAAGCAAAGCGACATATCGGAGCTTTTGCCCCAAACCAGGCCATGTGCAATTAAACAAGAGCCGGCCGCATGCGAAGGAAAAATAACGTGGGGAGACGGACACGGCTCGGAGGGTCCAGCAGATTTATGTTACACCACGAAAACCTGGCCAATGGAGTTACCTAAAGCTTGGTTACCATGTGCGTAATGTCCGATCATAGTTAGCACTATGATCATCGGGCGGTCGGCCTATCTGGTCCATCAGACATCAGGGTCGAGGGCATTTCTCTGACAGACGGGGGGCTTCGGTGCCAGCCCCTGAGGATCCTACAGACGATCCCAGTGGCCAGAAGGTTTGTCGAATGTTCCTCATGGCGTCGGCTCCATCGCCACCAAACGCACAGGCATGTCCAAGTGAACCTGCTCCCGAGCCGTCTGTCACATCACACCTATCTCAGGGACACATAAGCCCCGTACCACCGGAGGGTTGACACCGACACCGCCCTTACACTTTTACCAGTATTGTTCTTAGTATTTGCTACTTACAATGAACGAGGATGGCACTTGGCCTAATCGTGGCGGCCAGATCTTGGGCGCAACACTGAGCATCTGCATCCTCAGCACAGGTATCCTGATATGGAGAATCGTCTATGGAATCCAGAGCAAGCGCAAGCTCATGATCTGTGATTATTTGTTGATCGTCGCTGCGGTAAGTGCAAATCCGATCTCATCACGATGTGCTGTGGAGCTTCACGCTTGCCGATCGCTACTTGAAGAGCACAAAGTCTGCGCTTCAACCACAAGGAGGCACAACACGCTGTGATCTTCCCGCTGACATGACTTGCAGTGCCTCAATGTCGCGTCATCTGGTATACGCATCAAGTCCACAATCCACGGCCAGGGCCGGCACATCAATGACCCCAGCATCAGCAAGCCCCACGACATCCTGCAGTACAGCTACTACTTGTACATCGGACAGATCATTAACCTGATCGCCGTGGCTATTTTGAAGTTGTCGATTTGCACCTACCTTCTGGCTCTGCCATTTGGACTCACCTACAAGCTGGTCATCTACTTGTCGATTGCTATGGTCGCAGTCTTCAATTTCACGCTGCCCATGATGGGGCAACTCTGCGCGAAACCTTTTGAAGCGAATTGGAACAAGAGCATCAAAGGCACCCGCTTTTACAAAGGCTCTACTGCGCTCACGTACGCATCACTACCCATAGAATTGCGTGTTTGCTAAGGACGAATAGATACATGCAGGGCGTGTCAAATATTCTCACAGATGTTGTCTACATAGTAGCGCCGATTCTCTACCTTTCATCCGTACAGTTGTCATCGAAGACGCAATGGGGACTTCGACTAGTCTTCTGTCTCGGCCTGACGTAAGTGCGCTTCTTTCTCGTCACTACTCGCGCGCCTGAACTGACAGCAGTCCAGCGCGACCGTGTGCTCAATATTCAAAACCGTGGAATTGAAAAGCCTTCTCAAGACTAGAGACCCGACATGGGACGGCGTGAACCTAACAATCTGGTCCGCGACTGAGCTCTCCGTCGGCATCCTCGTCGCCTCCCTCCCGCCGCTGCGCAAGCAATTCGAGCGCATCCTACGCAAAGTGCTACCCAGTACCTTACAAACCAGCAACAAGCGCACACCAGGTAGCCACAGCGGCATTCCGATGTACAACGTATCCAAGGTGACCACCAAACGCAATACGAGAATCATGGGGCGGTCGGATGTCGGGATCGATGATGGGGACAGCGAACGGAGTATCTTGCCAGACGGTGGGAGCGATACGAAGGTCGATCGCGGGATTATGAAGACAGTCGTGCATGAGGTTACGAGCGAGTCGCGGAGTGAGACGGGCAAGGAAGTGCCGCAGAGCTTTGAGCAGAGGAGATGACGAAGGCAGAGGGAGCTTAAAGCATATGATACGCTTAGCTTGTGCTTGCAGCGGTCTTCGAATGGACGGTAGAGCCATTCATCGTTGAATCGTAGCCATTCCTAGAACTCAATTAACAAGAATACAAGTAAGAGACCCGTGCCAGACCTGCTTGGATCTCGCAGCTCTGCCAGTCTCCTTCACCTCGACTAGCCAACTTGGTTCATCGCAGAATAATCCTGGAGCCAGCGCGCCTTCCCAAAGCGCTACCGCTGCTCGACTTGAAGTATAGAAACACCCACGCGGGCCGTCACTGGCATTTACTATGCTTCCGACTTTACATCGACAAGCTACCAGAACCATGATGCTATTCGGCATTTTACTGCTCCTTGTCCCAGGATGTCTCTCACGAAGCTACCCGCAGGTTGGTCGCATCGCACCTGCCGAGCCACGCCTTCCTTTGGAACGCCGCCAGGAAAATCTCAGCTCCTTCGGCAAATCCGTCGCCCAACTTGACCGTAGCATCTTGTCCGCTAACGGCCATCCTCCCACGCCTCTCGAGGCGATTGAGCGAGGCTGCTCGCTCATCGGTATGATGGCCACACGGGACGAGGTTGCAGCGCGCTTCATTAAGCCGGCACACACGTACAAGACGGCAGCGAGCCCCTGGACAGATTGGAATTCCCTACACGACTGGGGATATACCTTCCTCGGTGAATATGCTGATTCTATTTACATCCACGCTCAGAAAGAATACTTGGATGTTGTCATGCACGATCTCGGTCTCCCAGAACTGGAGGTTGTGCTCGACGGCGGCTCAGCGGAGGCTCGAGTTTGGGAACACAATCGCGCCACAACCCACGACGGCATTGAGTATAAAGTGAGTAGTGATGCTCCGTGGTCAGTCGGGGCAAACATTTATGCAAAAGTGTCGCTGACAACCATGCCAGCGCACCGATGCCTTCATTGAAGTTCTTATGGATGTGGAACATGGTTTAATCATCGCCATGTCTACGTATGGGGCAGAATACAGGGGCGCACTAAAGAACACTCCCGTCACCGTGCTACCAAAGCTCAAGAATCTATTCGACATAGTGTACCTCGACTACGAGCATCTGGCTGCGGAGAAGAAAGTACCAGTGAACCGTCTGAAGTACTACCTCGTCGACAATATCAAGAACGTGGCGACCAAGGCTGCGGTCGACTTCGCTCTGAAGTTTGAACTTACAGAATCGGAATGCCAGGCGTAAGTCGCTCACTTGTTCTTAAAATTGCTCTACAATTCCAAAGCGGTGACCACGAAAGACTGACGAGGGTTTCAGGCACACGTGGGAACAGCGAGATATTTTCTACCCCGAAGATGATGGCTACAAAGCGCTGATCGCAAGTCCAAGTGGGCGCAGTGCCGCACTCTTACTCGCCACCCACAAGAAAGTATTCGGCGAGCGGAGGATTGTCGAGAGCATTACGTTCTTTTGCCAGAGCGACGACTTCGACTCCTTCAATCTGCTCTTCACTATCAAGGACCATGACGAGGAGGAGGACGATACCGACTGGGAGGATGAGGAGGAGTCTGAAGATCCTGGACAACCGGACTTTTCGGTCTCGCCCTGGCCGAGTGCGACGGCAGCAGTTCGTTGAAGCTCTAGTGCCTGGTACTTGTTTTCAAAGTCCGAAAGGTATACATCATCCCGGTTCCAAGTCTTTAGAATCGTGGCCGCAGTTGATTGACAGTTGATTGACAGTTGATAGTACCAGTTCTTCCATTGTTGCAGTGTTGGAACAGCCCTCATCTTCGACTTTGTCACGTTTGGAATAGGTCTTTGCGACATGATACGCCAGCGAGTGCGAGCTGTTATCCAGCAATCAATCAAGGACGACGCGCCTTCCCCCTTTCTCTATCTTCCCATAACCCACTGTTGTCACTTCAATGAAACCATCACAAACTAAAGTCTTACCTCTCCGCTAACGTCGCAAGCCCTCCTCTAACGTCCCAGCTTATCGCCGGCCCTCATCCCATCCGACACATGTCCACCCCAACACCACTCAATGCCCAACCGTCGCCTGCATCTCAGGCCAATACCTCGCACCCACGACCTTCGCCCCCTCAATAACCTCCCGCATGTGCCCCATCTCCTCGTCACTCAGCACAACGTCCCTACTCCCCCAGTTCTCCTCCAGCCTATGCACCTTCGTCGTCCCCGGGATCGCAATCATACCTGTCACATATAGCGTCAGTCTCAGCGCCTTTCCACCGCCCCAGACCCATCCCCAGCCCAGACCAGAAAGGAATAGCATACCTTGACTGGCCACCCACGCCAGCGCAACCTGACTCGTGCTGACACCCTTCTTCCTCGCAATCCCCTTGACCTCCTCCACGATCTTCTTATTCGCGTAAAAGTTGTCTCCCTGGAACTTCGGCACCTTCCGCCTATAATCGCCCTCGGGAAAGTCCTCTGGGCTCGCGTAGTCGAAGTCATCAACCAGCCACCCATGCCCCAGCGGACTGTACGCTACGTACGCAACCCCCAGCTCCCGCGCCGCATCCACCAATCCGTCGCTCTCGTGCAGCGTCTCGAAGGCGGAGTATTCGGCTTGGACCGCGTCGATCTTCGCTATCTCGTTCGCGCGTCGCAGGGTCGCTGCAGAGCACTCAGAGAGGCCGATGTATTTCGTTTTCCCCGAGGAGCGGAGGGCAGCAAGGGCGGGAATCGACGTGTCGAGGGGGGTGGTGGGGTCGATGCGGTGGAGGTAGTACAGATCTGGGGAGAAGCCCAGACGCGCAATGGTGCCTTCGATGTACGTGGCGATGTGCTCGGGGGTGTTTGTCACGCCGCCGTAGACGCCGGTGGATTCTTTGTTGAAGATGTCGAGCCCGCATTTGGACGCCACTGCCCCCGGGTCGGTCAGCACTTCTTACCTCTCGTCACGCTGGGCTTTTGCAGCTCACGAAAGATTTTGTCCCTGGCATTGTGCTTCCTGATGAACTCCCCGAGCAACGTCTCGTTGATGCCGGCGCCGTAGATAACCTGGAGGTCCCATGAGCACAACCACATTGTTTACATCCGAAACATCGAACGAGTCGGGGAGCGACTGACCGCAGTGTCCCAAAACGTGCACCCCAGCTCCAGCGCTCTTAGCAGCACCGGCTCCGCCTGCTCCAGCGTGAACTGATTCCCCAGCCCATGACTGAGCCCCATGGCGCCGAAGCCCGGGACCGGAACCTCAATGTCTCCAAACTTGATCGTCTTCACCATGCTTGCGAAGCTCCAAGGGGGCGTCAACGCCTCAAGATTTCCGTCAGAACGAAGTGCCGCACCGTAGTGAATAGGTCCACCACCTGCCGCGCACAGAGTGCACTTTGATATACCTGCTTCCCGCCCGACTGGCCCGAAGAACTTCGGCTCGGGCCCTGACACGGTGAGGTATCACATTACGCACTTACGCCCTGCAGGCATCGCCACCTGTTTCTGACAAACGTGCCGTTTTCAAGGCGATGTCGTGGAGTTTGCACGCGGGCTTAGCTTGTAAGCCCGAACGACGCTCCAGAAGACTACCTCGTTGGGCTAGCGCGACCATCAGGGCAACGTCCACGGTGGGATTGTGCGTGCATGTACTCGGCGTTGATGCGGAATGGTACAGACTGGCTTCATGCGGTGGTGATCCGGACACCGTTTACCTATGCAGTGAGATGCATAAGTCATCTGGCAAGAGCAGTGTCTACATGAGGCAGAAGAACGCTTGCCTGCCCTCACTTAGCTGCGTCCTGGGCAAAATGAATCCCACGTCTCCAGTCTCCGTGGGACCGAGGGAACAGTAGAAAGTGCGAGACAAGCTGTGACAGATAGATGGTGACGCCCAAACTCGGGCGTCGAGCCTCGCACATTGGTGAATTCATCGTTGCAGCTCGTGTATATGTACTGTAATCCTACATTTTGATCCATTCCAATCGTGATCCGGAACATTAGCCCAGCCCCACCCAGCCCAGAGAAACGCCAATGCTACTTTTACATGCCATGTACTGAAGAACGCAACGTGGGTATCTATCTATTATCCTGCTTTCGTCCCTCCAGCGCCTCGCGCAGGAACGGGCGAGGTCAAACATCTCCGCCATCTCCGCTCACGCGATGTTCCCCGCGAGCCCCAAGAATAGCGCCTGCGCCGCGAGCTGCAGCGTCCAAATGCCGACCTTTTTTATGCGGCGCTTGCGCGCGGTGCTGTCACCCTCAATGTCGCGCGCGAAGGCGTCGTACATCTGGTCATTGTCAGTTCCCGCTTGATAAAAAGTCACATGGGTGGAGGAATATGGAAGGGGAACACATACCTCTCTCGATATATCGTCCATCAGCCCGCTGTCATATATGGTCCACGACCCGTCAAACTCCGACGCGCGCTTGACAACGCGGCAATTGACGGGGATGAACGTCTTGCGTGTGTTAATATATGCGACAATCGGCCTCACAAGCGCGTTGTTGACGTATGAAATGTCCTTGGTGAACAGGGGCACAGCGGCGCGCACGTCGTTGAGGTGCACGCGCACGTCCATGATGACGAAGCGCTTATCGTCCTCGCTAGCCTCGCCCTTGCTTTCCTTCTCGTGCGGGCCCGGCTGGTGGTGGTGCTCGTCGAAGCCGTGAGCCGCGTGGTCGGAGTAGTGGCGGTTGTGGTTTTGCGTGACGGTGGCTTCGACGCGGTCGTACATGTCGCTCATGACCTTGGCCAGCGAGTCGTCATCGTCGTTGGGCAACATGACGTCTGCGATGATGTCGACGTCGCCTTCGTAGATCCAGGAGAAGGGGCCTTCGTAGCCGCGGTTGAGGTGGTCGATGTTCAGGCCGTCGATGCGGATGCGGCTCTGTTTCTTCCAAGTGGCGCCGTCGTCTGTGTCGCGACCCTCGTTGAGCTGCGCACCGGTGTAGTTGTGCGTCTGCCGCGGGTGGATGGTGAAGAGTGAGTTGTCGAAGGAGCCAGACATCATGTTGGCGGACAAAAAGTCGTAGAACAGCCACTGCTTTCTCAGCTGCGGTAGGTCGCAGCTGAAAATGCTCACAGAATACGGGCGGAAGTTGTTGGGTTGGTAGATGGTGACGAGGAGGTCTTCCATCTTGAATGACTCGAGCTCGAAATCACCGGGTTGGTGGGTGTGCTTGTATGAGCGAGGGTCTACGCCTTCTACGGCGTGGACGGAGGTACGGTCTACAACGCCGCGGATGCCTTTGATTTCGACATCCTTGAGGATACCCTTACCATTCATCCACCGTGAAAACGAGAGCGTGACGTTGACTGTGTCGATGGATATGTCGAACTGCGAGTAGTTGGTGTCCTCTTCTTCCTCAGCTGCGTCTGATCCTCCCCTCTCTTTATGCGCGAGGGCAGCGGCAGCTGCCGCTGCGGAGGATTGGGAGCCCTTGGTGACGTGCGTGTTCTTCTGTCCTGGCCTTCGAGATACAAAAACCTTCCTGAACGAGATGACACCGTCCTTCCACTTGGGCACGACAGCGGATTCGAAGATGACCTTGATGCCAGACGACTTGGTCAGGTAGTTGCCGATCCACTGTGCGATCGACTCCTGTGCGAAGACGGTGTTGATCAGGAAGACTGTCAACATGACGAAGGTTGTGGTTCCTAGCAGCAGCCAGGCGAAATGGGCAGCCAGGATCCAAGAAAACAGGGCGTATATTTCGTCGGCGTTGAAGGGGCGGTTGCTCCGGATGGCGAGCCATTTGAGATGGACTCTTATGCGCGACCAGAATCCAGACGCGGCTTCCAGCAACTCTGCCTTTGTAGGGCGCTTCAGATGTGGGAGTGCGTGGGGCAGGGAGAAGTACGAGGCGTGGTCGGCAGAGTGATCGGCGTCGGTATTGGGTTTGGGCGCCTCTTTTGGAGCATTCGGGGGCTCTGGAGGCGCTTCGGGTTGGGGAGAGAGGGTGGCCTCGGGCGCGGGTGCGGAGGGTTGCTTAGCCTTTGGCTTGGAGCTGTCGGTGGCGGAGGTCTTCTCGCGGCGGCTTGTCGCGCGGTATTTCCGTTTCGAGGTGCTGGATATGTGGCGCGCGTTGCGTTGGAAGGCTGCAACTGCAGCCGATGCGATGCTTTGCGGTGCATTGGACGGTCGTGGAGGCGGGTGTCGTAGGAGGAGCGTGGCGACGGGTCCGACATGTGATTGTGCAGTTCTTGGTGGCCCAGCCCAGCTACACGCACCGGGGCACACTGGCCGCCTCGCCGTGTGTATTCCTGCTCTTGAAGCATCCGATGCTGCTGTTCGTGCCCTCCAAAGCGGTCCCAGGCCCGGTTCGCCAACCGAGCGCCGCACTGCCGCGCCGATGGCGAGCGCTACATTTCTGGTCATTATATCCGCGGGTGCCACATGGTCGAAGCGTGCTCTCGTCGCGATGCGGAGGGAGGGGGCACCGGGGCGGTGGGCAATGCTGGCGATGATGTGCAAGTTGCAGCGCAGATTTGGAGAACGTCATGCACGGCGACGCGCAAAAGGAGCCACTCCGACAACAGGGAGGCCGCTACCGACACGCACGGGCCACGCAAAAAATGTCGGCCACCACAGCTATCGATAACCGCCCACCACGCGAGCCGACCTGCACAGCACACGGGCACACGCGACGGAGACATTGCTACAGCAGAAAGAGAAGAATTTGATCGCCTACAGACTCTGGGTTCCTCCCCTCCGGCAGACTACCACGCCGCCCCCAATCACCACCCGGCCTCACCCCGCCCAGCTTCCTCACACACACGCACACAACATGCCTGCGCCGACCGCCCTGCAACGCGCGCCCGCAGCGCTCGCGGAAAACGTCGACATGGCTGACGCCGTGGCCGTACCGCTCCCCGCCGAAGACGATGCGCCGCTCGTCGACATGGACACCACCGCTGCGCCTGCGCCAGTCCACGACCCCGCACAATCCGACGCGCAAGACGTGCCCACAACCGACGAGTCAGGCCGGCCAGTCTTCCCCAAGAGCGGTGTGATACCGCTGGCATTCAAGCGCGAGCGAAGAAACGTACCGGGTGAGTCGCTCGGAACCGACGCCAACATGTCTGCCTGTCTAACCCACCACCAGTCCCCCCCCACAGGATGTCGCCCCTGAAGACCAACTGGCCCAAGATCTACCCCCCGCTCGTCGAGCACCTCAAGCTGCAAGTGCGCATGAACACGTCCAAGAAGAGCGTGGAAATGCGGACGAGCTCGGCGACAACCGACACGGGCGCGCTCCAGAAGGGCGAGGACTTTGTCAAGGCCTTCTGCCTCGGCTTCGACGTCGACGACGCCATTGCGCTTCTCCGGCTCGACGACCTGTACATTGAGACCTTTGAGATCAAGGACGTGAAGACGCTGCAGGGCGAGCATCTCGGGCGCGCCATTGGCCGTATCGCTGGGAAAGACGGCAAGACCAAGTTCGCCATCGAGAACGCGTCGCGGACCAGAGTCGTGCTGGCGGACCAGAAGGTACATTACCCATTTTCCCCGCCTATGCTCATGTCCATGGCCGTGCTGACCGAGCAACAGATCCACATCCTCGGCGGCTTCAAGAACATCCACATCGCCCGCGAGGCCATCGTCTCGCTCATCCTGGGCTCTCAGCCTGGCAAGGTGTATGGCAACCTGCGGACGGTTGCGGGGCGCATGAAGGAGCGGTTTTAGGCCACCCAGAGGACGAGGAGGGGAAGCATGTGCATTTCACGGCGTTCTGGGGCGAAAATACCATTAGGGCGAGATGATTTCACGAACACTCTGGAGGGCACCGTGGATGGTAGAGTGTCCACTAGGTAGAAGCACGATTTGACCAAAGCATCCACCTTGGATCCGCGTGCCAGCTTTTCCACATATCCCCCACAGCTCCCAACGTCTGTGTGTGCGGGCTGACTGACTTCTAACCCGAGGCCTAGTAACATCAGCACCGACACTCGGTCCCTCGTTACGACGGTACCCGTCCAGCCCACCACCGCTCCTCTCGCAAAAACTGCTCTTCCCAGCCAGCGGTCTTTCCCCAGCGTCCACGTCCACTCGTCCTCGGCCCTTCCGTCTCGACTCACCGGCCCACCATCCGAAACGCCCACAGTACAGGCACGCCGCGAAGCACTCTGGGCGTTCCGCGAAGAAGCACCGGATATCCCGCTGCAAGCTGGCACTGCATCGCCATGCGGCATCTGCACCATCCAGGCGGCGTGTCTCACGCCCCTGTCCCGGCGCCCCACCTGCGGCGCACGTTTCTCGAACGGGACCAACGTCGCTCGTGTTGCGAGGCGCATGGTACACACCACGTCGATTGCTCCTGGGGCGTGTGCGTGTGCTCCGTCCACTGGACGTGGGCACCTCGCGGCGCCGCAGGTGGAGCGCGAAAGGGCAGGAGCAGGCCCGCGTTGGAAAGGCATGAGCACGGCGTGCTGGGACGCATCCACACGCGTGTGGCGAGCACACGGCGAGTCAAGAGCTGCGTCGGCGCGCGCTGCGTGTTGAGTCGAGCGAGGTGTGCCCGGTTCGAGCGATCCAACGCGGCAATCTGCGCGAGCACTACACGTACATCTGCGTCTGGACAGCGGGAGCCGCAATCTAGCTGGCCAGGAAGAGTAGTCTGGGCGAGCACAGGTGTGCAGTCTGCCGCGCTGAATGACTTGCGTGGGTCTACAGAATGTGCGTGACAGTGTCGTTGCCACGGCGGGACTGTCCTGCGGAGAGGCAGGGAGCAGATCTAGAGCTGTGTAGAAGTGCAAGCCTCGATCCCGTGAGCAGCATGTCCAAAGCATGAAGTTCCGTAAGGATGAGGAGAGACGCTGCAGGTGCAGAACAGGTAGCATGCAGCCACACTGCTGCAAGATGGAGGGAGGGAGTAAAGGTGCTGGGGAGGAGAATGGAATAGATTGAGTCAAGAATAGGATTGGTGTCTCGAGCCAATGTTTCTTGTCAGTATTGAATACTGTCCCACCTTCAGTCTCGAGTCAATGTTTCTTGTTAGTGTTGAATACTGTCCCATCTTCAGTGTCGAGACTGTCGGCTTCATCTCGTTTCCCATCGCTCAGCTGTTCACTCACATAACACCGTGCACAGATGTGTTGAACACTCCAACTCCTACACCAGCTCGTCTGCTGAAACATTCCCTATCTCGCGTATCATGCCCTATATCCGACGTTCTATCTATCACGGCGTACATACATACATGACAATGCGACTTACTCACGCAGAGTGCGTATCTAATCAGTCTTTTATGCGTCGCGCAAATTACGCTTTTGAGACTAGATGCATCATGTCTATCTCCAGACACCACACCAGGATTCGACGGCTACCAGGACCGCTTCCACGCCCTGGCGGGTGATCACGCTGCTACCGAGCGCTAATCTCTGGAGCCTCGCGCAGTGCGATACTGTATGTTGCCGGTCGTCGCTTAAATATTCTCCCAGAAGCGAGAATTACGCTTTTGAGCTCGTATCGAAGGCTGGCGGGAAGCTCCTTGTCTACTCCACGCTACGATCTGGGCTGGAGCATACGAGGTGATCGCTGGAGCGGTGTGCTGCGTAAGGTCAGAGCGCAAACCTACACACCTTCTCTGCGTACTCTTGCATCTCCATGAACAACCAGCGAGGATGTAACATTGCTGCGCGCAACACATCACTCTCATTCCTATTCGGCTCTCATCGCACCACATCTACCGACTTATCGCATGCATTCGCGTCCTAGAAACGCAGCTCATCGTAAGCATACCCGTGCCCTCATGCACCCCACAGCAAAGGCTTGTTTCTGGGGCCCAGCTTCTTAACAGCGCACTGTTTGGGCAGGTCGCTGTGCGCACGTATGTGCGACATCGCAGCACGGAGCAGTTCGCACGTGCTGGCATTGCCGGGCCACGTGAGAGCATGGTATGATCTTAGAGAGGTCCTGGCGAGAGGTGCCGCGGGATTGGATTGGGTTGGGTATGCGGGGTTGGAGGATTGTGGATGAGCGGGATGGGAGAGCGAGCGGATGATAGGTGAGGGCAAAGTGGGCAACACTTGTGATTGGGGATAGCAAAATAGTGATTGCGGACTGAGTGGAAGGCCGATAGGTAGTCAATGGGCGAACGAACGATACCTACGAAGTGGAGAAGGTAATGATTGGCAGACTAGTCGCGATTGCAAGACCGCAGAGGCCGTGTGCGAGCTAGGACGAAAGTTGAGTGCAGGGAGGTGCTGGGGCCAGTCAGGCAGACTCGCACGAAAGACGTCAGAAATGGCCGGTGATGCCCTCGTATCAGAAGATGGACAGTCCGCTGGCAGCAAGCTCGAGCACTCAGCACATGTTTGGTCGATCATGTTCGCCTCGGCAGTCTCAACCGTGCTGACATGCTTCGGGGGAATCCGTTCGGCCTCAAAAGCCCGCCTGAGGCGTTCTCAATCAATCTCTTTGCGTCTTCAGGCGAAAGATAGACGTTGCAGCCACGGAAGAGGCTTGCTCTTGTCGAACCTCGTGCCGACTTTGATGCGGTCTAACGGCGTGTGGCTGTCAGTTCCAAGCCAAGATAGGAAGGAGGGCCGAGCGACATCACGCAACTTCTGCGCCCCAGGTATCGACTTCAATGCTCTGCTAGTGGACTCAAGATGATGTGTCGGGGTTGAGGGCAGATACACACGCGCATCTGGGGGTCATCCATCGAGGCCTCGTAATACTCACCGCCGCCCTTGACCTGAGTGATTTACCCGAGTCGGGTAATGCTCATGCTCGCACAAGACGCCCGGTCGGCTGAAGCTGTGTTCCCTGGGCGTACGTAAGCCAGTATAGGAGTTAGTAGGACGGAACGGCCCTCGGATGAGTGGAGGCTCGCCAGCAGAGAGTTTCGCTTGACGGTTGGAACCGTTGCGTACGAAGAGGCGGAAATTTGTCGCCATGCGCAGAGGAGGGAGCAATTGCAATGCAGCTGAGAGGAGCGTGTAATTCGCAGGTTATATGGGTACCTGACATGCGCGTCTAGGCGAGGTGCGAATAGCATGCACGAATTCCGCCAGAGCGAAAATAGACGCAGACTCAGCCCTAGTGGTACAGCGTCCAATATATGTGGCATTGGGTTGAACCGAGACCAGAGGATCTCGTGTCACCAACGCGCTCTCCCGATCGTCGTTATCACACGCGCATCAGGGGGATTTGAAGGGGTTCTGTGACGAGATGCAGTGCGCGCAGTTGCTGACCGCAGCGGTTGGAGGGAAGGGAGATGACAGAACCCGAATGAAATGTTGAGTCTGCGCTGGGTCACGTACGAGTGCTGCCGGGATAGGACATTGTTCGAGAAGCGCAGAGAATACGAAATGTATTGGGGCATTGGCTAAAATGGGGGTCTCGGTGCAGCCCAATGGGATGGCGGCAGCGCTGGACAGGGTGACTGTGGGAGGTGACGTCGCGCGCCCGGGACCACTGCGACACAGCAGCACACTGCTGCAGGTAGGCGACGGCGATGCGGGCGTGGAAGTCAAGGTCGAGGGCGGTCGGAGGAGGGTCCGTCGCGTGCGGGCACATGACAAGGCGGCGCGCAGCGGCAGGGAAGAGCGATTGATAACGCTGGAGTCTGTGCGGCGTGGGCGCCTTCTAGAAGACGGCGCGGCAGCAAGCGCGATGGTAGGCGTCGGCAGGCGCGGAGGAGGGGCACGCAGAAGGCATCGCGCTGGGCCAGACATCGCACGCAGGACCCAAGACTCATGTTTGGTGCGCATGGCGGCGCATCGATTCCAGCGCGGTGCCGCACAGGACACGGCTTCCGGCGCGGTGGACTGACAGCGCGAGCCACGGCTGGTCGCTGGTAATGCGGGCGGGCATCCCTGCAGCAGGGGCCCGAGTCTTCGGCGTGGAGGGCATTGGCTCATGTCGCCATCTCGATGGCTGCTCACCGGGCGCCGCCGCTGCTGCCAGTGCCCACCACAGCGCCATTCCCCACGACGTTATCGCTGCCCGGCCAGCGGCGAACAACAAAGGCCCGTAAAAGCCCCGCCATGCCCTCGCGCGCATGCCCCGAGTATCTGCTGCGTCGGTCCTAGTCGCTGTACATGCTTCCACTGTCCGCCGCCGCGCATAACGGCCCAGACTCTCGCACCCGTCCCTGCTAATAAGACTAATCTGGATATGCTGCGTCGCCTGCACAACCCTGCTCCGCGCACGCACTTGCAGTAAGCTCGCCCGAAGCCCTGACCGCTGCCCTATCTCACGCCTGCTACCCCGGCCGCACGCGCCCACACTCCATAAGCAGAGCCCGCCCCCAACCGCCCGAGCGACACACGACACCCACACGCCCCAACGTCCTCACTGCGGCGCCACAACAGGTTGCAGCACCGGCTGCAGCGATCCCCTCTGCCGCCCAGTGCCAAACCACCATGCCGTTCCACGACGACGACGACTACCGCACCGAGAAGAGCTTCGGAAGTGGCAGGAAATCCCAGAGCTCCTACTATGGCGAGTCGTCGGTCCAGCGGGATGGCCTCGGCCGCCGCGTGCTCGACAGCTTCAAGCGCGACCCCAATGTGACCATGACGCCCAAGGGCAGCGTGGGCACCGACGGCAAGGTCTTCGACGTCGAGAGCGCCGCCGCCAACACGGCCAGCTCACCGCTCGCGAGGAGGCTCAAGGGTCGCCATCTGCAGATGATTGCCATCGGCGGCAGCATCGGTATGCCCAACTTCGTCCTACTGACGGCACTCGTTGCTAACGACACCAGGAACCGGGCTCTTCGTGGGCTCTGGCCAGGTGCTCGCCGCTGCCGGCCCAGCATCTCTTGTCATTTCCTACTGTCTGGTTGGTATCATGATGTACTGCACCGTGCATGCGCTGGGTGAAATGGCGGTCCTCTTCCCCGTGGCCGGTTCTTTCTCGGCCTACTCGACGCGCTTCATCGACCCTGCGTGGGGTTTCGCAATGGGTTGGAAGTGAGTCCAGCACTCCCCTTCCCCACTCAGCGCAGCTAACCATGCCTTCAGCTATGCCCTGCAGTGGCTGGTCGTCCTGCCGCTGGAGATTGTCGCTGCAACCTACACCATCAGCTTCTGGAACCACGGAGCCGTCAACAACAACGCCTGGGTCGCCATATTTCTAACCCTGATCGTGGGTATCAACCTGTTCGGCGTCAAGGGCTACGGAGAGGCCGAGTTCGTATTCGCCATCGTCAAAGTCGCCGCAGTCGTGGGCTTCATTATCCTCGGCATCATCATCAACATCGGCGGAGGACCCAACGGAGCGTACATCGGCTTCAAGTACTGGCGCGACCCGGGAGCGTTCCACAACGGCTTCAAGGGCTTCTGCGGCACCTTTGTCAACGCCGCCTTTGCCTTCTCCGGGACCGAGCTCGTCGGCTTGGCCGCAGCGGAGACCGCCAACCCCCGCAAGTCGCTTCCTACTGCTGTCAAGCAGGTCTTCTGGCGCATCACCCTGTTCTATGTCGTCTCGCTTCTGATTGTCGGCCTGCTTGTTCCCTGGAATACCCCGCAGCTCCTCCAGAAGGAGAACGAGCACGACGCCGACACCGTCACCTCCCCCTTCGTCATTGCCATCAACAACGCTGGCATCGATGTCCTCCCGTCCGTCTTCAACGCCGTCATCATGATCGCCGTGCTTTCGGTCGGCAATTCGGCCATCTATGGTTCTAGCCGCACGCTCGCAGCTCTTGCAGAGCAGTCGCAGGCGCCCAAAGTCCTTGCCTATATCGATCGCCAAGGCCGCCCCCTGGTCGCCATCGCCGTGTCTTCCAGTCTGGGCTTCCTCGCCTTCCTTGCCGGCGTCGACCGGGATAAGCAGCAAGCCACCTTCAACTGGCTGCTTGCGCTGTCGGCGCTGTCGGCGGTTTTCACGTGGGCATCCATCTGCCTTGCGCACATCCGGTTCCGCAAGGGCTGGGCGCTGCAAGGCCACACGCTCGATGAGCTTGCGTTCCGGTCACAGCCCGGCGTGATTGGCTCGTGGATTGGCTTCGCGTTCAACATCATTGTGCTCATCGCACAGTTCTTCGTAGCAGTCGTGCCGCTAGGCTTTGCGACGCAAACGACCAACCAGCGGCTCGAGGGATTCTTCCAAATCTACCTCGCGCTCCCCGTCACGCTGGCCTTCTACATCCCGTACAAGCTGTACTACCGGACGAGCGTGGTCCGGAGCTACAACATGGATCTGCACACGGGGATCCGCGAGCTCAACCTGGAGGCGCTGATCGAGGAAGAGCGCGAGGAGCGGAAGGCGTGGCCAAAGTGGAAGAAGGTATACAAGTTCTTTTGTTGAGGGCGCCGCTCTGTTGACAGCAAAATGTACATTCTTCTCTGCGATGCATGTTTCCCGGCAGTCCGGCGTTTGCATTTGGGTTCATAGTAGTGATACCTGGCGGCATTGTCTTGTTGAGGCATTGCGCAGCCCCGCGCTCCATTTCGACTGCACGTACAAGACGGCGGTAATTTTCTAGTGTCCATACTTGGGCGGACGGAGGGTGGTCCCACGTCCCGGTAATGCCATCAAAAGTGGCCACGCGGCCTTGTAGATTTCAATGGAAACGTCTGTGATTGCATGCTTGGTCGCTTGTGTGGTTCGTGATGCGTGGCAGCCTGTTCGACTACCAGACACAGACGGGTAGATTGGATCATGGGCAGATGCACAAGGGGATGGTGGGCGAGGGAGGTGGCGGGCCGTTCGACTAACCGCATAGATGGATAGATGGCTACCGGGTAGATACACAAGCACATGTCGCACGTGCGCCTGCGTGCTGGTGGCATCCCAAGCTCCCAGAATAGAGGGCGACCGCGCTGCTGGAGATCGGCGCAGGGATGGTGCGGGCTGGCCAGTTAGTGCGCGGTGCGGCCAGCATCACGTCGAGAGCTCAGGAGAACGGCTGGGCTCGCGCAATTGACTGCGGAACGGCCGTCTCCACCGTCCGCCCATCACGACGAAGCCCATTCGAATCCGGTCCCGCGAAACGAACGAGGAGAGCGACGGAGACGCCAGACCTGACCTTGCAGCAGCGGCACACTGCGACTAGCCGGGCCCGTTGGTTCGCAACCTCGTCGGCCCGCCCGCTCGCTGGCTCGCTGGAACCCACGCCGCCGTGTTCGCGTTGGTGCTGAGGGTGTCGCGCTCACATGTAGATGACGCTGCGCCTGCCCTCGGATCCCGCAGCGGCGCCCCCTGATGCAGTCGAGCATCCGCGCTCAGGCTGAAGTGCAGGCCCAGAGGAAGAAGGTGCGCCGGACGCCCGCCGCGTGTGTCTGCCTGCTAACGCGCCGCAGCAGCTCGCAAACTCGTACAAGCAGCTCCTCGAGTAGGCCACGCCCTCGCCCTCGCCCTCGCCGAGGACATGCTGACGCGCCCGCAGTGAATTCGCGGCGCCAGACCTCAAGAACGTGGGCAACTACACGCTGGGCCGGCTGATTGGCAAGGGCAGCTTTGGCAAGGTCTATCTGGCCGCCCACAAGCTCACCAACGGCTCCAAGGTCTGTCGCACGTACCGACGGCGTGCGCGCACCGCTGACGCAGCCAGGTCGTGCTCAAGTCGGCCAAGAAGGACGACACCAACCTCGCCCGCGAGATCCACCACCACCGCCAGTTCATCCACCCGCACATTGCGCGCCTGTACGAGGTCATTGTCACCGAGTCGCTCGTCTGGCTGGTGCTGGAATACTGCCCGGGTAAGCTGTCCTGCGCCGGACAGCCCGCATGAACACACATCTGACTCCCCCGCAGGCGATGAGCTCTACAACTACCTCCTCGCGCACGGCGCGCTCGAGCCCGCCAAGGTCCAGAAGATCTTCACCCAGCTCGTCGGCGCCGTCTCGTACGTGCACAACAAGGCCTGCGTCCACCGCGACCTCAAGCTCGAGAACATCCTGCTCGACAAGTACGAGAACGTGAAGCTCGTCGACTTTGGCTTCACCCGCGAATACGAGGGCAAGAGCAACTACCTGCAGACGTGGTGCGGCACCGTGTGCTACAGCGCCCCCGAGATGCTCAAGGGCGAAAAGTACGCCGGCGAAAAGGTCGACGTGTGGAGTCTGGGCATCATCCTGTATGCCCTGCTCGTCGGCGAGCTGCCCTTCGACGACGACAACGAGATGGTCACCAAGACGAAAATCCTCAAAGAGGAGCCAAACTACCCGGACAGCTTCCCGCCGCAGGCCAAGGAGCTGTGCCAGAGCCTGCTTTCGAAGCGCCCTATACTGAGACCCACGCTCGCGGATATATTGCAGAACCCGTGGTTGGCAGAGCACGCGCCGCGGCAGCAGGAGATATTGAAGCTGAAGCAGCCGGATCCGTTTTCGACCGAGCTGGAGAAGGAGGTATTGCACAGGATGCGCGCGGCTGGGGTGGATATGGATACCATTATTGAGAACGTCCTTGCGCAGCGGTGCGACGCGCTGGCGGGCTGGTGGGCACTGCTGCTTGAGAAAGAAGAGAAGAAAGCCAGAAGAAGAGAACGCAAGCGGAAAGAAAGGGAGGCTGAGGCCAAGAGCCTGCGGCGGCTGAGCGCGGCGAGCAGCCGCTTGGACAAGCTTGCGCCGACGATTAAAGAAACCGACGAGGAGGGACATCACTCAGGCCTGCTCGGGGAGCCCCCTAAGAGTCGGGGAAGGGCCCGGAATCGCAGCAGTCTGCATGGTAGGCTGCACATGACTTTCTCTCTGTCCCTTCACTAACAAATCCAGGCGTCCCGTCAGATCTTCCAAAGCTCCCAGAGTCCGGCAACTCACCCGAACCAGGCGCCGACATGCCTCCACCTCCTGTGCCCAAAGACCACATCCGATCCTCAGGCTCTTCGTCACGGCCCCCTCCGCCGCCCAAAGAGATGATGAGACGGCGGTCCCAAGCCAGCATGCTCCAAGTCGTCTCCACCAATCCTGACCTCCTAAGCCCCAACGGCTTCGTCCCCAAACGCCGCCGGAAATACCAACCCCCCTTCTTCTCCCACCTTGCCACCCTCCGCAACTGGATCAAAGAAACCTCCAAACGCGCCCGCTCCCCAGGCGGCTCCAAAGCGTCTTCGGCGAAATCCCCTACCCAACCCGACCACGTCTCGTCTCCCGAATCAACCCGCCGCCCCACGGCCGCAAACCGCAACTCAAGCGTCCACGCCCACCACGCGGGTGTCACGCCCTCAACGCACATTGCCACCCGTCCGCGGGTTTCTTCTTCAGGGAAGAGACCTAGTCTTTCACCGGCCCCGTTAACACCGCGGTCGTCGTACCGCCGCTCCTCGGGCGGTCTCCGCGGTCGCAAGTCCACATCCTCGTCCATCTCCAGCATCCGCTCAATGCCGCACCACCACCACACGCACTCCAAAGCCTCCTCGACGTCCTCCGCCTCCATCACCTCCCCCACCATCTCCGTCTCTAAACCCTCCAAATCCCCCCACGCAAGCGTAAAAGTGCTGCCCGCGACGCCAACAAATGCGTCTTTCCCTAGCGGTCTACGATTGGGACTCGCGGTAAGAGGCGGCCTGAGCGAGGGCAGCGCAGCGTTCGGACAGGCGCCGCCGAGCTCGCCGGGCCTGAACATGGTGTTTGCGAAGCGGAAGCGGAGTCCGTTCAAGGGGCCTATGCTCACGTTGGGACAGCATGCAGGACAGCATCACAGTTCCCCGGCGGCGCAGAGGAGGGCGGAGGCCGCGAGCAGGAGTGCGAGCATGCAGGGCCGGCGCAGCGGCGAGATTATGGGGATTACGGAGGAGGAAGAGGAAGAGGAAGAGGAGGTCGAGGAGGTTGATGAGTTTAGTCCTGTGCTGGGGGGGTGCGAGGAGGTTGTTGAGGAAGGAGACACGGAGACTGGGGCGGAGAGTCCGCCCTCGGGGGAAGAGAAGGGGTTGGGGTTGTCGGCATCGACGGGGGCTGATGGCAAAGCAGAGGGCGGGAGAGGCTTGCTGCTCAGTCGGTTGATGGAGGTCCGCGAGGAGAGTCCTGTGCCTGATATCGAAAATCCGCCCAAGACGCCGCCCAAGGGGAAGCAACCTACACTCGCAGAGACGAAGCCCGAGACGCCGCCCAAGGATCGATAGAGCGAGCGGAGCGTGTAGAGCTTGGAGCTCAGAGCAGGATTGGCTTGGTTTGATGGGTTTGGCTGCGAGACGCACGACGATAGATACCTTTTCCTTTTTTCTTTTCCTTTTCCTTTTCCTTTTACTTTTCCTTTTCTTTTTCTGTTTCTGTTTCTGTTTCTTCGGCATTCTTTCTATTTCTATGCTCCGGTCCTGAGGGACTCTGTTTGCTTCTCTGCACACAGCGATGGACCGCATTTTGCTCTTCTCGCGCCGCACCGATTACATAGACCGTGTTTGCAGCTTTGGAGCGTTTTTGCCTTTGCCTAAAAGGATGGATTGGGGGACGCGGGAAAAAGAGGGTGTTTCGTTGTATATTCTTTGTGGGGTTGCACGGGATCGGAGAGTACATATGAGTGCCTATCATACACAAAAGCAGGAATGGAACATGGCTACACTTGCTGCATCTGCCCGCACTAGAGATTCCTGAGCTGCTGCGAAGGGGCCGGGACCTTTGTAGGATGCATGCTGTCATCTGTGTTAGCATCGACACTAGACGCCAGTACTCATGAGCGTCCGTATGGCGGAATATCCTCCTCTTGGTGATACACGATCGTCAGATGCAAGATTACGACTTTCCTTTCTCAACCTTTCCACCAAAGACTTCTGTGTCTGTAGCAACCCGACCCATCTCACACCAGAGTCACCCGACAAGGATACCTCTCCGCTGGATGCGCCCCGGACCTGGACGTCTGATACGCCCTCTCCCCTCGCGGGGGCTTCGGCGCATCCCTGGTCAACCCAAGTTTCGTCGCCAGCGTCCGCGCTACGCCCTGGTTCGCAGCGCAGATGGCATCCCACTCTTCGTACGCCGGTGCAACGTGGAACGTTCGCGCCGTCATGGCCAGCACCACGCGCAACTCGTTCAGCACCAGCGTCTGCCCGATGCAGTTGCGCGGGCCGAGCTCAAACGGCCTGTACGCGCCGCGCGCCGCAGGCACGTGGAGCGCGTGCCCCGGCGCGACGAGCCATCTTTCCGGCAGGAAGTCTAGGGCCCGCGGCCACACGCGCGCGTTGCTGTGGATGAAGCGGTGCATCAGTGTTGCGTTCAGGCCTTCCGTGGGAATCGCGGTGCCGTTCCTGTCTACCAGCGAGACGGCGCGTGTGCCCTCCCGCAGCGACGACGCGGGCGGGTAGAGCCGCAGCGTTTCTTTGATGACGGCGAGGGTGTAGGCGCATTGGTTGAGGAGGGCGGAGTTCGCGCGGAGTTGGGGCGCGACGGGGGCGGAGGTGCCGAAGACGGAGTCGAGTTCGGCGCGGAGGGTGGACAGCGCGGAGGGGTGGAGGGAGAGGAGGTGGTATGTGTAGACGATGGTGGCGGCGGTGGTGTCGTTGCCGGCGAAGATGAAGAGGCGGATCTGGTTGGAGGCGATGGCGGCGAAGGAGGTGTCGAGCTGGAGGTCAGGCAGGCTGGTTGTGTGGCTCTGCGACGCGATGTACTGCTCGAGTGCTAGGGCAACGACGGATTTTGCTTTCTTCGGGCGGTCCGCATTCGAAGTGGGTGTGGCTGTCTCGCGCTTCATCTCTTCGAAGCGCTTCTGGAGTTCTCAGTTCAGGAACTTCTCCAACACGCGGCCGTAATACCATTGCACGACTGGCCTCAACGGGTTGAGTAGAATCCGCGGGCCCCAGAACGAATGCCAGTCCAGTATCGTATTCAAGGCGTGAGAAATCTCGTGCTCTGAACGCTGGTTGTTCAGATCGGTGTCACTGCGTGCGATTAGCTTCGCGCATGGGAAAGGGGCAACGTCATACAGTGTCGTCTTCGTAATGATATCCATCGCCAGATTCGCCGCCATATCATCTAGCTGGAACACACCCTTATCAACGCGCTCCCTCAAAATCTCGCAAAACACCTCCACCGAGTCCACGATCGTCGGGACCAGGCTAAGCATATGTCCCGCGCTGAACCCGGAGCTGAACAGCGACCTCCACATCTTCCACTGCTGCTCATTCATCGTGATAAGACTAGGTCCCCCGATGATCGGACGAAACGACTCTTACTGGTCACGGGGCTTGGGTAAGTCATATTTCACCGAGGCCTGCATTGCGATTTCGGGACTCGATATCATGAGCGTGGGCGCAAAAACTGGCCAGAGATCCATGAGGAAGACTTCGGCGTCGGCGTGGTCTGAGACCATATCTTCCATGGCCATGTAGACATTTGCGTCGGGGGGTAGTTGTTGCAGCTTCTGGTGCAGGACTCGAAGGTGGCCGAACCACCAACTCCAACCAGGGGGCATTGCCTGCGTCATTTCAGTCTTTCCCTTTTTGTTTTCCTTTTGGATTTGAAATTGGTTCGGGGGCATACCACGCCTTGCTTGCGCAAGCGGTAGATCCGGGAGCGTCGTTGATAGCCAATGTGTAACACATACACTATCGCAGAGAAGAGCGATGCTCCCACGGTGAAAACAATCTTTTCTGTAATCATAGCTAGAGCACGAGAAATTGGGATACGGGAAGATTGAAACGTTAGGTATTTATATAAGTTGTCAGTCTCGGATATGCGGCGAACCAGCGACCCAGCAAGACTACGCCGCACTGTTGCCCTAATTCCTTTCTTCCGGAGGCACAGCGTACAAGCCGCCGTACAGCATCTCATTTTATGTTGTATACGCAACTCCTCATAAGTGTCGATGAGCACTGTTAATGGAGGACACCGTTCGTCACCGCCCACCCACTGTCTAGAAGAAGTCAGGCTGAAACCATGCAACAAGCCGGCACAGGTCCCCCACAGGCCTCGACACCCAGCGAGTCCACGTCCCACAAGAAGGGGCTCGCTTTTTGGTTAGTCATCGCGTCACTATGTTCGATCGCCTTTACATCGTCTCTCGATGGCTCCATCATCGCCATCGCCCTTGCGGAGATATCGTCGGCTCTATCGTCTGAGGATCAATACGTTCTGGTCGCCAACTGCTTTCTACTGGCTCAAACCGTTGTCCAGCCTACGTTCGCACAGCTTTGCGACATCTTCGGTCGGCGGTGGCCCATGATTGTCACAGTCATGATTTTCGCGCTTGGTAGCGGCATTGCTGGAGGTGCGAAGAACACAACGACTATGATCGCAGGCCGTACCGTACAAGGTCTTGGGTCAGGGGGCATCATGCTCATGGTAGAGCTGATTGTCTGCGACCTGGTACCTCTCAAAGAGCGAGGTACCTATCTGGGGATTGTACTTTCCACCGCCGCTCTCGGGGCAATTTCTGGGCCGGTTGTTGGTGGCGCAATTGCACAGAGGGACTGGCGATGGTGTTTCTACATCAACTCGCCGATATGTGCATTGGTCCTACCAGTCCTCATCTTCAACCTCCGCATACGCCACCACAAGATCTCTTGGTCACGGCTATTCACTCGAGTCGACTGGATCGGCAACACCGTTTTCATCGGGTCCATGACTGCGATTTTAGTCGCCTTGTTCTATGGCGGTACGGTCTATCCGTGGTCGTCCTGGAGAATCATCACGCCACTCGTGATCGGTACTGTGGGCTGGGCAACTTTCCATGTGTACGAGTCGCGCTGTCGTAACCCATGTGTACCTCCACAGATCTTCAAGCATCGAACTACCTCGGCAGCTATACATGATGTTCACTACATCTCTGGCACTGCAACTCGTATGCTTCTTCTGGCCGCTGTACTTCTTGGCAGTGCGTGGAACCTCACTCATGCGCACCGGCGTCTACTTCATGCCTTTCATGTTTATTATGATTCCTGTCTCGGCGATCGCTGGGTTATTATGTTCGAAAACGGGACAATATCACTGGCTACACTGCATTGGCTTCGTGTTGACCACGCTTGGGCCTGGTCTCAACCTCTTGTTGACGGCTGCCACACCCAAGGCTACCTGGGCAATCTTCCAGGTTGTGGATGCCTTGGGAAGAGCATGCATCCTATCGACGACCTTACCTGCTGTCCTCGCTCCGTTACCAGAAGAAGACACTGCCACGGCCACTGGAATGAACTCCTTTCTGCGAAGCTTCGGATTCGTCTGGGGCATCACCATCCCTAGCGTCATATTCAACAACAGGTTCGACCGGATGTCGTGGAAGATCCAGGACGATGCAGTGCGAGCAGCTTTGCAGGGAGGAAGAGCATACCAGCTGTCAACTGGCGCTTTTCTTAAGACGCTTTCGTCACAAACACAAGTCTCAAGTTTTTGAAGTCTATTTAGATGCACTGAAAGCTGTCTGGCTCGCTGCTGTAGCGTTTGGAGCCTCTGGACTAGTCGCCGTAGGAGTCGAGAAGCATGTGCCTCTCAGAACGTATCTCGATACGGACTATGGGCTTGACACAGGCAAAGAAGCAGATACTCCTGAACAGACAATAGAGAAAAGTGCTTAGTGCTTAGGCAACATGATCCGGGGGGTAGTGGTCATTGATCGTAGTACATTTGATCTCTAGTTGGACATTTATAATATGAACCTCTCTTCTCCAGTGAAATCCTCGACGAACTAAGTCATCGTCTCTCAATCTCTAAGGACCAAGTTTTAGGCGTCTGCAAGCTCGAATGGCATAACCTGCTGTTGATGGGATGTGAAAGACCTCGCACCCAAACAATCTTCGTGTTGTTGGCGTCAGTCTGCCCGAATACGGGCCGATCCATGCTGCAAGTCTAGATGAGTGGCCCTGGTGAGACTGCAGGGGCCATATCTAGGTTTAAGCGCCGAGAATGCATTGTGCTAGGACTCATGCGAGGCAAGTGGGTACTCAGGGATGCTCGGGGGTGACAAGGTATTGCAGCTCTAGTACATGCTCAAGGAAGCCATACAACCCACTTTGAGGCGGTATCCAAAGATAGCTGATATACTAGAAGCTAAAGAACGGATGAACTATGCCTCATTCTTGCCTTTCATCTGCAGCTCGACGAGTCAGATCCCCACAGAGATTGACGCGAATAGCTTCACCGGATGATGTGTCGATTCCGCCGCGCCGGCGTAATTCCTATCTGGATACGGAAGAGAACACGTCCGTGTGTCTACATCCTGGCCTGTTTCAATTGATGCTCGTTCCCTAGGCTTTCCCATAGTGGCGATGTCCTACGCCTCGAACTCACAGATCGGGCGAAAAAGCTGAAACAGAAGTTTGCCTCGTACGGATGCATAGCACCAATATAATGCGAAGGCCACTACACTTCATTGGGACCTTGGAAAAGTCCGATGGAAGCGACCTTCTTAACTTGGCTGTAAAGCTATGCCTCTATAGAGCAGCGCGTCGAAATGGCAGTACGCAATCGCTCATTGATTTTGGGGGCTTTCATGGACACATGTCATGCCAATCGGACTCACACTGCCTAAGTTATGACCAAGCTCAAGGACCAGGTAGAAGAATGGACATGCTTTAACCTGGAAAGAGAAGGTAAAAATTCTAGAAAATGAAAGTATTTTCTGAAGAAAGGCGGTTGGGTGTTGATTGCGAACCGCGCGCTGCATTCCGATCAGGCCATCTGGGGCCCCGACGCAGACCAGTTCCGTGCTAATCGCTTCTGCGGGAAGACACCGCATCTGTCGTTCAGGGGGTTCGGCAACGGCGCGAGTGCGTGCTGTGGAAAGAACTTTGCGGAGCATCACATCGCTGCATTCATGGCGATCATGGTCATGCGGTATGATCTCGTTCCTGTTGAGGGCGCGTGGAAAGAACCGGGACAGGATGGTCGAGACACCGCGGCGCAGGTTGCTGGTCCGATGGAGAGCCCGAAGGTATATATGCGGCTGAGAGAAGATCCTGAGGTCGTAGAGTGGGACTTTCAGGGCTGATATTGAATGGCTCTGTACGAGGATAATAGGAGGATGCGATATCATGCATTCTGTATACTGTCAGCACACTATGTAGGACCTAGCCGCACAGAAATTTGCAAGACCACCGTTTCTCCTACAATCAGATCCAGTACACAGCCTCTTGATTGGCGGGCAACTCTCTAACCTGCTTCAGCCCCCTATACCGCCACCTCGAAACATAAGTCTTGAAAGTGCCTTCTCCAAACTTCCCATTGCTCGTTGCATAAGCGCCCACAACGACGCCAGAATAGTACGGTATCAAATAATTGCCCCTCGTGTACCCATAAATCTCCATAGGCGTATCCTCCTCACATCCACCCAATCCCGCAGAGAAAGCGTAGTGCGTCGTATTCACCGCCTCGACCTGAAGTCGCACTTTTTGCCTCATCGAGCCCTCTGGCGGCGGGAGAACTTCGTCCACGTACTTGAAGCGCTCGGGCAGGCGGTAGGTCGTAGTGCATATCCCACGGAAGCGGATATGCGGGGCAAGATCCCCCGAGCCGTTCGTTTTCAGCATCACGACGCCGAGATCGAAGTGCTGAGCCTGGTCCTGCAGCACAGTGACACCAACCTCGTTCTGCTCCCGCGTGAGGAGGCCATCCCCCTCGACGTCGACGCTGAAGCGGAACCGCGTGTGCGACTGGCATCTCGCGACAAACGTCTGTCCCAGGCCGCGCGTGGAGTCGCCGTCGAAGGAGGTGAGGTTCAGCACCGAAGATCGGAGCATCATGCTGTTCGTGTGGTTTTCAAGCGAGATGGCATAGTTCTTTGTGACTGGGAGACGCCAGTGGAAAAGGTGGGGTGTCAAGGCACTGCCGGGGGCGAAATCGATTTTGTCGTCTGCTTCGCTGAGACCGCCTTCGCCGCCTGCGGGGATCGTGAGAGGGTTGAGATCCATGGGGAGTGCGAAACCGCCGGTCATGGTGCCGGATACATACTTGTAAGTTGGCCAGGCGCCTGACAGCCATACCACGGGCGTCAGAACAGCTTCGCGACCCATTGAGAAGATCGAATTGTAGAGGTCGAAGTTGTAGCTTTATCCGGCGCGGACAGCCAACGCGATCGCCCAGTACTGACCCTGGGCGTCCGGGAAGATATCGGAGTGGCCGACTGCTTGGGAAGTACGACTCGCTGAGGTAACCACTTAGAATGGGATTGGCAGGATCGCCTTCGTATGGGCCAAAGAGATTGCGCGACCGGGCCATGTTGGAGCGATGGCGCTCTCGGGTGCCGCCTTCGGCCGTCAAAAGGTAATACCATCCATCCTTCTTGTAAACGTGAGGAGCCTCGGGGGATGGTAGGCCTGTCCCGTTCCAGATGCTTACGAGCGGACCTAGAACCTCGCCAGTCTCGAAGTCGAGCGGTGCTTGCAATATGGTCTTCCCCTCGAACGACCCAGTAAGATACGTCTTCCCGTCGTCATCCCAGAATGGCGAGGGATCAATTCCCGGGAAGTCGAAGTGGACTGGATCAGACCACGCAGCAGAATCGTAAGGGTTAGAAGTTGTTATAATGAAGTTATCCCACTTGGTGTAGTTGGTGGGATCAGAGCTTGATTGGCGAGTGTAGTCAGGAGATAGAATTTGCCATCCCGGTACCGAAGAGTTGGGGCGTATATTCCACTTGTTGCGCCTCGAGGTAGGAAGGCCAACGCAGGAACTTAGTCTAGTCGGCTGAAGGCATTGGATATGAGTTTCCAGTTGACTAGATCCCGGCTGGCATATATTTGTAGCCCAGGGAAAGTGATGAAGCTAGAGAAGGTGCAGAAGAACGTACTGTCTAGCTCTTCCACGAACGTGCATGTAGGATCCGGGTGAAATAACTATCGGAGATAACAGGTGAGTAAACTTTATCGCTGACTGTAGTCTATTGATATGGTCTATAACTCACCCAAATTATTGGATTATGGTATTTCGAGGCATTCCGAGCTAGGATAGGTGCGGTTAGCAACACCGTCACGATGGTGACCAATGCTCTCAACTTCAATTAAGTCGCGACGAACGCTGCGATCAAGTCAAGGTGATTAGAGCAGTGTTAATCCTACGGGAACCCCGTTCATTATATACATATTGAGCATATGCATCCTACAACACTGTCAAAATCATGTAGTAGGCCAAGGTCGACTACATGTGCTTTTGACGACTGCTTTCCGTTAGAGCATCTCCAATTCAGCTTCCTACAAGCTAATGTTCACCGGAAATGATTGAGGCGACCAAATATTTGCCGGAGACGCGCAACACTTTCGCTGAAGAAGAGTAGGTGCGGGGCTGCGGGACGTTCAGGGACAATGCCTGCTTCGATTTCTTGCGCAGGTGGCACATTGTCCACTGAAGTTGATGCTGGCCTCGTCGAAGGCGCAATCGACAATCCTTGGGTTTATGCAGATTTGGCGGAAAATCAAATATTGGAGAATGCATATCTTCTACGTCGGCTCGAGCGATCCTGGGGTTTTCGCGGCTCAATGGGCTGGCGGACGCAGACTATCGGTATTTGTATGGCTGGGTACGTGGTAACTGTTTTGTAAGCTTGACTCCCCTGATACTTTCACTGAGTTTCACGCAAAGCCCGTGTTCTTGATTGCATTACACGTCTCAGTGTTCCTAAGGTGAGTGCTTCCTTTTCTTCTAGTCAGTGATAAGTCAACGCGAGCATATACTCTCACCAATGTCCCACATGGTCGGGAGTCTCATTCTATCAGCTCAAAAGCATCGACGACCACGCGGTGCCTCGGCAGTCGTGTTCTTGGGGTATGACAAAACACAATCCAATTCCACTGCGCGGTTTTACTTCGATGGACCGCCAATGCGACGCACAAATGCCTTCATAAGAGCAATGCAATGCTCTGTGCGAGGTACATGGGCGAAGACAAGGAGAAGTTCGCCGGTTGTGTTCGTTGCGGCGCTGGAATCTGTTAAGAATCTTGCGTTGAAGGTTAAATGGCTCGAGTTCGTAAGTCCGAGTCAGAGGAACCGGTGGACGGGATCGATGCAGTCGCTACGAAGAAGACGGCTGTGCGTTGCATCAGGGGACATGTGAGGTTTCTAGTACGGTTATGCTAGAATTTCGCGTAGGCGAGATAGGAAAACGAATGTGAGCCATTTTATTTTTGTATAGATTGCGCTGACGTGTATGGGTCTTCGTTCCTCTCTTACTCGGATACGATGGTAATGATGAAAATTCAAGCACAGTCGGGTTCAATCTGACCTAGACTGTCAGTTGATACACAGAAGACCCCCGTCATTCTACGTTTCGAGACGGGGAGCGCGAAGCTGTGCCGAGCATGAGGCCGCACGTGAACTTGCCGTGACCAACCCGTTCTCGAAAATTGCCGCGCCATGGTGTTGCGCTGAGCTTCTGACGCCGACGAGTCATGTACTGTGCATGTTTGAAGAGGAATTTCCGTTCTCTCACTCATACACAGCTGCGTAATGCCATGGAAACAAGTCCCACGAGGATATACAAGGTCGGGGTTGCAAACCGGGACACTCTCTTGGAACTCCATGCTCTGCTGCCGTACTTTCCGCTTGAGGCGCTCTTCCAATTAGTTCGCATGATAGGAGACTGCAAGTCGGGCCACACACTCGGCGCCTGGCTGTACTGTACGGCAGCAACCGAAAGCATGGAGAAGAGTCAGTGTACAACTGACGCAACCTTGGGCCGCGTGGGGTAGTTGCGTGGAGTCTAGGCAGACTCGATCTTGCTGCGCAGAGTGACCATGCCGTTCGAACAATGTGTGCCGTGCCGGTGTGGGTCTTGGTCCTGAAGAGTACTAGTTTTTGCATCATGGCGCAGGATTTTTCGGTATATTGTAGAAAACATGGCACCGTGCACTCTGCTATTGCGTCAATTTTGTATGTGCATTGTCTGAATGTACTGATGGTACCAAACCAAACACTTGAATTTATCCGAGAATTGCGCCTGGTCGTCGATCGTACATCAGGTCTGGTTCGGCCGTAAGGCGCTTGACAGGCGGAAGCTACCACTCCAAGCTTCGATAATGCAGACTGTAAGCAATCGCCAGCCAAGGCGCCTTTAGGATGGTTCATTAACGATGCTTGTTGCAGGCCGATGCCTATTGGCAAGTCCAGAACTGATCGGTGTTCAACACCTGTCGACTGAGAATCCGCCCACGGTTCGACAGTGATCTGGCAGTGTCGTGTCCAGGTAGACGGATAACCGTTTCTACGCCACCGGATATCGCGTGCCGTGGGACCATGGGGAAACTTGGTTTTCGAACGCCGACTGCTTTCTGTCGGAAGGAGCGTCATTTGAAATGTTGAATACCAGTTTCGCGAGGCTGCGCGAGGCTCCTCCTGCCGAGCGCGGCCGAAGTGAAACGCTGATCGAAAATGGGCCCGTCATCTTTCCAAGTTTATCGCGGATCAGCAAGAGGGTCAAACGGTGGAGGTAGCCTCATCCTGGCACAGTGAAGCCAATTCCCGTTGTTTTGAACGTACAAGGCTCATCCCACCGTTTGCTCTCGCTTCGTCCGCGAGCGTTGGAAGGCGCCAATGAAGACCGAGATGAGCGGATGATGTGCTCGCTGTTCGAATTGCGATAGCTCCCGCCTTGGCGAGCCCCCCTGGCGATCACTCTCGGCGCTTGATGAAAGAATCAACGCGCATACGCGTCCATTATTGACAATTACCTCCCCGTGGGCAAACAGCCGGAGTGAAAAGCGGAGCCTCGCTCAGGAGAAGGACTGGAACAGTCCATGGGCAGTAGCGGGCAGCAGCCAGGCACTCACAGGCGGTCGGAAGCCAGTCACCAGCCCGTCGGCCGTGAAACAAGCCAGTAGCCAGGTTGCACGCTCTCGTCTGGTGTAGAGGACTTGTTCTCCGAGTGCCGGCCCGGCCGCCCGCCAAGCATGGCCTGCGGCGGAGAGGGCGCTCAACAATGCCGCCAAATCGAGTCTCCGCCCAGGCCGGTGGCTCTAGCCGGGGTTATCGATAAAATTCTTATCGGCACCAGCGCAGTCCAGGCTGGGGATGACGTAGGAGGTGCCACGGGGGGTCTATTTTTCGATGTTGCAACGCAAGCCGGCGGGCGGCGTGCGAATCACCGGCCACTGCAACCTGGCTGGGTGGCTCGTCCTGTGGCTGGGACGCGCATGAAGTGGGTGCGTGTGGGTGTGCTGGGCGTGCCGGATTGCTCGCTCTGGCCGTCGCCCTGACAGCGATGCTCAGCACAGGCTGCGGCTCCACCGCGGTGCGTGTGCAGCTGGTAGCGGGAGCGCGTACGAGTGGTTGAGCGTCCGGTGCTGGTGGAGCCTGCGCGCCCTGGCCTGGTCGCACCATCGCCATAGCTGGGAAACAGGAAAGTGGTTGGGCCTCTGTTTGGGTGAATGTTGGGGGCTGTCCAGGATAAGCGGGTCTTCTCAGCGAGGTGCGTGCGCGCGTGGCGAGCTCCCGTATAAGAAAGAGGTCAAGCTCGCAGGCACTTCTTATCTATCGCCAGTCCCAGATACAAATACAAGACTCCCACTGTCGTTCCTCACCAACCAGTACTTTCGTTCACCGCCCAATACTTAATTACCAACCCACCAAACCACACCCTCCAAACACCTTCAACATGCAGTTCTCCATCATCCTCGCTGCCTTCGCCGCCGCCGCCTCGGCTCAGTACACCTACTCCAACGGCACCACCTCCGCTGTTGCTCCCTCCGGCACTGCCGCTCCCACCGGAACTGGCTCTGCCGCTCCCTCCTCCACCGCTCCCTTCGAAGGTGCAGCTGTCGCCAACGGCCCTGCCATGGCTCTCCTCTTCGGTGCCGGTGCCGCTGCTCTGGTAAGCTGGCTCGTCTTGGAACGTTGCGACGAGAACAGGATTTAACATAGCCTAGATGATCTAAACAGTTTCATCACTGCTACCACCAACACGCGACACACGACAACCACCTCGACCTCGGCTTTCGACTTCTAATTAGCGACCATGTCCGGCATGTTGATAAATCGACCTTGTTTGGTATGGGATCTTGAGCATTTTCTGGCGTAATAGTCCGTTTCGGACGCTCTGGATGCATCGTGACCGTAGCCGGTTCGCGGCTCCGTGAGCAGGAATTACAGGATTTGTAGATAGAGGCCCTACGTGGCTCGGTTTATCGGTTTACCTAATAATACCCATCCACTGTTTTCGAAACTGTCTCTTGTTGCACATCCGTGAAGTGCATGCTGCTGCAGCTGAAATGCTCTCAGCCATCGTTTGGCGAATACGTGCTCGTACCCTCGTGTTTCTCAGCTCTCCCATTCAGACAATCTCTTCCTGCATGCGCATATCTGCAAGGTACGCCTCCGACGTCTGATATGGCAAGAGCGGACAGGTTGCTTACATCGACTTCGTCCATCTTGAGCTCTGGCAGCGCAGGTTCCTTTGCAGTCTGCCACGCGGCCTCCCAAGGGCTAATGGAAGGTGCTGGAGAACCGTGCCCAAGTACGCTCTAGAATGACCGATCGCTCAGGTCTCGCATGGAACAAACCAGGAAAAGCGAGCGCTGGTGGGGAGATCTATCGCTGTGGTGTACGGCCGAGACGGTTGTCGTCGGGACCCGAGTATTGCCTGTTGCTCCTTCATGGAGAGACATCACGTGCATCGCTTGGCGCCAGGACGCGCAAGTCGAAACATCGACTTGTCATCCACAGTAACCTGCCATGGATGTCGACGCTCTGTAGTTTTGCCACACCCCACTTAGCATCTTACACTCTCATTGCTATGTCGGCCTCCCACTGCTTCCTCGTGACCGACCTACAGTCGCAGCTGTACTTGATCGTCTTTCGATAAGCGACCCCTCCGCCCACCATGGTGCTGGATATAGAGCCCGCGGGTGTCCCGCCGTATGGCTTACAATCGTCAAAAGAACCACGTGTTGGGATAGAAATGCACTCCACGGACTTCAGCTCCCAAGAGACTTCGCCGGAAAACCGACCGTGGCATGACCACCCCCACTGGAAGAAGATCAAGAGCAAAGTCCCAGCGCCGGTCGCTGCTCGCACCCGCAAGGTGTCACAGTGGTTTCGCGGGCCCGAATCTGCAAAGCCCAATCGCATAACGCCCCTCTTCGAGCCTATCCAAATCTTCCACATCCGCCTCTTTTCGCGACTTCCTACATTTGCGCGGGGATGCATCTTTGTATGCGCGTTTATGCTATGGCTTGTTATATTCGGCGTGATCCTTAGCAAGGACAGTCTTCCCTCGGACATTGGGGGGTTTGGTCCTCCGGTCCGGCTTTCGTGTACTGCCAGGCTTTGGTAAGCTCAAGTCAATCCACACTCAATCAAGGCTGACTTGTACATTGCAGGCCTAACGGCCAAAGCTGCGGACTCAACGGCGTCAATTGCCTTCCCTTCGACGATGCGAGCTTTGCGTTTACGTGCCCAGCCGATTGCGCCGGAGTTCAAGTGCTGAATCCATACACGATCGGCGATACATCGATCAACTACCGGCCGCTCATAGTTGGTGGCGCCTCAGAAGGGTCAGATGACAATGATTTGGTATACCGCGGTGACTCGTTCATCTGCGGCGCTGCCATACAGGCTGGCGTTCTGACAGACACATCGGGAGGTTGTGGAGTGGTTAATCTGGTCGGAGAAAGGACGGCTTATGGCTCAGCCTCGCAGAATGGCGTTCCGAGTGTGGGCTTCAATTCCACGTTCCCCATGTCATTTGATTTCGAGCGGTCTGAGCAAGTTCTGAGCGACTCAGCAAAGTGTCGAGATCCAAGGTGGGGCCTACTCGCGTTGTCTACCATCTTTACAGCCCTATTCTCGCTCTTCACTACACATCCTGCTCCTTTCTTCGGTTCTATTTTCGTCATCACGTTCTGGCAGATTGCCATGGCTTCAGATCCTCCTTCATACTCAGATTATCCCTCTCTGGCTTCTACCGCTTTTTCGAACTTCCTTCCAGCCGCTTTCATTGCCGTCATCATTTACCGCGTCAGTGTTCGCAAGACTCTCATGCACCTCAACGCGCAATACGAAAAGACGATCCTTTGGGTAGGCGCTCTGTGGGTGGGAGCATTGAACAATCTGACTCTGGATATGATACCCATCTCACGTCTGACGGGGCATGACATCAAGCAGCAGCCCGGCGCCATCACAGCACTAGTGATCATCATCTTGATCCTCATAGCTCTAGTCCTCTACCAAGCTTGGTGCTTCCGAATTGAAGGACGGTTGCCGCGATACTTAGGCATATATGGCATTCTCGCCTTTTGCTTGCTCATACTACTGGCAGTACCATCGCTAGATTTGCGGATACACCACTATATCCTCGCTCTTTTGCTGCTTCCTGGAACGGCTTTGCAAACCCGTGTTAGTCTGCTTTGTCAGGGTCTCTTAGTCGGGCTCTTCATCAACGGTGTTGCGCGCTGGGGTTTCGCATCCATTCTGCAGACTGCTGCAGCTCTGCGAGGCGACGCGCAATTGGGAACCGACCTTGTGTCGATCCTCGACCCCATTATCAACGCCACGAATATCACATTTGCTTGGGAAGGTTTGGCGCAAGGGTACGAAGGGGTCAGCGTCTTGGTCAACGACGTTGAGCGCTTTCGTGGCTTTCATGAAGATGGCGACAAGAACTTCACCTGGACAAGGAAAGCACTTGATCATCCCGAATACTTTAGATTTGGGTTTGTGAACTACCAGCCGTTCGGAGGAATTTCGTACAGCGACTTTACGAAAGCGGGAACCTGGTGGCCAAATGGCACGTGGGAGGACCCTCCACCAGGCCGTACTTAGACCACGAAGTATTTCTGCAAGCGCACTACTCTCCACGCAGGGTAGTGACCCCGGATTTGCAATACATGAAGATTCCGCCTCTACGAAGAGCTAATCATGGGGCCAAGGTTGCGGTGTTGGTAGATCTCTCGGCTTACATGCCTGCACATTGCCGATATCCGACTGACAACTCTCACTGAGGCGGTGATCAACATATACATGACAAACCAAGTGGTATAGCGTAGTCAATTGGCGTGTTACTGTATCTTAATCCTCGTGTCGGTGGTCGGCGAAGTAATGGCCTGAGTTCGAGTTGAGTCGGATATTCCGAATCTCGAAAATCGAGTACTACACTATGGTGAACTTGCAGCAGTGATGAGTGCAATGCGTCTCAATACTCAATGCCGTTGCAGGCTTGAAAAGACCTGCAGGTCTCGCCTTGAAAGCTTAATTTCAAGGTATCAACAAAAGAGAAGTCGAGAACCTGAAAGCAGACGTCCAATAACATGCGGCTCTGATTTTGGTGTCGGATATAGCACCTGCGGGTGAGGGTCACCACTTGTGGAAATAGACGAGCAATCAACACGAGATCGGCCCGACCCAGCACCACCAGCAGCAGCAAGTTACGTGCGAGTACGCTGGTCGCCTCAGCCTCTTGACTCGACTTGCTCACTACGATTCGCTCGTTATGTTCGATGCTCCCCACTGATGCGCAGGACCTTGCGTGGATCTGTCGCTCCTATGCACGACTACCACGGAGCTATCCGAGCAATCCAATTCCAGGTGCGAAGGCCTCAAGCCCTATGGAAAGTAAGCCGTACCCTGGGGAAGCGGATGCATCGTTCGCTGCATCTTGGCAGGTACGCACTGTGCAGACTAGACGGGATCTGCAAGGCGGTGTTGAACATTTGGGAAGCGTACCATGGATGTTGCTGGCAGGGCTCAGGGGAGCACGTCCAGTCGTCGACGGTATAAGGATGTCAGTTTCTGCTAGGAGTGGGACTTGATTGCAACTTCACCTGTCATTCCTCACTTCAAAAGACAGGACAGAGCAATTCCATACACTCTTTTTCACCATGGCGAGCCGCAATATCGGGGTTTCATTGATGGACGTTCCCACCATTTGCTTCGGCTTCACACTCGGCTTCGCGACTCTCACAATCTCCAAAGCGGCGAAGCAGACCCTCTCGGTTATGCGCAGGAAAAACAACAAATTCAGCCCCTACATCTTCATGATTTGGATCGAGATAGTCGTGTGCCTCGCCATGGCCATCATGAGCTGGCTCTGGATCCGCGGCGACCTACCCTCCACGTCAGTCTCAGTCTCAGTCTCCCCATCAGAGTAGCATCGCCCGCCTAAACAATAAACACAGACTCTGGTACTTCTTCATCCAAGTCACGCTCTGGTCGATCCAGCTGCAACTCCTCCTCCAAATCATCGCGAACCGCATCTCCCTGATCCTGCCCTCCCGCAGTGACGGCCGGCGCCTGCGTCTCGCCCTCTTCCTCGGCATCCTGCTGATAAACATCAGCGTGTACTGTATCTGGATTCCCGCACGCCTGAACGTGTCGCCGACATGGGTCAAGCTCAACGAGGTATGGGACCGCGTCGAGAAAGTGATATACCTCATTGTTGACGCCGGACTCAACGCATACTTCCTGTACCTCGTGAAAGTGCGTCTCGTGGACGCCGGGTTAAAGAAGTACGAGGAGCTGTGGCGCTTCAACGTAGGCATCAGCAGTATCAGCATCAGCATGGATCTTCTCATCATCGGGATGATGAGTTTGCCGAACGACCTGGTGTAAGGCTCCCCCCACGTCTCTTCCCCGCACGTATGGTAGGATGTTAATGCGGAATCAGATATGTCCAATTCCACCCCCTGAGTTACATTGTGAAATTGAACATTGAGCTCTGCATGTCCGACCTCATCTCAAAGGTCGTCCGCAAGCGCGACCGCACCGACAAACCCCACGAGCACGACTCCTCGTCCAATCCCTCCCAGGGCACCGAACTCCCCTCCACAACCACGAAAACCGGCACCTTTGGCGGCACCACGTTCACGAGATCCAAATTAGGGCACACTGGCAGCAAAGATAAAGATGCAAAATCGCAGACTGTGAGTAACGTCCGAGAAGACAGTTCCGGGCCCAACGGAGAGGGAAAAGAGGACGCAGAGAGCTCGGGAGATAGCATTCATTCAAGCAGCAGTAGTGACAGCGGGATCAATTTCCGCGTGTCGGGCGATGCGAATGCGAGCGGGATCGTGAGGGAGGTGACGGTGCAGATCGAGGTGGATAGTGTGAGGGAGGGAGATGATGAGCAGAGGAGTACGAAGAGTACGACGATACTGAGGGGCGGGGGGTGGTGAGGCTAGCTTTCCGCAGAAGAGGGGGTGGACGTGGGGATGGAGAGAAAGGGGAGGCCGAGAGCAGAAGAGCACATGATGCCCAGCGCAAATACACGAATACAATACACAGATAATACAAAGCGGCGTTTCAAGGCAATGTCCTGGCTGTCTCGGCCGTGTTGTATGTTTGGATGCTTCGAACGACTTGATCTGCCCGCGGTAGACTTCCTTTCACATCGAATGCAAGGCGCGTGCAGGGCACATGCAGAAGGCCAAGCACACCCATTCCCGCTGCCGCGGCGGCCACACTAGTATCGCGCGCGTCGATGACGGCCCGGCTGCGCACCACAGCTGGGACTTTGTTGTTTCCGAGGCCCACGGCACGGAAGGCGTGCCGAGCGAGGAGCCTCGAGCATGGGCAGCGAGTCGCGTCTGGGACATGTTCGAGCTGGGTAGGTTGGGCTGTGCTAGAGCGGCGGTGCTGTGGAAGGGGTCTGTAATACAGATCCGACGTGCAGTACGTGCGCTCAGAACGAGCGCAGCACGACGTGGGCGAAGATGCAGAGAAAGCGTACAGGAGGCCTAGGATTCTGACAGTGCACTAGTCTGGCGGGCTGTCCCACCGCATGTGCTTGCGCCCTGCCTTGCACTAACCACCGCTCAGTCCTCAAAGCCATCCACCCAGAAGATCAACGATCGATTGCAATTGGTATCACGCTCAACGCCTGCAAATGCTCGTTCGACCCTGCCCCGCCCGGTTCTACTCCTTCTTGTATGTATTTCTGGCCATTTCTCCATGCGTAGGCGCCCCTACACCCACTCCGGCATATCCCTTGTAATCTTCGGGCTCCCCAGTTTCAACGAGCTCCTCGTATGATACTCCAGCAGCCCCGCCAAATCTGCGTCAACCCTTTCATAAGATTCTCTCAGCTTCCCCCTCTTCCCCAAAAACGCGTCCAAGCCCCCAGCATCCAGCCTCTTCCGCACATCCCGTGCGTAGTCCATTGCGTGCCGTAAGTCCTTTTTGTCCGCCGAGCGCGCCTTGATGGTCAGGTAGTTCGTAAGGTTGAGCAGGACAGCGATGTCGCCGAAGGAATTTACGGTCGCGCCGGGTGGAAGGTCCATGCTTGTGACGGGGGTCGCGGGGTTGACGAGGTACTCTGCGAGGGTGGCGTTGACTTCGTCGAGGTAGGTCAGGCGGACGCGGTCGTCGCTGCTCTCGAGGCGCAGGGCGTACTCCATGCAGTTCGCGAGCGCGTCCCAGATGAGCAGCTTGCCATCGCGGGGTTGGAGTGTCTTGAGCGTCCACAAGTGCGCGTTTGTCCAGTATTCATCTTCGATGAAGTTCTCATAGTCGGTCGCTTTGGCGATGCGCGAGCGCATTTCGTAGGTGCGGAGGAAGTCGCGGATGCAGCGGTGGGCGTAGTTGACTTTGTAGTGGGCGAGGTCGGCGACTTCGACGGACGTGCGCTGGGAATCGGTGGGCACGGCTTCGAAGATGGAGAGTAGGTTTTTGCACTTGAACACGAGGACATTGCGCATTTTCTCTGAGCGGGTCATCACTTCGCCGACCGACAGAGGTCGTGTCTCTGCTTCGAGGGCGGATCGCGTGTCGGTGTCGTAGGCACTGGTGAGAGGCAGTAGAGAGGGATAGCCGTGGGCATCGACGAGCCGGAATAGTCGGGCTGCCTGCAGAAAGTGCTGGGGGTCGAGGTTGTCAAACATGTATATGAGAAGCGCTTCGAGCTCTTGTGGCAGCGCATTCACCCGCCATTTTATCGTAGATACATCGTCTGTCTCCTTCGTGCTCTGGATGAGGAACTCGGTGGCCAGGGATGCCCACAAGAACACGCCATTTGCTTTGTCAATGAGTGTGTTTATAATCGCACGTTCCTCGGTACCGTCTGACTGCTCGGCCGGAATGTTAAACATGGTGTCGTTCTGATCGAATGCATACAGGACATAATCCTGGATGCCTCTCCGCGTCCACTTGTTGAGCTCTAAGCTAGGCCAATCCTTAAATGTGGCCTGATAGATTACTGAGGGCCGGCTGGAAATGCAGACCTTGACGTTCTCACGGTTGGACGCACTGATCAGGACAGTGAGTGCGTTAGTCGGGTCGTCGTCCAATTCATCAAGGCCGTCTATCATAAGAAGGAACTTTTTGGTCTTGTCTGACAGGAGAAGGTCGAAGGCAGTTCGTAGCTCCGAGAGATTGAATGGGTGTATGCCGCCACCGTATGAGGAGAACTGCTTCCAGCGTTCGCTGAAGATTCTCTGAACAATGCTTGCGTCCTCTTCCAACGGTCCGAAAATCATGTCTTGCAAAGCTTCATAGAGGACTGTCCGGAGCATACCAATTGTGGTCTTCTGCAAGTCTGTGCCGCAGTTCCAGAGGAAGAAGCCTGTTAGGATGCCGGGAGAGTGGCCTGACCAGCGCTCTAGAAACGGGAACAGCTCCTCGTTGCGGAAGAGATACTTCATGAGTGTGCTTTTACCCGAACCAGGCTTTCCTATGTCGCGAGTTAGCCGATGACCATCTTTGTGATGTGAGTGTCGCGTACCTGTCAGCCAGAATACGTTCTGACCACTGGTGTCGCCTAACCAGACTGGAAAACTCCCCTTTCCTTGCTGCCGTGAGTTCCAGATCCATTGAAAGCTCTCGTCACTCGGCTTGCTAATGCTGTAGAGTCGGTCGTCCTGCTCAGGAAAGTGAAGGCTCGCAAATATCAGATCCCGGAAGCGTGCTTCTGTGTCGGCAAGTATCAAGTTGTCCACGACTTTCGAGAATTCTTCGAGGTGCTTCTTGTTTTTGGCCTTCCAGTCATTGGTGCTGATAGCTTCTACCGCCTCATGTTGCCATGTCTGCCGGTGGGTAGCTTGCGTGTCTTCCAGATGGATCACAGACAGCCCCTTTTCGGAGGATGGATCAAGGTAGGCCCTGCACAGCAATGAGCATGAACACAACAAAAAATGAAGATGAAAGGCTCAACGCACTTCAGAGCGCGTAAGAGCGCCAACTCGATTTCTTTCCTCTGTGCCTGCATCCTCTTCTTCTGGGTTGAGATACCGCCTTTGGTCCATACCGTCATCAGGGGCTCCCTCAGGTTCGTCCACGTGGCTTCGACGTCTTCACATTTTGATTGCGCTAGAATCAGCCCATCGATCAAGGGAACTACGATTTCATGGGTGGACTCGCACAGCCTCAGCAGGTGCTGCGTGGCATCTTCGAGCTTGCCGGCTTTCTTCTCGTAAAATGTTTTCTTGGACCTGTTTTCGTGTAGGGCCTCGTTTAACCGATAGAGCTCGTGCGTTACCGCACGTAGCAGCTGGACGTTCTGGACGCCCGCGCCGACCCTCGGTTGGTAGACCTCATGATCTTTGATCAAGATCTTAGTCGCAAAATCTAGGAGCTGCAGGGCGCAAGCTGCTAACCCCACAGCGGGAAGGGCCTTCGGCATGGTGGGGAGAGATGACAGTTGTTCATCGCGCGGCAGAGGGGCTGCATAGGTGCTGCCAGCGGCGTATTTGACAGGTCGGGGCGGACTCCGCTTCCTCGTCGCGAGCCACTGAGAGGGCGACATCCTAGTCACTTGGCGCGCAGTTTCAAGCCGGACGGATGCCTGATGCAGTATGGTCAGCCTTGTCGCTTGATGATCGAAATGTCGTCGTGTTTGACGCGTAGACGAAACGATAGTTCCACTCGTCGCTTTCGTGATGTTCTTCAAGGTTGTCCCGGATCCTGCAAATATGGGCGCGTTTCGCGCGCGGCTGGTCGCAATGCTGTAGAAATGCGGGGTTTCTTGAAACTTACGATCGGAGTTGGAGTGCAATCGGAACTGCTGGAAGGATCCGTCTCATCAGCAGTATTAGGGGAAAACGACGACCATGTGCGATACTCGGAGGCATCGCAGTCGGCCAGGAAGGCCCAGTATCCGCTGTCCATCAGAACTGTACGAGTGTCAGCAGCTTTCGAGGACAATCGTAAGGACGAATTAGCATCTTAGTCTTTGCGTTTGCAGTTCAAAATCCAAAAGGCCTGGGAAACTGAACAGGCAGACCGCAGTGAAAGGGGTGCAGCAAGAACATCACATTACACTATACAAGAAGGGATACAGACGACCCAGGGGATGCAAGTTTCGCTGTAATAGAAAGAGCTAGCCTGTTCAAAGCCGCTATCGCTTGATGCAGCAAACGAACATTTTGGACGCCATATCGGCTTGATTCACTGCCAGAATGCCCAGGGGACCTAGGCTTAGACATGCGCGGCAAAGAGCTGAGGCTACCTGACAGGTCGAACCAGGTCGATGGACTGCCACCTAGGGACCAAGGGAGAATTTGGTGCGCGCTGGTACCGAGCTTCAACATTAGATGCACAACAGTGTAACGCAGCTCGCCTACGATGTGGAAAGCGCACCCTGCGAAGGAGAAGCATTCCTGCTGTTATAGTCTTCCAGGAGCAGGGCAAGAGCAGAGGTTGTGCTGCCTGCCAGTGCCTTCCCAAAGCGTGGCCGCAGCTCTTCACCAGCCGTCTGCCTCCCGCCACAACCTCAGAAGCCGTTCTACGTCCGCACCGCGCCGCCTTCAACGGTTCCATGGTCACTCCCACGACGGCAGCGTCGTTGTACCGCTCTCCCCCACGTGCCTTTTAGTCTCGAGAACCCTGCGCCGCAGCCACCAGGCTTGCGAATCTTGCTCGTACGCATTACTCTCCTCCGCGTACGCGATCATGCCGAAACTGATGTGGATAGGAGGCTGCGATATGCCGGCGCCAGTGAAAAGAAAAACGAAGGATACCATCATTGTGAAGGGGGTTGATGGGCTGACGTTCGGTCTGAAGTGCGACACGAAAGCGCTCCTCGAGAGCAAATCGAAGATCTGGTTCTGGACGTAAGACTTCCTCCAGCCATCGCGACAACAACCGCACTTTACTGACAGCTTTAGGGGATGTGACAACAAGCATAAGCTTTTCGATAAGCTCTCTTGCGAGTGGAACCTCTGTCCGATGGTCAACACCCGCCTGAAGGAAGACATCTCTGGACTGCTCGACAAATCCAATCGAATCGCCATGGTCTGCATCACCAACTTCTTCGATGATGAGGCCGCTGATTTCGTGTACTTCGTCAAGGGCTACAAGAACCTCGTAGGCGACTCCAAGCACGGGCTACAAACTTTCAGCGACTGTGCTAAACCATGCGCTTCAGGCAAACTTCCTGAAACTCACCTTTAGCGGAAGGGCCTACAACGATCCATGCTTCGCGACCCCTCTGCAGAACTTCACGTTCAAGAAACTCATCGAGAGCCCGGGCTTGGACTGCCTCGCTCTTGAGTGCGTGGGTAAAACGGAGACGAAAGGCTTGAGGTGGCTGTATCTGTACAAGTCAGCAGTCAACGCATGGGACAAACTCGAATTCGATAACGAGAAGTATATGACCATCAAGGAGAGGTTGAATCGTCCCGGGCCAATGGTGGAAGAGCTGTCGGACACGGAGGAGGACACGCCTAGCGATACTACGGATGATGATGATGAGGAGAAGGAGGTAGATGAGGACGAATATGAGGACCTAGATGACGAGTAGAACGCTCTCTACGCTGAGGAGACGCAGGAACGGTCAAAGGCTGGGGCAATGAAGCCAATTCGCGTTGCCTGAACATCACGCACATACCAAGCATGCTGCACAATACAACTTAGAACCGTGGCCACGATCTTCCCGTGTTGAACTGTCCTGGGCTACATAACCAGAGCCCTGCCGTGGTGATGTGTTACCTCAGTCATCGCCTGCTTCGTTTCCCACAATTGTGAGAGTGCTCTGTGAGCATGCGGTGATGACGGGGACAGAAGTGTTGCCGCGAAAGTGCCCAGATTTGTCCCACACAAATTTACGAGAGAGGCAGGGCGCACTGTACAAAAGCAGGGTGGGCGGAGGTGCAAGACGTCATCCGGAAGGATGGTGCCGGTGCTTTCAGCCTCAACGTGGATGTCTCGCCAGCCACCTACAGGCGTCCGTACGCATCGGCAAATCAACAGGGCCAGCACCGCTGCATCCGGATCCACACCCACTTCCTGAACGCCCACCAGTTGACCAACAGAGGACCATGGTCCGCTCTCAGCCACACGCCTCTCCGTGCTTGGCTGTTGCTTGACGATGCTTGTCTTCCACTAGCCGGACCCTCGGCACGGCTTGGTTCGGGATCATCTCAGCTGTGCCTTGTTCTGGCTCTCTGCCCTCCGCCCGTTCGCTTCTGCGCAGCCACCTGCTGTGGCTCTCTACGACACTGCGCCGCACTTGCGCAGCAGCTGCACCATTGCGCGATTTTGTTGCCGTCCCAGGACAACAGAGTCCCCTGAAGCCACTTCCGACATCCTCCGCTGCAGCGCGAACAATGGCAGAGGAGAAGGAAGCTCCCCAGAGCGAGCCTGCCAACGGCGCCGCGCCCAACGGCAATGCGCCCGGGACCACGGAGAAGCACGACGAGAAGAACCCCCCGGCGCCCCTGAAGCAGAAGACGCGGACAGACTCGAGCAAGAAGGGGCCCGCCGGCGGCTTCGACGATACACCGCTCCCGCGCGCTCCGCCTGGCTACACCATCAAGATTACCCTGCACCGCGCGAGAAACCTCCCTCTCGCCGATATCAACACGCTCTCCGCCGACCCCTACGTTATCGCAGAGCTCCACACCTCGCTGCCGACGCGCCACAAGGAAGACCCGCCCTTGCAACGGCGCACCGCAACGATCCGCCAGAACACGGACCCCGAGTGGAACGCAGAATGGATAGTCGCAAATGTCCCCGCGTCAGGCTTCCGGTTGAAGTGCCGCATATACGACGAAGATCCAGCGGATCACGATGACCGGTTGGGTAATGTCCACGTCGTGGTAGATTCGTTGAGCGAGAACTGGAGTGGCATACGCGAACAGATATATCCGATCAAGAAGCGCATGGCAAGCAAGCGGGCCTACCTGCTGCGCGCATTGGCTGTGTGCTTCAGAAAAGCCGAGCATATGCACGGCGAGATGACCGTGAGCGTCGAAGTCCTTGGACGCACCCAGGACGAGAATGGCGGCCGAACATACACAGTGGGACCGCAGTACTGGATACGGCATTATTCACCGCTGCTGGGCCGTCTGCTCGGAAAGAAGGCGCCCGACGAGAATGGCTCCAGCAGCGGGGCGTCAGAGAAGAAGAAGCCAGAGCGCTACAACTTCCAGGCGAACCAGATGCAGCTGCGCGGTCCGACTCCCGAAGCCATGTACCACCGCTACGTCGAATTCAAGCCTTTCGTCAAGGCCATGTTCACTGCAAAAGGTTTCCGTGGTTTCATCCTCTCGAAAGCATTACACCACCAGCACACGCGCGTCTACAATTTCGATCGCGAGACTGCGTTCGAATCCTTCCCAGAGCCCTGCAAGGAGTTCACGCAGAAGTTCCTCGAGCTCGTACACCACGACCAAGGAGGGCGCATCTTCACATACGTCCTTACGCTAGACGGCCTCTTCCGCTTTACCGAAACCGGGAAGGAGTTCGGCATCGACATGCTGTCCAAGCACACTATGCACTCTGATGTTGCAGCCTACATCGCCTTCTCGGGGGAGTTCTTCATCCGGCGCCTTAAGAATCCGCACAACAAGCCTCCCGAAGAAGGCGGCCACAACTCGTCGCACCCTCCCGACGAAATCTCTGGCGGACCGCCCAAAGACCAGCCCGTCAAGGACCCCTCATACTACGAGCTCATCATCGACAACGACTCCGGCACGTACCGCCCCAACGCGCAGCTCCTCCCACAGCTCAAGGCCTTCTTTGAGTCGAATTTCCCCGGCCTCCACGTCGTCACGCTCGACTGCCAGGGTCAAGCCGAGAAGATGGACAAGATGAAGAAGGAGCAGCGCGAGCGCAAGAAGGCTGAGGGCGACCACATCGTGTACAAGCAGATCAGCAGGAGCAGCAGCATGAGCTCGAGCGACATTGAAGACTTGGAAAGGTTGCAAGACGAAGACAGTCGCACGGAGCCGCACTTCAGGCACCACCTGCAGGCGTTGGCGGCTGGCAAGGGCGAGGCCATGAAGCAGCACGCGAAGGACTACCGGCCTCACAATAACCGCGAGGGCTGGAGAGGCGACGACCATCCTGCGCGCCACGACGATGCGGGCGCGGGTCCGTCGGCGCAGGGTGATAGCGCGAGGCTTTCGAGGGAGGGAGAAAATGCCGCTCCTGCGACCGCGGGGCAGCAGGACCCGTCGAATTCGTGAACCCTTTACTCGTTTAATCTGTTTGCGTCTACACAGCGATGTTACCTTTCGCGTCTTTCAGTATCTAGGCTTCGACACGCAGCCGCGGGTTCCCCCTAGAGCAAGTCTAGGGTGTAGAGAGGTAGGTAGGTGTTTAAGGTATTGGACTTTGAGGGAACGAGAGGAGGGAAAGGTACACACAGCTAAGGATCGCTCGCTACGAGATACCCGCATCTCCTTTGTTCATGTGCATAGGTTCGTTGCACGCACGTACTATCTTCTAATAGGCCCTCGTCTTGCCTGTTTTTCGTAATTGTAGTTCATATCATACTAATGGAGCGGAATGGTTCGGAATCTCTCCCCTAGATTGATCATGCCTTGATGTGGTCCCTTCTCAAAGTAATGAAAGGCTGAGCAGGATGTCGTCGTGCCGTCAACTCACCCACTGCGGGGTTCCGCCTCGGACTCCGACATCTCCCACCCCTCAAGCACAGCACAACTCCCGCTCGACCCACCACGGTGCACCATTGCAGTCCCGAATTGCCCCTCAAAACACCAGCCCCCATATCCATACCCCTTCCCCCGGCTTCCCCACATACACCACACCATGCCCCCCGCCAACCCCCTCGACGCGCTCGCCATCCAAAACACACTTGCGCGCTACTGCGAAGCGCTCGACACGAAGAACTGGGCGCTTTTAGCCAAAGTACGTCCGCGTTCCTTCCTCGCACCCTCCACACACGCTGATTCCATGCTGACATGATGGTTCCGAGGTCTTCGCCCCCGACTGCCGCGCAGACTACCCCTTCAACCACAGCCTGCACGGCGCATCCGCGATTTCATCGGCCATTCAAAACCGGTCCGTGAATCGCCCATGGCTGTCCCCAGCCCCACTCTTTCCCGTGCCTTGCCCTGTCTTCTTTCGCATCTTGATATCCCGAGTTGAGTGCTGATTGTGGTGCCAGACTCGGGCCCATACTCACACACCATTCGCTGACCACGTCGTCCCTCGTCTTCGCGCCGGACGGGAAGAGCGCAACGGCGACGACGTTTTTCGTGGGGTGTCACTTTGGGCAGGGGCCGCATGAGGGGAAGGTGCTGCAGGCGTGGGGGCGGTATGTGGATGTGCTGGAGGTGCAGGCCGCGAAAGAAGATGGAGACGGGGGTGGGGACGTGGACGTGGACGTGGACGGTAGCTATGAGGGCGTTCCGGGTGCGAGCGGGTGCTGGAGGATTCGGAAGAGGGAGGTGGGTTTCACGAAGAGGATTGGGGATGAGAAGGTGATGAGTGAGTTCTGAATTGGGTTCACGTGCAAAGTATGAGCAAGAATTGAAATAAAGTGATTCACCGGATGGAATGGAACTACGACCGTCCACAAGGGGACGCTATAGGCAATGTCTAACCCTTCGCAAACCCGTAGCGCGTCGACACCACACCATGCCACTCACCCACCCATCCATCCATAATCCATATGTCGAACGACTCATTCCGACGCCATAACTATGTTCGTGATTTACCGGAGGTACTCGTCCATGCACGCTATGCCTTAACCATGAGATTCGTGTTGCCTTAACCATCATTCATAAATTCGCGAAGAGGTATCGTGCGAGTCCCTCGAAAGGGGGAAGGAAAGAAATGAGAACGTGGCTTGACGCCGGTCGTGAAGACAATCTAAGCAGACGCGCAGAGATCCTTCAAAGGAGAAAAAGCAGAGAGCGCCGCCGGATGTACGTTCAGAGAAATCAATCAAGTGCCCTTGGGGGCGGTCTTGACCTTGGAGATCTTGTTGAGGACGCTCAGGAGACCTAGTGAAATTGTTAGTTGGTTGAAGGATAAGTAAATTTGGTGGGTACTTACCGGTCGTACCGTTGGGCAAAGTGGCCATAGCGAGAGAGTTCCTCTCGCCGACGGTCACGGTGGTCACACAGCGGACCTTCCGACTGTCCTTAAGTTCCTGGCCCCACTTGAACACAATCTCGTCATCACGGTCGTTGCCCGCGACAAACAAGAACTCGGCACGATCATTCTCGAGGTACCTGTCGTAGATATGCTGCGCGGCGGTGGACTTGTCGTAGTCGGCAGGCTCGATGATGACGGAGTCCTTGGTAGGAATGGCCCTCACACGCTGCGACGCCGAAGCATCGTTAATCTGGTTCGCGCACTCACCAGCTTGACGGCTGGCGGAATCGGTCTCACTCTGGTAGTGGTAAATGAGTGAGCATTGATGCTCCTCGACCCAGCTTCCCTCAACACGCTCGACGTAGTATTGGAGGATGTCCTTGATAGCGTTCTTCCAGGTCTGTGTCTTCTCCTCGTCGGGGAACTGTATCCATTCGTCTGAGTTACCATCGCGAACGAAGCAGCCGTTTTCGGCGATGAGGCCAAGGTTGGGGAGGCGGTTGAAAGCCAACTCCAGCTCCTCGACGGTACGTCCGCTCATGACATAAACAGCATTCTTCTTGTCATTTAGGATGTCGCTCAGGATGTCGATGACCTTGTCAACGTTGGTAACGACCGTGTTATTGACAGAACCGTAGTTGGCCAGAGTGCCCTCATAGTCGAGAATGAACAAACGTTTCTTGGTGAGCTCGTAATCCCTGATCAAGTTCGCTGCGGATAACCGGGGGATTGACATGGTGTCACGACGGAACTGTTCCTCGAAAACTTGGTCGAGCTTGCTGGTCAGGTTCCTAATCCAATACTCGCCCGTATGGTGCAACACGTTGTCGTGTAGCTTCTTGTAACGAGTGGCTTTCTCCTCTTCACTCATCTCGAGGGCCTGCTTGAAAGCATCGGCGATCCCCTGGTAGTGCCAGGGATTGACCGCAAGCTCGGCGCCTTCGAATATTGAGGAGCTGCCGGTGAACTCGCTGAGAATCAGTGGGCTGTGTTTCTTGTTGCCGTAAGCACCATCCTGGCAAATGACGAACTCGTGAGCACTCAGGTTCATGCCTTCGCGCAGACTGGTGATGACCATGGCGTCTGCGACCGAACACAAGGCGAGATATTGATGGAAAGATATATCCTGTCTGAGGAACACGAGCGGGTTGTGCGACAAGGTAGAGTACTGAGCGTCGATACGCGTGACAATCTCGGACACGGTGGAGGCCAGCTCGGGGTCTTCCCGCGTTGAAGTAGCGACCTGGATCAGAACAACCTAGAGTACCTGTGAGCATATTCCTCATAACTGAATCGTTGCAAAACTGACCTTATCCCTCCACTCGGGGTTCTTCTTCAAGAAGACTTCGAAGGACAGAAGCTTCTGACGAACGCCACGAATGCTGTCTAGCTTGTCGCGAGCGACAATCACATGCTTCCCTTGGTAGCGCTCGGTGAGTGTGTTGATCCAGTCCTGGACTTCCTTCTCTTTCCGGCCTTCTGCAAGTTTGTGGGGGTCTACACCAATGGGGGAGGCGTAAACATTGACAAATCGAGTCTCGAGCTGGACGCCGTCCTCGATCGCCTCGACTGCAAGAATGCGAGAGCACGTCTGCAGGAAATGGTGGGCGTACTCCGGAGTCTGGAAGGCGACCAGGTTGGCGCCGAGCATACCCTCCAGCAACTGTGTGCGGGCTGCCAAGCAGCGGAAGACCTCAGAAGAGGGGAACGCGGTGTGCAAGAAAAAACCGATCTTTGCGTCTGGAAGCTTCTCTCTGATCATCGCCGGGACAAGGCAGAGGTGGTAGTCGTGGACCCAGATAGTATCGCCACGCTTGTAATTCTTGACAATCTTGTCCGCAAAGGCTTGGTTCACGTTTCGGTAGAATTTCCATGAGTGATCCAGGAAAGCCTTGCTCTTTGGGTGGTCCGGAATGACATAGTGGAAGACCGGCCAGAGGATGGTCTTGCAGTAGTGAGCATAGTGGCCATCGTAGTCTTTGTTGCTCACGAAGACGGCCAGAGCGTCGTGGTCCTCCTCCAGCTTTTCATAGATCTCTTGCTGTTTATCATCATCAATCTCGTCGGTGGGAAATCCGACAAGACCAACATGGAGAACATCTTGGGTGGTGCCGGCAGCATCTGCTGCGCGGACAGCATTCGTAAGGCCGCCGTTACCCTGAATCGCAGGCACTATGCGGTAGGTCTGCTCCCAACGAGGATCAGTTTTCCGATTGCCAGAGTTCGACTTGTAGAGCGAGCGGGCCCTCTCACGGGACGCCTCGCGCTGGTGCTTCAGCCGCTCCTCGTTCTTCTGGTACTCTAGAACGGTGTCTGCTGGACGACCGGCTCTCGAGCGCGGTTGGTTGAAGAACATTCCACCAGCTCCCCACTCCGGGACGTGTGCATCGCTGCGGACGAGTGTCTTGGTATCGTTCGGGCGTAGGAAGTGAGCAGTTGCACTCGGTTGCGTGGGCGTAAAATAGTCCTCTTGTGCGAGCATAGCTGCGGGTGTCTTTGGGAGCGTAATGCCCGGAGGCGCGTTGTCCCTCAGGATGCTGCCTTGACCGGCATCGTTGGCGCTGCCGATAGAGTTCTTGCGATGCAGCTCCGTAGTAGCTGGGACAACTGTTACGGGGGTGGAAGCTTGCGACTGCTGGGGCTTGTCGAAGTCCACCGTATATGGGAGGAATCTGCGCCCCCGAGTCAGTCGTTTTCTACAAGCTTGTCGCAGCACGCCAAACACAGCTGTAGAAGCTGCGGCATACGACGACACTGCACCACGGGGTCACTTACAGGGCGGCGTGGAAATGTGACATGGTGGGCGGCCAGTTGGCTTTGGTGCCCGATGGCGATAGGATCGTTGGCTATCAATTCGGAGAGGTTGTCGGGGCGTTGTAGGTGCGGAGGGCGCGTGGAGGTCAGTTGACCCAAAGTGGGCGGCAGTGAAGGGAGAAAGAGTGGAGTGGGATCGCGATGGTAAAAAAGTTTCCAGTGAGGTCGACAGCTAGCGTCACGGTGCGGTAACGCAGCTCTGGTACAGCAAGAACACGCTCCACGCCTGCAAACCCCTGCTTGGCTATGCCAACGCGGAAGACGGCAAGCCACACGACTTATAACCAGCTGGGACAGTGAGCTGACCCGGCTACTGCCTTGGTTCCGCGTGCGAGGATCATTGGGTGCGTGCGACCACAGTTCCTGTTCTTTTCTTGCACACCGCGCCCCGCGATATGACGTACCGTCAGGCACAGGCAGCTCGGGCCGCCACAGAAAGGCACAGTCTCACCGTTTCACCCTCCTACGATGGCACAGCCTTCTGCGAGATCACTGTCGCATCATTTGCACGTCCCGACAGCAAGCGAAGCCTCATCCACAAGACGAAGCTCCTGCTCCCTGGCCAGGGCCTCATCCCACTCCAGCTAACCTCTAGCGGCTGTGGATGAAGTGACGAGGCGCTAGAATGGGGTGGGTAAGGTCGACTCGGCTGGAAGGCTCCAGATGCATTGCGGTGATGGGATTTCGTCAAAATGCCATCGCCTGCCGCAGAATGCGATGTGCGGAAACGGGCGGCTGCAGACCATCGTTTGCCCGGGCTGCCTGCATTATCTGGTATTTCGTAGTGCCTCATCGATTCGTCGCCTCGGCCGCTCTCTGTAAAGCTTGTAATGGCTATGGAGATGCTAGGCCATCTCGTTAAGAGATGCTCTTTACTCTTGGACTTCGTGGTCACACCACTTAAATTGCACTTGCATTCTTGCCGCTTACCATGTCGCCGTTCGGGCCCTTGGAACTTGGTCTTGGAATTAGCGAACTCTTGCTTCGTTACGAATTACGCTCCTCCTACGTGCTCTCGAAAGCCAACTGCCTGCAGATGCCGCGGAACCTTGGAACATTCTCGAAAACTTGCCCCGGGCTCAACTCCTCCCGCGGGCCGCAGCTACCCATTCATCTCGAATGTTCTTCATCACTATAGGGCCGCGGCGTCTGCAAACTGTGCGGCATCGGCGATGGACGTGAACATAATCATGCAGTCCGCTCAAGCCCGTAGAGATATCTTGTCCCAACCATGAAGTGCCTCAATATGTAAGACGCGGTTCGCAGATGGTGATGCTATGACTGGACCCAGTGTGCACTTGATCCCATCTTGTTCTGCACTTTTCGCTTGAGCATCCACGTTTTCCCACGGGCGGGCAACATACACTAAGGACTCGGTCTCAGAGCGCACCGCACCGTACCGCGTCAAGCCTACGTACACGTATGCCCATTCCGGAGGGATTTCCAAGGCCCGCCCTACCCACTCAGCGAAGGTTCTTCCATGCAGGCTCAGCCGCACATGGACGTACCTCGTGCTAATCAGCACTACCAGCTCGATGTGATTCGCGCGGCATCCCAATGCCTAGCTACATGATACCACATCGACGATCTAAACGAAATTACCTCTTCAGGCAATGAAAAGTGAAGACTGTCGAGCACTGAGGAAGTGAACCCACCAGTGAAAATGTCGTGAGGGAGACTCACAGGCGGTGTGGACGGTGTGGGTGGAGGGTTGGTCGAAGGAAGGGTCCATGTGTACATGTGGACATGCAGGGCAGCGGCGTCGTGCAGGAAGGGCACCTACGACGCCAGGCGCCGGCACAGCATACTCGCGGCCGTGCGACCGCGTACAGCACCCATGCGTGGTTGAAGCTCTCGGCCTCTCACACGTTCAAACCTGGCTCACTGGCGCCAGGCTCAGCTCATGTCCGCTTCGCTCGCTTCCCCTTCCCCACACGCTGGGCCCTCCGCATGCCTGCACGCCCGCCCAAACAAAGCTCCAACAACGCCATTGTACGACCTTCAATACCACGCCGCAACGCGCCCCGACACACAAAAAAGCAAAGGAAACAAAGCCCACCCGCCATGCCGGAACGCGACCCCTTCCTCGCGCGCATCCCGCGCCCCTACCGCATCCTCCTCCTCTACCTCGAGCCCCTGATGGCCTTCAACGGCGCGCTCCTGTGCCTCTTCGCCCCCGCCTTGTTCCTCTCCACCTTCTCGCCCTACCTCAAGTACCACGCCGACAACCAGATCATCTATAATCAGCTCGCGGCCACGTACACGCTGTTCGCGTTCAACCAGGCCGTCGTGTTGCGCGTCGCGAAGGACCTGCGTGTGTGGAGGGCGATTGTGCTCGGCATATTGGTGTGCGATACGGTGCATTTGTGGGCGGGCTTCGATGTTATGAGGAGGGATGGGACGGTTTGGCCCGGCGTGTGGAGGGCGGAGGATTGGGTTGCAGTGGGGAGCTTGGTTGTGCCCATGGGGTTGCGGACGGCGTTTCTGGCAGGCATAGGGGTTAAGGAGGAGGGCAATGTCGAGAAGAAGGTGCAGTAGGATGGTGTGTGCGGTGGACCAGGGGATTTGCGATATACCCACGACGTTTCGAGCGACGGAGTTTCCCTGTAGCGATTTTAGATGGAAATGATATGGACGAAAGATTCAGGCTGTATGTCTGCGCAAGCTGCATCATTGAAGCAACTGTTTTTGGTATTTAGTGGACAGTCTCCTGGTGATCTACCAAGACCATGAGAAGAGCATCTGCCAAATGAATCTGCCACGAGCATATGAACACACCTATCTGTCCACTTCCAGATCTTACATTTTGAAGAATTTCGAAACATCTGCAATCGGCAGAAAACACCCCAATCCATCAACTCCACATCCACCAACCCTCACCACCTCAAGGCTGCGGCACCCCTGCCGGCCCCGAAATCGCCCCCGGCCAACCCTTTCTCCTCACAAACACACTCGTCTCTCCCTTCCTACCCCGCCCATCCTCATACCTAATCACCATCGTCAAGATCCCCGCCTCCCCAATATGCGCCTCAAACACCTGCCCCTTCACCATAACCTGCTCCCAAAACCGATGCGTGAACATCTTCGCAGCCTCGAAATTCGCCGTGTGCCGGGACATGAACGGACCATTTACCTTCGCACTCACCGGCTCTGGTCGACCGGGCATGTAGTCCTCCTCGACGAGCTCATATTGCGGACCGGAGCTCGAGGCGCATGCGGTTGAGAGAGAGAGTTGCGCGGAGTACTGGAGTTTCTGAGCGACGATGGCGGGAAGGGTGGATAAGTCTTCGAAGGAGGGGACTGGGGGAAGGGAGAGACGGTGGGAGGGGGCCAGGTTCGGCGAGATGTCGTGGCGGTCTAGATGGAGGTCGGGTTCGCTCTGGGGGTGGGGACCGTTGCTCCAGGGAGGTGTGTTGGAGACTTCTGTTGAAGAGATGGGTGAGTCGGGATAGCCATTTGGATCGACAGCTTCTCGTCGGCTGGCGAGGACAGCACTCAATGAGTGCGAGGGAGGTGCGGTGGAGATTAAAGAGATGGGTGCTACGGCTGCGTCGCCTGGGCCGCTGGGGTCGACGGCTTCTCGTGAACGGGCGGCGGCAGCACTCAAGGACTCCGCGTGTGGGATATGATGATCAGTGTGGATTGATGCATCCTGCGCTGGATTCAGAAGGCTGCGTATTTTAACAAGAGCATGTGTCGATGCGACCTGGACTAGATTCGGAAGGCAGCGGCTGATGAGCTGATCATCTTGATTCAAGTTAAGCCTAGATCACGGGGACGAAGTCAGTGTGAGTTCAGACAAGGTAGTATATATCTCTGCTGATCTGCAAGACAGACCACCCCCCTTTATATCCGCTGGCCTGCTTACTGTAGACTCCCAAGACGTCTCCAATGTTCGAGACTTTCGAGACTTTCGTGCTCAAGGATCGGCGGATAGTCCCACAGCAGCCCAAGGCGGTTGCTAAGGTTCCATCTCTGCAACTGAAAGGAGAATTCGAGATCGAGGAGACAGCCTGCGCCGCCTGGACCGCCTGGAACTCGCTGTCCGTTGTATGCAGGAAGAGAAGGCAAGGGACGAGGGAAGATTGGCCGAGGGGCAGGCTCGGGAGCGACGTGTACGAAGCCAGGCGGTGGCGGGAGGAGAAGACCGTCCGAAATGCCTATAAATCTTCGTCTCTCTTTCGTAAGGAGGGAGGGAGGGAAACCCCCAGAAGTGACGTGTGCGGTGCCAGGCGGCGGTGGCGGCGGCAGGACAACCCCGATAACCCCAGGCGGCGGCGGAAGATGAGAGATCCCGCGTGAGCTGTCTGCACCACTCTGTGTCTGGCATTCAGGCAGAGAAGGTAGCGTGGGAGGCGGGATCGGAGGATGGAGAGTCTCGGGGAGGACACCGAATGGACCGCCTGAGCCGCCTGGACTTCTCTGTCCCTCGTATGCGTGAGAAAGAGAGCGATGACGAGGGAGAGGCTCAGAAGCGATGCGTACGACTGGAGGCGGTAGGAGGTTGCTCATCAATGAGAACGATCACGACAGGATATCGCGATCCCACGCGTATGAGAAGTGAGCCTGTTCACGATCTTGGTGCTCAGGGTCGAGATGCGCATGGGAGTATCACCACATGGGATGCGCTTTCCACATGGGCCACATGGTGAAATGTTGGGAAGGTACAGGACTAACCTGCGTACGCATACACAGCGCTTGCGGCAATAGCTTACCGTAGTGAACTCAACGAAGGTGTCCCGAAGCCAGCTTACCCAATCTTCTCACAGTCCTGGTACGCAATAGGGGACAATAGAGAGGTGTGTGTACGATACTGCCTGGTTTTATATATTGGTACCGTGGTTTTAGTTCCAACACTTTGCACCAGTCAGATTTACTAAACCCACAAGAAACGAAATGGGCTCAGAGTTTGGTACCGTAGAGATGATAGATATCCAGTCATTCAAATTTCCTTATAGGCTAATGGCAACCTCAACTCATCAGCTCGACTGCCATGAATAAATGCCCGATTCGAGAAATCCAAAACTCAATGTCAAAAAAAAAAAAAAAAGCCTAAAGCAAGATCACCACGACTATCGCCTGAAGTTGCCCGTTCCGCCATGTCGAACCTCAAAACGCCATAGATCTGAATCATCTCATAACCAAACCAGCGTGCATGCCATCTCAGTCAGCACGCTCATCCTTGACCTCCCCCACCCCAGCCCCCTCATCACCCTTCTTCTCCTCCTCCTCCACCTCCACCTCAACGTCCGTCTTCTCCACATACAGCACCTTCGTATGCCTCTCCCCCTCCACAAGCTCGCTCAGAAACAAGCTCAAACAATTGTCCTCATCGAACCTACATCCTACCTCATCGTACCTGACCGCATGCAGATGCGCAAACCTTGGATTCTTGACACCCTTGATCGGCGCCAACAGCACAAACTTGGGACGCTCCTTCATCGCCGTGAGTCTCGAGTTGCACGCTAGAAACAGCTGGAGAAGCTGCGCGTTCACGAAGCTCAGCGATGGGCTGCTCGGTCCGGCGGGGTGGGTGGAGAAGTCTTCGCTGGAGTCGATGGGAGCCTCAGAGATGATGGTGTACTTGTGATGTGGGGCAATTGGGATGTTGCTCTCATAGGCGCTCATGACGGCTTGGATCTCGAGGCGGCGGAGCTCGGCGATGAGGTGGAGGGTGCGTTCAGGGAAGGAGCTGCAATCTATGGTGTGCGGACGCCGAGTGTGAAGGGCCTGGAAGCTGGCCAAGGAGTTTTGCACTTAGATTCAAGCGCGGAGGGGGCAACATAGTCCTTGGAGCCTTGGGTGCCTGCGCGCTGGGTGGTGGGGCTGGGTAGATCTCCATAACGTCGGAATCGTTGTCTCCGTCTAGCTCGATCACGCGTCTCTTGGGAGGCACTGCGGCGGTGTCAGAGTCCTTAGAGTTAGCAAGGAGTTGGGAGGGAGAAGCGGTAGTATTGACGGCGTCAGAGTCGATGGGTAATTGAGAGGCAGAGAACTGTTTCCTTCATTTGGTATATACTTTGTCTCTTACTTAGAGCTTGGCCTTCGGCCCCTGTTCCTCTTCCAGCGCTTTCAACTTCAACATCCTCCGCAGGATCTTTCCGCTAGCGCTCTTGGGGATCTCATCTAGCCACCTGACACCACCTCTTAGACGTTTGTGTCCCGCCACTCTCTCACCCAACCAGTCGACGATGGCCTTCTTCTCGTCATCTGTCCGACCAAGCCCGTCCTTGGGTACAACATATGCCCTCGGTAGCTCGGTAGCCTCGTCTTTCTCATATACACCGATGACTGCAACGTCGTTGATGGATGGATGAGATAGAAGGATGCCTTCCAATTCTGCAGGCGCAACCTGGAAGCCCTTGTACTTGATGAGCTCCTTTATGCGGTCCGTGATGTAGAAGTTGCCGTCAGCATCTTGGTAGCCCACGTCTCCAGTTTTGAAGTAACCATCAGATGTCAGAGCGTTCGCAGTTCCCTCTGGATTGTTGAGATAGCCCTTGAAAACATTGGGGCCCTTGATCCAAAGCTCTCCCACTTCGCCCACCTTGAGCTCCTTCTCCTCTGGCGACATGTATTTCGCGACTTGGTAAGGCAAAAGCGTGCCCACCGAGCCAACGTGTTTATTCCAGGTCTCCCATGGCTGCGTATGTGTGGTCGGACTCGTCTCTGATAGCCCGTATCCTTGCTTTATAGGGATCTTGAGGCGATCGTATACTGCATCGACCAGCTCTTTCGTTAATGGCGCGGCGCCCGAGTTCATCATCCGTACAGTACTGAGATCGTATCTGGAAACCACGGGGCTCTTTGCAAGAAGGACCACGATCGGTGGAACGACGTACACGAAGGTAATCTTGAGCACTTGTACAAACTTGCAGAAGTCTTCGAGGTCGAAACGTGGCATAACTACGAGTTGCAGTCCAGAGTACATGGCCTGATGGATTAGGCAGGTAAGACCTAAGATTCAGTCAGCGACCTGTCGAACAACGTGCAGGATGATATGCACATACCATAGATATGGAAGAACGGTAAGAACGCCAGGATCTTATCGCCCTCGCCGTCGGGTCCACCTGTCGAGCTTAACTTCCCTCCCTCTCCTGCTTTGATCATCATTGTGTTGGCCACGATGTTTCTATGCGTTAACATCACGCCCTTGGGGTGTCCTGTTGTGCCTGAAGAATACACCAGAAACGCAAGGTCTTGGTCTGGCTTTGCCTTCGTCCTCCGGTACCTCGCCGACCCGGACGTCTTCCTTATGCTTGTGAAGTGCTTGACCTTGTAGCTCGTGTCTTTTTCATCTCCCATGACGATGACACGGTCCAAGGGTATGCCGACCTTCGCTGCAGCCTCCTGTGCATTCTTGATGAAGGCCATCTGAGTGACAATCGCCTTTGCGCCAGCATCTTTGAGCTGGAAAGCAAGCTCATCGACCGTATACGCTGGGTTCGCCGGGCTAAGCACTCCTCCTGCCCAATGGCAACCCCATGTTATCGCTGGTGTGTCGATGCAGTTCGTAGTGTACAGCGCGAGGACATCGCCCTTCTGCCAATCCCAGAGTGCCTTGAGGCCCTGGCCGAACTCGATCGCGGCAGTTTTGACCTGCGCGTATGTGTAGGATCGCTTTGTGTACGGATCAACGTAGATGACTATGCTCGAGTCAGTCCGAAGTTTGCAGTGTAATATTAGAACTACCAACGCACCTTTGTCGTCTTGGAATGGCTTATCTTTGCGCTCGAACAAGAATGCCCAAAGATCGACGTCTGGGATGGGGACGTCGGGGTACCTGGACTTTGTAGGCATGGTAGCGCGGGAAATGACCCAAAAACGATTCGATAATGGAGAGTCTAGGAGGATTGAAACGAGAGAGGAGGAAGAACCCCCCAAACCGGGAGCGCGCCACAGACATGATGATTACGGGGATTGGATTGGGGGGAGCCTCGGTGCCAACTCTTGTGCCTCGGCGGTGATGGGGGTTAGCGCCAGCGGCTCGCTGCTTCCCCACAGACTTTATGCCGAGTCGGACTTACCGGAGTGTTCACTCAAAGAGAGCACTTACCAACAATGCTAGCAGTACGGAGGTTTGGAACACCAGCTTTTTGGTATTTTGATCTCAGTACATTGCAGCGACATGATTTGAAGGTTTTGCCAACCATATTTTTTTTTATACCATAAACTTCTAAGCTTTCTGATCCCATGTGTTTGCTCTAGCGTGCAGCATCCGTCATTCTTCGCCTATCGTCGGAAGTATCCCCGTCAATGTTCGGCATGCCGAGCGGCTCTGATACAATCCAGTTTCAATCATTACCTTGCCAGCTCACGTAATTGTACTGCTAGACGGGGAATCAGCCATGACGATGTACCTCACAAGATTTGAACACCGACGAGCTATATGAAAAGCAGGCATCTCATGTACATGCGCCCAAAATTGACTGGCATTCACCGCGAAGGACTACGTTGTCATTTGTGTACAGGAGCTTGGAAAATAGGTCGAACGTTCTGCAAAGGTAGACGCAGCACGTTTGATTCATTACAAAGACAAATGGCTGCAGGCTTTGTGAAGGAGGCACCAAGCTTTTGGCCACACAGGTTCTAGCCGTGGTTATGTGACATCAGGGACAACCCAAAGGGTTTCAGCAATTCCGCCACTCCTTCAATGCTTCGCTGGCTATTCCAATCCCATATGCAGTGTGTACGTGATATAATTGTTTGCCGCAGGGAGTCTACTGCCCATTCCGCCGTGAGGCGCCGTCAAACTGCCCCAAACGGCAATCCGCGTAATGCTGTTGAAAATAGCGGCGGAATTGGCATTCCAGACTTCGTTCAAATCCACCGGTCGGTCAGCGCGCCAGTGCAACCCCTGTGTCCCAACGCCTCTTCGGCCAGTGCACCCATGTTTCTACTCAGCCGAAATTCCGTTTTGGGCAGCTTTTGCAACTGCGTCGATTGTAGGCCCCTGGCCTGGGCTTGGGTTGGTGGACGAGGCTCAGGTCGAGGTTCAGGTTCTAGGTTCGGCGGCGGGCAATCGCCGGGCCGGCGGTTGGTGCATCTTTCCTACCTTTCTCGGGCACATTCCTCAACAGCGTCAGCAATGCCAATGTGCTTGCAGCCATACAGATGCTGATGTGACCTTCCACTTTTCCATCTCGTGTACACTTCCCTGTACGATGCGGATGTGCACTGCCAGCTGTGCAGGTACTCGGAGTCATTCCTGCCGTCCATCCATGAGCCGCATGCGTCTGGCAGCTTGATCGTCGTATGCAGGTTCGTCATGCGTCATTCGAATGCTCGGAGAATGCAATGCGTGCCGTTCGAGAAAGTGGATGGAGTAAAGAGATAGCAGAGGGGACGCGGAGCGGTGTTCGGCGTGCAGCTTTTATCACACCAGTCGACAAAGTAGGGGCTCGTAGAGAATTTGAAGCTGGATACGATGGGACCCGGCAAAAAGATAGCGGCGAGCTGAAGAAGCGTTTCTGTGAGGAGCGTCTGGCTGTATCTGTGGTGTGCTTCTGGCGCTGTGCGACCGGCAGAGTGTTGCCGGCAACATGAAGTGCTCCCCTGATGGCGATCCGTCACTGAGGTAGAGATTATGGAGGAGCAGAGAGCGTAGGGTGAAATGCTACCCCCGTAAAAAGATATATCTCGAGTGGGCGTAAGCGAGGCGAACGGCCGCTGGTGGTGTTGCGGTGTTTGGTGCACGTCTGCCTTCTGTTCTTGCCTCACGGGGACCCCTCTGTTTACGCTGGCTCCTCACTTAAGGCTACCCTCACCCGCCCATTTTGCCGTACAACTTTGTGAAGCCCGCAAATTTTAGGGATATATAACCTGCTAGAAGCCTCATAGCTGCATCAACAAACGTCCATAGGGACTATACATGGAGGAGTAGCTCAGTGGTCTTGAGCCCCACTGGGTTACTCCGAGCCATGCCCCTCACCGAGAGGTAACAATGCTCAAGCAAGGTACGTCAGTTCGATTTCATTACTTTACACATAACAACACAAAAAGTAAACCCGTACACGCCTCGGGTTTCTCAAGGGCATTGTGTTCACCTTGTTCTTTTGCTGCTTTTGGCAGCCGGCACTGATCGATTGCGGACGCTGTGCATCTGCCTAAGCCTGGCGATGACTCTTTTTGCGCTTGCATTGTACTTTTGCTGCTGTTTGCTAGTTTCTGGTATCTTTTGTATGTTCAATCATCACGCTACGACACCAACCACCGCCATTTCGATACTCCACTTACACTCCAAATTCCACACATATTACAGATACACAACCATGGAGGCAGCACAACAGAGGCGCGATAACTCATGTCAAGAGTAAACTTGACGCTCTTTCCAGCTCCTGAGCGAGAAAGCCATAGGCAGACCTGTCACGATATGGCCAGGCTTTCAAGCTCAGCTGTCGGACTCGCAATATCTACATGTTATGCATGTTCAAAGCAGAGGCATGCCACAATACAACGAGAGTATACCTGACGCTCTTTACGTGTATCGAGTAGAGAAGCTACACATAAGCTTGTCACAGCATTGCCACACTGATCTGCTTGACCCTAGACTTCCAGCATTCATGCGTGACACACATGATGGCATAACAGAGGCATTGCATACGGCAGCGAAGGTACACTTCGATCCCTTTAAGCCATCAAAACGACAAAGCTACGACCGAGCCTGTCACAATATGCGCAGTACCATAAACATATAGTTCAAGTGTCATCTTCCAACGTTCAATTGAGCTAATACCCCATGTATTCCCATATGTACGTATCCCGCGCCTTTGCATTGCCATTCCAATAGGCGTAGTCACGGCTATCCCATTCCCGATCATCCCTATAGAATACCAGATCCTCTCATATATATAATCCATATGCCCAAGCCTTAGACCCTAATGCACCCAATCCAGCTGAAATGCCCGACGAACATATTAAGAAAAACCAGACATTGGCATGCGGCATCGCGCAGATGGTATATTGCGTCAAAACAATTGCGACGAAAAATGGAAAAGTCCACACGGAATGGTGCATCGTGGACAATGAATGTATGTTAGATATACGATCAGCCCCAATCGGGGTGTTCGATCATCTTCTTGAAGCGCCGGGGTACGGCATCGCTGCCTGAGCTGTAGACATGACTCTCGCGCAGGGCGTCGCAGTATGTGCCGTCGTTGCTTACTGTGGAAGACCGTGACCGTTGGTCGGCGAGGCTGGGTCGCTGGTTGCTTGACACTTGCTTCTCGTACTTCTCGATTAAAGGAGAGACTACGCGACCGCGACCAGTACTTTTGGCGCGGATTTTACGACCTGAGTTCGCTTCGATGGGGTGCGGGACCTGAGACACTTGCTGGACTTGGGGAACTCCAGACTGGATCAGGGCCTTCTGCTCACACTCACGGCTGACGGCATGGAGCTCTCCAATGCTTGGGATTGTGGGCATCGGAGGTGCATGGCCGTAATAGCTGTGTCGTCGATATAGATCAGTCTCGCTCGTTGCCTCTTTCTCGCTGTAGTAGCTCCTCGGTCTAGGAGGCATCTGCGGTCGCATGGATGCGCGATCTTTGCTACGGAGACGAGCAAGTTTTGCGGCCGTCTCGGCATCCATGTGTCCCATGGTCTTCGCTCGCGGCATCGCATTGCCTAGTTGATGAGGATGCGCCGGTGATGATGTCCTCTTTTGGTGAGCTGTGGCTAGGGCAACGTCATAAGGAGAACGACCCAGCGAGGCAGCGGTGGATCCCAAGTCGAGGACTATGGGCACACCTGGTACCGGTGGCTGTTCCTCCTCCTTGTTTTCCTTCGTCTTCCGTCGGAAGAGGGAGAGGCTACGTCGAAGCCGGTGAAGAGATGACGAACGTTCCTTCCCGGAACGCTCGTGCTGTCTGCCACGAGTTTCAGGCTCCGGTGTTGCGGGGGGAGAAGGAAACTTGATAGGCTCAAGATAAGGTAGTTTCGGCTCGAGGTCAGGCTCATCGAGAGTAACGTGATTCTTTGTGGGGTATGTGTGCGTCAGGCATTCCATTCCCGGCGCTTCGGACAGACGCCTGACGAACTGCTTCCTGATATCCATGGGTATACCCGGAATCGATCCTTCCGGTATGGGATCGCACGACTGAACAACGGGACGCTCCAGGAATGAAGAATTCCTCTTCTGCAGTCGCCGCTGGCCCGAAGCATTACTGTCCATAGAAAATTGTGAGATGAAAGACGTTGGGGTCGAAGGCGGCTTGGGTGCTTTCGTGCCTAGCGAAAGATCATTGATGTTCCAATCCAGCGGGAGAGGATCATGCTTCACGTTCTCCTGTGATTGATATCGGCGTGGTTTGGCCGGCATAATGTACTCGTCTGTTGGGTCGGACATCAGGGACTCATGGGAGATTGGAGCTTCTGGGTATGGCTCGAATGCTTGTACGTTGGGAGGGTCACCCTGAGCAGTTCTGTCCTCATTTTGACGCGAGTCAGTCGCCATTGAAGGCTTTCTAGAAACTGTTGGGATCGCACCCTGCTTCGAAGCTTCAGGATGCTTGGCATCGAAACTTCCACCAGATGAATAACCTGAATCAGCCTTCGTCGGTGGCGGACGCGATTTGACTTTCCGCAGGCCTTTAGGCGTTGAAGTTGTGTAGGGAACGATCTGTTCCTGCAGGCTACGGGCCTCGACCGGCTCGCTGAACATAGTGCCATCCAATATCTGTAAGGCTGCCTCTCGAGGATTTACGTCCTCATCTGAAGCAAAGAAGCCCTCATCGTAATTTTCGAAGGGAACCGTTTGAGGAAGTTCCGGCGGTTCGTCACAAATGTCAGGTTGTGATAGCATCGTGGCAAGGGTATCTTGGCTCTTGTTCATCACACGAAGCCTCCTAAGAGGCTCTGGTTCCTCATCTAGGCCCTCATAGTGCGAGGGATACGATTCAGGTTGTTGTCGCAACTGTTTAGAGGGTTCGGGTTTTGGCGACACAACATATCGTGACGTGGTCTTCGCCTTACGACTATCGCTCGATACGCGCACGCCACGGAATAGTGGAGGGGTTGGAGGTTGTAGCGCGGACTTGCTTCTAACATGACGACGCTTTCTGGTAGACTTCATCATGATCGGGCTGTCCAGAGCGTCCGAAAAGTAGTCTTCTCCATGTGATATCTGCGATGCGTGCCAGTTCAGCTTTGCACTAGCAGCCGGCGACGGTTCCCCGTTCGCGATCTTCAAGGATCCAAGTTTCAGAGTTCCGATATGTGAATACTCCATGTCAGAAGGCGTCTGAGCTCGCGGTTCGGGGGACGCTCGCCCTTCATCAGCCAGGCCCAACGCAGCCACGCGTGCCAGCGGAGAGTTTTCCACCATATTATGTCGTTGCCATTTCGCCTCCTCTTGTACGTCCAGCTTCGGTGTTCTCCAAGAATTCCATGTTCGCCTGTTGCTCTCGATTGGCGAGTTGCGAGTCGCGAGGCCCGGTGTCGCAAGAAGGGAACGCCGCCGGGTAAGGGAAGAGGTAGATCGGTTCACGACTGAAGTGCGGCGGCTGATGCCTGGCTCAACGCTTGCAGAGCGAGGAGAGGGGCTGGGATCATATGGAGCCAGTGCTAGCCCTACAATACGTCCCACATTAGCGTTTAAATTCTGTGAGGTTTTCTGGCTCAAGCTCACGTAGTGCTGCGATGTCTTCTGGTGTTGCATTCTTCTGGACTTCCTGAAGAATCGAAATCGCCGTCTCTATATCCACAGTCTGGCTGCTCTGCACCAGGGAGACCTTCGACGTAGGCAAGCTGGAGAGCCTTGCAGTAGATCCTGCTTTATTCCTAAAGCATGATAGCGAATTTGTTCGGGAGGAAAGTCGCCTCTGCACGTCCAGCTCTTCCATGCTCCGTTCTTCGTCGAAGGACCCCCGATGCTCGAAGTCGGTCTGTACTGGAGACAGCAACTGCGACTTAATCTGCTGCCGGTCGCGCGCGCTTAGGTTGGCGTATCTGGAGGAAAGAGAGGCAGGCGAATCCACGGTGTGCTCATTCTCTAGAACGGCGGAAGGCGAGTTCCTATTTGTCTTCGGCTTCACCAGCCTGTGATGCGGCTCGCCATGGCTCTGTGCGTTTCCCATGTCGTGTAACGCGGAGCGAAGGTGTTGGAGGAGCAACAGGGCCCTGGGAAGCTCAAAAAGCAGACATCGGACGCGTGGTGGGCAGGCCTAGAGATGCTGCACGAAGGCGGGGAAGTGCAATCGATGCACTCACCCGAGATTATGCCTAGGAAGCCACGAAACGGGATGTGAAGGCTGGGGCGGAAGAATAGGGAAGGCACAACAGCTTCACGGTGTCGCTCCGACAGGATAGACTAGATGGTTCTGCCCATGGAGGCGCCCAGGTGTTTAAAATGGCCTCAGACCGTCTTGTCCTGGGCCGGTACGATTGCGACTCTGCAGGCAGCTAGCCAAGGTGGAGCTCTCATGAGGTTGGTTCCGCGGTAAACAACAAACTTGGAAGTAGAGTCGAAGTGAAACCCCCATCCATGCACATACCCAGTCGTCGAATCTGAATGCATATTCGCCAATCAGCAAGCGGGGACAGCGGCACTTCGAGGCCTTTGAGCGTTCGGTTGGTGAAGCGTATGCATGGCCCGGGCCTTGATCCTAGCGGAGGATCAGAACGATTCAGGTAGTGCGACGGACGATCGCACCACCTATAGACGCCGCCTCGACCGTCGTGGCCCAGTTTCGAGGGCGCGCTGGCCTCATGTACAGCGCAGAGGCCTTACCGCAGCCTGGTTCACAACGGCTTTTTCTTTCTTGCTGTTCGATGCACGACGATCTCACCCTCCGTTCGATCGCGCTCGGCTCATGGCCCATGGCCCATGGCCCATGGCCCGAGGACGATATAGGGTACCGCTGTCATATCAACGGCTACGTCCTTGCTGTACCTCGCACAGGACCGCGCGCGCAATTTCAGACTTGCTTCACGTTCATAGACGCGCAGCTTGCGACCATCACTCTGATCACTCTGCTGACGAGAATCTTTGCCATACAATCATGCTGTTGTTCAGCTGTACCAGTCGTTCTCATACATCATATGTGGTGCAAGGCGAGATAAGGTCCGATATCGCGAGTTTCACTGATGCGGTGAGGTGCCGTCTGTTGTAATCTCCGAGATGCAATTGCTCGCTCTCGCATCCGCAGCCAAGACGAATCTCGATCTTGAGAAAGATCAGGCATGTGGCCCCCGCAAACGCTGTGCTCCACGACAAGATCCTTTGAAAATCAGGAATCATGACTACTGGCCTGGGATCTCTGACACCTGCCGAAACCAGATGTTCATGCGCCTTTTAATATTACCGATCTAAATGCCAGCTATATCAGCCGCCGCATCCCCACACCCTTCTGAGGTGAAACAACACATGGACACCTGGCCAGCTTTCGTGACCTCGCTAGCAGCTTTCGCAGACGAGAGAACTGACGGAATGCCTCGCGTGAGGGCGAGACGTTGCTTCTCATCTCAGCTAATTGCCCTGCGTCGAACCGAGATTGAGATTTGTCTTTCGTCCGTTCGACACTGCCCCGGACGCGTCAACGCTCTGTCACCCATGATCATGGGTGAATTGGCTTGTCATGACTGCTGACTGCTGCCCAGGTGGTGCCAGACTGCTGCGGAGATTCGTCATCACGAGGGGAAGCAAGTGACTGCCAGCCACAACAGCCTTCGGATTGAGAACTTGTCCACTTGTCCACCTTCCGAGAGGCTTCTAGGCTTAGTCACTTAAGGTTCCGAAAAGCCACAGCCGCATTTGCTCATCCCATCAGATCTCCCGCGCAACTGCTCCACCTCCGAATCTTGACGTCCACGCAGATCCTGCCTCCCTCGTGCGAAGTCTCAAACCCTTTTAAGGCAGAAGTATGAAATCGCCCCCTCGGTAGTGGTAGTGACGTAGACTACCGAGCCAGCCCAATCGCCCACCGCGGAAGTCTGCGGCCTCGGCGATTAGTGTTCTGGCAAAAACTCTCTGTGACATCATCGCGTGCTAGACTCCTGACGAAATAACATTACCCTGGCTGGCTGGCCATGTTTTCTCGCAACTATTAACCCACGCACCTAGGATCTCGCGCCATACGAGAACGTGTATAGATTTCTTCCAGGTTTTGCTCTCTTCGACTGCGCTACTTCCACCTGCGCGAAAGGAGCGCCTTGTATCGTCAGCGAATTCGTCAGCCATCGCGCGTTACACTCCCTCCCTTTCGGGTCGACTGCACCGGGTCGACTGCACAATGTGGGGAATCTCCTACTGGGCAGTGCCCATCTTCTCATCGCTAGTATGGCTCGCGATGTTGATTGCCATGTTGACGACATGGTCGGTCCAAGGGTCGCCGCACTACCCTTCTATGGATCCCAATCAGCGCATTGCCTACATCTCTGGTACGTAGACACAAGGCCGAAACTAAAAGTTCCGGTGACCTAACACAATGCGCAACAGATGTCGGCGCGCAAGGCCTCAAACCCCTCTTCATCGCCATGTCCGCGGTGACCGTCGTGTCTCTCGACCTCGCCTTCGTCCTCGAGCGCTGGCTCCGACACAAGGGCAAGCTCACACCCAACACCTCGTTCTGGCAGAAATTCTATAGCGTTTGTTCGATCATCGCGTCCATCGCCGGCGCCGCAGGCCTCATCCTGCTCTCCATCTTCGATACACTGCGCCACCCACACCTCCATGACGGCTTCCTCGTGCTCTTTATTGGTGGCTATATAATATCAGCCATCTTCATCTGCTGGGAATACCAACGTCTGGGCATCCACTTCCGCGAGCACTCCATCTTGCGCTACAGCTTCTGGATCAAGCTCACCTTCATCCTGGTCGAACTCGCGCTCGCCATCGCCTTCGGCGTCACGCAGAACCAGAAGAAGTACAACGCCGCCGCGGTCCTGGAGTGGACTATCTCCTTCATCTTCTTCTTCTACGTCCTTAGCTTCTTCATCGACTTCATGCCCGCGGTCCGCTCGAAGCACCACCAGAGCCGCGAGACCGAGATGGACATGGCAGAGCAGGGCGGCATGCCCATGGGCGACGGCGCGGCGAACGACGGCCAGTACTTCCGCGGGAACACGAATGGGCACGCAAACGGCACGAACGGATACGCCAACGCCAACGGCCACACGAACGGCCATGCGAATGGATATACCAACGGAAACGGCTACACCAATGGCAACGGCTACACCAACGGCTTCTCCAACGGCGCAAGCGGACCGGGCCACATCCCCAAACCCGCTGATTCTGCGCCTCTGCCGTCGCGGAACTTCTAGGTGCGTTCCCGAAGGCCGTCGAGGCATGATAGCTGTGCAGCATGAGGCGAAGAGTGTCTTTATTTTGTTTTGTACATAGCATTGGGCATGATTTCCACGACCTGGATGATCGCATGCGGCTGGGTCAGGCGTTTGGGTGGGGGAAGTGCATTTGCATTGAGCGTTGATATCCATCTGGGACGGGGGAGGCGGCTTCACGAAGCTATGTATTACTAGAAACCTGTTTGTAATGGCTGTAATTCGAGATGTATCTTCAGAGTATAGTATAGAGAAGCGGTGCAGTGGATTGGTGTGATGTCGCAACGTGAAGAACGCGGTTACTAAATTGTTCTGCTTGATCATAGACGAGAAAGTGCAATGGCAATATGCTCTGATATCATGCTTCTACCAGAGCTAACGGTTGGCAGACTCTCTTATTTTTGAGAGTACTTGTCATACTTGTCGTACTTCTCATCACTATTCTTGCTCCTCCTCTCGTCCCTTTCATCCCCATACTCATACTCACGCCTCTTCCTCCGCTTCTCATCCTTGTCCCTACTTCGACTCCTCTCCCTCCGCCTCTCCCTCCGATCCTTACTATCGACGCTCCTCTCCCTACGATCCCGCTCCCTCCGCTTCTCCCGCCGCTCATCGTCATACGGGCTGCGACTTCGATCTCTACGCTCCCTCTCGCGCCGCTTCTCCCGCTTCCGATCATCGTACTCGTACTCGTCGTCGCGGTATTTCTTGTCTCGCCGGCGGTCACGGTCCGAGTCTTCGTACTCGGAGTACTTTTTCTCCCGCCGGCGGTCGCGGTCAGAGTACTCCTCGTCTCGGTCGCGCCTCCTGCTCTTCTCCTTTCTCCGCTCGCTGTCGTAGTCGTCATCTCTTCTGTCCCTTTCCTTCCTTGCCCTCCGCTTCTCGCGTCTCCGCTCGCCCTCATCTTCATCATCGTCGCCAACAAACGTGTTGTTCCGCGCAGCCTGCACATCCGCCTCCTTCTGCTTCGCCAGGCGCTCCTTAAGCTCCTCCTCCGTAATGATCTCGCCCGTGCGCTTGTTCTTCAGCGCAACAGGGTTGTATTGTATAGCCTTCTTCCCACCCTTCTTTGGGCCTGCCCACTCGCTCAGCTCGACGCCCACGGCAGCTTCGGGCTTTGCGCCGATGCCGAGAAGTGCAGGACGCATCTTGGGTTCCTTGGGCTTCGCGGCCGGCTTCTTGTCTTTGCTCAGCGAGTCGCCGTCTTTCCAGCCCATGCCACGGAGGAGAGCGGCGCCGAAGCCTTCGATGGGCGTGGCTTCGTAGGCGGCGAGGTCGGGCGCGTCGGGGGCTTCGCGCATGTCGTTTTCGAAGGCCTCCTCCTCGGAGATGGGGATCACGGTCTGGTCTTTGGGTTTGCCGTTAATGAGGGCTTCAAAGGCTTCGGCCTGGAGCTTCTCCTCCTCGGTGCGGTTGTCCTCGGGCTTGACCTCGCCATCGACATCCATGGGCTCGGGCTCGTCTTTCTTGTCGAACGTGGTCAGCCCAGACGCCATCTGTGGCTGCTCCAACTGCGCCGCGTTGTCGCCATTGCTGCCCTCTGCATGCGCCGGTGCTCCGGTGCGCGCAAGCTGTCGTTTCTGGGCTACCTCGCGCCAGTCGCGGTTTGGCAATGCGGGGATAATACGCGGGCCTTTCGTTTCTTCCTTCTTGTTTGCGTCGACAGCACCGCCTTCTGCTGCGTCCCAGCCGGTGATTTCTTGCTTCGCATCCGTGTCTTCGGGCTCATCGTCGTCGAGAGCGAGGCGTCTCCGCTTTGTGGGCTGTTCGGTGGGTTTCTTAAACCCTGGCTTACCTTTGGCGCCGGCAAGCGACAACTTGAAGCCCCCGGTGGCCATGGTGAGAGAAGAAAGTTTGAGAGCGCGAGAGAGGACTGATTATCGAAGTTGCATCGGGAGATGGCGAAGATTTGGCGGGGAAAAGAGAGGGTGCCAATCGGTATGGATCACTGCTCCGGATCGGTCGGTTTGAGAAGAGGAACGTTGTGGTGGGCGTGAGCCAGTCAATGTTTCGAGCGTTGGCTCGCGAGATCAAAAGTTCGCGCCTATGACATCGCGCTTGGCGAGCGACCCTGAATCGATGCTAGGCAACGGCGAATCACGTGCGCATCAACCATTCGGGGGCTTCAAGGCCCAAGTATGGCCCGCATGCAGAAAATGTCTGAATGAGGGTGTGTAGGTGCGAAGATTTCTTATCTGAGTAAGTCCAGGCGAGTGCTGCTCCTAGACATGGACTGCAAGTCATCTTAGTCTAAGCTTGGGACCGTGCCGTCCTCACAAAACCACGCTTGCTTACCTTTCATCATCTTTTCTGATGTCTCCCCAAGTACCGCCAGGCGAAGATCCATAGCCGTTATACGATACGATCAGGTCATAATGTGTTCCACTTTGGTTCACATTCGCTTCATCGCACCGCAAGTGGAAAGGCTGAAGCCACTTCGGGGCGGCTGAGGGCCAGCTCGCGCCTGGAATACGAGGCAATGCATGCTTGTACCCTTCATGTCCCTCATTTTCTTTGGGGTTGAATCTCCCGCCATTTCAGTGGTTATCAAGCGTTCTTAACTTTCCTTATCACTTTATTCCCTTCATACATTTCCTCAAGATACCCGTGGCGCACCTCAGTGACCTTTGCTTCTTCATTTCGCCTCAGCCTCGTCTCATTTTTTGATCCACTGCAAGATTCTGCCGGACATACCAAAACTGCGCATGTTCGAGAAAATTCACAATCACTGCATATCCGCTGTTCTCACCAACATCGCCCGAGCAGAAGCCAGAGCAATTTCTTGTACACCTTCGGCTTGCACGAGGGACTGGATTTCGACATGAATCCAACTGTCCCACCTCCGCCTTACACAATGCAGCCCCAGCAGCTCCCTACGTCTACTCTACCACCAATGCAGAATGCGTATCCACAACTGCCACCCGAGAAGGAGATGTACGGTCAAGCCCAGCCGCAACAACCGCCGCACTACGTCCCATCTCCTCCAGGATATTCAGCACAACAGCCCGTACAGCAGTCAGTAGCCCAACAGCCGCTCCAATATCCTCCAAATATGACCCCACAGCAGCAACAGCAAGTCCAGCAGATCATCCAAAACTTACCCCCTGAGAAGGTACTGCTCTACCAGCAGCAAGCTCAACAGATGATGAGCCCTCAGCAATCCATGAGCCCCTCATCCTTCCAACAACCACAACAAATCCTGCCTCAGTCACCCCCCATCCAGCAACAGCAGAGACCGCACTACACAACCACCGCACCCTCCGGCCTCTTCGGCCCAAAGCACTCCTCCCACAGCGATCCCACAACCCCGAAAGACGAGCAAAAAACAGACAGTGTAAAACGCTTCTTTGGAGACACCCTCTTCGGCCGTGTAGCCCGGTCGTCCGTCCAAACAGTCACCACCACGATGAAGATGCCGACCTCGCTCTCCCCCTGGGGCGACAACAATCCTGTCACCCTCCCCAACGTCCGCTACCGCGACGCCGTCCTCTTCACAACTTTCGCTTTCGTCGGCGCACCGCTCGTAGACGGCATCTCAGATGGTGTGACATCCGCGTTCGGCGCTGACAGCTTCATCTCAGAGATTGTGGCTTCGGGCGCGGATACTATTGTCGGCTCAACCGTCATAAAATATGGCGTCTTCCAGATCGTCGAGCAGGCTATTGACAAGGGCATAATCGAGCACATGCTTCCTGAAGAGGAGAAGATGCTGGTCACCACGGGCGTGAAGAGCTTACAGGTGGGCATCAAGCACAAACTGATGGGCGTAGACGCCGATCTACGCTTCGTGGGGATATATCCCGCGCGCGACTCGCAAGCCTGCGAGAAAGGATGGTTCTGTCCGTATCTATTTGCCAGTGCACGCACACCGTCTGTCCCGCGGGCGAATGACTTTGGAATATGTCAGTTCTTTGGGCCGTTTTTGGGTGGTGAGTTTCCCCCTTGTCTCCCTCGGCCCAACAGAACCTTGCGATCTTCGAGAGACAGTGATGTTTGCATATACTAAGTCAAGTTTACAGGGGACTACCTCCTCGCCCACAAGCTCCTCTCTGAATCCACCCACACCCTCGCCCTCTGCGACCCCAACCCCCAAGCCGACATCGGCACAAACCGCCTCGTCATCCTCTTCACAGGCATCGCGCCCTATCGCGCAAACATGTGGTCCACGTCGCGCCGTCCAGGATGCGGTGAGTAACTCCTCTCCAGCACCCGCCAAATCGCCCGTCTGGAGATTCCCAGCCAACGGAAGAGAGATATTGACGCTCCCCAGGCACCATAATCTTCCACCTCCTCTCCGGCTGCCCCGCCCTCGTGATCCCCGTGACCTCCCGCGCGCCAATCTGTGCCTGGTCCCCCTGGACGCTGTCCCAGATGCGCGCCGCGCAGTACGCCATCAACCCTGGCATGGGCATTGGCGGTGACTACACCCCCGAATGGCAGCACGAGCAGATCTGCGAGTATCTCGACACCATCATCAGCGTGCCGCACTGCAAAGAGAGTATCAGAGAGCGGTACGTGGATGTGCTGGGCAGGATGGTGAGTCTGGTTATTAACGGGGCGCTGGCGCTGGAGAAGTGTAGGCCGGTACTGGGGAAGCTGGATCCGGAGAGGGCGGGCGTGGTGATGTTTAGGTATTAGCGGACTTCTATCACATGGAGGAAAGGGATAAGGAAGCAGCAAGATGAAGTATTATGTACGAACAGCAACAGTAAAAATTCTACAAAACGTCTATCAAATACTTTTGGTAGTGCGTATGCGCAGGCTGGCTAAAGTCATATACATATGCACAAAGTAGCGGATGCTACACTACATTACGACTATCCGCATTCCATCCTCCATCTACACATGTCCAACGAAAAACAACCCCATCGCTCGACCTCCACCTCCGGATCAAAGACCAAGCAGAGCACTAGCACCCGGCTCGCTGCAGACATACACCGTATCGTGGTCGTTCGTGAACCCATTGAAGCGGGTAGCAGAACACTTGGTGTACGCGCCCATATCCTCAAAGTACAGCCAGTCATTGACATTCAGGACCTCGGGGAACGAGCAGCTCGACGAGATGACGTCGATGCCGTCGCAGGTGGGGCCCCAGATGGAGTACTCGATCATGGACGGCGTGTCGTAGCCCGAGCGCCGTACGTCGTACATGATGTCCTTGCCGTTCTTGAGCACGCGCGGCACCGGGTGCTGGTGGTCGAAGATGATGCTACTGAAATTGCCGTAGACACCGTCGTTCATATACAGCATGTAGGACGTCGTGCCGAGCGTGGCGTCGGTGACGGTGCGGCGTGCGATCACATGGCAGGCCAGCGTGAAGGCGGTCGAAACGAAGTAGCGGCCTGGCTCGCCGATGATGCGGACCGAGGGCGGGAAGTACTCGTCGAGCGAGGCGGAGAGGACCGCAGCCATGGGCTCGAACGACTCGTCGCCTGTGAAGCCGCCGCCGACATCGAGTGTGTGCATGGTGAAGCCGAGAGCGGCGGCCTGGTCGAAGACGAAGCGGGCGTCTTGCACAGCCTTGATGAAGGCCTTGGGGTCAGAGGCACCGGAGCCGACGTGGAAGGCCACGCCGACGACGTTGAGCTCCAGCTTCTTCGCAAGCTCGAGCAGCTCGCCCGTGGTGTCGACACAGGCGCCGAACTTTTGGCTGAGACGGCACAGGCTGGCAGAGTCATCGGTCAGGATGCGGAGGTAGAGCTCAGCATCGGGAGCGATCTGCTTGGTCTTGTACAGCTCGTCCGCATTGTCAAAGGTCATCTGCTTGACTCCGGCATTGGTAGCGTAGCGGAGGTAGCCCTTGGTCTTGCACGGCTGGGCGTAGATGATGCGAGCGGGATCAACTCCCATCTTCAAGACCGTCTCGATCTCATTCTTGGAAGCGCAGTCGAAGCCTGTGCCTAGTTCCGACAGCAGGCGAAGGACTTGGGGGTCGGGGTTGCACTTGACCGCTGGAGCGATGTCAGCGTTATGGCACGTGTGTATGTCAGAAGAGAAGACTCACCGTAATGCGGCTTGACACGACCCAAGTTCTTCTTCCAGCGAAGGTGCTGGCGGTAGACCTCGCCCAGGTCAGCAACGAAGAAGGCATCCTCGTCGCCAACATCGCAGGTATCCGGGTCAACAGCCTCAACACGGCTCTTCAAAGCCTCCCCTTTCAGTTGTTTGGACAGCGCGGCGCCATGGTTGTCGGTCGTACCAAGATTCGGTTCGACTGACTTGTAATCTTGGTAGGTAAACTTATATTCCTCAGTTGGCGTGATAGCGGAAGGTGCCATTCCCTGGATGTTGAGTCCGGAGGAATAAGCTATAAGTGTAGGTTGGTTTGTCTGGGGGCGCCGGGGCGTATTAAGGAGGTTTGAAGGGTGTGAAGCCGAGACTGGCTTGTGGGCGAGGTCTCCTCGACTCTTCCTCTTCGAGAGGAAGAACTACAGAGACTCTATGCGGCAGCTGAGAGTGGTGCGATTCGGGGATCCGGTTGGCCTCGGGAGGAAACAACGCGCGCTCGAGATCAGCCCTAGTGGTCTGCAGCCGGAGGAGGCAGGGTGTTGCACGTGTGCGGTGAAGGTCGAGCAGATGCAACTTGAAGGTCGAAAAGGAAGCTGGCCGAGGCCGTCTTGGAGGGGTCGCCTTTGCACTGACCAAAGGCGGTCGCTGGAAGCGAGTAGTGAGCGATAAACAGCAGTCACGTCGGGGTGAGCTGCGGCAAGCTAGTGGGAGTGGATGGAGGAGGTGTCGCGGAGAAAGACAGGCCAGGTCCTAATTTTCACCTGAACGTGCGATCCTCGCCGCGGTGTATGGAAATGGCTCATTAAGTAATAAACCCAATCCCGTTGCTGCGCTAATGGCCGCGCCCCGGCCCACCAGAATTTTGCCCTGACATCACCCAAGCCACCCCAATCCTCCAGTAGCGTGCCCGGAAAAGAGCCCACAGCGAACCATCCCAGCCGTCGCCCCGCTGCCGCTGTGAATAGCTTCATCGATCGATCTCAAAGGCTGAACGGCAGATGTCGGACCGCAGGACATGCTGGCTCGTCACTGACCGCCAGAGCAGGTTTTGATTGCTCGCGACAGCCATCGGCAAGCGAACGATGACTCCCACGCTAAATATATCCCTCAGAGCACGCTGTGGTGGTTGCACAGGATAGCAGCGGATAAGCGTGCATGCATTTATGCCGCAGACAGAACGTTGTTGCTCTTTCACGTGTCACCGTTGCGGTAGACAAAGGATGCGGTCCAGCTCCAGGATCCATGCCCCATGTGCGTTGTTTTGTGATGTAGACCGCATTTGCATTGCGTCGATATTGCGGCGCGAGAGCACTGCCCGCCGCAAGATCGGAAGTGCTTGGGCATCGAATAGTTCCCGAAGTGCCTTGCATAATACCATGTTAGGCATCGTCCCATCCATTGCTCCAGTGCCCAAAGGCTGGGCTCGAAGGCGCGGTTGAGGGCGCGTACCCGGCGCAGAGCGCCAAGCTGTAGAACCAGAAAGCGACCTTCCCGCTTCATCTCACATCGCATCGCCATGACAATTCCCTCAATTCACAATGTGTGAGTTGAGCAGTGTATATCTGCTCACAAGTACCGCAGTGCGCAAGCTGGTCTTTCCAGGAAGCTCAAGGCGACAATTGCAGTGAAATTTCATGCCTTGGTAAACATCGACCACACCATCTCCCACTTGCTTTGAACGCCCAAAGTCTTGTCCCTCTGATCCGAACCATCACGTAAGAGCTTCTGCGACGGAGTTGCTTGATAATTCCCGACGCGCAGTGCACCTAGACATATCCTAGACACGGTACTGCCAAGTCTGTTCTTCGTCCTAGTACTCGATGTAAGCCAGATCAAGTCGAGATTGGCTTTGGATCTGCGAAGGCAGGTGGTCACCGCCGCTGCAACAGCGAAGAAGCGAGCGAAACGGATGGAAAGGCTCTTAGATTTCTTGCGGTAGGATCGAAGACTGTATACATGATGTTGTACCGATGGCATTCAATTGCTTGGCTAGTAAGTGCAGATGTAAATGGGTGATGTAGAATTATCACGTATTACAATTACGTGCTAGCCTCCTGCTTACGATCGTCCCCAGAGATGCTCGTGCACTGTGACGAGCTCCTAAAGTTAGAAGAATGTTTGAAATTTGCCATAGTTTGCTAAAGCACACGAAGCCTCACAATCGACGGGAGAATGTGTAAGTGTAGTCTGACAAAGGAGCCAAGGAAAAGAACGGTGCCCGTATGGTAGGATGTGCCGAGAGAGGGTGTTTGTCAAGACGGCGGCGGCGATGAGAACATGTCAAAGGGCATGAGCCGGTTCAAGAGATAGTCGCACAGGCGCAACGGTGTCGGCTTGGACTCAACTCAAGTTGCAAGAGTAGCTGGTGTACGATCCAGAGCTCTTCTGTTAAGGCCTGCTGCGCTGAAGCTATTGAGAGCTCCAGGTCTTTCCCAGCGAAAGTAGCTGCAGCGGAGATGTCTTGCAATCCTATGCCTCAGGGGCTTGCAAGATGTGAGACTCTAGAAGTGAACAACAATTGCAATAGGGAGCTCGGTGAAGGAGAGGCAAGGAGAGTGCTTCACTTGCGTGCGCTGCCACTTCGCTCTTGCCTTGTCAGTCACTCACTTCGGCCCTCAAAACCTCGATTTCTCTTGTAAAACACCACTCTCCGCAGATACCATTCCCTTCTACAAACCTCTCTGCGTTCTCTCCAAATCCGCGACCGCAACCATGCCCATTTTTGTCACCATCGACGCCGCCTGCTCAGACGACCGACCCTTCCTTGCCAAGGACCTCGTCGAGGGGGCATACCCGCTCGCCCTCGTCAGCAAGATAGACTTCGCCGTCTTGCGCCTGGACGAGCGCATCAAGAGTGCCCAATTCGCCGAAACCGGGCCCATCGAGAGGCCACCTTCGAAGGACGACCGCCACAAATTCACACTGTGGCGTGGGACCGTCTCGTCCCCCGACGCCTACAAATTCCCTTGGGAGTACGCGTTCCGCGAGCACGCCAACCTCGCACTGATGGCGACCTTCCAAGCCGTCTTCGAGCATTTGCGACCGCTCTGGTCAGAGCTCGAGACCCACGAGACCGTGAGCCCCGCCGGCTTCGGACTGCAGTTCGTTGGCGTCGGAGAAGCCGGCTGGTCTTTGGACCAGCATGGCTGCCTCGCGCTGGCACAACTCTCCCGGGACGGCAGCGAGATAGAGTGGCTGTACGTGAAGGCAGAAGTCGGCGACAACCAAGCTCCACTTCCTGCGGGTAACGTGCTACCCATCGACCCTCTCCCCACCGCCAACAAGCCTTTGGGCTTCAAGAAGTTCTCGATGACTCCGAAGACACGGCGCTGAGCCTGGCTCGGTGCTAAGAGGGCTTCTCGCCAAGAGTGGCCTCTTCTCCCTTCCTATCAGTGGTAAAAGCAAGTAGTCCCCAGCAACGAGCTTGCGGTTCAACGTACCGCTGGGGTCTAGTAACCATATGGTGAAGCTAAGATGAGACAATCAAACGTCCATAGATTCTATTTACATGTGACTCTACTTTGCAATAAAACGACCGATATGTACAAATCGAAGTCAATCAAGCTGCCACCTCTATAACAATCACCCCCTTTACACCCGGATCTCTACCATCGTGTGACCTATCTACGGGAGGCACTGAGAGTACCACTGGCTCTGCGCCTTGCAAGTTCCCTGCTTGCACGTAGTCGGTCCAGTCCAGCCCTGTCCACCGCACTGTCCGTAGAGGGCAGCACCGCTACCAGTGCCAGACGTAGCAGTTGAAGCGGGAGCGCTGGAAGCGCTGGAAGCAGGGGTTCCAGGGGTAGTACCCGAGCCAGACCCGAAGGTAGATCCAATAGCGCCGATCTTGATGTTGCTGTAGATGACTTGCGAGTTGGGGCTGTTCTTCTCGACGTCAGCGGGCACGCCGGAGGTGATGGAGCAAGTTCCACGGGCGACACCAGGCGTTGAAGCGTCCTTGTCGGTAGGGAAGGTAGAGTCGAGCCAAAGCATGTTGACAGCGTGGTCATCCCACACGGAAAGCGCCAACACCATACCGCGGCCGATTGCACCGCCCATAGCGGTGAGTCCACCGAGCTTCTCAAAGCTGTTATTGTCGCCAAAGGCAGTCTTCTGCGCATTGCAGTACGAGTCGGTGATGCTGTTTCCGGTGACGCCGGAGATCTTGCTGACGCTGTTGTCGATGACCTTGCCGTTCTGGACGTACTTGCGGCGGATCTCGGTGAGCTTGCCCGTGTCGGTGCCGTCGCTGGTGATGAATTGCGTGACGACAGTGAACTTGGACTTGGTGTCGACGGTCATGCCGGGGCCGTAGAAGGAGGTGTCACCTTGGCGGTAGCTGTTGAAGTCGCAGCCGTCCTTGTCGCACACGCCGTTGTAGCGGTTATCGCCATCGCCGCAATCGGTGCCGGAGCACCTGACGAGACCGTTGGCACTGCAGACGTGGGGAGTGTAGGCAGCAGAGATCGAGTTGGCCTCCCAGATCTAGGACGACGTGGTCAGTATCTTGTCCATTCGATTATCAAGTCCGGGCTACTTACATCCATCTCGTGACAGCAGGCACCGTATTTTCCAGCCCCGGCATTTACGTCGTTGCTGCTGGGGGTCCAGCCTTCTGCGTTGGCCTGAGAATTGTTAGTCCCAAATTCCGAAATAGCACATACGATGGGTGGTGTATTTGCCACTTACTTCACCAGCAATAAACTTGATGTCGTGGGGGCACTGAGTGTCGCAGTATCCAGTACCATATTTGGCACCAGCCTTGTTGGTAGAGTACTTGGCAATACCACCATCCTCGTCCATCTCCACCAAGTACAAAGCACCGTTCAAACCGCAGGGCAGTTGCGACACGTCAACGTCGAACTAGTGATAGTCAGTGATGGCCCAGTGTAAGTGCTGGAGCGTAATACTTACGGTGAACTCCTTGTTAAGGAGCTTAAACATGTAGTACTTGGAATCAGAAGCCATAAGGTACAGCCTGGAACCAATGTTCTTGCTGTACGTGCCCTGCGTCACGAACTTGAGCGTAAGAGCATTGCTTGCTGCAGTGACACCGTATGTGCTGGTGTAGTCCGCACCGTCGAGAGCGCAGTTAGCTGCGCATGACTTATTATCGGGGCAGAAGGTAGTGTTCCAGGTGTTGCCGTTGTAGCAGTTATCGGCGCTCTTCGTAGAGTGCAGCCAGCGCCAATTAGCATCAAGCGTGACCGAAGTTGAGATGGTCGAGCATTGTCCAGCAGCCGAGCAAGACTGAATGGGAAGGGAGGGATGAGTCTCTGTGGTGAGGGTGCCGACCTGTTGGGCGGACACACCTGCCGCAAGAAGAGAAGAGAGAATGCTGGCCTTGGAGAACATGGCGAGGTGCTGAAGCTGCTGCTTGAGATTGACTGAGGAGCGTGGTCTTCAAGTGCTCTGGGTGACTATCTTATATACTTCGTAGATGTATCGCGCTCCGCCCTAGAATTGTGCCCGTACTGTCATGTCGTTGTACGTGTTTGCAAATTGACACGAGCCACACCGAACCGTCGATCCGCTGCCGAACGCTCGCTTCAAGCTCTTGTCCGCGATCTTCCTGGATAAGAAAACCTTCTCATACCGCTTTTGGAGCCTATAGCAATCTAAATATCTGGGTCGATGGTCGCCAGCGACGCGTAGGAAACGGATATATGAAAGAAGGGGCCAGGGCCGGGAAGAGATTCCGCAGATCTTGAGGCTCTTCGTAGGCACTAGGGGGTTGTCGTACTATTGCCGGGTTGTAATGCCTGGGGAAGTGCTCGAAGGCGTCTCGAAGCCTTCCCGTACAGGTGTAGCTTCGGTTGGGGTTGGTCTCTCGGAAATCACATCCAACGGCCCGCAATGGCTGACTGGTGGAAATCCCGGGGTACGCGTCAAAAGATCCATTCAGGAGCTTCTCGTGACCTCTATGCAGCACACTACTGAGGCACTTCTATATTACTTCACGTGCAGTAAGAACATTCGAGCAAGATTTGACCTGCGCTAGGAGCCATTGTACCGTGTCGTGCAGAAGTCCTAGGTGCTGTGAGGACAAGTCAATGGCGTGTCTTGGTTCCTTGAGACGTTGTCCACACGGCTACGCTTACAATCACTCAAGCGCAAGGAGCAGCCCCTAGAGCTTGCGAAGTATTCCTGAGACTAACAGTGTCTGTCTAAGGTTCAAGAGGTTCATCACGGATTAAGCATGTAGACCGAGTGTGCAGATCCAGCGCTTGCACAGCTCGGACCGGGTCTTGGTCGTGCTTGAGTTCTGAACAGCAATATAAACGTCGCAGCGTCGGTACGAATCCCGGTACTATATGCGCGCTCCGTTATAGCTCCATTGCCTGCTGTGAATAGCTACCGAGCGGCGAGAGGAAATTTGGACTCGCGATTCGAGGAAACTTGCGGCTTGACTGTCGGTCATGACCAGATGAGCTGTATCTGGTTCTTCCACTTTGTGAATGAGATTGTAGCGTGAAGAGGAGGCGAAAGTCAGAGGCTAGCGACGGGCCGTGATCCTGTGAAGTGAAAACCGAGGTAAGCAGTCACCAGAACCAGGTTTCCCCGTCATGGGGCAATGTGACCCACGTTTTGGCCTGCGCGTGCAATTTGGCCGATATTGCGGGCGTGGGTTTACGGTGCAGTCGCCCCCGCGCTGTGGAAATCCAGATTTTCCGGAGCACCGCCCCAGCCACGCGAAAGCCACACACGGGGCATGAGTTCCCGCGCGCGATCAGTTGTTGACAACGGCAACGGACACAACGCACCGAATACCTCGCAAATGCACTGGCTGTGCCTCTGGACGAGCACGTGGGACTTTCCGGAGCATCCGGCCCGAAACATGCATGGGCAAGCGCACTGGCGAACCTCGTTTTCGAGTTTCTAAGACGACACGGCATTTATATCTGCGGTCCTGAGCTACCGTTATGCATGCCCTTCAAACTACAGCCCACTGACTTTTGTTTTTACCTTGGTTCCAGCGCTGTGATTCTACCACTTTCCCTATCGAGACACCAATTGGCATGATACCAAGACAGGTCAGCCCCTGTTTGATTTGCGGGGATGCCCCTTCCGCCGACACGAGCGGGCCAGACCGATACGTTTCGCTACAAGTCTTGGACCTCGCCGAAGTCACGCTGTCCACAGAACACAGTATGTAGGCAACTTGAGAGGCATGTCGTTGCACTGAGCACCATACTCGTACTCGCTGGGTTGCAAGAAGGCGCATATCATAAATAGCTACCTAGCACCAAGATTACGACGCCTCGTATTCATGCCCATGACAGCCATATCAAGGCCTGCGTGTGGCTGCAGCCACACGACGCCAACACCGTGCGCATGGAAGCTGAGGCGGAATACGAGGTCAAGCTGGCTAGCCCGCATTGCTCCTGGCACCAGCTGCCAATCCCATGGACCCGTCCTTTTTAATGAAAACGCCATCTTTCGCTCGAATCGTCTCCGCGATGTTTAGTTCGCTTTCTCACGTTCGCTACTGTTGATACGAGTTGCGGCAGCGTCGCTACGCTGCGCCCAAACGCGATGTCGAAAACTGAGCGTATTCTTGGTGTGTTCACTGTCGCGCTTGCGGGAGTGGCGCGCGCGGCCCCAGCTCCTCAAAGTACGACCTCAAACCTGTTTTTCTTGGAAGAACTATTTCGCTAAACGAGGATTAGGAGTTGGTATCGGAATTGTACCTGTACCTACAATGTTTCCAGTCACAAATGCGACGACATTACCGCCGAAACCCACACCGACCGACAACGCGTCAACCTGCGAGGCGTCATGCGAAGTACGGTACCCCGAATTGTTTGGCCTGTCATGGGCGCGAGAAGATCAGGTTGTTTTCACCGAGACTGTCACAGTTGGCACTGTCAGCATCACCACGTTGAGCCAGGTCAACAAAACTTATATGTTAACGAATACGTATTACAATGATGGGATGCCCAAATTCTACACATTATATCAGCAAGGTACGGATGACGGTGGCACGAAGACTGTCGAAGCCATAATCACTCTTTCCGATGAGGTGGTATCTACCATTTTTACCTATCCAACCCCGTGGGTAGATTATCCAGCAGCATATCATTGGCAAGGCATCGTTCCTACTCATGACGACCAATCGGAACCAGTATGTGCTACCTCGACAGAAGAACTGGCATACGGAGAGGTGACCCAACACCCACTCTACCCGCAACCTACAGATGTCATTCCAGATAAGAAAGACCCTGGGGGTACGAATTACGTACCCTTGTGGATCGCGCTTCAAGACTTGCCCGACAAGAAGTGGTTTGATCAGGCGTTTCCTTCCGAATCTGCCTTCGCGTACTGTACATCGGTAGCAGGAAAACCAGCTCCTGTGGATATATCTACAGCGAAGTTCGTCTTGGCCACCGCATCGTTCGCCACCAGTATGGCCAATCCGGGGTTTATTCATCCAGAAAGTTCCGTGACAGGCTGGTTTGATGGGGTGACGACGAGTGAGCCGGACAATCTCGTCGAGCCGACGCAGCAAGTGGGTTCAGCACATGGAGAAAGAACTTCTACGCCAATTCACCCAAGGCCATCGACGACAGCCGGTCCAAGAGCGACATCGGTACAGGTCCCAGACATTCCAGACATTTCCGACACTGTATCTACTGTGCCGCCGTGGGATCTACGACCTACCGTTCGACCAAGTACTCCGCTCGTCAACAATCCTAGCACTGCTCAAAATGACGGTGAACAGCCTGGCAATGGGAATTGGGGAGCTCAGCCATCTCCAACGAACAACAATGGTTTCGCGCAGCCTGCGCCTGGCGTCCCAGGAGGCGGGCCGGTATCAACTCGTACGACTCCAATCTTTACGTTCAAACCGACAACTATTAATGGCCAACCTACCGCCACTCCGATCTTCATCTTCCCAGGGTCCTCCTCGACTGCGACGATCGGTCAAACTGTCTCCTTCAATGGACAGACTACAGTTCTGGCAGCTCCGTCGGCCATATTCGCTTTCGTTCCCACAACCATCAACGGCGTTGCTACATCGTCGCCGGCCTTTATCATTAGCGGGACTTCCACGGCCTCCATCGGCCAGACCGTGACCCTCAATGGCCAGCCCACTGTGCTCGCGCCACCCGCGCCCTTCGCCACTGAGCTTCCCACTACGATATTTGGTATCGAGACACACGTGACGGCGTATATTATCAGCGGCAGCATCACTGCATTCCCGGGCCAAACAGTCACGCTAGACGGCCAGGTCACAGCGCTTCCAACTGCCGATGCGGTGTTCACTTCAGTCACGACTACAATCGACGGAAAAGAGACTGTGGTCCCTGTGTATATTATCAGCGGAAGCTTGACCGCGACAATCGGACAGACTGTCACAATTGATGGAACGGCGACTGTACTCTCCACGCCAACAGCAGACGCGGTATTCACTTCTATCACGACGACCATCAACGGAAAAGAAACCGTGGTGCCCGCTTTCATCATCAGCGGCAGCACGACCGCCACCATCGGCCAAACGGTCATGCTCCACGGAACCACAACCGTTCTTGGTTGGCCAACGCAGACAGAAGCGAGTGCTGCGGCGTTCCCCACAAACGCCGGACAGCCCAAGGAGACGGCATCCAAGAAGGGCGCTGGGCTGCGCAGCTCGAAGGTCGAGTGGAATGCATTGCTATTCATATTTGGAGTAATTATGATTGTCTTGCTATAAAGGCGAGAATGAGCATTGGCATATTGGAGTCCCGGCATCATTGGGGTCAAGGACATAATGGCATCACGGCATCACGGCATCGGGAGGTTTTTGGATTTTGCAGGATACCCTTTCCTTTTGATGTAATGTATTGGTTAAAGACGCATGGTAGGGAAAGGCATGTAGCGTCTCGGAAAAGAAGCATGAATGAGACGAACCGATTGCATTCGCTGACGAGGTAACATTGTTCGTCAACCGTGACTCAGTGCCGTAGTCAGCAGACTTGCGTCGCTTCCACTACTCCTTGTGACGCACCTCCGCCCATCGCCCATGCTCATCATCCCCATCAATATGAAACACAGCGTCACGATGAATAACAAAGTGCTGCCAGCGATGCGCATCATAATGCTTGTAGCACTTGTTGCATTGGATGTGCTTGAATTCGATGAGCGTGACATCTCCTGCCTTGTGCTTCACGAACCTACTGAACTTCCTAACTGCAGGTTCATTCTTTGGGATGCTCGGAAAGTTCCTCCACTTCTCTGTCAAGCTCGGCCTGTACAGTCTAGCGCGATGCGTAAGACCACACGTACAGACAGCGAAGTAGGGAACCTGCTCGAGGTGTGCGCCATTGAGGCGGTCGACGGGTACAAAGCCCTCGTTTGGATTTGGGATGATGACGCGGTGCAGAGCCGGTGAGGTGACTGCTTGGGGCGTGATTACGGTTTTACAGCGAGGATTCAGACAACGCAAGAAGCCACATGGGTGGGGACCGCGATGGTAGTTGGGATAGATCCATGCGCGGCATGTGGTACAGGTCCACCAGCCCATCAAGTGATCGGGAAGCGGGTCATTGTAATGTGACAAGAAGGGTGGGAGGTTAAGGGGGCGAGGCTTACGCTTGAAGAAGCTTTTGACTTGGGTTTTCATGTCGTGGATGTGCGTCTTGACCAGGCCTTGTGCGAAGGATAAGTCGTGGTACGGCATGTTCGACTGTTCTCGGTTGAGCGGAGGCCAATGTATTTACAACGATAAATGGTCATTCTTTATACGTATCTGAGGAGCATGTCTCGTGCCTGCACAAAGTGTTTTACTGGTGTGAGTCTGGTTCAGTGTAGAACGTGGATAACTGAATATCGCGACAGGTTTCACGACATTGCAATGTCTTGGTAGGTTTGACTGAATCGTAGATGACTTGTTTCGCGTTGTCGTTGGGATTAACTTCGTACCAGCAGGGTATTGTCGCGCACGGCTTTTGCGGCGTGGTTACACTACGTACATCCAAAGATACTTCGCGCTGACGACAAAGGCAATGGAATATGGTAATCCTGGTATAGTACACGCACCCCAACGGAAAATTTTCTTCACTTGTCGATAGTCTCGTCACCATCAAAGCTGATGATACTCCGAGAATCTATGCTCGAGGTTCCGTCGTTCTCGTAATCCGTGTTGCCGGGGCTCAATGTCATCTCGAACCTCTCCGTATATCTCTTCGCGTAATAGCACATCCCCTGAAAGATCAGGCCATTCTCAATGTACTTGACCCACTCTGCTGACTGCGCAGCGCCAGTCAACTCGATCCAGGGGAGTTCGTCATCTTCCCATTCAAAGATCCACAAATATGGCGCGGACGGCATCACGCTTTCCGTTCTTGTTTCTCCGCCCACCTCTTTAAGTATTCTCGCGCGAAGGAACGTCGGGCCGTCCAGGAAGCTCGGGGTAAAGGTCTCCTTCTGCCACTTCCAGAACCCTTCTTTCGATTCCGGGGGAGGCGCCTCGCAGGTTACTATGCTGATGTTGTCGCCTAATCGCGGGTGTACTATGAGCTAGCTCAGCGTTGCTCCACGGACAAAGACCGGGGATCCTTACTTTCTTCGCAACCTGCAACCTCTCGTCGATAGAACTCCTCGTAGACCCGGGGCTTGCATGCGTTATCTCCTCGGCTTTCGCATGCCTTTGCTGCCTCTTTGAACGCTTCGTCGTTGCGATATTCCACGTCTGGCATGTCGTACATGGTCATGAAGGGGATCTCGTGGCTGAAAGGGTATTCGTTCACTTGTCGCTTCATGAGCTTGACCTGCGTACCCAGCGACACACCAGGAAGTTTAGTGACCACATCGCTGAACGTCTTGTCCTCAGTGTTAACTTCGGCCGAAGTGTCTGGGTCGGCTTGCGACCACACGCAAAAGAGTCCCGGGGCCATTGTGTCCTCTGGTAGCGACAGTGGGCAACAGAAACGAAAAAGTTTAGTGCCCGCAGCACGGCGGCTTTGAACGACATTTAGTGAGAGGGATGGTCCGCTAGTGACGCCTGGGTCCCGTGGAGCGGCTCATGCCCTCCTTGATGCGGCCCAACTTCGAGACCTTCTGCAGGGGGAAAGATACGCCAGCCAATGCGGGGGTTTCATTTAATGCAGAGGCACAAAATCCGCAGATTGCTATGCCATTTCGGGTGTAGGTTGCCGGGATTAAGCGATTCCTTAACGGGGCGTTCCCAAACTTTGACCCCAGTCGAGCGAGTAGGAGTTGCTTCCATCATGACCAACGCCCAGGCCGCGGAAATTCTGCATGCACCTGGACGTTCTGGGTAAACGGACGCGTCGGGGGAATGTCGCAAAGTTGATCAGCCAGGTTTTTTCAAAGACCAAGTTGGACCATGAGTCGTGTTGGCACCTACCATTCTCAATTTTACACGCGTAAATGACGAACCACCAACAGGGCCGAGCCGTCTTGACTATTGAATGATCTCATATGCGAATCCTTACCTTAATACTCTCTTGGTACACGCGTATCAACGAAGGACGAACTTCTGCTTTGCAATATCTATGACAAATTGGAGTCGAAACATGGCGATAACGAGCTCGTTGACGAAGAATGTTACTAGATCATTACTATAGGCATGGGGGTTAAAGATTGACGAGATTGCTCAGCACTGATTAATACGGCTACTGCAACGTTAGTGCCTATGGTATATTCCGATCCAATCAAAAGAAATTCTAAGCAAAACTTGATTCGATTTCATGTCGTACAAAACGCCGAAAGCGTAGAAACTAACCGGGCCTACAGTAAGTAATACCTCAGGACTGGAACATATATCGTGCATAAAGCCAACTGTTCAATGACTCGAAACGACCACACTCCATAAACATCAGAAACTCCAGGCACACGTTAGGTTCGCTTCTCCAACTCCTCATTGTTGTACTTTCTTCACCAATTGATACTAGGGCTGCCTAGACCTGGTCGAACTGCCCAGAGCGATTCCACGAGCGGCTCTGGTAACGCTCTCCAACGCGGTAGGTGTATTGCTCGGTGTCAGCGTCATACCCTACGAGCTTCCAGCCGCGAGGATTGTTGTGATCGCGATACATCTGACGGCGTCGATGGCTCGCGCCTGGCAATTGTTGATCATCCAGAACCGGCGGCGTCTGAAATGTCTCACCACGCTCCTCAGTATTCTTGTGATTGATGAGTAGACAATAGCACGTACACTGCCGGACTTTAGAACATTGCTGGTGGCCGTTTGTAGAAGACTAGACGCTGGAGCGGCGGCAGCGACATCGGCGGCAGCGCCAGTAGCATCCGCAGCACAAGCATGGATTCCATAGTCTGAATTAACTAGGCTAATTCTATCCTACAGCGCGCTGATTGGGACGTTACAGTAGCCGCGCAGCATGTCTTTAAAGGTCAGAGACATGATCAGATAGGAGGAGAAGTGACCGGATGGGCAACTTTTGCTTGGCTCAAGAGGTTAGACCATATCGAAGGCAAAGGGAAAAGTGAGAAGCCTCATTTAGGAATGGGAACCTTGACAGTGGTCGCGCGAAGGTCCTTGTCGAACTTTACCATGTCCGAGCAGCAGTGACGGCACATCACATGGCCGCATGCGCATTTAAGGTGCCTAAACATGTTCTCGCCGTGGTGTACCACCAAGGGGTTGATGCGACCACAACGAGGATTGCAGCAGCCGTTGATGCCAATACTGTCATGAGGAATGGCGGCATGCTCAGTGGTCCAGGTCGGGAGAGTAGTGTGTGGTGAGTGCCTTGAGGGACCCAGATGAGATTCTGGGTTTGGACGATGTGAAGATGTCTTGGGTTGTCTCTGAGCAGATCACTTACCTTGATCCCTTCCGATGCTTCATGATCTTCGAAACATAGCTGACTGTTAATAGCATCTCGACGGTATGAGATGGGAGCAACTGATTTGTCTTACTCCCCTAATCCCAGTCCCACAATACCCTCTCTCACGAAGTATCTCAATTTGGCAATTACGTTATCTCCTTCCCCTGCAAACTATTCAACACCACAATGTCCCTATTACCGCACCCTCCACTTCCTCTTCGCCTGCCACGTCCACCACCATACCCCTCGCGAAGCCGCCTCCATCCATATCTCCCGACACCTCTCCACCCTCCAGACTGCCCACAATGCACACATCCGCGCCTGCCACGAAACTCTGGTCCGCGAACTGCGCGGCGAGAACGCCTCAGTGTGGACATGCCACGTCTGCTAGTACAGAATAATGTACTGATCTTGAGAGAGGAGGGGGATAATTCGCTGGAGATACTGAAGTGTGGGTGGTGTGGGCATGAGGGGGGGTGGGGAGGTGGGCGGCGGAGGGAATTAAGCAAGAACGGAAGACGCCGTCGCCCGAGGAGTCAAAATCGCGGTCGCGGTCGGGTTCCTCGAAAAGTAGCAAAGGGAGCAGTATGAGTAAGAGGGGTAAGGAGGAGTTGTCGTATGTGTCTGTTTGTGCGAGCTGCGGGCTCAGCTGGCGCGTGAAGGCGCTTGGGTTGCGGAAGGTGCGGTGGGTTTTCGGAAAGAAGGAATGTATTTGTAGGTGTCGACCGAGCAAGGAGAAGCCGTGGGCTGGGTTTAAGATCAAGGAAGGGAGACCGTGGCAGGGAGGAACAGGAACTTGGTGAGCATGTTGAGGGGAGTCAGCTAAGGGGCAAAGGTGATGGTGTTTTGAAAAGGGTGCATGTATTCGTGTGCCTTAATTCTGATGACTGTTACATAAAGGACCATGAGATGGATCCAATGGATGGTGCGAGTTGGTCAAGAAAACTGCACGAAGCCGATCGATATCCTGACATGCCCTTCCAATTGCCTGACAACTGCTGGCAGGTTGCGCACATCTTGCCCGGACAAGGAAATATCCTGGTGGCGGACGACCCGAACCCCTATGCAGGTATCAATACCCTACTTGGAAGAAGATCCGTTCTACATATAGGGACTACGCGGACCATGCGCAACCGAAGGCAGCTCAGGCAGTCCTCCTCGACCCCCTCCCCAGTATTGGCTGAGCCGCAGTAGCTCTGGCCTCTTCGCAATGACGTCTGGAACGCAAGCCCAAGAACATACCGCCACCCTGATCGGGACAACCTGGTGTTGGAAGTACCATCCCTCAATCCATTCGGCCCTTGGCACGATGTAGTCCTTGCCACAGCAATGGCAGCTGCGGAGCGGCTTGTACATCAACATCTCGTTTTCTTGTGCCTTTGCGATAACACCTTCAACTTGCGGAGGTATGATGCCGTCGTTGCAATACTCGATCTCTTCACGCACGCAGTCTGGCTCGGTCTTGTACGCCTTGAGAAGGGAGAGTGTGGCCAGTGAAGGCACTTTGGACGAAGAAGGTCGATCGAACCAGACTTCAGGAGCGCTGCCGGTGGCGGGCGGATTGTGCGTCAGACAGGAGGGTTGCCCGTAGCTGGAGCCCGGTTCTTGCTGTGTCGGGAGAATGGGAGAGTTCTTCAAGAGCCAACCCGTTCGGTCGTAATAGGAAGCGGCGGTCCGACAAACCAGGAAGAGCTTATCGTTGAAGTCGTTGGGATTGCTAATGCTTCCGTGCACGGGCGGAGGAGTGTAGAGATGGTGATCTTCAAACGCACTCCAATCCATGTCGGTATGTCCCCGTATATAGTTCCTCGTGTCTGGCACAGTTCGGCGTTGACCAGAGGCATTATACATGTAGTTCTCCGTCATCTCCACGGTCACCATCTGGCGCAACAAGAGCATGGAACTAAGCCTGTTGTCATCGAACTCATATATTGGGTTCCCTGCCAGCTCCAAGCGTGTCAAGCGGCCTGGTCCTGACATTGCGCAGAGCGCGAGTAGTTCGCAAGGAAGCTCACGTATCGAGTTGTGGCAAAGGTCGAGTGTTTGTAGGCTGGTGAGTTCTTTGATCTGAGGCGGAACAGACTCGATGCAGTTGTTGCGCAAGGTGAGGGTAGTAAGGTGTTGAAGCTGAAACAAGGTAGGCGCAAGATAGCGAAGCTTGTTGAAAGACAGGTTCAGATGGATTTCGGGGATCATGGAACGGTACTGTCCTTCGGTAGGAACCTCGATGTCGTCACCTGGAGGAAGATGAATGATCTGATTAAGCTGACGAAGATGGTGCAGTTCATTGTCTTGGAGGCCAAAGGAGAAGCTAAAGTAAGTCGCGTTTGAGTCGAGGTGATGCTGCAAGGCCTCACAAAGTTGCTCTTCGACCACGCTCCTGGCTTCGGCCGTCCGCTCGCTTGAGGGTCCGGTCGAGTGCTCAATGCCCTCGTCCTGATTGTCTGAGTGCCACGGCGCCAGTGGAGGATCCGAGCGTATGTCGGAAGTGCCGTCGAAACCGAGATGAGATAGAACGGAGCTTGCAGGCGCAGACACTTGAGAGTCGTCGCTCATCATGTAGACGCCGGAGTCGAAGTTGCGGTTGAATTGCCTCCTCTTGGGCGCTTTGGGACCGGTCTGCCACCACGTGCCGGCGCGCTTCCGCTTCTCCCGCGGTGACTCGTAGTTGGTCACGTCGGCAGTGTCGAGTGAGTCGTTCTCCGAGAAGAGCGGCGGAGGGCTGCTGGATTTGAGCGCGTGAAAGCGCGGGTCAAGGAAAGGCGAATTTGGGGTGGTGGTGGCCCGGGTCGCGTGCGACAACGAGGGAAGCGGGTCTTCGTCCATTGTCGCGGAGACTTGCGTCGCGGGGCGACCTGACTGTCAACCGAGTGCGGTGAAGACGGGGATAGGTGGGCAAAAGACCGACGTGCGGGCTGGTGGTGCAGTGAGGAGGCAAGTCGACGGGAGCTTGACGCGTCTTGCGAGTGCGGGACTTTCTGGCGGGACCCTGGACGCGCCCGTTAGCGCCATACCGTCATCACCGGCGCGCACGGAGAGCGTTCGCACGTGCCTCGACACGGGGAAGGACGAGCGTCGTCACTAAGAATGAAGATGTTCACGTTCTATTGTCCGAACTGTTTACACACACTCGTACACAGGCCTTGCGTACAAAGCGCCGCCTCACAACTTCGATGCCATGATCTGCCGGTTGAGCACGGTGGGCGACTGTGCGATGGTCGCGTAACACTCCATCCTCCCATGCACGCGGTGTCCAGCAGCGCCGAAACGCAACAATCCCAGTAGCAAGAGACTCTTCTGCCATTCCTCTACAGTCCTGCCAGTCTCCTGAAAGCAACGTTGCTCACGAGCGTCCCCTCCATCTGTATATCCTCTCCCTCCAGCGGTTTTCCTTTGCTCATCGCCAGCTCTGTCATTATCCGACCCATCGGCCGCGTGGGCGTGATCATGGGTTTGTACACCGTATCGATGACCGGAATCAGCGCCCTCTTCCAAAATGGCTGGCTGGGCATGAAGGGCTGTATCTCTGGGTGACTCCGCCAGTCCACTCCCGCGGGTCGCACCGTATAGAGCTTAAAGTTTGGTGTCGCCTTGTAGAATTCGAACATGGCCTTCTCGACCTGCCCCTTCACCCGCTCGTAAACAGCTGAGAACATGCCGGGGTTGTGCGTGGCTCCCTCTGCGGATACGAAGACGAACGTGAACGGCGATTCGGGATGGAGCTTCGAAAAAGCATTGGCGGCGGCAAGGGGATACTCGTGTGTGATCTCGAAGTACTGCCTGCTCTGCAATTAGTCCCAGTGCTCCAGAGTTTGGGATTCAGGTGACGGACGCCTTGTCGACATCGTTCTGCGAAACACCCAGCGCCCACACGCAGCCCTGCGCGTCCTTCAGCTCGTCCAGCAGTGCCTGATCGTACGTCTTGAAGTCCTTGTGTATGATGACTTTCGCCTTGGCCTCGTGGCCCTCTGCCATCTTGACCGGCCGCCGACTGAGGATACTTACACGCGAGACCGCATCGTTCGCCAACATCTGCTGCAGTACGCCCGAGCCCACGAGCCCGGTCGCGCCGGTCAGAATGAGGTGCACCATATTGCGAGGATGTCGAGGATGGCAGGACTCGAATTGGTACTTGAAATCGGTGGAGGTAAGCACTATTTGAATTCTTGAGCGTGGGGCATGTCAGTGGTACCTAGATGCGTGCAAAATCGATCGGGCTGCGTTGTGCATTGCTATCTCCGTTGTCTCCATTGTATCGCGCACTGTGCTACGGGCTGCCACAGACAGTGGCATGCTACGAGATGCCGATAGTTGCTCCTCCTCCGACGGTCGTCCGAGACGAGGGCCGAGCGCCAATGACGGGCTGTGTGGCACCAGCCCTAAACGGCTTTGGAAAGCTTGACCCTAGCTAATGCACCGGACGATGACATGGACCTCAACACTGCTTGTGCGCTGCATCTTCAGTAGGCCTGTTGCGCTGCTCCATCATGTAATCCATCGCATGGCAGACTGCGCGGGCACCATGGCAAGCGGCTCCCCGATCCACATGCGCCCGTGCCTCCGTATCGCGCCGGCTAAACCCCTGCTCGCATTGCGTAGATGCTTTTCGCCAGATTCAGGTTCTGCCATTTCGCCCAGATGACACACTCGCCCTTCTTTTCTTCTATCTCGGCGACTGCGGTCGCCTTTGTTGTATTTGTATGAATTCTTCAGCAGTGCCTGGTATCCCACTGTCCTCAGCTGCGTAGCACGCGCTTTTCCCCATCAACATGGCCGCCTCCGCGGCGGCGTTGGCCAACCGTCACGTCCTTTCCACAACACTTCTTCATCTTTCGGATATGAAATACAAAGATAGACGGCAGTACGGGCCAGACCAGCCAGTAGAGTTCCTCGAATTCCGACCAACATTAGTACCCGCAATTCTTGTGAACAAGCTGTGGGCAGACGAGGGCACTTCTATCCTGTGGTTGGTAGCTTGACACAATTTGCCCTTCTCAACTAACATTTATTCCCCAAGGAGACGTTATCCACATCTCCCTTCTCTCAAGCATATGCCCTTGGAGCGACGGCAATATTACGCCAACAAGGTTCATCAAGTCTTTGCGTTGAGCCCGCCACTGGGAGGCGTAGAGACTCTGGACTACCTGGAAGGCTTGTCATGGCTTAATCTGAAGAGCTTGGAACTTGAAGTCGACTTGCAACTCTATGGCGCACCGTTCAGACGCATGCTTCATGCCGGACTGGAGCATGTGGAACTGTCAGGAATCCAGAGTGGAGGGTCACAGTACTTTATTGAGACCATTCTTCCGACTCTCTTCGTCAGTAGAGCTTCTTGTCTTCGGAGATAGATGCTGACATAGGAAGAATCCTTGCAAGAACCTCAAGAGTATACGTATCGGCTCTGACACCATTATGGACGACGATCCGGTCCATGTCAGTGCCCTGTACGAGTATCTCGATGCGCTCCCTGCTATACGAACGATTGAAGTCAAGCTCGTCAATCTGATGGACAAAGATGCCTTGTTCACACGCTTGAGCCAACGGCAAGGACTACAAAGTCTGCAGATCGACCTCGATCCAGGCTTAGCTCTTTTGCCGATCCTCGCAGGACCGTATGCACTACCATCTCCTTTTGCGTCTCTCAGACGCTGCTCAATAATGTGCTACCCCGAGATTGCATTGGCCCTCCCTACGCATCTACGGATGCTAGAAGACCTGCAGCTAGACATCGCGCGAGTACCCATCTCACCGCATCAGCCTGCAGACTTTACCATCTTCGAGGATATGATTGCGGAGCTGTCCCACTGCCCAAAGTTGCGAAACCTCAAGATCGGTCTCAGCTCTCTCGCCGTAGACTTCCCGTCATCCATTTTGCTGCCACGATTATCCGGATCTGCTCTTGCTAAACTTGCAGAAACGTGCCCAAAATTAGAAGACGTCAACCTTCTTGTCACCGAACCATCAGCGATAGACGGCTCCTCGATCTCGGGCAGGGATTTCGAAAGCTTCTGCAAGGCTCTCCCTCAGCTTCGTAGCCTGAGTCTAAAGTTGCAACCGACAACTGCGTCAGCGTTGGAGATGACAGCTCTTCAGAGCCTCGGCCAGTATTGTTCTGAGCTTGAGGTACTCCGACTCAAGTTAGCCATTCAACTTTCCATTTTGCCGGGTTCTGATAGCATGCCGCGAATTTTGATAAGCGACGACGACGACTTTGCACCTGAAGTCCTAGCCCTCCAAGACGTTTCGCCACTTTTCCCCAAGCTTACACATCTTGCTTTGTCACGCCCAGACACCGATCTCGCGCCCGTACCCGACACCTTCACGAGTTCTGTTTCTTCACAATCCACCTCCATGGTCGATCCTACCGTCGAAGAAGACCTCGTGCGCTCATGGGCTCATCCGCTCCTCACGCATTTCCCTCGCCTTGAGATACTGGAAGCTTGGGGCGACTTCAGTGGCCAGGATAACGAATGCCTCAACTATTTCCTACCCACGCAGGAAATCTTGGCTTCTACATGGGAATTTCTCAGCGGGATTGAACAAGATCTATGGGAGGACGATGTGGAGTCATTCGAAGAGTCATTCGAGGAAGGAAACAGCTGGCATTCGCTAGAAGACTGGGAGAAGGCCAGCTTGACCAATGAGTTTGCATTTGGAGAGGATGGGCCCGGGGACGTGCATGAGGTGTATCCGGACATAGGCAAGCTTGCTCTGCGTGATGAAGAGCCCGAGGGTATGATTACGCCTGGTAGGACACTTGCGTCTGGCGACTACTTTGAGGACTCGCCAACGCACGCTTGAAACCGAGTCTGGCTGACAGATCTTATTTCCTTGTACACGATTTGAACGGCGAGCGTACATACGACGATGTGATTTTTTTGTATAGGTCTAGCTGGACTGGACGCCCCTCAGTTGATACATACCGGAAATAGATGGGTAGGACGACACGACTATGATATGAAGAGCACAAGAATGGGGGTTCGGACAAAGATATATGGATTTTTGCACGCTTTGGGATGAACACACAGGTCAATAGGGTTGTGTCGTACGCGTAAGATAACATGCACATCTTTGTTCATATCTTTCCTCTGCGTTGGTTGGTATCTTTCCATCAAAGTTCGCAGCGTCCATTGAAGACTTGCATCCTCGACGCACTACACATCGCCATCCACTGTGCTCGCCAGCATCGTTCCCAAAAGCACATCGCACGTCTCCCCAGCGCTCGCTTCAGTCTGCTAGTATGAACCCAGTCTTACATCATTCCAGATCTCCCCGCCCGACCTTCCCTACATACGTGATCGGCCCGCTTGACACCTCGGGACCATCCCATCGCGTTCACCAAACACCCACTGCCTCGAGGCATATCACCCAAGCGCTCCACCATGCTCACACATTGCTGATTGGTCTCGCGTAAAACCATGGACGAATGGCAGCTTCGAATACGCTGGCAGGCTAGCCGTCTCAAGACGCGAGCTCATGCGAAACACGATACACTTGTGGGACAGGTGCGTCCCGAACCGGCACAATGCGAGCTAAAACGAGACGTCATTGCTGCTAAATGCGTTCGATGTGGGAGTTGCGCGGATTGTGCAAAGCGGGGCGGATCGGAGTTTGAGAGGGATGCGATTTGGGAAGACAAGGTGGGCGCGACTGCTTCAGTCTGCACATCTTTGGGGCGCCGACTCTCCTCGAGGAAGGCCTGCTTTGGAGTGACTGCCATAGGATTAGAAGAGAAGGAACGTCCTGCGCAACGGACAAACAGACCGTTCGAGTTGTGACTGTGGCAGCGCCCATGTCTCACGCCGACGCACCTGGAGAAGAGCGAAGCGACCCAGAACATTACCATGCGCAGGCTAGACGCCATCGTTCTCTTTTCCGCATTCATTGATCGAGCTATTTCGGTGCCCTATCCCGGACTTTCGACTTCCAGTAGCTTTCCAGCCCTGTCCGATTCGTTCCAGTGGCCGCGAGCGCACCCACCTGAACCGCCACGCCAGGCGGCGGAGCCTCTCAAGAGCCTGCGCATACCAGACTGCGCACTGTCCTGCTACCTACAGGAGCTACCGGATGATGGTTGCGCGCAAGAGATAGACCTGGAGTGCCATTGCTCGACCGGTAATCTGCTGGGCAAGGCGGAGGCTTGTGTGGAGACGACGTGCAGTACGGCGGATCAAGCAGATGCGAAGAGAAAGATTACGCGGGCTTGCCAGGCGGTGGGCGTGAACCCGAGCTTTCCTGGCAGTCCAGCTGCGAGCTCAGCTTCGCTGTCGTCGAGAGCTCTTTCTACAGAGCCAGCGGCAACAACACTCCCGCAAGGGTACTCCGTGGCCTCAACGTCAAGCGCTCAAACAATAGCAATGCCGCCACCGCTGTCGAATGACCGACCTTCCGACCTGCTCTCAAGCTCATTCGCGACCCAGACTACCACTACCTCGCTCTCCGTTGAGCTGATGTCCCCGCTGCCATCCCAAATCTCAACTTCTGCGCCCACAGCCACTAGCACTTCGATCCCCATACCTGCATCCGCCGGCGGGCTCTCCGATGGCGCCAAAGCTGGCATCTCCGTCTCCGTTCTTTTCGTCGCCTCAACCATCTTTATCGCCCTATCTCTCTACATCCGCCGTCTAAAGCGACAGCTCGCCCTCGCCACAGCCGCCGCTAACGTTCCCGAATCCGTCTTACGATCTCCCACGTACCATCATAGTGGCATCCCCGAAGCCCTATTCACACCTTCTCGCCGCCGAAGCTGGCCCAACGCGCCCCGCAACCGCAGGTTCAGCCACGGCGAGCCATCCATCGGCAGCCCCGTCTCTCCACTGTCCCCTGTATTCTACCGCGATGGTGGCAGGCGAGCAAGCATAGCAGGCATGCTGCACCAGAAGCGAGGGAACGTGCTGAGTGTTGTGATCGAGCGAGAAGACGAAGACGCAAGCAGTCTGATGAGCAGAGGCAGAAGCATTAGGGAGCCTGTGCCTGGACAATCTGAGGGACTTGCGGGACCGCTGGAGATGGATGGGCAATATGCGGCTATCTTTGAGGCGCCGACGAGTATCACGCCGAGGGCGAGAAGCATGGAGCGGGACCGCGAGGGAGAGGCGTGGAAGGAGTATGATTTCGGCAAGTACTGAGGGACGGAGGTGGACCTGAAATGTTGATATGGGCATGTATGACTTAGACGTCGGCACGGAATATATAGCATGTATCAATAAAAGCAAAAGGAATAAGAGTTGAAGGTAAACTATATCAGTTCATGACGAGAGATCCAAAGAAAATCTACCTTGCCGCTGTACCGATTAGCCTTCTGCCCAGCGCACGCTCGTTGATCACGAAATTGCCTCTGGCATGCCATACTCCACCGCTCATCCCCTTCTCCTGGATCAGAACTTCACTTCGTACTTCAAGTTCGAAGAATCCTTACCCTCCGCCTCACGCTTTGTGTCCGTCTTCTTAATCGCCGCCTCCAGCTGCTCGCGCCAGATATCCTGATCGCCGTTGTGCTTCTCTTGCTTCACCATCGCGATCATGACCTCCGCTTTGCGCTTCTAGTACTTGTCAGCTTGGTGTGGCGCATTTCTGTAGTATGCGGGTCGAGAAGGGATTGGGCATCTGTGTGTGACGTGGAGAGCGGGATGCGTGTGTTCATGGAGAGGGACGGTGGCCTGGAGTTGAGAGAGTTGATTGTGAGGCTTTTGACAGTCATTTGATGGAGTGCGTCTATCAGCCTACATTTGCTTCAAAGCCCCCCTTCCCCATGTTCCAGCATGCAGCTTCAACCCCGTATACCGTATACCCTGCATTCCCTCAATGTCGTTCTACAACTGCGGCTTCATATAATGCGCGCGATCGAGAAAAGCACGCACAGTGCCCTGCCAGTCCCAGGGCTGCCGAGCCCAGGCTTGTGCACGGAAGAACAAACGGAGGAACAGGGGGAGAAACCAGCGGAGGTACCTGATGATGAATCTGATCTCTGCGCGCACGAGTGCTCCCACGGTTGCGTCCATGAAAGCGTCGATGGCGAAGGCTACCCTGACGATGCACCTGCAGAGTAGGCAGTCACAGCGTCCCACACTTCTGCCCATGTCGAAGGCTTTTCTGGCGAGGGCCCCGATGGTTGCGTCCAAGATTACGCCGAAGGCGTGCCGGGTTGCGTCCATGGTCTCAGCTGCTTGGTTCGATGTTCACGTTGGCCCTGGTGTTTTTGTCGTTGTGTTTCTTCGTCTGTGTGCTTTCGATGAGAGTGTAGTTTGACATTTGGACGAGGATTTGGGAGTTCTGTGAGCTGCGTTCCGAGTCCGCAAAGGCGACCCGCGAAGAGTGCCCAAGGGAAATCACAGAAGAGGTGGCGATGCGTTTCGTTTGAATTCACGGCGGTTGGTGCCCGCCGGGTCTGTTTTTGGTCTTAGCAAGGTAAACTCGAAGACGAGCCACTGATGGGATGTAAGTTTACCAGGTGTATTCGCTCCAATTGATGACAAGCAAGCAGAGAGACTCAAGCGGAAGGAGTCCCTGCCGTGTTACTGCAGAATCTGCTGGTGGATACGCGGTGACTGGTACGGTTTGTTTTGATCTCGAACGGCGGACCAGCGTGACGCGACAGTGAGAGCCAACGCCGACGCAAAGCTTCAAGTTCGCACTCACGGTAGGAGCTGCAGTTGCGTAAAAGACATCTGTCACGCAGCTTGCGACCACCTAAATTCCAAGTCAAGCCTACATAGAGCACCAATTGTCAAGCTCGCTGTACACGACAGTACATAGATACTTCTTCCTCAAGGTCTCGACAGCGTCGAGGACACTCAATGAAAAAGAACGCCCGAAGGCGAGAACGCAAAAATTATGCCAGTAGACCCAGAAGATCCAAACGAGACCAGTCCTCAACGTGCAATGAGCTGACCTCGCTACTCTTGAGCGCCTGACCTACCCACAACTTCCACACCCCGACTCGCCAACAAAAGAAACCAGCAATCCCCCTCGCTGGGTGGGCATGGAAGAGGGAGGTGGTAGTTATAAGGAGAAGAGGAAGAGAAGGGGGACGGCGGGCTTATATAAACTTACGGGGCGCTGCCGGATCAGAGATCACGTGTAAATGGAGCGCTGGCTGGGCGCTGCGTTGGATCAAAGCCTCGCTTAGAAGGCGCCGAACTGCGTGAAGGACGTAGCTTAGGCGACAGATCAGCCATAAAACGGCGATCCAAAAAATTTCGCGCCTTTCGATGGTCGGCGGCGCGCTCTAGATCACTGATCCATTCACTTGCCCTATACAAGGCACCGACTGTCCGTGCTCTAGCGGGCCGACGCGGCTCCGGACTGTTGTATATAATCTGATTGTATCCTTCTTTTCTCCTCGTCTTCTTCTTCTTCATTGCCTTCGGGCATATGGGGCATCAGAGGGGAGCTCACGAATCCCCCTCTGACGGTTTCTGGCCCATATGCGCCAGCCGCGGTTTTCTTGGTTTTCCTGCCCCTAATTTTTTTTGGCCTTCGCTCTGCGGAGTTCGATTCATCTTTTCATTGAGCTCATCGGCGTTGCCGGTGTCTTGAGGAAGAAGTCTTGTTGTGCTGTGGAGAATTGTCCAGGTTGCTACCTGTTGATGTTGGCGTCTGTCGACATTAGTGTCTGTTGACCTGATTGTCTATCGACGTCATTGTGTGACGACCTTTAGTATCTAGTCTAGTATACTATAGCTTTATGAGATTTTCTGTGGTCGTGACGTTGTCCTTACACGCTGAACTTGAAGTTGACCCGCGCATTATCAATCTCGTCAACCAAACAAAAGCCTTACGCGTCCGCGTGTCTTTCCCAAACCTGCTACAGTCCCGCCCAAATCTTCAAGTCGGCCTTTCAAACCACGCCCGCCACTATGACCTTCCTCGTAAGAGCCTATTTCGCAGAAATTCGGGAGGTATACAACCTGGATTGCAAGTTTTACGTATCGGCAAAATTTTGAGGCAAGATTCATAATGGAGAATTTGGATGGGTATAGAAAATCTGCTGGATCTTCTCACGCAATAGTGATGAGAGTACAGGCAAGTGGATGATTTGACAAGATGCTTCGCGAGCATGAGCTGCGGGCACACCATTCCGTCGTGCCGCGTGTTGAGGTCATGCTGCGCGTTGGAGAAGGTCTGGAGTAACGTCAATGGCTGCGGTATTTCAGTTGAATCGACCCAGGGACGCTCTTTATGTTTTGCGCATGTTCTTGGACTCTAGCCCGTACCCTTTCACCCATCTACGTACAGAGGCTCTCTCGACTCGAGTGCGCGCGTTATCCCAAGAAGGGCAATACAATACTCATAATCTTGATGTTTCCCTTTTCTCCCAGTGCGTCGATGCCAGCGTACCCTATATTTATGACAGCTAAGCTCGATGATACTCAGTGCCTCCTCCCACTATAGTCGCTCTCAATCCACTCCTCCTTGTCCCGCGTTTGGCTGACCGCATTCACCCAGAGCTGAGCCCCACCCATGTATATCCCAACGCCCGCTTGATCTTCTTCTTCTTCTCTGTCAACCACACTATGGCAATCACCAGACGCCGTCTCCCACGCCCGCCGCTTCCTACCAAATGCCCCCTCCCGCCTCCTCCCCAGGGCGCATAAGGGCACATGCCGTCGACTGTGGCCGAGGATAGCCCCTACTCCGCGTTTGTGCTCGAGTAGTTGCTTTGCGACAAGTTGAAAGGCTTAAGAAGTCCAGCGGCCCGCTCCTCGAGAGCGCGACAGCTGCTCTCGCAGCCGCGGGTCCGCCGCGGCCGTTCTAGTGCAAGTCAACCACACTTATCGAAAGGTTTACAATAGCGTGACTGAACAGACGAAGACTTCATTCTCCGCCGCGCGTTGGCCGGGCTCAAGTCCACAGTCAGGTTCTTCGGAACCTGGTTGCGGGATCTGTTTGCCTCGAGCCGTTGAAGCGGTCGGTAATCGTCTTCTACAATGCCAACCACCTTCGTCAATGATCTACTTACGGGTTGGTACCTCGTCCGTTTTGTTTTGAACTGCTGTAGGTGTACTTAATGAAGGGAGAACAGTGATGGACTGCTGCTACCAGATCACGGAAGCTCTCATATCAAATTTGCAATTGATATTTGGAGTCAGAGTTCGGTTTCTGGCGTTTGATCCTCTTTTCTTCTTTATTTTTGACCGCGTGAGGACGGGCATTTACGATTAGAGAAGAGAGGCGTTTTCAGTATCAGCTGCCGTTCATGTGCTGTGTGAAGATATGCCGTGACTACCATGAGTTTGTGAACTAATGCCACTGGAAGCCAAAGCTCTAAAAGAGCTGCGGAGAAGTGCAGGGAGATTTTGTGTGCACCAGACAAGCATCACCATATCAATTGCAAGACAGTTGGCAAGATTGCTTCTATTACAAGAGCTAGTCTATGACCCGCCATGAGCACCAGGCCTATCATTGTTTCTAGGCCTTTTATACCTATTCTTATGTAAATGCAGGCTCTGGACGAAATTCCCTCCTGGTCCTTCTTGCCAGACTCGTACGTCCTATATTAACTAGACGAGCTACTTAAGCATGTATAGGATGGGAGTTCAGCGACCGCTGGCAAATGCATACCAAAAAAAGCCAACGAACGATGTCCAATGAGTAGTACGTTGAGCTTGTGCAATTTGGTCTGACGTGGAGTTTCAATTACGTCGAGCAGATGCTCATCGTGAGGATATTGGCGTGACTCGTGGGTGAGTTTCTCCGTAGTGCTGGGGAAGGCGTCGCTTAGACACAAGGTCGCTGAACATTGCGCGTGTGCTCTTCATCTGCGAGCCTTCATGTTCTGCACCGGTGCTGTAAGCTTGACAGGGGCGTGGACGAGCTGGGAATCCGCTTGAGCCAGCTCATGTCGCTGAACAGTGCGCACGTGTTCTTGATCTGTGAGTCCTCATATTCGGCGGCGGCGGTGCTGAGGTAGCACGTTGTTTTGGATTGCGTGACCGTGAAGATCAGGCGATAATTGGACCGGAAGTCCTTAACAGCCTGACTCGTCCTTGACTTGGTATTGTTGATCCTGGCCGTTTTTGGCCCGGCCGTTGTTTCCCCCGAGCGAGTTGGTCTTCATCTGCCAGTACCAGAGCCCAAACACTTTCACATTCACATCCCCATCGAGCCGGCGCTGACCATTGCCTACGGCGAGGCGGTAACGGTGTTCCCCTTTTTGTCTTCGGGAGCGGAGATGGTCGGGGCGGCAAGCGAGCTGCAGTCGCCCACAGTGCTGTTGCGGTTCGAAGCTGTGGGAATACCTGATGGTCCTCGTCGAACACGACGTCTTCCATGCTAAATGGCTTCAATATAAGAACCTTAATGCTCTTGAAGTCGAGGAGGTGCCGCCGAATCATATCCATAGCGGTATCCGGAGTGCCAATGGTTCAAGAAGAAGCCAACTGTGCCATTCGTCTCCGATTGAGGCGGGGCACGAAACAGCTTGCCTGTGGGGCCTTAGGAAAAGGTTGGATGGGCGAGGGGAGCACTTCTTTGAGCCGATTTGTCAAGGAACCAGCGGTAAAGCTGTTTGTGTTCCAAAGGGTCGAAGCCCTCGATAGACCGTCCAATGACAAGGATGGTGTTGCCGGCTGTGAGCACAGCCAGCGGCGAAGCTGTTCCGCCAAACAGCTTGTATCTCGAAGCCGTTGCAGTGAAGAGGTCGGCGACAGGAGAACTTTTCCACGGTCGATCTGCATTTGCTCTTGGAAGGTGCGGCACTCCCGGTTCAAGCCGGAAACCGTCTTTATCGTAGTTTGACAGGCCGTACTGCGGGCAGCTATGTTTGCCAGTCCACTCCCTTGGGTCGATTGGCGATCAAGATCTGGAATTAATCAGCAGTTGGACACAACAAGCTGTGAACTGTGACTTACTCGGCTTTCCCCGTGGTACTTATCCTTGGTGCCGAACTCCCCAAAGTGCCATGCTAGACCATCATAGGCTTTGTGATTCACACCAACCAGCTCCTCAACCTTCGCGGAAAGACCAGCGGTAAAGTTATATCTCGAAGCCGTCGCAGAGAAAAGGTGGATGATTGGAAGGAACCTCTCGTCCTTGAGGGGCAAGACATGATCATCATCATGATCGGGCGAAGGCGAGCGTTTGTCGAAAGCGGTCTCCATGAAGTAGGACTTGACGAGGTTGAGTGCGGATATTCGGGCGAAGAAGAGCGTTCCTAGGGGTCTTGATTGGAATTCAGAGGAACAGCTACGAAAGTCAATACAGTGTGCCATGTGTGAGTGGATGTGCGTAGGTGACTCACTAATATCCTAGAGGTGCGGACGACATGACGAGGTTACCGACAACCTTCTTAACCGCTCCCACCTTGTTCTTGTAGACAAGGTGAGCGATGTGTGGAAGTTGAGGGAAGCTTAACCGACATTGTGTCCAGACTTGAAGTCGATGCGCAGGTAGATTAAATCATAAGATCCAAAGCACACGCGATCGAGCATCTCACGGCTTAGCTCCTTCGCTGCTTGCAATCCAACGCGCTGGAGCCGTAGTAAACGGCGTCGGGTGTGGCGAGCCTCCTAGTCGCTGACGGCGCTTATGTCGTCAAGTCAGGCGACGGGCGGGCGGCCCGAAGATGGTTCTTGCGTGGTGATATGACTTGCTTGGTCACCGTTGTATTTTTGGGACGGGTTTCTTGCTGATAGGAGTCCAGGTGCAAGGGAATACCGTGTTGTGAGCCGTTAGAAGAGTCAAAATCCTCGATCTTGTCTTCCTCGTCGTTCTTGTCTTCGCGGAGTTGGCCCATACCGACAGCTGACTTGGTGGCAAGCAGACTCGGCTTAATGAATCTAGCCTTCTAGCAGTCAGTAGTCGTTCTAAAGGAGCAGTTCTCACGCGCTTACCTTACGGCCGGTGCTGAAATCTAGCGGCCCATTCCATTCGGTTGAAATCACGGCGTCGAAGTGGGCAGGAGCGTGCGCCAAGAGCGCTCGTACGCGGTGAACGCAGCTTAAAATTCCCGCTGTAGTTGCCTTTGAGCTCCATACTCACTATCTAGACTCTCGCTCAGTATGACGTGAGAGGAATCAGTTCTTGCGTGGAGACGGGGTGAAACAGCAAGAGTATAAAACTGTAATCCGGCCCGGTGACCGCGCTCGACACCATATGTTAGAGCCAAGGAGCGCAATGTAGAAGTTAGGAAGTCTTTTCGTTCACCCCTTTTGAGGACAGGTACATCATAGCAATGCCAATCGACGTCATTTCCGAACATTCTCGACAGCGAGCTCAATAACACACTTCCTCTCACATAAACTCGTCAAATCAAACCATCTTCCACATCCATGCTCCCAAACACGTGCAGAATAAGACTCAATCAGATCTTGACCAGCGCCACAACCGCCTCCGAAAGAATTGGCCCATCCAATTCAAGCATAGTCAATGTTTCAACCCTCTAGATTGTCGCCCCTTCCATCGGATAATGACGGCCGGATAGCTTTCCTAGGGTCGAAGGAGCCATTGTGCCACGGCTGTGCTTCAAGAGTATACGAAAAAATTGTGGTTAGTGAGTCACGATGCAACGGCGAGTGTGCTCGTCGACTTTGTGTAGATTTTACGCTTTTCGGTCGCAGGTAAATTTGTGGATGACTTCAACTTGAAGATCATGCTGTTGATAGTGATGTCGAGTAGAAATCTGGTTCCAAGTCAGCGACGTTGCGAGGATGACAATGAGACTGGTCCACTCACACCGCGCTGGGATCTGTTGGGCAGGCCCAGGGCGCCAGGAAACATGTGGTGATAGGAATGGCGATAGGAATGGCAATAGGAAATTGCGCTGAAATCAGCAAAGGCCCCGGATCAAGAAAACGTGTGTGCAAAAGGTGTACTCACGATTAGGTGCATCGTGCCTGTCCTCCCCGGCTGCCGTCAGAGTTCTCCGAATCTAGCTTTGCATGCGACGGGCAGCCAGGGAGCCGCGATTGTATGTCGCAGCAAAAGAGGAGAGGCACAGTAGCAGGTGTAGTCGATGTTTTTAAAAAAAAGAATAAAATTGGAAAACGTCAGTCAGTCATCGAAGTGAGAGAAATCGATGAGACGTGACTTACAACGGCCGGAATATAACCTTTTACCGATTTGAGACGATTCATCTTCACCTCGCTCGTGTTTGACGGGGTCCCTCCTTTGCGACAAGGTATGTCATGCAAAAGAGAGGAACCGTCACCTTGAAGACTCACTTTAGCTGAGCCATGGGCCCAATCTTTCGCCCGAACTCGTGATGTTGATCGAGTCGAAAAGGCAGGATGTTGCATGGAAATTGTATGGGTATTTGTTGTATATATGTCGTCGGATGTCGAGGCTGCTCGACCCAACTGTCTATGGAATAGATGAAATGCGAATCGTTCAAAATCTCAAAAGTCGCTTCCTCCAACTGCTCTTTGCCTTCGGTTTGTCGTCCTCGTCCTCTTCACCAACGACACGAAGAAAAACTTCGTCGAGCGTCGTGGGGCTGACGGAGTAGTATTCCAGACCGATCTCCGCGCGATTGTTCTCCAAAAGCTGAATGAGCCCGGGAATGCCGGCAAGGGAAGGCGTTCGATCTAGTTCCTGCACATCTGTCGATGTCTTGTTCGCTTTTTCGACACCATGTAGCGATGAGGAAGATCCCAAGGTAGACGAAGCGGCCTTGAGGACCTTGAAACGTAATTGACCATGGCCACCATCTTTCGTTCCCCACTTGTCCATTTGTACGCCAGGAATGCGACTGCTGACCCATGACTTCACCGCATCCATCTCCTCTGTAGTTGTCGATGGTGCAGATTTCAGGACCAATTGAACGACGAAGGCATCTCCATACCGGTCACCGAGCTCAGCCACGGTTCCGAGGGCGAGCATCTTCCTCTTCATGATGCCGACTCTTGTGGCGAGCTTGTCGGCTTCCTCCATGGAATGCGTGGTGATCAGCAGAGCGCGACCAGGCGCTGCGACACCAAGGAGGGTCCGCCACATCACTCGCTTGGCTGCTGCATCCATGCCGCTGCTTGGTTCGTCGAGGAGTAGGACTGACGGGTTGCCCATGAGGGCGATACCGAGAGAAAGCTTCCTCTTGTTGCCGCCAGACAGCTTCGAAGCAAGACGTGTTTGGAAACGAGCCAGGCCAGTCGCCGTCAGAATCGCGTTGACGGAAGACTCGGGATCCTGGACACCTCTTGCACGGGCATAAAAGTACAAATGCTCTGTGACGGTCATGGAATCCATAGCGTCGAATTGCGGGCACACCCCGAGGTGGCCTCGTGCCGCAGCACGTTTCGAGACGATGGAAATGCCCTCAATGAGCACGTCGCCACCGCCGTTGATGTGTGTTGTTGGATGTTCATCACCACGGATGAGCGAGATCGTCGTGGACTTTCCGGCTCCGTTCGGCCCCAGGAGGGAGAAGACTTGGCCTTGAGGGATGCCAAAAGTTATATCGTTGACAGCATGATTGTGCCCGAACTCTTTGTGCAAGTGCAAGACGCGCAAACTGTCGTTGCTTTGCTCGGTGCGAGAGATCTCCGCTGCCACGGCCGGTACCACGTGCTCGGTGGAGTCTTCTGTATGCCTCTGTCGAGACTTGGTGCGGTTGAAGATTGGCGGCCGGTAGCCGGAGTCCCACCATACAAGGGCGATGAAAAGCAAGATTGCCTGAACAGACAGATACAAGATCGGGCCTCCGTAAACATCGATGGCTCCGGGATAGCTCGCAACCTCGTCTCCGTGGCAAAGCAAGGAGAATGAGTTCAATGAAAGAAGTAGTGTTCGAAGGATGTTTCCAGAAGGCGTGACTGTCGCGAAGGCATAGTGAAAGATCTTGAGATCGCTGTCGATCCGGTACGCTGGACTGTACGTAAGGATGCTCATGTATCCGATGAAGTACAGTAAGAAGCAGGATGCTTGAGCACCGGCAGCGAAGGCGAACGTAGCTAACTGAGAAGTGACGGCGATTGAGATGACGTAGCAAAAGAGTGTCGAGGTCAACCCATAAAGGAAGAAGATTACGAACAGATAGCCTGGCGAATACCAGACAGACGAAGCCTACAGACAGATCAGCGTATGTCGGGAGTGATGGGATGGGATATACGTACGCCAACGAAGATGGCTGTGACAATGGCAGATATAACGAGCACAAATAAGAAGTCGAAAGTCAAATACGCCAACCACAGGGGTGCAGCCCTGATGCCGTTGCTGTAATGCAATGCTCGAACTTTGCGTAATCGCTCGATGGTGGGATATAGAGCGAAGAAAGCAGGATAGACACTCATAGCAAGACCGAAGTAGAGGATTAACTGCAGTGTCTTGCCCATTCCTGGAGAGAAAGGCACAGCGAACTGCTGGTACTGAGTTGAGATGGGTATCCCCGAGAGAATCGTGTCGAGGGCACTGAGAGTGACAAGACCGGTCAGTGTGCCGCCGTTACCCACGTATGCCATCACAGGAGGCCCGTTGTCTTGGATGAAGAAGCCACCCGGAGTGACGTTGTGGAACCTTGTGTCGATGAAGTTGTTGAAGTCGTCGAGAGTATCGACTGACTGGAAGTTTGATTGACTGAGTCCTGAGATGGCAGCAAGCGTACGGACATCCACACGGCTGGCGGGGCCAACGGGAATGAGCAGACTCCTCTCAGTGTCCACATTGGCAAGGGAAAAGACGTCAGGATTGTTGGACGACTCGCCAGGGCTGCATCCGACTGCTTTGTATCCTTTGAGAAAGAGTGTGACAAGGCCAGCGGCGATGATGGGTAGCAAGACAGCGCAGACGTACGGCCAGTAGTTCCGGCGGAGTATGGTGAGACGTTTCCGAATGAGAATGAGAGTCTGCTGCATGAAGGTGGTGCCCCTGCCCTTAGACATCTTCAGATTCTTCTCTACTTCCTCTGAGTTCTGGTCAGAGGAATGCAAAACAGCGTCCGCACCTTTGGGCGACGGTGTAATGGGCGCTGTGTCTTCTGTGTCGAGGTTGTGCTCTTTGACTTCTTCTGCAAGAGCCAGGAAGACGTCTTCGAGGGTGGGGCCGACGATGTCGTAGTTCTTGACGCCGTGGGAGCGGAGGTCGTCGACAAACTTGGTGGCACCGAGAGCGTTGGGGAACCAGTACGTGGCCATGGCCTCTGAGGGCGCAGGCTTGCGAACGCCATCAAGAGGAGTGATGGAGACATCCTTGGGACAGGTGACGTGGTATCCTGCACCAATATTGTGCTTCAGCTGGACGGAGGTGCCCTTTGTTTTGAGGTTGCCGCGTGAGAGGATGGCAATGTAGTCAGCGAGAACGTCAGCCTAGAAGTAGTGTGAAGTGTCAGTATGTAGACAGATGCAAGGAGACGAAGCCAATGGAGTGAGGGGGTGGGGCAGTGAGATACTGACCTCGTCCAAGAAGTGTGTTGTAAGGAGAAAGGTTCGGTCGCCGCGCTCAGCGAGAAGTATTTCCCATATCTTGCGTCGGGAAAGAGGATCTAGGCCCGAGGACACCTCGTCAACACAACAAACCCTACTGCCTCCTGTGAACATCATGGCGAGCTGAAGCTTCCTCTTCTGTCCACCGGACAGAGTCTTAGACTGTGCCTTCATCTTGTGGCCAAGATCACATGCCTTGATAAGGTTCTTGATCGTTTCCTTGTTGTCCGTGGTGCCTGCCGACTTCAGTCTGTTGAAAATCTGCACGTGTTCGAAGACGGTTAGCTCGTCCCACATGACGTTCTTTTGCGGGCAGAGCCCAAGACCTCCGGTGCCGTCAATCTCAATTGAGCCGCTCGTGATGGTGTTCAGGCCAGAGATGGCATCCAGGGTTGTAGATTTGCCGCTGCCGTTTGCTCCAAGCAGCACCATGATCTGGCCGCGGCGAGCCTTGATGCTGAAGTCGTTCACTGCACGAATCGTCTCAGGCGGCTTGATGCCGACCTTAGCAAGCACGTTGGTGCGGAACCAGCTTGGTGTCCAGTGTTTCGAAAAAGATGACAGGATAATAGCATGCTCAGGGGCGGAGGTCGTCGTTTTCCGCTCTTTGGAGACGGTACCATACAACCAGCGTTCCACTAGTGCGCCCAAGACAGGGTACGCGAAGATTTGCACGATGCAGAAGATCCAGAAGGCAATTCCGGGTAAAGTCCATGTGATGTCGTTGTAGACTGGCGGGGACTTCACCAGGTTGGCGGGCTGCAGGGTGCGCTCCCAGCGGGCAATACATGTGATGAACCATACGTAGTTCATGCTAGGAAACAACAGACTCAGCACGGCGACTGCGCCTGTGTTGTAAGGTCCAGCAACTTGCGCAATGATGGCCAGGATGATAGGAATGATGACCATAGTGATGCCGGACAGCTGCGCCTTCTTGAAGAAGCTCGCGCCGAAGATGGAAAAACTAGTCAAGGCGCCGCCTACAATAATGTGGTATATGATCAGGATGCCGACATTTGCGTGCACGAATGCAAGTTGTCTTATAATAATACCCATGATGATCCAGCCAGGGAGGTAAATGATGTCGAACGCGATGTGGTTGGAGAGAAGGCGCGCGGCCTGGGTTTGCCATGGCTTTTTCGCAGGAGACATGGCTTCCACAAGTTGCGAAATGCCACCCTCACGTTCAGATGCCATCTGCCCTGTGAGTTGGTAAGTGACACCGCACACTCCTATGTACAATGCAACAGCCATAATATCGATCAAAGCACCCATGTACGATGTCCTAATGCTCTCCTCACGCTCTTCTTGTGTCTTGCTCGTGAACGGATATTCATCGATCGTGTCGGGCAACGTGGTGCCATTCAAAGAGGCAATGGCGCGGTCCACGGCGCTCTGAAACGGCAGAACGTATATCTGGACGTCATTGTCTTCCTCATTGACATATATCCGTATCCCGAATGTACCATCGGCACGCATAGTATAGTTCCAGCCTGCACCGTTTCCCTCCGAGGGCGACGAATGGAAGCTGATCGCGCCGTAGCATGTACTTGCACCTCGCAAGGAGCTCCTGCACAGGGTCAAGAGATCAACATCCTGCTCGGTAATGATGGGAATCTTTCCAGCGCCCCTGACCGTGTCCGACAAATTGTCAATCACCCTCTCAATGTCCCCACCAGTATGCCCATTGTTCACGAAGACGACGGTGTCACGGTTACCGGTGGCGGCGGCGAGTGCGTTTTCGAAGCTTCGGATGGGAGTCGAGGAGCCGATTCCGAACTCGGATGGAGGGACGAAGAAGTTCTTCGCGTATGTGATGAAGAACATCTACCATTGTTAGCTTGGTAGCAGGGGGCGCGAAAGAACGCATACGAATATGATAGGCGCCCAGAATGCGCGGATACTGGTGAAGAACCAGTGCCGCACGAAGACGACCAAGAGCGTCTTCTTCGTGAGCGTCCATGTTTGGGAGAAAATGGCCATCGCGGCGCTGTACGCCCCGGTGGGCGTCGAGGGAGCGGAGGACTCGTATGTGAAGCTGGGGTCCGCGGAAGTCGACAGGTATGTACAATGGCGTGGTCACGGCGCGCAATATCAACGGGGAAACAGCAGTCGCATTCTGGGTAGAATGAAGAAAATAAGATTAACGACGCATAGGCTAAGCAAACGAGAGAACGCGAAAGCAGAGGCAAAGAACAGAACGCGAACAACAACTAGCACCGCCGAGGCTCTATCGTATTCCGCGTAAGGAACTCATGTCGTCGTTGTTCGATGTGGATCGGGGACAAATTGGTCCGACAGGTCGATGACGGTGGGGCGGCTGCTTAGCTTGTGGCCATCCAGTATAGCGGACGCCACAGCCCTGCCGTTGGATCCTGTCCAAGCACTCGGCTCCACTGGTGGCCTTGCGGTCTCCCGCGCACTGCACGTCAATGCCCATGGGTTTAGTCGTGAAGTTCTATTTCAACGTCTACTCTCATCTCCTCACCTGCAGTGCGCATGAACGGCTCACAACTGATTTTCGGGTTTGCCCTCATTTGTATTGCGTACCTCGTGTCCAGGAGCCTCGCGCCAGTTTCCCGATCGAACACCGTGCCCAGGATGCCTAGATGCCGAGGCCGATGCGCCATGAAGACTTTGCGAGCGCAAAGGAAGGCAGTGCTCGCGTCGAAGGCATAGTCTTTATACTTTCGTCATAGATATCCTGTGTTTACTTTGATGGAGCCAGATACAGCATACAAACTCCGCACCATTGCGAGGTATTGTTCACCAGGTCACTTCCAAGTTAGCACGCGGGTGATGAAAGATGGACTATGGAGGTGCTTGTGACATTCATAGTTCGTAGGAGAAGCGCGGCTCGCACATTAATATCGCAAGCGATTGTTAAGAGCAGCGTCTTACCTCTGGATCCGCCACAGGTCGTCCCCTTGTTGCATTACGGGCCCAGATATTCGTCATATCAAATAATAGACAAAAAGCGCAGTCGCGTATCGCCCAAAGATGATCTTCACTAGTCCGTAGTGGTCTTTCCCCTCCTCAGTAACTCCATGCCCGGCAGTGAAGTCGCGATCGATATCGCTTTCGTCGGAGCCCTCGCATCTGAGCTCGGAAGAGGCCTCGGTGTTGGCATCGTAGACATTTGCATGATGCTGCTCATATTAACCAAAGTTTTGCCATGAAGAGCGAGGACTTACGACGGAATGGACATGCGGGACAGCACCGACGAGGGGCGCAAGCAACGCGAGAAGGAACAGAGCAGGCCTCAAGTTAGCGGAGGTCTTGGATATGATGGCTGCGGTTGGGTTCCAGGAAGATTAGTGGGGATTGAACAATTTCGGCGGAGTCGTGAGTATGCCTTGAAAAAAGGCAGGATCGGTAATCGCCAGCCAAACAGCAATCCCTCTTCACCATCACGACATTCAGATCAAAGTGACGGGTCGCTGCAGTCTTTCCTTGTTCACCGAGACATCGGCTTGAACTCGAGCTGTTGCCGCACTCTGCGCGCAGCCACCGAGCTCTCTTTGGTTCTAAGCTTTTCCCCATCATCCAGTCACTACCGCTCCATTCCCGCCTTCTTCTCTTCGACTCTTCCTCACCAGCAGACCTACCCCGGCTCCCTGCGTGACCGAAGGACCCAGAAATTGTTTGTGCGCCGCTTGCGTATACAAGTTCCCCGCATTGCTCCTTTGGTATCCAACTCCCGTTATTTTCAACCTATATACAACCCTTCAACTTGTTCACTTACACTCTACACACGATGTCTTCCGACAACGACTTCGCCGGTAGCGACACTTCCGCTCCTGGCGAGAACTCCTTCGCCAAGGGGGCATCCGGCAATGACGGCTTCTCGCATGTCGCGCCTCAAGGTACTGATCCATCGTTATTCTTCAGTAGGAAAGCATGCTGACCTCCCAGACTCTGGCGCTTCCTCCGAAAACCCGTTCACTGACCAGACGACCCCCGCGCATGGCTTTGGTGCTCGCCCCAAGCTCATCCAATCCGACCAGCACCACGCGACCAGCTCAGCAGAGATCGAGGCCCTGCTGCGGCCCTTCTTCCACCACACCAACATCCCGGTGGGCGCGGAGAAACCCAACGGATCTTTGCGCCTCTCTCGCGACTGGGCCATCAAGATGCTCGGCGCCAACCAGTTCCACCGCGCGGACAATGGCCAGCTGGTCCTGAAGCTGTGCTCGGAGCTGAAGGTTAGGGGCGGAGGCGGACTCAAGCTGCCAATAATTATAATCGACTGGCTGGTGGATGCCCATGGTCAGGACGAGGTCCTGGTGCCCGCGGGAGTGGTGAGGCTGTACTGGACGCGGCCCAGGTATACCGATGGTTAGGTTGTAGGTCAACCATGAGTTGCTCCCGCATAATAATGTGCTAATGTGCTAATGGTGACAAAGTCTCTTTCTGGTTCCTCCCTGACTACATCCCCTGGATGCGGCAGCTGGGCTGACAGCTGGAAGAGGACATAGCGGGACGCTGGGACTACAAGCCGTGACTTCATTTCACGCTATGTCCTCGTCCAGCTGATCCCCGATGGCAACCGAGACATCGAGGCGGGATCCGACCTTGAGACGGAGTTGGCCAAGGTCCAACAATAGATGTAAGAGGAGGGGGTTCGCAGGTGGATTGATCTGACTTTGCTTGTCCACAAAGTTTCATACTCATTGACATACCATAAATCTTCCCATTCACGTCACTGTATATTTGACCAGCGCTGATCATCCCTTTCGTTCCCTGTGTTGTATCCCTGAATATTCGCATTCATATTTTCACCTATTCGGGCAATCGACTACATCCATCGATGACAGCGTCCTTCCACGGGTCACATAAAACGCGAAGTAAACGCGAAGCGTATCACCAACCATGGAGCGCCCGTCATCGGTGTCAGGACAAGGTTCATCTAGCGCGACGTATGCAACACAAAACAAAACATTGTTCGAGTTTTAGGTCTAGTCAGCGCGGCGCGCTGGCATTAGTTGGTAGGGTTCCGTGGTAGGGTGCGGTGGCGGTTTATGCAGAGCGCTAGTGGACCAGGTTGTTCGTGAGGTGGCGAAAACGGAGCCAAGATACTAGGCAATGAGAAGTCGTAGTAATGTGTATGATGGATAACACGCTTTTTTGGTGGTACATATATCGTATAAACAGGTAGCAAGGGAATGATGAAGCAGACAGGACCCCACCTAGACAAGTAGATTGACTACATAAATGCAAAATGATGGCATCCGACCGAAACCATGAAACGAGTTTGACCTTTCAAAATCGGACCTGGTCGTCAAGATCTCGAAGAAAGCCCACAATGCCCCTCCTTCCAATGCCATACCTTGTTAATTCGACTAGCTACGCTTTCGCGCCACCCCCATTCTCTCCAAATCCTCGATCCGCTCATACAGCGTCATGAAAGGCCGTCCCGTATGTGGATTCACGATCCTAGTGCTCGGTTCGACCACCAATTCGTTGTCTGCAGGCTTCGGTGGTACGTAAGCAGGACGCCTGCGGCTCTGGGAACTCACACCATGACGTTGCTTCTTTAGTCCCTCCAAGATGAACTTGCCACCGTCCTCGAGAGTTTCGATGTCCAATGAGGCAGTGTTTGCGGAGCGATAAGCCCCGGTGAATATATCCACTGTAGGAATATACTGACGTGGAGTGGGTGTCTGGTGGATGTTGTGCATATATGAGAGACGGGAGGGTGTTTGACGGGCATTTTGCATATAGTTTATCAGAGATGGTGTGTGTGAAGACTGGGAGCACAACTGCGGTGGAACAGAGCCGTGTCGTGGCACGGGATCTTGCTTGCTGAAGAGATCTGATCTCGCGTCGCTCGTGTGAGAGTTTGCAGGCGAGTACGAAGACGCGCCTGAACATCGTCCATCTCGTGGACCAGAAATCCCGGGATGAGGGACGTTCATCCCGAAAGGGAGGGGAGGCAGTGTTCCAACGGTTCGAAGAACTCCTGCGCGATAGCGCGATGGCGAAGAAGGGTAGCGAGGATAAGGCTGTTCTGACATAGGATATGTAGAGCTGCCGTAGCTTGACGTAGACGTTGAGCGCTCACGTGATGAGCGGGTCGTACTGCGCAATGTCGCAGTCTCATTCATTTCGTTTTCGACCTTGGACTCTTGCAGATTTGTCTGTGGCTTTTGGGATCCTGTCGACCGTATGCTGGAATGATGCGACGGGGCGACGTATGGCCTGGCAATGGAGACGGCGTCAAAGAGATCTTCATCTGGATACAAGAGACTGTTGTTTGATAGCGGAGTTGCTACGAGCACTTGCTTCCCGGTGTTAACCATCGAATTTGGAGATTGCTGCAGGCTAGTGGCGTCAGTAGTATATGTGCCTGCGCTGCAATCTCTAGAAGCTCGTTGCGATTCAGTGCTAGAGTTGTAGGCCACCGCAATTGAAAACTCCCTGTGAAGAGGGAACGTGGATCTGGCACGAGGCATCTCGTACTCTAAAGCTACCATGGATGGCACATAGTGACTAGACGTCGGCGTGAATGCGGCATGAATCTTGTACATGGAGCGAAGGTCCAGCATCGTATCGGAAGGGCGAGCGCACGGATATGTTCTCTTTATGCTCTCCTGACGACAAAAATGTGAGGGCGAATGGATACTGGCAGATCCGGGAATATCAGCAAGTGAATGATTCCAGGGCAAATAGCCTCGTCGCGTCGCTTTCCACTCTTCATGTGCTTCAGTCGCCCTGTATTCTTTGTCCTTTAATTTCTTGATTTTCGTACTCAATACCATGCCTATGTATGTTCGGCAGTCACCCGAAGGGTTGCTCTCTAGAGCCACCTTGTTGTCGAGTTGGGCATAGCCGGCGCTCATAGGACAAAGATGTGTCAGGTCCCCATCGAGAGCGCGCAATGCTCTCCCGTCACCTTTCCAGTACGAGACTGTTTCCAAAACCCTTACCAGATCAGTACACGCATAAAATTGTGGCGCGGCGGTGCATCCATATGGCGACTTACCATTGCGGCCAGCGCTTCGCTACTTTGTTACCTTTGAAGGTGAGTAGATGATAAAGAAAAAACCGAACAGCATGCACGTTGTCTTCTGCGCTGGGCAGCGACTGGGGCTCTGATTCCTGCAATTTGACGTTGTTTGGATTCGTGGGTAGGTGGAACTCATTGATATCCTTGCACCTTTCTTCGTTGATAGGAGCTTCTGCGATGGGTATCGAGTGTCTTTTGAGCGGGTTCTTGCAGGAAGGCATGGCGGTGTAGAGAGTTGAATGCGAAGCTGCGGGAAACCCGATCGAGGGGGAAAGCTGCCAGCGACGCGTTGGCGCAGCATGGCGGCGTATGGATCCTGTTGCACGCGGGGTGCCGACGGCTCTGGCTGATCAAAGTGTAGTCCATATCGCTGTGCGCATCGCATTGGACACTATCGCAGCGTGACCAGGATATGGGGGCCTGCTTGCAAATCGTTGAGCATTGGAGTTGTGCTAGCGGCCAATTAAGATCAACTTATCACTACAACCACAACCGCCCATGGTGATGAATGTAATCAACGCATCTTCGCAATGGCGTGACTTGAAGACATTGCAAGGCTGTAACATGGGCACGAGATGCCCGCATGACCAGTGCGTCAGTAATTGGGGGCGTTTGAAACGGATTTACTGCTACAGGAGCTCATGATACGCGCCGCTCATTTTGCAGCCACAGTGACCCATACGGAAGCCGTCACTTCAAGGGACCCTCCCCCGGCTTATTTACACAGATGTCCTCGCAGGCAAGCCTCGTGCTGATTTTATCGCAGGCCCTCGAGGACGACTATATCGTGTATCGGAATTGTGGGTTCTTCTTGTCCGTCAAATCGTCTTCGAAAGCATTCTCGAACCCTTCGGCGGAAGTCTTATCTCGACGCTTGTTTTCAAAAATGCAAACATAGCGATATACGATGGCCAAAGCTGCTGCGACTATCGAAGTGATCAATACAGCGACGAATCCTGGAGCGTAGCCAGGCGCGTCCTTGGGCTTGAACAGAAGCGGACCGACAAAGTTGCCCAAGCAGTAGCCTACGAAGATTCCCGATGAAGTGACTGTGCGATACGTCAGCGGTGTTTTAACCATAATCCTTCTGCCTTCTCTTCCTTACCAGAACGCTTCGTGTAGCCAGCTGTATTAGCTATCTGTAAGCCCATTAGAACGGCGTAGCCTCCGCCGAATGAAGCAAGAATGTAGCATGCAAATAGTAGACCGCCTTTGGCGCCCCGAGGTAGCAGCCAGAGTAGAAGGCTAGCTAGAATTGTACCAAGCTGACAGAATGCGATGATCCAAGTCCGGATGCGAGGTACGCGATACGCGAGATACGGTGCAGCTAACTCAATGGTTCCAATGATAGCTCCAGCCGGCAATGTCAGCAACAGTGAGTTGAGACGGTTGTATCCGAAGCCACTGATGATGATCGGGATGAAAGAAGATACGGGGCCATTCGCAATCATTATGAGGAAGGCGGTAGCGAAGATGAGCCAGAACTTGATGTCAAGTAGCGATTCCCACAGTTGCTCTATCTTGAAGTGAGTATTGCGGACGCCGGAGTTGTTTGCGCGCATGCGTGCCACAGCGATGTATCGCTCTCTGTCGGTAAAGCCTTTCGCGCGGATTGGATCCGGTGGCATGAAAAAGTAGATGACAAAAGCCCAGAGGATTGTGATGGCGCCAGCGACCAAGTACATATACTGCCAGCTGTTCAGTCTATAGGTCGACATTAGCTCAACGTTTGGAGTCTGTCAACATGAGGTAGACTGACGCCCCGCCGCTTATGTGTCCAAGGCCGTAGTTGATCAGCGGCGACACTGCGGACACATAACCCTTCGTCTGTATTAGCTTTGAAACGTGCTGTAAGGTAATGTCCGTACTGTGCAGCAATACCACGCGCCCATACGCAGAGCCTGCTCTTGCTTCTTGTACCTATACTCGTGGGTACGAAGTCAGCTAAGTCACAAAAGCGGGCTCATGCACAAGTTGTGCACATCTAAGACATGGCAACCTTGTACGTACCAGCCGCCGACCACCAGCATGAACATCGGTGAGATTCCACTTTCCAGGAACCCTAGGAAGAAGCGCTGGGCTAGAGGCGACGTGTGAGCTCAACGTACGCTGTGTGAACCCAGGAGGCGTCAAGTCCTACCGTAGAAGCCTTGCCAATTTGTGCATGCCGCCGAGCACATGAGACATATTCCCCAGACTGCGACAATAGCCGAAGCAACTCTCTCGATGGGAAAGCGCTGTGCCATGAGAATTGCAGGGTAACTTCCGACGATGAAGCCGAGATAGAAGATGCTGGCCGAGAAGCTATATCGATTGCCGACGCTGAGTTCGAGATCCTGCCTCAGCCCAAACAGGGCGGCCTGAGAAAGCATAGCCTTATCGTAGTATTGCAGACCGTATGTTACACACAGAAGAGCAATGAGTTTGCGGTCAATCTTCCGCGTAAGCTTCTTCTCCTCTTCCGGAGTCCAATTCATGTCACCAGCATATTGTGCGAGCACCTTGAGCGCCTCATCTTGATGGACGGTGTCAATTGTAGTCGCCTGCTTCAGCTCTTCGAGACTGGCCTTGCGGTGCTCTACCTTTTGGACGTCCTGCTTTTCAATATCGGCCATTGCGAAGGATGGGGAAGAACGATAGAAGATACTGAAATGATGGAGGGCACAACAGCCGCATTTTAAAGGAGCTCTCAAAGCCGTACATGCGCTGTAATCCGCCACCATGTCAAAGACAGATGCATGCCACCTCTCCCAAACATAGTTTTACCAAGCCAACGGCGGCGAGACGATCTCCGCGAACAGTCTGGGGTATTCCTACTTGTGCGGGGAAGTGCAGCCACTGGATCTCCAATGCAGGGATTTGGACCGAGTCGCGATGGACGATTCACGAAACGACGGCTATCGAGTCAACACGATCGTTGAACGTGTGGTCGCGCTCCATATTGGAGGTCGGCGCATGAGATTCATTCGGATTGAAGATGCGGTCATGGCGGACGCCCGTGGGTTGTACGCCGTGCTACCCCCAGATGGACAGCCAGTCCTGCAGCATGCCAACGTCATCGGCTGGGTGCATCCAGTCTATCGGATGTTTGTGCGGTACATATATGGACAATCTGCGGTATTCGCTGCGCGTTGATGTTGTGCCAGAGTGGAACGCGCGCCCGACCAGGGTACCACATGCGCAACGCGTCGACCTCGGGAGGACCTGTCAAGTGGGTCTTCGGGCGCGCTGCTGCAGCCCAGCAGCAGGCTTGCACTAGCACTGCGGTCGGTCCTGACGCCCCTATTCGTATCGCATCCACTGCCGGTGTCTTGCAGCTGCTTAAGTCCAAGCCTACACTCTCCGAGTGCCTCAGTCGCCCCGCGGCGGCGATTCTCGGTTCATTTCGGCGCCTGCTCCCAAAGGCTCTACACTACGACTGCGTTATTGTGTCGGCTGTACAACCTCCACGAAATGCGAGTGGCCGCATCATCTTCCATAGTCTCATACATTGCTACCCCCACTTGTGTTTGATGATATTATTCCCATCCGAATTGTATAAGTCCTTGCAAAGGAGGGGTAGTCAATAATGAGTGACCACACCTAAGTGAGCACGATTGCGGGGTCATGGAATCTAGAAGAGAAAGGAGAGGTTTCTTGGAGGCAGATATGTCGGGAAGGAGCGGGGTCACGAAAAATCTTTGTGGGAGTGAATCACTGGATTCACCTGCATAAGGGTGTGGAGCTGCTTCAAACAATAGGTATCGCCTCCCCCAAATTGTACTGTAGTGGAATTGATCTGCCCTGGCGGAGATGCACACAACTCTCATGTCAAAGCTGCGAAGAGCCATTTGCCGATGAAATAGACGAAGAAGGGACGACAGAACAGCCTTACTGATCAGAGAGTTAGATGGTCAAGGGCGGCCGCTACGTGGCCCATCACCTTCACTCCACAAAACAACGTCGTGCGCTGAACCCAAATCCAGATTTCCACGCAACATATCACGAAACTCCGTCACTCCCACTACATCACCCTCTTGAACAACACCTGTCCGATCGCCACCAACCGCTTCATTCGCCATGACTACTACAAGACAAACCGTGAGCGTGATCGTCCTTGGGTTTTCTTCTTTTGTGCCCTCCACCACCTCAAGCAAGCGTTGAAAATTCCTGAGGTTGAGAGGGGAAGGGGTCGTCACAGGAGGCCATTGCGGCCTGGAGCTCACGTGCAGCGCTCTCACGTCGCAGGAAAGAGGGATATGAAATCCTAACCTCCTCGAGATACCCCAGGTCTCCACTGCCAACGAGATTGATTGACGGCGACCTCAGCATTGGCCAGTTTAGCAAGCGTTATTGTGGGTCCAGCTTGTTGATGACCATATCGCGTTTGGCTGTCTCGCACAACAACACAAAACCGGGGTTTAAACTAGCATCATGTGGGGCGGGGGGTTGGTACAGCAGTACAGCATAGAACAAGCTGATGATCTACTGTGCTTTTCCATGTTGTCCAGCTAATACTGTATCGTCAATTTTTACGTTGACGCGAGAAGGCGGTTTTGTTGTACGCCTGCGCGGAAGGACTAGAAGACCGCGGCTAGGTAGTCGAATTCTGTAAATTCTACAAGAATAAAAAATATGTCTACGAGTACGTGGAGAGCAAGACACGCAGCAACGATATTTAAGGGCCAGTATAGAGCTTCAAGATGCAATGCGAAGTACACATAGTCACAGGACCACCACCACCTCCAGATGCCCATCATGAGAAAGGTTATACAAGCGCGAAGAACGCGTTGGAGGGTGGCTGTGCTTATGAAGCTGTGGGAGGTTCCTGGTCGAAGGCTACGTGTAAGGCACACTGCTGTAGGTTGGCGATGTCAAATTGGGACGCGATAGTTCGCTGTGGCAGCTACGAGACGAGCGATTCCATGATTGCAACAGCTCTAGAGCTATCCCGGCAGCACTGAAATATTGGGTGATGTCAAACGAAATGACCACACTGTAACGTTGTCCTCGCGGGTGTGGGATTGAGGAACATCATGTGAGCTGCACGCAGGAGCTGGCATCCAAGAATCCACGGATGACGCGGGCGCACGTGCACGGTAGGCGACGGGACGACCCGACATTACGAGCATTGCGGACCTCCGCGCGCCAAGACTTGTAGTTCGCGCCGTGTTTGAACTTTTGATTCCAGTCAACATAGTTCACGACACCCAGCCGAGTTACCGTACCCTGCATGCCGGGACGGTCGACCAAACTAGGAGAAGCATGCTGAAGAACGCGTTCTTCGCCCTGCGCGGCGGCAGGCTGCTTCTGCGCCCACGAGCCCATTCTCAACTGCCGCGATGTCTGAACGTTCCAACCTCGGTGCGGTTTGCGCACTCTTCGAAGCAGCCTCTCGACAAATCGCCCTTTCCGACAGACCCAGATACGAAAGTAGACGAATCAATGCTTGCGTCTTTCGGGCTCCGACTGCCACAAACGATCGAGGAAGCTGAACGGTTAGAAGGTCCGCTGACCGAAGAGCAAATCAACGACCCCAATGCCACCGAGATATCCATCTACGAGCAAGATCCCACAAGTCCCACCGGCGAGCGCCTCGTCCAGCACATCCGAACACCCGAAGAGCGGCGGAAGCACAACGAGATTCACAAGATGCTCATGCGGGCAGAAAGCGACCCGAACTACGACGACCGGGAGCTCAATCGGCATCTGCTGGACGATCTCATGAAAGATCCGTACTTTGCGGACCTGACTGATGACTTGAAGGAAATCAAGGAGAACTTCGTTTTGACGAAGCAGCAGCAGGAGGAAATGCTAGAAGAGGCGGGGAGGGCGGAGGAAAAGGCCGAGAAGAGCATAGAGAAGGAATTAACAGCACACTTTCAAATGGCAACGCATGATACTTTGGAGGAATTGAAGAACGACCCTCTCTTTGCGTACGCTCGGGCGGAACTGGAAGAGCTGCAGGACGCTTTGCCCGAACCTGATGGTGACACGGCGGAATACGACGCAGCGATGGAAAAGGTGGTGGAAAAGCTTATCCAGGACCCAAATCTCGAACGGAAGATGACCGAATGGCAGGCTGACAAGGGGTCCCTAGATCCGGCAAATCCTGAATCGCTCGAGACGGACCAGTTCGTGATGCCTGATGAGCTAAAGGAACTCGCCAAGGAACCGGAAGAACTCACCGCTCTGCTGCGTCAGATGAAGGAGCTGATGCGCTCCATGGGTATGGGCTCCTTGAGCGACCCAGAGCTCACTACCGAGAATGCGCTCGATACGCTTGAGGCTGAAATGGAGAAGGTACTCAACGAAGATCCAGACAACGAAGATCTAGAAGAAGAAGAGATCAAGGGCAGGGAAATGAATTTTGCGGAGCTTGGCAAAGAGCTGTTTCAGCTCGCAAAGTCGTCACCGGCCGGAGGCGCTCGGGATTTCGACGAAGAGGACGAACCAGTGGATCCTGAGCTTGAAGCCAAGGTCGACAAGATTATGAAAGATCCGAAGCTCATGGAGAAGCTCATGTACATTCAACAAGTCATCAAAGAGGAGCAGCAGAAGCAGCAGCCTATGGAACTGGCACCCGACCCTTTGGAGCTCGAGCCTCACCGCATAACAAGCATACAGAAACGCATGCAAGTCGCAAAACAGGACCCCGAGCATCTCGCTGCTATGGAAAGCCTTCGTGTGCACCTCGCCCCGCCGTTCAACATCGCGCCGGCGCTCCGCATATTCAACGATGCCATTGAGTACGCGTATATTGGCGCGAACGACGACATCCGACGCATCCTTTGGCGCGCATATTCGAAAGCGCGCGTACTGCCGACATTCTTGCAGAATCTCTCGGATGATGCATGGGACATCATGTACTACTCGCAGGCTGTGACCTGGACAAGCAATCAAAATCGGGAAAATCACTTGAGGCTACTGCTGCAGGACCTGCAGAGCGTTGGCAAAGATGGGCCTCCAACGCATCCGGATGTGGTGGCCGAGATGCAGCAATAGTAACGGCCACGGGATCCGACTAGAGATGTAAACTAGGCCGAAAGGCGTGTATAATACAATTGTGATACCCCTTCGACATGCGAGGCACATGACTCCACCGTTATCTTCACATGCTTTTGCAAGTGCTATACACACTGAAGTTCACGATGACTTGCGCGACTTCTGATGAGGCTAGATCATCGGCGTTGGTTTTCGGAAGCCCCCGCGGAATGCGCGCGCCACGTCACATTCCGTCACAGCTGTTTGCACAACAGAACCACCTTGACGCGACGATGTGACAACGCGGAATTCTGCTTCTGTCTCAATCGACATGGCTCACCGCCTCCAGCGCGTTTGCCACCGTCGACCCAACGCGCCTTCGACCTGAAGGGAAGCACCGTGCTGTCCAAACCATTCCGCGCGATGCAGATCCTCTTGATTCCGGCATCGTCGCCGGCCGCTCTTGCGCTGGCGAGAGTGCTTGCCGCAGAAGGTCACATCGTCCATGCTGCAGATGCAGAACGTATATGGGGAACGGCGCCAGCCCGCTACTCTCGCGCTTACCGACGCTTTCATGGTCTCTCTGGAGCATGGAGCGCAGCCGAATTGTGGAAAGACATCGGAGACAGCATTGACCTGATTATTCCATTTGTTCCCCTTCCCGGACACTTTGTCGAAAGCCTGAAGGCCAGAGGTGCCAACATCGTCGGCGAGACCCTCACTCAGGACGATTCTGAGTTTCAGGATTTCGTACGCGACAACATCGTCAATGCCTCCGCCGAGAACCCCAGCATCATCAAGGTGCCCGCATCTTTCACGGTCCACTCGCGAACGTGCATTGCGGAGATACTGAGCAATCGCGAATCGATATTTTCGTTGCAACCTCTGCCATGCTACGACACGGATGACGAGGACACGCTTGTAGACGTGGAACATGCAACACCATCAGCCTCCGCATGCATTGAACCCGTTGCTCCGATCGTTATCTCCTGCTCCACCTTGGACGACCGCACTGTGGAAGCGATCAAGCGCCTCCCGATGTCAGACACGAAGCCTTATCGACTCATCGAAGTAGCCGAGGGTGGCGCGTTCTACTCTGCGCATGCCTTCATCCACGCGGGACAAGTGCGCACTTTCGTCGTCACCAATACCAGAGCCACAGACAGAGACTTCGCCATCGTTGGCGCTGGCGAGCCTCTGTATGATTTGCTCTATCAGTTCACGAAGAGATTGGCAGAAGTACTAGATGGCTGGCAGAGCGTTGTCGCAAACCACTTGAGCTTGACGTTTCATCTGCAAGATAAAATCACGTACGATGATTTCGTGCGCAAGGTCACAGTTGTCAGCTGTCGCAACGATCCACATGCAAGTCTCGTGCTACTTGCAGCAGTGCCGGAATTGCGGAGGAAGCTTGCGCTTGCGTACACAGCATCCACTTTGCGAGAAGAAGAAGACAGCGCACCTGTCCAAATTCCAACAAATGGACGCGTTACCAAAGCAATGTATTCCGCACCGCTGGCCATCTACGGGCTCACCCGGATACTATTCGAGTTCAGGCCATGGCGAAGAAGATGGTGGGCCGCAGTAGCGCGTATGGCGATGATGTGTGTGGTATGGGCAATGAACTTCAAGGAAGAGATGTGGGAGACCAGCGACCCGGGGCCCGCGCTATGTTTCTGGGCCGTCATGCTCGGCGACAGCTTGATCAGCGTTGTTGGGCAAGTGGCGGGCGTCAAATGGGGAATGACTCGTGCGGCGCCTCTACGTTCGAAGACTCTCGCTTCGTATCGAATGGCGTTGACGGCGTTTGTGTTGATGCTTGATATCTGCAGGTGGTGGGTCGCCATTATGCTATATCCTTGGTACCGGACAACTCAACGCTGACTAGCACCGTCCCCCGGTGTTCCACTCCGATCATCATCTTGTTATTGCAATTGATTGAGGGTGACCGAGGCATGCTAGCTGCATGGGAGGATTTTGTTGGGCAGGCGCACGCCCGACCCCAGCTCGCTCGAGACTTGAGTTCAGCGACTGATGTGCGCACAAGCAGCTGTACACCCGACTCCTCTAGCGTTGAGCAAATCACGGAAAGATGTCACAAAGGACGTACCCCGAACGCGCGTCTTCATCGCGCTCTGCGCATATCCGCAGAGAGCGGCAAGAGCAGAGAGGGCATCTAAGACTCTCGCGATCTCAAGGTGTATGTCTGCCGCAGGCCGATGCTAGCTCGCTAACTGACGATGGACAGCACCGTCGTATGAACATCCTCACGATGCATTCCTCTATCCGACGGCCTTTATCACGTAGTCATATCATCTCACCCCAATCTCAGCCGTCCGAAGCCTCCGAAAGCGAACTATCCCGACAAGGTCACCCTGGTCAAGAGCAATTCATCAATGGGCAACCCACTGCCTCCCTTAACGGCCAGCACCCCAGTATCTTGCGCACGTTCCGATTCAGCACTCAGAATGGGCAGTATGAAGCGGAAACCACCCCGAACATTGCGTACATAGAGCGAACATCTTCTTTGGGAACGAACTCGCTAAGATCACACGATGCAACACTGACATACCCGTCGTACCTTGAACGATATACAATGTCAGAGCCAAGGAGTACTCAACGATCGTTCGATTTAGAACGATTGCGTCAGCAGAGAGAATCTACCCGGGTACCTCTGATTTCAGACACTTCCAATCGAAGCGATTGCTATCAAGAACAGAGAAGTATTGCGCAGGTTTTGCCCGCTGTATCGGAGAAAGATTTTTGTTCGGAAGCAACTCGAGGGCATAGTGACGCAGGCACCCATGCAAACACACCTCCAGGAAGGCGACCAATCTCGTACCCATCACGGTACAGGAGAGTGGGAAGCAGAACTCTCATGACTCGATCACCGGTCAAGGGAGTGAATGATCGTGGTCGCAACGTAGTGGATTGGGTACAGACGAGCAGGCAAGATTATGGGCCGATAGTCGAAGATGATGACTATTTTGGTGACAGCATAGCGGGGCAGGGCAGATTATGTCCTCCCATCCCTGCACGTAGTCCGTACCGCACCCGCAGCTCTACCCCTGAACTACGCACAGCAAGAGCGGTACGCCTTTTCGCAGCGAACCCAGACCCGCCAAGCGGTTCTACTACCGAAGATGACCTACCGTTACGGCCATCATCTCTCGGAATAACCCGACCAGAACCCTCGTACCGCAGCAGAAGACCCATCGAACCTAGGTCTGATTTGTATCCAAGCCCTTTGAGGCCACAAACCATCAAAAGGCAGGCATCCGGTATAAGTCAACGGAAAGCGAAGGAACCAAACGAAACTCCGGTACAAGCGCACCCAAGTCGAGCTTCGCGAAGAGTCCGTTTCTTCCCAACTATCCACTGGAAATACAATCGTGACAGACAAGATGCGCAAGAAGACGAAGACCTCACTACAAACATTCTCCACAACACTGCGTCTTCCCACTGGGCGTTTAATATCGTCCAGGGCTTTGTCTGGCTTGGCCTGGTCGTCTACCTCTTTTGGCGCATTTCGACACTGGGAAAGACTGTCTCCTTCGATTGCTATGACTTGAAGATGAAACTACTCCATCTGGTGGGCGAGAACATCACGCTCCCGCTTGTCAACAGTACAGCGAGCAATAGTACCTTCGCCAACGGCACCATGTATCCTCCCGCAAACGCAACCTTCTACACGCTCGCAGAGAGGCATACCAATGCGAGCGCGGTCGTCATACCTCCAGACTTTCGTGCCAAAGTTAGATCGCACTGCATCCTCGAGCCCGTCAACCCCGCTGTCGTTTTAGCGTCGCACTTCGAGGTGCTATTTCTTATGATGCTGGTGTCGTGCGGGCTGGCACATGTTCTGCAGCTGCTGGTATTGCAGCAGGTACGGACCCGGATGCGAAAGAGTGGAGCGCTTGGCGCGAGGACGCTGATGATCAGAGTCGCGGTGCAGATTTTTCCGGCTGGTTTCGCAATTTTGGGTGTCTTGGGAACGGCGTGGGGGATCAGGGGTGGGGTATGGTAAGATGGGATGAGCAAAGTGGGGATGAGCTAGAAGAACCTCGATAGCATGTTCAACGATTCAGTCTGAGCCTGCGGCAATGCTCGAAGACGCTCTCATTCCCAGTACCGAATAATTACTGGAACGATGCGGAAGGCGACGTCGGGTTTTGGTGGCGTGAGTGGGATGGTCAGGAAATGAGAATCATTCCAGGGTATCATGCAACAGAGCAGAAGATGCCATATTAACTAGAATATGTTTAGAATACAAGTTCCACCTTAATGACCTCTTTCAAAGCATGCTGGATCTCTTCCTTCATATCCTGCTGAAGGTCCTCCTTGATTACCTCATTAATCTGTCCTTAAAATCCCTTCTCGATGGCCTCCTCAAGAACATCCTTGATTCTCTCCTTCATCTCCTGATTGAATTCCTCCTTACTTACTTGCTTACTTTCTCCCTTGACCGCACCCTTAGCTCCCTGCTTGGTCCCCTCTACCGTTACCATCTCCTGTCTCTCTTCCCTTTCTTTATCTTTACGCTCGCCTGTAAAAGGTCGAAGTGCGTAGCGCGCATGCCAGGTGCCGTTCTCGTCCTGCTCCCAGAACCACCTGCTAAAGCGCGTATGCCGTACTTCACGATAAGGGTCTAAACCAGTTGCCTTGCTTAAGGCTGCATATATTCCGCGAGGTGATTGTCTTCGCTGAAGGCCTCCTTCGGAATTCCTGTTTCGCCTGACTGGAGCGAAAGCTGACCCCATAGGGCGTCGAGGAGAAGTGTGTAAAAGCAGAGGTCGGAATCATTCCTATTCCTTTTCAGCACCCCATTGTTCCGGAGCTCGTCGCGCTACAGTAGACATCGCCCAGAGGCAGTGTCACTACCGCTATCCTGACATCGACATGATCTTCGTCAACCAAACGGCCACAACTTCTCTATGTACAACTCGCTCTCTAAAAGCATTTTTGGTCTCTACTCTCCTCGGCATTCGCCACATCGATTCCTCTTTTCCTGCAAACGTACCCGCAACCGCATCCATCCTGCTGCGATGTCTTCCCGCTTCACCGCCATTCGTGGCTCAGAGACGGTAGCGGTGGAGGAAGTTTTGGGAGGAAGAAGCCACTTTTTAGGTTCGACTTAACCTTGCGCATCGCTGGCCCCCGCCCAGCCGCTGAGGAAGAACCCGCTGGGGGATGGGAATGAGGACGATCAGGGCGAGGAATAGTACGAGGAGGTGGAGAAGGACGACGAGGAGTTTTGGTGAGGGATCGGGATGGAGAGGGATTGGTGTTGTGCTAATCATATTTCTTGGTTGTGTCTGTAGTTCGTTCGAAGCCATAATGGCTTGGGCAAAGAGCCCTCTGAAAATTTCAGTGCAATCTTGTATTGTATCACATGGATTCCACGCTGTGTATCAATGTGTATAAGACTTGCAAATATGTTGCTGGCAACGCCTGAACTGCAGCATGACATGTGTGTACGGTAAGAAAAAGCCAGTGTGTATACGTCAAAACATGTACGGCCGTTGCTAATGTACTTAGGAAGACACCGAGTGCAATACAATACCGAACCCAGGAAGCCAGACTAATCCGCACATACAGTATAAGAGACAATAAAATTTGAAGAAAATCCCAAACAGACAACCGCGGGATAACACAAGGTAGTATACAAGCAAAAGTTGCTGCCTGTACAACCAGTGTTGAACAATCAGAGCAGCCAGTTTAGCGGCGCACACATGAAACTCTTAGCATTTTTGCAGGCCGGTCTCGTCACACTCGGCTTCTTGGTCTTGGTTTTCGTAGTCGTCGGACCCGCGATCCAGGTTTTCGAACACGATGGGGCCAGGTAGACCTTGTGGATAGAGCATGCGTCATGGCAACCTCCGTACGGAATGCTGTAAGTCCCGTTGGCACACTCCTTGAGGTAGTCGATACAGATAGTCTTTTCAGACTTGCAGCCCTCGGTAGGCGAAGTGGCTATTGGGTAGGGCGCGGAAGTCATGTCGGGTGGAATAAATGCGGCCCTGGCTGGGGCTGTGCCGAGTGCTGTTGCAAGCAGAATGGGAGTCGAGACCGAGCATGAAGGCACGACGAAGGTGGGACGCTCGCTAAGTCCAAGCGCACAGTCGTCCCAGCATCTAGACAACTTTTAGATGAGGAGCATAAGCATTACGATGGAATCAAGGAATGCTTACTCTCTGACAGGCTCTCCACAGCTGTCTGTTATGTTCACGCACTGTTGCTGTGGACAGTCCCTTTTGGCTGGTGTGCCAATGACAGTAACGGCGAACATACAGATAAGAAGGTAAATGGCCTTCATCTTGGAGAAGTTGGGTAGTGTGGGAAGGTAGATTGAGTGAAGCAGTAGACAGGGTAAACAGGAGGTAAGCTCGTGACTCAAAAGGTGCCGATGAGAGCTTCGTAGGGTCTTAGTATGTCGATTACAGTAGACCTGACTTTAGTCGTGAATCGTCCGTGATGAAGGTGTCCAGATGCGCCGTTAAATAGGTTGAGCGATCGCAGATCTCTCTGCTACACCTGCACCCTTTATGCGCACACCATCGACCAGGCTCCGATTCTGACCTCTCCGTGAGCGCATCGCCGCACAGAGGAGCTGCATATCTAAAACCCGCCCTGTATATTGATAGAAAAGGATGCAATGGTTCCATAGTCGCATTAGATGCTACTTCAGGAAATGATGGTCGCCTGCTGCCCGCCACATCAGAGCGGTGAGCGTGGGACGGCGTGTAAGTCAGACGCCGTGAGGACCTCGGAACACATTGCACATTCCAAGCGAGTGATGCAGTAGCCGAGATACGACGATGATAGAGTATTTTCGTAGATGAGAGGCTAGTGTGGTTGGCATTCCGAGTTTGTTTGTGGCGCTGTGCAGTATGCAAGGTAACGCGTTTGAGAAAGATCACGGTGTGGAGTCTCAATATGGCGTGTTGAATACTCTGTAAGAGCTGGCAACAACCTCGATATCAGTAAATACATCCAATGAGCAGCTTCTTGTCGTCGTGGATCAGAAATTGTTCGAACTCGCCCATCGGCAGTGTCGCCCGATATTTTGTGCTCTGGAAGTTCGATAGCCAATGGAACTGCGCCTGAACACCATCTTTACACAGTAGACATGCTCTCGATGGTTGTATCTGTCTCGTTAGGCGCTCATGTCATGCTGAAATGTTGACGAAAAGCGTGACAAGAGGTGTAAACTTCGACAGATTGTGGGTCAACTTGCATCCAATCACGCCATCCACACGATGGCACGTTTTCACTGCACGATATATGATGCGAAGGCCTAACTGTAGACGCCGAAGAAGCTACCGTCTCTACCCTCGCAGCGCAACGGGGTCGGTGAATTCGTGCTGGCTGCCTGACTCCCTAAAGAGATCGCGATGGTCGTTCTCCGCAAGGGGGGACAGCCCTCGTGGGTTGGCACGAAGATGGGCTGGAGTCCTTGGCAATAACGCCGGGAGATGAGCGGATGGAGGGTCTTACTTCCGTTGCAGCGTCAGTGAGACTTCTTCTTCTCTCTTGAGGACGTGTAACCACTAGACTCCGATGATCGCCATAAGCAGTCACAGCTACGCATACGAAGCTGAAAACTCAGTTGTGACAAGAACGAATGCTCGGAGGTTCCGTAGTTAGCCAGTCGCATTAGTAGAAGCTACCGCTACAGTACTACATCGAGGTCGAGAAATTCCAGAACGCTGGCTTTCTGTAGCGTTGACAGTGGCGCGGTTTTCTGTGAACCCACTTGTCCAATGTCATATGTACAATATTTGGACCAAAAGTTGGGCACAGTGTGCTACCCCAGGATCAGTGCAGTGTTCAAACTTTCGCCTGGTAGCGCAGCAGCTAGCTACCTCTTTGCAAGCTACCATTCGGTGTCGCTGCCAACTTCTCGCGTCCTGCTTAGCCAGCGCTCGGATACGCGCGGCTGTACCAGCTCTCGTGGCTATAGTCTTTTCTGGGCCCAGACACCTCGTATGTGATCCCGAACGTTTCCAAGCTAGCGCCCCTGAAGCGGAACTCGCAATTGCTCTTGTAAGTGTCAGGACTGCACCAATGATGGCCCTTGGCCATCCAGCCATGTTCGACATCCGAAGGCTGGTAAAATTCCAATTTGTTGAAGAAGTCGCCAACGGTCACGCCATCCCCTTCCACGAACCACGCGGTAATGGTGTCATTCTTCTCTTGGTATCTGTAGGCGTAACGGCGAGTGGCTGGGAACTTCATACCGTTGTCCATGGTAAGCGTGCCGTCTTCAACGTACAGATACTCAGCCGAGTAAATAGGGTCAGTGGGGTTCCGCGGATGGAAGGATGCAGTCCCCTCGAAGAGTCCATTCGGCATCGAAGGAAGGCGCGAGCCAACCTTCCTGTGGAGTTGCCACGTGCCTTGCATGCCCCGAAAGGCCGCTGCGGCGGCATACAACCCTTCTTTCTCTGACCTCTGAAGAACGTCCGCGACTTCGCGAATGACCAACGCAGCATCACTTCCTTCATCTGTGTCATCTCTGTACCGCGCCGGAAAGAGCGGACCACCTTCGCCCAAGGTCGAGTCATCACGCTGCAGGCCCACACTCCGCGCGAATTCCTCCACAAGACCCACGTAATCCGCCATCCAAAACTGCGGGACATCCAACTGTCTCTCTTTGATGGCTTGTCGTACTGATAAGGCAGCACTGGTGTCTAGCGCCTCCAACGCTGTGTTTGGGAACGTCTCGTGGCCCCAACGCTGTGCGACGATCTTGGCTTGCATACTCATCACGCCCCAGTAAGGGCCTTCGTAAAAGCCAACAAAGGCAATGTTTGGGACCTTTTCGTTGAAGATCGAGCCGCGTGAGAGGAGAAACGGAACACGGTGACTTTCAGGATCATAGCCTAGTGCTTCCTTGACACGGGCAGAGAGGTACTCGAGGTGCGATTGGAAACCGGTCGCTTCGACAACACCAGTCACGTCTTCCAAACGTGGTGTGCTCTGTCAGAATGTCAGAAAACCCAGTGCCTGGTTTGCAAGAACTGACCTCGTTTGTGTTGGCCCAAGGGCCCTGGGCCGTTACCTCTACTGAGAAGTTCTTGCTCGCGTCTTGTGTAATGTTTACGACACGTCCATTCACAGGCACAATTAGACCGTCTCTGACAAACTCCGCATACATGTCTGTCACACCCGTAAAAGCGGGATACTGAATCTTGTCAGGTTTTGAGACCAGCTCCATATGCCCAGTAGCTCGTTGGTCGCCCCCCAATAGATTCCGGATGAACTCGTGACCCTTTTCAGCCTTCTCTGCTGGTACCTGGCCAATCGATGCAGTGATCGGGCCATCGCCGCCTCGTCTGCCAATGTTATACAATACGAGGTCCAGCGGGAGAAACTTGGGAGATAGACTGAAATCTTGAATGGCTGGATTGTATGGGTCTTGAGGTATATATCGAGGAAGCGTGTAGAACGGTCGGTCAAATACGTGGTAGACTTTGCTTTCTGCCCATGCGGGCTTCTGTCCAGAAGAGTATTTTGCGCTGGAAATCTGAAAAGCGGCTGTGGCAGCTGCCTCGCTGCCACTGATCCCGCCACCAATCACAACCACCTTTCCTGCGTCATCCGAGAAAGAGGCCACGTCTCGAAATTGAGTAGAATGCTGTATCCTCTTTCCGGATCCATGCTGCATCTGCGTCTGACGTATCTTGGGCCCAGCACGGTGAAAGAAACCGCTGGCCACAATGAGATAATCGAAGGAGTCCTGTGATTCTTTCCGCGTGGTCTGGTCCACCGAAGTGACGTTCCAAGAGCCATCCGGATCGCCGCTAAAGTCTGCAGCGGTGACTCGCCTGTTGTAGATGATCGTGCCGGGAGCAAGGAACTTTTTCGCGTATGTCTCCAAGTAACGACCTACCTGCCACGCCTGAGGGAACATTGCAGGCGGTCCAGAAGGTTTCGATCCAACAGCAGGATCCGAAAGATCGACAGATCCCCATGCAAGATCTGGAAACGCGACCGTGAAACGACTGAGGTTCGTTCGCATATGCGGGCTACAGATCTCTCCGTTCTCGCCTGGGGAGGATCTCCACATCCCACCGGCTCTTTCCGCAGCCTCGAACAGTGTGACCTTGTATTTGGTACCACCAGCATACTGAAGGAGGGTTTTGGCGGCAACGAGGCCGGCCGGGCCGCCACCCACGACGAGGACAGACTTCATTGATCGGCCGCGACTTTCCAATCTGATCGTCGGGTAAGGGCCCAGAACGCGACGCTCGGAGAGATCAGATCGAAGGGATAGAAAGTTGATGAAATCGTGATCTTCTATACACTATCGATTGTCGTGACTAACCAAATGCTTCGCATCGATGCGAGGTTGCGAAAGGGCAATCGTAGGGCAGGAACCAGACCAACAACCCTTGACCAGGCACGGAGTTGGAGTCTCACCAACGATCGTGAGGGGTGCTATATGAGAGAGCGAAAGCTCTAGTCAAAAGAGCCGCCGTTGCCAAATTGACAGCGAAAAGAGGTGTTGGCGAAGAGGAAAGTGTTCGATGGTTTGGTGTAAGATCCCAACCAAGCCGCCCCGCGCTAGCCGCACGAGTCAGGTAAGGGCCATCAGCCCTACGAACGAATCGCCTCTCAGATGGTGATGTAGGTCCCTCAAAGCTCTGTTAATACGCCGGAATTGATCAGAGAGCCCTTCATGGTATCAAATTGTGTTTTGCCAATCTTCGAATTCTACTGTCAGCATGACTCATGATGGAACCGAGGGATATACCTACAGAGATGAGATATCGAATGTGGCCCAGGTCGGTGACGTGACGATGCTTTTCAAACTCTGCTCGGGCAAATCGTAGCATCTCTTGCCGCATGTCACGGTCGGCGATGGAAGCTGTGCTGCGAACAATGTCCCTCCAGAGGACCAGAGCGCGTTGCCTTTGGATAAAATGGTCGAGACCTATGGGGTTCTTTCCTCTGGATCGCAATCTGCTAGGACTCTTGCTCAACACCGTAGCATAGTTGCGCTTGATTAAAAGCATAGCGATTGTACTAGGGGGCGTTTTGAAGTCGGTGTACGTCGCTGTCGGCCAGAATTCGATGCTCAATGGGCGATATGGGATGCACTCTGGTGGCGATCGCAAAAGGCCTGCAGCAATCGCAATGTACCCGACACGTCCGTCCGACAAATCAAAAAGATGGCGAATCAATTAAACCAGCTTCAGTCCAAGGTCTGCCAGATGGTAGCCGCTCGTTGAAGGTCCCTTTTCCGAGGAGGGTACGTGATGAGAGGCTCTTCGAGTGCGGTGCACCGTGCACGGACACTATGGTGGGCAAAGACGCGTCCCGGCCTTGCCCAAAACGCGTCTCCACGCAAATCCCGTCCTCGCCTACCAACAGGGCCCGCCATCCGGGCCAACGACGGCGCAATGCCGCAACAAGAGAGCGCAAGACAACAACGCGCAATCTTGGAGTGTACGCAGATACAACCGCCGAGCGCCGCGAAGAGCGTGCTGATTACACATATCCAAAGATTGTGTTTCCCGATAACGACGACGAGCTAAAGGCAGACCCCGCCGCATTCGCGTGGCAAGAAACGCTCAAAGACCAACCAGGGAAGAAAAAGCGAAAGCTGAAGCATCCAGTATACAGACGCGATTACCAAGCCGCCCCCAGACCTCGCGACCTAGAAAAGTTCTCTCTCGTCCGAGGTCCTCATCTTCGTCGATCCCATGACTTCGCCAGAACGGTTCACTCGAGAATGGGACGATGATGTCCTTGCAGCGGTATGGGAGCACACCCAGAAACATGGGCAGTTGAAAGATCTGGGCGGTGGATACAAGCTCGAGCTGCGCCCTTCGACCAAGCTCTCGCACTCAGATCGCGGCGCTTGCCTTGACATCGTGCGTCATACCTCAATGGCAGCGTACAAGGCTTCCCGAATGGGCTGGCACACCCCTTCGAAGCGGACCGAGATGGCAAACAAAGACATGGCATACATCCTCGTTCGTGCTACGGATGGCACCCGAGATGCTTTTGGTCCCGGAATCGATACGAACATCGTCGGCTTCATCTCCTTCATGATCGATTATGACGATCCGCCGAACGACCATCGACAAGTCGTATACATCTTCGAGATACACTTGGCAGAGAGGCTTCGTGGTAAAGGCTTGGGCAAGTGGCTCATGTTCACGGTTGAAGCCATGGCGCAGTCTGTCACGATCAAGAAGACGATGCTCACTGTTTTTGTTAGCAACAAAGCCGCCATCCAAGCGTACAAGCGGATGGGCTACGACAAGGACGAAGCTTCTCCGTCAGACAGGGAGACACGCGGCAGGATCATACCGTCGGATTACTGGATCATGAGCAAGAGTTGGCATGACAAATGACACTGCGATGACTGCTCAGCTTGCCTCGACCAAATGCAATAGTTTGGTGGCACAAATGGTCTGATGGCACATGAAGTTATGACAGTTGTATATGTTGGCGTTTCGGTAAGATACCCTGGGAGGTCTGACTTTTCGCTCGATTGAGCAGATCTGTGTAGTCACACTACAATGATCGGATAGCGCTTGCATCTTGTAGCGTGACTGGAGATCGCAAGTTCTCTGGCCACAAATCATCATATCTGTAAATCTTTCCCCTTTCTCGTGAGTACAATTTTAGATGCAGTGAGTCTAGTCAGGCTCACCTTGAACCACGCATGAACTTGGAGTAACAGCTCTTCACTCGTAAGATCTATCAAAACGTACGCACCGTGGAGTGTTTGGACGTCCCGCGCCTGCTTCTTAACTTCACTTGCTTCTAATTTGGCTTAGCGCCAAACAAGGTCGTCATTTCTCCCTCAACGACATGTCTCTTTTATATCCCTCGAGCCAGTTGACTTTTTCGCTTCTCCAATGGGCCTTTTAACGCTCAGCGAAGAACCCGCACGCAACGTAAGTTACGCAGTTCCCGTGACCGTCTCATCAAAGCCGAACAACACATGCTTCGCCCATCATGCTCTGCTCTGCGCTGGTTCGGGGTGTACCGTTGGTGACCCAACTCTGTCGATAGATGCGGGGTGAGGCAGCATACCTACAAATCTAGCGCACGACTTTCATATTCTACTACGCCAGGACCTTGAAGCAATTCGCGTTCGCACTGTCTGTGGCCTCAGCCATGACTGTTCGAAACATTGCTCTGGGACGCGAGCCAGCACACACAATGCGATTACAATATTGGCCCCGAGGAAGAACAAGTGGCCAGAGCATTTCATCATCAAGAAGGTCTTCACTTTGGCCCAGGTCAACGACAAGGAAGACGAGGGCGCCGTAGGGAGAGGCGTCTCCTCTTCAGACCGTTCTCAAAGTGTTTTCCTCCCAGCACAGAACGAGCCGAAGTGGAGCACATTAGATTAATTCAGCGGCTTTGGGGCTGCAGCTCGAAAGATCAACTTCTCGAAATCAAGGACATGCGTGAAGCGGCTGAGAAGTTTGCGTCGTCTTGTCTGACAAGGTATCCTGACTGTGCGGTTCAAAAATTCCGAACGTGGGGAGGCTTTCGTCGTTGTCTATGGAGGCAAGGGTTATAACCACGGAAGGCCTTCAGCTCAGCATTGCCAACGATCGCCCACGCTTCCAGAAGTCCAGCAAGGATGATACCTCTGACGCACTCTGTAAGGTGCGCTATCCCCGACAGAACATTCGCTCCGATTAATTGATTTTTTCTATGGGGACCATGGCCGCCGAGGCTGCAGTGTTTGAGTGGGCTGCATACTGTCTGATACAGAAAGCTATTGTTGAAGCACTTGCGAGACTGTTGGGAATCATTAATCCAAACCGCAACTGCTTATGTTCACATCTGATCCTCTGTATTGACGAAAAAAAAAAGATTGTAGGAACGGGCAAGACCTACTAAAGATCGTGAGCAGAAACGTATGAGCTATGTCAATTGCCGTGATAGGGCATGCTTTTGATTGATAGTGCGCCTTGGACCAACTTGACTGTATTTCGCGAAGTACTTCCTCACGCGTGGTAATCACGGGCAGAGAGGTCCATCCGCATGATCTTCTGGTTCGTTCGTGGTTTGTGGTTTGTGGTTTGATTCCTCATACAGTGCTTGAGAACAAATCGATGTGAAGGCGTATAAGCCTCGCTCGTCACTCAGTGAAGCTGTTACCGGGAATGAGCTCAAATATCAGACTGAGCGAGTGAGTTCCTGCCTCACCGCGGATTCAACTCTACAAACGTTGCGGTGAGCTAATCTCACGGCGGTCCTAGCTTTGAAGCTCCGGATATATAAAACCTACTCCGACAGCACGTTTTGCGTCTGCCGAAACTCTACCTTCAGAATCTCATTTACCCCAATCTCCTCTTCTCTTCTCCAGCTCAGTATACGTCGCCATCATCATGTCCATACCGAAAATACAGTCGAAGGAGGCCGACGAGAGCCAGGGCGTGTTGTCCGCCAGTATCAGCAAGTTCCCCCACTCAACAAGTGGCACGCCATAGAAACAGTCCAGCGCTGTCACCTCAACGCCTGTCAAGTCATCTAACTCACTGACGGGCAAGAGCGACAACTCTCCCACTGCAGGGAGCGGCTCTGGAGCCCCTCGGGTAAGTGGTCAAGCCAACTCCAAGGTGTCTTCAACCTAACACTCCCCGATGGTTTTCGACGTCCCCGGATACTTCACACCCATCGAGCGTAGAGGCATGCGAGCCAACTCCAAGCGTCGCGCATCCATCAGCGAGTATAGCCACTCGCCCGCGCCTACCGACGTCTCCGCCCCTGCAGAACTTGACATCCAGTAGCCCAAGAAGCTCCCACCGCTCTACACGGCGGCGCTGCCCGCGAAGGACCCCAATCAGCGGGAACCCGGCGTTCTACCGATAGAAAAGGTCACAAAGAGGCTGCGCCATTCCAATCGCGTTGTAAGCAGGTCACTCAGGGATGGAAGCTTCGTATAACTGACTCTAAACCAGCTCCACATCGAAAACGCTGCCAAGGTCAAGATGGGCTACCAAGGTCAAGATGGGCTGGGAAGGAATTATGTACACCTGTGGCGCGGAGGTGTTCTTGACCAAGCAGGGCGAAACTAGCAAGAAGCGACCTGTAATGAACCACTAGACCCAGTTGTACCTGCATGGCCGCAGCATGGACGTACCAAAGGCCGTCCACGAGTGGCTCTGCAGCGACCCTGCGGCCGAGGAGATGATGTTCGATGCATCAATCTTTGAGCCGCTCGACTGAGCAGGTGCAACCGGCATCGACGGTATCTGGAACTGCGAAATTGGAGGTATGGATAGATTGGAAGTGATTCTACACTGGCAGGCTCATCAACACCGCTAGTGTGCTTGTTAATGTTTGAGCGTACTAAACAGCCTTTGAGCTGATATGGCATTTCCCAGGCCTATGACGTGGAGACGGTTTGGTCATTGCTCCTAATTCCAGAGTTCATGGCTAGATACCCACTCGCGAATATAGATAAACTCCGCGTTCAAATATCTGATTCAATTTGAAATGAAGTATGTCGGGAACAGTATCATCCGATGAAGAGCTGAGACAGAGGTTGGTATTGCCGGCCCTCTGAAAACATTGGCTCTCAAGTACAATCCGCCATCTGCGACCTCTCCTGCGCAACGAGCTAAATCTATTGAGCCTCTCTTAGGTCCAGGATACCTTAAGTAGATGCCATGCCAAAAGAAACGCATGTGGTTTCATGCAGTGTGGACTTCTGAATATCTCTGCGAGACGAACATGTGGATTTGTTATCACCCAATCATAAGAATAGAGGGAAGGTCACAAGTCCGTCCTTTTTTGCCATGTAATTCGAGAATATTCTGACTGCAGTGTCGTGAAGAACATCCTACGTGACTAGTTTTCAAGTGTGCCTGTTTGAAAAAAAGTTATGTCTCTTACGCTCCCACTCGTAAAGGCTTAGGTCGAGACGGTGTATGAAGAGCGTCGCCGAGAGAATGAACGATACCTCCATGCACGTCAGACGGTAGCAAAAGGCAAAAGGGCGCCTTGCAGAAGTTCAGGTCGGAGTTCAGGGTGCGAAAGGGCGGACATGACTCGTGACAACATCTGTATCGTAAGCGGGCGCTAGTCTCGGAATAGCGAACGCCGATGTCACACTCTCTCGAGCCTACAGCCCCTCCATGCAACCTCACATCCATATATTACTCTGTCAAGAACGCAGGGAAAACAGAGAGGTATCTCCACGATATCACGTACTATCGCAAAAGCCGAAATGTTGGAAGTACGCCCCTGCACAAACGACGACTTCGCCGATTTCGTTCGGATACAGATAGCCGCATTCAACACAGGTCAGTTATTCCGATCATGGCATGCGCTTTCGCTAAGATGCCAAAAGGCATAACCAGCCTGTTGAAACCACCTGAAACTGTGGAAAGTGTCGAGAAGGGTATCCAGAAACACATCAAGAGTGCGGAAAGCGAAGCGGACGTTACGTATTTGAAGGTAGTAGACACAGGGCTGGGCGACAAAATGATCGCGGGTGCAAAGTGGAGGATCAACGAAAAAGAACGCACTGAAGAGCAAATCCAGTCAATGCTGCCCGTTCCTGGGGAAGAAGAGAAGGATAGGCCAGCGGCACAGGATTTCATGAACTACCTGTATCGCGTGAGGAAACAGTACATGGGGACGAAGCCATTTGCCTGTAAGTGCGCATGCCATTCGGCTATGGAGTGCTTGCTAACCGGGTAGTCCTTCATATGCTGGTGGTCGATCCTGCTCATCAGAGACGGGGAGCAGGCGCTTTGCTCGTGAAATGGGGATTGGATCTGGCGGACAAAGCCCAGCTGCCGTCGTTCCTGGAGGCATCGGATGCGGGGAAGAAACTGTACACAAGCCTTGGATATGAGCCAGTCGCCGTGGAGACTTTCGACTTGTCCAAGTATGATTCGAACTTATCAGGACTGGAGTCAAACACTGCTATGATGAGGAACGCGGTGCAACTCCAGAGATAGCCCTACGAGTTAATACAGTGTCAACACAAGTCTCCCCAAATCCAGCATCTCGATTCATGAGTGTAGGCTGCACGATCTCAAATCTCCATGTCATAGTTTCGTCCAACTTCCTGGCTAGTTCAGCAGACGAAGAAGGGCAAAAGCGGGTTAAGCCTAGCTGAGCAACTTCTTGAACAGCTGGGATGATGCTACGAAGTCTGACCACTTGCAGGGCGTGAAGTTCCGCGAAGACGTTGTTCGCTTCGACCATGTCGAATGGCCCGACGTTGAATGTGCTGAAATTTCCATTGCCCTCTATCATGGCTAAGTTGTCAACGAAAATCATGATGTGCTTTACGTTGTTTTCCACGATCGCGCCATCTCCGATATTTCTGGCATACTGCAGGAGGGTCTGTGTGCATTCAGTGAGAAAACATCAACTGGCTGACGTTGTCGGGATTTGGACGGGCCAAATTCTACTTAGACTTCCGACGTACTTTGTAAGACATATAGTCGCGGAACTGCAAATGCTTCGATTCACAAAGGCGTGCGAACGCTTCATGCCGCACCGTACGGCACAAGCGGAAGATTGGAGATTTGAGGGTCGTGCGAAGTAGATCCTTGGGGTGGCTGGCGTGGATCTGGATACACGAATGATGTGGGAAAAGTACCATATCGTAGATGAGGGTGCGAAGCTCTCCAGGAAGAGACATGAAGGGCGCCATAGCGAAGCCAAGCAGAGCGCCGGGGAACGCGATCAGAGGAGCGTATGAGTGTGGAATTTGGATCGCGGTGTGAAGTTCACATATGCTGCGCAGCCGCTGAGGGAGCGTCACATTGAGCAGGAGCGAGCCGCGCTAACCATTTTAGAGCTAGCGCGATGTCGCCCTGTTCGTCACAGCGCTACAGAGCTACGAAGCGTGGCAGATCTCACAGGGCTGGCACACGAATGTGGGTGGAGTGAATCACTGCGAGATGAACAATACATGATTCACATTGAATGGCATTGGACGCCATCAAGACAACGCCATCAAGACTGCGGAACCATCAACCTATCTACATCCGGACCCCAAGTTCCATCAGTCGTGCTGATCTTTATGGTGTTGGTGCCAGACTTCAAGTCCACATTCAGGACGGATGAATTGGGGTCTCCACTCGCGGGTACAAAAGCAATGCGCTGCGTGGCTCCACCGTTGACACTGACGTCGGCAAACCTTTGGCTGCTGTCGCCGTTCACTGGGGAGCATTAGTCTCCATCTCTATGCACTCTTCTTCGACTCAGGAAAAAAGGATGGTAACTTACAATACTTGACACGAATCGATGTACGTGTCGTGGCGGAACTTTGTACGTTCGAGAAAGTGACGGCGCCGTTGTCGGAGCCACCGATATCTGCGCCAATTAGCCACAATGAACATCGCGCGAACATCGTGTAACTCACAGCCTGCAGCGTTTGAGCCTGAGCATCCCGAGCATGACACCTTCTTAGCTCCACCGGCAAATGTGGCAGATTCTCCCTCGTAAGCGTTTTCGCTAGGCCCAGAAGTCATAGACCCTGAATTAGCATCCACAACCCAATTCACCGCGTTCTTCATGCTTGCCGTGGTGCCCGATATCGTGAGTGGTAGCCACACATACGTGCTCCTCATGAGGTTTGAGCTAATCCATCGATCGCCCATGTACATGAAGTTGTCCCCAACAGGAAGGATGTAGTTCGTCTGCGAAGTATACGTCTTGGAGCCGGTGTCAGCAAACGTCTTCCAGGCTGACCACGGGCCTGCGATGTTAGTTGCCGTGCTGTACTTATTGTCATTGGGATCCCAGCCGGTCAAAGTCGACCCGAACATGAAGTAGACCCCATTTTTCTTGATAACGGCTGGCGCTTCGATGGACTCCTTCCAGAGGTAGGTCGCTTGCTTAACACTTAGGTAGTCATCAGAGAGGAGATCGATGCGCAGGCCGTTGGCGCGCTAGGACCAGGCGTTAGCGACTGCCGTAAAAAGAAGCCGGTCTGACTTACGTCCTCAGTCAAGAGATACGCCTTGTTGTCATCGTCAACGAACAAGCCCATATCACGAGACTGGAACCCTAATGGCTGGGAAGCACCAATATACGTGTACTTGCCGCAAACCGTGTCGCCAGTAGCAACTCCTGCTTTTGCTTCCTTGTAATCGCTTGAATCTATATGCATCCACAACACGTACTTCTTCGTCGACTTGTTGTAGATGACCTTCGGTCTTTCGACAACGCGGTTCGGACCAAGATCACCCGATGAAGTTCTCGACAAGAGCGCGCCTTCATATTTCCATTCGACTAAGTTGGTGGAGCTGTAGCAGTTGACGTTCTGGAAGGCCGAGCCATCTGTCTTGTCTTCGCCGACCCTAGCATTATGAGAGTCCTGATGTCGGAAATGATTACTGCACATACCAGTAATATGTGCTGTCGACCTTGATCATACCACCTCCGTGGGCTTGGATATGCTTTCCAGTGTTAGTCGCAGTCCATGTCGCTCCAGGAACTATTTGCAGCGTCGCATTTGCGATCGAAGCAAATAGCGCTCCGGCTGCTGCGATCTTTCTGAAGCAGCGCATGTTGGAAATGAGGTCGTCCTGCCTTACAGAGACGCTGCTACATGTTGCGCATGTTCCTAGATATAGATTGAACTCGCTCCAACCCAACGGAATAACTCTAATTTCGACATCTTAAAGCCTAGGCCATGATCGGTGCACTGACTCAAGTGGTATTGTCGCGGGTTCTGGTGTGGAGACGTTATATTGCCGGAGCAGGGATGTAGCCATGCTGTATGGTCGATCTGGAGAAGCGTAAACGAGCGATTTGTGGGATGCGTCTTCCATATTGGGCGTCGCATGTTGATCAGTCTATTCTCCCGACGCCCGAGGCATTTAGTGTGATACTAGTCCGACAAGATTAGGCGCAGGTATAGCGATGCAAGCCTCTCATGTGGTTACCAGCATGAGCTGCTCTCATGACCGTTTCGAAACCGGGCGCACGGCCAAGAACGAGTAAGTCGATATATGCCGGAACGGCATGCGGTACAAAAGAATCGTAGAACGCATCGTCGTGTGTCAGCTGGCGTATACTGGATCGAGAGATAACATGTTCGTCTGATACCGGCGGCACAGTCGCACAGAGCGCATTTGCATGATCTGTATCTCCTACTCTGGATTTCAGCTTCGAAAGTAGGTGTGGGCAAAAGGTCAGACAGGAACACTCACGCAAAAGAGATACACTGTTTGACTGGTAAATCTACATCTACGCCTTCACCAGGTGTCCAAATATTGTGTGTATCCCCAGAACGGTCAGCTTCTGCCGCCGTTATGCCACCCTCCAAGGTGTAGCCAAGTCCATACCCCTCGCGCCCCGTACTCAGCCTTTCCGGGTATGCCTGTATGTTCTCTATGTATTGTCATCTGCTCTTACACGCACATCGCTCCCGAACGATCCCCCTGGCTCGTCTGCGGCGCAGGATCAAAGCCGTGGATATCTACTATAGATCCGGCATTGGGTCTGCCAACGTGCGAAGCGCACCAAACATAGAACAGCCTCAAGACGGATAGCCAGAGCCGTCCTTTGATGTTCTGTGTATGCCTGATGTTCCCAACGCGTCGATTACCAATTACAGCCAGAGATGGAGGAGAGGACGACGCGTTGCTGTAGCCCACTCATATATTTGTTGCCGTGTTTGTACGCGTTCAACCTGCCTCGACTGCGAAACCGTCATGATGCCATTGTTTCCGAGAGGCACCATACAGCGCAGAATGGTCCTCGCGGCTAGTATAGGCACGCGCTTTGCTGGAATGCTGGCGCTCATTGCTCTGTACCTGCCGAGGCAATGCTTGCTGCTGTGAGCTCGTGAATGATTGCGCGCCAGGGCTGCTGACCAGCGTCGCCGAGGCCCAATCGTCGCACTAGTCTAGATATCGCCCCCAGAGCATCCACAGCTGCCTCGAAGCATAGCTGGCATTTGCAGATCGTGTAACGTCGCTTGGAGGACGCCACGCAGACCCCTCCAGTGTGCGGCGTGGGTCTAGGGTTCGCGGATGCGCTACGCCATCGGGGATAGGGCGCGGAGGATGCGGAGTACAGTGCGGGGAGCGCATCGGGGGATGAAGATGTTCGCGCGGTCGCGATGAGCGTCGTAACAGCGCGCTGCTGCTGCTGGCAAACAGTCGCGTGAAGGGGGTTGCTGGGCCGTCTTCTGCACAACGCGGGCGTAGCTGCGTCCCAGCGCCCAGAATAGCTGCACGAGAGGCTTCGGAGCCGCCGGCAGCATCATCCGTAGGCTCATTGAGCTAGGAATCGATGCTGTAGAAGGTATTGTGGACGTGCTGTAGCGTTCTACAGTGGTCCAGAGGCTGTTGCCCCACTGCCTGTGATGTCGCGGAGAGGGAGGGGTTGCCAGGTGAGGGGCGCGGCTACGCAATCGCTCTCAGATGCTTCGGAGGACGCGGCGCCACCATTTCTCGACCAAATTCCTTCAAACAAAATTCTCAGAGGGTCAAACTGCAAGCCATAAGCATTTTGAGAGTTTTCCGGAGTTGGTAGGAGCACTGCTTGTGGTGTGGTGGGTGATCAGGGGTTGGCAGGTGAAGGACTCGAGCGGCGGACAACAACACCACCAAACAATCTCACGATAGTCGGTGCCCCGCCCTCTCCTTCTCCCTGCCAACCCCGTCGCGACTACCAACACGCTGTCGACAGAGCTCTATTTCCTTGCATCTTGTAGAGCGTGTCCTTCTTGCCCACCGCAACTTCTTTTACGACTCCCCTCCGCGATGGCGTAGCTGCGTTCCTTGAGGCCGCTGATGCCTCTCCTTTTGCTACAACAAGGTGTCGCAAGGACGGTCGCAGACTCGAGACGCGGTTCTCGAGCGACCGAGGGCCGAGCATACTCACACCCACACTTTCTGGGAGGTCTGGTACGGCTTTCTTGTCGAGCAAGCGGCCGTGGCAGGCGGGTACCTGCAGCTTTTGACCGAGTCACCGCTGACATCAGGCCCGCCGCAGCTCGTATCGACTGGCGAGGCCCCGGAATTTCCTTCAAGGGCGTCTGTCGACCTTCTCGGGCAACCTGTAGTCCATTGCATCATTTGGCGTGGCCTTTCCTACGTCTGTGGAGTTGGAGCCCGATTTTCTCGACTGTCAGACGCTTCGCTTCGCTCACACCGAAGCCTTCCTTTAAAGGTACACAGGCAGCTGCAAACAACGGAAAGCATCGTTGCTAACTCAATTGCTAATGACAGCTTGACAGGATGCTAGATCGCCGGCGGCAACACCGAAAAAGGGCGGCTTTTGGCGCCTCTCGCTCGAGGATGCCAACCGTCCCCGACGCCATTTGCACTGCCCTGGCTGGTTGCCGGCTGTGCAACTTCGATGTGAGCGAGAGCTCCCCTCGAAGCCGACGAGACGACGAACCTACTCTCCTCACGATCGAGCGAAGGCGATGCCATGCGGGCAGAGGCAATACCGTAAGCTGCGGCCGTCGCGGATAGGCCAACAACTATCGAGCGCTCCCAAGCAAGATACCACACGCTGATAGGCGGCGAGAGCCCACACGATAGCGCGACTCCCATTACAACGGAGCGGTGGCGGATACCTTGAGGGGCTACACTTGGGGACCCGCGCAGCACGGCGGACATTCAATTGCGTCCATGGAGGGGATCTTCTGTCCTACATCTAAGGGCCTGGGCAAGATCGTGAAGCCGGACGACATCGATCTCCGACGCTCGGAGAGGCCTCGCACAGCCAGCCAGCGTCCTCGTCCTTATCCTTGTGTGACACGCACCATCACGGTCGAACGCCGGATGTCGCGTGATAACGGACCATCGAAGCCAAATCGGAACACCGCTGTAAAGCATCCTAAGGACAACTCAGAGTGAAGCCCGGGATGGTATACACAATACGGGAGCACTGTCGTTGGAAGGCCCTGCGACTCGCAGCCCGGTGTCAGAGCTGCTAATGAGTGCCATCGCTTCCAGTACACATAGGAGGCCGGCAATACTGCTGGGCAGACGATGCGTGCAGATAGAAACATCTGGAAACTCAAGCTGGGTCCGATGTTCACCAACGAACGAGGCGAGGACCAACGCAGCCGGCTCCTACGCCATGTCTACTTCTTCCTCGTCGCTGAAGGCCAGTATTAAGGCCGATGCTGTTCTCTAAAAGCGCAAATACAATCGCAAAGTGGCAGCAATAATGTCAAATTTGCAGTTGGACTTCTGAGCTGCTCTCTGTCGGGATGTTCTTTTGTTCCTCCAAGGACCAAAGATCCCCATGAGCGTGCGCAAGCAACGTAGGAAGGTATCTTGCTTGTCTTAGCCCAGGGCTCGCGCCGGGAAAGGAGTGCAGGAGAACGTTGCTGGCAGTGAGTAGAGCAGGATATTCGTTCTGTACGGCATTGCAGACGTCAAGAAATATCCCGAACAACACCAACACTTGTACAATGATGCGACCAAATCATATGGGCAACAACAGACATGGTCGCCCGTTAGGCCGACCAATAAACCGGTCTGATTCAGGTATCCAATCCTCGTACGCTCTGAAGATATGTCCTCGTCAGATGAAAACCCGGAAGCAGTGGTTCTAGTAAGCGAAAGCAAGGCGTCGTAGGAAGGTATAACGTCCGCGCAACTAGCCGAGTCCAGAGTTGTAGCTTCATCGGGTGGCCATCCAAGGCAAAGATTTCGGTAACCAAAAGCAACGGCGTCGTAAGAACGTATAACGCCCGCGTAAGTAGCCGAGTCCGGAGTTGGAGCTGGGTATCGACGGCGGTATGCTTTCTAGTAGTATGGGAAGAGGGAGTTGACCAACCGAAACTGGATACAACTGACGATCGCATCTCATATCGCAGCCACCAACGTTTTCGGCAGATTCGTCAAGTATCCAACAATCCTGGTCCCGGGTAACGGACATCTGACGCAACCGGCTGCTCCAAGTCTATCAGAGAGCCCAAGTCATCGCCCATGCGCTCGCACCGGTAGTGTCAACGGGAAGTATACATCGTCTCTTTCGTCGACTCAGTCCATCCTTCGTAATTTCCTTGGACGCTCGATCCTGATCCGGATCGTTTCTTTTCCGTCAATCCATTTTCAGTCGATACTTCCTACGAGTCTCGCAATCCTCATCATCGTATCATCCTATCATTCCTTGTTTGAAACGGAGTAACTTCAGGCGCAAGCTCCTCAGGTATTGTAACGATAAAGCTACCCACCGTGGTAGATCCCGCCACCCTTCACGAACGGTTGCATGTGTCTTACGGAAGGTGACTGCAGCAAATCTCAAGCTCTGCTTGGTGTTGGGCGTTTGTCGTTGCATTTCATCGCGTCGACTCGCCTTAAAAACATTTTGGGGTCCTAGAGTGTGTAGGACAGTCGGCTCTTGTTGCACAGTTCCTTCCTAGGAATGGACCATGGGCTTATGTAGTGTCGTAGGAGTCCGATTCCGATGGCGGTGCCAATAAATGGCTAAGGGGATCGCCCAGAACGCTCACCTGGGAAGAGGAAGCAAAGTTCAAGCAGGGGATGATGTGGTGGTGCGATATGGGGAGCGCGGGGCTCACCCCCGACTCCTCGATGCTGCGGCAGTACGACGAGCGGTGCATCAAAGCCCAGGAGCTTGGCTCTCTCGTGGCAAGCTTCGCCGAATGGCGGTTTTCGGCAACGACAACTCCAGCTCCACAACTTTTGAATCTCGTCCTTGGTATATGCGCTGTTCACGTCCTTTCCGAATCTTTCCAGCTCTTGCTGTTCTGTCTTCTTGTATCCGGTCACGGCATGAAGATTCGGTCGATCCTCGATGAGGCGCTAAATCCTGTGCCAGCTAACTTCCTTGACGACACTTCCTTGACGATATGAGCATCAAGAAGCGTCACGCATTGTCCAGTTTGTCGATTGCGCTCAACCGGAATGGACTTGATCGCAAATCTTCATCCCCAACTAACTTGCAGGGCCTAACACGAAGTAACGCATCCTTGAACGATCGAGCTCATTGCATTCTGAACATACTGGCGATATGTTGGAGAAGCATGGTCAGTCTTCATTTACTGATCAAACAAGATTGAGCTGACCTTGTCTCAGATGGATGCTCCAACGCGATGCACTGTTATGTGAAGCAGTTAATATTCAAGAGCATAGAGTCTCTCCATGGTTGTTGTCGATGCGACATGTCGAGGTAATGCCCGCTCCAGCTGCTATCCTCGCTTACGGTGCCAGCTTCGATCATTCGATACAATTAATGAAACTCGTCGTATGAAGCGCGATGGTCCGGGCGAAAGCTTCAAGGACATATACACCATCGATGGGAAGGCTGTTGTCAAGCGAGCGGGAACCGGTCCACATCGGCTCACCAGGTTTAAGTCAAGTTGCCATGACACTGAACAACGCTCGCGCGCCTGCTCTGCGGTTACAATGCGGTATTCGGACCCCGTCGTCTTGGTGCAGCCCTTCCGCTGTCGTCTCTAAGACATGATCAACTTGTTCGACTTGATCGTTGGGGGATATCATTACTTCCCTCCAGCTGTGTTGCAATGAAAATTAACATCCATAACAACAGAGACCACCGAATTGCTACACGCCTTTAGAATGACAGCGCTGGCTGTCAGCGGACTCCTTAGTGGATCCAGCGGCAGACACCTTCGAGCGTTAATACATCTGGAAAATGGCAATGTGGCAAAGCCCCCTTTATTGACAGACTCGCAAGCGGACAGGAACAGTAGAGTCCTTTATCTCTGCCGGAAGAAAATGATCGCACGAAAGCAGCATGCAGAGCTGAAGCCCCTCCAACATATGTGGTGCAGCAGGTATGCCTTTGCTGTTCGTGAAATAAGCTGATTCTTACTGCAACCCAGCTACACGCCACGAAGGTCGAAGCCAGGTAGCACTTTGACGCTACGATACCGAGCGTACTGGACCCAAATGTGGTGACGTGGATCCTATACTTTTTGCTTGAGCGCTCACTGGTGAGCAGTCACTGTCTCTGCTACCTCCTTTGGTTTGGCTTTATAAGATCGTAACCTCGATGTTCGTGCTGTAGTTGCACGATTAGTCGGCAACACCGCCAGTGGCTCCAGATTGCGGCGTCTGCAGTGTTCGAGCTACAGTATGGTGTCTCAAACCTAGCCTGGCGTAGACGTACGGATGGATGAAGTTGCAAAAATAAGTATACACCTGAAAGACGGGTGCTACTCGTTGATAATAGTGCCAGGTAGATGCCCGCTTTCATTCAAGTTACCAGCTGAACTTCCACGACAGCCGACGGCATTCGATTGCTAGAGGCTCAAGTGTTCGACCATCGACTTTCGCTCCTTCGAGGTCCACCGAGGCAGACTTTTGCACCAAAGAGAGATGTTTAAGAAGACGATGAAGCCTGGAGGGAAGATGCGCTCATCCCCAGTTGCTCGCGTTCACAAATTCGAAAGCATGTCGGGTGCCATATACACAATTTCTGCGTCCCGGTCTCTGATGCGTGGACTATGCCGATGATGGAGGCATTGCAAACGCCAGAGCATTGCTGAAGTCTCGACTCGGATCTTGCGATGGGACCAGCTTATGGCCGATGTCCAGGCTTGCTTATGGAATGTATGCCTGTGCGTTTGGTGAACTCCATGAGATCAGAGCCGACGTTGTCCGCAGTGAGGAACCGGGGGATCACGGCTCGATACGTAGCGATAGGTTTCGTGGCTGGTGAACGGGTGCTGGTGGCCGAGCCGCGGGTCGTCATTGCTGCTTGGTACCAACGATGGGGGCCATGCCCATTCCAACACACGAGGATGTATCTCGCGCGTAATATGGGCATGCCACGCCAGCTCTCGATGTCCAGGTTCTTGTAGTCGACCTTCGCAAAGCGATTCGGTCATTTCCATGTGGTCCACACCGCGATGCATATTCGAAATTGGGATGAACAAAGTTGTCGACTTTGAGGTGGTGGGCCGGAGATGAACGCATTCCGCGGCTAGTTGGCCTAGTGTGTCTAGCGTCGCCCCCTGTCCACGGAACGGTCTCAACACTATGAAGGATGCTGTTTCATCAGCCTCCACCACCGAACGGCGCTGCATCAAAGGAACCATTGTCGCCGCCTTCCTCTACAGTGTCACCTCGAGTGGCGAAGCGATGGGCTGTCACGGGTGACCGAGAAGTGTGACAGATTTCTCTCCTTCTTCGTCCCTTCACGCGTTATGAGTCCCCTCTCACGATGAGATCAATCCGTGGTTCAGTGCACATAACATCCTTGATAGCTCTTCCCGCGTACGTTGGCAGCGCTCCCTGTTCGTCTCGGGTCGCATTCGATCGATCGTATTTTTTTCCTTTCCGGACCGCATCGAGCAGCAGCTCAACGAGCATCTCCGCCACCCTATGCACTAGACTAAACCCGCAGAGCATGGAGTTCAGACCCACTACAACAGACCCTTGTCAAGAACTTTAGAGGCCGGAATATGAGGTGAAGTGGTGCCTCGGCGAAAGTTGGACCAGGAACGATGGCCGAGAAATGTGGCGCCATATGACAACAGCCGCCAAGGATGAGACCTGCGACAATTTGGTCCTGCCTGTTCTCTCAAGAGCTTGGCTTCTGTGGGAGATGTCTCTCGCTGGTAGATGGCGCTGTCCGGAAGCCGTCAACATGTAATTCGCCAGGAGCTCACTCGTCGATCTGGCCAGAGATGGCTCTCCCGTCAAGTGCTCAAGATCCTGGATGGCTACTTGAATGTCCAGACGTCGCACACTCCTTGTCATCTGGACCGTTCAAGAGTCTCGGCATTCGCTCTCGCATACCTCTCGAACCCATCATACCATTGTGGATTACCCAAGTCTCGTGTACTTCTGTTATCGTGAACAGTTCGCGCGGCGAAATGCGCTTGATTGCGCGGCAACGACGACCGAAGCGCAACCCTGCTGGTGCGATGGTCATCTTCTGAGGCCCGCTAGCGTCTGTTGCCTCCTTGCTGGGGTGAAAGTATCGGTCATGTGAATCCCTGGAGAACAGGTTCATGACGTTGCCGCTCTCGTCAGAGTGACCGTTGCAGCCGCTGTACCTTCTATCGCATTGGTTGTCATAGCATGACGGCCGTGGCGAGGTCTTTTAGATTGGAGGCGCTGATTGCTTGCACCTCCTTTGATCCCAGAACAATGCGAGGAGTCGAAAGGGATGTATTCGGCGGGCGTCGTTGCCTTCGCCACTATGCGTGGCGCGGATGAACTCGCCATCGGGGTTTTTGAACGGTCGCCCTAAAGAGGATGCGCAGCGGGTGAAGAGATAGATCTGAATATATGGCGCCGAAAAAAGTGTGGCGTGGCTCCTCCCGAACGCCCCGCGCGTATCTGTTCGTTCGAAATGGTCCCAGCGCCAAGGCCCCATGCGGGAGTGAAGTTGTGGTGGAATGGCGAGGAGCGACGCAATGGGCCTACTTGTACGGCGTGGAGGGAACATGCGGACCTAACTTGATGAGGCAAGCTCGCATAACAGCTGTCAACATACCACCGCTAGCATCAAGTGTGAAGCACTGTAGATGATCTGGCATCACACTGAGTCGTCTCTCGCAGCTCCTCTGCGCCGGCGGCCTCGACAACCAGGATACAAGGGAATCACACCACCTCTGTGTTTCCTCCTTTGCGTAGTATTTGCTGTCCCCTCGGCCATCCTGCTCCTCGTTCTCGAGTGCGCTGTTTCCTCTTCCGGTCGCCAGTTCCTCGGAATGCGCCTTATTCTAAGCCTTACAGCATGAGAAGCTACAGCGGTTCGTAATGCGGGCGGATCGTTGCTTGCGAAGGAGCGATGTGTCTCGTAGCGAACTTGCGGGAGTGATGTTGTCATCTGGAATTCGAGCGTTGTGGAGACAGCTCGCGGTGGCGGGATCTGGCTGGGTTAGGACTTGGCCTTCACTATGTCAGCGTCGGCACTCGCGCCTCGCATGGCTGGGATCATTCCCCCTAGAAGCGCCCCTTGAGAAGAGGGAACGCTGCCAGGTGAACTTACAGCTGGTTGAGCCGTGAAGCGTTTCGAGGCCGCCAGGCCTACAAGCACCACCACCCACCTCAGCACTATCGAGAGGTCGTTTACGTGGTTATAGCCGCTCCATGCTCTCCCCGAATTCGCACACAAAACACGCTGCCTCGGAACCGCCGAGCCTACCGATACACACGTGACGATGCGAGCAATCACACAGGAGGCGCATCGCTATCATGGACGGCGCCGCGGCGGGACGAATATAGCTCGGGGCAAAGGATGATCGGAGCAATGCTGCAGGAATTGTACAAAGTAGACGATTGGCGAAAGAGGTGGCGACGATGCTGTTTGGTTGCGGTTGACGCACTGTGACTAGACTTTGGCGCAGGTGAGAACTTGGGATAGACCTCTCGACGGAGTTCGGACGCCGCACTCAACTCGACGCTGATCGTGTTATGGGGCGGCCTGTGGTGCGGGTGTGGGTGTGAGCGTTGGCACGGGCGTGGGTGCGAGCTCCTTGGTAGAAGGAGAGAGGCAGGCTTGACTGTGTTGGCAACTGCCACCCTTCCATTCACCCGGCAGTGGCCTCCTCTTGGAATTGCTGTATTGGATGGATCTGGTCAACGCCGGACATCACGTGCAAGTCCCGTCGGCGATCGCGAGGAGGTCGGTCGCGAGGCGAGGGGACGAAGGCATGCGCCACCGCGCTTCGAAGAGGAGGCCTCCTAGGTCGACTTACTGTCATCCGCACGGGTTGATGATGCGCGCCTGGTTCCGCACGCTGCCACCCTTCAGATGCCCTGCCCGCCCCCAATCCTCGCGAGCGCGTGCAAAGGAGAGTGTAGCCATCCAATTAACCAACCTCGTGCACACAGGTCTCCAAGACCCAAGACCGCCCGATTCAACCGGCACGTGCAATGTCTCTATTTATACCCAGAAACTATCACGCGGAGTCAAGTGTGACAACGTTGAACCCGAAAGAGCTTGCTCGTGCGCATCGGGGCGGAAGGGCGCGTCGGATCTACCAAAAGAGGCAACAATTCGCTGTATGCACCCGATTTGGGGCGTTCAACAGATTAGATGTCCTCTCTATCACTCCTACAATTTCAAGCGAGGGTTGCAAAGCGGCACTTGAGGATCGCTAAACACCTTGTGACCCAAACGCTGAGGTTCCCCCAAATCAAAGCGCGCAGGGTGTTGTGTTCAGAGAAATTGCAACCCATTTGCAGCACAATCCATACATCAGAATCACGGAACGCCGCAGGATGCAAGTATTTATGACTCAAATTTCATTGAAGGTCTATGCTGGCAATAGAGCGCAACGCCTCCAGGCCTTTCAGAAATGCCCTGCCACTGGAAATCAAGATCCGCATCAAGAGATAACTACATTAGGGATGACTAACCTGCTCTCAAACCTATCACCGGGATGTTAATCCAAGTCTTATCACTACCAACATGAGCTATGGAACAACGAGCTACGGCTTTCCACAAGAATCTACGCACTCTCCATGACTTCCTGCTTGTCATTATGGTTTGCCATGCACCCGCGCTTGTATTTACCCCACAACCAGATTAGCATACCTAGTGCCCGACCTCGTGAGGTTGCTGAGAAGCGGTATTTGATTCCGGTTGCTGAGATCGACGCTGAAGAGCTCCGAGCTAGGATCTGCGAGGGTGGCTCTTATCCTCCAGTTGCTCGGCTACTTGACATGTAGACAGACCAGCGGTGCAGCTGTTTGTGTTCCAAAGAGTTGGGGTTTACCAGGTAGGCAAGCAGTTCCGGTCTGCAGGTGCTTGAAGTCGGTGGTTCCGCCGATGACCATCTCCCTCGGTTCTGCGACTGGTTCCTTGTACTTGTGGAAAGGCTTCTTGAGTGCCAGGACGAACAGTTGTCAGGTAAATTCCTTCTTCGTGTCACCCTCCAAGCCTTTAACGGGCTGTTCAATGCCAAGGATGGCGTCGCCGGCTGCGAGCCTAGTGACACCGAAGGCAGTGATTTCATTTGATTGGAGAGGTCTTGTGCCATCCACAAGGGGCGGAGCGCGGTTGGTCATGGAGCATGGGTTGGTCGAGCGGGGGGAAGGGCTACGACCTCGTGGCCATCGTCGCTCGAAGCGAGATGCTTGAACAAGTCCGTCACCAAGATCTTGAAGTCGACGTAGGACTCGGCGTAGTAGAAGACCGAGATCCTGTGGTGGTCCTACTGGAATTCTGCGTCTAGAATCTCTATCGGCAGGTTATGGTCCAGGGCCTGGAGCCTGCAGTGTCAGATTTGCGGACTTGTTGGAAAGAAAGGGTACCACGTACCCGGCTGGGCCTCTTGGACGTCACTACGTGAAAAATTCGGGGTTGCGGCCGAAGCCATTCAAGACTCGCAAGGTTCAGAAACAACCCGGTTTGGTGTTGTTTGGCTGGCTGCAGGCAGTCATGGATCAAGACGTATCTGTCAAGATTGGGGACTGTGGGCTCGGTGCGGCCATGTTCATGGATGTGAGGGGAGGTGCTTTGGTTTTGAGAGACTGCGAACCACTTATCAGTATGACCCACTAATGAGCGAGGGAGCTGATGACTTACCGGGACTTGGTGCTCCCATAATTGTTCGGATAGCGGTCTGGCGACAGGCAGCGGATATTGTTCGGAGAGACGTCTGGTCAAAGCGGACCGCTACCCTAACAACTCAAGAAAGAACCGAATTGTGTCAAGATTCGTAAGGTTCAGGCATGAGGAAAAGAGGAGGGAGGTGAGAGGCGGGCGGGGCAGCTTTTATCTTCTCCTGCCTCACAATGCGTTAGCGTCTTGGCCAGGCGACCTTGCTCGACAGCACCGGCAATAGCAGCCGCGAGAGGCAGGCGCGGCGTGGCACACATGTACCTGTCTGGATGGCCTGTTACAATACCAGCCAGGACATGAGTTTGCGTACTGCACGGCTCCTCCTAGTATAAGACAGGACACCCCGGCTTGGACATGGCATTGTAAGGCACTTCAACTGTGAGACGCGTCGACCAAAAGCAAAGTCGTCGTGACTGGAGGCGGTCATTGATGAGGCTAAAGCGAGTTTCATGACACTTCGAACCGAAACGATCGCTCTCACCATGACGAACTGACAGGGCACATTGACGGATCGACGGCTTGCGTCGTAATGACCGATGGCCCCTTTGTGCTTTAAATAGCGACTGAAAGGCATCGAGTACTGTGCGCCGCAAGGCTCGTCCTCTCATCTCTAAGTGGGTCGCATTGCTTCTCATCCTGGTGTCACCGAGCCGCGGATATCAATTATGTGAATCCCCCCGGGTTCGAACTTACCACCTCTTATGAGATTCATCTAACAATCATTACCGACCCATGCTTAACTAAACTACAAAAGCAAAATCAAGACTCGCAAGGATCCGCCTGAAGTCTGAACCTTACGAGTCTTGATGAAATGTGTTTAGATATGAAAATATATACACACTCAGAAACACATACTGACACACGGACGGGAAGAGCACAAAACTCGGCTATGGCTTCTGACAGCTGAATGATAAATCACTTAGATGCTCTAGGATGAACGCTGACGGGAGTTACACTTGCGGAAATGTTGCTAATAGAAACGAGGATTTCGATAGAGATCCACACGTCCCGCAGCTTATCCTAGAGATCCGACATTCGATTAACGCCCCCTGTCATATGTCCAGCTAGGTTGTAACATTGAAGAACGAGATCTGTATGATATTCCAAGTTATCCTAGGATACCAGCAAGAACACCCCACCATCATGCGCATGTCCCTGGCAACGCACCTCAGCAGGTCAACTGTAACTGTCCTTTATGTTGCCACCAGAGCACGGCCTATGAATTTCATGTTCAATTCGCGATGAATGGGGTGCGACAGGCAGAGAAGGACCGGGCAGTATCACGTTCTGTGCACGAGAGATCGAATATTCCAGCCAAAAGTGCAAAGTCTTTCGATCTCTCTAGTAGAGCCCTCTTGTTTGTTCTCTGGTCGACATTCCTGGGGCTTTTAAGGCTGCAGCTGAGTCTGCAAAAGTAAGCTGTCCCTTCACTGCTTCCACTTTAGCGCTAGTCGCACCAGAAAGGCAATCTGCCACCAGGACTTTCCCTATTCGGCATTCGAGTACAGCTGTGAAATGAAGTCGTAGCGGACGAGGTTGTCCTGTGCGTTCAGTGCTGGTAGATATAAATTTCTCGCTCGCAACAAACCTCTTTCTCAAACATCCCCAATCAACACACTCAACACACTCAACACACTCAACACACTCAACACACTCAACACACTCAACACACTCAACACACTCAACACACTCAACACACGGCACCGGACTTACACATCCTTCACACAGTAAGTGCCTCATTCCCTCCGTCTGATGAAGGCGCTAACATAGAAAGGCGCAATGTCTTCGCCTCCAGCAGAATCGTCGCCGTCGCCGTCGCCTGCGAATCTGTCGCCCGCGCAATTACCCTCAATGTCGTGGTCGGCTATTGTCAAGAAGACGGTCCCACCAAACAACTCTGCTGCCCCCTCGATCCCGCACGCGTCGGACCACCGCGTGCCTGCTCAATTACCTGCTCAGCAGCCTCCAACTGCCAATGCCCATGCGCGGCTGCCCCCTGAATCTACATCGTACGCGCAGCCACATTCGCCCTTCTCACCCAGCACCGGAGGCCGCCGTGGGTCACTCCTTGACGTAGGAAGGGCAGGACATATGTCAGCAGCTCGCGCAGGTGCTCAGCCAGCAGCTCGCGGTGACCTTGGTCAGGCAGGCCGCTCGAGTCAAGCACGCCGCTCGGGTTGGTCTCCGATAACTTGGGCAAATCCTTTTCAGGCACCTCCCATGGACCTCAGCCAGGGAGGCCGCGCAGGTCAAGCGTTAGCAGCTCCTACTAGATCCCCCTATTCAGGCGTTTATCCGGTGTCTGCTAGTGGCAACAATTATTACCGCCCGCCACAAGCACGTAAGGACGCGCAATTCGCCGCCAAAGTCACCGGGTCCTTCGCCAACGAGGCTGCTTACCACAGCAACTCTGAACGTCGCGCCAATGTTGAGCGCAGCAATGCCACAACGGCCACGTCGCTCGCACTCTTGAACGCCCGTCTCGCAACGGCGGCAACAGACACACACACGGGAAGGGTAAACAACACGGCGCATGGCACCAATGTTGCCCTTCCGGCCCATTATTGTAACGACTCTGTCGACATTGCCGGTCCCTCCACTGTGTCCCGTAATGCGATCATCAGCCTCAACTCTGGCGGTAACCCAGCTTTCAACGCGCCCAAGCCGACGAGTAGTGATCCTTCTCCTGCAGGTTTCGTCGGCGCCGAGCGCGAAAAGGGCACTTTGACTCTCACCCAGGTGCCGCAACGAAGGATTCTGGCTGTAACTCTTGGCCTTCTCCGCTCAGGTGTCGCCGCCCAGCTAGTCCAAGACAGCCAGTGGCAGGCGATCAAGGACTTCCTTGACAAATGCGTACCTGTTGGCGGTGGGGTTCCTGAGTATGACGAGTGGCTGCCCTCAATCACAGTCGCCTATCGGTAAGTTGCTGTGAATCTACCTGGATTCTTCCGCGGGTACTGATTTGATTCCAGGTATCCAATTGACGACGAGAATTGGAAGAATTTTGAGGCGGTAGTCTCGGTTTTCGACCTGGCCCGCGACGCTCAGAAGGTTTTGGGTTCCTCTGCCGCCGAGCTTGACCAAGTCAACGCCCGCTTCCTGCTCGCGCCACTTCTCCCGCTCAAGCTGCCGGCCGATGAGCAGATCCGCAATCTGCTTCTCTTTTACAAAATTAGCCAGTAGGTTTGAACTATATCATCAGTAAACCTGACTGAATGCAACAGTGTCGATGTGCGCTCCAACGACTCCGAGGAGTAGACAACGACCGCGGGGTATGATGGAGGACAAACAGGTGAAGCATGAAGAACGCCTTTGCGTGACGCATCAATGACTCATTGAGGGCATATGAAGAAGCTGTGTTCGAGGACTGGTACGGTGATTCTCTGTTATCGTCCTGGCCTTAGGTTCGCATTCATGGCGCATAGTGTATACAGGCTTTGAGCTTCGCTTGAGTCGTCATGCCTACCTTTCCTATCAAGGTCATGTAAGACTATTCCTTCTCCATCCCCACTCTTTGTGATGACATGCCCCTCGGTGCGATATCAGATATCCATTTCATGGCCGTCCTGTTCGTAGTGCTAAGCACCAGCTTCGTCATTGCGCTACTCGTCAATTAGGGGAACGCATGCTTTCAAGCCCTAAACCTGGAGACCTGATAACACAAAGCCCATGGATATCATGATCAAGCAAGAGTAGGCTTGCAGCCGAGAAAAGATTACAAAGGGCAGACAAATTATCACAGACTTCACGGATCACGAAAAGAGTTGTGGACGTATTTAGGCTTCAATACTCATGAGCCATGCCTAGCTCGGAGAGAGTGCAGGTGGCTTGACGTGGGGCTTTTATGTTCAATTGAGACGACTCGCCACACAGCGTGCGGTGCTGGCGGGCGAGGGCGAAGGCACAAGTGCGGGAGAGCGACGGCCGGGCGGCGGAGCTGCTTGCATGTAAGTAACTCGCATAAATACGAGCTGATTGCTCTTTTAATATGATATGCTTTACCGCCTCAGTTCTCCTCGTCCTTCTTGCCCCTTCCGTGGTCCTTTTCCTCCATCTCCTTCTCCGTCTCCTCCTCCTCGGCCTTTTCTCCTCCTTGCGCGAAGGCTGCGGCAGTGGCGGTGGCGGCGGGTCGGGGGCGCCCGCCTTCTTCGCTGTGAGCGAGGTGTCGAATCCCCATGGTGGTGGTAAGGTGTTAGTGGTGCGGGTCAGTGGTGGACTACAACTCAGGTTAGGGTTGAAGACATCTTAGCCCTGGTGTCGATTCCAATCGGAAACCCTGAATCAATATAGAATGGCCAGAATGGACTCATACTTACTGTGGGAGTGGTGCTGGTGCGCGGACTGGTACGGGAGCAGATATGGGCGTAGTCACGTGGATTGGAAAGGGAAACAACGACAGAGTCACAAGTTCCTTGTAAACAGCACGAAGTGATACACCAAGGCCAAAGACGCTCACTTACACTCAGTGAAGCTGGAAAATTCCGCGGCCCTTCGCCGCCTCGCGACGAACATTGAAATTAGTCTTCGTCTCCACCGCGCCTTCCTCGCATGGATTCACTTCATCTCAACAAGCTGGCTCAGTCACGATACTCCAACCACTCATCAACGATATTAGCTGAGTGAGTACCTTCTTCCTGAACTTGACACCCCAATGTGTACTTATCAAGTATGTTGGTTCTGCCGCGCTTGAGCACATGAGAATGCCCTGCTCAACTTCGATACCTTCAGAAGTATTGACAATGCGATAGGGATAACTGATGCGGCCACTCGGACTGTCAGGCGCATGGCCTCGCTGTCGCTCAGTTGCAGACCATTCGACCGAGCTTAAGCTATACTGCAATTCACGCTCTCAACAATTGGAGCTGCAGCTGACAAAGAAGACATGAGTTTCCTTTTAGCGTTAGGGACGTACGAAGTCAGCTCCTTTACCTGGATTCTGATTCAGTCTCAAATAAGATCATTTCTACCATGTCATCGACGACTTGCATGAACTCCAGATCCATTCAATTGTCGAGCCATGAGCATGCTCTACGCCGGGCTACGATATGCAAGCAGGCCCAATCTCGGTCCCGTCAGCTACAATGCGAAATCCTCTAGAATGTGCGGCTTGAGAAAAAGTCAAACACACTGTCATGCAGCCATTGCGTCAGTTTTGCTTTCCAGATTACTTGAATTCTTGCCGATATATGTAGCTGCTGGAGTCTACTTCAACAGAGCCGTTCCTGGTCGTGGTTCCATGGTGCTGCAACTTTTCGATGCCGCCTCAGCCACCTTGACGGTCCATGTCAGTAGTCTAGCCCACTGGGGCTAGGTACGGCAGGTTGTGTCCACCGGGGACATTCATTGTCCCCTCAAGGCGGCGACAATGCCATAGCAGGACTGACGGATAATGGCCGGTGGCGCGGTTTATCGCTAAACGGCGTCCGAGTATGCCGACATGCACCTCAAAGGCCAGGGTCACCTCTCGGGTCCTAACATGAATCCCATGTACGCCATACTGGTGACGCTCAGTAGCAAGCAGGCATGGCACAGTCACTCGGTACGCGTAGCCCTATATGACCTTCTTGACCTGCAGTCCAATCAACGTATAGACGAATTACCGACTGACAGCAGCTATAGTTCTCGATGGAATGGCTAAAAGTCATAGCGGAGCTTAACAGTCTTCAGTCTCTGGTACATCGGCAGCGGTGGTGGTCCATGGGAGAGGCCCTAGGGCTAAGGCGAAATCGAAGATAGAGTGGTTCAGGGCCAGATTCTCGTCTTTTGATTTCAACAACCTACTGAATCCATAACAACACCAAATTGATACGCGATCTAGTCTAGAAGACAGCCGAATGCGCTGTTGTTGCAGGTTGATTTACAAGCCGACCTTTTAGGATCGACAGGATAAATCACCCCACACCACGAGCTATCTCATCGTCCTGAGAAATCATGGAAGAATTGATCGAGTACATATTATGAATGATAGAACCCCTAATGGCTTGTTGAATAGTTTTTAGTCCTTGTGATTCGAATATGGATGCTCTATTGCAAGTGAGGTGGCATCGGCAGAGTCTGACTTAAGTTTCAATAGCTTTTGCTGCGCCAATATCACCGCGAAAGCCTCGCGACTTTCATGTACGTCCCCAGATAGCGTATCCCAATGGTGAAGTTGTCCAGAGACTTATCGGATGCGTGAAGTCAGTAGATTTTACTGAAAGGAGTTAAGCCATCAGCGAGCTGGGTGCGTCACTGCCTTAAGCACTTCGAAGTTGGCCACCATGGTGTGTGACGAGGCTGTATCTGTTGATAAAGATGCAAGGAATCTATATTCCTTGCAAGGTACGAGACCAAAGTGGGGTGTGGCATTGTTTCCCCTGAGTTAACACAAGTACTGGAAGTTGCTAAAAGCCCTAATTGTTATGATGCGTGCACAAGTGATAACCCTGAGTTTGAAATAGAGACAACGCAAAAGTACCAAGTGTATGAGGGCTTGTCCTGGATTAAAGCTCTTCAAATCCAGCATGGGCGACACCCAGGCCGACTGTACCCAGGCTTTCAGCTTTGTTCTGTGCCGTGACGTGAACTTGAGTGCTCGAAGTTCATCTACTGCCGTACTGCCAGTTCCTGATGAGTGGCTCTTGTAGTGAGTGAGTAAGGCAACAGAGTGAAATTGGTGACGGTGTCTTCGCTGGCAAAGATCCAAGGAGTCACGCCATATCGTCGTTGCCTTCACTTCACCGATTGCCGCCCCACGAAGTTCAAATTACCATTTTTTTTGTGGTATATATGCTATTAGAACAGCAGTACTACCATCTAACGACCTGGGCGCATTGCACCACACGTCAGGTTAGTTAGCGGAGTGGTTAGAGGCCCTCAACAGATGCAAGGTACGTCCATTTGTGGTTTACAGCACCAAAAATGAAAAACCTTGTTCGCCTGGGTTTTCTTCTGGCCATTGTGTTGCCCAGTTTGTTTTTGCAAATTTTTCTATGTATATATAGCTATTGGTAGAGTTGTCTGGGTGATTTCTGCTGAAGGCAGAGGTTCAATTCATAGGGTTGAAGATAGTGTACCACGGCATTCTTTTGCTTATTCGATTGTGTTGGGGTGGAGGGTGCGTAGTGAAAGCACCGGGCCTCGACCCATTCTATATGCAAAGGGCAGAAGCGCCATCCGAGTGGGGCCACTAACACGGACGCTACAGGCTCACAGAGCTCGGCCTTCTGTAGTCTTGAGAAACTGACCCAATCCTCTCTCGGTATCTAGCTTGTGGTGTGCCTCCACACCAAGTTTTGCAGCCATCCGAATCCCTTCAATGAGGGCAACTAAATGGATATGGCCGTGTTGTTCGTACACTTCATTCAACCTGATTAGGTCTTGGGGGGAGTGCTTACAAAGTTAGATATCAGGTTAGGCATATAGAGCCTCGGCAATTGCACGATTTCCACTCGAGGCATACCGAATGGTTCGGAGCATCTCAGCATACAGGAACCCCCCAGACCCTCAAGACTGACACACTACAGCTTGTAAGAATGTCGATAACGGCCATGCATCCAGTGCGGCAGTTACCTAACAGCGCGTGCTAGCGGATTCCCAGTCGCGGGGTCCCCGCACTACTAAATCGCCTAGCAACCGTCTCCAGAACAAGCTTGCGCTGTCGCACCTCATCATCTTTCACGCTTTGCCCCATAGCGTATTGCCATCCCGAAAACCACGCCGGTATGAAGACCACGCCGAACAATATGCGGCTCCGCAAGATACCAGAGGCCTTTCCGCGCCGGTTCCGTATGCAATGAGAAGATCCCGGCCAGGCGGCCGCATGACGAGCATCCAATCCACTCGCAATGTCCGGAGGAGAGCGCGTAACACCAAGGAGGGCGAGGCGGTACTCCGGCGCCGCCTATTCGCGTCGAGGATGCACAATCTAGACCGCCGTAACATCTGCTTCAAGATCCCGTTCATGCCTCTGTGCGCGCGAACGCACCATCTCGCAACTATCGTCGACCATGAAGGATGAGGCTCCCATTCACATCGAGAATGCATCGGGGTCGGGGTCAGCAGAAGGTTCCCTTGAGGGAGCAGTGCCTCTGGCTGGCGTTCTACGCCCCCGTTTGAGCAAGTTAAATATGGTTGGCTTCAGCTTCGCTATTCTCAACACCTGGATCTGTCTGGCAGCAACAATAGGCATCGTGATGCCCTCTGGGGGCTCCGTCGCTTTCATTTATGGATTTGTCTTCTGTACTTTGTGTAACATCGCCATTACAGCGAGCCTTGGAGAAATGGCATCTATTTGGCCAACAGCAGGCGGGTACGTGAGCCTCACGGCTGGGCAGATACATTGCTGACTTTCTCCAAAGCCAATATCACTTCACATATTCATTGTCCTCCCAAAAGTGGAAAGTGATAACCAGCTTCTGCTGCGGCTGGGCGAACATAGCCGGATGGCTCACTCTCGTCACGACAGAGGCCTTCTTCGCTGCACAGTTCCTTTCAGCAGCCGCAGTCATTGGTTCCGGTGGCAGCTATGTGATTGAACCATGGAAGGTTCGCACACCGCGAGGACCTGATTGATAGAGCTGACTACAGCAGACTTATTTGATCATGGTTGCTGTATCCACCTACGGCACGTTGGTCAATCTCTTTGGTAACTCCATTTTAGGGCGCTATAATGACTGCGCGCTGTAAGTAAATCACCGTTTACAATTTGGAGGTCTCTTACCTTTCGCGATTATTTGAAAAATGCACCACCCCGTCTTCACTCACGCTCACTTTGTACGCGCACCTCAGGTACTGGTCTGTCGGTGGATGTGCCGTCATATCAGTCGTTCTCCTAGCTTGCACCGGCTCCCACAACGACTTCACGGGCGCTGAGTTCGTGTTCACTTCGTTCGCGAACGAGACGGGATACAGCGACGGCGTAAGTTGGATCCTCGGACTACTTCAGTCGGCACTCTCGTTGATTGGTTACGACGTTGTTCTACACATGACGGAAGAAATGCCGACTCCAAGGGTATGAAATGCACCACACAAGTACTCATTGAGGCTGAGATACTAATTTACATCACAGATAGACGCTCCATTGGCGATGATCATGGCTGTTGTTGTGGGTGGTGTCACAGGCACTGGATTCATCCTCGTGATGCTCTTTTGCCTTTTTGACCCAAGTTCCGTTTTTTCTTCCCAGACTGGGCAGCCAATCACGCAGCTCATGTACCTTGTAACAAGGAGCCGTGTAGGTACTGTCATCATGTCAGTGATGCTTTCCATATGTTTCTTCAATGGAACGATGGGCTGTATGACGTCCGCTTCTCGGCTCCTTTATGCGATGGCCCGAGATAAAGGGATGATATTTCCATCATTCTTCGGTCGCATTCACCGACGCCTCGATGTGCCGATCGAATGTATCATCTTTGTTCAAGTTTTCAATCTGGTAAGTGCAATTTGCCTTCTCCCTTGCACAGAGACTGATCGGCGGAAGATCTTCGGACTCCTATATCTCGGCCCAACGGTCGCTTTCAACGCGTATATCTCCAGCTGCACGATCCTCTTGAATCTATCCTATGTGATCCCTATCACGGTAATTGTGGCCCGAGGCCGTTCTGTCCTCACTCAGTACCAAACAGATGAGACACCGTTCAAACTCGGCAAATGGGGATGGCTGTGTAATATCGTTTCCGTCATCTACGTCTTCGTGACCAACGTGTTCTTTTGCTTCCCAGCAGCGATACCGGTGAACACTAATAACATGAACTACGTCAGTGCAGTTATCGGCGTATTCGTGATTCTCCTCGGCGCATATTATATTTTCTATGGAAAACAATTTACTGGACCAGTAAGCAGAGATACATCACATTTGAAGTGTTACTGACTTGGTGTTAGAAATTCGAGGCTATTCTAGAGACTGTCGAACACGAACGCGAGCTGCATCGCAATTCAATCGATCGCAACATGGACCACGTCATACACGGTCGACGAAACTCTCTTGATCCCAGTGAGCCGCGGCATGTTACAGAAATAGAGGAGAAAAATGTTGTGACAAGTTAAATGAATGTACACATAGACGAGAACCTCTTACTTGCGCTGCTACGTCACAATATTGGATACTACAATGCCTTCTGGGCCAACATGACCTAAGATTTTACGATCAAGCACTGTACAGTGTCCCCAACGTCTATTTTGTATTTATGTTCCTAAATGGGTTGGTTTGGGAGTGCATTGGAACTATTCATAGATCGTATCTCCAATATATATGAAGTGGCAATGTACGGCAGGGAACACCTCTGGTAGTTGGACTCAGACCCCGCGTTCTCTTGTCGCTTGCTCAACTTATGACGTTGCAACCCTGCCTATGACCCGTATTCGTATCTGACTCAGCTTGCAACTTCGAGACTGCAAAATCATCAGTGAGCCTCATATTATCCATCTCACCGGAAATAAAGTTTGTTCCTTGCGCTGTGATCCTACAATGCAACAGGAACAATCATGTAGCATCACTCTATCACGCCATCACGCCTGAATCGAGCACCTGGGCAATTCCATATCAAGCTTTCTCTCATGCTACCTTACCGAATCTCGCACCCGATTCGTTCATTACCTCTTATCAGACATGGGTCACTCGAACGGTCAGCTGCGCAAGGATCTCCGCCGCATCGTCGTGATAATCCCCAAACTCTCCACAAAGTCAACAGTCTCCTCAGCAAGTCTTATCACTGGCCGTGCAGATTCCTCAAAAACAGCTGCCCAGCCCACAGCATAGCCAGGAATACGCACCACTGCCTGAAGGTCCAAGCTATCCACTGCACCAGCAAGCGCCGCCGCAATTTTCCCAGCTTAACCCCAATCTCGAGATCTTCGATACAGTGCTCCCACTCAGTCCAGTTCAACGCGACCCGGATATCCCCAACCCGGCTACACCCAGCAAGGTTACACTCTGGGAGGTATTTTTGAGCAAATTTCCCCGCGGCAAGACCCACAGCGAGAGTTCCCACAGGAAAGTTTCCCTCAATACGAGTACCCGGAGCGGACTTCCCCTCGGCCTGACAGTTCTGCATCCAATTCCTCCAGTCACGAGACCAGCTGTATCGACATGTCCGCAAAAACTTCATCCGAGAAGAACCAAGAGCAGGGCCCAGCCCCAGCCTATGACGACGGAAACGTTGGAGGCGGCAGCAACACCAACTGTCGAAACTGTGTAGACTGTGAGAGCTGCACCAATTGCGATAACTGCGTGCGTTCAAAGAGCTGCACCGGCTGCAAAGATCTTGTAGATTGCAGCTCCTGCACTAATTGTGAGAATCTGAAAGGGTAAGTGGCCGGTGTATGTACGTTTGGTGAGAAGCCTGACAAGGAACTAGATGTTCGTCGTGTACCAACTGCTCGGGACTGGTCAATGAGCATAGCAAGACTGGTATCCATCGCTGAACGCGAGGGCTCTTGGGATGGATGGTAAGAAGCGGAACGGAATAAACAAGAAATCTCATAACGTGGTGATACGAACTACAAGATACGAGCCGTAAACAGGGTTAGGCACGACTTATAGACCTATCAAGAAGGTCGAGCTGGTTGCAATAGCTGTGCAAAGGAAGAAGAGAGATGAATTGTGACGAGTGAAAAGAATTCCCGTAGCGGGCAGTGCAGCAATGCCAGTGTTGGGCTGTCAGAAGTTATAAATTGCGTTGTGGTATCGGGCGAAAGTAGTGTAAGTTGGCTCGTGCACAACAGGGATGCAGCCCCTATGTAATCTATCAAAGTTTCTGACAAATCTACCTTTAGCGCCACCTAATTTGTATAGTGATACAAGGTGTCTCTGTCGCGCCTGGCATTGACACGTCATCCACACAATGACTGAACCACCTTCAACACCTCGTCACCGGTACCTTAGCCGTGATGAGCGTATAGCGGCGCGCGCCCTACGTCAAGCAGGTCATACCTATACCTTTATCGCCAACCAGCTATCTTGTACGGAGAGACAAGTTGCCTACGCAATAACTAGAGATTGCGTCACGCCCAAGAAACGCTCCGGTCGCCCACCTCGACTCAGTGATGCCCAGGTTGATCAACTTGAGGCGTTCATCCGATCCTCGAATAGTAATCGGCAACTGAGCTATCTACAGCTTGCGCAGGGTCCTTTTCAACACTGGAATGTTGGTGAATACACAATAAGGAGTGCTCTAAGAAGGCGTGGGTATAGACACTATGTTGCCTATACTAAACCTCCCTTTACTAAAGCAAATCGGCAGATACGCCTTGCGTGGGCACAAGCTTATATCAACTGGCGACCATGGCAGTGGTGGAGGATCCTCTGGAGCGACCAAACATGGATAACTGTTGAAGCTTTAAAGAACAAGATGAAGAACTATATAGAGCTATAGTACCTAGATTAGGATGGTGGGAGGTAGCCAACGTATGATGAACTATGTAGGATAGTATAGGAAGCTTGGGAAGCAATCACAGTAGAGCAACTACGAGAGCACATTGATTGTATGCCAGCTCGACACCAGGCAGTAATTGACGCGCAGGGCGGGCATTTAAAGTACTAGAAAACTGTATGTAGTATTGTGCTGAAATGGAATGTCACATTTAATTACATAGGAGCTGTATCTTTGCAATGCGCGGACCACCTACACTACTTTCGCCCGATACCACAGTAGACCGAGTATCTGGGCATATCATCGTCATCTTGTAGCCACATCCCCAAGTCATGCTCTCCTACGCAATGTTCGAATCATAAATATCAAGCGGCGTCCTACGCTTCAACGTACCGTCTGTTTCCCGATGTTCTTCCTTACTCTAGCGTTATAATCGTCTACGAGCTCCTGTGCATCTGCGAGATCTTTTTCCGGGAGCCAGTCGCTTGAGTCTTCGTACCCAGCCCACTTGACTAGGTAATAGCGCTTTCCATCTTCGTATGAGTGCGACATGATAGTCTCGACGACGTATTCCTCATCATATTCGCCGTCCCTTGCATCATTCACGTCGATGTCCTCATTATTGTCGCCAAAGCGTTGGCCGTGGTCCTGCGGTTTGGGATTGAGACCATCAACTCCCGTGTTCTGACGTTGGGGTGCAGGTCGTCGCGCAAGGAGCGGGTGTTCGTAGCTGGAGTTATCATCTGACTGTTGTGCCTGTAGAGCCGCTGGTAAGGCTGACGTAGAAGTTGTGCTCTCCGTCCTTCGCCGTTTTATGCGCTGCCGTTCCTCGTCGTCCACCTCTTCTTCGCTCTCGATCTCATCATCGCTATGGAATTGCCGGCCGTAAATGTCCCGCTCGAACTGCAGCTGTGTAGCAGCGCTCGACATTGACCGTGGGTCTTCTTCGGTATCATTGTATTCGGGGTGGGACTCGTGGGCACGAGGGTTGTGCATGGGCATTGTTTTGGATAGACGCCGGTGCGCTGCAACTGGAGAGAGCGGCAGAGCGCTGTTCGCGACAAATGAGCTAATGGCGAAGTTTGGCGATGGATGGCCTGAGAGGTTGAGCTCATCACCGTCCTCCTCACTTTCTGATGCATTCGTGATGGCAGACTCCAGCATCTTCTGGTCTGAAAGACGAGTATCCAGATCTTCGCTATCGACCACCTGTTCTGCCGCAGAAGCAAGACCACCGCGACCTATTGCCCATCCTCGTCCTCGTCCTCGTCCTCTACCTCCGCCCCTCCCTCGTCCCCTGCCTCTGGGTCTGCCTCTTGTTCGGATCGAAACCTCGCCAATATCCAGTACCGGCCCGCTTGTCGTCAGATCTCCACTTGCTCGACCACGTGGTTTGGCATTCCTCAGCAGCCTCCGCTTCGCAGCTTCTTCTGCCTCTGTTCGTCTGTCAACTTCCTCGGCCTCTGTGATTTGTCTGTAGTCTTCTTGCTCGAAGCGTTCCAGCTCGCGGCGGGACACGTATTTTAGAATCTGGCTCATCTCGATCTGCGCGACTTCCTCGTGGGGGCCGGTGGACGCTCGCTCGGTCTTGACTTCGTCGGATTCGTACACGATGCGGACGTTATAATAGTAGCGCGAAGTGCTTTCTACTTGTCTGCGGCTCAGGATTGAGGATTCCGCGTTCGGGATGGGGCATTGCTTAGGCAAGCTTCGCGTGATGACAGGCGGCTCATTGCGCAGGCGGAAGAGTTCTTCGTACACCTCGGGTTCTGGTTTGTAGTTTGTGTATTCGTACTATCGCTCGCTGTCAGCTGTGTTCCATAGAATAAGACCCAGTAAAAATTACCAGCTGTGTGCGCAACTTGTTCTTCGACCCTCGCGGTCTGCCGAGCCCGCGACCTCTCCCTCCTCCTCTCATCGACATCTTCCGGCGGGACCGCGCACCGTTTAGAGTCGAGGCGCGCGCAAGAGCGTGAAGCGGCGGTGCGAGGCAAGCTGGAGCACGTAGGGCGCGTCATGGTGAGATAAGCATAGCGACGTTTGACGCGTGAACGTTCAAACAAGTGAACGGATTGAGCAAACCGCGCTTATCGCGCTTCCCTAAACGCGCTGTTGCCCACCTCGGCGTCCATATCACCTTGTGCAGCCAGCAACCATCAAGACGAAACCATCGATTGCAACAGCTCCAGCAGTCCCCCTCGCCATAATGTTGAGAGTCTCGATGAGCCCCTCTTTGCGAGCTGTACCTGTGGACGGAGCCCCACTATAGGATGTAGATGGATTCCAGTTGCACTGCTCAGCGAGTTGTGGGTGTAAATAATTGATTATTCCATCAACATGTCCATATCTCTTCCCCCAGGCGGTGCGCTCCATTTCGATAGCTCTCCAAATCTTAACCATAACTTGAAGAGATCCATAAGCCGGTCAGGTGCACCCTTTGCCCCATTCCAGTCTTCACGCAAAGGAAAATACCAGGTTATCTGTCTCAATCTACCGCTGTCTCAAATTACCCATATGTCCGTCCTCTTCGGAAGAACCCATATTGGTCATGTCTCTTAGCCTGCTTTAGTAAGTTCTCTGTCGTCCCGTGTGCCAAATCATCACTCTCTGCGTAAAGATATGCGCGCGGGTATCGTCACTGCGCGTAGCCGTCCACCAAAGCTATGTGGACTGCCCGAACGTCCTTAGGTCGAAGTACCGAAAGCCTAACAGTATGCGTTTGATGGCTGCGTCGTATGACCTGCTCCGCTGTACGCAATTGTCATGTCAGTCGCACACATAGTCTCAGGAGGACTCACGTCAAGCTCGCTCTGCAGATGCAATCCTGGGCCTCCCGTAGCCGCTTCAGTGGCATCCTCGGCAGTGAGAAGGTAGCACTCATCGGCGGGATCGCGTGCCATCTTCGCGAGGGCCGAATAATCGAAAGTGGGAGCCGCAGACCTGGGTCGTGGCGGAGGCGGCATCAGCTCGCTGTCGATCTGGGCGGCGGTCTCTGGAGTGGTCTTTGAGGGACCAGATGGAGGGATCTTGGGCCAGAGAAAGCTTGCAACAGGAGGCATTCCGGGGGCTTGAATGGGAGGGGCGTCGACCTTGCGGTATCCCATTTTGGAAACCGCGGTAGCGAAAACTTCGTCTTTCCAGAGCAGAAAGTTCTCCCCGCCAGAGCAGAGATAGTCCAGGTACCAATGGGGGACGCTCGAGATCTCGAAGCCCCAGAAAGGTCCCTCGTTGAAGCAGAGAACAACCTCGTCTAAGACAATTTCCTTTTTGGGAGCGAAACGGCGGAAATCAGCCCAGTCGGAAGCAATATGAAATTCCAATTCGTCGTCGATCTGCTGCTTGGTCTTGCGGGCCTTGGGAGGCATTATTGCGGCGCGTGGAAGATGGAACGGAACGGAGAGTGGAGGGACGGAAGATGAGTGAGTTCGATGAAAGTGAAGGGCAAAAGCGGCACCCACGACGGTTTGAGGGAAGGAGCCAAATGGTGAGGAAGGAGTGACCTTTGGCCAGCGAACTGCTGGAGTACTGCTCATTGAACAGCATGCTATGCTCATGCAGCGCTTCAGATCTGAGGTTGTCGGCTCTTCCTGGGTTGGCAACATCGTGTTGCGTATCCATGTCTTGCTCCAGCGCAGCAGCTGATGAATCCATCCACGGTGCAGAACGTGAAGACAACCAGAAAATCACAAGGAACGACAGAATTTGCATTTCACAGACTGAACCTCTGGATCCCTGCAGAAGTGTCGTTTGCCATAAGCCGTGCGTGTTGACCCAGGATGCTCTATGAGCAGATTTCCGGCAGCAGAACGCAGCATCTGTCGATTCACCGTAACTCTAAACATAACGCAAATCATATCGGGAAGAAAGTAGTCACCATGAAACAATCTCCATTCTTCCGTACATGGCGCGTCGTTGCATTCACTCACAGTGCATCCCTGGGTCGGCTTTGCGAACCAAAAACGATAGTCCCTCACCACGAACAAAAATACCAGCCCACCACACCCGGACTCGACATGGCACCCAAAGGGAAACACAAAGGGAGAAGGGACTTACTTTGAGTGAAATCTTCTTGGAGGTAGTGGTCGAACCAATGCAACGGATCATCTCCGCGCCACTCTTTTGTGGATCTTTTGTGGATCATTTGATGTCAATAGCTCTTGTTGATGGTATATATGTCACAAGAGATAGGATAGCTGTGCCAATTTCAGTGGGTGAGAGAGCATAGAAGGGAGGGGGGTGCGTTGTTGTGGGCGGGGCAGTGAAGGCAGGCATGCACGCGTGTTTGGGAAGGCCGGTACGACGATGGCCCGGATCCGCCGCAGACGATGCTTCCAATGCTTTGACGGGTCGGTCTTCCGCATACAATCAAGCTGGATGTGTACTTGCGGGATCTTGGTATTACGTACGGTCTCACGCCTGGCCCTAGAAATCGCTGCGAGCATTCGACACAGCTTTTGCGCGACTGAGTGGACTCAAGGTCAGGAACGTAAATTCATCAAATTGGTATATAGCAAACCATCTAGACACTACCAGAGAGCAATGTAAATGCAGTTATGCGCCATACATGCTAAGCTAAATGCAACAGATCGCCTCATTGACCCAATGCTCAAAGGGAAGAAAGAAAAGCCTCCCCTAGAGGTCTCCGTTTCTTCTCTTAGCAGCTTCCAACGCCTTACTCAGCCTTTCTTTCTTGAGCTCCTCCTCACTCTTCCCCTCGCTCGGCTCAACACCACCTTCAGCCGTGTTTCCACCGTCTCCTTTGATCAGCTTCTCTATCTCTTCACGATCCTGATCGAGAACCGCCTCTTTTCGCTGGAACTCCTCTTTGAGCTCCTTCTCGCGGTCTGAGATCTGTTTCTCAAGCTGGGCGACTTTGTCGATTTGCTTTGCTGTCTTCGCTTCCGCGAGTTCAACTTCGAGAACGGAACCACCAACGTCGATCTCGATGTCGTTTAATAGTAGCAGAAGTGATTTCGACGAGTCGCCTAGCGCGAGTACAGTCTCTTTCGCTCGTGTGTACAGCTTTTCGTTGTCCGGTGAGGAAGGCAGATCGCGCACAGCAGCGATGATCTCCTGAATCTCTTGCTGCTCTACACCAACGGCTGCAACAACCGTTGACTCGACTATGCGCACAAACTCTGTCACGCGGTCAGCTTTCTCCGCACGAGCGCGCTGAACCGCGTCCTTCTCGGCATTGGCAAAGTGCGCTTCAACCTGCTTCATTTTTACGATGTTGCCCGCGGCGTACAGCGGCTGTATTTCTGTCTTCTTGTACCGCTTGTCTCGTTCTGCGACCGCCTCAACGACTTTGTCGTGTCGCTTCTCGATCTTTTCAAACAACTCTTCAAGCAACTTCAAACACTCTTCTACGACCGCTGCATCACTCCCCTCGAAAGTTTTTGCTCCTGAAACTGCTGTCGAGAGCAGGCTTTCCACCTCGATGTAGAGATCCATAAGACCCTTAATTTGCTGTTGCAGCCCGTCATAGACATTACTGAATACGGTGTCAACGTAAGATTGGTATTCGGCTCGATCCTCGTCTGCCTTTAGCCTGCGTTCTTCCTCTTTGAATTCGTCTTCAAGAATAGCGATATCTGCGTATGAGATCTCATGGTTGTCAAACAGCTGATCAGTCTCCTTCTCGCTTGACTCTTGTCGTTTGCGACGAGCTTCATCGTTCTTTTTGCGTACGAGAGACGCAGACTTCTCCCAGGGATCGGTCAGTTCTTGGAAGGACGGTAGATCCAATGGAGCACTAGCAAGTCGTTTGCGAACCGCTTCCAGTTGGGGATTTGGCTGCGGCAGGCGTATCTTAGCGGGCAGTAGCCTTGTCAATTTCTCCACTGCGTTTTGCTTGGGTGTTGCCTTGGCCGCTACCGCAAGGGGATGCTGTGTGAATAGTGGCGCAGGAACTGCCACCTCCGGATTGGCATTTGTGCCTGTGATTGGTCTGATGGATGGTAACGAAGTCCCGGTTGAGGCACCAAAGAAAACTTCATCCTTCTTACTCCCATGCAACAAGGTCGGGTTAGGCGCTGGAGTGGTAGCAGAGGACACCGATTGACGGTGTAGGCTCTGTATTGAATCCACTTGAGAGATAGGTAATGGCACGTACGCCTTGTACTGTGTTTGTGCCTGCGGCTCTGCAGGTGGCGATTGTACAGGTGTGGGTGTTTTGCTCGCGTTTTCATCCTGTGAGCTTGTAGGTGTAAGAACAGTGGTCGACTGGCTGGATACGCTGAACGATTGCTGTGTATGACCGGACGCCTCTGACTTGAGCGTAGGCCTATGGTGCACGATCGGTCTACCGCCCGGACTGTACTGTATGTCATCATCTTCGACAGGAGCAGCGGTGGGTACATGAACGTTGAGTTTCGTAAGCTTTGGAGAAGTCTTCGGTTCCTGGTTGGATGCGACTGTCGATTGAGAACTCTCCTGCTGCGGCTGGCTGATTGGCTGCGATGGAGGTGCATTTTGGTAGTCGAGGCCACGAGCGCCAGACTCAGCCTTGAGAAAGCCTATGAACACTTTGATCTTGTCCTCAACTAATGGGGTTTGTGCCTCGCTTCGCAACATTGCGATGTATCGCTCCAGGGAACCAGCATACCAAGGGTCTAGATCCGGGATCAAACTGGCAGGAGTGGGTTTAGGTGGCTCCTTGAGCTTCTCGGCCTCAAGTTGTTGTCTCAAGTCATTCGCCAAGCCTTCCGCTGTCTGATTGTTCTCAATCTGTTGCTTCAGATTGCTAATCTCGATGTCTTTGAGTTCGGCCTGCTTCTTGAACTCATCAACAAAAACGTGACCCTGTGCAATTGTTTCTTCTTTCGCCCTGAGCTCGTCTCGTAGTTTCACTATTTCATCGTCTTTTTCCTTTATCGTGTCTTCTTTCCCTTCCGAGTCTTCCTTCCATCGTTCGATTGTGAGATCTTTGTCTCTGGTGGAAGCATCCGCATTGGTCTTTGCTTGTTCCGCAGCAGTCTTCATTGACTCGATCTGATCAGCCAGAATCTTCCTCTCGTACTCCGCATGAGACTTGGTAGTCCCGATGACCACCTTCAGCTGTTCGACCTCGGCCTGCAAACTACTTTCCTTTTGTTGCGCCTCTGCCCGTACGCGCTCTAATGCTTCGTCTTTGGTTCTGAGTTCGGCAGCATATGTAGCATTTGCCTGTTCAATTTCCGGGTTTACCGAACGCTGCTGGCTCTGACCATTGTCATCTATCGAGAAAGAAGTGCTCGTCGCTGGCGGCGGTTGGTGCTGTCCTTGCTGTTGTGCAGGCGTGTTTCGTTGGGAAGACGGCTGTGAGACTCGCAATGGTGCGACAACAGCGTCGCCCACGACGAAATTTTGCTGAGACTGTGATGCTGGCGGCGGAGCGTTGCCCACGATGAAGCCTTGGAGTGGTGGTTTGGATGGTGGGCGTTGAATATTCGGCGGAGGCGTGGGCTGATATTGATCACGCTCCGGGGTCACTGCGGATACGGGTTGTACAGGTGGCGTAGGCCATTCGCCTTGTGGTTGAGGTGGAGATACCTGTTGCGACATGACCTCCGCACTGTCCAATTGCACAGGTACGCCATGGCGCCCGTCTTTCTTCGCTCCAAATATTTCTTCGTCGTCTATTTCTTCGCCTCCCCCGAAATGCTCCCAGTCTGACGGGCCGCCTGTTCCCAACACGCTGAACTTTGTCACGTCGTCTCGAGGCGGCGGAGGCGTGGGCAAGTTTGGTGGCGGCGGTTTCGGAGACGCAGTTCGATTGCCCGCGCGCTGAGCGTGAATAGCACCAAGAGCTATGGAACTGACCGAATCTGTTCGTCCAGGCGCAGTGTGACCTGAATTGAATCCCGTGCCGATACGCGTTTGGATCGGAGATACTGGTTGACTTTGCGGACTTGGCTCACTGACGAATCCTGGAGGCGCTGTACCGGTATGCCCGCTGACCGGCTTTGGAGCTTCAATCCCTTGATTGGCTACTTGGCCATACTGCTGTCCAGCAACCGAACCTTGGGCCTGATGTCCTGGTTGCCATGTCTGTTGCTGGGTACCGTAGGAGGTATGTATGCCGGTCTGCTGCTGCGCGTAGCCTTGGTCCGCCGGAGGATTCGACTGCCATTGGTTCTGCTCCTGTTGCTGATATGCCTGCGGTTGGACCGCCTGCGGTTGGACCGACTGCTCTTGAGATGGGTGTTGGTATGGAGGAGCAGGCTGGCTTGTCGCCTGGGCTGGCTGGCCGTATTGTGATAGATTCTGACTATACTGCCCCTGTTGTTGCTGTTGTTGCTGTTGGCCTTGAGCATAGGGACCTTGCACAGGGTTTCCGTAGGGGCCTGGCTGTTGAGCCTGCCCTCCGGATTGGTATTGATTTTGCGCGAACTGCTGCGCAGGGTATACAGATTGCTGGCCATACTGCCCCTGTGCTTGTGCTGGCGGTACACCTTGCTGACCTTGCGCGTACAGATTCGGATCTGGTGCCGGCTTCGTGTATTTGAACTTCTTGCCTCCTTGCAAGGGGGCATGCGATGCTTGTTGCCAAGCTGGTATGTCCGGGGGCGGAGGAACGTATACGCCAGGCACTGGGTTCGTATTCGAGGGAACATAGGACTGAACGCCTTGACCGCTAAGTGAGGGAGGAATGTACGCAGGATGCTGTTCGTTCGGGCTCAGGACAGAGCTTGGGGGATGCTGCGCAACTGCAGATGACGGTGTCGAGTACATTCCTGCCTGATCAGCGCCGTAGATCGACCCAGGCCGGCCTCCGAGTTGTGGTGTTTGCGAGGGTGGGAAGTATGACCCCGCTGGCGTCTGCGATGGAGGCGGAGGCGCAGTGGCGGTATATGCCTGCTGTGCTGTGCTCTGACCCTGGTATCCACTGGTCTGAGTGTAATCACCCTGCGGTACGTGTGTTCCATAGCTTGCGTTCTGCTGAGCGCCGTATCCGGCCGGTTGTCCCCAGTTCTGTGTGATGGGTTGTTGAGCGGCGGCAGCGAAGGCAGCTGGCTTCGGCGGAGGTGGAGGAGGTACGTCTTGTTGGTGGGACTGGTATGCGGTAGGAGCCTGCGTGGTATTCTGGAGGTATAACGTATCAGTATGGATCCACGCCCTTTCTAGCAACCTTGCGGCATCGTACCTGTTGTGACTGCGAGTATCCACCTGGCATTGCGCCGTAGACACCGGGGTTGTAACCTCCAGCTTGCTGCTGCGGCTGGTTCCATTGCTGTGGTACTGGCGTCTGGTTTTGGGTGGGCGCCGACCACTGACTCTGCGCTTGAGGAGCGGCGCTTTGATATCCTTGGGGCGCTGCACTGGAGATCAGCAATCTGCCCTAGTATGCGATAGCGGTTGGCGCACCTCCGTAAGGCGGAGGCACTGCTGGTGCTGACGGATAGCCCGTAGTGCTTCCGGGCCTCTGATACCCCGCCTGATGCTGCCCGTAGTTCTGCATCTTGGAGTCCTTGTATTCTGCCCCTCCGCAGCTTTCGAGCGCGCCGAAGCTGGACTCACTGACGGACCGATGCGGTTTGCGGTGGGTGTATACACGAGAATCGAGCGACCTTGGCAAGGCGCGCAACTGGACAAAGGCGCAAAAAGGTTGGAAATCAGGGTTGCATTATGGAGGAGAAACGGGCAACAGGAGGCAGCCTGCAGAGGTCGCAGCACCTCGTGTCGTGTTCGCTGGGGCTGAGAGCTGAAGCTCGGGTGCACATGTCTTCTCGAACAGGGAAAGTGCTGCCGCCACGCGCTCCCCCACATTGCATGTGGATCCGCAGCAGCGGACCCTGCTCATCCAAAACACTATGCCTGTCATCGCGAGATTCGGTCTTTGGGCTCTGCTTCCGCTGCTCTAGCTGCAATGATACTTCCAAGTTACGATGATGGCCCAGAAATCATTGCAGGAATATGCGCTGGGCCTAGAGGCACTGCACTCTCACGAGATACTCCCCCCGGGGCGTCTGCCCCCCACGCCTGCATCGAATGGCGGGAAGCACGATGGGTCGGGGCTTGGCTGGAATAGACGGCAAATCGATGCGCGGGTAACTTTTCGGCGGCTTGATCAGAGCAGCCATGAGGTCGGTGTACAAACGAACAGTCAAACAGCCAGGCTTGGTATACGTAGGCGTGCTCAGCACATGTTAAATCTCATCTGCAAACACCTTCTCATTTTTCTTCCTACTTGTCTTCTACTCCTGCATTACGAGTGTGCATCATTCCATCCTTCAATCCTACATAATTAGTCCTATTTCATATTATTGCCTTCCCTCATACTGTTCCCCACTTGTGACGAGATCGCGGCGTGGATCAGGATAGCTGGTGAAGGTGAGTTTAGAATGTCCGGGAAAAGGAAGCCTTTCTGGACGAGATGTGCCGAGTGAAGAGCGGTATTGTGGGTCGGGGGACGAGGGTGAAGTGAGTGTTTATGATCATGGCGACCGGGCAACCAGGCTATCACGTTCACCACGGTGTTGAAAATTCTCCCCACCGCCATATATAAAGAAAAAGACTGTCCATAGTCCCTGGTTCCATCACAAGGGCCGACTCGCCAGAATGTAAACCGACACCACGACATGCGAACACGTCTTCGACAACATGCAGAACAACCCAAACGTCCCTAACGGCCCCGCACCGGACACCGCTACCACCGCAGAAGCTCTCTCGATGCTCGCATCTCTCCGAGCTCATCAACAGTGTGCCCCTCCGCACGCGCACTCAATCTTCGTTGGCGCCACCCGCACCGAGGTCCGGAGCATCCTCGCACCCGGCCGCCTTCGAGGTACTATGCACTACGAGGCGATGCCGGAGTCCATGGCACAAGACAAACTCGGCAAATTCCTCAAGGCCATCGATGACGATCCTGATCGGGCTGTATTGGTCCGCTCCGTCAAGCTGAGCCTCGAGTGCGACCACTTCAAGCACTCAGGAGTCGCCGAGCTCTTCAACCAGGACGTTTTGCCGTATTACCCCTTCACGGACGACGAAACCAGCGAAGAACACCCGCCGCTCACGTACGCCCCACTCTACCTCAAGAACATTCAGCGACGAATGGCGCACGAGCCGCGCCTCTCCCAGCACCCGACGTGTCCGACCGACATTGCACTCCCAAGGAAGGAATTTTTCTACATGTATACGTGTTTGTCACTTTACTTGCCCTCCAAATCGATGTCTTAATCAAGCTTTGTCCGAATCCTGAGGCTATCGACGCGCCGGCACAGTGGTGCCCAGTTCCGGATCTCCCTTTTAAGGCGGATATCTTGCAAAAGTGGAAAGAGCAGCGTAACTGGGAGCTTGAGACTAAGGAATACGTTCCGGGTGACTACGTGAGGATTGGCGAGAAGGCTTCGACGCTGCCAACCTACAGTCCTAGACGAACTGGGACTCCTAGGACATCGCGATGAATGGCTGAGGTGGAAGACGGCGCTGCCTGCCGCAAGGCATCTTAGCTGTGGCTGAGTCCCCTGTATCATATCGAGTTTCTTTCCTTATGATTCTTGATTGTCTAAGCTTAGCTGTCAATATCCTCTGCAATTTGGAACGGGTCCTTGGGAGGCTTTTCAATGGAGAGTCGGCTGCTACGTACATCTGCTTGGAAATTCCTTCTCTGGAGCTTGTTTCTCCGCATGTATAATACCAATGGAGGCAATTTCTACCTCTAATCACATTTCCTACTATCCTATGGGTGCCCTCTCCGTGAAGACCAAGCAATGAACTGAACTTCTATGTTAATGATCACTGGTTGACGCAAGAACGACAATGCCGCCGCTCTCGCTGCAACAAAAGATTACTGCTCGCAGTCCCTCTAAGTAGTATCGGTTCTACAAGCGCTGCACTTTCTGTGCCAGCTTCCTGCCTCCGCACCTGCCTTCACCACCTCGTGCCTTCCCCAACGTCAGCGCAACCCCGCTTTCCAGCCCCTCACTCGCCCACATCGACGCTTTACAGTTATCCCATATTATCCATCATCTAAGTATATATATAACTCCATTCGCAATCTCTTCCAAGTCAAATGATCCGAATGTCAAGCGGTGATCATGCGAGAGGTTTCAGGAACGACAAGTTCTGTGGCTTGATTATGACCATTGCTTTTGTGACTGTACCGTTCCAAAACCCAAATTACAATTATAGGGACCGATCGCACAGCCCCCAATGACTCCAAGCTACTACATGCTACCCTATCTTGAAGCAGGCTCCGTGCATCTGGTCCACATCCGAATTCTCTACTGCCCTCTTTGCTTGATGACATACTCGATAGCCAGCGGCACATCCTTCACAATCGCATTTGGAACACCAAGCTTCTGCATCGACATCGGCAGTGACCCCTCCGCATCGCTGTCAGTCGCCATCTCCCACTTAGCGACTGTCTTTCCATCCTTCTCCACCTTGGCAATCTTCTCCAAACTCACGTACCTCCCCTCGATGACCTTCCTGCCGTCTTGCTTCTTTTGAATGGGGGTTCCGGTCGCAGGGCTCTTGTACATGTGCTTTGCATTGACGACGTGGACATGGGAGCGTTCTCTAATAGTGGGTGGGAATGTCGCGAGGCTGATAGGAAGCTGGACATCGATTGACTGAGCGAGGGTTCCAGGGGCTGGCTGAGTGGGGATGAATGAGACCAGGAGAACGGTGAAGACACGATCGCTGAGGATGGCGGGAGCTGGCATGCTGTGATGCATCTGTGTTACTGTGATGTGTGAGTACAATGACCAGACATCGGTCCATATCGCCGCCATTTTTTATTATTATTTTTTCACGAAAAAAAGAGAAAAGCGAGCGGAGTGAAACAAACTCACTCCTAATATTCACATCCCTCACCCCCTCAATCTCCTCCTCCACGTGCCACTCCAACAACGTGTTAACATCATAAATCGCCGGCGTATACTCCATCTCATTCCGCTCATGGTTCTTCCGCAGCACCTCATCCAGCTCTTCATAGCTCACCTCCCCATGGAAACTCCGACGCGCAAACCACGTGCCCTCAACCTTGTCCTTCTTCTTCAGCTTCTCGATGACAACGGCCCCGGCACCTGGCACGCTCTCCCTCGCCTCCCCCATCCTCTGAAACGAGCTAAAGTCCTCCTCATTCGCCTCATGTAGGCATTGTGTGACAAACGCTCCAACACCAGGCGGACTGTGCTGCTCGTGTTTCAACTCCGGGTGTCGGGGCACCTGACTGACGCCCAGCGGCAGTAGCGCGAGCAGTTTCCTCCCTGGGAGCGCGCCCGCTCCGCCCTCCGCGAGCCCCGCCGTGTGGTTCATGCTTAAGCGGCGGGGTCCTGTGGATGTTCAGGGGCCTGTACTTCTTGGCTGGCTGACGGAAAATTATCTGGTGGTCTGACCGAAGAGGGAGCAGTGGAGGAAGCGTTGCGGCCGTCTGACAGGTGGAGAGGGAATGCAATTGCGAGTCTAGATCTTGCCCAACGGGCCGGCACGCTTGCGGTCTTGGCGCGTATGCATGTGCACCTATGCCGATGCGGTAATCCGGTCACTCCTCTTGATGGTTTCCAGTATTGCCTATAGATAATTTTCGTAGCCTTTGCATTCTTGTCTAGGCCAACAGCCCGTGCGGGCTGCGCTTTCATTGCTTCGAGTGTCTAGAACGCTGGAGGGAAGTTTAAGCGCTTAGAAGCGAGATACAGAACACCATGCTACAAGGAGCCATCCGCGAGTGGCCAGAGAGTGAACTGTCATGGCCGTGCTGAGGGCTGACGGGAATAAGAACGCCTTGAAACTTGTACAATTAATGTACGGCAGATCGGCAATCGAGTGAATCTTTTGCACGTAGATCATTACTCTCGGATACTTCACGGTGGCGACATCGCATCCAACCACGTGAATATCCCGGAAATGTTATCTCATGTCCTCGGCTATGAGTCTTGTAACGAAGGGGCACAGGCAAAGCTTTGGCGCGTCCACAAACCGTACCCCAGAATCCAGCCAGCGCGAGTTGTGTCCCATGGCTCCGCGGAGCGAGCATCTGGAGCGCCCCCACCTATGCTATTCCTCTCTAAAGGCGGGCCATATGGGTCGTAGCGAGTCTATACTCGTCTCCGCATGGCCAGAACCACTTGGCGGGCCCGTCCTGCGCGTGAAATCCCATTATTGCTAGGCGACATTTGGACCATCTGCATCGGGCATGTATGGCAAAGTGCAAACTTTTGCATACCACACAGGGGTATAAGCACGGGACGCCGGATTCGGCAGCGATCAACAGGTTCATGGTCTACCGTTGGGCCGTGGAAAAGCTTGTGTGAACTGCACCTCTTGATAGGGCTGTGTCGAGCGATCTTCCTCGATGGTGCTGCGATACGCCGAGCTATTCATTGTCGGCAGTACACACGCGCTCTGTCAATACTGTATGAGAAATCGCAGCCGACCTGGCGTCTGAGAAGATCGAGATCGTGCATCACACTGGCCGCGAACCTGGCTGTCCTAGGGGAATTTCGAACCAGCTTTCGAGTTCTAGACCCTTTCACCTGAAGTTGTGAGGAAACGTACGTACCCGATTGGCGGCGTTCTACAACACCAGCGTTTTTCAGTATGAACACCAGATGGCGAACCCAACGAACATAGCGATGAGCCATCGTACGGTCGGAGCATTCTAGAAGGCGTAATTGGGACGTTCAAGTTTGGGTCACGACTGTGACAGTACTTTATTCAAGCTGCAAGAATGGGTGAGGTTGCTATTGTGCGATTTGATTGTTGGCATATGCTGAGGCCTAGGCCGCTTGGCTATCCTTAAAACGCGGTGTAACAACGTTAAGATGTAGATTTGGAATGAAAAGCGCCCCAGCGCCTGGCAATGTGTGCGCGGCATTACAAAACAAGCCCAGTCGTGTAGTGTTCGCCCCGTAAATATGTGCTGAATCACAATTGTGCGCTGGTGCAAGCGTCTCAGTCGGTTCAAACGCGACAATCGTGTATGTATTCTGCGCAGAACAGGCATTGTACCATCTCTGCAAACATTAGGTTAACCATATCGATGGAGCTAATACTCGCTGGGTAATATGTGGCATTGAAGCCGAAGAAAATAAGAGGTCCGTCCATACTCTAGTAAGCACGGGGGTATATGGCTTCGAAAATTTCAAGGATATCCCGAAGTATCCATGTCTTCGTCGTCTGCATCTGCATCTGCTACTCTAGCCAATTCTCCCGCTCTCAATAAGGCAGCCAGAGAAGAGCTTGTCCTGTAGTCTGCATGTTGCAGAGGTGGTTTTGGTGGCGACTGGACGGAGGGACGGTCAAGAGGTGATGGAACGGATGCCATGGCACTGGGTACAGGCGCCGGAAGTACACGCATTGATTTGGTAGCATCCATGGGCGGGAGGGTTTGACCAGTGTAGCTGGGTGCGTATCCACCCTGGCCGCTATCCGATGACAATGTCGTATCTTCATGAGTCAATGGTGGAAGACGATGCATCTCTCGGTTTGAGCGTCGCGATGGTAAATCCATAGGGGTCTGGTAGTGGGAGCTGTATGATGGTGGTGTGGTAGATGCAGGATAGGAGGGCGCATGGCCGTAAGACGATGAGAAGGGCAGACTCGCATCGGATTGGCCTCTGGCATCCCTAGCCATTACGCTAGATGTGGTTTCGAAAGAACTCTCTTTGTTGAGAGTCGCCGATCGTGGCGAGGCAGAAAGCGGGGAGTAATGCTCGGGCATTCGTGGCGAGTTGAATCCAGAGCGATTATGGATCGCAGGCGAAGTTGATTTGGAAGGACGTGAAGACCCAGAGGGCAATCGTGACGGTCCTATGGGGGGACTCGCCTCTGTTCGAGTTTGGCCAGCGTATTGATCCGACTGCGCTGAGCTGATTCTTCGGACGATTGTGCGCTCTGTGTGTTCGTGATTGATAGTCCAGGTAGATGCAGGAGTGTCTGCCTCCAATTTGGATCGTTTGCCTTCTGCCTCTGTCACCAAGAGTTACAATTAACCGATGTGGAGGGTGGAACGACTTACCCTTTGGTGGAGCGGCGTGTTTCGCCTTGAATTCCTCAAGATACTTCTGATAAGATTCATACTCAGGTGTTTTCTTGTATTCGGCGAGTTCAGCGTAGTACTTCTCTTTCGCAGAACTGGCCTGACGCTCGCAGGCGTCTCGTGAGTCAGCAGGCAAGACCTGCCACCTTTCGCCGACAATCTTGGCGATCTCGGTGAATGACAGTTCCTGGCCTTTCAGAGTTTCTCTAACCTCTGGTGTGAAGTCAGCAAGGCATGTAGAGATCTATGCGCAGAGCTTGCTCACGATTAGAGAAGATGACATAAGCCGACGGAGGTCGCTCCGGCGCATGTTCATCCGGCTAAATGCGGTTAGAATGAGACATGACTACAATGGGAAGGACACGCGGTGACGTGCGGGACCAAAACTGACTTTAGGATGGCGTCTGTATTTCCTCTTCGCGCTAGGTGTTATGCCTGTGACCGAGATTTCGCCCTGTCTGATTTTGGTTTCTGTCGCGGAGTCATCGCTGCGATATGAGCCGTCGACGCTGCCCGCATTTTCGAGTGCGATGGGCAGTGGACGGCCTGAGGACTGTCCTCGCGATTCGGCGATTGCCCGTTGGAGTTTCTGGTACAGTGTTAGAGCACAACATTCGCTGCGTTGGAATAACGTAAACGTACTCTTCGATGTCCAAGCTTGACGCTGAGAGAGCCACTGTTTCATATGAATATGCGATCGGGAGAATACACGGGCCAGACTCCACTCACAGGTCCGATTCAGTGATATCGAGGACGGTCTCCCAGCTGTCGAAGCCCTCGGACACGAATGCTTCCAGGTACTGGGACAGTCCCAATCGCGACAGCCGCTCCGCGAGGTCGCTCATGTAGGGAGGATCTCAACGTTGTTGTGACAGGGTGGTGTTGTGGTGTCGCAGGCGTCACGTCGAACCGGAGTAGTAGTGGAGACCAAGGGAGGAGTAAAGGTCGAAGCCCGGTAGTATTAGGCTTCAGACGTCTTTGACTGGCGCCGTGGAGTATACAAAAGAGCTAAATAGGAAATACAAATTTCGGGGACAGGAATTTTCTGATTGGTGCTGAGTGGCGGCCAATGCACCAGTGGCGTCTCCAGGCAATATGAAAAATAGGTTGGTGATCAAGTGTTGCAGGGCGCAAAGCGCAAGAAGAGTAAGTATGGTGGGTAGTTGTCTAGCACTCGTCCATAAGGAGGAGTAGCACGCAACGTGGGTTTGGGGAAGGTGGGTCCCCGGACCGATCTGATCAGCGCTGTCTAATAATGCTACGGTACGGCAGCCGGGCGCAATTACGGTGCTTTCACAAGCACTGTACTGGAAGAGAGCCGAGATGTCCTGACGCAGGCACGACCATGTAGTGGCCGGTAGGATGCAGGATGGGGCCGTACGGCATTGGGCGCGTCCACGGCGGGCATGCACAGCGGTGAGTGGTGGACCATAGGCTCACACGGTGCACACGAGTGGAAAAGGCGGTCCAGCTAGATCCTCGAAACGGGAATGGGCCTAGGAAAAACGGCGTAGAGAGGCCATGGCAGTGCGGCGAATTCCAGGTGCGTGGGTATCGGCGAGTCTACGAGAGAGTCGAGGGCATGGCAGAGGGAGGGGAGAAAGGTGGAATTTGAAAATGGATGGAGAGTGGCCGGCAGCTGGTGAGGTCAGAGGGAAAGATCGGCAGCGACGCCGGAGCCCTGACGACGGGCTGGCGCAAGGCAGGCGTAGCAGGGAACCTCGCCTGGCACACAGTTCGGCGAGACTTCGTCGAGGTTCTGGCAGCACACGGCGCGGTCACAGGCGGAAAAGCCCTAAAGGCACCGTGATTCCTGCTGAGTGGCCGGCGCGAAGCCTGCGAGCTCCAAAACTAGCGAGCGCTGTAGATCGAGACAAAGGGACGCGATCGGTTCGCAGGCACGTAGCGCGATGCAGGGCCCCAGCCAACAGCGCGCTTCGGGAATGGCTGCACGCCGGCGTGCTTGTGCCGGGTGTTTTGCCATCAGGCCAGCAAAACGGCAGCCAGCCCCTCAGACTTGGCGACTGGCTTTTGCTGGCGTGCTGGCGGAAATTCGAGAGATCCGGAGACCATGGTGCGCGATGCCCAAGGGTCTTCCGAAGGCGGGAGAAGCCCGACGCGCAGGTGCTCGAGGGAAAAAACCCAAAACGCTAGCCAGCGTCGGCAGACAATCAGCCCATTTCTCTGCTGCGGTATGGATGCCCCGGTGTGGGCGGTAAGCGAGCGAGTCGCCCTCATCCGTCACCTTTCAAACTTTGACCCATCAACTGCGTTACGATCGGCATCGCGATCCCGCGAAGCTTTATGGTGCTCCGTGTTCCAGCAGATCAATACTGTTCGCAGCATGCTGCCGAGCGATCAGGGGCGGGGTGGAAGGTCTGGGCACGTCTGTTTCCGCCGCTGAGGGTGCACTGGCCAATGGCAGAACTTTGAGACACGACGGTGGGGTCAAGCGGAGCGGAGGGGTCTCTTTAGTGCAAAAGGACCCTGGGTGGTGAGCGCATCGTTATCAGATTGCGCTGCAGAGACCGATGGGGGTCTGCAACTGTCAGAATGGCCATCTGACTCTTCGATGGTGTCGTATGGCAATCTTCAATAGGCAGGGTTTACTGATGAAATGAGATCGAGATGGCCTGCAGCTCAATTGGAAGCGATTGGCTGGCTGCGCAACGCGAAAGGATGATGCGTGTTGAGCACCCACGGATCGCCCCTACGTTTGCGCCTAGATCAACAGCTACAATCCAATCGCAGTCACATTTGAATTTCCGATTAGAGGTGGAACGCCATCATGCTGTTTGCGAGTAAAGTGGATGTCCCGTCAAGTGGGAAACATTCTCATCGAAGCGCGTGGCTCGTTGCAATTTGCAGCTGCGTCATCTTGCCCGCGACCGATATTTGTCACGTGTGACATCACAGATGGGCCACGGAGCATTCGATGTGAATCTTCTTTGTTATTGTTCAGCTCTGAATCATAAGAGCTGGAGCCACGGCAGAGCAGCACCAGTTAGTGCTATCTACACGACAAGCACCCATCGGATCTGCATCGACGGCTATTCCAATATAATGCGGGTATTCCAGTTTTGGGAATAAACGGTTCCGCTTCCATGACCGCTCTCACAATGCCGACTTGACCGGCCGCCCGACACGTAGGGCTCGCTGATAGAAAATTCTCCGCACTTCCCAGCCAACGCCTAACCATCCACCCATTTCCCGTCTCCACCTGGAACCATCTGGATGATTGTTAGCTTTCGGGCGGATAGTAGTTTCGCACACAGCGTACCATGCAGATGTTGTTGCCATTGAGGAGGATCTTCGACATCCGTGTCTCGCCCTCTTGGGGGTCGCTGCTGCTGTCAGTGCTGCTTACTGTGTATAGCTATTCGCAGCTGGTTGCACTCACATTTCCCGGACATCCTCGAGAACCATATCTGATAACTGTTAGCAGCCTGCTTTCACGCATCCCACTTGACTGTACGTACTGACGTAGTCGTCGAAACCAATCAGCTTGCCCACAAACTCTGCACACCATCAGCTTAGCTGTTACATATTGATAACATAGACCAACCCTTGTGATTGTTCATTATAATCCAGATCTGTGAGCCCACGCACTTGTCGACGAGTTCTACAGGCGTCAGCATGTGACCTGAGTACGCACAGCCAAGACCTTACCGAGGGGCAGCAGAGGATGATGCACCTTGGGCAGCGGCGGGAGCGACATGGCTGCAATTTCCTGGTTATCGACGAGCTTGCCGTGGTGCGGTTGTCGTCGTCGGGTTGGCAAGCGAGTGGAGGCCGGTGGGCAGTTGATGCCAGACGCTTGGCGGCAAAGCGCGCGGCTACGCGGAGCTAGCCGCCCGTGCATTCTTTCTCTTACCACACCAGGGTTCGATTTCTTGCAATCAGGGCGCCTCTCATCAGGCAGACATCCTCTGTCCACACGCCGTGCGACATCCGCTGCCTGCACAAGCAAACAATGGAGGCCAATGCGCCGTCAACGATGCGCGATTCCCCTCGGTGCGTCGGAAGTAGCGTCATATGCGCGTCTTGATGGCCGAGGCAGCGCTCAAAGGATGCTGTTGCCTTCAGCTTTGTGGCGAACCAGAGGACAGCAGTACTTATGCCCACCTCGTGACTGAGATCCATGCTGAATTGTTGCAGTGCATTCCTGTCCCCAAGCTTGCCTCGCTTTGCCATACCATACTCCCAAGCCTTCCACCATCACGCCCCGTTCGAAGTCGTCCCATCCGCAGCGGTTCGCATGGATACTCAAGGCACAGTAAAGAATCTTCCAGATAGAGGGAACAGACGTAGGCCGAGGGTATCTGCGAAGAATCCACGAAGGGGACCCGGTATTCACACAGCTCGGCAGCCCGTCGCTCGCCCCGCTACAAATATACGAAAGCATCTCACCGTTCGGAAGTTTCCTACCGCGACTCTGCAGCCTGGCGCTTCGTCGCTGGAATTCAATAGTCAGATAATGCAGCAGCTTCGAGTCGCAAGAGCGCGCCGACGCGCCGCACGCCGTCACTTGCCTCACTCTTTTCAGAAGCCCAATGGATCTGTGAATATCGATGGAATGGACAATAACGATTACAATGTGGACTGGAATGCTAGTACACAACTGCCAGAATCGGATGAAGCCAGGCATCTGACTACTGCCGTTAGATCGGTAGCAGTTCAAGTCATGGAAGCGTGCGGAGCCGTTTTCGCACAAACGCAATATTCAGTCGCGAGACTACAGAAGCTACTCGACATCTATGGGCCTGTGGGATCTTCGACCATTTCACATAGCATCGCAACGCGCATGGAAACACTTTCCCGCGTGCAAGATCTCTATACCAAAGCAGCGAAGGCACGGGACCTGCTCGTAACATTGGGCCATTACTATCGAGGCCTTGTCAGAGCAGCATCAGGTGTTCCTAATGATGTTAGTACAGCTATATATGCCGCCGAAAGACGAGGATCCTTGCTCGAATACATACGTTACTTGATCAAAGACCTAGCCGCAGAGATATCGGCGAATACACGGGACATATCCTGGATTCGAACCCTTGAAACCGTTCCTGGATTCGACGCCGCGCTTTTGCAAAATCGACTGTCGACTTTTGATAATATCATGGGCATCGCATTCCCGCAAATCAAGATAGCTTCAGGGAAACTACATCGGCTTCTATTGAGTGAAGCTGATGGAGAAGGTTTAGGCCACCTTCATTTGAAACAGTCGTCATGGAGATCTCCTCTTGGTGAATCGCTGAAGACCCTACGCCATTTGAGAGTATGGCATAGATCCGAAATGCTTTCTCGTCCGTATTCGGCATCAACTAAAACCCTCTCTGCTGTCGATGCACGGGTTTCCGAACTTTGTACTCGTCTTGGAACCATTGAACTAGACGTATACATCAACCTACTTATGCGGGATCTTGACAACAGGGCAGCCATGGTAGAGAGAGTAAGAACTCTCGAACCATTCTCTGATTCTATCAGGAAAGAGATGGCTGATTGGATGCATGCGAGATATCATAAGGATTACCGCTCGGAATGGCGTCAAGGTGCATCAATCATGAAGCTACAACGCTGGGGCTACCTTCCCTCACCATGGTGCAAGAAACCATGGGCGGGGACGGAGAAAGCGTTCCCACAAAGCGTAAGAAGCAAACGCAGATCGAGACGGCAAGCATACTTAAAAGAACTGTTCCCACGATTTCGAGACACGTACCACTGGACCAGGAGCGGATCGGCTAAGCCATGGGCGGATACAATTGATCCACGATCTGTCTGGATTGAGGAACCAGTTCGCACGATCAATTCAAGGACTCGCAAAACCAGGCGGATCGTGAGAACGAGGAGGAAGCTTGAAAATGAGCGTGGAATGGTTTTGAAGAACACGCGCAGGTTGCTCTCGCCTACGTTGCTCTCATACCAACCTCGCACACTCAAGAGCTGGCGCAGTGTCGACCGGCTCGCGTCTTTACCAGAGAAGGAAAAGCCGTCCAGTCTGACGCAGGTTGGGAAAACTATCGCTGCGCTAGGATTCTACGATAAAGTTGACACGAAAGGAGCTAATTGGCCGAGGAAGATGGAGCCTTTGAGGAAGGATTCCGGTGAATCTATCGTGCGCTGGAGCTATTCGAAGCCAAAGCCAAGGGGCGTACTATCTCAGCTCGGACCGCGATTTCAAGCGACCCAGTCCATGAGAGCACTTCATCCAACATCGACATTTTTCAGTAGCGATGCGTGGGAGCAGAGCGTTGAAGTTGTAACCAACCTTGACACCAACGGCCGAAGAAGCCTCCGTGATGAAAGTTCAGTCACTTCACGCAGCGGTGGCACCAGCGGTGACTTGGCGAACAAAAAGTACCCACGCAGTGATTCAAGCGGCGAACAGAAGCCCGAACACCCTAACAATCCACCTGACGGGCAAAGTCCTCAACTGCCCAACGAGAGCATGGAAAAAGTGACGAACGACGATCCACCCCACGAAAGCGAACAAGAGGAAGAATCCGACAGCGAAGTCAACGAAGACTCAGACGCGGAAGAGCCTGAGGAGGAGCACACCCCGTTAACCTATCAAATTCCCTCGGATGTCCTGGAAAGTGCTTTACAGGCACCCCCTCAAACTCGTGCGAGCTACTGGAGTCAAAAGCTCTACCGTGGGCCCGAAGATGAGGAGCTTTTATTGCACTACTGCGTGAATATGGAGGTATCAGAGCGGGTTGCCAAGCACTTTTTGAATGAGAAGGTCGTAGGTTTTGACATCGAGTGGAAACCTTTCGGTCCTGTGGACTCGATCAAGGAGAACGCGTCTCTGATACAACTGGCCACGGAAGACCGTATCGCGTTATTTCACATTGCGCGTTTCCCGGGCAAAACGCCGGAGCAACTTATGCCACCAACGTTGAAGGCCGTCCTGGAGTCACCCGATACGTACAAGGTCGGGGTAGCTGTCAAGAGCGACTGCAGTCGACTAGAAAAGTATTTTGATCTCAACATCCGTGGGGTGTTCGAACTCAGTCGGCTCCACAACCTCGTTGAGTACTATGGGACTCAACCGAGCAAGGTCAACAACAAACTTGTGAAACTAGCCACGCAGGTCCATCAACACCTGCTCTTGCCACTGCATAAAGGCGAACCCTTTGTCGATGAGCCGCAACAGCGGCTCAGTAGCGTCCGGGAGAGCGACTGGAGTAGACCACTTGATTTCGAGCAAATTCATTACGCTGCGGCCGATGCGTATGCCGGTTTCCGATTGTTCGATGTCATGGAGTCGAAGCGAAAGAAGCTGAAGCCCACACCACCAATGCCACGCTTATGCGATTTTGACAACAAACCTGTGCCACGCACTACGTCGCGGGCCAAACGAGCAAAGAAAGTGGTACCCGAGTTGGAGAAGGTCGTTGCTGAGTCTCTCAGCGGGCTCGAGGCAGAAGACGCAGAGGAAGAAGCGTATGAGACTGCCGCTGAAGAATTTGCTGAGGAAGAGGAAAGCAAAGACACAGATTCTGAGGCTGTGTCCGAGTCCTCTGAGAACGAAGACCATGATGCAGACTATGTTTCCAAAGAGCACGGTCGTGTTGCTTTGGATCAGCGCTCGACAGACGCATCCGCCGCACCGGAGATCTCCGCACATCGCATCGGACGAGTTGCCCTCTCAACGCTGGCTGGCGTTGATCCTGCGTATCCTACGCTGCCCTGTACACCCGCTGAGGAGGACGTCAGCTCCGATGAGTCTGACGCGTTCGATCCTCCACCTAATGCGCCTCGACGACGACTTGTTCCGAGGGCTGCGCAAGCAGCACAAGTACTACTTGTCAAGGCGGTAGAGTCAGATGATGATTTTCCGGACCCCGAGCTGGAAGAAGCGTTCACAACCATGGATCTGTCCGACCCGCTCAAGATTACAAGCAACCCTGTTACGGAACCAACTTCTCAGGCGGAAACGCCCAATTTAGAGTCACCCACCGAGCAAGTGCTGATCGAAGAAGAGACTCCACCAACCTTCACACCCCTCATCCCAGCCGACACAACCAATCACACGCCCGAGTACACACTCGCCACGACCTGGGCCCAGAATTACCTCACCTCCACCATACCCTCACCTACTTCCACCGCTCCTTCACGCATCCGCGCTACAGTATCCTCACTGCGTGCATACCACATCTGGTACCATCAACGCGTGCCAATAGATACGATCGGTACCCATCTGCGCGACCCGCCTCTTGCGCAGAGCACTGTTTCCAACTACATCATTCAAGCGATCAGCATGGAGAAACTCGAGTATAAAGATGATGAACTAATCTATGTCATGAGGACATTACCGGCAAATTTGAGGGTAGGGAGGTACGGGTGGTTGAGCCGGAAGCTGGGAATTGCACGTTAGGTTGGTGGGAAAGGAATATACCCTGTATTATCAATGTAGATAGCATATTGGCGTTTATTTGTTGAACACGGATAGAGCATGTTGCGGTTGGCTTGCAAAGTATATAAGGAATCTCACTTTCGTACAGTTCTATGGTTGATTCGTCACCGCCAAGTCACTGCGAAAGCGGCAGCGTCGTCTCATTGTATATTATTCATCTACAAGATAACTAATTGATTACATCAATACAAGATGATACTACCACGCCCAGGCATGCTTCCAGATTTGAATACTTGCTGCGGTGTCTTGCGACTTCGCAATGGCGAAGGTGTAATTGTCGACATAGCAGCAACGGAACAAGTGCTGCTCGAGGATGAGCTTTCCGGCTCCGGCGTCTTGGAGGTTGTCGAAGCGGAGGCATATGACATCTTCCACGCAGGATTCAAGCCACATTTTTGTCTCCAGGCTGTAGCCTCATAAGTGGGGTGGGCAGATTAGCTTCTGCAAGTCCGTCAGCGGAGGCCGCTTGGCAGCATCTTCCTCGTCCGCGAAGCGACGTCCATCTTGGTCTTGAGGCTGTAGTCTCGTAACAAGAGCCGTCAGGGCCGGCCGCCGGGAACACTCGATATATCTAGCCCTTACGCTTGGTACTTGCGACGGCCTCTTGTTAGTGTCTGGCATCCGCCGCGAAGCGAGTACGTCGGCGGTGGCATTGGTTGAGATGCGTTCGCGGTCAGAACACAGCTCAGGCATTGCGCCAAAGCGCAGCTTCACCCGAAAAGATGCTCCGCGCCAGCCAAATACTTCGATCTGCGGCTTGAAATGACGGTGTTGGCCCAAAGCCGGTTTGGTTACTATCGCTCGACTGCTTCAGGTTGGGAAGGCGTAGCACCTTATCGCGGACGAGAGCATTGATACATCCAGGGGCACCAACGATGATGTGCGAGTGTGTTTCTCAACCTTGAGGATACGGATGTCCTCCTGGATCGGGATTTCGAGCTCGTTGATGCGAACTGCTCGCCATCATCCTCTAGGAGGCTAAGTAGATCTTGTTCGGGCCGGCAAGTTTAAGCTTCTTCACTGGGGGCAAAATGCCAACGGCGTCCTCGTATCGTCTTCGAATATCCGTCTTTTTCCGAGTCGTGAGGGGACTCCTTGGGGTAATTATGTGGCAGGCAATCCACCTGCCTGGAATCTGAGTCCATCTTGCCCTCCACACTCAATTGCAAGCTAAAATTCTCTGAATTCCTCTTGAATCCTGGGTGTTCCTCAATTTTCATGTCTGCGAACCACAATGCACTTATGACCACACCGGATCTATCATGTTTTTCCGGATTGCAATTTTCAATAATGGCCACTCGGTCTGTGTTGTGCTCCACAACCCAGAACTATCTCGGTTCTGATGGGGCCAGTGACTCGTTCTTCCACAAAGATCGCGGCTACTTGAGCCAGGCTTTTGAGCTCGGTGCGACCATTCCGGAGAGTCTGGAAAATTTGTGTATGTGGGGAATCCGGCGCCCTAGCACTATCAGAAGTGTGAGCTGGGCGGACACTGAACGCGGAGATCCTGGCGGCGGACAGTATCTAGCCCAGCTCACACTTCTAGACTTCCAAGCGGCCTGATGCCTGTGGAGGCTTCTCGCATGAGTACTAGCAAATGATTTTAGTAACAAGAAGGAAGAGGGAGGGCGATTCATACATACCGAGGCGTCCCAGTCGTTCTAGTTGAGAAGGGGGAGCTGGGAGGACACTGAACGCGGAGATCCTGGCGGCGAACAGTATCCAGCCCAGCTCACACTTCTGAACCTCAAGCGGCATTAAGCTTGAAGGTCGCAGTTTCGCAATGGCGAAGGTGTAGTTGTCGACATAGTAAAGGCCTATGGTAAGTGCTATCGAAACAAGGTTAGTTATGGCAAGGAAAAGGAAGGCTTGTGATACATACCATGAAGTAACAAGAGTTACTGTCTACCGCCTTTCGATGCTTCCTGGGCTTCTTCTCTTCTGCATTTTGGTCTTTGCGCTTTGGCTTGGAGCCAGGTTCCAGAACGTGGTGCGACGTTGCGGAGAACAGCACCGCCTGGAAACTACCCGGGATGAGCCCCGAACGGGGTCTCGAACCCCCGTAGACCTCCCGTGTCCAGTATGACATACGGTGACCCCGAAGAGTCAATAATAGATGTCTACCTGAAGGTACTTCTTCTCGCTTTCCTTGACGGCTCTTTCTTATTCCCCTCGTCGGACAAGGCGCCCATTCACACATCGGATTGTTAGGTTCGCGGCCAGTGCTCTGGGGGAGTCTCCGGTCGATGGGCGTGATGGAAGAGCCAGTATTCCAGGGGCCATTGGTGTCAAGCACCTATCGAGCTTTCAGTGACCTGCTAAACAAGCTCTGGTAATGAATGCACGGTCTGTCACCAAGATCTTGAGGTCCACGTAGGACTCGATGTAGTAGAAGAATGAGATCTTGTGGTGAACTCACTGAAACTATGCGCCCAGGATCTCCATCGTTCGTTCGGATGTGAAGTGTCTGTGCGGGAGATGCTCCCGCATTTTGCTGAGTGATTCCGCTACAACAAGTCAGAGTAGGCACAATTTTTTTCACCATGTTATCGCTTGCCGCGTGCGGTGCAGTCTTTCAGAAGTTCTGGTTGATTCAGGCCTTGCTCGAAGATCACACTGAGCGGGACCAAAGTGAGCATGGAAAATTTGCTCAATAGTGCGCTCCAATTGCTCCGAGAAGCCTTTGAAGGTCGGCAGTTGACCGTACTGGCTGTACATGTGGATCATGCTCAACAAGTATGGTATCCTTATTCAGTGAGTTGCCTTTCGGCAGAGTGATTCCGCTGTAACTCGTCAGAGCGTATGGAAAACTATTGAGCAAGACAAGACCCACCGCGTGAGAACACTGCACTTTTGACTAACCGGATCGTGGCTCGTCATCGTATATTGACGAGCGATCCGACCCCAAGGCGACGCTGAGTCGGCTGGCATCAAGCGCGTTACATGGTCAGCTACGGAATCAAACGTGCCGATAGACGATGGACTTACAGTGATGACATGGAATATGTAACTGTGTTGTGAGCACCCTCACGCTTTTCACGGGTCTCTATGGTCGGCGGATTCATGATAGGCGCGTGAGGAAATCTATGAAGCGGCCCTGCCCACAAAGAGCGTGGGCAAGCCCCGTGAAGATGTCGAAATCGAACAGTGTGCGATGGTACCAAAGCTTGCGGCACCGAAGGAGAAGTGGAGGGACGAAGTGGCGGGGTGGCGGGAGATTGCGAGTGTTTGACAGCAGCAACTTTTGCCAAGGAGCTACGATACTCCGCGTCGTTCAAAGGAGCGCAATCTGCCGTGAAGGGGGCGCTTTCGCTGGGCAATCTCCACGACGACGCTCGCGCCGTAGGACTTACGTCACTTGTGAATGGGCTGTCCCCCGCCCGAGTCCTCTGCTTCGCTCGGGCACGCCTAGCACCACATTTGAGACTATTGGAAGGCGGCCCAATGTTCATGCGCTCTTAAATGATGAAATGGCTGCGCACCATCTGGTCGCACGAAGCCAGCCTCTGCAAGTGAATTCTGATTTTGCAGGGGCAGACTCGATCGACCCAAATGAACCACCTGGATAGCATAGACCACTCCCACGACTCACATAGATAGCGTGGTCTCTCCGTATCTGATAGTAAATGCACTTCGTCAGTGGGCGCATTTGCGGGATATACAAGAGCTTGAGCGTCACGCAGGGGGAAATTGGGTTCTCGGCTTGAGCCCTCAAATCACAACTATGCATGTGTGCCGACATATCTTGCCATGCAGGTTATTGCAATCCGCTTGCGAAAATAAGAATGTACTACAAGTCGCTTCCTCCATGCCCGTGCCCTAACGCCCGTCCCCCTCCAGATGAAGCTCGTCCCAAGACTAATTTGAAGAGCAATGGCCGAAAGAGGGAGAGATTGATTGCAAGCCCAGCTCAGGTGACTCGATCCCTTTCGCAAAAATTGATTCTGAGAGTGCTGGTAAAAAAGACCAGTAGAGCCTGCTAAGCTAGCTCTCACATTCTGAACCGGTATTAGGGAATGACCAGGGCGTTTCTTGCCACGCGCGGTTTCCATTACTTGCGTAATGGGTCGCAACGTGAACTCTATCATGAGACAGAAGGCATTGCCCAAAGCTCTGATCTTACGTCTTACTATCATGGTCTGCAGAGACGCCGACACAGGTCTGTGATGCCAGTAGCTTTGAGTCATGTGGTCCTTTCTTTCCATCTCTTGTCGAAAATTCTTCGTTACCACATGTTCATCTCCAAGCAATGGTTCATCAATTCTATGTAGCTAGCGGCAGGTTGTGAAGTATCACAATCATGATTCGATACAATCGTAAATGCCTGTCAGATCGGATCGGCGACGCCCAAGATAGCTTGCGGAGCGTCGGAAGAGTATGTTCGCACAGCTTCAGTGTGATGCGTGGGTGCGTGCATTGTTTGCAGCAGGTGGTGGTCCGGGGAATGCAGGTCGAGCCTTTGAGGGTTATCTTTCGCGTGCGCTTCGTGCGCGACAAGTGAAATTGACAAGTACTGCATACGACCAAGGTCAATAGTATCAGCGATAAGAGTGGTGACTGGTAAAATCCAGACTTTGGTGATCACATCGGCGCGTTGCGGCAGCTGCAAGAATTAGCGGAGAAAGCCAAGGAGCAATCGCATCTCGTTTCACAAGTATGGGAAATGACATTCGAGGAACCAGATGTTGAAGCCTGGGATTTGGCGGGTGAAGATTTTCCCTGGAGAAGAATGCCTGTCTCGAGGTCAGCAGGCAAGCACGCTCACAGGTGAATGCGGCGTTGTTAGTCCAAAAGGGAGAAGAAGCATGAGAACGAGCAAGCTGGTCCGTCAGAGGTAGAGCAGGTAGCCTGTGTGTGATGCCACACCTCGTTAGAGTCCTATTTCCGCGTTCCTACCTTCCACGTCCGACCACGTCACTGACCTCGCGTCTGTTTACAACTCCACCCAACTCATTTCCCGTCCCTTCATTCACTTCAAGCCTTGAAAACTATCCAGAACATCAACTAGATAAATCTAATCTGTAAGCTTTAGCTTCGGGCAGAGGTGAAAGGCCCGAGCCGTGCAGGAGGCGCACTGGTTGTAGGTATGTATGGCTGGGTGGTGAAAGCGTGTAAACCTTAGTGTTTGGACTTTACTCAGGCAGCGGGCCTGGGGTTTCCCTTTTGCTCCCCGTTCGAACCCGGTTGCGGTCACCTTACCTTGTTTTATTTTCTGGGTTTTTGGGACGCGCCGTTGCTAGCACGCCCATGACATCGTGGTTCTTAAAGAATTGTCATACTTCGCCTGCGAATCCCATCAGTTGATAGACAAAGACACCCACATTTTTTCGTTGCAGGAGGTTCAAGGCGTCCTTGTAGTTATGGAGGCCTGGATAGGCTTTTTCCAGGCCTTGGAAAAGGTCTATAAAGAATCACTTGTTGAGGCAGAGCCGCAGACAATGCCACGAGTTAGAAATGCTTCCATGTCAGGATGGCCACCACTGGCCAACACACGTATGGGCATTACAAATGATCATATCCATTTTCTCAAGAATATTAAATCATTTTTATGAATCTCCATTTTGTGCAGCTCTCAAATGATTGTCGTCACACATACGAAGAGAACAGTGAAAACAGCTTTGCTTGAATTCCTGCATCTCCAAGCTTGATTTTAGAAATGTAAGCCGACGTATGTGCCTCGTGATAGCCGGGTGTTTCACACACCGTTTCTCGGATCCATTATCAGAGCGTCGATGTACCCGCAACGACGCTCCACCTGCTCAGACAACGGCCTAAACTCATAATCTAAAGTAGTGATATTCACAATTATTTGATTCTTGCCAAAGAACTTCCAATTAGACAGGACTGGCGAGTTTGCAGGAACATCAATGTCCTCCCTGAACATATTGAAGCAAGTACCTCTGGGAAGCTAAAGCCGCATCGATGTCTGACGGCGTTAGCGGTGCTCAGGGCCATCGGGCTTATACTCACAACTGAGGTCCAGCCCATGGGTAGCCGATGGTATGGAGAACAAGAAGCGTCTCGCGCGGTCTTGACGTGCCCTTGCAATGTTGAACATGGTTCAACCGGAGACGATATCTGCGACGTAGTCCCAAGCCAACTTCTCCGGTTGATGCGAAGCGAACTGTCTCCTGGGTTTACTCCAACCGTAGATGGGGAGGTCGTTTCATATCTCCCTGTTGCAGCTTTTGCGCATGGAAGATTCAATAAGGGAATCAAGAAGCTGGTCATTGGCAACACGGCCTCTGAAGTAACCTAGCCTTCTTTGTATTATCCATGCCGAATCATAATAACAGGTTACAGGGGTTTGAATTATCGTCCGACTACTATACCCAGTGAACCGCCTCCAGCCGAGGGAACCTGTTCCATGATCATTTTGTTGGCGTCGCGGATGGTCGATTCGGGCACTCGGCGCATGCAATCCGCGGTTTCGCAGCTCGTAGCGTTGAGGAAGAAATCGAATACAGGGCGAGATCGCTCGAGGTTTCGCCTTGGAGGTATTGCAGGGGATGAGACCCAAGCTTGACCAAAGGGAAGCGTCAGATTTCCTTCTTCGCCTAGCAATAGCCAGGTAAGTTTGCCAGCACCGGCGCTGTGTCCGATGGCAGTGATACGGTCAGCGTCGCCACCGAACTTGTGGATGTGCTTCTTGGTCCATCCAATAGCTGCAAGGGTATACCAAGCCCCCAAGGTTGCCGTTCATGTCGTCCTCGAGCTTCGGTAGCTATCCTGATATTCCTAACCTGCCGACCCATCAGTCAGATAATTCGATGGTAAGATATGTACACACCTGTAATTGTGTGTGACATCGATGAACTGGTCGGTTATGTTCAGCGGCCGGATATAAAGCCGTCTGTATCACTGCCGAAGCCAGTCCAGTCTTTGCCGCCGAAAGAGTCTGCAGATCCCACCAACTAATCCAGCACCGGGAGTTCATCCCCTTCTTTTGCGTTTCTGGGCTTGATCACGTTCAGGAACAGACAGTCTTCCCCGCCCCAAGTAGAGCCACTGATTAACGGAAAGGGCACGCTCTGGGGAGCGGAAGAGATACAGTCCGTTTCCCAAGAGTTCCGGTTATCGCTGTGGATACCGTTCTGATAAGTAGGTGGTGTTTCTGGCTTTCGAAAACGAAGCGGTCCTGAAGGCGTATGCGCGTAGCGAATGTTATTGTAATTTAGCAGCTTGGTGCCGGTGGCAGTGACGTTCGTCCAAATCGGAACATGCTTTGCATAGCCCAAATCAACAAGATGCGCAGGGCAGATGTACGATTGCGCATGGGCGACGCCAGTTAGAAGGGTAGAAAAAGAAGTGTAAGTGGCCATGTCTCAAATCTCCCAAACAAGCGAGATGCGGTTGGAGGCCACCGGGGAGTGGGATTTCCTTAAATGCATGATCGATTCATAGGGGTAGCTGTAGACGATGCTAAGCACAAGAGAAGCAATAGCAAGATGCGAAGAATCCGAAGGCATCTTGACTGTGATGCTATGTGGTCGAGCGCGGGGAAGTGATGGGTTAGCAGTGCGCAAGGCAGACTAAAACCGCTCCGAATACGAAAGGTCGGCCAATCAGCAGCCATCAGCGCCAGCTCAGCTCGAGGCGTCGTATACGCCCTTGGCAAACCTGCCCGCAACGGTGCAGGTTGTCGAGACGAAGTGTTATACGATGACATCACACGTGAGCTTACAACACGCTTTATCCTGCCTCTGCATAAAGCCTGCGATGGTCCATATTTACGATCAGTCCCGTTTCGATCGGTACCGAATACGCAGCCCTCCACATCCGGACAATGGACGGCTCTCTTCACGTCTTTCGCGTCCGGCCCCGCGCATTACCCACGCCGATCGCACCAGAGTCATCGGGCCCTGCAATCTTAGAACATAGTTGGACGAGACGTTCACACAACAAGTCGAGGGGTGGATGTGAGGCTTGCAGAACACGGCGGAAGAAGGTTCGTGTCGTCCCCACTTTTGGAGCAGCCCCCCATTGGCAGGCGCACCCTTACATCAGCACAATTAGGGGAAGGATGAGAACTTCTGTCACATGACTTTGATACTATAACTATAACTAAATATGCTGACATATCTAAAGTGCGATGAGCGCAGGCCAATCTGCTCTTTGTGTCTACAGAAACACTCTGCGTGTACCTATCCCAATTCGCCACTATGCCGCCGCAATCCACTTGACAGCTTTCAATCGAACGTTACGTATTCTCTGTGGCCTGGACAGCAAACCTTGCCAGTACTTGCCGATGAAAAAGCATGCACCAAATACGATCTCGTGCTTCTTCACCACTTCGTTACAATTTCGTCACAGCATTTCAAGTCCCTCGGGTTTGATGGAATACTCTCGTCAAAAGCGGTTGAGCTTGGTAAAGAACACTCGTCGGTGCTGCACGCCATGCTTGCAGTTTCGGCATGCCACTTGCAAGGGCTGGGGTGCAAGGAGCGACCCTACAGGATAGCTGAGACGCTCCATTGCGAGTTTGCGATCCGCGGTCTGCAGAGAGCGGTTGTGTCTTTCAACGGCGTGAAAGAAGCAGATTCGGTCCTTACTACTTCCATGCTGCTCAATACTTATGCCTATATCCACACGGCCATTACGGAAGAGTCTTCTGATGATACTCTCAAGCGAGATGCCGGCAGACTCGACTGGGGCTGGCTACGTCTTCAGATTGGAATCACCGAGATGCTCGTGCGCACGAAGCCCTACCACCCACAGAGCATCTGGCTACCCATGTTCCTGTCCTCAAAGCAGCCCCTGCCGTTCGCCGAGCCGTGTAATGATCTCGATCAACAACTTGCCATTTTCTGCGGCATCAACCCCACAAGTACAGCGATAGACAACCCGTACGTGGATCTCATGGAACAATTAGCGCCTTTGGTCATACGAACCCATGGGCCTCAATATATGCGCTGGTATGTCGAAGCTTTGGGCGGTATTGACCTTCGCTTCATAGATCTCTTAGAGAAAGAGGACGTACCAGCTTTGATGCTGTTTGCACATTGGGCGGCGATGATGAGTTCGATCGGGGCGTGGGGCACATCGCGACGATTGAAGAAAATCTGCTGGAGGATCTGCCAGATTATGCTGCCGCGAATAAAAGCATCAGAGCTTTACCTTCTGGACGTTCCTGCCGAGGCTGCTGGCTTTTCTCTTAATCTTCGCTTTGAGATCGAGCAGGACATTTGACCGCGAAGCAAAGATCTGACAGACCCGATCATGCTCTGTTGAGCAATGCAGACTGATTGAGCTCCCTCGACCCGTGAGAAACAGAGTCAATCAGCGGTGACCCCACGAATTCGGGAAGCAAATCTCGATTAGTGCCAATACATTGACTATTTCTCTCACGAAGTTTCTATCCCGCTTCACTAAAATATCGCAATTAATTGCCTCGCTTCTTAATGTACCAAAACTTACGTCCGCCGCTCATGATCTCCACCCGAGCAATTTCTATATATACCAACCATTAACTTCATACACTTATCAAACAATGTTGGCCGATACATTCAATGTCGAAGACGTCACCGAGTACGCGAAGGGTCGCCACCAGCTTCTCGACGCGATAACGAATGCCAGCTCTTCCCGACACGGCTACACAATTCTAGTAAATCACTCATACATGCCATTGATAGCCCCACAGGCCCGTGACAACATCGGCCGGCGCCGCCAAGTTCTCTCGGTCTATGAGCCGGAGTTTGGTACTGTCTGTGTGCATGATGGCACCGACGGAGCCTGGTGGTGCAGTCGTTGCGGGCATCGAAACGCTTTGAAATTTTAGGAGGGCCACCATCCGTTCAGCCAGTTGGCATGTGGCTGTTGTGACCACACCTTCAACTGTACCGATTTCTCGACAAACGCGCTCTGCCACGAGGCCATTCCCGACAAGTTCCATCCGGACGGGTTCCAGGAGGAAGGGGGCATAACCTGCGGCGTTGTCTGCCCCGGCTGTGGCTCGACGCACCTTGGGGCTCGCAAGGCCACGCAAGATATGCCTGAATATTCGACGTCTGACTTCGGTCCTGTCGAGTGTTACTGCGGTCGCCGTGGTAGTGGTAGGTGGCAGTACTCTTGGCATTGTTCCTACGTTGGATCGTCTTGCGATTGGCACGAGTGTCGCCTGGGTGCGGAGGCGAAGGTGACGGAGGAGCGCTTGGAGCGACGCTTCCAAGCGTTTTGACAAGTCACCAATTATGCTCGACCAAAATCTGGAGCCGGATATGTGCACGGCTTTAATATTCGTTTTGTTCACGTGTGGACAGGGCTTTGAGGCCTCTAATGTTGCATCTGCTATTCTTTTAATAGAGCATTTACTTGTTTCAGGCTTGGTATTGCGCTTCGCATATTGCTAGATGTAGTCGGAGTTACTCAATCATTACAATTCCATTCATACGAGAATCCCCTGTTTGATACAATCATCGTTAAGTATCTTTTCGTTCTCGTTGTGTACAATCGATGCCTGTACTATGTTTAAATGTCAAGAGAAACTACTACAAATTTGCCAACTGAGAGACATCAGAATGTCACCTGGAAAGGCCAAAATGCAGGCAGTCAAGCCACCACGGACGGAGATCCTTGTATTGACGAACTTGGACATAGCGGAAAATTAATTGCAGCTTAGTCCTACTTCTAATGCCACTCAGCTAGCAGTCGCTTCGTAGGGCTGTCCCCAGAAAGCTGTCCCCAGAAGCGTAGTGTGACTTACGATGTGTTGGAGGACTCCAAGCCTGGCAAACAAAAAGGCAAAAGTAGAATAACTCGTCGGCTACCGTACTCGAACAAAAGGCAAACCCGACCGAAGTCGGTAACCGCCAAACTCTAAGGTTTGCGCCGGTTCACGGGGTAATACTTACCTCGAACAAGTACGCCACCTGTACTGTCTAGGGCCTTCAGTACCTTCGACGCTCTGAGAACTTTTTAATGGCTCTATATACCAGATAAAGAGGTTTTATGAAAAATTATGGTGGTTGAGTACGCGGCGCGGGTGGGGCAGGTGACGATGAAGAAACGACGAAGCAGTGAAGGCAAGCACCGAAGGCAGGACCGCGGCCGGGATCGCACATGAGAAGTTGTTCAAGCGCACAAAATGATGAATTACATTCCCGTCCATTCTTGGAGGCTTGCCCTCGGTATAAGCATCGCATCTCCAGGGCGGGGCTCGTTTTATCCCATCCCTAGGATGCGACGTCGAGGCATCCTCCGGCATGCGTCGAACCAAGAGCATCTCCACAATGCACGCCACTTGAACACTTCGGCGCTGAACTCACTCAAAATCAAGGCCTCAGCTCCCGGGAAACCCCTTCTGTTCATCCCCCTTTTGAGATCGGCACTCAAATCTCGAACGCGTACCAATAGCGCGCGCTCCCAGCGCATTTCGGTATAGTAGTCGATCAATCATCTCTCGATGGCCCCTGTCGCTAAAAATCAATCATAGAGGACGACGTAAATGAATCTATTAAAGCGCCATCTCTCAAGATTACCTAATACGATCACATTTACAAAGCCCGGAGTATCAGAAAGTAGGACATTGCATTGTTCATTCTAGATCGGGACCCGGGTTCGGGTCTTTGCGTACCGCAAGTATACAGGCCTACACTCAAGGTGAATGCTCCTTCATTCTTATGCTTCGGGATCGTCGTGTGGTTTAATCATACCTTTTTTTGGTCCACATGTCTCTGACAAGGGTCGATGTCATGCGCTATCAGTATACGAATGGGACAATTTCCCACTTGAACCATGGGAGAACATTGTAATTGCACATGTTATGTACTCATACATGAGACATATTTCACTTATCTCGGAATTTGGCCTACCGTTCACAGTACACGCTTCATCACAATGTCAAGGGAAAGCCTTGAGACATATATAACATATCTCCCCAGCACTCATAACTTCGCCGAAAAGCAACAGCAACTGTGACTTGTGCCCTCTACAGTAGAGATAGCCAAATCAGCAGTTCCTTCTACAACCCCAGCAAACTCCAAAAAGACAAAGGTCCCAGATGTGTCTCCAGATTCTTCTATGCAGAGATATCCATGGTAACAAGGGCAACAATATCAGTCTGACTGGACGAGGCATTCCACTAGCACGCCCTCTGACCAGGCGTACCGCCTCTGGCCACTCCACTGCTCGAGTTCCCTATCGTCCCTTTTCTGAGCAGCCCGCGCCAGTGCAGGAAGCCTACCAAGCTGAAATTCACATGCGGCCCTTTCGGGACAGGCAGGCCTATGGCTACGCGAGCCATGGCGCATGGTGGTGTTGCCGGTGCCGTCACGAGAACGAAGTCGTCCACCGTTCTGGAAATCGTCCTTTCGGACGTATGAACTGTGGCAATTGTGACCGACTCTTCTGCGGCGCGTGCGTGACGACTAACATCTTGGGACAGGACTTGGTAGATCGTCGTCCGTACAACCAAACTGCGATTGTGGTTCCTCACTATGATGACAAGGAAGTTCCTTACGGCGTCGTGTGCCCTAAATGTGGGTTGAGCCGGCGGGCCGAAGCCTTGGCGTTTGCTCAGCTGGGCGTTCGATTCTCAGCGGTCCAGTTCGATCAACTGCGCTGCCGGTGCGGCAATGTCTCGACGTCATCGTGGCATCGATTCTCGATTGGGTCTCCGTATGATTGGATGGGCGATCGGACTGCTTGTTACGGTCGCGCTCTCATGGAGCGCATCGATCAGTCCCGTCGAAACGTCTAAGCGACGTTTCTATTCTCTGATCACGGTAATTAGCCCTGGGTTTCATTTTCGTCTAGTCGCACAGTTACAAAAGAAGGTATGCCTGCGGGCGCTTCAGCCAATAGCATTTCCTATGGTCAAGTCTGCCTTCGTAAGTAGTGAATGCAGTGTGAGCATTCAACCAAGAATTTTCGTTCTTATCAGAAAACGTCTTCAATTTTTCGTGCGTCTGCATACTTTCCTAGTGAATCTGTAAAAGTGGATTACGCAATTGACCAGATGGACAGCAATGTATTGGTGAAGCTGAAAGGACTGAGAAAGAGCGTGCTCACTGTATCAAATCGGGAAACGGAGCGTGAATACTAGTGCCGGATTTAGTGTGCACAGAACTTGCATAAAGGTCTCGATTATCGCCGGTACCACCACGGTCCGAGAACTTGATCAATTCAACACAACCAGCGACAACGATCTCTTCCGAAGGTAAGCACCGCGCGGTCCTTCCCATCTCGAGCTGCACAGCTAACTTCACACGAGAGAAGCAATGGATGAGCGTGCTGCGAAGATTGTTTCCGCCGTGCAGCATGGATTAGACCCGAATATTGCTTCTGCACTAGAAAATGGCTTAGATCAACGCCCCCGTCCCTCTGCAGTTGGAGACCGTGATTTTCCGACTCGCACTCTTGTCGTCACCTCTCCACCGCTTCCCACAGTTGGCGTCAATCTCGAGGGCACAGGCGGCGCGAAGGCCTGGGACCCTGTCTGGGACTACCGCGGCAAAGACGTCGACAACACTGATACCGGCGACTTTGCTGGTTTCGTCGCCTTCATTGGTCCTGTTGAGGCCCCGCCCACCAAGATGTTGCGCTTCGGACTCGCGGACGGTCTGGAGAGCAGCGGCGTGCTCGAGTTCCTTGACATCAACTTCGACAACCCAGACGCCGGTAAGTATCATAGTATTTGCTCCTCCTTACGACGATCTGATCGTACGGAAGCGACCGACAAGGCCCTCACCGATCTCCAGCAGTCTGCGAGGACGATCCTCTGCAACGCCGTTGCCGATCAACGTCGAAACTTGCCCGCGGGCACCTCCCTCGAGCCGAACCAGATTTACCTGAAACCCGTTCTTGACGCGTACATCAAGCTTCTCTCCGCTTGCAAAGAGGTGGAGTGCATCGAAATGCCACTGGCATGGGCTAGCCTGTTCCGAGCGGAGGATATCTTCCCCAAGGTCAGCATGGACAACAAGGAGAACATGGAGCTGCTAGCTAACCATATGGTGCGATGGGGCAAGGATCCAGGCGGTGAGGAGCGGAGTATGATGCTGGAGTAGCAAGGCCTTACTGCTGTGCTGTAAGAGCGAGTATGAATTTGGATGACTCATCGGAGGTCCGGGATTTCAGACAGCAAAATCTTTCACTCTGATGATACCGAAATTCGGAGGGATTATGTATGATGTGATCGGCAAGAGATTGTGACTATGACACATCCCGCCTTCGCCCAATACAAGACCTAATTCTGTCTCCCTCCCCGTGTCATTTTGGATTATGCCATGTTATGTGGGCTTTGCTGGTCAGAGAAAATTCGTCGACTTGCGGCGATCATGTCTTTCGTTGGAGATTGGATGATGTGGTCGTCGAGGAGGTCGGCGAATACTGTCGACCGCGAGCGCGGTGGGACGAAGATGGAGAGGGTTTCAGTGGCGGTGATATCTCATTCTCCAATGTCAGACAGTGGCAGACGAGTAAGCAAGATAACCATACCTTCTATGAGATCGAAAGAAGTCGCGGTACTCAGCGTATGTACTGTGTGGGGGGTGTTGGCTTGCAATACTATGCTGAGAAATTGAAAGAGGGCGAAGAGGAATTGCCAAATGTAGGCTATGGAAGAGACTACGCCATAAATGAAGTGCATGGTGACGGTGGTACGAGTTGTGTTCGACTTCGATGGTTTCCTGAGAAGGTGTAGGCTGGTAGGAAAGCTGCGTTTCCCGGCTGCAAACGCTGTTCGATGCTCTCCACGCGAGAATTAGTGCGCGACAGTGAAATCACACCTACAAAGACACTTTCCCCAACCACCACGCAGCGTTTATGAATCTACAAACGCAGATCGCATGAATCACTACAGATGCAGTCTTGATACAAGAGACCTCCTTAAAGTTGGCCTACGTATTACCTACACTGAGGCAACATCACGCTTGTTCTTCACCTGCTGACTGCTGAATTAGTCCAAGAGCCTGCTATCGAGCAGGAAACCGCTCCAGGCACCGTCACCCTCGCAGAAGATATACAGGTCACGGCGACCGAGAGCGGCACCGAGACCCACACAGACAACGAAGACGCTGTGGCGGCAAAAAATGAGTCCTCGAACATCTACTTCTTCGAGCAGGTTAAAGAGGACCTCAGCAATGATACCAGGATGCGAAATTTCTTGGGACTGTACCAGGGCTTCTTCACGGCACAGATCCGCTTCGAGGACTTCCTTCTACAAGCGGCAGCGTTCCGTGGTGAGCAGTCCGACCTTTTTGCCGACCTCAAGGACTACATTCGGACGAAGGAGGAAAGGGAGGTGCTGGACGACGCGTTCCAGAACTTTCTCAACGAGCGTAAAATTGGTTTATGGGGTCGAAGATCCGGGCTGAGGTGAGCTCGATGAGCTCTTCGAATACACTTTTCGAAGCCCGCGATATGGGTTCAATGTTCAAATGGCGGTGAAAGAGCAAAGGCCACGGTTTTAGATGTAAATGTCCAGCGTATGGAAGGGAGAGGGGTGAGGCATCGGCAATTAGTAGGATTTGACTTCAAGAGTTTCTAATTGTTAATGATTGCGGTAGAGCTATTTTGTCATCAATTAAAAGCATCATGCATTTAGGAATACCATCTTGCACGATACATGCTTTGTCAGACTTTTGATAAGAACATTGTTGCAGCTCATCGACCGTGAAGCTCTTGGTCTGCGTGTTCCTTTTGCTTCCAGCCGACTTTTCGATACTGAAAGCATACTAAGCGGATGCTCGGATGCAGGGTTTTTAACCATAGTGGATTTGAACAGAGATGCTGATGGTTCCATTGCCCAGGCTGTCTATAATACACGCGCCTAGTGATCTCAAGATTGTTCAAGTTCTCAAAGCTGTTTGCTCCCGAAATCAACGTGATATTGAACCTAGCTTTGCATAACAAAAAACTGATAGCTTCCAGATTCGGCTTCTCGAGCCGGGTCTTTCTCGACGATATCTCGCCAGCTCCTTCTGTTTACGTTCCAAGACCTATATCCCAAAAGTTTATTCTCCCTGTAGCCCTACCCTCAAGTGCTGCGACAACCAATCTTCTACAACACCACTTTCAATCTTCTCACACAACAACCATGAAGTTCCCCAAGAGGAAGAAGCGCGGCCCCATCTCCGCGCACACAGCAGCAACCACCCCGATCGGCCGGTCGCCAGCGCTCTCCGCCGTCCGTCATATCGTCGAGCAGATCACCCCTCCCGAGGATCCCACCCAGCCCAAGCTTCGGCGCAAGCGCGGGAATCGCAATCTGCACGCGGATCTCATCTTCGACGCAGAATTGACAGGTGAGTGTCTCCCAAAATCTCGCTCACATGGAAGCTGACAACTGGACAGAGATTGACCCGGCTACGGGCAACTGGGTTGCGATACCGTTCGGCCAGCATCGAACCTTGTCAGCGCCTGCTATAATCCTCACACCGCCGTCACCTGAGAAGAAGGCCGATCTTCTTGATGAGCCCGGCGGTGTTCTTGCCAAGGCGGCTGGTTTGGTTGACACGCTTCAAGTGCCTGTGCCCCGGTAAGAACTTATGAGCCCGGAAAGAGACTCCAATGACTGACTATCAGCGGGTCTCTATCGCTTCCAGATCTTGGTTGGCTTGCCACCGCGGCTGGCCGTGCTCTTGCGAGCTACATCCCGTACAGGCAGACGTCTGAGGTACGCTCAATTGTTCCAGATTACTACCAATATGAGCTGATTGAATCTACTAGGAGGGGAACGAGCGGGAGTTTGAGCAGGACTCTGAGCGTTGTAGCACTGACCTCGGTTAAGACCTCACTGGCGACCTGCCCCTTATGTAACTCTTCTCTTGGGTTGCAGCCGGGGAGTTACCTTTGAGCAAGCCGCTTGGAAGCTCAAGGCAATTGTTGACGTTATGGAGATGTGTGGTCCAACTGCACTGACCATCTCACCTCGGATTATTACATTTTGGGAGGTTTGATGGAGTTTTTCGGAATTTGGTGTGGGATTCGAGGCTTCTTTCCATGACTCCGTACCACATTCACTATGGGCGTTTCTCTGAAGTCCTTATTAACTCCGGGATATCCATTTATCATGCGCTATTGGTATACAAGAGCGAATGGATATTCGTGCTGGAATCTACTCGCACTGGCGCAAATGTGGACGAGCTGTTCCGACCTAGCTGAATCGAGAGTTGTTGCTAAGGGAATGGACTCTTAGTATTATTTGAGTGTGCAGCTCTCTCAGCCAGACTACTCGTTAGAACACGCCCGCGCTCAATCTCCGAATCGTGCTCTTGCTTTTTGAAATCTCACTCACAACCACTCGTACCTCACATCTTCTCGGGCGCGATCTGCTGCACCTCAACAGCATGGCCTCGAACGCGAACACCACAAATCCAATAAACGACGTCCCGCAGGCAGCGCATGTGCCTTCCTTAACCGCTTCATCAGCACCTCCAGGTGATGATCGGGACGCCACGCAACCGCGCTCCACCGTCTCTCTGCAGACCTCCGCCAATATCTTGCCGCCCATTCCCCGCGAGCTCGACGATTTACGCAGCAGATTCCGCTCCGCCTGGCGCGCCGACGGACCTACGCTCAATACACCCGTGTTTCCGTTGCTGGGTATGGTTCCGGTGCGGTCTTGGGGTGAGAGTGAGCCCTTCGCTCCGGCGATCTACCAGCAGCTGAAGGGTATTGAGCCGATCTTCAGGGTCGCCGAGCAGAGCCCGAATTTCCATGGTGGGGCTGAGTTGACATTGATGATTGACGAAAATACGCCGTTCCTGGTTGGAGCACCTGCAAGAATGGGACAGCAGCAGTCAGGTCCAGTCCAAGTCTACCGAGGCCAGAACAACCGAGACCACACGAACATTTTCCTATCTTCCGCAGCTTCCACGCCTTTGAAGAACATCTCTGACGCTGCAGAAGGCGTGGCAGCCTTTGACGCGCCTACCGGATACCAGTATGAAACGCGCCTTGCCACCATCCCCGAGGACAACACCACGCCTTCCAGTCTCACGTCGCCCTACCAGAACGCACCCGGCGCTTCAAACGGTATGACAGCGTTCGCCTCTCCAGTTGTCAGCCTATACCAGTACCCAAGCCATATCGCGCCCATCCCTCAAAGCCAATTCTACCCCTCTGCCGTAGGCAACGCAGCTCCTACACAAAGCATGCCAGCTCTCAACCTACCCACCGCCACCCAGCACCAGCCCCAGTACCATTAATCCCCACTTGCACCTTACCGCCTCGCTCCAAACTCCGCGTACTTCTTTCACAGCAAACCCATCCATCAGCAAACTCAAACGCCGCCTCCCAACCCCTGGCCGCTGAACATCCCTACAACCGCCGACGTACGCAACGGCACCGCTGTCATCGAATCCCCGCACTGGGAGGCGGTGCCTTTCGAGCGCGAGGGCGACGTGGAGGATTGGCGTGGAGGAAACTCTGGCGCTGACGCGGACCCCGGCGTTGCAACCGCTGGCAACTCTCAGACGTCGATTCCGTACGAGGGCGAAGGTGACGTGCAGGACTGGGTTGAGAGAGGAAGCGAGGAGGTGCGCCACGACGGAGAGGGCGACGAGTGGGACTGGGTTGAAGGCAGCTCTGGTGCGGATGCGGACTCTAGCACTGTCACTGCCGGCAATTCCGCTACCGACTCTTCTGAGAAGAAACATAGATACGCCGGAAATCGTGTCCCGATACAACACGCAGTCTATCAACTCTTCGAGCTATCATGCTGCGCGAGTGTGTGATAGGTAACGAGGCCAACAGCGAGGAGTCGCCACTCATTGAGCTACCTGGATGGAGACTTGTGTTTGTGTCGGGTGTTCGGAGGATTCGGAATTTTTGGGATAGAAACCTGGGAAGAAGTCAGTTTCGAGGGCTTCACGGATGGATGAACACATTTGCGTGGGACGTTCGGACTTTCGGCGAAACACGCATGAAGATTCCAGGATGGACATGGAGGTAGGAGACTGTAGGAAGATACAAGGGCAAATTCGTGATTTACATGAGTTGCATAAAGCCCGGAACTAATGCGGGTATTCAACTTAATCTTGACCGCCTCTTACAAGCATTGACTGTAGTAATCATTTCCCTTGGTGCACGTAGTCCCAGCCACACACTGGGTTGGTCCAGTCCATCCGATTCCGCCGCACTGTCCCCACTTCGGCACCGTGCCGCCGCTCGCAGCTGAGCTCGTCGCTGGCGCTGCTGTTGTTGTCGTTGACGACGCGGGCACAGAGGCGGTAGGAGTTGCGGTTGGCGTGGTGCCCGTGCTAGTCCTAGTAAGCAGGTGCTTCCATAACACGTGCAGCAAGAGATTAGTTACCCGGTTCCCCAAGCGCTCATCATGGCGTCGTATACCGCAGCCTTCTTGTTCAAGTTTTCATCCCACGGCAGCGCGGCACCCTGTCCGGAGAACACGCTCGGGATCCACGAGTACTTGTCCGTGTAGTCCCAGATAGTCATGCCGACACACCTAGCTACAGCTTTGCAGCCCTGAATCACAGTGGCGTAGTCCTTGGCTTGCTGGGTGACTGCAGCGGCTGTGGCAGGCGTGTTCGTGCGGATATCGAGCTCGGTGATGGCGACATCGACGCCCAGGGCGGTGAAAGCGTTCATGTTAGTGGTCCACGCAGAGACGGACTCTGAACCGGTGGAGCCGACGATGAGATGGGCTTGCATGCCGACGCCGTCGATTTTGGCGCCGTAGGCTTTTACGAGCTTGACGATGTTCTGGGCGCCAGTCGATTTTGCGCCTGCGGCTTCAATGTTGTAGTCGTTGTAGTAGAGCTTGGCGCTGGGATCGGCGGCTGCTGCTGCTGCGAAGGCAATGGGAATGTAGGCTGGGCCGATGGTGTTGTAGAACACGTTGGTGCGGTAGGTGCCGTCCTCGTTGAGTGCTTGAAGCGGTTAGGAAACGACTTGGTAGCAGGATTTTGATCACCAACCTTCGTTTACCACGTCCCAATGGAGACATTTACCCTTGTAGTGGGTGACCTCATTTGTGATGTGGTTCTTCAAGATACTGATGAGAGTGGCGTTGTCGAAGCCACCGTTCGTGACCCTGTCCGCGGTCAACGAAGTGTCATACCGGATAACAGACGAACTTACCAGCTGGGCAGCTGGTTGTACCATACCAGCGTATGACATCGCAGATATTGTCCGTTCTTGGCGGCAAGATTTGCTATCACGTCTCCATTTGCGTAGTTGAACGTTCCACGAGAAGGCTCGATGGTGTCCCACTACTATAATTAGCCATGGTCACCTTCGGCAAAGGATGTTGCGTACTTTCATCGAGTTTCCAGGCGTGATTTGTCCAAAGTCCGCCGTGTTGCTGAGACCGGCAACATAAGCCGAGTCTGTAAGTTCGCCGTTGTCAGTTGCGCTGCCGAAATACTGCTTGCCGGCGGCAACGGCACGCGTGTTGAGGCCATCTGCTGCTCGAGGTCTAACGATAGTTAGCTCCACGTGGTTTATATCAGAACGATAGTTCATACTCTACTGGAGATGCTGTCGCACCAAGAGCGGCAAGTACGAGGGTGATAGCGGTAGGGATCATGATGCCAGTCGGGTTTCCGAACAATACAGAACAGCACAGCGAGGATCAATCGTAAAAGCCAAGCTCTTTATACCAATGCACTGCCAATCTCCCATTGTCCAGGGACACGCAACCACGACTGTTCGGTCCATGCTCGTGATCCCCAGCTCTTGCCCTACCGTGTCTACCAGCAACAGCCAGGTCTCCAGAACGATCGTAGCGCGCGCGGTCGACAGCCCGGTTTTCGCATCGGAGAATTTCGTTTCAGCCTAGTTCAAACTGCCATTCCCGGAACGCGCTGGCGGTTAATCTAGGGAAGATTGGCATTGCCGGTGGTCGAAATTACTCCCGGAATCAGAGCCGTGCAATATATTCGACGCAGGCAATTTTCCGTCCGCTGGAGCAGGAGGCGTCATAGTATCGCAACACCGAGCAAAGCTGCAGTTTGTTGGTACGGGGCCCGGTCTTTGGAAACCAAGAGTTTCTATAGCTGACGGAATGCGGGTGGTGCGCTTGGTTGGTCCGCACGAGTCGGGAGCGATGCAACTGAGCTTGGCATCTGGAACGTCTTTGTGGGGAACTGGAGAACTCGAGACCACAACCGTCAGGCCACACGCTCCGCGCATTTGAGTACAAGTACCACGGCCTACCTGCCAATCTCGCTATTGCTTGACTCACAGAAAGCGTCCGCCTTATGCCAGGGGATTGGCATCGATAGGACGTCGGACGCGTCTTCTCGCGGCCTCTTCTCCCACAGGCGATCTGCCAGCCAGCAAGGGTGGACCCCATGCATCGATAGTTTCAGTTCGCGAAAATCACCATGTAGCCGCTTCGCTAGACAAATACAGACAGCTGTAGCTCGACCCCACCGTAGAAAAGCATCGCCGCCTCTCTTTTTTCCGTCCGTCGCAATGCGCGTTCCTTCGAAGCGATCGTTACCAACGTGCGAAGACGCGGGTCCTCGGGCCGTCGCAAGACTACCTCCAGCTCTTACGCGTACATCTGAACACTTGTCTTGAACGATTGATGGTTGCAAGCACCGACGGAAGATCTCCTAGACCAAGGGAACCGCTGCCGAACTCCCGCAAAGCTCACAGCCAGGATACCAGTAGGCTTAGATCGGCAACACGCGACGTACTGCGTACATGCCTGCGTGCCCTTGGACCCCATCCCAGCAGCAGACGTACGCATGTTGACCAAGATGGACGCTCTACCAGAAATACAAGTTCGCGCTGGCTTCGCTGGGTGTCAACAACCCGGTTGACTTCGATAGCAGTCATGATACCATTGATGTCTATGCGATATATGCTTCCACACCAGCTTTTCCATGATCGAGTTCGGGCCCCTTACAGCTTCGTAGGACTGTGAAGACGCTGGCGCCATTTTCCAAACATTTGGAGCCTGGAACTCCGTCCTGGAGATGGTTACCTACTCGAGTGCCAGTGGTGTAGGAGATTGGACGATCGTGACCATGCGTTCATATGGGACGGGGTGTTACTAAAACGTGAAAGTTAGATTGCTGTTTCATTTACCCGACCGAGGACACCTAGACACATTCGCTTCGAGAGACAACAAAACCTACCATCCAGCTCGATCTGCTTGGATGTCGCAATCCAATGCCAGATTCGTAATCGCTATCTTGACCGCACATTATCCACGCACCAGCGGAAGTACCTAAGAAAAGCTCGATTTGCAGATCCAACCCTGCTTCGTCCACTGCGGCCTCCCGTTCTTCGTCAGGTGATCCAGCGTCCCGTCTATCTGGTCAGCAAGGACACCATGGCCTTATCTACTGGAATTAACAACACATACGAAGAGGTGCCCGATCTAGCCAAGGAATTCGTCAACAAAGCACCAGATGAGACGGGGCAGCGACCCAAGTTCAAAGTATCACGGGATACCCTAGTGCGGACCCACCAACGACATCTCAAGCTTCTAAGCGAAGGTAGCGTGCCCGTTCGCAGCTTGGTCCTACCCAAGCCGTATCCCCCAGCACGCGGCTTGGTTGAGGCGACATCAACGAAGGCTGTAAGTATCGATGCCCTTGTTGTACAACTACTTTACGAATATTACGCTAGGTCCACCTCGGTGATCTTCGCATAGATAGCAGAGACGGGGATGCTGTGCTCCTGCTTCGTACCATAACGGCTCCCTACGTCTGGTCTTCTACGGTCACTGTCGCAGAGGATGAGACAGGGGATGTTGCTAGGCTGACGGTCTGCAATCTCGAAGATAACGTCGTTGATCCCATCGTGACTGAAGGAACTATTCTCGCAATAAGGCAACCCTGTTGGACAAGACTAGTGGATGGAGGGTACCATATCCGTGTCGACCATCCTTCAGACCTTGTCTTGCTTCAACCGAACGATGATCTTGTTCCTGAAGCATGGAGGGACGACGATGGCCAAAATTTCAAAGGAGACGCGGCGCAATGTAAAAAAGAAGGCGACATGATGTTTCTGAAGAAGCGCTTCCGCCAAGCTCTCGAGCTGTAAGTACCATGACAGATGCCCCTTGACTCTGACTAACCTGGCAAAGCTATACCAAGGGTCTACAACATGTCTCCACCACTCCGGACTCAGCTGCTGAGATCGACTTGTATCGTAAGCGCTGTGGCGTCAGCATAGTTCTTCTTCGCCTCGACGATGCAGCGAAAGACCTCGCCGAGGCGATAGCGACCCATGCTCGCTCTACACCTGACCTCTCCTCCTCCGAACTCGCAGACGCGTCAATTGTCAAAGCATGGCTCCAAAATCGCAGCACCGAAGACCCACTACACATCTCAACCAGGATCCCTCGTCCCCTCAAGGAGCTAGCAGCCAGGATCAAGTTCGACATCGGCATCAATCAATCCACGCCCGACTATAACCTATCGGTGATATCCGCTTATGTAGGACCCCTGACGTTGCACGTTGACGCTGCAAACTACATTAGCGATACCGAAGTTCGAGAGACTGGTTCCCGCGGCCGTGGTCTGTTTGCGAAGAAAGATTTCAAGGAAGGCGAGCTGATCTGTGCGGAGAAGGCTTTCGTGCTCCCAGGATATTTCATGCAAGATCGAAACAGTGACTGCCTGCTCTACAGTCTGGGCGACGGAACCGCCGCACCAAGACCAGGTGCATGGCTCTTCAAAGAGCTGGTACAGAAGCTGAGGTGGAATCCTAGTCTACGAAAAGAGTTCTTCGACATGGGTGATGGTGGATACTGGGAGGAGCATGGGTGGGAACTAGCTGAAGAAGAAGATATACCAGTTGACGTGTACGTCTCTTTCTTCAACGGTGACAGTCATACTGATACCAGACAGATTTCGCGTTGAGTACATCCGCCGCCTCAACTGCTTTTCTGCGCCAACACGCTCCTCAGATCTCCTGAATCAGCCGCCGAATTCGAACCCAGAGCTCCGTAATGGCTTCTGGACGCACGCCTCGTACGCTAATCACTCCTGCCTGCCAAACTCAATACGCACGTTCATCGGCGATCTCAGGTTCTTGCGCGCTGCCAGGGATATTGCGGCAGGAGAGGAAATTACGAATCAGTACGTCGCGCCCGACATCGACATCGACGAACGACAGGAGAAGCTGCGAACAACTTGGGGATTCGAATGCGATTGTCAGCTCTGTATCATAGACGGCAGCGTCAGCGAAGGAACAAGAAAAGAGCGGCTGAGGCAGTTCGAAGAGCTCAAGAGCACAGTCATGAAACTGGGTGAGAAAGGCGCTCCCACGATAACCTCCCTGAAGAAGATCGCCCGCGCACTCCGCGAGATGGAAATACTCTACTCACCTTCCAGAATTGAAGGCCAAACCACAGAAGATCCCTACGCCACGCTCCCCCGCCTCGCACTTGTCCATCCCACGCTCTTCTTGACCGAAGCTTGGCGCAGCGTCAAGAACATTGACCGCACAATCGAATACGCGCTGAAGCTGCTGCGCAATTTCGGCCTCGTTGTCACGACCGAGGGAGGGAAGTTGGAGGTGGTTCATAACGCGGGCTTTGTCAACGTCGAAACCGTCCGCGCGCTCAACTATCTAGCTGAGGGCTATACATCCCGCGGCGAGGATGAACTTGCAGCACAATGTCGAGAAAAGGCTAAGCAGTGGTACATCATCATCACAGGCTCTGAAGTAGGTGCGGAGCAGTTCTTTGGCAGCGAGCAGTTTTTCTCATAGAGTCTCCATTTGTATAGTCCAGAATAATCTAGTACTGCAATTTTTGAGCCCCCAGGTTTTCCTCCAAGTCTCCCCAGGCCGCCCTGTGCATGGCCTTATTGCCCATTGTACGGAGAGGCGTCCCCGGCCAGGCTAACCCCTGTGGCCGAGTAGGTGCATCCACATGAGCATCGCGTTGACGATGAGGTACACGTCTGAAGCCCGGACAAGCCAACGCAGGCCGGGCACATCCACCAGCGCTATAGTCACGAAAAGCGCGACGAGTAGACTCAGGAGATGCCAAAACTCCTCATCCATGTTGTAGTATGGCTTATTGGGACCGTGGAGGATGTCTTATTGCGGTCGTTGTGTTTGCGGCGGGATCGGGGCGTTGAGATGCGTGTGCGGCGGACGAGGGTGAATTGCGCGTGCAGTGCTCGAGCGGGAGGTGTAATGTAGCTATCTTAGTATCAGTTTGAGCCAATCTGGACAAGGGGTAGGTACGATTACCCGTCGATATTCGAGCATACGCTGGAGAACTGGTGTTGCGGCGGCGGACGCGAATATCAAACTCGCTGGTGGGCAGCCGACTGAGGCTAAGCGTCAGTGAGCGCCTTCCGGGCAACACGCGCGTGAGAATTGACGCAGAGATATGGTAGAGCGGCTTGATTGATTGACTTAAGGGGCAATTTGAGGGAATGGCTTCTACCTTGCGTCCTCTCCCTCCTGTTTGAGTGATGATGAGCTGCGGCTCTCCGAACGGGAAGCTGCCTTCTTCCTGGTTCCCAGGCGGAGACGAGCTAAAGGCGCAGCCTACAGTTGTTCTGAAGCTTTGTGTACAGCTTTGCTCCGCTGCTTTCTTTATTTCAATCTTGATCTGCCCTCCACGTCACGGCGCCGTTGCCCTGGGCAGCTCATCACCAAACATGATCATTTGCACAAATTATGGCACCAAAGGGGTAGAGAGCTCAATTTTATCACTCGTAATAGACTAATCGACTTTCTGAAAGCCTCATTTACCAGCTCCTGAATATGAAATGCCGCACTCGGTCGATTGCAGCAGCCTTAACGGGGAAGAGCCCCGTACACCTAGACCAGCTCGACGAGCACTGGTATATTTGACTCCTTCACTGCAGCTCAAAGCAGTGGTGCCCACCGTGCTCGCACTCGGCGAGGCAGCTGCTGCGGCCGCGTTTGTTGTGATTCTGCTACGGCCTTCGACGCGCTTCACTTGGCCCACGCGCCCTCGACTATAAAATCTGGCTGCCCCGCCACCTTCTCCCTTCCACCTTCTTCTCACTCTATCAGCCATTTCCTGTTTGAGTCCCTCCTTCTCTTCTTCCCTCTGAGTGCCACCTCATCGGCAGTGATCCACAACAGCTTGTCACTGACAGTGCCATGTTCACGCCGCGCTTGCCGTCGACGACGACGTCGCTTACTCGCCACGTCGCAGCGCCTTCGCCAGCAGCTGACAGACATCTCTGTAAGTATTCGCTCCTCTGTTTTTATCCCTGCTCTCGCGGGCGTGATGAAACTAGTCCGAGTCTATTGACCGTTTTGGTCAGTTGTCTCTCCTCAGAATGACGGCTGTGCAGACAAAATGGCGGCTTCGGGCCAACCCTCTGAACACCGCTGTCCATTCCGCCTTTGGCCTCACTCTTTCATTGACCTTGACTTACAGCGCCAGCAGGGCAGCCGCTTACATGACCTTGGATCGCAATCACCCGATTATGCCCAGTCACTGGCAAGTACACTGCTCTCCTTTCAACCTACCCCACCTAGCATGATGAGACCTATCGACGGCAACCTAGTAGTTACTGCTGGAGGCAAAAGCGCAACCGCTCTGAGGAATACATCTCCACTCACTGTCGCGCACAAATTATTCGCGACTTTTACTGACATCAGTGAACAGAACCGTATTACGCCACACGCATATGTCCATGCACAGTCATTGGTAAGTACCTCCAATTATCTATGCCTTATTTCGCCTGACATGATGTTACCTACTGCGCCAGACGGTATCCTAGTAGTTATTGCTGGAAGATACGCGCAACCACTGAGGCTCATCCCTTTACCTCATTCGAACGCACTCTCTGCGCGACCTTCGCTGACATTGGGAGATAGAAGCTCATCACGCCACGGCTTGTAGCCACCACTAGCCAAGTTTTGTACTCTGCTGCTTGCGCATCACCGTGGCCCATGACGATCATACAAACGCGGCCTGAAGCTCTCTGCAGCTGATGTCTCTTTAGCCCACTGAGGCCTTCTTTCCCTTGCCCGTGGCCATCCATTTCCTCAAAAGCTGCTGACTCGGACGCGGGTATGCATCGGCTTGTTTACGATAAGTCCAATGAAGCATTGCGTCGCTCCAGTAAGTACAACCCTCTCACCACTGCAAGCACTTATGAGTGAAACAACCATCCTTCGACGGCCACTGAATAGTTCATGCTGGACAACGATGGGGCTGGCCAAGCAGGGCAGCTGTCTTCTGAGGACATCACCTACTGAATCCCTCGTCTCACCTTATCGCAGAACATGGCTGACTCAAGACTTCAGAACAACTTTTGTTACACACAGCCGACGTTCACACGTCGGCTCAGTAAGTGCAATCCTCTCATCATTCGAATCACTTCTGAGTGAAACAAGCATCCTTCGACGGCTACCGAACAAACGGACCTTGTGGACAGCGATGAGGCTGGTCAAGCAGGACTGCTATTTTCTGAGGGCACTGCCTTTAGTGTGCCTCGCGTCTTCACCTGTTTCAGAATACCGCTGACTTCAAAATACAGAACATTCTCCGTTGCACGCACTTCCGAAATTGTTCATTCACTTCAAAAAGAAAAACTTCCCTAATTATCCCAAGCACCCACGAGTGAAACAACCATCCTTGAGACGGTCACTGAACAGACGGTTCGTGTGGACAACAATGGAGTTAGTCAAGAAGGACAGCTATTTTCTGAGAGCATCACTTCTTCTGCATCTCGCATCTTCAGCTTTTCTCCGAGCGTCGCTGACTTCAATCCCAGAACCTGTTCTTCCTCACACACATACCCACGACATTCGATTCTCACACCGCCTTCGACCTGACGACCAGCAATTCTGGTGTCGCACTTTTCCCCACACGCCCGGTAGGTCCAGCAGCCACCTGTGGCTCCCGGCCAGTGACGGCTGCCCCACTTCTCTCCATAAGTGAGCGGTGGTAAATACTGAGCCCTACATCAACAGCAGACTGGCTTCGACAAATTTCACCGTAGGGTCATAACCCCTTTGACGCGAGCATTAGGCCCGGGCCTTAAGTTCGTGAAGGGAGGAACCCAGTCTGCGACACATTTGCCACACGTGCCAACCGCTTGAACGCGTGCTGACTGGACCACAGGGATTCATACCAAGTTTTGGATGGTTTCGTGTTCGCGCGCCTTTGCAAGCCGCATTCTATCGCATCATCTACCATCTTCGTTACCTCCTTGGCCAGATCTCTCCCAAGGTAAGTCCAGCAGCTGCCTATGGTACTGGGTTCCCCGTACCCTTCGCATCCCCTTGCCCTTTGCCCTTGCCCTGGCTTGGTACCATACATTCAAAGAACCAAATGGTTTGTTAATCGGACGTACAGATTGCGAAGCACACAGCCTGTTCTCCATCGGTAGGTCCACGACACTGCTCTTCATAGAGGTCCCTTGGTACTGGCTTTATCTGGGACCAAGATTAAACCAGCCCGCTGTGATGCTCGTTTGGTCATTTCACACCGACTGCTAGGTAAAAATCTGCCGGCGGGTGAAGGTTGAGTGGTAGCATGTCTTCATGTCTTTCCTACGACTGGAGGCGCTCTCATTAAAGCCTCCCACATTCACGCTATATGAACAGCTTTACTGATTGGACCTATAGACTGCCGAGCCTATCTATGTACAAGTCTCCACGCCGTGGCTCGTCGCGGCTCTTGAGAATGGGCTCAGTGCTCCCCTTCTACTTCGACTGAAGTCCTCATTGGTAAGTCCTGAGCACAGTTCCCCAAACACTACAGGGTACCATCCACAGTGCCCGGTACATAAAGGCCTCTTGGTACTGGGTGTTACTGGGCCCGAGATGGAATCAGCCCTCTGCGATGATGCTGTTGAGAACCTTGCCTGTTTCACAGGTACAACAGCGAAAGATCCAGCGGGTGTAGGCTGAGTGTCAACACCCCTTCATGCCCTCTCCATGGCTGAAGGACCGTTCCCACCAATGCCTCGCACATTTATACAACTCGTTGAGAAGCTCTGCTCATTGGACTTACATGCAATCTAGACAAACTTGTCAGTAGAACGTTCTCGCCCAAAACGTCTTCTGCCGCCACGCGTTGTATTATCGGCAATACCACTGTCTCTCTCTGGAAAGTTCGAGGCGCTTGAGCTACCGCCTAAATCAATGACTGCATGGGCTCCAGACGGGTAAGCGTTCTAGCTCGTATATCCAGCAGCGTGACCTCCTATCCTAACGGCCGCGGAGTAGCTAGACTACGGTCTCATACCTCAGGCCATTGTTCGGTGGCGCTCGGGAGCGTTTGGCTCCATAAATTTCTTCCACATCAACCTGATCGGTTCAAGATGAGAAGCTAACGAACTTACAGCTATCTCCTCGCCTGATGAGTCTTTTCAACGCCTCGCCCTGAGCCTTTACTTCTCTCAGTTCCCGAATCAACTCGACATTTTGACCGTAAACAAGTAAGTCCGCAACTCTGTCCATCTCTCCTCACTGGGGCGTGTTGCCTTAACCGGCAGGGTATTGTACTGCGCAAGGTCGCATTGCACAACGCCACCGTGAGGCTTCGGCCGTCGCATTGATAGTGCAGAGCCTAGACGGTCCCGCGCCAGAATTACCCTCATGGCATGGGTGTGTCGGAGCATGCTTGCTTTTCGTGAGTATTGTGAACCGTAACTCGCACTCATGACATCCCTTCGCGAGAAACTTCCGATTTGGTGCCGAAGTTTCTAATGGACTTACAGTCCTATTACCTTGCTTTGAACACCATCACATTCTGATTGCAAAGACACTTCCGCGAATACTTTACGCACGGCTTCTCTTCTCCAGAGCCCATGACAGTAAGTCCTTCACTACTTCACCTCTTGATTCTCTTGGCCGGTGGCGAGACGGTGCTCGTGCTTCCTCATAGCATACGTAGTTCGCAGTTTGAACGTCGCCGGCTTAGATTGACCTCATGGCATGACTACGTCTGATCGTCCTTGCTTGTGGCAAGCGGCGTGATTTTTTTGTATCATGACATCACTTCAATCTGTGCTGAACGTAGCTGACGGACTTACAGACTCGACGCTTCATGCTCGAAGCTCCGCGCTCAACGCTCTGTCCTCGACGCTTTGTCCAACACCCTTCGCAACGCTCGGTGCAATGCCCACGCCCCGTGCTCAGATCTCGAAATTCCTGCCTTGCGCAGTACAGCGTGTAAGTCCAACAGCTTCTCCTCATCTTCCGACTCCATTGGCCGGCGACTATAGACGGCAGAGCTCGTGCTTCCTTATAGCATTCGTAGTTCGGGCTTCAAGTCGCCTGCCTAGATCTAATGACATGGGAGCGTCGCGAGCGGTCTTGCCTGTGGCATGTATCGCGACCGTTATCCGCGACCATGACATCCATTCGCTAGATCAATGTTTGGTAAGAAGCTCATGGACTCACAGATCAATTCACTCCAACTTGATCTCTCCACTCCATTTTCCAGAGACACAGCATCCGGAATTCGTCTTCAAGTGGTGAGTCCATCAGCTCCATCCTCAACACTATGTCCGGCGACTGTATGACGGCTAGCTCGTGCTTCTTTGTAGCATACGTAGTTCGCAGTTCATAGGTCGTCGGCCTAGATCGAATCACATGGGTGCGTTGGAAGCGTTCTCGTCTGTGGGGAGCATCGCGACTATAATCCGTAGCCATGACATTTCTTTGCTTGATCTAATTTTGGCAGGATGCTAATGGACTTACAGATAATTTCACATCATTCTGGAGACATGGGGCATCATGCGATATCGTCAATATGGTATCTATGGTAAGTCCGTCAGCTCCACCCTTCTCACCATGGCCGGCGGCGAGACGGTGCTCGTGCTTCCCCATAGCATACGTAGTTCGCAGTTCATAGGTCGCCGGCCTAGATCGAATCACATGGGTGCGTTGGAAGCGCTCTCGCCTGTGGCGTGTATCGCGACTGTAATTCGTAGCCATGACATCCCTCTTTGTCGAATTCCTGTTTAGAGCAAGCTGACGGACTTACAGACCGTGGCAAACCATTTCCAGACGCTCGACAACCCGCCAAATCGACCATATCGTAAGTCTATCAGCTTCACCTTGCTCTACACGGTCGGCGATGACATGACGGTGCTCGTGCTTCTTTATAGCATACGTAGTTCGCAGTTCGGCACATCGCCGGCTAGATTGACCTCATGGCGTGGGTGCGTTGGAAGCGTTCTCGTCTATGTGGCAAGTATCGCGACTGCCATTCGTATTTATAACAATTCCGTCCCTCACATTCATGCTCATGCTTGGAGAAGGAGCTACTGGACTTATAGGCTGGCGGTCGAAGTCTTTGCCTCGTAGGCTTGCGCAACAGTGCCCTATCCTTTTGAACGCTCGTAAGTACCGCCACTCGGTGCGCTGTCGCGATCGACAATTTACATCTTCACGTTGCATAATTATGGTATTTTACACCATCATGTTGCTTTTCTGGTCTGCCCACCGAGACTGGCGGCGCGACCGAGGAGCAGCGCACGACCAAAGAATACGCCAAGCTCTTCATGGACAATGTCTCAAAGAGTTGAAATACTTCATTGACATGTCTCAGGACGTGATGAACAAGCATATAATGGATTTCGACACCTTCAAGTTGCTTGGAAGAGAAGACCTGGGTTTGGGGCAAGCTCGAGGAGAACTTAACCGCAGCAAGGTCAGTATCAAGCTTACCGAACTGCGGCGTCAGGCTTCAGAACTCCAAGTCTACACCGTCACGTTGCAGGCTTTCACGGCGACACCTTCACGTTGCATTCCGCATGGCGCTGTAATGAAGCCTGCTGAGACTTCAGCTCCCTCCCATCCATAGGCTGGTACCCCAAATAGCGACCAATCTGGCTTTCCCAACTTATGCCAGAGCTTCAGCGCCGGCAGCCATAACCTCTACAGTAGGTCACGCTCGCTGAATCCGCTCGACTGCTCGTCTTATCTAACAATTCCAGTTCGTAGCCACGCTCTATGGTCAGCAGGCGCCAAATCAATGCATTGAAACGAAAAGCAAAAAGGATAATCTGAAGGCGAGGCTCAAGGCCATGGCCGTAGACGCCACACGAAGTAGCTGGCAGCAATTCAGACTTCCAGTTCAACCGCTCCCTCCACTACCCCAAAACGTTCGAGAACACTGCACTTCAGTTGAATCGCGCCCGAGCCATTCGACAAGTTCCTGGTCTCGCTGGACCTGCTGAAGACATGCAGTCGACCTGTCGGACAACGAGAACAATGGCTCGAACAGGAACCTAGCCGACCCTGATAGCGAAGAAGGGGATGACGAAGGGCAATTGGCAATGTCAGTTACGCGTTCATCAACTTCGTCGATATGAATCACGAAGAACGCCAGACTTGCTACGGGTTTGACGGAAAAGATAGTAGGTACAGGTAGAAACTGGTCACCATTACGTTGCAGATACTTGAACTGATACGCCAGGATACACGTGAAGGTAGGTTTGGGAAGGAAGCACGGAACAGGTCTAGCTGCAAGCTCTCGTGGCTGAATCCCACAGGTTGCACTTCTTCCCATAGGTGCGACCTCTGCACTTTAGCCTAGATCAACCCAAGCACAGTGACTCTGGGAAGCTGCGTCGCTGTGCTCTAGCCCCCCCCCCCCCCCCCGATTTGTTTATATTATGGAATCGGCGAGCGTCAAGTTTGGAGGTCTAAAAACATGTTTCCATCCGTTGACTATGGCGCCAGGAAGAGCCAACGGACATCTTGTGAATATGTAAGTGAATGAGAAGTAAGATGTGATATCTAACATGAATATGCTAGTTTTCCCAATACCATTGACATCATGATAGTGGTCGAAGAGGGAGCTGCTTCACAAAAAGCCCCGCGTACGTAGTGCTTTTATACCGTCTGCTTGATCATGCACAACAGGAGAATTCAAAGGGCACCGCCCATGTCAAAATTCCAGAAGTCAGGAAACGTCCAGCCTGACAAGTCGACTTGCATGTCCTGCAAATCGTCGAAAGCCCCGTCGCCAATACCCTTGCCGTCGTTGAGCGCAGTCGCGATAGCGACGGTTCCGGGGAGTATCGTGGGCATGTCTCCACCGAGGCCCCCACCACCGAGATTACTTCCATACATGTGTGGGGCCGTAGGGGGACCTGTAGACGGGCCGAGGCTCGAAGCTGGCGTCAGCGGCGAAGGCACTGTGACGTTCTGGCGTAAGGAGCTCACAAGCGAATCGGCAGGTTCTTTCTGTAGCGCGAGAACACGAAAACAGAGTGACGTGACCCGCTCGAGCGACTTGCGGCCTCGTGAGCGTAGGTCGTCGGCTGTGGCGTTGGTAATAGATGCGATTGATGTCCGTCGGTCCTGACTAGTTTTTGGCATGATGCCCTGCGCGGAGCAGAGAAGGAAGTACTCCATGTAGCCGGTGCCGAGGCGCATGACTTTATTCTCGAAGAGCAGGCGTACTTTTTCCAGGAGATTGACGGCAGTCGTGCAAAGTGTCGATGCAAGCAGGCTGTCTGTGGGGAGTTGGGGGATTTTGAGCTCTGGGCCACCGATGGGACGCTCCTGTCTGGATGCCACGCCGATGTCGATAGGGTGCACATAGTCTTTGTGATTGGGCGCATCGCGACCCTCTGCTGGCGATGCGTGGAAGCAGTTGTAGTATGTAGTTTGAGCAAGCGCTATGCCCGCCCGCAGAGCGTCGTTACGAAGGTGGTTCAAAGATAATATATTCTTTGCAAGCAGTTTTTCGTGGAGCATCAGGATCGTACTCGCGGCTTCTATACATGCCGTGAAAGAAAAACTAAAGCGCTTGTTCGTAGTGGCGTAAACGGCGTACGGTCGATGCAGTATCAAGAGAAATTGTACGAGTTGCAACTTCAGAAGCGTAGAGGGGATGTCGGCTCTAGGATCGGTCCAGTTGGGCAAGGTGTTCAACATAGCGTTCAGCTGGCTGTCGTAGTGGAGGACATCGGAGTATTGGAGCTCAGTCGTTGGATTGTTCAACAGCTGCAGAAGATGAAGTCGTAGCGGCATCGATTGTAACGACACGATCAGGTATGAAGTGGAGGTGAAGTGTTCAATCGGACGTCCTGCCGGAATTTGCGTTGTGTCCGCCGCGAAGGTTTCGTCAGGAAGATTGAATGGGGGTTGAACATCGAAGTAGAGGCCGCAGGCTGAAGATGGCAAGCCGCAATCAATCGAGCCTTGTAGTTCGAGCTCCACGATAGTCAGCCAGACCCTTCTCCGCATTTCCTTTTCGAACTCGCTAATACGACCTCTCGAAAGCAGCGAGGGGTTTCGATGTAAGCCTGCTGCGATTGCGACCCTAATTATGTCGCCGGAAGTTGTCCAATCCTGCTTAAGCTTTAGACAGTTGAGCCTCTTTGCGAGAAGAGAGAGACAATGAAGCTGGAAGAAAGTGAGGGTGGTCTGTTTCCGCGACTGCCGCTGCAGCCACGTGTCGCATGTCTCGATGAAATCCAGAGCCGTATCGCGATCGACTGCACTGTCGCCTACGAAGATATTGCCGTCATTTGGTTGTAGGCACTTGGTGACCGCAAGGATGTACAAGAGGACAGCGGCGAAGGGTGTAAAAGATTCGTCGTTGGATTGCCGCTCCCAAAAGGCTTGATATTCTCGCCAAAAACTCGGCTCATGCAATATGCGGTAGGACGTTTCGCATGTCTGGAAATATAGGGCGACCTGAGGATCGAGCGTGGTTTTGTCGGGTAATTGAAGGAAGATCTCCTCATCGTAACCGCGCCTTCGTGCATTCTTTTCCTTCATCATTGCCTTTCTCCGGACCCTGAAGGCTTTGAAGTCATCCCGGACATGGCCCATGTTGCCCGAAGAGATTACCGATTCTCTCGTGAAAGCCTGGAGCTCGGAGAACTATTTTCGATTAGCCGAGAATGTGTAGCTTCAGAACTTGAGATTACGAACCTGTGTCAGCGCGCTGAGAGGACATGTTGAGCCGTAAAACTGGGTTTTGAAGGCTTTGCCTCGAAACATCATTTCTTCGTGTAGGAGAGGTTCATTCGCTTTGAAGTCGTGGAAGTGTGACGGAGTCGAGTCGTACGCCTGTGAACCTGTGCCGCTCTGCGCAGCCAGCTTGTTCTCCAGTTGCTCTAGTCGCCGCTCCTGTACTAAAGACGCATGATCAGTAACGTCTCGTGCGCACTGAGTCTGGCGACTTCGCTTACCTCGTAGCTTCCAGCTTACAAGATCCGAAGAGCCAGCTCCACTCGGAGCGCTGTCGTGTTGTGCAAAGCTCGGCGGCTCTGCGTAACCATCGCCATTAACAGGTATATCCTCAAGCAATCGAGGGTCGTAGGTGCATTGGTCTGCCCTTCCGGTCTTTTGACAACGTCCGCAAACAGGATCTAGGCCACAGGGCGTCAGTCACGAAAGGTCGCGCTATCGGGATTCATGGAACAGTAACGAAGACTGAGCACTGGAGACACATCACAAGTTACCTACAAACTCGATCACATTTCATCTTACGGTTTCTGCAAGCGTAGCATGATAACACTTTCCGCTTTTTGCTGGCCCGCTTCTCAGCCGACGCGTCTGGCGAATTATCACGCGACTCAGCACTCCTGGTGGACATCGTTTCGTGAGCTGGTCGGTATTCGTAGATTTGGACTTTCGGATAAAGCGGAGAAGAGGGATGGAGGCGGATGTGGAGATGGCGATGATTCCAGATCGGCTCGGACTTTCGGCGGATTCGAATCTCTGGTCCGAGCGCCGTAGGATTGCGTCCGCTCCTCCACCTTGGGCAAAGTACGAAAGGGTTTTGCTTTGCAATTCGTTCAGATCAATTTATTCATGTAGTTGGACCGCTCCTCTCCAACGCCCAACGCAATCATTCCAAGGGTATCCTTGGCGAGGCGCTCCAGGGCTGTGGCTATGCCACGTGATATCCTCAGTTCATGATGAGACTAGTCAACTCGTCTGTGGGATTTTCAGCTTTTGAAGTCACAGATTCTGGTGACACGTACGATTCTGAATAAAACTTGACCTCGTACATATCACACGTTCATCGCGCGCATAGACGCTGCATGGTTGGGTGCTTCAGAGCCGACTCCAAGAATTCGATGGTGGGATGGGCATCACTACAGGACAACTGCTCTCACGAAGACTATGCACTTCTAGAAACGATGCCTATTCATCACGCGAGGTCAAGGCGGGATAGGAGAGGCAAGTCCGGAATGGGCTAGGTGACGACCACGTGTGCTTGGCTTAGTCACCGGCTCCGGATGTCCTCCTGCCCGATATCGGTTTTCCAGAAATTCCGCCGCAGCCTACTTCTTTCTTGCCGAATCATAACGTGATTCCACTACAAGCACGTGCATGCTCTTTTAAGTGCCTTTCTCTGAGAGAATGAGATGGTTGTCGCAGTTCGGGCCGTTAGCCATAGTACAGATTTCCATTTACCCGGGTTGGCAGTATGTCGCGTCTCGAATTGACAACCTTTCCAGCAATGTAGGGCGCAAGCATTTCAAAGGTTTTCTACTGCAGCCAGCCATACGTGTATCTCGTGCACAGTTTATCTTCGGAACACACAGCTGGCCACTGAAAATGCACGCAGATTGCCCTTACGACATTGAGATCCGGGTAATATATGTCACAGCGAGACTCTAGGGCACACACACCCAGCAGTCTACCAAAGCGCATTACCCGGAAAGCGCTATCTTGCATAGATTAGCGTTGTTTCTCATTGGCGAGGATTGATGATCGTCATGAAGCGGCTGACCATGTGTGTTATTCGAGATCTTCCAGAGCTTTTCATTGCTTCGCCAACCATTCCACCAAACCCGGTACCTAGGTTTCAGGTCTTGACACAATCTACGTGATGAGGCTCCAAGCTCTTGAATGCTGAGCCTCAGCGGAATCGTGCTTGGGCAACGTAGTCGCGCAAAGATGTACCTTTAGCCGTTCTCCACTTGGCCGTGGACACTGAAGACACCTTTGTGGAGACTTGATACTTAACGTGCCTTCACCCAACACCTGGCATTTCTGAGAGGCTCGTTGAGCCTCACAGTATCCTCTTCGCCTACCAACGAGCGAATTTCAGCCAAGAAAAACTCTACTCGAAGACGACGACTGACATGCTACCCCGCGTCAGTCTTCTGAGCAAGTTTCTCGAATACTACTCGGATCCAACAGTCGGCTCACACTGTTGTACTACGAAGAATGCCTCCGACAGGCCACTCGATTTCGCCCGTCCCTGCTCCATCCCCTTGGGTAACGGAGCGCCGCTTGTGTCATTCGTCGATAGTGGTCACTATTCCAAGATCGCTCACAGCGCCGCAATCCTCTCACTGGTCTGCCAAGGCTTCCAACATAGATGATAATCGTTGTCAGTGTTCATGTCGGAAGTAGTATGGTCGCCACCCTGCAGCTGGTGCCCTTGCTTGAACGGAAGGTACACATCAATTGAAAGGATTGATTGGAGGACAACGAAAGATTGCTTAGTTGGGACTGCAGCGGAATATTCTACGAGCAAGGTACTTCGATGGCAGTATAGTGTGGAGAATCCCTGCGAACCCCGCAAACGCCTAAGTGCCGAAAGTCTAGCTCTTGAGCCTAAATCGACTCCCCATCTCCTTGGTCATCTACACAGAGTGGTCACAACACTACAGCCTCTCGTAGCCGCTACCCCAGGTCAGGGTCTCGTTAACCCTGCTGCAGAACGAAGGTAACACCACCATACTGCATCGCAAGCTACTTACTCGCGCGATCTTGCTGAAGTGCATGGCCCAAAATTACTTTACAGTGATTGTATATCACATCTTTAGGGTCTTGTACGAACGGACTCCTGTTTCCATTCCACGAGACACGAAAAAGACGAGGAACACGGTTGCCCCGCAAGACGATCCTATCAACTAACTTGCGCATTGGATGTCAGCCATACAGCAACGACCGCTGAGAGCTACTAGTCGACATGGCCATATCGCCAGTCAACCCTAGTAGTGTCAGATGACAACGTGGAGTCGCCCGACTCTGGGGTGGCATGGTGCATCGATGCTTACCCGGTCCCAGAGCCGATGCCTGTTCATCCCCCGGAGCCACATTTCTGGAGCCTATCGTAGCCTCCTCATACCACAAGTAGCGCACATGAGGCTCACATCCTCACATCGAATTGATGACCTTCAATATGCGCAGACGAGGTGTGCATATCACTGCTCATGCTTCGGGGCACACACGAGCCCCCTCAAAGCTCCATCTACTGGGCTCGTACTATGCACAATGTCACAAATTGTGTCCTCAATCCTGGCCCTCATTCGTCTCTCCGCCTCCATTTGGGAAACTATTCGTTCCGCTCCGATTAGCGAGCCCCTCCAGATTGAAGATGTACCGGCAGAATCTGCGCACACTTCCCACAACTTTGCAAACTGGCTTTTAATTTGACAGGAACGAGTGTAGCACGAATCTACCTCCCGTCGTTCCGCGACGGCCTTCAAATTGAATAGCTAAGGTCGGTGCCATCATTCGACGATTGCTGCCGGGTCGCCTATAAAGAGCAGATGCTTCCCAATTGCTCCAGGATACGCCACAGGCTTCATCGATTGCGCAAGTTCCATCATGTATCGACTTCTCACTATCGCGTCGTCCCTTCTCGCTGTGGCTCAGAGCCAATTGGTGGGAACCCAGCAATCGGAGACACACCCTTCAATGACATGGCAGCAATGCACGGCGAAGGGCAGTTGTACCAGTAAGAGTGGCAAAGTCGTCGTTGACGCTAGTAAGTTCTTGTGCGCGCAATAGAAGATCGCATACTTATCCATGCTATCAGACTGGCGTTGGCTCCACACCAAGTCCGGGTAGGACGGCCTCAATTCCACCCCGCCGAACTTGTGACTGATTACTTTCTGCAGCTACGACAACTGCTACACCGGAAACGAATGGAACTCGACGCTTTGCAAAGGTAGAACATGCGACTAAGTGAGATTCAGGCAGACATTTACTCATATTACTACCAGACAACAAGTCATGTGCGACGAACTGTGCTCTTGACGGCGCCGATTACAAGGGGACCTATGGAATTACTGCAAGTGGCAACTCCTTGCAGTTGAAGTTCGTAACCAAAGGATCCTACTCCACTAACATCGGCTCTCGCACCTACATGATGAAGGACGACTCTACTTATGAGATGTTCAAGCTTGGTGCCAACACAGAGTTTACGTTTGATGTCGACGTTTCGAATCTTCCTTGCGGCCTCAACGGTGCCCTCTACTTTGTCTCCATGGATGCCGATGGCGGCATGAAAAAGTACTCCACCAACAAGGCTGGTGCCAAGTACGGCACTGGCTACTGCGATGCGCAATGCCCGCGCGACCTTAAGTTCATTAACGGCGAGGTATATATGACTTCCAGGTATGACAAATCGCACAGCCAGCTGATACTCTGTTAGGGCAATGTCGAGGGCTGGAAGCCGTCTTCCAACGATCAGAATGCCGGCGTTGGTGGCCATGGAAGTTGCTGCGCTGAGATGGATATCTGGGAGGCCAACAGTGTTTCGACTGCTGTCACACCCCACTCTTGCAGCACAATTGAGCAGAGCCGGTGCGACGGCGACAAATGCGGTGGAACATACTCTGCCGATCGATATGCAGGTGTATGCGATCCTGACGGGTGCGACTTCAACTCTTACCGTATGGGAGTGAAAGACTTCTACGGAAAGGGCAAGACTGTGGATACCTCGAAGAAATTTACTGTGGTCACTCAATTTGTCGGCTCAGGTGCCGATCTGGAAATCAAGCGCTTCTATGTGCAGGGCGGCAAGGTAAGCCTCGTAATGCTTATGAATTGCATCCAGTTACTGACAATTTTGCTAGGTGATTCCCAACTCGCAGTCCGCGATTTCTGGCGTTGAAGGCAACTCCATCACGACTAAATTCTGCGACCAGCAGAAGCAGGTCTTCGGAGACACCTACACATTCAAGGACAAGGGCGGAATGGCGAACATGGCATCGGCACTTTCGAAGGGTATGGTGCTCGTCATGTCTCTGTGGGATGACCACTACTCCAACATGCTGTGGCTCGACTCTACCTACCCCACGGACAAGGATGCATCGACGCCCGGAATTGGCCGCGGCGAGTGTGAGACCGGCTCCGGTGTAAGTGGTTCTTCCTCGAAGTTTGACGGTGGCTGTGTATTGACTTTGTCCAGGTACCTGCCGATGTAGAGTCCAAGAACGCCGATTCTTCTGTTATCTACAGCAACATCAAGACTGGCCCGCTGAACTCCACCTTTGGTTAGATAAATTCGGCTACTCATCAGCGGCGACCGAGCGGATCCAGTGCGTGCCAGGAAAAATTGACGCGCGATTGTCTTCGTAGTAAACATCCTCAGCTTCTGTACATACTTGTTCAGGCCGATGTCCTCAGAACCAACGCAATTGAGATTGTTCTATCAGAGCGTATTATGATGATTATTTTTCTTACATCTCGTCAAGACTTTCCCACTGCAAGTGTTCGCGCTATGCTTGTTTCGGTGTCAGCGCGGAGTGCGAGGGTGTTGCTCGCAGCGAAACAAGCCTGAAACCAGCCTATGGTTTCAACGCAGCCATCTGTTTTTGAGCAACCATCGCCCTCGTTATTCTTGCAAACTCCAACACAATGGATGATTTGAGATATGAACACCATTTGAATCATCGTGGAAGGGCGAATAGGCGTATTGCGGAACTATTTTGGGTTGCGATATGCGCAACGGTCTTCGCGATATGGCTCCAGCGTACAATGAAATGGTGGTGCAGACGGTAAAGCCACCATAGTTCCCCAAAGAGATGCGCGCTGATATTGGTAGTGTTCACAACGAAAGTCTTAGGCTAACGTGGCATGCATCTCTTTCTGCCTGGCTCGCAAGAAGAGCTGCGCTTGCGCGAGGCATCTCTTTGGTCTCGCTGCCGCTGGCTCATGTCTCTTTGGGCCGTGCATTTTCTTTGACAGTAGGTGCCATCTTGCCGTTTTAAATGCATCTTACGCGGTCACCATGTACATACAACTTTGTAGCGGGCCTTTACTGACTTACGCCCTTCATAGGCGTACACATCCATCATCATCGCAATGCTTTTGAGCGTTGACGCACCAACATTCACTTTCCATTTCACAGATGATGTAGCCTTCCGTGCCGCATGGACAACAATCTCACAAATCCCACTTGTCTACCTTCTCTCGGCGAAACGCGGTCCTCTCAACTATCTCACCGGTCTGACGTACGAGCGCATCAACTGGATGCATAAATTCGTAGGAAGAATGGTCTTTGTCTCGGCAACTACCCATATGGCCATCATGCTATCCTCAATCTCGATGTCTGAGCTCACAAGCTCACATGACGACGCCATGCAAGTTGTCCGTTACGGCGCCGGGGCGTATGTGTTGCTGCTTTGGATTGCCGTCTCGAGCGTCATAGGGGTAAGAAAGAGATGGTACCGCTTCTTTTACATCAACCACTGGATCTCGACCATCGTGTTCCTGGGACTTGCGTTCAACCACGTTCCCAGTTACGCGCGACTGCCCATCTATGCTTCCATTGGACTTGTTGCAACAGACAAGATGCTTGTCACTTTTGGGTACCTCTTACTCAACATGACCATCCGTCCCATCAGAACGAAATTCAAGAAGTTTCGGAGACGCCCAAGCCCAGCTAGGGAGGTGCACGTGCTAGCTATGGGCCATCCGATCAAGATGGTGGCGCCGCTCGTTACAACTGGGGGTGAAGGCGCCCCAGAGTCGACGACAGTGATGCGACTCAGTGATCTGCCGTTCAAGTGGAAGCCTGGCCAGCATGTAAGGATGTGGTTCCCACGCCTAGGCTCGCTTGAAGTACATCCTTTCACACCAGCGACGTGCTCCGACTTTTCAAATGGACGGGAAATTGAAAGCCAAGATGCGGAAGAGCATGGTCTGCTACCCATGGAGTCAACAACACAACCGAACGACATGATCTTGATGGTCAAAGCGCACGATGGACTGACTAGAAGACTTGCAGACTACCGTGACCAGTGGCGATCTCTTCCCTGTCCAAACGCAAGTCAGCCGAGCTCTTCGCTCATTGCGTTCATTGACGGCCCATACGGAGAAGGCCCAGTTTGGGAAGACTACGAAAACATAGTCATGCTTTCCACCTCGACAGGCGTATCGTTTATGTTGTCGGTTCTCAACTACCTTGAGCATTTTTCATTTGCAAACAAAGGGCGTCTGCGTACGCGACAAATTCACTTCGTTTGGGTGAACAGGCATATCGAGCCAGTCTTCGAGTCGACCATCACCGAGCTGTTTTGCAGGAATAGCACTGCGCTTCGTGATTCCGGTATATCGGTGAAAGCTGACTTCTACATCACATGTTCTGCCTCCACAGAGCCGGACGCCTGCGACATCGACCCGTTTGCACACCTGCGTCGCTCTAGAGGAAGATCGCTCATTGGCAAGCCCCCTCTACGAATCAGGAATCCAAACAATCCAGATGATTGGAATTCGGATGCAGAGTCGACACATACGTTCCAAAACAGCCCACGAACAAGTAGTGACAGAAGCAGTCGCTCGAGCGAGGACACCTATGTTGAAGAAAGGACGGAGGAACAACGACCCTGCCTCTCTGAGTTACAATCTATCGACAATAAACTTGAGACATCTTACTGGGCCAGATTTAAACTATCAAACTTGGTCCGCAAGGCACAGAGACAGCCTGAGAGATGCCAGTGTGCGCTACAGCAGCACCAAGAGCGTAAAAGCAGAGTACGACAGTTGCCACCATTCTTGTCGAGACATTATGGCACAAGACCGGACACTGATACTATACTGAACGCTGCTGTACCGCGAACGATGCTAGCGAAGACAATGGTCACCACCTGCGGTACGAGGCTAGGCAGTGATATAAGGAAGGTGGTCTCACAGATAAACATAGACTATGCATTGGGGAAGAGAGAATCAGGAGTGCAGTTCTGGGACGAGAGCATGTCATAAATCCTCGGTGAGGCTGTTTTCTTTTCTATAGATACCCTAAACTATTATATTTGCCGTACTAGTTGTGCTCCATCAGTACCTCTTCGTGGTGCGCTCATAGTTCGGCTTGCCGCCGTGCGACCTCCAGAACTCTGCCTGGTACTCCTCCCACGACAACTCGGGCAACTCTGGCTTCTTGCTCTGCGGTGGTCCCGCTTCCATCATCCGGTCAAGACGATCTTCGTCCTCCGCCTCTTTTGCCTTTATCTTTCCCTTCACCACAGCATCAGGCAGCTTCATGCTGAAGCTGAAGCCAGAACGTGGGGCGGACTCCTGCTCGCTCGACTTCGATAGGCCTCCCGCACGCGGACCGTCTTCGCCCCTGGCGTAGACTCGCTGGACGAAGTAGGCTTCGCGCCTCAGCTCGTGTGCTTCTCCCTGCACAAGAATGCAGAGCGAAAGGCAACCGAAAGCGTCAATGCCCCAGCTAAGGGCTCCGCTATCCACGGCGTGGCACTCCAAGAAGCCAGGATGAGCGCGCTGCTGTTCGGCGGAACTGCTATCGCACTGCGAAGCACAGAGCTCTGCGAAATTGATGGCGCGATTGTCGATAACGAGGCCAATCAAGCCAATGTTTGCGGACTCGGCAAACGCGAAGCCGGTCTGGATGGTGGTGATTTCAGGTTCGTGCTTCGGGATGATGTAGATAAGGGCCTTCTTGATCTCGTATTGCGTGCCATAGCTCGCGGCGGGCGCCTCGACGGCGGCTTTGGTGTACTTGGAGCATGCATGCTCGAAATCGGTCTGCAGTCGGTCGTGCATTGCGGAAGGCACGACGTCAAACTTGGCGGCGGAGAGGGGACCGTTGGCTTCGATGGGGACCAAGTTAGGAGCCATTGTGGCTTGTGGAGTGAGATAATTGGTAGACTGAAGAAGAAGTAGAGTGTGTTGCGGCTTTGTGCGAGAGAGTGAAAGAGTCTATCGTTGAGCTACAAGAGTCAAACGCGCTTCAAATTTTGAGGGAGTGAGTGCGCGTTCACCTGAGAAACCCCCTTCAGGCACGCGCTAATCGAAATATACAATAGAAACAGCTAAAATGTGTAGATATATACTTGGAATTTCTTTCTTGCGTCGTTGCAATGCAGCATTCTCGCGGACCCTATTGTGTCTCTTTTACATCGTTGCATATCACTACCTAGGTGTGCAATATCTAGGCAAGTCCAACTTGTTACGAGCTGTGCTAGGATAGATTATGCTATTGGAGATTGTAATTCAAAGAGGAACGCATGATTTATCCCAGGAGGACCACATTATGGGACGATTGCAGCTGCAAAAGGAACCGTACAATGTCTGGCATACATGTTGTATTTCTCGGTATGCTTGAAAAGACTTGTATGAACTTAGAGCGTGGTTGAAAGCACGGTAGCTCAATAGGTGCCTGGCCCTTTAGTACCTCAGAGCATACGCATAGATTGCCATAGTCTGTTTGTTCCTTGAACGTGACGTTGAACGTGATCTAACTCCAGCGGTTCTAGCATCTTGTAGCAGATTTGGTACCCGTGACGGCGAATCAATGTTCAGGCAGCATGGGAATACAATGGCTCGCCTCGTGAAACAGCGTGTAGGTAGAAGTAGTCGAGATATTGCCCGACATGGATTAGCGCACTGTTGCTGGGTGAGCAACAGGGAAGTCGCGTCGATGGCACCGTCACTAGTCCCCTCACTTCTCAAGTTTTGTTCATGTTCCTTGAAAACTTCTCTTCAACTCCAAACCACGGCAGACGTTACGCCCACATTGAACTTCTCGTCCATCTACCACACTGCCTCGTATTTGCATCATACGCCATCGGCTGCTTTGATGACGGCCAATCCTCCCACATTGGAGGTTGTTCGACGGCGAGAGAGCGGGTTTCTTGCTCTGTCTCTGTAGGGTCTCACCGCAGTACGCCGGATAGATATCGAGGTGGCTGGCTATCGCCCGAGGAATGCCTTTCTGTTGTCTACGGTCTTCTGTGCTCAGACATCTTTGCAATGCGGGCCATAACGTACGATACCATATAGATAGCGTCTTCTGGTGACACGTGACAGACTGGTACGCTGATTTGGCCGTGTACCAAAGATTTCCAACGTTTATGACTATCGTTTAACACAACCGGCCATACGGAGCCGAGACAGGTGTACATGTTTGTCCTTTCCCATTGTGACAAGACTTGGGACATACACTTCGGCTTGCAAGCCCGATGACTACGCCAGAGAGTCCCATGCTGGGCTCTTACCCGCAACCGTACCCGTGCAATCTCCTCGGCTCGAGCATTCTTCCATTCGCGTGGTTGCTTGAAGTACGACGTAGCCCTGCTGACAGTTCGCAACCCGACAACAACATCCGTCGTCGTAACCCCGTCGCCACGACCGGGAACAAAGCTGGTAATAAAACACATGGGACCATATTGTCAACACCGGATAAACCCAAGCTTCTGAACTCTGGTAGCCTGAGCAGCACGCCTACGTCGAGCGCGAGCGAACATTCGTTGCGTTTCTCCAACCCCTTATTCCCTTCTCTTTCCTAACCTGTGAAGCCCAGCCATGATGGGCAAGCAAACTAAGCTCGTCGTACTTCGTTTGCGTTCATTCGGCCCAGAACAGACCCAACACTTCGGTCCCGAGCGGGCAGGACACAGGCCCCGAAAGGAACATGCTGGGGTCATAGGATTACAGTGTGATGGTCTTCCGACCTCACATCCCTAGGATTCGTCAGGGTAGGGGCGTTTCCCCGCCCGAGAGGAGCCAGCGCTTGTGTCTGTCCCGAGAGCCCCAGCTCTCTTTGTTTTGGCTATGGTAGTATCTAATAGGGATATCGACGACGCCAGACAGGTCTATCGAAGATTGTGCTCCTACCCGGGCCGTGTACTTCTACGTCTTCGGTGGTTTTCTGAGCTCGAACTCCTTTCTTAGGAGTCTCATGGGTTGAAGTCTTCAGGATTCGCACACAGTTTACTGATACTTGATAGAGTCGTCGCTTGTATCGATCAGGGACCTCCCCTCGATTCCTCACGTCTCGCCCAAGTGCGAGTGAGTTTTCCTCAATCGGTCTGCCTTTACCATTTAGTCGCCGTCCTCGCCTCGACAACGATCACAACTTCACATGTAGAGGCCTATGAAGAACACAGACCAGCCACAAGATCGGGGCTACACAGTCCAGATATGGAGTGAGTAATGACAACTGGCCAGCCGGCTGGAGGGCGGTGTACATACGAGTGAGAATTGAGGCACAGAGCGGCCGTGTCCTGATTAGACATCCAGTAGCATACTCGCCTGCCACGCCCTTCACAGCAGCCACACCGCTCTTACCTAGATAGCATCCAGCAATAACCCAGCGAACTTCCTCCCCAAGCTCACCAGCCACACACCCCATCCTTGTGACCATTCCTCCGCAAGGTCCACCCGACGCCCGCCTGACCTTCCACCACACGCATCCTCCCCTCCCAAACCGCACTCCAAACTCCCTCACCTCGCAACACCTCACCGCCACTCACACACGTCCGCCCCTCCTCATCTACCCCACAATGCCTCACCCGTCAATCATACACGCCTGAAACCCTAGCGCCCACCAAGCACCACCAAGCCTCGCGGCCTCCCCACCCTGCCTCATGCACTCTTCTCCCCCAGACCCCCAAGCATTGCGTTTCGTTTGTCGTCGCCTCGCCCCTTCCATGCCATCTAAAAAAGGGTCTCGGGGTGTGGCGGTGCTTGCTTCGGAGTTCGGAGGCTCGGCGCACTGTGACAGGGGTGCTCGGAGGCGTGGCACGCAGGGTAAGCAAGGCCACGAGGGAGAAATGTCCGATGCGGTGCTGGATTTAGATACTGGAGGAAGGAAGGGGGGAGCTGGGTGGGCCTGGAAGCGGTCCCTGAGCGCGCGCATTCCGGGTTACTGGAAGAGGTGCCCAGAAGCGGTATGGCGAGAAAGGGCCTCGGGCTCGTCTGCCGCTGCGCATTCCTCCTCGTCTTCACGTTCAGGCTCCGCAAACAGGACGTCAAAAAGGTAAGGCAAGGCAAAGACACCTGATCACGCGCAAAAGACCCAAATATGCGATATGTACTATTGATTGTACGCGGGCAACCCGCCAGGTGCGCCCGCTCGACTATCCATTCCGTTTAGAATTTAAGACTACACAGTAGCTTTGCGTGCACCGTAGTATACACTAGTAGAAGCAACAAAGGAAAGTGGTGTGGTGTAACTGTAGGAAAAGAACAGAACAGGTATACGCTGTGAAGCAGCAGAAACGCCATGATCCATGCTGTGCAATGTGCAGTTGCGCGCGCAAAAACGGAGCGCCGCCTTAGATAATACAGGGAAAAAGAGACTTCATGCTCGTGTCGTCATCCGTCGTGTCCTACTCTTCTTGCTGCTGCTGTCTGGCCGTCTCCAGCACTGATAAGGATGTTTGATATTGGTGGAAGGTAGGCGCGTGTCAAGCTCTCCGAGTGCGATTCGCGTCGAAATGTCAAAATATTCACTCCCTCCGCCCGTCTATGCTCCGTTCGGTAATTTGCACCATATCTCCTTTATGTCTTCATCTTCCTATTCTTGTCTCTTTCTCCCGGCTTACGAGCTCTTGCCCGCCTCGTACACTTTGCCCATAAACTCATCGGGGCTCTCGCGAAGCTTCCTTGTCTTCAACACTTCTACAACATCGCCGGCCTCTCCGCCCATACAGTTGCCTTCAAGGGCGCCCATGAGTGCAACTGCAATACGAGGAGGAATCTTGTCGCCTTCGATGGTGTACACGTCCATGATCCGGGCGGCATGCTCGATAGAAACGCGGTCGCAGAAAAGCCCGCTGAACATCGGGAGCAGATAGTCGTGAGGTTCGACGCGGAGTTCAGTCAAGCGATTCGCCATGCTCGGGCTCTTCTTTCTCAGGGCTGAGAGCGTGGTGTCGTATGCCGCAGTAATGGCGATCATATCCTGAAGGAGGAAAGAGAGTGGTAGAGAGCGGTTCATCATGTTGGAAAGTGCAACGAAAGAATCTGCGGCAGACATGTTGAGGAGAAACAGAGCAGCTACGTGGTGGATACCGACGGTGGTATCAACATCGGAGCGATACGAGCTGTAGGCAACGCAGATGTTTACGAGTTCCTGGTGGAGCGGTTGCTCGGGCAATTCCTGTGTCTCGGGGGCGAACATCTTCAGGTCCGGGAAGACGCTCTTCGTGTTCTCCACGATCTGGGCGTAGCGGCCATTGAGAGCGGAAGCGCCAAGCTCTTTGACCTGCAGTTGAGCTTTCTCCAGGGCTACGCTATAAGTGATTTCAGAAACCTCGAGCTCATTTCCAATGGCCTTCTTCCAGACATCCCCACGGAGCTTGGCAGGGATGCCGTTCCACCACATCTTTCTATGCGAGCCCTTGAGTTCGGGGCTAGACATTTCTTGCTCCCAGTTCGGGAGTAGAAGGCTAGACCAGTATTCGGCTTTGATTCGTTCTGCCTTTTCTCGTGCGAGGGCCTCGTCTTCTTGACGCTTCGCTTCGAGACGTTCTGGCTGTTGTTAGGGTGGGCGCTTGTAACCTAAGGAGGTACTTACCAGCTTCCTCAATCCGCGCCAACATCTTCTGGTATTCCTTCAGATGTTTCTTCTCCTCCTTGGGATCTTTAGGCGGCAACCAGGAGGGGCGAGTCCGCGAGAGGTATTTTTCCTTCTCAGTTGAAGGCTGAAACGGATCGATTAGCGGGTCGCTCTTCCGCACTGGCGGCAGAGGAACCGCTTTCTTCTTCTTCTTTGCCTCGGAGTCTCCAACTGATGACGAGCGCGACAAGGGCTGCTGCCGCTTGATTTCCTGCTGGTGCTCTACCTCGGTCTGGTATTCCTCGAGCGCCTCTGTAAGCTTCCGTGCATCAGCGTCAAGCGCTCCGTATGTCTCCTCCCATGTGTGTGTCGGCTGGCGGCTCAGCGCAGGAAGCTCGTTCTCTTTGTTGGGATCGGGGGCCGGTGACTGCGAGGGATAGCGGCGTTCTGAGAAAGCTGACGAGGTCTTGGAGAGCGGTTCGCCGCGTTGCGAGACTGGGCGGCTTGTCGCGGGGCTGGGTGAAGTCTGGGGTGGGCTGCCACACGAGGAAGGTGCAGGGGAGCGTTCCTGTGCAGGTCGCGGCGAAATGGGTACATTCCAGATGACTGCATCCTCGGGGAGGTCGTCGTCTCCATCGTCGACATCACACTCTGCCTCCCGCTCCTTAGCGGTCTTGCGGGCCGTGTGCTGCCATGACTGTCTCCTGGAAGCCATTGAAGGAGAAACTTCGAGGTTCCGTGAGCTCTTGCGAGATAGCGAACGCTGCGAGGAAGTAGACGAAGAAGAAGGTAGTGGTTTGTTCGGGGACGGGGAACGCGAGCGGCGGACGGGTGCCTGCAGGTTGGTGATGTTTGCCAGCGAAGGAGCGGACGGCGACGAGAAGCCCCTCCGGAGCTGCTTCGCTGGTGCATGGAGCTGTGATCCCGCACGCAGGTTGTGGCTCGTTTGGATCTTCATCGCCGCCGGCCGTGACTTGGATCCCTTTGTGAGGTCGCGGAATGAGTGGGGTGCTGAATGCGGAATGCTGCGTGATCGTGAAGCCTCGTAGAGCACACGGTTCGGCGAGTGCGGCACAGGGAAGGAAGATGGGCCCGTGTCGTCGGCCAGGTTGATGTCCTCAAAGTGAGAGAGGTCGCTGGGCCCCATGTCGCTGAGGCCCTCGGAGTGGAAGCTGCTCGACTTGCTGCTCTTCGAGTTGGTGAGATCGGGCGGGCTGCCCGGCGCGGCCAGCGGCATGGTGTTTGCGTGCTGCAGGACGGCAGCCATGAGTGGTCTAGGGTCTTTGCTCCTCGTGCTGTTGTTTTGCTGCAGGGCAATGCGTCGAGAGGGACCCAGGTATCGTGTGGGAGGTTGCTTGGCGCAGACGGTGCGCTGGGACGTAGTTAGAGCAGAGACATAGTCGGACTCGGTAATGATGTAGAGGCTCTTGTCGGGGTGGGAATGAATATAGTGGACATCCGGGTCGAACGGTGGACCAGCGCCGAATGCGTGGTGTTGTTGCGCTGCGAAGAGCGCGGTAGGCATCTTGGATGGTAGGCGCAATTTCGGGGAAGCAATTTGGCTAAGCCCCTGACGGGAGCGAGCAACCCCTGCAACGCCCGGGGGACAAAGCGTGGATCAACGACAACGGCAGAATTGGACAATGGAAGGTGCTCGAGATGCTTTCGATTTAGGAGTGCAGGTGCGGGTCAGTGAGGGGAGTCGCAGGTCTACATCATGGTTTGGCGCTTTACTCAGGCCGCAAGGGATCCCTCGGAGTTGACAGGTGCTGCAAGCGTTTCCAGACGCCGGGAGCGTAGGAGCCTGGGCAGATGTGAAACCTGATGGCTGGTGTGGCTGGAGACCGCCGCCCACTGTGCGAACCGTTGGCCATCGGTTACATCACGACGGCCGCTTCTCGAGGAAAATCCGAACCAACGGCCAATGGTCGGCGTCGTACGGGTATCTATCCAGAATCTACATCTACACCAATGCACGCCAGGACCAGTGACCTCGACCCGGCGGTGGGAAATCTTCATTTCGGCTGCCACGATTGCACTTGCACCCTTCAGGCCTCCGGGCCATCCGCGCGCTGGTTCAGATGCACGCCAAGCGGGCGGCGTCCTCGAGCATGCACCTTTCCGCTTTGTTAGTCGGTCGGACTGCCGCCTGCGCGCCTCGGAGGTACGCCAGCACCGTGCTGTGCTGTGTCTGTCTGCGCTGAAACACAGAGTGGAAAGCCCTCGACGCCAGCCTAGCCGTGGTACATCAGCAACGGCTCGACTGTGAGACGCCCGGGCCAGCCACACTTACCACTGGACCTGCCTCCGCGAAATGACGCCCCGTACCTTCTCCGCATTCTGTGCCGCTCGGCTGCGCGTTCTGCGCTGCAACATTACGAACGCCAATGCCATGATACTATCAACCGTGCCTGTAGAAATCATGCGTCAGTCCCAATTGATCATAGCAGGGTTGCGCGATGATCGACGCCGCATCCCAGCTACTGATGCGATACTTGCTGTCGACTTCTCTTACGCTTTTGGGCAAAGGCACATACTGATAAGCAAGCTGGAATGTATTGGCCGCGCCTTGGAAAGACTCCGGGCATACTCAAAGCACCTCACCGCCGCTTCGTGGAAGCTTTGGTACAGATTAGCTAGCACTGTTGCCACGCTGTTGAACGACGTGTCAATGAGCATGGCCTGCAATTGGATCTTGAACCCACTGTTCCAAGTTAGCACTGCGCAGTCCTTGGTTTCGGTACAGTCGCTCGTCTACGCGCTCCAAATAGCGTTATAGCGCCGCGGATCCTACTACTTACTTGAGCGCCTTGCGATGGAATGTCTGTCCGGGCACCTTTGCCAAATCCACCGTCAATGAATCGATCACGTCTGCTAGCGTTAGCCAAATTCGTCATCATGTGTAGAGGAATGGGTCGACATCGGTCAACATCTCACGTACTAGCCGGACCGGTGCGCGCGTTGCTTTTGCTGACTTCAAGGGTGCGCATGTCTATCTGCACGCCACAGTAGGGGAATCTCATTCCCGAGACACACCTCGGTATGCGAGTGCCATCTTCCGTAGCCACATCGAAGTTTGCTAACGACTTTGAAGACTTCACTTCGACGCCGTAGTCGGCGTGGCCGCGATGCATGACCTGTACGAAGCGCTCCGCATGCGCGCGGTTAGTCGAGATCAAGCAAAAGTCGTCAAGCAGCCTAAGCAGCAGACAGTCGCCGCCAAGCGCAAAGCTTAGGACCTCGTGCTCCAACTCGGCGTAGAAGAAATTGCACAGGATGGTCGAGAGTATCGAGCCCTGGGGTATGCCTGTCTTCTGGCGGTAAAATCGCTTTCCGATCTTGATGAGATTGCGTTCCACGTGCTCACGCAGCAACTGCATCAGGTCATCCTTCGTCTCAAGTCTCTGGGCGTTTGTGTTCACGAACACCGTGTTCGCTTTCGACCCGACATAATTATCTCGAACCAGGCTGTCAAATGGAGCATTGTCTTTTCCGCCCGCGCTGTGTGCGACATAGCGTTTCTGCGGCACTGGATTCACGTACTGACCGTCGAGCCGCTGAAGCTGACCCAGAGCACGAACTTCCACATGCTTGCCGGTATGGTACTCCTGCAAAGACAAGAGGCTATCAACCATGGCAAGAAGGCGTTGCTGGGGTATTGTGTCGAAGCAAGACTGCACATCAACCTTCGCAAAATACAGCGGAGCACCCCCAAGACCCTGCTCAAACAACGACTGCTTGAACGTGGACAATTTTGGGAACATGTCGCCCACCGAGAATAGCGACGATCCAAACTTCTCTGGATGGAGCGACTGTTGGTCATTAGTAAACTTTTGCTGGTTCGGGCCTGTTCAGGGGTCGGACTGACCTTCTCGTAGGTGATGACATTGAACGCAGGTGACATGACCGAATTGATACTGCGGCCTAGAACTGTAACACCATTCCTTACGATTTGTTGCCTCCGCTTCAAATTCGTGATCAATCTCACGCCAACCTTTTTGGGCAGCAGCCGTATCTTGCTATACCCCAGCGGCCTCACCGACAAAAGCCTCGTAGCATGTTCAGTAGGTACTTCCTCGAATAGGTTGAATCTCAAGTTTGATAAGGAAGGCTCCGCCAACATGCGCCAAACATCATGTCGAAAATAGAACAGACGGTTGCGATGCACATTCGATTCTGTGACGTGGAAATTCGAGCGAATAAGCGGAATCAGAAACGAATCGAAGACCCAGTACACAAACTCCAGCAAGATCTCTCTGCGTTTATCGTGATCGGATTTAGCCATCGATGCAGCAGGATCTTGACCGGGCGGCCGGAGCCAGGCTAATGTGGATATCTGCACGGCTGTCAAACGTCTATGCGACTTTCATGCATACGATTGGCTTACCTGGATGCTCTCCGTCACCTGATGCAGTGTGAGGCTCTCAAACCTGCGGAGGCTGACGAAGTGGTCTATCCAGAACATGATCATGCGCTTGTTTTCTTCGGTTCCCCAGAATGCATTGGGGATGACTTTGGCGAGTACGGCGCGGCAAAATGCGGAGACGTGCGCCGTGGGACACGCCATATCTGTGAAACAGGTATCTTCTACGGCTCGAGGCTTGGAGAGAGAGTCGGAGTCGGCCTTGCGTCCTTCCACTGGATCCACGCCCCGCGAAGCATGGTCTTTTGGCTGCAGTGCGCTTTTCCGCCAGCACGGTTTGGAAGAGAGATCGAGTCCCTGTGAGCGTCAGCTTGGTCCGTCGAGGGTACCGTGTTGTGGTTACCTCAACAGGGCAATAATGGCGCAAAAGTTCTACGTATGCGCACCGCTTGGTCAGCTTTCGAAGCTTGTTGATCAACTCCGTCGCCTGTCCACGAAGTCTTTTTGGTACACGCTGTTTCCATCTTAGAACCAGCTCATTTGTGCGTTTGGATTCGGGAATCTCCCGGCACATCGCCTGATGGATTTCTTTTTCTCGTAGTGTGTAGTCCTTGAACGCCATGGTCGTCTCGCGCTTGTCTACTACCGAGGCAAAGACGTTGTGCAACCCATACTGACGCGGGAATATATGCCGCAGTATGTGCACGGTCTGCTGGTGGTTGTCCAGGTCTGGAAATCGATTCAAGACATCTGTTCAATTAGCGATGCACTGTAGCCAAAGCGAAGTTACTCACGAATGTGACGCATCCCGAATCGAACGCCTCCTTTCGCATTGAGGGCTGCACGCGCATACAGCATACGATTTCGAACGAACGTAATGGCATTTGGCGTTCGGTTCTCGCTCGTCAAGCCGCTTGGCTTTCTAGTTGTAAAGCTGTTGCCGGATACTACTGCAGGAACACTATCGAGACCAGGTACAGCCTGCAATTCAGATATAGGGATACCGCTCATTTGCAGCAGGTTGCCATCTCCTTGACTTCCTTCTACAGGTGAGAAAATGCCGCAATCCGTAAGCATGTCCATCATGATGACTCGCCCTTCCTTGCCCAAGACGGCGTGTAGTCGACACCATAATGGCCCCTTTAGCGTTTCTACACCATTGTTCCTGAAAGATGATGATACTCCGGGAATGGAGTGGGCTGTCTTCTGTGGTCCGTGTTGAGCATGCCCACCTGACCGCTGGAAGCCATGGCAGAGTAGATGCGATGGCCTGTACGACGTCGATCGCTTGAAGAGCCTCCAGATCACGAAGTCCACAATCTGCATCCTGTCAGCCGTTGTGTATACTTTAGACTTTGGAGAAACATGTCATAGCTTCCCCATTGTACCACCTGTGCAGTCAGACTTACCTCAGCCTGCAGGAAATAACCCGGCTTGAAAGTGCCCGCGGTACCGTTGCTGGCAGCTACCTCCTGCGTGAAGGTCTCGAGGTCTCCATCTCTTTCTCTCGCCGCAACCTCTGGATTCCCTGCACGCGGGCTTGGTACCACACCCACCAGGGTCGCGTCGAGTAGCTTGCTGAGCTCCGGGTCAATACCACGTGGTGCAGTGTCTTGATGACCGGTGCATTTTCCTAGTTGAGACAAATTCCTTCGCCTGTTCTTTGATCTAGACGAGGCTGGCAGACGTGACAGCAGATAGTGGCGCAACGACAGCACCTCGGAGTACATGCGAGAAAGCACGGGATGCTCAATGCTTGCAGGTGTGGCGACGGGAGATTGGTTCGTTGCAAGCCTGGGTTTCTTAGGGCGTGGGTTGCGACCGGCAGGGTTTGGGACATTGCCTGTTCTCTTCATATTGGCAAGATCCTACGCAATTGACACGCAAGTCGCATTGTTGTTGTTCGGATCAGGGCAGCATTGTGAGTGGTGGAAGTGTGTATGGTGATGGTGTTCCAATCGTGTTTTTGGGCCGCCTGGCGCCCGAAGTTGGCTAGGCCAACAGGCACGCCAGGGATGTGAAATTGGTAGTCTTTGTGTGAGATTTCTATCCACGACTGCGCCGTGACACCAAATCTTGTTATGTTGCAGGTTGACCGGGTGCACGATAAGGGACTGGCGGCCGATGCAGACAGGATGCAGAAGACGCCGAGAGTCTGAGGCGGCAGACACTGACACTGGTCGCTGGCCCTGACGTCCTATCTTTCCCCGGACGAGCTGCCGTGACGCTTACTTTTAGCTTCTCTCCACAAACATTGGATATCGCGCATCGGGAGCATGCAGGGTGCGGCCAGAATGAATGGCAGCGCCTGCGGACTGCAGCGAGTGCGAACGAGTGCTCCAGTGACGGTCTCCGTCGCGTCGTAGGCACGAGAGCTTCGTGCATCCCACTCAGAGTTGTTGTCTGGCAGCGGACCCCCGCCATGGCGCCAGGGGAGAGTTCGGTACAGCAACGGTCGGCCAGTGAGCTTGGCTCACTGGCCCGCAGCTGCGGGCTCTCGTTCTCCCTCCCGTGCTTCCGTAGATCAGCAGCCGACGACGATTCACCTCCGCCGCGCCTCGCCCATGCTTACCCACCCTCCTCCTCCCCCACTGCCCCCGATCCTCGCCTTTCGCTAGAGTCGGACGTTCGGTCTGGTGTTGCGTCGGCTGCCGTCCTCTGTTCTCGTGGATAGCGCGGAGCAGTTCAGGCTGAAACAACAGCCCCAGAGCAAACTTGGGCCACCGGCGGCCTTTGCTCGCTATTGGCCGACCCTGCGATAGATTGAGGCTTCACGGTGGGTGAGTTGTCTCCTGCAACCCTTGCCGCCTCGACTTGAGAGAGCTCAGCGCGCCGCGAGCCCCTCCTCACCGCCCCAGGCTGATTGGCCTGCCTGTTCTCGTCGCCATCGTGCTCGCCTTGATTCGCGCCATTCGCTTCGTGCCCTCCTCGCAATTAGGATCATGGTGCGGTAGGGGTTCGACATGGCGGAGCCTGAGCATACCCATATGCATAACTTTGCATATCACCCTGGCGTGGCCAGCTGGGTCCAGTCGCTCGACAGCGGTGATGAAGTCACTGAACACGCTCCCGATGACTTTTACAAGTCTGCCGTCGCCCACACGCATGAGGTACCCCAGTCTGGCGACATGACGGCCACTCGCCAGCGCCAGCAGACGCCCAACGGAGCAGCGCGCTCGACCTCCAAACCCTCGATACGCTCCGTCTCCGGTCCCGCGACCTCCACAACCTCGCCGCGATCCAACCCCTCGATCGCGTTTAATCGACCGTCAGTCAAGAGCATGGCACAAAAGTTCAACCACCCTACGTCGGCCGAATCATCCCCCCAATCCACACGCGCGCGACCCGTCCGACCGCCGGCGGCCTCCACGAACTCATCGCCCGCACAACCAGCCAAAGAGGCTTCCTACGGCTCGTACAAGTTCAACAACCTCAAGCCGCGAGAACGGCCACAGCCTGCGCCTTCGTCTCCCGCCAGCGCCCGGGAGATTCGACAGGCGAAGATATACGGCGCACTGGTCAACGGTGTCGAGAGCTCGAGTCCACGCAAGGCACCATCGCGAAAGAAGGTGGCTTCACCAACGCGCGAGAAGGAAAAGAGCCGACAACCGTTCTTTGGCGAAGTGATAGGAGAGCACGATGCGGTAACGCCAGGTTTTGGGATCCCCCAATTCGACGGCGCAGCACTGTCCAACGAGTCCGTTTCCAATTCACCGGGCCCGCAGCCAGGCACCTCGACCATCAAAATCGTAACAGACGACCTCCCCGCTTTGCCCGAGAACCACGCGGACGGTTTTCCTCCACATCACCAACCCTCCGCCTCCGACATGGCGTCGCACCGACCGGGTGCGGACCGTGATGCGCAACAGTCTCCTATGTCAGATAACAGAACACCGCGGCGGCGGTCTCCGCCATCGCGAATACCGGTTCCCGCGTCACGAAGAATGAGTGCAGCTTCGGATTCGAGCTCTTCGACGCGTTCCGCCAGGTTCGCAAGCTACATGCGGCCCACGGCAGCGACTCGTGCACACGGCAAGGAAACACCCACACGCCCGGCAAGAGCACCCGTGAGCAAGACTAGCACGCCTTCTAAGAAATCCACAACACCTGCAGGTCAACCCACCCTGTCGGCCGCGACGTACCGCGGATATCGTGAGCGGGGAAAGTCGCCCCAGGCCACCAGTGGATCTGGACCCAGTGTCGCGGCTGTCATAGCCGCTCCGCCGCCACCCACGTCTCCACGTCTTCGCAATTCACGCGAGCGGCAGCCTTTGCAACGGACACCAGGCTCGCGATCGAGGAGCGCTGATCCACATGGTACGCAGGACTACTTTGGCGAAAGCTACGCGCCGCAAGTGCAGGAACGACCACACTTGCTCGAGCCCGGATACGAAGAGAAGCGATTGTCAGTGAGACGCGTCGAGCCCTCAGAAGACGAAGAAGATCCTTTGGATATACCCGGTGTGCAACTAGAATTGGATTTTAGCAATCAGCATTTGGATTCTGCATTGGATAAACAGCAGAGCGGTTTGCACCTTACTACCGATGGACCTTCGGTACCCCCCGCTGGACGGCCTTTATCATCAGCAACGAGTTTTGAAGAATCTCCGGTTTTGGGAATGCCTGGAAGTTTTATGACGACACCACCCATAGTACAGGCTGTGGCTACGCCTCCCCCAAATAAAACATCCTTTGGACAGGAAATTTCCCAGGACGCATCTGCGTCAGAAGCGCCGCAGCTAGGTGGTGAACTTTTGCAAGCGCGAACGTTCCAACCGGCGAACAAGCGCATGGCAGAGATCTCACGCGTAGAAGATACACAAGATAAATCCGAACTTGGCGTACGGGAATCAATACCCATCGCTCTTGGATCAGAAGTCTCGAGCCCGGGATGGGACAACGATACGCCTAAGCGGCCGAAGCACCAAACCCGGCTGAGTATTGGCTCTCAAACTTGGCGAGTTGAACCTTTGGATGCTTCTGGAACCATATCCTATCTGGACGAGGAGGTTGGTGATTCGCCTGTTGATCCGTTTGCTGACCGAGGAACGCTGAGGCCAGACGACTCAGCAAGCATGGCCTTCTTCCACCAGATTGGCCAGCAGCACCCCAATTGGGGCCCGAAGACCCCGGAACCGCAAAAGGACTCGTTCACGTTGGATAGTGAGGCCTACAGCGTCATTAACAAGATTTTGAACGTCTACCACGAATCAGACACGATCACTCCGCAAATCGCGCAACAGTCGTGGCAACAAGTACAGAGCGTATCTCCCATAGTGGCCCAACACAGAGACTGGAGCTCGAAAGAGGCAACCGAGACGTATCTTGCGAGATTACTTAGCGATGCTGCAGTAGGAAGAGATGGAGAAGCAGACGTGGACGCAACGCCCCATGCGGTACAGCCTGTGCAACCTGCTGCATCTGCACCCAGCATCCGGCAACTTGCTGCGGACCCGGACGAAGATGAGCCTTTCCCCGGTGGCACCGCCATCATTTTTCCCTCAGAATCGAGGCGGTATTCACGAGGCTCGCGTGCGTCGGTCGCGTCAGCGACGACAACTATCTTTGAAGGCCCGAGCCGGCCCGACAGTTCTTCCGGTCTCTCTGCACGTGATCGCACCCACAGCAACGACATCTCGCACCCAGTGAATCCTCCGCCGAAAGACTGGTCCTCGCCGCTGTCCCACGAGATCCAGTACCAACGGTTGCCTGAAGCCACCTACGCGGGCTCAGGCCTAGGGCTGTCTCTGCAGCAGAGTCGGGAGCAACAGCAGGCGCCTCACGGGCCACAATCCGCACCGCCAAAGCCGGCATACTCGCCGCCGCCGCCGCCGCCGAATATGGGGCACGTCTTCGGCCGCATCTGCCCACCCGAACGACGCAACGGCGACGACTCAGACAGCCTCGATGACAGGCCCCTGCTTAGCAGGTCGCCGCCGCCTGAATCGCCGAAGCGAACCCGCAACACGTACAGCAGCACCGATGGGAGCGGGGCCATGATGACAGGCGTTGTTCCGAGCACGGAGAAGGCACCGACGTCAGAGCCCACGTCGCCCAATCCTGAGCGGCTGCAGGAGAAGGTGTCCCTCGACTCGCCGGGGTTGAGCGCGGAACAGGATCGCGGCAAGGCCGTGGTGCAGGTACAGAAGCGCTACCGCGTCATAGAGGAGTTGTGCAAGACCGAGCACAGCTTCTGCGTTGACATGATGGTGGCCCACCAGATCTTTGAGGGCACGTCCAAGGAGGTACTGACCGACGAGGAGCGCAAGCTCTTGTTCAGCAATTGCAAGGACCTAGAGAACTTCTCCCACAATCTGTGGAAGTCGCTTAAGGATGCCATCCGGCCCATTGTCAACCAGCTGCCGCCCGAAGAGAGCTCGGGAGCCGAATACGATGAATTCGTACACTGCACGCCGGAGAACGACCGCCAGGTCAAGGTTGGAGAGGTCATGCTGGCATTCATACCCCGCATGGAGCGCGTGTATACAACGTACTACCTCAACTACGACGACGCGTCGAAATTCATCAAGGCCAACACGCAGAACCCGGAGCTGCTGGGCTGGGTGATGGCCTGCTTTCAGCACTGTCCCAACCTCACGACTGCGTGGGATCTAGATTCCCTTCTCATCAAACCCGTTCAGCGCATGCTTCGATACCCCCTGCTCCTCTCAGAACTCATCGAGAAAACTGTTGCGGACCACCCAGATTTGGCGATGCTCAAGCAGGCCAAGGATGCAATCATCAAAATTGCCGAGCGTATTGACGTGGCGAAGAAGCGGCAGGAGACGCTGCGCGCAGCAACGTCAGAGGGCAAGAAACAAAAAGGCAAAGGATCCGCCGATCGTAACGTCAAATCGATCGTAAAAGCTCTTAGGTGGAGCAAGGAGAAAGCCAAGACTCTTCAAGAAGCCACCCTCATCTTCGACGATCAAGAATACAACCAGGTGACGCAGAAATTCGGCGGTCATTTCTTCCAGATTCAGATCGTGATCGCCGACATGGACCAGTACTTATCTTCCATGACCGAGTCGACCGTACAACTCAACCAGGTGATGCTTGGCTTCATCACGGTCGCCGAGACAGGCCCTTCAGCCAATGCCGAGATGGAGAGCACCTGGCGGCGATGGGCGATGGCACATCTTGATCTCCAGAATAAGGCCCTCGAAGAGCACGTAAGTTGCGCTCGTTCCACTCCGAGTGATGTTTGTTAATGTAAACGTAGAAAACCGCTGTTAGGGATCGTGTCATGAAGCCCATCTCGAGCGTGTGGGATCAATGGGTTGGCCCACAGAAACTCATGGAGCAACGCAAGAAGCTCCTCATACAGTACGCCAAGTACAAGCAGGCTGTCGACCGCAAGGAGAAGATCGACCCTAAGCTTGAGGAGACTGCCAAATCCTTCCTTACGATCAATGACTCCCTCAAGCAAGAGCTGCCTATGCTGTATGAACTCACCAAGAAGGTTGTCCGTCTCTGCTCTACCATCTTCATCGGCCTTTCCAAGGACTGGTACAAGACGTGCTCCAAGAAGATCCTTCCACTTCTAGAGAGTGAGCCACAGCATACTACGTCGATTAGCTACGACTTCAAGACGTACCAAGAACGCTTCAAGTCGGACTTCCGCCAGATGGAGGCAACTGCAAGGAGCCTTGCGATCATCAACCACGACCTGATCAATAGTCTCAGCAACTACATGAGCCCTATCCCCATGGCCGACGATACCTCGTCACGCAAATCTTCATCCAGGAGGACTGAGTCCATTGGCAGCGAGGTCTCTATGATGGATCGTCACAGCCGCAATCGGAACAGCGGTGGCTACAACAGCTCGCGCTCTGGCATGCACTCTTTCGAGGGCCCGCCCCGATCCTCGCCTGCCGTCACGTATGGTCCTGGCTCTCAACCACCGGTCAGCTACAAAGGGCCCTCTACTACCACCAGCGCAGCATCTTCTCTGTTCCGCGAGCGCCCTGCCTCTGATCGTATTCATGACCAGCCTCATGCTCCAGGCTCATACACTAGCGAATCTACCGTTACTGCGGGCAGAGCATCCAACAGCAGCGCCCGCAACCCTGCCTGGACAAACATGAACCATGGCTTCGACGGTACCTGGGACGAGACAACCTCTTTCGCGCAGCCCGCTTCTATCGGTGCTTCTTTCCTCCAACCCTCTCTCACCACCACCTCATCCTCGCACTCCCAGCAGCCCTCTCAGCCCGGCTCTTCCCGCACCTCCGGCGTTTTCAACTCCGCTCTCCCAATGTCTAGCCGTAACTCTGCTGAAGAGCTGCCCGCCACTCCTTCTGATCCCGATGAGCCTGAGGTCTTGTTCCTGGCTGCGAGCTTGTTTGAGTTCAACATCGCACACGATCGTCGCGAGGGCGGCATTCCCTACCTGGTCTATGTGCCGGGCGAGATCTTCGACGTCATTGGTATGAAGGGTGAGCTGTGGCTCGCGCGCAATCAAGACGATCCGCATCGCACCGTGGGCTGGATCTGGGAGAAGCACTTTGCTCGGATCCTACCCGAGGATGCGTAGGCCTGGCTCGATGGGCTGCGTCGGTACGATCGTATACCATTCGTGTCCCGGCATACCTCACTTCACACTTGCCCAAGACCTTTTTTCTTCTGTTTCTTTTTCTCTGCTCGGCGTTCTTTCGGAGAGCGTAAGGCTCGTTTCTGCATGATACCTCACCTTTTCACGGGAATGGAAATATGGAGCCAAGCCCCCCGAACTTTACCTGGCTTCTATTGGGCTGGAGTTTCGACGGACGGACTGGATGGATGGCATGGATTTTCACGGCCGAAGCGAAGCGAAGCATTGGCGTGGCAATGGCATTAACATGGCTGGCGTAATGACTACATGAATGATCTGCGGCTTTTTCACTTGTTTTCTTCTGATGGATGGATGGTAGGGCAGGTTGGTGTGAAGGGGAGAGTGTATAGTATGGCCGCGAGGCTGGGAATTGAAATGTATAACTGTGTATATGGTGTGTTCTGGATGGTGTACGTGAGCGTGGCTCTGGCAGGCGCGAAGGTGACGGCGGAGAGGAAGATGATGAGAATCGTCTTCTTGTTGACGAGGGCTCACGAACGGGTCACTCTGAATAGAACAGATGCATGCAGTTTCTGGAGAGGAGATCAACCAGAAGAAAAACCGATTACCTTGTCCACGAGTCATTATGGCATCTACAAACACATCATCCCCCATTCCCAGCTCCGATCACACCGCAGAACTCATCAGCGCAGGAAGTCTCACGTCGCCTTCATCGGCACCACGACAACGGTCTCGACAATCGAGCTCGTCGAGACAGTAGTGCTGACGCTCAGAGGGATCCAGCCAGCGGGAATGGGGGAGTCTATCGGGTTGCCCGGCGACGATGGCGCTCCACTGTGTCCAGCATTGCTCGGACTGGGACTTTGCCTTGGTGTGCTGTAGGACGTGGCCGTGGCCGTGACTGAGACCGTTACCTGAGAGAAATTGGCAGGAAGAGTTGTGTACGAGATGAATGGGGTAGCTGAAGCGTGTTTGGAGTTCGACTTGCCGGCAGTAACGAAAGGATAGTTGGCGCCCGACTTGCCGCCAGTACCGAGAGGGTGATTGGAGCTCGACTTGACGCCTGTAGCGGAAGGATAGCTGGATTCCGGCTTTGGCTACGGAGGGCGAGTTTTCATCTTCTGAGAGCTCCGGGAATGCTCTAGGAAACTGGGCGCCGAGGCCACCGCCAGCGATGGAGTCGACGTCGTATACTGCGTTGGATCAACAACCATTTGAACAAAGCTCGGAAAATGAGACCTACAGTCTGCGACAACACCAATCTGTCCGGCCAGCGCTCCACCACTCACATCATCCCAATACGCCACACCTTCCCACTCAGGAAGGTACTTCACAGCTGGGTCGGAGAATACGTGATCTCCCGCAACAACAAGCAGCAAATACACCGCATACAACTTACTCACGCTCCCAACGCGATACACTGGCCCCCCATTTACCTCTCTTCCATCGCTCTCGCCTCCAGCAACGTCCACACCTTCATTGTAATACTCAAACACCGCACCCTCCTTGTCAAAGATCTGAATAGAAACCGTCTCATCCAAGGATACGGGACCATGGATGCTTTTTCCTGATGCGAAAGCATCGTCTAGAGCAGCATCAATATGGGTGACGGCATCACGCGACGCCGGGGAGTCGACGAGGTCCTTAGCAGGAGGGAAGACAGGGCCGTAGATAGGACACAGGGCTGCATGCATGACAGCAGTGATACTGAAGAGGGTGAGTAAGAGGATGCCGTAGGTGGGAGGCATGGCGAATATGGACAGCTCGAGCGAGGTATGGTATTTGGGTATCGGCGTCTTCAAATAGGCATGCAGACTGCTACGCTCTATCACTCTACTTGGAATGTCTTGCGGCAGAGTCGCTGTTCTTTTGCCTCGTCTTTCCAACATGGAGTTTCAATACCAAGAGTGATAGGCCCGCCTCACGCCCCAGCAAGCCTTAGCTTACTTCTGCACGAAGATGAACCCTCCGTCTTCCGATCGCACGACACAAAAACAAACAACATGTCAATCGGGGCGAGCTCGGAGTGCACCGATCGGTAAAGGAGAGTGTACACGTGCGTATAAACCAATATTCTTCGATTGTCATGTCGTTGATCATCGTGCAGTGCTACACTCCTTGACCAGCCCACTATGCGTGCAGAACTGCATCTTGATTCCACAGCCAGACTGGCTTACAACCGCAACTCCCGAAGCTCCGCATTAGTGCCCGGCCACCCTCCTGATATCCGCTATAGCCTTCCTCCTGTACTCGCTCTCCGCGAACAGCGCCCTGATCAGATCCAGAACCTCATCCACCTCCATCTCGAGCCTCAACTCACCATCCGTCCACATGTACCTTATATCCGCGAGACTGCTATCCAGAATCTCGCTCAAGTACTGGAACTTGAACCAGTTTGGCGTATACACGCTGGTCATGTCGCGCTGCTGGCCGTCGGCATCCTCGGTAATGAACAGCGCAGCCAGCGACGACAGAGATACGCAGTACCCGCGCAGCTTCTTGGACTCGTCCTCGGCGATGTCGGGCATGTCCTCGATGTCGGCGATGAATTTTGCTAGCGCGGTGGACACGAGCGAGCCAAGAGACTGGAGCAGCGCGGAGTGTGATAGCACGGGCTTCCAGACATTCTTCACGTCCGAAATGCGGTCGATGGTCATGGCGATGGCGTTGTCGCACTCGGCTGCGAATGGCATTTTGGTGCAGCTCGCAAATCCCTGTGCGGCATCGAGGTGGTCGCGAATTATGGTCCGCTGCGACTCCATTTCCCGGCCGTACGCACGTTTACCAAAGCCTTCGATAGCTTTGATATCCTGCTCGAGCCGCGGCTTGAGTCTGACGGATGGCTTGAGGTGCTGTGGTAGGTCTGTTGATGGGTCTTGCTCTGCGCGCTCGGCGATGAAAGCGTGGAGGCGGTCGGAGAGCCGTGTGCAGTCGTTGTAGATTAACATGTTAGCGGCGATATCCCGGGAGTAATGGGTGGCGGCCGTGGCCCGGTACATAGCCAGGAGGAGACTTGGAATGTCGTAAAGACCACCGCTGGCGGGCGCGATGGCAGTGCCAACCAGATCGGGGCTGGTGAGGGTGCCGACGTCTGTGACGGCCTGGAGGATTAGATCGATGATGGAGTCGGGAATAGCCGTTACGGTGTAAGTCTCTCTCAGTGTCATCTCCCGGTCTTTCGGAGGCTTCTCAGATTTGGCGGCCTGCCCGTTGGCCTTGGGCTCGGGCTCTGGCTCTGAGGATTGCACAGTGGGTTGTGACAGAACCTGCTTTTGCTCTTCCTCGTCGCCCCAGTCTGCGCCCCAATCTTCAGCATCTTCTTCGCCTTGCGCTTCGGCCTTTGGCACTTCATGTTCCTTCTGGGACTCTTGCGACTCATCCTCGTCTATGCCCCACGCGCTGATATCCTCCTCTTCCACTGGCTCGGCCTGAATCTTTTCGGCTTTGTTCGCTGCCTCTTCTGCTGGTGCTTCTTCGTCTCCCCAATCGGCACCCCAGTCTTCGTCGTGCTCTTCGTGGCCGCCGAGCATAGCGTCTCCCTTTGACAAGACCTGAGTCTCGACCCGTTCCACCGTCTTCTTCTCCTGCACTCGTCTCGGGAAGATACGTTGTACCTGGGCTATTGCGGCTTCTTTCTGTCGCGCAAGCCATTTCTCGGCGGACTTGTCGACCCACGCAGTTAAGCGTTGCTGCCCGCTCCACCCAAGTTCATCGAAGAACTCAACAAGCCCAAGAACGAGCGAGAGTGTTTCTTGGAATTCGGGGATGCCTTTCGTAGACAACGGGATAGCAGGCAGGAGCCAATTTGCTATCAGTCGGTTGGCGATGACTGGGACCAGCTTCTCGGACAGAGGAACGGCGACGTCGGGAGGCATGCGGGTGCTCAGGTACTCGGCTGTAGACTGGATGTCTTCCAGCGTGGCTCGAACGCTCATGTCGCTTACTTGTCCTGCAGCTTGGATATCGTTGCCGTAGATCGTCAATGCGGATGCAACTTGATCAGGACCAATGGCCAGCCGTGGCTGCACGATGACGCTGTCAAAGTCATGGCTGAGGCGCACGACGAAGTTGTCGAAGAGTCCCAGTCTCGTCAATGCTTCGACCAGTGTGTCTATTTTCATGCCGCTCTCGCCATCCTCCCGCTCAATCTCGTCTTTCAGTGTGATTTTCCGTTCCGCGGTGTTGACCAAGAGCAGACTGTGCCATGTCTCCGTAACATTTTCCACCAGTGCGGACCTCAGCTGGCCCGATCTTGTCTTCAGAAGACCGACCACTCGCGTGTTCTCGAACGGCCCAAGCCTCTTGAAAGCGCCATCCGCATCCTCAAGCCGCTCGAGTGCATGCAAAATGTGGTTGTGGACTGCGGCATCCTGGGCCGCCTCCAGCAGAGTTGAGATGTCTTGGAGCTGCTCTACAACCTGCACCAGGCTCTCGTTGTACGCAATCTCGGAATGCAGGAAGCTGACTTTGGTGGCGGCATCCTGAACGTTGGCTGTCTTCTCTTTGCCAGACTCTGCCTGCTGTACAATTTCCTTTGCAGTTTCTTGAGAGCGCTTGATGTCGGCTTGGAGCTTGCGCGCTTGGGTCATCCATCCGTCAACGTCGGAGGCGGCTTCGCGGGAGATTTGGCGGATTTCCTCCTAGGACCATTGTCAGCTTTCTGCGCAGAGATGCGCATGATGTTGCGGTCGTGATTGGCACCTTTGTGTCATCTCTCGCCTTCTCTAGGGTCTGTCGCAGCCTCGGAAGAGCTGCAGCTGGCACGGGCGCAGAGGATACGCTCTCCGACTGCGGGAAGGTGCCATGCTGGACGGAGTGGAGGAGGGCCTCCCCAAGCTCCTGGTCAGAGACTGGCGCAGACATTGGAGCTATGGGCGTCCGAGCATGTCGGTTCCAGGAAGAATATCTCGGCCAACGGAGGCGTCGACGTGTTTTGTGTCTACGCCATGGTGATTCGTGGCGTGTACCCTGCCTGCAAACCAAGTGGGCCGTGCGAGAGCCCTACCAAACCCCGCCACCCCGCCATCGTCGAGAGCAGAGCAGAGCTGTTCGTCGGGAGAAACCAATACGACGCTCCTCTCCAAGCCCAATCAGGTTGCGTTCTTCCTTCACTTGCCATCGTGCCCCCTTGCCAATCATATCCGCCCAGCACACCGCCTCCGTCTGCGCAGTGCGCTGTTACGGGTTTGGCACCTTGGGGAACGTACACTTATAGTCCGCACGTTCATACCCACGACCGGGGCTGCATCTTGGGAGGCCTTCTCTGCTTTTAGGCAACGTCACTAACTGGTAAGCCTCTGCCCTGCATTGCACGTTTTCCATTCCTGTCCTCGCGTAGACACTCAGCTCACGACGCGGTATCATCGTGTCAGCTGAGTGGCTTCCTCCTGTAGACCTTCTGATGCGCGCCTTCCCCAACGCACTCTGCGTTGTTGTGTCGGCAGCGCAGCTGTCGACGTGTTGTGCCGCACATTTACGCGAGGAACGTCGCCCCTCGTTCCGGGAACTGACAGAGAACAATGTTAGCACTAGCCCTGCATCGTACAAAGAAGCTTGGGCGCCCGGAACGGTACACGCAGATCAGGCAGACGCACTTTCCTGCGTTGAAGAGGAGTGCTCCTTCTACGACTCCGACACAGACCAACAGCCTTTTCTCTTCGGCAAGATGGGGTCTGTTGCGCAGGAGACCAAGTTTAGGAAGGTTCAGCAGTTCAAAGCCGACTATGCGGAGGCCGAGTTCACCCAGTATGAGTCGCAGCGCACCGGCATGAACGTTGTGGTGGTGGACAGGAAAGGGCCAAAGATATACGGTTACTTTGCACTGGCGACCGAGATCCATGACGACTCTGGAGCACGTGAGTACTGCCACATCTCTCAACTGCGTTCACTGACATCCACAGCCCACACACTGGAACATCTGTGCTTCATGGGCTCACGGAAGTATCCTTTCAAGGGTGTTCTGGATAAGCTCTCCACTCGAGCTTATTCCGACACCAACGCCTGGACGGATGTCGATGAGACTGTCTACACCCTGACCACAGCCGGATGGGAAGGTTTTGCACAGATTTTGCCCATCTATCTGGACCATCTCGTCGTACCCACCCTCACAGACGAGGGCTGCTACACCGAAGTCCACCATATCGATGGCACTGGAAATGATGCCGGGTGAGCGCTCCCGTAGACTTTTGAATATCCACGTTAACAGCCGAAAGTGTTGTGTACTCCGAAATGCAGGGTCGCCAGAATCTGCAGGGAGATCTGATGGATCTGGAGATGCGTCGTATCCTGTACCCCGAGAAGTACGGTTTTCGTTATGAGACCGGAGGTCGGGTAGAGAACTTGCGCGTCCTCACCGCGGAACGAATCCGCCAATTCCATCGCGACATGTACCAGCCTAAGAATCTTCGCTTGGTTCTCATCGGTGAGGTCGACCACGCAGACCTTCTCTCGATTCTGGACAAGTTCGAGGATGACATCGCAGACAGTGTGCCCTCTTACACTGCTCCCTTCAAGCGGCCTTGGTCTGATTCAAAACTCGAGCCGGGACTCTCAAAGACGACCGTTGAGACCGTTGAGTTTCCCGAAGAGGATGAGTCTACGGGCGAGATTCAGATTGCCCTCATTGGGCCCGACTCTACGGATGAGAAGCTTGAGACAGCTCTCAATACAGTGCTCATGTACCTCGCTGGCTCTTCAGTCTCAGTGCTAGTCAACAAACTCGCGGAGAAGGAGCATCTCACCAGCATGGTATACTTTTACGTCCGAAGCTTTGCGCAGTCGGTCATTCACTTTACATTGACCAGTGTTGCGACTGAGAAGCTTGAAGAAGTCGAGAAACGCTTCTGGGAGGTTCTGCGGGAACACGTGGCCCAGCCCATAGATCTGGCTTACCTCAAGGATTGCCTACACCGATTCAAGCGCCAGGTGAGGTTCACCTCGGAGATCGGCAATGACGAGTTCAAAGATCCTATCATCAAAGACCACTCTTACGGTCCGCGTGATGGTTCCAAGCTTCGGGAGGCTATGGAGTCGCTCTCCGTATTTGACGAACTCGAGGACTGGAGCGAGGAAGAATGGCGCTCATTCATCAAGAAGTGGATCGTGGAACCCCATCACGTTTCTCTACTTGGAAAGCCGTCCGTAGCACTTGCAGACAAGATCAAGTCTGATGAAGTCGAGCGTGTCAAGGCACAACAAGAGAAGCTCGGCGAGGCAGGCCTAAAAGAGAAGGCAGAGAAGTTGGAGAAGGCGAAAGCCGAAAACGACAAGCCAATCCCACTCGAAATGATGGAGAGCTTGAAGGTCCCTAGTACTAGCTCCATCCATTTCTTCGAGACAACGACCGCGCGCTCTGGACTTGCAAAGAAGCTCGGCATAATCGACAACAAGATCCAGAAGATCATCGACAAGGATGAGAACGGACTCCCACTATTCGTCCATTACGAGTCGATCCCGACATCCTTTGTTCACTTTGGGCTTGTACTTGGTACAGCCGGGGTGCCTACTGAGCTGAAGCCGTTGCTCGGCGTTTACCTTAACAACTTCTTTAGCACGCCGATCACGCGCGACGGCAAGCGCATCGAGTTCGAGCAGGTCATCACTGACCTTGAAAAGGACACGATTGAGTACAGCCTTGATCGTGGCAACGACATTGGTAATGGCGAGATGCTCTACGTCCACTTTGTGTCGGAGGCAGACAAGTTCAAGGATGTTGTTCAATGGCTCGCAGATCTTCTGGTGAACTCGATCTTCGACACCGAGCGTTTGATTGCAGCCGTGAAGAAAATGCTCGCAGACGTGCCAGACGAGAAGCGTGATGGCCACAGCATGATGTTTTCCGTCGACCGCATGATCCACTACAAGGAGGCTTCTTCCACGCGCGCCACCAACACTCTGGTGAAGGCGCTCTACCTGAAGCGTACATTAAAGCAGCTCAAGACAGACCCCCAGCAAGTAATCGACAAGCTCGAGTCTCTCCGCAAGCACCTCCTGACCTTCTCCAACCTCCGCGTCCTCGCAATCGCCAACTTTGAAACCCTCCCCAACCCGGTATCTACCTTCAAGATTCTCACCGACGCCATCAAGCCCGGCCCGGAACCCACCGTCAACCCCATCGACGACCGCGCATCCCTGCTTTCAGACATCGGAAAGAACCCTGGGGGCACCCACTACGCCGTCCCCATGCCCATCGACTCGTCATTTGCCATGTTGACCTCCAAGGGCCCTGACTCGTACACGAGTCCAGATCTGCCTGCTCTGCTAGTCGCTCTGGCCTACCTCGATGCCGTCGAAGGCCCCATGTGGCAGGACATCCGCGGCACGGGACTTGCCTACGGCGCAAACTTCCTGCGCGACATCCAAGCCGGCCTTCTCAAGTTCCGCATCTACAAGTCTCCAAACTCGTATGCGGCGTACGAGAAGGCGCGCACCGTCGTCAAGGAATACGGCGACGGCACACGCAAGCTGGACAAACTCGCCCTCGAAGGCGCCATCAGCAGCATCGTGCGCGAGTTTGTCGACGACAAAGCCACCATTGTCGATGCGGCGCGCGGTAGCTTCATCGACCTGGTGGTCAAGCGCGTGGGCAAGGAGTGGTCCGAGTGGGTGCTCGGCCAGGTCCGCGAGGTCAAGGAAGACGACGTGCGCAAGACGTTTACGGACGTCATCGCCAACGTGTTTGATCCCGCCAAGACGGACCTGGTCATCACGTGCGGTGGCAACATGGTCGACGTAAGCCTTTCCCCTCTCCTTCTTCAGCCCGACAGCATGCTAACGAGAAGCAGGATCTGAAGAAGAACTTTGAAAAGGACGGCTTCACCATCAACGTCAAGCAACTGGTTGATTTCCAAGAGGACTACGGATTGCAGGGCGATGCCGACGAGGAAGATGATGAGGAGGAGAGCGAGGGGAGTGAGGGCAGCGAGGAGGAGTCGGAGGAGGAGTAGCGTCCAGCAGCGTGCGCATGTATTATAATAGGACGAAGGCACTTCGGGAGCGCTAGATGTGCAAATAGAAGCGTGGGATCGAACGTAGTTGTGCCCTGGTGTAAAGTGATGTACGATAACTCGAGCTGCACCCAGCGAAATTTCGACAGGGTTGCAGCAAATGTGTATTAACGGAGCGCAAAGGATATTGCACCGGATATCAACATGCGCGTTGACGCTCCGAGGAGAAAAACGGCAGCCAGCCCTGCACGTCTTTCCGCGTACGCACCACTCATAGCTCGCCAATGTCCTGCACGCCGCCTTCCTCGTCGTCTCCGTGCTTCGGATACTTCCGATACCAGTCCTTTGGATCGCCGCCGGGCACACACAGGCCCAGGCGCCAGAAATAATCCCGGTGTGCGAAGAACAGCTCCCAGAACTTGAACCGCGCGGGGATGCCCCAGCCCTCTCCCTCGGCCTCGGTGCCCGCGATGCAGCTCCCGTCTTCGTCCCCGTTGCAGTGCCGGATGTCGGCCTGGGTAAAAGGGAGCGAGGGCGCGGAGATGAAGAGCTCTTCGCTGTGCATCGTGTAGCCCCACTCGGCCAGGGGGAGCAAGGGCACGGGGTCCGAAGCGTGGGTTACCCTGTGGTATCTGTTGGTAGCGCGGTTGGACGTGATGTTGAAGCGCGCGTTGATGTAAGACATCAGTGCTGCATTGCCGACGCGCGGCTCGCCAAAGGTGGTGATGGTGGGATTCCAGCCTCGCGCGCGCAGGTCGAGGGCCGCCAAAGCGGCGACGGCGCCGCCGAGGGAGTGGCCGACCAGCACAATCTCATAATCAGGATGTTGATTGATGGCTTCCGTTAGTTGGGGCAGAATGGCTTTGCGCGTGTGTAGCCAGGAGGTGTAGAAGCCGGTGTGGACGGTGCAATTTGTGCATTCGGGGGGGTCCGCCGGGGGAGGCTCGTCGCCATCGGAAGAGGGTGAGGGTTGAGGAGGCGCGAGGAAGTCCGATGTAGCGCCATCGTCATCGTCGCCAGGGTAGGGCACGTATTCCTGGGGGATGGTGGAGAGGTCGACGATGGTGTTGGCGATAGAGTAGGTGCCGCGGAAGGCGAGGAGGATGCGCGGACGGGACGGCGGGTGCGAGAGGGCGATGTAGCCGCACGAGTCGCTGAAGAGGGGGCCTGTGTTCCAAGCCTACATGCACTCGTCAGCTATCTGGCTTTGCCATGCATGCGGAGGACGGCGTACGGTGACCAGCTCGAAGTCCTTGAAGTCCTCGTCGCCGCAGTGGCTGGCGCAGCTGAAGGGCTTGGTGATGCCGAGCCCGGCCGTGCCCACGCAGTACGAGATGTCGACTATGCGGGCCAGCTCCTCGAGCTCGAAGAAGAGCTCGCGGGAGACGGTGTCGTTGGCGGGTGTGGAGAGGGGTGTCTGCGCGGGTCCTGTTGTCCGCGCGAGAGCGCCTGCGCTACGGACGACGAAGACAAGACATAGCACGCGAAACAGGAGGCCGGAAACGCTGCCCATTGAGTGGATCGTCTCACATATTCTTCAGGTGGAGTGCGTAGGGTCCGAGGTGGAGGAGGGCAATCGTACGAGGCAGCGGCCGCCGTGTGGTGGTGAGGTCACACACGGGGCCACGCTACCGGGGCGTGACCGAGGCATTCATCCGTCCGGGGAAGCAGGCGGCCTAAGCCCAATGCAGACGCAGTGCACCGGCTGCCGTGGCGTGTCTCTCTGCTGCCAGCGGCGCCGCCCAGCGTTGGCGCCAAGGCGCTCCTATGATGTAATGCGCCTCGACGGGCAGGATGGTCGCGCGGAGGGAGCCAGCCAAGTGCGCGCAGATTCCATCATGTCATGATGAACACGCAAGCAACCTGCTTACCACAACGCCCAAGCATTGTCTAGCACCGGCGCCAGGCCACGCGTCTGCTGATAAGAAAAGACGGCTTCCGCTGTTTCCCGGAGACAAGACTTTTAGGTTCCCGACGAGCTCGACCCTGCAGAGCTGTCGACCCAGCACTTTCACACCGCGCAGCGCGGCCGCGACGACATGGCCAGCACACAGCACACGGCGTCGACGGAGCCGCTGAGGCACGACGACCCGATGCAGCCCGAGGTGGCCGTCGAGCCGCCCACGCCGCAGGAGACGCCCCAGACGGAAAGCACAATCGAGCCGTCGCCGCACAACGCAAAGGACGGCATCAGCGCCGCCGACCACCAGCCCAGGCACGAGGCCACGCAGCCGGCCACGCATCCATCGCTGCAGATCCCCGGCATTGCCGTTGCACACGCCGACGGCACCGCAGACGAGCGCGGCCGCTCCACCACCCAGCCGACGGCGGGTGCAGCCACGCCCAACGGCAACCTCAGCGCGACCGCCTCGCGCGCGCCCTCGCCGAACCCGTCGGCCCTCTACCCGCACACGCAGGTCGTCTTCGAGGACCCCGACTTCGCCACGCCCCCGCCGCTCAACTACAGCCTGCGCCCGCGCAAGAAGAGCATCTTCTGGTTCTGGTTCCTCATCTTCCTCGACTGCGTGTGCATGCCCATCGGCCTGTACTTTGGCATGTGGTATGGCCTCACGCGGGACCAGCTCAGCGCGAATGCCGTCTTCAGTATCAGCACCGCGCTGCTAGGGACCGTCAGCATCGTCGAGTACTTCATCCGGTTCCGCCGGCTGTGGAGGAAGAACTCAAACTGCCGTGTCATTGGTGCGAAGAGGTTCTACGTAAGTGGTTCTGGCATGCACGAGCAGCTGACGAGTGCTAACAATATCAACAGCTCGACTGGTTCCACTGGAACCTCTCCGTCGGCTGGTTCTTCGTCATGATCGAGCTCATCGCCGGCACCTGCCCGCACGACCCGCCCATCCGCGTGCTCGCCATCCCCGCCTCCACCATGCTCTTCGCCATAGGCGTCGAGCTCCTCATCGTCGACATACTCCGCATCTTCGGCGTCCGCGCCCCTTGCCGCATCTCCTCGCTCCCCATGGGCGCCCCACTGCGTCCGGGCATCTACGCCTACATCGAAGACATCTGCGCTGTGGACGGGAGCGGCGGCACCGAGTTCCGCCAGCGCCTCAACCTGCGCTACCAGGCGAGCAAGGCGTTCAGAGAGATGCTGCACCACCTGACGCTGTTCTGGGCGATTGGCGCCATTGTGTGCTCTGCGGTTACGGTGGCGATTGTGTTTACCATCCAGCGCGATGCTGCTTATATCGTATGTTCTCTCCGCTTCTCCTCCTTCGGTATGAAATGCTAATCAGGAACAGGTCGGCTGGGTCCTTCCCTTCCTCTGGGCCGGCATCTGGACCGCCATCACCATCCCCTGGGTGCAGCGCAGCTTGGCACACGAGTACGAGCAGTGGACGACGGCGAAGTGGAAGGCGTGAATCCTTCACTGAATTGTTCCCACGACTGTCTCGTCTAGTTTCGTTTTCTTTCAGTTGTACTATAGCCGGCCTTGAGCATGGCGGTGGCGTTTGCGGCAAGGGTCTACACAACCCAATTTGAACGATCTGGGAGGATAAACAGGGTGCTATATACCACTTATATGCAAGAAGAATGAATGGCGTTTGGGTTGAGAAACAGCATATTATCAGCATCTTATCAAAGTATTATTACATTATTCATTCATTGCATCGTCGTAGTCTGGTATCTTGCTCTACTCTACTCCCAGAGCTCTCCAGCAGCACTCAAACTCAAAGTCGAACCAAGACCGCAATCTACCATGCACAAGCCTTCGCGAAATGGTGCAGACTTTGAAATCTCGATCAGCATCACACAATCCCATGCGCGAACCCTGCGCTGCCCAGCAGCACCAAGCGTCCCAAGCCACGGCTGCCACGCAAATGACGGAGGTCAAGCGATCTGCACTCGGCGGCGACAAGCGGGACGGGAAAAAGTGGTGCTCTGCTCCGAGGAATCAAAATGAACAATCATACAGGAGTGTATGCAAACATCGATGGAAGCGTTTAGGCATCAAAGGAAAGTTCAATGAATCGCGCTGGCGCAATCGACGAGGCAGGTTCGAGGTCAGCAAAGGAGCGCAACCCACCGCTTTCTTTCTCCGCAGCTTTACCATCCCGCATAGTATACGGAACCTACATCCAAACACAAGTATTTAGTCTCTTCCACGTTGCCGAGTTTTACACTCCGATTTTGGCCATCGGAGGAAGAGAGAGGGTTGTTCACCAACCTCACCACACACAGCGGGGCGAGGACGGGGTGTGTAGCGGGGGTGCGGAATATTATATAGCCAGAAGAACGATGGCGAAAGAAATCATTGCAAGCATTGGCTCTGTTTACATAGTGTATCCATGAGCTTATTTTTGCTCCCCTTTGCTACAAGGTCCTAATCGCATCATTGCTAGTAGTCCGACAGCACCTTTCGCATGCATGGATCTGGATCTGGAATACAGAATGACCACGAGCCATGGCCGAGATCCACGACCTGAAGATGAAACTCGGCGAGCCTCAAGGAAGAGAGAAAGATGTCTTGCTCTTGACAGCACCGGGGCAGACATCTTGGATCCGGCATGTTGCATTTGTCTCGATGAAAATAAGCCTGTGTGCAGTAAGCATCACAATACCTCCTCTATTGATGTTCTCTAAGACGTGGATGCTAGACACGCCAGAGAATTACCACAACATCTCTCCATGCCCCGACTCCATGCGGCGTGGCAGTGTCGCTGATTCTGGTTGAAACGCCAGAAGGATCAGGTTAAAGGAGTCGAGAGCTGTCTCCAATGGTTCCGCCTCAGTCTCAAGCTCATTTCTTTGTTCGTTAGGAAAATTCTGGTTACCCTCTACCTCGTCCTCAGTTTGCTTTGCACGCGCCACAACCCAAGGGAAACATTTGCGAGCCTAGATGACTGGAGAAGCTACGCCTGCAACCACGAGCTCCAGGACTGAAGGCTAATTATGTACGATACAACCTTCCGTGCATCCCTCATCATGTCTGGCAAGATCCTCTCTCCATCCTCGTCCTCCGTACTTACGTCAGTCCGCCATTAGACGCGCAACAAAGGACGTCAGACGATCAATGAGCTGTATTCATGTCGTTTGCGCTTGGGTCCGCGAACGAATAATGGATTCATGTTGTTGTGCGAAAATGAAAACGATGAGATGAACAACGATATTCCAGGCACCAATATATGCCTGTAGAACTGCCAGTCGCGCCTCCAGAGACTGGAAACCGAGGGTGGACAAGCTCATCTTGTGCGCTCGGTAGGTCGAGAAGTCATCCGTAACACATTGACATGGCCCGTTCTCAAGATCTGGAAGTTCCACCAGAGGAAGGGCAAGGGGAGGGCAAGAGATGGACAGTGGACATGATGGAGACGAAGAGGCGTTTGTATAAATGAGTACAACTGCATACATCCGCAGAGGAGAAAAGCAGCAGAGACAGTCGGCGTGTCAAAAGTACAAAGATCAAGCACAGGAGGATCTAGCGGGGTATGAAAAGCTGGAAAAGAACATCACTGACAACTACAACGAGGAGATCGAAGGCGGTGCGGAAGCGAGCGAATACGAAGAGAGCAGTATTCAGGATCATGACGCCGAGGGAACTGCCCCCATCTCCGTGTACGACTCATGGATGACGTTGAACCCTTCACAAAGCATTGAACGCCTATATCAACACCCTAATCCTTCTATTTATCACTTTGCCGTCATGTCAAACGAGGGCAAACTGACTGGTGCGACAATCTATATATACTCTCCCCCTTACGCAGAGATCCAGGCTTGGGTCGTGCCTTCATCGCAGAGTAGTAACCCCAATGGGAGGAGAATTGGCACTGCACCGCTGCAATACGGGAGTCTGTGACACGGACGAAGACCTGAAAGAGCATAAAAAGTTATGGAATGCGGGTGTTACTATGCATAGAGAAGGAGGAGGACGATTACACTGGGATATCTCAGTCTCTTAGCTCACCAGGTGTCACGGTGTGAGAATCTGCGCTCAACTCCTCCTTGTCTCAGCCGTTTGCAAAACTAATTCGTCCACCATGATTATATAGACACTCTGCCAACCCGGCACCGCGCTTATCCTTGAGACGAATCAAGAGGCGATGATGCCCCCGCCCAGAGCTTGACCGCAATGCATGTGGATGCACCTGAGGAGGCCAAGACGTCAAGGGCGACGAGGACGCAAAAGTTTTCTATCGACGACCCCGATATGGTATCGTTGGCGTCGCCGTAGCGCAAATAATACAACAATCTCCCGAGGGAGCTTAGGATGTCCTGGAAATGTCATGTGCGTGAATCGCCTTTGTCTCTGTTCGTGTGAGATACATAGATTTCTTGAGAGCCAACGAGAAACTTGCTTTAGCCTCATCAAAAAAAAAGTCACCAAGAGCATTCTTTTGGTCCACGGGACTCACAGTTGATATGCGTCGCTGATTGCGTGTGCAGATGCAGGGGGTGTCCGGTGATGACGGCTCGGTATGCCGCTCACTCACTCTAGATATACACCAACCTTACACGGCTCTTCGAGGGCTCCGTGGAAAATACACTTCCCTAGCTACCAGCCTAGCAGCAACGATCACACCATCATCCTGCGCTTGGTCCTTCGAGCGGAAATCGGGAGACACCAGAGGGTGTCACCTGCTAGCAGCGTTGGAAGATGTATAATAGAGGAAATATTATAATACACTGCTGTTACTTGAGTCCAGCAGAAGGAGATCCGAGCCACTATATACAAAATTGCTGGGGCTGACAAGGGTTGTGAGTGAAAGAACCCAAAGGAGCTTCCCCAGAGTGACACCGATGATTGGCTCGCCTTGGACGAGGGAACCGATGTCGACCCAGCATCTCTTTGCCGCCCACACTATGTGTTACAGTCCTTCCCAGGGGATAGAGCTCCAGGCGGACGTCATGCGGACGACTCTGACAGCGCGACAAGAACGAAATATGAGACTCGGGCAGTCACGACCCCCTACCGGAAGAACCACACAAAGTGGATGACCGGGGTTACTAGACATGAGATTGGGAGTTAGAAGACGAATATGAATGGACCTGGATAACGAAAACATGGGAACAACAGAAATAAATGACGGCAATGATAGAGGCGTGGTCTCGGCAATGTGCAAAAGGAGAAAGCATATTCGTACCCGGTGCGAAACCCAGAAACAAATACTTTGAAATTCGATTGCGTATTGTCATACTTCGTGATGATTGCAGTCTAGCACCGGGCCACGATCTATGTTCCCAACCATGTCTCTACACCGCAGACCAAACGCTCAACTTCTATCCCACACTCTCTGGTCTAAGAAAGCAAGTACACCCGTCCTTCCCACGCTGCCAACTCCGCCTCGTCTCCGCCTCCAAGGGATGAGATCAGCATCTCTCTCTTAGTGTTCCTCACGCTCTCAGGCAACTCCAGCCTCTGCGCCTTCTCGGTGAAGTTGCACACGGCAACCGCCCTCTTGCCCTGCCACGTCTTGCTGAAAGTAAACACAGCCTCGTTCGCGTTGTCCAGATCATCAAACTCGCCGTGGACGAGCAAGTCACAGTGTGCCCGCCTGACCTGCAGCATCCTCTTCCAAAACGCCAAGACGCTCCCCTTGTCCCCCTTCTGCTGCTCCGCGTTGCACGCGGCAGCATCTTCCAGCGGCCGCATCCACGGCTCCGCGCTGCTGTCCGCCGGCGAAAAGCCATTGTACTTCCCGGTACTCCAGCTCATCGGCACACGCGCATGGTCTCGCGCAAGATGCTGCAGACTGCTTTTCGCCTCGGCGAGTTTGGTTGCGTCGCCGCCGCTCCGCTGGGCCACCATCTTGTAGTAGTTGCTGGAATCTACGTCCTTGTATTCGCTCATGTCCCAGGTCTCGGGGAAGTTGGTCATGCCGAGTTCCTGGCCTTGGTAGATGAACAGAGTCCCTGAGAGCGCGCACATCATCAGCGCGAGGAGTTTGCCGCCTGCGACGCGGTGCTGGGGCAAGTCGGAGGTGAAGCGCGTGATGGAGCGGGACTGGTCGTGGTTTTCGAGGAAGACGGTGGTCCAGGCGTCGGGGGCGAGGCGGAGGAGGGACTGCGTGCATGCGATGGCGTCCTTGAACGCTGGCAGTTTGTAGTTTTTGGGTGTGGTCTGGAATTTGTACGGGCCTTGGCCGATGTCGACGACGTCCTGCCCCCATCATCAGCTGCTTCGTCCAGGGTGGGAGGTAAGGGTGAGGGAGGGGACGTACAAATTGAAACACCATGTTCAGCTGCTTCTCCCGCGCAGACACATACTGCACCACCCTCTTCATATCCGGCGTATTCGGACACTCGCCCACAGTCATTGCATCATACCGCGCAAGCACCTCGTTCATCTCTCCCAGGAACTCGGCCATCCTTGGCCCATTACAGTACTGCAGCCCCGCAAACTGCCACTCGCTCTCTGGATCTGTGACCGGAGCATCTGACATGTCGCCCTTACTATACATATTCACAGTATCAACGCGGAACCCGTCGACACCGCGCTCGAGCCAGAACTCCATGGCGGACTTGTAGATCGCCTGCCGCGTGACGGGATTCTCCCAGTTGAGGTCTGGCTGCTCGGGGCAGAAGAGGTGCAGGTAGTATTCCTCGGTGTGCTCGTCCCATTGCCAAACGGAGCCACCGAAGTTGCCGAGCCAATTGTTTGGGGGATGGCGCACGCCGTCGATGTAGCGAGCCGGCCGCCAGATGTACCAGTCGCGCTTGGGGGAGTCCTTCGAGGAGCGGGATTCTTGGAACCAGGCATGCTGTGGGAGGTTAGCATTTGTAGTGGGCGGAAGGATTGTTTGGAGGAGGAGGGGACGGTGTACCTGGTCAGAGGTGTGGTTGACGACTAAATCGAGGACGATGCGCATACCCCGGGCATGCGTCTCGGCGATGAGTCGTTCCATGTCCTCGTTTGTGCCGTATGGCGGGTAGACTTTCTCATAGCTAAGACGTGCTGTTAGTACTGTGGCCGTCTTGTTCAATTGACTTGACTTACTCTCTGATGTCGTACACCATATCCACCTGCGGCGAGTCGTACATGGGACAGATCCAAATGGTATCCACGCCAATTGAGCGGATGTAGTCCAGCTCGGACAGAATGCCATTCAAATCGCCCACCCCATCGCCATTCGAGTCCTTGAAGCTCGCAGGGTAGATCTGGTATACGACGCCATCCTTCCACCACTTACGCTGGGTGACTGTCATATTGTGATGACCAAGTATCTCTCAAGACACAACGAATGAAGGGCTCCGCGGTCGGTAGGTATAAGATAATACGAAGTCGGCACGAGACGAAGATAGACAATTAGATGGTAAATACTCTGACCGTCCGCACAACGTTCCGAGTATTCTTCCTTGGTGGCTTGCAGCAGATGGCTTGGACGTTGGACCCTTATACCTCAACGCCCACCCGCCATGCCGGGCCCGCGTGCGCTCCTCCGTCCCATCCCACCTTTTCCCCAGTCCCCACGGATCGTCGATAGGCAATCTGATATCCCCACAGACCTCCAGCGACGCCGATTTGTCCACAGTCGGGCGGCGCGTCCATAAAGGGCGATTTGTGCAACCGCAAAACATTCCGAGATACCCCCCGCGAGGTTGAACGGGGACCCCCGCACTCAAAACCTCCGAGTCGCGCACGACACCCTCCACGCTCCTCGCTTCACCTGCAACACCAGCATCTCGGCCCGACTTACATCCAATGAACGACCGCGCGCCGACTCTCGTGAAGATTTTCGCGAAGATGTCTCATTCGCGGGCTGTGTGTGATGCACCAACGTCTGAACCAGGTTCTTGCACCGCGTGCTCCCGTCCCTCCAGCATGTGACCGCGCAAGCCTGCCTTCCCGCACCTCACTTGCACCTCGGACCGAAGATGCACCAATGCGCATGCCCGGCTGTCTGGAAACTCCATGACACTGCACACACGCCATGGCCTTCCCATGCAGCGGCCGCATCCTCGCTTGAGGCCCCCGTCCGTTCGCGCCATCCCCAATCCTAATCTGGAGACTCGACCTGGGGAGAGCTGGGGAACATAGAGTTACCCGGCGCTAGTCTGGACCTCCCTGGACGTTCAGGTCTTCGCTTGGCCTGCGCTTGTGCTTGCGCGACATATTGAACGCGAGAGTTGCACATGTGTATAAGTACGCGTTGGAGGCCCGGGGTAGCTTCGACATCGAGCAAGACCTCCGCTTCACTGCGACAAGCTCTTTCTACTGTCAAGACAAGTTTCTCGCTAGAGAGGCCCCTCGTCTGAGAGCCTCGGTTCGTATTTGCACGCAAATCTTCGTACCCGGAGACCGTCTCCAATCTCTCCCGCGAAAATGTCGCGAAACAACAGCATCACCGTCGACGGCGAACAACAGCGCCGCATGTCCCTCAACAACGCCGACATCGCGCAGCTCACCCAAGATGCCACCCGCGCCACCAAAGCCGAGCAGAAAATGACCCTCATGGAGGGCATCCGGCTGTACCCCAAAGCCATCGCCTGGTCCGTCCTCCTCTCCGGCGCCATCATCATGGAAGGCTACGACATCAACCTGATTGCCAACCTGCAAGCCGTGCCGGCCTTCAAGCGCAAGTTCGGCGTCCAGCTCGCAGACGGCTCCTACGAGGTGACTGCGGCGTGGCAGGCTGGGCTCACCAACGGCGCGTACGTCGGCGAGATCCTGGGGCTGATGGTCAACGGTATCATTGCGGAGCGGTACGGGTTCAAGAAGACCATGATTGGAGCGCTGTCGGCTGTCACCGCGCTCATCTTCATCCTGTTCTTCGCGCAGAACATCGAGATGCTGCTCGTGGGCCTGATCCTCATCGGTATCCCCTGGGGCGTCTTCCAGACCCTGACCACCACCTACGCCGCCGAAGTCACGCCCGTCCCGCTTCGTCCAATCCTGACCACCTACGTCAACCTCTGCTGGGTCTTCGGGCAGTTCATTGCCTCCGGCGTGCTGAAGGGCATCTCTGAGCGTCCTGACCAGTGGGCCTACCGCATTCCGTATGCAATCCAGTGGATCTACCCCATCCCCCTGATCATCGGCATCGCCTTCGCGCCCGAATCCCCGTGGTGGCTCGTCCGCAAGGAGCGCTACGAAGACGCCAAAAAGATGGTCCTGCGCCTTGCCTCCCCCGAGAAGAACCCCGACTTCAACGCCGACGAGACGATCGCCATGTACAAGCACACCAACGAGCTCGAGAAGGCCGTGTCGGATGGGACGTCCTACTGGGACTGCTTCAAGGGGACCGACCTCCGACGTACGGAAATCGCAGCCATGACGTGGTTCACGCAGGCATGGTGCGGATCCTCCTTCATGGGCTTCTCCACATACTTTTTTGAAAACGCCGGCCTCGACACCTCCAACGCGTTCAGCATGTCCCTTGGCATCTACGCCATCGGCGCAATCGGCGTCTTCGTCTCCTGGTGGCTGATGCCCCGCGTGGGCCGCCGCACACTCTACGTCTGGGGTCTCGTCGTCATGCTCGCCATCCTGCTCATCATCGGCTTCCTGGGCATCGCTCCCTCGGGCAACTCCAGCGTCCAGTGGGCCATTGGCGCCATGCTAATAATCTTCACCTTCGTCTACGACGCCTCCGTCGGCCCCGTCTGCTACTGCCTCGTCGCCGAGATCCCGTCTTCGCGCCTCCGCCAGAAGACCGTCGTCCTCGCCCGCAACTGGTACAACATCGGCTCCATCATCGGCAACATCATGACGCCCCGCATGCTGAACCCCTCCGCGTGGAACTGGGGCGCCAAGTCCGCGTTTTTCTGGGCGGGCACCTGCTTCCTGTGTCTGGTGTGGACGTATTTCCGCCTGCCTGAGCCCAAGGGCCGTACCTATGGTGAGCTCGACATCCTCTTCGAGCAGCGCGTGCCGGCGCGCAAGTTCAAGGAGACGGTGGTGCAGGAGTTCGAGGAGGACGAGACGTCGGTGGCCGAGAAGAAGCTCGAGGGCGAGAAGACGACGCACTTCGAGGAGGTCAATTCGAAGCAGAGCATGTGAAGCGCATGGGAGTGAGTGACAGATCGATCGTGCTTTTTTCGTTCGTTCGCATCTCCTCAGGTTCTGCAATAGACTTTGTGTACATACAATATGATTTTTTTGTTCCCACCTTCAATGACCATGTGAAAATGCAGTGCGTGTACATGATACCCTGCTCAAGCTATGCAACAACACCAAAATGACATGTTTGAACACGAGCGTCTCCACATCAGCTAGCCGGAAAATGCGCCATGGACAGTCGTCTCGAGATATGGTTCCAAGTGGCCGCATGTTGGTGCGCATTGGGATGGTGCTGCGATTGGCCCATATACGGCAAGGGCGCGAGGCCCTGTAGCCCCGCCGGATCCACCTCCGCGTCTGGACCAATCTTCGACTGCGCGACCTGATACCAGGGGTCGGTGGTCGGTGACTGTAACTCGATTGGGAGGTTGGGCGAGCTTGCATTGCTGACGACTTCTGGGAACAGGCTTTGCAGCCGCTCTAGCTTTTCGAGGAGGATCCCGCGACGCGTGGCGTCTAGAGTCGGGAATTGGAGGACGAAGTCGAGGATGAAGAGGAAATCGTCGATACGGAGGGAGGTTTCTTCGAGCGTGGCGGCAGGGACGTGGATGAGGACGTCGGAGATGGTGTCAGTGATTTCGAAGAGCTTTTGGACGATGCTGCTGCCGTGCACTTCGATGTCGTGCCGGGACATGCTGGTGACTTGTTGTCGAAGGTTCTGCGACAGTCGGACGGGAAATAGAAGAGAGAGGCACTCTTTGGACGACTTGGATGATAGCAAAGACTTGCCCATTGCCATTCGCCATATTAGCGTTCTGAGCCACTCTCGGGTGATGGCAAGGTCGGCGCGTTGCATCTAAAGAAGACCTAAATCAGTAACTGAGCAATTTTTGTTATTCAAGTCTTGACGTACTGTGGAAAGATTGGCCATCTCTCGAGCAATACCCTCCTCGTCGCCATCGAGCTCTCTAGTCTTCTCTTCAATCCAAGTGGACGTGACATTTCCTTGACTCCCCAGCCAGTTCTGTATGAATTCAGGATCCAAGAGGCGGAACAGCTTGATGATCTGAATGAAGCCATCATGAACCTGAAGCGGAATGTTGGGGTCAGCCTCAGGCAAAGCATTCAGAGGTGGTAGAATGGCTGCGCGGTAGTCGAGTATCGCAACGAATCTCTCGTGGATGTAAGCTTGCCAGTACAGCCGCTGTCTCCGAGACCGTTCCGGTGGCGATAATTGAGCCATAGTATCGGCGTTGTCGATCCGCAGTAGCTGGACAGCGGTGATGGCGTCCCGGAGGTAGTGGAAGGCGGCATCGCTGGCCGACATGGTCATGAGGCAGTTGTGTATAAACATGGAAGACATCGCTCTGATGACAGAAGACCGGAACGTTTTGTAGACAGGCTTCAAGGTCGAGATGGCATAATTCGTCAGGGTCTCGATATTGTGGAGGACCTCGTCCGTTCGATTATCACCCGCCCGCGTGAGATTCAAGGTGCATGCCCCAAAAGCACATACGAACGTCCGTAGCTCTTGGTCCACGTCCATGGATGCAATGTGTTCCCGGAGTTCCGCTTCTGTGATGACTGGCTGCACGGGATATACGCCCTCTATGTAGTCATGAATGAGGTCCAGAAAGAAGGATTGATCATATTGAAAGCCGGGCTCGATGGGTGACGAATTCACTATGCGCAGATTAGTATCACACCGCATACACGGCTACGAAGTGGACTCTCGAGAAGTAAACTGCAGCCATGCGACATACTTACCTCCATCTAGCTCGCCCGAGAATGGCACAGCAGGACCCCGCTGCGGCAGTGCAACCTGTCCCGCAATAGCTGGCAGTATAGGTGGAGAAGTAACAGCCGTAGTAGACGTCTTGTTTTTGTATTCAGTAATTATTCGTCCCCGCTTGCCCTGTGAGCGCGTCTTGTTGGACACCGAATAAACGCATCTCAAGCCGAGGTGACTGCATTGCTGACACCGCTCTTGCCCGTTGCACTTCACTTTCCGCAGCTTGCACGCGTCACAGGCTTTAGATACTCTTTTCGCCTGCGCAGAATCCATTGCATACCGAACCGAGGGGTTTTTGGGGCGCGTGAGAAGTGTCCATGGTGAGGAGCGGAAGAGCAGGCAAGATGGTGGACAAGAATGGTGTAGCGCAAACTCTAGCCATTGGTTGCCCCCGCGTCAGAGGAAGCGACGGGCTAGACTGCGACATGTTGTGGAGATTATGCCAACGTTGGGCATCTACCCCGGATCTACTTTTCGACGTGTTTGTGGGATTGGTTCAGAAGCGAGTGTGCCGTCTTCTGTCTGCATGCAAGTCTTACATTCGAACGCTGCATGATGCGGCGCAGCTAGTGTCGTACGTGAAAAGCACGCCACCGCCTGTGGTCGAATGAGCTAAATGCCAGTGGAGAAGAAGGCACATGTTTTGGAGTATTCAAGATTGGTAGTAATTCAATCTATTGGTTCGCATACATTGTCACAAATACAGGCCCCTCTCCAAATGTGCGCATGTGCATACACGAAAAAACAGAAACGAATGCACAAGCCAAGCACACAATGCAGGTCATCCACCGCCCTCTCAATCCAACTCATCGCCCGTGGCTCTATTCTTTTACGTGAAAGCCATGCTCTTCTTGATCTCCGCGATGGCCAACGCCGGGTTCAACCCCTTGGGGCACGTCCGTGAGCAGTTGAGAATAGTGTGGCATCGGTACAGGCTCATGCTGTTGTTGAGCGCATCCTGGCGCTCGGCCTTCTTCTCGTCTCGCGAGTCGGCGATCCAACGGTAGCTCTGCAGCAGCACGGCGGGGCCGAGGTACTCCTCCTGGTTCCACCAGTACGAGGGGCACGAGGTCGAGCAGCAGGCGCAGAGAATGCACTCGTACAGGCCGTCGAGCTTCTTGCGGTCTTCCTTTGTCTGGCGGTACTCACGGCCCTGGAATGATGTCAGCGGGACGTCGAGAGATACATGGGGGAACTAGACGTACGTCGGGTGACGGCGTGGTGCGCTGGAGGTAGGGCTTCACGGAGCGGTATTGCTTGTAGAAGAGCGTCATATCGGGGACCAGGTCCTTGACAATGTACATGTGCGGGAGGGGGTAGATGCGGGATTCCTTCTTCTCCTCGGTGGGGATGCGGCCTGTACAACGCGATTAGCACCTCTGCCCAAACCCAAGCGGTGCCTACACGTACACAAGCAGGCCAGCGTGTTGACACCGTCAATGTTCATGGCGCAGCTGCCGCAGATACCCTCGCGGCAACTCCTTCGGAAGGTCAGGGTCGGGTCGATTTCGTTCTTGATGCGGATGAGGGCGTCGAGCATCATGGGGCCGGTCTTGTTCAGGTCGAGCTCGTACGACTGCATCTTGGGCTTGGACGTGGGCTCGTCGGGGTTCCAGCGGTAGATGTGGAACGTCTTCATCTTCGCATCCTTGGTCGGCGCAGCCTCCTTGATGGTCGACGTCTTGCTCTCGGGGGTGGGCGCGCGCGACGCATCAGGAGCCAGGGCCTCGCCGGCCTTGGAGATGGGGTCGCGGGCCTTGGTGTCGCTCACGGAGGCGAAGCTGCGTGCGAAGACGGCTGGGCGGACGGCAGCTGCGGGCGACGTTAGCACAGCTCCAATTGCGCCTTCCTGGGGTGTGCAGGCGAGTGCACAAGGTGCGTACCGGTCCGCGACGTAGCCAGGCGGCAGAGGGCGCGAGTTGAGGCCATGTTGGGCGTGTGCGGATTCGAGCGTGGGGATGGCGAACTGGCTTGGAGGTGGTTACGTTCACGATGTGCAAGACCTCGGGCAAAGAAAGAGCGACCAATCACGCGCCTTCCGTTGTCATGAGGGCCGTGCCTTCCCTTCGGGCCATCTCGGCACATGTGCCACTCACACGCGACATCGCCCGCACTGTCATCATAGACTTTGTGCCCTCAATCGGCACGCCAAACGTTCTATTCTGCATAGAACCTCCATTTCCACTGCATGTGCCTCCGAAACATGAGTTTCTAGAATCCCTGCCTTCTCATCTTGCAGATCTTCCCTCCATTGCTGCGAATTGGTTATCCTCATGTGGCGTCACCAAACGAAAGTGTCGAATCCTTTCTCTTCGCAAACATCTGAGGAGCATCCCAAATTCGACTATCAAGAGCTATTGTGAGACAATAAACTGGGTATCTCATGAAATCAAGGCCCGAGAGCAAGCCCAATGCACCGCCAGACAACCCAGTATTATCCATGTCCTCGTAGGACCCAACGCCCCGCAAAAGCACAAGCCCAAAATGCCCGCACACAAACTTGAAAAGACATCCTTCTTTCCAAGACTAGCCACACCGTAGTCATGTGATCGTGCCATTCAGGCACCTCCCCACCACTTCCCTTTTCCCTTCCATCCAACATCCACATGATGCCTCTCCTTTAGCTCATCTAAGTACCCCCTATACTTCTCCCACTCCTTCACCTCGTCCTTCCCCAGACATAGCACCGGCTCTTCCTTGGGCTTGACCCCCGGGAACCCGCGGTAGACCATAGTGCCATGCTCCTTCGGATTTGGAGGCTCATGCTGGATCGGTGGAAGTTGCGGGCCAGGACGATACTCACGGCGCAGCGCGCTGGTGCGAGGCATGGGCTTGGTAGTGCTGTTGTGGCGTCCTAGTGCAGAAGAGACCTTTGCATCGCGGGCCTGGCGGGCAGCTTGGGCGGCGAGGGAGGGTTGGCGGTTGAGGAAGGAGGACTCGATGTTGATGCTTGAGTAGCTTTCCATTACGGTTGGGAGGGCGGCAGCTGGGGGACCAGGCCGGCGGGAAGTGTGTGTGAACGGAGCGGTGTAGCTTGGGGCGCTGGAGAGCGGGTCTATGGGTATCGGGACGGAGGTGCTGTGCAGGGAACCGACGTCTGCGGAGGGCGGTTGGCGGGATCGACGTAGAGTGCGTTGATCGAAGGACTCTTTTTCTGGGACGAAGAAGGAGTCTTCGCCCATGAGAGAGGCGGGGACAGAGCCTACGCCTACTCCACCAAGGCTGTCGTCCGAGTGTGAGCTTGTCGAGGAGGGCGATTCGGGAATTCGCGCGAGAGACTGCCGGGTGAATTGTGCGGCAGCTCGTGTGTGCCACATGGAGTCCAGGTCCGTAGACTTCGCGACGTCGTGCAGCTCTTCGGCAGAGAAGCTTTCTCCCCTGGATGAAGAGATCTGTACCGGTTTCGTAGCAGGCATTGGGCGAGATGCAGAGCTCTTCAGCCTGTCACCGGGCTTTGCAAGGGATCGTATATCTGCCAAGGTGAGAGAAGAGGAGGCGCTGTTCCAGGAGCGTGTAGGCAAAGAGGGCTCCGGAGGAATTTTGGGAGAATCAGAACGCGGGGTGCGCTTCTTGCGCTCGAAGGCGACCTTCTTCTTGCCGTACGCCATGGTTGGGGCCGTATGTCGCGACTTTGCGTGTGTCTGTGTTTGTGTACGCAGACGAAGAGTGCGCGAGCGCTTTGAAGAGCGCAGAGGTAAGAAGTGATGTAGTGTAGGCAACGGAGGTTGTGCGCTGTTGTTGCTGTCACATGTTGTCGTGAAGCGCTTTGCGCAAATGAGAGAATTTGTACGCTGTAATGGGTTGAAGCTCAGCATGAGTGAAAGTGAAGGAGACTGCTCAAGCAACAGCCCCAACCACTCAACGGATATTGGGTCTGTTGCCATGGTAAGTGTCAGGAGATTCAACCAAGTAACCTAGGTCTCTGAGCATTTATTATGAAAGTGTCTGTAATCAAAATGCCGGCAGCTCAAACACAGCAATCAGACATGCGCAACCATCATGACTTGAATCCTGCGGGTACCTTGCGAAATTTCTAGCGACGGCACACCGTGATTTTTCACTTCACGGCCTTTTCAAGCATGAAGATCGTACGTTATAGTCCAGTTCCCCATTATCCGTGCATATCCCCGTTTTGTGGTGCAAAACTTCACCGAAGTCATTGCGCACTACTCAGCTCAGCTCTTTACCCACAGCCATTTGTACATCTTCCCGATACTGCGATTACATGCTATCATAAATATATACCCTATAGTTAGTATGCTCAGTCTTGTCCCTCTCTTACCGCATTCAATGGACTTCCACATTCGCTACGCTTTTTCACGCTCTTGTACATTGTCTCTCTACCTCGTACATAGCACTGTTGCAATGTTTTCCTCCATCATTTTCTCTTCTAACACTTTCTCCTCCATCATATCCCTCGATATCTGTGAAAGCACGGGCATCAAGCAAAAGTGTGTTTTGGACACATCTTCTTCTGGGAATTGGATCATGTGGCCTTACGATTCGTGTTTACGGTTTCGAAAGTAGCACGCAGAGATGCGTCTCGTGAAACCTTCCTGAGCCTTCGATGCTTCCTTATCATCTGCCCCTTCATCGTCACTGTCTTCGTCGTTCTCTTCGTCCTCCTGAGGTCCTCTGTTTGTGTTGCCTCGATAGTGAGGAAGCATGTCGGTACCAGGCGGTGAGGGTTCAGGTGGTAACTATATAGGTAGCAATCGTGCACGATCTTGTCCACGCCTGAGAGCTCTTTATGGGTGACCTGGGCCATCCTATGCTCCCTCTCTGACTTCGTCATAGGATTTGCCGCAGCTCGTCGCAAAACAACAGCCATAAGAGTGATGACATGTTAGTATCAGCAGCTTGAGTTCTCCTGAAGACGCGGATCATCACGCGGGTGGTGACAGTAGAGGCTTTGATTGGAACCAACTCAGCCGTTGATGCAGTATTCGGATCCAAAGCATGTTGAGCCGGTGCAGAGTCCTTGGTCTCGGTTGCTAGGTTCGCAACAAGTTCCCGCTCATTCCAGAAGGGTTTTTTGAGTCAGAAGTCGTGTCTGCCTCCAGCTGGCAAACATATTCCACTTCTTCAAGGCCTGCCCACAAGCATGTCGTCTTGCCCTAGTCTATTGCGCCCAGCACAAACCCTCAGAAATCTTGTTGTCCCTAACACCCACTCAAGCTTCTTCTTCTTAATCCTCATCCTACCCATCCTCGTCCACGGAGCCTTCCTACCATGGTCTGGTCGAGAAGGGGTTAGGCAAGGGTAAGCGGGGTTTTGGGAATACTAAGTTACCCAGCCCAACAAGATCCTATAAATATATATAGAGGGTTGGAAAGGGAGAGAGGCGGGCATTCCAACCATAAAGCCATGGCTGGAGAGGCTTTATGGTGAGGATGCGGTTGACTTCCTAACTAATGCTGAACGGGGCATTCTCACATAGATCGACCTCTAAAGCTATCTCTCACATGAGCCAGCATTATCCTTTGCGCTGCAGGCGCACCTCAACCTGGGATAAAGAGCATTTCGTTTGCTAATCGCTCGGGTAGGACAAACTTCCTACTCGCAATCGCGAGAGCCAAAGAAATTGGGAAAATGCAGGGAAGCGTGTGAGAGGGATCATGTCCATTACAATTATTGAGGTCAAAGAAATGAAGGGAAGCGCGCGGCAAACTAAGTGCGATATGTACCCAAATTCCGCGTTTGCAGCGCATGATTCCCTCTCGCAACTCGACCTCGAGTTCTGGACACGGCGTTTAGGTGAGATGGAATATGTGTTTGCTGCCCACAATTGTTCGAGGTGGAATTGTGTTTGTGGTGTGGAGTTCTCTTGAGGTCGAGTTGCAAGAAGACAGAAGGATCTGCTTCTTGGACGGGTAGGATACCCCAATTGTGATTGTTAAGGCAAGGAACAGGAAACAAACATGCAGGAAAAGCATGTGCGAAATAAATTAGAGATATATTTCCGCAAACAATCCTGGACTGCAAACTTTGATGGGAAAGCGGCTGGTTGGATGCAATTTCGCATGCCGCGCGGAACCGGTAAGGATGGGTTGCTTCAGTGCCGCCCATTTTCTGACCTGCAACACCAAGAACGGCAAACTAGTAACCGGTAACCGAACGAATGGAAGATGTTGTCGCTCATGGCGACTGCTGTGGAGGGTCGAGTACCATAGGGTCAGATATTCAAGAAGTGGCCTTGCAATGATAATTAAGAGATTTGCCAAGGTGGATTATAGAGAATTGCGTGCAACGAGCATCAATGTGGGCTGAGAAACGTACATGGGTAGATAACCGCTTTCGAAATACCACCTACCACTTCTCCACACTCGTCCTGATATCAATCTCATTCGTGAAAGCCCGTCTACTCTGCGCATGCAGCCCCCAGTACGCCTCCGCAATGTCATCCGGATCAATCTTCTGCTCCGCCGGCAAGTGCTTCCTGTAATCGTCTCGTCCCGGAATATCAATGGGCCCATCAATATTCGCCCATGCGACATGAACGCCCTCAGGCCCAAATTCCTTGGCAAGCGAGATAGCAATTGCGCGCTTAGCGAAATTAGAGCTAGCAAAAGTAGCCATGCGGGCGTTTGCTTTTACGCCAGCAGTCGCGCCCGTGAAGATGAGCGTGGGCGGGTGTGTGGCGGAGGGGTCTTTGGCGTGGGCGAGGAGAAGGGGAAGGGCTTGTTGGGAGAAAAGGAAAGCTCCTTTCCTAGAACCTCATCAGCACTTCCATAAATTGCGTAGCAATAGGGTTCAATCCTCCGCGGATGGGAAATACATACTGACTAACTTCCCACCCGCCCCTAAACTCATCCTCCGTAACCTCCAGAAACGGCTTCCTCACAAATCCACCCGCAGCATTGAACACCGCAGCCGCGGCACTGGCACCTGGGAACTCCTTCTCGATCTGCTTGAACGCAGAGGTCAGGCTCTCTGCACTCGATACGTCTGCGCTGATGCCCACGGCTTTGCCACCTGCGTCGTTGATTTCCTGCGCGAGCTTCTCGAATTTGTCGGTCCCGCGGGCGAGGAGTATGACGGGGTAGGCTTTGGCAAAGCGGCGGGCAACGGAGGCGCCGGTGCCGGGGCCTACGCCTGCGATTATGGCAATGGGTCGGGGGGCCATTGCTGAGAGGAGCTCTAGTGGTGAGGGTGAACGGAGTTGCAATCTAATTTTGTTTCTTGACTTGAAGATTTATTTGCTAGATGAATGTAAAGAAAGAAACCTGTTGTTTTTGTAGTGAAATGCTCGGTGTACTTACGTGAGCCATTATATGGTGCGGTATTCGAGTCGATGGCGCAACTGCGGGGATAGGCATCAATTACTAATCCGAGTGATGACGGATTTGTGAGCATGCGATATCTTGTGGAGGCAGCTTCTCAAGGTGTTTTCTAGCATAATATCCACCGGAGGCATGCTTAAAGTGTATGCTTCTGATCTGGAGAAGATAAGAGTGTTGATTGCCTCACGTGGACACGGACTCAATTGCAGATGTAAGATAAACCGCGGACACAGGAATAATTTTGAATCAGGAATAAGTAGACTTTCATGTGGCTAGGCGTTGTTCCAGGTATAAACATCATGTTCCACGTGGCCCGTGATTTGTGCGAGGGCTTTCAATGACAAGCTTAGGGAATGAAGAGAAAAGAATCGAAATAGGACGATTGTGTGAGTCGGGATGAGAGCCTCGATGAAATGAACTCGATAGAATCATTATGGTGTACCTGCAGTCGATGCTGGTGGCTGTGCAGATATCGTTGCGCCAATCATCTACCTTCTTGCCGATCCTTGATGCCTGTCCTCTTCTTCCCCAAGCATAATAGCTGCTTTCGTAGTCGGCATGACTTCCTCGAGAGCTCATAGAGCATCCGTCTCGAATGTAGTCCCATCCCGGCTAGTTCAGATCAACGTGTTCTCAGACAAAAGCCTTCTACGCGTTATCGGCTGAGATGTATGTGACTTTTCCTCATCAGTATGAGTCAAATATGAGCCGAAGTAAGGACACGCTTACCGTTGTTGCCTCGGACAAAAGCATCACCCCAACTTCGGACAAGCTTGCCATCAGACCATTCCTTGCATCGCTCAAGTGCAATGTTCATGTAGCCGTCGACCGACTGTAGGTCGCCTGCGATTCGTCAACAGATGTTCTCCTCCGCTTCGAGTTGTGAAATTCGCTGCTTGAGCATAAGACTCTTTTGCAAGGGGTCAATGTTGAGCCAGAAAAAAATGAAGCTGACGATGGCGCAGGCAACATCTATGCCGACAACGATGGTATTGCGGTTCCAGAAATACACGATGAAGCAAAGTAAAATAATAACGCCTAGGGCCGGACTATTGATACCGCTGACCCACGCCAAAGTGGTAAAAACGAAGTCATTGTGCATGGATGCTCTTCGCCGTTGCAGTACCCTCTACAGGCGACAGCAGTACAGAAGAAAATCATGTCAAGAACTTACCCTTGTAGACTATACCGGAGTTGAGCTTGACCGTCACAGGTGCGCCAATGATCTCGCTCAGAAAGCCAGACGGGTCTCGCGAGGTGTCGGCAGCGGCCGTGTCGGGGCTATCGCCGTTGGTTGCCATGTTGGTGGTGGTGAGAATATGCTGGAAGTGGGGCTGTAGTCAGCGTGTGAATCTCTGCCTTTCAAAGAGAAACAATCGAGGACATACAACAGTGTGCCTAGGCAGAGCGGGTAACGTGACGTCGGAGCGGACTGTTGATGCTTTAGCTGCGAATGGGAGTGTGGTGAGCGAAGAGGGCAGGTTATGCGCACAGACCATGTACTTTTCCCCGGGTCGCGGAAAGCGTGACCTCGCGTTTCCAGCCCTACACGCCCCCGCTCCGCACCCCGTTCCGAAGATATTCCTTCCTCGCGCGTCGCTCGCCAGCTGCAACACCCATGCGCGCTCGATGACGGACCCGACCGACGGCGCCGCCGCGCCGCCCAAGAGGCGCGCGTTTGGCTTCAAGAAAGCAGCATGGCAAACGGCGCCCAAGAAAGACGAGCAGGACATGTTCAGCCACTCAAACGAGTTCCAGGACATTGTCGCCGAGCAGGCCAAGCGCCAGGAGGAGAAGAAGAAGGCCGAGGAGGCGCAAAAGCAGAGACAAAAGGCTGAGGAGGAGCGACATCGCAAGCGGCGGAAAGTCTCGGTCGAGAGCGATGAGGGAGTGCAAGCAAGAAGCTCTTCCCGGAACCATAGAGTGACGAGCAAAGGGTGTGTGCAGCGCGAGCATATGGCATGCTGCAAGACTGATCAGCAAACAGGCGGAGCAAGACGCCCATGTCCCCAACACGCAACAACTCGACCTCCGAAACCCTTGCTGCCCGCTACGATTCCCTCACAAAGTCATCCAGCAGCTCGGTGGGGGCCAGAACCAGGTCTCAAGTCATAGATTTGGGCGACACCGAGGATGAGGACGAGTATCCGCGCAACCCATCTCCGAGCCCACGGGCAATACCCATACACTCGCGGCCACAGAGCGAACGAGAGTCTTCGGAAGAGGTCGAGGAGGTTGACAGCCCGCATATCGCTGTCCTTAAAGCCCAAATACGAGCAAAGGCCTCTGCCAAATCCCCAGACGCCGATCAGGCACCCACAGCCTCGTCGAGCGCACAAGCACCGATGCCCGTAGCCATCGTCCAGCTACTCATCGAGTCGGACATCCCAGACACTAAACCTCTGATGGTCAAGATCAAGACGGACGCTTCTCTTGCAAAGCCCAAGGAGGCCTGGTGCACAAGACAGGGCTTCACACCCGCCCAAACGCGCGCTATCTTCATGACGTGGAAAGGCAGACGAATTTTTGACTACACAAAGATACAACGGCTGGGGATTCGCCTAGAAAATGGCTATGTGTCCGTCGAGGGCGATCCCAACATCTACGACGACGAAAATCTGCCCAGGATTCACGTGGCGGCATGGACAGAAGAGGTCTACAAAGCAAGGAAGGAAGCCGATGCACTGGAGGCCGCGGCAGCCGCCCAGGCCGCAAAGGTCGTCAACGAGCCCGAGCCAGAAGCGGAGCCCGAGCCCGAAGTCAAGCAGATAAAACTGGTGCTAAAAGCGAAAGGCAGGGAAGATTTTAAGCTGAAGGTCAATCCCGTACGTATGCTCACGTTTCGCTCATATGCATATCTAACCAGCACAACAGCACACCGAGGTCAGCCACATGGCATCCGCGTACAAGATGGCTATGAAAATTCCGAAGGAGCAGCCCGTCACGCTCATGTTCGACGGCGATCGGCTGAAGCCTATGGACACTGTCGCGGATATAGACGTTGACGATATGGACGCCATCGAGGTGCACTTCAAGTGACCAGACAGCTCTCTGCAAATGGTTCACTCTTTGCAACGACACGCAGCATCATTGTCTCGTTAAGAGGCTTATCGGGCATCAAAGACCTACCTGGTTTGGGCTACGAACCCTTGATTTGGATGCACATCCTACGATCCCATATTCAGGGGGTTTGATTTCCAGCAATGAGAGGAGCATGGCGTTGGTGGTATTTGGGCGGGTTTATGGATATACCGCAGCTTCTGCTAGGACTTTGGAGTATTAGGCGTTGTTTCTCCGGCTCACCGGGCTTGGGTCACCCTTGAAGCTACCAAGACCATTCAATCGAAACCTCCATGCGACACCCAATCTTTTCTTGTCCGCGCAAACTATAGCCGCACCAGTTTCGCGATGCGGCGCAATCAGCCTGCTAGCGCCCCAGATTCAACCTCACTTTTAACCCCATCTTAGCTCCGCCCTTGGTCGCGTCGACTTACCCCACCAAAAATTTGTCGCAAGCACGTCCCCTATCGCATCCCACCACGCCCTACTTCACCGTAAACCCCCGCCCCATCCCTGCTCCAATCGCGACCAATCCCTCTTGAAACTCGCCAAAATGAAACTCATCACCCTCAACTTCGTGACCTGCGCCCTAAAATCCTGCAAATCCTCCCCCGCCTCCTTCCCCCTGCACCCGCGCGACGCAACTCTCGAAGTCATCGAGACAGACCTCAACCTCGCGTTTCTCAAGAACATTCTCCCGCGGCTGGAGTGGAACGAGCTGTGTGTCATAACGGCCGAGGTACGCTACAACCCCTCCCTAGTCCCCAACACCCCTCGGGAAGCCGTTGTGGAAGACGGAAGATGCAAGATAGCGACTGACGTTCGGTGCCGTAGCTCGGCCTCCCCCCTCTCCCTTCCTCGCCGCCGACGCGCGAGGACCTCGTCGTTAAGCCAGAAGGAGAAGTCGCCGAAGGTGCAGAGGCCGAGGAGGAAGCGAGTCAGACGGCGAAAGATTTGCACCGGGTGCTGCTCGAGACGACGGTCAAGGAGGGGAAGCTGGTGTGTGGGAACTGCGGGCACGAGTACAAGGTCATGGAGGGTGTGCCGAACTTTTTGCTGCCGGGGCATTTGGTCTAGGGTGGGAACGATGCAGGACAAGGTATTAAAAAAAAAGGTCAGAGGCGCGCTTGAGAGGCTGGCAGAAGCAAGGGAAGGAAGATGTGAAACAGGAGAGGACGACAAGGGAAAGAGAAGGCAGCGGCGGACGCAGCTGTTTGGAACGAGGAAATGCTGGCGGATGCACTCGCGAAGAGCGAGGATGATATGATACCCTTTGATGCATAGACCGGAGTTACGGGTCCTGGGAAGTTTCCCTTTGTACCGCAAAAGCTAGGATAGAAAAGCACTGCCGCACACGTAAAAATGTCTCAGCATCCAATCTTCAGCCTGCACATTTCTGCAATGATCATCCAGCTATCCTCTCGCCTCTTTTTGTCTCTTACAAAGCCACATCAGCCTCCCGCTGATTTTTCCCATATGAACGGGGTCCCGTGCCTTTAGTTTCTAGTAGTGAAGCGTCCTCCTGCCGGGGAGGCCGACGCTCCCCGGAAGCATCCATTCTTGCCACATCGAGCACTTCCGATCCCTCAGCCGGACCAACATGGCCTCCAACTGGGAGTCGTCCCAATCTGACAACTGCTTGATGGGCCCTATCTTCCAATTCCGTCCCAGTTTTTTTTTACCAGGTTACCGACTGCTGGATTGCAACCGCGATTACCGATCCCGGGTGCTAGGATGAGGCTGCCGCCCATACCCACGTAGAGGCGAAGGTCTCGGAGTATGTTGGACATCTCGTCGTGCTGTTTCATAAAGAGTCCCGCGTCCATGATCACTATTGCATAGGAGCTTGAAACCGATTTAGAGATGCACACGAGTTGTGCCAGACGGTGCGAAAGTTGCTCCAACGAGGTAGCTTGCTGCAAGCGCCTGCGTTCAGCTACTTTCTGATGCCAATCTGTGTATAGTACGTCCGAAGTGGGGTCCAGATCGTGCCAAACAACAAGGACGGTATTTTCACCAATAGGTCGCGTCCATTTGCTATTGTCCTCATATGAAAACAGTTGTCCTATATGAGTCTGCATAGGTTCACTCTGGATCTGAGGCTGTAGATGTTCGCTAGTTGATGGTAAATTCTCGCCGGCGCTGGTGATTTGGCTTCCTGCAAGGTGATCTAGAAAGGAAGAGGGAAACCAATTGAAAGAGTTTTTGAGAGGACACGGAGGCTTTGGTGGACCTTCTTGGGTTTAGATACAGCTTGTAAATTCATCGCCCTTCAACGGGCCTGAGAGGGAGATTTTGAAGAAGAGGGGGTTGCGTACATTCATCAGAAAGTGCGCAGGGCCACAACTCGGAGTCAAGACTTTCGTAGTAAGAATGCCAGCGCCTTCGCTTGCCAGTGGGAGGCGGGACTGCATCCTCTTCGTAGTTGAAACAGCAGGTGTGTGCTAAGTTTGGCGCCATCCTTCGTCCTTGCGGCAGTCTGTTGGCTGTTGGATGTATGATAGTAGCTTACGTTTACGACTCGAGGGACGGTCGATGAAGCAATCCGATGTGAGGTTCTACGAAGGATATTGGGTATGAACGAACTCAGTGACTGGATGAAGGGGTAAATGTTTTTGACGTGCTTGTCGCAGCTGCAAGCACCTGGCAGTGGTGGTGACGTCGGTGCGCCGCAGTAGGTAAGAAGGAGCATACTTACCCAGGTAATTGCAATCTCGGGTGAGGTAGAGGCTTTGATGGCACCGTCCGGACATGTTTCGAGCTTGTGAGAACAACAACAGATCCAAGCAATAGTGATGAATACATAGTGTAAGCGAGTGGGTCGGAATCGTTGCATGCGGTCATAGCCTTGACTTTCAAAGGAAGGTACCGCCGAGGCTGCCTATCCTCAACCTGCAGGGCAAGCACGTACGCAAGCGTACTCTTCATGAGCGAGCGCACTCGACAATGTCATGCCATGAATATCAGTCAACTACAGAGCGTGAAGTAAAATGCAGGTCGTCCATACGTGGTTGGTATCTAATCCATTCGCTGCGCCAGAACGCCGCCCAATGCTCATACTTTCTGTCTATGTAGTCCAGTAGTTGGACACAATGCGTTTTTCCTTTCCTTGGTCGCTGTCGCTCATGAACCCACCGGCCTGTTGATCTGTACCCTCTTGTCTTCGCCGGCGCTGACAATACCGACTTCCTTGTCCCACCGCACACCAAATACCTTCACGTCTTCTCCGTGACTGTGCGTAGGACGTCCCTTTGCGCTGTCCCTATAGATGGTGTACATGCTCTCGCCAAGTTGGCCTTCGCCTTGCACTTCTGAAGGCCGTACACTGCGCACGTCCCATACCTGCACGGTTCCATCGTGCGAGCCAGAAAGCAGGCCGTAGTCTGAGCTTGGATCGGCGTCGAGTGAAACGACCGCGTTCTTGTGGCCTCTCAGCGTCATCACGCTGATCTGTGCAGCTGAAGCACGCGGGTCGATGAGCGTTATGTGTCGCGCTGACGTTCCTGCGGCAAGGAGATTGAGCTTGGGTAGCGCGCCGAGAGAAAGAAGAGAGTGGCCGGTTGTTCGTGTGTCCACACATGTGGAAGTCAACAGGTCCCATGTCTTCAGGCTGTGGTCGTGCGATGCGGAGTAGGCAACGGTGGCGTCGTCCGGCTTGAAAATGACACTCGAAACGGGTGATGCATGGCCAGAAAGTTTAGTTAGGGCGCCGCGCGCAGGGACAGTCTTATCAGGTTTGGACAGTTTTTGCCGTTTGTTCGCGGCAGTATTTGAAGAGGGCAGGAGCTCTGATGGAGGCGCAGGGTTTTCTTTCGCGTTGGAGGAGAAGAGAGAAACCGTGGTGTCTGCTGAGGCAGAGAGAATGCGGTTCGAGGGGCCGTGGACGGCGAGGTCTTCGACGCCCCAGCGATGGCTGAAGAGCTCTACGCTTGGTGCGATGGTCCGCGTGTCTTCGTCATACTTGTATAAGCGCACTGTATTATCCATGCCTGCAACCACAATCTTCTTGTCCGAGATCCACTTTGCGCTCTTCAAGCTGGTTATCCGACCGCCGTTGTTCGGTGCGTCCGACGTTGCGAGCACGTTTCCTGACATGTCCCATACCCGTATCAATCCATCGTAGCTCGCGCTCAATATGCGCTCCTGTCCGCTTTGTACGTGGCCTCCAGACCAGACGCCGGCCACCGAAGACGCAGAGAGGACATCGACCGCAGATACCCAGTCGTCGTGCTCAAAGCTTGTTACATTGAGCGGTGGGATAAGCGCGCGCGTGTACTCGACGTCCAGTGTCGTTTCCGCTGATATGCCATTCTTGGTGAGAAATTCGTCAATCGTAGTGCGCAGAAATTGGCCATTGATGAGGATGTCAAAAGGTATCGGTTTATCGTCTGGGCGGAGGAGGCTATTTACGAGCGCGGAGAGCTGTGGACGCCTGAGAGCTGGCAGAGGTTAGCCCATGAAGAGACAACAAGCAGCATCCATGCGACAGCCTAGCAACGACAGAGTCTAATATCTGGTATTGCGTATCGCATGCGCAAAAGTAGTGCGAAGAATGCACTTACTGGTCTGCACGAGCAAGGGACCGGGTTCTTGCTCAAGCTGTATGGAAGGATCGCGGGTGCTCAGGCGCACGGGAACTTTGACCTCTGTTTTGGAATCCATTGCGGCGGCGTCGTGTGAGGTGTTCGCGCTGAAGCTCTTCCAAAAATTTGGAGCAGAATCTCGAAATTCTCCAATTAGGCTTAGCGCGGGACAGTCGGCGTTCGAACCTCCGATCTCGTAGCATTCACAGTCCATGTCATCACACCCCCCTCACTCCGCTCACAAAGCACGTGGGATAGATTCTCCAGGTCCACGACACCAAGAGTGCTTGATTCGAATTTCTGACAGATGTATTCGAGTTTTCGTATTCAAGATGTCCCTTAGTTCACTGGAGCCAATGCTTGCGTGAATGCATCCAAAAACAAGTACAGCGCCAAATATTACCGCCCAGCATCCCAGTGCCCTCAAGCACCGGCAGGAAATACTCTGGCGACGCCTGGTAGAGGATATATCTGTGAATTTTTCCCTCTCAGGGAGGTCTTGCGTCCATTAATACTGCGATTCGCCGGTCTGTGATGCGGCTCCATGCCCGTGTTCGCGAATTTCGAAAAAGAAATTCTACAAGCACAAGCCTGTTTCACCGCAATCTTGAGCGCGGATGAGAGCGTAGGTCTTGGTTCAGATTGGCATCGTTGGTGCTCTGCTAGAGGGGCTGCGGGGAAAATGGACGCGTTTCCATCTCAGCTGACCTCTCGCAGAGTCCGCGAAGAGGTAGCTGCATTTACGCCCTTCACTTTGATCACGAAATTCAAGTTGTGCCGACGAGGAACAAGAGACCAGCAGCGCTACACAGTTCTCTCACTCAGTGCCATGCAAGCTGTACCGTCCCACAGCTTCTGCATCCCTCCTGGGCGTGTCTTCACCATAGGTACATGTTGTCTTCATCCAAACTCAATATAAGGTGTCTTCGCGATGCAATTTAACGTGTGGGTACCTTAAGACGAGGCTGACCTACCCATTGTGGAAGTGTCGAACGCAGCAGTTGTTACCCCACTTCGCCTTGACCAAGTTTACCGCAACTTCTAGCGTGGCCTGAGGTTAGAATGTCACACCGATCGAAAAGAGGTATGAATCGCGTCGTGTTCAGATCCCTGGCATCGGGAGTGAGCCTATTGATGATATCGCACCGATTTCTATGCAACCCTTAGCGCGGATGAAGAGGTTCAAGTTATCTTTGAGCATCACGTGTTAGTTTACCCCTTCATTAAACGCATGATGGACACTTGGAGTGTCAGCGTCAATTTGATAATCTTTTTCATGATCAGTCTCGTCCAACACCTCATATCTCCCACCAAAGCTATGCATAAGTTAAGGGTTCCCTAAGTCCCTCCAAGCCAGCCTTGGGAAACAAACGCATATTGCAAGTCTACCGTAATTCGAACGCCACATACTTCGCATCAGCCACCACATTGCACTGTCTTCTAAAGTCTGGTGCAGCACCGCTATACCGGGCTATAATCCGCTTTTGCTTCCCAGCAACGTTCTTATTCACGCCGGTAAGCCATGAGTCTACCTCGTTGCTCAGCAGACCTTGGCCCAGCTCGTGGACATGCTCAGTCCAGTTCCGCACCTTTAGCCGTCAGCATTACCCACTGCTGTCGAGAACACAACTTACACCCTCTTCTTTGGCTTCAATGTACGAAATGTTGTGGTTGTGTAGGAACTCGATGCATTCAGCAATCCATCCTACAGCATACTCTATGCTGGCTGGGATGTTTCCGTATGCTTGGTGAGGCCCGATAGACATGAACATGTTCGGGAAGTGCTGCACTGTGAGACCCAAATATGTTCGAGGGCCGTCTTTCCATTCGTCGAGAAGTCGGTGGTTGTTGGTGCCGCGAAAGTCGATCGCATCGAAGGCGCCAGTGACTTCATGGGTGAGCAAGGTGAGACGAGAACGAAGGTAACTTGCTTACTTGCGGAGAAACCAGTTGCATAGATCAACATGTCGAGCTCGATATTCTCCTGTGATGTCTGCACGGATTTCTCTTTGACACGAGTAATTGGAGTTTCGAGTAGATCGACAAGGCGTACGTTCGGCCGGTTAAAGGCTTCGTAGAAGTTTGTCTCCATCGGGACCCGTCTGAGTCCGAAGCCTGTATGTCGTCAGTCGATAAACCCAACATACTGACAGTACAGCTACCATATGTCTTAGGTATCAATTTCTCCGCTGTCCATGCATCATGCACACGCTGCCTGATCTTCTTCGCCACAAACTCGCTCACCAACGCATTGGCCTCCCGGTCTTTCAGTGTCTCTTTATAATTCGACACCCAGAATCCGAAGCCTGGCTGTGCGTACATGTACTCCCAGAACGCCTCTCTTTCCTCTGGCGTGTAGTCCCAGATCGACTCATCACCGTCTCCATGGAGAAAACTGAGTCTGTTTGTGTTGATCTTGTTGAGCGTTTCCGGATATGCAGCTCGGATCTCTTTCATCCCCTCTTCGTCAATTGGAGAGTTGTGCAATGGGATAGCCTAACTGTATGAGACCTGTCGTAGATAGCATAAGCTGGAAGGTACTGACCCAATTAGGCGTGCGTTGAAACACCGTCAAACTCTTCGCCGCCTTCGCTACCTCAGGAATAATCTGTATCGCCGTCGCCCCCACCCCAATCACACCCACGTTCTTCCCTTCAAAGCTTACCTTCTGCCTTGGCCATCTCGACGTATGGAAAGCCTCACCCTTGAAGTCCTCCACGCCGATAATATTCGGCAGCGTCGGGTCACTCAACAGCCCGATACCTGTGATGAGGAAGCGCGCAGTGTACTCTCTCTTCGTCTCATCGGCAATCCTCCAAAATCCTCCCTCACTCTGCCAATGCGCACTTTTCACCCGCGTGTCGAACTGCATGCTTTTCCAGAGATCATACTTGTTGCAGATGAACTGGATATACCGTTCTGTTTCTTCTTGCGGGGCGAAGTGCTCGCTCCAGGTCCACTCATCAAGGACTTCCTTGCACCAGAAGAAGTTGTAGCTGTAGGATTCGCAGTCGAATCTGCAGCCAGGGTAGCGATCTACACTTTGTCAATACACGCAAGTGAATGTGTCTGCTCGTGGGCAATCTAACTCCAGTACCATGTTCCTCCGACGGATGAGCCTGCTTCGAGAACTTTGACTTTGAGATTCAGTTGTTGCATTCGGTGGCAGGCGTAGCAGCCTGAGAGACCGGCTCCAATGATGAGGACATCGTAGTCGGGTTGTGGGAGTTCCAGTGAGCCCATGTTTGCGGTTTGTGTTGCTGTAAGTCTCTGCAGAACGGAGGTCCTTGTGAGGCGATCTGTGGCACAGGCTATGACACGACCACTCAGTCCTGGACAGACAAATCTGCGTAACAAGCTATCTCCCAGGGATCAACTAGCTGTACCCAATGCACTTGTTGCGAAGCGCTACCCAAGCGGATCAGGCGCCACGCGTACCGTCCCGTTTGTATAGATCGGAGATGTAGCCGACAACTCTGGTATCAATGCGATTACCGACGATGGGTCGCCTCGGCAATCATGCACCACCGCGATGAGGAGAGCTCATGTGCTCTGTGCAATTTGGAATTCTACGTTCGAGAGCATCCGGACAGTCAATGTCTGGTTTTCGGTATCAAAGGCGGACGTACAATCTTGTCATTCCAAAATAAATGATGCATGACCGAAACTCTGGCTTCAGTACCGTCTTGCTGAGTCGGTCATACTTAGGATCGACGGCAGGCACGATCTGCAGCCGAAGCATAAGATATACAACACGAAGAACTTTCCGCGTTCGATTACTTCGTATCGAAATATGATGACCAACTTGACGATAGTAGAATGCTGCGATCGGGGGAATCCGCGAAACCCCGCACGAGATCCGAAGTCACCACGTGATCATGGACCCACTTGAGGAACATCGCACTTGCCGTAGGCACTGGCTCAGGCAATTGCAGACACTTCATTGAAAGCACGAAATATCTCTACAATTACATTCGAGCAGTACAGTATCATTGCTGAAGCCGGATCTACGTCCTGTTCATAACTACGTCATTGATCCTCGACGTTTCTGCCTTTAGGAATCCCAGCCATCCACTTTGAACAGTCAACACCAAAGCAAATCAGCACAAGCTTCAAAGCGAGATTACTCCGAAATGTTACATGGTTGCATTCTGAAGGGTACTCTCAACAGAGGAACAGAATCATCTTTCGGCCTCTGGCAGACATTACCCGGCGCGAATGTCTCACGAATATTGGCCCGAGCAGGAGTTGACTGGGTTTTAGTGGATTGCGAACATGGGAATATTGACGGTACGATTACCAATTCTAGGAAACTTGAATTCAATCCTCATAACATATCAGATGCTGCTATGCACGACGCTGTTCCAGCTATCGCAGCTTGCGGGGTCAGTCCGATTGTGAGACTTCCAGATATGCAAGGATGGATGATCAAGCGTGAGTATTCCTTTCTACTGCAAACATCACGTCTATAATTAACAGCTCCCAGGCGCTCTTGATGCTGGTGCCCACGGGGTAAGATTCCTGATGCACAGAATAGCTTCACGATATTAATACTATCTAAGATCCTCATCCCGCTTCTTCGAACAGCAGATGAGGCCAAAGCAATCGTATCCGCAGCCAAGTTTCCGCCCCTCGGGAGACGAGGCTTAGGGTCACCCTTCGCAATGGAACGCTTCAACCCAGTTCCGACAATGACGGAGTACCTGCAGCAAGCTAATGAATCCCTGTTGACCATGGTACAAATCGAGACACAGGAGGCACTCGATAACATTGACGAGATTGCAGCTGTTCCCGGCATCGATCTTTTGTTCGTCGGTCCTTTTGACCTAGGAAACAATATTGGCCACCCCATCCTCAACGGTGTGATGAAGCCTGAGTTAGAGCAAGCTGTGGACAAGGTCCTTGAGGCAACCCACAAGGCGGGAAAGAAGTGTGGGTTTTTTGCGAGTAGCGCTGAGCAGGCGAAGAAGTACGCCGACAAGGGCTTCGACATGGTCTCGGCAGCGTTGGACACCACGCTTTTGCAGGCGTCTTTGGCTACGTCTTTGAGCATCGCGAGAGGGGCAGCGCCACCAACATCGGGTGGAAGATACTAGCTGGACTCGAATTGCTTCATTTCGCTACCCATGAGACTAGAAAAGAATCGTAGATCAATTAATCAAAACTACATGAATACGAGTTCCAAGCTCGAACAAAATGCACCATTGCATTACCAGGGATGAACCTACTCAGTCTTTTCGTCGTTCCAAAACACAAAACATCTTACTTCAATGCTCGTTCTCGGATCCCCATAATCACTCTGCCCCTTCAAGGGGAACGAAGAATGCACCGCACACTTCGCTCTCCCATCGTTCTTCGAATCAAAAATCTTAAATACCCATGCCTCTTCCGGCGTCATATCACTCGCGTAGTACCACTGCTGGTTCGGATTGTGCGCAAGATTAGTCACCTCGTATCGAGGGGCAACATCACCGTTGGACGAGTACTCTGCACGAGGCTTGTGTTTCATGTTCCTGGATACTTTTCCATACTCGCCTGCGTCTGGTGGTGGCAAATTCGCAACCACAGTGCGGAAGTCGTTTTCGTCGATGGACCGGAAGTCGGCGAAGGCGAGTGGATCGCGTTTCACTGGCTTCATGATGGGGGCCCAGACATTCATGATGGCCCAACGCTTCTTGAGGCGACGTTCCGCTTCTTCCTCGGGGAGGTTGAGGAAGAGAATCTGTTCAGCGCCGCGGTAGGACTGGTCGACGTGGACGAATCTCTACAAGTAATGTCAGTTATGCATGGCCCGTGCCTTCGTTTTGGTCGCACTTACTGCAGGATTCATCACTTTTACGGGCGTCTTATCGTCGAGGCCTTGGGATGCGTCTACAGAGGCTTTGTGTGTGTCTCGCCGACACATATGGGAGACAACTTGAACCTCATCTGCTCCAGATCTACGGACATTCAATGTGAGTGATGACGCAGCATGTAACCTTTGCCAATGGGTGGGCTTACACTTTCTTGATAAGATCAATGCACTCAGGGTAGTAGACCTGCTCCACTTCTTCTTCGTTGGAGAAGTCCTTCACAGCAGACTTGTGTTGGACGAACTCGAATCCGGCATTGTCAACGTTGAACTGGTCGTGAATGGATCTCAAATCCTTGATCGTCGCATCGTGTGGGACGTGTTTTCTGCGCTTCTCAAAGGCAGTACCTGGATAGGTTTGAATGATGCCTCCGTCTTTCAGTTCCAAGTAATAATAAAGGGTGGTTTCTTCGGTAGGCAGTTCCTCGCGTGGAGGTAGGATGTCTCGTGTAGCCACAGGCGCCATTAAGGTAGGTCTAGAGAAGAGATAAAATTAGGTAGAGGAGATTTGATGTCGCTGATGGTCTTTTGATTATAGATGGGCTAGGTACTTTTGAGCCCGGGTAGCAATATTTACGCCTTTAATCAAGTAAACCACAGCCAGGAGTGACGATACCAGAGCCTCGGTCATATGGAGCTGATGGAACAATCAATGCGATCGTATCGCTTATGTTGCGTGAACTCGACGCCCCAGACGGTAAGGAGCGTTCCAATAGCCGACGACTCCATTTGCCGCGGGTATCTCTGACAACAAGAAGCGCCAAAACTAAAACAAAAACACCAAAGAAATATCGGTATTGATCGTGACCAGTTGCAGCTAGTTCATTGGTGCCCGTTGTGTTTCCACGGACCCGGGCGCTCCCTACCCCACAACCCCAGATCGACGGACCGCTCTTGCACTACGGACCGTGCTTTGACACTACAACCATCCGAGTTATATGCTCGCCCAAAAATCGGAATCTTCGATAGATTGGGGCTTTTGAAGTCTGGACCAAGCCACCAAGAAAACGCTACAGCGTGATCAATTCAAATCACAGGCGGTTCAGTAGCGCTGGTACAGTCGCCTCGGCTATATTCAAGCACAAAATGTCTACTATCTTAGACAGAAATGTGGTTTCCTCCGTCGTTCGTGGCCAGCTTTGGAATACGCCTGTGTTGTGAACGATCTGCACACGATGAAGGGGCCAACTGGCGAGCATCGCGAATTCGCGGAGACGATATCCCCAGGCCAGGATACAAGCAGTCATGCCTCAGATAGTCGCATTGATATTGAGAAAAGAGGAGTTGGGTCAAGCCATCCCAGAGATAACGATGCTGTTACCTTCAAGACGTGGGCAGTCGTCGTCGTAAGTACCATACCGGCGGGTTTCATCGACCATCCGGGTATTTTACCTCAAGAACAACCATAGAAACATCAAGAATATCGTGTTCAAAGCTATGCTGATCGTTTCTAGGTTCTCGCCGCATCATACGGAATATCCTTTTGGCCAGTTCCATTCTTCAGCACCATTCAAAGCGAGATGGCTGTCGAATTTGGATCAAGGCCGGCCATGGGCGCTTGGCTCACATCGGTGTACAGTCTCGGCGGAACTGTCGCATTTATGGTCTGTGGCGCCAACAGTGATCTATTCGGTCGAAGAGCTTTTATTCTCCTTGGGAACATTCTCATGATTGTCGGCTCGATCGTCGGAGCAACTTCACATTCGATCGGACAGTCAATTGCTGCCCACACGCTGTTCGGTCTCGGTGGAGGTAATTGCCAGATAGCGGCGTTCGCGCTGCCCGAACTATTGCCGAACAAGTGGAGGCATATTGGAGTCGTGATTGCAGACGCTGGGATATATTTCGACGTCATCGTGGGCCCCGTTGTGTCTCGCATAGCTTACAAGCATAATGCCGTATGTATCCGCGGGGCTCCACCCACAAACAGAGATATGAGCTGACAGAGCATAGTGGAGATGGGGATATTGGGCTGTCACCATAGTCCAGGGCATCTCTTGTGCCATCCTACTGTGCTTTTACTTCCCACCAAAACACCCGCGTGGCATTCCTTGGGGTGAGGCACTACGGAATCTCGACTATGTCGGCATGGTCAGCTTCACAGGAGCAGCTGTTATGATTCTTTCCGGGATCGTCTATGTGCAGCTTGTGCCATCAAACTCGCCTGAAGTAATTGGTCTATTGGTAGCAGGATTTGCATGCCTCGTCTTCTTCGCCGCCTGGGAGACCTTTGCAAGACCCAAAGAAGCCCTTGCGCCAACAAGGCTCTTCACCGCCAACAAAGGGCGGCGTCTCACCGCGCCGTTCATCTGCGGCTTCGTTGTAACCATGTTCTACTACGCGAACAACATCACCTGGCCGACGATGCTGGGCGTGTATTTCACTTCAGCAATAACACCGCCGCACATCGTCTACTTGTTCGCGACAGTGCAAGGATTTGGCATATTCACTGGGGCCATGCTACTAGCATTCTTCGGCAAGCGCATCCAGCACTGGCGGTGGCAGATGGGTGTCCCGATCATGATCATGACCTTCTTCGGAGCCATGCTCGCCTACGTCACTCCAGAACGAGAGAGCTGCGGCATCGCTTTTGCTTTTCTTTCGTCCACGGGCTATGGCTACGCGCAGTATCTCTCGATCGCGTACATCCAATTTGGTGCCGATCAAACGGAGCTAGGTATATCAGGAGGACTTGCAGGCGTGGCTAGATATTCGGGAGGTGCTGTTGCCGTCACCTTGTTCTTGACAATCTTGAACACGGTACAAACTAGTTGGGCATCTATTCATGTTGTTGCGGCGGCAGAAGCGGCTGGAGCATCGCCTGCGACAGCGAGCGCGGTTCTTGCAGCGCTTCCTTTGGGAGCTGCTGCCCTAGAGAAGGTTCAAGGTTTGACCACCGCAATTGCGGAAGCGGCCGGAGCAGCCTTTGTGCAGAGTTATGTGGAAGGCGTCAAGTGAGTTGTGCCTTCGCGTTCCAACGACAGCAATTACTAACTCTCCTCTAGGAAGGTAGCATTTGCCTCACTTGGGTTTGGAGGTCTTGCGATCATTGCTTGCTTTTTCTTAGAAGATATCGGGCCCAAGATGAACGATCAGATTGAAGTCTTCTTGGAGAACGACGTTCAGGCCGAGAAGAATGTGTATCACTGAGTGTTCCGATCCTCAGAAAGACTTGGTCTCTGAATTACTTAGGTGCCTATCTCTCGCGAAGTAGCTATTCATCTCGTCAGCGCTCTCTATTCATGGCCAGTCTTGTGAGAACTAAGGCAGCGCTGAATTATCCTCGAACATAGCCGTCGGCATTACATGGGTCCAGCATCAGTGAAGCAACTACTACTACCGAGGGATTCGATCTGCAACTCCACTTCTAGACCAAACTACGCCACTGTGATTTTTAGATGTTGAGGGCGGACAGATCCGGGTGTACCACTAAGTTACATTCCAGCCACCATCGCCCCTCTTCCACTAGTGTACATATTAGAGTTCTCTAGAAACGCCACTGACTCGTTACTCACGAAACAACATAACCCCGCTCCATCCCACTCAAATCAGAGCGACCATCGCCTATCACTTTCCGTCAAGCTCAGGATATACACGCGCACTCGTAGAAGATAACGTGACTTCTCACTCGTTCACCATGCCGTACACCACCGACCCGGACTGGGCCGCCGCATCAGCAAGATCCCTACAAAACCTAGGCATCCCCCCAGACACACCGACACCCCGTCATCCCCGCGGGGACGTCGCCTCCAGGCGAGCTGGCGCCCCGTTCTACGAGAAGTTGCAGACGCTATACCCGGAGCCGGACACGCCCGTTAAGAAGACGAGATACGTCACCACTGCACCAGACGGGCAGGAAATCCCCATCTTCGGGTATGAGCTTGAAGCCGATGGTGAGATAAGGAATCAAGAGGGAAAAGAGAGACCAGCAGTCCTGTACATTCATGCCGGCGGTATGATCTTGTGCACGGCGGAGGAGTGGGACCGCACAGTTATGCTGGACGTCGCGCGGACAGGGGTCCCGCACTACAGTGCGGATTATCGGCTTGCGTCTGAAGCGCGGCATCCTGTTCCGGTGGAGGATTGCTACTCTGCGCTTGTCTGGCTGCATGCGCAGGCACAACACTTGCGGATCGACGCTGCGCGGATTGCTGTTGCAGGGCTCAGTGCGGGCGGCGGTCTTGCCGCTGCTGTTGCTATCATTGCGAGAGATAGAAAGTTGCAACCGCCTTTGGCGAAGCAGATCTTACTGGAGCCGATGCTGGATGACCGAAACATTGTTCCTAACTCAGAACTCGCGCCCTTCGTCACGTGGGATTGGGACGATAATTGGACGGGGTGGAATGCGCTGTTGGGAGATAGAACTGGGAGTGAGGACGTGGAGGCAGCTGCTGCGCCGGCGAGGTTGCAGGACTTCAGGGGGTTGCCGCGGGCGTATGTGGATTGTGGGAATCTGGATATTTTTGCGAGGGAAGATGAAGATTATGTAAGAAAGTTGAAGGAAGCAGGGGTTGAGGTAGAGTGGCATTTGTATGATGGTGTTCCGCATGGGTTTGAGCTAAGAGGAACGGGTTCCGGGGTGTGGAAGCGGGCTTATGAAAATCGGTGGGCGGCGGTCCAGGCAATTTGAGAGACAGGTCCGAGAGTGATGATTCCACTGATATCGAGGGTTTTCCCCTAGGATGCCGCTATGCCGTCTTGACGAAGACTGAATGTATTACAATTCCCTCTGATTGACAGTATATCCCATCCAACGCCATCTGAAGTCAGTCTGGCCGTCGTTCTCATGCACACTTCATCGCCTCTTGGGCCTCCAGCAGCCTCAAGTAGATACCTGCGCCAATTAGCCATCTCTCTACCTTCTCTTCCGCCTTTTTATACTCACCAGCGGCCCTCCAGCCCCGGTCAATGACCTTAAAGGCCTCCTTGAAGAACTTCACCACCTCTTCCTCCCCATTATTCTTCTGTTTCACCCTCATATACACAGCACAGACCTGATACGCAAAGAAACAGCCCCACACGGACATCTCCTCGGGTGGCCGACTCGTCAAAGGGCATCTAGACTCGGTGAAGTTGGGAATGTGGAAACGCTCTGTGACGAGCTTGCAGACGGCGAGGGCACGAGACATGCGGTCGGGAGAGAAAGACGTGCGGGGGACGGATGTGCCGGCCAGGCGGAAGGTTGGGGTGTTGAGAGCTACGAGGGCACTGGGGTTATTTAGTTTTTGTCACAACGTATACCTGTAATAAAGGTAAGGAAAGGTACCTGAATATAAACGTTATCTGGTCATAGTCAGGCACCTCCACATTGAGTGCCGCCGAGAGCATCGAGTGCAATGTCCTGTCCAGTTGCAGTCCAACATCGTCATCGGAGGACTCGGACCCGTCAGCGATGTGTATAAGAACCTGACCCAGGAGCCGAGCAGCTTGACAGAGAAGAGCAAATTTAGACATGTGAGATGTCAATGGGGTGGACAGAGTTGCTAGGTCAGCGGACTGTACAATCTGAGAAACGGTGAGCAGGGAAGATTCATAGCAGATCGGTGATGATCTTACGCCGTTATCCCATTTAGCATCGTCTGCAGGTAGTAGCTCATCTCGAGAGGGTTCGGGTATTGCAAAAGGGCGACCTGGGCAGCCTATGTTGACAAAACTGACGCAGCCTATTAGCGTTGATGTGGCGACGGTAATGCAGCACAAAGAAGGCTCACCGGTCCAGAATGACAATTGCCCACCAAACTCTTCTCCTCTCTTCAACCTCCACCATGGTGGTCGCTCTCCGGTAACTGACTGCCTTGACATTGAGTCCAAGCGCGTAAGCATACCTGGCGCACGCACCGACGGTCAGGTATGCAGCCGGATAGATAGCGTGGCCGATTTCATACAAGGCGAGCAAAACTTGAGCTTGCAACATAGGAAGTGATAAGACACTGGACACCTCGAGGTGAGAATGCCACCGCTTCGTCACTTGATAGAGTGGCGTGCGAGCGCTGTACGGGCTGGCGGGCGGTGGTGTTGTTATGAGCTTCTGTGCCAGAAAGAGCAATGCAAGATCGGGATGGGCAGATGGTGATTGGTGAATATAGAGGTCGTAGAAACGTTTTTTTGATATGATTGGCATCCATGGGTGTGTTCGCACGAAATACTTTCCGCTTGCAAGACATAATTCGTCTACATCTCCGAGGTGATCGAGCACTTGGCTAGGAACCTTGACGGTGGCTAATGGGGTGTCGGGATGCCCGTGTTGCAGAAGATCCGGGTCCATGAAGAGCACGGTTGCGTAGTCGATGCATTCGGCAGGCGCATCGTGGGCGTCGGCAAGGGGCTCATACGACGACTGGTCGACTTGAGGAGCAGGGCTGCGAATTTGGTCCGTCTCAGCATATTTGCACTCGAGTCTCTTTCTGGAAAGAGTTGGTATCGCCCAATTCCGGTTCCCGAATCGATCTGCAATCGCAGCTTACCTGACGCAGTGCGAACACTGCGGGATTGCTTTGTCGCACCCTCTCTTACGAGCCTTGCAGTTAGCACACACTTGCCGGGCACGGCGGCCTGGCTCGCCATCAGGCGTCGACATACGCGTTGATTTATGTAGGCTGCAGAGGTCGAACACAATTGAGTATTGTAGGTGATGCGGGGCGGGCGTGTGAGCGGCCGCAGTTTGGTGGGGCAACTGCGGGTTTCGATGGGATTTAACGCCGCAGACCTGCGGCTTTTTGCGGCCGTGCGGCCGCCGACTTGATGGACTGGTATCAGCAATCGTTAGTCCAATTTCCCCAACGACGAAACAACTACTTCGCCAGCTAAATTCATCCGGATTTTGTTGTCCGACCCCGCCGATACTGTAATGAGAGGATCATTGGAAGACTTGCGGAGGAAACTTGGTATGGGTATGCGGGAATGGTCATCAAAGTCGCCTCTCACATAATGTGCCAAAACATATATAAACATGGAGAACTGCGCACCAACTAGACATTAGCCATCCTTTCCACTCTTGGGTACTTAGGTTAGGAAAACTCGAAGATTTTCAACGCAATGGGTAGATACACTGCTGTTCATGCCAATCCGCAAGGCGTAGGCGATGCTCGCCGTAAGTGGCTTCCCACCCATCTCGACCATCCCATTCGACTAATCAGACAACCTTTCCCAGCAACTGCTCTCCAGATCATCCAAGACGAAGGCCTCGAAGGCAAACTTGTCGGCAAAGTCATCGTCCTAACCGGCGCCACCTCTGGCATCGGCCTCGAAACTGCCCGCGCCCTCTCCACCACAGGAGCCACCCTTTTCCTGACCGCCCGCGACCTTGCGAAAGCTTCAGAATCCCTTGCCGGAATTCTCGAGCCAGGGCGCGTCTCCCTAGTCCCCATGGACAATGCCAGCTTCTCCAGCGTCCGCGCCGCAGCCCAGCAGATCCTCGCCCACTCCCACAACAAAATCAACATCCTCATCGCCAACGCGGGCATAATGGGCGTCCCCTCCCTCACCCTCACAGAGGACGGACACGAATCCCACTTCGCCGTCAATCACCTCTCCCACTTCCTCCTCTTCTCCCTCCTCAAGGACGCACTCCTCGCAGCCTCAACACCAGCTTTCAATTCCCGCGCCGTCATCGTGGCCTCCTCTGCTCATCGTGCCGGCCCTTTCCCCGCAGACCATGACTACTCCTTCAGCAACACGCCCTACAAGCACGGAAAGGCATACGCCAACTCCAAACTCGCAAACATCTACATGGCGAACTATCTTGACCGGCACTACGGCGGCCGCGGTCTGCACGCCACCTCGGTCCACCCGGGGGCTATACTGACGAACATCACGCGGTACTCGGACCCGTCTGTCATCGACGCAATCCTGAAGATGCCACATTTGGTTCCGATATTCAAGTCGGCGGAGCAGGGGGGTGCGACAACTGTGGTAGCTGCCGTGGGCAAGGAGTGGGAGGGCAGGGGCGGCAAGTATTTGGAGGACTGCGAAGAGGCGGGCAGGGGAGAAGATGATGGGAATGTGTTTATGTTGGGGTATACGACGTGGACCTATGATGAGGGCGAGGAGGAGAGGCTGTGGAAGGACTCGGCACATTTCGTAGGCGTCGAGGCGCACGTGTGAGCGTGTGGGATGTGTCGCTGATGGGGAAGCTGAATGGTCTCGATGTACTGTCATGCTAGCTTAGCGTTGATGGGCATGGCTATGGCCATGCAATTTGTGTTGATACTCTCTTCAAAGGACTGGGAGAGATGGCGATCTTGTCGAGCCGCCTAAGATCGATGAGATGAAAGGAAAGCGTGCCATAGTAATGGATGACGATAGATCAGGAGGGACGAGAAACGTGAGCTTGATAAAGTGTAGAGTCCCGACTTGGTATCATCGATAGCTTCGGTGTTGCCGTCTCGGTTAGAAAGAATAGGATTGGTAGATAACTTGTTTTGGAAGCCATTGGGGTCCTGAAATTTCCGCGCTTAGATAGAATCGAGCCGTTGAAGTATTGTAGTAGGACTAGGGCGTCGGTAAATGCTGCACAGGCTTACGCAGGTGGTCTAGAACACTTCAATGATGCTCCATTCTGCTGCCAGAATTGTTATCGCCATGGAGTGAAGGCATTATCTCTCAGCGCCGGGGCCAAGTTGGTGTTGGCGGCATCCTTTGTGAAGGATCTCGTATGTACCGCACCAATGCGGAAAGGCTTGTATTCTAATGTGGACTCGCACGAGCTCCTTCGCACCACCACGTGCAATTCTAGCGCCTAAGAAGAGCAACTTGAAGTCTGAGTTCGCGTTCACTTTCGACGATTATAAGTACTCTACTAAGTCAATACCTATAAAGCACTCCCTCCTAAAGCATTGTCCAACTCCCACCTCAAAATCGCTGATACTTCAACCATGCATTTCTCGACCATCCTCACAAACCTCGCCCTCGGCGCCAGCGCCCTTGCTGTGGCCGTGACTCCTCGCCAGCAAACCAGCTGCTTTGAACCTCGCAATGGAGTCTGCCTAAGCCGTCAAGCCGACTTCAACAACGCCACCCTCGCCATCACGAACGCATGCAACAAAATTCCTTCATGTAGTCCAGGGCAGGCGGACACAGCACGCGTATCCGGTAAGTCCGCCCCTCTACATCTAAGTACAGGATGACATGCTCGTAAGTGATTCTGACGGCGAAAAATCCAGGTGTCGTTCGGGGCTTCCCTTACAGCGCCGCCCTCAAAGTGGGTACCCAATGCGCTGGCGTCGTTCCCTGGAGCACACAGGGCTGCGTGGATGCATTCATTGCGGTCATAGATCAGGGCTGCGAGCAGCAGTATCCGTCAACGGATGGGCTGTTCCAGTGTAAGTGGAAGCACTTCTGGAAGTAGATTCTGCTTGCTGACGTGGGAGTAGTGGGATACTTCAATGCTGCTTGTGACAGCAGCTTTGTATCCTTTAACCTTGGGGGCTAGAGACCGTCTTTATGGATGCTGGATGCTAGGACCTTGGGCAGCTGGGTAAGGTGATTTATTCGGTGCGGGTTTCTTTCTCCGAAGCTGCCAATCGTGTCTCTGCTCATATAGCCTCTTTTTACTGAATCGTAAAGCGTTGCAGAGAGGGGTCCTGAACAGATTTGTGATTCCAGTCTCTTAGTTTGATCCATCTGAGCGGCGAAGTTCCTATGATCCCATGTCAATGGACTGAAAGACGTGCTACGCACTCCATGTTAGCTCGACGGCTTTCGGAACAGGGGAACCGGTAGGGCAAAGTGTGAGCATGCGTCAATACAGATGGGTGGGCTCATTCGGAGCATGACTGCGAAGAGAGTCCTCTCGACTCAAAAGCGGCGCCAAAGAGCTGCGGAGTGCAGGTTAGCTATACGTCAAGCACCCTTGTGCGATATCGATGGTGGGTGCTCGGCTGATTTCTGTTGAGCAGGGCCAAGGGTAATTTGCAGGTGCAGATGCAGATGCAGATGCTAATAAGAACGTGAGATGCAAGCAGGAGACGGAGGATGGGGACCACCGCGTAACCAAGCCAGCGAGTCAGCGAGCCGCGGTGCTGGCGTAGGGAATGCTGCCCTGCAGAAGATGCGGTCCTGTAGTGTGGCACCGAGCGAGCGACGGGAGGCTCAAGGGTTCGTGCAGACGGGCCGCGCCCGGCACTTGATTCCCCAGAGGGCCAACCAGACGCTGCCCCTGGCGCCTCTCCTGAGACGTCTCTCACCAGCCACCATGGCGTCTGCCAGTCGGATGCGCGGTCGTGTGTATGCGCCGCCAAGGTGACGAGCGGCCCTCTGATGCGGTCGCCAGCGCGTATGGCGGCCAATCAGGCGGCATGCAGGCCTGGTCGGGCGCGTGCAGGGAGCGCTGGTCGCGCGGCCCAAGCAGCGACCTCGTGCAGGCGGCGAGACTCGATGCCATGGCCTGGCAGGAGAGCGCGGAGCCTACGTAAGTCAGCCAGTCGCCTCGTGGGTCGTTCAGCTGCGCATCTGCCGCCTTGCACGTCTACGCAGGCACGCCCTCATCCTGCACCTCTGCCCCGACCGGTGGAGCTGCTGCTGTTGCTGCGTCGTCGCTCGCAGCCCGGCGTCATCTCTCGCGATACCCCGCCGCCCGCCCACGTACGTCCAGCGGAGCCTCGAGCTGCACGCCTTCCCAAAAATAAGTGCCCGGTGCCTCCGCCGGCGATCGCAGGCCAACGCAGGCACGACATACATACACGCGCATATACATAGCCCGCGCCCGCGGCCATGAGCAAGCAAGGCCGCCCCGACGAGGAGCTGTTCCTGCGCGGCGACGGCGATGCGCCCGAGACGCCCATAGTCGGGCCCCTCAGGATCCAGAAGCGCGAGTCCAACACCAAGAGCCCCCCGCCGCGAACAGACTCGGCCGGCAGCGCCAGGTCCAACCAGCCCGTCTTCTCGCGCCCCCCGCCCATGCCCGCGTTCCCAGCGCCGCCCACGAACCCGCCCACCGCGCCGCTGCCCTACCCCGACAACGACGGCCCGCCGACCCTCTCTTCGGGGCGGTATACGCCGCAGAGCGACGCTGAGAGCCGCTCCAAGACGCACGATGTGCGGTTCAGAGACGAGCAGCGACGAGGCTCGGGCAGCTCCACGGGGCCGAGCCCCTCCTCACCAGCCCCGCGCGCCCGGTTCGACGCCCACGACCCCAACAGACCCTCGGTAGCCGGCTATGGCGGGCCTGGCAGGGCACCAGACGGGTCTGTACAGCCCTCGAGGCTGGCAGAGCGGAGAGGAACCGTGCCCAAGCCCCTCCCAGACTCTCCGGGCCCGGACACGCCTGACAAGGAGGGCCTATTCCAAAGAGCGCCGCAGAGACAAGGCAGCACGGAGCCAAATCCCTTCCCAGACTACCACCAGCAGTACTGGCCGCCGCCTCAAGCGCCTGGAGGACCCAAGTCACCACAGCCAGCGCTGAACATCCCCAACCCCGGCGGCATCAATCGGCTGAGCTCGACCGCGTCCACGTCCACAACAAAGGCGCAACGAGGATCGCCGCCTCCGCCCGAGACACCCATCGTTCCCCTTCCCAGCGGCGGCATCGAAGCACGCTTTGCTGCGGCAGGAATTGCGGGCACATCCACCTTGACCAGCTTACAAGCCCAGACCGCACAGAATGCCGCAGCTGCGCAGAGGAACCAGGTCTACGCCAACCAGCCGCCCAGACAGAACATCACTTCACCTGCGCCGAATCAGCAACCCCCGAGGCGACCATGGACACCCACGGAGCAGCCGGGCAGCCAGCCGCATGGTCCTCCTGCGGTGTACCAGGGAATGAATCAAGTTGGACCATCGAGCAGCCCTCCACAAGCGCCTTTGCCTCAGGTACCCGCTCACACAGGATCTCCGCCGCCTGCGAATGGGCAGCCAGGGCATAATCTAGCACAAGACATGGGTCGCATGAACATGAACGAAGAACCGCCGCCAGCCTACTCCAGCATTCAGCATCCCCCAACTGCATCTTCGACGGGGTTTCCAAATGAGAAGCAACGTCCACAGGGAGCAGCGACGCAAGCTCCCCAGCAACCTGGTGTCATGAGCGACCCGAACCTCCAGCAACACCCGGCCTTCGCAAACGATATGCGCTCTCCACAGCCGCAAACAGCCCCGTCTTCACAGCCGTTGGGTGTTGTTGCGCCAACGCCGACCGCAAGCCAGTTCCCGCAACAACCGCAACAGCAAGTTCAACATGCCAGCACGCCTAGCCCCGCGCCAACCGCACCGGGGCCTGGCCCTTCATCACCTCCTCCGCTCCCCGAAGGCTGGATAGCGCATCCCGATCCAAGCTCCGGGCAGTATTACTACATTCACTTGCCCACGCAATCGACGCAATGGGAGTTTCCAAAGGGGCCCACACCTCTTAACTTGAATGAGCCCATGTCTCCAGCAGGTTCGTTTGCGAATCCTCTGGCGTCTCCAGCATTCGGCAAGACACCCCTTGCATCTCCGGGCTTTCCTACGCAGACTGCTGGCTACCCTGACGGCATGCTTGGAATGGCTTCCATGGCAACTCCTACAACTAGCGGGTTTACTGGGCCTCCTCCAGTTGCAGGCGTTGATACGTACAAGATCAACCCAACAAACAGTGTGTACTTTGGTCCGTATCTGAGGTACACGAACATGGATCTTGAGCGCGGTCTGTGGTTAGGCTCAATCCTGCTCGTCACGAACACTCCACATCCTCCAGCAATTCACATCCACCAGAGCGTAGATCTTTCACCAAATCCTCGGCAACTCAAAGCCAATCCTATCTACACACATCAGACCTGGATCTTCTACCGGTACGACATCGACCTCCGAATGGAAGATGACCATGCGGCCAAGTGGACTTACGCTATCACGTCACATCTGGGCTGCACGCGATTCGAATTCCTGGTCGCGGGACGCAATGAGACCAGCTGGCGCTTCATTGCTCACTCTGGCAACGACTTTGCTCTTAATGTTAACGCAAACGAACGGTCCAAGCTTGGCGGTGTTGGCTACATGTGGAAGGACATCCTCCAGAAGAACACCGAGTGCGGTGGCTTCCATGTGCAGCTCGGGCTAGGTGGACAGATATATGCTGATCGCTTATGGAAAGAGATACCGTTACTGAAGCAGTGGACGGCAATGAGTGGTAAGGAGAACCGCAAGAACGCACCTTGGACGGCGAAACACGACGAGGAAGTTTGCCATGCCTACTTCCACTACTACACAAGCCACTTTGACCAGCCACATCTGCGAGAAGCGTTCGCGCAAATTCCACACATTCTAGCTCTTGACGATCATGACATGTAAGCACAGTGCTATCAATGATATCGCGAACCAGGCTAATTGCGACTGTAGTTTTGACGGCTTCGGCTCTTATCCCGAGTATATGCAGTTTTCAAACATGTTCAAGAACATTGGCCGGATTGGTATCGAGATGTATCTTCTGTTCCAGCACCACACCACATTGGAGATCCTTCGCAACGTGAACAACGACATGGATCTTTTCACTATTACGGGCACCGGATGGCATTTCATCAAATACCTGGGTCCTTGTGTCACTGTCGTAGGGCCAGATTGTCGATCGGAGCGGAATCCGCACCAGGTCATGGCTGGTCCCACATACCAAGGTATCTTTCCCAAAGTTGCGACTCTCCCTTCAAGCGTGCAACACTGCATATGGATGGTCCCCGTTCCGGTGGTCTACCCCCGGTTGGAGTCGGTGGAGCATCTCGCCAACTCAATGGCAACCGGAAAGAAGGCTGTCACTGGTACTTTTAACATGCTTGGGAAGGTGACGGCTGGAGTGGCCGGCGTCGTCGGTGCTAAGAGTGTAGTCGGCGATGGCTTCAATTCGGTCAAGAAGGCCATTGGAAAATCAGGTCTCATGAGCGGTGTCCTCAGTCCATTTGGTGAGATCGATATGCTTGACGAGCTTCGTGATCAATGGACGCACGATTCCAAGGTAAGCTCTCTACAAAACCATCGTATGACACTTGCTTACATATTTCAGGATCTTGAACGCACATACCTGATCAGAACACTCCAAGGCATCGCCCACAACAAGTCCCTTCGAATGACTTTCTTTTCTGGCGGTGTCGATGTTTGCGGTGCAGGCCTCGTACATGACCCTTCCAAACCCCAAGATCACAAGACTATGTACCAGATCATCTCTTCCAGCGTCGTCAATGCCCCGCCCTCCAACTACGTCCTCCGGCTTCTGCACAACAACCGCGCGCTCTACATCCCACAGAACGGTCACCGTTCGAGTCACGCGCCTTCAGATACGAAGGAAGACATGATGGAGATCTTCACACAGGACGTCAACGGCACTGCGCGAGAGTACAAGAGATTAATGGGCCGAAGAAACTACGTCGCCTGTGTCGTGTATGATCCCGAGATTGTGAATGGAACATTTGGACAGGTGCCTGGGCAACACGGCAGCGGGAAGCTGAGTCTGGCGGTGGACTTCATGGTGCAGAACGAGGGGCCGTACAGTGCGCCGATGAAGTATGGACCGGTGATTGTGCCAAGCTTGGAGTACGGGAGATAGGGATGAGGGATAGCTAGAAGGATGGAGAGGCAGCGCATGTACTAATGAGCGACTTGAGCGAGCGAGCAATGTGATGCATGGCATGTGCGATGGCTTTGGAGGCACTTTATTGCTGTGGATATGGGCAGGCGATTGGGGAGCAACGAATATACTATTATGACACTTCAGCTACGTTGGCCTTGCAGTGCACCGGTAAGACAACGACGTGTATTGAGCATTTGCATGCAGTCTACATGTGTATACCAGACTGTTCGGCGTGCCTCGGTCTTCACAACCGTCTTTGGCTTAGTCATTCCGAGATCGCGCTTCCTTTCCGAACAATCTGAAGGTAGAAGGCCCGAACCACGCATCCCTCACGACACCACGATGGCAGCTTCAAGATCGATATGTCGTTTAGCGTCACCTCGGATAGCTTTGGCTCCACGTCTGCTGCGCCCAGTGGTTTTCGACAGCGCAGTCGCTCCCTCGCGCAAGAGCACTTCCACACCGCCGTTGGAAAGAGCATCGCGGGCGCATTCGTCAAGTCGGCAATGTCTATATACCAACACTTGGCGAGTAGGGCCAGCGCAGCAGCCGCAGAGCATCACATCGATTCTGTCAAGTCGCCGGCAGTTCAGTGCAACACGGGCGCAACAAAAGGACCATCACTTTGACACGCTCAAGTTCGTGCAGCGATTGAAGGATGAGGGTTTCACCGAGGAACAAGCGGTGGCTATGATGAGGGTGCTCAGTGACGTGATAGAGGAGAGGTACGTGTTGGAAGGTCAGGCGGACTGAACCTGACTAATTTGAACAGCATCCAAAACCTCACTCGTACCATGGTGCTTCGCGAAGAGCAGGAGAAGGCGACGTACAACCAGAGAGTCGATTTCGCGAAACTACGCTCCGAACTGCAAACCGCCGACTCTACCGAATCGTCCCTGACCCGCGTTTCGCATGAGCGCCTGACAAATGAGCTGGCGAAGTTGAACTCTAGACTTCGCGATGAAGTGCAACGAACACAGGCATCGGTACGACTAGATCTCAACCTCGAGAAAGGCCGCATACGCGAGGAAGCCAACGTTCAGGAACTCAAGCTCAAGGAGACGGAGACGCGGATAGAGCAGGAAACAGCGCAGCTGCGCGAGAGACTGGAGACTGTCAAGTTCCAGACGCTGCAGTGGCTGGTGTACGTCCATGAACAAACCGCTATACGTGCAAGGAACCTAGCTAACATATTCGCAGGGGCGTGTGCACTGGTGCTGCGGCTCTTATGCTCGGTGTCTGGCGTATCCTCATGTGAGGCACACGGCGCCGCACATTTCTTCCAGAAGACGTCGGCATGAAGGAACCATTCTATTTGTACAACAGACTGACAAGACGAATCATGGGAGGATACGGCCGATCGAGCGATTTTTGCAGCATCCCGGTAGGGCGTACTGCATCATGATGGTGGTACAGCATGCACAGCCATGAGCGCTGGCAGCACAGCAGGATTGATTTGCGGCGGAAGCGACATGTCACGATAACCGCCGCTGCGATGCAGCAGGCTGAAGACGGGCACAGCAGTATAGATTGCGACGTGCAACATGTATGTTAGCAGAAGGGGAGCGTCTACATCACGGGCGCAGCCTTGTCACTCGGGCATGAATGTCGAGCAGAGGGCAGCGATGATGCAATGCAATGGCTCGCTGTCAGCCGTGCTTTGCCACGCACGTACACTTGCATGCGAGTGGGCGACGGCTCGCAACGAAATGCAGCCTGAAACGGATGGGCAGATGGAAAACTGGGCAAATTACATAGTCTGCTCCACGCGAAGCTGGGTGAAAGCATGTGGTTCGGGGTCTCGTCTTGCGGCCTGGCACCAACCACGTCCAAGTTTCTAGCTGGTTCTCCATCGCGGTGATTGGCCCCCAGGCTGCGGCCGTCTCTTGCTGGCGGCCGCGCGCGGACGAGCGTGACTGGTGCAAGGGAGCAGAATGGGAGGGTCGGTGGGCACAGCAACGACTTGTGACCGAGCAACTTACACATGGCAAGACTGTGTGGGCGAGACCGCTGGCGGAGTGCGTCCTAGCACTGGAGCCGCCGCAGCACGGCTGTTTGCCCACGTGAGGCGCTCATTTCAGACCCCTCGCCGCCAAGACAGGACTCCAGAGGGGAGCAGGCGCGCGCAAGCGCCAGAGGATACAGAACAAAAGGCTGCCTTTGCGGTGAGGGTGCGTAGGACTAGAGCAGAGCTAGGGCTGGTGCGGGCGGCGCGAGGGCCGGGGAAGGCGCTGTGTGCTGGATGGGGCGGATCAATAATGGGCACGCCTGTGAAAGACAAGACTAGTCGCCGGCTGCGCTTCGCACGCTCAAAACACTCCATCGCCGACGACCCACCATCGAACCTCAACACCACCCTCTTCCCTCTCACGCCCGCCCGCAGCCCGCTTCTTCCCACCCACCCGCAACCCGCACTCCGATCCAGCAACCATGGCCAACGAGGTATGTCTGCCCTTATCTGCGCTGCCCCCGCACACTGCTGGTGGGATGCCCCTCTGGCGCCCGCTGGCCTGCACGACCAACGTCAACAGCATGCTGACCCCGTAAACAGCGCGAAAGGTACGCCGCGAGCGCCCCGCCTCCCCGCGCAGTCCATTGACAGTACCGCAGCAAGACATTCCTCGCCCGGCTCTGCGAACAGGCTGAGCGCTACGATGGTAAGTGCTGCCGTGCCTGTGCTGCCTCTGCGCGCCGTCGCTGACGTTGTTTTCCTGCAGAAATGGTCACGTACATGAAGGTCAGTGCCGCTCTCCGCTCCCTATTTGTATCCGACATACTGACACCCCTCTAGGAGGTCGCCAAGGTATGCCAGCTGCACCCGTCCCGTCACCGCCGGCAGGGGCCGCGCCTCGACCACGGCAGCGTGTATTGACACTTGACAGATCGGCGGCGAGCTCACCGTCGACGAGCGCAACCTCCTGTCCGTTGCCTACAAGAACGTCGTTGGCACGCGACGTGCCTCGTGGCGCATCATCTCGTCCATCGAGCAGAAGGAGGAGTCCAAGGGCTCAGACAAGCACGTCTCCACCATCCGCGAGTACCGAAAGAAGATCGAGGAGGAGCTCGAGAAGGTCTGCCAGGATGTCCTCAACGTGCTCGACGACTCCCTGATCCCCAAGGCCGAGTCCGGCGAGTCCAAGGTCTTCTACCACAAGATGTAAGGCTGCCGCTGCCTCCAGCGCTGCGTCGGACGCTAACCGTTTTGCGCCTGCAGGAAGGGTGACTACCACCGTTATCTTGCCGAGTTTGCCTCGGGCGAGAAGCGCAAGATTGCTGCGACCGCTGCCCACGAGGCGTACAAGGTATGACGCAATCCCCACCACGCACGCAAGGGAGTGCATAGCAGAGCTAACCGGGCGGTTCAGACGGCCACGGACGTTGCCCAGACCGAGCTCACCCCCACGCACCCCATCCGCCTGGGCCTGGCGTTGAACTTCTCCGTCTTCTACTACGAGATCCTGAACTCGCCCGACCGCGCTTGCCACCTGGCCAAGCAGGCCTTCGACGACGCCATCGCTGAGCTCGACTCGCTGTCCGAGGAGTCGTACCGCGATTCCACGCTCATCATGCAACTGCTCCGTGACAACCTCACGCTCTGGACATCGTCAGACGGTGCCGAGGGCGAGGCTGCTGGCGAGGCTGCTCCCAAGGAGGAGGCCAAGCCCGCAGAGGAGGCCGCGAAGCCCGCAGAGGCCGCCCCCGCGACCGAAGAGCAGCCGCCGGCGCCTGCTGCTTAAGCGCATCAACAGCTCTCGACCTTGTAAGACTCCACCAGCCGCCGTCGTCTATCCCCGGATAGAAGGAGGAAGCTGTCTAGGCAGCGAGCGTCATCGGAGTTGCGTGTATGTGTTTTGTCGAAAATCGGTTTCTAGCGAGCGGACGGATTCCCCCACGACTTATGTGTTTTCCTCTCAGCCGGCACTATCCCATCTTGCGCATGCCTCCGTCGCCGGGGGCGTGCGATCCGCTTGCAGCTCTGTTTCTACGGAAGTGAGGTGCAGGGGCAAGATGCGGGTCTGCGTCTGGTTCCTCCCCAACTTGTAGCTGTCCGGAAGTTTTCTCCCCCAGTGTCTTTTCCCTTTTAGCACCGTGTGAACACCTATGCCCCCTTTTTGGCGATGAAGAAGGCGCGAGGGTGCGAGTTTCTGAGCGGCTGACTTTCCTGGGGCAGCGTCATGCGGGACTTTTGGTCGGTCGGAGATGGGGCGTGTCTTCGGCGGGCTGATTGCGTGGCAAGTATTGACTGGGTGACTGCGCTCTTAGGATAGTTGGGGAAACTCTTTATACTTCATTGCTGTGCGGGTGTGCGTGATGTGGGTCATGTGGTGATTTTCAGAAAGCCTCCTTGTATAGCTATGTGAAAAATGTCGGCTACGGCTCGTATAGGTTCCGCTCCAGGGCCTCGCCGCTCAAATGGGCGACCCTGAACCCCGCGAACGGGTGTGGTGCGGGCGCTATCGTAGCCACAAAAAAGTGTCGCGGACGCGACCCCGCTACAAGTACACGCCGGACAACACCAGGCGAGACATCCCACAGCACCTTCAGCTGGGTGCATGGCACGCTGACGCTGACGAATTGACGGTGCGTATACCACCTGCTCCCGTACAGAGGTCATAATCTAACAGTCGAAGGACGTGGACGAGGCCTGCGCAAAGGCGAAGACGTAATCGACGCGCCAGACGGACACGACAGCGCCCCCGGGAAGCCTACCTGCAGCGCACTCAAAGCCTCGAGGCCTGTCGCCAAGAAGGAAGCCATGGTGTTTACGAAGAACTACTACGCCGTCCTCAACCTGGCTGCGCCGGGGCTGGGAGAACAGCTCACGCAGGAGGGGCTGAGGAAGGCGTACAAGACGAGTTTGCTGGCCGCGCATCCGGACAAAGCCGCGGCTGGTGCACCCGCGGCCGGGGAAGGGAAGCACACCGTCGACGACGTCAAGGAAGCGCTCGCCGTGCTGAGCGATCCGGGGCGGCGGGGCGCGTTTGACAAGTGGCTCGCGGCGCAACGGCAGCGTGGGGATGCTGGCGCGGGGTGGGAAGGGAACGGGCAGGAGGACTTTGTGCTGGGACTGGATTTGTTGGATCTCAGTGATTTCGAGGCGGGGATGCCGCCGTTCGTGCGGATGCGGACACCGGACGGCGACGAGGACGGAGAGCTGGATGGCGCCCTGGACTTCGACGACCTCGACCCGCCCTCTCCGTCCTCCTTCCCTGCAGCTGCGGCTTCAAACGGGGACCACGCCGCTGTCTCAGACCTGCCTGCCTCGCCTGCACGTCCTTCAGAAATGCATGAAGAGGAGAGGGGCGGGGAAGAAGGCGAAATGGAATGGACCCGCGCCTGTCGGTGTGGCGCGGAGAAGGGTTTTCGGATCCGGGAGCGGGAATTGGAAGATGCGGAGGGGAGGGGGGAGAAGGAGGTGCTGGTTGGGTGTGAGGGGTGTAGTCTGTGGGTGAGGGTGGGGTTTGATGTTGAGGAGGGTTGAGAGGATGGTGAGATATTGGGTTGCTGAGGGTGATGAGAAAAGACAGCGCCGAAGAGGAGACGGTACGGAAGAGGAAAGACGGTATGGCGGAGGTGTGCGAGGCCACAGACTTCACGAGCACTCCGCAAGAAGCGCACCATGCACACGCTCCGTTGAGCCGTATCCCACCGCACACATCATCTCTGCTAACAGGGTTCTCTCCAGAGCTTGCGGTACGAGACCCAGGAACACGTACTGTACAGACATTGTACTACGCAACACATCGTAGACAGATGGAAAGTTGCCCTGCCAGTACTCCGCTTCAGCCAAGCCTAGGAACACAGCCTTTCCATCTATGCAGCAGCAGCCTTCGAGGACGCATATAGTAGGATTGGGGAGGGAATGGAAGATCTACGGGAGTACACTCGCTAAGATAGATGGCTACAGAAAGGCGAATCACGCGCATGACGGGACTTGGCTCGTTCTCTATCCTAGTGCAGCTTCAGACTTCATTCGATCCAAGCAATGCAGTTGGGATGGCGACCAAGCAGGAGCACACGCACCCCGCTCCGTTCCACCCCCCGTGGACAGCGTGTACATGCAGCAGATGCCAAGGCACACATCATCCTTACTATGCCTCGCCCGCAGAGCGCATGCTTGTGCAAAGTATTGAAGTGCCTGTGTGCGCGTGTGCCAGCTCGACCCCTGTTCACCGGTCGTTCACCGGAATGTGCGCTAGCGCCGCGCAGCGCAGTCGCACGTAAGGAGTGCGACTCAGCCCGGCATTTACAGCGACTACCGCTCCGCGGTGCAAAGACTGATTGGAGATGAAGAGACGATCGCGTCATGATTTGCTGATGAAGAGAAGCAAGGCTTTGATTATGCATGCTAGAAACTAAGGTACCGCCGTTTTTGGTAAGACAGGTGAGAAGGGGAGGCCGTGACGCGCAACGTAACGAGTAACCTGTGGCATTCCACGCAAAACGTATATTCCAACGGCATGTGCGAGGCCCGTGATATCCAACGCCGTCGCTGAAACGCATCGCTAGATGAAGCCTACACACCGTGTGACCGTCATAAAGAAGGTATGTAGGAAAGCAAAAAGGCAAAAGGACATGGTCGTGAAGCATCCGAGGCAGCACGCCGGCCGGCCTCAAGGATGAAAGTGAAGTGGTCAAGTCGAGCATGGGTATCAGGAAAACAACAGCGCGGGCTGGCCATCGCAAGGCTACTGCGGGAGCCAGAAAGACAGCAGGAACGGGGCGACGAGGCGCGCAGTGTACTTGCCCTGGTTGGCGTGGGAGACGCTGATGCCTTGGCGCTGCTGGAGGTAGTCAACTATCGGGCCATCAGTATTTCTTCAGCAATAGTCAATCGCAGTCAAACTCACTGTTCTCCTTGACTAGCTGCGCCACGCTCCGCACAAACGTCACGCTCGTCTCGTCTCCAAACCCAGCCTCCTTCTCCCAGTCCTGCTCGCAGTCCCGCAGCGGATTGCACTTGCGGTTGTATTTCCAGCGGAAGATCTGGCTGACAAAGTTCATGCGCTGGTCGACGTCGCGGTTGGCAATGTCGGCCTGCGCCTGCGCGTCGCGCGGGTCCAAGCGCTCGGTCACGGCCCGCGTGTCCATGACCTGGTGCGTCGTCTTCTGCTGGTCCTCTGCGGCCATGGCCATGCCGACGACGGCGACGAAGGCAGCCAGCCACTTGTCGCAGCCCCTGCTCGACTTGAAGATCTGCTGGAGTTTGTTGAGGACGGCGGCGAGCGTGGAGCGCTGCAGCCGCGCGAAGAAGTATTTGAGCTGGCGCGCCGTCATGCGTGGGGAGGTGTAGTTTTGCACGTAGGCGGAGGGGTCCGTGTACGAGTGCATTTTGGAGAGGGTCTGGTTCTTGGTTTCTTCGGCCATGGTGATGGTGTGCGACATGATGTAGGTGCACACGATGAGGCGGAAGACCTCGCGGAGCAGTTTGGCCTGTTTCAAGTCAGCGTAGAGCGTTCTTGCGGGTGAGATGCCAAACGTACCTCGTCCTCGCTCTTTGGCTTCACGCGTGTCATGAGCTTGAAGAGACGGGGTGAGAAGTCGTTGTCGTCTTCCGCCCAGCAGATGTCGCCAAATGCATCGAGGTGGTTGTCGACGATGTCGTTCAAGTACTTGTCGTACTTCTTTTCTTCGTTGTGATTTATGTGCACCATGCCGAGAGCTGGGCTTCGCTTCCTGATTGTGTAGCGCTCCTGGGTCTGGGGGTTGGTCTGGTACTGCAGCTGCACCAACAGTTCTTCTCCGCGAGGTTGGAATTCGTACACCTTGACTTGCATGCGCGGCATTGTCCTCTGCTCGCAGGTCATGTACACGTTGATCTCCTGGTTGCCCCATTGATGGATGAACTGGGTCACGAAGTGAGTAAGATGGCTGTCCTCGTGGATCTGCATGACGAGCATAGGGAGGAAGTATTCTGAGAGTTCGATCAACTTGATGCGAGAGCACCCAAGGCCACAATCGGCATTGGGACGCTGGGCGCGCTTGACACAGCGTTCGCAAATGTCACCAGGACCGCACTATCAACCATTAGTCTGAGTCAGAACGTGACGAGGTGTTGTGCTCACCTTGTCGCGCTGTAAAACGCAGTGCCAGCAAGCAACAATCTTGCGCATGTCGTGGGCTGCTTTTGCGACTTTTGGTTCCAAGTGAGTCCCCAGTGCTCGTCCACCAGGCCTGCCAGTGTTTCGTATTGGGCCAACTTGCCGACGAGCTTTTGGACCTTCGGGATCGGGCGAGAGTCCAGTGACTGCCTCTGAGAGTGTCCTGTCTGGGGAGAAGTCATCCACGATGGATGGAGGTGGTATGGTCTGACCGAAAGACTGGTGCGACTGCGACTCGCGGCGCTCCGCATCGAGGTCGGACTGCTGATAGGACGAGAACATTCCCTCCGAGCCACCAGGGCTTGAGACTGAAGCATACGCGCTAGAAGGTGATTGTAGATTAATCCGGGACGGTAGCTCGATTGATGTGGCAATCGGCGATGGGTGCTGGTGCGAGGATCTACGGCTTCCCATATATCCCATCTGTAGGACAGGCTTTGCTTCATAGGGGGCATAACGTCGTGAACTCGGCGAAGGAGACGCCCGAAAGGACCACATATCAACGGGACTACTGTTTGAGTAGTAAGTGTTGGCATGGACCTGGCTTTGGGTGACTGGTTGGCTCGGTTGTTGCTGAGCTAGGCTCTGGGTCGCCATGGAGTATGGGTCTTGAGGTGACACCAAAGGTTCATTAGGAGATGCAAGGTAGGTTGGATCAGTTTCGTTCATCGCCCAGAGACCGACGTCAGGACTAGTGAATCGCGAGTAGTCTATGAAGTCAGTGATAGGATCGAAAAGGACGACGCTTGAACCCGGCTCATCCGGGCTTCGCATAGGCTGTTCACTCGTCCATGGAGCTGCCTGATTGGCGAAAGGTTGACCTTGATAATTGTTATAGTGTTGAGGTACTAGAATACTTGGCTGCAATCGAGCTTGCGCATTGAAAGGTTGTGGATGGAGATGCTGCGGCTGATGAGCGGCGAGTGTGGTGTTGAGCGGTTCCGTCAGAGCTGCTCGCGATTAGCATCAACGCCACAGGCGACAAACGGGATGCATGCCTTGACCTGTGAAGGTTCCTTGGGGTGTAAAGAACATGTTCTGATCATGCGCAGTGAGAGGTCCAGGGGAGACCTGAGTGGTCATCATGTTGCCGTTGGCTTGATAGGCCTCTAGATGCGTATCCAGCGTGAATTCCTCGACACTATCGTTGTCTGGGGTTTTCACTGAGGTAGGGGAGTCGGACGGGCTATCGCCATACAGCATCGGCTCCGGGTACTGGCCTGGAGGCGGGTCTGGTCCTCGCGAAGGGTTACGACTCATAGGCGGGGTGCTAAGAGGGCCACCAGGAGATAATCCAGTGTGATTGACCAGGGATGTAGGCGTCTTTGATCGCTGCGCGGCATACTGTTCGTAGTTGCTGTATAATTCCGGGGCGACTGGTACCTCAGGCGCCATGGGCAGCTGCTGGTCGTAGCAGTAGTAACCGTTATCCATGGTGAGCAAGCTGTTGGACATAGCCTAACCTCTGGGGAGCTGAGTCTCTATCGCCTTGCGAAGTGCCTTACGGAAGTAGGCCAGCGCCGGATCCACGAGCTGGTGGCCGACGACTCGTATTCGCGTGAATTCCACCACGAAGGAGCGGTAAGCCGATGAGACGCACGGCTGTCCCGCTGCCAGTGCGGAAAGATTCGAAGACTCGAGAACAATGCGCAGCGAGGGAGAAACAACAATTCTCACTACGGCTGGGGAAGAAAGCAGCTCAAAGATGATCAGATCAGACTCAGTGCTGGGCCCGATTCGTAGAACCCCTCAAACCGGTGAAGGGCTGCGGGTGGATACTGCTGCAGCTATTGGGTTTAGCTGCATACCACGCTGCACAGCATTCGCGTAGTACCAAACACAGACGGCGCGCGGCAAAAGCGAAAATCATAAATGGAGGAGACCAGGATGAGACTACAAGCTGACAGCAAGTCTGGTTTCTCTGCTGGCGCGCTGAGCAGAGGCATTCGTTGCCTCAGGCCCATGGTGGTGACAGGACGATGCACTGCGCCACCGCCAACGGAGCCTTAGCACGGAACAGAATGCGTGCATCAACCCAGCATCTGAGCACTGTCCTCAATCGTCGTCGCGCGGCTCTGCTGCATTGACCGACTTCTTCGCAATGAGCTGGAGCAGCCAAGTCGCGCATGTCGTTGAGACGCTCAAGCCAGTCGTTTGGTCTGAGGCTGCTGGTCCTGGCAATTTTCCACGAGCCATGACAAAAGCGTCCACTGCCGGATATGGAGGATCGGCGAATTGCCAGCGCATACCTGATACGAGCCATGGCACGAGGATGACCGCGCCGGCACCCGACAGCGTCGTCCAGCACTTTAGGAAACATACAACATGCCGCAGATTGTTTCGAGTCGCCGTTTGGGGCGGTGCGGTTTGGCTTCAGAAGCTTGTACGTCGCGGGACAAGAAGGTGGCTGCGTCCACACTATGATCATTGAGAGACTCTGCCTCGCTGCGCAGAACACTTGCAACCCGATCGTCCTAGTAGTCAACGGGCAGGCGTTACAGTGCCGTGAACATCGCCATCTCCAGCAGTACCAACAGCAGTCGACGAGGGCAATGTGACTAGCGACTGGAAGTTGATGGTGCAAGGCGCATTCGCACTGTGTAGAAGACGACGCCCTTCGACATGGTGCAAGTGCACCGAGTACTCCGAGGCTTACCCCTTTGGGCGACTCGCCCATTCCACCAAATCACCTTGTCAGATGACCGGCTAGCTTGCCGCTTGGTAAGCCGCGGAGCTCAACATGGCACTAACCACTCCGTTCTCGGAGCAAACATGTTCCATGCACGAGAACTCCGATCTGATAGAGATCCCCACGTTGCAGTTGTGCGTAATATTCGTTTGCTATTCCACCTCACCTGCACTGCATTGTGTGGAATGCCACGCAATGCTGAGACGGAACGGAAAGCCTAGGTTTGTACGACGCGGGAAAGCTTGAGCCGACGCTTATACTCCATTTAGGTCTTGCGAACCATGTCGTATATCGAAGATCCGCTGTGACCATGCAACACCGACTTGCGAGAAATGCAAGACCCGAGGCATCGCAGAACAAGTCAGCCGCCGCTAGTCACTGCCCACATCCTCTCTAACAAGTTCGCCAGTGCTTTTATCACCCGGCACCTATGACCAGGCCTCCTGGCGTGCCTCGTAAAAAGCCAGAGCCACGACGTCGCGCTTCCAACGCGCGCCAGAACGCAACGCGAGATCACGAATCTCAACCTTCTCTTAGTCTAAGCCCTACGGCGCTTCGGAATGAAATTGGAGTTCCTTCCATTGTGAATGCATGGCCTACTCCTCCTGAATCTGCAACAAGGACTACCCAAAGCAGCTCTGACACCAGGAGCTTCTACCTTGGGAGCACTAGCTATGCAAGTGTTTTCGCGCAGGAGCAACCACTTTCAAATGCCTTACATGAGCACCCTCCTGCAAGCGCCCAAGGAACGCCTACCATCATGGCTAGTGGGCTCGAGGGAACTCGCCATTGTCGTATGAGCGTTGGCAGGGACATCATATCCAAGTGTGGACAGTTTGCCTTCTTAGAGCGGCTTGTGCGAACATACTTCAGGATCAATCAAGGATCAGCAATGATCGGTCCCTTGATCACTAATGCATTGCCTCATATGCGCAGAGACATTGAATACATCAACTCCAACTCCGATAATCCATATCCCTTACTAGCCGAGATCACGAAGAACAGTACTCAGCCCCTCAAGGTCCCGCCGACCATGCTCCCATCCGAGTTTCACACGCTCTTCACAGGTCCGAACTTGCGGTGGGAAGCGATAGGCCTCATGATGGCGCTGGCGGCTTCCTGTGCACAGTTCTCTCCACCAGATGATCCCTTGTTCACTCTTGAGAACGGAGATAGGGTCAACAAGGACGACTTCATCTTGGACATGATCCACGCCACCAACGACTGCATCACCCTTTGTCAAGTCCATGGTGCCGTGAATGACATCATGGTCTGGCTAATGTACAACAATATGCTCGTACAAAGTAATTGGTACGGCGACAACTGTATGCCATTTCTTGTATTTCCATCATGGGATATTGACGAATGTAGATCACGGTGTATGGCGTCGAACTGGCGATGTTATTTCGGCACTCCATGCAGAAGGAATCCATTGCGAGAATGCAGTCGTGAATCCATGCGATGAGCCTCTGTTCCTTCGCGAGTCGCGCAGGCGAATCTACGCTGCAGTGTATCGAACCGACAAGAGCTTGGCTGACTTCTTCGGGCGTCCACCGATGATGCACCAGCGGTATAGTGACCGACCGCTACCTCTGGATCTTGACGACGAGGTCGTTACTTCCGACGACCATGCGATTGTAAATGAAGTTATATCAAAACTCGATGTCGACGGGTGGGCTCTTGATGGTCAGATTAGGCCAGCCTCGTGGATACGATTACGTGCTGCACTTGGTCGTGTCAAGGAGCGCTTCCTCGAAGCGTCGCTCACAGGAAAGAAAGATGTCTTCATGATTGAAGAGATAGAGTAAGTTGACACCATATTCCGAAAACCACGTCGTTCTCCTTGGCTCAGATGCCCTTCATCTGATGTATTATTGCGCAAGTCTCAGACTAACAAAAGCAGAGCAATACGCGAGCAACATCGAACGAACTGGGAGACTTCGCCCGCCCATCTCAGATACGACCTTTACGACAATGAAGCTGTTTGGAGAAATCTCAAACCAAGGGCGGCCTTGCGAATGATAGGAGCATACCTCGACCACCTACATGCAGGCTTCCAGATTCAACGTCTTCTTCGCCGTCACACCCAAAACGCTCTTCCCGCCCTCCTTGAAATCGCGATGAACCTTCTCTCTACCGCTCTCATTTTCAACAAAAATCGAAACCACGAATACAACGTGCAGCGACACTTTGCTACTTTGGTGTTGTTCTACTGTTTGCCAAGTGCAGGTGTTCTGGCTCTAGAACTCCGCCGCTGCACACTGGAAAATTTACCGCTGCCAAACACAGTGTCGCGTGCTGACATCATTCGGAACTTATCCGTCCTCATATCATGTGTGGAGTGGGCAATCGTACCGGACGACGGCAATCATCGCCTGTGCAGCGAGCTCAACAAGATGATTGCTCTTGTCTTGGACGAAGTGCTCAACTACCAACCTCCCTCGAACGAGGGTCAAACCGATGGAGCTTCGGCAGTGCTCGCCGGGGTCGGAGCTGGTTTCTTCGACCTCCCAATGATAGATGGCATGGAGCCTATTCCAACCGAAAGCGAGGACTTCTTGAACTGGCTGGATAATGCGAATTGGAATAATACGGTGGGTCCAGGCCGGTTTTGAGAGACACAGCAGAAGAGTTAATAAGCACGTAGTATCTCTTCTGATTTTTAGCGTTCTTTTTCACGGCCTCGCTTATTCATGACGACTTGACAGGATAGAAATCGGCATCGGACGTAATGAGCATTTGGAGATACCCTTTGATTATTGGGGGCTCGTGTGAGCGCGAGTCGACTACGCACGTGCCAGCTGAGGCAGCATTAGCAGATAGATTGAGAACGAAATATCTTGGACAACTCCATCCGTAACAGCATAACGGACGTTGAATGTTTTTATCGTTCTTCAACAGCTAGCTATCTGACCCCCCGCCTTGACCCCAGAAGACTGGCAACTATATTCCCCATCGCTGAACTACACCTTGCTTTCTCGCACCCGCTTTAATACACCCTTGCTACACATCTTCCCTTCCCTTCCCAGTCCTCTAGCTTACCGACTCTCGGACCTGGTCTCCAAATAACTCCGCGGACCCTCAACACCGAATCCCAAAATCTAAATCCGAGCACCGCCGCCCGAGCCTCGCTCCCATTCGCCAACCCAACTACGGTGCCCTGACACCGTGATGGCTCGGAGATGCACACGCGTCTCGGATTTGGTTGTACATGACGCGCCGCTCTCACCACGTGGGAAGACGACTTCCCTGCTGCGCGAGAGTTAGTGTACCGCGTCGGATTTACTTGTACGCTTGGGGGAAATGGCGTGCGCGGCATGTGCCGTGAGATGCAGGCAAGGCTCCCAACGTACCTTGCGATCTCCACGCTTCTGCCTAGGCTACGCTGTAAGAGCACACGTCAGGTCAGATGGAAGCGCGAATCGGAGCTTGAATGGCGGTCGGGGACTGCGCGCATTTGGAGTCATACATGGTGTTGTCGCTACTCCGAGGTGCGGCGTTGACGCAGATGAGAGCTGGTATGGGCAGCGCTGGGCTGGGGAGACGTCGCGATGGGAGGGGACGGCCGAAACGACGTGGTGTATAAGAATGAGGACAGAGGGTGCGTGGAAATCCGGTACCGGTTCAACACCAGGTGAGCATTACAAGGCCATCTACCTGCCTCCTGAACAAGACATCGAAAAAGACAAGATACGAATATAAAGAACTACTTGGGGGTTGCGATACCTATTTAAGCTGTCCACCAAACAACCGCATGAACGCCGAATTCCACGCCACGAGACCTGTCTCCCTCTTCACAAACAAGATGTCTTCGACTACCAATCACACTTCGAGCGAAACTGCTCCGCCGCCGTACTCCCCATCCGACACGGCCTCCCTCGCCTCGACGAGCTCGAAATCAGCACTCCTCAAGCAATTGCTTCATAAGAAACGTTAGTCTCTCACCCCGCCCCTCTTTGTAGCGTGCTGAACTAATCTGAACATAGCATCGGAAGGCTCAACGCCCAAGCAAGCGAAGAACAAGAGCAAAAAGGAGCAGCGGCCGCAACAGGAACATCAGCACTATGACAGAGAGACGTTTTGGGCGGCGGCGGCGGTGTGGGCGTCGATGCGGTAATGAAGATGAGCCTCGCGTTATGCTTGGGAATTGTGTTCTGAATATTGTGTCATGCTGCCTCAACCAACCGCCCAATAGCTACTTCCAGAGAATGGAAAATGTCCGGTACTGCAACTCGCTGTCGTCCTTCAGGGACATCCGTATGGCCCATGAGCACATCAAGTTACTTCCCGGAAGCTTCTCGGAGTTTCTATAGCAAGGTAGTGCCGCCACTCCATAAAACACCATTCTAGATGAACACAATGCCATGCACGCACGATCATCGCTTTCGATAGATTGGCAATTCAGAGTCTTACAGAATTGGTGAAGAAGTGGACAAAAGTGGGCAAACAATGGCTTTCTCCGTTGAATTATAGACTTCTTATATTCGACCATACAATAGGGAAGTGTCACATAGGTCCTCAGCACTGTAACACGGTGTGGGCGCATCTGTGACCTGAAATTGCAAGGTTGAAATTGAATTTAATAAGCTTCACAACGGATTGTTCGATCCCCAACCCTTAACTGCACCCTTGCGTGGTTGCGCCAATATGGACAACCAAAGTTCTTGATTGGAGTACATACGTCGTCCTTCGTATTGGAATGCATCGGGTTCCGTGGTGGTTTTGTGGATATTCCGCCTGAATTACTGGTATCTCGCATCCGCAGGACAGTCTGGAGCTTATGCTTGGTCCGCTACCGTTTTTTGCTGTTGAGGCTTTTGCTTGTAGCATGCTAAATCTAAGTTTGTTTCGCTTCTAGAGAGAAGTCAAATAGTCTTCAAATAGGTAGAAACTTTTATATCTGTGCCTAGAAATATTTGTAATAGGCAGCACCATGAAATATAAATGTCGTTTAGTGGCGCATGTTAATCACCGGTGGGATAGGTACCGTAGGTATAGTGCGGGGTTTCAGCCCCATCTCCTCGATACCTTCATTCACCAAACTCGTGGTCCAATGCACATATCGCCTCTGAACTCTATGCGTATCGTCTACAAGCATGGGTGGCTCTATTGATGCAAGCTTTCTCGATCGCATGTGGCTCCCACGGCCTGACATCACGCAAGAGGACGCAAAAGCAATTCTTCTCAAGCACTACGACCTTTCCGGAGATGTAGAAGAACTTGTTAGTCAGCAAGACCGCAACTATCTCATAGTACATGGCGCGGAAAGTTATGTTCTTAAGATTTGCCTAGCGGAATATGCGCTCACCGAACTCGAGGCACAGATTTCGGCATTCCAACATCTTCGTACCAAGGCTGGTGTGCCACGAGTACCGAGCATCCTACCAACCACCGAAGGCGGTTCCATTATTCTGGTAGAAATCAGAGGACGAAAATACCGGGCACGTCTTCTCGAGCACCTTGAAGGAGAGCCGGTGATCGAGGAACACAGTCTCTCTCAGGAATTGATACGTGCTCTTGGGGCTTTAGCCGCAAGTCTTACGCTTGGTCTTCGCGATTTTGCGCATGCAGGTCTCAATCGTAGCCTGCAATGGGATTTGCGCAATGCTGGTGCAGTAGCGGACCACCTACTTTCGTCAGTTCAAGACGATGAGCGACGTAGCCGCATGTCTAAGGGAATGAACACCGCCCTCACGCGACTGAAGCCTTTGGAGAAAGAGCTGCGAATTCAGACAGTCCACCACGATCTTACTGGCGATAATATCCTATGCCGCAAAGACCAATCCGGTGCATCTATACCAGATGCTGTCATCGATTTTGGCGACATCACGCGAGGCTGGCTGGTGAGCGACCTGGTTGTCCTCTGCGCCTGGTTGCTTCAGTACAACGAACAGGATATTCTGTCAGTTCTTCCAGCAATCACAGCGTATCATGAACTTTGTCCTCTGAACGATGCCGAACTCCGGGCATTTTGGCCACTGGTCATTGTTCGCTCTGTCGTTCTGCTTGCTAGCAGCGAGCAGCAGCTTTCAGTGGATCCTGCAAACAGTTATGCTTGTCGGGACCTCGAAACTGAGCGAAGTGTCTTCGAGCGAGTGACAAGTGTCGATGCGGATCTGATATATACCAATATTATAGAAGCACTCGTGGGAGCTGCAGATTAGGGAGAAGAACATGCAAATTACTTGTAGAAGCAGATTGTCTCTGAATGTAGGTTCCCTACGATGGGTTCTGGTCGAAGAGAAGTTGCCATATGTATAAGAGCTGGTGAATTCCGATATCTTCCTATCAGGTGGTGAATCAAACAATTACCTTGGGGTATCTTGACTGGTATAATAATCTACGATCTGAGAAAAGGTAATATGCGTCATCAAGGTTGCGCTCCTGTGGTCATACGGCCCCGGAAGACGGACCTCGATCCTTTTGTTTTTTGGCCTAGAGGGACTCGACAGGCAGTAAGCTAAACGTCAATAACGGTGCATTCCTGACGTGTTCGCGAATGTCTTCCAGATCGCTTCCCCTTGGCTTGACCCAGCTGTGCAGCGGTTCGTCTAGTTCTGGGTTCAGGAAGTATATTATCGATTGACGATTGTTCAAGCGGTGATTACGGCCTTGGTGGTATATTGTCGAAACAGCTCCAGCAGTCAATGCTGTGAGTACCGAGCCAGACACCCAAATAATCTGATTAGAAGCAGGCAGCATCAGTAATGTAGTCGATTGTTCCTCCTCCCTGGGAAATATCTCTAAACCAGGAGCGTTGGCGTATAAGGAAGTGATCATATGGCCATCTTCATGACTATCTTGCCGCAGTTCACGGTCACTTGGTGCCACAAGTGCGTTGTTGATCTGCAGGTGAGGTGCCCTCTTGAAGGCGGGGTTCTGGACGAAAGGCAACCGCTGCGATTGATCCAATTTCTCAGCCTACTCACTGCACGCACGTTTCATCGGTCGTCTGTCCGCTTCACTTTTCCAGATAGCATAGATCAGCACACCACCGCCACGCGATTGCATTGCATTTTTTTATTTTTTTTAGCCCAGACAAGGAGCCTACAATTTGAGGACTTGGGCAAGGACACTACCTCAAAACGTTCACAGCTAATGGAGCAACACTTTACCAAGCGGAAATTCTCGCGGGACCAGGTCCGCAGAAGTAAAGCCATGCATTACTTCCCACATCTAGTTAAAAAGCGGATTACACAGTTGCTCTCAAAGCTGTAGAAATACAGAGTAGAAAATCTTTTTCATTTACTGGTCATCCTAGAGATTGGCCCCTCTAACCAGCACCCACAACACCACGGGCACAACAACATTGTCATTCCCACCCGTCAGCACCGCCTCTTCCAGACTCGCACCTGCGGCGCAGATGCTCGCTTTCCCCACCATCTTCGTGCCCTCCAGCGCCCGCTCTAGCAGACTCCTATCAGACGCAGCACCTCCCCACCCAACAACGAGCCAGATTTTTCCTGCGACAAGCCCAATCGTGACCGCCACCGCAAACGCCAGACTACCCTCGAGCGACTTGCCGCCTGCCCAGGGCCATTTCCTGCGTCCATACCGCCGCCCAATGAGCGACGCGGCCGCGTCTCCCATCCCAACGCACACGACGCCCGCGATCATGCTGACATCTCTCTTCTCGACGTCCCAACCCACCCAGGGCTCTTCGCCCTTTCTATCCACGCCCGCGAGACTCAGCCATAGTGGAATCGCACACCCAATCAGGAGAAAGATGTGACTAACCACCACGGGGCCCCTAAGATCCCTGCCGTCCACGTACGGCGTGAGGAACGTAGCGATGGGCCCGCTCAGCGGCGGTAATTGGCTCGCACGGATGAGGTCGAGGAGGAGGAAGATGGCGAGGACGAGCGCGAGCGCGAGCGCGACGAAGCAGGGGTCTATGAAGATGGTTGGGAATAGCATGGCGACCATCATGCCGTGGAAGACTTTGCGGCGGGTGTCGACTTCGACGACGGAGGAGAGGCGGAAGACAACGATGAGTCCTACCAGGATGATGCTGACGCAATAGGCACAGAGGAGGAGACGGACGTTAGCGGGTCCGAGGATGGTTTGGCGGAAGGTCTCGGCGAGCGGGAGTCGATAGGACCATTGGTCGTCGTTGGCGTCAAAGAGCGGAGGGAGCGCAATCCACCAGCCCAGATCCCAGTTGAAGACTTCGAAGCGTAGGCGTTGTATGTTGCCGAAGAGGTAGCCGAGTGCCCAACCAAAGGGCTCGTGATCGTAAAGGGCGTATTTGCCGATGATGTAGCGGACTGGACCGAGAATGAGGGCAGCTACAACAAAGTAGAAGTATGCGGCATAGATCCACTTCCGGTAAAGTGCTTGTGTGGGCGTGAGTGTGAGGAAGTGTTGCGCTATGGATTTTGTGCGTCGGCGTTGTCGAAGCCCATTTGGTAATATGGGAAGTTGCACAGGCAGACTGGGGACTGTGTTACGCCTTCGTGAAGTTGAAGCAGATGGGGGTGAATTTTGTTGCCTGTCACGATGTAGGTATTCTGTCTTGTTAGGCTCGACTGCTGACCGAGCTTCGTTGCCATTCGGCGTTCTGTTGTTGTTCCTGAGAGCATTCAATATGTCTAACCTCAAGCTCTTAGTCTTGGTCAGAGAATTTTGTAACAAAGGCTCATCCTCATCAGCATCGCTGTCGGACGCTGCTCGAGTGGCACTGCGTGTACGAAGGCTCTTATTGAGCACTTGTAGGAACGATTGCTGCGCCTGAATGACACGACCCACGCGTCGAAATCTCCACCGCGGGATGCGTGCCAATGCCACTCCCCATTTGAGGACTTTGCCGCAAAGCACGAAGAGAGTGAGACCTCCAACCCATATCAAAGTTCTCAGTATACCGGCTTGGGGCGAGCCCGTAAATAGCAGGAGGTTGATCAATCCGATAGCGAGAAGGTGCAGCTCTGCAGGAAGTAGACTTGTCGTTGTGAGGTAGTGTAATGGCGGCAAAAGTGCCTGGTGAAGGGGGAACAGGCACACCAGCAACTCTGGATGCAGCCCCTGTTCGGATGGGGGTAGCTTGATCTTATGAGGTAGTGGTGCCAGGTTTTTGGAAGGGAAGTCCGAATTCTCAGAGGCGATTAAGGGTAGTATGGAGATGAACCAGTGGACACTCGAATAGCCCCCCGGCGAGACTCCGCAGGGTATTAATTGGGGCGGCAATGCTGCTAAGCCGAGCAGAATGTTGGGTAGCAACGCCCTTGGTAATGCCGAAAATAAAGATATGGAAATCAAAACTGGTAACACAGCGGGGTATAATATGGGAGCAGGATCGAAAGCGGCTGGTATGCGAATGCGCTGTCTGAAACGGAGGTTCGAAGGCGGCTGTTTTTGCCACGAATAAAACAGGAGTCGGAGCGGATAGATAGCGAGGATGCTACCCATGATGAGGACATGAGTGGATAGATCTACTGAGAGGTTCTTAGCATGTACCTTGGTGGCTTCGTGAAGCAAGCAAATACCTCTGTGCCAGCGCAACAGCTTCTCCCAGCACTTGCACCCGCCAACCGCCAGCATGCCTATGACCCCGAGCAATGCTGTCTCGGTCGTCCTCCTTACGATCTCGTTGCGGCGTCTCTTCAAGTACTTCTGGCGCGCTGCTTTCGCTTCGTCATCGGTTGGCGAAGGCTCTCCAGTCCGCGACCCCTCTTTGCTTGGCTGGAAGTATTGCATGGAGAGCTTGCGGCCTTCCTCGTCCACCTGGGAGGGTGTTAGCAAGGGCGTTGCATCGCCCTCCAGCCCTGATCCGCGCGCATCGCGTAGTCCTTTGCGCGGCCTCAGAGGCGGTGCTGGCAATGCCTTGACGAAGCCGTAGCCCTCATCGTCAGCCTCTGTGCCGCTCTCGCTTGGAGATCGTGACACTCTTCTCCGCTTCTTTTCGCCCTCTTCTGACGGTGTGCCTAGTGACGTTGGCCCGGTCGTGCGCGACAGGTCGTTGCTCGACGATTGGGAAGATGGCTGAGAAGTGCGCAGCTCGTGCTGGCGGCGGTGGTACGGGTGCGGCGAGCGGCGGAAGAGCTCGAGAGCTTCTACATCAGAGGCTGTGGGCGCTTCCAAGTGCGACTCGGGCGGCTCGGAATCTTGCGCCATGCTGGGGTGGTTTGGTGGGCAAACGGGTGGGGAGTATGCGCTTGAGCTTCACGAGGGGGGACGTTTGTGAGAACGAATGGCGCAACAATGGAGGCGCATTCTAGCCGGGCTGCCACATGTTTCGATCAGAGGGAGAATGTGGGAGCATGCGTCGTGCGTGCAATACAGGAATTCTCACATGTTCGGGCATACGCGGACCTTGAGTAGCTGACGTTGCTTGTTGAACCGCTTGCAGGGTTGCACCTGCAACGCCGCCAAGACACGACTACCGCAACAGGATATACTGCAGCAAGTGGGCGAACGCAGACGAAGATGAATTTCAGGTGATTACAAGAGTATATGCATTTCTATTGTACACGCATCTATCAAGATGTCTTATGCTGGTATCGGGGTATACACCAACACCCGCCCGCTTGGCTCCCTGCAACTTTGCATACTTCCACAGCCCTTTTTCTACGCCACTTGCTAACTTACAAGTACTTGTTCTCCTTCAACCACGCCTTCACATCATCAGAATCGCGCTCAATCCAAGCTGCCTTCGCGCTAATGGCGTCAATGCTTTGGGCAAGTGCCTTGTCAAAGCCCTTGGTGCTCTTGTCCGCAAAGAAGGTCTCAATCTCCTTGATGTGCTCCTTGCGCGTGAAGCTAGACGTCGCGATAGACACAACAGAGCTGAGCATGCTCAAGCTGGGCGGCAACCTCTTCTCGAGTTCCTTCCAGTTGTCCTTGGTCCATTGCCAAAGAGCCTTGATACCCTCTGGGTGCGTACGCAGAGAAGAGAGTGGTAGGTAGATGTCCTGCGCTTTGACGTCGTCACTCAGGGACAGGTCCAAGGTGCGCTGTATGAGCTCAGGAGTCTTGGCACGACCTAAGGCCCGCATAGCCGTGTTACGCTCATCACTCGTCTTGGCATTGATGGCCTCGTACTTAACGACGTCATATTCTGCCGCACCGCCGTTGCTCAGAACGATGGCGTACACACTGCCACGGAGGTTGGGGTGGATAGCGGACCGATCGCCGTTCTTGAACTTCTCGAACATGTCGAACGAGGCCTTGACAATGGTGTCGTCCTTCGCAATACCAGCAGTACCGAACATCATTGCCTTGAACTGCTGCTCAAGATGTCCGTCCTTCTCGGTGAAGGTCCAGCCCAGTTCGTGGGCCTTGTCTTGGGTCAACTTGAGCTGGAAGGTCTTGAGAGCATCCTTGACAGCCTGGTCTTCAAACTGCCATGCAGAGCGGAGTACGCTAATACGGCTGCTGATCTCCTGCCACACGACAAACTCGGTCTCGCTCTTGAAGCTGTCCAGGAGCGAAAGAATGCCGGACGTCTTCTGGTAGCCCGAGGTAGCCAAAGCACCAGCGTCGGCAATCATACCGGCACGGTCTTCCACGGTGAGGAGCCCCTCCTTGGCAGCGAGACCTAGCTTTCGAAGACGCTCAGGACTATACGAGGTGCGGTAGATGCCAGTGTGATCGGCGTTGAGCTTGAAGAAGTCGAGATCATTAACCTTGAAATCAGCTTCGCGGGTGGTCAGAGCCAGTTCTTGGTCGACACCCTCCTTGGTGCGTAGACCGAGGAAGATGGGGTATAGGGTCTCGTCTTCCTCCGGCTTGACATCCGCTGTGCGCAGGAAACGGTTCTGCTTGAGATGAATAGAGTCTGAGTTTTCGGTCACGGTAACGACTGGGAAGCCGACATGCTTGGTCCAGATGTCCATGACTTTTTCGACATCTTTGCCGCTAGCGTCGCTCAAGGCCGCCCAAAGATCACCAGTCTGGGTGTTTCCGTAGGCGTGCTTCTTGAGGTACCTTCGAATTCCTTCCATGAAGACGTCCTCGCCAAGGTACTTTGAGATCATGCGGATGACGCAAGATCCCTTGGAGTACGAGATGGCATCGAAGATCTGATTAATCTCGTCTGCGCGCTTGACTGGGACTTCGATTGGATGGCTACTGCGAAGCGAGTCTAACGAGAGGGCTGACGCGAGATTGTCGGTAACGTACCCCTCCCAAACCTTCCAGTCGGGATAGAAGACGTTGCACGAGTACCAAGACATCCATGTCGCGAAACCCTCGTTCAGCCACAAGCCATCCCAGAAGTCCATAGTCACAAGATTACCGAACCACTGATGTGCAAGCTCATGCTGCACAGTCTCGGCTACGCGCTGCTTCAAACTAGCACCGCTGTTCTTCTCATCAATGAGCACGTCGACGACACGGTATGTAATCAGACCCCAGTTCTCCATGGCACCCGCACTGAAGTCGGGAATGGCAACCATGTCCATCTTGGGCAGAGGAAACGGGCTGTTGAAGGTCTTCTCGTAGAAAGCGAGCGTCTTGGCCGCAAGGTCGAGTGAAAAGCGGCCGTGCTCGATGTCTCGGTCCTTGGGCGCATAAACGCGCACAGGTACGCGGAAGTCGTTCGTCTCAATGTAGTTAAGCTCTCCGACAATGAAGGCGAGGAGGTATGTAGACATGAGCGGTGTCGGGTTGAATGTGACTGCCTTGCGCTTCTCACCCTTGACGACAAGGGAGTCCACCTTCTTCTCCGAAGCAACATCCATGTTGCTCAAGCAGGTCATCTTGTCTTCGGCGACAAGCGTTACAGTGAAGGTAGACTTCAGCGCCGGCTCGTCGAAGCAGGGGAACGCGCGGCGGGCATCGGTAGGCTCCATTTGCGTGGTCGCTAACCATGTCTTCGAGCCATCCTCAGCCTTGAAAGACGAACGGTAGAAACCCGCCATGTTATCATTCAGTGTGCCCGTGAATGTCAGGGTGAGGGCGGCCTTTGACCCGCTTGATATGGTATCCTTGAAGGAGACTTTGGTGGTCTGGCCCTCTTCATCGTGGGTCAGCTCCGGGGAGCTCGAGACGACTTGGTCACCAGATGTGACCTTGGCGGAGTGGATCTTGAGGTCGATGGTGTTCAGTGTGATCTCCGTGGAATTTTCGACCACGTCAAGACTGTAGCGGGGTCAGCAAAATGCTAGAACACAAGCTGTAGAGCGGGCGGAATACCCCCCCAAGTTAGACCAGGCGGTATGATATACAGGCAGATTATTGCGCATGACCTGCTGCACTTGGTGCTGCACTGCCTGCTGTCTTCTGGATCATGCATGCTGGGCCAACTTGCGGGGTGTGTCCAATCTTCCCGCAAACGGGGAGCGTGCGATTGCGTACTCAATGGTCACCGAGCCCTCGTAGGTGGCCTTCTCGAAGTCGGGCTCGAGGGTCAGGTCGTAGTGGAGGGGCTTCACGTTGGTGGGCAGCACCTCGCGCGCCTGGTTGACGGCCATGGCGGAGCCCTCGTTATCTGCGCCGAACTGTCTGCACATGTTGCGGCGGTGGGAGCAATGTCGGACTTGGTTAGGGAGTGTGGTGGTGGATTGGCGAGGGGCGAGGGTCCGACGAAGGGTCGACTCTGCGGCAAAATGGCGTGGTGAGGTCGAGGTGGTGGGGTAGAATGAGGTGGAGTTCGCGGGCCGCGCGACACTCAAGAAGGAGCGACTTAGCGGAACGCGACCGCTGCTGGCCGCGGTGATGGAACGTATTCGATTCGCAGCCGCACCCGCCCCAGCCGCAGGCGCTGGCCGCCGCAGGGCATTCCGTGATGCTCTCTGCAGGGCGCCATACTGTCTGAGGAAGCCCATCTACGTCTAGATGGTATGCGGTGAAGCGCCAATGGCAATTCGTCGGTGAAGGATGTTGCAGCTCTTCCGTCCGAGAAAGGCAGGCGCGCCAAGCCGTCCTATGCATCGACGCACACGCCCCTCGGTTAAAACCTCTTCGCATGCAGCGTGTCTCTCTTCTTCACATTCACAGCAAGGAATTCAGTCCTCCCAGCCCTCCTCCCCATGGTCGCGCTGGAGTTCTGGCGCCTCGTCGCCAGCCTTGCGAGACCGAAACACACGCGCACGTTTGAGCCTCTCCGCGATTCCTGCATGAGCGGGGAGGTATAGAAGCTTCGCGACATTACCCATCCATGACCGTGAATTTGCAGAACTCGTCCAAAATCGCCTTCTTGCCTGTGGGTCAAGGATTTCTGCACGCTAATACGTTGGCGAGGCCAGGTGACTGCTGCCAGGGTGAATGTTGAGCTAAACGGTTTTGACCGCTCATCACAGTGGTACAAGAGGCGCCTCAATCTGCTGTTCGGGTGTATCGCGATGTCATGTGGTCAACTTCGACATCTTGCTTACATTAACCGAGAGACCCACCATTTCACCGCCATCTAGGAGGAGATCCTGTGATGATATTATTGAATCAGCCTCTAGCTATGCGGTGAATCTCATCTGAATTGCCTTGGCAGCGTTGTGCACTAAACCCTCCATCATCAGACATAGCACTTCTGCATGGTTCGAGCTGAGACTTTGCTGACAATGAGTCAAGCTCATGACCAAAATAACGAAATACATGCTCTTGAGAGCAATGGAAGTTCGGTACCCAGCATTAGATTGCGTTTGCCATCAGCCACAGTCAGCCCGAATACGCTGTTTATAATGGTGGGCACTCGTGGAACGCATGGATTCATGTTGTCAACATACGCTCATGCAGCAACAGAGAGTGGTCCCAACCAACGTGCCTTAGCGCCGAGTCACAACATCTAACATGATACCGAACATGCTCGGCAATCATTCGCACGGCCATCACTACCTTGCATTCAAGCCTGTGTGACATTAACCACTGCAAACCTTCCAGCGAGCAGGCCGGCAGAAACATGTTGACAGCATGCATTACTTTCATACCATTTCCAGTCCAGTCATCTTGTTGCCCTCCAGAGCTTGCTCTGACAAATAGTCCAATCAAGATTGCCACTTATCATGGCCTTGTTTACTACAACCTGGCTTTCCAAGTTGGACGGGGGATATCAAGATTAGTAAAAACTATATAGCGCCTTTTCCGTGCCATTGGCGAGTCGTAACGGTCATACAATGTCTTTTCATAGCGGCGGTTCTCGCGAATAACCGCTCTGAAAACCCAGATCTCGCTGTACACTCCTCGCTCACAGATCAAAATAGACGTGACAACGTATTGCTAAGCGTGTGTCACTTCGGATGACGAACGTGGCCGATGAGGCACTGTGTAGGCAGCACTTGAGCATGCGGTTCCTGGTCTCGCATATCGGTCATCTGCAGCGACACTTACGTTGGCCATAAGTATCAGATTTGCGGAACAGTGGTCCCCGGTACCAGAGAGCCCTGATCAGCAAGGAGGACAGCCATGGCGTCTTAGTAGAATCTATGATTTCGTTGCTTGGGGACGCGGCGTCGATGAGGCCAAGACAGCCCCGTTTTGCATGCTGCTTAGCTCGACTCATGGCACCCGATACGGACGTTATATAACTGTGCATGCAATATGACATGCGGTCCTTCGGTCTTGGTCTCCATTGCTTCGAAGGTTGTGGGACCAACACCTCACCATTCACCACGCAGTTTAACTTCCACTGTATATCCGAAATCATATTGAGGGTATGTGCTTAATTGAATAGATGGTGTTGGCTTTTCCATCCGCAGATTATGGCTGAGCAGACAAATTTGAGATGTTATCGTTGCTTTGCATCGAAAGCAATATTCCTGCAATCCAACCTCATTGGTGTTTACTTGAGTAGATTCAGGTTTTGAAAGTCAATCATGGATTATAGGGCTGCCAACGGGTCTCCCACGGCACTGTACCATAGAGACACTGGCCGTGATACTTTACACTTCAAACTGAACGAATAATAGTACGACAGACGCGCACCTCTTGCCTTGACCGTCTGTACGTAGATACAGATACAGTATCTGGTCAGATATCCGAGTGCGCTGTGACAATCAGGAGAACCAATGCAATATTCACACTTATGGCCTGGTGCTGTACGGTGCATCTAGTTCATTTGGGATTCCAGGGACTTGCATTGGCCATGCTGCGACCTCAAGGACAATGTCAGATGGCCGCCCATTACTTCGTTCCCATCAATGAGCGAAAGAAAGAGACAGCACCAATATTGACGAAGAATGATGTTCGGTGTCCTGCCGCTGCTTGTCGTTGGTGCGCAGGAGCAGAGTTACTAGCGTCTCACGTGCACCAGCCATATCGGGCAAGCGCGGCTGGGCACAAAATAAGCGAAGCGCACCGCTATCTATCGAAAAGCCAACTCCACGAGACTTCTGTTCAACGACAATACTAACCGCCACCATGCCCAAGGAAGTGAAGCAGAAGTCTGGTATGCAAAACGCCCTCCCGTAACGCTATCGGGCATCGCTAACCTAATTGCAGGCCTCATCGTTGGCCCCAACGCCGGCCACCGTACGTAAATCCCACGAGCGAAAATTACTCAACCGCAACTACCAAACGTATACTGATCATGACAACAGAGGTCACCCCCAGGACCCCGGCCACCCGGATCTCGCGGAGGAAGGGTTTCCTGTCCAAGAGGACCGCTTTCGTCAGGGAGATCACTCGTGAGGTTGCTGGGTACGTTACACCTCGCAGACGGCGCCGCGAAATGGCAGGAAGGCACGCACTTGAAAAATGGGTTCTGCCAATCCAACCGACGGCCGCCGCTGGAATATTGAAGACAATAGAATGTCGCTGACTTGCTCGTCTCCAGTCTTGCCCCGTACGAGAAGCGTGTCATCGAGTTGCTCCGAAATGCCAAGGACAAGCGCGCCCGCCGCCTCGCAAAGAAGAGGGTACGTCTCCCTCCGCTCCACACAGCCCATCACGACTCGCCACCACTGCCGCAACAAACATCCTGCTAACAACAGCACAGCTCGGTACCTTCGGCCGTGCCAAGAGGAAGGTCGAGGAGATGACCAACGTCATCCAGGAGTCCCGTCGTGCCGGCCACCACTGAGCGTTTTCACGCCGCCAGGGTGGGCAACGAGCATCGCGACGGACGGCAGGGGACCTCATACATTTTCCGCTTCATCAACCAATCGAATCATGGGTGTTGGGTCTCTTTCATGGCGGGATTGACACGACTTCGGAACATGCATCACAGAATCAAGGGCACGATTTCGGAGTACTGGCAACGAATGGACGTTAAGGGGCAGAGGATACCTAGCAGTGTCTCCTAAAAGATGAAAAATGTTATCGGTTCACGCCAGTGCAATACTTGATTCCGCTTTCGAATGTGTACGCCGTTCTTAATGTGTGCGCTGGTTCCCAGACTGCACATGCTGCATAATCGCACCTTGGGTCTCTCACTGATAACACAGTGTTCATCCGCTACGCGCTTGCTTCATTGATGTCCTTCGGCTCGTGAACTCGCGACCAGTATAAAGACCGCCATAAGATACAGTCACTACATTGACCTCAAAAGACCGATGTCGCACATAAACATCATGACTTCATTGACAATAGGCATATCAATGCCGAACCTGGTGCGTCGGCACCATGCGCCATCAATGCTACAACCACAGTGCCACCAGAACATTCGTCCCTAGAAAACGAAAGGCCTGCGCATCCTGCCCTTCCTCCTTACCCACAAAGACCACAACTCTATTTCTTCTTGAAGATGCTCTTGTTCAGCAAGCTCTTCAGCTTGTTCTCCTTCTCCGCCGCCGAATACTCCTTCTTTGGCTTCCCTTCTCCGAGCGTCTGGCCCTTCAATGACGAAGACGCCTGTGCCGGTTCGTTGACGACTGGCTCCTCAATCTTCAGCGGCGCAGCCTTCTGTTGCCACGCTTTGCTCAGCACCGGCTTAACGCCCCGGACTGCCGCACTCGCGCCGTCGTCCCAGCGGAACGTGAGCAGTTCGTTGCTGCTGAACTTCATGTCCTGGAAGAGGAGCTTGGAAGTACGATCCATCTGCACGAACTGCCCCTTCGCGTCGCGGTAGGAGAGATGGAAAGGCTCATTCTTGTGCTCGAGACAGCTGGTGACGAAGTCGTAGACGGCGGCTGCAGTGTCGGTCTTGGAGACGGAGAACTGGACGAATGCGCCGTCGGGAAGGCGTACACGTATAATGCCGCCTTTGGATGCCATGGCGGCGATCTTCTCTTGTCGTTCGGCTTCTTGCTGCTCGAGCTCTTTGTCAGAAAGTAGCCGGGTGTTTTTCGAGCGATCTTTGTATGAGGCTTGGAGGCCTCGTAGTTGGTCGACGGATGGCTGGTAATCTGCTTCATTGAAGGCATGACGGGCGGCTTGGGGAGTTGACGATGTCGGAGCAGAGAATATCTGTATGTTTCGGGGGAGTGTAGACGAAGAAGGCTGCTGCGTAGCTGGCGTTGGCTCTGGAGGTGGAGAAAGAGGAGCTGACGATGTTGTCGAGGGGACATGCGCTGGACCGTCGACGGACGGCATTGAAGGTTCAGCATCGATTGGATCCTGGTCTACGTCCATTGGTGAAGCATCCGGCTCGTCGGATCTTATGGTCTCACCGGCTACTGTTTTTATCGCCTCAGGAGCAGCTTTACCTGGGTCAGGGATGGAGCTAGCTTGCGCAGAGCTCTCTGAATGAGCACCGCTGGGTGCAGGATCAGTGCTCTTGAAATATTGTGAAATTTGTGTCATCGCCTCTTCAAGTGGCGTGCCACTATTCTTGAAACCCAGTTTCAGGGAAGCACTTCCACTGTCGAAGCCTAGCTGGCTAAGCGTCTTCTGGAGATCTACAAATGAGCCATACTCCTTGTGACCAGGCATGACTGTGATGACGGGCATTTCGTAGTTAAGTCTACCAGCACCCGTCCCGGTCCCGTTCATCTCCGGCACGCCGCGCTGTGTGAAGTTGTAGTTGGCACCCTGCCCGCTCTCGAAGTGTCGCAGCAGCTCCCATAATGAGGTGTTGCTTGCGAACTTTTGCATCAGGCGTGCGCTCTTCTCGGACGGGGGAAGGCTCAAGGCTACGGAAATAACAGTAGGTGATCGAGACGCTTGGACGAGTTCCAGCCGTGCACCTTGAGGAAGATTGACATGCCGTATTTGTTGCGATAGCGAGACGGGCTTGTTGTTGTACCTGCTCCATGTTAGCCATGTTCCTACGCACCACAGCTCCGCAGCAAAACGTAGACGGATGGACCGGACCTAGTTCACAACTCTTGTCCTGTTCCGCTAGGCATAGCCCTTTTCGCCAACGAATGAACAGCCCAGGATGTCCAGCTACTTACTTCAGAGTGAACTGCTCCTTGTTGACGCCAAACTTCTGACATGCCTCGTCACGAACCTCGGTCAGGTACTTGACGGGTGTGGTCGGTATCTTGTGGCTCCTCGCCGACGCATTGAAAACCACGACGTGTGACATTATGCCAAACGGTATATTTTGTACAGGCTGAAAGCGCTAAAGATGACGGCGGGCGTATGGATTATGAATGCGGCGCGTGTGTACCAGCAATGCCAGCCGTGGCCCTTGCGCACAGAGTCGCAGTGTTCGAGGGTCAGAAACAGGTTAAGGATGTGGAGCAGCGAAGCTTCGGGTGTGCGGAGGGCGAGCGTTGAAGTGTCTGGCAGTGTTTATTAGCGATGCTCATGCTGGGCGGGTGAGCCACACTGCAGGACCGCGCAGGGCGCGCAGGGCAAAGCTGCAGACTTTCATCATGATAGAGCAGAGGCACGTACCGTTCGCTCTTCTAGAAAGACTCCAAGAAAGGAAAGATGTTATGTACTGGGTCGCAGAGAGCATCGATGTCCAGCTGGCGAAAGGCGGCTTAGCTACGACGTCTTGGCGCACCTCGAGTTCGTCGGGAGCCTGTGCTAGCAAGTGGGGGGGCTCTGAGTGCGGCGCGAAGTGGTGCTTCTCGAAGGTTCGCGGCGCGTGTGCGGGTGTTTGCCTGCGGCGATGATGAGGCAAGAGCACAGTCCAGTCTACCTACATGATGGATGCGCCTGCCCCGCCCCCACCACCAACCAACACGCGCTAGGGTCTCCGGACTTGTGTACGCAACAGACGCATTCTCATCCTCACCACCGAGCGAACACTACACCATGTCGGGCTCTACCCAGATATCCTCGCCCGAGCAGCTGCGGACCCTGCTGTCCTCGTCGCGCATCGTGGTCGTCAACTGTAAGCTGCATCCGAGCCCATGACCGCCTTCAACGACACACCGGTGCTGATGTTACAACCCCGAAGTCTACAACGAGTGGAACCCCGCCTGCAAGACCATATCCCCCGTCTACGACCAGCTGGCCGCTTCGCTGGCCCGCCCGGGCGTCGTTTCTTTCGCCAAGGTCAACGCCGAACAACAGACGCAGATTGCGCAAAGCTATGGCGCCACAAAGTGAGCTTACTCATGTCAAGCTTTGCGGTCCGCTGCTGACCTTCGCCCGTAGTCCGCCCCTCTTCGTCATCTTCAAGAACGGCAACCAGGTCTCCAAGTTTACCGGCACGAACCCCCAGCAGCTCTCGGACAACATCAGGAAGCTTGCCGCCGAAGTCGAGTCGGGCGAGGGCGGATTCGGGGAAGCATCGGGTTCCAGCGGTGGTGCTGGAGGATGGAGGGGCGCTGGCCTGCCCAGGGGGTACACAGATGTTACGGACCAGGTAGACGTCCGCGGTCTGGACTTGCTGAACTCGGACAGTGAGTTTGGAGGCGTGCGAACGCTCTTCGACACCACGCAGCCGAGCAGCGCGGGCAAGGGCAAGGCAGCAGGCGAGTCCAAGAGAGACTGGGTCGAGAGCGATGTTGACGAGCAGCTCATGCTGTACCTGCCCTTCACGTCCACCCTCAAGGTCCACACCATACAGATCACCTCGTTCCCGCCTAAAGCCGACGACGACGATGATGATGAAGATGAAGTTCCACTTCGGCCGAAGACCATCCACCTCTACACGAACCGCCAGCACAACCTTGGATTCGAGGAGGCCGAAGACATCGCGCCCACGCAGACCTTCGAGCTCCAGCCATCCGATTGGGACGAGAGCACCGGCACCGCGAAGCTGGAGCTGAGGTTCGTCAAGTTCCAAAACGTCTACTCCCTGGTGCTCTTTGTGGTGGATGGCGATGGTGACGGCGAGAAGACGCGCATAGATCGCATTAGAATCATTGGAGAATCCGGGGAGAAGCGTGAAATGGGCAAGCTGGAGAAGGTCGGTGCTGACGATTAATGATTCGACTTGAATCATTTGTTATTTACGGAGTATGTGCTCATATGACTTGACGGGGCTCAAGATTTCCCCGTGCCCAGCCGGTATTCCCAATAAAAAAGAAAGCATAGCTAGACAGGATCTGAGGCGTTACGACGGGCATATAACGAGTAGTGTAGGAGCTTTCCACTTGGCGAGGGTCTTGTGTATGAATCGATTGGTTGTGTGTTCGTGCATCCAGCATGCTTCACCAAATTTTGAAAACGATCTAATATTTGTGTCTATTGATGTTCACATTTCTAAGAGTTGCGGTATGTTCTAGTACTGTGAAACAATCCCACGACGAATTTTTCTCCGATAAGCGTGTCAGCTTGCAGTAGCAATATCAGGGATAATCGTCCAATCAGTACACCGTATTCGTGAAAGTGTCGCCGAGTCTGAGGTGGTCAACAGCTGCTTGATGTAATGGTGCTTGCAGCTTTCGATAGTCCCCGGTCTGGGACGAAACAGAACAACGGAGATACTCCCGAGCAGCAACACAAATTCTTGAATATCTAGATCGGCGGAAACATTGCAACAATGAGATGTTTAGATCAACCCAAGATTGTGAAGTATGTTTGGTCGCGGACATGCAACTTCCACCTCACGTTGAGGTTTGGACATTGTTTACCACAGGCAGTTGCCTCGCTGCATCCAACCTGTATACACGGACAAACTCAAAGAATACTGGGCTGAACAGAACGCAGCAAACGCACATCGATTCCAGAGCAGGCCTCGTGATAGATACACACGCGTGCTCAGCGCGAGGACATTGCGTGTGATTTGCGGCTCCACTATGTGACAGAGGCCGACACGCACGTACGGGCGCAAGAGATTCACGGTGCATTTACAGACACCTCGCAAGTCTCAACATGTGATCACGCGTCTCTCCGGCATCCGCGCTGTGCTAAATTCTCATTTCACGGTGGTATGTTCGACCCTTTTCCAGTGACGGCGCCACAGCAGCAGACGCCTCCACAAAGTGTATACGATCGATTATGCAATATGTTTCTTCTGGGAGATCAATGACATTTGCGCGCCACAGGATTAACTGCACGCAAATAACGTTTTGGGAAACTTCAGTATGATCTTCGCCGCACGAAGAAGAGAAGCCAGATCCAAAGGTGCGTGAAGTTTTTGTAGGCGGTCGGAGGGAGAGTTTGGCCGTTCCGAAGCGCTAGCGTGGAAGGTGGAACTTCAAATTTTTGCGAGGGAAGGGAGAGGTTTCTTTTTCATGGCCAATGACGAGAATCTTTATACATATGATAGGAAGAGAATGACCTGGCACTGCCGGGACTGATCTCACATCTACAACCACCGAGGCCTGTCTTTGAGAAGCAAAAGTATGCGAGGCGGCGCGCAGCATGTTGTCGGCTCTCCGCGCGACGAGCTGCGCGACTGCGAGTTAACGAGCAGCTGAGGCTCGTAGTACGAAAGAGGCTGTGGGCAACGGTACTTTCGTATGAAACGGTGAATCGGAACGTACAACTTGCGGACGTGAAGCCATCGGTCTCTGCTGAGAATCGGAGATGAGCACTGTTTCGCGGTAGAAGTGCAGATGTCGATACGCAACGGCCTCGACGATATCAACCTATTCGACGAACTTGGGTGTCGCTGACGCTGCTCGGCCGTCGGATTTGCTTTTGTCGCTGTGCATGCAGATTTCTGTTGTTGATACAATCAGCGAGCGAGGTGGCCAAGATACACAGAACGCAAATCTCAAGTACGCAAGCACGAGTGTCATCTTCACAAAGACGTTCCGGCACTACGTCCACGTCCACTTCTAAATCTTCTGAACACATGGAAGACGCGTTATCGCTGCTTCCATGCATTCTTCGGGTCTTCTACCGACCTTCTTCCGTCGCACCTGCGTTTCAAACCTCTACTCCCCACCAACATCGCGTGGCTATGAAAAGCAACAGCACCGATGCCCCATGTTAAGCGGTGGACAAGCGAACGTTGGGCGAGAGGACGCTGTGGAGAAGGTTCGCATGAACAGGCGGGCGAGACGGAAATGAGGTGTCGTACCGACATGGTACTCGAGGGAGCTATACCCATGCGCTGACGGAAGTTCCGACTGGACGGACGGCTGGTCGATCGAGAACATCGAAGAAGCCAATGGTAAGGCTTCGCTGCAACGTCGATGCGACCCATGCGAAGGCCTTCAAGTCCCAAGCTGCATCGAATCCTGCACGAGGATGCGTATCCAGTGCACTGGGCGTAACCTTCGGAGCATTCGCCTTATGCGCCAAGCCGATGCGACGTTCAAGAGCACCTTCCAAATGTCCGGAAAATCTATGTGCTGGAGAGCCAATCATTCAGCAAGCGTTTGATCTTGTCAACGTTTGGGATGTTTGATCGTCCAAGATTTCAATTCGTGCTACTCACCGCGTGTCTTCATGATAGCAAGGTATCATCTGCCAAAGAGCTGTCAAACATGCATGTGAGACATGTCAAACACTTTTAGAAGCACCCCACGGACGCGTGTCAATTCAGACGCGTCGTGCGGTCAAAATCGGGTCAACATCATCATGCGTCATCGAGCTATTACGATCAACACTGCCAGCGTTCATGCCCAAGGGCCCAAGATCAGCTCAACGCTTGACGTCAAAGGTCTCTTGCTCGCCGAAGACGGCCACATCCATGGCTCGTACGACATCAAGATCTTCGAAACGCGCTGTCGATATGTTTCATGTTATTACCATATGCGCCAGCATGATGGTTGGTTGTTGGGAATGGCAGAGCACCATGAGGTGATTCACCAAGAGATGAAGTTAAAGCATACTGCCCGCAGTGACAGGCCACGATCTTACAGTTGACGCTCGTGGGTCAAACAGGACGCCATTGTTTCATACAAGGAAGCATCTCTAGATCCCACACGAAGTCACTGACTGTCATTTGACAACGCATAGCTGTGGCGGTGCGAATTCGCTCAGCCTCATCAACCGAGAGCCGAGCCGAACACGAACTTCGCCACAGTCAGTGCTACAGTATCTTCGCTTGCTAGTAGAAGCTGAGCCGATGGCACGTTCGACGCCATGGCACCCTACTGGCCGAGGTAAGAGCGAAGGCACAGACAGCTGAATCAGGACCAAAGCTATCCATTCCACGTGATTTGACGAGAGCCCTATCTTGCCGGGATGAGGCCGCCGGCAAATGTTCATCAAAGACCACGGGCAACCTGGACGAACTGGCGTGACTGCCGGGAAGCGTGCGCTCAGTGCGCATTGCTCACGGAGATGTCGCCACATCAGACGGCTCCAGAGAAGCGGCCCTCGCCGAGGTCCCACTTCCCGTCTCACATTGCACGAGACACGTCTTTGAATTCACTCGCCAACCTGCGGTCCACTGCAAGTCACTGAGCTGTTCGTTCTGGTTGCGGAATGCTGCCAGCTGAGTTGCATCTGCGTGCGAGGATTACATGCGAAACACACAAATGCTGGGCATCGAATGGAAGGCGTTTGCTAGCGGCACAGTTTCCTTTACGAATCGTAATGCGTGCAAGAAAACTACCCAAATTTTCGCGAGGCCACGGTCCAGGGACGCGGGTGGCTGTTCCTCCAGAGCTGTCTGGGGTCAAGGCGTACCAACGCCATGGCCAAGTTACGCACATTCTGTATCCGTGGAAGCACCATCCAGCATAACTATGCGTCGAATTTGAGGACAAAGAACGTACTGACCATCAGGGTCTTTAGTCCCTGCTCCGACAACGGCTCGTGGATGCCCAGCGGGTTGGATCGCCAGGAAGGATGCTGCCAACTGCCTTATCTAGATTAGATGTGGAAGCGTGTGGGGTAGTTATGCAAGGGCGAGTACAAAATGTTTCGACAAGATTGCGGTTGACATGGGTGTCGATTAACTCACAGACGTGCAGTTCAGGCTTCAAAGCCAATCTCTACTGAGCAAAGAGGCCGCTGTCATATCTTTTGACGCATTGAGAGCCACATGTCAGATGGGCGAATGGCATCTTTGCATCCAGTCTCGAGACTCGGACGCGACTTCAAGCGAGCGTCTGTTTCGTATTAGTGGGGTCGTCCCGACAGCAGTCGTTCCTGTGCCGCGGATCATGAGCGTTTTGTCACGACGTGTTCGAGCCGAGTGTGAGGATGGTGGGCGAATCCTTACGATTATCGAGCTAGGCGATCTTTGGGCACGACAGACACTCACGCGATGAGGCGAGACATCCTTGCATGAACATTCTGACGCAGGAACACACAGATTCTCAACACTTCGAAATTACTCATGATACATTAAACGACGCTCGGGCGGATGCGCACCGAGAGCCGTTGGTGCGCTACACCAACTTGACATGACAGCACATGCAGGTTCGAAGGTTTCAGGTCCTGAATCAAGAGAACTCGTGGTGTGCTCTTGCCTACCCCGCCGACCAAAGTGCCATGTGGACTTAGATCAGAGATTTTTCTGAAGATCAGGGTGCCACGGCGAGATGATAAGGTTAACAAAGTGGAGCAGGGCCATGACCACATGGACGCTATGGAAGCTACGCGGGCTTCCCCGGCGCCGAGGCCCTGGCGAGGCGGATGCCAGGACCAGAGCCCGCGGACAGACTGTTGGAGGCGGAAGGGACCTCAGACCTTCCGGGCGGGCTGCTTCCTGAATCGTGCTCTTCGTGGGGCGTCGTCGGTGAGTCGTGTAGGATCGTCTAACAAAGCTTCCAGAACGCAACTAATGGGAAAGAGGCTAAGGGCTGCGTGGCATCGGAAGCGTGCGCGCGTCGGAAGGAATGCGACATTGGAGGGCCCAAGTTGCAGACATATGTATCGATTTTGACTGATAGCTCTCTACCAGAAGGCATCGTGAAACACAAGTTGGTGTGGGATACCGACGGCGTTGGTCTCTCTGGCTGTTCCTGCGTCGGTACCTGCATTAGAGGCGCTGTCGACCACAGAAGAGGCCGCTTTTCGTCACTGTGGGGGAAAAAAAGAATGGGTGACGACGCGATTGGGCGAGCGAGGTGCCCTCCACGCCGTTTCGCATGCAGGCGAGCGTGTTCTGAACGAGGATTTGCGAGGATAAAGCAGCGGCACAACTAGGCCACATGGGGACGCAGTGGTGGCCGATGTGCATTCAATGGTGGTGTGCAAGCCAGCATAATTTGCCGCTACCAAACCCAAAATAGAAGCTCAATAAGTTGTGCCGATTATCACGACGGGATAAGTGTTTATTGAGGGCTGACGGAATTATACACGGTGTGCACAAAAGTGGCAGCCGCGAAGATAGAAACGCCCGTGCTGACTGCGTCTGCCTTCGTGTGATCCACTGCTATCGATAGAGAAGACAGGTGGTGACATCGTGCAGATGCGTATCACAACCTCCATCTGTTCTATCGTGGGCAGTCTCTACGAATGCATGCAGCCCCAGCAGCTTCGTCTAATGCAGGATTGAAACGCCCGATTCGCAGGCGGCGCAACTAGATGGCAGCATTGCAGCGGCGGACGGGAGGCAACCATGGATGAAGCTCAACACCATAAGTGGCGATATGGGATCGAATCGATTGCATCGCAGCTACTCGTTTGCCATTATGTTTCACCATCGCCTGCGGCCGTCTACCGTCACATGAAATTTCCCCACACACCCAGGCGGACGGCAGCTGCAGCGAGCGCCCGAGCAAATCAGGCCCCGCGGGCGCCGACCTACTGCAGGAAAGCCTGGTGTTCCTGCAGGCCTCGAGTCTCTCCTCAGCATACGTCGCGCGAGCAGGATGGCTACTGCAAGAGGCCAGCAAGACTGCCGCGTTCTCGTTGTTCGGGATTGTACAGCGGGATACCCTCAACGACATACATGTACGCGATGCAGTCATCTTCCATCTCACGCGCCCGCAAAGACAGTCTACCGTGGGGCTGTGGTTGATGAATGTAGCTTGCAGCCTCGCGGATTCGCCCGTTGCAATGCAAGCCTGTTGAACCGCCGGCCACTGACGGCGCCTCCGGAGCAAGTCGACGTCGACGTCGTCGTCAGGCACAGGCTTCGTTGCCTCCACATGCACTTGCGCCGTCGTGACAGTGGCACCGCGCCTGGTGGCCGCGATTCGACTCGGCGTTTTTCCATCGTGTGCATCTGAGACGTGGTAGGCCGGCCGTCAGCGTCGCTGTCTGGCCAGCACAGAAGCGTTTCCAAACATCCCACATGGAGGGTCAGCAGGTCTCAGCGCGCGCTCTCGCGGCACAGCAGCCAGGACCAGGGCCTGTCCAACGGGCAGCTATCACTATCGATTGGGCGGATAGGCTGACGGCAGCCGGCGGGCATCACGGCTGAATGTGGCCTCTTGTGTCCCGTTCGACAGACGCTCCGCCAACGACTGTGAGACGCAGCGTCACAGCCTGCTGCTACTGCCAGTGGAGCACGCAGCCCATTATTCAACACCACGGCGGCGGTCGTCCCGCGCCGCTCAGCTTGCCAGTCACGGCCACTCCATCCCCAGGGCCTGGCACGCCTCCAGTCGGCGCGTGCGGATGCCCTCTTGCGGGGCGCAGGACGCAGTTACCTATCGATAGCTCGCTGCGGTGGGCGAGCAGGCGTAGTGCCAGGTATGGACGCGGTTGTGACGCCGGTGTGCACGACTGTGCCGGTCCTCATTTCGCGACCCTCCACGACGGCGCGCGGTGCAGCCACAGGCAGGCCAGGCGGTTGGCGGCCAATATTAGTGCATCCTGCAGCATAAAATAATGCCGCGCGTCGTGCTGCCCTAAGCTGCGCATCGGCCGGCCCACGAGTCAATTCCCAGTCACAGAATAACCAGTGCATGAGTCCGCGCAGGGGTCGCTGCAGCATGCATGCCCTCCATTGTGGTTGGCCCAAGTGGAGTCCGTTACTGCGCCTTTGCACGCTTCCCGACTCCCCTCCCACCATTCTAGTTAACCAATTCCGTGCGTCCGCCCGCCTGTGCCTGGTCATCTTTTCTTCTTCTAACCTAATCCACGTCTCGTCGCTCGCTGATCCGTCCTACTTATCCAAGCCCTGCCCTTCACTCATTGCCTTTTCCTTGTATTCAGGGTTTATCAACCTCTTCGCTTGTCTTTCTCATCTTCTTGATCTTCCCTTTTGGTGTACATTTGCGCTGTCCATCTCGACGGTAGTGAATAGTTGCCAGCCCTTCCTTTGGACCCATCTTCTCGCGCACGACCCCATGACATCGTCCGCACTCCAGTATACCTATTAGTAGACGGTTCGCTATATCGATCCGTTGTCCAGTCACTCCCTCAGCCAACTTCTATCGTTGCTTCTATTGTACGGTACTATCGCTACCAACAATCTAATACCCAACCAACTACGGATACATCGAGGACCATTCCACGTGTATAACACGCTGTATAGCACGCTGTTGTAACTCCATCAGAGTAAGTCGAGGCACCATGGTACATTGATGGCAAGGAATGGATGGTCTAACATTCCACGTGGTAGAATACACACACCACACTACACAATGGAAGGATCGTATATGCACCCACAAGCCATGGGTCAGGCGCCATTCTTCTACTACAACCCAGACCCCACAAGTGAGAAGGCACGGCAGCACGGCCATTTCACACCGCACCCATCAGGACAGCAACAGCAGATGTTCCACGCACAGATGCTCCTGCAGAGGCCGTCGTCCTCGTCTAGCTCGCCGTCAACACCGTACCAGACCAGCTTTGGCCATTCATTGATGACACCCGTTGCATCGCCCCAGCCCATGTACCAGAAGCCAACGATCTTGGTGCAGCCTCAAGACTCGCCTTTCCTACACCCGATCGACACCGACTTCACATTCTCACCTGCCACACCGCCGCTATCATCATGTGGCAGCAGCGTCAGCAGCCCGCCATCGTCTTGCGATGTTTTGCCTACGCCGGTGCAGCCCTTCTTCCCTGGCGAGGGCATCGAGGGCGTCAAGCAGGGTTGTGAAGAAGAGGTTTTCACCGAGATTCTTGCTCCTGGTGCCGACTGGTCCGGTTCTGCATCACCACCAATGACTCCAGGTAAGAGAAATAACGCGACGCGTTGATTTGACGTTGCGACGCGTAAAAAATGTGGTGGAGACGGCGGGCTGACTTTGCGACAGTTTACATCCAGCCACAAGCGCCCGCGCTTGGACAGGGGTCTTACCTTCTGTCTGCCACCTCATGCCCCTCTCTCACCCCTTCACCCTCACCGCGTCCACAATTCGCCGAGGCTGAGAACAACTTTTGCAACCCGCAGGATTTGCTCAACATTGCAGCCTCGTCGGGCCCGTGCCTGCCCACGCTTTTCTCCGGTGACGAGGAGCACCGAGTTATCCTCAAGGGTGAGACCGCCAAGCCTTTCGAGCCCGTGCGGTCATTCAACCCCAACGGCTTGCCCGCTTGGGAGCCCCTTTTGGACTTCGAGCTCGATTCCGAGGACGATTTCAGCACCAGCTTTGTTTCCTACCCGTCGACCGAGAACTCCCACTACCTTGGCAGCAAGCGCCTGCGCACTGAGGTGCCTGATCTCATCACACCCGAGGAGGACTCGTTCACCGACGAGAGCTATCTCGACTCTGAGGACGACTTTGTCATCCACGGCCTGCCCTTGACCCCGTGCTCTTTCGACAGCGAGATGCCTTCCGAGTCTGCGCCTAAAAAGCGCTCGAGCAAGAAGGCAGCCAAGGATACCAGCGACAGCGAGTCCACCGAGCAGCAGCAGACTTCCGGCGACAACTCCCAGTCTGGTGCTTCCAGCCAGCGCGATTCTGGTGCCAACGACAACGCAATGACCTCCAGCTCGGACGACAATGCAAGCCCGCCTCCTCAGCCAACCAGCCGACGTGGCCGTAAGCAGTCTCTTACTGAGGACCCGAGCAAGACTTTCGTCTGCCAGCTCTGCAACCGCCGCTTCCGTCGCCAGGAACACCTCAAGCGTCACTACCGCTCGCTCCACACGCACGAGAAGCCCTTTGAGTGCACCGACTGCGGTAAGAAGTTCTCGCGCTCCGACAACCTCTCGCAGCACCAGCGCACTCACGGAGCGGGCGCCATGGTGATGGGTGTCCTCGAGCCCAATGAGATCTCCGCACAGCAGGATGTCAACTACGCACACCAAGATCCCGCCATGCTTGGTCAGATTCTGTACTCTGCTGCTGCCAACATCTCCAGCTCCTCAAGCTCGGATGGCTTCTCAACGGACCTCGAAGCGTCGCCTATCTCCAAGATGCGCAAGCGCAGACGGGACGAGTAGGATTCAACTTCTGGCTCTTTTTCCTTTCGGCATCTTTACGACCCGACATGACCATCTCTCCTCTCGCCACACTCCGTAGCAGGAGTACAGCACCCTAATGCCGCACCCGTCTGCTTAATGTCGTTACGCAAGGGCGGCTCGGCTTATAGACTGGCGGACCGGGGCACGGCTTTCTTCATTCCACCTGGGCACAAAAGCCCTTCTTGCACCACCCTTTTCTTGTGTATTCTGCTGAGTCTGCTTATACTGCCTCTTGCATCAGCGTTTGCCTTTTACCTGGGGTGTTTTTCCTCGGTCGGTCGGCGGATTGGCACGGTATGGTTCGGTCGGTGGGTACAAACGCCTCTTGGCTCGGATAGACATTTCTCCCTGGTGTTCTCTGGTCCTGTCTTTCTTTTTCTCTGCTTTTCATCTACGCGGGGATCATATCACACTCGCTCACGAACGCCATGGCCATCACAATCCTCTTGGGCCTGGTTTGTCCGTCAGCACATCTCACATCACACATGTCCTTGAGTTCTTACGCTCGTTGTAATAGTGGGCTTGGCCATGCGGCCAAGCCTGTGGTTGGCACATTCTGGAAATTTGTCAGTTTCGATTCGATAAGAGACGGAAAAATTGTAGCTCTATCTACGTTTCTTGCATCTCCATGTGTGGCTTTGGTGCTCCTCTGCTGGGTTTCTGTCGCGTTTGCGTGGATTGTAGATTAAGTGCTGGCACTTGAATCGCCTTAGTACGTTTTAATATCTTAATGGGTGGTGTGTATGATGTATTGTCCCGTGCGTGCAAGCCTGGCGTGAAGTGTGACGTGAATGGCGCATTGATGCTTGTCCTCTGCCAGTGAGAGGTAGCCGTTGGGTCTGAAAGGAGGGTAGTCCTGGTATTCGCTTGTGGGTCTCGGTGTCCGTCGTGCTTTACTGTGCTGTGTCTTGATTGTATAGCGTGAATATGTCTTTCTTGTACTTACCATATCCTCCTGAGCTGCTGTGATGTCGCATCGTCAGCGGCACATAGGTGGTTGCACCACTATCGTCGTGTTGTCTAGGTCGTCGTGGTAAATGCATCCGTTTACAGCCACCTGCGGGTCATATCCCAGTCAATGGAACTCTAGTCACGAGATGCAGCAGACTGATTTGCCGAGTGCACTTTTTACTTGGCCCCTCGGATCATAGGCATCTGAAAGAAGTTCTGGCAATGATTGTGCATAGGTACTACTTCCTGCCAAGTACCTACGTTCCCGCCCTCGCCATTGCATCGCGCATGTATCTCGCCGTGTCGCCCGGGATATCAGGATCAGCAACGAGTGAGGATATCAGCAATTTTGTAGCCCTTGAGCTCGTTGCAGCTCAGAATGGCGGTCACATTCGTCGGAAGAAACATTTTTCGCACCTTCCTCACCTCTAGCTCCGCACCCCACCAGTCCACCATCGCGCGCGTAAATGCGCAGCGCCACAACACCACGCTCAAACCGCCATGGCCGCTTCACTGAATGTCATTGCCTTGATATCTGGCGGCAAAGATTCCTTTTTCTCTATCCTGCACTGCCTAGCAAATGGCCACCGGCTCGTCGCGTTAGCCAACCTACACCCGCCGGAAGACGGCGATGAAGACATCAACAGCTTCATGTATCAAACCATCGGCTCCTCACTGATCCCGCTGTACGGAAAAGCTCTCGACGTCCCGCTTTACCGCCAGGAGATCCGTGGGTCTGCTGTTATCCACGATAGAGACTACCGTGAAGAGAAGGACGATGAAACTGAGGACCTGGTTCCGCTTTTGAGAAAGGTCATGGAGCAGCACCCGGAAGCTAATGCTGTTTCTACAGGTGCGATTCTATCGACGTACCAGCGGACGCGCGTCGAAAGTGTTGCTCTGCGGCTCGGACTCACGCCGCTTTCCTTTCTATGGCAGTATCCATTTCTTCCGCCGTATTCGCAATCAAGTCTGCTCAGTGATATGCACGCCGTCGGACAGCATTCCAAGATCATAAAAGTGGCTTCTGGTGGCTTGGATGAAAGTTTCCTAGGCGAGAATGTCGCGGATCCCAAGACGGTGAGCCGGATGAAGAAGGCGCTTGGTCGGTTTAGTGAAAATGGTGACGGTGCTCTAGTCGGTGAAGGAGGCGAGTTTGAGACGCTCGTCGTGGATGGGCCGTCATTATTGTGGAAGCGGAAGCTAGAGATCCCAGGGGAAGGGGAAATTGTACGGCAAGAGGGTGGGACCGCAACCTGGAAGGCTACTGCAAAGCTTGTGGAGAAAGATCCTGACACCATAAGTCTACAGGTAAGTACACATTCATGCAATGTGCGACACGGCAATAAGCAGGTTTTCTATTTATGTCAACCTCTACACAGGACACTCAATAAATATTGCCCTCTTCTGACCAAATCGCAGGACCTCAGGAAACCGCCTACCTTTGACGATGAATTCGTCCGAATCTTAAAATCTCCGCTAGAAACACCAACCATAACAAGGCTCTCAGAAAAACGACCAAGACCCATCACCTTGCCTACAAGCAGACACTTCCAGCACGCCGAAACCCTCATCTTCAGCAACCTGATCGGCCTCTCCCATCCTCCCTCCACTTATTCCGACCCCTCCCACCCTAGCATCAAACTCCAACTCACCAACATCTTCCTCCGCCTCATAAAACTGCTCGAATCTTACCAAACAATGCCAGACCACATAACCCACTGCACACTCCTGCTCCGCGACATGAAAGACTTCACCTCCATCAACGCTCTCTATGCGCATTTCTTCAGATTCACAAATCCACCCAGCCGCGTCACCATCGCAGTCGGCGACACCATCCCGGCAGGCCTCGACGTAATGCTCACCGCAATCGCGCATCCCGCGGGCCAGCGTACCGGGCTCCACGTGCAGAGCCAGTCGTACTGGGCGCCCGCGAATATTGGGCCGTATAGTCAGGCCATCTCCGTACCGCTAAGACGAGGAGATGGAGAGGGAAGGGAGCTTCATATCGCTGGGCAGATTCCACTGGATCCAGTGTCTATGACGCTGTACACAAAGGATGGGTTCAACGGCGAGGCGGTGCTCGCACTACAGCACTTATGGCGGATTGGGCGGACGCAGGGCGTGAAGTGGTGGACGGCGGGAGTGGCCATGATTCCTGCGACCACTGACACGGATGCGGATGCGGGGAAGCAGGAAGAACGCGTGGGGCTCGCGCAGGCGGTGTGGAAAGTTGCACACGCACGGCCGGAGGCAGAGGACGATGATGAAGAGGTGGTGGATGTCTGGGACCGGAAGAACTTTTCCAAAGCGTTCGACGACACTGTTGCGCGCGCATCGATTCCGGATTACAGCATCTTCGATGGGCAGGAGCAGGCCCAACTACGCGCGCCGCCCTGCGTGGTCGTCGAGGTGGATGCGCTGCCACGGTACGCGTCTATCGAGTGGGCATGCACGGGGCTTGACGTGCCGTCACTTCAGCAGTCATGCTCCTCTACTTTTGCTCAGGGAGTCAATGAGTTTGTGGTCAGACATCCGGAGGCTCGCTTCGAGTACCGCGTGGTGGAGATCCCGGATGGAGATGTGGATGTTGCGCTTGTGTTGTCTCAAATAGAGCATGGGACGCTGTATGCTTCCGCAAATGGCGACTGGAGTGATAATAGATGGGGTAGGAAGGGTCTCTCGTGGGTGCCGTGTAAGCGGGTCTGGGGAGAGGATGGAAGAGAGATTCGAGGGGTTGTCATAGGTGGAAGATAGTGTGCTAGATCAAGCTGTAGATGATTTGAGCGCGATGACTTGGACCATTGCCTCCTCCTCCCCGCAACGCGCTGATTGAATATTTGCACTCCGTTTAGTCGAGCTGTTTGACCTTACTGGATCGTATAGTTCCCCGCTCCAGCGCTACAGCAACGCTCTGCAACATGTCATAAACGCCAATTCGGGCACTAAAAGGACCCAAACGACGAGAACGCCATCACGCCGTGACTTCCCAATGGTACAAATTACAGGCCCATCCGATGACTCCAAATTCAACTCTAACGCCATCGGCCAGAGGCGCCCAAACTCCACCTACGCCTCCGTCTCAATCCCCTTCCCGCCCTTCCCTTCCATCTTGAACATATTCTCCACCTTGTTCTCGCCCCTCTGCGCCAAATGCTTCAAATACACCAGCGTCCTCGGACCCTTCCACTGCATCGCGCCGCGATTCCTGCGATGCAGCTGCTTCGCGTTCTGTTTGTAGTCCCTGACCTGATCCATTAAGCCCCTCTTTCCATCGCTTTCCAAGCTGCTGTTAGAGTTCGGGTGCAAGATGCTTGGGATAAAATCAGACTTGTCAGTGTCGGAATCAGACGAGTCGGAGTTGTTGTCTGAGTCTGAGCCATTGTTCCAGTCCATGTCGTCGCTGGTGTTGTTAGTAGGGGATATATATTTGTGTGTTGGTGGGATCAAGGGGGCTTACTTGTCGTTGCACGCATCGAGGACCTCCATGACCTGGCCGAGGTGTTTGTCCTTCTTGGCGAGCGGTTGGTGGTAGCCTGAGAGGCCGGACCAGAACGTCATGGTAAGCTCGATCTCGCCGACTTTGTCGCCGTAGGACTCAAGGACATTGTTCTCGGCGCGGTTGAGGTCGCCTTTCCACACGATCAAGCGAACGGTCTGTTCCTCATTATCCGGAATGTCTTTGAGCCAAAGAATCGCAAACGCAGGGGTACGGTCGGACAGTGCGGAATCCTTGCGAAACTCGACGACGAGGGGCGAAGCGTAGCGCTTGCGTACAGGTAGACGGATGCTGTTGTCTTTCCGGGTCTTCCAAACGGTGTGGCCGTCGTGCTGATTTGCTTCGCTGTCTTGAGTGCCAGAGTGGAGCTTGCCACGAGAGAGGCTGGTGCGTATCTTCATCCTTAAATTCTTGAGGTCATCTGTTATCTTGATGGCTTTTACAACGGGCTTGATATCCAGTGTCCCAAATTCCCAGCCTAACATGCTTGGGGGAGCCTGGAGCTGCACCGACCGGAACACAATTGAGATACGAGCGCGGCCGTAGCCGACGCCACCAGCGATCGGGAAGTTGGAAACGAGTTGGCTGCGGTGCTTGAGAATCCTCGACAGGGGCAGATAGACAACGCCGAGAAGAGCGTCATCCTCATGCACACGTGCGTCGCGTATTGAGACGTGTACTTCGGAGTTGCGCCAGTCGCGAATGAATCGCTCGCAGCCAGCATTGAAGAAAGGCTTCGAGTTCTTCGGCTTGGTCCGTGTTCTGAATATCTTTTGATGATTGAGGATGATGGTACAATATGCGGAAGGCAGATCATCGCCCTCCTCCTCTTCCTCACTGGCGTCGTCATTCTGCTTCTTTCTGTTTAGGCTTTCAAATCCTAGGCCCGTAATTTGATGGACAACGACACTGAGGATACCGGAAGGGTAGTTCGATGGTGGAGGCGAAGCGATGATGAGATCGTCTTCCCGAGCCTTGAGATCTTGAGCCTTCTGCTGCTCAATTTCCTCTCCTTCGTCTTTACTCGCCTCCCGCAATTTGCGCTCGCTTTCCTTGTAGACTTTTTCCTTGAGCTGATCGATGTTCTCAATATCCGAGTCCTCTTCTTGAGCAGTGAGCTGATCGTCGGTGATCCTGGTCTTGGAGTAATACCCAAGACTCCAGCACAGCTTGCCCGGCATACCCTCACCCTTCTTGAGGGATTGAAATCCATCCTCACGGTCATGCATCTTTCCGTTCGTTGCCTTATCCTTCATCAGATGCTTGACGTCTACTTCGATGCGGCCTAGGTCGTCGTCGGCTGACATACGATCTGCGTCCCATAGTTGTAGTCTCAAACGTTCGTCCACGTTGAGCTCGTCCGAAGTCACCAGCAGGAAGCAAGTCTCGTGCCAGTAGGGCTCCATGTTCTTCGTCTGGACACGAGTCGACCACATGGGTTTGCCAAACTTGGCCCAGCCAACACTCACATATGGATCGGCTGAGCCCTTGATTGGACCGATACCTCCATCTCCTTCCTTAAAGTCATATGCACGCTTGATCGTAACAACAATAACGCCACGTGCGTTGGTGTCTTTCTTGAAGTCGTCGCCCATCATCATGTCCTTGAGATCAAGTGTGAGTGACTTTGGTGCCACGTACTCAGCCATGGCGGCGTCGACCGACGACTGGACGAAGCGGGAGATCAGCGGGAAATCCATCAGATTGGGAGCTTGTTTAAGAAGTGGAACGCAAGAGATATCGACCTTGGGCTGTCCGAGGAAGGTAAAAGTGCACAAAGAGAAAAAGGGCGGGTCAGGCGTGAGCTGCAGACGCATGCGCATCACGCCGACGAAACCCTCGACCTCGACCCAGACAGGAAGCTTGATGTTGGAAGGTAGATAAAATGCCATGTAAAGGTGCGCTTTCTTTGCACGGTCCTTCATGCGTTTCCGTCCAGTCGATGGGCGATAGGCGAATGCGATTTCCACATTGACGAAATCACCTTCTTCGGCTTCCATGCCTTCGGCAATTCCATCATCCTGTCCGTCACCATCTTCGTCTTTCCCTTCTGCTTTGTCGTCGACTTCTCCTTGACCTGGGATCGATCGATCACTTGTTGTCTTATCCTTCTCGCCGCCCTTCTTGAGCTTGCCGTCCTCACCCACAGACCGTGCCGCTGCACCTGTGGGAAGCCATCGAACACCCAGTATGCGGAGGGACTCGCTACCTTGGCCAATGTCGTCTACAGATACCATGCGAACCATCCTCGGTAAACTAGCTTGCATAACATCCTGCATTGATTAGCTTGTTGGATATAAAGACCGGAATGTAGGACTCACCTCAAGAGTATCTGATATGCTAGTAAAGAGATCAGGGTTGATGAGCGGCCAGACCGAAGCCAGAAATGAATTCAGCCATTGCGCGCTCTCTGGAATGTTGGTTTTGATCAGCTTCTGGCCTTTCTCCCTCTCGGCCTGCCAGACTTCAGTCTCCCATACGTTGTTAATCTTATTCTCTGTCCACTGTCGTGTGCCCATGATAACAGCGCCGGAAGCACCAACACAAGCAGCTATCTCGAGCAGAAGGAAGAAGGCTCTCGACCAGCCAGTAGAGTTACGCGTGAATTGAAAAAGCGCTACGACGGTAACTATGCTTGCGGCGACCAATCCAAGTCCAGCGGTAATGGCCTTTCTATATGCGTCCGTGATGCCTTCGCGTGTCATGGTAAAGTCGGGAGGCGGGAAGAGAGGGTCGACACCGCTGTGGGCATCCTGGGACTCCTTCTGCTCATCCTGAAGCTGCTCGTCGGACTTGTTCATGGCCAGTGCGCCAGTGGCCGACCTTGCCTCCGTGCCTGCAGGTGGCCCATTCTTGGGTGTCATTTTCAAGTCTTTCTCCGTGTAATCATGGATTGTCACAGGGAGATGTGTAACTGGATCTGTGACCTCGCGTTCTGTCCCGTCTGCACTCCACTTCTTCATATCCTTTCTAGCTTTCTTGGGGTCCTGTGAAACCAAATTTCCTTCTGTAGTATCCTTTGGCGTGTCATCGTGGTCATCATCGCCATCGCTCTTGCGCCTGAACTTGTCGTCATTACTTTTTGGTTTCACGCGCCCGGCGTGATCGTCTGCTATATCGTTTTCGTCGGTATCTTCCAAGTTCTTATTGATGGACTTGTACGGCTGTGTGTTCTCGTTCGGGTTCACGGCTTCCTTGCCGTGTCGCAATGCGGTGTATGCGTCCGTGAGTCGGTTGGTCTTGCTGCGATCATCTTGACCGTCAGCATCGGGATGGCCGTACTGCTGCTCGCGGTCCTGTTTCTCTTGACGGTAACGTTGAACGGTCGGTACAGGATGATGCGGCGTGTAGGGAGGCTTGTGCTTGCGCCCCGAAGCCTCTACGTCCTCTACACCGGACATGGTCGAGGTTGCGCGCGCGAGTGTGGTGAGTGGAAGCGCCGGACTAGCTGTGCTATTATGAGTAGTTGGTCAGTCGTGGGCTCGTCAGTATTCAACCTCAGGTGGTTGATGTCTGGTGTACAGGCGGCATGCGTGAGAACAACGAGGGCATGGATCTACGTGGAAGCGAATTGAGCGGCAGCGAAGGCCGTGGTTCGAATTGACGTATGTACAGCGATCGTGACAGGTTTCTTGAAGCTTTGAGCTGACCAGTTATTCTCCACTGTGAGCATTGCAATGGGGGTTCCAAGCCACAGGCTGGGCCGTGTAGCCGTTGGGGAGGGGCTGCGTTCAGGTAACCTGGTTAGCTATGACGTATGCACCAGGGGACCATCGACGCAGGAGCGGAGCCTTGGCCGCTTGCCCCACTCATGTTACGTTTGCGACGTTTGTGCCGAATGCACGCGTATTGACCGTGCAGACGTGATACTAACAGACGACCATGGTGAATGTATCTGGGACAGTTCTTGCAAGCTTCTGACAAGAATGCCATGATCGCTAGCGGCTCGCTACCATATCGATAACGCGAAGCCTCGGCTCTCGCTAGTGTGGGGAAGGACCTCGGAGTACTTTTCGAGGAGTAATCGCTCTTCAGCAATGCTGGAGGTCACTATGTGATGTTGCACTCTCGTTGAATTGTAGTAAAACCAAGCCTGCAAGACCGCGAAGATGCCATCGTGGAAAGAAGCCACAGCCGTGCGCAAGCTTAGCTCGAACACCTATGAGTGTACGCTGCAGGGCGACTGGTGCATTGGAACTGGTAAGCTACATACCATCATCGATCACAATGGAATATACTCATTTTGGACAGTTCCCAATGGTGGCTACGTAACCGGCTGCGTCCTCGAGGTTGTGTCTGCCCACTTCGCAACCACCCTCGCGAAGCAGAACCAGCCGCACACCATCGCCCTTCACATCGAGTTCCTCCGCCGCACCGAGGTCGGGCCCGCAACCTTCCATGTCGAAGATGTCAAGCTCGGCAGACAAGCTTCGGTCGTACACGTCCGCATGTCCCAAGAGGGCCGCGAGGAGGTCATCGCCTACGCGACGAATTCCAACATCGATACCGAGCAGGGTGTAAGCTTCGACACAGAGTACAAGCTGCAGCCACCGGCAGCGTCAGTGGTTTTGAGCGACTTAGCAAAGGACGGAGATAAGAACTGGTATCTGGAGGAGAATATGCCCTTCCCGAAGTTCAGGAAAGCGTCGCGGCAGGTCAAGTTCCACTTTCCGCGCAACGGGCAGGTCAAGCCCAACATAGCAGACGAGTGGCTTTGCTTTCGCGATGGCTCCAACTTCACAAACTCGTCAATTGGCTTCGTCGCCGACATGTTTCCCCAGATCGTGGAGGCCTACCGGGATCAGAGCCAGGGCCCGTTCTGGTACCCGACGCTGCTTTTAAACCTGGACGTCAAGAAGAGCCTGCCGACAGAGGGGGTAAAGTGGTTGGCCATACGGGTGCAGACGAAGAAGGTGAAGAATGGGCGGATGGATCTGGAGGTGCATGTACATGATGAGCAGGGTGACTTGATTGCATTGAGCCACCACGTTACGTTTGTTCTTGATGCAGCGAGGAATACGGCAGCAAGAAGGAAGCCCGACGCTAAAATATAGGATTGTACCACTTTGAAGAGAGGAACGATACCCTTTGAATGGATTGGGTGAACTATCCAACCTATCTTTGGGCCTGTTGCTCGTGCAACTATGGGTGCTTTCGAACCCTTCGACATGAGTGAACAGCTCGGGCGCTTGTGAAAACATCTGACTATCAAAGTAAACGGAATTTGGTGAAAGAAATTTGTGTGTGTAGCTCAGCTTGAGAGACACAGACTGTAGTCCTGACCTTCAGAACTTTGACCACTTTATTGCTCCTACTAAAGTAAGACAGTGTACCCAAACCTCTGCCCAGGTATTATAATGTTGTTTGTTTGGTATGGCATGGGAAATGACTGGGGTCGTGGTGCACAGTACTTGGTCAAACGTTTGAACACTGCATTGCTCCCCTGGAGTAACACAGTGTACTCAAACCTCTGTCTAGGTACTGCAGCCAAGTCGTGACTAGTCTATTGTTGGAAGTGGCGTTATATCACGTAGACAGATACCCCGGTCTGGTAGTTCACGATTAGATACGATTGACTCTGCCTGCGGATGAACGATCTTCACTCCCTTACAATCACATATGTCTAAGCCTATCGCATATCACTGCTCAGGATCCAATGCTCTCACACTCTGCGTGTCTCCTGGGTCTCTCATTGTCTTCTCCAACGCCCCCGGTGACAACTTGCCCATGAGCTCATACACCTTCCGCTCATAAACCTTCACCAACTCCACAAACTCTCCCTCAGTCTTTTTCAAAGATTCAGACAAGTCTTCATATCCTTCGTCAACCAGGTCTCGCAGCGCAAATTCCATCATGAACACTTGGTTAGAATGCTCTTCCATCGCGGTTATGATCTTGCGTAGAACCTTCGCCTTGGCTGTTGAATCACTCCGCGTTTCTTTGGCTGGCAAAGTTAATCTGTTCAGTAGTCCAAGAAGGTGCGTGTTGAAGCCAGCAATCTGAGTGTTCAGTCGCGCAGTACGCGACTTCAAGGCGACGAGCATGTTAGCCGCGGCTTGGTGACCAGCGGAAGATTTTGGCGACACGATGAACTCAAGCTGCGGACTGGGACGGCGTCTGCTAGGAGTGACGACCAGGACGTCTGGAGTTCTTATGGGTCGATTTGGAGTCATAGGCTCCTGTGGCGAAGGTGAGTTTGTGGGTGTGCGTGGGACATAGTCGATCGGTGGGCTTTGATGGCGCGGCGGAATTATTTCGTGCAAGGTATCCGGCACAAGTGTGACGGTGTTCTTCCTCGGCAGTTGTGGATGATGGTCGTTTCCGTAAGCGGAGTCAACAAAGTTATCCTGCATCGAGCCGGAGTTGTCCTCTTTCGGATCTATCCATCCAAATTTGACAGCGAGGTCGTACTTCATCCCTTCGTCGACTTCAACCACTCGAATTGGGAAGCTATGACTTTCTGATTCGCTAGCAGCTTCTGAATTCTCCAGAACTGCACCCTCTTTTTGCATCTTCGCAGTCTCCTCCACGGTCTCCATGGGCTTCGCTCGAGGGTCTGACGGAGATCGCTTCTTCCTTTCTCGACGCCTTTGCTGCTTTTTCAGTTTCTTGAGCTGTTTCTTCTTTTCGTTCCGCAATCGCTGCTGTTCTGAATTCCAGGATTCTGAGCTTTTGAATCGCTCTTTCTCTGGGGTTGATAGCTTCCGTTTCCCTTTCTTCTGGGAGTCTGTGGCGCCTAGTGGTGAACCAGTCTGTTCTAATTTGTGTGATAGTTTCTGCTTGGGTGCTGCATTGGAGCTCGTGGGCGAGCAGCCGAGGATCTGTTCCTCGGGTTGTCGTTTCTGGCCTCGTTGCTGTGCACGCTTCCCCCCGAACAGCGACGCGCGCGCGACGTGTTTGTATCCGCCCAAGGCCATTGCGTTACGAATAGTGTATATTTTCTGATGCAAGTGGTATTTGCGATGCGAAGTTGCGATGGAGAGCTTTTTGTTTGGCTCTAGGCAGGTATACAAACAGCAGCGCTGGTGAAGGAGAGAGTCCAAGGGCACGATCTAGGAAGGAACGAATAAGATCGAGCGCGCCTCTGCATCTCAGTGTATCTTTCAACTGGTGACTCAAATGCACGCAAAAGACTCGGAAAAATGCTGTGTGACCATTGTAACGTACTAAAACGAAATGTTGCATAAATTCGAGAATTGAACCGAGCGTACCTCAAAATCAAATGCTATCATTGTATACTCCCCTCCCGCACTCCGCTTTCATTTTCTTTGCCTATAGAAGTCTACTCATAGAATACCAAGCACCGGACCTCAATACTCTGGCGACCAGGCGCATCAGCCGGCGTGTTGGGATCCACAAAGGCGGTATGTGCGACCCGCAGAGCGGTGTTCGGATTTCCGCCCGGCTCACCATCTCCTCGAGAGTCATAGCACTTCAAAAGCATGACTTCTTCTGGAGTCATGTCTTTCATGTAGTAGAACTTGTGCTTGTCGTTCGGGGCAACCGAGAGCGTCTCGCCGAATACCTCGTAGCCCTCTGTTGACGTTGTGGACTCAGGGTTAGGCAGAACCTCCTTCCCGCGAGCATCGTATTCAGAATTGATGGAAGTTTTTGGGTAGAGTAAGTCTACCGGAACGAAATCCTTAGGCTCGGTGCTGCGGTAGTCGACTACTGCGAGAGGCATGTCCGATGCTGGGTTCTCGATTGGCCGCCAAACATTGATGATTTGATAGCGACCCTTCAATAACTCTTCGGCTTCGTCTTTCGGCAAGTGGCGACGAACACGTGCAGCGGCAGCGGCAGGCGTTTGGTCTACATGGACTTGCTGAACAGGTTGGCGAGGTGCATCTTTCCTACGACGACGGATCGTGTGGTCGAACATGACAACCTTCTTGATTCCGGGCAGCTTTGAGCGGAGCATAGCTTCCACTTCGGGGTAGTATTCGTTTCTGACTGTGGTGTCATCTTCAAAGAGCTTTTCCTTGGCAGCCGACTTGTAGACGGCAAATCCAGCGTTATCGGTGTTAAATTTGTGTTCCTGGCCACGCAGGCTGATGACATCGCGCTGGTGAGGATTCTGCTTGTAGGACCACCCTGGGCCGTCGACTTTGGCCCACGGCTTCCCTGTGAAGGAAGTCGGGTCAATGTGGATGAACTCGGCGGTCGTCATTGCTCTGGCGTTTGTGTGCAATCTTGCTGATGAAATTGGACGGAAGAGACGCTGGAGTTTTAAGGACATGGGCTTGTATTTAGAAGAACTTGGTGTCGGACTCCGACTTAAGCGTACTTATATACGGCGTTGTTCCGCACATACTCGTAGGTCGGGCCGGATGTGTAAGGTCATGATTAGAAATGACCGTGACGCCACCTGTGCGCGCAAATTGGCCAATCAGGCCCGACCGAGGTCACAACGAAACACTTTCCGCGGCCTGCTTCTGTAATTTCTTGGAAGCAGGACATCGCATTCCATTGTAAGCAGTTTACCTGGAAATACTCATCATAGAATGACGATTGCCAGTTGTCTTTCGTTCGTTCTGCTGCACATTTCTGGTTTGTCAGATATCAACGATACGTCGCCAGAGCTACACACGACCATGTATTTTTTGCAGCCTTGTCGAATGAAACAGACATCTCATCTCAAATCATATGCAAGCGTAGAATTCTTCAAAATTGTCACCGCTCGTGTGGCATTTAACGCTGCTTCTCGACAGTTCGGAGATGGCTTACCTCCGATTGGCTGGTGGTCAAACATCATTTGCATCATCGCCCCCGCCGCCCTTTCCATAGTTCTGTGACTCCAACACCGCGCAGGATGCCACGCCATGTCACCAGCAATAGCGACAATGAAGAGCCACTCGATGACAAGACAGCCGCTTTGCAGCTTCACTCTAAGCGTACCGAGCGCCAGAAGAAGCAGCAGGCGAAGCGCAACCGCAAGCGCGACGCTATCATAAGTCTCACAAAACTCCCCACCGAGCTGCTCATCGAAACCCTCATATATCTTCGGCCAGGCGATGTCCTGAGCTTCAGTAGTGCCTGCCGCCGCTTTCGCTCCCTCGTCGACGCCAATGCGAACGTCATCGGCAACGCGATCATCCAGCAGCGCTACCCGCTCCTTGCGCAATGCCTCGTTCTACCAAAACTCCTCGCAGACATCGAGCCTTCAGCACGCCCCTTGCTCCTCAGTGAGAGGCGACAAGAATTTCTCGGAATACAGCGCAGACCCTATCAGCATTTACAACCGCCGGACAAACACTTCATATGCACTTGTCTTTCCTGCATCCTGGCTTGGAACAATCTCTGTGTGGTGCTCGACTTTGCGCATTGGCAGACACACCTTGATACTGGCGAACCGCTGCCCATTATAAAAAGGGGCACAGCACCAGAGTGGAATATAACTCTAGTGCGTCGGAATGCCGACTTCGTGCAGTCCGCCTTGCAGAGTCCTCTTTGGCATGCACGAATACTAGAGATACACCTCGGCAGCACCATTAGGGCAATCAGAAGGCAGGGGAAGAACAAAGGCAATCAACGGAAGCACGTAGACATGACGGAAGACGATGCAGCTCGAGGTACTGATACTTTCTTATCCAAACCTGGGCCACTCAGCTTGGAGTTTCCCTACCTCCGAGATGAATACCACATGCTGGAGGCATATCTGCCAAACAGATATTGGAAGAAGTCCGAGGAAAGATGGATCTATGGCACCGCCGTTCACCATGATCGCGATCTCGCCTATGTGATTCGATGTGAAAACAGCATAGGGATCAAGTGTTGAGGACTATCCGTAGCAGCACTTTTAATTGGTAAATGTGGTGCCCCTTTGGACACAACTCATGGTAACGCCTCGTATCACTATGTTTGCTCATTTTTTTCGATCACTGGCAGTCGTGGTCTTATCAATCAACCGTCATTGTCGATGGCCCTCTCTATGTAGAACAAGATTTCTCCGCACTCTATTTCGAGCGCGCTCCTTCGCTTTATAACGTTCGGTTGACCCCCACACATAGCCGACGCTAGCCACTCACATTGGATGCGTTTACCCATGTAGCGTTCGCTTAGAACTCCGCATCGCTTTTCTTTCCGATGAACGGCGCAAAAGTCAATAGGCCGCTGTTGAATTCCTTTCGGCGACCCCCTCATATGCGGCATAATCGGCATATCGCTTTGATCCGGTGGTGCACTAGATGATCAGCATTCAAAGATAGGGCGCGGCCCACATCTTGCATGACTCAACATTTCCCACAAAAGTTCGACCTTCAGCATCATCCAGGATCCAGTCGTTTACAGCACTGTTGAACGTTCTTTAATGTGTAAGCTGATACCAATTGGAGTTGCGCTTCGTCATTAGCAAGAGATGGATTCAAACGTAGAGAAAGCTGAGGGACCAGATCGGACACAAACACCAGACAATACATTCTTACCTATACAAGGCCAAGGTGCTCCCTTGACCAGGACGAAATCAGCAACATCCAATGCGCTGGCCAGAGTGTCGTCGCGCCTCACCACTCGCTCAATAACGAATCCTGGTCCCCCTCCAGATGGAGGTTTACGCGCCTGGGTTCAGGTCTTCTGCGCCTGGCTCGCCGTTACCAACACGTGGGGCTTCGTGAACTCCTTTGGCGCTTGTAAGTCGTGATGATGTCACCCTAAGATTGGGGGAGCATACAGGTGGCTGATTGCGCAACAGTTCAAACGTACTACGCGTCAATTTTGCCGGAGCCTAATTCGACGATTTCCTGGATTGGATCAACGCAAGCCTGTCTTCTATTCGTTGTCGGAATTTTCAGCGGACGCGCTTTTGACGCTGGGTGGTTTCGTCCCACGGTGCTACTTGGCATTTTCGTCCAAATCCTAGGTATATTCGCCATGAGCGCAGCGAAGAACTACTGGCAATTACTGTTGACACAGGGGATCTGCACTGGAATAGGAGGAGGAATATTCTTTATGCCTGTCATGAGCCTAGTGGCTACGTATTTTGCCAAACGTCGTGGCCTAGCCGTAGGACTCGTGACTGTAGGCAACTCGGTAGGCGGTATGATTTATCCGACTGTCGTCCGGCAGCTACTACCTCAAGTCGGGTTTGGCTGGACTGTAAGAGTCCTTGGATTCATCAACGTAGTCTGTTTGACAGTTGTGATCGCCTTCACCAAGCCACGCCTTCCCCCGCGAAAGAGCGGACCGTTGTGGGATAAAGACTCTCTGAAGGACATACCGTACATTCTGTTCGTCCTGGGCATCTGCTGCTTGATGCCCGCGATATACTTTGTGTTTTACTACGTAAGTTCCAACGTTGAGTTGCCCCGTAGATATTAGAAATTGGCTGATACGCTTACAGGTTGCCTCTTTTGCCCGTGACGAGCTTGGCATGCCCTACACGCAATCCCTAAACCTCGTCATCATCCTCAACGGCGTCGGCCTCCCCTTCCGTATACTCCCCGGCTTCGTTGGCGACCGCTACCTCGGGCCTCTCAACACCTTCTCCCTCTGCACGTTCTTCGCATCGGTGATCCTTTTCTGCTGGCTCGGTGTCACTTCCATCCCAACGTATTACACTTTCATCTCATTCTACGGCATTTTTGCGGCGGCATTCCAATCTCTTTTCACAACAGCGATTATGGCACTTTCGCATGACATTACGAAGACGGGGACGAGGCTGGGCATGGCGATGACGGTGATTGGATTCAGTGCGTTGGTGGGAGGACCGTTGAGTGGGGCGATACTTAAGGCGAGTGATTATACGACGACGATTTGCTGGGCTGGAGCGAGTAGCTTCATGGGTTGGGGGCTGTGCACGGCGGCAAGGATATGCAAACATGGTTGGGTGGTGAGAAAGAAGTGTTGAAGACGGGGTTGTTCGAAGAGAGGATACCCATCATCTTCATGATCCACAGCAACGCTTACGATACACACATGTTAGATTTATAACCAGGAAGAGGTGAGCGAAGGCATAGTTCTATAATAACGAGGTATAAGACTCATCGTGGCACTCAACCAGAAAGAGCCCTACGGCCCTGCTGATGGTGGTTGCCCAGCTCAATATTCTCTACTGACTTGGCTGATGCCGAAGACGACTTCCGCAGGACCGGACTCAAGTCCTCGTCACTTGCGGTATGTCTAATTGTTGGGAACGTCACTGGACGTGGCTGGAGAACAAATGGTGGCATTAATGCAGAAAGCCTGTGCCTGACGCCTTGGAAAGCTTGAACATTTCTGTATGTATACGCCAGCGAAGGCATGCATGCACACATGGCGCCGATCATTAGCTCGCATGTTCTGCAGCCAGCATTAGCAGTGATTGGATTGCTCACTGTGCAACTTGACTCACATGGCGATGTTAGTCGCAAAAAGCAGGTATATGACATTTTCCGCGGTCCCCTTCCTCGTTCGGAAGTACAAAGCCACCGCTGAGCAGATGCATGCCCTGTTCCAAGTCAGTACATTGAGAGCTGGCGTTGGTAGGACATGTTTGAGAACGTACAGTAGACCAGACAGGAAGATCAGCATGGCCCCGAATTTCTTCCTCCTGGCCACATTCAGGTTCGCGACGGCAATGATCGGCAACAAGAGGATGGTGATGTCTGAAGCCAGACCAAAGGCGGAAATAGGAATGGCCACCATCCCGTACACGACTATGTTACGCATGATGGAGAGATACAGGGTTGCCACTGTAAAGGCTGTGTAGGCCGCGACGCTCACACAAAGCCCCACAGTGGCACTGATCCTCATCCATCGGAGCTGATAGAAGAGCTGGAGATAGAGGATGAAGAAAGTCGCCTTTAGAAATCCGTATGTGACTGGTAGCACGGTGAGCAAAACGAAGGCTGGTGTGACGAAAGCGTCGTCCTCAAGCGCTTCGAGAATGTTCTCGCCGGGAGGACCTTTGTCGAGGTTTCCGCGGGCGGAGATCCAGAGCGTGGTTGAGTATAGTATGAGCGTGCCAATCACGGCCATGAATAGAGCGCCTGTCGTTGTTTGGTCAGATCATCCCATGAATAAATCTCGAATTCATGCTACATACCATCGTCCCAGTGGCATTGCCTCACTAAGCAAACCTTTACATAGGCGCGATTCGCCAGCAAAGTCATCATGAAAACCAGTAGAACCGAGGTGACAATCTCCTGCTGGGTCCTGACACGGTTTATTTTGGCCCAAGACGGCGATACATCTTGGTCTTGAGCAAAGGAACTCATGGAGAATCAGGTCGGGTCAATCAGCGGAATTCGGTACACTATGGTGTTCGAGCCAGGTGCGGAAAAAGTACATTGAAAGAAGTAAATGCGAGGACCGGACACGAATGGGACCTCCCAAACAGTAGACACGAGGATATTGTACAGAGGTTTTACTAGGTAGTGAAGTAGTCAACACGAGAGTGATGCGCACCACGAGGTGGAGGATGATCCTTGATCTCATATAACGCGATTGAGCAAGGGATCGGCATCTCCGTGCGCACCGTGTGGAGGCGGGGGAATGTCGTGTATCATCAACCCAAAGAATGCAGCTTGAAACCGCTTGCCTTTCCGCTTTGAAGTGTTTGTGTTACGCCACATACTGGCCTAGTTATGGAGCTCGACCTCCTCTATCGCGATCGGGGTCGATTTCCCAGCAACAGCCAATGCCCTAAGCTCTCCTGATGCCTCCTAGAACATTATTTTTGACTATTGGCCGAGTACAAGCACACAAATGAAACGACTCATTCTTTGGTCTAAACGCCAGTCGCGACCTACGAAATCGCAGCTGTGGCACTAGGCATTCATAACATGGGTTGGAGTATCCCATTGCCCGAAGCTCTCATTGTGTATCAGTATGCCTTAGCTTATTCTCCCTCCACGCCCGTATCACGACAGACAAATCTATTTGTGTAACCAGCCAAGATTGCTGATCCAAGTATGAGGAAAGACGTCTGCTAAAGAAGCACATGTTCTTAGGACGAGTGCATAATTTTACAACATTGAATGTGATTCACATCTTGTATAATACCTCTGAATGATGCTACCACAACTACTCACCAATCCTCAGCACAAACCTCTCCTTTCCTCCCCCTTTCTGTCCAACAAACGTCTTCAGGACCGTCTCTTCATATGGCCTCGTCACTTTTCCCTCCACCAACTCATCTAAAAACGCTTCGAAGTTCACTGGCTTCAGATCTGGGTACAGCTCCTTCGCATCCAAGTACCCCAAATATTTAGCATTCTCCAGCGTCCCATCAGCCCGAATCCACTTCGAACGATCGTATTGCCCAGAGTTCATCTTTAACCACGCAAGCATGTTCCCAGGTTCTTCCTTAATCATGCGCTCTGCGGTAGTGATTGAGGCCTCGAGTCTTTCCGCAGAGACAGTTGAGACAGATGGAGTCTCGCCGGTCTTGGCTTCGATGAGTGAAATGATCTCGTTTTGGCTGATCTCGTCGCTCCACGCGACGACACTACGATTTAGCGTGCGGGGGTCCCGGATGATCCGCGCGACGAAGCGGCCAATGTCGCGTTTGTCACTAAGGAGGGTTCTAGTATTGCCTAATGCACGAAGATGGAGTTAGTTAGATCCAATCAGCCTGTGTGTTGCCTACGCTAATACAAGCCAAGGTACCAAACTATTAAAGAGCGTCGTATGTTCGTAGAGCTGAGAAACACGTACCATCGCCAATGACCTCGGGCCTATCGAAGGTGAGAGCATAGTCGAAACGGCCGGATGGGACGCGGAATAAAGAGATTTGGTGCCAGTAGCCGATCTCGATAAAAGTGTAAGGGAGGTGCGCATGCCCTTTTGACAGTCAGTATCATCGTTTTCCTTCTTGAATCAATCCCAGGATCAAGCTGTTTTGAGGTCGAATGCTCCTGGTCACATTTACCCGCCCACTCACACACGATCCTAGATTCTAAAGTTGGAGTCTCTAGCCAACTCAATCCGACATTGACCAAGATGATAGGGGACAACTCACAAACTCTCTGATGCACAACCTCCTTCTCGTCCCTCAACTTCATCAAGCCACCCGGCGGGATCACCACAGCGAAATCGCATGGCACAAACCTTTTCACACCAGCTTTCTTCGCCGCATCCACAAGCTTCACCTGCGCCAGAATTTGATGGGGATGAATCGCGCTAATCACCGTATCGAACCCCTCCAGCGCCTTCGCAAGCTCATTGACATCGCCGGAGAGGTTTCCGACAACGATGGGGAGGCCGCGGGCAGCGAGGGCCTTAACGGCTGGTTTCTCTGTCGAGGATGGCTGCACGAGGCACGATATTTCCTAGACGAAAGCGGAGCTGAATCAGCATCGCTGAGAAATGTATCGAAAACCGTGAGACCGGTCACTTACGAAATCCCCATCCTCAACCAAGCCAGTCAAGATATCGCCCCCAGTCTCGCCATGCGCGCCAAGGAGAAGTACTTTATGTTTTGCCATTACGATACAAGTTTACTTAGGTTACTCGATCCGTTCATTACACCTACACTACCGTTGTTGCTTTTAATATACCAGATCCATTGTGCAATTCTGACATGCCGATTTCTAATTCTGACATGTTCTCACCAATCGGAGGGTGAAATCGCTAGGTCCAGAGTTAGTGGCTCTTTGATTCGTTTTTGCACATTGTGGGCCAGTAATTAAAGTGAAAGGAGGAGCGGGGAGCGTAAGATATAGATGGGGACTGTAGGGTGCTGACGACAACTGTATGCACTGTACGTTAGCGGATTGGGTGCCTCAGGGTCTTAACATGACGATGAATGATAGGCTGCACTCTTGAGCTGGTCGAGCAAAGCATTGAAGTAATTCATTGTCGACTTCTCCAGTCGAGCTTTTTCGTGAGATATTCAGGTTGATCTGATCTCATAGTAGCCAGTACGACTATCCTATTCCACCCTCAATCAACCAAGCGTCGGATGACACCACCCACCGAACGCTCACGCAATGTTCACGCTCGCTATACCAAAAGCCTCCTTGTGTCCCAGAGCGCGCTCATCGCTCGTTATGCTTGCGGCTAACAGAATCGAAAAATGGGAATTCATTAAACAAACATGTACAGTTCGAAGTCGTACGTGAAGCGATGTCTGTCCCGCAGCATCACAATGCTAAAATTCTCGCCTCGCCGTGAATATTACGTCTGGGCTTGTTGTACACCAGGGCTTTGCTGCAGCTGCGCATTCTGAGGTGTTGCACTCCGGCTCGAAGGTCTGGCGGCATTCATACCCGGACTACCTGCCTGCGCTCTCTGCTGGCTCATCAATTGCTGCTGGCGAACAAGTTGCTGTTGATAGTGCTGGACTGCGTTCGGAGAAGGGCTGTTGGCACCCATATTGCCATTTTGAAGATACATGTTGTTGCCGATCTGAGGGGAGTGGGCCATGCCAGGGGAGCCTGCGGCTGCATTCATTGCCTGTGCGCGTTGTTTTGTTAGGAACCGGGCAAGATGATCAGACGCCATTTTTTGGACCTGTTCTTGGGACCAATCCGGATGCTGTACCTTTAAATTGTTTTGGATCTGCAGTAATTGCGGCATGTGCCCACTGGACAATGGACGAGCAGGAGTTTGCATGTTAGGCGTGGCCTGGTTGATGCGAGGGGATCCAGCGTTGTTCGACATGCCATTCATCCCGGGAGTCATGTTGCCGTTCATATTCTGGCCCACCATGGATGCCATCATGTTCGCGTTCGGCATGTTGTTTATTCCCATGTTTTGGGTTAGGTTACTAGCCATATTGATCTGTTGTTGTTGTAGCTGGAACTGGTGCTGTGCATTAGCATTGGGGAATTGACCTCGCTGCATGGCCGCCATTTGAGCCTGGTTTGGAGGACCCATCCGCTGAGAATTCGACATGTTGGCCTGCATCTGCGCCTGGGGGACACCGGTAGAGCCCATTGCCATCCCGCCGTTCATGTTTGCATTTGGAAAACCTTGTTGCATGGCCTGATTTTGTTGAACCCGAGCCGCCATGGCAGCATTTGCAGCTGGATTTGAGCCCTGTTGAGCAGCATTCGCCATCTGTGGAGTGAGATTAGGATTGGAACCAGGCGTTCCCATCCGTGGTTGTTGACCGGAACCGTTGGCGAGGCCTTGGGCTTGCATTTGTGCGGTACGTTGCGCCATTTGCTACGTGCTATTAGCCACACGGACATATGACAAACATCTATACGTACCCTTGCATGCATCTCTTGCTGCTGTTGCTCAAGAAGTTTCTGTTTGATTCTTTGCTCACGTTCCCACTTGAGGCGCGAGAACTCTTGAGGCGTGTGCACGTTGCTCTTAGGCTGCATGGGTTCTTGCGCTTTGCGTAGCGCGGCTGCTTTCTGCGACTCGGCTTGTTTATGGGCAATGGACTCGCGCTTCCGAGCCAACTTTCGCATTCCGTCGATGATGGCAAGGTGCCTATTTTCTCTCCTTCTTTCAACGCGGATGGGCTGATTTGTCCGCCTTCGAGGGGTCTGAGCGGGGATATTCTGACCGCTCTGTTGCTGCTGCTGGATAAGCTGCTGCTGAGCTTGGTGCTGAGCTGCAACAGTCCTTTGCGCTTGCTCGAGCCGGCTTTGGTAGGTACGGAAGTACTGCGTCTTAGACATCTCCGCTGGCAAACCTTCAAGCTGCACCCAGCGTTCAAAGCATTCCCAGGGTGTACGTCGACCAGAACCAGCTACGAGCATCGAAGGCAAAGCAAGTTGCTGCGCAACTAATGACCAGTTGAAAGTGTATTCCTTCACCAAAGCGCGCAACTTTTGATCCTCTTCCCACAGCCACTGTGAAGACTGTCGGTTTTCGAAGAAAGATACTGAAGGCATCGGGAACTCGGTAGGGGGCCTGAACTGGTGCGAGGCTTGGAGTCGATCGCGGATATGCCTGTTCTCGGGGTGGAACAAGGCTACGTCACTCATCTCTGGCGGTAGATCATTTCGGTGGAATAGTCTTCTTCCGGGAGTAGAAGGCATAGAATGTTCGGCCGAGGTTCCCGACCTGCTTGGTGGAGTAGACGGCTCGTCCTCGGAATCATATTCGTAACGGCTTCGCTTCCGTGGGGGACCCCTGACTTGTGACACAAGCTTACCGCAGACGAACTTAGAAACAGGGGCGAGAGGGGGGTCCACGAACGAGAGGGGTGTAACGTCGCTCGCTCCTTCAAGGATCGGCTCGTATAACGGAAGTTCATGCAGTAATGTATCGCTGGCGGGTGTTCGATCGATTTTCAAGACGACATCGTTGAATCCCAGAGAGAAGAGAGAGGCGGGCGGGTTTAGGTATAACGGAGACAATAGTTCGTCGTCGTCTACGTAAGACTCGCTCTCCGCATCCCCGTTTGAATGGACCAGATCCGGAGTGGGTGCATCATCCATGTCTAAGTCTGCCGCACTCGACTTCGGTATACGGGCTTTGATTCTTAATGAAGTTCGTTCCTCGGGCGTGCTATTCACATAGTCCGCACACCATCCGGCAAAAGTAGCTGCGAGAGATTGCTTCCATTTCCTCTCCTCTTTAAAGTCAGTCTGCATCCACTTCATCTCGGCAAGTAAATGATCTTGATGCGTAACAGGCCGCTCTGGCTCAGCGGACTTCTTCAGTTGCCGAAGTGACCATCGGTTCGCATTCTGCAACTGGTAAACCCTCTTGAGAATCTTGTAATCATGGGCCTCGCGGATGGTGGCAAGAACGCCAGCCGTGGATACCGTCTTTCGTGCAGAAGTGACCAAATCCATAAGAGGAGATGCTCGGGGTGGGTGATGAGCCTGGTAGTTGAAAAGTCCCTGCAAATAATCCCTGCTAGAATCCTGCGATGCGCCTTGAAGAGATGCGTAGTCCTCATTATACAATTGTAGCGCCTTTGTGGCCCTGTTCAGGTCAGGCTTCGCGAAGATGATGGTCGACACTTCTCTACGCTTATGCTCCTTCAATACCCGGGCAGGGCTCGTTGTCGGCAGTATGTTGCTTGATCGTGGTGTTAGGACGACCTTCGCCGGCGATTTCTCTGCACGCTCTTCAATGATCTGAGCTATGGACTTTTGCTGTTGAGTACCAGACGATAATAGTGTTGGGGTGCTTTCGGAGTCGGGGTTAATCGATGAGGCCGGTTGCTCTTTTGCAGGAACAGGCGCTTCGTCCATCTCAACATCATTGTCGGCAGGCGGGGTCGGATGCTCCGGACCTAACGAGGATCGTTGCCGATGCTCTTCAACTGCACTTTCTGACGTTTCCGGCTCTGCTGTTGACGGATCAGGAGCTGTCGTGGTAGGTGTCGGAAGCGAGTCGGCCGCCGGTTGTTCAGCAGCTGTTTCCACCTGTTCCATCTCGATCTCACGGACGACATCTTTGGCGTGGTCGCTTAGCGCTTCCGGTCCGGCAGGAGGCGCGTTATCCGATTCATTTAGTCGTGCCTTTCCATCTCGTGCAAGGCGTATAGCCTGCTCATCCTCAATCTGCCTCTCGACATCATCCTCCTCGGCATTGCTGTCCGCACGAGCATTTTCCCTGGCCTGGCGCATCTGTTCTTGTAACGCGCGCTCATGATCCTCTTTGGCTTGCTCCGCCACAGGATCCACGAGACCTGCATCAACAAGCGACTGCCGTCGCTCGCGGAAAGACTCAGTTTCCGGGCTTGTGTCGGGGGAGTGATGTTGAGGGTGAGGTGTCGCTTGCGAGTAAGGTCCAACAGTTGATGAAGGTGACGATGCCAGGTCGGTAGGTATATTCCCGTTCGGTAATGTTAGTCTCTCCTCCTCTTTGCGTTCCTTCTCTGCTATCTTCTCTAACTTCTGCTCCGTCTCTTGCAACCTCGTCTCTTGAACATCTTGTGGTGGTAGATGTACTACCTGGGGCGCTTTGGGTGCCTTTGGCCTTCGCCCGTTCACTGGTGCATTCTCAGACAATGCGGTGTCCTCGGACGACGGTGGTATCGCAGCTCGCGGGTCAACGGCCTGTCCATCAGAGTCGACCTTCTCTCCTCTCGAGATTTGAACAACGGGTGCTTCTGTTATCGAAGGCGCCTGCGGCTGTTCACTGGAGGTCTGGTCATGGTCCGTCGCATCCACTGGGGATGCGGAAACGGGAGTCTCGACGCCGGACGGGAGTGATGCAGACTTGGTGGTGAACTTGAGATCGGTTTGCGTCGATTCTTCATCAACTGGTGCGATCTGCGTCGCAACAGAAGGCGACGCAGATGCAGCGCGTAGCTGTTCTTCAAGGCTAGAACCGACAGCTGTGCTTGGTGACGACTTTGCAAAGGCTGGGCTGGCGGGCTTCTGCAACGGTGATGTAAGAGGGAGGGGATATGCAAGTGTAGAATCATTAAAGCGTCGTCGTCTGCGCAGTATGGTCAGCGGAATGCGCGTACATCAAATCCGCCGCTGCGATGACGATGTTTTGTTCGATGACATAATGCATGAATAAAAAAGGAAAGATAGCCATACTTAGTTATATCATTTTTATCCAGAAAGTCGGCCTCGTTCTCGTCTGGCTCATCGTTGTTGTGGCAGTACGGGACCTCTGGCGGGAGGCCCGTGTGGATGAGCGCTGTATAGCGGTATAGCTCGCGCAGCTTGCGCTTCAACGAACCGTCGCAATGCCTGCACGAAACGTCAGCATCTCCACCACCACGCAATAATAAATGAATGTAAGCGATTTTTCCGCCGATGCGCGGCTATGCGACACCAGAAAGTCGCGAATTAGCAGCAAAATTGCGAGTCACTTACGCGATCTCGTTCTTCTTCTCCCGGAAACGCGCATCACGAGGGCTGTCGAGGGACATATGAAGACCGACAATCGGTGGCCGACATCCGTTTTCCACGAGTGCCGCCAATGTGATGAATTTTCCGGTGTTGGGGTGGTGAGCGTTGATGGATATGTCGATGGCAGTACTTGGGCTGATGGGCGGACGGGCTCCCGCGCGATGATGAGGAAAGGAGGATGGGCCCGCGGGCGGCGGTTGGTCACGTGCCGGGACTGATAAGCTCCAACCCCCTGTCTAGCGGGGACTAGCGTCCTGCAGTCTCTCAAAATTTCGTGTTGCTGCTGAACGCGTCCAGCAACGTCAAGTCTACCCAAACAACTCCAAAATGGCCAAAAGAAAGAGAGAGATCGCTGATAGGACGAAGCCGGTGAAGGCAGTGAAGAGTGAGAAGGAAGCGACTGCCTCGACCCCGAAGAGCAAAGTACAGATCGAATCTCCAGCACGCAACAGCAAGGAAGCTGCAGTAAACGACAAGGCAGGCGCAAACCACAAGGCAACAGCAACTGCACCGGCGAATGCACCAGCAAAGGAAGTGGCCGACATCACCACTGTCCAGATCATCACCGGCTCATATGAAAGAGTCTTGCACGGTTTCTCCGCAGCCATACCCCAGGCCCTGATCACGGGACAAGATGACGGCGCAGAGCAAGACCTCCCAAAGATCGGATTCTCGGACACTTTCCTCTTCAACGCACACACATCCGCCATCCGCTGCTTGGCCCTGACACCTCCCACGGATGAATCTTCCAAAGTAATCCTGGCCACCGGCAGCACCGACGAGCGCATTAACCTGTACACGCTCTCCACTGCACCCCCAGCACTCTCAAAATCAAAACCACAACTTCCATCACTCAACGGCACTTCCATCTCCGAGAACTCCAAGAACAAGGAGCTCGGCGCCCTGCTGCACCACTCTTCCAGCATCACCGGCCTGTACTTCCCGTCCCGCAGCAAACTCCTAAGTTCCTCCGAGGACAGCACCATCACCATCACGCGGACGCGTGACTGGGCACCCCTCTCTACCATCAAGGCGCCCATCCCGAAAGCTCAAGGCCGTCCCTCAGGCGACACCGCGGCGCCGGGCGAGGTCCCCGCCGGCGTCAACGACTTCGCCGTGCACCCCAGCAACAAGCTGATGGTGAGCGTGGGCAAGGGGGAGAAGTGTATGCGCCTCTGGAACCTGATCACGGGGCACAAGGCTGGCGTGCTGCAGTTTAGCAGGGAGATCCTCGCGTCCGTGGGCGAAGGGAGGTTTGGCAGCGGAGAGGGACGGAAGGTCGTATGGGATGGCGAGGGCGAGGAACTGGCTGTCGCATTTGAGCGCGGCGTCGTTGTCTTCAGCCTCGATATGAAGCCAAAGGCTAAGATCCTGCCGGCGCCGCGCACGAAGATACATCAGATGCGGTACTTGCCGTCTGACTCGCACCCGGGCATCCTCTTGGTTTCCACGGAAGACGGCAGGATTATGTTCTACGACACGAATTCTACGAGTGAACCTGCAGAGAGCGAGGAGAGGGAAGACGATATCCCGCAGAGCAACCTCGTTGCTGCGATCGGTGGTCCTGCAGCAGGTTTCTCGGGCCGAGTAAAGGACTTCGACCTCCTCCGTATATCAGATACTTCCTTCCTGATTATCTCCGGAAGCAGCGACGGCACGGTCAGACTGTGGAGTCTCCGCACAGACGAACTCAAGGCGCCTGCGTCGTCTGAGCAAGGAGCGGGCTTCACCGCAGGGCAGGTCGGACGGTTGATAGGGACGTACACGACGGGCACGCGGATAACGTGCTTGAAGTCGTTCGTCATGACGGGGACGCCGGATGTGGAGGAAGAAGAGGAGGAAGAGATACCTGCCGCTGAAAACGAGTCGAGCAGTGAAGACAGCGAGTAGTTCTATACGTAATATACCACGAATGCCCATGCTCGGAACTCTGTAGTATAGTTTACATATCACCACTATGCTCAGGCGTGAGCCTTGGCTTTTCTATGATCTACCCCTATGCATGCACGCGTCCTATCTACAAGTGACAGGGCAACTCCTCTTAGACACTAAACAAACAGACAATCGATGCTATCGCTCAAGTACTCACGACAAAACTACACAACGAAGTTTGAAACAGTTCAAGGCGCCCTCTCATCACAGTATCCCGGAGCCTTCGCATCACCTCCATGCACCCAACTATTGATCGTGAGCGTGGTAGTATACACCATGCTAACGAGCCCAACAATGCCAACCAAGACATCGAGTATACGCGCGGTGGTGGTGCGAGCAACAGCGCGGTAATGCAGCATAGGCTGTTCGCAGTGTCAGTGAAATCGCCAAGGGAGCTAGGGCGGGGGAAGGGAACTCACCGGGTAGATGTAGACCAACGGAATGCAGGCAAAACTCCCGACAAGGGACACGAACTTGTCCAGGTCATTTGCGCCGACCCAAGCGACGGTCGCGCAGATGCCAACCATGAAGAAGCGGAAGAAGTTCTTCTTCCATTTGACGTAGGGGTTGTACTTGCCGGTTCTGCATGAGGTCAGTGCATGTCGAATATAGACGGGTACGCGTTTCGCGCGGGAACTTACCTGCTGAAGAGCTGCTGGCTCGTGATCTCGATGGCTGGGTACAGCTGCAATGGTGTTGATAGCAGGATTGCAAGAGAGTAGATGAACTGAACGCCATTCACGAACTTGTTGTCCTGCGGCATGTTCAAGATGATGACGGTCTTTGTCTTCGAGCCGAAAGCCGCATATGAGAGCGCACCCATGCTGATGAAGATCACAGTAATGACAATCATGACCATGCCGAGCACCTTGGGGAACTTTTTTGGGTTCTTCATGCCACTCTGCACCGGAATGACGAGTCCAATACCTTCAAATGTGAAGATGGCGGTTCCAATGAACAACGTCCAGTCACTCTTGTTGAAGTTGGCGATGTCTGAAATTCCGCCTTGGTCAACGATGGTGAAAATATCAAAATAGTAGAGGTATACAAGTCCGAGGACAATGAAAAGATCCGCAATAAGGGCGAGCTTCTGAATGTGGTTGATGTTGCGGTACAGAGAGAGGGGCAGGAAGATGACCATTTGTATGAGAATCATGAGTCCAATGCTTATATGCGTTTTGCAGTCTGATACAGCAAGCACGAAAGCTTGCATGTTCTCCGCAACGAAAACGGTGTAGGCTGATGAGAAACCAAGCTGAGAGATGACAAGCGAAAAGTTGATCAGGTTGCGCATCCATTTTCCGTAGAGGTGCAGCCCCATGTCACCGAAGGAGTGCTCCACGGCAAGGCGAGTGTTGACCAAGAGGACGAAGCAGAAGTAGGACAGGGCGGCAACGCTGAGGAGTACAACGTTGGAGAAGAGCATGCCTCCGTTCAAATAGGCTCGCGGGAGGAAAAGTACACCGGTACCGACGAAGCTCTTGAGTAGCAGCATAGCAGCACCTGTAGGGCTTCCCTTTCCTGCCACCTTGGTCTTACGTCTCCGCCTCTTGCCCGGTGTGAGCAGAGCGCTGTTTTCTCCGTATTCTCGTTCGTCCTCAGTGTGTTCGCCAGACGTCAGAGCATCGGAAGAAAAGTACTCGTCCGGACCAAGGACCTCGTCGTCCTCTTCCAATGATTCACCCGCAAAGTGTCCGTACAGTGTCAGGAACTCGAGGAAGTTGTTCGTGAATACCACAGGCTGAGGTTTCTGGGCGACGGTGCCGTAGCCGGAGGGACCGGGCGCTGGTGACTGGTCGGCAGCTCTACGAATGAAATTGCGTCGGAATCCGCCAGGTTGATGGATAGAGTTGATGTCCAACAGGGGCTCGTGAGCTCGAGCGCGGTCGGCGGAGAAGCTCTGGCTACGCTTCATCTTCTGCCGTTGCTCCTCTTCCTGCTGCGCTGACCACCGGTATATCTGCCGTGTGATATCACCACCCTGCAGCTGCAGACTGTCGAATTCTTCTTCATCGTCGGACGACCCTCGTCTCCCTCTGCTGACGTTGTCTGCGTCTGCCGCGAATCCTGCATGCGATCGGCTAGGAGAGCCGTATCTGGCCGACAGGTTGGAGATGGAGGGTTTCTGAGGGCCAGCCAAGTGACGGCGAATGATCTCGGGATCTTCGTAGGGCACCCCAGGCGATCGGCTCCGCGCGTCGTAGGAGCCATACTGGCTGAGGGTATCGCGCGGAGCAGTCTCTGCTGCGGGCGATAGCGGTCGTATCGGCGGCGTGCCAAAGCGCGGCGGGCTTCGTCCGAACGACTCTTTCAGCGCTGAAGACAGAGCTGACTCGCCGGGGCCGGGGAGCGATGACTGGACCCCTTCCCGCCCGGGCAGCGGCGTCTGGTTATTTGAGGGCTCTTCGGATGCGAGCTGAGCTGGTGTGGGGATCTGCTGTACTGGCACAGAGCCGACAGGAACCGAAGGCACTGGTGATCCAAGACGGGCTATAGATTGTCCGCGAGAAATGGAAGCAGACGGCGAGCTGTGTTCGGAGGCGCGCGACGAGGAAGGCACAGCCCGCGGCTCCGTCGGTTTGGGGCTATCGTTCGCCATGCTCGGCACGGAGGAGCGTTTGCTGCTCGCGTTTGCGAATCTTCTCTATCGCGTCGTGGGAGCTATGGATATCTTCGTGTAACAAGCGGATTCGCTCAAATTCAAGCGAGCTGCCAGGAGTAAGGGGGTGACTCTGCCGAAATGTGTTATGGGTTATTGGGAATATTTGGCCATGAGGAGACTGCGTAGAGGAGGAGAATAAGGCGGCTGGGTCCCAGCTGCGGTTGACTATCGGCGTGCTGGTGTGCCGCGGCTGACCTCATTCGCTGCACGAGTCGCGATGGAACCTTAAGCGTGGGGCTTCCGTGGGGTGGTCACATGCCGTGCCCTGCAGACCTCAAACCTCGCCAGACCGCGCCAACTTGGCGGCGACTGCATGGCACATCACTGACGTCTTTTATGTTTCCTACAGCTGCCGACTCAATTTTCCTGTCCAGGCTACATCAAATGCCTCACTAGCGAGCCGAGCTGCCCAAATTCCCTCAGGACCTCAGGACTCCGAGCCGTGAAGAGCTATTACTTTCCTGGCAAGAACCTTGTCGAGACGCTTGGACCCGCACAAGAACCCGTGACCTGGATATGGCCACAGGGCGTGCAAGATGACTGACGATGCACCCACCCGTCGGCGGTTGCCACCGAGATCTCACTCGAGCTTTGCAACTCGTACCGCCACTGACGATGCGGAACGGCTCAACAGACGGGGTTCGATCTTACCAGCACCGTCACCTGGTGAAGAAACACCCCTGCTAGCAAGAGACGCTGGCTCTTCGACTGTGCCTGCCTACGATGGACCAACCGAGACTTCCCAGGAGAGCGATCATGCACTCGAGTCTATGCGTGATTGGTTGTCTAGACCGTTGCGCCTATTGCGCTCAAATTCTCCCAAGGCTGGTTCGAACGTACCTGGAGGCAAGCAGCATTCAGGAACAGATGCCGTGAAGCCTAGGCCCGGTGCCTTCCCACGACCTATCGGTGGTACTAGCAAGCTTGGGACATTTGCTGGTGTATTCGTTCCAACGACGCTGAATGTCCTCTCCATTCTGATGTTCCTGCGTTTTGGCTTTATCCTAGGACAAGCTGGTGTATTGGGCATGCTAGGTCAGTACTGTACTGAGACGAAAGTCTGGGTACCAACGGTCTGCACGTTGTATATCCTGGGGTAATACACAGTACTCAACCTCGTACAACCGGCTTATGCACTAGCTATCCGGGGGTAACACGCTGTACTCAGACTTTTGCGCTCCCTATGCTTTTGATCCGCCACTGACACCAATCAGGCATGCTCGTCGCTTGCTATGCAATTAATCTCTTAACGACAATGTCGATCAGCGCAATTGCCACAAATGGTACCGTTCGTGGCGGAGGTGCCTACTACCTAATCTCTCGATCATTGGGGCCCGAGTTCGGCGGTTCGATAGGTATCGTTTTCTACCTAGGTCTTGTTTTCAACACCAGTATGAATGCCGTTGGTCTTATAGACTGCTTTATAGAAAACTTCGGTGTCGAGTCTGGCAGCTGGTCCCCGATTATGCTGGAAGGCTTCAAGTGGCAGTTTCTGTGGGCGACCATAGTTTTGTTGGTCTGCACTTTGGTTTGCCTCGCAGGATCCGGCCTTTTTGCGCGATGTAGCAACGGCTTGCTATTCCTCCTGGTCGTCTCGATCGTCAGCATCCCACTTTCAGCGCTGGTTCTTCATCCTTTCTCCGATGCTAGGGAGGGAATCGAATTCACAGGGCTGAGCTTGCAGACCCTTCGGGAGAATCTTCTACCACACTTCACAAAAGGTGCTGATGGTAGCCAGGACAAGCACCATCGCGAGAACTGGAGTAATCTGTTCGGAATTTTGTTTCCTGCATGTAGTGGAATTTTTGCGTCGGTACTACCCCTTCAATCTGGGCCATTTGCTGACTTCTCGAAGCGGCGCCAGTATGTCTGGTGACTTGAAACACCCATCGAAGGTTCGCCGTCTCCTCCGTTTGCCTCTTTACTATCGCGCATTGATATTTTACCTAGGCTATACCTAAGGGCACGTTATATGGTCTAGGTTTGACATTTGTGTTCTACACTGTGGTGATTTTGGCTATGGCTGCGAGTATCACGCGTGAATCATTCATCTACAACACAAATGTCATACAGCTGACCAACATCTCTGGCGTCGTCATTCTTCTGGGAGAGTTCGCAACTTCCTCGTTTTCCGTTCTTATGGGTGTCATTGGCTCAGCAAAATTGCTACAAGCACTTGCTCGAGACCACTTACTGCCTGGGCTTTCGATCTTCGGCCAAGGCACAGCAAAGTCCGATGACCCGACCTACGCTATCATGATCACGTACCTGTTGGCGCAGCTCACAATGCTGTCAGACATCAACCAGATTGCCTCTTTTGTAACTATGACTGTATGCTGCTTCCACGGTCACTGTTGAACAAGAGGCTGACTGGACTTGGAACACAGTACCTAATGACCTTTCTGGTCACGAATCTAGCAACATTCGCGTTGAAGATTGGGAGCGCGCCAAACTTTCGCCCATCCTTCCACTTCTTCAATTGGCAAACAGCAGCGACCGGCGCGATCGTCTCCGGTGCTACCATGTTCTTCGTGGATGGAGTCTACGCTTCCGGGTGTGTCGCTTTGTTGATAGTCGTCTTCTTGCTCATCCACTATACAACTCCACCCAAACCATGGGGTGATGTCAGTCAAAGTTTGATCTATCATCAGGTACGAAAATACCTACTGCGTCTGCGCCAGGAGCATGTAAAGTTCTGGAGGCCTCAGATTCTGTTACTGGTCAATGATCCGAGGCGGCAGTACAAGCTCATCCAGTTTTGCAACTCATTGAAGAAAGGAGGACTCTTCGTGCTGGGCCATGTCATTATCTCACAAGACTTTGGTGCAGCTGTGCCAGAGGCCCGCCAACAGCAACAATCCTGGACCAAGTATATCGACTTTTCCAAGATCAAAGCATTCGTTAACATAACAATCTCGCCCATGGTCGAGTGGGGCGCAAGAAATCTTGTCCTCAGTGCTGGCCTCGGTGGCATGAGACCTAATGTCGTTGTGATGGGTTTCTACAACCTGGGTGAACTCCGTCAGTAAGTGACACTTGGCGCCTCTCAAAGTCCACTGATTGATCAATCCTCGCCAAAGGCTGATGAGGAACTAAGATCTTGCGCAGAAGGCTTTTGCTTGGTCATTGTTACTGACTTTACAGGTCCAAGCCACTTATCGATATACCTTCGCCGCAGCCGTCTAGGCCTGTAAGCAAGGCCACGAATCATCCACTTTCTCGCCAAGCCATCCAAGCACTTGCAAGGCGCAAACAAACTCCGGATAAGTTGTCTGGAATATTGCCAACCGATGCAATGAAACCCGAGAACGCCATCGGGATTCAAAGCTATGTAACGGTCGTGGAGGATCTTGTCCTCCGTCTTCAAATCAACGTCGCGCTTGCAAAAGGCTTCCACGAGTTGGAGGTGCCTAATCCTAAGCCTACGAAGAGCCAACAGCTGTTGAGTACACTCAGACTTGCTGATCTCGAGGAAGATGATCCGACCAAAAAGTATATCGATCTATGGCCCATTCAGATGTCCGCGGAGATTACTACTGCAGGTGAAGACCTATCTAGAAAGAATGTTCTCACAACGAACTTCGACACGTATACTCTCATTCTTCAGCTCGGATGTATATTACACACGGTGCCGTCGTGGAAGCGGACCTACAAACTCCGCGTCGCTGTGTTTGTCGAGTATGAGACCGACGTTGAGGAAGAACGTGTGCGAGTCACTACCCTGCTAAGGAATCTAAGGATCGAGGCGGAAGTACTTGTGTTCTGGCTGGCAAGTGGAAGCCTCAAGATGTACGAGATCATCGTGAATGGAAAGAACGGGAGCGACTTCAATGAAGCCGCGCAAGATGTCAATGATACCCTGGATGATGAAGAGTGGTGGGCAGACATTCAGAGACTCCGAAGCCCACAGGACATCACCGCCAGCCAAGAACTTATTCAGGCAAGCGACTTGCTGGAAGCAGTCGTGAATTGGCCGACTTCATCTTTCCAACACGGGAGGAGAGAGTCTAAACCGAAGCGGTTCGCAGAGCTGAAAAGGTTGCTACGCCGCACAAAGCGCAAAACGTCTGTGGGCGACCTTGAGAGGTCTGGCGCTACGATCGGTATGCACGCGCAGCGTTTACCCGCGGGGCTACTTCCGGACAGCGATAGTGAGGCATCAAGCTCCTCCGACGGGGCATTCGACGACTATCAGGAAGAAGCTGTCGATACCGGAAGTTCTGTTGGGATGGAAAATAGTCTCGACGAATACGACTTGGATGCCTCTGACAGTGATGACGAGGGTCGACCCTTAGGTTTGCTACAACGAGCGCAGACCACGACTGCCACCAAAAGCCTTCCATTCATTACCACCAAATTTGGTATACGGTGAGTTGCTCATCTCATCCTAATTTCGATTGACTGACTGCTCTGTAGAAAAGCTCTCTGGAAGGCACCGTCGCAGGAGGAGCGACCCACCGCAGATTCAGTGACACCGCTAAAGCCGCATCCCGATGCCACAACTTCGGATACCGCACTCCTGACGACCGGCAAGGTTGACGAAAGCTTATTCAATGGGCATGCAACTTTTCGAGAGACCCAACCTGTGCCTGTGCGACCACCACCCATCCGCCACCAGTCTCTGCCGAAGTTTACGTCCAATCCGACACCACGCACAGCAGTCGCACCCGAAGAAACGGCCGGACCCTCCATCATGTTTGTCGACACGCCTTCGCCCTCAGCCGCCCGAAAAAAAGACCCAATCGCATCCGCCGTAGCCTCGACGCACCTCTCCTCTCCTTCGTCGTCAACTGCACCACTACCACCCGCAGCCTCACAAGCCTCAGGTTACCCGCTGCACCAGTCCATACCACTCTCCTTTAATGACCTTCCGTGCCGCGCCCAGCATCTCATTCTCAACGAGCTCATCCGGCAACACTCAAATGACACAGCCGTGGTATTCACAACATTACCAAGTCCGGTGGAGGGCACGAGCGCGAGCGAGGCGGAGAGCGTCAAGTATATCAGTGATTTGGAGGTATTGTGCCAGGGGTTGCCGCCGTGCTTGCTGGTGCATAGCAATAGCATGACTGTGACGATGAACTTGTAGGGGAAGGAAAGGGGCGAGAGAGCGAGGGAAGCATTTCGTGGTCAGAGTAGATGCATTTGCATGGCGTTGATGGTGTCTTTATCCTGCGGCATGAGATTGAGAAGCATATGCATATGCATTCCTTGGAGATTTAGGTGACTTAGTTGACTTGCACAAGTAGCAGCAATTTATGGTGTCCAAGGGTTTGGATTTTCTTGAAGCTGTTCGGACACGAAAAGGCGCACAGAACGCGCTCACCTTTCGCATTATCAGAGCTTGACGGTGAAGCTTTCTGTAACTTGTATTTGCGGCATGACAGGTCGCTTGCCATAGGCGCGTGTGGAGATCCGTGCTCCGTGGAGTAACGGCATCGCAACCGTCTACTATGGCCAAATGCAAGTATGAACTGTGAGTATAACGGCAAAAATTATCATGGCGCACACCGGAGATCCTTCCAGACACATGTCCAAAAAAGTCACGATGATACAGGTGGCGAGACCTGCACAGGAACCAGCCGCGCGCTCCGAACGCGATTTTCTTCGCATGCAACGACACGCCGTATCCGTAATCCCCGTCAGCAACGCCGTAAGCACAGAACCCACGACAACCGCCACAATGGCGGCTGAGGATGAAACCACCTTGGGGCGAAGATAGGGCCTCATGAAGGATTCTTGGGAGTAGCGAGGCTCGAAAGGCACAGTCAGCTTTGTGGGATCTGCTGCCGAAAGCACGCCCTGCTCGACAGCTCACGGCGGCACGCCCGAAGCGCAAGGCTAAAACGGCATACACAAATACCACCAGAAGCTAAGGCGCCCTACAAAAAAAATCGAGCTGTCAAACCACAAAAGGTTTGAGCCGTCTATTGGATATTGTGTAGAACCAGCGCAGGGGCTTGGGGTACCTTTTGAAGGTGCGTCTAGCCGCATGGCTGGAGACGTTTGGTGCATTTTCTGGCTGCGAACTGCAAACGGGACGCCATGGCGGCTGAGACACGCAAGGCGGCCTCGGATTCACGTTGCACAGCTGCATGGCGCGATAGGCCGGCTGCACGGTAGAGACGTCGAGCGCGGCTACTTGCTCTCAGAGGCGCGGTCTGCGTGCACGCGTGCGAGTCGTTGCTCACCGTCTGATAGCAGCGTTTCTGCCATTGTGGTAGGTGGAGACATGGCTGTTGGTGGGCCCGAAGGTGTCCAAGTGGAGAGGACCGCGGTGCCACGACACGTCTTCCGGAGCCAGCGCCCTTGTGAGAGCTTGAAGCTGCCGTGCTGGGAACGAGCAACCGACTACATCCACGCCCTGTCTCGAAAAGTGCACGGCAGCAGGGTGCAGAGTATTGATTGGCGGTTGGGGGCATGGTGCTGACGTTGTTCCCAGGTTGCATGGTGTCGCGGCGTGGCAGCTTACCCAGAAGCAGGAGGAACAGCCAGGTACTAGCTACAGGTGCCGGCACCAGTACTGATCGCAAATATCGAACTCGGGAGACAGAGCCTTTGCAGCATCGTCGACGAGAAAACCAATACTGAGGCCAGTGGCTAGCGTTGCTATTCTTGCAGCGCTGCGCCCCGGGCCCTGGACAAAGCGATAGCGGCGATCAGGCACGTCCCAGGCCCGTCCCAGGCCTGAGGCGCAGGCCATTGGCCTCGTCAAAGCTTGGGGCTCCGATCGACCAGCATGCTCCCGCGATATGACGAAACGGTGAATAGGGGACGCTGGATGACACGGCGGAGAAGCGCCGTACTACCGTGGACGGCCGACAGGCAGCCTGGCAGCAATGGTCGGCCAGTTTGAGGCGACGCCACCGTGCAGGGGCGAGTCGCGACTAGCAGCTGAAAAGCGAAAAGCGTTTATGTGGAGAGAGCGCTGCTTGGCTGACCACTATAAAGAGAAACAATCAACACCGCTCTTTTGCTCCTCTCCCCTCTCCATTGCACCTTTGCGCACCCTACCTGCTCAGTGCACCCAATTGCTGCTTACATCACTGCCACGATCTTTCCCGCTTGATACCCTCCACAATCGTTAGACAGCAGCACCATGTGGTAAGCTAGCTGCCCCGCCGCGTCGCCAGCAGCTCCCAGCTGGCCGCAAACACACAACGACTAACGGGCAACGCAGCGGAATCTTTGGCTACATTAACTACCTGGTGGAGAAGGACCGCAAGTACATCCTCAACACACTCATCAATGGCAAGTGCCCCCGCCCTGGTGCCTTCCCAGCTCCAGCTCCCAGCAACACCCCGCTAACCCCCACCACAGGCCTCCAGCGTCTAGAGTACCGTGGCTACGACTCGGCCGGTCTCGCCATCGACGGAGACAAGAAGAACGAAGTCTTCGCCGTCAAGGAGGTCGGCAAGGTTGCCTCCCTCAAGAAGCTTGTTGAGGAGAGCAACTTCGACGAGTCCAAGGTCTTCGACTCGCACGCCGGTATTGCACACACCCGATGGGCCACCCACGGCCCGCCCTCGCGCATCAACTGCCACCCGCACAGGTATGTGGTATTATCAGCCGTCACAGCCCACTACCCGCCCCTAGGGTTGCGGCCGCCCGCCAGCTGAAACGGTTGGTCCGTAGATCGGCAGCCCTTGTAACCCCATATTCCGTCATATATTGTGCGCAGCGCTAACACGCGTCCTCACTTTAGGTCCGACCCGAACTGGGAGTTCTCAATTGTGCACAATGGCATCATCACAAACTACAAGGAGTTGAAGGTCCTGCTTGAGGGCAAGGGCTTCAAGTTCGAGACCGAGACCGACACCGAGGCCATCGCCAAGCTCGCCAAGTACATCTACGATGAGCACCCAGAGCTCAGCTTCGTCCAGCTGGCGAAGACCGTCATCAAGGAGCTCCAGGGCGCCTTCGGTCTGCTCATGAAGTCGGTGCACTTCCCCCATGAGGTCGTTGCGGCCCGTAAGGGTTCGCCTCTCGTCGTTGGTGTGCGGACACAGAAGAAGATGAAGGTTGACTTTGTCGACGTTGAGTATCAGGACGATGCCGCGCTCCCCGCTGAGCGTGCTTCCCAGAACGTTGCCCTGAAGAACGCAAACAGCCTGCTCGCACCCCCAGACAAGTCGCTCCTCCACCGCTCGCAATCGCGCGCTTTCCTCTCCGATGATGGCGTCCCCATGCCCACCGAGTTCTTCCTCTCCTCCGACCCCTCGTCCATCGTCGAACACACCAAGAAGGTGCTCTACCTTGAGGACGACGACATTGCCCACATCCACGAGGGCTCCCTCAACATCCACCGCCTCACCAAGGAGGACGGTGCCTCCAACGTTCGTGCCATCCAGACTCTTGAGATCGAGCTCCAGGAGATCATGAAGGGCCGCTTCGACCACTTCATGCAGAAGGAGATTTTCGAGCAGCCCGAGTCCGTCGTCAACGCCATGCGTGGACGTCTCGATCCGGAGAACAAGACCGTCACCCTCGGTGGTCTGCGTCAGTACATCACTACCATCAGGCGATGCCGCAGGATTATATTCATTGCTTGCGGTACATCGTACCACTCTTGCATGGCTGTCCGCGGTATCTTTGAGGAGCTCACTGAGATCCCAATCGCCGTCGAGCTTGCGTCCGACTTTTTGGACCGTGCCGCACCTGTTTTCCGTGACGATACCTGTGTGTTCGTCTCTCAGTCTGGTGAGACTGCTGACTCGCTGATGGCTCTCCGCTACTGCTTGGAGCGCGGTGCCCTCACTGTTGGTATCGTCAACTCCGTCGGTTCCTCCATCTCCCTCCTCACCCACTGCGGTGTACACATCAACGCCGGTCCCGAAATCGGTGTTGCCTCCACCAAAGCCTACACCTCGCAGTTCGTCTGCATGGTCATGTTCGCTCTCTCCTTGTCTGAGGACCGCGCGTCCAAGATCAAGAGGCGCGAGGAAATCATCGACGGTCTTACCAAGATCTCCGACCAGTTCAGGGAGGTGCTCAAGCTCGACCAGCCCATCAAGAAGCTCTGCGAGAGGTTCAAGGACCAAAAGTCTCTGCTCCTTCTCGGCCGTGGTTCTCAGCACGCCACTGCCCTCGAGGGTGCCTTGAAGATCAAGGAAATCTCCTACCTCCATTGCGAGGCTGTCATGTCCGGTGAGCTCAAGCACGGTGTGCTTGCTCTTGTCGACGAGAACCTCCCGATCGTCATGATCCTCACCCGTGACGGCATCTTCGCCAAGTCATTGAACGCCTACCAGCAGGTTATTGCTCGTGCCGGCCGACCCATCATCATTTGCAACGAGAACGACCCCGAGTTCCCAGCAGACAAGACCGACAAGATCGAGGTGCCCCAGCAGGTCGACTGCCTCCAGGGCCTCATCAACGTCATTCCTCTGCAGCTCATGTCCTACTGGATGGCTGTTGCTGAGGGCGTCAACGTTGACATGCCCCGTAACTTGGCCAAGTCGGTTACCGTCGAGTAGAGTATGATTGTTATGAGCACATTGTTATTGGCGTAATTAGAGGCTGCACACCGGGCTGGCTGGTCCGGGAATTGAACGATCTGTCTGGGTTGAATGCACGATTATATGGGTCAAAAGCTGTCTGGCTTGGATGGAAGGAAGGATTTGCGATATGATGTACGAGCTCTTTTGCTGCTGGCTTACTATTGGGCGAGATAGCAGATTGGAATATGAATCACGTATAATATGACTTGATCCTGGCAATTTGCAGTACGTGATCGTTTCATCTTCGGCATGCTCAAGTTACAAGATGCAGAGGCCAATATACACGGTGTCTGTCTTACGTGTGACAGGCCTTTGCTTCATAGACGATGTAGCTCTCGTTTAGTTCGTCACACCCTGTGCCGCGTAGAGTAAGACGAACGGAAGCGGTGGCTGCTCGCTTGGCTTGGCGGGGCTGATGTCGTAATGCAGGCGACCCTTGTCGAATACGCGGGGGCGGCGCTCGCCGTTGACTGTTCCTGCATTCTTTCCGGCAACACCCACTCATCACCCTTGACAACCGTCCTTTCCACGCCTCCTTAACCTTATAACGCTCGGTATATATTCATTTCATCGCGATGACTACACTAAAGGGCCCCGGCGAGGCGAAGACCTATGATGGTACGCAGGAACCCTACCCCACCGCCAAATGTCAGCGCTCGTACACCCCGCCGTGCCTGGAGCTTGTGAGCTTCGCGGAAAGCTGGAGCTTGTATTTAACTGGGGATTAGGATCTGGTCTGCGGATTGGTATCATTCACGCGCGCTGGAACACAAAGATCATCGATGCGCTGCTCGACGGGACGAAGAAGGCGCTGAAGGCCGCAGGGGTCAAAGACGAGAACATTGTCCTGCAGAGTGTGCCGGGGAGCTACGAGCTGCCGTATGCGGTGAAGCAGTATGTCCGCCTCCAGAAGCTCCTACTTTGTGTCTCTGTACCTTCTCCTCGGAGGCAGAGGACAGGAAGTCCCCCGGCCACCTTGCGCCCAGCTAACAATCCTTAGGCTCTACGCGGCCTCGCAAGCTCAAGCCTCCTCCTCCACCGTCATCGGTGCCGCTGCCGACCTCCTCGGCTCCGTCTCCGACCTCTCCACCGAGCCCTCCAAGCCCATCTCCTCCACGCTTTCTACGCCCTTCGACGCCATCATCGCCATCGGCGTGCTCATCAAGGGCGAGACCATGCACTTCGAGTACATTGCGGACGCGGTCAGCCACGGGCTCATGCGCGTGCAGCTGGATAACAACGTGCCGTTGATATTTGGGCTGTTGACGCTGCTGAGCGACGAGCAGGGGTTGCAGAGGGCGGGGATCGGAGGGGCGAGTGGTAAGGAGGGTCACAATCACGGGGAGGATTGGGGGAGTGCGGCGGTGGAGTTGGGGGTTAAGAGAAAGGGATGGGTGGAGGGGAAATATGTTGAATAGAGGACTGGGAGGATACCACTGAGGACGGAATATGTCGCAAATCAATTGCAATGTAGCAGGCTTTGCGAGATGCACGCCGCACGCTTTCTTGAGTGCATGTTCGTGCGTAGGAGCAGCGTCGCCAGATCGGGCACCCCGAGATCCTGTCCTCATACACGCCTGGTATCACTTGCGGGTCTCTACAAGCACCGTCTCCATGTCGAACATGCATGCCTATCCCGCAATGCGCGGCTCGGGCATCATTGAGGCTCTCGTGTCCCGGCTTTGGTAGTCGTCGCTGTGCTCACGTGAACATGCTAGAGGCGTAAATTTGCTATTCACATTGATGCGACGTGGACGGCCGCACGCGTAGACGCGCATTGCAAACCATTGTCGAAGTGTCTTGTGCGACGATGGGATCGGGTGCAAGCGCGAGAGGCGGGAAGCAAAAGGACGCAATGACGCAGCGGGCTGGTTAGGGCACGCAACACCTTGCAGCGGGCTGCAGGCTGACGAGGCGCTCAGGGTGAAGGGGCATCGTATACGCCAGCGGAGGTGAGTGTCAGCAGCGCGCAATCGACAGGCGGGCTCAGCGGCAGTATTGTCACAGAGAGCGGTGGTTGTTGGCGCAAGACTGGCTCTCACGCTCGCGCCTCCCCTTTCCCAAGGTTCCCTGCAAATCGGCTCTTGGCGCCCTCGCGACCTCATCTCTTTCACCACGGCATTCCGCCTGCCCGCACACCCACCAGAGCTCTGTTCGTGCGTGCTGTCCGCCACCGATCGCAGCGCCGCACCATCCCTTCCCATTATCCTTCTTTTCGCGGCGCCCGCACGTCTGTGTAGCCGCCCAGAGCCCGACACGCCTTCACCGCGTCCAACGCGCGTTGTCTTTATCCTGACAGCCGTCGAGGCGCCTCCGGCCACGCTGCCTGCTGCGACAGCCACCCACATCTCGAGCACACGTTGATGGGGCGCGCAATCCCGCTGATCCGCCCTGCCAGCCCACTTCGCGCGCCTCCGCTGCCAAAGCAGCACTAACACTCCGCATCATATTGACAGCAGCTATTGCGACGGCGCCGGCAGTGCCAGCGACAAAGCTGCGGTGCGCGGACTCGACAGTCCGTCTCCGCGACACGGCGTGGGAGGGGGGACGTCGATGGCCCGGGAGGAAGTCACGACACAGGCGAAACACACATATACACTCGACAGCCATGGCGCGCCGCGGAGCGATCTGCTAACAAGCTCGCGGTCTGACACCTCCGCCTCCAGCGTCGCCTCGTCGGTGTTTTCAGCATCTGGCGCCATGTCGTATCCTGGTCGCACCGCATCAGTACACGCTCTCACACCTTTGACGAGCTCAGACTCGTCCCCGCCTGGCAAGCTGCCTAGTCCGCGGTCTGCGAAGCCTCCGAGTGAGACGATGCACGCGACTGCTCCTTCACGCAACGCGCCGTCAAGCGCGCCCGTCAAGAATGGTGCCGATACCATAACGCCTGTGCATACGCCGCCAGAGACGAGAAAATCGATATTCCCTGCAGACGGGATTCTGGGCTCGAAAAGGCTTTACGATCCTTCGCTAGACCCCAAGCTGGATAAGAAGGATAAACAAAAATACAAAGCGAAATATGCGCCGATAAAACAACTGGTACGTTGACGGATACACACATACCCCAGAGATGGGTCGTCCTGCGACGCTAAGGCTAACGTGACTTGTGTTGCAGGACGACCCATCTGAGATACCGGATCCGCGCCTGGTTATTGCGGGGTATGCTGTTGGCCAATATCGCATCAAGACTGCCCCAGGCAGCGCATCGCCAAAGTCGAAACTGCGCATGGCGCCCAAGACTCTCAAGCCTTACTCTTTCGACGAGCGGACCTCATGCGGGCCTGGACCGGCCACACAAGTCGTCATCACTGGGTTTGACCAATTGACCACCGACGCCCAACTCCGGGCTTTTGGTTCATCCTTTGGTGAGGTTGAGTCAATAAACAACAGGGTCCACCCAAACACTGGTAGCCCTCTTGGAATATGCCTCGTCAAGTTTCGCGACGGTCCAGCGCCACGGGGTGGACAGGCTGTGAAAGCTTCGGACTCGGCGAAGAAGGCAGAGGAAAGAGGGAACAATGAGCGCATTGGCATGTCGCGGGTCCGTGTATTTCGCGATCGAGAAGGTCTGAGGGCCAAACGACTGGTCCACATGATCATGAAGAAAGAAGACGACAAGCGCAAGGCGGCTATTGCTGCGCAGTCCGCAACCGCAACCCCCGCGACACCTACCGCAACATCGTTTGATTTGCCAGCAAACGTCCCGAAAGGCCCTTCCGGAAAAGGCGCGCGTCCTCCCCCTCCAGCGCGTGAGACACTCTCTCGAAAAGCGCAATTGTCACATCTTATCGAACGAGAGCCGATAAAACCGAAGTTGAAGCGGAGACCATACATATTTATCGCGCACCAATACGTTCCAGTTCTTAGTACGACGATCGAACATCTAAGGAAACGGTTAAAGGCCTTCCGTATGCAAGAAGTACGGTGTGACCAGACGGGATACTATGTGGTCTTCGAGGAGTCGAAATGGGGTGAAGATGAGACCGTGAGGTGCTATAAGCAGTTTCACATGACACCTCTGTTCACCTACGTTATGAATATGGAATGCAACCAATATGGTGACCCCAACTACGAACGAAGCCCGAGCCCGGAGCGCGTTGTGGCTATCAAGAAACGGAAAGCCGAGGACGATAGAGCAGCGCGTGAAGAAGCGGAAGATTTGGAATATGACAAGCAACAGCGAGCGTTGGCTCTGGATCCAGTTGCTGCTGCTCTGGAGATTCTGAAGCAAGAGCTGCAGGAAAGGCTGGTGGGTGAGGTCAAGACACGAATTGCGGGCCCGCAGTTGCTGAAGCTCATGGCCCCGGAACGACATATTGAAAAACGCCGGAGGTTGAATATCTCAGACCCACACGTCAAGGAAGAGACAATTCGACCCTCTTCTATGTTGCTTCCCGCTATGGACGCTTCGGCCCTGGCACCAAAGTCGCGAACTGCCGCGCTCAGAGGTCGCGGTCGAAAAGCCCTTGGTCCACGTGATCACAATCGCGACCGGGGCGGTAGAAAACCGCTCCGTCCGGTTGACGTGTTTGTCGACGAGCGTAGGAAAGCAACTCATAAACCGCGCCGTGAAGTACACCGGAATCCCTACCAGAAGTTGTTGGAAATGGACATGGACGAATCGGACGACGAAGGCCGAAGCTCTATCAACCGCGGCACCGAAGAGCAGGAGAGCCGACCCATCAGCCGTGCTGCAACCTCAGATATCGAAGACGACGACGAGGAAGATTCCGCTAGAAGTCGACGCTTCAAGAGACGGCGAGTCGAGGCAGGCTGGGGCTTGGAAGATAGCGACGATGAGATGATGGACGACAGCCACGCCCGCAGTCTTCTTGCGCACTGTATCCATAAGGATCCCGAACAGATGGCAGAGAAAGAGCTCGAACAGGTGCTCGCAATTTTGCCTCGTTCCTCGCCCATATGGAAGAAGGCAGACAAGGCTCTGAGAGGCTTCAAGCGGTTACGGAAGATCGAACAAGAAGCGGACGCCATCTTCGGAGTGGAGCCAAGTCTCGATGAGAAGTTTGAGCCGGAAGTCATCATTACACAAGACGAGGATGAGGCTGCCAAGCCTATTCAGACGACAGAAGTGGCTGAACCCGCTAAAGCGACTAAGAAGAAGAGCGTCGCGAAACCGAAGAAAAAGACCAAGAATCAACTGGAGGAGGACGCCAAAACTGCACAAGTCACGGTCTCTGAAGTGGTCGAGCCTGCTGAAGAGGACATTGTTCTACCTGAAGTCGCCGAGCCCACGCCTGTTGTTGCCAAGGCTGAAGTGGAGGAGACGCCAGAAGAGGAGGAGCGTGATGGCGTGTACTGGGGTGTATCCGCTGTCGAACCGCGACGAACCGTTCAAGATGACTCCAGTGTGGTCATGGACATTGATGGCTGGCAGCATCTGGTGAAGGACGAAGAGGATTTGCTGCTTCTTAAGACCGCCTTGGACAAGATCGTTCCAGCCAATATCGGAGATGCAAACTCGTGGGCATGGAAGCAAAAGTCTATCAAACACCTCAACCGTCCAGGAGAAGAAGGTGTTTCTCGATCGGAGACCAAGATCACCGGTTACTTCGTACCGAACAAGACAGGTGCTGCCAGGACTGAAGGGGTGCTTAAGATCAAAGAGTCGGAGAAGTCGAAGTACCTGCCTCATCGTCTCCGTGTAATGAGGGAACGTGAAGAACGCCAGCGCCAAGCCCAGCAAGAAGACCGTACCGGTACCACAGTCGTCGAAGGCTTCCGATTCCAGACTGGTGGCGCCAAGGCAGCTACAACTGTCAACTCCCGCGCCAACCGTGCCAACAATCGTCGTCTCGTGAATGATATCAGCATCTCCAAGAACATGTCTGGTGCTGAAGGCGATGCCTTGCGCTTCAACCAGCTCAAGAAGCGGAAGAAGCTCGTCAAATTTGACCGATCTGCGATCCACAACTGGGGGCTGTACGCCCAGGAGCACATCGCCGCCAACGACATGATCATCGAGTACGTTGGTGAGAAAGTACGGCAACGCGTGGCAGATTTGCGCGAGGCTCGGTACGACCAGCAGGGCGTGGGATCAAGCTACTTGTTCCGTATCGACGAGGATACGGTTATCGACGCGACCAAGATGGGTGGCATTGCTCGTTTCATCAATCACAGCTGTACGCCGAACTGCACGGCTAAGATCATCCGCGTGGAGGGCACGAAGCGAATTGTCATCTATGCCCTGCGAGACATTGGCCAAGGTATGTCCTATCACTTCAACCCTTCCTCCCGCGTAATACTCGCTAACGAACCCTAGACGAAGAGCTCACCTATGACTACAAATTCGAGCGCGAACTCGACGCCACCGACCGTATCCCCTGTCTCTGCGGCTCCGTCGGCTGCAAGGGCTTCCTTAATTAAGCTCCGCCTCTCTGCACATCTCTCTCCACCTCGTACGTTTCAACATCCAGACTCATCGGCGCCTAGCCCACCAGACCGCGCTGTTTCAACATCATTCATCATTTTCGCATTTACTCCAACGTGGGGCGGGGCACTCGACCTCGGCCGCCTTGACGCGCGGCCCAACAGCACAGGCCAGAATCTTGCATGCATCCGGAGTTCTGATATCATCTTTGTTTGCTTTTGAAAGGCTTTTGCGAACCATCATCTCAGCGTTGGAATGGAATGAAAAGGGGGTTCAATATTCATTCGAGCAAGGGGGCTGAAAAAGCGCCTTTGGCAGCGCCGGGTTTTCCATATGTGGAAGGTATTGGCTCGCCATGTTCGACTGTGTGCCGTGAGAGGCACAACGTGTGTTATAGTGTATCGTTTTATCTATTTGCGAGATGGGAGGTAGATGGGTAGAGGTGAAGGAGAGAGAGAAACTGCCCAGTGTGGGCGAGTGATAGGTAATTGAGAGTGAAATTTGAAGTCTGTGGCTGATCTCACCGACCAGAGACTTTACAGTGTTCATGATGTAACTGAAAGCAATTGAAGTATTGGGTATACAGCAGCGTCCCCCGCACACCCTATCTCTTTCTTTCACTCAGCCATCTATCTACGGAGGGTACCTCCACAGCTCGCCCTCTCGAAAGGCATCCCACCACGCGTCCCAAGCGGACTCCCACTTCGTGTCCTCGCCCACCTGTTATCTGCTCGCCTCGTGCTATGAGAGCGGCCTCTGGTACCCGAAGAGATTCTGAGCTGAGGGGCAGGTGTGGTTGACGGGGTGGGCTGGGGAACGGGATGTCGAGCTTGGTCTCGCCCGCGTCTCCAGCTGCCATCCTCTCTGGCCTGGACTGCAGTCCGGACGGCTAGGGACAGCCTTCCACTCCATCAGTCTCTCCCATGTTGTTTGGCATTCTTTGCAGGCCTTCAACGGGCCCCGTTACGGGACGATCTTCAGTGTCAGGCACAGCTTCAAGCATCTTCGGGCCTCGATTCGAGAACCACCTGCGGGCAACGAGGCTGCTCTCGCTGGGCAATCTTTCCGCTTCCCGGACTAGGATTGCAAAGCTGTCGGCCCGCCACTGCCTCAGCACGCTATGATTCTGCGACTGGGAGAGCACATGCCGCGCAGAATCCTGCAGCAGGCCAAGAGCGTCGAGCAATTTGTACATTTCCGTGTGCTTTGAGGTGCCCACCCCTTCGGCAAATCTCAGGGTTTTTCCAGCATCCCGCATCAACGTCTTGATATCGCGCACCCATCCGCGAAGGGTAGGGATGTAAGTTTCCGTGGTGCCGGCGAGTCGAGCGGCGGTAGACTGAATGAATGAAGCCTCGGTGAGGAGGTCTTGGACGTTAAATGACTTCGGATCCGGGTATGTGCGGGCGCGGGAGCACGCTGACTGATAGGTTTTCACGCTTTCTGCGAGCTGATCAAGATCGTGCATGGTTTCGGAGATGCTGTTTGCGTTCGGAATTTTGTCGTATGCGAGTTGCTCGAAACGGGTGAGAAATGCGAACATCTGGGCGCACGGAACAGTTGTCGTTGAACTGGCGACGGGCTCTTGGGCCGTAGACACGGGCGAGCGTGGCAGAAGGACGGCGTTCGATACAGCTTGGGCAGTCGAATCGCTCAATGCTATGTCTTGGTTTGGAGTACCACTTCCAGATGCCAAGTCCTGTGCTGTCGTTGTTAGTTCTAGTGCTGTAGCTAGTGTCGGAGTCTTTGGCGTCGAGGGCAGAGTATGCATATCGGAAGTACCTTTCGTCACAGACAGGTCCGGTGTTGTTGCTCTGCTGTTGGGAGAGTCCATCTTGAATACTGAAGAAAACGTGCTTTGATTGCAATCTAGTAGTCAGCTGAGTTGAGTAATCCAGAATATGGATCGGACTGTGCGATCTAAATACAAACTCCTGCTTGCCATTAACTCGGTTGACAACAGCAAACACGCCCCATGTTTCGCTTCTGGAAGACACCAACTGGTTGACTTATGTTTCAGCCTGTTCTAGAAGCTGGAGCGCTGTATCTGGAGTTGCCTGGAATGTCTTGCGCGGACTTTGTTGCGTGTGACGATAGTTATTGGGCGATTTGGGTGCACAATTCGGGTGGTTAGGGTGGGAATGTTATTGCGTGATGCTGCGGCTGACAGTAGAGTTGTGTGTGTGTGTGTGTGTGTGTGTGTGTGTGTGTGTGTGTGTGTGTGTGTGTGTGTGTGTGTGTGTGTGTGTGTGTGTGTGTGTGTGTGTGTGGGAAGCTACTTCGTCTTATGATGCTCAAGCTGTGTGATGTACATCATGAATCATAGAAAGTCCGATACCTTCGCATTCCCAAAATCAACCTAAGACTATTGCATTGATAACATTGGTCGTCTTTTCCATGCGCACGATCCACCTGACAAACGACCTTGCCTTTCTAGTTGATTCTCACTTTTGACAAAACACGTAGTCGGGGCCGCCCACAAACAACCATCACCTCTCTCACTCCATCTTTCTCAGTGCGGTTTACGGGGTAAATATATATTATTATTGGGATATCTATCACATTCGACCGTGCCGTCGACTCGGTAGTTGGCGGTCGTGCGATATGTCTACGTGTATTTGACCCGAACTTCGGGAGAGAGACCGACCGGCGTGTTGGAACCCCACGGCGTGCGATCTCCCGCTGTTCTTTTCACTTGTTCGAGTTCGACGTCTAGCTGCGATTACACTGTTTGCGACAGCATGGAACGAGGTCGTTTTTTTCTTTAGTGGGATGTATATTTACAGACCACTCTGTTTGGGCTGCGTTATAGTGGCTGTCTCACTTGCAGTATGTCGTCACCGGTGCATGAATAGCTGGGAATTTGTATACAAAATGTCGAGGTCGATGTATGCAGGTGAACTTACTTGGAAATGGCATCGTCCTGCCATGGCTGTGCGCTGACCACCTCCCGAGAGGAGGCTTATTTGCACAGATGGTCATATGCCTAATTGCGCAACAGCTCCATATTGTCGCGCTGACAGGTGTTCGCCACAGGATCTTGAGGAGGGTCTGGTTCGATGGCCGGAGGCATGGTGTACGTCACCAGTCGAGCATTAGGCCCAGGAATGGCGGATATTGTGATCGCGCGAAGGTGGCGGCGGGCGAATCGTCGAGTGTGGATTCGAAAACCTCAAAGATTTCTTTGCGCCAAGTATTTCCAAACGCCCGAAGCGAAGCGAACAGATACGATGGTGACGAACGGCTGCGGAGATTCGTTGCTCCGGGTGGTGTGGTTGAAAGTGAATGGAGCGCCACTGGTGTTGCGACAGCCACGGGTCAGCTTATGATATTCTCAAACCATGAAGAGCTGAGAGACTAAGTACACATGTGATGAGGTGAAGCTTCGAGAAGATCACATTCGAAGGGACATTTGGATGCAGTTTTTGAAGAGAAGGAGGTTGAATCGAGCAAGACTGTGATTGCATCTATAGCGAGAAAATGCTAGCTACACAGGGGAACCGGATAATACTTGATTCCGTTACTGTTTCTGGCGCAGGGAAACTATGAGCGTGCCGGCCATCTAACTCTACGCCATAACGGCAATGGCTATATCATTTCCAAGCAACCGTTGAACCATGATCTCATCAATACCAAGAGCTCAAGGTTGACCATCTGTGGAAGGAAGGTACACCATGTCGTGGGACGTACGTCTTAGATCTTACATCTGAACGTGAACAACATCCCGCCAGTGTCATCTCCTGTTTGTTGCTGACTGCTACGTAAGCCTGGTCAGCACACAAGTTCTGGCTCTCCTGGCTAATTTTCTCTGATCACTGGATCTGCGTTTGGTAGTCACAGCAAGCACCGGGGGGTTGAAGCCAGCCAGTTTGATATTCCGAATGCGCTACAAAACAGACCTGTACAACGCCAGTGCCAATGCTCTCATACATGTTACAGAATGTACACCCTTCCTCCACTGACCCATTTACTTCTGCTGCCTCTGAGCAGCCGGGCCCATCTCCTTGCTGAAGGCGAAGTACGAGACCTCGAGGCTCAGAAGCGCCTTGACACCAACCAGGACAATGAGGAAAAGCGGGACCATGGCGGACAGCCCCATGAAGAGTCCCGGTGTGAAGTACTGGTATCTCTCGAAGAGGCCAGCCTTGCTCTTCTCGGCGCGCTTGTGCGAGGAGAGATCGCGCTTCAATTCCATCTGTACTGCACCGCCGAAGGGATTCTCCATCTCGTAAGGTGGGTGCTCCGACTGAAACTTGGTCTGAGGTGTCGAGGTGTAGATGACGGTGAAGTCTTCGAAGTCGGCGTGTTTCGAGATGAGCTTCTGCAGCTCGGCATCTGGGCAAAGTCAGTCTGGAGCTCTGTGAAACCGCACCGTAGACGCTTACCCCGTTGGCCTAGTTCGGGAGCCCTCAGGTCCTTGTCTGGCGGAGGCGCAGTAAACGTCACTTCCACGATGCGCTGCTTATCGCTGGTTGAGGCAGTCGCGTCTTCTGATAGCACTTCGGCCCCGCACTTGCTCTGCAGGTACTTGGTGATGCCTGCCGCCGTGAAGTTCTCTTCAATGACCTCAGGCACGACCATGGTGCTCTTCACAAATCCGCTCTTGCCGCTCAGATGGCTGGCTAGTCGGGGCGCGGATCGATGCGCATCGCTGAAGTCGGCGGAGGAGACACCGTTCTGGCGCACAACAAAGTATGTCTTGGTAGGGCAGCCTTTGAGGGCCGAGGCCATCTGGTCAACGACAGCATTGGCGCGGGCGACGTCGGCATCGTCGGAGGGGATGTTCAAGCTGCAGGTGTTAGCCTAGAAGCGGTCGAGGGGGCGCTGGCACGCACTCGGCGGTGGAGAAGAGGAAGTAGGGCGACGTGTTGCGGAAGGCGAGGGCGGACGGCAGCGAGGCCAGCGCGAGGGCGCCGATTATCGACTTTGCCATGGCGCAGATGGAGCTGTGGTGGATGCTGCGCGGTCGTGATGCTCTGCGACAGCTCCGCGCTGGCGAGGGCGGCAGCTGGGCCGGAGTTGAGCCGAAGGCTGGGCCGTCGCCTATGACGCGCGCTCTGGCGGACCCTCCCCAAAATTTATTGCATGCACCGTCCTGCGCCACGCCAGAGCCGCAGGGCAGGAACGACAGTCATATTGACTCATCCTCTCCCGCCAGGCGCTAACCCAGGCATTCACAAGGGGTTGCATATATTCCGCGATGCACTAGTCGCTTGATCGCCACTAACCGCTCGACATTCTTTTCCAGCTACCCTTCGCCGCAGGTACAGTATCTAGCTCGCACCCTGCGCGTTTGCTTAGACCCAGGACGTACAACACGCAACACACCACACACCCGCTTTCTCTCCGCCTTTCCCGTCAACATACCCGCACTGGATCGTCCAGATATCTCTGAGCAACGCCTAATTGAGGGCAGTATGTCGGCCGCCAGTGGGGCAGCAACAGCAACTCGAGGGGCAGCAGAGAACAACGACCAACGCCCACGGCGTCCTCGCAACAGGAACCGGAACCCAAATGGCCAGGTAGCGAATCCGCCGCAGCAGGAGGCGGGACAAGCACAGGGTGCCCAGGCCCCACATGCACCTGCTGCACGAGGAGGAAGAGGTGGTCGTGGAAGAGGGCGGGGACGGGGACGTGGTCAGGCAGCGACTGGGAACAGGGAGCCTGAAGCTGGAGTCCCCACCGAACCGCGCTTCCAGAACCGAAGAGGGAGAGGCGGTCCCCATCACCCCAGGGTGCCGCCCCGCGCGGTAGCACAGCTGGCGGCCGAGCACGAGAATACGCCTCCGTCGCAGAACTCGGACCTACAAGCCGACGCGCCAGAATTCACGCCCGGGCGACCTGCGGCTCCCCAGCGAACACGACGACCACCGCGCGAGAAGAGACCCCAAGGCCCGAGATCCACGGCCCAAGATATTGCCACTCGTACGCACGAGGACATAGACAATGGGCATTACGAATGCGCGATATGCACAGAAGAGGTCAGGAGGACAACAAGAGGCATCTGGTCGTGTAGAACATGCTGGATGGTATTCCACCTGAGCTGCATTAAGAAGTGGTCCACCAACGAAGGCTCAGTCGCGGCCCGACAACAAGCACCTGAAGGCGTGATGCCCCCACCGAGACAGTGGCGGTGTCCGGGATGCAATTATCCAAAGGACGAGCTGCCGAGGGTCTCTTCATGTTGGTGCGAGAAAGAAATGGATCCTAAGTCTCTCCCTGGTCTTCCGCCCTTCTCATGTGGCCAGACATGCGCCCGACCGCGGATCCTGCCCAAGAAGTGCCCGCATCCATGCTCAACTACATGCCACGCTGGGCCTTGCCCTCCTTGCACATTGATGGGTCCTACACAGCATTGTTTTTGTGGCAAGAACTCGGTCACGCGCCGTTGCTTGGACACAGATTATGAGAACGGCTGGAGTTGCGGCACTGTTTGCGGACAAGTAATGGCATGTGGAGAACATACATGTCCCCAGCCATGTCATGAGGGACCTTGCGGTGCTTGTGAAGTACGCATTCCGGCGAGGTGCTACTGCGGCCAAGAAGAGAAGGATATCTTATGTTGCGAGCGCGCCCAACAGAGGGATAGTAGTGTCTTGCATCAATTGGACGACGGCTCATCAACGGTCGAGAGGTGGGTGGGCATCTTTGAATGTCCCAATTTTTGCCAGCGACCATTCGACTGTGGGAAGCATTTCTGTGGAAAAGAGTGTCACCGTCAGGATACCCAGGCAGCCCATTGTCCACGCTCGCCTGACGTTGTTTCGCATTGTCCTTGCGGGAAGACGCCTCTCCACCAAGTATCGGATCACCCACGGACTTCGTGTGAAGATCCGATACCCAACTGCTCGAGACCCTGCGATACCAAATTGAGTTGCGGGCACGCATGCCAAAAGCGATGCCATCAAGGCAAGTGTCCACCTTGTTTGCAAACGGTCAGTATCAACTGCCGTTGCGGACGCACGACCTCCACCACAGTCTGTCATCAGGGCGTTGAAGAGCCACCACACTGCATGAGGATATGCCGAATATCATTGAACTGTGGACGGCACGAATGCGGAGAGCGATGTTGTTCTGGCGAACGCAAAGCGGGCGAGCGGCAGTCTCAACGCCGGAAGCACCGACCTATTGACTCTGCACGCCGGCCCCATCCTGATGATGGGTTTGAATCCGAGCACATCTGCACGCGCCCCTGCGGTCGTCAATTGAGATGTGGTAACCCCGATCATCGTTGTCAGGAACTGTGTCACAAGGGCCCGTGCGGAACCTGTCGCGATGCCATCTTCGACGAGATAAGCTGTAATTGCGGCCGTACCGTACTCCAACCACCATTGCCGTGTGGCACACAGCCCCCGCCTTGCCGATATCCGTGCGAACGACCAAAGGATTGTGGCCACCCTCAAGTATCGCATAATTGCCATGGGGGTGACGAGAATTGTCCGATCTGTCCATTTCTAACCACCAAACATTGTCTTTGTGGGAAGAACACCCTAAAGAACCAGCCATGCCATCTGAACGAGGTGAGATGCGCGGAAGTATGTGGGCAACTGCTGAGTTGCGGTTCGCATCGTTGCCGAAAGCAATGTCATCGTCCTGGAGAATGCGAAGAGCCTTGCGCGCAGGCCTGTGGCAAGGAGTTAAGTGCATGTGGTCATCCGTGTATGGCCCCATGTCACTTCCCTATGCTTTGCAAGGAAGAGAAGCCGTGCATGCACAAGATCCTGATTACTTGCGAATGTCAGCGGATCAAGCAGGAAGCGAAATGCAATGCCTCCAAGAACGGCGAAGGCAATCTGAAGAAAACTCTCAAGTGCGACGAGGAATGTGCGCGGTTGCAGCGAAACCAGATCCTTGCTGCAGCACTACATGTTGACCCTGACCGTCAGGATGATCATGTTCCCTACTCTGCCGACACACTGAACATGTATCAGCGCAACTCCACATGGGCAGCTGCCCAGGAGAAGATACTGCGACTGTTCGCAGCCAATCCAGAAGAGAAGCGTATGCGGTTCAAGCCTATGCAAAGCCAACAACGTGCTTTTGTCCACTCGCTCGCCGAAGACTTTGGCCTGGACACAGAGAGCATGGACCCCGAGCCACATCGCCATGTCGCCCTGTTCAAGACTCCGCGTTTCGTAATGGCACCTATGAAGACGCTGGCCGACTGTGTCCGCATCCGACAGCGCGAGCGCGCAACAGCAGCCACAACAGCTCGAACCACTACCACCTACACCCCCGCCCCGCAACCCAAGCCCAACAAAACTGTGGACCCATACAACGGCTTCTTAATCACCAATCCACGCTTCGCTCTTACTATTGAAGAGATTACATCAGTGCTCAGGGCAACCATGCCTAAGACCTCATATCCGCTCGAGCTTGAAGTCGCCTTCCTCCCCTCCGAAGAAATCTCCCTTAAACCCCCGATCGCCGCCCGCGTCTCCGTCACCGAGCGCGAAATCCAGACTATGCTTGAGTCCATCAAGCCCGCCGTGTCCGCCGCCATTGCCGCAGAGTCCATCGGAAAGCTGCAGCTCGTGCGCACCGATGCGTCACTCAATGTGCAGCGTAGGGAGAGCGATGACGCGCCCGGCGCGGGGTGGAGCCAGGTCGCCAAGGGCAATCCTGTGAGGAAGGCACCAACGAATACGCCGCTGGGGGTGAAGAGTGGGTTTGCGGTGTTGAGTTTGCCGCGGAGGAAGAAAAAGGAGAGGGTGGAGGTTGCGGATGATTGGGAGGTGGAGGAGGAGAAGGAAGAGGAGAAGGAGGCTGAGCAGGAGGCAGAACAAGAGAGGGGTGCCAGCGGTGCGAGCAGCGATGCTGAGTTTGTGCCGGAGAAGACGGGTACGGTGGAAGAGGAGATAACGCTTCCGGAAAGGCTTTCGGGCGCGTGGGCGGACAGCGAGTAGAGTGCGCTGTCCGACTGGTCGTTCCTGGGGGATGAGGTGTGAATGCCCATGCCTCCATGGTCGGTGATTGTGAAGCAGATTTAGTGACTGCATGGCACATGGAATGATAATGATACCACGACACTGCCCTGATTTTCTGAGCACTACATGTGTTGTGCTACGTGATATTGCAACTCTCTTCGTACATACAGAAGTCCCAACCCGACTAGCCAGCGAAAGTATAGCAGCCCAACGCAGTCTTGGATGCCTCACTTCTCTCTACCTAGGAGATGAAACAACTCGGGGTTTAAGCCTTGGGTTGTTCAAGTCTGGTTTTGTTCACTGACTCTGCTTGAGTATAGTGAAGTCGTTTGGTGGTGCCGTGCCGGTGGCCAGTGCTCTGTGAGTCGGTGATTCACGGCCTACGAATGATGCTTTCAGGGCCGTATGGAGTGCTGCGATAGGCCAGCTGAGAAGGCTGCGACTTCTAGTAGCTGACGAGGCGAGGCGAGAGTCATTGATGAGAGCGGGACGCCTGCAATCCTTTGTCAAATGTCAGCATCGGCGTGATGTAGATGTGGGGGCCAGCTGAGCGCAGTGAGCTCGAGTGTCTAGTTACTGGCGCTGTGCCACCTAACAAAAGTCATGGAGTCCCGAGCCTTCCCCCCTAAATTCGTAAAAACGTCACAAAGTCAGTCCCTGCGTCTCTAGTCTGATGTTAGACGCCAGTCGTGGAACGTATTGAGGCAGCCAGCTGAAGAGGCAAGATCCTCGGAGCGTGCGGTGCTGCTGCTGCGATCGGAGACCCTGCTTCTGCGTGACATTCGGCAGCATGTCATCGACGTAGTCTGATGCTGTGTGCTCCGCGTATCGTGTGTCACGATGGCTGCTTGTTCTCGTCCACAGTGATACACATGGGGATCGCGGGTGCGAACACGACGGGACCGAAGAAATGCCTTAGGGAACGTTAGCTGTCTTCCATCAGCGTCCTGACTTGGTTCGGCTGCCTAATCATTTGACTGACCGGAAGACTCCTGGCGATCGGGATCAGCAATGTTTGATCGGATGCCTAGGACGTCTGGCCCGGGGCCTCATATCCTTGACCCCACGCGGTTCTCGTGATTGAAAGGGGTGCCTCGTGCAGCATGCATCATTGGACGCGGTCCCTCACGAGAACGGATGCCGGTAGTTCAGTTTCGCGACATATGTCGCATCTCCGTGCCAGTCTAGCGTCCGAGGCCGTCCCAGCGCTCAGGGTCCAATATAGTTGGTCACCGTGGTTCTGCAGTCGCCGACGAGTAACAACACGAGCAACTCCGTTCTCGCAGCATCCCGACCCAGACTCGCATTGCAGAATGCCATCCTCGGCTTTTCTTCATCCGCCCCCAGCCGCATGGCAATGTAGGTGAGAAGGCACCCAACCCCAACCGGCCCAAAGTCCGCCCTCTGTACCCGATCCGAACAAGCTGAGCCGCGCAGACCGTACTCGCCTTCTTCGTGTTCGCTATAGGATCCATTACACGCACGTGTCTTGCCGTCATCCACGCCCTTATATCCAATTTTGGAACCCCGCGTGAACCCAGGTCTGCGTTCCCGCATCCGCTATGCACCTCGCCAAGAAAGAATTCGCCTGTGAGTGTCTACCATAGTATTGTTATGCAAACGCGGAATCCTGTTCCGCGATTTAGTATGCCAAGCGTCGCTGCATCGGGTGCGAAAAGAAGGTTGTTTGCTTTTGCGGTAGTAGGATTGATAGGAGGGGGGCGTCAGCGGACCCGGCGCAACGCGCGGAATACGAGGGTGTGGCGTTTACGAAGACCTGGCTCGGGGACAAGGGAACGACCCGAGCAACTGGATGCAAGGCTTGGCGCCAGACCGTCGAGAACTCCTTTCATACACATCATTGGAACATCTGCTGCTTGGTGATGCTTTGCAATCGACATCTTCTGCATACAATGCTTCATACGTTGCGGGGCACCTTGAACCTACGCGCAGAAAGCTGCACGAGATGAGGGATGCTCGGGCCTATATCCTGGCCTGCTCCCGTGACATAACGGTATCTGGAAATGGCTTGCTAGGCGAAGCCTTCGTTGCTTGCAAAGTCTTAAGTTGGATAGGCGTGTGCGCAGGAGCACAGGTACGACGTCGGCGTCATGATGTGGCGAATTTCGTCGTGCTCGCCTCCAAGACATTGGATCGCCTACTATTCGCAACAAACCCGTGTTCTGAGATTGGAACAAGACTGAAGCAAAACGTCGGTTGCTGGTTTTGAGTAGAGGGCGTCGACGTGCCGATACGATCCGCAGGTACCAGAAGCGAATCGTTCCCGCTTCTGCACGCGACGGCCGCTCATCAGTCCATCGGCAGCGGGCCGCTCCCAGGTTGACTAGGTTTGCTGCGTTCCCTGACCGCCACGAGGATCTAGTCAAAGAGTGCCATGACTCTCAGTCTGTGTCTGAACGTTCGAGACCCGTGGTAGTTTGGTTGGCAGTCTTGTTCGTGACCATGTCAGTAGCCTCGGCGATCGGCCCCCGGTCAGAGTTTTCTTGACCAGATCTCTCGTCAGACTTAAGTTGTTCAGCTCTCGTAAAGCTTTGTGACTTCTCTATAGCGCGGGGAGTGGTTGATCAGTGTCAGAGGACGCGAGCCATTTCAGGTGGTTCGTGGGCATAACATGGCGATGAAGAATCATCTCCTAAACGGCCAATACGGCTGCGGTACGATTTGTACCGCCTCCTCAACACAGAAGAGGCTGTCTTCGGCATACCGAATGACACAGCCACTGAGACACTGACTCCTACAAGCCTTTTTCTTGGCTACGGATGCAGACAGTCGTTGACCTTGAACTCGGCGCTACCAAGCTGGACACATTGTGCAGCCTTCATGCGTCACCATGCGAGCATGGGATCGAACCTCAACCCAAGGTGGTCTACTTCAGGGGGTAGAGGCCTGTCGATGGCTTCATCTTTTGTTCCGCATTCTGTTCGTTCATCGAATTCGTCGAGAGGGTCCGACACATACTTGGCGGTGGAGGTAAAGTCCAATCCAGGAGCACGCCAAGGACGACAAGAAGGTGCCACAGTGGTGCAATCCGCGGCGAACGAGCTTATGCTCACTGTAGTCCGTAGTCTCAGATTCAGGCGTAGGAGTTGCTGTGGAAGGTTTTACTCTGCTTGCAAGTTGTCATCGTCACTGAATGCTTTTCGGACACAGCTGATTGCACCCTGAATTGATTGATGATGACATAGACTGCACGAACGATGATGAAGTTCACATTAAAGACACACTTCGTAAATGTCACAGTTCCTCAGCGGCTTGACCGAGCCGCCCGTACACCTGGCTCGAGCTCGTTCTGCAGCGGTGTCTTGGCCTTGTGAAGGTTGCCTCGCGTGGTCTGCCCCGTACACGAAGATTTCCTGGACACGGTTTAGTTGCAGTCCTTCAAGGCCGTGCCGCGCTCGGTCATTCACTACACAGCTGGTATGCCTAGGCCAATAGGAATACCGCAATCTGAAGCTTCAGGCCACGGGATTCAAAAAATAGCATCCGAACCGTCTTCAATCACCCAGCCCCTGGGTACCGAAATCCTGGCACAGTCGAACTCAACGCCCCGGCTCTGAAATCGATAGCACGATGCAGTGTGACTGAGTTCGACGCAGGGGTAGTAGTAGTAGGACGGCGGCGGCAAGAGCGGACCACACTCGGAGGTGAAGCTCCTGAGGGATAGAAGCCCACGGCACGAAGTCAGTGAAACATGTATAAGTAGCCGTACGAAGTCCTACTCAGAAATCATCGAACACCGACTACTCAGCTCAGGTGGTCAACCTTCTCTCGCCTCATTATTACCACTGATATCTTTATCAAGCATGCTTTCCAAACTTGTTCGAGCCACATTGGCTCTCACGCTCACTTCGTCCTGTGTCGTCCAGGCTCAGTTCGTCACCCAAATCCCGGCGGCCGAAGCTTCTGCGATAGCGGGAATCGTCGAAGACGATCCTGCCAATGATCCCCAATTCAGGAAAATTGGAAGTCCTGCATACACCCTGTACTCCGCAGCTCTTCCAATCCCGGAGGTGGCCACACCAAAGTAGTACGTGCCATGATCTTGATCTTTTCCCAGGGGACTTATTTTAACACGCTGTAGTAAAATCACCAATCCTGTTACGCAAAAGGAGATCTGGTATTATGTGCGTACCAATCGAATGCGGAGTCGACATATGTTGACTGACTTTGCGATTAGGAGTTCGAGATCAAGCCATTCACTCAGCAAGTCTACCCCAAGCTCAAGCCTGCTCGGCTTGTGGGCTACGATGGAAAGTCTCCTGGGCCAACCATTATCATTCCAAAGGGCACCGAGTCCGTCGTACGATTCGTGAACAACGCCGACAGAGAGAATTCGGTCCATCTGCACGGATCTCCAAGCAGAGCTCCCTTCGATGGGTGGGCCGCTGATTTGACCAACCGTGGCGAGTACAAGGATTACTATTATCCAAACTATCAATCCGCTCGCTTTCTCTGGTATCACGTAAGTATTTTACCGACATGCAAATTGCTATCGGCTGACCATGTGCGTGTGCAAATAGGACCACGCTATCCACTGGACAGCGGAGAACGCCTACTTTGGCCAGGCTGGTGCTTATCTCATCACTGACCCCGAGGAGGACCAACTTGGGCTTCCTTCCGGATATGGGAAGCAGGACATCCCCCTCGTGCTCTCATCCAAGCAATATAACTCGGATGGTACTCTGTTCTCTACTCAGGGAGAAACTAAGTCGCTGTGGGGTGATGTGATCCACGTGAATGGTCAACCGTGGCCATTCCACAACGTCGAGCCTCGCAAGTACCGCTTCCGATTCCTGAATGCAGCCGTCTCTCGTAACTTCGACTTGGTAAGTCCATGACGATATTCTGCCGAGGGGTGACGCTGACGACATGATAGTTCTTTGTCACTTCGACGGCTACTAACACTAGGATCCCATTCAAAGTCATAGCTTCTGACGCTGGACTCCTTGAGGCACCGATCCAAGTCAGTGACCTGAAGGTCGCTGCCGCCGAACGCTATGAAGTTGTCTTCGACTTCTCGCAGTACGCTGGCAAGACCCTGTATCTCCGTAACGATGAGGATGCTGGCGGAAGTAAGTCGACTCACCGTTTGCCCTGGTCTTTTGACGCATGCTTACATGAGTAGTTGGTGTCGACGAGGCATACGACAATACCAATCAGGTCATGAAGTTCGTCGTTAGCAGCACACCTGTGACCGATACCTCGGTGGTGCCGTCAACCCTACGAACCGTTCCATTCCCTCCCGCTGGTCACACCAGTATTGATCATGCATTCCGTTTCCACCGTTCTGGTGGCGAGTGGAAGATTAATGATGTTGGTTTTGCCGATGCCGCCAACCGTGTGCTTGCGAAAGTTCCACGAGGCAAAGTTGAGATCTGGGAGCTTGAGAACAACTCCGGAGGCTGGACCCATCCCATTCACGTCCACCTCGTTGACTTCAGGGTTATCCAACGCAATGGTCGAGGAGTTGAGCCTTATGTGTGTACATTGTCTCTGCGTCCCTGAAACAATAACTGACAACATGCTCTAGGAATCTGCCGGCTTGAAGGACGTCGTTTGGCTCGGCGTTAACGAAGTTGTGCTGGTTGAAGCTCACTACGCTCCCTGGAATGGTGTTTACATGTTCCACTGCCACAACCTCATCCACGAGGATCAGGATGCAAGTTCTGTCTTTGTCGCCTATCTGTCGCATGCGCTGACCGTGAATAGATGATGGCCGCCTTCAATGCCACCCAGCTCACTGACTTCGGCTATGACGAGGTCACCGACTATGGTGACCCAGAAGATCCGCGCTGGTCTGCGAGACCCTATGTCTACACAGACTTCCAGCAGGGCACCGGTCCATTCAGCGAACAGTCTGTCACCGACCGCGTCCAGGAGATTGCCCGGGAGCAGCCATACAGCGAGCTTGCCGAGGTGGAAGCGGCTCTTGATGTAGCCTGGGCTGATGGAACAGCACAAAAGCGCAGCGGGGTCATTCCACGTTTCAGGCGCTTCATCATGTAAAGAGCGCTCCCATCGCCCTTTACACGCAGTCCCACGCGACTAGTGCACTTCAGATCCGACTTTCCTATCGTTATCTTTTCCCTTTGTCCTGTTGTGCTGTTTACTGTGCTGCAACCTTCGATCGTACATATTTGTCCCCATTCTTGATCGAGTATATATTTGTGGAGGAGGAGCCCGATACATATGGGCTGTGCAAGAAGCGAAGAAGGGCCGGCGGCTTGATAGTGCTGTAATCAAATTGAATTATTTGTTGCGATGTGCCAGTCCAAGCTACCAGGAGTGCAGATCAACGAAGTGGACGCGTCTCTTCTGGGAAGGGAGAAGCGGGGGCGCTAACTCCATCCGATCTAGCGGCTTTAGGACAGGAAGGTGGGAAGGTATACGGTCTTCCACGACGCCCTTTCTATTCTTCTTCATTCCTACAAGACGTGAGTAACATTCTCAGTCGCTACGCTTTTGGACTTTGTTTCGTATCTTGCGCGTATGTCATGCCACCCAATACGCTGCTCAACCCGGCCCTGCCTTATCGCCAGTACTAACGCGAGCACCGAGATAGGACCTCGGGAAAATGAGGGACCCCAACTTCTCTCACAAGCACATGAGTGCGCCGGATCGATTGCCAACGCGTGAGCTGTTGTCGAATAGCGGAACGCCTCCTGGTCAAAATGAGGCGTCCCCAAGAGGCGGAGAAATCAACGAGAGGATTGCCGACCGTATCGTGCGAGTGCAATGGGACTTGACCAACTTGAAGGATTTCTGGAAAGTCCACAGCTCTCCTCATCGCTCTGAAAGACTAAATGAGTATTTGGATGCCGAGCTTAAGGTTCTTGAATGGATGCCATTCCAAGCCTACGACCAAAATGAAAGGGTTGATTATTTGCTGCTCAAGAACTTCCTTCGCAATCAGCTCAGCGAAGTGCACAGGGACGCTGAATTGGATTCTAAAGCTCTAGCTTTCTTGGGCGGATTCTTCCCATTGTGGATGGCGAATATGATTGAGGCAAGGCAGAGGGTCGATGACCTCGACCAGAAGAAAGCAGCGGAGTCGCTTGTGCATTGCACGAGGCTCGTTATTCTGGTCACAGAGTTGATCGCGAACAAGAGAGAGACAGCTGAGCCAGTAGTTGCGTTCAGAGCTACCAAGAACTTGGAGGAATTCAAAGTTCATTGGCAGGAATGGTATAATTTCTATGACGGATACGACCCTTTATTCTCGTACTGGATATCTGAGCCTTATCCCAAGCTACAGAAATCCTTGCAAGGTCTCATTGACACCATCAAGAAGGTTTGCCTCGGCTTGGATACTGAGGATGAAGACACCATTGTTGGAGAGCCAATAGGTCGAAGTGGAATACTGAAAGCCCTCGACACTGAAGTGATTCCATACACGCCGGAAGAGCTCATCACGATTGCCTGGAAGGAATATGCCTGGTGCGAATCAGAGATGCAAAAGGCTTCTGATGCACTAGGCTTTCAGCACTGGCGCAACGGCTTAGAATATGTAAAGAATCTTTACGTTGAGCCTGGAAAGCAACCCTCGCTTGTTAGAGATCTTACGAGAGAAGCAACCGCATATGTACGGAAGCACGACAGTGTCACTGTACCTCCAGTATGTGCAGAGACCATACAGACGTTCATGATGAGTACGTACCAATTCTATTCTTTGTGGACCGATATGGAAGCCGTCACCAAAGTTCTTTCAGAGACACACTGTACACGTTGCTTCCCATCTGGAGGTCTTACTCACGAACATCAAAGGTCCCAAAGCGCAGAAGATGAATCCTTTTTTCTTGGGTGGCGATGAGGTAAGCTTCCTTTATACGTATCGTTCTGACCTGTACTAAATAAACACTTCTCAGATCATTGTCTCGTATCCGACCCAGACTATGAACCACGAGCAGAAGCTGATGAGCCTTCGGGGGAACAACGTGCACTTTTCACGTGCAACAGTATTCCACGAAATGATTCCTGGCCACCACCTTCACATGCACTATATGGCGCGCCATCGTCCTTACCGCCAAATCTTCCAGACGCCCTTCTGCATCGAAGGATGGGCATTTTACTGGGAGATGGTGCTATGGGATTCTCCTTCGTGGACGAAGACTCCAGAGAACCGCATTGGGATGCTGTTCTGGCGTATGCATCGATGCGCGCGCATCATCTTCTCGCTGAAGTATCACCTTGGTGAAATGACCGCACAGGAATGCGTGGAGTTGTTAATTGATATGGTGGGCCACGAAAGAGCGACAGCCGAAGGTGAGGTTAGAAGAAGTGTGATGGGAGATTATGGTCCACTGTACCAGGCGGGATACATGTTGGGTGGATTGCAGATTTATGCTTTGCGAAAAGAGGTCGTGGAGAACGGGGACTGGTCAGAGAAAGAGTTCCATGACACATTCCTAACGGCAAACCAACTCAACATCGAGTTGTTCCGCGCTCTCATACTCGGTAAAGATCTTGACAAGGACTACAAGAGCCAGTGGAGGTTTTATAAGGACATCAAGCGGCACTGAGGTGAACTAGCCATCATCGACCCATACGCAAGCCGTGTTGATGATTGTTTTAGTGGGTCTTACGATGAAGTTTGAATTTTGAACCTGTCTATTGTAGGGTGACTACGAACAGAATTACAAGTTGGCCTTCCCCAGCCGTTTCCCGCTCTGGTCGAAGTGGATCTGCCTCTTAGTCACTAACGCTTCCTGCAACCAGCTACCAATCTGCACCGCTTTTACTGCATTCTCGATTGGCATGGGCAACGGCGTGTCGTCGAGACAGGCCGCAGCAAAGTCGTTAGCCTCCTTTACGAAAGCCATCTCAAACCGCCCATAGTAGTGTGCCGGGACTTCCTTTGTGATACCCTTCCCACTGTACGTCTGTACCAAGTTGATCTGTGGGTTGAGGTTCACGCTGAGCTTGCCCTCAGTGCCGATGACTTCCGTAACGTCCTCTTGGCCATGGGCCTGGGTATGTAATGTTAGTGATTGCGCGTCGCCGCTAGCTCTGTGGGGATTGCCTACCATCATACGCGAGCAGTAGTAGTACGCGATCTGTCCGCCCCAGAACTCCACAATCCCGACGGCGTTATCGACATCTTTGTGCTGCGCGAGGCCTGGCTGGACAGCGATGCACCCGTGAGCGCTGATCGACTTGGGCACGATCTGGTTGCCGAAAAACCACAGGGTAAGGTCGATGTCATGTACGGACATGTCAACGAAGACGCCACCAGACCAGGCCGCGTACTCCACAAAGAATCCAGACGGGTCATGTTTGTCGCATGTCTGTGAGCGCAGTATAGTCGGCCGGCCGATCTGACCTTGTTCGATTTTGCCGTATGCACTTTGGTAACTGAAGACATGCGCGTAAGCATATTACGATTGGATATGTTGTACTTCTTCATACCTGTCATCAAAGCGTCGCGAGAAGCCACACATGACCTTCAAGTGCGGCCGCTTCTTCGCTTCCTCCACAACCTGTCTGCAAACATCGACGCTCGTGCTGAGAGGCTTCTCGCACAACACATGCAAGTTCTTCTGCATCGCTTTTATCGCTTCTTCCGCATGCACTGACGTCGCAGTGCCAATCACGACAGCATCAAGGCCTTCCTGCTTGAGCATCTCGTCATAGTCGGTATACAAAGTCACTCCATGCGGCTCGAGGTGTTCACGCGCCCACTCGTGCTCTTTGGAATCAGGCGAAAACGCAGCGACGAGCTGGGCGCGAGGTGCGCGGTTGAGGAAGTTCAGCGCGTGACGATGGCCCATGCGACCTAAGCCTGCGGCTGCGATCTGGAGTTTTCGGGGTGCCATGGTTTCAAGATAAGGGAAGTTTGCCTGCAAAATACGATGACTGCGATCACGGAGAATGCTTTTGAGGACGAGAAAGCAGGGCGCAAAGAAGTGTCATTTTTATATGTGTGATGAATTGATTATGTAGGTTGTGCTGCATGTTCGGAGGAGGTTTTCGCTCTGTTGGCGTTACGAGTGCTTTCGATGTGTGTGGACAAAATCTCTCTCGGAGGAGGTTTTCGACTTCGGAGGAGGTTTTTGCATGTATGTACACAGTATGTTTACGGCAAATGAGCAGTGCATTCGGCCCTTCTGCCCTCCGTGTGGGGAAATCAAACCCGAGATATGTGCACGAGACGAGGCACTTCGGCGGGCACACTTGCTATATCTAGGCTGCTTAGCCTCATGCGGCGCTCCAATCGACGAACGCCAATTCTAAAACGTCACGAGGACCCACATCCGATCCGTCTGAAGACTAAATGCGGGGAATGTTAGACCACGGCATCTGCGAATAGACCAACAAAAACGGTTCTATTTCCCGCACTCCGATGTAGCATCATTTCATCCTCTCACCACGTCTCCCAGCAAGAACAATGCGGCAACGAAGCGGTTGGTATGTCATCCCCGGATCCACATATCTTACCCAATGTAGCTAATTGGCAGCAGCAAAGCCTGTCGTGAGCGGTACGTGATCAGATGTACAGCATTTGGACCCATCCGGGTCATCGCTTACCCATTCCGGCATCGAATACCTAACTGAGCGTTACTGACTGGGCCATTGTGTAGACACATCAAATGTATGTCTTCCAGTCAGTTTTGTACTCGAGATCCGATCGTTTTCCCTTGTGGGAGGTGAGCTGCCTCAAGATTCCTCGCTGAGCCTCACCAGGCGTCAAACTTCGTGACTCGGACAAGTGCAAGTACTGCACAGAGCGCAAGAGACCCTGCATTCGAGGGAGCGCGTTTCGCTTCCGTCCAGTTACTGCAGTAAAATTCAATGCCGGAGAAGACCTCGGAAGCGCGGAGCAGTCCTTGGAGTTTGGAGGAAACCAAACATGGGTTTCAATACCGCCTTCATGTGGGTCGTAATCTATCGCTAACCATCGAGACTTACTAACCTGCCAACAACAGTGCGCTTCATCGCCCCGAACACCGATGGGGACGAAGTGGCTGTGGAAGACGAGCTTGAACCAGAGCCCGGGTCGGTATCTGAAGGCTCTGATCCGACCCTCCGGCAAATGCTAGATGTAAGGTTCGAGACGAAGAGCCCTGTAGACCCCCTTCTGCTGTTCCACAAAAGGACCACATCGCAGACATTGCACAGATCAGAGTCAAACACCTCCCAGGTCCTCGGCGACATCATTGACTTCCACGCCCAACCTCCATTCCTCCCGCCTATCGCCGATGTCTTGAGTACGACACCAGCAAGTCGCGATGTGAACAGCGATGCTGCTTCTCATCCATACTCCGGTCCGCCTCTTTCGAGAGCGGACTCAGGGGCCTTGTTACGAGCCTCAGTCGACTGGTCTATGATATCACCTGGCCACAAGCACAGCTCGCCGTCCTTGTCCCAGAAGAGGAGCCCCAACGATATCAATCATATATCCCCATTCTCGAACTCTGCTTTTTCCGCGAACTCTTCGCTCTCCTTGAGCTGGCCTGTGAAAGACCCTTTCGAAGCTCGCCTGCTCCATCATTACATAGTAGCCTGCAGCGACTGGATTGATGTATGTGACTCGAGGCGGCACTTTACTCGCGAGGTTCCTAAACGCGCCGCACATTTCCCGGTCATCTTGAATGCCATTCTTGGCCTGGCGTCTCGGCACTTGTGGTTGATCGAGAAGCTGGAGGAAGATCACTCGCAGCCCTACGTTGATCAATGCCTCCAGTCACTCATCATTGCCTTAGAGGACCCCTTGGCCCACTGGGATGAAAACTTCTTAGTCGCCGTCATTTTGCTTCGTCTTCATGAAGAGATTGGGGAAGATGACGAGCAGTGCCATGTCAGTCAATTCCGCGCAGCGCGATAATAGTGATACTTACCATCTCTAGCATTTCGGTACAGCCCGCATCCTCAACTCCATATCTTCATTCGCTGCCGATGGCGGCCTACGCGAGTCCGCAAGCTGGGTCTCGCTCCGTCAGCATATCTACGTTTCTCTAACCAAACAACAACCCTTCAATCTGAGTTTGGATAATTACAAACATTCCTGCGTATTCCGCGAGTACGACGACGAGGCCTGGGCAAACCGTATCGTCTATCAATTTGCACTCATACTCCAGCACGTATTCGAAGACGCAGAGCATACGAACGCGCTCTCGCGCGAGAAGTGGACGGAACTCAACGCAGACACGGACGAGTGGTACCGCACAAAGCCATGGTCCTTTGCGCCTCTATACTCTGACCCGAAAGCCGGAGACTCCTTTGATGGATCGTGGCCTGCTTTACCCACATCACAAGGCGTCGTCGCCATCGGTTTACAGTACTACCACCTTTGCAAGATACTACTTACGATCTACTCTCCAAACGCATCTCTGGTCGGCCTCGCTGGATTGCGCGCGAGGAAATCTACAGACGCAGCGATAAGAAAGCACATACGGATAATTATTGGCTATGGTGTTAGCAATAGTCACTGCAGTAATGTCATGTTCCAGGGGAGCCACATACTTAGTGCTTGTGGGGCGTACATAGTTGATAAGGCGGAACAGCAGGCGTGTGTTGAGTACTTGACCAGCTTACAAAGATTGATAGGGTGGAGGACAGACAAGGTGTTGGCAGAAGTTCGCGAGCAGTGGGCAAGTTGAAAGATCCCATCGCTCCCGGAGTGAGATTAACGACTATGCTTTTCGCTGCTTACTGGTCGAATCCCAGTGTCACGGCATCACTTGTACCGTGTGAGTTCACAAATCTTATGCCTCCAACTCGCATACCGCTCCCATTTTGCCCACGTCTTGTCAATCGAATGAGTCGTACTCTCGCTGCGTAAACGACCTGCTTGACTAATCGACTTGCCTATTGAGCAGTTCCAACCTGGAACCAGGGTATGGAGGTTCTTGCTGTCCTAAAGAGCATTAAACAGTGGCAAAGATGTGGCCGGACTGATCAAGGTTGCAACTTTCGTGTTCACCTGCATCGCCACTGGTAGATGGCTCAACCCATATTGATTGTCAAGACCTACTCCTACTTTGCATCTGTTCGTAAACATTAAGACACATCGTCTTGTCGTTATGATGTACCAGAAACCTAGATGCAAAGCACAAGGTATCACACCGCCATCTTGCCAGGCCCTCGCTCAAGCCATGGCTGCACGACATTCTGACACCTCAATGACGGAACTTCAAACTTCGCCAGGTCATCGTTCATAAAAGCACAGGACTGTGCCGCATACCCACATAAACTTCATCGGACATCTGACAAAGCTCCACGAGAACATATGCCCCGCGAGGCTGACAGTCACAATTTCGACCTAGATTCCGCTGCACCCAGCCGATAGAGCGCTAGCACCTCTTAACTGGGCAGTAGCTAAACTCCTTAGGGCAGAGCACGACACAACTAGCTTTGAAGATGGACTTCAAAGCAGGATGTAATGAAGCCACAGGCAAATTTTCATCGCTGGGAGGTATGACCGCCTTGATGGGTCCGGATGAGAAGCATACATAATGAAGCACCCCTCAGCCATGGAGATTGGCATTGCATTGAGTTCTGGGCAAGCGATGCTCTTCCTTGCTGAGATGACCTGCTCACAAAAGACGTCATCAAGTTCGTGTAAGCAGCGCTCGTGGCTTTCTCCCAGCAGTCTGAGTGCGTCCTATACATGGAAAATACTTCCTTCCGATGGTGTTTCACTGACTTTCGATGGCACGCTACGCACCGTCCGGATTCCCAGTTTCCACTGGAAACCTCTGCAGGATCCACACACGTAAACGTACATACAAGAAGGACCAAACACCATCACCATGGAACCAGCCTGCAACTTCGGAATGCGAAGACATGACGCCGGCGAGCTATATTCTGGGTTGGGGACGGTCAAACTAGGGCCATTGTTGAAACTCGCCGAAGAAGTGGACATCGTCCATGTGCCGACGTAGCGCGACCGACCATCATCGCGGATGGACCCTCAACTCCGCGAGCGCCTGAAGCGCAAACTTCCCGAAGCCGTGCGCCAGTGCTCAGCGCTTCACGGGCCGTTCGTGCGGAGGTGTCCGTCGGAGATCCGGTCATTCTGTCAGCCTGTCATGAAAACATGACGTCACAGTCACCACTGAGAAAGCGTCAGTTACCGGCACGTAATGTCAGGTAAACTATCTCTCGTATTGACTATGGTGGGCTGATGTCATTTGCAGCCAGTAACACCGATCCTTTTTGCGCCGTAGCAGCGCATGCTGCCCAATCCGCCTCGTTCGCCAAACTCGTAACAATCATCGAATATACCCTTGATTACAGTCAACATCGACGAAGCATATTACGCTAGCCCGTGATACGTACTACATGCTTCGTAAAGTCATCGGCCTAGAAGCCGCGTGATGAGAGTCCATGTCTCGTAGCCGTCCTAGCGCATAGGCCCAAACCCGATCAACACCTGCACTGCTGAAAGCACAACCTTGGAAGAATACGGCTGTTCAAGCCCGGATGTAGCCACGATCTGTGTGAGCAGCGACCACAAGTCCGGAAGGAGTTCTTGGAAGAAGGCAGCCTGAGCCTGCGGGCTGCTCTCCATCTCCTTCATGCCTTCGACGTTCCCGTTGCGCATAGCCTCCAGTAGCCGCTGAACCTCGATGGTCAGAAACTCTTCCGCTGCGGCAACAATCTCTTCGGTCCAGCCCCGTCGTTCCCTAGCGCCCCATTGGATAGCGTTCGCTTTGACTGATGATAAGAATGTCCGGAGGTGCCTGAGGCGACTTTGTCGTTGCATGTCGTACGCGGCTGAAGAGCGCGCAAAGTCCGTGGTGTAGTATGCGGTCGCCATTTCGTCGAAGTTGTTGAAGCCAGCTGCCGTCATGGCTTTGAAGATGTGGTTGAAGCGGACGCCGTCCGCTTGGTTCGGGGTCGCCTGGATTGGAGGCCCAGCCAAATTCTCTCTTAATCTTGAGATGCGTTTCTGGGCATCTTGAAGTCCTTCCGCTGATGGGAAGCCTTGTACACTCCCTTGCGAAATGGACGATGGAGTGATGTAGCCCTCGGCTATTGATTTTGTTTGTTGATGTGAGGCTGGTGATGGATTTGAGGACGCCATGAAGGTGTTAAAGTCTGACATAGGAAACGGATATGATTCGGGTGAGTTGTTAGGAAAAAGAGAAGGGTCGACCAATGCATCCAGTTCCAGGTCCGGCGACATGAAGAATCGGTCCCCATCTTGGATTGTCCATTGATCATGGCCAGTCTGATCCATTGTGGCAGTTTGTTGGGGTGACTGAGGGCTAAGCCTCGTGGTGAGCTATGTGAACTGGAGCGGATGTGGAGGCGTGACGACTGACCTCCTACTCGACTCACTCATAGTAAGACTGGGTGGTTGAGTAGTTGTACCCTCTTCCATAACACCTTCTGTCATCTTTAAACGTTGCCCTACGATGATCAGCTTTGCGCTGACAGGTGGGGTCCATTACCATGACTTTGACTTACGGCGTCTTCTCTGTGCTAATCGATTCTGAATCTTCTTTCTGTCTTGAGAATCGCTCACGTCCCGCCATGCGTCGGCGTCTATTGCATGCATCTTGAATGTAGGTGAAGTGTGATTCTCTGTCCGAGGTTGCGCGGTTGTTGGCTATGCTACACGCTCTGCTACTAGCGTGAATCTCTCCTCGTGGTGGTCTTTAAGATATATCGGCATACAACAGCCCGTGAGTGCAAAGTCCTCAGCGGCAGCAGCAGGCTATGCATATGTCATTCTGCCAGACCCATGTTGTCAGAACCGAAGCCTTGGCAGATTAACTAGTGGCGCATGCCTCTGAGCTTAGATCGTGACCTGTGCTGAGCGCAGAGTCGTTCTTGGTTTTTCGGATTCCGGGGCACTCGGCGCTCCCCGAAACTGGCGCAAAAGTCGCGGTATCCATCTCATTCGTGCGTCCACGAGGGCAACAAACAACCCCGGTCAAGGGCTCCATCGTAAAGGATCGTGCGACTGACGCATCGAAGGTGATGCGATGATTCTACGACCTTTCACTGCCGCTTGTAAGAAAGCTCACTGGTTGCGGCCCGCACCGTTGCCGCTTCTGGGTTAGCTGAGGACCGGGGTCGCGTACCTGGTTCTAGTTCGGAAATCACTGCATGCGAGCACAAGAGACACGAAAGCTTGGGAAAACTGGGGGAAAAGGCGGTGATCGTGATTCACCCACCGTTCTCTGCAATGTTCATTAGCGAGTAATCGTACAACCCGAGGCTAGACGGCGATCACTGACCGTCGTATCTCATATAAAGACGGGCGCTGCAGACAGATCGACGATCGGACCCAGCATCCTCAGTACTTTATCTTGATCGCTGCTGATAGTATGCTGCGCCCAACTGCGTCGCAAGCTGCGAATCAAGCTCCGGATTCAAGATCTCCCAGCCAGAGACGCTTGACAAGCGTTGTCCGGCCGAGCAAGAGCGTGATTATGGCTATGCTCCACTTCCCCCAGGATTGAGGCTCAACTCTGATACAGCGCAGGAGCGGTGCGTCTGGAGAGCCTAACCGAGAAGCTGCGTAGCACGAAACCTTTACGGTATCGCGCTGCTCGTGTTCGGGTCGTTACTCTCCACTGAAAGACTCACCGTTGAGCACAAGATTGGAGAAGAGCTGCATCCCGGCAGAGCGTGGCTTGCGCGGCATATGCGGAAGCCTTCTAGAATATTCGGTGCATAAGCGTTCGGGAACTGGCATCTAGACGCATGCCTAACCAACACGCACGTAGGCAGACAAGCGACCTGCAAGAGGTCAAAACCGTTTGCTATTGACGGATCAGTGTTTTAATGAGCCTTTGGGCAGTCCCAAGAACTCCGCTTTGCGCGACTGCTGCTACTTGGGTGCATACTGCGGCGACCCGACTTGCCAGGGATTATTTGGCGACCGCTGGAACGAGCGCACCCAGCCTTGACGTTCCCCGTGCTTGAATCCCGACCTCCCATGTCACCAGACCATGGCATTACTTGGTTTTAGTATTGTACCTTTTTCAAAATATCCGCGGATGCGATGATTGTTATTGATAAATTGACGCCGATTGATTTGCATCGGGCGCGACAGCGCTGCCAACCCCTTCACAGGTTCTGATGATAGCAATGACTTACACCCTAAGTTTTGAGGGTTGTGAAGCCTAAGGTGGTGTCATCTGGAAGTATGCAGCATTGCAAACGAACACACGCGCACAGTGACGTGTAAATGCAATTCCGACCGGTGCGCTGGTGCAGAGCCTCATGATCCCTGCGCGCATAGAAGGCGTCACATCCTCGCTTGCGGCAGGCATAGCCGGTCCCCGAAGGATCCTTCCGAACGCAAACGCATACAAATAACAGATACCTTCAAGATGTGATGCGATGCGATCGTAGTCTTTTCGTTCAGATCGAAGATGAGTATATGAATCGCTGCAAACCTCGTCCTCTGGTAGACATTGGAAGGATCCGCACTCCGAAAGTGCCCGTGCCTATGAAGACCTTGAGAGATCGATCGAGTTCGGCATGCAACGACATCGATGGTGTGGGCCCGGACTAGGGTCTAAGGTAGCCATATTCAGCATCGTAAGTATGTTTCCGTATGCGCGCCATGCGCCATGCGAGGGGCAAATACCTGATGTCGCCTTCGTCCATTGCACCCTCAGGATTGTGTGCCAACGGAGGGACCCACGTGGACGAATTCGCCGCGAAGAACCGTCGTGGGTCACCTAGACGAGCTGTTAAGATGCGAGACGGATGCGGGTGCGCCTGTCGCATGGAAATTGTCGCCTGAATCTGCTCTTCACTGGTCGATTTGAAGGGTTCGTTACAAAAATAGGCGTGCATTCGTTGCTGTCTGCTCATTGTCACCTTCAGCTATGTGCTGTATCCTCGGGCAGCTATAGCTATCAAAGCTTGATGGGCTCATCAACCCTGATACCGTTCTGTTGGTTGTAGTTGCTGTGTCCAATCACTCTGCCACGGCATGTAAAAAAGGGCCGCATGGAAGCACTCTCAGGCGGCCAGTGGATGAGGCTACTGACGTTAGCCAGCGTCTTCGAGATTTGGAAACGGTAAGCAGAAGTTCCCGCATGCGGCTGAAAGAGGCGGGCGGAGTCAAGTCTTAGCTACTGCCGGCAGTGTTGGTATGGCCAAAGCTGCATGACCGTCAGAGGTGATGACGGGTAATAAAGTGCGGGTCGATGCGTGTCATGCTTGTGGCGGAAAGCGCATTCTTTGTCACGTTAGGCGTACCTTCCAGTACCATGACCTGCGAAACAATCCACCAAGAAGGTACGACACTGAACGACTCATGAAATACGACCTTGTTTCACTCTTGCATGTGAATGTCTGCTCTAGTGACAGAAAGCTACCTCTTAGAAGATGCCACTTGACTTCAGCGGTTCACAGCTTGTTCATCAGTGTACCAGCAGAATCATCGTCTCCGGGGCATGTATTCTAGAGAGGGTCGGAAAAGGCATATGTAGATTTGGTTACTCTACAAGCATGGTCGCTGACCATCCTTCAGCTGGCCTGGACTGTAGAAGTGTTGAGGTCACCTAAAAGCACACGTATGCGAATCCCTAGGCCAACATGCACGGAACCCCTAGCGAGGAAAGAGGTTAGAGTGTACGAGCGCTGGATTGTGGTTGTATTTCACCGCCCATCTCGATAATCAAGCCAGCGTAGCCGCGTCATCGGACGCCGGGTCTCTCGTCCTCAGCAACTCCATATCGACGCAGCCCGGGAACCTGGTACCTGCCCCCTTGCACGTTTCACTTGACCAAAGCTTGCACCTAGGGGATAACCACGAGGTCGAAGCATGGGAACAAGGATTGTGTCAGAAATTTGTTTGCCACCATCCTATTCTGTCCGCTGCACATGACTTTCAAGCCGAATGTCGTGAGGCAAACTGTGTGTCCGCGATCTGCAGCGGTCTCCTTTATTGTTGAGGTATAAACCAAGAGAGCCTACTCCAACCAATGCGAACTCCATACACGAATATGGCAATGTGCCGAGAACAGCGTATCTCGCTTCTCTCGTAGCGGATGGCGAGGCACGAAGACAAGGCCGAGGAATACATGTCCGTTGATACGAAGACCGTGAGGTTCCCAGGCGATGAGTCGATTCGGCATTCTCGTGAGACCGAGACACGAGGTTCAGGTCGCCTCCCAAACGAGGTTCATAGGAGTCGCATCTTTGTACCCTTACTAACGACGAAGGGTTCCTTTGTCCGCACAGGCCGTGTCGTCGGTCCGTGAGTCGCGGCTATGTACGGAGTATCAAACAGCCAGCCACTATCCGTTCTTCTTCGTCGCATATCTTCCCAATTGCTGAACAGGATCTGCTTAATTACATTTCATACCTGGTCGATTGAAGGGCATTCTGGTCTTGGCCTACGCCTACATGGCAATAATGATGCACACGAACACCCCGCCATTATGTGCCTGACCAAAACATACCTTCTATTAAAGAAGTCGCTGCCTTGCGAAGTCAAGATCGTCGCCTCAGTCAGCAGAGTGGGCATCACCCACGAATAACAGACTGAGCATAGTTTGGGATGAGAAACTAAAGATAATAGAATGTTTGGCGCGCCCTGATTCTCGCAAGTCGGCCTCCAACACCGATGACGTCGCCCCACTTTCTCACTCGCTCGAAGCCGATTTGCGCTTTCTCCTCCACACCTTGACTGGCATATCACCCAATATCCAATTAAGTGTCTCCAACCTTTCAAGTTGCCAATCAGGGCTAGTCAAAGCGAAGCTGTATCTTCGAAGCAGACTCGCGACGACAACGGCTTGTTCCAGGTACGAGATATTGCGCCCGATGCAGCCTCTGGCGCCCGCAGAGAACGAAAGGAAGTACGGCTGGAGCCTTTTGCCTTCCTCACCGAGGAATCTCTCCGGAATAAATTTGTCGGCTTGCGGGAACGCCGACTCTTGTCGGTGGGCGACAAGTGCAGACATGGAGACTGTGACGCCGCCGGGGATATAGTCGCCAAGGATATTTGCACCGTCGGGAGGCGTTTCACGCGGCAACCCGTGTGGTGTTGGGGGGAAGAGGCGAAGAGATTCATCCAAGCATGCCCGCAGGTAAGGGAGATGCTTAATCTTGTCGTACGCGAGCACTCCGCTTTCATCTTCGTCCTCGTTATCTTCCACCGCGGCGTCGATCTCTTCAGTTACCTTCTTCAATATCTCGGGATTCTTGATGAGCTGATAGATGATGTTCGTGATCGCGATGGCGGTCGTTGCGGAGCCGGCGTTCATCATGATACTAATTTCAGCCACGATCTCACCCCACTCCAAGTTGTTTGGGTAGCCATTCTTGTCCTCCATGAGTGCCTGGAAGAAGTCATCCAGCTTCTCGCCTGTGCGGTACCTCTGGAGACGGCGATGCGCGAGCTCCATCGGAATGCCTTCCCAATCCTTTGAGAGTTTGCCCATGCGGCCATAGAACGGGATCAGGTTGGAGACCTTGTCGATGAACGGGTACCACTCGTAATTCCAGATAAGCAAAGACTGCTTGCGGGCAGTCTGATACAATGCAGGGCGGAAATCGCACTCGTATGTAGTTCCATCGGTTCGTCTTCCAGTCATACGGTCATGGCCACGATCAAGGAATCCAAGCTTTTCGGAGAGACCAATGTCGGCGATCGCGTCGAGCGTGAAGAAGTTGCTCCATTTTCGGAAGTCGACGTTAACATCTTCGGGTTTGACAACTTCGCCGCTTCTCAAGGGAGCAGTACAGCACTTGTCCAGATGCTGAATGAGCTTATAAGTCTTATCGGCGACCTTGTGTTCCCAGCCTTCTAGATTCTTCAGAGCGTATGCTGAGCTCAATGTCTTCCTCTTGCGAGCGTGGTCATGCTTGTCGACTACATCGGCAAGATGATAGTGGGATCCAGCACCTACAACATACTGCCCATCTTTCGTACAAGGTGTATTGTGTCCATAGATGTCCTTGATGGCACGCAGGTCACCGTATGAGAGCGCATTGGGACCAGTGCGAATGACAGGGTACTTTTGATGGAGCTTGGAAAGGCGCAGCGATCGTTCACCAGAGTGCGAGAGTATTATAAAAGGCAGCCATGATATTCCCGAGAGTGGGTGCATATTTGGGTAACGTCGAAGTCCTACTTGAGTAAGTTAAAGTCGTTTGGAGAACAAATTCGTCGAACCTACCATTAACATCGCGAAAGTAAACAATGACGGGGTATACAACGAAGTAGAGGAGAATGCAAGTGCCAAAGGCAACCGCGTATGGCAAAGATGTCGTAGCCATGAAAATTGTGTGAAGAAGCAAAGGCGTTGGATTTCTTTGGTTCCAGGTGATAGTGAAAGTGTCTTGATCTTTTATCGCGGCGTTACCATCATCTCTTTAAAACTGCGATAGTAGCATGCACATAAATCATTACTGCGGAGTCTAGGATATCGATCAAAGTACGCCAGTCCAAGTGCTCACTGAGATGGAAGTGTACGGAGAACATCACCATATCGAGTAACCCCGCTTGTCGTGCGTGGGGAAACGCGGGGACCTGTGGCGGGGTTTACTCGTCCTGCGAAACGCCGTTTCCAATTACGGCCCACTGTGGAGCCCAAGTGCTCCGCGACCTGGTAAAACAGAGCGCAGTTCCTTACAGGGAAGCTTATGTCTCTCAACACGCTTGCGGCTGTGTGTTGCATGGCCGAAAAGGAACAGCCAAGGTGTAAGCGTGTCCCAGGCGGATTTTCCTTTGTACACATGTGATTGGATTAGCTTTTTGGAGCGAGATGGCCTTTGTGGGGGATCAAGTGGGAGATACTCACGATGTCCTCTGCCCAACAATGCCCAAGGTAGCAGGCAATTCCGGAAGCTTCCAAAGGCTTTTGACAACCTTTGGACTCATTTTTGAAACGAAGCAGACGTTCTTGCCATATATGATCGTGTCTTTGGTCTCCAAGTGTTCCTCAACAACACATTAAATCCCACCATGGAGTCTTTCACTTTTCCTGTTAAGATCAACGAGCTGCCATCGACGCTTAATCCACTTCTGCGAACACTGCAGTCTTCTTCAATTCTTCCCGCCTTGAAACCCTCAAGTGTACCAGATGGCATTGCCGCCTTTCTTTTTCTTCTCTCCGCTCTTGGATACGTAACGAGGGGCCGTCTATGGGACAAGCCGGACCTTCACTACAAGGTCTGGTTCGAGCGTCCACAGCTGGCAGGTGGTGCCTCAAGTATCAAGGGAGTCACTACTCGGAATGTTGCGCAACGTTTGGAAGAGGGGGACTACCAAGCGGTTATCTTCTGGGGTTCGCAGTCAGGTACTGCGGAGCGTTTTGCAGAAACCTTGGGTCGCGAGTGTTATACTATATTCGGCATCAATGCGTTAGTAGCAGTAAGTTGGCTCCGCTCTTACAATGGTCGTTCATGAGTCTGTATATACGACGCAACAGTTTCAATCTTGGCGTCTGTACATCAAGAATCATGAATAGGCACTACAATATAGCTCACAGAACGCTGATAGCTTGCAGGATATTTCCGACTATGACGCCGAGTCCATCGCAGACCTTCAACAGAAACATTTCGCGATCTTCCTCCTCAGCACGTACGGCGAAGGCGACCCGAGCGACAACGCCGCAGGACTTTGGGACTGGATCAAGCGAAACAAGGACCAAGCAACTAGGGTGGAGAGCCTCCGATACCTTGCATTTGGTCTTGGGAACAGCAACTATAAATACTACAACCGAGTTCTCGATGTTGTAGTCGACGCACTCGACGCAGCTGGGGCAACGTCACTTATACCACCACAACGAGCAGACGATGCTGAAGGTGCCACCGAGGAGGACTTCCAGTCATGGAAAGATGACTTGTTCGCATTATTTCGTGTCTTGGGATACGAGCAGAAGGCCGTTGCATATCAGCCTACTGTCAGTGTCGAATTCGGAGACAGTGCCCAGAGCGAGAAGGACGACTCCGTGCATCAGATTTCGGTGCACCACCAACAAACGTCACTGAACTCCGCCATATTCCCGTTACCTGTACGAATCTCTCGCGAGCTATTCACAGCCGGCGACCGCAACTGTATTCACATGGAGCTTGACCTTGGAAACAACGATGTTGTCTACAAGACTGGGGACCATATTGGAATCTGGCCGTGCAACCCTGATGAGGAAGTTGAGCGACTTTTGGAAACCTTGGGACTCAGTGATCGGAGGAAGGACACTCTGACGATTGTAGCACTTGACGATTCCGCGAAGCCTAAGGTGCCTTCTGGGAGCACACTTGAAGCTGCATTGAGACATCATCTCGAGATCTGCGCGTCCGTTTCTCGCAAGATAGCCTTTGATCTCGCACAATTTGCTCCAACACCAGAAGCAAGAGCCATGCTCACTGAGATCGGCCAGGATCGCACTCGTTACGAGCAGTTCACTTCGTCGACACACATCACCCTCGCCCGCCTACTAAAACTGTCCAGCCCGCTGGAGCCATGGACTGCCTTGCCGCTCTCGTTTGTACTGGAGAATTTACTTTCACTGCAACCGCGATACTACTCCATTTCCTCGAGTTCCGTTATTTCTCCACGCCGCATCGCATTGACTGCCCTTGTCGTGAACAAGGAGGTGGCAGACGAGAATAAAAGCACCATTCATGGCCTGTCATCAAACTATCTCCTTTCTGCGTCAAAGCTTCCGTCGAACGCAAAGGCAGCCACACCATCGTTCCAGCATACCTCATCCGTGAGTGGGGAGGTTGGGACTGTGTTTGCACATGTGCGGAAATCTAAGTTCAAGTTGCCGATCACGTCTTCAACCCCTCTTGTGTTGATCGCCGCAGGAACTGGTTTCGCTCCGTTCCGAGCCTTCCTCGCTGAGCGCGCTAAGCTGCATGCTCTAGGCAAGCCTGTGGGCCGTATGCTCTTGTTCTTCGGTTGCCGCAGTCCAGAATCGGATTACATATACCGCGATGAGCTGGAGAAGCTACAGGAGACGCTTGGTGATAGGCTCCAGATTGTCACCGCCTTCTCAAGGGATGGGAACAACAGGAAGGTCTACGTGCAGGACAGAGTAGCGGAGGAGAGTGAGACCGTGCTGGAGATGCTCAATGCAGGGGCAAACATGTACATCTGCGGGAAGGCTGGCATGGCGAGGGAAGTTGACGGGAAGATTGAAGAAGCTGCGACTCAGCAAAAGGGGATGAACGGGAGCGAGGTCAAGAACTGGAGTGATGGTCTAAAGAAGCGAGGGAAGTGGAGGGCAGACGTTTGGGGCTGAGTTGTTTTGTGCGAAGCATGATGCTATAGACCCATATACGGATTTAGGAGTTCATTGCAAAACTGCTTCCATCGTTCTCTGTATTGCCGAGATACGTGGGCTTTCACTGACTCGTAGCATCCGGCTTCAAGCAAGCCTCAATGGCAGTCGCCGTGCAGTGGATCCAGCAAAGGCCGTACACAATAGTATCGCAGTGAAGTCCGTAGTTCATACTGCACCGTGTGATGTCACATGAAGATTGTAATTTCATCCTGTACTGTTTGGACGAAGCCTGTACCGGATTCAGCCGCATGTTGCGTGTATAGTCACTTCCCGATTCCGCCGAGCTCCACCTGGAAAGGGCGCCTGACATGGAAGGAGTCCCACTTCCTCAAGTGTGGTGAAGAGCAAGTCCCAGATACTACGTCACTGGTGAGTGTCTTGCACACGTGACGCTGAATGGGATCGAACAACATGACGCACAGCGGCGAGGACCGGAATGAGAGTGCAGCAAGTTTGAGATTTTGGCGGTGAAAATTGCCATTTGTGTCGTGCGCAAAGGTCGTTTTCGGGCCGAGAGGCTTAGGTTAGAACATGGCAGTGAATACCGCGATCGGCAGCTGGACGTGCGCAGGCCCTCAACAACGTCTAGCATATCATCCCCATCCAATCATCGCTGGTTTAGTCTTCCTGAAGAGACATGGCAATGTCCTATCCAATCGCAATTGCCCATTCCCCGCGATCTTGGCTGTCCAGGCGGTTGGTTCCATGTTCAACTCCACGCGACAGTGATGACGGACCCCAGGTTGGATCCTCGAGCCGACGCCCCGCTCATGCACCCCAAGCAAGCTAACCTAGCTTCCGATCATCTGGAATGCGGAGGAGAGGCCTAGGGCGGGTCCCAACGTAGCAACCGTGCGGATATCGCTCAGTCCCTAGCAATCTTGGTCTCACAGAGGGACGGCATCGTTACTTCGAAAGCAGGGCTGGCGGTCAGCGTATATAGTTCGCTTCGTGTCCACCGTTGGAAGACCATCACAGCAGGTGCTTCGCTGATGCTGCGACCAGGACATCGACAGTACAATTACTCCATAATACATACGTCTCGCTGACTTCCATCTCCTCTTCACTCCAGCATCATTTCCAACATTGACGATGGCTACATACGACGACAAGCGCGACATGGATAAGAAGATCCACCTAGAGGTGGGCTCCAACTCGTCCTCGGAAAAGATCGAGAAAATCGACACGTCGGGGAATACCGACGCTGCGCAACTCCAAGAACTCTCTGGCATCGAGCAGACTGCTGCATCTAAGGGAGCATGGCTGATCAGTTTTGTCATTTCGCTTGGAGGTCTTCTCTTCGGGTACGTCTGTGAACACGCAGAGAATAATCGCAGTAACTGACGGAATGGCCTAAGCTACGATACTGGATACATCTCCTCTGTACTCGTCACGATTGGTACCTCCCTTGGCCACGAACTCAGTTCCTCAGAACAAGAACTCGTCACATCGCTTACCTCCGGCGGCGCATTCGTAGGGGCTATCTGCGCTGGTCTGACAGCGGATAGATTTGGCCGAAAAATGCCCATCTGGTCGGCTTGTATCGTCTTCATCATCGGCACTGTCCTGCAGACTGCCGCTTATCACGTCGCACAATTCGCTGTTGGCCGCTTTGTGGTTGGACTCGGCGTTGGAAGCGCAGCCATGATCTGCCCACTTTACATCTCTGAGCTTGCTCCTGCGAAGTACCGCGGTCGCATGGTGGCGTTCAACAACATGTCGGTGACATTCGGACAGTTGTTTGCATCTGCTCTCGGCGCAGGTTTTGCTCATGTCAAGGGTGAAGGCTGGCGTGCGACAGTGGGCATCGGTGCCGTTCCCGCTATTCTCCTCGGTGGACTCCTGTTCACTTGCCCAGAATCTCCACGTCAGCTTGTCGCGCATGGTAAGATGGAACAGGCTGAGCAGGTTCTTCTTCGACTCTACCCTGGTTCGACCGAGCAACAGCGCCGAGCGAAGATGGCGAGCATCGAGCTCAGTATCCACCAGGCCACACAGACGATGGTTGACGATTCGCTCTGGAAGACTTTCAAGTCGATTTTCAAGAACATGGCCACGCTTCGCGCTGTGGGTACCGCTTGCATCATCATGGCTTTGTCTCAATTCAGTGGTTTCAACACGCTCATGTATTACTCGGCTACCCTGTTCAAAATTGTTGGCTTCAACAATCCCACGGGAGTCGCTATCGCCGTCTCAGGCGCCAACTTTGTGTTTAGCGCTCTCCTCCTCGTCGTAGTAGACAAGTTTGGACGTCGCAAGATCTTGCTTGTCACTGTCTTTGGCATGTTTGTCTGCCTTACGATCGCCGCCGTAGCCTTCTCTTACATTCCCGTCGACCTGCACACACTCGAGGTTACCAGCGACCAAATCGGCTGGCCAGCCTACTTGTTGATCGCCATGATTATCATCTTCATCGGCTTCTACGCGTCTGGTATCGCGACCATCGCCTGGATCGGCACTGAGTTCATCCCTATGGAAGTCCGTGCTGTTGGCACTATGTTGAACACAGCCACGTGCTGGTCGACGAACATCATTGTCGCATCTACCTTCTTGTCCATGATGAAGGGTATCACCCCATCGGGAGCCTTTGGCTTCTACGCTGGACTCATGTTCATTGGCTGGATTTTCATCATCTTCTGCTTCCCTGAGGTTCGCGGTATGCCCTTGGAGGCTGTGCGCGAGGTCTTCGAGAACGGTTTCGGTGTCAAGTATGCGAATCAGTGGCAGAGGGAGAACAAAGAGTTCGCAAAGATGCATGACCAGGGCCCGGCTTTCGGACATTGAGCTTGTAAACCATAGTAGTTCTTTGACAAAGTGCTTCATCAATCAAATCACATCCCAAAAGTGTGCCGCGGCCCGATGTGAATATTTCTCAGTGTTCAAGACGCACATAACTCGCCTTTGCCCTAATCAGCCAAAGTTCTGTCAGCTTTGGACAACCAAACTTGCAAAGTACATCCAACAAGTTCACGATTCAAAAAAGCAAGCACGTGCATAAAAGTCATATCTCCATAATTCAGTCTGCCGATCTCTCCCATTCGCCGTGTACCTCATAAGCGCGCAGCACAGCACACATCCAACCCGCAACAGAAGAGAATCCTAGGAATACACATACCATGACAGTCTATTCACTTATTCCCTAACCTGGCGCAATCAGCGAGCCTCCCTTGTCCCCCTACTCAATAATCCTCAGCTCCTCAAGCCTCTCCTTCGCGAACTGATCCTTGTGATCGTTCCATATCCGCAACAACTCCGTCTCATACTCCGCATGCACCTTCTCCACATATTCCTTATCGGGCTGCTGCTGCATGACCACCCTGATCGGCCTGCCAACAACAATATTCATCGGCCTCCTATACGGCATCATACCAACATCGTAGTTGAAGATTCCCCGCGCATGGAACAGCGGGATCGTCCAGCCCATGACCTTCTTGACGAGGAGCTGGAAACGGTTGATCCATGGGTGCGCGTGCGGGTCGAGCTGCTCGTAGATTTCATTTTCGCCGAAGCCGATGACGGGGACGAGGTCGGCGCCTTTGCGGATGGCGAGCTTGACGAAGCCCTTGCGACGGCGCACGACGAGGCGGAGACTGCCGGGCTTGGATTCGAGGGATTCGCGGGCGCCGCCGACGACGATGGTGATGGCGCGGCCCATGCCTTCGTTGTTGGGCCCGCCTTTGGAGAGGATGTTCTCGCACGACTCGCGAGAGACGGAGGCTAGGCCCATGCGGAGCGCGTATTCGCGGTAGAGGGGTAGCTTGAAGTTGCCGTCCAAGGTCAAGAGGGTGTTTGTGATGCCCGGGAAGAGCTGAGAGAAACCCAGGGCTTCGGTCGCGAAGGCTGCGAAGGCGCCATGTGAGATGATGCCGTGGGGATGGTATCCGAAGACGTATTTACGTGTGGGCTCGAGCTCCTGGGAGCGATGGAGACGGGCGGGAAAGTACGATGCGAAAAGGGACCACAGCTTGCTTCTGCGCCAGCGCTCGCTACGGAAGGAAAGCTCGCCAGACTCGCCGGCCTTTGAGAAGAGGACATAAAGAAGATAAGGCAGCAGGATGGGCCACAGGATGGGGATTGCGCACAGGAAGAAGAAGATGCCGACGAGGCCAGCGACGCTGAGAGTATGGAGCAAGACGGCCACTGTCTGCAGGCGGCGTTGCAGCGGAACGTGGAGCGGCGCAAATCGGATTCTGCATGTGTCAGCGTTGGTCGAGCATGTGCGCAAGCTGCAGACTACGCCGTCAATCCCCGCTCGAGAAGAGTAGGCGTCCAGCGCGCCGCAGGCAGGTAGTGGTTGACGTACTTGCTCTTAGACCATCCTTCGCCGGCCTGTCTCCCGGACTTGAGCTCGGAGTTCCTGCGCTGCTTCGGCTTCTTGTCCTTCCGCGTCTCTGATTCGTAGTCGGCGGTGGGCTTGACGCTGGTCAAGGTATCTCCGTTGCCGTCCTTGTGCTTGGCGAACAGCTCGTGCTGCAGCTGCTCGCCGTGCTTGTGGCCGAGGAAGCCATTGGACTTGAGCGATGACTTGCGGCGATGAGAGTTCCGTGTTGGGCTCTTGGGGCTGTTATCCTGGCCCTCGCCCTCGTATTCTTCTGCCGGCACGATGCGGATGATCTTGGTTCCGTTGGTGTGGTTCTCGCTGTGGTGCTCGTCGACCTTCTTCGTCAGAGCTTCGTTCGCATCGGCGACTGTGCCATCGGTCTGGCTTTCATGTGATTGTGGCTCGCGCTCGGGCGCAGGCTCGTCTTGCAGGGCCTCTTCGGCGGCAGCGGCGTACGACTTGGGCTCGAGGTTGTGCTCAGCTCGCTCCGCAGGCTGCGAAGGCTCTGGATTCAGCGACATGGCGAGCGACTGAGTGCGACGGTATACGGAGGGGAAGAGGTGCGGGCAAGGACTACGGGTAGCTCGCCATGGCGCGTTTTGTTGGAATTTGGGTCAGGGTCGAGCTTCCTACAGCTTCCGCCCACTGCGACACGCCATGACGTCTGTCGCGCCGCGTACCCGTGCGCTGCGAGCTGCTGCAACGACACGCGTGGGAGCACGCCGTGCTTTGATTTGCAGGTATTCCTACACAAGGCCACCGCACGCGCTGCTGCTGGCTTATGCCACTGTGCGAAGACAGCGTGGCGTTCTGTAGTCGTGCCCTGTCCCTTGCATGCATGGTGGGAGGTACCTTCTGCTGGTGGCGTTGTGGCAAGTGGGGCTGTGAGAAGAGCCGCATCGCTCTTGCCTCTGAACACCAGTACCCGATTTTCCTGGCATGCCTCTGATTTGTCGCATTCGAAGCACGTTTGCCCGGTCGTGAGATGATTGCCTCGATATCTCCCTCTGCAAAGTCATTTCTCGTGCTGATACTGCCACCGGACTGAGTCACCCTGCTGCCTTCGCATCCCGCACCAGTCGCCTCCAGGAAGACTGGCTGGTAGAACCTGGGAAGGAGAAATCACATCCAGCATGCAAACCACGCCGGCGCGGTCGTCGCGCATCACAAAGTCACGAAAGCCAAGCGTGGCTGCAGCATTGGGTCTTCGCCGTTCCGTGTCGTCGCCGTCATCAGGCAGTCCTCGGCGGAAGTCAGCGCAATCAGTCAAGTCAGAGAACTTTGACTATGACGATAAGCTCGACGACACAGGTGTCATTGCTTCGCTAGCAGCCGACCTCAATTTCCGCGATGTGCCTCAGTACATGGAGTACATTCGTAGTAGGATGTTCAGCGACATTCCGCTGAGAAATTCGGGGCTGAACTCAACGCGAATCGCCGAAACCTTGAACTATCGCAAGGCGTTACCACCAATCGTTACACTTGCACATCTTGACGCCTTGGGCACGTCTTCAACCAGGACTGAGCGCGAGATTGCTGAGCTTTCGCAAGCCGGCATACTTCGACGAATAGCCATCCCTAATCGTGGTACGGGCATCGCTTCAGTGGGAGACGGTATCGCTTCTGTGCAAGAGTGGGGACGATTGGTCAGGTCGCACACTGGTCTTACTCCCGAAGTACAATGTAAGTAGATCGCACGAATACCATGCTCGAGAACTGACATCGAACCAGCAAAGTATCTCACGGCCATGCATGCCAACCCGACTTCCACAATCGTAGCTAGTACCGCTTTCACGCCAGGGGAAATCTCTAGCTTATCCGCTGCTGGTTTTCTGACCACCTCCACAGCACCTGAGAGTAGATCCTCCTTGTTTGCAATGCCTGGCACCGGCAGTCTCTCGGCCCTTTCAACAGCTGGTTCACGCCATGCATCTGGCTCCATAGGTGCGGTTGGTGGAGCTTCAGCAACGCAGCACATGCACGGGGGCACCGGCCAACGCATGGTATCTACCACATATTACAATTTTTCACTCCCAAATACTGGATCACACACAAAGTTGATCGTTGAGGCTCGTACACACTTCCTCAGTCTTCTTAAGAGATCCAAGTATAGAGAAGCACCGTTGGATTTGTTGAGGGAACGATGGGACGGCGGTATACTGGGCAAGGAAGAAATTGCAGACAAAAAAAAAGCGCGAGGAGAGTTCGCTGGGATTCTACCAGGACGGACGAAGAAGTGGAAGCAATTTCATGGCTTGCGCTTCGAATGGATCTTGGAGGAGTGCGTGGGAGCTGGACTTGTCGAGCTTTTCGAGACAGGCAGCGTAGGCAAAGCAGCAAGAATTCTATGATGCTCTCTCTAGCGAGTCATTGTGTCTTTCACCAGCTCGGGATTCTCATGTCCAACTGGTGAGATTACCCTACTTCCGTGTGGGTCCTACCTTCCAAGCCATTAAAAGGGCGATCCAGAGCGAACACCAGGGAAGATCAACTACGAAAGGGCGTATCGCCTTCCTTGTTCGAGCCCACTGACCATGACTCAGCTGGCGACCTCCGAGGACGGTGAGGGCCGCTAGCCGTGAATGCGGGGATCTCAGCCCTTCGCTCACCCGGACTGACGAATCGCGTTTCCCCCCGGCTTGGCGCAAAATTAGTCAAAGACGTCAAACAGAAGTTCCACATACATAACTGTCGGTGCTGTCCGTGCTACGTTTGTGGGCAAGAAAGGGCACCGTCGAGGAAACGACATTTGCGAGAAACGATGCGAAACGAGACTGAATTAGACGTTATCGAACCCTCGAGCCGGGGTACATTAGCCCCACTCTATCAGGAACCCGATGCCGCATCTACGGGATCGAAGTTGGAGAGAAACATTACTGCTGTGTCAAACGATGGCAGAAGGAGAGGGAAGTGGCAGGTGGCTGCCATTCTAACAGCGCTTTTTGTACGTCTCACAGTTTAACCAAACAATGCCATGGGTATTGTGCAACCTTCTCATCCCAACGACCAATACATGCAGCTTCCGTGGTACAAAGTTTTAACTCTTGTTCATAAGATGGACTAATATTCCCAGCTTTCCCTTTTCGTTGCTGCTCTGGACGCGACGATCATCGCAACGGCCGCGCCAACCATCTCTGCCGACCTTCAGTCTTCTGCTGGCTACACATGGATTGGCGCCGCCTATCTTCTTGCCAATGCATCCTCGGGACCAATTTGGGCCAAGTTGTCTGACATTTGGGGACGGAAGCCGATTGTCCTAGCAGCTCTGGCAATCTTTTTCGGGGCTTCCGTGGTCTGTGCTACGGCGAAGACTATGATGGCATTGATCGTTGGGAGAGCCTTCCAAGGTATGGCTGGTGGAGGTCTGATCTTGCTGGTGCACGTTTGCATCAGTGACTTGTTTAGCATGAGGTATGCTCACTCGTTTCTCCGCTATTCTCCAGCTACCGCCGAGCTGTCATCCTGGTTAATGGCACGAATACTGACAATCAACAATAGGGTGCGCGGTCTGATCATGGGATTCACCGAAGGCATCTGGGCGATTGCTGGCGGCGTCGGGCCAATCTTGGGAGGTGCCTTCGCCTCCCTTGTTTCCTGGCGATGGTGTTGTACGCCCTCCCTCGATCCTCATACTACTTCCAGTTGACTAAACTATCGCAGTTTACATCAACCTGCCCGTCTGCGGTATTGCTGCCATCCTCATTATCCTCTTCCTCGACATCCGCCACGAGCACACCTCTTTCTTCGAAGGCATTCGCGCAATCGACTGGACAGGCATTGTCACCTTCCTCGCCTTCACTCTCATGGTCCTCCTGGGGCTCAATTTCGGTGGTGCCATTTTCCCTTGGGACTCCGCAAAGGTAATCGCCCTGCTCGTGGTGGGTAGCCTCATGATCTTCGCCTTCGTCTATAGCGAGACCAAGATCGCGAAGTACCCTTTGATACCCATGGACCTCTTCAAAAACCGCTCCTGCGTCGCCGCCCTCGGCGTCGTCACCTTCCACGGTTTCGTCTTCATATCCGCCGAGTACTACTTGCCTCTCTACCTGCAAAGCGTCATGGAGCTCAACCCCTTGAAGTCCGGACTCCTCCTACTACCCTTCATCGTTCCCGGCTGCATTGCCGGCGTTATCTGCGGCGTAATCATCCACCGCACTGGGCATTTCCGCCCCATCATCTGGGTGGGCAGCGTCCTCCTCTGTCTCGGCTTCGGACTCCTCATTTCCCTCGATGCGAACGCAGCTATCGGGCCCTTGGTGGCCTTCCTCGTCGTCGCCGGCCTCGGCTCCGGCGTCCTCTTCGAAGCCCCCCTCATCGCAGTCCAGTCACAGGTCGAGCAGAAAGACGTCGCGACCGCGACTTCCACCCTCTCCTTCATCCGCAACATGTCGCTCACCGTCTCCGTCGTCATCGGTGGCACCATCTTTCAAAACTCCATGGACAACCGCGCGGGGTTCTTGAAGGCTGCTGGGCTGCCGCAGGACGCGCTGGATAAATTGGCGGGCGAGAGCGCGATGGCCAATGTGCATCTGCCGAGCACATTTCAGAATAAGGCGTGGGAGCAGGCGGCGAAGGAGGCATTCGCGTATGCGACGAGGAATATGTGGATTACGTATGCGGCGTTTGCGGGGCTGGGGGTTGTGGCAAGTGTGTTCGTGGGAAATGCGCATTTGAGCAGTGACCATGTTGAGACTGTCACGGGATTGAGGAAGGAGAAGGGGGCGGAAGGTGAGATTGGGGCTGAGCCTGGGCACGTGTAGGATTCTGTGAGGTGACAATCTCCTTTACTTTTTCAAGATTTCCCTTACGTATACAGACTTTCGTATACAGACTTCTTCAACTAGGCAGAAACCATATTCAACACTCTCCATCCTAGTTTTGTCATCGCTCCTCCGCCATTACTACCTTTCACCACCAAATATCGTACATGTGCTTCCATCTCACACTCTCACACTCTCACGCATGTCCCCGACATTATCCCAGCCTAGTAGAATGCACCTACCGCCGCAACAGCCCCAATCAACGCAACAACATCGCGCACCTGCACCGTCTCTGCACCACCGGAGAACTCAGGGGGAGCCGAGGCAGTCTATCTCATATCAGTCCGAACTCTCCTTGTTCACGAGTTCAACTCACAGGAGTGATCTCAACGGATGTTCCGTTGCTCGTACCGTACGGGGCGCCAGAGACCGTGTGCACGGGAAGTGCCGTAGGAGTTTCTGAGACTGGAGAGACCGCAGAGCTCACTGCAGAATCGCCAGTAGTCGCCGTACTTTCCGCCGGAACTGTCACTGGCTCCGCCGTCTCGCTCGGCGCAGCCGTCGAGATAGCGGAACTACCGTCGCTGTTGCTGCCGCCGGGATGCTTCGCATCTCCTACATCCTCCTGTTTGCCGCTCCTGGGCTCAGTCTCAAGCCCGCTGCACTTACCCGCTGCCGTGGTCAACGAGCCGCCGTAGTACTTCCAGATATCGACATTGTCTGGGCCTGCGCACTGGAGGCAGTTTTCGTAGTCGTAGAGGAAGACGTCGTCGGTGCAGTAGCCGCTGCTAGCTTTGGAGACGGTGATTGCGGTTCCTGGTGGGTAGGGTTAGTGCCGTGTGGGAAATCGACGGAGCACTTAGGGGCAGTACCGCAGTTGTCGTGGCAGGCAAATTCTGGGGAGCCGGGCGCCTGGCGCTTGAGGAGGGTGGCGAAGAAGGCGTCTGGGGTAAAGGAGGCGGTGGTGAGGGCGAGGAAGTATGCGAGGAGGAGGCAGGAGGTGACCATCGTGAGTACGTGCAAGCAAGCGAATGTTGAAGGGAAAGAGCGAGGGTGAGATAAGATCTGGAGCAATTCAAGCAAGCAGCAGGCACACAGAGCCCAGCTCACGCGCTGGTTCTTCCATCTTATATGATCAGCTAATAGCAAACATCTGAACGAAAGCTACCCGCGCTGTCCCACTAGAAAGCGGCACGCTAGCTCGTGTCGTACAACCGCCTCTACATCCGCAGCGGGGAAGCTATCCTGCATGACTGCAGAACATGACCTGACGGCGGCCGTACTCGGCCCGGCCGAAAATCGGAGATGGAAAATTCTTATCAGATCGATTGATTAGATGCATTCTTTTGATGAATGTGTGGGTCAGGTGGCAGCGTTGCATCCCTCCCATTGGCTTTGCAAGCGTCGCAAAGCCTTGGCTACATCCACTAGTGCCATCAGATAACTCAAAATGCCGCCGTAACGTCCGAGTTCGTGTTCGAATCAGACTACATCTTCCCATTGGATATTCTTTCGAGCCGGATGGGATGGCGTCGAGGGTCAAGTCCAATCGCTTCATAGCTGGCGTGAAGTTTCTGTACGACGCGCTAAAGGATCAATAATAAGTGCTTGGCCGTGGAGCGGGCGTACCGAGGATGGGGACTATGGTTGCATCGGTGTTGTTGGAGTCATGTCCACTCATACTCGGTGCATGTGAGCAAGGCCGGGGGCTACAATAATTCGACCTTGGGGCGTGAGAGCACTGCCGCGAGTCACCCCTCCTCAGTGATTCAATGTTCTCCATCCTACTGCCAGTCTTCGTGGCCTCATTCGCTTGCGTAGAGGCCCAACATGGCTCTGGCGCGGAAGGCACAGAAATGGGTCCTGTTGCCTTCCTCTGGCCCCCGGACCGCAACTGGACAGCCCAAGGAGACAACATCGCGCCATGTGGCAGTCCAGATGGCCCGTCGAATAGGACTGAATTCCCGCTGACGCAGGGTGCGGTGGCCTTGACAATCGCGGACGAGGCTTGGAATGTAGCGATACGTCTTGCGACTGGGAATGGTAAGCTTTCGTGCTCTCTACAACTTGGGATGCAGGATTCATATGGCGGCAGACCCGCGAACGCAGGACGACTTCGTAGACGACCAGGTTGTATCCAATGTTTCTGAAGTCGATCCTGGCCACCAGTGCTACAAGCTCCAGAATCTAGAGGGGATGACCGCGGGCATGAATGCGACGATTCAGATGGAGTATTGGGGGGAGTTTGAAGGCGAGAATGATGGGAAGAACCAGTCGTTCTTTGCTTGCGCAGACATTGTATGTATATCACAACCCTCTTCCGAACACAGTCCTGTTTCATTCCTCTCGGAAGTCCAACAGCGCTTTCATCGCTAACGCCGACTAGACCTTCGTATCCGTATCCGACTTCACTACTGCCGTTCCCTGCTTCAACGTCACTTCCGACGAGTTCGAAGCCCCATCTCCCTCTAATACGTCTTCTCCTACCTCATCCTCCTCCATTTCTCCATCTTCAACCTCTAATGCCTCCTCGTCCGAGTCTCAATCCCGCGGCAGCGGTCTCTCAACGGGTGCAAAAGCCGGCATAGCAGTCGGCTCGATCATCGGCGGGCTGGCGCTGATCGGGGTTGTGGCGGTGTTGATGCTAAGGCGGGGCAAGGCGCAAGGGCTTAAGGGGAAGGAGGAGTATGAGTTAAGAGCGAAGAGTTTGGGGGAGCCGAGGCCTGGGGGAGATCAGAGAGGGTAACTGATTTAGTTGGTAGGCAGATCGAATATTGCTTTGCATTAGATAGAGCAGTCCACGATTGGTTTAGGTAGAAGCTTGTGAGATGGTTCTCCGTTAAAGCACCTCGACTTCCTCAGCATGAGATAGATTGCGGTGCCTAGGTTACTATCCCAAAAACCAGAACAAAAGATTTGGAAGATGATCTTGTGGTGAGTATCGACCTTGGTTCTGATTAGGTACGTGTGTAGCTATTCTTGCTGCTTCTCATGTTCGTGAGATAAACTTCAAAATTGACGTCTATGGCGCTCCAATGCTCGCACCCCTCCGTGATTTTTGTCCTCAACGGACCAAAGTGGATGAGACCCATCATTAACAGCCCCGATAACATATACTGCACCGGAAGGCCGACGAATTGTCTATACGAAAAAAGCCGGTATCTCCGCCCCGACCCCGACACTCGGCGAACGCGGACTTCCATGGATAGTCCGCCGTCCGTGCATCATCTTTTGTATTACTTTAAGTACATCTCAATTTCGACCATCTTCCAGGATTCAATTTAGCAACCACTATGATATCCGACTACATCCACCTCGCGCTCACCATCCTCGGATTCCTTCCGAAATTCGCTGCAACTCTCCTACTTCAACGTATCTCAGCCCTTGCCCACAGACGCACTTACAAAGCTCTTCCGGAAGACCAAATAAAAAATGTAGTAGTTGTTGGGGGTTCTTTCGGTGGTTTTAAGGCAGTCCAGAGACTAGCTGCGACGCTACCAACGGGATATCGCGTGGTCCTGGTGGAGAAGAACTCACACCTCAACTACGTCTTTTCTTTTCCGCGATTCAGCGTGCTGAAGGGACATGAACAAGATGCGTTCATTCCATACAGCGGTCTCTCCAAGGGCGCACCGGAAGGCATATTCCGCCACGTGCAGGACACGGTTACAGAAGTCACTGAACGCTTTGTAGAGCTCAAGAGTGGGGAGAAACTGCGGTACGAGTACTTAGTCATTGCCACCGGGACGTCTTCTAGGCTTCCGAGTAAGGTGGTTTCGACGGACAGTAGAGACGCGGAGCACGAGTTAAGAGGAATGCAGGATGAGATTCAGCAGGCTCGAAGGATAGCCATTGTGGGTGGAGGCGCAGTGGGTGTGGAACTTGCGAGCGACATCAAAGACTTTTACCCCGAGAAGGAAGTCACGCTCGTTCATTCGCGCGCGCAGTTGTTGAGTTCTTTCGGTCCGCGACTTCAAAACCATGTTGCGGAAACATTGACGGACATGGGGATTATACTACGCTTGAACGCGCGACCAAAATTTTCGTCGCAGACCAGCACGCTGCATTTTGAGAACGGGGAAGAAGAGGCGTACGAACTCATCGTGAGACCTTTTCACTCCAACTTTAGATGACGAGCTATTAACGCGTAAGCAGATCCCGTGCACCGGCCAGCAACCAAACTCGGGCATCATATCCGCAATGTCTCCAGCGTCTATATCGAAAGAAACATCACATATACAAGTGAAGCCCACAATGCAGGTTGCGGACGATATGTTCCCTCGCATCTTCGCGTTCGGCGACGTCGCTGCAACGGGAGGGACGAAGATGGCTCGCGCAGCCATCTTCCAGTCCGAAGTCGTTCTTGATAATATCCATAAGATGATCAAGGGAAGCAAGGATCTCAGTACCTACACGCCGAATGTTGTGTTCGAAAGTGCGATCAAGTTGACTCTGGGAAAGGTGAGTTTAATAAGCTTGAGTGGGTAAGTTCATAGGCTGACGAATGCGGAACAGACTCGAGTAGCATTATACATGCACAAGGAGAATGGGCGAGAAATACTTGTGTCTGCAAATTTTGGAGCGGAAGAAGGGGATGCGAAGAAGCAGTGGGCCTTCTTTGGGGCGGATGTGAAGGAACTTGAAGAAAGGAAGGCACACGATGATTCGATCGCACCCTATTGTAATGCTTGATTCATTGATAGTACTACAAGTGGAAGGTGCTGATCAGACGGCCTGAAGACGTTAGATTTTTGTTCGATAAAACCACCACCCCATAATACCTGATAGCCAAGAGAATAGTCAAGTAATTGATGCGATCGGAAAGGGTGCCTATGGCTCCTGATGAGATTGAAGCCAAGTTCGACATCCTGCACAATTGTACCTGCGCACGCCTTTGCGTCGTGGAAAGTCTTGCAGGCATGACTCTCTGTATTGATGGCCGCAGCTCGCGATCTTCTTCATGTCGGCCGCGTCGTGACTTTCGAGGCAGATGTTACACTGCTTATATAGCGCAGCAATGTGTTCATTTTGAAATAGTAGCACCAGCTCATACTCTGGCTTCTGCTCTGGGTTTTGATCAGACTCAAACGCAAATTCTCGGGTGGACTCTGAGCCGAAGTCCTTGTCGAACTCCTGGCCGAACTCCTGGTCGGACTTCTGCTCCGGTGTCGGGCCTGACTCATATCTAGGCTCTTGGTCTTGTTCCTGCTCGGTGTTGAATTTGCTAGCAGTATACGAATGTTTCGGTGTAGGTTCGGCATCCTGCGTGGTTGGCATTGGGTATGTCTTTGGCTCGGTATCTGACTCGGTGTCTGGCTTCCCCTCTGGTCCTGCGTCTATCTCTACGTGGTGCTCTGGTTCTGAATCTCGATTCCCCTCCGGCTTCGAAATTGCTGAATACCCCTCGTTCCTAACATCTTCGGGCAAATTGCTGTCATGCTCGCGTGGAAGCTCTGCCAATGCAACACTGGTCAGCCACTCGGCCATCCTGGCTTTCCAGTCAAGTACTTCAGATATCTCACTCGCAGGCTCGTGCTTCTCACAAAATTTCCTTCCGGTGTCGTCGTCGATCATAGTGTGCAACTTTGGGCACTGCATGCCGCTGCCCCGAAAGTCAAAGAAAGCCTGGCACCGATCTTGGGCAAATTTGTCGTGAAAGGAACAGTAGTAGACTTCGCCACCCACTTGGTGCATGTTACCGGCGCGGGGACATTCGTAGCGGGTGTTATGGGGCATCTTGAAGGAACAGTGGTGGCGCCGAGGGCCTACCGGTGGAACCATAGTGAGGGTGGGTCCTGCCATTACTAGGGTTCTGGATTCAAAACCTGCTGAAAAGGGTTTGGAGTTGGCGAGTGATCTAGTGAGGAACATTCATAAAGCCTCGTCGCAAGCATTGTGCACAGATCACAAAGTGAGTAAAAGCTTGCTCAAACTTCCTTTGTCCTATCCTCTATTGACTCGCGCACTATGTACAAAGCTCAAAGCTGGAACGCTGGCGTCATTGGATTGGCGTCGGGTCACTTTACTTCGACATGGTCAAAACACCCGGGCGGTACGGGAGCTGACCGTAGTCGCCACCCGAGCTGGGGGAACGTCCCTGATACAACAGCTGCAGGTTGCAGGGATCGACGGGGAAGGTCTGGTCGTTGGCGGTACGGACAAGCTCTCCGTGACTGATGTCGTTGGTCCAGGTGGCACCGCTGTTGGCCTTGCCGGCGAAGGGGTTGCTCTCAGTGGCAGCGTTAGGGGTCCATGACCCGCCGAGCGAGGTAGCGGTGAAAGACCTGAAGTAGCGTCCGTTGGAGCCGATAGCCTCAACAATCATGAGGTACTTGTTGAGTCCGGTAAGAGTGTAGACCTGCACAGCCTCGAAGAGGTTGTTGGTCGAGTCGCTCATGACGACTGTGGACGACGAGCCGAAGCTACCGGGGAAGTTTCCAAGAGGCATGCTGGAACGGTAGATCTTGCCGTTGTCTCCAGCGAAGAACAGGTACATGTTCTGGCTGTCGGCAATGAGCGTCTGGTCAATGGGACCGGTACCGCTGCCAGAAATGGATCCGGTGAAGAGCGGCTGCGCTGCGCCCCAGCCATTCGGGTTGGTTGGGTCAGACGACGTCTTGTAGGAGAAGGCGGTGGGTCCCCACTGGTAAGCCAAAACCCAGACGTTCTTGGGCTGGTGGAAGAAGAGCGTAGGGGCGACGGCGGCAGCGTTCTGCTTTGTCTGAGAAGCAGAGCCTAGATCGTTCCAGTTGGAAACCAATCCGAAGGCCATGGATCCCCAGCTGGAGCCACTGTCGTGGGTAGTGGCGTATACAAGATGCTTGCCATTGTAAGGAGCGGTGGTGAAGTCTTTCAGTGACACCCATCTGCGAAATGTCAACAAGTGGGATTCGTAGTGTGAATTTCTTCACTTACCCGTTCTTGGGCTGAGCAAGGGCTCCAGTCGATGTCCACTTGTACTTGGTAGGGAGGTCGCATGCACGCTGGGTAAGTGGCGATGCTTGCGAAGTGCTCGCAAGAGCCAGCGAGAGCAGACCGAACGACAGATTGAAGTTGACCATCCTAAACGATTGTATTGCTTGTAAGGCGATTGTCAAGGCTGCGGAAGGAGTGCTTTCGATGGAAGGACAGCATCCGGCCTCTTATAGTAGAAGTGGATAAACACATACAAGCAAAGCCCGGTCCGTCCACAAGACTAGCAGACAAGGAGTAATTCGTTATGCTGTACCCCATCCTGCAATATGCACAGGTTATGCTAGGGGCACTATCAAGATTGTTTCGATCGTCACAGTAGGCTCTGGTTGGCTTAGCTTGTTTCACGATCTTGGGTCCACCGGCTATATACAATCTGCGCGAACAACCTCTATTCGGAGACTTTCGGATCCACGAATAACAGAAACATCTCAGTTGCGCGCGTGTGCCTTTAGGAGTTGTCACGCTACGTTCTTGAGCTTCAAGGCGTATATTTCGCCGCGCCACCCCGCATTCTCGCCTCCCAGTTTGTTTACCGGCGCTTCAATTGCTAGCGGGCCCCACTCAAACCGTTCGCCGTTGATGCCCATTTTGGTTAGAAATTCTTCTTCTCTACCTTTATTGATTCTGGCGAATGTTTGATTTCCCCGTCCGATAATACTCAAGTCAAGTCGCTGGTTTAGCGCCAAGGTTGAATTGAGCCGATAATGATTGCCTCCCTGGAAGAGCGTGATGTTGGGCGTTAGCATCAGGGTGGAATCAAGGCCCGATATCAGCGTTGCGTCCGTGGCGTTGCCCAGGGAGGATACGAGTAAAGATAGAGTCAGCGTGTAGTCCCTCCCCTTTGACAGCAACGGTGTCGTAAGGGTGCAAGCATCAACAAGAAGAGATCCTCTCTCTGTCCTTGAACAGTCGCTATTGCCATCATAACCGTTACCGGAACGATCTGATACAGTTGATCCTGTAGCGTACCCTTCGTCGAACGAGTAGTCCAGTATCGTCGATGTGACGGAAGGGACCGAGCGTTCGAGGTTCTGCCCCGGAATGTACGTCCTGAGTTCCTCGAGGATAGCATCAAACTCATCCGCAGTCAGGTTACCACCCCATTGCTTGTCAGCCAAAGCGGGTATTCCTCTTCTCCATGCGTAGAAGGTCTCCGAATACACGGTGGCATTCGGACCATAATCGTTCCAAAGCGGTGCTATCTCCCCAAGAACGTGGGGCTCATCACGAGATGGATTATTTGAGCTGTTTCGGGCGTCGAAAACATATCTGTATACAAGTTAGTCAATGCAATCTGGTGGAATTGCTTGGCCCCACTCACGGATACCAAAGGCCCCCTCCAGTGTTGGGGTTACCGATGAAAGTTGCGGAGACGTTGACTTGAGGCGGGTAACTGCCAGACCATTTGTTCACCACGTAGTACGTGTCATCAGAGTTCAGTACTGTGTAATTGTTCAAGATATAGTCGTACAGAGGGTTGTCCTCGAAGAACTCCCAGTGTTGCACTGAAACGTTTTCGTAGATGTTGATGTAGTCGGGATCAGTGTAGTTAGGTGGAAAAGTCCCCCAGATCCTTGTGGACTTGTTTGCCTCATTATGAATGTGGTCTGCCATGCTGTTGACAAAGATATTATAGTCATTGACCTCCGCTGTGTACTCGTCTGCGCCTATGTGGACGGTTTTCGTATGGAACCACGGTAGGAAAGTGCTCCATACTGTCTTCATTGTCGGAATAGTCTCAGGGTGGCTGATGTTCAGCAAGGAAAGGTCATCTGCAAGTCCAAGTTCTGGTTTCCATTGGACAAAGGGCAGAGAATGGCCAGGAGCTTCGATTTCTGGGAGAATGGTGACTCCACGGGCTGCGCATGCTGACTGGATCTCGTCGAACTGTTCCCTGGTATAAGATTCGTTCTTGTAGTTGTTCAGTCCGGCAACCGCATCGTCATCCGACCAGAGTCGAAAGCGAGCGTAGAGGTCTAGTGATCTTTCCCGGCTGTAGATCTTGACATTGTTATAAAGGTTGTCGCTCAGATGAACATGGAAGGTGTTCTGTTTGAAGAATGACATGTAAGCGCACATTTCCATCAGAAAATCAGGAGGATAGTAGTGGCGACCGGCATCAAGCATCATTCCTCGGATTCCCCACCCCGGAGTGTCGCTGAAAGAACCGTATGGGATTGAACCATTGCCTAAAATGGCCTACACACTTAGTACTCTGCATTATGTGTGAATACTGGATAGACTCACCTGCTGGAGAACGGTTCGCGTTGCCCACCAAGCACCGAGAGAACTGGCTCCCGCGATCTGTATGCCATCGCTCGATACAGACAGCGAGTAACCTTCCGCAGATTCCCGTCCAGCAACGTCGAGATATGCTTCCGGCTCCCCGAGAGTAAGAAAGATGGATCCAGCAGATGCGTTAGCTCCGGTCTGGCAGCTGACATTGACATGCAGTCCTCTGAGGTCTTCCGCAAAAGTTTTCGCAAATTCTTCTAGTGAAGGTGGTATCAGAGTCTCCCCTTTGGTATTAGTAGACTCAGCGTACTGGCTGTCCACAACGATGCTGCTGATCCCGCTCAGGCTTAGTTTGCCATCGGTATCCACCAAAGGGATTGTTGGAATCCCGCGAGCTTGAACTGTATACATTACTTAGTATACTGTGTATCAGGGGCTGGTATAGTCGGCTAATCGTACCTGATACCGACGCGAGCAGCAATAAGCCGCCGAAACGAAGGACGTCGTGCATTTCGAGAGGCGTTGGAAAGCTATCAAATTCCACCAGCCCATGCTTTCTTTTGTAGGGAGCAGCTTGGATATCGGCTGCAGCTCCAAGTTGGGCCATGTCCAGATCGTCGTGCGTGCGATGTAACCTTCAGGGTTCGTACCGGAGTGGGGCAATACGCTTTGCGGTAGCAACCGACTCTTATCATCGCGACCTTCTTGATCAAAACATCCGCACGATTCAGAAATGGTGGCTAACATTGTCGTTGGCTCGGTAGTCACGAAGAGTGCCACAGGCGGCTGCTGTTTGTCGGGCCCTCCCGATGGTCGGCTGCCGAAGGACATCACCAATGTGCGCAGGTGTGGCGCGGCAATCCTTGTATTGAGTTACAGAGCAGCCTCCCGTCTCTTAGCCTGGGGACCTATAGCAGGCCCACTGTCCCAGCAGTGGCCTTATCAACCGGCGCTCATCTTTCTCGAAAGCATGCTGGGCTCGTCATATCGGAGCAACGATGAGATTGCACTAGTCTTTAATCGGCTTAGTGCATACATCCCCCTCACCTGACGTCGCATCCGAGGTCGTCTGCATCATGACCTTGCTCAGCTTCTGCAGTAAACAGTACGTTACACCTTGCCTTCCCACGATGGAGTCGCTTCCGAACGAGCTGCTAGACCAAGTCATTACTCATGTCGCGCAATCCAATGATGGCGCGAACATACAGGATGCGGACAGTCTAGCCAATTGCTGCCTCGTGTCCAAGGCCTTCCTCCAAAGCGCGAGGCCCGTAAGTAGACCACCGGGTACAAATTCTATGTGTCTTGCCTTTCGCGTTTAGTTGAGACATGCAGCACGCTTTCTTAACTCAGACTGACTCTGTATCCGTACCTTAGGTTCTTTATAGCGCAATCCATCTTGAGCTAATGACAGATGAACCATCAAATCTTCTGAAAACGTTCAAGTCGGACGTACAGCTTGCCCGAGCTGTTAAAAGTCTCTTCATCCAATGTAGATCTCCCTGCTCTACTCCGGTACAGCGCATAAATGAACTACGAGAGTTCCTGGCCGAGGCACTCCCTTTGTTCGTAAATCTTACCACTTTCCGAAGCGATCATCGTATTGCAACCATAAAACTTATTGAAACAACTCTAGTAGGCTTTTACTTGCTTGTCTTGTGAAAATTACTAAGGAGACATCAGTATCACAACAGCGGAGGGTATTCCATGGGCATTCCTATCAATCTGGAAAACGTACGGACCCTCGAGCTATTCGGGGCCGATTACATTTACAAGTACAATTACATACTACGTTTACCGCAGCTACGACGAGTTCTACTCCATTCAATGAAAATCATAGACCTCGATGGCGATGACAGAGCTTATCCCGATGATTGGGGCTGGATGTCGCACACTATCAAAGAACTTGAAATACATCAAGGTTTCAGAACCTGGAATTCCTCGCCATATAGACTCTGGTCCAATTCCTTACAGGCACTGTCGAGGTCTATGCCTGCCTTGTCTTATTTACGACTCTTCCATCAAGAGTGCACCTTCTACCCGAGACAATCTCGTCATCTTCTGGGTTTTTTTCGGCCTCAGTTGCGAAACTCTTTGCGCAGACTAGCGGTAGAGGACGGTCGGATCGACCGCCGCCATCCTGAGCTTGGCTATAATTACCTTGCCGAAGACGTCTCGATCCTTGAAGACATCACGGCTTCAAGCCTCGAGTATCTATCGATCGACTTACATACTTTGTTCACCAGGATCCATCACGTGGGCCTTGCGGAAGCGATCCATGCCGTCAGTCTACCTCCTTCGCTTCGGCATCTCCGACTCCGACATACTGAAGTCAACGATATGTCAAGTGTAGGAAATACTAGTACCCTCTTCAACTGGAATCCCGAAATGGCAGTGCAGGAGCTTGCACGTAAATGCTTGTTGTTGTCGAAAATCGATCTTGAACTTCGACTACTTCGGAATCCTGATTATGCTATGCTGGAGAGATACAAGACCGCATTTGCTTCTCAAGGGATACGCTTCAACACACTGATACACGAATGTCCAGCCCAGCGACGTACATCTATCATCTGTTACAGGGCAGCATAGAGAGGATTATTGCCGAGTATATATTGCAACGAATTGAAAATTCTGGTCAACACTTTCTCCACGTCAGATTGAGCACTTGCCCAAACTTAGCATCGGCAGAGCTCCCTTGCACAAGACCTGAAAGCGAAGCACTAGTCGCTGAGAGGGTGGCGGAAAGACTCAGCTGAAACATTGCAGAAGCTTTTGAGCACACAGACTGCTCGCTATCGGACACTTCGCCGTCCTTGTGCAGAAGGAAGTCTTCTTGAAAAGGCCCGTTTACTACCTTCTTCACATTTCCCTACACGTGTAAACACTCCCATTGCCGGCACGGATGGCTGGCGTTGACCTACCTTGCCCTTCATATCAACCCCTTTGCTATCGATCCACTTCCAACGGCTCACAAGGCTTACGTCGACTCCTTTGGCAATGTTGACATAAGAACGAAAATCCACCGAGCTGACTTCAAATGCCCAGCCTGGCGAGGCCAGAGTTACGTTCACGCGACAAAACGCGCGCTTCTTCAAAGTTCCAGCGGATGGTCCGACGGCTGCTTGGAAGTTATCGAAAATCAATGTCAACGCGGTGTTGTCCGTAGTAAAAGCAGCGCCGACCGAGCCAGCTCTGCAGCCATTTCCTTCGCTGTCAACGTCCGGGTTGTCGACTTTTACCGCTCCGATTGTTGCCGCGCCTTTCGGGGGCAAGGTGGTTGTCGCAGCTGGATGAGGTGCTGCTGTCACAATTCCGGTACAAGCTAGCAGTACGATAGCAAAATGCAGCATTAATGGTGCCATGATACTGCAGGGAAAGGACAGTTTGAGGGTATGCTGAGTACATGCCTGGTCTTATACTGTAAGCCTTTCGATTATTGTCCCTATTGTGCCACCTTAAAGACGATGTGTTACTTTCCAGGTGTACATCATTCTTCGGAGTACTATGGCTCAACAGATCTGACATGAAGGCTTACGTGTCACGACAGGTGTACGATTCTATTTTCTTCCATATTGCTTGTTCACCAGGAACAGAACTGCCTGCAGTAAGCCTTGCTCGCTTCGAGCGATCCCTCAAGGCCAAGAGTGGAGTTATTAAGGATGCAGTGGGCTGGACCGGGTATAAGAGAACTTCTGGCTGTACAAAGCCATGTGGGATTTAGCCTGACTGTATCCCTCGCGCAAATTCTTAGCCAGCGTGTGCTCATTGGACTGTCACGGTATGCTACTCGAGATCTTGAACATCTCTGCCTCTAAGCGATTATCGCTTCAGAACAGAGCCACGTTGCCTTCCTACCGGTACGTGGTTGTATTTGCCACAAGTTATCCCTCGATCTAATTAGCCACTTGCGGCTGCGCTCTTCGAGCTTCCCCACGTCGGAAGATACGCTACTACTAGTTCTCGCTGTCACGCATCAATCAAGCATTGGGCTGTTGGACATAGCGGATGGAACCGGGAGGTGTCTGCAAAAAGGTTTTCACCGCCTATAGAATCTTGCTCAACATTTGAGCATAAAATCTTACATGAATCTGACCAATCGATCCAGATCCTAAAAGCCAACGACCAGACTCCAAATTCACCGTACGCGGTGCCAGGCACGGAAGCAATGGGCGCCGTACCCACTCGCTAGCGCCGTTTCACCACACTCAAATCTCGACGCTCGCCGCTTCGATCTCAGCCACCCCACACGTTTTTCAGTGATTCTGTTTCGGGGAATTACAAGGTTTGAAAGGGTGGATCGAAGGGATTCCAGATCGTTGGATCGGATCCAAGCACCCTACCCACGCGCTATCAAGCCTTGCGCGCGTGTTCTGGTTCCGTCCCGCAAATCTCCGCTCGACATCAGCTCCCCTTCATACATGCCTATCTACTTTTTGCGCTGTTACTTGCGTTATGTTCATGCAAGCTCACAAGAACGTATGTTGAAGGCAATGGTAGATATTTCCTAATACGCATTAAAAAATACACGAGGTACACCATCACGTCCAGCTCCTATATACATGCCGATCGCTGGATACCCATCAATCATTACTTTTGCTTGTTCATTACATTCAGTTGTTCTTCTTGGCCCCCTTCTTATTGCCCTTACCCTTCCCGTTTCCATTGTTCGTTTGCGCCGCCGCAGCAGCAGCACCAACGACACCATTGGGCGGGTTAGTTCCAGCAGCATTGTTGACAATCTGACCTCCCGAGATGCCTCCTCTAGGGCTCTTGTTCTGCTTTGCCTGAGCAGCAAGCTGTCGGTACTGCGCGACGCCCATGCCCGCGGCTGGGGGGTTCACGACCATGACCATGCCTTGCTGGCAGTGCTGCGCTTGCGAGCAGTAGATGTAGATAGGGTTGTTGTCTGTGACGGGGACCATGAACATGGGTGTGTTGCCGGTCTGGCGCTTGTTGTTTTTGTTGCGGCCGTTCCTGTTCTTGGCGTTGCCGCCGTTACCAGTGGCGGCGGCGTTGGTATTTGCGCCTGCGGGTGCGGCAACAGGCTGGAAGTCGCTGAAGATGGCGTTCCTCTGGGGTGTGCAAGGGGAGTTGGCGTTTGACGAGGCAACGGAGTGGTTCTGGGAAGGCATTAGTGGCAGTCTCTGAGGTATGCCTTAGGTTTCTTACCTGGCTAACGAAGTTGAAGGCAATCATGTCTCCAGGCTGGGCAACGACAGTGTCGGGAGTGAAGACGAATTGATTGTTGGTGCCGACGGTGACCTGCATCGTAGCAGCCAAGACAGCGGAGCTGTGGGCGAGAGCGGCAAGGAGAATGCTGGAGTACATCATGGTGAAGGTGTTGCTCTGAGGTTGAAATTATTGAACAATGGTTGGGAAGAAAGATTTATGTGTTGATCAACAACGGAATTAATGACGAGTATTAGATATTGAGTTGATACGGCAATGACCTGCAAGCTGATAGTCCTGAGGAGACGTCGAATGGTCTGGTTATATACTCGTCCGAACATGCAGGCCACGGAAATGCATCGTGAAAATCATGCATATCGGGCGAAGCGGGAGCTGGTGCTGATCACAAACGCCTCTCTTACTTGCTAGACTGACTTTGCAAGTCTCAAAATGAGTGGTGAGCCTCACCTGTCAGATGTTTCACGCCTAGTCGAGCGCCGAGAAGCCTTGTACGCCTTGGCTTCGAAACGAACGCCTTAGCGACGAAACCCAGCGCCTTAGCCACAAAACATATACCTTACGTTCAAAACAATGTCGTATTTACCGACAGGGAAGCGCTGGCTTCCGGCCGATTGTGAAGCTGGCCAGGTCTTAGGTTCGTGTCGCGATCTTAGGTCTTTGGAATTCTTGAGCGGAGCGGGGTGCGCATACACTACACATGCCAATTAGGCGAAAGTTTCGATCGTATTGCGCTCGGTATACGCACGGAGTAGGTCCGCTCCTGTGCCCACTTCGAAACGACAATGTTTGCTGTGCGTCTGATCTCGAAAATAATGTTCTGGCGTGATCAAATCGCACGATTGCATGTGGCGGCCATACGGAGGTGATCAACTGTGTACCGGTACCGTCTTTCTTTGTCAGTAATACACTACAGCGAACACCGGAACCCTCTCACAGAGGATGTGAAAGTCGAGGCCCGATCGTACTGAATAAAACGCTTTTGATTTTCAAAATCCATTTATTGATTGCAAGGACGCTTGGTCTTTGCTTTCGATAATTACTGTGCTGAGAAAGTTGGGAGCAGACAAGCATATGCGACTTGCGTAGTAATCGGCTACGTCGACTTGCTCTCGTGGATGTTGCTGTCGCCCAACTTGCTTCCAACTTCGCCCGTCTCTTCTCCACTGTCATCAAAGCTTCCTTGCTCAATACTCGATTCACTCAATCGCTTCTTCCGCTGTTCCCTGGTATGTAACACTTGTATACCTACAATCGCGATCAAAGCCGCAATGACAAGCCCCCAGGTCGCGGGAAATCCGTATCTGAAGGTTGGAGCCATAGTTTGTGGGAAGATGACGATTGGTAACCATGCAGCCACAGCGTATTGAAAGCCGTTCATGCTGCTGATGACAATTGCCCTTTCTTCATTGTTATCTGCGCAAACCTCATTCGCCCAGGAATAGAATATTGCGGTCATGAGCTGCACGCCGATAGTCATGAACGCAAACATCTTCACTCCCTGACTGGCCGGCCAGAATGCGAGGATACCGTTCGGAATGAGCCCATAGATCAGTGGACAGAGAACCAGCGCGAATCTACTGCCTGTGTAGTCGGAAAGAAAGCCCCAAAGCACGACACAGAAACCGGATATGAGTTTAGAACCGGTCGGGATCAGGTTGCGGTCCACCACCGAGAACTTCTCGCTCTTTAACCAGATGCCGAAGTAGTCACCTGCACCACATGAAGAGCCATACAAGACGTAGCCCAAGACGAAAGCGTACCACCGCCAGCGGGTAAGAATGACTTTGAACGTGGCGAAGGTTAGTGGTACTGGTGCAGCCTTGCCAGATGCGCGGACACGTTGAATCGCCAACTCTTTCTCTTCCTCACTGAGAAACCAGGCTTTAGTCGTATACGGGGTGTCGGGAAGGATCCAAAAGGTCGCGAACCCAACTGGCACCGTCATACACTATGCGCGTCAGCGACTAGAATTTGAGAAATGAGAGCTCTTCTTACTCCACAAACTATGTACAGCCATCTCCACCCAGCGAGACCATGATGCCCATCCAGGCTCTTGTAGACCGCTGCTTGCAAATAACCGCCAAAAGCGGTCCCGACTGGCGCAGTCATGTGGAAAATGGCGATTCTTTTGGCCAGCTCTGTCTTCGTATACCAACTACCTAAGACGAATAGCAGGGCTGGGAAGAAGCTGCTTTCGAAAAAGCCCACCAAGAATCGGAACGCATACAGCATGTTTGAAGTTCTAACACCTGCCTGCGCGAACGTGAATGTTCCCCAACAGATTTCCATGGCCGCTAGCCAGTACGAAGGACGTATGTACTGAATAATGATGTTGGACGGGATCTGCATGATGGCGTACGCAACCGTGTAGCACGTAACGGCGTAGGTATACTCATTCCCCAACATCTTCAGGTCCTCTTGCATCCCTGATACGTAGGCATTCGAAAGATTTCCTTGGTCGAGGTACTTGAGGAAGAACCCCAAGCACCCTATTGTCAAGATGGAGAAGTCTAGTTTGCGAAGAAGCTTGCGCTCTTCGTGGGACTTGAGGTGGGTATCTGAGTCCCAGATAAAGGAGCGAAACTGATAGCACATGTATCAGCAGCATCATTGGTTCATTTCGGAGCTGAGCTTACGTTTTTGATAAAACTTGGCGCCATGACAGCGTTCAATGACAGCCTTCGAGCAGCAGTAGACGGCGAAGAGACCGAAATCTCTTCGATATGCGATTTATAAAGGCCATCCTGTTTCGCTGTCGTGCTAGACACTAACCTGGTGCAATGCAGGTGCTGAACGGAGATACAACCATAGTAGGTGAGCGTTATCAGAGCTCTCCTTGGATGCGGGGAGCGAAAGCACCTCATGACCGGGATGTGTTCGCACATCGCTTCTAATCACCACAGTGGCCGGCGTCAAGCATACATCTCCGGCTTAGACTTGTCGTAGTATTGTGAGTCTCACACCAATGATGACTTGTGTTGGAGGGTTTTACAGTCTTGGTGCCATCCATCGCGGGCCGGGGCGCCTAGATGCCCAGATGGTGTAACTAGTGCTCCAGGTAGCTGTGGTCGTGCTACAAATCCTGCGCTGCTGATCCGACAGTCAAAGTCTGAAAGCCGATATAAAGCTTGAATTTGATAAGACAGGCGGTCTATCAGTAGTCGCGAGTAACGGCGAGGATAGTGTTGGGGAAAGCGTTGGGCAGGTGCAACATACCCCCCTTGAAGACAGCCCCACCACAGTGCTTTCTGCGTCACTCCCGACATCCACCCTCCCGGACCCACCGCCTCCACTCCCTGCACAAAAAAACACTTACATCTCGCGTGCCGCTGTCGCTTTCATACTCTATATGCACTTTCCTCGCTCTGAGTGAGCATCGATTTCTCCAAGCTGAACGTTGTCACAATACACAGACTGGGAGACGCGTCGATACCTGGGTGCTCCCGTTTAGACCAGACATGAATTCCAGAGACAGTCGACGCTTCACAAGGTGTCAAAGATTCGCCAATGCTCCTCGCTCATCCACACTGGAAAAATGACGCCGTGTGAGCAAAGAAGGAAAATGACAATTGATTTGGCGTCAGCGATTCTTTAGAGGCATATACATCTACGAGTCAGGTGGCTCGATCGATGAAATATCAAACACCATTTGTAGCTTTGCGGCTGTCATTCGCAACAAATTTTCAAAAACCACTTCCAGAGCAGACATTGACTGCAACGAACGATGCTTGCCGAGGCTTGAAGCGACAAAAGAGGCTTAATGAGGATCAAGGGCGTAGTGGGGGCGAGTTTTGGTGCTGACGATTCATATACAACAACACGCCATATACCACACCGCTCCAATTCAAGGTACTAGCAAGACTCCCTCGGGCTGCTAAATTATAACAAAATGGCAAGAGGAAGTCATCCGCAAAGCCGCAATAAAGTGTTGATTCATGTCCTAGACGATATCGCACGCGACAATCCCTCCAAGATCTTCGCGGAGATACCCAACTCTCCAACCACGTTCGCAGATGGGTTTCGCAAGGTAACATACCAAGAGCTCTCGAACGCCGTCAACGGGATCGCAGCGCACCTGGAAAGAGGACTTGGGAAAGGGAAGTCGACCGAGACCTTGGCATATATAGGCCTGCAGGATCTGCGCTATGTGATTCTGCTCCTAGGCGCAGTGAAGGCCGGGTATAGCGTACGTATCTTGAGGAAACCCTTAGCGCGATGAGACCTGAGACAGGATAGATGCTTTTCTTCAGCCCACGCTTTCCTCCTCTCGCTGCAGCAACCCTTTTCCGGCAGACCGGCATCAAAACCATTCTCATCTCCAATCCACGCCTCCCTTTTCTAGCGCCTATCCTTGAGCAGCATCCGTTGCAGGAACTGGGAATACCTGATCTGCAGGCCCTCCTGGACACTGAGTACCCGCACTACGCTTACAACGTAAGCTTCGAAGAAGCCCGGAACCAGCCCTTCATCACAGTACACACTTCCGGATCGACAGGTTTTCCCAAACCCATAATTGCTACGCACGACTGGGTAGCCAGCATTGCTGAGGAGATTTATCTAGAGCCGCCAGAGGGATATATGTCAACGCTCAAGCCCCTGTTCGACACGAAAATCTACTTTCAATTTCCCTTCTTCCATGTAAGGTCATCTCCCATCTTGCCGCTCAAGCCCTGACCGTCCCCAGATGAGCTTCGTCATAGGCAACGTCATCCTCCCCCTCCTCACCGGCACCACCGTTGTCTACCCACCCGCGGGCGTTCCCCCTTCCGCAACCTCAGTCGCCGAAGTCGCAGAAGCTAACGACATCTCCCTCATTGCGCTCAGCCCTCTCACCATTCTGCAGCTTCACCAGGACGACAAGCTGCTCGATCGCATCGCCGCCCGCGTGCCCCGGCTGTTGTACTCTGGCGGCGACATCCCCACCGCAGTCGGGGACGCACTCTCCAAGAAGGTCCACCTTGCCAACGCGATGGCGAGCACCGAGTGTGGTATCTACCACGGCATCGTGCCTGCCTCTCTCCCCGTAGGCACGGCCTGGCACTCGCTGGGCTTCCACCCTGCGTCCAACGTCACCTTCGTGCAGCGTGAGGGGGATATCTACGAGGCCATCATCCGGCGCACGGAGAACAAACACACGCAGCCCATTTTCCGCATCTTCCCCGACAAGCAAGAATACGCAACGGGAGACTTGTACCGGAGGCACTCGCAGCTCGAGGGGCTGTGGGACCACCAGGGCAGAAACGACGACATGCTCGTCTTCGCGTCGGGCGAGAAGTTCTGGCCCGTCGACGTGGAATCTCGCATCTCTCAACACCCGAGCGTCAGCGAAGCACTGGTTATCGGCACGGGGAGGCAGAGGGCGGCGCTGCTGCTTGAACTCCAGCCCACTGCAGGCGAGCGTACGACCAAGGAGACGCTGGATGAAGTGTGGCCGGCTATCGAGGCGACGCATGCTATGTGCTCGCCCGCAGCGAGGATTCTACGGGCGTTCGTAGTAGTGTCAGATCAGGAGAGGCCGTTCGTCAAGACGCCCAAGGGCACTGTGGCTAGGGGGCCGACGGCGACGCTGTATGCCGCGGCTCTCGCAGAACTGGACAGAGCAGCGACGCAAAGGGGGGTCGCGGCACCGGAATCGGCAGTCGAGATTTCGACGGGTGGCGTGCAGCTGTGAGATGGAACCTGTCGCGGGTGCCGTCCGGGCGGTCGGGGAACGCTGCTCGAGTCGGGATGTGGGACTGCATGCCAGAGTCCGAGGGTTATGTATACTGGATCTAGGAAGATTTCTCGAGAAACCGCTTTGCTTTGTTCAGAAGTATAGAAAGGTTGACGGTCGTTGGACGCTTCGACATGTCCATTCGGCAGCCCCTTGCTTGTCTATGGACTTCAGTCACACGCTCGCTTCAGCCTTCGACGGTCACGACTGGGAGAACGGCGCGCATTTGCTTGTTCATGTATTTGATGTATAGTAGACTCTAGATACCATCATATGCAACGTTCAATCAATCAATCAATCACACCATGCGTGCTAGTCCCTTCCACGCAGGCGAGCTGTGCCGACCACCGGCACGCTCAAGCCCAGGCTCGCTGGCTCCAACCCATGCCATGCATACCTCCATGCAGCACCCGCCCATGCAAATGCATCCTCTAATGCAACGCTAAATCTCAGAAGAAACCCCATCCCCGTCCCCAAAAGGAAAGAATAAAGAAAGGAAGGGAAATTCAGGAAAACGCCGGTAGCGCAGGACACTCGGCGCTGCTCCGCAGATGCGCCTGCCGGAACATCTCCTGCATCGCAAAGTAATGCGCGACGATGCCGCACAGCACGGCCACGTGCCAGATGTTGTGGCTCGCGCCCAGATAGTCGAACTTCCCCGGGAGCCACCTTTCCGGCACGCGCGCCGCGTAAATGAGCGCGCCGATGAAATAGATCAGCATGGACGGCACGGCGGGGTAGTAGAAGCTCGCGGTATATTCGAGCCCGTGGAGCGCGATGAGCTGGAAGAAAGGGAGCAGGGAGGTCAGGGCTAAAACGACGTAGAAGGTGACGCGCAGCCAGGCGAGGTCGTTGCGGTTGAAGGTCGGGTTCCAGGGGAGGTAGACGCCACCCAGGGACAGGGCCGCGGTGAGCGCCATGTAGGCCCAGCGGGAGCGGGGCTCGCAGTAGAAGGCAGTGTACTCGAACGTCATGATGGAGGCACCCACCAACAGCGATATCCCCGTGTAGTCGATGCAGGCGTAGCGCTCGAGCAGCGTCTGGTGGGAGATGCCGTTCATCGTGTGCATGATGCAGGAGCACAGCAGGCACTTGCACGCGGCGAAGAAGAAGATGGCGGCGATGACGATGTCGGTCGTGGTGCTCGCGTGGAAGTTGATGTGCTGGGGGTAGAAGTAGAAGGCGAGCCCGACGATGACCATGACGCCGAGCAGGTGCGTCCATATGTTTGTGGACTCGTTGTGGATGCCGCAGATGGAGCGGATGCAGGCCCAGTGGCCGTCGTAGAAGCGGTAGCCCGTCAGGATGTGCTCGTTGGCCTGCCACGGCGCGGGCAGGTCCTCGTAGCGGATCAGGCCGTGCACTTTGGCGCGGGCGAGGGCGCGGTCCACGGCGAAGTCGATCTTGAGCTCGATGGACTGGCGCGCGCGGTGCGCCTTGTCGAGCCCGGCGTCGACGGCGTGCTGGAGGAGCTCGCGGGGGTCGAAGGAGCGCGCGCGCACGAGCTCCTGGTTGACGGTTTCGAGGCCGGCGTCGCGGAAGGCATAGGCGCGGGTCTCGAGGTCGGTGACCCAGTCCTCAATCAGGAGGATGCCCTCGACGACCTTCTCGGCGAGCGTCTCCTTGGACCCCAGCGCGTGCTGGTAGCGGCCTTCGAGCGTCTCCACGAAGACGGCGGCCTGGCGGCGGCCGACCTCGAGGGCGCCGTCGGAGATCTTGGAGCATGACTCGCGCACGGCGAGGAGGGTCGAGTATGCGTATTCGACGCCCGTGTCGAGCTTGAGCTGGCCGTACGAGTCGATGCGGTCGAGCCGGCAGTTGAGCTCTGCGAGGAAGCCGCCGAGCTGGGCACTGGTTAGCATGCAACGTCGCTGGTGTCCCGGAGCGCAACTGCGTACCAGCGCGTGGAAGTCCTGCTGGTCGACGCACGGGGTGCCGCCGTGGATCAGGAACGACGACGAGGGCCGCCGCGGTGCTGTCGGTCGCGGGCGTGGTTGCAGCTCCCCTGCGTCGAATGTGCCGTAGCCTCGGGTCGCGCGCAGCACGGGGGGAGCGTCGCCTTCAGCGGGCATGGGCATCGCGACCGCAGTGCTCGTGCCGCCGCCGTTGCGGGGGGCAGCGCGGGGCATGGCGTCGCTGTATATCTACTCAGTGGCTGCGGGCCAGACCGGAGCAGCTGCACAGCCCATGTACTGCGTCGCCGCACGCGTTGCGAATAGCTGTGGGTGGTACAGCACGCGGCGTGCCGGATCCGGGCGATTGGTTCCTGCAGATGCGGCGGGCTGCCTGTGGATGCGCGTGGATGCAGCGGAGACGGCCGTTGGGAGGTTGGGCGGGGCGCGGATGCAATTGGCGGCGAGGGGAGGGCAGGATGGCTTCTTCTAGAGGGGCGCAATGCGGCTGGTGGATGCTCGCGGATGACGCACGTTGTTGGAGGCGCTCGTCGGGTGGACTGTGGACTTGGGCGAAAAAGGGCTCGCGGCCACAGGCGCCGGCCCGCGGTACTTCAGGCTTGGCTGCTTTGCCGCCTCACCCGGCCTTCTCTATCCTCGGTCTTGCTGTCCACGCGCGCCGCTCTTTTGTTGCGCGCATCGACCCCGTGTCTCGCGGAAGGTTGTGCGCAGACACTGCACGGCGAGACCCTCCGCCGTCGGCACGACCCACCAATCACTTCCCCACGCGTGTACGCATCTCGTCGTCGCGCCAGCTGTCAAACGCCAAACGGTGAACCCTGCAGCTGTTCATCCGCAAACTACCATGTCATTTGCTCGTTAGAATGTTGCCACCACGAACGTCGGCAGCGAGCAGGAATGCCGGCACCGCTTTCTCTACCGAAACCGGCATTGTGCGGCGAAGACTACAACGGACCACAATCTGACTGTGACCATCAATTGAATCAATCTTGTCCAAGTACTGCCCTTCACTGCTCGTGAATTCGCTCTTACTCCTTCAGGCCCAGCCAATGGAAACCACTCCGCGCACGGCTCAATACGTCACCTGCCCAGACACCTTCCGCGCCGCTATAGCCGCCATAACCTTACAGTCGTCATACCGTCGCACCTCTTACCGCAAGTATACCGATAGTAGCATAGTCATGGTCTACCTCTATGCTTGTTGGCGCAGCTCGTTTAGATTGATATCGTTGTAGCCACAGGGCCCAATCAAAGACATGTTCGACCAGGCTTGATACACTGAAGCGAGCGTGAAATTAACTACGTAGACAAGTAAGAGGCTAAATGGATATCGTGAAGCGTCAAAGGAGGTACTGTACAGTATATGTACAGCAGATGTACAGCAACGTACAAAGGATCGAAGACGAAAAGGCCGTCGTTACGTCGTGGCATCGTCGTGATCGTGTCTTCGTCAGACGTACATCGTAACAGTCGCAACGTAGGTGCGAGAAACGAAAAAGGACAACCGCAGAAAGGCAGCAGGACCAGGCCTCCAAGCATCCACCCCAACGCCTACACCTCGCTCACCTTCAGCATCAGCAAACCCGCCACCACCCGATCAAAGAACCACCCCATATCATCTCCATGGCGCTCCGCACCCGCTTTCGCCGCAAGATACGCGGGACCTGCACCCCGCACCGCCTCGCGCATATTCTCAATGAACTTGTCCTCGGGAGGCAATTCCATCTTCTTCGCATCCGGCCTCAGCCCCGCCTCCACATCACCACGCCACTCTGGACTTAATCGCGCATGGCACCCCGCAAAGCACCGTCCGTAAAACTCCCGCAGCTGCCTCACGGCGTCTTCATCGCCTTGGAAGTCGTGCTGCCTCACACTCTCAGGGGGAGTGGCCGGGTCGTGGGCATTGTGATATGGCAGCTTCGCAGCATGGTACTGCACGCTCTCCACCGTCATACACAGCGTTACCAGCGTCGCCACCGCAAGCGGCCACTCCTTCTCGGCGCGGCCGAGCAGTAGCTGCTCCAGACTCAGCAGCACCTCACGCATCAGTTTGAGCGCGAGGCTGGGCAGGATGGCGCCGAGTTGGGCGCGGATGAAGCATGGGGTGGGAAGGACGCCCTCCGGCAGGTCTGGGATGCTGGAAACGAGTGCAGACAGGGCTGGCGAGCTGGACGCCGCAGGCAGCGTGATGTCGCCCCCGACGTGCACGAGGATGAGCAGCTTGAGCGACTGCGCGAGCAGGTGCGCCGCCGGAGAGGCAGGCGGGAGCGCGCGGTAGTACGTGTAGACGTGGCGGAGGACGCGGAGGGGGGAGGTGAAAGGGGGGAAGGCGCGGAAGTGTTCCCTCACGAGGAGTGCCAGATGTGTATCCAGCAGCTCCTCCAGACTCTGCATAGCCTCTGGTGTCAGGACCGCGGGGAGCACGGCGTGGGTGCGGGTTTGCGGAGGCGCTGCGGTGGGCGGCCAGGCGTACACGGTGTGCGCGTGGAGGAGGGGGCCGGTGTGGTTGTCGAAATGGATGAGGGCAACAGGGACGTGGAGCACGGAGCCGAAGCCAAAGGTTATAGGGATAGAGTAGGAACCGGGGAGGACGCGGTAGGCGCCGAAGGAGGCCTCGATCGGGCGCGCGGTGGGGTGCCAGCCGTGGCGCTCGGCGAGGAAGACGCTGGCGAGGCCGGAGACCAGGCGGTCGCGGCAGGGATGGTTGACCAGGTCGCCTTTGTAGTGGTCGATGCAGGATTTGCAGGGCGTTCCCGGGTCGCACTTTTCTTTGCGTTTCTTGCAGTTGGAACAGGAGCCTACGAGGCGCATCAAGGCTGCATGGCTGCGTTGTTGCGCGGTCAATGCTCCAATGCGGCCTCTTTGGCGTCGACGGCTGCCTTCCGCTCCTGATGGAACCAGTCTGTGTTGTGTGTTGGGTTGGTAAGAAACCCAACCCAAGTTGTCAGTCGTGGGAGAGGGTGACGCCAGCTTGTTTCGACTACGGCGCGGGTTCGAAAGACTTCGTGTAAGAAGGGCAGGGCGTGGTGAGCGCTGCTGCTCGGGAGAAGCAGACAGTACAGGCGGTACCCGGCGAGACCAGTGTGGCGATTGCTGTCTCAAAGATGGATGCCGCTCCATAGCAGCTCTCGCGCGGTAGTCTGATGGCGAGCTGGACACACGAATCTGCGGCTGAGGGATGGTGATTGATCGTGGTTGACCATGCTGCGCTTGGTGATACGATGAGTGATCGGTCCAGGGGTGTGAGGAGAACGTGTTGCTAAACCTCTGTGGGCCAGTTTGAGGAATGGGTATGGGTATGGCACCTGTTCCATCCTCCTGATGAACCTCAATGATGGGTTCTACGGACGGCTCGACCCACGTCCCAACATTGTCCAGAGCCTGTGAGGCATATACATCAAGCCCGCTGAAGGAGTGAGATGTTCCAGCTACATGGGGGTTGAAGAGACCTGATGTCGGTGCTGTCTGGTAAGAACTCGATGAGCCATAGCTGTGAGCATCGAGGAATGGCGATGATGAATATCCAAGCCTAGAGTCAGATATGTCAGTGCAATTCGCATAAAAAGGTGGAATGAACCCAAATCCCAGCTCCATAAAATGTAAGAGACTGCGGCGCGAGTTGTGACTACCTGTTTGCGCTTGTACATACCCAGGAGAGAGCATAGAATTACAAGCTTCAATTGAACCCTGATACAGCATGCCCACTTGCGCTGCCAGGGGTGAAGTGGCTGACGTCGTGTATGAAGGAGAGCCACTCAGCCAAGAACCACCCTCATTGACGGACGGCGGTCTCGAGACGGCAAAATCGAATGAAGTGGGGCCATCAAAGACCGATGCCGTAGTGGACGTTTCGTAGAATTGCTCAGAGCTTACACTCTCTGGAGCATGAGTGTTAGACGAGAACGAATCGCCACCGTAGGGGTTACCGGCCGATGAGGTTGTGATGCCGAGGTCACCTTGGAACAATGGGTCGTACAATTCACCGTCCCAGGAGATCAAGTCCTGCCAGCCCTCTTCGGAGGAGAGCTTCTGGGTGAGGGTGGACATCCGCTGCGCATTGGAGGCCATGTTGGAGGTAGCGGTTGCCGGCGCTATGAGGTCGGAGGAGTGGCGCCCGTGTCGTGTATGCTGGGGTAACAGGTCACAATGTGCCTTCAATGGTCAAGCTTGAGTCGGTTGTGGCGTCCGCGGCGGTATCAATTGGGCGAAAAGCGCTCGCTTATGAAGGTTGGGCGCGACGTTGCGGTCCGGAGAAAACGTGTGCTGAGTCGAGTGCTGAACGGACGGAAGTTGAAGTTAGGCACCCGTGAGATGATGGAAGCCCACCACCTCGTGTGGTGTCATCTAAGAGAAGTGTTGAAACAAAGTGTGAGCGCGTACCAAAACCGTGGCCGTTGACCAAGGGCAAGCTGTCGAGTTGCACGGCTGGCAAGATTCAAGCCTAAGTATACAAAGATGCGTCGCCCCGGTCATACCAGGATACCTGCGGCTGAAGCCAGCGTGAATGCCTTGCGGCGGCCCTAGGAAGCCTCCGCTCCAGTTGCAAGTTGCGGGCTTATCACGTTGCGCGAAGGGCGTGGAGATGACCGCATGCCATTGAGTAAAGTATCTCCAGGCTGTGCGCGCCGTCGCGCGCTGGTCGTGGCCGTGGACGTGGTCGGCAGTGCCCTGTGACTGTCGTGCATCCTTGGTTCGCCTAATGCAGTTCACCGGCAATCCCTAGCGCAGGGCTGTCAAATCATGGTGCCGACACGGGGAGCTGCGCATTCTTTGGTGCCGGGGCATCGCAACAATCCCCGTGCCGCAGACGTGCGCCATTATTCTATTATTTTGTTTGTGTACGGGCGAACGCAAGAGGAAGGCTTCTGGAAGGTCCCACCCGCGCTGTTCCCTGCTTCTCCGCATCATCGTGGCGCAGCTCCCACGCCTCGCAAGCATAACAGCAAATTCATTGTGGACCATGTTATTTCCGCAAGACGACCACTCGCTCGGTTCAGGAGGTAGAGCGATGCCAGTTGATGATGCCTGTGTTCCGCTGTGATCAGCCTGACTGTTTTGCATCCGCATCAACAAGTGGCGATAGCCAAGCACAACGCTTACCCAAGTGGCCATGCGTATCATGCAGTCTTGGGTCATATGCAGCTCAAACCGAATTCCTTCCACATCGGTTGCTTAAGTACTGTCATTAAAGGCTCTCTGAACATGCCTGCCTCAGTGTTATGTCTATCTGTCCTTTGTCCTTCAGGTTCAACACCACTACTGACGTCCCAGACAGCAACCGACTTCTTTATAATTACATGTTGCCCAGGAAATGGCCCAGACAAATACTGGGCAGCTTTCGCTGTACATTTACGTGTGCATATTGACCAGGAAGAAGAGGCGCGAATCCAAATACGGAAGGCTTCTGGAAGGCACACTAGCTCGATCACCCGCCTCCCCACGGTGGCGCAGCCCCGCAAGCCCCCCGGGGCAATATCGCCTTGCGTCACATGCAAGCAGAACATCACGGTTAGATCTCATCGATGCAGGATTCCTCCTAGTCGGACCGGGCAGGATGTATCGAAGCGTGTTCACTCATAGGCTCAGTCATTAATCTTGTATCAATTGCTCATGTACACTATGAGAATCGCCCACTGCGCAGCACGCTTACCTATCTACCCAGCTATCTGAACCTCGGGTCAAATGCATGCGTTAACGACACGCCCCACTCACAAATCCCACACACTCTTCGACCTGTTTTCTGCAAGCGGGGCAAACGCATCAATAGGGCTTCGTGCCGACGGCGCGCTCTGACGCCCCGGCTGCGAGCCAGCTGCACCCTGCGGCGAGGCTGCCTTGTGTGAACTGCCCTGCAGCCTCATCTTTCTGAACATGGGCATCATTCTCTCGTATTCGGTAGTGGGCGACATGCCCACGTATTCAGTACCAGAAATTCCCGCAACAGTAATACGGGGTTGGGGATCAACGTGGTCGCCATCACCATCATCGTCACCCCTCCCTTCATCGCTGCCCATTTCGCGGCGGAGAATCTTGACTTGCGCTTTGAAGGCACGCCAGAATTCGTACTTGTCAAGGGGGTCGTCTTCTTTGCTGGCCGAGTCTTCGTCCTCGCCGTCGCCGTCGTGGGCGCGCGCCAAGTCAAGGAGAGTTGCTACGAAAGCTTCCTTTAAGTATGCAAAGGAGAAATCTTCGGTGATGTCCGCGACTGCATCACACAATTTGCTAGGGAAATCTATGCTTTTCTTGTTCTTCAACTTGTGTCTCCAGTATTGCGCTAACATTGGTCAGTCGCATTTCCGTCATCAGAAAACAGCAGAGCCGCTCACCATACTGAGCCCTTTCACCCTTGCTCGGCAGAGGGAAGAGATATTTGCGGTCAAACCGCGACGGTCGCTTGGATAGACCAGGGTCGAGCTCGTCCAGATGATTCGTTGTCGCGATCATGAGCATGCCGTCATTGTTCTCCAGTCCGTCCACTTCGTTGAAGAAGTAGCTTCTCGTTTGCTTGGTCACAATCGTATCGATATCTTCGAGAACCAACATACAGGGCGTCATGGACCTCGCCATCTGAAAGACCTGCCTAATGTTCCAGGGGTACGGGGCGCTCTTTACGTACAATGTGACCACTGGCTTTTTGCGCTCCTGGACGGTATGCATCAGAGCTTTCAAAGAGATGGTCTTGCCGTTGCCCACGGGGCCGTGGAAAATAAGACCACGTTTCCACGGGACGCCGTACTCGCGGTAGATTTCCTCGTTATCGAAGAACTTGTTCGCGACTTCGGTCAACGCCTTCTTCATTTTGGGGTCGAGGATGACGTCTTCCCACTTCGCCTTTTTTACTTCTTCCCAAAGCTTGGTGGATCTCATCCAGCCACTATCATAGATGTAGATGGCCGGTTCTTCCTTGGTCAGCCATGCACCCACCGTAGCCAGGAGTCGATCCACCACCGACGAGTGCGACGTCGTGGTCTCGTTACCCTGCGGTTCCTTCAGAATATACTGCATGGATGATAATCCTATTATAACCGTGTACACTATGAAGCGCTCATTGTTCCAGGTGTAGTTGTATCTTCCGTAGAAGACAGCGTCTGCAAGGTGACCTGAACCACCCTGTTGAAGTAGGACCTGGGTTAGCTGTGCTCATTCGTAGTAAAAAAAAAAGCATGTTGTCAAATAACGTACCCTGTGACCGGGCCCTACAAACCCCCTCCATCGGATGACGGGCTCGGTATCTTCGTCCAGCTCAGCTTGAGCATAACCTGCGGCGGCAAACTGAAGGAGGTTGATGTTGGTGGCAGGCACGCTCGTAACAATCAATTCTGGGTGCTTCTCTCGCAGCGCGGTGACAAGTTGCACGTCCGGGTCAAAGCCTTTGCCGTTCAGCAATTGCTGGAAGTCGGGAAAGATTTGTGGTGGGTTATGCAACCCATCATTGTCGATGAAGGTGAAGTCGTCCGCGGATGCCATCTTCAGTACCTTGAAGAAGCAGGATGTTTGATGGAAACAACTGTTCACATGTACGTTTGTATGGTCAGGCAACAATGCTTAGCCTTACTAGGGCGGGTTTCGTGTTGACGCCGCGTGGTCGTGATTGGCTTGTAGGAAGGATGTATGGCTTCAGATGCGCCGATGACGTCTGGTGTTTCACTCTCGGACACGGACGAGGAGGCCTTGAGAATGCGGAGCGGAGTAGATACGAGGGCGCTGAGATGCTGCAAGTCACGATCACTGCACGACCACTGCAGGTTTCGCTTCGAAAGGAGACCAGACGGTGGAGCTGTGAGAGCGTACTCTCGGGGCGGGTGGTACGGGGCAACTATTGCGGAGAACGCAATATCGGAGGCGTCGTACCTTCCCGATTCTCACGAATACGGTGGCCTCTCACGAGACCAAACCCTTGCAGGCTCGTTCTCCCAGCAACCCATGGAGATTGGATGCATTTGCGCCGTTGCAACAAAGCAGCTCGCAAGCGGAACCATTCGCAGCCGGTGTGGGGAGTGGTGATCGTCGTGGCGCGGGCTTATTAACAGCGAGTGTCCGACGCGCTCATTGACGGGGCCAAGCGTACCGAGAGCTGTGGCTTTCACATGCCACTGGCCTCTGCATACCAATGTGAACAGAGAGAGCGCGTCCCAACGGTATGCTAACAACGCTTGGCCAGCTGCCCATATAATGCCCGTCTCACTGTGACCCGTTTTGCCGCTCGAAATCACTCTGCGAGGTGAGGCGACCAACACTCGGAGACGCGCCAAGCGGTCAAGGTTTTGTTCACGCGTCGGCTGACCCTGGCAAAGTTCATGTCATTTGGCGACGCCGATTCCCTTTACGATCCACGCAACAATTGACGGCGGGGCGAGCGGGGGTGCAGCGCTCCGTGTTTCTTCTTCGCTCCTTCGAGAGCCCGCCTTTAGGACCTACATCTTGTAATTGGGTGGTTGTCTGGCATATACATCGCAGCGCATCCGCACGGCAGCGCGGAACGTCGGAACTAGCAGAGGCGACCATGGCCGACGACCCTCTCACCACGAGCTCGACAGAGCAGCCGCGCATTTACCGGCCCATACCCCGCCGCAACTTCTCGACACAGACAGACGCCTCAGACTCGCCCGCACACGCTTTCGTTCCGTCGACACCGCCCCTGGTCGCCGAGACGCAGAACCGCCCCTCCGACTTCCTTGCGCAGCTGAACGCCCGCCTGCTACGGACGTACAATGCGGGTCTCAACCTCAATGAAGACGGCGACGCTGAAGGGGCGCCGCCCCCGCGGAACAAGAGTCTCATGAACCTGACCAAGAGCACCCTGTTCGGAATCTACGACGATGACGAAAGCACACCGGTAGAGCAGAGTGTCCCGGAGACGCCCTGGGGCACCGGCGCAGAGACGCCTGGAAGGAGACACTCAGGCATGAACAGATGGGACAGCGGGACCGATAGCCCGGCCATGGGTCTCACTATGCAGCCGCGCAAAAAAACCGCCAAGGGCATGGACCGCGCACCACGATCGCCGTCCTCTAGGCACGCTCCGAAACCAGAGCGGAAGAGCATGTGGAAGTACACTGTGTCTTTGGGAAAGCTGGCGGCATTGTTTCTTTTCGGGGTCACCTACGGCGTCATTGTCAGCCACCTGCATGACACCAGGGAGCTCGCGGCCGTACGGGTAGAGGGTGTAGATCGAGGAAACTGGGTATATCTTGCAAGTTGGGGTGTGGCTGGCCTCGTACTGGGTAGCTGCTTGCCCTATGTAGAGCTTACATGGGGCGGGCAGACAGCGAGCGATCAGGAGGACGAGGGTGCGCCAGAGCACGAAACCGAAACCAGCTTCAGCGAGCAATGGAGCGACATAGTGCGGAGTGTGGGCGCTTTTCTGGCAATAGCATTCGCCATCGTACGTATTCAATTGCATCCTCCCGTGGGCCTAAGCTAACAAATTTGCAGCGCCGACTCCCCTGGCAGTCTACACTCCAGCTCACGTTGACCCTGGCCCTCGTCAACCCGGCGCTATGGTACATACTCGACCGCACTAAACCCGGTTTTTCTTACTCACTCCTCGTAACGTCCATCCTGACCTCGTTCATCTTCCTCTCGGACCCCAACATCCTCCCCTCGCCGTCGCTACCAGCTACGGTCAACGGCACGCACACCCCCTCAGCAGCACGAATGCAGGGACAGCAAGACATGTTCGTCGGCGTGGTGAGCTACGAAACACTGGCGGTGGTTACATGGGTGGGCAGCGTGCTGTTCTGCAGCTGCGTGTGCTTTGGCAGTATAGGCAGACGTCTTGCCGTCTGGGACCATCACGAGTCCGGCAGAAAGAGAGAGATTTGATACCCTGATGGTTTTCTGGCATCCAAGCGAGCAGCGGTCGTCCCGCGCCGCAAATTTTGTATAGCATTGTAATGGTTAGTTTAAAATGGGCATGGAGGATATCCGCTCCGGAAGGTTTCATTTCTGGCGTCATCTACCACGGCGGGGAAGTGTTGTGAATGATACCTTTGTTGACGTGTTTATGTGCTCCATTGACCTCTGTAGTTGTGCTTGGTCGGCGAATTGCGCCTTTCCTTGTTCCAGAGCTCGTTCCCTCCTTCACTTCGCCAGCTTCTTGCGCTCTTTCCTTTCCCTACTCCACGGTTGTCATTGATCTGCACGTTATCTCTTAGGCATCCATCCACCTCTTCACACAATGGTTATGGAACAAACCCCCTTCTCAGGCATGTCCGTATTCGAACCTTTCCTCGACCCTCAAGGCCAGTATACTACTCCCTCGTCCCGATTGAATCTCACAAGTGAACCGGACGGAAACCTGATGTCCAGCACAGTCGATAGCTCTGTGAGGATTTTGTAGCCATGAAGGCCAATGATTCTCAAATTAAAGAACAGCGAGTTCATTGATACTTCATCGAGGCGGATTGTCTCCGCATCCCACATCCACTAATGCGGATGCTGCGTCCTCTGCCCATGCAAGTCAGACACAATGGCATGCCTACCCGCATTTTACGAGTTACGCCCGTACATATTGCAAGATCTTCGCTTAAAAGGCTTACTTACCGACGGTCATCGTGTCCGCAATGAAGAGTATGACGTATTGTGGGGTCCATTGGTATTGCCTTTCCTCCTTTCGCCTTGCTTTTTCCATCCTTCTCGGTGTGACTTCGGGCAGGTGTAGCGAGCATTTCCTCTTGACAATCCACTTTCTAAGAGCCTCGTATACGGGTGAGGGCACAACGAGCCGGCTAACCAAGTTCCAGCAGGTTAGCCCGCCTTGGGGTTCGCTGACTTAACGCTTAAACGGCAATGCCGACCACTAGCATTCTCCTACGGCCTTGGAACCTCAAACGAAACTCCACAATTTTTGGAGTGGTATCCCCGCGAAATGTTCTCCGCGTACCCACTCTTTCGATTCACGGGCTGATCTTCCCCGGATACGTCACGTCGTCATGACCCGTACCGGCTTCCTCGATTGGGCTCTGGCGCCTATGTCGGATGTGTGTGATGGACTTTGCAAAGACTACATTAATCATGAGCTCGCCTTGTATACAAAACAACCGACACATTCTGATCTGTGCCGTCTAGTACTGGTACTTGGGCTTCGTTGAAGCTTGCAGATTTACTTGCACCCGTTGAATACGATTGGAATCAGCCATGGGTGTCCTCGAGCTGCGAGGGAAGAAGCTCATAGCGATCATACTCATGACCGCTGGCTTCGACTTTCTGCTTGTCGGATGTAAGAGTTCCTCTGTTCTCCCGTTCAGCTCGTGCTAACAATGTGCAGATGATCAAGGCCTGTTCGGCGGTATCCTCGGCGGAGAACGCTTCAAGAACACGCTCGGGAACCCGAATCCAACGATGACTGGGCTCGTCACTGCGATATACGATATTGGATGCGCGTTAGGAGCTATATTTGCCTTCATGTTCGGGGAGCAAATCGGTCGAAAGAAGTCGATCATTCTAGCCAATATCATCGTCATCATTGGCGCCTCCGTACAGACTGCGTCTTTCGAATACTGGCAGATGTTTGTGTCCAGAATCATAGGCGGTATCGGTGTGGGCTTCTCGACGGTCGCCATTCCGATCTTGCAGTCTGAGACACTGCCTGCCCACAAGCGCGGTGCGCTGCTCGTCGTGCAGTCTGCGTTGATCATTATTGGTGTTGCGCTTGCTTCATGGCTGTGCTTTGCCTGCCTATACGCAAACAGCTCGCTCCAATGGCGGTTTCCGGTATCATGCCAAATCCTGTTCTCGCTACTAGTACTGAGCTTGTCGCCTTGGCTTTGCGAATCGCCCCGTTGGTTGGCTCAGCGTGGCAGGGTCGAAGAGGTAAGATTTCTCTTGCCAACTTTCATTTCACAATGCTCACCTATGGACAGGCCAGAACCATCATCAGCCGACTACTTGATAAGCCTCTCGACGATGACCAGGTTATGGGCCAACTCCAAGAGATCCTCGACGCCATTGAAGCTGAGAAGGACGAAGAAAAGCCCTCGTGGGGCGAGGTCTTCAGCAACGCCACCAAGACGCGCAACCTACACCGCGTGATTCTCGGAATGGGGCCGTACATGATGAATCAGTGGTCCGGGGTAAGCAAATGAAGCACGCACACGGTTCCGCATGCCTATCTGAATGCACGCTGACCCATTCTAATGCACTAGGTAAACGCACTATGCTACTACCTTGCCTACATCCTCGAGAACTACATGGGTTACTCCCCCAGCATGGCCCTCATCCTTGCCTCCGTCGCCTTCACCCAATATGCCGTCTTCTCCTGGCCGCCATACTTCTACATCGATCGCATTGGCCGACGCTGGTCCGTCATGCTATCCTCCGGCGGCTGCGCCATCTGCATGGCCATCATCGCCGGCGGCCTAGCCAAAAACAGCTTCTCCAGCGCCGCCGCAGCCGTCGCCTTCATCTTCCTCTACCTCGACTGCTTCACCTCGGGCATCCTCCCCGTCTCCTGGTCTTACTCCTCCGAAATCCAGCCCCTCCGCGTGCGCAACAAAGCTACCGCCGTCGGCGTCTTCTCCCACTGGATCAGCAACTTCGTAGTCGTCATGGTCACGCCCATCGGGCTCGACGCTATCAAGGGGAACTACTTCTGGGTCTGGGCGGTCATCTGCGCGTCGTTTGTGCCGCTGACGTATTTCTTTGGTGTGGAGACGTCCGGGCGGACACTTGAGCAGATTGATGCTATGTTCTTCAATGAGCCGAGACTGCTGATGGGCTTGAATCCCGAGAACAGGAGGGTGGTGAGGGGTGGACGGATGGACGAGGAGCAGAGGTACACGGACCTTGCCCATCGGAAGGAGAAGGAGGAGGTTGTCATGTCGGAGAGGGTGTCGGAGAGTAATTAGCCGTCTTTGACTTTGGCAGGGAGAGGTCACAGTTGGAATTGGCGGTCAAGGTCCTGTAGCTTCGAAGCACGTGTCCGGAAAGATAGAATCACTGAGGACTGTCAGCAACGTCCCGAAACCACAATTTTAACCGTGGCAAAGTCTCCAAACCGGGACATGGAAGTAGCCCCGATCATACTCTTCTGCATTAAGGTTAACATGAATAATCAAGCTACCTTTCTGTCTCTACCATCAAGCTCCCGAGTCTACTCTTTTCCAACCTTCGCCAACACACCCCTCACAACCGGACTCCTCTCCCCACCATCCACCTCCGGCTTCGCCTTCTCCACAACCCACCCGCAACCCCCGACCTTCGCAATGGCAACGAGAGCCTCCGCCCGCTTCATCCGCATCGCCTCGGGCAACCCCTCGAAGCTCGCGTCAAACAACAACTTCTCTAGATCCTGGTTCGCGTCATCGTTGACAGCAGTGTCCTTCGGCAGCCGCTCGAACAGCGCGTGCAGCGCCGTGAATGTTTTGAGGTGGATGTCCTTCGCGTGGGTGGCGTTTGCTTTGACAACGAGGGGAAGGAGTGTGGAGAGGTGAGTTGACAGGGCTGGAGGGGAGAGAAGTGTGGTGTTAGGGGCGAGAGTGAGGGCTGCGATGCACGCTGAGAGCGTGCGATCTTGCCTATACTTAGGGTTAGCTTGCTTGCTGCGGTGTTTGAGTGTGGTGTGGCGGGAGAGGGACGCTACGTACAGCTGCGCATCCTTCAACGGCTCGCCACCATCGACGTCCATCTTCTCGCCATCGTCGTCGACACCGAGCGTCTCCTCCAGAACGGTCTGTACAATCTCGACGACTGCGCCCGAGAGCTCCAGATCCGTGCGCGCGAGACAGATTTTACCCAGGGCGTCGAGTGCGTGAGGGCGGTACGGCTTGTTCTGCCTCTTGGCCTCGCGGAGCGCGACTTTCTCAATCTGCTTTGCGACCTTCTTGTCTTCTTTCCATAGACTCTCGCCTCGCTCGACAAAGCGCACGAAAGCCTCAAGCACGGTTTCCTTGCCGTCCCACGTCTTGCCACCCATCGCCTTGTCGAGAGACGGCCAGATGATCTCTGCGTTGGTCTTGCTGATCGTTTCGCTGCCGGTGGTAATGGATGTCACAGCGTCGGCGATGGTCTTCGCGGCCGCGTGCTTGAGCACCCACTTCGGGCTCTCAAGGTACTTGTCTGAAAGGCTGACGATTTCTCTGAGGTAGAGCAGGACGGCGCGCGAGCCAGCGACGTTGTCAGACCAGGTGTCTTCAAAGAGTCGTTTGACTTGCTCGCTTGTGTCGTGTTTCGCGAGGAAGATGAAAGGAAGCAGCTCGGAGGAGAGCGATGTGAATCGATCCGCAGCATTCTTCGAAATGGAGAGAATGATATCGCCTGCGGTGAGACGGGACTTTTCGTCTTCGGAATCGAAGTAGAGTTTGTGGCAGAAGGCGATGGTGGCGATGAGTTGCTTGTCGGAGGCTAGGCGGGCAACGTAACCTGCGGCTGCGGCGTACGACGATGACACGGTGTCGTTGCGGTCGTGGACATACTTTTGTACTGTCTTGAGGAACCCATCGGCGTAGGGCTGGAAGACAAAATTGTGCCGTGTACTGAGTGTTACTAAGATCCTGGAGCAGCCTACTTTGGAAGGCAGACCGACCGCAGCTTTCATTGCGGCTTCGATGCGCGGAACAAGGGCCTTCATTGTGTCTGCGTCCGCGAGATCAAGGCAGCGTTCGATAGACTCTGTAAGGGGTGATGAACGGACGCTTTGGAGGCGCATGTCATCAATCTTCTGCTCGGTGAGATTATACTTCGATGCGTTCAGATGGATGTAGTTGACAGCTTCAGGCTCCAACGAGCTCAGCAGACCCAGGAGTCTTTCGACGAGTTCCGGGACATGTGGGTTCAGCGTCTTTGCGTTGCTCTTCTTGACAATCTGAAGAAGAGTATGCACCGCAAACAAGCGCACTTCCTCGGCACTGGATTCGAGACCTGACCCTGAGAACAAGAAGGGTAGTACTCGTGAAAGCATTGCGTCTGCAGTCTTGATCGACGAGTCGCCCGCTTCAAGCGATCGTGTGAGTATGCCCGTGAGCACTCGAGCAAGGGAAGCAGCAGCAGCACGGACAGACTCCTTTATGTCATCAAGAACCTTGAAACATTTGTCCCAGATGTCGCCAAGGTATTTCTCGTATTTTTCAATGCTCCTTCCCTGCACTAGATCAGAAATCGCTGCGCATGATGCTTGACGTACACGCCACTCTTTGGTCAAGATGCTGGTAAGCAGGTCGTCCATTATAGCATCGAAGTTCTTATCGATAGTGGCAGAAGAGTCCTTGACCAGAGCATTCCAAATGTCGTTCATGGATCGCTGGACGTTAGGATTCGGATCAAATCTGTAACGATATAGCTTGGGGTAGAGCTTCGGGTTCTCAGCAAGGTACCCGTCGACGCTAGAATCCGAGAATATGTTGCTCAAGCCGAAACGACCAAAAGCTGCGCGGCTCGACCAAATAGAATTGTTGGATGCCAGTGACATGAATCGATAAACGAGACTAGAGTCCCCGACTTCCGATGCAAGACTGAGAATGTCCTTGTACGTTGTGATCGAGCCGTCGCCAGTAGGAAGAGCACCAGGCTCAAAGAGCTGTGTGTCTTCCGAGACGGTACCGGACATCTTCGCTTTGTTGTCCGAAAATGATCCTACTAGGTCGCGTACCAGATCGTCCTTCAGCTGGCGGTCGCCCTTCTCATATACTAGGCCAAGACCTCGCGATGCTGCCTCTTGTACCACCTCGTCACGGTCCGAAAGGCAGTACTTGAAAGCAAGCTGGCACTGTGGGAGGTATTGTTGGATTTCTGACTTGTGGCCGCAGTACTGGAGCAGGCATAGAAGCCAGATTACGGAAGCTTTCTTAAGAGATGGCTTGGTCTGTTTGCAGCCCTTCAGTGTTTTCTCGAGGACGGTAGTCAGCGTTCTCTCGCGATTTGGTCCCGATGGGGTTATAGGAGTCGCATCCCAAGGCTCGTGTTGTTGGGTCGCGTGTTCGATATCCAGCTCCGCTACCAGCGCTTTCGATCCCCATCCGGAAGCAAAGCAACTCAACGCTTCGCCAACGGAGAACTGCACTTCAGATTGTCTTACCTCATGTAGCTCGTACAATTTGTCGGCGATGAAACTGTAATCGCTTTTGTCGTCGTCGTTGCTCGTCTCGTCGGTTGTAGTAGATAAATGGCCGAGCGCAAGGATGGCACTTGTTGTACCGGCCTTAGCAGAATCGTAAATTTGCTGAGCGACATCCTGGAAATTTGCGTAAGAAGCGATGACAGAAGGGCTAATGACCTGGAACAGACTGAGCTGGTCTATGCAGGTGAAGACGGAAGCTTTCAGCGTGGCATCTTTAGACTCTGCTAGAATCTTGAACACGACGTCTAGTGTCTTCTTCAGGGAATCTTCATCTATGGAAGACGACCGACCTCTCCAATGCGCACGACTGAGATAAAAGCCTAAAGCCGCGATAGCACCGTTGATTTGGTTGATTTCGCCACCAACAGCATCCTTCCATGTCTCTATCTTTCGGTGGAGTAAGGAAAGGGACTTTTGTGCGTCTTCAACTTCAACGTCTTCATGCGACGCCAACAAGCCGTAAGCATGAGTGGCTGCCACTCGACGATTTCCATTGTTCGATAGCACTGAAGGCTCTAGTGCGCGAAAGTCTCGTAATAACGATGCACGCTTCCAGATCTTGTCGGGGCATAAGGCGAGGAAGCGTACAAAGCTACTTCCAATGTCACCAACATCGCTGAGTTCATCTTGTGTCAGTCGGTCAAAACTTGCTCTTAATAGTATGGCAAGTGATGTTGCATGCGCATCCACAGCAGCAAAGGCGCGAAATGCCTGACGTGCGCGGAGATCAGACGACATTAGAGTCTCGAGCTTACGACCCCAGTCCTCTGCAAGCTTCTCATGTATGCCTTTGTCTGCGAGCGCGGCGTGCATTGCAACTTCAGAGCAAAATTTGATGACGATGGGAAGCGTATGTGAGAACTGTTGCTGGAAAAGCTGTGCCTGCGAGACTGCGTCTCCGTTGCTGTCTACATCCATCTCATCGTCGTCGTCGCCTTGTCGAGCGAAAATGAACTGAACAAGCTCATCGAAGTCTGGGAAGGGGAGCTTGTCGCCATCCGCATCTATGCCTGGTAACGAGTTTGACATATTGAACCAAAATGGATCGAGGCCTAGGTTTTTCGACCTGCAGTCAGCAAAATTTCCAGCTTATCAGAATCACACGAGCACACCTTTTCGTCCCTCTTCTACAACCTCGTGCCTTTCGCTGCTGCCTCCGCTTACAGCAAGGATATCAATCCATCTTGCTAGTACATCATCGTACGACAGGCAGCGATTCGCAAACCTCGTAGCAGTATATCGAGTGCTCCTGAGAATCTTGCCGTCCTTCTCGGAGCTAGAGTCGACGCTGGCGGAATACTTGAGCAGAATTTGCCTGAACTTCGTTCGTATAGAGTCGCTGAGGGATCTTGAGAATGCGCCAAGTACGGACGAGAGGGCTTCATCAATGCTCACAGCCACTTCTTTCCCAGAAGCATCTTCCCTCAAGGAGCGAAAAAGCCATTCGAGTAGATCCAAGTTGGGCTCGAGCAATATGGACTTCGGGGACGCTTTCGCCAACAAGCCAATAGTTTCATAACCGTATCCGCGAAGTTCCATGTCCTGGTCCCTATCTGGTGTCGGCCAACCCTGGTCCTGAAGAAAGGCTCTTAAATTACCCACGAGGCCTTCGGCAACAGTAGCGAGGTGATCGGCTGCACCTCTGCGGGCAACAAAATTGACTAGAGCAAAGATTGCCGACCGATATTTGGATGCTTCTCTGCCCGCCGTGGTCTTATTCGTAGCGCTTAATTCAGGGGAAAGCAACCCCTCCTCCACAATACGGGCGATATCTTTCGGAAATTTCGTACACGTTACTGATTTGGACAGGATTCCGAGTATCCTGATGCGTAGGGGAACTTTTACTGCTGGTGCGCCTTCGGGAGCTGATCTAATGGCTGTTAGACGTCTCCCTGAAAACCCCTGCTTGATTTGCAGGTAGCAATGCGACTTACGAGCCAAAGTATAACCCAAGCAACGTCTTTATGACTTCAGCATCCTCCAGATCGGTTGAGGGAATTACGCGTTTCAAAACATCCTCGCCAACTTCAGAGATCCGCGAATTAGTATCTGCGGAGGCGAAAAGCGCAGGTAGAAACTTCTCATCTTCAGTGAACATGCCACTTGCCAACAAACGGGTCACAAGAGCTTTGGACTCTATCAAATTCAGACCGGCATCCGAACTAGGATCCCAGGCATCAGGTTTGCCCTGTAAGGTGAGGAATTTGTACTCTTCAACAGCGAGACCAGGACATCGCATTGAAGCTGCTACATCCGGATTGGCGGTGCGAGTAACGGTGAGGAGCAGGAGCTTGCCAAACCAGTGTGAGAGGAATTTTGCATCCTCTGACTGGACGCCCAATGCAGAGCGGAGCTCGTCATCCTCTTTGCTCCCTCGTAAGGGGAGTTTGAAGTGTGTGAGCAGTCGCAGGATCAGATGGAACAGCTGAGAGGTGTGCTGGTTGGACTTCTTGTAGTCGCTCGAAATCCCCTGGATCAGAATGGGAAGGAGTTCGAGCCTTTCGGAAACAGGAAGGCGTGATATACCCTGTTGTATGTACAGAATATCAAAATGCCGGATGAGGGCCACGTCGCCATTCTCTTTGAACTGTTTGAGCAGGGCAGCTACTGGGAGCTTGATTTCTCTAGGAAGTTGTCAGGCAGATGAAGGCAAACAAAGGACAGCTCGACATACTGCGGTTTTATGCGAGTGTTGATGTGTTGGCAAATAGATATAACCTGACGGGACCGCAGTCAGCGGTGTTCCAGGTCGGTTACGGTGGCTGGAAGAAACTATGCAAAATGTTACTTACCTTGTTCCTCACAGCAACGCTCTCAGAGCCGAGCTTAAGAAGAAGTGGAGTCAGGTAGAGCTTCAGCAGGTCCTGTAGCTTCTGTTCCGAGTCGGCCAGAGCTATTCTGAGATGGAGGGTCAGTATGTGGTCATGACTTGCTTCGGGTCACGTTTCCTCACCGCATCTCGACCTTGCCCACCAACGCCAGCTCCCGCGCTTCAGGCGACTGCGTAGACGCCATGTTGAGCGCTGAGGATTGTGTGGTGTTGATTCCCGAGCAGAGGTGCGGCTCACGAGGCGAAGGAAATGTACGCCACAGGCAGCGGCGATTGCGTGGCGGGGTGCTTTTGCCTCTTTGCCGGACGATTTCAGACGCGGAAGCTGCTGCTGAGAAACGGAGCTCGCGTCAGACGTCTTCTGCCTTCTACAGGTTGCCACATCGCATGCCCCATTCACTGGCGGGTGCGCAGGGGTCCATTTGCGGCGAGAGCGCAATCCGGCGTCGGAATTACACGTGCACAGACCACGAATGAGTGACGCACAGCTTCAGTGCCTGGACCAAACAATGTCGCCGCGTCGCAAGACAGTCGCCTGCTCCATACCACTCGGTTGCCTGCCCGCGCATCTCGCCGTGTTTTACTAACCCTCACCTCCAGACGACCAGTGCGCCTTCCGCCCGCCCTCACCTCCACCAACGCGCCTGCCGGGATCGATTCGTAAACTCCGGCGGTAGTCGCGACCCACCACACTGCGCACTCAAGGCCGGCAAACTGGCAGCGCGATAGAGCCTGTCAGTCTACAGCTCACGGCATCTTCTCGCCAGCACACCCCGAGCGTTCAGCCAGCCTCTCGTTAACGTGTTCATGGGCAGTTGAACTACCCCGCCGTCGCCGTCAAACCTTCATCGCCCGCCACTTGGGTTCTCCCAACCACTTCTCCCTTTTGACTTCACCTTCTCAACGACACGGACCGTCCCACCGACGCCATGGACGACGAGAATATTTCCAACTTTGTGGCCATCACCTCGTGTGAGCCCGCAAAGGCTGCGCAATACCTGAGCTTGACCGAGGGCAACCTCGAGCAGGCCATACAGCTGTACTTCGACAGCCCCAATCTCGACTTTGGCGGAGCGCCAGCTGCTCAGCCAGCCGCTTCGAATGCGAACAACCCGATTCCGATTGACTCGGACGACGACATGTCCGACTTCGATCCCGCTGCTTTCGAGGCAGATGCCCCGCCGCGAGCACAGCCGAATACCGAAGACGATGAGGCAATGGCCCGTCGCCTGCAAGAGGAAATGTATGGCGCTGGTGGCGGTGCTGCTGCCCAGGATGAAGTCCGTGCTCCCATGGAGCGGAGGACCGAGACGCTGGTTGGTCCCGATGCCAATTGGGGACCCGGGAGCGAGGACGATGTGAACCAACTGGTTCAGGAACAGCTTGCTCGTCGCGCCAGGAATCCCACGGCCCGCGCAGGCATATTCAATCAACGCAACACTCAGGCCTCGGTGTGGGAGAACAGCAGTGATTCGAGCGCTCGGCGACGTGAGCTAGCAACTGCGACCGGAGGCGCTTCGGAGCAGTCTTCCAAGATGAACATGCTTGCAGAGCTCTTCAGGCCTCCCTTTGAGATCATGTTTCAGCAGCCCTGGGAGAGGGCACGCGACTTGGGCAAAGAAGAATCGAAGTGGATCATTGTCAACGTCCAGGACCCCGCCATCTTCGACTGCCAGCGCCTCAACCGGGATATTTGGAAGAACGACGACATCAAAGACACCGTTCGAGAGAACTTCATCTTCATACAATACGCAAAGGATGATCCCCGGGGCCAAGAGTACATGAATTACTACTTTCAGAACCGTGAGAGCGCGGACGCATACCCCCACATCGCCATCGTCGACCCACGAACTGGCGAGCAAGTCAAGGTGTGGTCAGGCCCTCCTATCCCTGAAGCTGTCGACTTCCACGCCCAACTTCACGAGTTTCTCGATCGCTACAGCCTCAACTTGAACGTGAAGAACCCAGTCGCAACGCGCAAGCCCGAAAATTCTAAGAAAGACGTAGGTCGGATGACCGAGGAGGAGATGCTCGAGATGGCCCTCCAGAACAGTCTAGGCAACCAAGACCAAGGCCCGAAGGACGAAGACCCCGACGCGCTCACCAAGGGCGACGCCGCAAACAAAGGTAAGGCAAAGGCCGAGGAACCTGCAGAAGCAGCAGAAGCAGCAGAAGTGACCACGAATGGTGACTCACCGTTTGCGCGAATCTCCTCGGATAACCCACACACGGAGCCCACATCAACCGATGCAACGGTCTCTACGCGCATCCAGTTCCGTGGCGGCCCCGGTCGGCCCATTGTTCGACGTTTCAACTTGTCAGATCCTGTTCGTCGCATCTACGAATGGATCAAATCCGGACACCCCTGGGAAGGCAAAGAGGGAGCAGACTTCGACCTGTCCTTCATGGGTAAGAACCTCTTGGAAGTTCTCGACTCCAGCATCCAGGAGGCCGGCCTGAAGGGTGCGAGCGTGATGGTGGAGTTCACCGACTCGGAGTGAGCACGGGTTCGAAACATCTTTCAGTACGTGGCGTTATCCCTGAATGCGGCCTCGCATTGGTCGTTCTTTGGGAGGAACGTATGTCACGACAGGAATAGGGTGCTATTTGAACAAGGAAGTAATGACGGCGCACGCATCGAGGGCACAGAAGCTTAGACGGCTTAGATCTCACGCCTGCCATCATCACGACATGATGGTAGACATCTTCAACATACCCCATTGCATTTTCGGTCTTTTGGCCTAATGGTCTGGAGACCATTCACCGGCACCAGCTGTAGATAGTACGACAATACCTGCGAGCAATTGGAGTTTTCCATGAATTTACCATTCCAACCTGCCTGTGTCTTTTCCTTTTTGGCCAATCTACCTATTCTCCATCATCTCCCTTGGGCTGCTTTTTCTGGTGTTGTGCGACTCGATACGCTACACTGTAAAGGCATCCAAGCTATACGCTGTGTCCATGCGCTCGCCGCTTGCCTCCACTGGCACTCATGTCATTTTCCCTGCTTCTTCCGCGTCCACTGCCTTCTTGTCCGCGTGGGTGCTTTCTTTCTACCCGCCTCCAGACTGACCGGTGATGACTGCCGACACCACTACCTTACACTACAACCAAACTCCTCTGCATTCCATCATCTGTACTGTCAATATCACTTCCCTATCATTCAAGCAGCCACACTGCTCCTTTCTTTCCCTCTCCTCCCTTTTCATTTTCATTTTCTTGTTCGCCTAACAAACTACACACCACCCTTCGCCTGCGCACCTATCCTTTCTCTTCTTGGAAACAATTGCAGAGGTCTTGTCTGCAGCTAGAGGCTTCGCCGTGCTTTTCGGGGAGTAAATCTCGTACCGCGCGGCTGCGTGCGGGGCTAGGAGACACGTCTTGTGCAGGCCGCCTGTGCGGAGCTTGTAGTCATCTAGGTAAGGGGTTGGCGGAAGTGTATAGGCCATTTGACATACGTAGAGAGACTGGCTAGAAGGGGCCCGTGATGTGAAGTGGATTTGAGTGAGACGTGAAAGCCAGGACGTACATAGAATTCGCGACTGATGTTCCAATAACGTCACCAATCCATGGCGTTGTTCTAGGAGGGATGGTCTGGCCTTCACGAATGGTATGATAGGGCTGGCGGACAACGGACGTGTAGTGGTGGTGGGGTGCGCGGCGAGAACAATAGTAACGCGGTGCAGGGGCGCGGGCTATTGGTCTGCAGGTACGAGGCATTGAACAAAGAGATGGGCCTTGCGCTGCAGCGTATGGGACGACAGTGGAGTTCTAGAAGTTTTTCGCAATGCTGTGGGAGCCGGGAACGAAGGTGAGGGGCTTGATGGCTAAGGAGGGGAGGGGTGTATTGCATGGTGGGTAGACAAAGGAATGCTAAGTTACGAGGTGAGGCGGAAAGGTGGACGAGACTGATCCCGATACATGTGCACAGTTACTTGATCAAGTGTTGTGGAGTTCCTGGGCGGGACTGAGTATATCATGTGTTGTTGCTGTTTGTAGGTTCGAGGAAGGCATCAACTGTATGCGGCCTATAAGTATGGACGGATAGTTCTGGTGTCGAGTCACCCTTTCAGCCCCACAATGACTTATTGCATACTTGCTAGACTTCTTCTGGTCTCATGAAGAGGCCCGCGCGTCCACGATGCTATGATTGTGGGAGTAGATGACTTTGTAGCGGCTGTGTGAATCACAAGGCGAAGTAGGTCGACCGTTATGAAACTGCCCTAGCGAGCGCTCTCGAAATGCAGGATTGAGTTATCGAAACTCGAGATATGCCTCACGGTATATTCCGTTCACGGTATGTTCCGATTGATCACCTTGTGTTAGATTAACCTTACGTGTTCTGGGTAGAGCCTGAGAAGTGGAATCTTGCCATGGTGCCCAAATTCACGGTTAGCGAATATCTTCGACGATCATATAATCGGTAGAGAGCAAGGCTGATGAACACATCCTTGCAATGACCAAGTGGATCTGATGCCCAAAAGTGGTGGTCGTCGGAGTGCGACGCTGCACGAGTGGGGAACGCCACTCACACGCAACGCTAGGCATGTATTAATTCTGAAAGTACAGTCAGACATCATCAATACTTCGATTAGTTGGTTCACATCGGACGACATCGTAGACAAGATCACAGATGACGAGCCGCAAAGCGCTGAGCTACAGATTCTGCCACATCGTTCCACAACTCCCGTCTCGTCAGAGGTTAGGCGACCCAGATTATATCAATGACAGAATCGTCAAGCATACCCCAGATTGTCCTGATTTTAGTCTACAAGTGCCGCGACTGCGAATCGCGATTTAACAACGTCGGCCCGAAGAAGAGAGGCGCCGTATCACCGCCGTGCAAGCAGCAAGAAGCAGCTGTCACGTTTCCAGCGAAGGCATGGTTTCCCTGCGTTAATCTGGTTCCCACCTCTTCGTGTCCATTGGCCGTACCCACGACCCACCGCCGCATTCCAACTCCAGGATCCCATACTCGTGTCAACCAGAACAAAGAACCATCAGACATTCGATGTCGCCAGCTCCAACATCCGTGCCGCCCGCGCCCTCAGCACAGCACTCTCACTTCGTGACCACCGCTCCTATACTGCATACCGCCCTCCTTAGTTCCAGTCCGCCGTTTCTCCTCCTGCACCTGCCTCCTCCCATCACTCCCCTACGTCTAAAGCAGCCGCCAAGCGCCCTCAAACAAACGCGCTCCAATCCCTCCGAATCACGTACCTTTCTCGAATCGGCTAGCACCTCGTTGCGCAATCACACACTCTCGATCCCTCGCCTCATCGCCATCACGCCCCACGTGCAACCCTCAATATATTGCCAAACCACCGCCGGAGCCACGTCCGCGCTGGCACGAGACTTGCTTCACACTGTATGTAGCAGAGCAGAGGCAAAGCACCCGGATCACGCCCCCCATCCAGCGCGTTCCAATACATCCACCGCACCTACGCGCCACGCGCCATCCTCTCCCTCCCTGCTGTCTCACCTATACCTCGCCCATTATACCCCCGAGCGATAACACCAACGTGATAACTACCTATCTTCCTATAGCGTCGCTATACATTTGGGGACTAGGCTGGCGACGTGTACACGGTACTTGCCCGCGTAGATATGGGAATCATGTGTGTGACGGGCGCTTGAGCAGCGCTAGGGGTGCTGATTGGACAGGAGGATTTTGAGCGTATGCACGTGATGGGGTACCGTATGCATGTCGTTGGAAGCGCTAGGCTGGATGGGACGGGCCCTACGGCTGTCGTCCTCGCCATCTTCCCGTGGCGACTTTGATGTTTTTCCATCCACTACAGAATATGCCGTTCGTATCGCGACGTGCATGCGTAGACGGACCTTTGGCCTCCTCGCGCACAGCAACGCCCGCAGCCACCACGCTCCAAAAAGACAGCGAGAGGCAAAACCCACAACTTGGTGCCAGCGATCCCAATATTCGAGCTATACCGGGCGCTTAACCATAGGCCCGGGCCCGCCCCTCAATCAGCCACGACCCCTGCCCCAGCGCTCTCCGCCCCTCTGATTCGCTAGCCCCCGGCGGGAAGGTTACGCACTGTTGGAAATGGGAACCCCTCACCGGTGAAGCTCGCCTGCGCTACCCTGTCTTCACGCTCGAGCGCATCCCCCTTATTGCGCGTGCCATTGGGCAGGCGGCTCGCGGTGGCATTTTGCGAGGTGAGGGCGTGAGAGGGCGTGATTGGGCAGAGGGCGGATATGACGGCGGGAAGGTCCTGATGCGAGAATGGGTGTCCCAGGGAACGATGGGAGAACGGCTGATCCGCACGCGCGTGGTGGAGGCTTCCTTACGTATTGCTTTTGCGGTGGTGTGGTAAGAGCTGGGCAAGGGCTTCGGTGCGTCCGAGGCGATTGCGCTGCGCTGCGCTGCGCTGCGATGCATGAATAACGGGTCAGATCGTCGGGTCTTATCCATCGGGGATGAGGTATACTTCTAGAAAGACGAACTTTATGCCTGTAAGGCGAGTCATCTCGTCGGAAATACGATACACATCAAGCGTAAGAATGTCTCGATTATTCGGATATGATATCGACTTCATTTCACACGTGTGAATGTGGTGTGGCCCGTCTCATCGTCTCGACGTAGGCGCCGGGTGCCTTGCCAGCAGCCCTATCGCGCTCCCCTTCCCTCCATCAATCACCCGCCGGGCGTAAAGCGCACGCCTAACCCTCCCACTGCGTTCTTCCATCAAAGTGAAACTCCAGCCAATGAAACCTGCAAACTCCACCAATAGATCCCCGTTAGCGCCGGCGCACCCAGAGAGGTATCCGCATTGGAACAATAGTTCCGTCCAAAGCTGTCCAATAACCCAGAATTTTCCGCGCCAGACACCACTGATAGTCATGAGAACATGATCTCGTCTCTAAGCAATAGCGCAAACATAGAAAAGAAGTAGTAGAAGTGGTGTGACACGACGCGAAGCGGTTCAAAGCAACGCTCGAGTGTGCCGAATGAAGAGAAGCCGCAAAAGGAATGGCTGCGATCGAGTCTCCCGGACCCAAGGATTACTGCGTGTCGGATAGAGTGGCCAAATGGCATTATCGAGCAGGATTATGTGCAAAGGACTCGAGCTGGTCAATATGATAGGCGCTTATCAATAGCGCTAATCGAAGTTAACCCAAGTAATGAGGTCGTCAAGTGGTACACGAGGTCTGGGCGGCGGTTGGGTAACCACCAAGCTCGCGGGTTGCGAAACTAGCGTCGCGTCCTTTGTTTACTCGAGTTTTCTTCTCTTGCCGCGCGGTGCGGGGTCGATCTGGGGGAAGCTGGGCGCCTTGGTGTCCACTGGTGTGCTGCTGTAGGTCACGGTGCGCGTAACAACTTCTCGTACGCTGACGCGTCTTGTACGGCCCGTCTTCTTCTCGACCTCCCAAGTCCGCGGTGAGACTGCTGAGTATGGCGAGTTCGTGGATTTTGCAGAGTTCGCACTGGCCGGTGAAAGCACGGTTGCGGGTGAGTGATAGGGTGACTGTGGAATGTAGAGGCGGGGGGTGCGCGCTGACGAAGGTCGTCTGAAAGGTGATGGAGGAGGAATAGTGACTGTCTGCTCCTTCGGCTGCTCCTTGGGTAGCGGCGCAGTCATAGGAGTCTCCTTGATCGACTCCTTAGGCTCCTGTTTGATGTGGTCACAATTGCTACAGCTGCTTGCTCTCGAGGTCGCTGGTGTTGAGGTGATGGATTTGTCCTTGTCTGCCGGGCCGGACGTAATGGTGAATGAACCACTGGACGCTGATGAAGTCACTGAAGCCATGGAGGTTGGTCTGTTGCCGTGGAAAACAAACTTCTCGCTGGTGCCAGTGGACATTGGGCTCATGAGGACAGGCGAAAGTGTCTTGAGAAAGTCCAGGTAGGCAGTCGGCGGGGTAATAGGTGTCTTGATCGCGTCTTCCCTCTTGAGACTTGCGAAAGTAGGAGTTGTCGCAGAGAAAACCATTGGAGACCGCAGTTCAGAGGGGTAGGTGGCAGACACAGGCGTCTTGAGGGCCGACAAGGCCGGCTTTGAGTCCGTGGTGGCCATGGTGGGAGCTAGATCCAGTGCGCAACGAGTGACTGTGTTGTTGGTGTAGGAGGGAGCGAAAGCGTGCTGTGGTGGCCTGCCTCTGCGGGAGGTGTGGAAGGCTGGTCGGTGAAGGAGAGCAGGGCAAGCAGAGGACCTTGGCCGGGGTGTGGAGCGTGTTTATTGTGTACAGCGGCTAGTTGGTCGATGCGGGTCTTGTTGGCGGTGGCCGCTTGGTGGGCCTTAGAGGAATACTTGCCCTGCTAAAAAAAGCGGGCGCTTCGTGGTCGGACGCGGGGCCTTGCTGATTCACAGTGCCCGCCGCTTGGGCCTCCTCTCCGCGAGTGATGCAAAACAGCCGCCGCGCTGGGTCTGTGGCGAATAAGATCGACCTCTCGAAGCGCCGGGACGGGATTTGCTGGTCTGAGCGCTGGCGAACAGCTTCAACACCAGGGCGCCGCAATTGGCTGCACGGCGATGAAACGACGTGTGTGATTTGCCTGCGGTCCTTGCAGCTGCTCTTCACGAAGCTGCTACTTGCACCCTGTGATTGGCGGGCAACCTTGTTGAGTGTTTGACGCGGCCACCGGTCTGTGGATGGCTGTGAACGTGGTTGGGGCCTACTTTTGCAGGCCGGGGGAGGCAAACGTGGCCACCCGGTCAGATTGTCAGACGGAGAGGGTATGTGAAACCAAGACAAGAGGATGAGACGACGGCTGAGGGACGGAAGGACCGAACGACGGTTCAGAGGGTGCAGAGCCTATCTGGAAATAGATGCGAGGGCTGCTGTGCGAACAACTGCCTCGTGGGCTTGTCTTTCATTTTATGTTGATTGCAGGCGCTGGCTCTGTCTGTATAGCAGTCGCGCGCTTCCACATGACACTTTCTCCACGCCGCCTGGTCGCCGACGGACCACCCGTTGGACAGACCCTCCAGCTTTCTCTGGCCCGCCAGGTGGGCGCGCGCCTTACCATACCAGCGCTTGGCCCCCCTGTCCGAACGTAGGCCGCGCCGAACACGCCTGCTTGAATCGTCTTCACAGGTCCGACCTTTGCCCAGCGCTTTCGTTGAAACCTCCACACGTCGGCGCGCGCTAATACATGACCCTTCCGCCATCCAGTGCTACATCACGATACCTTGACTGGATGGAGCATTGTACTTTTTAATGAGGGTACGACATGAGTTGCTTCTGCCAGTAAAGCACATCCTAGATCGTCAGGGGCCAATAGCGAGGCGATCCTGCACGCCATGGAAAGCCACGCGCGGAGGATTTCTCATGTAAGATGGGGCCAGCGCGACCCGCTGGGTCGATTGGGGCTGTGTTCCGCACAGTTAGGTCTCCAGTCCAGAGACCCAAGCCTAAACGCTCTCACGATATGAGTGCATGCAGCACATCGTCGTAACAAGCTTCATCTTCGAAGTATGTCCGCACAGTGTCACCTACCATGATGGCTGCTTCCTGGGCCAATGGATACGGACTGTCTCGGGCCAGGTGACTGGTGTGTTCCCCAAAGTACACACGACCATCGAAACGCCTCGTCTTAGATAGAGTGACAAAAGGCTCCTGATTGCGTTCTGCAGTCTGCTGGTCCACGCAAATCATCTGGCACCTGCGGCACGGTCCCAGCAACTCAAAGTATTGCTGGCCGATCTGTAGGTAGCGCCACTCGTCTTCCGCATATGGCTGTTCCGCCCCGGGCGGGTAGTGCGGATTTTCTGCAACCACTATGTTGGCTCGGAAGACCTCTGACTGCGCCGCCTTGCCGCCCTCTGCCTTGATCTGTTCATTAAGGCGGTTAAGGCTTGATCGCGATATTGTCAGTATTGGGCTCTCATTTGACAGAAGAATGGGTTTCGAAACCGTCATTCCCGGCATCAACGGTCTTGTTTCTGGGAAAGCGCCGGGTACGCGCATCTTGCTAGACCTCTGGCTCTTCTGCAAATGAGGTTTTGAGTGTCTGACGCAAGCCAATGGGCCACTGCCGTTCCCGACAGCTGGGAAGCGAGCGAGGTGACAAGCCACTCCCAGAGCCTGGGAAAAGAATGCTGATATCTGAGGTGATCGATATGTCTTCGCTTGTATTTGGTCTCCACACACCTGAGCACTGCCGTCCTTGTACATGGAATCTTTGGCGAAGAGGCTCGGGTCCGCTGACAGGGGCACAGTTACCTCGTTGGCAAAGGTACTATATCGTAGCAGACCTGTTAGCTGTACACGTAGGACGCCAGCTTCCAGATCAATGCTCGGTCGAATAAGAGCCATCTTTGGGTAGCGCTTTTGGCTTAACGCTGCGCCGGTTCCCTGGTGAACAAGACACCATTCGCGGTCCCAAGCTAGACCTTCGCGCCGCACTCCCCATGCTACGCCCGGCGGCACGCCGAACGCCCCACAACTCTTTATGGGATAAACAGAAAGGCTCTCCACGTGCAGCCGACTATGTGTTGGTGGCTTCATGTCCAATGAGACGACTGGCGGTACTAGTAGAGGCGGGGTATCTTCAACGAAGAATTCGGACAGGAAGTCAACGAATAGGGTGACATCCTTGAGTGTGCTCATAGCCCCAAGGCTAACTCGGATCATGCCAGTCGGTTTGGCACGAATGATATCGTTGTCGTTACCACATCGCTGTCCAGCCGAGAAGTTTTCTTTCATTTCCCACGGCGCCAAATCCAGCGAGGATGCAACACCGCCCGGATTGCAAAGGCCGCCTGTCCGCAGTTGGAGGTTTCTAACGGCTGCAAGCTTTTCCACCTCTGCGTTGCTCACCCAGCCACTGCAGTGATTGCGGAGATTGAACGCAACAATTGGTCCTTGTGTGCTCGGATCACCATAGGTAGACGAGGCGTCTTTGTAGACGTGGCAAACGCTGGTGCCATTCCCGTGCCTAAGCGAAGTCAAGCCATCGTACAATTTCGAAGCGAGGAAAGCGGTATGGTTGGAAACTTCATCAAGCGAGTTGTATAGTTCTTTGTGCACACTCATTGCAGTATCAAGGGCCATGATGCTGTGAATCGGTAGAGTTCCGTCCTCCAATCTCTCGTGCAAGGTTTCCTTCTTCGCGTGCCACTGTTCTTTCAAGCAGACCTTTGCCATTTGGTCAGCAAACAGCATCACATGCATTGTTTGTTTGGGATTACTCACCACCATCTCGACTGTACCTCCACCAAAGTACCGGCGCCTATCAAAAACCGATCCTGCAGCCTTACGAATTATCAGTGCACCCAGATCGGGAAATCCAAATATCTTGTATAAGCTCATGACGGTGAAATCAGGGGCGCTGTTAGCATCGCTTAGATCAAGCGGCGAGGTTGACACCAAGGCGGCCGCATCCAACAGTGTATAAACTGAGCCTTGTTTCCTGGTGCGTATGTGGCGCGTCCAATCCAGGGGCAATCTGCGCCCATTCATGTTGGACTGTGCCGGATAGGCAAAGAGACCGAGCCTTGGGCTCGCCGTGCCATCCTCTTCGACCCAAGCGTTGACCTCGGCATCTGTTGTAAAACAGCGATGTTGTGTGGCGGTTTCCCGTGCTCCAATTAAGCTCGTATGTGCGTCTCTGTGGTAGCCGTACCAATAGCCCTCCTCTTGGTCCCGAAACACCTCCGTCACTAACTTGATACCCGCAGTGGCATTGGCGACAAAGACGACATCAAAGTCGTCCGGATCTGCCTTGAACAAGGCCAATAAACGCAGTCTGACATCTTCTATGCGGCGCGTGGTCAACTGCGACGAGTTCGAGGCCGAGTGCGGATTGCCGTAAAGATTGCCAATCATGTCAGCGGAGAAACGCTCGATGAGGGATTTGGCGTATAGCGTAGTACCCGCATGATCCAGATATGTGGTATCTGGAGGCTGTCAGTAAAGAAGCCACTGCCACGTCCAACCTGCTTACCTTGAAGCATGGGGTATTCGCGGAGGCGCAGTGCCTCGATGGCTGCGTTGTAGGCGATGCGCTCGTCTTCCATGATGGCAGATCACAAGGTCTCTTGCCCAAGCTACCCTGTATCCTTGAGGTAAGGAAGTAAGTCCAGGACAGGAAGACCCATTTGAAGGTAGAGGTGCTGTTTGCGAAAGTGGGGGATGGCGAATCTGTGGGTTGGTTGTAGCGCGGCAGACCGCGGCGCCCTCCGAGACCGAACGTGAGGTACTGATAACGCTGGGGTCCGAGCTTACGACAGCTGTGAAGGTTCGCTGACTTCTGATATAAATGCGACACCTCGTGGTATGCACAACAGCAGACACTACTATCCTCGTCTCATGTGTGCATCTCTGAGCGCGGAAGGAACCCAGAGGGTGGGTGAGCACAGACCTCGTGAGGGGGCAGCCATTCACATTACTGATGTTTGAACTACGCTAAGACGCGTCGGTTCAGTACAAGCAACATTCACCCCAATATAAATTTCTGGGAATGCCATACGCACCACTCCTCATTCCAATTGTTCCAATTTTCATGTAGCAATAGGAGACCCAGTTATGCGAAGGTCTCTGAGATTCTGCATGACATCCCGAGCACTGCGCAACGTTGTTTCGTACCTTCGTCGAATGGTTGCCCACCCAGTATCCCTCACGCCTCGCCTCTGACCTTCGAGCCTACGCATGAAGTCATTCTCGATCCCCCGCTAACCCAACGAACGTATCGTGATTCCCCGGCCTTTACAACCGTAGTCCAAAGTCAACTCCACCGACCACCCTCCCCCAACCAATCAGATCCCGCCCATCCACCACTCCACCGCTCCGTCCTGAACAAGCGTGACAAAGTTAACTGCATAATGACGCCTTGTAGAGGTGCTGTGAGACCGTGAATGAACATGTGAACAAGCCCTCAACTGCCTAGGTCTTATGTGACATTGGGACTAACAACGCTCTAAAGCAATGTAACAAAACCGCTCAGTCCATCTTTCATCAGATCGACGACTCGAAAATACAGCACTCCTACAGCCGCAAAACGCTATCCCGGCCCCAGTCCAGCCCACGCTTCTGCGGCTCCCCCGTCGGCGGGTTCTCCGCCCTTGGCACGCCCGGAGCCCCAACAACAGCACCACCCAGCCCCTCCAATCCCCTCAGTCACTCGGCTTCAGCGTACCTTTTCACTTGAACAATACTACAATTACTATCTTCTTCCTCCCCTCTCCCGCGAACACAGCCAATATACAAATGACCCTTCTTCTACTCAATCATGAAGCGAAGCCCAAAGCCAAATCATCCCAAAGAGCCGTCCAATACACCATTCGGTCAAACACCTCCAACGCCCATGCATGAGTTAAAGATACTAAGAAAAGCCCGAAAGCATCACATCATGCTCTTCAGCAATGCGAAAGAAAGAACGACGGGACCGCCCACGCCTACGACTCGACACGGCGCTCATCAGTGCGGTAGGTTGTGGTAGTGGTGGTACAGCAACGCACGGTACGCCCTCACGAAAACCACCCGCATACTCCTTGTCGCAGAAAGTAGCACCAGGAACCGCCGCATGCAAGGTCCGACTGGAAGCAAGCAGGAAACAAAATGCACGCAACAGGTCCCCGACTAGAGATAACAAGGTCGTTGGGTTCGACTCTACCTCACACCAGCGACAGCAGCGTCCCCGACAAACTGCGATGCAGTGCGCCCGCAATCGTCCACACCCTCTTCGTTGGCACCGGACGCTCAGGTAAGGGTCCTTGGTCCCCCTAGAACCGCTCCCTAGGTCCGTTGCCGTGGTTCTCGAACAGGTCATCCAGATACGCGCTTGGTGCACGTCCTCCGGTCGTCGATCCGCCCGGTACATTGAGAGAGAGTTGACTTGCGCTTCCATGGTCGTTGCCATATACACCTGCTCTTCCTGAGGGTGATCCAAGGGTTGCGACACTGTTCCGGTTGTATATGGACAAGCCGTCGCGAGAAGGTGGTGCACGGTCGTAACCCCGCGATGGAGGAAGCGATGGGGACTGCGGAGGCGAGATACCTGAACGAGAACTGAAACGATTTCCTGGCATGGCCAAAGAGTGCGTGGACAGATGCGATCCGGCACCGCCAACATGGGTCACGGGCGAGCCTTGCGCAGCCTGTGCGTTACCAGCAGCGTAGTAGCCTGCTGGCAAGTATTGTGACGACCGGTTTGCAACAGAGTCGCGCAGGCCAGTGCTGCCACCAGCAGTAGGAGAAAAGAATAGGGAGTTCGACTTGGGAGGTGTGCTTGTGGCATTGTTCGCGAAGGGCTTGGGGGGCCTCGATGTTCCCGTTGGTGCAGCTGAGAGGTGATCGAGGGACATGGTAGAGCTTGCGCCGACAACATTGTACATCCCCCGTTTCCTGCCGCCAGGAAAAGCTGACTGGTCCTTGAGATCGGCAAGGTTTTGAGCCAACGCAGCGCGCTTGACAGAACGGTGCAGCGACCATGCTACAAGGCCTCGCCAGACGAGCACACCCAACCCAAAGAAGGCCAAGATGGCGCCTACACATATGAAGACGGTACCGTCTGGCAGATCAGACTTTTGCATGAAAGCTGCCCCGGCGGTATCTGGCACTCCCACGACGGGTATGCCGACACCTGCCTGCGAGGGGAGAAGAGATAGAAAGTTGCCTGCGCCACCCTGTGTTTGCGTGGCATCTGCAGATGTGCTGGTAGTGACGGGCAGTGTGGAGACGAAGTTGCCGGAGTTGGAGGACCCTGTGTCGGTCGATTTGGGTGCAGCAGTCGTGGACTCGGCTTGATCCGTGGACTTGTCTTCCGTCTTCGAAGGCGCATTAGTTGTTTTCGCCGCGTCTGTTGTCTGCGCGGCTGCACTTGTCTGTGTCTCCTTGTCGGTTGCCTGGGTGGCGCTCGGCTGGTTCGTCGTCTTGCTATCCTGGTTGTTCTGCGCAAGGACTACTGGTGCGGCAAGGGCGAGCACGCCCGCGAGGCGTATGGAAATTCGCATGGCGGCGAGTTGTGTCCGGTATGGAGGGGCGAACGAAGGAGAAGGCGTCGGTGGACGCTGGCGGAGGGCCGCACGATCAGGGGCGCGGTTCGGCTGATGGGTGCTGTCTCAGGATGCCGTCGTGGCTAAGGGGCGGAGGCGCGGGAAGGAACTTGTTGTTGTCGATTGACGACGGTTGCTTTGGTAAACGAATGACGGGATAGCGAGAGGCGGAGAAGAGGACCCTTCCGGGAACTGGTGGTCGAGGGTTCAGGGAGGCGTGTGGGTGACGCTGGAGCCCGCAGGGAAGAGGATGCCTGAGCGCGGGTCCAGCAAATTGGCACTAGGGGGTTGGCGAACGTGGAGCAATGACTCGGGCTGGGAGGATTGGCAGCGAGGGAACTGCGGTATTAGCATGCGAATGTAACGATTCGGATGTGCACACTGTGCGGGAGCGACGGCGCGGCACGTTGCGTGAACGATGCAGGGCTCAGCTGTGCGTGCTCGTGGCCTGTATGAGGCTTCTTGTGTTGCCAGAGCCCGGAATGCGCCGCGTGACGCTAGGCCATCGTCCCAAAATAGCAGGGATGAGTTGCGAACTCTTGGCGAACAACTTTGAAGCTTCCAAAAAGTTTATCGATAGTCGACGCAGTTGCGCCCACGATACATCCACACATCCCGCCGCCATGGGTGTCGCAAAGAAGACGCGCAAGTTTGCGCAGATGAAGCGCGTGATTGGTGCGTGCTTCGCACACCAGCCTCTGACCGTTGCTAACACGCGCAGGCCAACGAGATGCCCGACTGTATGCGCCCGCGCCCCGGATCTGCCCTGCTCAGATGCCCCCTCGTCGGCCGATGCCGCAGTTGCTGCGCTTTTGTTCCTCCGGCTGACGATACTGCAGGAAGAAGAACCAGATGTCGGGCGAGCTAGAAGCCAAGAAGAAAGCCGACACCGAAAAGGCCAAGCGAGAGATCCCCCAGGCTCCTTCCTCCATGTTCTTCATGGCCGTGAGTGCATACCGCACGCCCAAGATTCCCCCGATCTGACAGTTCGCAGAATGAGGCGCTTGGCCCGCCATACCGGGTGCTCATTGACACCAACTTCCTCTCCCACACCGTGCGCGGGAAGCTAGAGCTTCAGAAGTCTCTCATGGATTTACTCTACGCAAAAGCTACGCCCATCATCTCGTCGTGCGTCATGGCGGAGTTGGAGAAACTGGGACCCAAGTACCGGATCGCACTGCGCATTGCGCGAGACGAAAGATGGGAGCGGATAAAATGCGACCACAAGGGAACTTATGCAGACGACTGCATCGTTGATATGGTCACGAAGCACAGGATATATCTGGTTGGCACAAATGGTACATGCTGTCTTGCTACAAAAGTGCTTTTCGGACATCATACTGACCAGCAATTGCAGATCGCGATCTAAAACGAAGAATCCGCAAGATCCCCGGTGTCCCGATCGTCAGCGTTGCAAAGGGCAAATACGTTATCGAGAGGCTGCCCGATAACCCTGATAGCAAGTAGACACGTTGGATGGAAGACAACACAGGATAGGCGCACAGAGGCGGGACTTTGGCTCGGCTTCGTATGCATAGCGATGGCGTTATCACGGTTGGCGGACCTCGCCCAAGGAAAACAAATCTGCATTATAGAAGCATTCTCCACGTATTGGGACTGCGTATGGTTCATATGGTCGAATGCAATGTTAGCTTTCTAACATGAAGCCTTGTTCATCTCCTTCCGGTCAACACATCTAATGGCACTGGCCCTTGAACTTTGCCTTGCTGCCTAGCGGTGCCTATGACAGCTCCTGGCGATTGCTGCTGCCAAATTGCCGTTTTTGGATGGTGTTGGGTACCAGACTGAGATGCTACCCTTTAGTGTTTTGATTGAATCGCAAGTGGCGTGCTGTGATCCGGTGAAATCATGGAGCTAACCATGCAACACACCAAAAAGCCCCCAGTCGACATGAGACTCTTTGTTCTACCGCTCAAGATGAAGAGCCTGAAGTAACCGCAACTGGACGTCGGGCCTTGTTTCTTTCGTGTGAGAGCCGCACATTGCGCACATCATCAAGCTTCACCGGAACTGAGAAGCTATCTCTCGAAGAGGGATTTCGTAGACACAGATATATTCACGAGCGGTATACTATCTGGTGCTAGCAGTGTCAGCTCGTGTAGCCCTGGCTTGAGCCTCACAGAGCGACATGGTAGATCGAGCTCAGCTGGCAGCTTGGCCGAGTAATCGTATCCCGCTAACATTACGGTGGCATGTATGATCGCGGAATGTTTGTAGTGATGCACTCGATTCTCTGTCGCGATGAGCCACAATGAGTATAACAAGACGTCTCTCCCATTTGTCGGTGTGCATCGCTTCGATAGTGCAGCAAAAGATCGCTCGCCAAAGCCTGGCTGTCTGGGGTGCAGCAGTTCGTTGCCTTGTTTGTGGCGTAGGCGAATCGTTCAGAGGCTCTAAACCCCATTTTGAGGCCGGTGTGCATAGTTTCGGTGAGTCCCTGCATCCGGGGCTGTGCGATGACCTCACGCTAGACCACGAACCCACCAATATCCACAACCCAACGCTTTTCGATGGCAATACAACCTTGAAAGAAACATCGACATTGCAGACTGCAGTTAGATCTCGTCAAACTGAAGAAACCCACACCACTGGTCCACGAAAGCACATGGCCGTCCTTGCCGCCATTCTTCCGCTCGTTTCTCAGAGCTCAGCACTTGCACTCGTGCTCTACCGGCTAGCTGCAGTAGATGCTTACGCCGCCAAAGAGCTTTTAAGGGCTGCGAAAGCGATTTCGAATTTGGCGCTGATAGTGAAGGAAGTCGGGACAATAATAAAAGAGGATGATCGATTACCATCGGCCGAAGTATGTATGCTTTTCGTGATGCACGCCACTTGATTCTAACGCGACACGTAGGCTTTCGAAACTATCGAGGATATTCTGGACCAAACTTCGACCATTTTCAACGAAATAGATCTTCTGGTATCAGGCCAGGATGCACAAAGAAAGAGACGATCGTATGATGAGCACCAGGATGGAAATCAAGCGCCCACGCTCACCCCGCAAATGTTGGCGAGGTTACACTACCTCGATGCTCATCTGGATTCGCTGAGGACTACGTTGTCAGTGATGCTGCAGACTTTGTATACAGCACAGAGTATTATGTGGGCACGGTACGAATCCATTCTGTTTCACTGACTGCGACAATTTCTGACAGTCGCGCAGAGTCAGACCCACAGTCTCACCGAGGCAGTGCGCCACCGCAGTGGCAAATGAGAAGCAACAACTAGAGACACTCATCATCGACCAGCAAATCTCAATACTGCAGGCATCAAAACTATATGAACGGGCGCGGCCAGATGCGCGGTTGCTGATGGAAAATGACAGCTCTTTGAGCTTGAGTATCGTCGACGAAAATGCACCTAGTCCGGCAAGCTTGGCCAGATATCAGGACAAGTTCATCGCCACTCTAGACACTCAAAGTTCCGACGAACAGCAGTGGCTGGCGTCAGTATGTGGTATCTCAAAATCGCAACTAGACCGCTTGTTGGATAGGTGGACCAGGCTGCACCAGTTCGAGGAAGAACTACTTGACGCGGAACGTAAAGTTCAAGCAAAGAAACGAGAAACCCAACAGCCATTCGTCGAATCAGATAGTGAGGACGATATAAACCCGCTGCCAAAATTCGGTAGCAGTGGCGTTGGTCTGGACTCCCATGTTCCTCACAGACCGGACGCAATCCCGCCTCTGTTCACAGAGTCGTCTTCGCTACAAACCCCAAAGTCAACAACGCATCAAAATTGTACAGTGCCCGCATCCCCCCGATCGAGTATTTCCACCCTACCCGTGGAAGCAGCGGCAGCTGTTGAAGCAAAAGACAAGGACGTCGGACTAGACCTGGAGATCCCCTGGACACTACGCACGCGCAGATACTACTGGAAATATGTTGACGGCAAAGTCCAAGAATCCAACACGGACGCACCCTCCTCGGAAGCATTTGCCCACCGCCACAGCTGGACTGAAGTACAAGCATCCTGGGTCTGCAAGGAAGCGCTTCAAGAATCAGGCTACTCCCACACCCAAGTACAGAAAGAGATACCGGATGGGAGACGCACCAAGTTCGAGACGTGGTTCTGCATAGACCAGCCTCTGACCTTCGACCAAGTCCAGCACCTCGTTGAGCGAACGGTAGAACTCTACCGCAAGACGCAGCCACCGTCACCGCCACTCGTCAGAGAGCGTACACGGCGGACGTCTTTCGAACGTCGGACCCAGGGCTACGTACCTCCGGACGCAAGCAACGACCGCGACCGCACGCCGATCCCACCTCAAGCGCGACCGCCACCCCTCGAGCGCTCTACAACCGCATACCATATCTCGCAGCCCCCACCCCTCGACCGAGCCCTCTCAATGCCCGGCCAAGCAGCCCCCTCCTACCCTCCAAACCCCCGCTCCAGCAACATCCACCTCCCACCCCCATCCCCGCGAACCAGTAACCCGCAGATTCCACCCCCTCAAGCAACACCTATACCCATCCCTCCCCACCCCAGCACAAATCCGTCCTTCCTTGCACCCTCTCCCCGCTCAACACGCAGCTTTGTGCCACCAACGCCATACCAACCGCCTCCCCCTCCGCCCCGCCATCTTCAGCCCCCGATGTCGACGTACGGACAATCACCCCTCCGCGCATCGCTGGATGGCGCGCGGTATGAGCACTATTCCAGCACGTCTGGGGCTTCGGACAGCGAGAGCGTCACGAGGAGTCGGAAGAGGGATGGGAGTCGGCGGCGGCGGCGGGGGTCGGATGAGAGGCGGAGGAAGAAAGGACATGGGCATGGGAAGGCGGGGGCGTTGATGGGGGTAGCGGGGTTGACGGCGTTATTGGATGGGTTGGTGGGGATCTGAGGGAATTTGGCAGAATGGAGGGTTGGATACGTTTTATGATGAGTATGAGTTCGAACAGACACGGCATATGATGTGTTGCGATTAAGGAGATACCTTTTTTTTTTGGAACCGCACAGATTTTACAAATTATGGGTGCGTGTGATTGCCCAGAGAGGAGCAACCCGTCCGGGCAGGCAGATTGTCTCATCACTTCATATATAGAGCTATGAAGAAACAAGCGCAGATATACACTGCAGTTGTACTTGTTCATGGGTTGTGAGCTACGTGACTTGATTCCAACATACTAACGTGTAGACAAAACGGACTATCAAGGCCTTTCTAGATATTATTCAGTATACTCTCACACCTTCCCGATAGGACATCGGCCATTGCTGTGGGGATTGAAGTATTTGACTGGAGAGGAGGTTGTTGAGGCGCCAGAGCAATGGGATGCGGGTGAGCGCAACGTGTATCGACGTACCATCGACTTCGAGTACATCCGGACAATAATGAAGCGGGCACTGTCTCAATCCCCGGACCTAGTCCATCATGGTTGATATTGAGTGCCCAGACCATTTGCATTATGCCGTGGTCGTCTTGCGGCACTCATAGGTAGTCGACTCTCATTGGTTATACGCTCTTAGCGCGCACTTTGGGCCACCATCCACCTCCGGAAGGAAGTACATACCGATCTCCTTCAACAATCATTTGCCGCCCCGGTGTTCTTGTCAATATGGGCAACGTTCTGCTGCATTCTCCCTCATCCACCGATTCGTCTTTCTCTGGGATTCCACGCATGCTGAGAAGATAATGTGCATTGGCAGCTGCATGGCCTGGTGTCAGTGGGCATTGTTTGCTCCCGCCGCAGATGCATTCTCGAACCCGAGAGCTCATCCGGCCTGTCCGAAACGACACACCTGTTTGTGGCGCGAGGAGAGATGTCGAAGAGAACGCACGGAGGCCTTGGTGCAGCTTCGATTGCTAGAACGCACTGGCTTGTACACCAGCCGTCTTATGCACCCGCAGCCGTCTTCGGGAAGCGACAGCGACTGCTGCACTGTTGTCCAAAATCCCCAAATCCATTACCGCTGATGCCGCCACATACGAAGAAGGTCATCGGATAAGGCAGAAGGGAGCAAGTCCTTGACTGAAATCCATTCGAACTCCAGATTGTCTTGAATGCATCATTCGGGTATGAGAGTCTACGCATGCCTGGTTCGTATCGCTCGCAATCTGCACAAAATGCTCTGATACATGCACTAGGGTGAACTTTTTACCGTGTCCAGATGCATGGAATAGAGTATTGAGCTGTAGCAAAGCTACAGACTCGCTCTCGCGTCATGTATAGCCTGACCGATGTACGCAACATCGAGAGCACCGCATGTGCTATCGAAACCAAGGTGACACGGTAACGCTGGTGCCTGTAGACCCCTGTCAGCGAGTCAGATATCTCCGTGCACGATTTCAGTCCAGTGTCGCCTAAACATGCCTATAGTAGGGAATACATGCAACTAGTCGCCTTGATGAACGGGACCTAGTGCTGTCATTCCAGGACTGTGGGTTTTCTGTCACCAGCATACCTGATGTTCCAGTGCACGAGGGACACATCAACGCAGTGGAGAACGATTCGACTTTAAAGCTGCCAAATCCATAGGATGCAACCTCTACACGTTTGCAAGCTGGCAGGGGTTGTGGAAGGGGTGGTTTGCTGCCTGTACTAGTAAAGCCATATCCGGAAAGAGTAGCCTGATAATGCGCGAATCGCGTGGGAATCTAATCGATCTGAAGAAGTCCTCGCTCATGGGAAGGATTCTTCCAGTGTTGATCAGATGTGCCTGCTTTATTCACCCTATCACAGAGCCGCAACAGCGAAACACCCGCTCTAGAGAAAGTCACACGGCGAATACTTGAAGCACTTAGACCCTTCACTTCTGCTCTTTGTTACGCTTGTAAAGCAAAAGTCACATCCACTCACCGGAACACTTTCCCCCGAAGCCGGGGTGTTATGCAGGCCTTCGGACGCACTTATCATCCCGATTGCGCTCCTTTGAGCTACCGTTAGGCGCCCTTCAGCAGGCCCAGCCACAGATCCTATGCAAGACATTCGATTGCGCTGTGAAAGCCCGGGAGACTGACGGGGTTCTGGGGTAAAGCTCCAGCCAACACACTGGTCCTCTTTCAGGGCGACATGGAGGTGATAGCACGAACGTTTCACGTTGCCCCATACTTCGCCCTTCAGCGTTTGCTCCGATTCCATGCGCCATTCACGGCTTCCACAGAGCGGTTGTATGTTTGGAACATGCAGCTTTTGTCCATAGCTTTTGAATATTCCTCGGCGATGCGTCTTTGCTCCTTTATGCGTCGTCTCACGGCTGTGGCATCTGAATGCTCGCTCAACTATTAGCATTGCACAGGCTTGAGGCGGAGCGCAGCTCGGATCGCACGCCTTATATTCTGACTTCCGCGATTTGACCATGCGTCCGCAAACAAACAACCTAGCGATCAGGCGGTCGCCTGCAGCCTGCAGCCTGCAGAAGGGGGCCAAATTTGGCCAGTCATGTTTGCATACTTATGGTGTGGCCGCAATGTCCTATTGCATAATGCTTTTGCTTGTAATGCTGGGCTATCACTAGTATACACCGACCTAGTGCCAGGTGGCTAGGACTGCGAAGCCTGCTCAACCACAAGCAGGATGCTGCAGGTACGGCACATCAAATTTCATTTGTGCGATGAACCGTCTCGCCCTGCGCAGACCTACTTCCGTTTGAAATACAGTGTGACTAGGATTCTGAGCTAGCACGACCTGCAGCCTCCCGCCTGCATACCACATACGCCTGCTGACGAGATCTGCAACGCAACCCGCTGAATGCATCTCTATACATTTCTCCCCTCCACGTATCAATACCTGTGCTCATAATCTCACGTCTTTTCTATAAACTATTCGAGCAACGGGTTCAACATTCTTCATCTGGTCGCGCTGCTCAGCGGCTCCCAGGGACAACTGGCACTTATAGTGTCCACTTCGTTGGCGATAACGGTTAACGATTAAGTACCCGGGCATTGGTTAGCTACTGTTTCAACCTTGGGTGCGACATCATGTCTCTCCGACAATGCTTGAACTAAGACATGATGCAGTTTGCAAGCAATATGGAGTTCGAGCATGCATACCGATACGGATCGTATGCTAGTACTGGGTACCCACTACAACATTATCAGCTCAATGGACGAGACCCGACGTTCCCAATGCCTAATGGCGCAAGGATAAATCGGCGAGTGTGCCCAGTGCGAGGTCCGATTGGCGGCGCGAGACTACACATTCGCGGAGATGACAATGAGACTGGACCGTCGAGGCGCCGTGTTGCTGTCGCGGTGAGCTATGCAATATTGAGCTGGCGGTTGCTGCGAGATCGCTGGGTGAGATCAAACAAGGACTGACATTAGTAGTGTGCTCGGTGTAGAAAGCGGAAGATCCGCTGCAGCGGCGATCCTGGAGACGGCACCGGTTGTCACAATTGCACCTCAGCCGGAGTGGATCCATCGCACTGCCAGTTTCATCGCGTAAGCTTTTATCCAAAGGGGGACATCTTCATTAGTTGACCGTCTACAGGTTGGCTCGGGTGAGGCCGCAAGCATGATTGATCTTCACAACTTCAACCAGATCGCAGACACCCACCAGACAATGATGCAACTCTACAATCCCCCGTCGAGCCCCGTTCGATCGCGACCTTTGACATATCCTTCCGGAATAGACAACAAGTCTATCATGCCTCAGGCCTGGTACAGCTCTCCATTTAATTCCGAAGAGACCTCCCCAGTGGAGAACTATGGTTTAGATCAGTCCTCTGCATACCTTCCGACGCAACAGGCATACAACGGCGGTTATGATTGGAGCACCGATGCCAAGCCTGCTACAAACAGTTACCTGGGTCCCGACTCTACTACGTACCGTGGTCTACCATACGCGCAGCACAACATCCGGAACGTTGCGAGCTCTGATGCACTCTCTCACAGTATGACGTCGCTTCAACTCACACTGCCCGAGAGGCCGCATACACGTTCCGGTCTTCCGGTTTCACAGAGACCCCATTTGCCAATCCCGCAACCGTCACCTGCGCAAACAACCCGCAACGTTGTTGACCAACTGCAAGATCGACGCCTACGCTCCGTCCAAGCGATGGGAGGATCTTCTCTTAGCAACGGAGGTTTTGTGAAGCCTCCTCTTCCCTTCAGCAGCGACACAGATGTTCATGGCACAACCACAGTAGAAGTACTCTCAACTCAGATTACCTCATCTGCCCCAGCATCTACCACGGACACTTTATCTTGCTTTGCCAACACTACCACGAGTACTGAGGCAATTCCAGTCACTCCGGCTCCCCAATTCGACTTCAGCACTTCGCCGCTTTTCGATGCTATGCCAGCACCTGCTCAGCCAGCATATTCCAACTTTCGCGACAGTCAAGACTACAAGGCTTTGACTACATCACCAACCAAAGATATGATTTCGATGGCTCGACAGCTGTCGCGCAACAATCTCTATAGTGTTGCAAGTGCTTCCAGCTCGAAGAATGCTTCGGGTGCCAGTGACTCGATGCTGGTCAGCGGCCATCGATATACGCCGTTGAGCCAGACCCAAAACCACCCTCAGCACCAAGAATCTTCCAAATCCGCGTCAAACAATACCGCATTCCCTGTGCATCGCAGCGTTCCTGCGACTTTCAACAGAACTTATTGATTTCTCAGTAAGTCTGCTTGCTATTGTATCTCGAGCGCCGCAGTGTCCCTCAATGCCGGAGACCCAGGCAACAACCTAGGTAACGCGTGGAGGGGCAACCGTCAACCTTTTTCACTGCATCTATATCCTTCTCGAGACTTTTCAAAGCTTGGAGTCACTTACGGCCGAGGATCTCGATTGTGTGCACACTATATCTCGCCGCGTTTGTTTCATGGCATTAGTAAAAGCATTTGGCGGCGTACCGATCTGATCTGGAGCGGACACACTGCGAAGATTCGCATCTATTGAAAGACTCATTACTAGATCCACATGGCTCGGCGTCAGTTTTTGGACTTCTTCTCATCACCACCAAATAGCGTCATCGCCATTGGCTTTGATATTCGATTTCGCATTGTATTTCCCCGCTTTTACTGTTATTCAACCGACCTCCCACTTTCACTACCTTCTGAACACGGTTCTGGACTGGTGTATCCGGGCTCTCGAAGCGCATGAAATATTTGCTCTATCTACCGCTCTGCTAAGTTGCATTAATGTTCTTACGGTTATTATATATCGGTATCATGTCCACCTCCGTCCTCTGTACAGCTAGGAACACTGTTTACACCCTAACATCTGCTTCCGACGGCAAGTTTTTACATTTTCGGAAGGCCAACACACTCGCTCCACCCGACTGCGTAGATCGCTCATGTACCACCGCACTCATGTATGGATAGGAAGGCACTTTACGGAAGACTTGGAGCGGCATGCGCCAACCTGGGGCACCATCTCGTACATTACAGATTCATAATGAAACCCTCAGAAGCAACGTTCTCACATCCACTCGGGACGTCCAAACAGCCTTTGCCCACGCTCCAGCCTGACCCACAACCAACGTGCCACAGGAAAATCCCTCACAGAGAGTATGCCCAGCGACCACGCACGCACGCACGCACGCTTCCCAATCCAGCCACCGCTCACCCCAGACCGCATGTTTCAAACGCACAGATCGATATAGGCATGCACCCCTTCTGCTTGAAGATGCTCGTGCATGTCCGTCTATCTGACCCACCTGCCTTCTCCTCGCCTCCCGTCCGGACCCACACTGCCAGCAGTCTCCACTGTGCATGGCAGCGACCAGTTGCCTTCTGTGCGTGACGCGTGCAAGGATCATCCAGGATGTGATGGTGCATCTGCAGGTGTGGCAACTTCAGGGCCGCAGACGCGCAGCACAGGTGGGGCGTGGGGGGATTGTGCGACGGCGTGATCGCGGTTGTGTGACGTGGGCTGTGAGCGGTGAAGAGGGCCTGAGTTGGGGGAATTGGGGTGAAGTGAAGCGGATGACGTGTGATTGAAGTGATGAGGCGAGGGGGTATAAGGGAATTACCGTGGGGGCGGAAAGGACGGTGAAGGTGTGAGTGTGTGGGGGTTTCAGGAATGTCTGTCCAAAAGGGGTGTAGGTAATGCGGAGAGTTGGAACGAGAAGTGTTTGCTCGGCTTTCGCGCCACCATCCGGTGTGTGAGGGCACGTGTGTACTGTGCTAGTTTAGGGCTGGTTCTGTGATACCATGGTGGTCGATTGCTTGTTAAGGCAATGGCAAGTGCCGTGAATAAGTAATGTAGTTGCATGACAGTGTCTGCTCATGCTTATGGAGTGTGATACTATACATGGGAACCAAAAGAAGAGGCCAAGGCTCTTTTCATGATCAATTGCAAAGTCAGCGTAGTAATGGTCGTCACTACCAACTTCTTGAGGGCTTAGACGACTTCCGCGATGGTCTTTTGCGTGATCAGGTCTGTCGCATGAGAGAAGCCTTCTCATCCATCCGTGTAGAAAATCCTGGTCTTGGTTCAGCTTTTAGAGTTTTGGATACATGCTTCTGTCATAGTCTTCATTGTATCCAGCCAACTTCAACACTCCCTCAATCCTCTCCACGCAACCACTCCCTCATCCACGCCACCATCGCCCGTTTTGCCCTGACCATTGCCCTTCTCTCCCGCTCATCCTCCAAATTCCCTCTTGTAGCAAACGCATGCTCCACTCCATGAAAATACTGATAGTCATACGGCACGCCCTTCGTCGGGATAACCTCGTTCGCATACGCCTTCAGCTCGGGCGTGAACGCGGCGTCGATTTCCGGCGCGCAGATCTGCACCGGGACGCCGATAGTGTCAATCTCATCTCTCGTGAGCCAGGTCGGGTGGGCTGTGGAGATGCCTAGTATCTGATTAGAGGAGAGGCCGATTGATGAAGTGGGGACATACAGTCCACCAGGCCATTCAGGTTCTTGTCCCCGAGTCTGAACAGACTCCACCCGCCATAGCAGTACCCAATAACACCCACCTACCAATGTGCGCACGTCAGCAGATCCCTTCACCTCCCCTTCTCACCACCTTCTTCATACGTACATACCTTATCATACTTAGCCCTCAACGCCCTCGCGACACCCAGAATCTCCAGCCACCTTACATCCTTCGCATTCTGCTTGCTCCACTCCTCCAAATCAAATTCATTCCAGCGATTGGTATTAGCTATAATCGCGGGGTCGATGACTTGGCCGCCGAAGCTTTATCCACATCAGCAAACACGAGACCGGAAGCAGAATGGTGAAACAGGATAAGGCGACGCACAAGTCAGGCATGTACACCGTAGCCGGAGTCTCAGCAGCGTAAGCGTCACAGAGGAGCCTTGTGTTGGTGAAGGACCAGCCAAAGAGGTCTGTAGTCGTTAACTTAGTAGGAACGCGCTTGAAAGCTGACGATGGGAACACAAAGATGGTCGTGGGTAAAGGTTTGAGATCGCAAGGGCAACGTACCTGCTATGACTAGTATAGCGACCTTATTGCTGTCTCCCACAATGTAGGCGTTGTTGTCTGCGATCCTGCCTTCGCTACCTATGGGCGTGCCATCCCATTGGAAGCCGGAGATGCAGCATTCGGTCACCATTATTGCTGATGTCCTGGAAGTATTACTTGCAACGCCTACCAAAGTTCGATTGTGGATGAGGCCAAGTTTTCTTTAAAGGAATACACCCTGCAAAGCATGACGGAGTTCCGGTATGGACCTTGGTCAGCAGACGCATGCCTACGAAAACAAAGGAGCGCTAAAAAGGTTCCACACTGAATCATTGCCTCAAGGTCACTCGATTTCCATGAATGGGATGACAAAATTGATATAATTGGAAGCGTGTCGGCGTTTAGTGTCCATGGAGGCCCGCGTAGCACCGCGGACCTCCGAAATGTCCTTGCAGACTCGCAGTAGCTACCAACGCCTCATTCACGCATCTGTTTTGGGAACGAGAATCCAATAAGATCCTTTCAAAAAATTGTACCAGATGTATACGCATCGAAGTCGTACCGCATTATGCTCTCTATCGGTTTCTTCCATAGATGCAACCCTGCAACATTTCGAGCCCAAGAACGCCAACCCGTGGTATAGAAGCATGCAGACGCTGGAACGGAACAAACTAGACACCAACGCTAAGATCGGCTGTGAAATCCCTCTTGATGGACAGATCCTCGTAGTTTTCTTGGTTGATGATTTCGAGTCCTTTCTCGTTTGCCAAGTGCAAAAGACATATAAACCCGTAAGACGTCGAGATCTCATTGTACTTTTGTGGATGATACATGGGCTTGAGGTCTTTCAAGACCTGTGTGAACTTGAGTGAGCCGTCCACAGCTTTCGAGGCAGTATCGTCCATTGCATCTTTGGAAGGTGGTGCTTCAATCTGCTGTCTGTTAGTTCGTGACTTGCGCATGCGATGATGAGTTGAGCGTACCTTTTCCAAGCCCATACCAGTCCATAAGTTGTCCTTCAGTAGTCGGACGTCTACGTTCTTCGCTTTCCGCGCATAGTTCAACATTATCGGACGAGTTCTTCCGATTCCAGTGACCAGCTGTGTTCCGAACGCGCCCTCTTCGGTGGGTGGAGGCATAGATGACATGGGCACCATGTTGTCACTAGGTGGCGGCGAGAAATGATCCCGCGCATCAGCAAACGTTTCACCATCATCATCCATTCCGCCAACCATTGGCAACGGGCCATCCTCGAAGAAATTGGCATCGTAGTCGTTTTGCGGTGCAAGCTCCTCGTCTTCCGCTGCTCTTTCGTCTGCCAAAGCTGCCCATTGCGCGGCATCAGGCTCGTCGTTGGCGGTTGCACTTGGCCTGTCTCCATAGGTCGGTCGGTTGACTCTCCGGGCGCCTAGTCGAACGTTTGGCTTCAAGAAGAGTCTTAGCAATTGTCGGGAGTTGAAGTGTTTGTCATCTGGCGCTAGGTTTCGTGTCTTTGACTTCCACTGCGATTTAGGCAGCATGATGCTGGCTGCTGATGGAGCCGGAGCATATAGCGCATTTGCCAGCTCCTGGCTCATCGGGGAGAAGAAATCGATCTTGAAAGGTTCTTTTTCTTTGCGCTTTGGAGGGGCAACGGTTTTGCCAGAATCCTTGACGCGACGAATGCGCCAGTGCTCAGGGCCAGCCCAGTTCTTCTTCAAAGCCTCATCAAAGTAGCTAAGGATGTTTTCCTGCTCTTGACCCGGTTTTTGGCCATGCGTCAAGGTGTAGGGATCATCCGCATTGAGTTCACCGTCGCCGGCTTCACCAACTTCTTCATCGCCTTCGGCCGCTTCGATGTTGTGGACACGTGCTTGTGGTTCGAGTGCAATCTGGTTGGCGTACAGCTCACCGCCCTCGCCGAACCCAACTTCTGGAGGTAGGTCGAAGCCAGCGCCGTCGTCATCACCGAAGTCTGGTGCATTATCGCCATCAAGGAACATACCAGACTGGTTAGCAGCTTCGTCGTCATCCTGGTGTTTTGGCTCTTCTTCTTCTTCTTCTTCTTCGATGGCCTTCAGAAACGGCAAGTTCGTTGATGCGTTGGGATCTCCAAGCTCAAAAGCTTTCATGGAAGGGCAGATGTCCTGGCCGTCTAACCGTGAGAGATCGGGGAAGTATTTGGCAGCCAAGCCCGAGATGTCGATGACGGCGTCCTCAGACGGCTCATCGACCTCTTCCTCGTCGTCTGCCTCTACTCCGAGCCCCTCCGGTGCCGGAGTTTCCCTTGATGGCTGTGTACCATCTTTTATGTCGTCGCTGCTGTCGAATACAATCCTGCCGTTGCTGTCGATGGACAAGTGGTTCAAGAGCAAGCCCTTGGCGCCACCTTCGTCGAAGTCTGCAGAGGCTTTCTTGAACAATGGGTCCACAGAGAGGTCGAGATCCATCTTCTTGATCTGGAGCTGTTCGAACGAGTCCGCCAGACTCGACTCCTTCGCGCGCGGTGCCCGTTTCTTCTTCTTTTTCTGGCCGTCTTCACCCTCCTCGCCGTCACCGTCCTCGTCCTCATCGCCTGAGCCCTCGGCATCGCCTCCTCGCTTTTTCTTGTTTCCGCTCTCGGCTAGACCGCTGAGCAACTTGCTGGTGTCCGTGTTTATGCTGTCAACTCTGCTCGTGTAGATCTTGACACAACCGTCCAGCGTGACACTCGCTTTCTGAAAACTGATCCCGTCGCCTTCCTTCAAAAGAGACATGTCGTGGAAGTAGTCGATCAGCGCATAGTTGAAGGCATTGTTCGCATTGATTTTCTGCCACCAGTCAGTCCCATCCGTGCCCAGCTAAAGATGCCTGCTGCTTACGTTGTCTGCCGCCAGCCTGATCCATTCGTCGAAGTTGGCCAGAAGAGGCACAGGACGCTTCATAGGCGTAATGGCGGTTCCGGTAACGTCAGGCATGTCAATGTCCTGGTCTATCGCGGGCGTGTGAGGGCTGTCTTGGGTCCCGAGCGACCGCCGGTTCCGCTTCGGCGTCGCAGAAGCCCGCATCGACTCTCTCCGAAGCTTATCATAGCGGCGTTTCGCTTTCTCTTGTTTGTCATCGTTCAGCGGTACTCTGCAAGCTGCGTTAGCCGTCTGCCTGCATGCCTCCGCCGAAAGCGGGCGCGTACTTTGTTGTGGACGAGCGCTGGGGCGTCTCGGCCGCGCTGTACACGGAGCTGGGGCGCGGCATCGTGGATGGCCGTCGTCGTGAGGGTGCGGGTGGTGTTGTTTACTTGGTTCCTCACTCACAAACACGCCGCGCGCCAAGACACCAGTCGCGCTCGTCGCGCCTTCCCCGCTGCCGCCACGCCGCGCACTTGCCACAGTGTGGCTTAGAGTGATGATGCGACGCAAGCTCCTGAAGCTTGATTCCCAAGCGTCGTGTGCCGTTGACGTTGAATGTGAATGCTGCGCGCGCCGTTCGCATGCCGTTTGCGCGTTGAATCTCCTACCGCCATCTCCCTACACTTATTATTATCCTGCCATCGTCCGCAATCCCATACAAGTCCCAGCGCACACGCGCCTCGGATACCCGCATCTTGCGACGGCATTATCGCCGCCTCAACCCACTGCGTATCGAGCCCTTATCGCCACAGAGGTCGTGTCGCAAAGCTGCAGCGAAACCAGCTACCGCGAGACTCGTAATAAAATGCGGTGGTCATGAGCCTCTTTACTGCTCCAGAGCAACTCACAATGCGCCGGCGCTCCCGCTACTCCGCGCGCCCATTTGCGCTCACGATATTGGCTGTCTCGGTCTTGGTGCTGCTGGCATGGGCCAAGAGTGGGCAGGAGGACAGTGCGAGGACAGAGTTCGGGCCCAGCGCTGGTTTTGTAAGAAGAGATATTGCAGTTCGAGATCAAGAATGTCGCCTGGTGCATCATGCAAAGGACAAGTGCGCATTTGTCCGAGAGAACTGCCCAGACGAAGAGGCGGGCATCTTCTCGTACCTCACGCTGTACTACTGCCGCCTCCCGCATGCGAAACCTGTCGCATTCACTATTCTCGTACTATGGCTTGCGCTCCTTTTCAGCACTATTGGTATCGCCGCGAGCGATTTCTTTTGCGTCAATCTGAGCACCATCGCCAATCTCCTGGGCATGAGCGAGAGCATGGCCGGAGTCACCTTCCTGGCGTTCGGTAACGGAAGTCCGGATGTCTTCTCCACATTCGCCGCCTTCAATACCAATTCCGCAAGTCTCGCAATCGGCGAATTGATAGGAGCGGCAGGATTCATTACTGCAGTCGTGGCAGGCTCGATGGCCCTAGTGCGGCCGTTCAAAGTTGCGAGACGAAGCTTTGTCCGAGACGTGAGCTTCTTCATCGTTGCCGCGACCTTCAGTATGGTCTTCATATGGGATGGGAAGTTGACCCTGTGGGAGTCATGCGTTATGGTCGGGTTTTATGTATTCTACGTGTGCTTCGTCATGGTATGGCATTGGTGGCTAGGGCGTCGGAAAGCTCGAAAGCTTAGAGCTGCCGCGATGCGGAGTCACTTTGTTGTGCCCGGTGGTGAAGAGGAAGAGATCCCTCAGGAGTACCACGACGAAGACGACGCCCCGGCAAGCGCAGGCCGACCAAGCTTACACCGAGGTGTGTCTGCTGATGACTTTGCGGCCCTTGAACGTGGTGATGATTCCAGTGACTCTCTGGAGGCAGACGAAAATGAAGAGATGCGCGAAAGATGGTTAGGGGAACTGAACGACAATATGCGTGTCAGCAGACCACAAGTCGGACGCAGGAGAAACACCCATACGCCTATCAGACCCAGTTTGGTTGGCGCACTCGAGTTTCGCGCGGTGCTGTCATCGCTACAAAAATCTAGGAACATACAGACGATCCCGCTTAATCTGCGGCGGTATTCTGACGACCCAACATATACCACTGCACAGCAGCAGGACCTCATCTCCGGACCCTCCGATCCTGCGCAGCGGCCCCCATACGACGTGGAGCAAGGTCCTACTGAACAAACTCCCGTAGTCACTCGACCTACCCTAGAGATACAGAGAAATTTACCCAACCGTATGAGGGCCGTGTCTGCTAATGATGTAGGCAATGCCCGTTTAGATCCTGACACACTTCGTCCTTGGGCGGTGCCCACCATCCATTTTGGACCGGCTTCGGTGGACAATACCTTTATTGAACAGAACGCCGCAGATCTCCAACCACCGCCATCGCCGGTTATATCGCTCTCACCACCAGCGTCCGAGTACGACTCGTCAGCAACAAGTGCTCAAGTTCCTACGCTAATCCCGAACCCGACACCTAATTTGCTAGCACCGCCAATCTGGGACGGCTCCGGATCGACAGCGCGTTCGACAAATACTACTCCGAGCCCATTATCATCACCTATTTTAGAGTCCACGGTGCCATCACGCCCACAGCCCAAACTTGTTCTGTCAGGTCCTGTCTCACCTCCGATCCCGTTTCCAGCATATACCGAGTATCCAGGCTCAGCTCATAGTTCCAGGGCTCCGAGCCTCCGTCTGCCCCCTCCGAGTGTGTCTGCTGCCTCTCTGTCATCGGACTATTTCGCGGATCACATAATGGAAGGCAGCGATCGAGCTAAAGTGCCTTGGTGGTGGCCATCTACTATACTGCCGCCACCGATCGTTCTTCTGTCGACTTTGTTTCCTACCCTATGGAATTGGAGGGACAAAAACGTATGGGACAAAATGCTTGGCGTGGTTGCAGCACCAAGCGTCTTCCTACTCACGATAACTTTGCCTGTAGTAGAGCAAGAGCAAAGAGACGATGCTGGGGGCTCAGATCCAATAACGGTGTCCAGTCTCAGTCTGCCCGATGCTCTTCTGACGCCCACACACCACCGCAGCATGGTCTCGGGACCGGACGTCGAGAACCCCTCAAACGAAAACCCTCGCAGAGATCACAGCGCGATTTCACTCGGTAAATCTGATCTTCGGGGCAGAAATGGGAGTGCTGGCACAACCCGCCAGCCACAACAAATTATTGCCACGGCCGAGAGTGGAATCATGCAGTCACCCGAGCAGCTCCCATCAGCATCACCCTCATCTGGCCCGAAGACGTGGAACCGATGGCTCGTGATTGTCCAGACCTTCACAGCGCCATTTTTCATCATTCTCATAGTGTGGGCGAATACGGAGCTCGAGTACCCGCGTGCGCTCATTCGCCCGACCCTGTGGTCTCTTCTCGTGTCACTCTGCACGTTGGCTTTTCTCTTAGCCACGACGACACCGACACGTCCACCGCAATGGCGTTCAGCGCTTTGCTTTCTAGGCTTCGCCGTGAGCATAGCGTGGATCAGTTCCATCGCCAACGAAGTGGTAGGGGTGCTCAAGACGCTGGGTGTCATACTGAACATGAGCGATGCTATTCTGGGATTGACCATTTTCGCGGTCGGGAACTCTCTAGGGGACTTTGTCGCTGACATCACGGTGGCGCGGCTTGGGTTTCCAGTCATGGCTCTCTCGGCGTGCTTCGGGGGCCCGATGCTGAACATTCTTCTCGGTATCGGTCTGAGCGGGTGCTGGATCATCCTCAAAGGCGGGCGACACCACCACGAAAAGCATCCAGACAGGCCTATGAAGTTCAAGCCCTACAACATCGACATCAGCACTACGCTGGTCATATCTGGGGGTACCTTACTGGTCACCCTGGTCGGGCTTCTGGTTGTGGTACCATGGAGACGGTGGAAGATGGACAAGACAATTGGCTGGGGACTGGTGGCGCTGTGGTGCATCAGCACAGTTGTCAACGTGGTCGTCGAGGTGTTGGGCGTCAGTAGCAGTGTACGTTGAGACGAGACCCTGACACTGTTTCATACGCGGACGGCTTGGGGTCGATCACAACGCTTGTCTGGATAGCTTGAATACAGCCCCGTTTTCAGTTCAGTGAGGCAGACGTTGAGCCGGTGAGCGGAGCGTGCCAATCCACGCCAGTGCAGCAGAGCGGGCGGCTTCGCGGCCGGAACATATGCATACAGGGCTATGGTAGGCCACGAAGACGTGGAGCTATGAATACGCGCCGCACACGTGGCCCCCGGGCTGCGCACACTTGATTAAAATTCCATGTTGGGCTGCATGGCGGAGGCTTCGAGGCTCCGCTGCTGCACGATGCGGCATTCATGCAGGTGTTTTGGGCTCAAGTGGCTGCTGGAGGCGGTAAGGCGCGGCCTGAGTGGGACTGGCGGACGAGCGTGGAGCAATGGGAGCGCACCACGTCTGAAGGGAACTGAAGGAACGGACGCCGTCGACAGGTTTTTTGGGTCGAGAATATGACTCCTCTGCTCAAGTTCCGGTGTGCAGCAATAAATAAGGGCAAATCGGGCAGGCACAATGCTCGCTCTTGCATACTCACCACGCCTCGTTGCCTGCACGCTTTCTGCCCGCCGGCTTCTCGACTCTCGCGCTCTCTGCCCCCGTGCATCCCCGTCCTTCGCCAGACTCCCTGCTATGTCCCATTCAGCCTCGAACTTGACGCATTGTTACTTGTTGATCCGCAGAGTTCGGCGCAGAAGGCTACTGTTTTCATGAGCACCAGCGCACCATTCCAGCCCACATCCCCATTCCACATATATCAATCAAACCATCTCCGTATCTCTCAACACCACGGCCCCCACTACCGTCCTGCACAACATCCTGCTGCCTGCGAGCGAGCCACTGAGCATCGCCGCCTGACTTGAGGACTGCCATTCTGCACGGCGCCTGTGTGTGCGACGGCCCCGCTTCTCGTAAGGGTGCGGCGTCCACTTGACATCGTGCCATACCACACTTGATCTGCAGCCTCGGATCGCGCATCGTCATCCTGCCTGGGTCCGGCTCCTGGCGGCCATCCATCTCACGCTGCCGTCCCTTGAGGCATCGTGTTAGTCGCTCGGGTTCTTATCGATTGCCTTGACCCCCGACTCCTGCTCGCCGCCACCAGCGACCCCAGCAGCCCCAGCGCAGTCATTGCATCCCCTCCTGGGCCTAGCTGCCGCGCCTCTCAGACAGATCCTCCCCGGCATCCCTCGCTCTCGGGCACCCAAAACGAGCGGCAAGGGAGTTTGGACCAGGATAGGCCCAGTCCACGCCTCAGTCGGCTCCTGCGACGAGATTTAGCCCGGCATCGAATCACACCCCTCAGCCTTACTGCAGCCCAGCCCGCAGCCTCCAGGCCTCTTCAAGACGGCTGCCACCCCCTCCCGAGCCAGCCTGCCTCTCCTCCAGCCCTCTCCGCCGCCTGCAGCCTCATCCCGACACGCTGCTGCTGCGCCGGACGGCCCTCCGCTCTGTTTACAAACACGGCGCACGCTTGCGCACCGCCGTCACCCCGCCGACTCTAGCCCAAGCGCGGTCAGCAAACATCACCCCGCCCGAGGCTCGCAGGCCTCTACTAGGACACAGGTCCGTCTCTACACCTTACACCACACCGCTACGTTACCGCACACGTGCCCTCTCTGGTAGACGGCGCGAGTACGGTGACGCCTGAACAAGCCATCCTCATGCCGTTAGTCATAGCTCTTCCTCATCAGCGCGCTGCTTCGCACTCGTCCCCGCGGTCGCTTTCGCGCCGCCCAGTCCGTCGTCGCGCCCCCTCTGCTTCCTCCTCCCGCATCTCTCGCACCACAAGTGCCTCCACCATCTCGATCTCTCCTGCACGCACTGTTTCGCTCTCTCCCTCCCGCGAAGACCGAGGCGACACTAACGTCGAGATCCAATTTAGGAGAAACATCACCATCAACAACTCGACCGGTGCTGAGCACTACGCATACACCGACGAAGAGGAAGACTCCTCGGGTGTGCAGGTCTCGTCTGGCAGCCAGGGGTACACTGACGAGTCTGAGGAGGACGACGAGGAGTGGGACTACATTGAGGACGAGATCGATCCCTCCGACTCGGCTTCGCGACCAGCAGCGCGAGTAGTGAAGCACCCACATCACACTGTCACTGCGCCCGCACCTCCCTCTCGCCCCGCACAAGGCGCCCGCCGCAAGTCTGCACGGCACACGCCAGTCCACGAAGCGCCTCGCCACAGGTCCAGCAGCAGGCACGACCTAGAACACGATTCGAGGCCGCGGCGGCGAAGGCCTCAATCTGTCCACTCGGAAAGTCTGGACAGCCACGACGACTACCCCTATGGCCCTCCACGGCCGGGGCCCTCTCCACACCACCCTCACGACCAGTGGGCGCACGTTCCTCAGCAACCCACCCCGAGTGGCTATGCGCCCAGTATGATGTCCGACCCGCGCTACCATCCTTTCCAGGGCGGCCCTGGTGGACCACCCACCGCGCCCGATCAGCTGGTACCCTTCGGTGGGCGGCCCGACCAATATGGATACAATGCAAACCCCTTTGCGCCAGGAGCTGGAGGACCCAACCCTTTCGCGTCGCCCCATGCTGCTGGAGGGCCCAACGGCTACTTTGATGGCCATGCACCTGGCGCACACGGAGCGCACGGAGGTAGACGCGGCCATCGCAACTCAATGCCACCACCTCCCCCCGGCGAGATGGGCCCAGGCGCAATGATGCCGTATGCCTACCCCCCTCAAGGCTACTATCCTCCCTACGGCATGCCTCCGTACGGCGCTCCTGGTGGCATGCCTGGCATGCACCCAATGTACCCTCCGTATCCGCCGCGCGAACACAGTCCTCCGCATCACCGGTCTCGCTCGCAAAAGTCTACCCCGGCGCCACGCGAGGACCACATGCAGCCTCCACCTCCACCGCCATCCGCTCCGCCGCCGCCCCAGCAAGTTGCGGTGGTGCCTCCGCCAATGCCTCAGGTCTTCATGCCACCTCCTCCCGACCCCAAAGAAGACCAAGTCCTCAGCAAACTCGAGATGCTCCTACTCGGGAAGCAGGAAATGGAGGAGAAGAAAGCCGAAGACGCAAAGTTCTCCCGCTTAGAGCAATTGCTCATCGAACAACAACAGGCACGCATAGAGAAAGAAGCAGCTAAGCGAAAGGCCGCCGAGGAAGCCGCCGCCGCTGCCGCCGCCGCCAAACTGAAGGGAGACGAGGACAAGCTCGAGAAGCTCGAGAAGCTGATCCTTGCGCAAAAGGAGGAACAACTCAAACGCGAGGCGGCCGTGGACGCGCAACGAAAAGCAGACAAAGACGAAGCCGATGCGAAGGTTGCAAAGGAAGCCGCCGAGGCTGCAGCTCAAGCTGAGGCTGCATCGAAGCTGTTAGAGGCAGCAAAGGCAGCTCGAGAGGAAGCAGAGAAGAAAGCGGCCAAGGAAGCAGAAGAGACGAAAGCTGCTCACGAGAAAGCACTCGAAGAAGCTAAGAAGGCTCAGGAGGAACTCGAGAAGGCCAAGAAGGCTGCAGAAGAGGAGGCCGCGAAGTTGAAGCCGTCCGATGCGCCGAAACCCCCAATCAAGTTCAAGGACGCGGTCGGCCGCAAGTTCAGCTTCCCGTGGCACTTGTGCAAGACATGGAAGGTACGTTGTAAAGTCCCTCACGCCGAGTTCTACAGCTAACAGTCCCAGGGAATGGAAGAATTGATCAAACAAGCCTTCCTCCATGTCGATGTGATTGGTCCCCACGTACACGAAGGCCATTACGACCTAGTCGGCCCTGACGGGGAGATCATTTTGCCCCAGGTCTGGGAGACGATGGTGCAACCCGATTGGACGATTACGATGCACATGTGGCCTATGCCAGAGCCCCCACCTCCACCGCCTCCAGCTCCGGTTGAGATTATGCAACCCCACCCCGGTCCACCTCCGAAGAAGTCCAGCAAGAAACCGGGCAAGAAGCGTGAGTCCGCTCACCATATCCCTCCGCCTCCTCCAATGGTGATGATGGACCCGATGCCGCCGCCGCCGCCACCACCACCCTCAGGCCCAGCTGCCCACCCAATGGACCCCCCGATACAAATCTTATCCCCTCACCCAGCGCCCAGCGTTGCCGGTTCACGTCCCAAAAAGAAATCCGCTCCATCGCCATTCATGAAGTGGGCAGCTGGGGGCAGCGGCTCTGGTCGCTCATCATCGGTGAAGAAGGCGAAAAAATAAATCTTCATCACCAGCCCCCTTGTCCTTTCGCTAACATGTCGTCTCCGCAGCAGATGATTGTCTCGTAATGTGAGAGTCTGCTGACATTCACTCAGTGCTTGACGTCGAGTGGGACCAAGCCGAAGACGAAAACGTGCGCATCGTCCGAAGGTACAGGAGATACGACTATTACTGCTCCTAGTCCGTGTTTTCCTCAACCCTTTCGCACGCCTTCGTCATCGCTTCGGTCGCAATCGAAACGTTGGGTTCTGGTGGATGGACGCGAGTTGCTCGCAGCAATTTCTATTTCTATTGTTTACATCGTTTGCGCTTCTTTTCTCGGTTCTTGATTGAGAGAAACTACGTTTTAGCGTTTCGCTTCGCTGCTGCTTGATTCCCTTGCTTTATTTTCTCCTTCTGCTTCCTTGACCGCGGACGCCCTCCCTATCTTCCTGATCTTGTTAACGAAATGTCTGGCATATTTATCGGTCAGGTGTCTGGATCACTTGTGCGGGTACGCGGGGCGGTGGGTTTAGGAAAAGTTCAGATACCACTTTGTTTCTGTTGTTCTTGGAGTTTGCGTTTTGCTTTTTGGTTTTGAGGTTTGCTTTTGATGATGGTTGGAGATGGCAGGAGGAAGGGAAGAAGGAGGAGGATAGCAACGAAGCTGATGCTGATGAAGTGGATGCCTGATGTTAATGATGGTGCGGGTTGTCTGTGGCGTTTTTGGCGTTTAAGTTGCGTTTATTATCGAAGTAGAAGAATGGGAAGAAAGTCCACTCATCACTATCTTGTGTGCGTGAAGTGAGCAGTTGATGAAATGGGTGGGAGCTGGGGCGCGAAAGGCACAGGGACGACGCACAAGCGAAGATTGCGCCCTCAAGCACAATGTGAACCATGCCCAGCTCGGGACGTGCTGTAATGTCAGCGAAAAATGGTGGAGCTTTACTCGACTTGGCTAATGCCGATGATTTGCTTGGCCTCTAGTATCTGCTCCACAACCATAGCAGTTGGGGTCGAGCATGTTATCGGCGTTTAAACCGTTCTCGCAAAGTTTTGCAAGTATACAAAGCGTCAAAGTTGAGTATCAGGGCTGCGCTAGAAGTACATAACTACATCGAGCTCTTGTACCCTCTTATAATTTCGCGTATGTCCGTGGACTGACGTAGTGGGGTTTTAGTGTGATGTTATCTGAGTATTAGGGCTACTTCCTTAACGGGATTTTGCTTACGCCCGATCCTGCGACTCCACAGCCTAACGTGCTACAAGCAGTCACGAGCTCGACTACAACAGCATGATTGGTAATACTTGCCTGATTCATGAAGGTGAGCTTGGTTACTCAGGTCATGCTTTCTGTGATTAGTCTACCACATATAGCCAGGCCAACGGGCACGCGAAGGCAGGGAGAGGACGAGCGGATTGGCTGCTTCTTCCAATTTCCTCACTTCCTCTCGCATGTTGACATATGCCAACGGTCGATCACCGACCCAACACAGGGCTCGGACATGGCAATGCCCAGGCTTTCACCGTACATGGCGAGAATGATCCTAATTAGGCTCGTCCTGAATAATCTTACATGGTAGTACGCCCAGTGTATTCGCCCAGGCATTACAAATGCAGAGTATGCGCGGGATTCTGTCCGCGATGCTCAGGATCTGTAAGCACACAAGATATGGGATGCATATAAAATGTCGCAGCTGCACTATACATTCTCAGTACAGCAGACAGCTTCATCTCCAGCAACTATGTTTACTAAGATCGTTTCTCCGGCAGTCCTGCCGTTACTAGCAGTACTGACTGCTACCTCGACCGCAACTCCACTGTATGAGACGTCTGCTGCGGTTCAGCCGAAGCCTTTCACAGTGGACGTTGATCCAGCCGTCATCGAAGAGATTCGGGTTAAGGCCAGCAAGTTCCGCCAGACAGAGCCCATCGACGCTCCCGCGTGGTTCGATGGGGCCCCGACGTCAGAGATCAATGCGATTGCGAAGTACTGGGCCGAAGATTACGACTGGTCTAAAGTGCAGGACGGTATCAACAAGAACTTCACACATTTCTACACTACAGTTCCTTCGCCTGGAGGAAACTACGGCAGCAATGAGTCACTGGATCTGCACTTCATTCACCAGCGCAGTGACCGGGACGATGCGATCCCTATCCTGTTCCTCCACGGCTGGCCCTCCACAAGCCTAGAATGGGAGAAGATCATCCTGCCCCTCACAAACCCTGAAGACGATAGCCAACCCGCCTTCCACGTCGTCGCACCCGATCTCCCAGGCTACGGCTTCTCCCCTGCACCGAAGGCACCCGGCCTCGGACCGGCCGAACACGCAACCGTCTTCGCCAGCCTAATGGCACAGCTCGGATACGACCGCTACGTCCTCTACAGTACCGACCTCGGCACGGTCGTCGCAATGTCCTACATCGTCGACTACGCCCCGCGCATCATTAACCATGTAACCGACTTCTACATCGTCTTCCCCTCAGACGCGGATAATGCGCGGCTCGCCGCGAACCAGACGACGCCCGAAGAAACTGCCTATATCAACCCCATGAACACGTTCTTCACGAACCACTCCGCCTACTCCTCCATCCACTCCACACTGCCGCTGTCACTGGCGTACGCCCTCAACGACTCTCCCGTCGGTTTCCTCGCCTGGCGCTACCAGCTCGCCTGGACCATGTCAGACGTTTCGTACACGCCCGACGAGCTCATTACGGAGACGATGCTACTCTACCTACCCGGCGTCTATGGCAACATCCGCAGCTACAAGGAGCTCTTCGCGCTGACTGCCTTCACGCCGCGGGTCCCATTCACGGTGCCAACGACAGTGTTACAGTTCGGCGATACCTCGCATTATCCCGAGCTGGCGAACGTCAACTACGCGCCTCGGGACTGGGTGGAGAGGACGGCGAACGTGACGTATTTCAAGCGGCATGAGAAGGGCGGGCACTTCCCGGCGCTGAGCCAGCCCCAAGCTGTGATAGATGATATCAGGACTGCGCTTGCATAGAGGATGGTGTGATAGTTCTGATACATGGTTGTGTGCTTGTATGGTAGTATGGATATAACAACTGAGTTCCCGCAACACGATAGCAATAAAGTAAAGTAATACATCTATCCCTAGAACCTGATCGGGAGTTTGAATGACTGAGTCCGGAACGAGTGTGTGAGGCCAATCAGTCTCAAACCTATGAACTTTCTGTATATTGCTATCTACAGTGCCCTAGACTATGCTTCTACATCTGTGCGCAACGTCTAGATGCGCCGTAGACACTCATTTGCATGCTGCGGAACGTTATTGGATCGAGGAATCGCTTCTCTGTAAAAACGATGAATTTCGCGTAGGATCAAGATACGAGGGTGCTCTCGGCTTCGTGGCACGGCTCTTGCGAGGTTGCGTGTTATGTTTGATGTTTGGGTGGAGGATATATTGCCCAGGTGGGTTGTTGGGTTGTGATGTAAGAGTGGGCCCGTGTTGGGGAAGCGACGCCGCAAATGCAGAGAGCCTACATGAAGTCCCGACTAGATTAACCTAGTCAATGGTATCATCACAGTGATGACTTCCGATACGGTAATACTGGACTATGAGAACACGCTCGAGAGGAAGTAGGGACTGGAAGTTGATCATCGGTGCCGCGAGAGAAAATCGCGTTAGATGTAAACACACAACTAGAAATGACATGCTTCAACCACTCGACACTATTTCGCTTCCCATCCACAGTATCTCAATAATTTCATTGATGATCGTCTAGTAGTCTCCAATTCCTAAGTTCGGCGAACACTTTAGCATGGCCTCAAATTTGCTCAATCCCCAGTCCAGCGTCAGCCTCGACCTACTTTCTAAGACCAAACAGACCCTTGCATCATATCATAGGGCCGCTATGTGGGATGCGCTGCCAACCAGCCTCATCCCGAACGTTGCGTAGAAGTATGCTTTAGACTTGAACCGCAGGTTATTCAGCTCCAATCATTCCACCTATTGGTACCCGTCCTCGAAAAAGCGCTTGTGCTTCAAACCAAGCTCCTAAGCACTCAGATTGCCTTAGAATGCGCCTAGATTGAAGTACAACCGGTCACGACCATCCAAGGCCCGCAAAAAATAGAGTGCCTGACCCAGGCGACAAGGTTCTTCTCCACGATGTCCGCAACAGCGGGCAGACGACCGGCAATTAATACCTCGGGACGTTTACCATGATCCGTGCACACCCTGTCTTTTTATCCTGTCCTTCTATTTTAGAGGGGAAACATCGACCTACTACAGGTCTGCTACTACAGTTTATCTGTTTTGGTATGTAGTTCGTATTGAGTTTGTCCGTTTTAATGAGGCTTATGTGCCGTTTAAGCTCACTCGGCCCCCTCTACATGAGACGCTGGCCGACACTAGTAAATAGAGTCCGTCATTCTGTGTCCGGAACGTGCGTAGCAGCACCGCTCATTGTAGAAGATGAGTCCAAAAAGGAGCATAGCGGAAGAATAAAGGTGTAGGAGTGGACGCGCGTTCAACATTCTAGAAGGACACTGACAAGCCTCCGCCACAATCTGTACCGGTAACATCTCCCTAGATACAGCAGCCACTATGCTTTTCCAACTCACCCTAGCCGGTCTCTTAACAGTCGCCGCCGCCAGCCCGGTCGCCGCCCCGGTCACCCCGGTCCGCCGCCAAGCTGCCACCCTCTGCGACCAGTACGGCTACTACGCGGCCAACGGCTACGAGTTCAACAACAACAACTGGGGCAAAGGGGCCGCCAGCTCGGGCAGCCAGTGCACGACGGTGCAAAGCACGTCCAGCTCGGGCGTCAGCTGGAGCACCAACTGGAACTGGCAGGGCGGCCAGAACAACGTCAAGAGCTATGCGAATGCAGGAAAGCAGTTCGCAAAGGGCCTTGTCATTGCCAATATCAAGAGCATGCCCACCAACATCCAGTGGGACTACCAGCCCAGAGACATCCGCGCAAACGTCGCGTATGATGTGTTCACTGCTGCGGACCCGAACCACGACAAGAGCAGTGGTGACTACGAACTTATGATCTGGTAAGTCGGGAAACACTCCCTCGACCGGGTTCCTGCTAAGGTGTCCAGGCTTGCACGCATTGGCGGCGTTTACCCTATCGGCAATAAGGTCACGACTGTCAACGTCGCGGGGTACAGCTGGGACCTGTATGTCGGACCCAACGGCTCGATGAAGGTGTTCAGCTTCATTCCCTCGGACGGCTCCTGGAAGCTGTCTTTCAATGCCGATGTCAAGCAGTTCTTCAACTACCTTGCACAGAACCAGGGTTATCCCATCAACAACCAGAACTTGATTGGTGAGTTCTTGCAGTTGCTGTTGCGGGGTGTTTGAGGACGCGTACTGACGACTTCTGTGTAGTTTTCCAGCAGGGCACTGAGCCTTTCACAGGGGCGGCTAAGTACACGGTCAACAGCTACAGCGCCAGCATCAACGTTTGATCAACGACATGATGGTAAGCAGGCTAGCCCATGCAATCATCGCTGTGGCATGTGGCTTGGTAACGCGGCGGTAGAGACACGCGAGCAGCATTCTTGGAACTTCTCCCCTGTACATATTTGTCCCAGCAATCTAGCGTAGTTCACATTTCGTAATATTTACAAGTGACTACCAAGTTATGTCTATGGTCTTGATCCAAAGGTCTACGTACCACTGTCCGACCTTCGCTTGCTCCGGGACAGTTTTCCTCGGTCGGCTTATTGTGCGCGACTCCTAATTCCTTGTAGTCTTGTTATACATGCATTCTTTCATTCATTCATCAATCAACTCGTGAGACCACCCCATCTCACAGCCACCACACAGTCACCCAAACCGCAACCGCCAACGAACTCACGCCGATCCTCACACCGCTGCTACAATCCCCACCCAGCGGGCACTCTTTCGCATCTGGTTCCTGCTCTGGGACATCCGGATCGCTCGGGCCCTCCGGCTGCTCATCCTTGGGAACCTGCGCCTGCACGTTCTCGATAAAGCTGCCGATGACGTTGCCGGGCGGATAGTACTCGCACACGACGAACCTGTCCATTGTCAGTTATCCATCTTCACCAGATAGTCAAGAAAGAGGAGAGAGCAAAAGAAAACGTACCACCCGGGTGCCTTGCCCTTATCCTGGCCATCGCACTCTGTTCGCCCGCAGCCTACTGTTTTTGTGGCTTTCCACACGAGCTGCGAAAAATGCCCGGTCTCATGTCTTTGCTACCGTTAGTATGTTCCGTCACTGAAAGAATTCAACCATACTCACGTAAACTCCCCCTTCTTGAAATCATAATCTACCCTCTCATGCCCCCATGCGATGATGCTCTGACTCGCGTTTGGATACCCGCTGCTCAGATTCTCCCCGTTTGGCCCGCCCGAGTGCTCAAAGTTGCATTTCTCGCTCCAGTCCTTTGCGAAATCCGCGAGGGTGTCGTTCCACTTGAGACTTGTCGCGTTGTGCTGCTTTCGATAGGTGTTGGTGACATTCAGGATTGTGCTTTTGAAGAGGGAGTCTGAGGTGTAGTCTGCGCTCGCCTTTGAGTTTGAATCTCGGGGGATGTGCAGGGAGAGTGTGGAGGCGGAGGCGGTGCTGAGAAGGAACAGCAGGGCTGTGGGGAGGCGCGCGAACATGGTTGATTGATGGATGTCTATTCGCCTTATGAGGTGTTGGAGAAATCCCAACTTGGGGATGGAAGGTCACGACAGCCGAGTTTGTAGTAGATTGGGCTCAGCGTAGGAGGTAGGTCGTCGCGAGTGAAAGTGAATGCTTGTCTGTCGCGCGGGGGTATATCATCCCAAGTAGCTCCCACGTCTAGCATACATACAAAGGTCATCGACGCGCTAAAACAAGGTATGGACCCCTGCATGTGGCGGGAGCCTTGTTTCGCTCCCGCCATTGTGAGTTGTGGTTAACGGCTACTCCGCTTTGACGCGGTTCTCCGTGGGCGCTTCCTGTGACGTAGTCATCACGTGCAGCGCTGCCTTGGCAGCAGCGATTCGCTCACCGTGCTTGTCGTCCGGGCTATACTTGAACGGCGTCAAACGACATAATGTGGCATCGAATGTATGCAGAAGTCGCTAGTCAGTCTAGATGTGCTTGTGACATTGGAATCCGGCCCTCAAGCGTGCACCTAGGGGTATCCTAGTGCAAGATCTCCGAGCTTGTGGAACCGTGGTTTATACCACAGCCATATGTTTAGATCGGGCAGCTCTTTCGAGCGAGGGAACACGGACGGTCGTCGCCGGACAATTTGGGGCACATGGTCATACTGAACCCAGGACAGGCTCGCAATACGCTAGCGACCCTGACAACATCGGTGCGATTTCGAAGCATGCTGGGGTCACAAGCAAAGCACTACAAACGACGAGTAAGCATGAGCGCTCGAACACTGATGTCATCGACCACTTAATATCGGGTTTCAGCGCCGACGTCGTCGATCTGCTCAAACTTTTCATAGGAACAACCACAACAGCTCTTGAGACCGATGAACTTGATGAGAATGGACAATATGTTGGGTGCACGATGGAGTCCGCTTTGCTCGATTCCGCTAAGAGGGTATAGGGGTGTCCAAAACAGCGGAGGAGAGAAGCAATACTATTCTCGTAGCTATTGTGGGCATTGGTCCATCCCAAAGCAGCACAGCGTTTGTCGTCAACATTCCGACTGGGGATACAGAGCACTGGTGAGGAGCCAGCTGCGCGTCTGCTCCGTGCAAGTGGCACTATCGTTGCGGATCCCAAATGCGGCCTGGATGCCATCGAACTATCTTTGAGTATGAAATCATCCTTGCAGCAAAACCTGAACGGCATCGAGTCTGTGCCCCTCCAAACAATCAGATTTGGCTTCAAAGACTCTGAAGCCTGGCCGTGACTAGCTGTCTATCTCTGAATCGACGCGCATTGTAGACTGTGAACCGGTTCTTCGGACCAAGCGAACCAAGTACACTTTCGGCTATCCTTTGCAGTCCACATCCCATGCCTCCTTCGCGGCAGACACTAGTCTGCGATCTGAATTGCTCATTACCAGCCTGTGTCTCACCATGTTCTGCCGACTTTACAATTTTCTCGTCTTTCTGGCTTTGATCAAGACTCCAAATCGGGTGTTCTTTACTTGGCTGGTATTGTTCAGTTGCTGCGCACAACGCTATGCTTCCATCCTCCCATGACTCCAAAAAAATGCATACAGAAAGCCAGCTTTTCTTCCTCCCCAAAACGAACGTATGTACTCACTTCCGGGTATCTCTTCGACAAAAGAAAAAAATGAGAAAGGGAAATAAAGAAGGACAGAAGGGAAAATGCTGTGCTACCACACAATCCCCCTCCAATCAAACTCGCCATCCACGTTAACCCAGTCCCCCTTCCCCTCGCCCTTCCCAAAGGCCCTGTCCCACCCCACCATCACCCCCAGAATCCTACAGCCCACCGAGCTAACCGTACACACCACGGCATCCGCGGCCCCCACGACCGCCAGATCCATCAAATACGCGCGGCCCACGAGCTCCCTCAGGCTCCTCGCCGATTCGGGGACATTGGCCGGGTCGTGCGGCGCCTGCGCGTCCTTACTAGGCTGACCGAGACTGAAAAACACGTCGCGATAGAAGCCGCCCTCCCAGCCCGTGATCTCGTCGATCCAGGGGTTCTTCTTGCCCTGGGCGGCCTCGAGCGCGGCTTTTGTGGCGAGGATGATGCGGTCCTGGGCACGGAGCGCGTTGGGGCCGAGCTCGCCGGCTTCGTAGACGGTGGGGTCGTCGGAGGCGAGGACGAGCTTGCTGGACGTGTGTCTCGCGGCGAGTGCGTTCTCGTCGGCCGCAGACGTGGATCTCGACTTGGCAGCTTTGCTCTCGATGCGCGAGATGTACAGGTCGCGCGCCGTGTCCATGTAGCGCGCCAGCGGGATGTAGTCCTCGCGGTACTGGAACTCGTACGGGTGCTTGTCGCCCCGGCGGACGTGCAGCCCGATGCTGAGGCCGCCGTCTGCTTTGATGGGATCGTACAGCGCGCGCGTGCGGTCGAGGACGTAGGTTGCGTCGTCGGCGCGGAGCTTGAAGAGCGTTTCGTACCCCGTGCGGACGAGGGCGAAGATCTTGCGCTGCCGCTGGACGTACTGCTTGGTCGGGTCTTCGTATTCCTCGGTGAAGGCGTGGCCGAAGGTCGAGGTTACGGTTGCGGCCGAGACGACGAGGTGGCGCGCGCTGTGCGGGCAGGGTGTCATGTGCGAGGGGGGAGGGGGAAGACAGCCTGCGGCGGGCGGGGGGAGGAAGAAGGTGGAGTATTTGCCGTAGGGCCTGTGGGTGTCAGCTGTAAGCGGGATGGAATGGGGAAGAGGAGGGCAACATACCATCGTGTGTCGTCAATGAAGAAAGTGCGGTTCTCCGCCATTGCGAGCCCGTACGACATCCACAGGCGCATCAACGTGTTACCGAATCCAGCATCACTCGTCTCCATGACATATGTGAGCGTCCTGTCGCAGACCTGCTGGCCGTACGTGGATTCTTTGTTGGCAATCGCGGTGTCATCCACGAATCCCTTCGGCCTGGCCATCGGCTTGGTCTTTGGCAGCAACGCCTGCGCCTCGGCATCCCCGATATCAACATAGTACTGGTCTTTCTGGTAGTACTCCAACATCCTCCTCGCAATGCCGCTCTTCCCCTGCGCCTCCTCCCGCAGCTGCGCCTGCAACTCCATCGACTGCCCGCAGATATCGCGGTAATGTTGCGGCTTGAGCGGGAACTCGTAACTCGCGGGGATCGACACGGTCCACTTGGACTTGCCCTTTGCATCCTGCACGATGACGGCCGACGGCTCCTCGGGCAGCAGGTTCCCCCCCACCATCTCCCACTCCCCCGCCTCCTCATACGGCGAAGCCTGCTGGTGGTGCGCGTACATCTGGCGCAGGATGAGCCAAATGAGCACCGCGACACCACATCCGCCTATCAGCAGCCGCTTGACGAGCCTCGTCTGGCTCGTCGACGACTGCTTCTTCCCATGTCTGGGGATCAAGCTCGGCAGGCTAGGACTGGGCGGGGGACTCGGGCCCAGCAGGCCTCTTCTGGACGCAACGTTGGGCGAGAGCAGGGTCGCCGAGGTGATGGAGGGGCTGAGCTGGCTGTACGACGCCGTGGAGCCGACTGTCAGGTTGTTCGGGTTGCGCCGCGCGTGCATCTTCCTGAAGCTCTTGGTCGCCTGGTTGAGCATCCTGGCCGACGGACAGACGAGGTGCTCGCCGCTTCAAATTCTCTTTCCAGTCTGCTGCTGAATATTGGTACCGGTGCTGACGCGGGCCGCTGGCGTTCCCAATGACGAGATGTGCGCGGTTCGATGGGACGCTACCTGTCCCTGCAGGAAGCTGCTGAACGGCTTGTCCTCCGCGGTGAGATTCTGTGGACAACGAGACGAGGGGGTAAGAAAGAAAACAACAAGGAAAAGGGTCCCGGGAAAGCGGAAAGGAAGGTCAGAAAGTACAGCGCAGGCTCGCTCAGCGCGCATCCATCAGCGTGTCCAAAATTCAAAGTCAAAGTCGAAGCTGGAGAAGGAAGAAGGGCACGACACGAACAGAGCTCTCCCACGAACAGTTTCACAGCAGAAGGGAAACAAAACAGGCGTCGATGCGCATCCAGGAAGATGCGCCTCTACTGGGCGGCCGGGCGTGCGCGCGACGGAGAAAATCACCACTCCTTCCAGAGGCGGGCATGTAATTTGGCCAGGACTACTCGCATGAAGCGTCTGAAGCTCGCGGCGTTTGGGGCACAGACGCCCGAGGACGCACGCCGCGGGGACCCTAGAAGCCGCCTTGTCCCTTCTGGTGCGGGCGGCCTTTGGCGCGGCCTGGGACCGCCCGGCGTGAGCCTGACTGCGGCGCTGCGACTGGCCGGGAGCCGCGTTTCAGGCCGTCGATCGTTGCATCGCAGCCGAGCATCCCTGCCTGGCCGCACACCACGGCCGACGCCAGACGCAGTTCCACCCGTTCTGTGTCCGCGCAGGTCACGCGTCGCTGGGGAAGCTCAGTCACCTCACGTCGACGCGCGATGCCTCTGGGAACGGCGACTCTGCCGCCGAGCCAGCACGCTCAGCAACCGCCCGCCGCCCGCACCTGAAACACTGTGCAACCGCCTCGGTCGCGCTGCCGTCCTGCCCAAATGGGCCATCGCGCTGCCTCCTCCGCCGGACTCCGGCACCACGCTACGCGCAGCCCTCGCCATGGCTCGCCTGGAGCAGCGGTACGCTATGCTATGCGGCACCGTCGTCGCTGGCGGCAGGTCACCGTACGGCGCAGAGTGGCGCAGAGCAGAGCAGAGCAGAGCAGCACAGCGCTCGCGCCCTTGCGCATCGCGCCTAGCATCGTGACGCTGGCTAGCACTCCTCGCGCGTAAGCAATATACTGAACACATCCAGCGTATAAAAGTAGTACCATGGGTAATGCAAGCTCGTGCCAACCCCAAAGCAGCAGCTGCGTCAAGTAGCAATGTACGTGCATTAAGTAGCCTCCAGGCATCGCCCCGGATAGATGACCACGCCAGAACCGCTGAAATGAATACGACATGCAAGGAGAATACGGGGTATCAAATCGAGAATCTCCCACCGCGACGGCCACGCCCGCTGCAAAAACGGAGAATAGCGAAGCCAATCCAACAAAACAAAAAAAGATCCCTCCCGACTGCGCGAGCCGCGCAGCCTGAACCTAGTAAGACAGGTGCTCAAGAAAACAAAAGGTCGCAGGAGAAGATATAAAGTGAAGGCGCCGTTGCCCTCGGCGGAGCTCTGTTCCAACCCAGCCGACAAAAAACTCCCTTGCGCCTTGCTCTGCTAGAAGGAAAAAAAGGATGCCATCGTACACATCTGAACATTACATGCTTCACTCCGCATGTCTTACAACCATTTGCCTCTTCGGTGGTAGCAACATGAAGCGTCGTTCAGTCGTATGCATGCGCTGCACGCCCTTGCGTTCCGAGCGTCGTGCTACATCAGCGCGTCTCACTCGAGAGCTCACAGCTCATTGACCGGACGAAGACTGCTTCGTCGTTGGGCCCCGATAGCATTTGCATCCCCTGGTAGGCTGCTACGTCGTATTCCCTCAGCACTGCCGCGCCGCATCTCATTCGGCTTCATCAATTGCTCGAGCAATTTATCGATTTCTTGCTGCGCGTTGCGCTCTGGTCTGGCCGAAGTCAGAGAGAGCGTTCTCGGGCTGGCAGTGCCCACGTGCCGCTCCGCCACAGCTGAGGTCATGGAGAACGCTCTCGGGCTGGTCGCCACCGGTGACCCTCTTACGGGTCCGCTGCCGCTGCCGCCATCGCTGCGCTGCTGCGATGTTCTTCTGCTTCCTGGTGACCCCTCGCTGCCAAGATCTTGTGCTGCCTCGTTCTTTTTACGCGCCGACGTAAGAGCCGCAATCATACGCTCCTTGTCCTCTAACTGTGCTCGCAGGTTGGATATCTCGGCATCCTTCTCTGCGATGGTCGATAGGAGGCCACCCTCCTCGCTACTACCGCCCACTTTCTGCGAGAGCGACATGGACACGCGAGAATGGCTGGTTCTCCGCGCTTGCAGTAGCCTCTTCTCCAGGGTCGCTATGTATCGGTTCTTGTCGGCGAGATCGCTCTGCAGTGAGTGGATTTGCGCAGACTGGCTTGCGGTGCCATCGCCGTTATCACCAAGCGAGTCCTCATCCTCATCCCTATCCATAGGGACCGCCGAAAGGGTGGTTTGAGAGCCTCTTTTCGGGACTTCGAGCGTGGCGTGGCTTGCTGACGACCGAACTGATACGGGCCGAAAGTCGCTGACCGTTGATCCCCGTTGGAGGCTCATCGATGAAAATGATCGACTGTTGTTGACACCCAGTGACTTGGAACTCAGAATCAACCGGTTCAGGTGGTCAATTCGTTCCTTGAGCGCCGTCCTCGCGATTTGCATCTCCACCATCTGCTCTTCACGACGATATCTGTCTTCTAGCTCTCGTGCCTTTTCCTCTTCTTCGTCCTTCTCTTGCTCTGGGGGTTCTGACTGAGTCTCCTCTGCCTTCTTCTTCTCTTCGAGTTGCTTCCTAAGCTCTTCAATCTCCAGACGATATCGATCGAGAAGTGCTCGGCTTCCGGCATCGCCAGCAGCGCCAAGCGACTCTTCCGCCTTCTTCGCGTGGCTGACTATGTTGTTCTTGGCGCGCGATGCAAACTTCAGCGTGCTCAGTGTCTCTCCGACGTGCGTATTGGTTGCAGCGATGCTACCGCTTGCGCCAATCTGGATGGTGCACAGGATGCTGACAAGAGAACCACCCGAGAGAGCACCTTGTAGGAGGCGTGTGAGTTTGCTGTCCCGATACGGCAAGTGCTTCTCTTTGCTAGACTTGTCCTTGTCCGATATCGCCTTATCCTTGTCACCAGATAACCGCGCGATTACTGTTCCAAGAGTGAGCAGACTTTTGTTGATATGAGACCCTTCTGTCCGCCTCTCCTTGTTGTCGGCGGCCTTTTCAGATCCAGCCAAGTCAATGAGGCTCAGTGTAGAGACACGAACACCACCAGGCGTGATGGGCGTCCGCTTAGACTCTTTGAAGGTTCCGGCAGCACCGCGCTCCCGGCTTTCCACGACGATTTGAACGACGGCGTGACTTCGCGAACTCCTTGCGTTGAACTGCGTTCCTGCCACTCGTCGTGCATTGTCACCACGCGCAATAACTCTCAGCAGCTGCGTTGGGCTTTGCACAATCTCCTCCTTGAGCGGTGTCGCATAAACACCGCGCTTGCTGTCCTCTCTCAACTTGATTTCCTCCTGAGCTCCGGGTTGGCCATTTGCACCCACAATAGGCCCAGCAAGTAGATCGTGAATCTTTTCGTTGTAGATTTCCAGGTAGCTGACGCGAAGAAGAAATTCTCGGTGTGGTGTCTCACGAATGTAGGAGAAGATGTCGGTAATGGCCAATGGAATCACACCAGGGTTCGTTGCAGTTCCTTGCATAGAAAAGGTCTTGCCCGTGCCGGTCATACCATAGGCGAATACGGTGCCGTGGTAGCCCTCCATAACCCGGCGAACCAGTCGTTTCGCAGCTGCATCGTACACGCGGGCATTGTTGTCTTGGGTATCAAATACGTTGTCTGCAACATGACCAATTAGCCGGACTCGCAGCCTCATGCATCATGCAGTGCGACTTACCATAGTAGTGATCCCCGCCATCACGACCTCTATAAGAGATGAGCGCCTTCTTGTTGCTCACTTCCCACTCTGTCTCTTGCTTGCTGTCTTTGGCGCCAGCGTCAGGCCGCACTCGCACACTGACTATGACGTTGCCCTTCCCATCTTTCTGTGTCGCGTTATCGTCTGGCATAATGCTCGCACCTGGGTGACTTCGTGCGTCTTCGTCTCCGATGTCCTCGAACGTGGTTGCGCTTGTCGCGTACGATCCTTGGGCGGATGAGTTTCGGCTTTGGGGCGGCGATGGCAGGCTTAAATGGTTTCCGTCGACGGCAAGCGACTCGCCGCTGCCGTTGAGCAGGCTTGGTGGGGAAAGCGGTGACTTCCCTATGAGGCTGCGACCGCCGACATTCGAGACCCGCGGCGCGGTCTTTTTAAGACTGGTCCTCCTGGCTGGTGAGATTGGGGGCTTGAAACCGGGTGCAATCCTCGAATCCACAGTTTCACCGTTGGGGGTCGAGCTGGCCGACAGAGGGCTGGGCGGGTGGCTTCCTAGCCTGCTGGCATGTTTTGGGGGTTGGGGAAACGCGCCGATGCTGACCGTTTTGCGCAGCGTTTTCCCGGGCGGCAGAGGACCTGCGGGCGATTCGGTAGCGGTCAGAGTCGGGATGGTTGGGACGTTGGAGGTGGAACTGGTGTGGCCCCTCGTCACAGGGCGCTGAGGGGAGGAAACAGCCCTGCTGTTGTTGGCTCGGGAGGGCAGCAGCGAGCCTGGTGGTGATCGCGAAGCGGATCCCACATTTGAAACGCGCGACTTTGCGACTGGTAGCGAGGGCAGTGGACCCGTCGGCGGCGCGATCGACGGGCGCGACGGGCGCGGAAGGGCGTGGCTCGTCATACTTGGGTGTGTTCGCGGTGGTACGCGGTGAGCTGCAGCGCAGTTGTTGGGCTCGGAGCGACGGCCCTCGATGTCGAGCCTTGAGTTGCAGGCCTACCGCGCATGCATATCCCGCCTGCTTGCCTGGTCTTTCTGGGCGACAACACGCGCTTTTAGCGTTTGAAAAAAAGAGGGACGCAGCGTCCCGAGCCTGCGCGTTGCAGTATTGTCTTGAGTTGACGACGTCTTGGTGTAACGCGGGCGGGGAGGACCCGGCGTAGGCTGCCCAAAAGCGCTGGGGGCGTCAACAGAGCGTAACGGCTGGTTGCAGGGCAACAGGGTCCGCTTTGCGGCGGACGTGCGCGTTGCTCCACGTGTAGCAGCGCGAAGGGCCAACAGCAACACCGGCGACTGGGTGGTGAGAATAGCGAAGGATAGAAAGACTTGGTGAAGAAGCAGCTCAGGGTCCAGCAGCAGTGGCTCTGAGCAGGAGGAGGGAGCGCCCAGGGCAGGGAAAAGGAGCTCGGATGTGGAGCGTCGAAGGCGCGTGCAGGGGGGTTCGGCCGGGGCAGTCTCGCTGTGGAAAGTGGCTCGAGAGATCAACGAGAAATGCAAAGTGCGGAGAGCAGGTCGAAGGGGGCCGGCATGCGATCAAAGAACGATGCACAGGCGTTGGAAAAACAAACAACACTCCTGCTGCTCGAAAAGGGGGTCAAGACGCGTGGGGTAGTTGACGCCCAGGTGCATGTTCACTTAGAAAAGTGGCAGCGGGACCAACCCGAACTGGCATTGTGACTGACTCTCGCGCATCCATCCGCTCTTGCAGATCGGGGAACCATATTGTTGGTGCCAATCACACGGTAGCGACTACGCCGGCTATGTACACTCGAATGTCCGACAGCCACTCGAATCCGCTTGAATCCTCTTCATCCAGCCAGCGACGGTCGTGCTGCCATTTATTTCCAGAGTGCCCGTGGTCCTCCTGCCGACAACCCGGGAGACATGTTGCATAAACTCGCAATGTGGCTACCCTCGTCACCTGCAGACATTCCTACGCATACCCGCCGCTAGCCTCTCTTAGACTGTTTTTATTGCTCCTATTCCACCGATCCACGGCTCTGTGCCGAGAAACCACCATCCTTATGTCAACATAGTAGAACGTGCCTCTGTCGAGTACGCCTGCTAAGCCACCCGCCGTACTCCATCGTGATTGGGATTCAGGACAATCTCCGGGGCACGCTGCGGTCACCGAACGCAAGAGGATGCGCGACCCGGGTCCAATCAGTGGTGGTATGTGCATCACGCCAAGGCTCGTGAGGCCTCCGGGCACAGATAACGTTGTCGATCGCGCAGCCGATCCTGCGTGATGCGAGACTGACCTTGATGGCGAGCAGCCTTCGGCGCTCACGAAGCATCCCCCGTTTGGAACTAAGGGAATGTCTTGGAAACGCGACGATGGTCTTGTGTTTGTTTGGGGTACATGGTACACTGCTATATTGCGCTACACTATTCAAACACTTGCTACGCGAGTATTGCGCAACGCATACCTCGGCTCCGCAGATCAAGAGGCATCGACAGTGCTCTCCAACGCGATCATGGTGGATCTCAGTGCTGCACAGTGCACGTCAATCCCTCCGTCATCGTCTCCATCTGTCATGGCGTTCACTAGCTGTCAACGCCACTGCACGACGGTGGAAAGCGCATTTTCGTGCGGTATAGATGCAGAGGGCCTCGAGTGCTCCTAACGCTTCCTAATGTATCCAAGTCCAGCGCTATGGCCCCTACCGCCGGGTACTCTACGACTGTTGACTAACCAGACAAGACAATGTAATTCCGATGGTCTGGTTGCAGATAATGTAGACGTAACATCGGTACCAAGTGAAGCAGTTTCTTCCATAGTGGCGCCTCATCTAGCAGGCGACGGCATCCAAGACATGCTGCTCGTTGTACCGTATCTTGTATACAACATCTAGAGAGTCCCCCAGTCAAAAACTCTTGTGCCCAGCCACAGGACCGTCCAGTATTGGCAGCCCCAAAGGGAAAGATCGATAGCTAATTCCAGTGTTCCACAAAGTGCCACGCGAGACAAGAGAACACCGGTGGATTTCCAGTTGACCTCGCTGGGCAGAACAAAAGCACCAAGGACACTCCGCGAGCCAGCGAATTCCTCTCGACTGGTAAGATAATGCGACGCGACTAATCTGAGAGTGACCAGCTTGAGTGGCAAAGAAACCAGACTGACGATCTGAGCCTTACAAATAGAGCCAATCATTGCAGAGGGTTCCGAGGAGAGCTGTGTGACTCGGTGATACGGCGACAAGCCTGGTGATCTCGTGGGCGTCGGTGATGCAATGTCTCGTGGGACTGGGGTTGATGGGCCAGACCCTGCGATCTCGGTATGAGATGAAATAACCTGCGGCGGTAGGCGCACTTCCATCTCAACCAAGTCCCCGCGAGTGGTTATCCTGATCCTCGGGTCTGAATCGTTATGGCTGGTCTGTGAGGCAGTGGGCGACAGCGGAGGCGAAGGGAATGGTGAGAACGGCAATACTTCGTTCAGGTCGCTCATAGGGACAGTGTTGGTTCCAGGTCCTTCAGGAGTCTCCATCAAACGACCTTGGAGCATACCCGGTACCTGGAGTCTGCTGACGTTGCTTGCTCGTCGTCCTCCAACTTCAATGGCGTTGCTGTTCTGCAAGCCATGGGCTTGGGACGAGATCGAGATTGACTGTGATGCCGTGACATCCACGTTTCCCCAGCCAATGAACCTGATAAACCTGGCGATTGTGTCCCCCACGATTATTGGTGATTGTTTGCGCAAGCCCAAAATGGAAGTAGTCCGCTCTCTGTTACCCTCCTCTGAACTAATCATGTCAGGGTTACTTGGACGAAGGATCGTTGCCTGAATAGGCGCATTGATGATTGCGTAAACCCAGCACTCTAATAGATGCTCCAAGCAGACGAAAACAAAAGGAGAAGTTGCGAATGCTAAAAGAAACTCCATGGGTGATGCAAGTGCGCTGTAGTTGACTGAAAACGGCAGCAACGGCGACTGCCTGGAGAACGGTAGAAACGACCGTAAAGGCGGTAATAACGGCCTTGCTGATACCAGACCAATGCGTTGCAGGTAAGAGTGGTAAGAGAATGGATAGAACAGCAACTCGAGGGATAACCGGAAGCTAGACGGTCAGCTTGGGGTAATTGAACGCTGATTGTGACTTACGCTGTATTCAAAACCGACCTCCACCGGCGGTAAACATATCTAATTCTGACGCTGCGATGCTGCATAACAAGTCGATGGACAGGTCTTAGCACGTGTGCAGCATAGACGGTGCTCTGAGCGCATAGCTGCGAAAGGAGACGAGATGGAAAGCCACTATATATCAGGGTTTTCCCAGAGAGTGCTTGCTCCGAAGCAACTATGCTTGAGAAAGAATGAAGATGGGGATAGCGGAATGTCTAGGGGATTTAGGAAAGAGACAACAATAGACCGAGGCGGGGAACTTACTAAGAGCCTTTCCCTCAAGGATCCAACCCACCAAGTGCACAGGTTCTCTGACAAAGTAGACGTGATTGCGAGAGAATGGCCGGCAGTGTCCTCGTCCTCTAATGCGCGTAATCGTTCCTCGTAAGAACTAGGGAGGCCCTGCGAGGGAGAGCGACGCCTCTCGACGACACCGATGGACGCCAAGACGTCATTTTGCGCTTCTCTGAGGCGCCGACCATGTTCATGCGCACGCTCTTGCTGTGCTGAAGCGAGCTCTACGCATTCTGAGGTCGAGGCGGTGGTTTGCGGCGGCTCAAAGGCCGACCGTCCCTAACAATGTGAGCTGCAACCCGGGCCATAGGGCGTACAGCGGCGTACCAGAGCGATTTTTGTCAGATACGCCTGGCGGCCCATATTTTCAGGGCTTCCTGAGTGAACGTCGTAGCATAGGGCAAAAAAGAATATCTGGATGCCGTGTAATACGTGAGAGTGCAGCTGGTTGCTGACTGGCTGTTGACGTCGCGGTGGTGCTACGCGCCGTTCTTATCGATAAAGGAAAGCGCGCCCCGGTGCCCGCGAAATTTCCAGCGCCAAGATTTCCAGATGCAATTCACTCCGCTTCAGACAATGCGCCGAGAGCTGCACATATAATACCAGAAGCAATGGCCCAACGTACCACTGTGAGGACGACGTACGACATTGAGCGCACCCTCCAGCCAATCTACTCGGGCGGAAGCATCGCGTTGAGTGAGGATGGCCGCATTCTCGCAGCTTGTCTGGGAGAAGATGCGCTGATCACGGACGTTACCAACGGGAAAGAGCTCGGAAGGGTCGAGGGCGATGGCGAACCTATAACCGCATTGATTTGTAAAGCCGGACGCGCTACCAAAAAGCTCAAGTGCTAACCTACGTAGTAACACCCTCCGCATCGCATCTGATCGTATGCTCCCGCTCTACGTCCATGCACATATACTCGCTTTCGCCTTCCGAGACCGAAGACGGCACCATCGAACTCGAATTGCTCCGTTCGCTCCGTCCACACACATCGCCTGTCGTAACCTTGGCTGTCGACAAGACTGGTACCCTCCTTGCTACAGGTGGCGCAGACGGAATTGTGAAAGTATGGGACATTCGTGCAGGTTACACGACCCACACTTTCCATGGCCGTGGTGGTGTGATCTCCGCACTGCACTTCTTCCAGGTCGAGGTCGCGGGCAAAGAAGATGCCGGCGACAGCAGCAAGAAGCGTAAGAGGCAGTCTCAGCAGGATGCATCGGCTGAAACGGATGGAGCGGAGAGCACTCTGGAATACAGGCTTGCTTCAGGTGCTGAGGATGGCAAGATCCATATATGGGATCTACACAAGCGAAAACCTGCTGCCGTTCTGGATTCCCATGTTTCCGTAGTGCGAGCACTCGATTTCTCGCCTGAGCAGAATACCTTAGTATCGGGGAGCAGAGACAAGACACTGATACTATGGGATGCGAAAAAGTGGAAAGTAAAGCGTACGATTGCAGTGTTGGAAACTCTGGAGAGCGCTGGCTTTGTCGCAGGAGGACACCTCACCTACTCTGGCGGCGAGAACGGCCGTATCCGGCTTTGGTCTTCTGAGACCTCGCAAGAGATCACCCGCGAACAGGAACCTGGAATTGAGACTGACGCAATCGTGGAAGTTCTTCATTACCCGGACCTACCCTACATTATTTCAGTCCATGCAGACCAGGTGCTTAATTTCCACTCGCTCAGCTCGGTTGAGTCACCTCTGGTCGAAGAAATCATCGATCCTCTACCTGTATTTCGAAGGGTCTCGGGTACACACGACGAAGTAATCGATCTGGCATATATTGGTTCAGACAAGTCACTCCTCGCACTGAACACCAACTCTGAAGATGTTCGCATAGTAGCGCTGAAAGATGATGGAACAAACGAGACTGCGGCCGAAGGTAAATACATCGGAGCTGACGTAGCTCTTCTGAAAGGACACGAGGATTTAATCATCTCTCTCGACGTAGACTGGTCAGGCCATTGGTTGGCGACCGGCTCAAAAGACAATACAGCTCGACTTTGGCGGATAGACCCCGAGAACGACTCTTACACCTGCGCAGCCGTCCTCACTGGCCACGCTGAATCATTGGGCGCTATTGCGTTGCCACATGCGGCACCGCCAGAGTCGTCGGCAGCGTACACAGACCCCTTGGCAAACCCTCCCGCATTCCTTATCACAGGATCCCAAGACCGGACAATAAAGCGATGGGATACCAGTAAAGACATGAAGCAGAAGCTACGTGCGAAATATACCCGAAAGGCACACGACAAAGACATCAACGCTGTAGACATTGACCCGTCAAGTACATTGTTCGCATCAGCTTCGCAAGACCGGACGGTGAAGATATATTCTGCAGCAGATGGCGAAGCTGTAGGTGTTCTAAGAGGTCATCGAAGAGGTGTCTGGACCGTCAAATTCCAACCGAAAGAGTCTCAAGTGACAGGATCTGGAGGCAAGGGCCTAATCGCAACAGGAAGCGCGGATAAGACCGTAAAAATCTGGAGTCTGGCTGACTATAGCTGTCTCCTCACCCTCGAAGGTCACTCCAACAGCGTCCTAAAGCTCGCCTGGCTGCCATACCGACCTGTCGATGCACGCGACAAACGAGGCTCTCAAGTAGCGTCCGCAGCTGGCGACGGTCTCGTGAAAATATGGGACTCTTCTTCTGGCGAAACCATGTCCACGCTCGACAACCATACTGACCGTGTGTGGGCCCTCGCCGCACAGCTCAGCAATGGTGCACTGGTCTCCGGTGGTGCAGACAGCGTCATAACCTTCTGGAAAGACACGACCAGCGCCACATTAGAAGCCGCAACCACGGCTGAAACCGAGCGTGTAGAACTCGACCAGAAACTGCAAAACTACGCCTTCGCAGGAAACTACCGCGAAGCCATCACCCTAGCGCTACAGATGGATCAGCCAGGCCGCCTTTTCTCCCTTTTCAAATCCGTTGTGGAGTCTGAAACACCCGATGAGGGCAGTCTCACGGGTCTCATCGCTGTTGACGAGGTCGTTGGTAACCTCGCAGACGAGCAGTTATATAAGCTCCTCCTGCGCCTGCGCGACTGGAACACCAACGTGCGGTCTGCACCCGTCGCGCAGAAAATTCTATGGGCTGTCGTTAAGTCCTACCCCGCATCGCGTCTCTCAAGTCTCAGACCAGCTGGCAAGGTAGGCGCAAAGGGCAGTTTGAAGGATGTGCTGGACGCGATCAGGGCATATAGTGAGAGGCACTACAAGAGGGTGGAAGAACTGGTGGATGAGAGCTATCTTTTGGATTTCACATTGAGGGAGATGGATGAAGTTGGCGATGTGAAGAGTCTCACTAATGGGACAGCGCAGCTGGGGCTTGGTGGGGATGTCGTGATGGTGGAGTAAGCTGAGAAGCTTGGAGGTATGGGGGCCTGGTGTGAATATACCCAGTATGCATTGTTCGTGTCTACCCTGTTCTGGTGTCTGCCTCACGTGCCGTCACCAGTGAAGGATGGTGGTGCAGCAGCACCAATCATCTCGTGCCACAGAGCCAACGCTTCGCATAGCCACGCGCTTACCTGCGTCTACCTGTGCCTCACTCTCACGCCTCAACTACAACAGCCGCAACTTCGAATCTTAAACATTTGACCGAGTTCCCCACTCCAAAACCGGTCTTATTACTAGCAAAGGAGAACGGACTCCCACTCTGGCGCCCAGGACCATATAAAGAGCCAATGGTTGTTCCTGCCTTCGGTTTCTCCGTGGGCGATTTCATCGCCGGTACCAACCTTCTTCTTGACGTGCTCTCTGCTTTCAGATCTGCAGACGGCGCCTCATCGGGCTATGCATCGGACATCTCTTTTCTATCGTCACTCACTGCTACGCTCTCCAGAATCGAAGAGCACACTCAGAAGTACTCTCAAGATGAGACCACTCGAGACATTACGAAGCTCGTCGTTCTTTCGCAAAGGCCGTTGATGCATTTCAAGGCGTTTTTGGACAAGTACGAGAATTCTCTTGGGGCCGCAGGCTTCGGAAAAGGACCAAAAAGATCCGCAAAAAAAGGAGTGGGTGTAGTGAGGTACACATTGGCGCAGATATCTGACGAAGTTGGTAAGCTAAAGGAGGGGGTCGAGCGCCCGTTGGGACAGATACATGTGCTTCTTTCTTTACAGATCTTGTAGGTCTCTCAAAAGCATTATGGTCACTTTGTGTTTGATACAGACGTTTTACTGATAGAGTCTATAGCAAGCGGCTCGACGAAAGTAAAGATCAAATACTCCGTCCATCCCAATGCGCACAGATTGTAGATGCTATCGCTGCGGCCGATATTCCTGCTGCGCTCGGTCAGGAGTTGCAGAAGCTGCAACAGAAGTCGGACGAGACAAACACCAAACATGACCAGCTTGTCGTTCAGGTGGAGGAACTTCGTTTAGAGCTTTGTACCGAGATGAGATCAGTCCGTCAAATGTTGGAGCAGCTTCAGAGACAGTCATATAAAGACATCTCAACCACAGCAGCGACTAGCATTCCAGAAGTCCGTCAAACTTCAACTACTCTGAATACAGCCCGAGAAAGTATCACAGAGCAGGAAACCCTCACATCGGACACAATACGATACCTCCAACAAATGGCCTTGCTCAATTCCGAATCGCACAACGATGAGCAACAGGAGCGAGACCTATACATGAAGAAATCCAACCTTACCCTTCAAACAGCACACACAATCTTATCACTCCTGGCTATCATAAGGTCTAATGTGCTCACCGCAGCATCGTCTTCCCAGCCCATCCAGTCACCGACTCAGACTTCATCTCAGTACAACTTTGCGCTTTTCACAACCAAACCTCCTCTGCCATTGGTTCGCCCTTCGGACATAGAGGACGCCTGCGGAGATGGCTCCACGGCCAATCAAATCGGACCACCCTTGCATGTGGGCCACGATCGTGTGATACCCAGGGTCGACCACGAATCCCTTTGGTCCGGCATCAAGCATGAAAAGCCTGGTTTCTGCATCAAATGCGGCATGTTTCATGCTGGTGTTCAGGAAAACGAAGCGTTAGCAGTGGAAACGATATACCACTACGCGTATGCAAAGAGAAGGGGAAGCTTTGTTTGTTTGCTTATCTTGGTGTTCGTTGCAGTGCAGTTGTATTTTATTTTGGCACATATGAAACCCGAATTCAATCGTTGAATAGATGCAAGGGGAAGGTCTGCCTGACATGGATGAAAGGGCTCATATCACGTCGTTCCAAACGTTTAAAGTTGAATAATAGTATACTTGACAGGGGGTTGTTAGAACCTGAGCTCTGATACCATACGTATAAGTCGCCGCGTCTCCACTGTAGGTGCCCCGGGATTTCTAGTGGGCTCATATCACATTCATCACCAAGCTCTGCATGCCATGTACTTGTAGTATATGAATACATTTTAAGGGATCAATCCAAAAACCCTTCCAGCTACGCTATTGTCCACCACTGCCACAAAGACTTGCATTTTTGTTGCTTTCTATGGATCGAAGGTCTGGAGCCCCTCCCACCAATCAAACGCGTTGGTCGTGGTTATCCTGGCGGCAAATCCTCGGCGCTCGGGCCGCGCATCGAATTCGACGTTTCTCCTACCTTGTCTTCACATTGCATTCTTGCAGCTAATTTTATCGCATCAAGTTCATCTAAGAATTTGGGCAATTTTTCTGCTTATCCCTCATACACGCACGCTTTACAGATAATGACTGGGTAGGCGGGCTCATAGAGATATTGGGGAACATACTTTTTCACTTCAGACCCTCAGGATGAAGCTGCGAAGTTGTTGATATGAAACTGTTACACTTGCCTCCGGCTGCCCGAGTGCAAATTTGGTCGGCACAATTTCGACCAAGGAAACTCAGTGCACTTCAGCCTCAAGGATATACGGCATTATTGTCGAGCACCACATCTCCATTTCCGACGAACCTACATCGCAGATATGCTACAGTCGCCGTAGGCAACAACGACTCCTTGAGCAAGACCACTCAGGCACCCCTGAAGGATGATCTTCCGGACCTCGCGCCTGATGAGGTGTCACTTGTGAACGACGTCCGCGCATATTTGGTTCGGTGCCCAAAAGAAGAATCAGAAGCCGTGTTAGCAAATTTGCAATGGTGCATTGAAAACAAAGCTTATTATGAGGAATCTCATTCTTGGAGTAGAGTTCTTCGTCGTATTCGTGGGCGCCTTGATAACAGTGCTACCCCCGCTGCGGTACAAGAAATAGTCGAAGCAGTGATTGAAGAAACTCTATGGGCTAAACGGTACAGGGAGTACGGCTACTCCCCACGAATCTTTTTCCGTCTGGAACACACCCCTATCAAGCTCCTCGAGCTATGCAATCGACCGGAATTGGGTAGCAAGATAAGCCCGGAGGTAGTTACAGTGAAGAACGTCAGCAACTTCCACCTACATCTCAACATTCCGGGAATAGCCGATGACCGGACCTTTGGTGCTGGCCCAAGCGAAACGATAGCGAAGCGAAGAGCTTGGAGGGCGATGCTGTTGAGATTGGATGCCACTGGAGCATTGCCAAAGCTCCTCTACCCCGAGGCGTTTAGAAAGGTCCTTAATCCCCATGGTCCGTCTGTCGCCCATACCAAGCTGGCCGAGGAAATAGAGCTGGATTGGGTGGAGGACGACATTGTGAAACAAGAGAAAGATGGCATATCGGATATATACAACTATGCCGCGAAGTTTGGTCTTGTTCCGCGCATCGAAGCGTGCATGGTGACGCGCCGAATCCGGGGAAGTGCTTCGAGCAAAGCCCGCAAAGTTGCACAAGTGTCAATACAGCTTCCAGAACAGAAGATAAAGGTCGTTTCCCATGGTCTCGGTCCGAGGGCCGTAGCCTCGGCCGTGCTCGCTTTTAAGAGTGCCGCAAAAAAGCTACAAATGCAATACGACCAGGTCTCGGATGCCAACAATGATTACTCGTCACTAAATACAAGCACAGCAGTCGAGTTTGTAAACATGGTTAGGAGATTAGAGGGCGACTTTGATCTGACATTCACGAACAAGACTATGGAAGGTACTGGATCGGTGCTCAACATTTGTCAGTTGAATTCCAACGGGGAGCCAATCGGGCAACAGGCGATAGGATGGACGGTACGTGATGCTGAACAAGTGGCGCTCCTCACAGCAGCAATCGAGCTTGCTCGAAAAAGCCCCGACATCCTATCTCAATTTGCAATAAGCCTAGCTGGGGGCAGCTCAGGCAAATCCAGGATCCTAGAAAGATGTCCACCGGTGAGAACAGAGGTCAACGCCGCGGCCCTTGATATTATGGAGAAAACCCTTCTTAAAGCCAAACAAGCTGGGTTATCCGAATATCAAGAGCAATTGGCAGCAATGTCACACCATTTGACAAAATTTCGAGAACGTCGGCTGCCACGAGAAGCGACGTGTGTCACCAGCGAACGCCTACTGGATCGCCTACAGCAGTTCGAAGCGGATCCAAACACAATTGAACTTCGCAACGCAATAGCAGCATTGCCAATGAGTCGGTACTCGTCAAAAGTACTTGACATGGTGTTTAGCAACGTATACAGTATCGTTATTGGTGCGACGGGGTCAGGCAAGACGACGCAGGTCCCTCAGATCATCCTGGACGATGCAATACGTCGCTCGAAGGGTGGTAACTGCAATGTCATTTGTACTCAGCCGCGTCGTTTAGCTGCGATTTCCGTGGCACGACGAGTCGCAACGGAGCGTGACGAAAGGCTGGGACTGTCCGTCGGATATCAGGTTCGAGGAGACTCCAATCTGCCACAGCCTGGAGGAAGCATCACTTACTGCACAACTGGCATTCTTCTTGAGCGCCTCAAATGGAATGCCGATGACGTACTCGACAACGCGAGCCATCTGGTGGTTGACGAAGTTCACGAGCGAGACATCTATATCGATTTCCTGCTTATTGTGTTGAAAAAGGCAATAACAGCTCGGCATCTCGCTGGGAAGACCGTTCCAAAGGTCGTTTTAATGTCTGCGACTATAGACAAAAACCTCTTCTCCGCATATCTCCCGAATAAGATCAACGGCAAACCAACACCGTGTCCATATCTGGAAGTACCTGGTCGCACATTTCCAGTTAAAGAAAAGTATCTCGATGAGATCTTGAGCGAGATGACTGAGCTCCATCCAGGACTATCCAAGCAGTTGGCTGCACGAGAAAAAGACGACACGAAGGCTTACCTGATTGCCGAAAAAGCGTTCGAGCATACAGACGTTGAAGTGAACTCGGTCACAGCCAATATTGACGGGAAGAAGCAAGACGAACTAGATGACCCGAGATCCGGTGAAAAAGAAGAAGCTCTTGTACCCATCGCTCTACTTGTGGCTACGATCGCACACATATGCAAAATTAGTCCTGATGGTGCGATACTTGCTTTCCTTCCCGGGGTTTCAGAGATCGTAGCGACGGAGGAAGAAATGAAGCGAAACCACGTCTTTGGTCTCGACTTCTCGAATGGAGAGGCATTCCGTATCCACTTACTACATTCGCTGGTGCCGGCCGAACAGCAACGAGAAATCTTTGAGCCCTTACCGACTGGTTGCCGGAGGATTATCCTTTCCACGAATATAGCCGAAACGAGCATTACTGTCCCTGATGTTAAACATGTTGTCGATCTCGGAAAGCTACGACAGAATACTTACTTGCCTGCAGACCGAGTCACAGCGTTACAGACAGTCTGGGAAAGCGGTTCCAATGCGCGACAACGAGCAGGACGAGCTGGCCGAGTGTCCGACGGCAGCTATTATGCTTTGTATTCTCGCAAGCGCAGGGAAGCCATGCCAGAATCTGGGCTTCCTGAACTGCTTCGCGCTGACCTTCAAGAGACATGTCTGTCGATCAAGGCTCAGCGCTTTGAAGAGAGTGTATCGAGTTTCTTGTCTGCAGCTATCGAGCCGCCAGCGCCAGAGGCCATCCAGTTTGCGGTGGAAAACCTCAAGGCGATTGAAGCATTCACTGAGGACGAAGAAATGACTGCACTTGGTGGCGTCCTTTCTAAACTTCCCGTCCACCCCGCTCTCGGGAAAATGATTCTGCTTGGCCTCATATTCCGCTGTCTCGATCCCGTGATTATTATCGGCTCGATGTACGGTGAGCGAGCTTTGTTCGTGAACCCACCTGGCATGCGACCACTGGTACGAGCATCAAAACAACATTTCAACGTTGCCAATTCAGACCATATCACCAGCCTAAAAGCCTTTCAGTATTTGAGACAGTACTCGCGCGATGTCAATCAGAGATCCGTTCGTCAAAAGGCAACAACCTGCCTTATACACTACGGCGCCTTCCGCTCAATTTCTCAGACTGCGAAACAGGTTGCCGAGATTTTGGTTGACGCCGGTCTGCTCGATGCAAACATGGCCAGGAACGAGGATACACTGGAGATTGGTGGAGAGGCGCTGAACCGCAATTCGCACAACTATGACTTGATCAAGTGTCTGATCGTGGCTGGCGTCTATCCCAATATTGCGGTGAAGCCATCTTTATCTGCCAGGTCGTTCCGCACAGAGTCAAAGAAGAACATCATAAACCACCCCAGCTCGGTCAATGCCCTCACAAAGAAAGACGGGCCGTCAAAGGCGCAGCATATATTCGCGTTCACAACACTTGCGCGAGATCGCGGCAGCGACACGCTCTTCATGCGCGAAAGCTCTCTCGTCACGCCGCTCGCAGCCATGCTTTTTGGGGGCCATCTACAACAGGAAGACAACCTGGTCATGGACGACTGGCTTCCGTTCGAGATCGACTACCGGCAGGCAGGTGGCCAGATCGACACGATCATGCAGTTTCGAAATGCCAAAGACCGCATGTTGAATGGAGTGTTCAAGTTGCTTGCGGATCCGAACGAGACTGACACGGCGGTTAATGTGATGGAGATCATGACTGAGGGCTTGGTGAAGGCTTTGGAGGCGGACGCCGTGGGGCGCGAAAAAGATCAGGTTCTGTTTAGACAGGCAACAAAGGTCGGAGGGAAAATTCCACAAGAGCTCGCTTGGTCAAATATCTCTCAGCTCTACAGGTCGAATAATTTGGCGCGAATGGAGGAGCTTTAGAGTCGCAGAGGGGCTACATTAATAAGGACGAAAGGTGTAGAAGTAATACTGTATCAATAGGATAGATCGATAAACTAAACATGTTGTATTCTTCTCAAAGTCTTACCGCTCCCACCTCAACTCCATGATAAGGTAGTATCTTGAGTCAGACTACCCAGAAACTACAACTATTCCCGCCTTTACTTCGTCGGGCGAATGATGGTACGTCACAACACCCACAACATCTTTCGAGCCCAGATGCCTCAGCGTCGCGCCACAACCGTCACACGCACTTCACCTAGTTCCATCCTATCTCAAACCCATCGATTGAATGCTTGTCCCGGCCATCTTCCTCATCGATCAACAAATACTACCGATGATGGTGTCGCGTCATTTACCGTTGTAGCGGCGACTGCAGGAGCAGAAGCGTAGGTAGAAACACCAACACTCTGTTTGCTAGGCTGCTGGCCCGCCGAGCAGATGATGCATTGCGAGGTGTTGTGACATTTCCCAAGCTTGGAGATGAGCATTCAATTGCTCTTGTATTGTGATACAGTTAGAACCAATGGGCCAAGCAGGAACCTCCCTGAATGCACACACACCCCCCTATACGCCCACCTTCCTGAAGAACACCAAGGGAGAAATAACAGGTAGATTCGCCGCCCAAACACCCAACAACATTTCGAGCATAGCGAAGAAAGTAGGATTGAACACCCTCAAGATGAGCGGCGTCTCGTCGAAGGGAGGCGCAACCCAGCCGAACGTGATTCGGCCCATGGGATACGCGACACAAAGGAAAATCGTGCGCAGGACGCCGGCCACGGTGGATCTATCGATGATAAGCCAATGCGGGAGAGTAGATAAAAGGGAGGGAGACTTACAAGCCACCTAGAGTAAAGATCACGCTTACAGCGATCATCTCGGAGTGCCGTAGTTTCAGCTTCTGTACATATAGTAAAGGCAACAGCAAGACGGCCCCGTCAGTGAGCACGCTCGTCGCCGCGAACGCAATCAGCAGCCCGCCCTTGTCGCCGCATCCCTTTCTTGCCAGCATTTGGTCTAAAGCCCACTGCAGCTCAGGATGTAATCCGCAGAGAAGCAGATCCGCTAGAAAGAACGACACGGTCCACAACGCCACCAGCCAGATGAGCAGATTGTTAATGCGCTTGAAGTGTCCCATGTTGCCGAATAACCTGCGGTAGAAGTACAGCAGACTCAGCTTGACGGCGCCGAAAGAGAGCTTCTCGATAACGATCATGGTGAAATCGACTTTGTGCTCGACGATAGCAACCTCGGATTTCACGTGGCCCCCGGTCACTACCTCGCCGGATGCACCATCGATGGCGTTGTGGAATTGGATCCCGGTGCAGGAGCACGTCACGAGAAGGCCGAGAACGATGAATAAATCGTCGAGGTAGAGTTTGCGGCCGTTGTAGAGTCGGGGTTCGTACGAAAGCCGTACCCAGAACCGGAGGCTGGTGAGGATGATACCGATTGCTGTGAAGATGGCGTATAGAGGTATCGTCAAGGCCGGGGGGTATAGTGTGGCAGCCATGTTCCGAGTTCTTTACATGTCGTGATGAGGGTGATGCGGGGCGGAGAATAGATAATTATGGAGCACCCCGATATATGTACTCAGCTGTCGCGCATTGTCCTCTTCCCGTTGCCCACGAGTAGGGGATCTAGAGGTGCGTTTTGGGCGCCTTGGTATTGTGTATTCCCCCTATTGTAAGGCTTCTGTTTGGTGGTTTTCAGCTTGGCTATCGTGATAAGGCTTAGCGGTACAGGGGCCCGAGGCTAGAAATAATTAGAGGCCGAGCGCCGACCAAGGCGAGGTGCATGCTCAGCCCCGGAAAGCCTACCCCAGATAATGGAACACGGGAGCGTTGCATGTCGCGATCAAAGGCTGAGCGCAGCGCCACTGATTGACCATGCTTGCCCATACAAGATTGATTTTCGATTCGTTGAGCAGAAGTTAGATCGGTTAGATCGGTTAAGCCGGTGCTGGAGTGCATCTGAAATTGCCGAGACGGAGCAGCCTAGCCGCATCAGGGTACCAGTCTCTAGATCTTGGAACCGAAATGGACTTCACGGAAGGATTTGGCGAGACTACAACAGCTGGATTGCCTACTATCCCTGGCCCTGTGCGGAGTCTGCTGGAAAAGGAATTATGAATTGGATCACGAAAAACTGAACTGTACGGTAGGCAGGCGCGCACCTTATCCCGTGTGAACTTGCTCTATTATACGTTTGTAAGCTTATAATATCGTAAATCAGCGTACGTGTTCATAGTAGGGTCTTAAGTTTTCTTTGACTATTGTCGGCTGCTGTGGATAGCTTGGTTTGAAGCTTCGCCTCTGGGTATTTAAACATATGGTATGCAAGGTTGGGCCTCGCAAAGTCGTCAACTCGAACCACAATGGCTTTGCTGCGCATGGAAGGTTTCGCAATGCCAACGGGGCTGGAGAATACTGAAATCGAAGGGCAGGAGTTTCAGGTATACTGGATGGTTGAACGGGATAACCTAATCCAGCCCGGTGAGAAGACAACTGAGAACGAAGACGGAGGCGGGCTCAACCAGGCTCACAACGCACGGGTGGAGGATCCACAGATAACTGCAGGAAGAGCGACAAGAGAAGGCCGGAAGGAATGCCAGGAAACATGGCTAATGATAGGCTCTTTGGAGACAGTAGTCGTAATAGTCGACAAGCCTACTCCGTCATTCCATATCTGTAATTGTCGTCCGATAATTATTTACCCACGCCAGTGACTGCCTCGCGATGTTCTATATTCTCATCCAGCACATCTCGTGGACATTAAGTCGACCTGTGACAGCCCACGGCTATAATTACTGTCGTGTTCTCTGACGCCAAAGGATTAGATGCCCGTTCAAAGATCAAGGCGATCTGTTCGGCCCAGGCGAAATCGAAGGACGAAAGAAGGCTGAAAGCAATATACAGAGGGCAAGGAAGATGCATATATCGGATAAGCGATGTCCAAAAAAAGGTTAAAACGTTTCGAAACACTACCGGAAATACATGCAGCGCGGCTGACAAGCACGTTGTCTTGAACTGATGGTCCGGGTTACGGGGAGTGACGGGCACGGCAGAGGGGCACGTATGCATCCGACAGATGTGAGCGTGGACCTAAAATAAGTGTGATGGTGGTGGGCCGGGGAACACGACTTGGACCCTTGTGGGGAACCGTTGCTCAAGCACATAGAAGCAGGGCTGCATGCGGGCGTCGATAGAGGTTTGCCTACTATATGGCCGCCCCCACAGAGAATCCGTCATCCCAAGAGGCTGGGCCTGTTACGAGGTTGCAGCACGTTCACCGTTGCGCAGGCTGACAGCGGAAGGGAAGGGACGGGCCTCTGCCTGCGGCGTACGCGTTTCGTGTTGGAGGCGTAGACACGATCTGCTGGAGTTGCCGCATCAGAGAACAAAGATCGTCGAATGGTACGACGGGTCCTTTGGAAATAGCGTCGACGTTGCAAGAAGGTGTGAACTGCCAGGGCCGATCCATGGGTTGAGGCCCAAGCGGTCTCTTGGCGAGGAATGGACAAAAATAGAGCCGTGCGTTCTGCGCATGCTGGGGAAGAAACAATTGGAAACAAATTATGCCCAAAACGTACTGACTCCGGCCGAGGCGCCGTCAAATAGCATCGATGCAGCAATATTGCCACCATTAACATCTCCATCCGGGCAATTAACCCACCTGTGCAGCAGTTTCGCGGCGTAACCATGCGTTCGATGCAGCTGCCGTCACTCTACGAGTGCCAACAAGTGCTGACCGACAAGAGGCTAGTCTGTCCAGTGTTAGTTGATGGCATTATCAGCACTGAGGAACTGCGCGGACGAAAGGCGTCTTTATGCGACAGTTGCGCGAGCTTTGAGGCACTGTCGCGTTCGCCTTCGTGGTCACTCGAGTGCACCCACGCGGCCTCGAACCCACATGAGAGTGGAGTCGCTTGATCCTGCTTAAGGGCGACGGGCTGATCCGATGGCGCGATTGGCCTGCGTTACCCCCGCGAGGCGCCTGCGGGAGCTTGTTTTCATGAATCGTTTAATGCTCGACCCTGTATTGCCTGGCCATTCACACCCCGCAGCGCCCCATGTCTGTTTATTCAGGCGCGAAACGCCAGAGTACCATTGGACCACGCCTGCAGTCTCGACGCCCGCAGTCCATGGCGTCTATCTGGGCGTGTGCAGAGCTTCCGAGTGGCACGCAGCTCGCTGCCTTCGAAATGGCCGATTTTCTTCCACTCATTGTGACTCCTCCAGCGGCGAGCTTCTGCGGCGCAGCGCGACACAAGACTCGAATATCCCCTCACGATTGACGGCCGCTACACAGTGCTCAGTCGTCTCGACGCTACCACGCCTACCGTGCTGACGGGTTCGACGCCATCAGCAGGTGTCAGCGCTTCTCCAACACCAAGACGACCTTGCAGGTGTGCCGGTCTGGAAGCGCACACTTTTCAAATCGTTTATTGCTTTCTCCCGGGCGTCTATTTCTGGGCCACTCCCCTCTTCACGCGCCATCGCTAGTTACTCGTCGTCCCACCTGGCCTATCAGCCGCCGACCTGCAGTGTACACCACGCCGTTGGCGCCATACATTTAGTCTTGTGTAAGTACCCGCCAGCCTTCCATCCCGATTCTCTCCACCATCACCCGTGCTCCCCGCCCGCCAATCCCACTGTTCCACGCCCCTCCAAGCGCCCGAGACAAAAGGCCAGCGCTTCGCCCTCGTCCTTGCGTCTCTCCTCTCCTCCTGCCAGCAGGTCTCACTATTGTAATACTCTGTCTCTTTACTACGAACACACCTTGCTGGTGCTGCGACTTGTCGAAAGCTGGGCTGGATCCAAGTTGCTGTTCTTCCCATAGACGTCCCCGCCATACATCCTCACCTCACACCACCTACCCATTCCATGCAAATCCCATATACTCCCGCCGCGTGAAACCGCAACAAGTCATAGGATGGCAACCAACGATAAGAAGAACCCCACAGTTACCATCGAGAAACGGAAATCCGGAGACTCGCTCGCACCACCAACAAAGTCCCCTCGTGCAGCACGCTTTGCGGAAGCAACTTCAGTGTACTCGCCTATCGACCCGCCACAACGACCACTCGAGTACCCTACGAACCACTACCAACCCCAGGCTCAGGTGTCTGACGTGGGCTTCGGCTACGTCCAACCCATCGAGATGGAGGAAACCGACAGGAAATACCTTCCTCCCCCTACGCCAAAGACGCCACTGAGGAGCGCATTGAAGTCGCCTGGTGCACCACCACGGACACCCGGCGCAGAGACGATGATTCTCAGCCCGACCTTCAGAGAAGAGCAGATTCTCGAGAAGCGGGAACAGTCCACAGACAAGGAGCAACAAAAAGATCTGGTACGTTCATTGTTCACAACGAACGAATTGGCTCACTAACAACGAACAGAAAGTCAAAGTACGAGTACGGGTGGCAAAGATATTCTTACGAGGCATCAACTTTGCCTGCAGTCTTATTGTTCTGTCTATGCTTGCCACAGCCTTCTCCATCTTCAACGCCACAAAGCACCTGCCTATGCGGAACGGTCTCCCACCATGGGCTGAGAACCAAAAGATCTGGCCCCAGGTCTTGCTTCTTTGCATCGCTTGTGTCTCGCTGTTCTTCTCAATCTTCGTTCTGGTTGCGTACTCAAGAGGCGGACATAACAGAGCAGAGAAAGTCGCCGCCTACTACACCGTCTTCGCCGTTGGATTCTTCATCTTCAGCATCATTATGTGGGCTGTCGGTGCCGCTGCCTTCAACCAAAGTAAAGCACAAGGAGGCAACAAAGATATGTGGGGATGGTCGTGCGTAGACAACAAGCGACGGCATTTGTTCGAAGACGATGTGTCTTATGCGCTCATGTGCCGACTCCAGGTAAGCAGATTCGATTGCCCTACACAGCTTCCCATCTAACCACCACCACAGAACTGGTCCCTTGTCTGCTGCATCATCGAAGTCGTCGTCGAGACGCTCTGCATCATCATCTACGCAATCGTCTTCTACCGCTTCTGGTCCAAGCGCAAGCTCCGAAAGTCCATGGCTATGCGCGACAAGGCCCGTTCCGACCTCTACCTCGCCCAGCTCCGCTCCCAATCAGCACCCAACACTCCCGGCTTTGGCCCTCTCTCCCCCCGCTCCGGTGGCTGGCGACCACCCCCAGGCCACCCTCAGTACTACGACCCGCAGTCTGCCGCTGAGAACGGTGACGCCGACAAGGTGCAGTACGCCTACGCCCGCGAGATCGCCCAGCCGCAGCCCTTCACGCTAGGAGCACCCCCGATCAAGGTCACAGGAGCTACTCCTCACATCGAGCAGAACGGCTTCGATGCACCCGCAAGGACGCAGACGTCTTCACCACCGGCCTCCCCCGGCTTCCAGGAGCGGCAAAACGACCACGTCGGCGCCGTACCGGGCGAGCAGCAATACGCCTCGGTCCCCATCCCAGGCGCCTACCAGCCGCTCGCGAGCCCGTCGCACCCGCAGCAGGCCACGCCAGGCTTCGACTTCGGGCCCAACGTGACAGGTCCCAGATAAGCGTGTTTCTTCACCAAGTCAAACAGCTCAAAGTCGGGTTAGCGTATCGTATCGCGGCGTCACATCATTTTTCTCTTCTACCACCTATATCTGCGGGATCAGGGTCATTTTCTGGGCGTGGCTGGCGATCTCGGCGGGTATACCTTGTACATGATTTTACTCTTTTTTTTTATCGGTTTCAGCCGGTTTTCCTTGATCAATCGTTGATAATTTCCTTTGATACCTAGCTGCGCTGGAGGGCAGGATGAATGATTGATGGAGAGGGGGCAGTTGTATGTACAGTGTAGCTTCTCGCATGCGCGGAATGCAAAATGTGGATTGGCCTCAAGTCTACTCCGATCCAATGCGTGATACTTGTGCTGTGGATATTATCGCCTGTTGTGGGCTCACGAGAAGCCGACAAATTCTCGAAGGTAAACCCACAGCCACCTCGCGCAACCACAACCCACCACAATAGCTAGACAGAGAAATTGGACTCCCAGAGGAACACACTTCATTCTAGGAATTCACTGTATCATACGGTCATAAAATTATTATAAAATAGTCTACCCCGAAATCTCGCCGCCAGAAGAAGTCCAGTCTTCACTGTCAGCATTGTGCACTCTTCGCCTCGATCTCACCAGCCTTCCCTTCTGCCCACGGCGCTGGTCGCCCGCCCCCAATCCATCCCCAGCCCAGCCCAGCGGCCTACAACGCGACCCCATCACACCCCCAGCGTCTCGCCACACACTCCCGCCCGCACCCCTCTGATCTCGCCCAACGATTACCGCTATTGCCCCTTCCCCTCTGTATGAAAGGAATTCCCCTCATGCGCAAGCAATAGCGCATAATGCGAGCGCACGCTCCCAAAGGTCGCGGCCGCACCTGCAGCCGCCGAGCCCAAGCCAGGGCACGCTGCGTAGCCGCCCGGGGAAGCCGGCGGCACGGGGAGGGTCGCGCACGAACGGCGGGCTCCGGCGGCGCGGCCGTGGTACGAGGCCTCGATGTGTGGTACGGTGGCGCGATGAGGGTGGTGCAGGAGAGGCGGTGTTGGATGGATGGATGGAAGGGGAAGTCGATTGCGGTGCGGGGGTCACGTGTGGGTGTGAAACCTAGACCCGGGCACGTGTAGGGCGCGCCTGAACTGTGGTTTGAACCTATCTATAACGACGGAAAGGTGGGTGGATAGGCTGGACACAGCGATGGAAGGTAGCTCCTATGCGTCCTACACTATCCTGTAATTGGGACCTGCGATTGAGGAGGCGGAGTATGGGGACGAGCAGCTCGCATCTCTTCGTGCTGGAATCTGTCACGGGTAGTACTTGAATGGAAGTGACGAACATGATCTGAATGTCTGGAATAGAGTCCTGCGAGCGTCTACTATAGATCTGACCAGCCTCGTGCAGGTGCCGAAGCGCACCGCACGTCGCCCCCAATTACACGATGCCTGCGGCAGACGCTCGAACAGGAGCATACAACTAATTTGACGGCCGTTTATAATGACCAGACAACACATAGTCAACTTGATCATCACGCTGAGTGACAAGGACGTACGTACAGCTCATGTTTATGCGCGTCCCAGCAATGCTCTCAGGGACTGTCAAACCTTCCCAAGACAGACCTGTACGATGGCAAAGTAAGCACCAGCAGCCAGGAAGGCATTGCCTCTTGCGTGGGGCACCAGGTGCAAGGACTTTGAGCTGTTCAAGGATGGCTAGAGCTTATGCTTGACGCCACGAATATCATGAGAAGCAGTAGTGCTGGACTGCTTACAACGTCGCGTCGAAAAAGTACTCAAGGGTGCGCCGAAAGAAGGGTGATGCAAATGGTTTTGAGATGTTTAGGTTTACGGGTTGAGCGAACGGCTTGCTAAAGAGGTGTGGAGGACAAGAGCGGGTACACTTTGGACGGCAGGTGTAGAGACTGGTATGATATGCGGGTTCGGGTCGAGAACGCGACAATGTGGGCAACGAAGTCTGGGAGCATCAGTAGCAACAGCACAGCAAGCAACAGACAGTCAGTCACGACAGTCGCAAAGCGACAAAGATCACTAATGGTTAAACGGCGTTCACCCTAGTGAAGCCTCCATCGTATTGTGATCGAAAGACACTCGCTCGAAAGCAAGGCCAGCTCCATTGATGGGCCGCAAGTTGTTGCTTGCTGTTTTGGTAAAGTACACACCGGGACTCCATGGGGACCAACCCTCCGAGACCGAATATGCTTCATGTCATTCCATGCTATCCTCATTCACCCGTCACTCCGTCCACGCTTATCGGACGATGCCCTCGAACCGGTTCTTGTACCACTTGATGGTCTCATTGTTGTTGACGCGGTGGGAGGCACCGATCTTGCTCTGGCACCGCCTGCGCTTGGCAACGCGCTCGCCGGGGCGGGTCATGCAGACGTAGAAGTCCATGCCGTAGATACTGTGGGTTGTTAGTGGGTGTCCGCGCGCTGCCGTGCTCGCGGTGGACCTACCCAATGCTAGGGTCGTACTTGATGCCCAAGTCGATGTGCTCGCTGATACCGAAACCGAAGTTGCCGGACTTGGAGAAGTTGCGCTTGCGGAGCTCGTACTCCTTGACCTTGAGGCCACGCTCGAGAATCTCCTCGGCCTTGGGGCCACGGATGGTGACGTGGACGGAGATCTTCTCGTTCCTCCTGATACCGAAGGTTCGGACGGTGTAGCGGGCCTTGCTGTAGACGGGAGTCTGACCGCTCAACTGCTCGAGCACCTTGGCGGCACGAGTAAGTCTGTCACCAGACTCGCCCACGGAGATGTTGAGGACGAGCTTCTGGATGCGAAGCTCCCGCATGGGGTTGGAGGCTTTGGAGTCGGCCTGCGCATGGTGTTAGCGGGCGCGGTCCCATTGTACGTGCGGTGTCGAATTATTGCGTACCATTGTGTGTGCTGCGGAGGTTAGTTGGCTGGAGTGTCGAAGATGGGCGCTGTTGGTGAGTTTGAGAAAGTGTGCGGGCTAAGCGAGATCGAACGCGCGCTAGGCGTGCGCATTACCTAAGCGACTTTCTTGCCTAGCATCGCAAAGCTTCACGCCCGACGTCGACAAGCTCCACATATACACCCCGCGCGCTTCACGACAGGGGCCGTACCTGCGATTTCGACTCTTTTCCACCTCAAGTTGCCCAAGTCGTCCTCGGACGCACCACCTCCAGCATGTCTGGCGCCGCGAACAGGCAGGGGAAGATGGTACGTACAGCCGCCTGCGCACTCCCTCACGTCCTTGATCTGAGAGAACAACGCCTGTAGACTGACTGACTGACGCTGGGATATAGCAAAACCTGGTAGGTGCTCCTCACCTCGCTCCGAAGACGCGCGCGACTCACCAGTTTAGATCAACTACCGCATGAAAGTTACCCTCGCAGATGGCAGACAGATGGCGGGACAGATGCTCGCTTTCGACAAGGTGCGCACCCCAAACTTCCTGTGAGGATGCGCTGACTTTGGGATCTAGCACATGAACTTGGTTCTCGCCGACACAGAAGAATTCCGCCGCACGCGACGAAAGGGCAAGGCCGCACCAGGCGCCACGCAACAAGTCACCGAAACCGAAGAGCGACGCGCTATCGGACTCACCATCATTCGCGGCGCGCAAGTCATCTCCGTCTCCGTCGACGGCCCGCCTCCCGCCGACCCTGCGACGCGTCTGGGAGCAGCAACTGGCGGCCAGAGCACTGCTGCAGCTCTCGCTTCGGGCCCGGGCATTGCTCGTCCTGCTGGACGCGGTCTGCCTGTTGGCCTGACTGGACCTGCTCCGGGAGTCGGAGGACCTGGCCCTGGATTCGGACCCCCGGGAGGCTTCCCAGGCGGGCCGGGCGGTTTTGGCCCGCCTGGATTTGGACGAGGAGGACCTCCACCACCTGGGTTCCCGCCTGGCGGACCACCCGCTGGCTTCGGAGGCCCACCTCCGTTCGGTGGTGCGCCACCGGGCTTCCCTCCTGGCGGACGAGGTGGCCCACCTGGGTTCGGCGGTCGATAAGTTGGAGAAAGGGAGATTGCGAATGTCTGATAGAAAAAGGGTCGAAGCCGGGGCTAGGTTTTGAATGTGAAATGGCCAATTGAGGACCGACCAACGGCCAGCAAAGCACAGGGACTACCAGTGCACTGCTGTCTTACATCTTTACGAAAAGTCAATTGTCGGATAGTCTAGTGTTCTACTGGCGACGCAATGGCGCAAATTGAGGGGGAGCTTCGAACAGTTTGGAGAAGAACCGTACTGATACTGATGCGAAGGCGGCTCAATGGAGAATGATACCATGCAATAACTCTACAATCATCACACCATGACTGTGAGACGGACTTATGCGCTGATATGCTGTGAAGTATTTTCCGAATATGGAAGCAGCTTAACTGTCACTTGCCATCCCTGAATTCTGACACAGCCCAAGATTAAGAACAGCGTCTCGAATTTACCTACTTCTTGTGCCATGGAGCGTGCTCACCGCACCCAGTGCGTGTGAGCGCAGGATTGCTTGCGCACGTGACCCTCACTCGTCGCGCCGATGCACCGGCTCCGAACCGCCTTGGCGAACGGCGCTCTCCCAACGCCAAAGATTCGATTCGCTCGCCGAAGACTCACCCAGCTCAACTTCCCCGGTCGCAGCTCCCTTCCACCGAACAAGATGGCGGCCGCAATCAAGGCGCTCAATGCGAAGATCCGCTCAAACAAATATGCCGACTACTTCTGCTCAACTCGTAAGTGCGCCCATGGAGTTTGTTCGCGATCGGCAGGTCCGGTAACGGAATGCGATGGGACGAGGAGTGCGCGGTGATGCGACGCATTGCGCGATGCACGCCTGAGCTCGAGAAGATCGAATCCATGGTAGCGAGGAAAGACGAATTGCAGCAAACTAACAACACCAAACAGACTTCTGGGGCCCTGCGAGCAACTTCGGTATCCCGCTCGCCGCCATCGCAGACATGAGCAAGGATCCTGAGATGTCCGTTTCTCCCTCCTCTCCTTCCCTCTGATATATCATTAACATGAGCGCAAACAGCATCTCCGGCCCCATGACCGCCGCCCTCTCCCTCTACTCGGGCACCTTCATGCGCTACGCCCTCGCCGTCACCCCCGCAAACTACCTCCTCTTCGGCTGCCACGCCATCAACTTCACCTCCCAGCTCGTGCAGGGCTACCGATACGTCAACTACCACAAAATGGGCGGGAAGGAGTTGGCGGTGCAGGCAAGGGAGGCGGCGAAGCAGGCGGAGGGAAAGGTGGAGGCTGCTGTGAAGAGCGTGGGGAAGTAAAGTAAAGCGAGGAAGCGTTGATGCTGCGGTGGGATGTGGGGATATACTGCAGTGGGTACGATAGAGAAGGGGAATGAGACAGAGGAGGATTGCATTGTGGATATCGCTTCAGGTCGTGCTGCGACGGGGCTTGTGCTACTACTAGGGTATATGATTTCCTGAATCTGCGGAGTCGGTTGGCATCATGCGTGTTGCGGACGTGAAGGCTGTACTGATAACGATCAGAATGAGAGCATTTGCACACACAATTTCAGAACCACATAACCCGTCTTCCTTCCAAACGAAACGAAACAAAACAATCGCTGTTATGGATATATCGTCCTATCCTATCTATTCCTCCACATCTACGCCATTACGCACCCTTCCCTAAATCCACACACTTCCATCCTCCCTATACTCCCGAAGCACATTCTCATACTTAGAATAAGTCTCCCCGGTCTCTGACACTTTCCTCACCCCCAACGGCTTAGGCACCAATCTCTCATCCTCGACCGGCGGCCACTCTACCATCTGCCTGCTCGGCCCCGAGTCCTTGACCTCCCTCACTTGCTGGTCCGAGAACTGCTCCACGGGCCCCTTGAAAACCATCATATCCATCTTCGGACCCGGTCCGTCGTCCGCTTTTTGCTTCCCCTTCACAATCTGCGAGACCAACGCCGCACCCGCACACACCATCGAAGCATCGCTATCGCGCCGGGAGCCTTTGGCACGTTTAGCTTTCCTGTCTTTCTTCCCAGTCCCGTTCATCTCCTCGCCTATCTCTCTCACACCTATCTCTTTCACAAAGGCCGTGTGCAAGAACCCGAAATTTGGCTTGGTAGAAAGACCCAGCTTACCTGCATCCTTCTTGGCTTTCCTCTTCTCCTCTAAAGCTGCCCACTCCGGGTTCGATACCGGCGGCGCAACCGCCACCGCCGCACCCTTGCCCCCCACGCCCCCAGCCTCAGTCGCAAAATTCACGCCACCCCCGACAGGTGCCATGACGGGGCGTGGACCGCTGATGGCTTCTTTGAGTTTCTGCTGGTGCTTTGCGCGGGCTTTGTCCTTTGTGAGGGTGGGCAGGTCAGTGAATGGGTATTTGGGACGGATGTCTTTGTGGTGCGAAGGAGGGTCAAAAAAGGTAGAGAAAGCATCGGCTAGGGGCTTCTTTGGGGCTTTGTACGGCTTTGCTTTCTTGGGCTCCTTTTGGTGGCGGGGCCGCTCGGTCTGGCGGTCGTCGAGGGAGGTAGAATGGGAAGGGGGGTTAGAGGCGGCGTAAGGAAAGTCTTGACTTACTGCGAGAAAGCGCTCTGCTGGGTGCTTGTTCTGCGGTTTCGCTGCAGTGTTTGTGAATTTGGGACCTACCGGGTGCTGCGATGCAGGTGGGGGTTTGACCTCGCCGTGTCGAGGTGGACTTGTACCTACGCGCCGCCTGTACGCCTCCCTTTGTCTTGCAAGCTCAGGCGGCTCCGGCTCGCCTGGACAGCGTATAGGCGGCGGAGGGAGACCCTTCTCCTGAAATGCTCTGGACTTGGGCGCGGGAGCGAGCTTCGGGGCGAAAGCTTTGACGTTTTGGGGGTGGTCGATGATGTTCTCTTTGGAGTCGTACAGAACGCTCCGAGCGGCTGTGATTGGGACATCTCGGGAGTGGTAAGTGTACATAGAGGTGGTTCTCACCTGCGATCCTTCACGGCCACGCGCTTCCGAGAAGAAAAAACCTGGGGATGGCTCAGGGATTATGGGCGATCTTACAACGCCTAGAGGTTGCGGTTGTTTTGATATAGGAGGAGATACGGCTAGTTCTTTGTGCGGGGGCATTTCCATGGCTGCAACGTGTATAGCATCGAGCTGCTCCTTCTGCGCTGCTCGTGTACGAGGACTTCGCGCAGCCCATGGTGCCTTCAGAGAAGCTTTCGTGGGTTTCAGCTCGCGTTTCTCCTTCTTCAAGCGCCGGATGGCGTTCCACATCTCCTGGCCTTCGCCTTTGCAACCTTCGTGGTACACCATTCGGAGTTCATTGCCGAACTTCTGAACCTTCATCAGTGACTCCATGTCTGAGTGCTTGCGAGACTTGAAGGCCTTTTCAACTGAGGCTATTGGAACCTTCTTGTTCTTGTTCTCTTTTTCATAGTCTGGTCGAGCCCCGACCAGAGGTAGAAGGGAAGGCATCTGCTTATCAGACTTAGGCCATGAAGTGTATGGTGTTTCTGGGTCAGCACCATCGAAAGATGCGCGAGAAGAGCGAAAATCACCCCACCCTAGATCTTGAGGTGATTCCATGACGGCAGGTTCAGTGGAATTACACTCCATAGGTGTTGGTGGTGTCTGCAGCCTGTCAACGACGGAATGCGCGGACCTATTCACCAAAGAAGGAGTCCGAGAAAACGGATTCCTAAGAGGTGAAAGCGGTCGAAGTATTGGTAAAGAGTTTCCTTGTGGAGTATCGGAGTACCTTCGCTTCACCTTCGAATGTTCTTGTGATGTTTCAAAGTCATGGTGATCGTCTGTATGCGCTCGATTATGAGCACACATGCTAAGGTCCGGAACCTCGCTAGGGTCTTGTATAGTAGATTTCGGATAGTAAAACGAGGAGATGGTATAGATGCTTTCACTCCCGACGTCGTCTGTTGTTTGAGGCCGTCCCATCGCCGTAATCACCTTCAAGCTCGTTCCGAATGATGCTATCCGAGGATGCTTCACAGCGCTGTTTCTGTGAATGATGGGGCTTACTGTTCTAATATCAGCCATCTGTATTTGACACTCGAGAATTAATAAGACCTTTAACCAGGTATTTCAAGGGCGTAGGTCGGTGTGGAGAGGTGCGTACTGAGGATCTGGCCTCTCGCTGAAGGAAACACTCTAGTATGGGGATGTTCGAAGTGTGATTGCTCTGTACTAATGTTGACTTCGAATGATAGCTTCGGTACTACTTTAAAAAAAAATCTTTTTGGAGTATCTGTACTGATGTAGGTTGGTATAGGTAAAGAGTTAATGTTATGGCACGAAATGTATTTCGAATGCGGAAAGCTGAACGTGCTATGAATCGTAATTGCGTCGTTGAAGGAATTGCAACGCTGTTGAGATGCCGTATGCAAAGTAGGAAATGGATATGTGGATGGCATTGTGGGCACTGACCATTGATTTATGAGCTCATTGAGCATGTTGTGAGGTGCGGGAACAAAGAGACACCAAGTCAAATTAGAACCGTAGATTGATCTCGGCGGTCGAGAGGCAACAGTTAAACAATGCAGGAGTATTCCTGGGCTTGTCACTTTGTTCGCTCAAGAGGTGATGTGCCTGCGTGTGACAGCTATCTGCACAATGTAGTGGGCATCTGGCTTGTGGCTGCCACACTTGATATAGCAAGACAGTGATGAAGAGCTCCCGACCGAAGAGCACTGGAAGGTGGATGTACAGTAATAACGAGCTGCAGTAATTGCCAGAGGCTGGTTGAGAAGATGTGGGTGCCAGAACCCGAAGATGGCGCGGGTGGGGTGCTCCCAGTCATATTACAGTAGGCCATGTGCTCGGCCCAGTGGCAAGTTGGACGATAGATCAGATGAAGACGCACACCTACCATCCCACGTTCTTCGATCCGGCTTTGTCGGAGAAGAAAATGGTTCGTTTCGGGTATATCGACGAGGCGCATCAACCATGCAGAGTTGAGGTGCGAATTGAGATCAGGTCAAGGGTGCTCTTGAGCAGTGTCCTTTCATGCGAGATGGTGTCACGCTGAACAAGCTGGGAATGGACTATCCAGACCCAAGTTTCGATCAGCATGTTGTCACTGTCAGCAACGCAGTGGCAAGTCACTTTTCAAAAAGACGAAGTCGTACAAATGGAATTTCAATTCTTCATTTGCCTTTGACATTACCGCATCGGGCGTGTTCTCGTGATTAGTTTCGTGAATCTACAGAGTATGACCCGATCTCGCATCCAATATGTTTTGGTGCGTGGGCTTCTCCCAAACTTTTCTTGCGCTGAACAGTGGTGGCACAGTTGTTTACAAGTTGACCGCAGTGCGGAAGTTCGAGCCGGCGTAGATGGCGTTGGAGCCAAGCTCCTCCTCGATACGGAGGATCTGGTTGAGCTTGGCGAGACGCTCAGATCGTGCGGGTGCACCAGTCTTGATCTGTCCACTTCGGAGACCAACGACGATATCAGCGATGGTCACATCCTCGGTCTCACCAGAGCGGTGAGAAACCATGACGCCCCAGCCCTAGCTCTCCATTAGCTGAAATTCTAGCGAATCGAAGCAAGAAACACTTACAGCACCAAAGGCGTCTTTAGCAGCCTGGATGGCTTCTGAGACGGTACCGATCTGGTTGACCTTGAGGAGAAGAGCGTTGCAAGACTTGAGCTCGATGGCCTTCTTGATGAACTCGGGGTTGGTGACGGTCAAATCATCACTATTCACCACGTTAGCGGGCTAGCCGTAGGGTGTGTATCTGGGTCTACGTACCCGACGATCTGGAAGTCGGACGTCTTGAAGAAGTAGCTCCAGGCCTCCCAGTCATCCTCAGCGAAGGGGTCCTCGATGCTGACAATGGGGTACTTCTCAGCCAAAGACTTGTAGAGATCGGCGAGCTGCTCGTAGGTGAGCCACTTGCTCTTGTCGCTGTCGGGGTTCTTGAAGTCGAGGTCGTATTTCTTCTCTTCGGTCTTGTAGAACTCGCTAGAAGCAACGTCCATGGCAATCTTGATCTGGCCAGTGTAACCAGCTTCCTCGATGGCATCGGTGATGAGGTCGAGAGCCTCCTCGGGGGTCTGAATATCGGGAGCGACGCCTGGAAATAAAGCTTAAGCCAATGTATGAATGATCAGTGCATGTATGTACTTACCACCCTCATCACCGACGTTGCCGGCGGACTGTCCGTACCTCTTCTTAGCAAGGCCCTTGAGCTTCTGGTAGACTTCGGCACCCTGGCGCATGGCCTCGCTGAAGGAAGGAGCTTCCGAAGGAACAATCATGAACTCCTGGAAAGCAAGACGACCACCGGCATGGGATCCACCGTTGACGACGTTTTGGAAGGGAACGGGGAGGACGTAGGGCTTCTTGGTGCCAGCAAGGTCCGAGATGTGGGCGTACAGCGGGACACCCTTCTCAGCAGCAGCGGCCTTTGCAACAGCCATGCTGACTCCGAGAATGGCGTTAGCGCCGAGCTTCTCCTTGTTCTTGGTGCCATCGAGCTTGTTGAGGAACTCGTCAATGGCGGACTGGTCTTTGACGTCGATCTTCTCCTTGATGAGGGCAGGTGCGATAACGTCGTTCACGTTGGCAACGGCCTTGGTGACACCCTTACCACCCCACTTGGCTATGGACACGATGAGCATGCGTTCAGATGCGTTGCGGTCGGGGGTTGCTCACACTTGTCGCCATCGCGGAGCTCGCAGGCCTCGTGGGAGCCAGTGGAAGCACCGGAAGGTACGATTGCGCGGTGGAGACCGGTCTCGCTGACGAGGTCGACCTCGACGGTAGGGTTACCGCGAGAGTCGTAGACGGTACGAGCGTGGATCTTTGTGATGGGCATGTTGACTATGGAGCGGGGTCAGCTGAAGGTGGAAGAGCAAGAGCAATTGACGCAAGATAGAGCTTGCAGCGAGCTTGCGCGATATATGTATAGCTGGGCTGCGGGGTGGAGTCAAGTGATGGTAAAAGATTAAGTCAGGGCGTGGATCCCGGAGCAGAAAAAGCAGAGCTGTGGATAAGGCAGTCGCAGCCCAGAACCGCGCTCTGACCGGCGTCGGAGTGCGTGGGAGCTATGGGAATGGCCGGCGGCCGCGGATGAGATCTGCAGCAAAGCAATTGACTTACGTTCAAGTTTTTGTGATCAAATGTTCAACGGAAATGAAGAATGGTGATGGTGCGAAAAGGGTTCAGTTGTTGAGGGGCAATGGCACTTATTTGGCGTTCAAATGTTGGCGGGGCACTCTTGCAACTGCGCAAATGCGTTGGGGCCGACGCGTCATTGGCCAATACGGTCTTGCGGCCGTGGAATATGGAAGAAGCTGCATCGATTGAGTCTCACCACGGCCGCCAAGTTGTCAGAGCAACCGCTGTGGATTGCATCGTTGCACGAGGTTTGATCCCTTGATCTGCCTCTGAGGGTTGTTGTCGCCCGGCTCCACCTCCCAGCCAGACCCTGAACACGGGCAAAACACCAAGAACGCGACCCTCTCTGGGCTTGTAAGAGGAAGTTCCGGGGTCGGGTGACATGACGCTTTCGGGACGGTAATCTTGAACGTGACAGTGCCAGTTTCTGCGCACGCAATCCGGCATTCCTGATCTAGGGTTTCTTTGGCTTACACAAGAACCGTTTCCAGCGGTTCCTCACGATGGCGGGATGATCTGAGGTCACGTGTACGACTCTCCCGCGCTAAGCTGAATTGAGCCCTGGGGAGCTTCGTGCTTGGCGCAGGCAGCTCCGGCCGCGACACCACCGATCAACGAGCCCACGCCTTCGCGGTACCTCTCCATCTCGCTGCTCGTCTTGAGCTCTCCCACGTCTAATATCTGAGCCACCTGCGTCTGAAGTAGTGAAAGACCACGCTAACCCAATTCCGAGATCGCTCTGAGTCGTCGCCATCATGTATGGACAACAGCTGCTCCACGAGCTGTCACAGTTGCTGACGTAGCTCAGGGAGGTACTTCTAGGAATCACTGGCAAGGACTTTACCCTCATTGCCGCTTCGAAAGCCGCTATGCGAGGCGCCACCATCCTGAAGGCCTCGGACGACAAGACGCGAGAACTCAACCCGCATACGTTGATGGCATTTTCTGGAGAGGCTGGTGATACTGGTACGCTTCTTGCTCCCATAGTTAGACTTGGAGGTGGCGGGACTGACGGGGAGTCCAGTGCAATTCGCCGAGTACATCCAAGCGAACGTTCAGCTATATTCGATGCGCAACGGCATGGAGCTCTCACCTTCGGCGACCGCCAACTTCGTCAGAGGAGAGCTTGCACGAGCGCTGCGCTCAAGGAGACCCTACACCGTGAACCTGCTTCTCGGTGGATACGACAACATTGCGGACAAGCCTACACTGTACTGGATCGACTACCTAGCGAGTCTGGCACCGGTGCCCTACGCGGCACATGGATACGCTCAGTATGTTCCACCACAATGGCTTCCACCGAAGCCAGAGTTGATGCTCTATCGTGATCAAAACCGACTAACTGGCGCTCAGGTACTACTGCCTCTCGCTTCTAGACAAGCACCACCACCCCGACATCGACTTCGAGGAGGGCATGAAGATCTTGCGCATGTGCACCGAGGAGCTCAAGCGACGTCTACCAATCGACTTCAAAGGTGTCCTGGTGAAGGTCATAACGAAGGATGGCGTGAAGGAGCTGGACTACGAGGATGACGCGAATGTGAAAGTACCTTGAAGAGGGTAGGACGAGCAGCGAAGATGCGTAATGGCCGCCCCGCCCTACAAACATGCGGTGCATTTCCGCACCAAGCATGACAATCCTGTCGGTGGCAAAGGGTTAACGCCCTTCTAAGACAGCACGAGGCCTTACAAGGCTATGTATAGATTGACCTTGGGACGTCTAGACGCGCATCTTGCAATGGCCCACAGGTTCAGTCAATAAATGATTACGAATGACGTACAATTTCTCGTTGTGACAGAATTTCTCATATAGCTGAATACTTCTAGAGCCGTTGGTATTCACAGTTCTATGTCACTTGCTCTATGCAATATATATACACCACTACCCGTGCTTCACGCTCAGAGCTTAATCCTTCTCCTTTTCCTTCCCCAAAGTATCATATGTCAGCATTCCGAACGCAACTAAGATGAGCGCGCCGCCAATATACGTCGCTGAAGACGGACTGAGGCCCCAGACGTACCAGTCCGCCAATGCTACAAAGAACACGCTCAGGCTGGAATAAAGTATGTCAGCGCATGCGTGGACAACGGCACATCTAGAGGACAAGAGACTCACACATTCGCCATGGATCCAAACACAGGATCTGTCCACACGACTAGTATCGCGAGCAAAGTGATGGAGACTAGAAATTATCATCAGCACAGTCTGGAAAGACTAACGGGAGAGGACGCTACTGACCCGCCGCAGACAACACCGCAATAACGATCCACAACAGCGCATGCAAGCTCGGCAAAGCAAACTCCTCGATGCCAAATATATGCAAGATGGGAAACGCAATCCACAGCACGCCCAGCGTGTAGAACCCCGTCAACGCCGACGCAGCCAACGTCAGCGGTACACTAGACTCCTGCGTCTCAGGCCGCGACGAACACGCCCACTTTTTGAACAGCACCTCATACAGGCCGAACGCCACTGCGCCCGCACATGCGATGATGTTGCCGAGGAACCTGCTGGCGCCGATTGTGGACTCCGCGTGTTCGGCGGTAGTGTCTCCATAGGCAATTGTGAATGTGCCGCCGATGGAAAGTGCAACAGCGAGAATGCTGAGGCGGCCAAGTTTCTCCTTGAGAATGGGGACGGAGAATGCAGCCGCGAAGAAGGTGGCGCAGTTGTAGATGGCTGTCAGGTCCGCTGGCGTGGTCAGGGATAGCGAGGTAAACCACGACACGCCGCTGATGGTCAGGACGACGGTCACAATGGCCATTGTCGCAGCTAGGTAGTCCAGAGGACCGCCTTGCTGGCCGCGGCGCTTCAAGATGAGAGAGGGCCCGGAGGTAGCAAAAGCATCAATTGTGGAGATGGAGGAGCGGAGCGTGTTGTTGTAATCGCGGACCCAGGACCTGTAGGGTGTAGAGCGGTTCTTCCAGCGGAGATAGAAGATGTGGCAGACCCAGGGTAAGACCAAGGAGCCGTGGGTGAGATATAGGGTTGCGAATGGCTTCTTCCAGTCCAGTACGTCTTCGAAGTAGGCTGTTGCTTCCGTGTTGAGCGTGAAGCCGGCGACGCACACTGTCAGCGCGGATGCAATCCAGTACCATTCTACACCCCTTTTTGATGGTTCGTCTTGTCGTTTGTAGTGATTTACAGGAGTGCGCTCCCGGCCATCTAGCCCAAGATCGGCCAACTCGACATCATCGTCAGAGCTGTCTCTGTTGCCGTGAAGAAGGGGATCCTCATGGTCGCCATCATCATTGAATCTCCTCCGGCCTGGGCTTTGGAGAAGACGGCTCATGATAATTCCGGATCAGAATGTCAGGGCCAATGGATTCCGCTTCACTGAAATCAATCTCATACGTGAAGACAGTAATGGAAGTGTAATGGCTGGGAAATAAGGATGCAACGAGTGTTATTTCTCCATCTCATAGCAGGTTCAACCGGGGAAAGGCGGGCAACAACTAACAAGGAGGGATTTGAGGACGATGTAATGCAAAAGGGTAGCGATCGTCGTGTGATTTTGCCAATTTGTTGTACTGAATGTTCCTTGAAGTTACGCTGGCCTCGACCTCCGCGCGGCCGTGCTGGTGCGACGCACGTGATGATGGATGGTTAGCGGCTTGGCGAATTTTGCAATAAAATCTTCGCGGCTCCCACACCCTTCTTCTCTTCTTTGATCAAAAACAACGGAGCCAGCCACGACCATCAGCACAACTTTGGCTTTTGGTTGCCAGTCCCCTTCGGGGGGCGTGGCTCCGGAGAACAAACACTCCTGTAGGAAGCTGGTGTCTCGTGGGTCAGATTAAATTCTGGCGATGGGGCGTCGGTGTCGATTTTATGGAGAACATCACAATTTTCAAACGAGCTTATTGAATGTTTGTGGACTGGTCTGTGAAGCATCGATTTTGCTAGCAGCTGAGCATTTTGCGAATGGAAGCATACGCAATAGCCGACAGCAAACTTCAATCGAGGACGCACCTTGCTCAGGCCGAGGTGCCATGATATCTAGGTGACTCCTTGCACGTGCATGCCGGTGATATGGAGTGGGCAACAGCAGAAACTCTCACTGAGATTGCAGATTCCTGAACGGAAGCGTACGTAAATGAAGGAAGGCATTCATCGAGCTTGCAACTCCCTCATTTACAGGTATAAAGGGTATGAAGTGACAAACTTTCACACATGCATGCCAGAGTTTGGAGTGCGTAACATTAGATCTGATTGCTTGCAGTTTGGCTGCGTCACCAATGAGGCATATATACAGGTAAAGGAAACGAACACGGTCATCAAAGGTTGCATCCTCTCGATGCTTTTGGCCAAGCCAACTACCGGTAGCCTAGCGTGATATCTCATAATCATCATGTAGTCACGCTCACCACTCTTCCACGCACGCTTAGTTCTTGTAACCATTCTCATAACCGTTCGCCAACACCTCCTTGAGGCCGTTGGGCAGACCGTTGGCTACCTTCTGCGTAAGTCCGTTGGCGTGAGTGCCGTTTGTGCTCGGCATGCCCTTGGTCACCGCCTCGACAGGCACGTCGTTTAGGGTGTAGCCGGTGTCACTCGAGTCAACAAAGGCATCAATACCTTCACCGTTGCGAGGGTATTCCTTCATAATCTCCTTGTGTCGTCGCAGCGCAGAGTTCATCTCCTCTGCGGTAACGTCGTTGAGGAAGACACAGCTTCCGATCGGGCTAGGCACTGCTGCGCGCAGCTTACCATCTCGAGTCTTCAAGATTGCTGCCGTAGCCTTTCCAAGGATCTCTTCGTTGAAGTCTACGTGGTCCATAGACAGACCAGCGCGCGAAAACAGATTGAGAAGGCGATGATGCTCCTCATCGGTGATCAGCTTACGACCATTGGCCAAAGTCGCGGAGTAAGCCATATCAATAGAGATAGCGTGGCCGTGGCGAAGAGGAACATCGGGAGTGAGCTGGTCGACGTTAATAATTATTCACCCGAGGCATCAACGCTATTACTGACCTCGTGCAAAGGGCTCCAAGTGTGACCGTATGCGATGACACGGTCCAGACCGATCTCGTGCAGGTTGGGGGTCTCAAGCTTCAACATCTCGTAAATGCCGGAGCGGTTGATCTCGTCCGCAGCCTTGCGAACCTCACCGGACCCATCATCAACACGACCGAACTTTGTGGCGATCAGCCTCTCGCAGAACTGGTCAAGAAGGTCGAATGTCCTAAGATGAGCGCATGTTGAGATCTTGATCAACTCTGCAAATCCGTTCCGTACCTGGCCCTCAGGCAAAGTCTTCAAGAACGTGAAGTCGAGGAATGTATGCATGGGCGCATGGTACGCTCCCAGGCGGTTCTTGTAGTTGCCGTAGTTGACGGCGACCTTGATACTTACACTAGCATCGATTAGACCGATGACAGTCGTGGGAATCCGGATGAAGTTGGTATTCCTTCGGTATGATGCGCAAGCAAAGCTGCAATGGCGAGTTAGCAAAATGTTCTCGAAAGACTAATAGGCCAGAGTGCCTTAGATATGCTCTTCGGCGATGGACCAATTGGCATAGCTTTACCCAGCAACGTCGGTGACAAGTCCTCCTCCCTGGGCATGTGTTAGCGACGCGACAACTTACAACAAAGAATTTACGTACCACTACCAAAACCGGCTCCTTACGGATGATGCCGAAGTCGGTCATAGAGTCGACAATGCTCAGCAATGTGTCCATGGATTTAGCCTTCTCTCCGATCATGGTCTTATGGATCTTCAGCTCCAGCTTGTGGTGGTCGAAGTACTTCTGCATCTGTTCACCGTAAAGGTTGTAGATGTTCAGATCCATAACCGCAAGAGCACGGCCCCAGCGCTGGTAGCAGTCGGCAAGCTGCTTGTTCTGCGGGTTGAAAACGCCATCGAGGAACGTGAAGTCGTACTCGATCTTCTCGTATCCCTCGACGTGGAAACCATTTTGCGTCTCAACGACGGAAGCCTTGAGATCAGACATGGGGATTGGTGAGGTGAGAAAAAGCTGTTGAGAAGAGATAGTTGATATCTGCTACAGGTTGCCAAACCCTTACCCAGGGTTATGTACACTATATAAGGGATTACCTCGAACCCACGCATCCAATCCCCTGCTGGCTCATGTGGACACATGTCGATCCAATTGGCGCAATCCCGCCGAGAACCGGCTGTTAACGTCAATCAGATGCAGCCTCTTGCTCATCGCTTGGTGTTTGTGATGCCTTGTGTCCTGTAAGATCGAAGACTAGGCGCCTTGGACTGCTAACCTAGACTTCTATGGGAACAACATGATGAAACGACCCGTCTAGTAAGGAAAGCAACGGGCCTGGATCTTGCTTTAGCCTGTTCTGGCACATGGAAATCATACTCTTGTCATGCATTTCGTTCAGAAACCTACTTGTCAGGAACAGGAATAGGCGATCTCTCGTAACTAACTCTGCTAGGCTGAGATCTAAACCAAGTCACCATGGACTTAGTGTTGAGGGGTTTCAGCGGGGCAGTTCCGCAGGCAAGCTCCACGACTTTGCGGCCCTTCTTCGCATGCGGGAACATGCAGTCCGTGAGAGGACAAGGAGCCCAGGTGTATTCAAAGAGCCACGGCATTGTGTGCCGAGGTTTCTTTGTCGATTTTGACATCATTCAGCTCAAGGCTTCAAGAACCTCTAATCTCTCAAGAGGAAAACAACCCTGTCGGAATTTGCGATCTCGAGCGTGACGTTGCTGCAAGATCTTAGTTCCCGTCTCGGATAGATGCAAGCTCACGATCCGACAAAGATCTGGAATAACGCACTAAACTAACCCATTTGATGTCCTCGGAGAGGTTAGTCCGCTTCTACAAGTTCATGTACAACCCTGGCCGTTTTCGGTACGTGAGATTAACAAGAAAGTCATTGACGACAAAGACCCTCACCACCAACGTCAAGACTCCACGTGCGGGCATGGACACCAATGAGCAAGACACGCATTGTTCCGATTGGAAGTTCCGCAAAGAACCCTACGGAAGCAGGGCTCGTACTCTAAAGGATTTACCAAAGCAGGGCTCATCTGCGCAGCTCTATTTCCGTCGAGCTCACGTAACAGAATAACGCAACAATGATTCGACTGGACTCGTTTTCCAACCCACTTACATTTTAGACCTGACGTATACATTGTGTGGGGTACCTAATGCGCCTAGACGTCGCCGCGAACCTCCGAACCGTTTCCGTCATAGGCTTGTAAACCCCGCTATTGTTTACGCTCTCTTGAGAGCTTGCGCGGATCCTGAACGCGTAGCCAGAAGCTGCTTTCGCAAAATACTCTGAACTCAATAGAGTTGCACAATGGGAACCTTCGACCAAACGAAGGCGTACGCGCCGCAGGAAGAGACCTTTTTCGATGATGGGCGCGAAATTGAGCTTCTGCACTTCATTTACTCACACCCCAAGATCCAGCAGATTCGTGGGTCTCCGAAGGAGGTCCTGGCAGCCATTGACGAGTTTGGGCGGACGAAGAAGTACCTCATGAACGTGGGCGAAGACAAAGGCCGGATTGTCTGCGACTTGATCGCAGATGTGAAGCCAAAAACCATGGTTCGTGCAATCACTCTCAATGATCTTGCAAGCTGTCTAATGCTCCGTGTAGGTTGAGCTAGGTGGTTATGTCGGTTACTCGTGCATCCTATATGCCGACGCAGTACGGAAAGCTGGTGGTGAAATCTACTTCAGCTTTGAGCGCAACCCAGAATTTGCTGCGGTAATTTCGTCGCTAGTCGACCTTGCGGGTCTTACCGACATAGTCAAAGTCGTGGTGGGCTCCAGCGACGAATCCATTGCGCGACTACATTCATCAGGCGCTCTCAAGCACATCGATTTGATGTTCCTCGATCATTACAAACCCGCATACACCACCGATCTAAAACTCTGCGAAGAACTTGGCCTCGTCACTCCAGGCTCTGTACTTGCAGCAGACAACGTGATCAAGCCTGGTAACCCGCCGTATTTGGAGTACGTATGCAGTAGCGTGGCTGAAAAGAAGAAGAAGAGGGCCGGCGAAGGCAAAGGGGACAGTACACAGGGTATTGCAGAGAGGACTGTCAAACAGTATGCCAACAGATACGAGTCAGAGAAGTTCAGCAACAGTCCAGGCAATCCAAACTTGGTCTACGAGAGCAAGCTAGTGAACAGCTTTGAGCCTACGGGTGTACCAGTATGTTGGCAAGCTCATCGTGACAACTTATAGTTAACGTTATTGTAGGACGGTGTGGAGATTACGAGGTGTGTTGGTGAAGAGAAATAGCGTTCATATTACAATGTGCTCCCTGATACCAATTGATCACTCATAACATGTCGAAATAACTCAATTGCTTCCTTAGTAACTCTGCAAATGCAAATGAACAACCAGAGAGACTCCTAGCTTCGTCTGAGTCTCGAATTTGCAAATTGAAGGAAGAACTTTTGAGCTTGCCCTCCCTCCAAACCCCTCACCCCGCGAAAACAAATATCGCGGCAACCTAGCAACCGCGCAGGTACTACAAGCTGCACTGCTTAGATGCCCTACTGCTGTACGAGCGGCGTAGTTCATGCAGTCGGAGTCGAGCGGCAATGATGACGTGTAGACTATTTTGCACAAGCTTTCATCCCGCATGAGACAAAGCGCCTAGGCATATGTGTGCCGCATCGCGACATATTGACTACCCCTCTACCCGTCTCTTTCTGCTGAAAATTTTACCGCTGGCGCGTTCTTACGCGCAATCACGTTCTCACGCCATGGCCGTCTCACATGCTGACCCTTTCTACTATCGTCACGTGCCAAAGAACATCCTCCTCCCTCTACTCAGCCTCATTACGCTGCCGTTCTCGGCTGCTCTGGTAATTTTAAGTCTTGTGTACTCAAAGCTGTTCCCGCAACCAAGACAAATTCCTTTTCGCGATGCGTCCGAACGCAAAACCATCCTCGTCACTGGGGTTTCTATGACCAAGGGCCTTGTCATCGCTCGTATACTGGCCCAAAACACACCACATCGAGTCATTGGTGCAGATACTTCTGCCCTCTCACCAGGCCGCTTCTCCAGCTCTCTGGCCAAGTTCTGCATCCTCACACCACCGGATGGAAACGATGCAGAACCGTACATCGACTCGTTGCTGCATGTCATCAAGAGTGAAAAGGTCGATCTATGGATCAGCTGCTCAAGCGTCATAGCAGCTGTAGAAGATGGAGAGGTGGTGAGGCTGGCCGAGAAGGAGAGGGGACCGGGTTTCCACGCGGTGCAGTTCCGAAGCGATGTCGTTAAGCGGCTGCATGAAAAGGATCACTTTATCGATTACATACGATCTCTGGAACTGCCTGTTCCAGAGAGCCACAGATCCACATCATCCGCGGAAGTCGTAAAGATCTTGATAAAAGAGAAAAAAGGAAACGGAAAAGATAAGAAGTTCATCCTGAAGCCCATCGGAGTCGACGACCGCGCGAGAGCTAACATGATGACCCTACTTCCCTTCGAGAAGCGGGAAGACACGGTCTCCTACATCAAAAACTTGCATATTTCAAGCAATAACCCGTTTCAAGTCCAGCAATTTATCTCCGGCGCTGAGTACTGCACGCACGCTCTCGTGATCCGCGGCCGCGTTGTGGCGTTCACGTGTTGTCCGTCTTCCGAGCTGCTCATGCATTACGAAGCCATTCCCTCATCGTCGCACCTCTTCAAGCAGATGTTAGAGTTCACGCAGCGTGTAGCGGAAGACGGTGGAGAGTCGTTTTCGGGCCACCTCAGCTTCGATTTCCTGGCTGAAGGAGAGGGAACGGTGTCGAAGCTGTATCCGATTGAGTGCAATCCGCGAGCGCACACCGCTGTTGCACTGTTCTCCAACACGCCTCAGATGGCGTCTGCGTATCTTTCTGCTTTCGAACCTTCAAAGCCCAAGGATATGGAGATTGTCACGCCGCGCTCCCCGACTTCGTCGTACTACTGGCTCGGTCATGATATCGTCGCTTTACTGATCCTTCCGGTGCTTGACCTGTTATGGGGTATCAGGACTGTATCTGAGGTACTGGATTGCATGACGGACTTCTGGGAGCACGTTGTGAGTTGGCGAGATGGAACCTTCTCGATCCAGGACCCGGTGCCGTTTTTCGTGCTGTATCACGTTTACTGGCCGCTGAAATTCCTTACGAGTTTGGTAAAGGGGAAGCGGTGGTCGAGAATCAACGTGAGCACAACAAAGGTTTTCGTGCAGTGAGCTTTGATCGATGAACTTGCAAAGACTTGTTCAACCAGAATATCCATTCGGAATTATCAAGATTAGTAGAGATAGCTCAAAGAACCACGAAAAAGATGACTTCCTGCGACTTCAATACAATTATCACTCATGTGTTCATGAGGTCCCCAGAAGTGAGGTTAAATGAGGCCTGCTCTGTAATTTCGACTTCGTACCACTGGAGAGGCCGGAGAAGCACGACCAAAGCCCTCACGTTGGAAGATTTTAGATCCGAAGACAACCTCGACGTCATCGGTATCCAGGACTCGGAACCAAGCACGTTACGTTACTATGCCAAATCTAGCACACCGGAAGCTCAGGTGGGCTAGTCTGTCGCGATGAACCTCAAAGCCATTAAAGAATCTTCGCATTCCGCAGCATTTCTGAAATCTCACGTGTTGTGATCTTCCACCGTGTGACGAAATTGGACGATACAAAGCTGAACTCGCTCATCATCTCCAACACCGCAACGGCCGGTTCGCCGTCATCGCGACGGCCTAACAAGACCAACTGGTCCTTTTGCTTAAGGTCTTTGTGATTCCAAGTCCTCTTGGTATTCTCATCGTAGTTGTAGAATTTCGTTGAGTGGATGCTTGGAATATGACCATTTCGGAGTGGCCAGGTCCAAGGAGTGCTTTATTTGTGGCAGCAGCGGCTGCTTCTGGGTTCTTTGCGGCATTGTCGCTAACATCAATCCGATCGCATCCACGATACCCTACATCACCCTCTCACTTGTTTAACCCCTTCGCCGGCTTATACACCAGCACTGTAGCCCACTTCTCCTCTCCCTCCCCCATCACCCCAACCTCGTCCCACCCATACTTCAAGAAAATTGGCTTCGACGAATCCTGCGCCTCAACATAGCACTCCACGCCTTCCTCTTCCGCACGCTGCATTCCCCACCTCACCAACCTCCCTGCGCAACCCCGGCCCCCATGCGCAGGATGCGTCGCCAGGGCCTGAAGATCTAAGCCAACACGTGTAAGCAAACGAGCCATTCCAAGAAAGAAAGAGGAACATGAAGAGTCGGAAGGTATGAGTAAACAGAAGACATACAGTAGAACCTCTTCTCCCCCATCACCTCCTCCACCTTCTTCTGTTTCACTTCCTCCCGCCCCCAAATCACCTCCCTCCTACACTCCCTCGGCAGCTCATCCCGGCTCATCACCAGATCCACGTACCCACTCTTTTCCGCCTCTTCCCTTGAATGCGGACGCATCCACTTCGCGAACGCGACAATTTCATCCTCAAGATCGGTGTCCACGATCTTGGTAAACACTGCGAAGGGATCCTCAGCGAGGGTATGCTCGAGACGCTTCGTGCGAAACGCGTTCACAGCAGGTGTGTCAGGGAACACATTAGCCGGCGTGGGCGCGCTGAAAGCGGCTGTGGAGAGGGAGACGAGGGAGGGTATGTCCTGGGGTGTGCATTGCTCAACACTCAAGGGCATGGTTAGGTCATGGGCTTGCTAGGCCAGATTCTAGCGTTGATGCGCGTTCGTCGGCTGAGGGTTTGGTTTCCTATGGCGCCCTTGTTCTTGTGGTCGCGTTGAAAGTAGGGGGTGTTGTATTAAATAGATGAGCAAGGCAACCGTATTATGCACAAAGACGGAGTTGACGCAGCGCCGTGGAACGGCGACGATGTGTGGTGCTATTGGCGGAGGGTATGGGGGCGGGGAGGCAGATGTGGGGTGGTACGTACCCCTCTGAAGTACTCCGATGCCTATCCCGATAGTCTAGCCTGATGGAGTTAACTAGGGTAGGTGAATGAGCCATCGAGCATGTTCACAGTGTTTACATGATACTGAGACTGTAGTTGATGAAAATCTAACGTACCGTGCTTGAGATCTATCAAGGATGAGGAAGACCACGAGTACGGCAGGCTGCATCACGGCCACAGAGCAGCAAGATCGTAGTCAAAGTGTTCTGATATCATTCAATGACCGCCCACGAGCAAGCGCCTAAATGCATCGCTAGGCAATACTATGATGGATGTCGTCTACGAAGCGGTGACCATACCTAATGGTTTGCCTGTGGGAAGTACGGCTTGAACCTCGGTTCTCCTTGCAACCCACACTCCACCACACAATCGAAGCAGCTCATCAACAGCTTCGGGAACTTGCTTGTCCAGTATTGCAGATAACCATGAGGCAACGGCCCCACCTTCGCCTTGACGCTGTCGTCCATGTCCTCGTAGTGATTCTTCTTGTTCCTCAGTGCCCTAAGCAAGTCCAGCATCTTGTCTCCTGTGTATTTGCGCTGCTTGCCAAGCGAAGCAATGAAACTGTTGTCGAGCTTGGCAAGGAAGTTGCGTTTCTTGTCGAGGACCTCTTCGCTGTAGGTCTCCAGGATGGATAGATGGGTCGAGGGCGGATCGCGGATCTCGCGCTCCCAATGGTCAGAGCAGTCGCACAGGAAAGTGAGTCGCTTCTCTGCGGACCAGAAGAAGGGGTGATTCATGACCTCGGCGGCTGTCGGGCGGTCCTCAGGGCGGTTGGACAACATCCAGGAGATGAGACGGATAGGCTCTTCGGAGTCCGGGCCCAGGCTTAGTCGTTCATAGCTGGCTTTGTTCTTCTTGATGTTGTACTCGCGCATCTGCGCCCAACCCTCATCATCGTCGAAGGGGTGAGATCCATTAGTGAGTACGTAGTAAAAGACGCAGCCAAGCGAGAAGATGTCTACCGCTCGTTTAACACCTTGGGAAACAGGGTCAGTCGACGCAGACGAGTCGCGTGAGTGGCCTGTCGAACTTCCATAACCGATGTCTTTGGGTTGCAGGATGAGCTCCGGAGCTTTCCAGCCAACGGTGCCGGCGTTTCCCGTGGTGCCAATCAATGTACTCATGTTATCAGGCAGTGTCTTACATAGTCCAAAGTCAGATATGACGAGACGTGGTCCATTCTTCTGGTTCCGTTGAGGATAAGCAATGAGGATGTTTTGAGGCTTGATGTCTCGATGGATGATTCTCAAGCTGTGCAAGTGGTGAACACCCTCAGCAAGTTGATGTAACGCACGAGAGACGTTGCTGTTGATCTCAGTGACGAGACGCAGGTGAGTGTCTGTTAGATCACTGCCTGGTCTGCCGTCTCTGTACAGGTCGAACAGACTTGCCTGGCAGAGCTCCACGGCAATGTACAAAAAGTTTTCATCCTTTTCGTCATCGAAGTATCGTATAACGTTAGGATGCAGGTCGCTTTCCTGGAGCAACTTCACCTCTTGTTCTGCGAGGCCGAAATACTGAGGCAACATGCGCTTGACGGCAACATCACGATCCTTTCGTTGTACGTTAGAAATGCATCAGGCTGGTGGAAGGCAGTACTCACGTTCCACTTGCCCTCGAAGACAAAGGTGCCGCCACTGCCATTACCAAGCAGGCGATCGAAGTCAATGGTGAGTTTACCAATTCGTTTGATGTTGGATACATCCTGGACGTCATCGCCAACGTTGCTCATCTCATCGGGGTGCATGGCGAGAGGCTCGTTGAGATGTTTCGCGGCGTCTACGATCTGGTCGATTTCATCACCATCCTTGAGTCTTCGGTTCCTGCCTTTTTGGCCTCCACGTTTCCCACGGTGAGTTTTCTTCTTCTTGGGAGTCGCTGGAGCAGCTTGCTCTGGTGAGATATCGTCAGTGCCCGCCGTCTGGGTTGCGCCTTCGAGCTCAGACATGTTGCCAGTTGCAGCTTCAGCTGAAAGGGAAGCATCAATGGTGGTTGTTCGTGAGAGACTCAGATCTTCATCCTCTTCATCCTCAGGAAGAGTAGCGAACGTGACCTTCTTCTTTTCTGGTTCCGGAGGAGTAGGAGCTTCGACTTGTAGAGCTACCTCCTTGACCTCACCTATCGTGGCTTGAGGTTCCTCAAATACGATAGGTTCCGTAACAGGCTCGACGGCCGGCGCCTCAGACGCCGTCACGGTGACTGGAGCAGGACTCGGTTCGAAAGGGACAGGGACAGGTGCCTCCAGCTGTCGGGTCTTGTTGAGCTTCGTGTTGAATTTCGACACCCATTTCTTGAAAGCAGGTCCTTGTTGCTTTTGGATGGACCACAATACTAGGGCAAGACCGACGAGGCTGGTTAATGAGATCGTCATCACATTGGTCCACAAGGAACGAGTCTGGATAGGTGGCGGCTTAGGTGGATCCAAAGTCAGATGACTTGTCGGGATAGGCTGAGGTATGCCTGCAGGGACGGAGGGTTTTTTATCAGGGACTTGTTGCTCATCATTGCCTGTGGGTGCAGCGATAGCAGACCAAGTCTGAGCTGGCTCTTGCTGATAGTTCAGTCTGTGGACGCCAACAAGACCTCTACGCTCCGGGAGGATGTAAGAATCAGCTCCACCCAGATAATTGCCATAGGTATAACACGACGCTTTGGGTGCACCGTCGGTTACAGCGGGGTAGTTGGCTTCGGAAAGGGCATACCAACTACCAGCTTCTGTCGTGTTCAGCCAGACATTTGTCGCTTCGTCTTGAGAGATGTCGAGGCTCGGCGGCTGGGGAAGGAGGACTAGCGCTGGGTCGGGATCGTTATCGTCGCCTTTGCGTGCGACGTCGAACACACGCGTGACCGGCACTCCCAGCTTCTGTTGGAAGACATAGTTCTTCGCGAAATTACTCCGCTTTTTGTCATACGCGATGACATCGCCGTTGTATCGACTGACCAAATACATCTCGTCTTTTGTCTGTCGGTATTGCGTCTGCAGATCTCGGTCGCGGTTATTGGACGTCCACTCTGAGTATTTGATGGTGCAGATATGCATGCCAGTGTTTTTGTCATGAATGCTGACAGTGTATTCGGTCTGTCCAAGGTTGAAGAAGCCTTTGCATTCGTGTTGCTTGCTTCCAGTGAAATACTCTGGCGTCTTGGTATGGCAGCTTTCCGGCTCTCCCGGGCTCATGTATCCGTCGGTGCTGAAGCTCTTAGTGACGCGTCCGGTGCTCGCGTCGACGACGAGCATGATGCTTTCTTTCTTTGCCGTGTATACAACGGGAGGGTCGTCGCTCGCGTAGGGATTGAGGTCGTCGGTCAGCTGCTTCACAGTCAAGCCAAGGCTCTGGAGGACGGGCCGCGGCCCTGGCATGAGAATGTAGAGCGCCCCATCCTCTTTGGGCTCTACAATCCATATGAAGGGCTTGCTCCGCCATCCATCGGTGGGGTCGGAGTCGTTCTTGGTGTTGTAGATGGTCTCTAGCATGGGCTTGCCCACATCTAGTTCCCAGATCTCCATACCATTGTATCGGTTTCGTGCGTGTATGTGGCCGTCGACAGTCGCCAGGAGCATAAAGTCCTCAATTGTCCAATCTTCAATGGAGCGCGCACCCGGTGTCAGAACACCGGAGTCGGCTGCGTCCCTTCCATATTGGGCTCCGACAGCGGAAATCGCTGGAGCTGAGGAGTATGTTCCCACGGCGCGCTCGTCTTTGCCTTGGATGTATGTGAACGCCCGCCTGGTCGCGGCGGTGTCCAGCCTGTTGCGACTGGGCTCATTGTTGGGCTTGGGGGGCAGGATGGTGTGCAAGCTGCCGCCCTCACTAGGAGAGCGGCCGTGGGCACGATCCAGCGACTGCTGCTGCTGAGCGGCCGTGGAGATCCATGGTAGAGCGAAGAGGAGGTTGATGGCAACGAGTTTGGCGCTCAACGCCGGGCCAGCACCAGGCGGCCGGCGACGCGGCATGACGGGGTAGTGAGGGTCGGCTGTTTGATGCTGGTGCAGCCTGGGGAAGGCCTAAGGCGGGGTGAGATGGGTCATTCGGTGGAGGATGAGGGTGGATGGGAAAAGAACGAGAGCGAAGGTGCGAACGGGCCAGGAATAGATAATATGATTTGGCGAGGCGGGGGATGGGCTGAGTTCCGTGTGCGTGCGTGCGTGCGCTCAAGGGGCCAGGGCGGAGTGCAGACCAGGGTGTGAGAGCGCTAATACAACAAGGTGGAGTGCGGCGCTGCGGGAGCGAACCGGACCTTACCGTTCTCACCTCTCGTCTGGAACAGCGGCGGCAGACGACGGATAGAGAACGGATGCGAGGGTCGCGAGAGTCAAAAGCGTCAAAAGAGGACGCCCCAGACGCACACATGTGCGCGACGAGTTGGGGTTCCCGCCCGCTATGGACCTCAGCCGCCGCGCACAAAGACCCGGCGGACCGTATTCACACTGCCAGAGTGACACCGACTGTCTGCATCCTTACTGAGCTTGCGTCCACTCGCAAGCCCGTTGCGCCGTCCACTGCAGGTCGTGCATCAGCGACATGCCCGGCCTTACGTGAGTCTGTGTCTCTGCCCCGAGGAGTTGACCCACCAAGCCCCAAGCCCCAAGCCCCAAGGCCTCGCATCGCGTTGCTCCCTGTGCGAGCGTAGAACACCATAGAATAGCCCACATATTGTTCACCTGTAGCCCTCGTAGCCACTGGCGTCACATGCAGACATCCAGCAATCAATCGCAGGGCACTCCAGGTTCGGCATCGCACATGGTCGCACACAGATGACGGCACGGCAATCTACAGCAGCCCGATCTGCGCGGGTTTGGAGTTCCTCCTAGGGAAAGATTTTCTCCAGGGCAGCTGCAGCTGCCTCAGGTTGGTGCGACGCTGGTGGAGAGAGACTCGCCTCCAGCCGGCTGCCGGCTGCTCTCCTGAGGCCAGAACCACGCTGAAACCCAATCGCCGTCTTGGACTTGCACCGTACCTCGCGCAACAACCTTGCACCACTGCGCTTTTTGCCTACTCGAGCGTAGACGCAGCACTGTCATGCAGCTTACACCCCACTGCTGGTAAGGAACATGCGTCACGCTTGGCAACGTATCCGACGCACATGCACACGCACACACGAACAACGCCCACAATGACATTTTGACTGCATTAAATATCTTTGTGCGAGTACTGTACACTTTATCTAGTGCCGATGCCTTGTTGTTGCAGCATCTAGCATCGCTTTGTCACGTCGCATCACGTCGCTACATGCGCTCCCGTCTCCGGGGTGCGCTGCGTATGATGTTGTCCACCCGTAGAAGCAACTGTGGGGAATTAGTACGTTTTAGGTTTCCGTAGCGAATGGGGTGCACATACCTCTGCTGCCTCCGAAGCCGAAGAGACGACTGCGCGCTTCAACTTGTAGCTTTCGATAACACCGAGCTCTCGCATGTCGGTGATGCCGCCGCCTGGAGTGATGAGGTCCAGTCCAGAGCTGGTCAGACCAGAGTAAACAGCTTTCCGGAGTCGAGAGACGAGATCGCTTGAATCTAGACCAGCGTTGTCCGCGAGGATAGTGGGCAGTTGTTGGAGGGCCTTGGAGAAAGACTCTACAGCAATCGCCTTCTTTCCAGCGACGTTCTGTGCCGCCTCTGCAACTGCCTTGGCCATGTTCATCTCGGCACAGCCGCCACCCAAGGTCACTCTCGGCTCCTTGACCGTCTGCGAAAGCACAGCCAGAGCATCGTGGAGTGATCGCTCAGCCTCGTCGAGAAGCTGCTCAGTTGCTCCACGCAGTACGATGGTGCATGCTCGACCTGCTGCTACGCCCGAAAAGCGGATTAGGGTGTCCTCTCCAATGATCACCTCCTCGATCAAGTCGCAGTGACCGAGTTTGACTTGCTCTGGGTGGTCGAAAGTAGATGTGATCTCTCCTCCGGTGACCAAAGCCAACCGCTCAACACCGTCAAAGTCGGCGTGCTCGATGGAGCAGATGCCGGCGTCGGCGAAGAGCTGCTCCGGCCAGTTGTAGATCAATTGCCTGTTGACGAAGCAGTTGATTCCGTGAGACTTGATGCGCTCGACCTTTGCCTTCATCTTCTCGCGTTCGGCCTTCTCCAAATCCGCGAGCGCGCCTGTGGAGTCCACCTTCACTCTCGCGCCAAAGATCTTGATCTTGTCGGTGTCCATAGCCGTGTTCGCAACCAAGATCTTTGCATTCTCTATCCGCTTGGGCTGGTTTACGCCAAACTTCTTGTCTAGGATGAATCCCTCGTCCAGGTATGAGTCCTTCAACTTTCCTCCTGCTTTCTTGATGATCTGAATATGCGTGAGGTCGGTGGAGCCCTTCATCCTCAGGACTGCATCTACAGCCAGCTTCGCGAACTGTGTCCGGTCTTGGCTGAGCACCTTGGAGCTCAATGTGGTCCGCGCAATAGCCTCGAGGTCACGTCGGAACGCCTCCTCGTTGCTGCTGTTGTTGACGGCGAGCTTCTCCAGAGCCTGCAGCGCAGCGGTGCTTGCTATTCTGTAGCCCTCGATGATGGTCTGCGGGTGGATTTTCTGGTCGACGAGCTTCTCTGCCTCTCGCAGCAACTCTGCCGCCAGCACGGTCACTGAGGTGGTGCCGTCGCCGACTTCGTCATCCTGGACTTTTGAGATGTTTACGAGAACTTTTGCGGCAGCGTTGTCGAGGGCGATGGCTTTCAGAATCGTGGCGCCGTCGTTGGTGACCATAATCTCGCCGGTAGAGCTGCGGACCGTGAGTGGAGCTCGAGAGGGACAGGACGAGTTTGGACACATACGCAGACTGTAATATCTTGTCCATGCCCTTGGGGCCCAATGTGCTCTTTACGAGGTCGCCGACGGCAATAGCGCCCACGAAGGCGGAGAGGCGCGCATTCTCGCCCTTCTCTTCCGTCACGTCCTCTGCGAAAATCTGAGTGGGGTTTTGGTACGACTAGACGTATTTCAGTGAGCGAAGGCCACGGCCAGCGAGCAGGAAAAATCATACCATTACGGGACCAAACGATAGACAGCGAAAGGAGGGTATCTACAGAAACGTGGGGTAGTTGGTGGTGCCTGGACGACGCGAAACTTTTTGGGGTGCCCGCCGCACTGGAGCTTGCGGCTGGTCCGTGCCTGTCAACACTGCCAAGCGTCGTCTTTCTGCCTGGACACTTTGCATTGCGACAGACACGACTCGACGCTCGCTGCTGCACGATCTTTCGCAAGCCTTCCTGGCTGAGCACAGAGAGCTCTGATAGAGTGGAAATCCCCGGCCTCGCCAATTGCGCCTTCCTCTCCCAGAGCCGCCATGTCCAAGCGGCATGCACTCGAGCCGCTCGAGGATGTAGCCGATGCGCCGTCGCCAGCCTCGAAACGGGCGCGCGTGGAGGATGAGGACATGTCGACTCCCGAGCCGCCGAGCGGCACCACCAACGGGCATCTCATGCTCCCCCGGGTACGAGACCGAGACGTGATAGACATTCTCGGCGCAGATGCGGAGGAGCACGCGGAGCTCGTGGAAGCGGGAGCTCTGGACGAGGATGATGACGACGACGAGAACGAGCCAGCGATTGGCGCTCCAAGGCGGCAGAAAGCACCGGAAGCTGGATACACCGACCTCTACCTCGACACCATCGACCGCAAAGTGCTCGATTTCGACTTCGAGAAGCTCTGCTCCGTCACGCTGTCCAACATAAACGTCTACGCATGCCTCGTCTGCGGAAAGTACTTTCAAGGACGGGGCCCCAAATCGCAAGCATACTTCCACGCGCTCGACGAGAACCACCACGTATACGTAAACATGGAGACCAAGAAGGTCTACGTTCTGCCGGAGGGGTACGAGGTCCTGTCCAAATCGCTCGAGGACATCAAGTTTGTTGTGGATCCGCGACTCAGCAAGTCAGAAGTTGCGCGGTTGGACAAGGATCCTAAGGTGTCTTGGGATTTGTCGAACAGGGAATACATCCCGGGCTTCATAGGCATGAACAACATCAAGGCGAACGACTACTTCAATGTCGTAATACAGGCTTTATCGCACGTTGTCCCACTTCGAAACTACTTCATGTTGGAGAACTTGTCGAGTCGGCCACAACTTGCGCAACGATTCAGCACCCTCGTTCGTAAGATCTGGAACCCCCGCGCTTTCAAGACCCACGTTTCTCCACACGAGCTGCTGCAGGATATTGCGCTTCGGTCATCCAAACGATTCACCCTCACCGATCAGTCCGATCCGGTGGACTTTCTGTCTTGGTTCTTGAACAACCTACATCTGGCGGTCGGTGGATCGAAAACGAAACCAGGATCGAGCATAATCCAAAAGATCTTTCAAGGGACGCTGAAAGTCGAATCACAAGAGATCACAGCCCGTGCGGATGCAGGCGACCGTCTGCGGTTCGAAGACGCGGCTGTCAAGACCGACATCACCAAGTTCCTCGTCCTCACATTAGACTTACCAGCCGCGCCCTTGTTCCAGGACGCATTGGAAAAAAACATCATCCCCCAGGTCCCCCTTACTACGATCCTCAACAAGTACAACGGTCTGCACGCCCAAGAGAAGATGAAAAACCGGGTGCGCTATCGGCTACTACACCCGCTGCCCCCTTACTTGCTGTTCCACATTAAGCGCTTCAGCAAAAACAAGTTCGTATCCGAGCGGAACCCCACCATCGTCACTTTTCCTGCGCAGTCTCTCGATATGGCCCCCTACGTCGAACCGAATCCGAAAGAGTATCCACCAGGCGAACCCATCTACTACGATCTCGTGGCCAACATCACCCACGAGGCCGTCAAGAAGAAGGACGACAGTGTGGAGGGCGAGCAGGACATGAAGGTCTGGAGGGTGCAGCTGAAGGATCGAAGCAGGGATGAGTGGTATGGCGTACAGGACCTTTTCGTAGAGAAGGAGCGAGGCGAGACACTGTTTACGAAAGAGAGCTACGTGCAGGTGTGGGAGAGGCGGAGAGGGCAGGCTGGTCCAAACGCCGTCAACAAGGGCAAAGCGAAAGCATAATAGATGCCCGTGGTATTGCTGTTGGGAGTGCCCTCGCCTTGCCAGATGGAGATTTGCGCCTATCTCTTCTTGTACTCTAGAACATGAGGAATACTCTGTCGTTTTGTATACCCAAAAATAAATCGCACCAATCCACATAATGCACCTTTATCGCAGAGCTTTGACTGCACAGTACAATAGTCATGATCACCTTAGTGACCACCCATCATTCAGGGTCCAACAACTTGAATGCCTCGGTTCGGCTAACCAACCATGACCCCATTTCCCCATTTCCCCTGCTCCCCTGCTCCCCTGCTCCCCTGCTCCCCTGCTCCCCTGCTCCCCGTCCGTCGACAACCCACCATTCCCAGAGCAGCCAGATTGTATGTTTTTTCTATACCTATCTTACACCAAGCTATCGATATGTCCAAGCCTAAGATTACCCTTTTCGTCGATATCGTGAGCCCGTTCGCGTACCTCGCATTCTACGCTCTGCATGTAAGCTGCTTCTCGGCTATGTCAATGGGCTATGCGAATAGATAGATTTGACTATTTTCACGTTTCGAAAAGAGCTGGAGGTTGTAAATGGGCACATACTGACTGCGAGTAGAACTTTCCGGTCTTCAAGCAATGCGAGATCAACTATGTGCCGGTGTTTCTAGCGGGGATTATGAAAGCGTGTGGTAATACTCCTGTGAGTTACAACATAATTCGTCTTTGGCATACCGAGAGAGCTAATCCGATGTTTTCGTATCTAGCCGCTCAAGATCAAGAGTAAGTTCACATCCACGCATCTTGCCCTGCACTCTCCAATATGAAACCACGCGGACATCCCTCCCTCTCCAACAACCAGCTCCGCAAAACTCACGCACCCCTCCTGACACCCCTGCAGACAAAGACAAATACATCAACACCGAACGCCTCCGCTGGTCTTCCCTCCTCAACATCCCCATTTCCCAATCCCCACCCCCAGGCTTCCCCACAAACACAATCCTCATCCAGCGCGTGCTCACCGCAATCTCCCTTTCGCACCCCACCTCCCTCCCCAGCGCTCTCGCTCTCTTCTGGCAGAGCTACTGGGTCCACTGGAACGATCCTTCGACCGAGGAAAACATGCTTGCCATCCTCAGAACAGTTGTTGGAGGTGATCAGGAAGCGAGGAAAGTGCTGGAAAAGAGTCGCGGGGAGGAGGTGAAACAGAAGCTTGGGGAGGATACGGAGCGGGCGGTGGGAGAAGGGGCGTTTGGGCTGCCGTGGTTTGTCGGTGAGTGCTTGAGCTGTCCGTAGTAGGGGAGATTGGATTTTGGCTAACGAGGTACAGCGACGAATAACAAGGGCGAGACGGAGCGGTACTGGGGTGTAGATCACCTGGGGCAATTGTGCGATCACCTGGGTCTGGAGCGGCCGGTGGGTAGGGGGTGGAAGGCGCTGCTGTAATCGCGTGGCACTGATCCACCAGACTTTAGAATATGTCTCAAGTGTATTGGTATCCCAGTCAATGTAATGTACAAACTCCCGTCCCACTTCAGCACACCCTTCCGCCACACAACCCCATCAAACGACACCACCGTCATCCTCCCATCCCCTTTTCCTTGTCACGGTCTCGCGCCAGCCCCAGTACCTACATACCCCATTCCGTGCTCAAACCCATACTCCCCAGTTCCCCTCTCCAACCTCGACGGACTCCTCGGCGGCAGCGGCGGACTCTCTGCGCCCTCCCTCCCCATCTCCACCTCCATCTCCCGCCCGCTCTCCTCCCGTATCGGCGATGCCTCCATATTCACCGCCGGTGGTGCCCCATATCCCGACGTCGGCCTGTGGCTCGTCCTGAACGCGCTGGAGTACCCTCCCGTCTTGGGGTGCGGCGTCGGCGGGTGGTCCGAAGATCGAAAAGCGCCGTACTCTGAGGGCTGGGAGTGTAGGATGTGGGTGGCCTCGTGGCTTGGGGGGGAGGGGGTGTGCTGGATCATGGGGGTGTGCATGTGCATCGGTGTTTGATTTTGGCATTCGTTTTGGCTATGGTTCTGGCTCTGCGTGTCGGTTGGAGAGCGCAGATGGTGCTCAGTCGCCACGCTGTTTGCATTTGGCGCGGTCGCGGAATAAGGGATGCTGTATGTGGTGTCGTGCACGATGGAGTCTTTTTTCTTCTCTGAGAGGCCGTAGGCAGGCTCGTGGGCGAGGTGGCAGTGGTAGTAGTACGCGAATGCGATGGTTGTGAAAAGGAAGAGGAGGCTGGTGATCAGTCAATCAGCATGCGTCCTCTAGCTATTCGTCTTGTTTGGCATGAATCTGGACTCACAATTCTATTACCACAAATACAGCAGCTGCGACACCGCTTTTCCACGCCCCTCTGCACTTCGAGCATATTTGGAATACCTCGTCGACAACTCTCAGTGCCTTGCCATACTCGTGGAAGATATCTAGGTACGATGCCAATGCTGCAAAGGACGCCAGCCAAAATAGTGAAGCAACGAGGTCCAAGACGAGCGCGATGCGTGGATCATAGAGGTGGCGTTGGGAGATGTGGAGAGGGGTCGTTAGTGGGAGTACAGAGAGAAGCGTCAGAAGCGCAATGATGATGGTGGAGATTAGAGGTGCTTTGAACTTTAGAGCTGTCAGATACTCGTCTCGTTGCATGTGTCAATCGAAGTCACTCACGGGACCACCACTATCGATGGAAAGTGAATATGCAGTCGTAGCAATAATTAAGACAGCGAAGAGAGCCTGCAGGAAGCGGAAGGTGAGGAGCCACGGGTGAACGGGGATGGATCCGCCTTTCAGGATGTTTGCCATGGCGATTGGTGTTTCGAAATGTCTAGAAGTAAGTCTGAAAGATTTGGAAAACAAGAGGAATTGTTTGGCCTAAGTGAGTCCATGACGGGGGCGCGAACATTATAATTAAGACAAAGAGGTATTACTGGTGGAGGGATGGATGGTCGTCGTTCGCGGTCGTTGTACGTTTGCGGAGCACTGGAATGTGAAAGGAGATTTCCTGTTTCGGGAAACACGATCGGTCATACAAACTCTAACCAAATGTTTTAGTGCCGAACTCGAAATGTGATCAGAATCTGGGACCGGTACAGCGGAGGGTGACGCGAACTATGTGTGCATGCCAATTGAGTTGAAAAAGCTGAGGTTCTGGCGAAAAGGCAAGTAATCCAAGCTTGTGAAGGTCATTGACGTCCAAGAACCCGTTGCATACAGAGCGCTACTCCAATTAATATAGAAGACGGGCAATTGCGCGCCCAGTGAAGCTTGTGATGAATAGTCCTAATTCTAATTGTTTTAGTACTGCATTAGACCTCGCTGGGCAACAAAGCGTGCCCAGCTCTTCTCAAGGTAGTGTACGACATGGTAATTAGGTTATGGAGAACACTCGACATATGTTCGTTTAATTCTGGAGATGCTGGCCACCTAAACTAACAAGGCACGACCCTGATATGTTCAACGCATGTGACAGGTTTCGAGGAGGGTAGCATTACGCGGATAGACCAATGGGCATAGCTAGCGGCCTAACAATGTCGCTCGCAAGCTTTAGTTCACTGCCTTCAATACAGTCAGCCTTTAATCGATTAGCGAAACAGTGTGGGAGATCGGGGTACATTCATGTCTATCATTCAGCTGTCAGCACGTATGTAATGTTTCATCGGCGCATTCGACAGCCTCAATCCATATCATTCATCTCCGGCTCACATCTGGCCTCTCTTATGCCGTTTGTGTACCATATCCTCTGATCTGCTCCGCGAATGCCCAGCTCTGGTTCTCCAGCTTCTCGTCCTCGTGAAGCTCCACACCCTCCTTGGTGATGGTAGCGATGGAGTATTTGTCCATACTCCTGGCATCCCTGTAGAAAAGCACCTTCATGCACTCCTTGACAAGCTTCACGGCGTCCTCCTTGGTAACGTTCTCCACCGAAGCCTCATCGGGAATTGTCCTCCTCATGATCGGCTGTGCAAGATGCGCTCCGAAGCCGGTAGCAAGGGTGGGTGACGAAAAGGTGGTACCCAGCAAGTCGGCGCTGGCGAGGAAGGGCTTCGACTCTCCATCTAGCCCTGCGATCAGGAGATGGTTCCATAGCGGGTTGAAGTCGGAGCGACGCTTGTACATGACCTTGGCGAGGTATGTGTGGAGGTTCTTCGCGTTCAGCGGGTCGTCACTGCTTGCATAGTTCTCTCGGATGTCAAGGGAGTTGAGCAGACGGTCGAGGTACTGCATGTCTGATACGTCGCCGCCGAACCCCACCACCACCGTCTCGTTGAATTTCCGTAGACGCTTGACGTCGGTGAACCGGGCGAGAGAGCCATATGAAGCTATTGGATCCCGTCAGTAGAAGCCCGGTTATCACAGCTGTTGCAAGTGTTGTGCCATACCCAGGTTGTCTGCGGCAATCACAACGCCATCCTTGAACTTGGCTGCTACGACTGATGTGCCTGTGACAATGGGCTGTTGTGTGTGTTGGTTTGGTCCGGCAGCGGTCTGGAAGTGCGAGTGGTCATATGCGCCGTACACATCGTCCCTAGGCTGGTACATCGTCAGTAACGACAGCGGCCTCTGGTGGCTGGCTCAACTCACGCGGCCCCAAGCTTGCGGAAGGTGGTTCATCTTGAGATTTTCGGTCTTAGCGGTCAAGCAGGAGAGGAGGTGGGGTTCGTAGAGGTCGTATCGTGGGGCAAAGGTGTCGTTGATGGCAAAGCTGCGGAGGTGAGGGCGTTTAGGCAGCTTGACGCGCATTGCGACCCCGGCCGGTGCCAAGACTTGACATGGCCCAAGCTCCCGGCCGTCACTGCCACTTTCAATATCTCCACATTGACCTCCAGACAACAATCATGCTCGGAATTGACTACGTGAGTAGTGACGAGGAGGACGTGGCGCCTGTCGTCAAACCTGAGGTTAGTTCTGGAAATACTTGAAGAAAGGACGCGATAGCTACTAATATCGAGTTGTCAAAACCACCATCTCGACCAGCAGCTGCATCGATCGCAGAGCCTGTCCCAGCACCAGCGCCTTTACCTAGTGAGAAGGTCCCGACACTCACAGCTCTGCCAGAAGGACCCTCTCAAGGCCGTAAGCTTTCACTGCATGTCATGTCGCCCGCGTACTCTATCTAACTTTGTGCCTTTTCTCAGCCTCTGCAATTCCTCAGATTGAATATGATGAGCCAACCGAGGGTGCTTCGCCAGGGTCTCCCTATACTTCCAATCGTCTGATGATTCAAAATCTGACCTTGCCCAATGTCCCGAATCTCAATATACCTCCCTCACCACCAGGCTCGCCACCACGGAGAGCAACCCAGAAGTTTGCACAGTTCCTCGAACTGAAAAAGAAGGGACAGCACTTCAACCAGAGACTGGAGAACTCATCTGTCGTACGGGATCCGAATCATTCGAGCAAGTTGATGGACTTTGCCAGCGTGCGTAACCTCGTGATAAGTACTCCGCACTGCTTCCTAACACCATTACTCAGATCACCGATGAGGATCAACATGCTTCAACCCTACCAGAAGGGCTCGGTGTGCCGGTATTATGGCCAGACTGGGCATATGGCGAGGCGCTCAATGCTTCTCAGAAGAAGATTACCAAAGCCAGGGAGAGTGAACGATCGAGGGTCCCGCGTGGGTTAGTGGATTTTGTACCCGCTAAAAGCGGTACTTCTAGCGGGTCTGGCACACCCGCGGGGAAAGGGCCGCGACAGAGTACAGCTGAAAAGGTCGTTAGAGGGACAGACAATCGATCGAGGGAGAAGCGATAATACGCTACGTATCAAAATACCCAGACGCTCGTACATTGCAGAAGACGAATCCGTTAATTCTATATCGAACCAGCAAAACATGCATAATGCTGAAATCAGCCATGAATGTCTCTGCTCGGCTCGCGTCCGTCCCTTGTGTCAACTTGAGGACTAGACTGGAGGACTAACGTGGAAGCGAGAATTAAACCGAGTGCTAGCAATCAATTCCATATAACTTAGGCTGCTATCTGTGCCGGGATGTTGAAACTTACATAATGTCTTGTTGTGAATGTCGGCATCACGTGTGATAGGTCCAAGGGCCCGTGCGCAAGCTGGGCGGAAGGTGCCATCGTAGGCACCTTCCGCGTCGTCAACGCAGCAGCAGCAACGACCACCCCACGCCACACCCCTCTTCGCACGCCAGTTCGAACCTGCACGGCTTCCCCCTTCCACGCAGCATAGTCCGACCTCAGAACCCCGCATACTGTCCACGATGTCAGCAATCTTCTCCGGTGCTCCTCCGCAAGGCGGTCCAGGCTACTCGTTCAAGCAGACCCCCACAGCGGCTCCGTCAGGCGAACGACAGCACGGCTTCTACCCGTAGGCTGCTAACGCACACTACATCATATCCCAATGCTTACATTTGTAGCTACACCGACAATGGTGGATCCACACTCGGTATCTCGGGCGCTGACTTCACCATCCTTGCTGGCGACACTCGATCAACCTCGGGCTACAACATCAACACGCGGTACGCACCCAAACTCTTCAAGATCGGTGGCGAGGGGCCAGAGAACAAGGGCGCGCGAATAGTACTCTCGGTCGTCGGCTTCGCGGCGGACGGCGACGCGCTGAAGGAGCGCCTCGACACCATCGTCAAGATGTACAAGTACCAGCACGGCAAGCCCATGTCCGTGTCCGCATGCGCACAGCGCCTCAGCCACATTCTCTACAACAAGCGATTCTTCCCGTACTACGTACATGCAATTCTGGGTGGTCTGGACGAGGACGGCAAGGGCGCATTATACTCGTACGATCCGGTCGGCAGCTACGAGAGGGAGCAGTGCAGGGCTGCTGGTGCGGCAGCATCACTCATTATGCCCTTTTTGGACAACCAGGTCAACTTCAAGAACCAGTACATGCCGGGAAGCGGAACGGGCCACAACCTCAAGGCGAAGGCGGCTGAACCGCTGCCGCAGGACCACGTCGAGGACTTGGTGAGGGATGCGTTCACGAGCGCGGTGGAGAGGCACATTGAGGTCGGTGATGGTCTCCAAATGATGATCATCACAGCAGATGGCATCGCCGAGACGTACACGCCGTTGAAGAGGGATTAAGGAGGGTACTTGGTCGGGGCGGACGAGGCCAACGACTTCTTGGCCTACAGCATAGCCGGTTTGTATGAACAGTATCTAACGGCAGAACGAAGCAATGACACAGCTGTCTGAAAGACAAAATACATACACATGATCTAACTTTTCGTTCTCCCGTCACGTCCACTTCTTTAACTCCTTCCTTCCCATCCCATCATCCCACTCGATAGCCTTCACCTCGCTCTTGCTCATCATTCGTCACCCTCGCCCTGCTCCGACACCCACGACTCGGACGAGGAATCGCTGCACAAGATGAAGCTCTTCACCGCTGTGGAATTATGCATCACCGTACTGCGGTCGGTGCTTGCGTTCATGCCAGGTCCCAATAACACCCCCTTCGATTCTACCTCGGTTCTTAATGATGGAGCCTCTGATCACTCTCCCAATCTTTCTCGGAGCAAGCACCTTGACCATCAGCTAGGTTCTTCAGAATTTAAGAAACATGATGTTTCTCTAACCTAGAGAAGGGAATTGACTAATGGCAACTGCGATCCAGGGCTTAGTTCTGGTGGTCCTACTGGCAATACCCGACCTTGGCCCAGACGTATTGGGTTGAGAGAGGTTGCGAAAGGAGACGCTTCTACCATCCCTTACTGTTTTTTCGACAAGCGCTCCTATGACGAGCTGCTTGGGTACGTACTGCCGGGGCACGAAGTGGGTGTCTCTGATGTCAATGATATGCGAGAATCTCGGATGTTGTTTATGAGCTGGAGTTAGAACATCTGCTTTTTTTCTCTTTTCCTCAAATCTCTAACAATTCACTGACTGTATACCCTCCCTTTAGTCCTGTCAAAGAAGTGATCGGGCTCTGGCAGGATGCATTAGGTGATTTTAAATGCGGCAAAGCCGGGCCTGAGAATCGTCACAGCCTGGCTTTCAAGACCCTCCCGCGTGGCAACCCCAAGATTCCGAACCCATACTGTTGTGATGGATACAACTATAGTGAAGAAGGGAATGAGCTCGATCTACGTAGAGATCTGCGGTGCGTCTCCTGGAATTACGAATACAATATCGACAGACTTGCGATTCATTGGGTTGATAAGGTCAAAAAGGGTGGCGATATCGTTGCCACCGTCAGCTACACTGATGGTACAAGGGAGGGACGACACACCCTATTCATTTCGAAAGGCAACAATAGACTCCCTGATATCGCGCACGAACTTGGGCATGGTGAGTAACAAAGATCTCAGAACCTTATAACTATAGACCCGAGTCCGCTAAAACTTCGCAGTCTTCAGTCTGGCTTACGAATTTCCGCGATGTTTCGTGATGAATACATCCTATTCAATCGTAATAATTTACGAGGTATGCAAGAGACGGTCGATGGGGTACTCGATGCTCTTAATCATAGTCTTTCTGGGGAGGAAGTCTGGCAAAACCTATGCACCGAATCGGACTGCGCCAGGAATTGGGTTGCACTATCCTTCGGCTTCACAAAGGGTGACAAGCTCGAAGATGGAGCAGATCTGGACGGGCCGGATGGATTCGACATGAACCCAATCATGATGTGCTCTTTCGCTGCGGGGGCTCCAATTAAGGACGTTACCAAAGGCACTGCAGTATCGGTCAAGCTCAAGAAAAACTCCAACGGTCAGAAATACGTGGACCCTGATGACTGGGAATTTCCGACCCACATCGTGTATCACTGAAGGATGCGGAGTTCGTTCACCGCATCTATCCTTGGGGGAAAGCATCGAGTCCAACTCATAAGCGGCCAGAGCAGTCTCAAAAGCCACTTGGTCTCACCCGCCTCCATATAACCACCATCAGCCCCAATCCAGAACCCACTGCCTTTGGTGTCTCACCGCATCCACTCGAATATCCCCGCTGCTGCTGCGCGCCACCGACGATGAAGCCATTTGCCTCTTTCATCGCGTGGTCGTTCACGCTGCAGTGGGCGCTCGCTACGAGCTTGATTCCGGACACTGATCTCACCTAGTCTTACTGCAGTCGAACACAGGACATTCCAGCTCGCGGAGCCCCAAGTCTCCACCCTCCTGGGAGTACCCAGATGGGCTATGTAGAATGCGTATGTACCTGCTCTTCCCATGTGTGCACATGTGCAGCCGAGCAACTACTAACGCTCAAAATCTGGTCATGACCTCCGTCATCTTGCAAATTTGCCGATATCAACTTGGCCGTTTCGGCATGAGCTAAAGAACCCCGGTAAAGGCTACCTGCGCACAATCCCGTACTGCTTCATCAAGAATCGCTCGTTCGAGGAAATTGGAGGGCTTTCCTGTGGAGTGCGAGCAGCTTTTAACCTCTGGACCGATGCTCTGAAAGCAGAGCCAGTGCACAGTCTGGACACTCGCTTGCATTCTGGACAACAAAAAATACGATAAGCACAAAGCACTATGAACTTGGTTAGGAACATGCACCTCTGGATTATGACGATGAATCTTGTTGTGAATGGGACGACAAGTGGCTTGAAGGCACCCTGGCCATACATTGGGTGGAGGAGGTCAAGCTGGAACAGTCCACTCTCGGGTATACTGATATCGCAATAACCCTGAAAAGGACCGAAACTGGATAGATGTGACTGAAGGCGCGACGACGGTTGGATATTGCACACGAAATTGGACACGGTCAGTCTGTACAATCGCTGAGGAGGATCAGGCCTGGATACGTTATGCAATCACCTTGGTACTGCGATGGATTACGACGCACCAACCAATAATCAGATCATGGATGATTGTCTCGACCCCGTTATCCGGAGGCTTCGACATGGATTTACTCATAATGTATGCGTCGGTGCACGGCTCCTACGCGCGAGACCAAATCGATCTAAAGTCCCGCGATCTTAGTTGGAAGGTTTCAATGGCGAGAAGATTCCTGGGAGCGAGTTCTTGATTCCAGAGCTGAAGAGACCATCTTTACTCGATGTTGAATTTGTGAAGAAGTTCTATCCTTGGGATGAAGTAAGATATCAGAAATACCAGCGCAATAAGAAGGATCCAGGTTCGAAATCTTGATTTTCCAGCCGAGAACGTAGATGGCGCAGGTCGACTCTTGAGGCTCAGATGTACATAGAACATGAACAGGAGGTGAAGCATATCTATTGTAGACTATCGAACGTTTGAGCATGCAGTCACTTCTTGATGTCCGCCGGTTCTCTGTAACCGTAGCCTGGTTCGAGCCGGCAAAGTTGGTGATGCCCGAGCCGCAATTAGCAAAATAATCGGATGCCATGTGATGATAATAGAGATACTTCTTTCAAAAATTGCAGAAGCTTGCATCTGGCCAACGCGTCTCACGATTGTACCCGAGGATCCTGTCGCTAGCACTAATGACCGTATCATATATGCGCCCCCACACGATGCACGATTGAACAAACGCGAAGCAAGAATCAGCTCGAACTTAATGCAGCATCTCAAGTTCGCATTCCGGGCCGGATGATGGAACGTGCTGTGACAAGCACGTGGCGTATCGGACGGCTTCTAGGTCGCGCCTGGCGATCGTCCGATCGGGACCTTCTGGAAACTGCAATACCCGGGCTCACCTGCTAGTAGGAGAACGTGAGATCGTTTCAAGGTGAGCGTTCGGTGAGACTTGGTGATTTGCAGCTGGTGCGACACAGTGGTGAGTGACATTAAAGTTTGCCCTACTGTGATAGTACAGGTAGATCTGCATGCGTGGACGGTAGCGCGGGCGAGCAGGATTATCGATATATCAGGTCCATCACGCCGAACGCGTCGCAGCACGAGCACGAGCACACGCGGACGGCGCTTATAAGTGTCAAGCTGGATGTCAGAGATGGAAAACATGTTGGCTCGTCATCCGTATTCGTGGACAGCGCGTGGTCGCTTGGCTAAGGTCGCGGCCGGTGCTTCAGATTCCGTCGCATGTGGAGCACTTCGTTTCATCCTCATCTACCCAAGCTTTCAGCTGGACCAGCGAAAACGGTCGTAATTCCCAGCGCAATGGTATCCGGCTCATCAACAAGAAAGGCTGTACATATTTTGGGTTTGGAATACGAAGTAGCGTTCGAATTGGACTGAGAGTGTCCATGCTTCATTTCCAGGATCGGAGCCTCATTATTTGGATGAAAACCGGAACCGCTCTTTAATCCAAGACGACGCGTCGCAACTCTCCTGTATTCAGGGACGACACCATTAGCTCTTATGGATTGCGGAACTTAGCATCCGGATCGATCCCCCGCGACCCGCAAACGCCACACATCCCGCAGAAGCGTTCCATCGATCGTTCGAAAAATCTGCCACTCATACATGAAGGTCACGACTCGCCAAAAAGTTGTTCCAAATTTTTGAGACCGGTTTTGACAACAACATTGCGCCTCGGCTGATGCCTAGACTCGACCAGGCGACCGGAAGTCGACCTTTCCACCACACGCATCCTGGGACCGGGGAGTATCAAGGCGGAGCTTTGCCGTCGTTCGGAGAGGTTTTGTTTTGGTCAACAGGCTCGAAGTCATCACCACTACAAAACGAACACGACGGTAAATTTGATCAACAGGAACCCGTATTGACGCATCCATATCTTGGAAACCACTCTACCGGTATCTTCACATCGATTCCCTACGTTTCGGACAGATGCGCTTGCCTTGCAATGATGCTCCATCCACTGCTCTACATTCGACAAAGTTTCTCAATTCCCCATGTAAGTCGTACCATTGTCCACCCCTTGTTGCCTACATACAAGATTGATCTTGACAAGGCTCCGGGCATACAACCTCTGCCACCACCCCGTCTCTTTGACGAATCTCGAGCCGCAGATATCGTAGCCGGAAATGTCCTCCTTCAGCTTGTGGGAACTCTGTTCTTCGTTTTGCGAATATACTCTCGCCTATGGCTAACCAAGTCCTGGAAAGTAGAGGACTCTCTCCTTACGATTGCATGGGTGCGCCTTACAGTCAGCCCTAGTTTTTCACACTGACTCCATCAAGGTGTTCGCTACCGCCTTCAGTACATGCCAATACGGCCAAGTCGCCCACGGTGCCGGTCACCATCTCGGCGTCGTCCTGCACAATGACCCTAAGGACGCTGTGGAAAGCCAGAAGTGGGCCTACGCCGCCAACCTCATCCTCTTCCCCGCGCTTGCATTCCCCAAACTCAGCATCTGCGATGCGTACTCCCGCATCTTCGGCGAAAGCCTCATGAACCGCCGCATGATCTACGCCCTGATCGTCCTTGTCGCAATCCCTAATATCCCTTTCTTTTTCCTAAGCGTCTTCCAATGTACGCCGATACATGTGTACTGGACCGAAGGCCGCCCGTTCGAGAAGTGCCATCTCATCGACTTCAAGATGTTCTACATCCACGGAGGTCTGAATATCTTCTGCGACGTCGCGCTCATGATAATCGTCATGCCGCGTGTGCTAGAGCTGCATGTCGGCCGTCGGCAAAAATGGGCTTTGGTCGGAATAGTAGGGCTGGGTTCGCTGGCTGTTATCGCTGGTATCGTGCGGATGACTCGCCTTTCCCTGACATTGTCGAAGCCCAACTTCGATGCTAGCTGGGACGCATACGATGTCTCCATCTGGACCTCAACTGAAATCTACGTCAGCTTGATATGCGCTGCTGCCCCGGGCATCAAGCCAGTGGTTTCTCTTGTGCTTCCGAAACTACTTGGGTCTTCGCTTGGGAGTCGGGCGCGCACCACGACTGGAGATGGACATGGTGGTGCTGCACCGATTGAGCTGCATTCAAAGATGAGAAGAGCGACTATCGGCAGCGCAAGAACGAGGAGAAATACGCACGAAAGTATCCTAGACGAAGCAGATGGACCATATGCGGAAGTCGGCAGAGGTGTCGATACGGAGTCGCTGGGTTCAAAAGAAGTCAAACCCGCAAGACGACACACGAAGAAGGTGTCAGAGATACTGATCATACAATCGAACGCTGTGTGAAATGGGACTTGAGGACATCGCCCAAAGCCGCCTCAGATCTGGAACACGGCATGCCTGCACATCAATGTTGCTATGTCAGGTGCATCATCGCACTCTTGGAGTCGGGATTTCACTTCGGGAATTGTGGAACTTATTTTGACCGGAATACCCGCCCTTGCGTTTTCGCAGTGTCGCTGCGAGGCAGTCTTCATCCTTCGGCTCCACACCACTCTCAGTAGAGCTGAAGAACGACGTGTACATTCTGGACCGCAAAGGTGTCTCTTATGAAATAACGCAGAGCCATCAACTAAGGCAGGCAATTGATACCTGGGTCTTTAATCACCAAGCAGATTCGGGTTTGTCGTTCCCACGTCCACCTTGATAAATGTCCGACTGACCTACCAGCACAGTATCTCAAGAAGCCAACATGACGCAGTTGCCTCCAACTTCATTTCAGGTTCGGTCGATATCACCCAGCAAGCTCAAACAGCAGCCAGCCAGGACCCGGGGTTGAACGTATGTCGAAGGAACTCGAAGAAGTGAAAGGACTAAAAGTGTCGCGCATCTTCGAAGCCTGTACTTCAGCCCGTCCATAATGCGACCGAAGCAGCGACAGTCACTTCTACGTCTAGCAACAAACCATAGTCGATGCGTGCTTACCCCAGGAACAAAAGATACACAGCTTTGTCGTGGTGGGAGCAGCTCTTGCAGACGCTCATCAAGTTAATTATGATGTCTGCTGTATGCTACGGTCTCTGGAAGCTTTTTGAGGCTTTTCTAAACTGGTTGGTCAAGGACGCTGCCTACACGGGACAGATCACTCTTCACTACAATGGAAGGTGGTACACAATCCAACTCTCGAGGCCTGCAGCTATACAGCTATTGACACAGCTATTGGTAGAAATCTATAGAAGATGCATGTCCATGGCAATTAGACGTTAGCTGCCCTGTTTCGAAGGGAAAGGAAATTGACCTCGTGCGTCATACCATCCTGTCCCGTGATAAGAAGTACAATTGCAAGCATGCTGCCTATGTGATTGTCTCACACCCCCCTCCTCTCCGCTATCAGATTTGCTGCTTGGACTCTACCATCCTGTCCTTGCAAACTGCAGATGGTGATGCCACTGAGTATACTGATTCTCCCATGCACCATTGAAGTCCTTCATGGCCACTTCTGGGTTCGCACCAAGTATCACACAACCGATTGCTTCCTCGAACAACTTGTGAAGGTGTAGTGATGCCAATTGCAAGCTTCGGTCTGTGAATGAGTCCCATCTGTTATAAGCAGTAATGAGGTGCACGTTTGATGTTATCAGTGACTTTGCAAGGGTTCTGCTAGGGTCAAGGCGTTTGCAAAACCAGCAGAACGGTTTAAGGTAAGGCTCATCCATGCCGAAGCGCAAGCTCCTCTCACGAGTGTAAATCCAGATGTCAATATGTTGTAGATTGGTCAGCTTTTTGGCAACAGTCTTACAGGTACGGTTCCAGCTGTGAAGGTGTTTCTCCTTCCATCGAACGTCCTTGGTCTCCCATGGTTCGCCATAGACACGGTAGTGCAGCTGTATCTTGGCCACATTGGCCAGATTAGTCGCCGAAGGAACCTTCAAGAAATTGGCGATCCGGCTGGGCGAGTCGAACACAAATGTTGTGTTTAGGTAAAAGAAGCCTATGCACTCGGTGTATACCTGTTTGCATATAAAGATCAAGCCAGTAAGAGATGTGTTCCAACGGGTATCGAGACCTTGAATGCGCTCATAGCGACCTGTGCGCGAGTTTATTAGTACTCTAAAGGGTTTCAACGCTCAAAAAGCGGCTCACTCCTCTGCTTAATGTATATTGCAGTCACATAGAGTGCCCGTATTTTGCGGATCAGTACGTTCAGTATACATACCCAGAACTCTGGAAAAGCGCACGTCCGCTACAGGCGCCGGCCTTCGCAAATAATGAGCGTAGATATCGCTTGATCGACGATTTCGACTGAGGAACTTGAGGCACTCGCGTTGCGTGTGACCTAGCTTCGCGCCCATCTCGACGAATTCGCATTTGAAGCCCCTTTGGAAGTGGTACTCGTAGATTTGATTCCTAATTTCCCCGGGAAGCTCCAAAAATCCAACACGCTTCTTCAACGTGACTCTTGGCCGCGTGTGCGCGAGGGTGCCGCATTTCTTGTTCATGTTGAAGGGCCGGGCGACAACGGTGAGTGCAAGTTGGGCTGTCAAGGGAGTAGGGTTATCAGTCAGTGATAACAGAGATCAGGTAGCAACCAACGAGCTCTCCGAAAGTGAAAGAAGTGAGAGAGCGACAGGTGTTTGTTCGCTTGGCAATTGAGGAGGTTAGAGAGTGCTCTTTGATATTGCGAAATCGTTAGTCACTGCCAGGTTAGTCGGTGTCATGACCGAGCCGGCCTTTCGGTGACAAGAATGGTGAAGCTGATCACCGCCTCAAATCACAGGTGCAGTCGTGCGGTGAACGAACAATGAAAGGCGAGACCGAGATGAACATTATGGATCCCTCGCATCTGCCGCGCGCTAAACCCGCCAAGCTTAGCGCCAATCAAAGTCATCGTGCATACCACCTTCCCCCCACCGAGGTCATACCCCCAGAAACCTCGCCATGCCTCTCTCAGTCCAGCCCATCCTCCTCCGCAACACCGCCGCCCTTCGCCCCGCAGCACGGAACTTCACCACCTCCTCCAAGACTTTCTCTCGTCTCCGCCAGCCCGGCGAGCCCACCGGCCCTAACGAGCCCCCGAGCCATACTTCCTCACCGCCCTCCAAGTCGCCCCTCAAGGTCTGGCCGATCATCTTCATCTTCTGCGCGGGCAGTTTTATGTTCAAGAAGATCGTCGACCGACAGCAAGAACTAGGCCAATACAAGCCTCAGGGTCCCGTAGCTGGCCACTCGCCCAGTCGACCATAAACAACAATCGTCACGATGCCGGCGATTGAGAAGCTCGGTGCGACCACACGCACGTCTCCGCTGTGGTCTGCCGATAAAGTCACTGTCATCTTTGTGCTTGGTGGACCTGGCGCCGGTAAGGGCACGCAGTGCAGCAAGCTGGTGTCCGACTATGGCTTCAAGCATCTGAGTGCTGGAGACTTGCTTCGCGAGGAGCAGGACAGGCCTGGCAGCGAGTTTGGAGAAATGATCAAGACGTACATCAAGGAGGGCACCATTGTGCCGATGGAGGTGACCATCCAATTGCTGGAGAACGCCATGAAGAAGGCAATGGAGGAGGAGAACAAGAGCACTTTCTTGATCGACGGTATGCACCCTTATCGTCTATTAGTTTCTGAGGTGAAAACTCACCATGTAAACAGGTTTCCCACGCAAGCTCGACCAGGCCCATGCCTTCGAGCGCTCCGTCGTTCCATCAAAGTTCACTCTCTTCTTCGACGCCCCCGAAGACGTTATGCTAGAGCGTTTACTCAACCGCGGCAAGACTTCCGGCCGTGCAGATGACAATATCGAATCGATCAAGAAGCGATTCCGCACGTTTGTCGAAACCAGCATGCCTGTAGTCGACGAGTTCGAGAGCCAGAAGAGAGTGATCAAGGTGAACGCAACCCGCACGCCAGACGAAGTATACCAGGACGTACAGACTAGGCTGAAGGAGTGGGATATTGAGCCAATTACGCTCAAGTTTGTCAAGACTGATGCGTAGTTAGACAGCACATCCCGGCGTAGAAGTAGATGCTTACACTAGCGTAAACGGAATTGACAACAATCGTACTATGCTCTTCTTAGGTGTATCGTGATTGTCAAGTTTGAAGTGTATATTGCATTTCTATCATTGCAGCACTCAGGCTGCGATTCCGGCCATTACCAAGAAAGCCTCTGATGCATTCGCTTCCAACCCTACCGTTTTGACGAAAAAAGCAAACAAGCAAGCCAGCAACACCCCGATGCCCCGGTCATTTAGTCCATCTCGTCATCAATCATAGGCTTCTGCTGTCGGTTGTTGTTGCCGCCGCGTGCGCCGCCCCTGTTCACCTGCGCCAGCTTCTGCTCAATCCTGTTCTGCTCATCTTCCTTCTCCTGTGCGAATCTCGCCTTCTCTTGCTGAACGACCTGGAGGACGGCCTCCAGACCGCTCCGCCACATGTCCAGTCTCGATGAGACTTCCCGCCATTGCTTCTCTCCGAATACGCGGTACGTCGATCGGTGGATGAGGAACGTCTGCTTGAGCTGGCTGAGCTTACCCTCGACGAGGCCAGCACGGATCACATCGATGACCCACATCTCGACGTCCTCAGATGGGATCTGCAGTGACTTGGCGATATGTGCGTATGGCAGCTCGCGGGTCTGCGCCGCTGATGCGGCTATTGAAGCAAGAGTGAGGAGTCGCATCTTGCGGTTGAGAGCAGCGCCGTCGAGGCCAACCTCATCAATCCAACCATCGTGCTCATCCTTGAAGTCATTAAAGTCGTCCAGCAACTCGGAGTTGAAGATCTCGAGGAGTTGGAAGTATATCGGGTCGGAGTTGCGGAGCGCCTGCACAGAGTCAAGGCCGGTAAGGTCTTGGAAGTCGAAGTGGCTGGGGTGAATGAGGGCGGACTTGAGGGCACGAATAGAGAGATCGCGGGCTTCCTGGGAGGAGACCTGGTCCGCGCTGAATGTCCGGAGAGCGCGAAGGAGGTATGTGTATGCCTGCTCGTCCTCGCCAGCATCGGCGGCAACGTCGCTCACTGCCAGGTACAATTTGCGGTCGTCTGCCTCCTCCGTCTCCCAGTCTTCGAGCCACTTGTCCAACTGCTTAAGTTGTGGGCGCAGAGTTTCGAAGTTCGAAGTCGCCCGGATGACCCGCAGGATGGCAAGGAGAACGTGGAATCGGAGCTCAGAGTGGTCTGAGGGGAGGGTGTTAAAGACGGTGCTGAGTACCGACAGAGCGAGTCCACCACCGTTAGCGGGCGAAGAGGAAATCGGAGCGCTGAGGTGAGCGCAAATCTTGGGAAGGAACATGGGAACGTTCGGCGACTGTCGGACGAGGTGGATCAGGAGGTTGTATGCTGCTATGAACTCTGCGCGTTGTAGCATTAGTATTGTTCTTCCACAAATTGCATTTGTGACTCCGTACCCTTCTCTGGTGCCTGGTTCAGGACCTGGCTGCCCATGACAAGCTTCTTGAGGACCTCATCCTTTTTGTTCTCCTTCAAAAGCTCCACAGTCTCGGCCTGGATCGCCGAGCTTTCATCTCCCTGGGATTTTTTGAGGCTGTCGATGTATTGTGCGAGCTCGTCGGCAAGCTCTTCGAAGGTGCCCTCGATGAGCAGGGTAGTCTGAGGACCGGGCATATTGATGGTTCGCGTAGGAATATGCCTCGAGGAAGGGAACGGGTGGGGATCACGGTGCGCGCGTTGTCGTAACTTCGTCAAAGGTTGCGCCTGCCGTGGTGGGTGCGTGCCAAGATTTCAAAATTCAAGGTCACGTGGTGCGGGGCTCTCTCACCCCGATTAGACCACTAAGTACACTTATCTCACAGCCTTAGGTCAAGACTTCTTACCTTGCACCTCCAATACCTCAGGACTCTGAAACACAATACACTCATCATCTCACTGACCTTCAGCACTAACTTCTACGATATACGTGCAAAAGCCCGAGCAGAGGAATTCAGTCGATTGACCTACGAACTACCACTGGTCGTATGCCAGCAATAATGGCACCATCACCACACCTCAGCATAAAGACCAGCAGCACCACTTCCCAAGCAGCATCCCGTCGTGGAGCGCGCCAAGTGAAGCAACATGTTGAGCTCTACGAAGAGGAAGTCACCAATGACCACAACGCTGCTAACGACCTCGACATGGACAATGCTGAAGCTGAAGATCTCACCGGCGACACCCTGACCGAACCCTCTCAAGAAGCGTCCCAACCTAACCCAGTGCAGCAACTTTTGAGGGACATGCAAGCCGATGTATGTCCCGCACTCGCACCGTAGAACTTTGATCATCATCCAACCCAATTAAGGAATGCTAATAGCCTGTAGCAACACAAGCGCAACGAGCACCGCAAAAGAATCGTCTACAAAGCGTACAAGGATGCCCACGCCAGCACGCAGGACGCCATCACCTCGCACTTCGACGAGCACGAAGCGAGCGCGTAGAGTTTCCCCTCACTCTTACTGATCCGTAACTTCTTCTCGTGGACTAACATGACGTGCAGCGCTGGAGCCCACGAGGCGCAGATGGCCCGCTTGAAGGAGCTGCTTAGATTGAAGGCCGAGATCGAGAGGGAGATGGCGGAGAAGCTGGGCAAGCTGCGCGGGGACTATCTGTACCACTCCAAGGCGATGGAACAGGTTATTGAGCATCGCATGAATCAGCTGAAGTGAGGAGGGCAGGGAGCCCCGGGAGATGGGGAGTGACGGAAGGAGCACATTCTAATGGGGACATCATCTACTTTCATGCCATATAGTACCGGCATGTAATCACCGAGACTATTATCGGTGTCCACGCGAAGTACCAAGTTGCAGATAGGAAGCCATCAAGCATACACACAAGCACTCGGTTTCACACTCATAGCTCGCTCGCATTGCTCTACATACAGGTATCATGAAGTCCAACCAAGAAAAGGAAACAAGGCCATTTCACAAACCAATCTACATGCGCCGGATCTACGCCAAAACCCAATCCCCAAGTACACATTACAAAGAACGCATGATCTAGATGTCGTTACACAAATGATGTAGTTACTATATCGAGTTCAACCTTCGCCAACGCGCTACCGCTGGTACTCTGGCAACTGCTCGCTGCCCGGTACCTCGCTGTGACCTCGACTAGGCACTGGCCTCACGGCGCTCACAAGGCCTTCGTCGTCGTCATCGAGCATCGGTGCTGAAGGAGCGAGCGTGAGGTTGTGCATTGTGTCTGTCGGAGGCGCAGAAGGATGGAGCGATGACGATGACTCTTCAGGATCTGTCGGCGGGGCGCTCGCTTCCATCTGGAGTCTTCTTCGCTGGAGCTCTTGCTTGTCGTCTGTGGGCTGAACGTGCGCTGATGAGGGAGAGTAATCTGGCGCGGCAGCTGGCGAAGGAGGAGGCAGAGCGGGGAGGTTTCTGGTTGCATTCGGATCTTTTGCGGTGGAAGGAGGGGGCTGCGTGGTGTGGGCGTTGATGGTTAACGAGGAGCCTGTAGTGATTGTCCGGCTTTCATCATCGGTGACTGTGCGTGTCAACACCTGTGACGAAGAAGCGGTGGCAGCGGAGAAAGATGGTGGGTGCGATGAAGGTCCGGAAGCGGCTGCTGATGACTCCGCCGCAACGTACGGGGGGTGTAGGTCTTCATCATCATCGAGCACAGGCGCTGAGGGCGGTATGCCGCGCGGTATCTCAGATGGGGCTGATGGCCCGCCTTCTTGAGGGGGCTGGGAGGGTAGTAGACGCGCTTCTGCCCGTCGTATTCGCTCCTTCTCGGACAGTCCTTCCTCGTTCTCCGCTTGTGGGATGTAGGGTGCTTGGGAGCTGCCGCTATCATGGTAACCCGGCGCTTCGTCGTAGACGCCATCGTATGCGTAATTATCGTAGTATTGGCCGTCCTGATCGTATCCATAGTAATCCTGATCCTGCTGCTCTCCACCTACTGAAGGAGTTTGTTCGAACGGTATCTCCTGTACGTCTGGCCTGACTTCTGTAGGCTGCGCCTTGCGCTTGCCATTCTTTTCGCTATCCTTGGTACCAATGACAACCTCGAAGAGGCTCGATACTACGCCCTTTTCGCGCCGGATCGAGTCCGTGTCTGCGAAGTTGCCACCCCAGGAGGAGAACATACTGCCATTGGAATCTTCAGGTCCCAGACCTGCCATGCCGGAGTTGGAGCTCATGGGCACTAGGCCAGCGGCAGGAAGGATTCGATCTAAACCCGAGAGTTTCCCTTGAATATCAACAACGACTTCAACAAAGTACCTGAAGCTTATCATCGCGCCAGGTACATTAGAAATAGTAGGGAAAGCCTCATCAGGTACTCTGACAGAGCATTTGACCTCTGCAGTGAGCGTTCTTGGGTCGACGAAGAGAGGAGCAAAAGACTGCGAAAGGTCCTTGCGAAACAGATGGCTTGACCCGGCGGAAGAGAGAGACAAGCCACCAAGACCTGTGCGTGATTTAGGGTAATAATCCTCGGATTTGGCTTTATCGTTTTTGCTGTTTGGCAAGACGGGTAATGCGGGATGCATATCGACTCTTGCTTGTCTGTAAAGCGTGATGATAATGCCTTTCAGGCTCCTGACATGCTTCGTATGATTGACCGATATCCTTAGAGCGATGTTATCACCCCGCAAGAAACCGCCCTTCGAGAGCTCAATCGATGCTGTTATGATCTTGCCTTTTACATTTGTCTGATTGGCGCTTGCCAAAGTACTGTCCAAGGCAGTGTTCACTGAGCGGACGCCGTATTCTGTACCAGAGGCATTGCCGCTGCTCATCTGGCTCTCAAAGCTTGTATCGCTGGGTGCCGGACTTCTCGGGTGGTCAGCTTCTTCAATACCGAGGTTCGCGTCCGATGCGCGTGCACTACGTGTTGGCTCCACACCGTCGGGCACTTGCAGCGTTGCCTCCTGCACCTGCGGCAGCTTTTTTGGAGTCCTTGTTCGCCCCCTTCTGGATATAGGCTCTAACGATATAGCCCTGGGCTTCGGTTCAGGTATGGCGGCAACATCGATGACATCCATAAAGTTGACCTTGGTGTCACACGACGATACGGGAGACATCGTGGTCGGTTTTGTTAGGCTGGCAGTTAACATATATGATATGGTCCCGCGCTCAAACTGTTGGTACACATGAGCAAGAGTTAGGAACAGCGAGGGGCGGTTGGCTCACGTCTATACTGCTGGGCAAGCCTTTGGACGGAAACTCCAACTCGAAGTTGAAGTGGTACACGCCTTCTCCCAACCTTCCTTCGCCGCATAGAACTGCCTCATCCTCAAAAAGCGAGACGAAGCCATTGCCGAAATAGCTCCCGGTCTTCTTGCCTTTCCCTGACCCCACCGTCGTACTGTAGTTCTTGTAGGCATCGCCGGGCGAGTTTGGGTTCTTAAAGACCTGCGCATAGCCATGCAGTGAGATAACCAGATGAGTGATGCGCAATGGCTTGATGATCTTGACTATAACACTGCCACTGATGATGTCTCCCGGAGCATACTGCCGGTGGGGGTCATCTGGCTGTATGTAGAACTCGGTGAAGTTGCGCGTCTTGGACTTGAGAGGTGCGCGGAGTCGAGACAGCAGCGATCTGCCAGAGACGGAGGGGCTCGAGGTAACGGTCGGACTGGAAGTCATGCTCTGTGGCCTGCAAACATCATGCGGCAACCCGCACCTGGTCTACAGAAGCGGCACGGTGCAGCCTACCCAATCGGCGCGCGGACGTGTCCCAAAGTCGCGTGCAACGCAGGCTGGGATCGCGAGGTGTTCGGTTCGGGGGGTGCGCCACCCACGGGGAAGCAAGCACGCAGCCGAGGCGTAGGCGGTGCACAGCGGGCGGGAGCGGAGGCGGTCGCGACGCAGAGAGACGGCAGGTGCGACGGGCAGCGCGCAGAGGGAGTGGTGCGAGAGCTAGCAGGCGAGGCTGCTTGATGCGCCGCAACGTACGTGGGCCGGCGACGGGTGACGCGCAGCCGTCTCAGGTCGGCCAGGGGGCTGCACACAGGACGAACGATGAACTCGAACAAGGGAGCACGATGTCTAAGCGCAGCGAGAATGCAGTTAGCATTGCGATGCGATAGTGGCAATCGAGATAGTTCCAGCAATGGGGCCGCTCTTGGTGGGTGAACGACCGTTGGGGCTATGCTGGCAGCGGGGAACGCGACATGCGCACCATGCGCAGACCCTCACTGTCCACGCGCGAGGGGGAGCGTGATGGTAGCGCAGGTGGCCCTGTTCGACGGGCGACCAAAGCATGGAAACGAACGTACCTGAGGGTCGAGAGCGAGGCTGCCCAGAGGACCGATCGGCTCTTGGCCCTGCCAAGTCGATACAGACCTGACGACCGGGATCGAACTGGATCGCGGTGGAATTCCGAAGGAAGAGATGCGGGATGAAACTTGTGGTTTCTTCACGCGAGAGGCACAGGCGAACACAGGACAAGATGGAACCCGGCGAAGGAAAGCAGTGAGGACGAAGAAGATGGCGGTGGAAGACAGCTGGGGAACCACGCACGATAGACAATGAGGCCCGAGACGAGTGGGCCGTACAGACCCTGTGCTCACTGCAGGCCCCATTTGCAAGCGCCCAAGTGGAAAGGCGCCGGCCTCCCAATTCGTGAATGGTACCATGCCGCTGCTCAGAGCGGCTCGTAACGAATCGTCCTGAACCCGCACACTGCGCTCAAACTCAAATGACATGCGCGGCTGAAGATGCGTTCCACTATGCTATCCCACCGCATCTGTGGTTCGGGCAGCCTTCACTCTGATAACCCTCAGGCCACTGAAGAGGGGCGGTCTCGAACCAGCCATTGCTCGTTGGCTGCACTAAACGATGACCCATGCGTAGGGTCAAGCTTCGCCAAGCAGTCTTCCAATGCTTGTATTAGCCCACTCCACGACAGTTTCGGGATGCGTCGTGCGGTCTTCGTAACCGGCACTAGTGTTCGAGGTGCAACGGATGATGCTGCGACTCTTGTGCCATGGTCGCAGTGGGCCTTCAACTACCACACCAAGAACGGCGTAGTAGAAAGTCGTTCATTCCTAGGTACTTGCTCGGCTACATCACCGTCGTCTGTGATCGCGTTTGGAGTGCAGCATTCACCTGTTTCAACCAACTGACATCTTTGTTTCTTTCCACAACTCCAGGGGATGGACCCGACATTTTTTGTGGCCAGCGGATCCAGGTTGTCGTAGCTGTATGTTTCGACTGCGAGGTTTTTAGGGATCAAGGATTGCATGCATGTGCGCGGCACTGGACGCAAAGACACGTATGAGCTTCTCGAAGAAACTTTTGAGTATACGGCACGAAAAGCCAGCAGCTCAGCGATGTTCAAGAAATGCTGTGAACAGCACGCTTTGGGACTAGCGTCGCGTGCGTTGTCCCTCGCTGAGTCAGCAACACGTGGGCGGCGGCGGCGGCCTGGGCGGTTTATGACATCGAAGCTGGGCGCGTCTCGCTTTAGGGAGGTGACGGAACAACGGCCGCATGCACTACGCAAGATACCTTCGACGTCTACCCGTAAGACGGCCGCTTTAATCCAGAAGCGATGGACGACGATGACAAGAAGAAATGCGGCGAACAAGGCTGGGAACAGTGGGCGGGACTCAATCCGAGAGACCTTCGCATACAGATTTACCTCTCTTTGGCACTTGGTATAAGCGCTTTTTTGCTCTTTTGTGTAAGTGACACGCATCCCTCATATCGAGTCAAATCTGATTTCCCCTGCAGTACCTCCGCCCCCGCTGGAAAGGCCTGTATTCTGCGCGCAAAAAGCAAAACAACCAAGCGACTGCTCTTCCCGAGCTCCCCGATAGTTTCTTTGGATGGATTCTACCGCTATGGCGCATAACGGACGAGCAAGTGCTGAAGTCGGCGGGATTGGATGCATACGTGGTGCGTAGCTGACAACTTAGTATGCAACATCTGGATACGTCGCTAAGAGACTTGCAGTATCTCGCCTTTTTCAAATTGGCTATTAAGTTCTTCCTCGTCGCGCTATTCTTCGCTCTCGCCGTCATAAAACCAGTCCACGATACCCATAAAGATGTCAAGATCCCGGAGGACGGGCGTAAAAAGCATGACAAGCGCGAAGACCTGTCAATGTTGGTAGCAATGGCTTCAGACTACGAATCGTATACCGATTACCTATGGATGTATCTCGTCTTCGCCTACTTTTTTACCGCCTTCCTGTTGTACCTTATTGTTTCGGAGACAAGGAAGATCATCGAGGTGCGACAGAAGTACTTGGGCAGCCAGAAGACCATCACAGACCGCACGATCCGCCTCTCCGGGATCCCACTTGAGCTCAGATCAGAGACGAAGATCAAGGAGTTTATTGAAGATCTCGAGATTGGAACAGTCGAAAGTGTCACCCTGTGCAGGAACTGGAAGGAGTTGGATGAACGCGTGGTGGAAAGACAAACCGTTTTGAGGAAACTTGAAGAAGCATGGACTGTGTATCTCGGCAACCGCAGGGTGGAGAGAAGCTTGGAAACCTTACCCCTTGTTCAGCCCCGGCCTCCAGCGCCTGAAGTACACCATGATGACGATGAGCACGGAGATGAATCTAGTCAACTCCTAAACGACACTGATCGAGACCCCGATTACGCTATTCCTTACTCAAGACCACGTCCAATGGCGAAGATATGGTTCGGTCGCTTCAAAATGCGTTTCAGAAACGTGGATGCGATCAACTACTACGAAGAGAAGCTGAGGAGACTGGATGACGACATCAAAGCATTGCGCCAGAAGGAATTCGAGCCAACTCCACTTGCCTTTGTGACTATGGACAGCGTCCCATCTGCCCAGATGGCTATACAAGCAGTCTTAGACCCTTCGCCTCTGCAGCTCCTCGCCAACAACAGCCCCGCTCCCCCGGACGTGGTCTGGACTAACACCTACTTATCTCGTGGGAAAAGAATGTTGCGGGCTTGGTCTATCACAGTCTTGATCGGATTGCTTACAGTATTTTGGACGGCCCTGTTGGTCCCGATCGCAGGTGCCTTGAACACGTGTGCTATACACGAAGTGTTTCCCGGCTTGGCAGATGTTCTCAAAGATCATCCAGTGTTGCAGTCTTTGGTCAATACTCAATTGCCCACTTTGGCGGTAACACTACTCAACGTCTTAGTCCCTTTTCTCTATGACTGTAAGCCAAGCGAGCTCTACTACTTCGAAATCAGCGACTAACGATTCTAGGGTTGGCGAACCAGCAAGGAATGATTTCACAGGGAGACGTTGAGCTGAGTGTTATATCCAAGAACTTCTTCTTCACATTCTTCAATTTCTTCTTTGTCTTTACAATCCTCGGGACAGGTTCGGGTTTCATTGCTCTCCTGGAAAGCTTCAAAGAGAAGCTCCGCGATGCATCCGTTATAGCCAACACTTTGGCGAAGTCTTTGGCGAAACTTCTCGGATTCTATACCAACTTCATCATCCTCCAAGGTTTTGGCCTGTTTCCACTGCGTCTCTTGGAGTTCGGCGCTCTCTCACTCTATCCCATCAACCTGATCGGAGCAAAAACACCTCGAGGTATGTCGTCTGCAACGTAGCTCAACTATCATCTAATTGTACGATATAGACTATGCCGAGTTAGTTCAACCGCCCGTATTCAGCTACGGCTTCTTTCTGCCTCAGACTATCCTCATCTTCATCATATGTCTCGTTTACAGCGTACTCCGAGACTCCTGGCAGGTATTGCTCAGTGGCCTGGCCTACTTCATGATCGGTCATTTCGTCCACAAATACCAGCTATTGTATGCTATGGAACATCGCCAGCACTCGACTGGAAGGGGATGGACGATGATGTGTGATCGTGTCATCGTCGGTTTGGTCCTCTTCCAGCTGACTCTCGCTGGCCAGCTTGCATTGAAAACTGCTTTCAAACGCGCGGTTCTCATTGCTCCGTTAGCCGCCGGTACACTTTGGTTTGCCTATGTATATGGGAGAACGTACCGTCCGTTGATGAAGTTCATCGCATTACGGAGTTTGAAACAGGCAGAGCATTCGGATCTAGGAAGAGGCGTCCAAGAGGAAGCGAGTTCAGAAGGCCAGCAAACTTTGGACGAAGCCCGTGAGAAAGAAATGCGGTTCGCACACCCGAGTCTGGTTATGAGGTTAGTGCGTTTCTCCTATTGTATAATTAATACTGACGAATTACGCTGTAGTCTCGATGACGTTTGGATTGTGGACAAGCGAGCTAGGTCTCAGAACGGCTCGGCTGCCTATAGCGATTGAGATAGTGAGCGCGGGTCTCGCTCTTTCCTTCTCTGTGATTACTTAATTTGGGCAACTTTCGTGTACTTCCCATGTTTGCCCGGCCCTTTCCGTATACGCATTTTTGACACCTGTTTCCTCTTGCTCTCGCTTGATTTTGACGCCTTATACCCACTTACTTTTCCTCAATACAACACAATGTTTCGTCTGCCCTCACGGCCGTTTGGCCTCACCCTCACCCTTGTATAGTAATACCTCATCCTTCAATTGACCATACGCTCGGGCATCTGAGTCACAACCAAAATATCCTGCTCTGTACAAACACACTTGGTATAAACCTGTAAGCAACCTTGGCTGCCTGTCCTGAGTCCTGATTTGCAGATGAACGCATTTTATACTGAGCAACTGTTCTGGGCATTCACGCACTATTCTGTTCCACTCGCTCACAAACTCATTTCGCAGATCCATTGGCGATCTTGCATCTCCGGTCGGAGGTGCTACAACAACGTCTTCTCAGATTTACCTCTCTCGGGGAGTAGCCGGGACAAGGTCCACACCAGCGCTTCCTCATACCGACCGTAGTACTGCCTCCGTCGCATCGTATTTTGAGTCTCCTCATCACCACTCTCTAAGTCTGTCTCCGCCTCCAACGCCGCCATCCTCAGCTGGCAGGGTTTCTCGCCTTTCTGATCCCGCAAATCATACGCTGATGAGCTTGAGAGAGTCTCGTCGAGAGGCCATAGATGCCGGGTGTTCGCCGCCTCACGCTGAGACACCGGCAAGCAGTCGTGCAGAGGCTTCATCGTCACATACCAAACGATCCGACGTTCTGCGCCATGTGTTCCCACGCTCGCATCTTGCGCGGAACTCATTTGCCACGTCCGGGATCGCTTCACGGGTGGTAAAACTGTCCCACAAAAATGGTCCGCCCCTATCACCGGCCCGGCGTTCCAAGCCTCGTGTAGCGTTTCATAGAGCCTTGACCTCGTTCTTCAATACGGGCCATACCGCAATTACTGTACCAATACCACACGACCCTAACAATTCAGCCTCATCAAGCATTCGCTCCAGAACCAACTCAAACTCACTTCATGGCTCCATGCCTAGCCTAGAGTTTGTGTCTTCCGGGGCCTTTATATTCAGCGGTCCTAGCCTCAGATCGCGATCTGGCTCCTTCAACAACTCGACACCTCGTTTACCCAGCCTCAGAGAGGATAGCGAAGACTTCAACATGCTCCATCGTGTACACTTCGACACATTTTCTTTCGATGACATAGCTGTAGGTCAGCCAATCTACTCGAAGGACATCTAGCTCTAACGGTGTATCATCCTATAGGCGTTGAAAGACGGTATTCTGGAGCCATAGATTGAGCACGGGATCGTTCGAACGATGTCCGACGTATTTTATGGCTTTGATACCTCCAGCCCAATTGAAGAGTTTGTTTCATCATCGCTGGAAGATTTGGCAGAAGTTCATTCATTGAGCGATGAAAGCTCTGCAGCTCCAAGCGCGAACCGGTCGCTACTTTCTAGTGCTCTGGCTGCTGTATTCATTACTTATCTTGATGGAGCCAGCCTCGAAGCGCTGAGATCAACCTGCAAAGAATGGCGTGCGGCAATCGACCGTAACACTCCATCTCGTCAAACTGCTTCACATTGCCTGCCAACCGAGATCCTTCATAATGTCTTCAGGTACCTGGGTCCAAGAAGCGTAGGTCAGATAAGTAATATGTTCAATTCAAGCTCATTTAGACCAGTTCAACGCTGCACGACATACTTGCCGTCATTGGATGCGTGCGAGCCTGGACCGGAAGTTGCTGCGCACTATGCTCGAGCGAGGTGGTTGGCTGAGTTATGTGGAGAACCTCCATGTAAGTCGCTGCAGATTTGATACCTCACGGAAGATTCGCTGCTCATCTCCCGATCTTTCAGACAGCAAATCTGGCGGACCACCAACCGACCCCCTCCAATGCAAGCAACCTGTGGTCTCTCAGTCGCATGTTGTCGCGCGAATGCTCTCTGAGTTTTGAATGGACCGGAAGCGGAGTTCCCGCTAAGAATCGGCAAGACTCTGGTGTCTTCGCAGAAGTCTCTCATACAGATTTCACAGACCTTGCCGGTGGTCATTCAGGATCCGAAGCACGGGGAAGCGCAGGGCTAGTTTTTACCACCAGCCGCTGCGGACTATACGTGCTTGTGGGCCGCGAAACGATCATGTACGTATATCATGTACAGGGCAGCAGCCTTGAACCAGTGACCAGCATCGTTTGTCCTCGCAGAGTTCTAGCGATGAGTATGGACATATCCTACGGTAGGAATGCGGTGGCTGCCTTGCTCGAAGGGCGGATGGGTATGGTCTGTGAGCTGCATTTAGGCTGGGATCTAAGCAACGACCCTCCAGGAGAAATACTGGTAAGGGGAAACAACAGTTTATATGAGACGACGGCTAGAGGCGCTTCTATCCACTCTAGCCAAACTAAAAATTTCGAAACTGGCATCAATACTGCTGATCGATGTTCAAGATTTGCCGCGCGTCCGGACTCACAGATACCCTACATTGAGTCGGTAGACGTTAAGTCGAATCACCAAGCAACGTCACTTCATGCAATGCATGACCAACGGATGCATGCGCAAAATTACATCAACCATACTACAAATCTGAACCTTCAGGGGCCGCGTCACAATGCTTCCTTCACAAGCATATCAGACTATGACCAGGGCAGTTGCACGCTACCGGTTGAGGATGGCACCTCTACGTTTTACCGCCATCTTTGTTCTGAAGATGACCCTCCTCGTAGTGGTAAGCATCCTCGATATCGCTCAATTAACTCAATCATCCTCAACCAATTGGCATAGCGAAGCTTCTGCTGCGTCGCGCTGACATACTCCAGTTTCTATCTGCCCTCAGCATCATTGCGTCGCATTCGGTGAGTTCACCAAGCGTACTCACTGTATACTTGTGCTCATTATATCCACTATGTGTAGGCTGTGCGGCTGGTATAGAGCTGCATTGGATCGATGCTCTTACTGGACAAAGTTTGAGCCGCTGGTTCCCACTTACCGCACCGTCTGATTATCTACACTTTCTCGCACCACGTCCTGGCTTTGATTCTGCAAAGAAATTGCGTCTCATCTCCAGCGCGGCTCGCCCTAACGACAAGCCAGGCATAAGACGAAAGTTCTTCTTCGGTGGGTATCTCCAGGCGTGGGAGACATACAAACTTATTATTGCATCAGAACACCCCAATGTCAGCTCTTTCTGGGGATCTTTCGGATTTCAAAACCACCCACGACGACTGGGCTCACCCCACATCGACCACTACCATGCGGTGCCGCTAAGCGACGGCCACCATATTCTCTTCATTGACCCGAAAACCGAAAAGCTGTTCTTGGGCTGCGATGCACCGTTAGGCGGCCCAATGAAACTTCTTCGAAAAGTGATGTTTCTACCGCCGTGCGTGGGCAGCCAGGCTCCGCGTCTCTACACAGCCGCTTTCGACATGTCACTGGGTGCGCGTGTTGTTGTGGTCTTTGACGACACTTTAGTACTTTACAGCATCCCACCCGATGTGTGTAATCTTTCTCGAACAGAGCAAAAAGCGGATAGCTGGGACGTATACATGGCGCCGCCCTTCGTGGATGAAGGACGTACCGAAGATCACTGGCTGAATTGGTGGGATGAGCCGTCACCTTCTGAGAGAGCGGGTAACAGTACTATCTGGCCGGTCGCTATTCGCGGACAGGAGATTGGGAAGCTCCAGGGCGTGTCCGAATTAGCGATACATACGGAGCCGGACATCACAATCTGGGGGTTCACATTGGATGCGCAGTGAGTCCTTGCACGTGAAACACATGATAGGCTTCGCTTACAATATTTTTCACGTCTAGGTGCAAGACCTGGCAAATGAGAAACCACGCGGATCCGATTATACACTGTCGCTACTACATCTGTCGAGGCGGTGCCGTTCACGAGGTATATCTAACCGGAAAGCCGGGTCGAGCAGTAGCAACCCACGCAAGTTCTGCATCCTTTGGTTCCCGGTGAGTGGCACCAATCCAAACCGAGTATGTTCGCCAAAAGCTCACTGTTTGGAACTACAGACACGGTTCCCAACTCAGTTCGCCTGTAACCTCGCGGATCGCCTCACCAGATTTCATCGCGTACGGCCCGGAGCGCCCTGTCGGCTTCGATGGCCACTGTTCGCAAACCCTTCATGCACCTAATCACGGCTCTAGTACCTACAGCGAACCACGACCCGTTAAAAGACTACCTGGGGCTATGAACGTAAAGAATGACGAATGGGTGGATTTCCTAGACGTGCGTGGCGGCGATGCGTGGTTTGAGGAGAATGGAGACGTAATGATGGTACGTTCTTGTCATCCTGATGACTATATCGAGATGGGTGGACTCCTGACGAGCTGCATAGCTGCCGTGGGATGCGCACGTTGGCGGTATGGAGCTGGACGCGGAGATTGAGGTTTTGCAAATGGTGCTTGGTAGGGGAGGTGAGATTTTGGATGAGTAGTGTCGCGAGGGGAGCTTGGGGATGGGGATATGAGCGGATGAGCAATGTGTGCCGAGAGGGGAGGCGTTTACGTGCGAGAATATCAATAACATGATTCCCTGTTGACTATAGCTCCAAGTTGATATCCTGTCGTTGATGTTTGGTCGCTCCGCTTTCTGCTTAACGTGCCCCTTGAACTGACGTTCTTTTATCCTAATCCCACGTACATTTGAGAAAAGGAAAATAACAAATTCCTCGTCTAGATGTCCTGCACGCGCAGGATCTCTAAGCTGAACGTTGGGTCCCTCCAGTACCTGTTGTCGATCCTGCTGACTGGTTTGGCGCCACGTGCTTGCAAGCAACAACTGAGCTGGGCGCCTCAGAGCAGGTTGGCATCAGCGACTGAACCTAGATGATTCGCAGAAGTAAATCATGATGCTCACTGTCGCTCCTCTAATGCCAAAGACTTGCAAAGCGAGCGGCCTCCGTGCGTCTGCCCTACTACTTGATCCCACTTCGCACTAACTCGTGCTATCTGCTTAACGTGCCTTGCTGGCTTGTACGATAGGACCTCAAGCCTCAGGAACGAAAGCAAGGACACCATCATGCCGATCCTCCGGCTGCTGCGGCTGGCCGGGGCTAGCTGTAAGCACACACCGCTTGCCAGACGCCCTGTCCTGTCAGCACGCTCGCTTGTGTCCATGTGTGAATCCATATGGGCGGTCAAGTAGTCTTGTCAGCCGCCTGTTCAAACTTGCGAAAGGCTGCGCCGGCCCGGTGAGAGGCTCTACAGTTCGTCGCAAGAAGGGTTTGAATGACTACTATCTCCTTGTGGGGAGCGGCCTGAGCACCATTACTGCCTGCGCTGGAGTCGCAGATTGGTCGAGCCCTAACGCAGAGAAGGTGAGTGTAGGAGGATTACCGGTGCTGCAAGTTTTGCTCCTGTTCGTAGTGTTGGAACTTGAGCTCTCCCCGTCGATGATGTGTCTTCGTGCATCATACACTGGACTGATGTTGGTCCTGTAAGCGCAGTGATTCGTGGGAGCACATTTGCTGTACCTCACACCCAACATGGACCCAAGACGACGGATTTACTTGTCGAAGAGCTTCATACCGCAACCCGGGTGTTATATTACGAGGAGAGTCGTCAGCACTGGCTCTGTATGCATCTCTCGATCTGTGACCGCATCTAGGACCACTAAAGGTGAGTGGCATGGCAAGCGCGCATGGCGTTGCTGTTTGCGGGAGGGTGAGTGCATGCAAATGTTTACGTCGCAAGTGTGGTGAATGCAAGCTGGGGTTGCGGTTCCGGCTCGAGGCGAGACCCGGATCGCTCGCTCGGCGCCTCCTCCGGTCGTCCAACGAGTACTCACCGGTTCAGGAAAGGGGCTTCTCGATGGACAGCCACAGGCGTCAGAGCGATGACTCAATCACGTGGTCCTGGGATTGCCTGCCTGAAACGGCACGTTGCGCTCCGCTGGCTTGGGCGCGGGGTCTCGGGGTCTCGGGGGCGGAAAGGATTCGTCCGCGCCAATGCGAGATCACGAATTCTTGTTTTGTCTTGTAGTCCCAATCAAGAGCCTTTGCAAGGCAATGCAGTTAACGCTCGGTACTAAGAATGAGAATGCTTCATTGGTGGACGCGTGTAGGTGCCAAGGTGTTTTCTGACCATGCAGTACAATCGTACAGCATTGTACGAGATCCGTGGCGCTTCTCGTAAACCGGTTGGTCTTGATTAAGCGGCTAGTGGCTCACCCGAAGTGCAAGATGTAGATTGAGACTGTTGATGTCATGGACACTGCATGTTTTTACACGATGCCTTGCCATAGCGTGAAGTGGTGCATGAAAGGGGAAGTCAGTCCTGGGCAGGGCCCATAGAAAGGCCTGGAATAGCAACGCGCAAGTCGTGGAGCGGAATCCTTGGCGGGAGAGGATTAGGGCGGCGGCCGGCGTTTGGTCTGACATCGCTCAAGTCCGCGGCCAACGGTCCTGTTCCCAGGCTGAGATCAGAAGAGTGACCGATGGCTGCAGCGAGCAAGGTGAGGTTGGGACATTACGCCCGAACGTACAAGGTCAGCTAGACATTGCATGCGCTGTGTTCAGTGTTCGTTATCTGGCGCATGTATCGCGTGCACTTGCAAGCCTGCGTGTGTCTGCAACGCGCGGAATCCGGGCCAGGCCGTCAGGGCTAGCGGACGAATATCACAAAGGCAGAAATCGACATGGCATATGCAAACAGGAGTCCAGGCCGCTGTCCCTCCTGGCGATCGTCCCCGGGAGTTGGCGCGCTGAGACTGGTTCCTCCTCGCTTCGCGGTCAACCGATGAAGAAACAAGATTGCGTAGCGTGCAGCGAGGCCCCATCATTCCGGTCTCAGTGGCCGCTTATTCGCCTGAAGCCTCTGCCCAACGCTGCGGTGCGCTTGGCTGTGGGCCGGACGAAATGATTCACTTCGAATCAGCCTGCATCAGGGAAGAAACGCGGCTCAAGCACGGCCTGTGCGCATCGGCGCGGAGCAGAACGAGTCCCCGACCAGCCCTAAAGCATCCGACGCACGGGCATGGACGAGAATACTCGGTGCGATCCGCTGCGCAAGTATAGCTCCGTGGTGACGGACGCCAGGCAGCGGTACAGACGCTCCTTTATTATAATAAGGCCGCTCTGCCGGCTTTTGGTGGTGCCCCGCCAGCCTCGCTTTCACCAACCCGTGTCGTGCCCTTGTTTGCGCCTGCCGAGCAGTGCTCAAGCACGCGTTCCGTCCCTTTTTGCCCAGCCAACAGACAACAAGCACCACCATGAGCGACCACCTCAAGCCCTCCGGGGCCAGCACCGCAGACTCGGAGAAGACTGCAGCAGTCAGCAAAGCACCCTCTATGGCAGACTACGAGAAGACAGACGCTTTTTCCACACAGGCTTCCGCGCGGGAACTTTCTGCAGAGCCGCAGACAGCACCTGGAACAGCCAACTCAAAGGAACAGGCAGTTGTCGACGAAGCAGACCAGGCCGAGGAGGCGGTCGAGGACGAGGACGAGTACCCCAAAGCGTGGCGTCTCGCCGTCATCACTATAGCCTTGTGCTTGTCTGTCTTCTGCATGGCATTGGTGCGTGATCCCTGTGCTGGTTGCCGACAGCCTCGCTAACGCTCTCGACAGGACAATACCATTATCGCAACAGCTATCCCGCGCATTACAGATCAGTTCAAGGCTCTCAACGACGTAGGGTGGTATGGAAGTGCCTACTTACTCACCACCTGCGCGACACAACTCATCTACGGCAAATTCTACACCTTCTACTCGATCAAATGGGTCTACGTCTCGGCCCTAGTCATCTTCGAAATCGGTTCCCTCATCTGCGGTGTTGCGCCTAACTCGACCGCCCTGATCATCGGACGTGCTATTGCAGGTATTGGCTCGGCCGGTATCTTCAGCGGTGCCGTTCTCATCATCACCGTCAGCGTGCCCCTGCGACAACGACCAGCATACATGGTAAGGAGTACCCCTCTTCGGTAGATACCTTGTACTGAACAAGCTAGGGATTGATCGGCGGCATGTACGGCATTGCTAGTGTTGCAGGCCCACTGTAAGTTCTCATCTTGGCTGTACATCCAAGTAACAGCTAACAATGCTTAGCCTCGGAGGAGCCTTTACCGATCACCTAACTTGGAGATGGTGTTTCTACATCAACCTTCCTCTCGGCGCTGTGACCGCAGCATTCATCATTCCCTTTTTCAAGGTCAAGCGCCGCAACGCAAAGATCAACGCTACCCTGTTCGAGCAGGCCAAGAAGTTTGATCTCGAGGGCAGCGCCTTGTTCCTCCCGGCCATTATCTGCTTGCTCCTTGCCCTCCAGTGGGGTGGTAGCAAGTACGAATGGAAGAACGGCCGTATCATCGCTCTCCTGATCATCGCCGGTCTGCTCATCATTGGTTTCCTTGCTATCCAAGTCTGGAAGCAGGAGGATGCCACCGTTCCGCCTCGCGTCTTCAAGAACCGTAACGTCTGGGGATCTGCCTTGTTTGTGGCCATGTTGGGCGCTGCCTTCTTCGTCATGGTCTACTACATTCCAATCTGGTTCCAATCCGTGAAGGGTGTGAGCGCGACAAAGTCGGGTATCATGAATCTGCCCGCCATCCTCGGCCTTGTCATCGTCTCCATGATCGCAGGCGCCGCCGTCACTGTGCTCGGCTACTACACGCCTTTCATGCTCATGTCCTCGGTCCTCATGTCCATCGGCGCCGGCCTCCTCACCACCTTTGAGACCGACACCCACTCCGCCAAGTGGATCGGCTACCAATTCATTTTCGGTGCAGGTGTAGGCCTGGGAATGCAGCAAGCGCTCGTCGCTGTGCAGACCGCACTTCCTAAAAACGATGTCCCCATCGGCACGGCCATTATGATGTTTTCTCAGACCCTCGGCGGTGCTCTCTTCATCTCTGTCGGCCAGAACGTCTTTACCAATCAGCTCGTCAAGAACCTACAGGCAGCGGTGCCGGGCTTGGACCCCAAGATTGTGCTTGCGGTCGGCGCGACAGAGCTGAAGAACCAGATCCAGGAGAAGTTCCTCGGCGGCGTGTTGATTGCATACAACAAGGCGCTCACGGAGACATTTTATGTCAGCGTTGCCACAGCTGTCATGTCCATCGTCGGCGCGGCGTTCGTCGAGTGGAAGAGCATGAAGGGCAAGGAGATCGTTATGGGCGCAGCCTAGTTGTCCTCTTTCCGCTCTCCTTGCGTTGTACTTGCCACGATTCCATCGGCCTTATATCTTGTAATATTGGATACCCACGCCGAGCCCCCAGCCGGCTCCTTTTCTTTAGTGCTCTTGCTGCACCACTACACATCCGCATTTACAGCATGGCGTTTTTTGTTTTGTATGGAGCGTCGCATCGACGCTCCGACTATGGGCATTAGAATAATAGATGGGTGATTGCGTGGACACGAATCTTCTCTCGCAAAAGTTGAGTTAGCGCTTAAACGACAATTAGAGTCTCAATGGAATCCGTTGAACGAGGAAGATGCTTCCTATGCGTGAATTCATTGATGCTGAGCTTTTGAGCATTTACGTACTCAGTGGGCTCGGCCGATAAGTGGAAATTCTCGGCCGAATGTTTTTAGCAGACGCTGAGCGTTGGTTGATGTAGTCACAAGTGTATGCAGATGAACGAGCGTGCTTTGCGTAGACAACATCCAACCGCCCTCTTGTGATCGTCCATTCCGGCGAGCCTACCATCAAGTTCAACGACATCCCCAGTCCCTTGAACATAGCAGCTTCTCAAATCATCCCTCGCAAGATCCACCTCTAACGCACCGCCGGGGACCTCTTCATAAGCTTGCTCGATTCTATGGCACATCTATCCTTAACGCATGGCCACCAAAGCATATCCGACACCATACATTTCGTGCGCTGCCCATCGTCCGCGTGAGATTTCCTTCGCAGAGGGACAGATGGAGACAAGCATCGATAGTGCTATTTCGAGCTGACAAGGTTTTCGTGCGTCTTTTGTCCGTATGAGAACGGAGCGAGGGGCGTCGTTCGTGTGGGCTGCGGTGGATGTCGCGAGGGGCCAACACGAGATAGGAATTGCGTCGCGTGTATGAGATGTAGCCTTTGTGTTGTAGCTGGAATTAATTGGCGTCTGTACTAATGAGTAGGGTTTATAACATGCTGCCATGTTTGCAGTCGTGGAGCATGGCATTTGAGCGCGCACTCAAGTGCGAGAAGTGGTCCTCATTTGCTGGACGTGAGCACAATTACATGTCTAAAGCACTGCGACTCCGGAGTCGTCCTCCGTAGTCTTGAGTCCTATTGATCGAGGTGTGCGCGTGCTTTTGCACGCTGGCGCGTGGTCACGTGCGAGGATCAAGGCGCTAGGCATGGGTTGGCTGGGTCTCTTGTGCGCCAAAGCTCGACGCCGCCAACTCCACGCGCAATACCCGCAGAAGCTCGACAACCGCTACCAACCACGATGGACGCCATGGACACCGCCGGCCCCAACGGCTCCATCGACCGCTCAACTTTCAAGCTCATCGACCACCTGCAGACCCCACAATACGTGCGCCTCTACGACGAGACGCAGAAGCTGAAAGAGCGCGTCAACGACCTCACGTCCTACCAGCAGGCGCACCCCAGGCCCTCGAAGACGCCTTCAACACGCGAGGAGATTGATGCCGAGAAGAAGATCCAAAACCAGCTCGATCAGCTAGAAAAGCGGTTACGCGCGCAGCTGGCCATGACGCGCACCGTGTACCGCGCTTGCGTCATGAAGATCCGAGAAGAGAAGGCCGAGACGGCGGAGAAGAAAGCTGCCAATGACGCGCTGATCCTGGGACTGCACAATCTGAAGTACGAGGAGCAGAGCTTGCGCAGCGAGATCGCGGCGGCGCAGAACTACGATCACAAGTACACCAAGCTGCCGCTCATCCCGACGGACGCCTTCGTCGAGAAATACCCCCAGTACGCTGACGCCTCGGAGCATGAGCTCACCATCGCGCGCATCGAGCAGGAACACCAGGACCGTGTGGAGCTCGAGGCGCGCCGCCAGGAGAAGCTTAAGCAGAAACAGAAGCTGATAGCTGAGGTCAAGAAGAGCAAGGATGACCTTACGAAGTTGGATGGCATGGTGGAGAAGTTTGTGGAGCACTTTGGGCCGGTTAGGAAGTTTTTGGATGCCGAGTAGGAGATGTTCTGAGAAGGGCCAAGGATTTTGAGAAACGATATGCCAAGATTGTCATGCTGATAGGGACTCGAGCCAAAGAAAGCGGCTGAAGGAGTTGAAGGAGTCGCAGAAGAAGATCAGCGCACGGAGCTATACTGCGTAGATGCGCGAGGATGACCCGCAACACGGCCCGAAAGAAAGTCACTTGGTGTCGGAGGGGCATGTTGGCTCAAGCGAAGAGGGGCAATGCTCCAGGCAATGCTCTAAACAGCGCGAGCAACTGCTCGGTCGGTTTTGCAGACAGCGGCAGATCGCTACAGTCAGGGCGCTGCGTGTGACCTGAATGACAAGGAAGGAGACTCAGGAGCCCCAAGTAGGCAGCAGAGGACACGTGCTTAAAACATGGGCAGATAGCGAGTCAACCCGATCATCATTACATCACACGGTTCGGAGCGTTGCACCAATTGACGATCCAGTACTACGTAACGAATGTTTCAGTCAAGGAGATACACCTTCCCTATCCGTTATTCTCCAAGCCATATTTACTGTCCACTATACACATCCACAAGTCTCACCTATCCCCCCTCCCATGGGGCCCACAGTTCATTGAAGAAGCTTTATAGCAAGATTATTTACTACAATCCGAAGGACGGGTCATGCAATATTTCCGCACCAAGATTCATACCAGCTCCTCAAGCAGCTGGTCGAGCACAATGCACATAGACGGCCAAATCGCCCACGTCCAAGCCCAGCACGAACCCGAATCCCAACCTACTTCCCCCAGCAACAAGCCCCGGGGGCCCCGTACCCCTTGCAGCGCAAAACGAGATGCATGTATGCTACAGCGTACCTGATGATTGGGACCCGGATAGTAGGCGACCGCGCACCCATCCTTCCGGCAGCAGTGTTGTGTGTCTGCGATGGAGAGGTAAAACTGTGTAAATGAGAGGCGAGATTGCGTAGCGTAGATGTGAAATTTGATCGCGCAAAGGTAATATTATGCAGCAAAAAGTGACTTTGTGTGGCGAAGAGGTTAAATTGTTCAGCACCAATATGCAGTTGTGCAGTGTAGAGGTGAGGTCGTGTAGCAGAAGTGGCTTATATGAGTGTGGACCGCAAAATGTTGCCTAGGGCCACAACCCAGTTGAGAGCATCTCAAAAACGCTCAACTTCCATGACTATAGTATTATCAACGATTCGACATTCTGGTACTTGATCTACTACGATACTAACACCCATGACCTTGGGAGCTGGCCTGCAAACCTTCCCTGTTTCCTCCTGGGGCAAGTGTGTATATCCTGATGCACTGCGAGGTCAGAGGTCTGAGGAGCTGTCAGGTTCTCCACATCCGCATCACTCCGTTGGTATTGGTATCGGTATCGGGCCTCCAGGCGAGTTCTCGTTCCCTGCTGTCAAAATCTCCACACCTGTCTCCGTAACTAGCAGTGTTTGTTCTAAATTCCATTAGCGAGAGAACTCGACGCACTTGGCCGAACTCACCAAACTGCGCAGTCCACTTCCCATCCACCGTCACGTTTGTCCACTCATCCGGCCAATACACCTCCCTCGGCTTCCCAAGCGTGAGGATAGGCTCAATCGTGAAAGTCATCCCAGGCTTGCAGATTCCCACTGCCTTGTTCTTGCTGTAATGAGGTATCCAAGGCGGCGGGTGAAATTCCGTGCCGATGCCGTGCCCGCCCCACGTAGCCATCACGCTCAAACCCCTTGACTTCGCATGCTTCTCGATGACACGACCGAAGTCTCGGATAGGGGTTCCAGGTTTGACAGTAGCGATGGCCATGTCCAGGCATTCGCGGGTCGTTTCCACTAGCCGGACGGCATCGGCGTTGGCTTTCGCTTTGTCGCCTACGTAGTACGTTTCGTTTAAATCGGCGTGGTAGCCTCCATGGTACAGAGAGATGTCGAGGTTGATGATGTCACCATCGACGAGGGCGCGCTGATCGGGAATGCCGTGACACACAACCTCGTTTGGTGATGTGCAGAGTGACTTGGGGAATCGACTGTAGTTCAGCGGAGAGGGATATGACTAGTCAGATAAGTAGGCAGGGATTCAGAGCGTTGTGTGTGTGAGATATCCTCACCTCCCGCTCGATGCAAGCCTTGTGGCAGATTTCATCGAGAAAGTCAGTAGTGACACCTGGCTTGACTGCTGCAGCGGTAATATCCAGCACCTCGCGAGCCAGCCTGCACACCTTGCGCATTGCCTCCTGGCCTTTGGCATTGAGAAGGTCGATCTTGTAGCGGTTCAAACGCTGTTCTCCCTTAGGAATACCTGTCACGGCCCAGTCTGGATGCTTGATTGACTTGGGGATAGCGCGGCGTGGAGACAGTGGATAGACCGGCCGAACAGACCCGGTGAAGGAGAAGGTCGGAAATGGATTATAGTTCCCTGTGTCTGTGTCGGGCTGAGAGTCAGCTTTTGGCGTGACGAACTTGTCGATGATTCCATTTTGCGCCTGCGCCTTCTTGTGGATGATTCTGTGCTGAGTCTGAATTGTCAGTATGTTAGCAGATTGTGGGGTATGGTGCGGCAGGGGACCAACCCAGTTCCTCTTGAAGCACTCTTGTGAGCAAAAGTAACTGTCCTGCACACCTGCCTTGAGGCATGTAGGGCACTGCAAAGGACCGGCCTCTTTCTCGCAGTCGGCACCGAGACACTTGCGCGTGCCCTGTTCTGACGAATCGCCGATGGCCATGCTCTCAGCGTTGGTAGCGGCGTGAGCTCTGGTAGCGAGAGGAAAGTGCAGAGAAGAATAGCAGTGACAAGTGTTTGCGGCGAGCATATAACATACCGTTCGTGTCCGTGCGTTCAACGCCGCACCAAAACCCCGGAGTTGAACGCGGTATACTGTAAGACCAGGTGCACATCATGGCATTCGCATTTAGACCCTGACTAGCTGCCCCACCATGCTCAAGTACTGCCAGCACCACACAGCGTAAAATTCACGCCCTGCGATCAGTTGATGATAGATAATTTTGGACACGAGAGGTGGAGGGGAGTTAATCCTTTCCTAGTAGACTTTTCTACACTACTTTGTTGCTACATTCTTTCAATCGTGTAAGCAATGTCAGCGTTATCATACACCTGCATATATTGCTGAGACACAAATGGCCTAATAACCTTTTGTTTGGTATATTTTTGTTCTATCCTATCCACCGTATGTAGATATTGTCGTATGCAAAAACTTTTCTACCACTTTTCCATGGATCTGTGTGTTTCAATATGCCTGAAACCACGAGTCATGAATTGATAGAAACTGTCTTTGACCCATGGAAAGGTGGTACAAGAACTTCTGCATGGCACCGATAAGCGCCCTCGTGCCTGTCCAGTCAGCATCGTCTCAATGCGTCCCCGTACAACTTGCTGCCCCAACCTAGATCCCTCTTCACTTCGTTTCACCTCCAAGTAATTGTCTTTAGGCATGTCTCTAAGTTTGCTACGACTTGGGTTGTATTGTGCAGAGCAACGTATGGGCCTTCAATTAGCGTCACACTTTCAGGATATGGAGCGCAAGCGTTCCAGGTCAGACAACATGGTAGCCCTTTTTTTTTTTGTTAAACCAAAAATCATCATTATTCACTTGCGGGCGACACACAAATCGCGATCTGTTGTTAACGACTCTGGGATCCCTACATGGCTAAGAAGAGACATCTAGAGCTCAGAACACCAGATCGGGTTAGGTAGTTACTATCGAGAATCTGGAAGCACCGAAGAGCTTGGATGCTCAAAATCTAAATTTATACAGCTAGTCGAGACTTTGGCTAGCGGTACGAAATAAATTACAGATTTTCGGCCTGCATCACAAGTCCTGTGCGTGCTGCGCTCGCGTTCGAGTTATCAATGAGGAAGGGACCCAGTGTCGTCCCATGAATTCCCATGGCGGAATCCTGCCTGTTCCTAGAAAAGAAAGGCGCTTTTCCACGCTGCGGTGCTTGCAAGAAGCGATAAGAACGATGTTGCCATGTATGTTTGAAGAGATTGAAATGTATATCAGAGGCGCTGAGAACAGTTGCAGAATTCTAGGAATCAGAAAATCTTGTGTGTCTGTGTATAAGATATTAAGCAAGGCCGGCGTCCTCAGTGCGTAGTTGCTGCTCAGATTGCTGCATCAAGAATCCTCTTATAACTTCGCACCCTGCTCCCTCTTCGCGAGCACTCTCAGATCCTTCCTCAAGATCTTTCCACTCGGACTCTTCGGAATCGCATCCAAGAACACGACGCCACCCCTTAGCTGCTTATGGCTCGCCACATTCGCCTTGACATACTCTTGAATCTGCTTCCCACTGATCTTCTTGCTGTCGGCGACAACGTACGCCCTGGGCACCTCATTTGTGCCGCCATCCGCATCGACACCGATCACCGCGGCATCCAGAATATCCTCATGGTTCAGCAGTAACGCCTCCAACTCCGCCGGCGCAACCTGCAGCCCCTTGTACTTGATGAGTTCCTTCTTGCGATCTACAATATAAAATAGGCCTTCTCTGAACTCCGCGATATCGCCCGTGTGAAACCAGTCTCCGGTGAAGGCTTCCGCGTTCGCTTCCTCGTTCTGATAGTACCCCTTACAAACTACCGGTCCTTGGACCAGTACCTCGCCTGGTTTTCCGGGCTCGACGTCGTGGCCATCGTCGTCCACGATGCGGGCTATCATGTTCGGGATCAGTGGCGACACCGAGCCTGTGTCGTCTCTCATGTCCATAGGCATTATCGTTGCGCTGCCGGTTGTTTCGCTCAGGCCCCAGGTTTGTGAGATGAAACAGTCTGGACCACCGAGTTTAGCGGATGAGGCGTGCTGTAGCTCTTTCCCCAGTGGCGCCGCGCCCGAGATGGCGATCTCCAGCGTCGCAAACTGGTTTGTCACTTCCGGGCTCTTTGCAATCAAAAGGTAGATTGGCGGTACGGTAAAGAAAAATGTAATCCGATACTCTAGATTGTAAGATAGAAATTCTGGAAAGGAGAAGCGTGGCATCCAATACACGGGACCGCCCATGTAAAACGGGTTGATCAGGTAGCCTTGGATCCCTGCGATGTGGGCGACAGGTAGGTGGGCAAGGGTCCGGTACTCAAATTTCGGGCGGTTGGGTTGCGCGTTGCGGGTCGTTAGCCACGACTTGAACATATCACCTGGGATGACAGCTTCGGCGACGAGATTAGTGTGGGAGAGTTTGACGCCTGGGCATGTTAGTATTCCACCTGGTAGTATGCGGGAGTTGGGTGGGAAGCGGTACCTTTGGGCAGGCCCGTGGTGCCAGAGCTGTAGATCAACACTACCAAGCTGTTCTCCAGTGCTGTTCGGTCAGTGATACGTTCCCACTCCAACTTCTCCTCCTCATTCACTAGATTGGTACCCAGGCTTCCGTTTTCCTGTACAATCTTGAGGGTCCAATGCGCACCCTCGCTCATGACTACCACCCTTCCACCGCCATTCGGCCCCCATCCCGCCTCCTCCGCCGCCCGTACAGCAACATCCCTCGTCGTCTCGCACGTTACCAAGATCCTGCTCCCAGCCTGAACGATCTGCTTGCTCAGCTCGCCCGCCGTGCTAGCCGCGCTTGCAGCGCTGAAAACACCGCCTGCGCCGATAACACCGTAGAAGAGCGTAGGCAGGAGATAGTGCCCAGTTGAGATTGCAGAGACGATGTCCTTTCCTGACCCGTAGGCGCCGATCTTAAAGTGTTTGCGCAGCGCGGCAGAAGTAGAATGTGTGAGGGCGCGGCAGCGGGAGACAGTGAGCTGTAAAGACGGATCGGCGGCAGATATGTGGATTGGAGTGCCTTCGCGGGCTAAGGAGTGCTCAGAGTCTGGGTCTGTTTAGCAACGAACTAGTAACAGGACGAAAGCGTCGGTGCGCGAGCAGTAGTCTGCTACAAGTAGGATTGCTGTTAATTGAGATCGGACCTACCGAAGAGTAGTGTCAGGATGTCCAAGTCCGGAACTGGATATGTCTTTGCGGCGCGGTAGAAGATGCCTTCAGGCGTTCTGTCGACTATTGTCGTCATGTTCGCTGTGTGAGCTTCGACGTGTAGCGCAGTACCCCAATGTACAAACTCCGCTACCTATGCGGGTGTTCAATATAGAAATAGCGAGGAGGTGTCAATTGAGCTTCGCGGTATGACACAGTAAGAGTCACATTCTTGTCTTGAGCGCTCTGTCTATATGCGCTGATTTGTGAACTGACCGCGGTACATTGTCCCCTCGCATGAAATCGAGGTCCCTCGGCTCCTGAGCTTAAGAGCTGTCGACGCGTTACCTATGTGGTTGTAGTACTACCGGCGATCTTCGGTTCTAAGTCAGTACCGTCGAGTAAGCGGGTAAACCTGGGGTTAGCGTGCGCCTCATTGAGGCCGGACGGGAACATACATCCGATTGTTCGGAGGATAAATGTATGCGGCCATGTTGGTCGCTCTAACAGTCGCAAATGTGCCAATACAGGGAATAGCAAAGTAGGAATTGTCGCAGATCCTCATGCAGCAAAATCACTCATATTTTCTACCAATGGAATCTCATGTAATCGCTCATAAGTCTTGTTCAAGGGGTATTTCCATCCATCCGTCGTGCGCCATAAAATCCAAGAGCCGTGATATGCGGCCGGCATTTCCAACCCAAACTGACACTGCTGGCCTCCCGAGCGAGAGCTGGTGCACCTGCAACTCACTCTCTTTCGCGTACGTTGTCCAGCAGTCCTCGCAATTCGTCCATGTCGCCACTCGACACCGCCGCATCCACAGCAGCCCTGTCCTCCGCCGTCTGTATAATGATCTGCGAAGTGCTTGTACCAGGTGTATCAAGGGCATCCATCTGCTGGAGGAAATGCTCCCTCCGTATGCGGGTTTCGAGTCGCATCCTCTCATTCTCCGTCGCCGCGTGCCCATTGGCAGGACCAGTGTTCCTCGGCTTTCCGAACAAGCACTTCCAGAGATCGTCTTCGACGACAACTTCGCCATGGTTGCCTTCGCGTACCAACTTGCTGAGAGCTGCTGTCTTGATCTCTTCGGAATTGGCGACGTCCAGGTTGCGTTCGATCACTTGCTCGTTTACGGCGGGAGTCGCTGTACCAGAGCGGGACCCAGCATCGCGTCCTACGTGCTCCAAGCGACGCTTTACCGATATGTCGTAGATGGCTTCTTCGACCGTGTTACCGACAATGTACATGAACACTGTTGTGGCGCGCTTTTGTCCGATTCGATGCACTCGTGCTATGGCCTGCAGCTCCAAAGCTGGGTTGATGAGTGGTTCGCACAAAAAGACATATGTCGCATTGACTAGGTTCAAACCCGAAGAATTCGACTTTGCGTCCAGCAGAAAACACTCCACCGAGGGGTCATTCTTGAACTTCTCGATGCCGTTCGTGTCGCGGATACCGCTAACCCCGATCTTGAACCTCTTCAGTGCCATTCGAAGAACCTTCAGAAAGTCGGCGAACTGAGAATAGATGATAGTTTTGGCGCCTGGGTCGTTGTTCCGGATCCAAAGCAGATGTTTCGCCATCATGTCAACCTTCGATCCATACGAGTCATCAAGCTTGACCGTTTTGATCTCGTTCATGGTAGAGTCTCGGATGCCGGAATAGATGGACATGCTACCAGAGGAGCTAGAGCTAGGTGATGGGGGCGTTGCGGCAGAATGGTCTTCTTCCTGGGCTGTGGCGATGTCGTTTTGGTTGTACGTGATCTCCTTCATATCGGCACGGGTGAGTTGAGTCCTACACTCCGGACAGTTGTGATTCTGCTTCCACCATGTGAACATACAATCTCGGCAGTACTTGTGGCCACATGTGGTCAGCACACCGAGATCGTAAGACTCAAAACAGACGTCACATCGTCGTGGACCCTGCGGTTCAGTGGCACTAGTTCGTAGATTGTGCAGATACGTCTGTCTGACCTTGAATCCCTGGATCTTCATCTTCCGAATACCTATCAGGCCTTCCTGTGTCCCGTACGCTCGGAAATCGAAACTATCATCCATTTTGTCCTTGTAGTCTTCCACAGTTTCGGAGATGTGTTGAATTTGACGATAGAATTCCAAGCGCAAGTTCATCGTAAGTCGGAACTGTTCTTGTTCTTTCTCCAAGTCGGCGGTGAGTTCATTCTCCATCGTGAACATCTTTTGAATTTGTGTAAAATACTTTTGGACAATGGCTAGTTCCGCAGCGGCTCGCTGGTCTGCCGTATCAGCTCGGTACTGTAGTGAAGTAATCAATTGGCGAGCAGAAGCTACGACACCTTTGAGCGAACCGTGCTCTGGTTTCGACCGAAGTCTTCCACGTTCTTGAGCAAGCTGGAGGAGAAGTTCAGGGGCATGTCCGCGTCTGGCAGGGTCATCATCACGAGCTTGCCTGACTGCTTGGTCCATCTCGTGATTGACAAGCCTGTCCTCTGTCCCCTGCACTGATGCCATCATATCGGCGACAATCGTACGGAATGCCTGAATATAGACGTAAAGCTCGTCCTGGACTTTGAGCGAGGTTTCGTACTCTTCACCGGTGGTCTCGTTCCCCTCGTCATTGTCGACGAGGGGCATAGTCAGGATCTCGATGATCTTGTTCCGCCACTCCTTCAGTTTCGCACTCTGCGTATTAATGACATTGGAGATGACGTCCAATTTTTCAAGCACACTGCTGCTCTCGATACCACCAAGATCTTCAATCTCAGTCAACTCCAACCTTTGATGCTGATTCGTCAAGTCTTTTATCTTTCGCATTTGTTTTTGAGCGCGACCCTCTGTCTCCTTTAGGAGCTCCTGCCGGATAAATTGAGCCTTGTCGTACCATTCCTTCTCTAGCTTCTCCAGCTGATGGAATTCGTCTGAATCAGGCATTGTTAAGGCAATGTTATCCTTCTTCTGATAATGCAAGTTGCCGATAAAGAAGTAGCACGCATGCTCTAGCTCGAGGAATGACCGGAGTGACCTGCGGAGAGTGGTAATGCGAGCAAATTTGGCGCTTGTCTCTTCTCTGTCATCGGCACCATCAGAGCCCTCATGCTCAGATGCATCTCCTGAATCGGTCAGCTGCAGTGCATCTGCTTCGGCCTGGACCTCTTCTCGGCAAGATTTCACATAATATAAGGCACTCTGTAGTGCTTCCTGATACTTGAGAATGGCTTTGTCGAAGGAATTTGTGAGATTCTTAGTGAAGGCACAGATATGACCGCACTTCAATTGAGATAGAATCATATCTCTAGCTTCTGCTTTGAGCTTCGTGTCGTTCTGGTCGATCATCGCTTGAAGTACTTCTTGAACTGTGCGAAGGGTCTTGTTTTTGGTGCCGAAAGCCTTCCTGTTCTTTTCACCCACGTGGCTGTGTAGGCAAGTTTGTCGCAACCGTACCAGCCAGTCACGCATCCGCTCGATAGTTTCAGGATGGTCGAGTCCTCGGTCGTCGCGAATAGGAACGCCCTCGGAATTGAGAAAGCACGCTTCGTGCATCTGGCGGAACATATCCTTGTAATACTCTTCCTCAATCTCAGTAAACGGCACCGTAATGACAACGCGTCTCTGGGGAGGTATGTCGAGCTCGCTGCGGATCTGATCCTTTGTGTGCCGCAAGGCCATGCGGGATATCAAATCTCGGAAGGAAGTCTTGTCTAAGCGTCCGAAAAGATCCTTGGTACTGGCAAATGGCTCACAGCGCAGGAAGACTAGCAGACCGACAAGATCCGTGACATTGTTCCGAAGGGGCGTACCAGATACGGCCCAGGCGTTGCAACGGGGTATGATACGAGCGACCGTAGCAGCTTGACTAACGCCGCTTTCCACCATCTGGGCTTCATCAAGACATACCCTCCACCAGGATATGTCTACCAATGGACTGTTTCGACGTTCGTGTACCTTCTTGCGTCGTAGTGAACGATCAGGCGGGGGTGTAACGTGATGCAACTCTCTTGAGAGTATATTGTAACTCGTTAAGACGACGTCAAACTGAAGTAAATGCTCAACTGTTGTCTCGTCAATTCCATTCTTGGAAAGCCCTTGTCGAGCCATGCCCTGGTAGTGGAAAACCTTAAGATGAGGTGCGTGCCTGTTGATTTCTGTCCTCCATTGCTCGAGAATAGCAGGCGGTGTGATGATCAACGTGGCACTAGAAGCCTTGACAGTCTTGCCAAGGTACAGGTCGTGCACGTCCTCCTTGGTGATGTCTCGCTTGTTGAGACACATGAGCGAGATCAGCTCAACGCTCTTTCCCAAACCCATCTCCTCGGCCAAGATGCCTCCGTGTAGGCCAGTCGAATCCCAGTCCCGTTCCAAATTATCGACCACCATGCCACGGGCACCACTGACGTAGCACTTCTTCCCTGTACAATCCTGAGCAGGAGAGAATGATACCGGGTATTTGTTAAGTTCAGGTGTTGGAGACGCTCCCTCTCGTTGCATCATCCATTGTACCGATCGTTGCTGGTAAGGGTACAAGGTAGTCGAGGGCAAGCTGTCTGCCAGGCGGGCGGGGATGTCGCTATTCTGCGGCGGGACGTGAACAGCATCGTAGAAGTCAGAAAGCGTCCATGGAGACTTGTCTCCGGCAGAGGTGTTCGGAAGATATGTGGACAAGATTTTGAAGTTCGCACGGTGCTGAAACCTTGCCCTCCAGGTGCCGACCAAGGAGGCACCAAAAGGCCAGCGCAGCTCAATTTCCAAGCGTGGTGCTTGTTGGTCCGATGAAGGAGCCAAAAGAACGCAACGGCAGAAGGGAATGTAATCGTTCCTTGAGCTTGGCGAGGACTTCTCCCACTCCGCGCCAACCGATGCGGCTGTCTCGAGATGCGTCGCAAGCGATTCGAGCACTGCGGGTGCGGCACTAGCACAGATAGCGAGGGTCGTCGAGGTGGCGGGATCGAACACTGATAACGTTATCCGGCTCTCATCCTGCCGGGAGAACGATGCCAGTTGCAGCGGTATCGAGGTACGCGCATCGTTCGGAAGGGAGGGCGGAGTCTGACTTTCGCTAGGAGCCTGTTCGGATTAGTGAGACATAGTTGTAGCGTTCTTCCAGTTACAAGCTGATTCCACCGTGTACAAGAAGTCTAGGGCGGCCGCTGGCGTAAGTGGTCAAGCAGGGCCCGCCTGTGCAAAGCAGCGTGGGGTATCGAAGTTATGGGCAACCACTGACCAGGTCTAACATGACTGTTGCAAGCACAGCACTCTTACTTGGGTCAAAGGACTCCTGCACGTTTGCATGGTGGCTGTTGAGCAGCTTGCGCCGCTTCTTCGCGCGTCCCTCACTTTCGGAATGATGCGGCGGCACGGCCGCCACTTGTCGGAACACGCTCTGAAATGCGCCGAATGCGTCAGGTCCGGTGTAGGGCGTGGTTTGATCTTGGTTGCTAATGTTACAGTCGCTGAGACTGACGGCGGCAAAGACGCGCGCCATGGTCGGCGAGGGGGGGTACGCAAAGGAGCGTCGAGGTGTTCGGTGTAAGTGACAGGCTTCCGAGTAGGAGGGCGAGCGCGGTCACCGGCGTGCCAAGCCGCTAGTTTAGCGACCGCGCTGTGGGGCCCCACGTGGGAGCCTTGCGCACGGTGCCAGCGGAGGTGAGTGCGAGTGTGAGAACGCGAGTGAGAGTGAACGTGAAATTGAATAGAATAGTGACGCCTGGTCTAGGCACATGTCTACAATAGACGTAAGATGTTAATTGATTCGTACTATTCTACAGCATAAACCTTGTTTACAAAAACCCCAAGCTTTCCGCCCCCTGGACGTCACTAAAAGGACCTATGGTATGAGTCACAATGGCATGTCAGATTGCCAGGTAATACATATGAGCCTCCCAATACTGATGCCACTACTTTCTTAGCCTACCAGATCACTAGGTCAGAACACGATTCCAGAGGCACTAATTACACCCGATCTAACTTCAGCATCCACTTGTATCAATGTTGTATTACATCATCTACGTCTTCCGTTTCTCAGTCCACGTTCTTTTGCACCCAATCCCATACCCTGCCCACATACTCTTCATCCAGGGGTCTTACGTTCCGTATCGCCTCGACGCTTTTTTCCGTCTCCTCGATCGAAAAGCCTGCGCCCCTCCCTTCAACCTCCTCCTTCTTTTTCCCATCTCCATAGGCCTCCTTCCACAGCCCGAACAGCTTCATCGCCGAATGCCCATCCTCCTTGCAGTCTCTTAGCCTCCGTATCCACTCCTCCGGCGGCACGGCCTTGAACAGCTCTTTCTTCTTCATCCACTTGAGCATAGTCGCCCACGTCGGTTCTCGGTGCGGGTTGAGAATGTGGTAGACTTGGATGTCTTCACCGCTTCCGACAGGTCTCGTCGCGGCCTGGACAAAGGCTTGAGCCGCAATGTCCACGGGCAGCCAGTCGAGGGGCTCGTTCCCGAGCTGGGGAAGACAGCTAATGAGACGCACAGTGCTGAACATCATCGGCCATGCCTCTTTCGTGTTCCAGATGCCAGTCTGTGAATCGCCGGACAATTGTCCCACTCTCATTACGGATATGCGACCCTTCAACCTGGTCTGATGGTGTGCGGAGAGACAGATGTGCTCGGCGACCCATTTGGACCGCGAGTATCCGAGTGGGCTCGCAGATGACGGATCATCAGACAGACGTTCAGACAGGCGCCCCGAATCATCGCGTACACCGTTCATGGCGGCAGCAGTAGACGAACAGTATGCGAAGCGTGGTGGCTCGGCGCGTCCACCTGCAAGCGCGAGGTCTATCAAATATCTTACGCCTGCCAGGTTGTCCTTCGCAAAGCTGCGCAGTCTGAGTCGGAAGTTGACGGTCCAGGCAACGTGGAGGATGGATGTCGCTTCTGCTGCAAGGTAATTGTAGATGTCGTCTGACAAGCCTAGTCGGGGCTCTCCTAATGCAGCCTGTATGATCTTGATCTTGTCGTTGGTACTGGACTGCAGGGAGAGGTCGGGTAGATCTCGCTGTGCAAGAGCTTTGCTGACGCGCTCTTTGGCTGCGGCCAAGTCTGCGCCACGGACGAGACAATAGATTGCAGACACAGTGTCTGAGGAGCGGAGGAGATCGAGAGTATGTGCGCCGAGGGCACCGGTGGCACCGGTGAGGACTACGACCTCGCCGGAGGTTGTTTTGCCTGTTGTTCCATTTGGCTGCTCTTGCGGGTCTGGCTCATGGCCGCTGAAGTTACCGAGTTCGTTGACAAGATCAAGCATAACCTGGTTCTCATCTTCGGCATTGACATCAGTCTCCCCGTGCCGTTTGCGCAGGATGTAGCTGCTCAAACCGCGGATAGTACCGCAGTCTTCTACGATACTGAGTGGGAGCCTTTGGTTATAGTTCGGGGTGAGTTGGTGCAATTGGCTCCGCAATCGCATGCAAGCAATTGAGTCGACGCCATAAGAGAAGAGATCGGCGTCTTCTTCAGGTGGCTCTGGGCTCTGTGTCATAGCTTGGACAAGTTTGGCAAGGTACTGCGGCAAGTCCTTGTCATCCAAGTTCTTGATAGTGTGTTCATTGTCCATTTTGTAAGCAGCTTCGATCAACTCCTTGAATCTTGCCTCAGCGACCTTTCTGAGTATCGTTCCTTTGCTGCTCTTTTCCAATTGTCTCTCCTGGTGTTCCACGGGGACAAGCATATGTCGTGGTATACGCGCGTGGTCCTGGCTTTCTTGGTTCAGCCTGCCGATTTGCGGCCAAATTGCATCCAAAAGCTCCTGGTCTGATCGTCTACCCCACTTCTCGGAGCGAAGCAAAAGTATTCCTGGATATGGATGGTTGTCTCCAAATATCAGAACATCGTCTAGCTCCTCGGCTGTAGCGATTGCAGCTTCGACAGGAGCTGGGTCAAACTTCTTGCCGGTTATTAGAGTTAATTGTGAATCGGCTCTCGAATGATAAAACCATGCGTTCTCAATCTTCGAATGACGCTCGAATAGATCTGCTGTTGCGAAAGAACCATCTTCCCGGTTAGTCTTCGCCTGTACCTTATTAGAAACCTAGAGTTGTCAAGAGAAGGAGTCCTTACCATATGCGGCCATCCAGGCTTGACAACCAATTCCGCCAGACCGTCGTCGCGGTTTTCAAAGTTCACAAGCTTCCCAGGATTGTAATTCCTCAAATACTGCCAGTCCTTGTCTTGAGCAAAATCTCTATAAGACGATAACAGGAATCCGCACTCTGCGCTGCCAAACCTTGATATGAGATTGACATTGCTGCGCACGAGACGATCTCCTACCTCGACCGGTAATGCAGCTCCACCGACACCCACAATATCCATGCGCTTCAAGTTGTCCAAGCATCTGTCGTCGGCCTCCATCATTTGCAGCACATACGGTACCGAAGAAAAGTACTTTATTGCTGGTAGCTGTGCAGTGGAAGCAGCCACCTCCAAACACTTGCAAATGTTGCGCGCAGTAATGGGAACGTCCTTGCTCGGGAACAACGAGATCGGAGAATCGCTCGTCCATGAACGAAAGGTATCGGCAATACCTCCATGATATAGAGGCGTTGTTGTGAAAGTAGCTCGCGGACTGGGGCAAGCCAGATGGGGCAGAACCCCGATTGCTCCATGATGACTCTGTGGGATTGGCTTGGGAAGGCCAGACGAAGTGCCCGAAGTATGGTGTAGATAGGCCACAGAGGATTCATCTACCTTGGGAGATGGCGCATAGTTTGGCCGTGGCGTCCGGATGACCTGGAAGATATCTTCTTCTGCACCCAGTGGTGTTTGACAAATTGAGAATTTCGTTCCACCTTCATCTTGCTGTAGTTTCGCTGCCTCCCCTGCACGTTGAGAATGTCCCGCATCGTAGAAGAACAGTGAGACGCTGCATGCTTTACAAAGGTGTGTAATAGCACCTGGTTGACATTGTGGCGCAAGTAGAAGGACTGAATGCCCCAGGTACATTAGACCAAGCCATGTGAAGAGAAACTCCGGCGAGCTATGAGCCATAAGGGCTACTGTTTGCTCGCGTGCCGAAGCCGAACCGAAGGACTTGGAGAGTCTCTGTGCAAAGACTTGCGTTCCCGTAAACACATCGTCAAATGTGAGCAACTCATATTCCCATGCATCTTGATTGTGAGGCAACGGAAAACCCACTGCAGGTTTGGAACCGCACGTTCTGGACTGATAGACCAGAAACTCGTTTATGGTCCGGTACGGCTTGGACTCTGCGTTCAGTGCCGAGGCCTGGCCGAGCGTGCAGGCGAAGTAGTTAGCTTCCATTGAGCATCCGGGTAAGGGTGGTGGTCATGAGTAGCAGTGGCATGCAAGCGAAATTTGGAGGTGGTAGGCTTAAGTCCGTGTGGAAGTTGAATTAGACTTTGGAAGGACAATTGTCGTGACATCATCACCTAGGATGCGGAGCGCGAAAGCGCGCAGAAAGGTTATCGTTCTTTGTCGTTTTTGAGACTTAAGTGTATTACACCTAGACGTTTGATGCACAGTGATCATACAATGCAGGGTCTGTGGGTTGCTATAGAGGCCGAGTGGTGCAGCAGTCTCAGGCTGCTCCTATTGGTCGCGTAGTCTACATGCCTCATTGTACATGCGCCACATCACAACGTCCAAAAGCATGCATGATGGGATGTTGAAAAATGTCTCGGCGCATTGTAAGCTCCGCAGATTTTGGAGTCACGCCTATTGGTGGTTGAGGTGGCGATTCCGCGGCATTTGAAATGCTGAGCGTTGCGCAGAGCGTGGAAGCTAAGAAATATTGATTCGGTGCACTGCTAGTCCCAACACGCCAACCTGCTTGCGCGATGCTAGACGGCATCTCGCTTCCGATTGTTGCAGTGGCGCAAAAGCAAGCAGTGTCCCGAACGTATCGTGATACGTGCAGCGGCGATGAAGCTGTTGTTTGGATGGAGCTACAGAGTGCGATGGAAGACGGCTTCGGGCAATGCATCGCGCTCAATCGCTTGCAGTTCATACATTTCATACCTAGTGCGACGGCGTCTTGCATGCACACCCCCGCACGCATGCTAGTCCGCTGCAAGTGGTCCTCGGCCCGTTGGCGCCTTGGACTGCGGGCCTCCAAGAGATCCCAGCTCCGGCTAGCTTCTGGGGTTTCCATGGCAAAGGACGTCAACAAGCTCTCTCTTCAGGCGCCGGGCAGCGCAGTGTTTCGCCTATCGGCGATGATGCAGCGATCGCACGGTGTCTGCGAGGGCGCATCGTGAGATGAGGTGAGGTCGGGCGCACAAGGGCTTGGGCGTGGGCATGCGCGTCGTACGCCTCCGCCCTGTGGCCTGGTCGCGTCCGAGGGACACTGGAATGCGCGTCGCATCGCCTGCTGGGAGACTACGCGTCCCAGCGCTCCGCGGGCAGGCAATGGAGTGTGGCTAGAGAGGCTAGAGGCGAGAGAGGCTAGAGGGGCATTCCTTGACAGCGCCGTCGATGCGGGGACTGGCTGGCGCTGAACTCCAATCCGATGCGTGGCTGGTTTGAGAGACGCCCTGAAACGCGCGCAGGCTCTCACGGCGGCGCGCAGGGCGCACGTCGCAGCTGCAGCAGCCGGCGGCAGAACAGAGCAGCCTCGCGGCGACGATTGTGTGAAATTATGGCAATCTCGCGAGTGCTGGGGAGCGGGAGGGCCGGTGTGGTGGCTCTGTGAGATAGCAGGCGCAGGCCGGAGAGCAGTCTGTGTGGCGGTTGATAGCAGCTGCGACCGAGCCAGCGCTAGCCCGCTTAGGACCTTCGTGATTGCTTCGAACCGGGCAGCCGCGCACCTGCCGGGATCGTCTCAAACAACATTTAAACCCAAGCGCCGCCTGCCCGCCCTTCTGCTCCTTCGACCGCCCGCCCCAAAGCATCACCACCTGCTGTAAGTCTGCTCTTGTTCTGTCCGTCGACACATCAACCGTCGATACAATTGCCTGCACGGCACCCTCGCTCGCGCTCTGCGTCGACTGCTCGCTCCCTTGCTAACGCGACCGCCCGCGCAGACATTGATACTTCAAGCGCCCGCCACGATGCTGTACACCACTCTTCTCATCGCCTCTGCGGCCTTCTCTGGCCTCGCCGCCGCCCAGAACGGCTCCTCCTCGGACCTGCCCCCGACCATCGAGCCGTGCTGCAATGTTCCCGCCAACACCATCCCCGACACCACCAAGTCGACTTGGTGCACCGCTTCGCAGAACACATGCCCGGAGATTTGCGGCGGACAGGGCCAGATCGCCAGCGGTGGCAACACGTGCAATGAAGTATGAACCCACTCAGCTGTCTCTTTGCATGTTCTGACCTTCGTAGAACACCCTCCAGTACACCTGCAAGTGCCGCAATGGCACCGAGCCCACCATGTCCGACTATGTCCAGACTGTCCCTGGTCAAATGTGCCGTTACTGGTATGCCGCATGCACCAATGCCACCTTCGCCTCCGACGGAGAGGGCAACGCGACGCAGCAGTTTGCATGCGACCAGGCGCAACAGCAGCAGTGTGGAAACCTCACCACCAAGGACGCTTCGACGACCAGCGCTAGCAGCTCTGGTGGTAGCCGTCCTACCTCCACTGGCAGCTCTGACTCCAGCTCCGAGACCGGCTCGCAGACCTCCTCCAGCGCCAGCGGCACCAGCAGCACTCCCGGTGCCGCTGTCCGTCTTGCTCAGGAATTCGGCGCTCCTGTTCTCGCGGGTGGTATGATCGCCCTGTTTGGCATTGCCTTGTAGTAGTAGTAGTAGCACATCATCGGGCCGGTTCCATGGGGAGGGGTGGTAATGAGGATGAGGCGCAGAGGTTATGCATCGGCAGCGCATCGGCATGACAGTCTTCTCCAGCATCAAAAGAGCATTGGAGTTAGCGTTTGTATGTTCACGATGGCTTGAGGGGAGGTTTAATACGAGTTCATGACCAGGCGATATATCCCACAATCAAGCGATTATCAGTTTTCCAGCTGTCTGCTTCAGCGCCCTACGTGAGCCCTTGTTGCATTACTGCTTTTCGTTTACGTATGTTCACGTCGTATCATTGTCGTTGTACACTCGGCTTCTGCAGGGCGTGTCCCGTGCTACAGGTGAGGTGGGATTGGCCTCGTCGCGCGTGTGTGCTCCCGGATGGCTGCCGCTAACGCCTCAACAGCAGATCCTGCACGATGTAGAGCCGCTTTGAAGCAAAGAGAGAAGGGAATATGGCAGTGGTATGCATGAGAGCAGACGTTGGAATAGACTTGATTACTAGACATGAGGGCGTAACCTCGCTTTCATTGTTTGCCCTGTTGCCTTGGCCCCAAACACGCCGGCAGCTTCGGCGTCGCGCACGCGTTATTGGCCAATACCGCGGTTGCAGGCGCTGATCACCTGGCTGGGATGAAGCGAATCAAGGTGCATAATCGATAGCCGGACGCCTGCAGAACCCTTGCCCATGATCACATTCCTCCAAATTCAACATTTTGTTCAACCGTGGTCCTACTCTGCCGTTCTGTCTTCTAAGCCCGCCTACACTCGGTCCACCTGTTCTCGACTGCCAAACACACACCGCAACTTCCCCAATTGAGCAGCTTCGGCATTGCCGCGTCACAGGAAGCCTCGGTCGCTGGTCCTTCTCAAGTCAGTGCGGTCGCGGCCTCGGCCTCTGCGCTTTTGTCTGACGATAGCACGTCGTGGCAGTACTTAAAGTGGCTTTCTACGGCTTCTGTCGGACGCCGTTACATCGAGCACCCCGCTTAAGCTACTCCTTCGCTTTCACCCGACCCATCCCTCCCGCTCTCACGACCCATCCGTATCGACGAACCATGGCGACACTCGGCGCGCACAAGAAGCACAAGGTGACCATCGTGGGCTCCGGTAATTGGTACGTGGAAAGCGGCTCGTAATACCTCACGGGGCATCTGTTTGTAATTGGTGTATGGATGACTGACTTGTATGGAGGGGTACCACGATGGCCAAGCTTGTTGCCGAGAACGTCACCGCGAATCCGACACTCTTCGAGGAGACAGTCAGCGTGTGGGTCTACGAGGAGGAGGTCACCCTCCCCAAGGAATCCCGCCACTTTGACCCTGGCTCTGAACTCGCAACCAAGCCGCAGAAGCTCTCAGAGCTTTTCAACAAGCTTCACGAGAACATCAAGTACCTACCGGGTATCACTCTGCCTCCCAACGTCGTCGCCAACCCCGATCTCGTCGATTCGTGCAAGGACTCCACCATACTCGTATTTGTCCTACCCCACCAGTTCATCCCGCGAATATGCGACCAGTTGGCGGGCAAGATCGTGCCGTTCGCACGCGCTATATGCTGTACCAAGGGTGTGGATGTCAGTGAGAAGGGCATCAGGCTCATGTCCGAGGCTATTGGCATGCGGCTAAACATCTACTGCGGAGCTCTGTCAGGCGCAAACATTGCTACAGAAATCGCTCAGGAGAAGTACTCTGAGACAACTGTGCGTTACCCATGCCCACTTGGAAGATCCAAGCACTGACCCTGTCAACCACAGGTAGCGTACGATCCGCCGCCGATGGACTCTCGCGCACCGACGCCCAAAGGCTCACCTAATGCGTCAATGGTAGACCTCATCTCTCCCTCTAGATCAGTGCCCAGTGAGCGATCAGCCAGGCTAAAGGCCTTGCCGAACGAATACCCCCCTCTCTCTCAAGATAATGTGCGGAAGCTGTTCCATCGCCCTTACTTCCACGTCCGAATCGTGGACGATGTGGCAGGCGTCTCTCTCGGAGGTGCGCTGAAGAACATCATTGCTCTGGCTGCCGGATTCGTCGACGGTCTCGGTTGGGGCGACAACGCAAAGGCAGCAGTCATGCGTGTCGGCATCCTCGAGATGGTCAAGTTCGGCAAAGAGTTCTTCCCGGACAGCTCAAAAACGTCCACGTTCACTGAAGAATCTTGCGGCGTGGCTGACGTGATCACATCCTGCATGGGTGGTCGCAACTTCCGCTGTGCCAAAATGGCAACCCAACGGGGCGAGTCCATCTACGAGATCGAGCAGAAAGAGCTCAATGGGCAGAAACTGCAGGGCACCAGCACCGCGTACGAAGTCAATTCGTTCCTCAAGCAGCAGGGCTTGGAGAGCGAATTCCCGCTTTTCACCGCCGTCTACAACATCCTCGAGGGCAACGCGAAGCCGCAGGATATCCCCGAGTTGATTGAGCCGAAGTACTAGAAAGTCCGTAGCTATGACAAGGAGGCGGGTAGCCATGATGACCAGGCGGATAGACATGACAGTGCGGCAGACATCAGGGCTTTCTGGATTGAGGAGAGCAGGAAGACTGTGTTTGAGAGGGGCGGCACGCAGACGATTGCGTCTGTCGCGTGCGATGGACTGGCCGTGCAGCCATTGTAAGCTACCACAAGCAAGGCACTGCAGGAGCAGATGTCCTGGTGGATGGGCCGGGTCTGGTGAAGTCTGCCGTCAGCGATGGATATCAATTGATAGATCATAGAGCTCAATACAGGCATAGTACGTTGCATGGACAAGCTGTGGTCACTTTGGACATGCGAAACGATGTGTGCTGCCCAAATAATGTCCACCTGCCAGATACGTACGATACGAGAACTTTCATTCCTGTTGCTCAGGGTTTCTTTGCAGTAGCAAGGCAGGATCGAGAACATGTACACGAGCGGCTTCACGATGCATACGCACAGCATACCTTGTAGGCAACTTTGTCGGTTCGTACCTACTTGCGTCTTCGGTCTGTCGCTACCACAGCCTACTTTGTGTTTGTTGCTGCTCGCCCAGCGATTGAAATGTCGCGTCGCACCTTGCGCTCAGCAGACAGCTCGACCCAAGGTTCATCTTTGCCACAGCTCACCCAGCGATCGAGCCCTTGTCACACCTTGTGTCGAGCATGCTGCGAGCTACTCTTCGTCTTCTCTTTGCTGGTCCGACTGGATCATCTCCTGCTGCCATTCGTCGTCTCGGTATTTGTCGGCAGGATATTGTTCTGCTGCCAATCTGGGTGCATAGCACGGCCGTGTGTGATACTGAGCAAAGCTGGCTGTATGACGGTGGGGCGTATATCCGTACTTCATGTTGCGTTCATCCCAAATCGAGCTGGTAGACATGCAGTGCTGCGATCCAAAGTGATATGTGTCCTGGGGATTCTGGGCGAGAGGGTTCTGGTTCATGCTGCCAGACGTGTGGGTAACGAATCCTGGATCCGAAGGGGCCACTGTATACTGCCGACCAGCGTACTCTTGCTCCAAGTTGGCAGCGCCACCGATTGCATCCGTAGGAACGAAGAGGTTGTCCTGGACATTGCCGCAACCGTCTGAGGAGAGATCCACGGGTCAATTCTGTGGCATAGCTGACGGCTCCAGGTCGTTCGGGGCAGGCGGTGTCGCGGGCAGATCGCCAATGCTTGTGTCCCCCGTAGAATCCTTGTAAGCTCCGAAGGCTCGTCGCATTTGGTGGTACCGTTGGTTCGAGTCCATATCTTTCGGTGTCACCATGATCTCTAGGAACCGTTCCAGCATTGATAACCGCTCACTAGCATCGTTGGAGCCATCTTCAACTAGATCCTGGTCAGGACGTCGATGCCAGGTTGAAGTCTGGGTGCGCTTTATAATTCGAAGACGGTATTTTGTCTTTGGGACAGTTTGGGAACAGAATGCCAAAGACTTGGATCCACTTCTGCTCGTCCGACAACTTACAGCATCCTACCCGCGACTTGAGTTGATCTTTTCGATTTTGGTCGATGCCGTCCGAGTAATCCCGATCCTGCTTGTTCTGCCTTTTGCATGTTTTGGCTCGTACATGAGCAAAAGTCTTCTTTGCTCTTGAAGCATTTCCCACAAGTACAGATGGATAAGAGTCCATGACTGTCGTATATATGTGACCTGTAACACTTCAATACCATTTAACAATCAGGATAGCGGAACACCTACTTCAGACGGGAGATGGTGGGAAACGATGTGCATTTGTGTTTGTGGGTATCCATCTTTTGGAATGGACACGCGAATCGCTTATAGTCCGAGCGGGCACAGAGTCGCTTGCTACCTTGAGCGTCGTCCTCGGGGTACCTCCATCATCGCCGGACCGTTGTCCTCGTCTAAAACTCTGGCTCGCTGGACGAAGCTGAGTGCTGCGTTCTGCCGGACTACCCGTAACACTCCCTGTGGATGAGTTTCTGGATCCCTGATCATGATTTTCTGATTCAGAGTCCTTATGGCACGTACGAATCAAATGTGCAATGACCCGGAAAGTCCAGCTAGAGCCAGTAAGAACAATGCCTTGAGTGGGAAAGTCCCTTCGAGCGTCATGCTTCAGGAGCCGCCTAACGAGGTTCAGGAGTCCTCGACTGATAGCATGCATGATAGGCCTGTTTCTCGCATTGGTGTCTTTAGCATTTGGGCCAGCTCCATACTCCAATAATAGTCAAACGATACTCTCCGAGCCAGAGGCGACAGCAATAGACAGTGCCGTCTGGCCGTGTTCGTGGTCTCTGGTGTCCGGGTCACAGCCGGCATCCAAGAACAATGGCACCGTGACCTCTGAAGCAGAAGATACGGATGCAATAAAAGCTTGCCGTACGAAGCGGGCAGGGGGTTCCGTAAGTCGACTGTCAAGTAAGAAATCCCGCCACATCTCCCATCCCTAGAGAACATGCAGCTACAAGCGTGGTCTCTGCGGTTTTGGAGGTCCATTCTGGATCCCGGCAGATTCGCTCTCGTAAGATGAACTCCGCGATCGCACCATTTTTGCTTGCTGGCTAGAGACAGTGCATCCCTTCCATCTGGTAGTGAAGCATCCATGTCAGCTCCAGTCTGGTCACAGAGTTATGCTGAACAATTGACGGCGCCAGCTGTGTCCTTCTGCAACGCGGACCGGTAGATGAAAGCGTGCCGAAAATTGAGGTGCTATCCAGCAACCAACACCTGCAGGCCGCGGAAGTGGAGCGAGATGGTGGAGTGCGATGTGACGTTTGTGGTGGGGCGACATCGCTGCTGCCATTTCCTCCATGAGTACGTCATCTACATGTTGAACGCCAACCCGGTCATCGAGCCCTGTACTGGTTGCGGCCTCTCGAAACACACTGCGAAAGCTGCAATTTTCTGGGAGTTTCCGCAAGCTCAAGTAACAGTATTCAAAATATGTATTCGAAAAGAAGTCATGTATATGCATGAAAGAGCCAGTCGGCGTACAAAGGAGTGGCAGTGCCTGGTATCATATCCCCCCAAGTCATCCCTATCCACATTTCACCAACCGACCACCCATTACCAACGCCTCCATCAAAATATCCCCCTAATCAAAGCGAATGATGCAACGCCAGCGCTAACATTAGAAGAAGAAGAACAAAGCAAAGAACAGATGCCGCCAAAGCAAAAAGACCCGTCACGGATAAGGAGCCTTATCCTATATCCTTCCGGCCGAAGACAAATTCCTCACACTCTCCCTGCTATCCTCGCCATACCCCGCCCGCTCCATCAACTTTGTAAACGTCGTGTGGCCCGAGTCGGCCGTCATCCGATTCTCCCGCATCGCCGGCGCCTTGGGAGGTTCGAGGAAGCTGGGCGCGGGCATCAGGACGTCGATGGTCTCGGAGCTGGTGGACCGCGTGGGGGTTTCCAGGGGCCGGCGGGAGGGTTTCGCGCTGTGCTTGCGCTTGCGTCGGCGGGAGTGGGTGCGAGTGGCGCCCTCGTCGGACTCGGGGGACGGCTGGGAGGGCGTCTGGCCTGGCGTGCGGTAGGGATCGCGCAGGGGGTCGCCGGCGCGCATGGCGGGCGGAGGGGGCTGGAGATTCAGCGTCGGTGTAAGGGGCAGGCCGGACCACACGCCCATGGCCAGCTTCGGCGTGCGGTCCCACATGCTCTTGATGCGGGGGGTGAGGCCATGGCCGCCTCCGCCGGCTGCCCGCGTGCCGATCGGCTTCTGCACACTGGGCGTCGAGCTGACCGAGTGCGAGCCCCGGCGGATGAAATCAGTGCGCTGCGCGTGCTGCGGGTCGTAGATGGGGTCGCTGATGGTGCGCGCGACGTGTCCGAAATCGCCGCTGTACCGGGCAGCTTTGGCATCGCGGCGCCGCTTGGTCAGCCAGATGAAGGCGATGACGCCCAGCGCGCCGAGGAGGAGTCCTGGGAAGAAGCCAGCTGCGAAGGATTTGGCGTCGAAGGAGGACGCTGGCGGAGGGAGGGCGTCCGGCGGGCAGCCGGAGGACTGGGAGGCGGAGGCTGGGCTGGTGGTTGGGGAGGACGTGGGGATTGGGACGGTGGAGGAGGGCGTGTCTTGAGAGGCGATGCACATGCCGTTGCTGCACTTGTAGCCTAGGGGGCAGCAGGCGTCGCCGCACTTGGGGAGCTCGACGTCCGCGGTCTCGGCGAAATGGATCTGGTTGTCTGGGAAGAGAGTGGCATTGTATTGGGTAGTATCGCAGGGAACTGTCTGGATGGTGGAGCAGTCCTTGCCTTTGGGGCAGCAGATGACGGCTTGGATGGTCGAGTTGACGGTCGTGCAGGTTGTGTCGGATGCGCAGCAGAAGCTGGCTGGGAGGTCGCCGCCGCATTGTTGGAGGTTCGACTTGCCTCCACATACTGGTTCGGCCCGGAGGAAAAGAGAGGATGCTGTTGCTGCCGGAATCATGACGGCTGCAAGCAGGAGAAGAGATATGCGTGAGAGCTTGGGACCAGCCTGGCGACTCATTTTGAAATGCAGAAACACGAGAACCAACAGAGAATGGGTGGCAGACGAATGGAATCAGTCCCAGAGAGAGACGGGAGTATTTGACTTGACTGGGAGAATGGACACAGCTCAACACAAGACCAGCATTATCAACAGCGAAGCGAAGGGAAGTGGAGAACAGGACGCCCGTGCAATGCAAACGAAACGAAACTGAACAAAGGTCGATCCAAAGGGCAGGCTCAGCGGGCACGCGGTATATAGCTGCAGTTGACCGCCCAGAGCGCGCCTGCACGCGAAGCGGCTCTTCGACCACGATGCAGTGGCCGGCGCCCGCCTGCTGTCGCCCGACTCCACCGGCGGGCCGCCCGTCGTTCTGGAAATAGGCACATGGGAGGCGCCGAGTGGACGACAGGCGCCGAATGGCGGGCGCGGCCAGCGCAGCCGTGGCAGGTGACTCCCACGAGCGTGTGGCTCTGGGCCGTCGAGGGTGAAACGGGCGAGGAGCGCAGCGCTTCGTGTTGGCCGAGACGCTGCGGGTGGGCGCGTGCTCATTGGCCAGCGCGTTAGCGGCGCTGCGGCGCCCTTGCGCGGAAAAGTCGACGAGGGCAGCGGCAGCGGCAGACCGTCCATCGCACCGCCAGACACACATCATGATAATACGCTCCCTCACGAGACGGCCCGGCGCCCTCCAGACTCTCGCCCAGCATGTGAGCGCCCGCGCCCGCACTGCCTGTGCACTGCCAATGGCATACTGACGACGGCCCCAGGCCAGCAGAGCTCCCTACGCACGACGGTTACACGGGGTGCCGTCGCTGCTGAACCACGACGAGCTGGTCAACAATGGCATCCCGGGCCTGTTCAGCAAGAAGCAGTTTGACATTGCCTACACGCAGTACCAGGGCCACATCGTCGAGTCCCTCAACATTGCGACCGCCGGTAAGCCTCGCCTCGCACTGCCCGTCCCCCAAAGGCTCACCGCTGACCCCGACCCCCAGGCTCCGCGTACGAGAACAGAGACCCCAAGTCCCTCATCGTCGACATCGCCCGCGATCCCCTGATGGCCTACCCCTGGAACCTCGCCTCCATGGCCTTCAACAACCACTTCTTCTTCCGCGGCCTCAACACCAACCCCAACATCGCATCCGCGCCCTCGGCCGACCTCGTGCCCCTCATCAACCGCAGCTTCCACTCCCTCGAGACCCTGCAAGAGACAATGATGCTCACCGCCGACGCCATGTTCGGCCCCGGCTTCGTCTGGCTCGTCCAGACCCCCGACGCAAAGGACCAGCCCCTCAAGCTCCTCACCACCTACATCGCCGGCAGCCCGCTCTCCGGTGCCCACAACCGCAAGCAGCCCGCCGACATGAACACGCAGAACACCGAGTCGTACGCGGGCAGCTTCGGCGCCGCTGCCCGCCAGAAGGAGAACAGGCCCAAGAAGGCCCTCGGCGGTGTCGACGTTGTCCCGCTGCTGTGCGTCAACACGTGGGAGCACGTCTGGCTGCACGACTACGGCGTCGCCGGCAAGATGAGCTTCTTGGAGAAGTGGTGGGCCAAGATCGACTGGGCGCAGGTGCAGCAGAATGTGCTGTTCGAGAAGCCCCAGACGCAGAGCGCGGGAGGCGGGTTCAGGCAGTTTTACAGCAGCTAGAGAAGCCAGCTGCTGGGCAAGGTGTAGGACTACATGTACAAAATAGAGGGGAGGCTGGATGGCGAGCTGAGCATATAGATGTACACTAACTACTGCTGCACGAGAACTTGTTGCCTGGATAGCACTGCGTGCAAATCGAGTCAATGGCCCTACGATTGCGTTTTTGGTCATATGCCAAAACAAGGCATTGCACGAAGCCGCGCTTCTGGAGCTTGCAAGAGCGGCTGTCTGTGGTCTGCCGTCTGTGCAACCTCGAACCCGTCGAACTGCGTCCTCCATCGTAGCACGACCTCGCGTCCTTTGTTGCCCTCGCCCAAACTATGCCTACACCCATGCCATGTCCCAGACCACCCAGCCCAGAAAAACCAGCCAAAACGCCATCGCATATGCATCGTAGAGTCGAGATTTCCCCGGGCAGTCATCCCCATCTCTGCCTGTCCATCCTTTTACATTCCTCTCCCCTCACGTATCTGCCCTCTCCTGCCGGCGAATCTACCCAAACCAACTGCTCTTCCTCCGCGCCTCCTTCCGCGCCGCCGTCCACTGCTCCTTGCAATCCCGATACGCCTGGAAGAAGTCACTGCACATCTCCCTGTCGCCGCCGTTGCGGTTGAGACACCGGATGCTCTTGTTCGCCGCTTCTTGGCACGGGTCAAAGTACTCGCTGTACGCCTTGCTGTGAATCCACAACATCAGTATGAGGAAAGACTGGACGGGCAGCATGGTGTAGGGAGGAGGATTGGGTTGGATTCGAGGTGAAAGCTTGGGCAAGTTACTTTTCGAAGCGCGTGGCTGTGGGCCCGGTCCATTGGTTGTCGGTCGAGGGCGCGTCGCCGGGCGCAGAGGCCGTGGGGGTGTCTTTCTTCGACATTGCGACTGCGGTACGCGTCAAGCCTCGGATTATTCGTGTTTGCGACGTCGATGAAGATGGCTATGGTCGAGATGCAGATGCAGACGCAGGGATGGGTGGCGCCGCCGAGGTGCGCCGCGTGCGCGCGGCAGGTGCACGCGAGGCAACGGCGTCTTGAGCTTGGGATGGTCGTGGGTGAGACATTAGGTTCACATATTGTAGAGTGAGACGAGACGAGACGACATTATCTCATATGGGGGAGGACGAAGGCCGTTGCGATCCATCCTGGCTCTCTGATGCTGTGTTCAGACTGATCTGATCGCTAAACATTGGCTTGAGGTATCTCTAAAATGGTCGACTATACACGGGTAGCAACGGATTGAGGCGCATGCAAGCCATACCAGCTTTGCATATTCTGGTAGCATATTTCATGAACGATGGTGCTCGTCTCATCTCCATAAGTGCGGGACTGGTTGTGTAAGATCATGTACCGGGTGAGAGCACACCAGCCAGACGCTGTTCGTGCTGGACGAGAGGCTGTTACGCCCGACACTGCGCGGTCCCTGCTCCGAAGGCAACTGTAAGCTAATTCCGGGAGTCTTCGGACAGGGAAGCCGATATTACTCGTCTCATGCGCTTTCTCTTAACGCCCAGGCTCGAAACGGCGCGGCTCGGTGGCGAGGGACCGAAGGTATCTGGCTGTCGGATTCTACGATACTCCATAAATCCATAGCCTTGATAGAAACAGGGAAGCCGTTAGTAGTGTCCGCGGAAACCGCTCGAGAATTTCCGGGGAAGCGATTATGATGCAACGGTCACTCCACGTGCTGCTTCTCTGTTTCTAACCTGTGGCGTACCGTTGCGGCTCAATCACACGGGCCGAACGTGCACGATTGTGGCTCACACGCACATTGACGTAGACCCTGCCTCGAGTTGCAAAGGCAGCCTGGCGGTCGTGATCCGATGGCAGCCAGTGTCACGCGATGGCAAGCTTTCCGCAACACTGGAAGAAGGTCTGGCCCACATAGGGCTGAAGGTCTTTGTTGCGAGTAGCGATAAAGCGCAAGGTTACCACGGTTGTAGGGTACCATTGCTGATTCATTGTGCACATGCACTTCCGTTCTCAGAGGAATTGTTATGTGGGGAACAAAGTAGGCTTGAAAGCTCCGCATCCCAGCGACCAGGTAAGGTAGCCGGCAGACTTGCCCCTCCTGTTCATCCAATGGCAGTGGGGTTTGCCTTGTGACACTCGTACCGTCGTCTCGTGTTGTTGCATGTTTGCAATTGACTTGGCAGGTAATTTGATAAGGTGTAGTGGGCGAGAGCATCTCGATGCCTCGAGGGTTGAATGTTCACCAGCTCGTCCGACCCATCGCGGCAATGACAAGGCGAGGACACATCTTGGCCCATCATGCCGTGGCAGAGGTTCCGTGACAACGGTGTGAGACGCGACTTGACCCGCGTTGATGGTGCTCATAGACTTGGTGCCAGACCGCAGGCTCAATCAGTATTGCACTGGCTGTGGCTCGTATAAAGATGCTGAAGGATCAGCAGGGTGCAACCACGTTGTTGTGTCGTACACTGCAGAACGAGCTCGGCTGCCATTCTTGTGAACCGTATCAAAGTGTCGCTTGTCGACGCTCACTCCTGCCCCTGAGCTGTACAACGTGCGCGGCGGGTATTCCACTCAGCCGGCCCGCTCAATCACCGTTACATCGCGAGGTTAGTACTTCCCCCATAGTATTGCTGGCTCATCTTCGGCACGTTTCTGTTCCTTCCCTGTTAATTTTGTTGATTGTTCCATTGTTTCACTGCACGGTTAGCCTCTAGGCCTCAGATAACTGGGCTGTGCGTCAAGGTATGCGTCAGAACGCGAGTATTTCACCGCAAAGGCGGCTTCGACCATCTGCACTGGCCATCGTCAGCCACTATAAACTCAACGTACCTGCTTTCGTACCCTCTATCAATCTTTTCAGTGCCGCCCACTCACCCTCTACGAGCTGCACCTGTCGCTTCCAATTCAAATTGCCACACTCTTCAGCATGGTCCAAAATCAGGATCTAACATCACCAATGTCAGATCACTCAGCCGACATGATGGCTACTGTAGCTGTCCAGACCACCGTAGCGCCCGCAGTTGCCCGGCTCAGGGCTGTCCCCAAATTCGACCCGGTCCGGCACTTGGCGCGAGCGTTTCCGGAGAAGAATGTGTCGATGCAGGAACTTGGCTTTGCGGAAGACGTTGGCGTGTCGCCCGTCGCCGTGTCGGGTCCCTTCCAGCTCTTCACCTCGGAGGCAGTCAACATCATGCGCGACGAGATCTTCTGCGTCCCGGACAAGTACAAGTTCAGCAGCAACATCGCCAAATCGCAACTCCGAGGCTACGCAAAAGAGTAAGTAAAGCACGATCCATTCGCATTCAGAGCAATGATTACTAACGCCTTGTAGCTGCGCCCCGTTCACGTGGGATGCTTGGAACCACCCTGAGACCATTGCACTCATCTCAGAGATTGCCGAAGTCGAGCTTGTGCCTGCAATGCCTTATGAGATCGCACACATCAACCTCTCGTCCAAGTCTAAGGAAGACGCCCAGCAAGAGTTGGCAAAGTACCAGGAGCACCAGCGTCGCTACCAAGAAGACGAAGGAATCGGTGGTTGTCGAGAAGTAGTTGAGACGCCGATTGTTGGCTGGCACACCGACAGCTATCCTTTCGTGTGCGTGCTGATGATGAGCGACGTCCGTGGCATGGTCGGGGGCGAGACAGCTATACGCATGGTCAATGGAAAGGTACTCAAGATGCGAGGTCCATCACAGGTAAGTCAATTATGACCATTTCTAAGAGCATTGTTATTAACATCGTGTTAGGGCTGTGCGGTCATCATGCAAGGACGATACATCACTCACCAAGCTATGCGCGCCCTCGGAGCACAAGAGCGCATCACTTCTGTCACGAGCTTTCGTCCCAAGTCTGCTCTCCTGAAGGACGACACCGAATTGCGAACTGTGCGTGGGGTCTCCGACCTCAACGAGCTATACTACGACTTCGCTGAGTATCGCCTGAAGCTCTTGGAAGAGCAGATCCAGCACGAGCGTGAGCGAGTTCAGGCTGCTCGCAAGGCTGGCGGGGAGTTTGCAACCGCTCAGCACAAGCAGTTCCTCGGAAATGTGACTGCCTTCTCACAGCAGTCATCCCATGAGCTCGTCGACCAGTGCGAGGTCCAGAAAGGATACATCGAGAAAGTCGACTTCCCAGATGCTGCTATTGACATCTAGAGGAACGCGACGGGAACGACAACACTGGCTAGGAACAACGAAGTATAGGAGTATTTACGAGACGTTGAGTTGCATCTCCACGGCTCGGTGTTGTTCATACTTTTATGGTTCTTGTACTTGATATCTGTCAAAACTGAGGGTCCCTTGGAAGGCCTCCTTCGGGAGGCATGCGCGCTTCCATTGTTGGCGTTTCGGATATACCTTGGGTTTGCAATGTCTTCTCGAGCACGGGCTTGGGTTTCATGGAGGCGGTACTCTGGCTGTTGGGAACAGCTCATGGGAGCACGAGATGGTTCAAGGACCCGATCGTAGGAGTGTACAAAGACTGGGCTTGCGTCTATGTATATAATTGCATTCACTGTATTTAGATCGATATCTGAGCTGTAAACTGTGAAGACGTCTCAATGTGTTTCTGATGAGCAGAGTCGCAAGAAAGCAGAGCCCTTGGACTGAACCGCACGGATAGGGAAGGCGCTCCACACTAGTAGCAGGTGCATCGAATAACATGATGGATTCAGAGGAGACGGGGATGGCCATTGGCAAACATGGTGAGATAGGCGCTGCAAGGGCGACAATTCGGGCAGTGCAGGGCAGAGGAGTGGAGCAGTGGACGTGACGAGGCAGCGGGCCGGCGTCTAGTGACAGCGCCGGGCTAAAGCTCGGGTGCTAGGCGTGCTGGGGTTTGGCGACGTCCAGCCTGCTCCACTTTGGCGGCCCTGCCTGCACTTGCCCATCCTCACAGCGCGGAGTGCGGCACGGCGAGCTCTCTACCTGGATGTAGAAGCAGACACGCCGCCCGCCAGCCCTGGACTTGTCTGCTCATACCAACCTGGGTGTGTCGTCCCTCCCCCGCCGGGCGCCATGAACCACACACGACCGCCTTCCCCGCCGTTGGCCGCGGCTCGCCCCAGGAATTCGTCGTCGTCCATCGCGTCCCAACATGCCACCACCAGCAACTCGACGCTGGCAGGCCCCTCCAGCTCCAAGGCCCGCGGCAGCACTCCCAGCCGCTCGCCTGCCCAGGCTGCAGACGGACGCCCCGGCCGCGCAGCCAGCAAGGACAGCCTCAAGCAGAAGATGGCGGCCAAGATCCCAGAAGAGCCACCACGCCCAAGCAAAGCGGATGAGGTGAGGTCTCGGCAGGCAAGGCTGGTGGAACAAAGATTGCGTCGGCTAACCCTGCCCAGCAACTCAAGGTGCTGCGTTCAGAGTTCGACAGCCTTCGCGCACATCTCACATGCAAGATCTGCGACCGCCTGCTCTACCAGCCATACACGATAGCCTGCGGACATACATACTGCTACAGCGTAAGTACAGCCGCTGCAACCCGATGTGGGGGATACTGACGTGCACAGTGCCTTTGCACGTGGTTCGTCAACAACAAGCAGCGCAAAACATGTCCGGACTGCCGAACCGTGGTGACGCATGTGCCCGCTCCGGCGTATGTGGTAAGTGCCAGTCATGCAGAAGCTACGACCTCTTCAACATCGCAGGCGTACAGAAATCGAAGCTTGTCTAACATTCCTCAGATCCGCGACATGACCAGCGTTCTCATCGGCCGAGCCGAGTTACTTCCCTCCGGCTCTGGCGATACGATAGAGCAGCACAAGCAATGGCAAAAGGAAGAAGCTGATGCTGTCCAACTAGACAAGGACAACACCGATCCTCGCACAGGTGGTCTGTTCAAGGGATGTTTCAAGTCTGCTCACGCACGAGGTCCTTCCCTGCAAGTAATTCGCGACCAAGAAGATGGAGTCGAACGCTGCCCTGTGTGCTCGTGGGAACTCGAGGACGGCGAATGCGTTCAGTGTGGACTGTTCTTCGACGAGAACGGAGAGTTAACCTGGACCGACAGCTTCACTGGCTTCAGCGACATGGACGAGATGTCCGAGCAAGACCTGTCGGGCGAAGATCTTGACGCCGAAATGGACATGGAAGATCCGGATTTCGATCCCTATGGACCACCTCCCGGCAATTGGGAAGACTACTATGGTCCAGACGAAGGCAACTTTATGATGCAACGTTTTCTCCAACATGGCATTCCACAGCATGCCCCATTCTCACGAAGGCCCATGTCGCATAGTGAGGCTGGCAGCAGGCGATCATACTCGCAAAGCATCGTCTCTGATCTTCTGCCCGAGGAGATGGATACCGTAGAAGAAGAGGACGAAGAAGACATGGAGGAAGACTCTTCCATGAACGACTTCATAGACGACGACGAGGATCAGTCATCCGCATCCGCCGGCGCCTCGTCAACCCCTGGCCAGACGCCTCAACCATCAAATTCCCAAACCAGAATCAATGCAATCAATCGGAGAGCTCGACGTGTCATTGAAGAATCGGAGACGTCCTCCACCATTTCAAGCGTGATCGAGGAGGAAGAGGAAGAGGAGGAGGAAGACGAAGAAGACCAGGGCCCAATCCGCAGAGGTCAGAGAAACCGTGCTCAGACACGCGTTCTGAACCGCGCGAATGGCTCAAGAGAACCATCGGGTCCTCCGTCTTCCACATCCACAGATGTGTCCACTGATGATCTAGACGAAGATACGCAGGCATTGTTGCAATCCCAGGGATGGATGCTACAGCACCATGGGCCGGATGAGATGGGCGAGGATGATGATAGCGATGGGGGAAGAACGACGGTTGGGTCGTCGACTGTTGGGTGGGATGCGACCGCGATTTCCAATGATAGAGTCCGAATGGGCGGTTCTCTGACACCTACTGCAGATCGACCTCGACCCAATAATACGATTCGCCCTCCTTCCCGTGTGGGCAACCCACTCCGGCGACAGGCCTCGGCCCTATCTACCGCGAACGCCCATTACGAGGATGGCGAGGCCGACGATGACGACTCCGATGTAGACCAAGACGGGGACATTACGATGGCCATAAATTCCCTCCGTAACCGAAGGTCTCGAGCACAGCTACGCAATGCTGCGGCCTTTGCCAACTTCAACAACCGTTATTCGAATCGTGGCTTACCCCAAGGCAACCCGATCGATGCGGATGCTGAGGGTGATTCGGATCATTCACAGGACGGTCGCCGACGAACGCGTCAACAGGCTTATAACCCTCGCATCAGTCGACTGTTCGCTGATCACCTGGGCGCACTTCAGGAGATCCAAGGTGGTCTGTTGGTGGACATAGAACCTCGCTCAATTACTCCAATTGCTCGCCCGCGTACATCGAATCGAAACCGACCGAGTCCTGCGCAAGCGTATTCTCCATTCTTGCCTCCTGCACCAGTGCGCATGCGCACGCCTCTCATGAATAATACTGCAAATCCTGCCTTGCCTCGCGCTCCAGCATCTCCACCTAGACGGACAGCGCATACGCCGAGCCTCTCCGAAGTCCTCCATAGCGAAAACGCTGCAAACGCAAGCCGTTCTGCCTCCGTCACTTCCGGTAGCAGTTCTTCCGTGGTACTGACGCCTGGCACCTCGACGCCTACGTCGCAACAGTCTAACAGCACGGCATCGCAACCTCAAGCTGGATTGAGCATCGACATGGGACACCGTCCACCCAGCAGAGTGAACTCGCGTCCCCCTTCAGCTGCTGGACGACGCAATTCGGCGGGTTTTTCGCCGGTGTATCCCCAATTTCCTCATTCCAATGTCGGTCTGAACATCCAGGGTCGCATCTTCCCTTCACAGGCGGGGAACCCATGGGGTGCTTTCGTACAGCCTCGCATCCGAAATCTCAACTCGCGCCAGGTGCTCAGGGAACAATCCTCGACCGCCACATTGAGAGCCGTCAGTTCTCGAGCCAATGTCCGAGAGCCTGCAGCTTCACCGCAAGCTCCAAGAACCCAAGCCTCGCGCATCGACTTGCGTGCTCAGCCTTCTCGCCGCCGGCTCAATACTCAGTCTTCTACACGAACTCTGCGAGCAAGCGAACACGCTCGGCCACCCCCATCTCCCACTGCTGGGGCTGCGAGCGGTGGCGCACAACCTGCTTCGCGCCCCACGCGATACACGCCCGAAGAGACGGACCGTCTTGCACGTGAGCTCATCAACACCAGGATGCAAGTATTGAGACCACCCGGGCCGACACCTGCACGCAACAATCCATTTGTTCCAGGGTTCAGACGCCCGGCCAATCCCTCTGAAGCGACAGCTGGTGCTACAATAGCGTCATATCACACCAGGAGCAATTCCAATGAATCCGCAACCTCTGGAGGCTCCTCGCATACCACAACTTTGACGTCGTCCTCGCCTGGACTTACTCGCAGGCGAAGCAACCGTCACATGGGTGTTGCGCCACCGGGCGTCTTGCCTGCGACTTCGAATGGTACTTTCCCGACAGCGGCTTCGGGATACTACGCTCGCCAGAGACAGAACTCTATCGGTAGCTCCACTTCCGCCTTCGATATGCCCCTAGATGCGAATGCCCGAGGCATGAGTCCGATGTTGGCGACTTCCCTCATCTAGCGGATGAAGTTACATGACCCATGTTAACCAATACTCTCGACCTCAGCCGAATTTTCTTCACTTTCTTTTCCACATTCTTTACTTACATTGGGGTTTCTGGGCATGGGATCGGTATGAGTAAGGATCCATCCGGATTCAATGAAGCGGACATATGAGTCACGATTACTGGACGCCGTGGTATGAAATGATACGGAGTTGATTATGTTGAATGGCATGGCATCGGCGTCTCTCTATTCGGCATTATACCACGGTAATAGCATCTCTGTCATTAGCGGGCGTTGATGATACCAATTCGATCATTTTGAGTGTGCTTGTCGCTTTGCAATTGACAGCATTGTGTTCCCGTGATAGCCTGCGCAATTATGCACCTTGTTAGCATCGACTCGTCCCTGGCCGTCACTGCCGCAATATCATTCAAAGCCCCATAAGTGCCCACAGCAAAGTTTGAATCGCTGCAAACATTGACATGAAACAGCCTTGCAGTAGTCTCACCCGTAGATCACAATTGTGTAAGACGAATAGTTCACTGGTCGTATTGTGTCCTTCACACGAGTGATCGTAAAGTTTTTCAACTTGAAGTCCGCCGCAAGCTTCATCCTTGCCTGCCAGAAGTTTACATACAAAGTCGGGGAACCATTTCTTTCGTGGTTTCTCCCAAATCACAAATCTCACAGCAACTAGAATGTCCTCTGCCAATACAGACAGCACCATTGATAGCATAGTCTTCGAAATGAGGCAACACCACGCACTCCGTAGCCGCTTGTACACCAGTCCCCGTCTGCCTACATACCAGTCCTTCCTCGATCAGCTACGGGACTTGGACACCGGTAGTCTGACACCGGGCGCATACTGCCCAATATGCCGCGTACCATTCTCGGAATCGCAGACTATATCTAGCAACGCTGGATCGGAGTATCAGTATGGTCTCGCCCTGGAAACTCTGCCATTTCATATTGAAGACAGCCACGCTCTCATCGACAGCCCCGTCCGCTTACCCTGCGCCTCCCAGCACATAGTGGGTAAGGCGTGCATCGTGACCTGGGCGACCGAAGGCGGCGGTACAACATGTCCCCTCGACCGAGAGGAGCTTTTCATTCTCGGCGCAGAAGACACGTTCTCTGTCACAGACGACGAACACCGCTTCAACACCGGTCTACGTGCCATCGAAAAACTGCCAATCCGGCAGCTCCTTGTGCGCTTCCGCGCCGCCACTGAATCCGGCATTGTGAGAGTGAACGCACGCGCCATGACCAAGCGTCTGGCTACGTTGATCTTCCGCATCGTCTTCGAAACGCATGGTGTTCCTGAGGCTGCTACGCTACGCTGGAAATGGCCACGCATTGGACGCCCGCTATATGGGTATAACGAAGCGTCCGCGTTCCGCAGTGTGGTGAAGCAGTGGGTGGACGGCGAGCCGCTGGAAGAGGATGGAGGGTATCCAAGGCACATTGTGACGTTGCTTAACCCTGCGCTGCCGCATGTATTTGCGCTGCTGTATCGCCTTGCGCGGTTTTTTCAGGCGAGGAGCATGTCTCTCGATGAGTTGGCGTGCGCGATGCAGCAGCACATGCACGTGTTTTTCAAAGACTTTGCGTACGTTGTTACCGATGAGAAGGTCTTAAGATCTATCACGTTCAAGACTATCGATATTTGGACGACGCAGGAACTCCTCGTCACGCAGCTAAGAACAGCGACGAACCAGCCGGATGAATGGGCTGGCATTGTGGGGCCGAGAGATAGACCAGTGACGCCTTACTTTGGGCTGCGTGGGAGGGGCAGGATTGGGTATTGGCATTTCAACAGGGAGAGCGAGAGGGAGAGGCGGGAAAGGCGGGCGACGCTAGGAGAAGCGGCTGGGTTGCTGGTATACGATGACGATGAGGATGTCCCACAAGGGGAAAGTGGGCGCGAGAGACCAGGAGTGAGTAGGTCACCAGACTTGGGTGCATCGGTACGGCCGTGGTCGCCTCTGAGTGGCGAGACTGAAGAAGAATTTACTCTGCTCACCAGTGGTATCATCATTAATGATAGACGTAACCCGAGGGGGCTCCGCGAGGAGGCATAGGACTGGAATGCTGAGGGTGAGGGCTCTGCTTAACGATCGAGTGTAGTAGGCTTTCTCGGATGCTACACACTGTGGGAGGCTTGTGGTTGGAGCTTTTGCTATGATGTATCTTCTTTACTGTAACGTGATCGATTGTTGAATCTTTTGTTGATATTACATGCACCTGGGCAACATTTGTATCGACTTATGTAGGCGCATTCAAGAAAAAGCGATGGAATTGATCAAGTATCTTTTCATCTCGCTCTCAGGAGGGTAATGTATCTTTGCTCACTTCGCCTGCTTCTTCATCGCTTTCGCAACATCCACATACGATCCACTCCTTATCTCCTCCAAAATGCCCTTCTCGGCCTGAACACTCCACCCCAGCTGCTCCCTCGCCTTCTTGTTCGACGACCGACACTTTGCCGTCATGAAAATCGCCAAGAACATCCCCATCTTGGCCTTCACCTCCTCCACATCGAGCTCTTCGCAAGGAAACCCAAGCGTCTCGCAGATAGCCTCAGATATTTGCTTCTGTTGAATATCCGTCTCGGAAGTCGCATTGTACGATTCCCCAGCCACCGCTTTCTCGGCGAGGATGAGATACAGACGCGCAGCATCTTCTACGTGCACAGTGGTAGTAAGGGCGGTGCCAGGCTTGATGAAGAAACCCTTGCCGCGGGGTGCGAACGAATCCATGTAGAGACGAACGCCGCTACCACCTCTCCCATACACGTATGGCGCGAGGCGGACGTAGGCAACGCGGACGCCTTGGTCGAGATACGTCTGCTTGTTCGACTCGAAGCCTCGGGCATAGATGTGGCCTTCCGGCCATCCAGGCGATTTCTCGTCCGTCTCTTCGTCCTCGGGATGAGGCTGGGCGGTCATGGCGCCGCTGGTGATGATGAGGGGCTTGTTGGTACCTTTTACGCCGGCGGCGAGGGCGTTGTTCGCAGCGTAATTTGTGGCCCAGCGCTCGTCTTGCGAGATATTGAAGTCCGAAGCAATAGCGTCGGCCATATTGATAACGATGTCGGCTTTTGATGCCTCAGCCGTGAGAACATCGAGGGACTTGATGTCGCCGCGGACTGGGTTCGCTCCGAGGGCGCGCAGTTTGGAGTCGCTGGATTCGGAGCGCGAGAGGGCGGTCACTGAGTAGCCTTGTGCAACGGCATATTCGATAATGACGGCACCAATGTATCCTGAGCCGCCAGTGATGAAGATGGTCTTGGACATATTGTCGGGGAGATGGTGATGGTCAAAAAGGCTGGACAGAATGTGAAATGGTATTGATATGCTTTAAGCCTCAAGGTAGTCGTGAAATTGATCGAGACTGAACTCTGTGTGAGTAGACGTTGTAACGTACCTCGCTCGATTCTTTATAGATACCATTTCGTACGACTGCAGGTCAGCGAGCGGGCGTAGCGGAGGTAGTAACGTATAGTTAGGACTTAGTGAAGCGTCCCAGCGTACGTCAAAGGTGTCTATGACATGGCTTTACTCCTCCCTCTACCGCTGAACGAATGCCGACATCTTCATTGAGGAACGCGCTAAACCCTCGTCGTAAAGGCAAGCGTTCGGACAGGGCGCAAGGCTGATGGCGTAGGAACCATACCTAGACAGGTAACAAGCTAGCCTGCTGTCGTACGCAAGGAAATTTGGGGTGCCGGGGATAGTCTCGGTGTTAGGCCAACTTCAGGCTCCGTGAGAGCTACAACATCAGGACACCTGGATACGGACAACGCACAAAGGTCGTTAACACTTCCATGATGACGATCGGGTGTTGTGCTTAGCTTCATACTGTCTTGGTTGACCAACGCAATTGATGGTTCTGTACGCAGTCGAAATGCCCACCCGGCGCCCAAGGTATGATAAAGGAATAACGATTCCGTGTTGCCAAAATCGTCGTTTCCCGTATCGAATATTATACCATACAAGTTTTCTAGTAAATTCGCACAGCCTCAGTCAGCCATTCCAGCGAATCTCTCCCTCCCTACTATCATCGCGATCGCCATGATCATTTCAGCCCCCAAACCATCTAATCACCAAATACTTTGTACTTCCTATGAGAATCGACCAATGAGCCATTACAACCGTAGCGTGGCGATTTTTTGTTCGATAAGACTGATGTAGTGTCTCGGGACGATTGAGGCCCATGCGACAATTGCAGCTCTATCTTTTAGAGAACCGACTGTAGTACGACACCACCTCTGCGCGCGAATGCTCGGTGTCGGTTACCGTGAGTTGGGATACGAATGCGCATATTTTTCTGAGAAACTGCAAGCTTTACATGAGGCACTGGAAATGGTCCTCATAATCGCTTTCCAGTTCATCCACAGATGTTCCAGCTAAGAAAGTTTCATCTCCTCTTGTGAAGCTCTCTCACCCGCCTGAGACCGGTGAGAACTTTCGAGGGTACTTACGTTAACTGTGGCATCGGCTCATTCGGAATAGACGTCTGGCCACCTGTTAGGAAAAGACCAAGTCCTTCCTATGTGTCTGTGTATACCCGACTGGTACGGTGACAGTCGCTGTGACCGTCGGGCCAGTGGCTGTTGATGTAGTTGTGCTGGTCACAGTTTCGTAGACGGTCGAAAAGCTCTGTTCGGTTGCAGTGGTGATGCTGGTCGTCGTTGTGGTTGACATTGCTCCGATTACCACGGTCAATGTCACAGTCGTCGTTCTAAAGGGTACGAAAATGGTGCTAACAGTTGTGGTACTAGTTTTGGTCGAGCTTGTCTTTGTTGTTGCCGTGACCACTTGTGTGGAGGCTGGCTGCGAAGTCACGTAACAGCTGCAGCCTTTTGCTCGCAAGGTCGAGGATGATTGGTCGAAGTTCGGACGGACAACCAGGCGCAACATCGCCCAGTGTATTTGGAGCAACCCGTTTGTTGAGTATATTGACTGTCGAGGTCACGCTGCAAGATGAGTCAGTAATGAATGTGCTTGCATGACGCGATGAAAAGCTTACGTAGTTGTGCCAGCAGGCATTGTTGTCACAGAGGTAGTATGCGATGTCTGATATAAGGTGACCGGTACAATTTGAGTGGTAGTTGCAGTCGAGAGTGATGTGGAGATGATTGTTGCGGATGACGTTGTGGTGGTTGTGGCCGACGAGGTTGCGACTCCAGATGTGGTCGTGACCGTAGTCTTGAGAATACTCGTCGCGATGCATTTTTGAGTTGTAGTCGTGGTACTCGTTGTTGTGGTTGGGGCGGAGATCCTGAGGAGTTCGGAGCAGATCGAGGACGCAGGTTTGACATGCTAGGTCAGAATTTTCTTGAGGATCACGACCTCTCCACGGGTACAATATGCAGGGGCAGCACGATCCTTGTGGTCCCTCGGCGATTAAAGGTGTAGCAGATGGCAGAGTCAATTGGAGGAGCAAGACAAAAAGTCCGAAAAGTGACATTTTGGTGGAGAATGCAAACATCGCTACAGTGATAGCTGAGAAGTGAGCGAGGCGTTATTTAGAGCCGGTGGGGGTCCGTAATTTTGTCAAGTTATTCCGGTTCTTGATTAGAGTCAATGTGGTTAATCTTCTGCGATCTTAGAGTAATAGTACCTGTGTATTAACTTCGCGTGCAATTCTACGCATGGACGACGCATCAAGCGTGAGGCTGAAGATCGACGGGCGATTTGGCCCCATACTGCAGATCTAGATCCCATTCCTGGCGAATTTTATCCTAAGCTGGAGTCATAGTGATCAAATTAGGAAAGCTCGATGCTCGGCGGAAGGCATGGCCGTTCATCGTGGCTGAAGCGCTATTTGAACACGGGACGACAAGGAAATTTAGGACTTAGAGTTGTTGTCGATATATGCAAAGGGAGGTAGTTCGGGTTGTGTACAGTCGTCTAGCACACTCTCTCACGTCTCTTGCTAAGAGTGTGTAAGAATTTCGGATAAGTTCATGGTCGTACTGCCGTGATTCGTTCAGGAGTCTTCCACGCACCTATTCAAGCCTCGTTTGTTGTGTCTATATACGACTTAGAACATGCATGGATTTCCTCCACTGGCGCTTCCAACATATCATCGCTATCGGTCTGACCGTAAATCCAGACTCTGCAGTGTGCAAGCGATCACGTTCCCGGCCCAGTCCGCATTGTCACGTTAGACGTCGAGACACTCTGCTGCCAGCATGGCTCACTGATCCTGGGTCGCATCTTCTTGCGCATCATATCCCACACATACATTCCGCAGAGCCGAAGTCGCTAGAAATACCATCGACATATCGAAGCCTTTATAATACATGGGAATCATACAAGGAAGAAGTCGAACCCCGCAACCCTCTCTTTCCTTAAGACTTGATCAAATCACCCTTGTCGTCCCTTGGTATCCTCTTCCATCCCGTCTTGAACCGCTTTTTGCTCGCATCAAACCTGGGGAACGGGTGCGCCTCTGTGTTTAGCACGATCTGGTCGAGCGGAAGAAGGTCGTTCGGGCTGAACAGGAGGTAGAAATACTTCAGCGTCTCGGCCTAGGCATCAATTAGCATGACTACTTCGAGACCAGAGCCCCAGATTGGGTCGACTTACCAGCCAAAAGCTTTCCATATTGTCCCTCCCAGGCGGCGGCACAGTCCTTACATCGTTGACGCTCGTGAAACCGCCACCATTCTCGACGATGGTGTGCTTGACGAAGTTATCGAACATCTCCCAGCCCCACTCACGGTAAAGCTCGTCGCCAGTGATACGCCACATGTAGAAGAGAGACTCCACGGTTTCAGGTCTTTGCAAGTTGTGCGAATCCGCAGGCTTGACAATGAGATCATTTTTCCAGTCTGCATCCTCGTCCGTCTCGAGGTTGCCCTTGGACTGCAGTACCTCTTGGCGATACATGCGTGGCGGGTCATCAAGCTCGAAATGCGTGATCTCGCCTGCGAGACCCGTGGGATTGACGCGGTATGTCGCCATGCATGTCTTCATAAGCTCGCGTGCAAGAATGAGATCATCTTCCTGGGTCTTGCCCCAGCCGGGTTGTTTGCGCGCCTCGGCGACGGTCAGACCCCCGGTGACCCCCAACGCTATGGTGCCGGGGTAGAAGCATACGAGGTGGTCCATCTTGGGGTGAACGTGTCCACCCAAGCCAGACGGACGTTCAGCAAGGACAGTAAGGTGTGCGGTCTTTGAATAGGTAAGGAGGTGCTTCTTTACTCCGCCAAGCGACTCGTTCCACATGTCGAGATAGATGGGCTCCTGCTTCTGCGTCTGTAGGTACTGCTTGATGAGATACTCATAGTAAGAATCTCCACGGCTGCCTAGGCGAATCTCCTCCCCACGAAAGTTGCCTTTGTCAGCGTAGACGAAGATGGGAACAAGACCGTCTTTGGCGCCGTTGTTGTCGATAACTTCCATAACCTTCTCAGCCCTCTCCCAATAGTGCGGCTCTCCCGTTAGGTAGGCGAGGTACTTGAGTTCAAGCTGCAGTGTCGTAGCTTCAGCTGTTGAAGACGCCCCGCCATCTGCATGTGAGGGTTTGCCTTCTCCTGTTTTCAAGATTACACTCGCCCATGGGACGCCGGATGGCGACTCAAAAGCACCCATCAATCTATCCGCAAGATCAACTGCCTTCTCCAGGAAGAGATCCTCGTCATTCGCATTCTCAGGTTTTATCCCAGGTAGCGCTTCTTGCAAGTAGTGTGCCGACAGCAACCCGCCAAGCATGCGAATCGTTGTCTCGAAGACGTTCACATCTTGGTCTTTCTCGTAGTTCAGCGTGGTGGATACCCACTCTCGCGCGTGTTTCAGCTCTTTCGTGAGGTTCATGACCATCAGCGTATCCAATGCGTCCACGATTATCCATCCCATTCCATTCGGCTGCGCCATGAATCGACCGGTTCTCGCGACGGGGTGGTATTCATCGTATCCTGGAATCGTCAGCTCTCTTACACTCATCCGTTCGCAGCTGAGCTCATTTCCAGTCGCAAAGTATGCGCAACGTACCCCAGCCATGCTCTTCGTAGCCCTTCCAACTCAGCAAGAATGCATCTTTGACACTCTCCCTCCGTGTGTTCCAATCGATGCCCTTCTTTCCTGTCTGTCCACCCGGTATCCAGCTAGTCTTCTTGCCCTCTTCCATCCCTCCCTCACTGCCTCCTCTGTTCGACCACCCTATCCAATATAGCGTGCCCAGGACCACGAGCGCAATTATACCAACCCTCCTCTTCCCCGAAAACCAACCACCTTTCCGTGCACCGTATGTCGGCTTATCTTTGTACATGGGCAGTTCTTTTTCGTTCCCACTGAACTTGTTCCAGACATGGTCTTCGAAGCGTCGTTGGGCGTTGTCGAAATTAGGAACGTTGCTTGGCAGCTTGAAGGACATGTCTGCGTCCTTTACTTTATCGGTCGCGGCTTGGACCGTCTCTGACACCGCCTCTGCAGCCTTCCCGGTGGCTCTCTGGGCGACGGTGGTGGCGTGCGACGCGGCGGATTGGAGGTATGTGAGCGCGGAGGGGGGGGCTTTGCGGAGGTTGAAGGGGTCGCGCGAGTACATTCAAGATGGCTTCGAACGGCTTGGCCGGCCGTTGTCGTTTCGCGCCGGTCCCGGAGACTGTGAAAAGACCCGCGGTTAGCAAATGTAATGACGTCTGCCCCTTACTCTACGGAGCAATGGAGAGATGCGGATTGACAGCTGTCTTCAGTCTGGGAGTGCGGCGTAAGGAGTGTTCCCATTGGATACCTGGCCTCTGAGCGACAGGGATCTAGCTTTACGCGAGTGAGGCCATGCTTCCATCACAGATATCATAGCGGGTTCACTTCTTCGTTATGGATGCTTGAGACATACAGACAGAGCAGAAGACATTGACCGAAAGCTTCAGGAACTCCGGGTTCGAATCGCCTACGTCCTGCATTCCGAGATGCGCAATCGCGTGCATGGTCGTGCGCCTACCCGCGGCGTGGAACTCCCACCATATCCAGGAAGTAGCACCCGTAAACACGACGAAGGTTGAGTCCGAGAAGGTAAACCCGCGTTCCACCATGACTATGACTGCCCCATCCTGCAGATGCAAGGTCGTTCACGTTGTCTCCGAGCTTTACAACGCGTTATTCAAGCCAATCACAGCTCACGAAACATGATCACTGCGTGTCGTCATGGCCTGTTACACACGGGATGAACTGCATTTCTTATTTTTTGCCATATGCTCTTGTTGTCCTTTGTACCACTGCTTTAATCGCCGGGAAAAGCAGCAACCACTATTCTTACAATCATCAGCCACCAACACTGAACACCAAGAGACACGCCCTGGTCCCAACCCTCGAACGCAACATTTAAAGCCATGAAGCACCTCACCATCGACCTGGCAACCTCGGGCCTCCCCACCAAGGACCATGTCGCGGCGAAAGCATTTCCAGAAGCAAAGACCACAAAGGTCCATCCGTCAAATGCGAAGGAGCAAAACACAAATGCAACCCTCTACTTCATCGGCACTGCGACGACAATCCTGGAATGGGAAGGCACACGCATCCTAACCGACCCCAATTTCCTCCATGCAGGCGACCATGTGCACCTCGGCCCTGGCGTGTCCGGCACCCGACAAACCAACCCTGCCATTGACCTGGAGGAACTCCCGCGGATAGACGCTGTGCTCCTGAGTCATTACCACGAGGACCATTTTGATCGACTAGTGGAAGATAAGCTGAAGAGGGAGTTACCGATTATTACAACCCCGCATGCGAAAAAATGCTTAGAGGGGAAGGGCGAGGAGAGCTTTACGCATGTGCATGCGTTGGACTTCTTCGAGTCACTACAGCTCGATGTGAAGGGCGAACAGGCCACGAAGCAGAAGAAGCCGAGTATCAAGATCACGGGTATGCCAGGCAAGCATGTACCACCCGGGCCACTGGCGGTCGCGAACGATTTACTCGGAGCGGTACCTCCGATCAATGGATGGATGATCGAGCTTGGCTATGCAGAGGGTCCTGAGCAGGTGTGTAGTCACCGAACGTTCATGACATGCAAGTACTAATGGCTTCGCAGTTCGAGAATGGATACCGCATTTATATCTCAGGCGACACTCTTATGATCGACGAGCTGAAGGAAATCCCTGAGCGGTACAGGGGTAAGAACATCGACCTGATGCTGATTCATATGGGTGGAACGACAATACCTGGACCGAGCATGCCGCTGCTGATGGTAACGATGGATGCGAAGCAGGGCGTGCAGTTGATGCAGCTCATCAATCCGGATCTTACCATTCCTATTCACTACGATGATTACGACGTTTTCCTGTCACCGTTATCAGATTTCAAGAAGGCGGTGCTGGAGGCGGGGTTTAGCGACAAGGTTGTGTATCTGGATCGGAAGGACCAGTTCAAATTCAACGTACGACAATGCGAAGGTTGTGGCTCTGGATCCAGCGGGTCGATGGCGGAGAAGCTGGCAACTCAGGCTGTGTAGTTCACCAAACATCTGCTCCGAAAATATTAGCTTGACCAAAACCATACAACGAAATCGTCCGAGCAGCATGCATGTGTCGAGCGATAGTGAAGTTTTAACGTTTTTCATTTTTGGTCCCACTCATTGAAGGGTTCCAGTATGCCATTGAAGAATGTCAACCGAAGAGACGCCGTCCGCCAGTCCCATCATGTTTCGTGTGGTCCTCGCTTCCCTCTAATTCATGAACACCTCACCCCACTATCGTCTCGTTTATGCGGATCGCTTGCCCTTGGGGTTCTTCTTGCCAACGTCGGAGATGGTGAGACCTGGGATCGCAGTCAGTTTGGTTGTCCGTGGTGTCTACAACGGGGGATCCTACCCGGGGGGAGAGACTGCTTGAGCTTCTCGGCCTTGTCGGTGTCCTTAAGGACCAGGGTGTAGATGAAGCGCTCGCATCGGACCTTGAACTTGATGTTGCCGGCCTTCTTGTTCTTCTTTATGCGCGCAGCTGCAAGGCATGTCAGCAATTGTCCTCTGCATTCTTCCCGCAGCAACCGTCCCAAGGGTCTCGCGTGCCCCCTCGTAGTGGTGCATTCGCTAGCGACGGGCGCGATTGCGTGCGGGCGAGTTGGGCAACGTACACCTGGCATCCTTGCGCCTGCAGATCTCGATGAACTGCTTGATGTCGGAGACTTCGGACGGCATTTTGACGGGTTGTGGTGGATCGATGTCGGTGATCTGGTCGGTCGGCTTGACGAAATCGTTGTGGAGGTGGAAATTCGCTTGCGGGGCACGGGCCAGGAAGGGGCGGTAGTAGGCGTTACTGGAAGCGGGATGGTGCGGTTTGCGGGTGACGACGTGTGGCGCAAACACCGTCAACCTGATCCAGACAGCTTGCCTCTTCACTACTGCTGCCTGCCTCTATATCTTCCTGTATAGCGCTGCTGAACAAGAAAAGACTCGCTCTACCTACGCGCAAAGCCTCTAGTACCTGCGGATCACGAAGCCAATATCTCGGCCCTCGCGTGACATCGCAAACATGCCTACCCCCATCGACCGTGCGGTCAGCCAACGTGTAAGTCCTTCTTCAACTATACCCTTCTACAAACGTATATGCAATATATACCTCTGGACCCTTTTACGACATTTCCGTTCCGGACACCGAATATCTCGATCCCAAACGCCGTTCCATTCCCGAGTATAGTTCGTCCTCAATCACTGATACTTGGACAACTTGGGAACTATCCCTCATGTTTGAGCTTTTCACGCGCGCATTTAGGGGCTTTGATCCTCACAAGTGCCTTTTTGTCGCTGCTGACAATCTTGCGTCTCGAGTCTCAATAGCCAACGTCCTCTAATTATTAATAATTAATGCAGGGCCCTTTTCTCGCCTTCGCCGCGATCGTTACCGGCGTCGCCGCCTGGAGTATTTGGGGCGAAGACCTTTTTCCCAGCCAGGATCCGAAAGGAGGTATGCTCCTCCTCTTCCTCTTCATACTCATCTGCGGTATGCCTGTACTGTGGCTGTTTATGCCGACGGGTATTGCTGCGCCCCGGAGGTCGTAGAACCAGTAGTCGACAACTATTTGACTTGGTTGAAGTTTGTGAGAAAGAGTTGTGGATGTGGTGCTGACTAAGGGGCGCAGACCCGGAAACTTGGACGCATGAGCAGTGTGTGACGTGGCTGAAGAAGGTATGTGAACCTCAATTCCCGTTGACGTCCCTCTCCTCGGCCGCTGAAGCCTTCGCTAACTTGTCCTGGAGCGCAATCTCCACCCCTCCCCCCTCGCCACGACACCAGAACTTCTCGAGCGCATCAAGGCCAACATGCGCATTGCTAAGAGCGGACCGTGAAGGATCTGTGGCCCCTACCAGCGCTACGGTGTCTCTGACTAGTTGTTGAGCTATTTTGGAAGCGAGCATGAAACGGCGCACGAGGATTCAAATTGATACCCTACTGTACACGAACATCGTGTCCTTCACTAAGCATGTTTCAGTAGTAATTCTAAGCCTGTCGTAAGAAAACCTCTGGTGTGTCTTTGTGATGATCTCGGCCGTTACCTCGCCCCCGAAACGCCATTTTCTTTCGGATTGAATCCGCTCGAAGGTAACCATGAGAGAGACAGGTGCTTAAGTAGCTAGTCCTGCAGAGATCGCCCGCTAAAGCTGTCTACTAAAATCTTCCAGAGGAACCTAAACGCCCTTTGTTGTGCCATCAAAGCCCAAGAAACCCAGTATAGCGGTCACCACCCCAGGATTTGTAGCCCAAATCAGAAATCAGCAGACGAGAGCCACCATCCTTCCCCCCATCACCTTTCCTTGACCTCCCCAAGTCATCTCAGGCTCCCCCATCCCCTCGCATTTCGTACTCCCCACCCTGTACCCTCTTCATCTCCGCCAACATCGCCGCATCATCCCTCAACGCCTGACTCTCCTCGCGCCACATCTTCGTCTCCTCCTCGAGCTCCTTCGCCAGCCGCTCCTGCTCCTCGCGCATCTTGGCCGTGTACGGTTCGAGCTCCGAGTCGAGGTCGGCCCGCTTCTTTGCGACCGTCTCGCGCCGCGCTTTCATGGCTTTGATCTGCCGGCGGGTTTCGGCGATGGTGAGGGTTTTGGTGCGCTTGTGGTCGGGGCCCGCGGGAAGCGGGAGAGAAGCGGGACGTTTGAGGGTTGCGGTTGTGGTGGGAGCGTGGTTTTGAGGGTGAGGGCGGAGGTTGGAAGCATTGGTGCAGTTGGTGCGGGCATGTAGAGCGTTGGGGCGGGTGGGACGGACTCGGAGGGCTTGAGAGTGTTGTCCTTCTTCTCACCCTCGTTCCCACTATCCCTCTCACCGGTGTTCATCGCCTTCTCAATAGGTGCCTCGATGTTCGTAATCTCTTCTTTCTTATCTTTGAGGTCTTCGACGTTCGTTATCTTCTCAATAGACTGCTCGACACCGGGGGGCTGCTCTTCGGCAGTGGCGGCCTCTGAGGACGCATCTTCAACAGCGGTGGACCTCTGCGCAAAAGGTCTGGGTGGCGAGGTATAACGGCGTGGGGTGAACTGGCGCGGAAGAGGACTATCCAGCTTGAGAGGAGTACCAGGGCGGCTAGGTGTTGGGGAATCATCACGCGTAGAGCCACCATCGTTCGGTTTCGCAGGCTTGGCTCCAATGGCGAGAGTCGGGACGGGGTCGAGTTCAAGGGTGTGAGTCTTCGTTCCCTTGCCTTTCGTCTTGGGGTTGTGCGTGAGCTTCATGCCTTGAGCGTTGATGGCCTCTGCATATGTGTTAGTAAAACTTCATAACAGACATCGGGTCGAGGTACCTTTCGAACGGTAGTGGAAGCGGAAGATAGCCCAAGGGTTCTTGCTTGGACGCTTCGTGTTCAACTTTTTCTTCCAAGCATTTGCGGTCTTCTTGTCGAGCTCTTGGCAGTTTTTCTCAAAATCGACCATATAATCCGGGGCAATTGTCAGGTACGTCGCCTTCTTCCGGTCCATGTCGTCCTTCTCCTCTTCATCCTCGTCGTCCAGGTAAGTCATAAACGTGTCCCGAGGAAATTCAGCGCCAAAGGTCCGGAGCACGTAAAGGCGTATCTCGATGGTTCCGACCGTCTCGAGGCTATCCCTATTCTTCGTGAAGTTGAAGCCGGAAACAGGCACAATCTTCATTTGGGTCTCGAGGAGCTTTGCTTCACTAAGGCCGTCGTCCATCAGGTACAGCGCCTCCTCGACGTCAAGCTTGACACCTTTCTGCGCTTTCACCACCTTGCTGATCATGTTGTTGGCCTTGCGTAGCACTCCGTCGACGCGCAGGTCCCAGTGAATAGCCAAGGTCTACTGCGCTTAGCAAAGGTGCCTCGGGCAGCTCCACAGTCGTTGCACTTACCGTGCCGTTGAACCTTCCGGCAACCCTGACAATATTTCCATCCTCAATCGGCACGTAGCAGCAGACCGCTGCATCATCCGGGTCGATGTATTGACCATACTCCGCAAGCTCCTCGACCTGTTCGTGCTTATGTATATGCAGCTCGGCTCGGCGGTCGGTGCCTTTCTCGTCGACCTTCATCTTGGGAAGTGTGTCAAACCGAACGGTTTTTGACCTTGTGTAAATTGAGCGCAATCGTGAAACTGGTGTCGACCGCAAAGCTTGGCTTGTGCTGATAAGCGTTGGCGCAAGTTGTGGGTCAGAGTTACTCGCTGGAACCAAGCTCTTGTCCGCAAATCCCAGACGCTGTGTGTTAGATATCAAAGAAACTCGTGAAGAAAGATTGGCGCAAGTGAAAAATAAAGGGGATGGAGGAAACAAAGAGAGTAAGCACGGGGTGAAGCATTATATGAGTGGTAGCCGCAAAGCCGCAAGTGAGAGAAAGCGGCTGCTCTCGAAATTCAGCAACACTGGTGAAGTGGGAGGTGAGATTCCGAGCAAGGTTTGACGAGTATTGGAACATGATAGTCCACGTCACCTCGAATGAAGGACTAATGATGCTCAGCGAGGGTGTAGAATAAGTTTTTACCTCGTGTTTCACGGAGCTTGAAACCAAGTTCCTTGAAGACGCACCGGGAGGCGTATGTTATCGCAGGATGAGAGAAGTTTCAAGCATATTGATGCTGTCGAATAGCGCAAGTTGACACAAGATGTGTTGGACAGTCGACGCAACAATCACAACAGCTTGTCTAATCGCATTTGCCTTGGACCACGTTGATGAGATTAATTTTCAGAATTGAGACGATTGACTGTTTCTCTGCTCAGGTGTCTGTAACGCGTGAGTTCGTGGTTCTACACAAGCGGACATTTTGAGATTGCTTCGAGAATATGGAATATGCTCTATGGAAAGCCTGCACTTAGCTCAAGGTGAACCCTCCCTTCTTTCAGTCTTCTTGATCTCCACACCAGCTCTTTGCTCCCAGCTTTTCAAGCTTTCGGCATGATCCGCTCCTTTCTCCACCACCTTTAACGAGTCCTCAAGATACCTCTCGGCCAGCGCAGGCAGTTCTGTCCGAAAGCCTGACTTCGCGATCACATCTTTTGCAATCTTGACGTCCTTGACCAAAAGCTCTAGTTGGTAGCCGGTGTCATACGACTTCAGATTCTTGTGAGAGTACTTTGTCGAGAAGTTGACGCCAGTACCAACGTTCATGACGTCAATCATTGTCTGTGGGTCGAGACCGAGTTTTTGACCAGTGACCTGAGGAACGATAAGTACTTGTTGTTTCTTGAACAAACAACATGACGAGGTGTTCTATTTTCAAGGTTATGATTTCCCGAAGCTTACCAAAGCATCGTTCAGCGCGATGATACTCCCAATGCTGACGTAGTTGTTGAGCGTCTTCATGGTGTGGCCTGCACCCAAACCGCCCATAGGGAATACGTGCGTACTCATATCCTTCAATATGGGCATGACTCTCTCGAGCGCCTCAGCAGAGTCGGCACCGACCATGAGCGTGGCGCCCCCTTGGTCAATGGCATGCAGTTGCTCCTGAGTGATGGGCGAGTCTACCAGATCGACCCGCAGACGGCTCAGTTCAAGACCTAAAGCTCTCGTATCGAACGGTGAAGAGGAGCTGGTGTCAACGACAACCGATCCTGCTTCGCATAAGATGCACGCCAAAAGTGATCAAGATGTGAGGCGCACATGCCTGGCTTCAGATGTGGAGCGATGCCATTCGCACCCAACAGCACGTCGTTGACGACTGTTCCGTTCGGCAGCATCGTGATGACGACGTCGCAGTTCTGGAAGCTGTCTGGGTCTGAGGTGGCGATTCTCGACGTCGCATACTTCTCGACGAACTCGATGCCTCGAGTTGGGTCTGCATCCCGAACAAGCAGCCTGTGACCCTTCTTCGCAAGACAAGCGGCCATAGGGTAGCCTGCGTTACCCAAGCCTACCCATCCGATGCTAGGTTCCTCCATTTTCGATTGGATATGGTGTTAGTGTTGCGAAGCGTGAACAGACGGACGGTGCTAGGTAGCAGAGTAGATAAATGCGGAGCCTCGCGCAATTACCCCACAACTAGCTCAAAAGCCGACCCGTGAGCAGACGTCTGACGATGCACTGTGACAGTTCGGAGCATTGTGAGATAATATGATTTGAACGACGACAGACCATGGCCTTGTGCTGCGTCCGCGATATGAAGAAGGCCAGACGGAATAGGAAGGCGGACTACGGCAGGCTAAGAGATAGTTCAAGACGACGAAGGGCAACGGTGCATCTGCAAGCGCCATGTACAGCTTCACTCGCTTGTCTTGAAGATTTTGTGCGAGGACTATTCACAGCACGTTGAGCGTTCTGGGGCAGGACGGGGTTGTTATGGGGATCAAGATAAAGATTCGGAGACACGGAGATGGCAGCTGGGCAGACCCACTTTCACATGTGGTCGCATCGTGAGGAAGGCGCGAAAAGGGTTTTCTGCAGGCGCCATTCTGAGCCTCGCAAATGGCGTGAGCCTCCAGTGGTGGCTGTTGCGCCCACACTCAAGCGCGCAGATATAGAATAGAAGAAAAACAAGTGTGGTTCCGAGAATTTCCTTTCGTGTACAATTGCCGCGGCCAAATCCCAGGTTGGCCTGTGTTGTCATAGCGCCAAGTGGCTTGCTTTTTGCTCCAGCCGCGAGCTCCAGCTTGCTTCTTCAAATCCCTCACGGCCGTGAAGACTGCAACCCCACCGCCACGATGCTATCAAGATCCTCCCAGAAGACGGCGCAGGTACGGACGCACCTCCCACGGTCCCATTGAACTGCGAATGGAGCACTATAGCTAACGCGCACGGCAGACGCTCCTGCGGGGCGCGCGACCAGCCTCACGATGCATTGCTGGCCCGTCCATGGCTACCCGTAGTACGCGCAGAGCCTCATGCCTCATGGAGCGATGGCGAGACTGACAGCGCGCAGGCATGGCCACGGTCAACCACGACATCTTCAAGCCCACCAAGTTCGGGGGCAAGTACACCGTTACCCTGATCCCTGGTACGCGCCTTCCGCAAGACGCACTCCCCCGATTCGACATGTATTGAACAAAGCGCAGGTGACGGTATCGGTGCCGAGGTGTCCGAGTCGGTCAAGCAGATCTTCAAGGCCGACAACGTGCCCATCGAGTGGGAGCAGGTCAACGTGACCGGTGTCGAGACGGGCAACAAGCACTCCGAGGAGCTCTTCCGCGAAGCCATTGCATCGCTCAAGCGCAACAAGCTGGGTCTCAAGGGTATCCTCCACACGCCCATCGAACGCTCCGGCCACCAGTCGTTCAACGTCGCTCTGCGCCAGGAGCTCGACATCTACGCCTCCATTGTCCTCATCAAGAACATTCCCGGCTACGAGACGCGCCACAAGAACATCGACCTCTGCATCATCCGTGAGAACACCGAGGGCGAGTACTCCGGCCTGGAGCACCAGTCCGTCGATGGCGTTGTCGAGTCGCTCAAGATCATCACCCGCGCCAAGTCTGAGCGCATCGCCAAGTTCGCCTTTGCCTTTGCCCTTGCCAACAACCGCAAGAAGGTTACCTGCATCCACAAGGCCAACATCATGAAGCTCGCCGATGGTCTCTTCCGCAACACCTGCAAGAAGGTGTCCGAGGACTACCCCACCATTGAGTACAACGACATGATCGTCGACAACGCCTCTATGCAGTGTGTGTCGCGTCCCCAGCAGTTCGATGTCATGGTTATGCCCAACTTGTACGGAGGTATCCTCTCCAACATCGGAGCTGGTCTTGTCGGTGGCCCTGGTATCGTGCCTGGCTGCAACATGGGCCGCAATGTCGCCGTCTTCGAGCCCGGCTGCCGTCACGTCGGTCTCGACATCAAGGGCAAGGACCAGGCCAACCCCAGCGCTTTGATCCTTTCCGCCGCTATGCTTCTGCGACACCTTGGTCTTGACGACCACGCCAACCGCATCTCCCAGTCCGTCTACAGGGTAATCGAGGACGGCCAGGTCCGAACTCGCGACATGGGCGGCAACTCCACCACCCAAGAGTTCACGAGGGCGATCTTGGCAGCGATGGAGAAGGCATGATTGCATCCCGATGTACTGCAGTCAGCTGTTCCGTGCTCTATCGCGAAGATGGCTTCTATTTTCACACATGCTTGATTAGGTAACGCGGACCAACGAGGAGCTTGGCGCATCCATTCTGCGTGCGATCTGCTCTTATTCTTCATGGTTTGGTTACAGCGGTTGCGAAGTGTACAGTAGGGCGGGCTGCTGGTTGTGAATAGAGCTGTACTTTTATATATAGCTAGCATGCATGAATCGATTCCATCTATACCCTCCTTAGCGGATGAAACGCCTTTCGCTATGCAGAATTCGTGAATCGTGGTATCATCTCCCTCCTAAGTACAACGTCTAAAACTGCACCCTCCGCTTCCTGCCGGTGTACTTGGAATTTGCCTTGACAACCTTGCCTTTGCGTTCCATCTGCTCTTTCTTCTTCAGGATCCATCCTTTGCTTCCCTTGAGCTCCTGCCCTCTCTTCGCGCCTCTCGCAACCCCCGGCCGCGCCATGACATCCACGCCATCCATTCCCCTCACCACGCCCGTAATGTCACCATCAAGATCCCCTCCACCAACTGTCAACACCAGATACGTCTTCGCGTTCTTCGTCCCCTCATCATCTTCGAGCAGACCCGCACCGAAACCAGCCTTAATCGCCGCCTGGCTCACCATCTTCTTCTGCTCGTCATTCTTTGGATAAAACTGGCATACCGCGCGCCCACCCCTCCTCAGACTAGCATACAGGCCCCCAAAGAATCGACTCAGCCGCCCTAACGGACTGTCCTCCGACGTCTCCGCGTTGCACAGCCACTGTATCGCGCTGATGCTAATCGCGGCGTCGAACGTGCCCGGCCGGAAGGGCACGCCCTGCCCCGCGTCCGCGAGGAACAGGTCGCCCTCGACTTCTTTCTCGAGCGCGACGCCCAGCATGGACGAGGAGATGTCGAAACCGATCCAGACGTGAGGGCCGCCTGGCGTGCCTTCTTCTTCGGAATTCGAGAGGATCTCGCCGGACAGCCCGGAGCCGCAGCCGACGTCGAGGATGAAGGAGGGGGAGTGGAGATCGAGGAGCGAGAGGGCGCGGTGCGTCATATCGTTCTGGATGCGCTGGATGCGGGAGGAGGTGGTGTACTTGCGGGCTTCGGAGTCATTGTAGAAGAGGTCGGGCGGGCTGTTGGGGGTCAGCGTGCTCGGAAGGTTGGGGAGCGATGGGAGACGGGAAACGTACAGTATGTCTTCCGGGCGCGACATTTTTGTGGCTGTTGCTTTTGAGCTTCTGTAACGTCTCGATCACGATCTCGGATTGGTCTTTTTGTGTCGTGAAGCTTTGAGCGGCGTCTCATGTACAAGCGCGCAGTTACTTCCACCGCCAAGATTTCGCCTTTCGCGACAACTTTTTGGTGTTGTCCATGTCCTTCCTGCCCCACACGCCGGCATCGCGCTAACTTTGTTCCGCTAAGTGCCACCTTTGCCCTCTGACCTCATCGCGTCCAACGCAGCTTTCATGCACAATTGACACGTTACCAACATGTGGATATTGCCGCTACTCGGATATGTTGGCGTGGTGCTGGGTTTTGCGTTCTTGACGCTGGCGATCGGTAAGCAGCTGGCATCATCCACGATAACGTGAATGGTACTTGAGGGTTGGTGCTAACCACGGATAGCTTCGGGTTTGTACTATCTTTCTGAGCTGGTCGAGGAACACACGGTGTTGGCGAAGAAGCTGTTGACAAGATTGATTATCGGTGTTGTTGCCATACAGATACTTCTTCTGCTTGTCGATGGTTTTCCGCTTGGGCTCAGCGCGTTGAGCGTTGTGTCGCATGTCATCTACGCGCAGAACCTGAGGAGGTTCCCAATCGTTAAGCTGAGCGACCCGCTGTTCTTGGTTTCCTGCGGTATGTTTGCTCTCCTCTCAGAACAATCGTGTAGATCGGGCATGTCTAATGTACTATGAAGGTCTTGTAATCCTGAACCACTACGCCTGGTTCCGTCACTTCAGCGCCCCGCCACCCCGCGACTCCTACTCCTACCGCGACCCATATGCTCCCGCTATGCCTACCTTTACCGAGATCGCATCGTACTTCGGGCTGTGCGTATGGCTCGTGCCATTTGCGTTGTTTGTTTCGCTTTCTGCAGGAGAGAACGTATTGCCGTCCATGGGCTCGGAGTACGCGACAGGCGAGGGAAGCAGTTTTATAAGTCCGGGAAAGACACCTGCGGCTGGTTTTGGAAGCGGAGCAGCCGTGACGGGTACAGAGGGGCGACGAAGACAGCGGAGCGGGACAAATGCGGGGATGGCGAAGAAGGCCATCAACGGAGTGAGGGATTGGGTTGGCGAGACTGGTGAGGTTATGGGGCTGTGGAAAGGAGAAAGGACGAGGCCTACGTTTTGATGGTCATGAATAAACACGTTTTAATGAGATGATGAGGAACATATTTCAACCCCGACACGAGCTAGAGGCAACGTCGGCAACGTCAATTGCTATCTTTTGAGGCGATTGTCTAATCACAAAAGCAATTTATCAAGAGCTATGCGAAAACGCTCGCGCAAAAGCACACACGTACTCGCAATCTCAGTCTTATCTCGCATGTTTGAGCTACTGGGATGCTCAGGTCAAGCGCTCAACGAGGCTCTTCCCAAGATCGCCCAGCAGGTCCAAGGCGCCAACTTCAATGGCTGCTGGAAGCGCAAAGCCCACTTCAACCGCCCATCTCTCTGGCAGTGCACCGAGCAGATGGGACAGATCAAGCCTCTCCCTCTCTTCCAGGCCCAGCCTCAGCTCGTTTACCCAACCCATGCCGGGGACATGGACATCGGCCATAAACCCGCACCCACGAACAAGGCCTCGTACGACGCCCACACTAACGAGCTCCGCGAGGCCACTCATTTGGTGAGGCGCACCCATAATGACTCCGACTCCATTCCCAAGAGCGACGCCCGCGAACCCACCCCTCTGGCCAAGCGCAAGTTTGCGAACCCACACCCCATCCGCACAGATATCCCCGGCACCGCCGACGCAACCGGCATGGCTGGCTCCAAGCACGCGCCCAAGTAGGCGAAGCTAGGCAGAATCGCGAACACGACCTTCAACTTCGCTGCAGGTCGTAAAGCCGATTTCTCTTCTACGCCGGCGGCGCCGCAGGTGGGCACGATCTCACTGGAGGGCCTGAAGAAGCTGCAGGAGGTCGGTGTGGCGAATGGACTTGCAAAGAAGACGGTGGAGAAGGCGGAGAAGATGAAAGGTGAGGGCATGGATGTCGATGGGAATAAGGAGGATATCCCCGTCGAGTCGAACTATGCTGCTCCCAAGGTGGAGGAGAAGGAGGGTGCGGATAAGGACATGGTGGATTGATCAACGATAGCACTTTGGCTGGGACGAGGTGAGTTGTGCAGGCTTGGATATGGTGCTCAAATGTCTTTCTGGGTGCTAGAGCTGCGGCATAGTCCCTTGCGCTGGTTTATTGATGAGGCGGCTCTTCTTCGTGGTTAGCATCGATTGTTGCTGACATCCTGGACCTAATTGGGTGGTTCGCTGGTCCATTTGAGGTCTTGCACGGGTAGCATGGGATTGGGACAACGGAATGCAGCTCACATTATGGCAATGGCTAAGGCGTGCAAACAACGTGAATGACTCTACATACGGCCGGCTTAGTAATTCCTCGAGTAGGTCCGACTGCTCTTCGGGACGACTGGAAAGCTTGTCATGGTAGAAATTTGTTTCGAGCTCATAATGGTGATCGTATGTATCGTGGGCCGAGAGGTTCCGTCCGCATTTGCTGCCTCGGACCATAGGTTGGGTTCCCAGATTGTGTCGTGATCTCCTGTGTGGGGTAAAGAACGTTAAGGGGTTTACATAGACACTATGTTCGACTATTTTGTACTCAAGTTCCACACCTCTTTGAAAAAACCGGAATTGAAGAATGGCCTGCTTGCAGGTGACAGACGGCGACCGCCGTCATCGAAGTCCCATCTAGTGTATCTCCACCCATGCATCTCCCGCGCGGCAGCCAAAACGGGGAATTTCCGGAAATCCCGAAGGGATTGGTACTTAGTGAAGTACCCTGGCCCCCAGCTCTCAGCTCGCGGCTTCCGGCTCTGCGCTTCATATGCCGCTCTAAAATAGCGAGCGAGGGTGGTGACACACCAAATACAAGCTCCTTCGTCTACACCGGCGTAGGTCAATGTTGCATGACGAGTATACTAGTGATTTGAGCTTGAGTTGCTTTGTTGACGTTGCGAGGATGTCGGCCGCGTTAAGCGATGATAGGCTCAATCTGCCAGTGATGGCTGTCAATAGGCGGTTCTCGCGCGATATGATCCATCGCGTACGGCGCTGATGGTATTATAAGAGCGACATGTCATCAAGGACGAAACGCATACCCGAGGGTGGAGGATAGATCTTGTCGTATTGAGACTTGGCCTGCAATATGGCCATTTTCAGCTATAACGTGCCCTGCGTAGCTTACATGATAAACATATGCAAATAGTAATCAAGTCTGAACATGGCTATCATGTATTTTGCGTGCTCGATTGTATCATTACTGGAGATAATGTCCTTCATGGTAAGCATTTTCTGACCGTGCAGGTCAGAAAACTTGGCACCGTAAACATTACGCGTACTCCTGCCGTCGATACCACATTCCGGCAATCGGAAAAGAAACCGACTACCGCGTACCAGCAGTCGAAATTCTGGGCGGTGCAGCCAGTGGCTTTCCCGGATCAGATGGGAAGATCAGCATGCGATCCGGAGGCATTGATGCATGCATCCTATCAAGCTCATTGTAACACGCTTTGACACAAAGCTTGTTCAGCCAGCAGTCGTGGACAAATTTCCGATCAGATAAATCATTCGAAAGTTGTCGGTTGATTAGATCATACCCCGGTCTCGGGGCCAGGATCGGGCATGTGAGTCACTTTGCGGAATCTCAACACTGGAGTTCAGTATGCCAAAGACGGTCCTGTTCGTTTAGATTCGTGGGTTCGCGCGCTTAGGGCTGAGTATAGCTGATGACGTTCTTTGCTCGTGAGTATTATCGGCATCAGGATTGTACATAGCGGTGTGACTTGAGCCTTGCAAGTACGAGGGACGCTCTAGCGGCCCGGTGGTATGCATGCATGCTGCTTCTTTCGGCTTGGCGCCCCATGCAACCGATCCTCGTACACCGAAGGAACCGCCTTCTACTTACCAGATGCGATAGGTGCTTGCCGAGTAGCTGGACCAAAATTACATTGGCTGATTTGCAAGCTTCGGGCGATTGAGAGGTCGGATACCGCGTCTGGTATTGGGAACCCTAGCACTGGCCCTGTCAGCAATTTATGGTCTATGCCATGTCTTAATCCGCCGAAGGCCCTTCCTTGTTCAATCTCACGAAACAGTTTATCCTGCACACGCTATCCGAAATGGCGCCGAAGTTTACGTATCTTGGGATGGGCGCTATGGGACGTGTAGGTAAAGCTACCATGAAGATGTGAAGGCCCTCACTAACGAAGCATATCCAGGCTATGAGTAAGAACCTGGTCGAGAAGGGCAACCTCGATAAGCCCGTTACATTCTGGAATCGGACCCACAAAGTAGCCAGCGAATGGGCTGCTTTTGTTGGACCCGGAGCCAACGCGGTAGAAGATCTCTTGGACGCTGTCAAAGATGCCGATATCATATGGTCGTGCCTAGCGACTCAAGACGCCGTGTTCTCATGTTTCAGCAGGATGTTAGACACCAACGTCAGAGGGAAATTCTTCGTCGAGAGCTCAACTGTCACCTCAGAGGCTTCAAACCGGCTGGCAGAGAGGGTTCGGGAAGCAGGCGCAGAGTTCATTTCTATGCCAGGTAAGACTTCTCATTTCAATCGTCCAGGCGAATCGATCTAACGGAGTGCGGCGTAGTCTTCGGAGAGCCTACAATAGCCATGGCTGGCAAATTGGTAGCTGTCCCAGCTGGTCCCAAAGAGTCGGTCACAAAAATACTGCCATACCTGGAAGGCGTGTAAGCCATACCTGTCGCTTTGGATTAATAGTGCTAACGGTGTGGCAGGGTCGCTCGCGGCGTTGTCAACTTGAGTGAGCAACAAGTTGGGACAGCATCGCATCTCAAGCTCATCGGGAACGTTATGATTCTGATGATGATTGAGGCAGTTGCAGAAACCCATGTTCTTGCGGAAAAGACAGGATTAATGAACGAAGTAATGCACGACGCCATCAACATCCTTTGGCCTGGCGCTGCTGGCGTGTACTCGAGACAGATGCTATCGGGGCAATACTACGTCGATAACGTAAGTGTTTCCCCTGTTGAATCCTGAATCGCTTAGCTGACCAGGTAGCCGCTGGTGCCCATCGATATGGCCGTAAAGGTTTCCTCGCATGTATTAAACCTTGCCGAAGCACACGGGGCCGAGTTACCCGCATACAAAGCAGTGCGGAGACAAATCGAGGCTGTAAAGAACCATTGCGGATCCCAGGGCGATCTTTTGGGCGTGTATGGTGCTGGACGATTACAGAGCGGATTGCCGTATGAGAAAGAGAAGGTACTAAAAGAGGACGGTACAAGAATGAACTAATCGAAAGCCTAGATATATCTTAGCGGCGAATGATACCAGATGGATTTCCACATGGCTGTTCTCTTCTGCCGCCCCAGCACGGTGCGCGATCCTTCGGTACATGCCGTCCGCTCCCGGTGCCGGTATAGCTTCGTTACGCAAGCGAACCTACCTCAGCTTACAGATGGCGTGAGGTTGAGCAGCCTTGCCGCACAGAAGCGTCTGCATGGCATGTCACCGGTGTGAGAATGATGAGGATAGTGTCGAATATGGCAAGCCGACCCGCTTACTAACTTCGGCTTCTTGAATTGCCGATGCAGTATCGTGGCTGCACCTTGCATCACCATCCTGCATCCATTCGACTGGCATTAGATGCCCGAACGAAAGAATCCCTTGGGCGACATGGACAAATTCGAGGATGAACAACAGAGTCCGGCGCTTCCATTGCAAGATGCAAAGTACGAATGTCTGTATTTGACACGGGAAATTGCGTCGCGGGCAACTCGATCGCTGTTCGCTGTCTGCTAAATCACGTGCAGCATTCTGGAAAGACAAACATACACACACGCGCCTTCGCAGCGCACTGATATGCTAGGTCACGGGCCCGTGTCCAAGTACAATGGGTGTTTTCATGCACAATGTGAAATCTTCCGTGAACAGGGGGTTCCTGGGCATCTCTTTCGCGGAGTATTTCCGGCCACGAGATCGCTCTCGCAGATATGTATCTACCTGGAGCATAATCCTGACCCCTACACTTCATCGGAGACCTCGATTCATCATAGCGGGTGCTTTGTCTCAATGCCAGAGAAGTTCCGCCTATAAGTCACGGAACTCGAGGACGAAAGCTTGAACCCAATGATGCTAGCTAACTGATACACATCCGTCTATCAAGCGCCATGATCCTGTCTAACCAAGTCATGAGACATAATATAAGACCTTACTCCGCCGTCGAATATGAAACCTCAAATTCCGTTGTCCTGCTGATTTTGCCCTGCCCTGGACTACCCGACTGCCTGTCGACCACCAGGCCCTCTTCACTCTCGTTCGTCTTGGCGCTTTCAGCGTCAGTTCCCGTCCTGACCTCCGACAATTGGATCTGGCCGTCGCGGCTGCGAAGCGTGGATTGTGCCTCGCCGCTTCCCGAGCCGTATGAGTCCTCGCCGGGCTTGCGCCAGACATAGCGGATGGCCCGTATAGCAGGCATGCTCGAAACAAGGATTCCGATCGCTGGCTCAGCGACAGACCAGTTCATCGGAATGCCCATGGCGTAGGAGATATCGGTGTCTTTCAAGAGAGCTGGGATAAATCCGAGGCGGACAGCTGAAGTCACAACCGCACTGAAAAGCTATCAGTCAGAGCGCCCCTGATGCGAACGATGCCGGATCCTCTGCACATTGTAATCCAAGATGGGTTATTTCACTTACAATCCACCGACAAGCATGGTTGCGAGAAGCTGCAGCTTCGTCTTTTTGTCCAAGTGCAGGGGCAGAACTATTGGTATCGACAGGAAATACACGATCGCATCCGTGGAGACGCCTGTGATTGCGTTGCCAAGATAGAACGCGTTAATATCAACACATCTGAACTGGTCAGCTGCATACCTTAATGCTCCGACCGCGCACGAGAAAGCTTACCGGAAGTCCTCTGGCTTAAGCGAGCTGTCCCAAGCAGCTTTGATAGGGTGGCATTGGAACATCGCGACGAGGACGTTAGCAAACGTGTTCGCGGCTACAATGCCAAAAACTATCCAGACAACTGTTCGAAGTGCTGTTGACTGCACACCTCGGAGGATCCGGTGATAGAGCGACAGCACGCTCAGCTTGATCATGCCGAGGGTGAAGTTGTAGAATAGGGCAGAGACATAGATGGCCTGAGTGGAGATAAGTAAGCCTGCGCGAACGACATCATGAAGCACAAAGGGTGGCTCAGTGTAGAATATTTTGATCCACATCGAACTCACCTGTCTGTATGCAGTCACGCCTGCTAGGCCTCGGTCATACACGATAACGTCGACGTGTACGCCCATGCCTCGATGGATGGCGACCAAGACGGCACCAACAAGGCCGTAGAAAGATAGGAAGGCCAAGACATTGAACACTAGAACGATTAATATAATTTGTGTAGGTGGTTCTCCTTGCGACGCGGATGTACTTACGGTCGTCGAGGCCCCAGATTCGCTCGCCCCGTCTTCCCTTGCCGGCGTTCATACGCTGTTGGAGTATCCATCGGCCTGTATATCGCAGAATGATGGTAATGGTGACTAGAACAATGCTGCCAACGCAAACGCCAATTTCGGATACTGTTAGATTTTCGTTCGCATGGGCGGGGCGCTCCGGTGGCCTGTCCATGGTGTGCAGGTCGGGGTAGCGGTGTAGATTTGAGGTGAGTGATGCGCAACGAACGCTTCTAATGCGCAAGTGGTAACCAGTACACTTTGAACGCGAGGCTCGAGTCGTTGGGTTGAAAGTATAGTGTCGCGCACCACGAACGAGCGGACAGTCCGTCGAGCGTACGGACACACGTAGCGATAAACGCTCAGCAGCTCAACTTTGCCAGTTAGGCCCTCGGCGGAACTCTTCTCTGCTGCGAAACGCTTTACCATTTCTCAGGCACAATGCCCTCGTGAGCAGCCTGTCGATCCGTGTTCACAAAGGCCATAGTCGTGTATGTGCGGGCAAGCGACGGTTCACTACTCGCGCCCAACGGTCGCCTCCTCACGGTCCTATTAGCCCTTTCTGGTGGCTGTTCCGTGGCTGCTCCGGTCCTTGCATTTCGTGCAATCATGCTCATACATTGAGGGGTCGTTCAACCCGAAGCCGTGGCATCTCGCGTCCACCGTGCGACGTCGTTCTGTCGGCGGTTCCAAGATATGTGCGCTAGGCCTGCCCAGATGCATAGCACATGCGAATCCTGCGAGATCACTGGTTTGGAAACGGACGCTACGACCCAAGGTCGGCGTTCTTTGTTGCGCAGAACCGCGTGTTTGTCACACCTTGACCCAGCCTCCCGCCAGCGTACCTGTCCAAAAGCCAGCCCAGCGCTCATGTCAATGTCGGCTCAGATATATACGGTGAGATGTTAGAGTGTAAGTACCTGACATGTAATACGGAATCATGGGACTGGAGTGTGATGAACAGATGTGCGTGGCAAACGCGTGTAGCACAAGCATTCCGGGTCGTTGGTGCAGCCGATCAGCACCAGAAAATGTGACGAGTGGCAATATATGTCCGAAATAAAGAGATGCGGGAAGTCTATCTTGGATAACATGCAAGCCTCGTGCGTCTTCATTGTGTTCATCCGTCCGCACCATGGAAATATGATCGTTCTGATCATGCCCAGCAACTCATCCCGCATAAAGGCACCCAAATCTCGGCTCGGAAAAGCCAAGAAACCCTATTTCCATGCTCCAATACTACGCCCCTACAGCTGAAGAAAGGGCTTTGCAATCGGAAACGGCAATAGAAGCGTATGCTAAGATAAGAGTCTATCAGCTCAGAGTGTTGGTCGGCCAGAGACAAGACATGGTGGAACGGGCAAATTCCATGATGTTACCGCTTTGATACCGCTCACTGGCTTGCCGCCTCACTGCGTGCAATATCTGCTTCGACGTTTCCCAGCAAGTGTGGTTCAACTTATCGTGTTGGAACATTGCAGTGGTGGAACTGCAATACGAGCCCTTCCTCCTCCAATGAATCATGAGGTGAATTAGACCTGTTGGTTGGATGCTTCAGAATATTTTCACCCAGCTAGATCAGAAGTACACGTGTAGAAACTATATCGCCCGGGCGAGGTCTTTTTCGATCGCTCGTAAGTGTAGGGAACGACGTCGACAGCGTTGGATCCTCCCACAGACTACAGCTCACATAATCCCCTTTCCCTTCATCCTTTCCACAAACCTTCCCATGAAATGCTGGTTGTACGCAACCCCACCTGCAACAACATACTTGCCCTTTTGGAGAACCTCAATGTCAAAGCGTCTCACGACCTGTTCCAGCGTCAGCTCCAGCTTCTCGATTCTCATCGCGGGCGCACAAAAGACTCACCTCAGGCAGTAACTTGAACATCTCCATATACGCAATGTCCTTCCCAATACATATCCTCGGCCCCATTCCAAACGAAAACTGCACCGCCTCCAGCTCATTCGACCTCTTCTCGCTTTCCAACCACCGCTCCGGCCTAAAATCGTTCGCGTCCTCTCCATAGAATTTCTTATCCCTCTGCATCACATACGCATAGGTCGTAATTTCTGCACCCTCAGGGATGAAGTGGCCATCAATGACCTTGCCGCCCTTTGGAGTGATGCGTGCGAAGAGATTAGTGGCAGATGGGTTCAAACGGACGCCCTCTTTGATGCAGGCTACGAAGTAGGGCAGATACCGGCGCGTTTCTTCATATAGAATAGGTGTCGAGAGGTGTCCGGCGCGATCTGCTTCATCAATTTCCGCGCGAGCGCGATCGAATACGCCAGGAGTGGTGGTGATGAAACGCAGGATCGATCCGAGCGCAGTACCGGTTGTGTCGGCTCCGGCTTGGATGAGAAGAGTGACGTGAGAGCGCTTTTGGACTGGTGTTAGGGGAGAACCATCGGAGTAGCGCGCTTCGAGGCAGCTGGTCGTATCTTAGCAGACGTTCATGATGTTACCAGACTGGGAGCAATTACTGCTGTAGGAAATCCGGTGTGTCGTCGAACCCCTTCTCTGCAACCAACTTCTCCCGAGCCGTAACCTGCCTATCAGCCTCGCACATCAGCCATCCCATGCCCAACTCATTGTCTATAGAAGGGAGAAAGTACCGCCCAACATACGGCATCGGAATGATCTTCTCCCGGAAAAACCTGAAGCGGCCCACAAACCCGAAGAAGTCGAGCCCGATCCTCCAGTTCGTCAATATGAGCTTCTCATCGCGCTGGTTCTTGACACAGCCAAAGGCGTTCGTGAACGAAATCATGCTCATGATATCCGCCGCAAATTCCGCCACTTTGTCGCTCAAACACACGACTCTCCCCGCTTCCACATGCTCCCTCATCTTCTCAATGAAAATTATAACCTGCTCATCAAACCGATGCTCCCACCTATTCTTCAGCTGCCCAATCGTCCACGGCGCATTGGACAGCGCCTTGCGCAGCTGCCTGTGCTGCTCGCCATCAAGCGTCGTGAAGAGCGATGGTGGACCCAGCGCACCCGTGCCATACAGCCCACTCTTGAGGTTACACTTCGGGTCCCAGTATATGTCTCTTGCGGCCGAAGGGCGCGGAAAAATCAGCATAGTGGGCGAGATGCGGATTGGCCGATCAGCTGAAACGGGATGTTAGCCTGTCAACGCGGAGATGTGGCGTTGCACCGCAGGTAATGAATGCAAGGCGAGGCTGCACGTCATACGACAAACGTCGGTGCGACGGAGACCGGAGGCGTGGGAGCAGGGAGGATGCACTGTACGCACTGCCATATCTGTTCACCAAATAGGTGAGGAATTGAGGCTCTCTGTGCTTGACGGAGATGATGGCGCCGACGAGCGAGAACGATGTCGCCCACCATGGCCCTGGAAATTGCGACAAGGGATGGAAGAACTGGCAGTAAACGATGCGTAGGACGAGGGCTGTGAACACAAAGCCGAACACGGAAAACACGAGCTGCGCGAAGGGCGTGATAATGAGAGACAAGATGCCGAAGACACCCATCTTGGGTATGAAATCTCGTAAGACGTCAGGCGAGAATGAAATCGGGACGTGATGCGACTTGAACGTGGGCAAGAAGGAAGAGGAAGCAGCTGAAGGATGCAACCAGAGAATGCTGTGTTTATCAGTTGAGGGCTGCTGTGCATGATTGTTACACGGTACGGGTAGTAGTCGTTAGCGGTCGCCACCAGCAAACCCATGCCTTAGTAGCTTTCTCTTGTGCTCAATGAGCAAGTGCGAATCCGAGACTAGCTCTGCTGTGATACGTTGCTGGTGTCTCATTCCTCGAAACTGCCCAAATAAACCTCTTGAAGCCCTACTCATGCGCGAATGTCTCAAAGCTGCTTGAGATGAATCAAGACCGCAACGTAGGGCTGGCGCATGGTGGTGTCTGTATGGTGGAAGACAAATAAACGGCATGTCCGAATCGATTAAAGGCGCCTGATCGGTCGGCAAGTATTACAGATAACTTAGGCTGGCCCGGTTGACGATTGGCAAATTTACGCCCCATAGCCCAACGTTTACTCTTTGAGTATCCCAGCGTGAATCAGGAGTGACTAGCTCCGGATGAGAAATGGTGTGGCTGTGATGGGGCGTTAAGCGACTTGTATCACCACTTTTGAGGGCTGACTCATCGCTAGACATGGGAGAAAGCCGGTACTGGACGTTTGTTTCTGATATCTTACGGGCGTGTGCAGGCCACTCCGCCCGGCACGGGTGGCTATGGCTCACGTCCACGGAGTAAGCCTTGTCACGAAGTTAGCACAAGGAGTTATGCGACCAGTGTCATCCCAGTAAAGCAAGGACGGAATTACTAAGCGTCAAAGGCGGCGGCAGCAATGGGTAGGAAGGCGAAGTCGAGATGAGTATAAACAGGATGTAGCGAAATCGCTTGTATAGAATAGATTACATCGTGAGTTATAACTCGCAACTAGGATGCGGAAGCTACTAGTTCTTCGTGGGGTATGAACGCTGTCGAAGTCTGTTGATACATGATTTAAGCGCGAACTCGTCCACACATGATAATGACGATGCGGTCTTGCTCGTACTGATCGCCGGGATCGCGAATTACGTTCTCGGCGAATACTGTGACGCGATAGATGCCATACGCACTTTCAATGCAGGCATATACGGTCCTCTGATCGATTGTTACGTCATGAGACAGAAATCGTCATGGGACAGAAATCGTCGTCGGATAAATCCAGTGAATCCTCATATTATGCTTAGAACCCCGAGTCAGATGTATCAGGTCTTGCTCCAAGGTTAGACGCAGAACGCTTCCTCTGCCCTTCATGATGTAAGGGGCTTATAGGGTCATTGACGTATGGAGGTTGTGACACCGATCGCTCTCGAGTCAGCCCAAGGGGTATTTGTAGTTGATTTTGCGGCCCGGGCCAGGTGGGAGTTCGTGATAACTGGCCTTGGTGCGCAATCGGCTCGGGAAGTATGTGCGAGGGAAGTGTTCGGACAGGGGCTCTTGGGTGCAGGTTTTGATCCTGTGTTCGTGGTCGTAACTCTCCTACAGGAGCAGCCGAACTAACGGGCAGGGATGGATGCAAGTGCGGGTCGAGAACAATGGTCGTTGTTATGTGTGGTGTTGTAGGCAGAGAGTGGTAGCGTAGGGATGGTGTCTCAAAGGGCTGAGATTGAGCATGGGAAAAAGCTCGATTGCTTGCGGAGCTGGACGTATGGCTGAGCTGGCGACTAGTCAATTAGTGACTGAATATTTGGTTGAATTGAAATGAAAAATTGATCAGAGACGAAAATGACAATATAGAGGTACATGTAAAGAGACGTTGCTTCGTTCCTCGTGGCATCGATGCATAAGCGATGTTACTACGTTCCAAAACATACAATAAGAAGACAAGACATGAAGTCGTGGGGCCAAATGCAAGCAAGCCACAATCAAATCGTATGCAGCAATATGGACTGAAAAGGCACGGAAGTAGAAATGAAAGGGTTGGGAAAGGTTTATGGGACAGAACGGGGAAAGTCATACCCAATAGTTGTTGTCACCAGGTAGGCTTCCAGGCCATATTTGCTCCTGTACAAGAGCATCCCAGTCTTCAAAGATATTACCAGTTGTTTGGAAAGCAGATCTTTGCCCAAAGTTGGCAGGGGACGTGGCTGAAGGATGTGGGGCAATATGCGCCGGATATCCTTCAGCTGACGCTTGCATGGCATGCTCTCCCAGGTGAGTACCAACTGGTATATGAAGTCGTAGCTCCTTCTTCATGCGAGCCTTCGTGACTATTTTCTCAAGTAGTGTCTCGCGCATACCAGGCTCCATAGGTCGTTGAGCGGCGTCCGCAGGGAAAAGCTGGTCTAGAACGGACCAGGCCGTGCTCGTGTCCTCTACGCTAAGCTGCTGGTCGGAGGAGAGAGCTACCGCCAGAAACGAACAGGAATACACGTCGCGGACTCGCCGGGTATACCAGTTATAGGGAGAGTTTGAGTATTGATGCATTAGACCGGCACAGCGTGATGCCAGATGCAAAGCGTCGTGGAAGGTGCTGTTTCAGTCAGCCGAGTTGTCTTTGATATGCAACGTCCAGGAAAACATATGAAGCGATTTATGGGAGCCGAGTAGCGACTTACCTGAGGATTTCCGAATGCGCGTACTGGCTTGTGGCAGAAATTTCTTTCCGTTGGGTCATACTGCCCATGAGCTTGATCTTCAGCAGATTAATTTGACAGATCTCCACCACCAGGTACTGTAGTGGGTCTGAGTTATCGTAATGATCCCAGTTATATCGTGCCGAGAACCTCGCCTGTAGTTCGTTGGCCCATTGCATTCTGTCTGTCCTGCCTGAGAAGGGAATGGCTCGCTTTGCTATTGGTGACGTAGAGCTCGTTCGGAGTGGACGATCCCGGGGATTATACCGGAGACACAGGAGTTGCTGTTGTTGACGCGCTGTTTCCGCCTCTACAATTAGTAGAGCCATAGGCGAGAATGGAACCGCGTGCTCTTGAGAGTCCTCCACCTCCTGAAACCTCGCAAGGTCCATGTCGGAGTCTTGGTGAGCCGACCTGCTATGTATATCAAGCTCGGTCAGATTCTGGTCAGCAATGCTTAGCGGAAGAGATATGTCGAAGGTGTCCGGATTGATTGCGGGTTCGCGGCAGAGTTGTTCAGCTAGTCGCGAGTCCAAGATACAAATCTGAGCCCATAGTCTACGACGTGTCTCGATCTCTATAGGGCCGAGACCGAATGTAGAAGGATCCCGATGAACACCCAAAGACTGAGCCATATGTATCGTTGTGCCAAGCTGTAGCCATTGCCGTTGAGGGTTTACAGTACCGAGTTCGACAGACTGAATATGTCCATTAATACAAGGGAAGCGGAGGGGTCTGCTGGGTCACTCACTAGGTAAAGTACCATAGCTTGTAGTAGTTCCATCGAGGCCGCCTGTACAAAGCTTTCGTCCATAATGTTTAGCCTCGACGTCATCTCCCTTCTGAGTGATGACCATAAACCAACTGCATTGATACTCTGGGCAAGATCTGAAGGGTTTGGTCCGTGTATTATCGAAATGATGGAAGCATAGTATACAGTGCAAAGTAAGGTGGCGAATGCTCGATCAAAAGTCGCACTTGACTGCTTGTCGCCACCCAGGGTTGGTCCTTGAATGGTCGGGATAGCAGAGCCCGTAAATGGTGAAGTTTGCTGTGCGGAGTAATGGGGATCTTGGACGTATGCACCTGTATATGCAGCACCTACCGGCATCTGCATCTGTGATTGTCTTCTTCGCCTGAAAATGCTGCACTTCTCCTGGAATGACGGCCAGTGCAGTACTCGGACAATAGGGTCCACCCGGTGACTGAATGCTTCGAGCAAGGTCTCATGTAACTGGTCGTCGATCATACGTAGCGTCTCCTCCGTTGCTGAACCGAGAGAATCCTCGACCAGGACTTCGGGAGCCGCTTGGTTCCCTGTGGGCTCAAACGGTAACATCTAAAGACCATTAGTGGAGGCGCCCTCCGACGATCACACTGGCACAAACCTCTCCTGCAGCGACCGCCCATGAGTAAGGACTTAGGTACCCCGGATTCCTTCCATCCACCAACTTTCCTGAGTTTGCGGATAACCGGTTCGTTCCAACCTCAATCGGAGGAGGTGAATACGATGGTTCCCGCGAAGGTGATTTGCTATCGACTTCTCTCGAGAGGCGAGCTACCTCTTCTTCCAGTTTTGTGAGTCTGCTCCGTTCTACCGGTTCTCGACTTCCCGGTCGTGATGTGGTAGACGCACCAGATGAACCCGTTTGTTGAACTGGCTGGCAAAGCGCACCGACTTTGATGCAATTTGAGCAGGCTGGTTGTGCGCGGTCACATTTTACTCGTCTTGCTCTACATCTCGCACATGCCAGTACGTGTCTTCGACGAGTTATGGTGGGGGCATCGCCTCGGCCGTCGTATCTGGACGCCATTTTGAGGTCGTGGTTGTAATCGTTGCTGTGTGGTGGACCCTATTGGAGATGTAAAAGAGTCCTGTAGAATGCGATCAAGCGTGAGCAAAAACGAGTGAACGCCTTATTCGTGCGAATCGCCAAAGGGGATTGTAGGTTCATGTACGGGGAGTAGGCATGGAATAGATGACCCGTGAACTGTTTTCGTGCGAATAGGAAGCAAGGTTCAATGTTCACGTGACAAGCGAAGCGCCAGGCTAAGAGGCTAAGTTACGCCCGGCAGCAACCTATTTTAGGTCAGCCATCGAATCAAGCATACAGCCTTGCGGCATACAACAAAGCTCAGGTAATCTGGGATGGTATGCGAAATAGGGTGAGCACATACCACGTAGTGTAAGATAGGGAAGCCCCGGTCGAGTCCCACCTTATCCCGGGCCTCCGATGGTAGACTGGTTCTCGAAAGCGTAGGCGAAGATGTCGTATGATACCAGACTCCATTCTGTGGGTCAGACTTATACAGCTGCGTCACAGTCGTCCACTTTACTGATGGGACACGGCACACGGATATGGACGCGGAGGACACTTCTCAGCTACAGATGTCGGACGGCTCAGACGGTCGGACCCGGGTCGTTCTCGCACAGTGGGTTTGGTCGAGCGAAGCTCGCCCACGGCGGTCTCCCGGCAATGCTAGTACCGCCCCGCTGAACACTGTGCAGGGTCTCTCGGACCCCACGGCGGTGTAGAGGCCACCAGAGCGGTCGCAGAAGACGCCAAATTACCTCTAGGCTCGTCGGGCGATGATGCAAGCATTCGACGATAAAGCGGATGGAGCCTCGCGTCCCCCTCGCTTCAAGATGACCGTCTCGAGTGACAAATTGTGCTCCTAGTCGGGCAATAGAGCGCTAGTGCATACCTGTTCCGTCTGGGTATAGCGGCCAGTGCAGATTTGATTGTCGCACACGTAGTCGAGGAAGTAGCAGGGGAAGCTTGGCCCCGTTACCAACGGGATTTGCAGTTGCATGGTGCCTGGAATGTTCCGTAGAGCATGGTTGAAACGGCCGTGGAAGGGGTTAGGCGCGTCAGGCTGAATTCGGGACATGATGGACAGAAGACACACGCACAGTCGGGGCTTGTCGCGGTGGCGGCGAGCGGGGCGTAAACCGCAGTGTCTCGCCGGTAGCGATCTGGGATGTCCGGGCCCTGGTCCGTACGACGTTGGCATGTCGGTGCGGCGCAGGCGAAGCTGATGAGGTGTGATTAAGGTTAAGGTTAGGTGGTGAGGATGTCATCCACGACGGATGGCCGTTCGGGGCCGGCGTGCAAGATGCAGTGCAGCAGGGCTAGTATGTTCCATGGCAGCTTCCTGTCTGGTCTGCGGAGGTATCCATTGTGCACTTTGAGCACCGTCGTGTCGTCGCGCTCGCCGCGCCCGACGCCAGACATCTCTTCGCGCATCCACAGTGGTGCATTTCCACGAAACGCGGTGCCCACGATGACTGGGCCAGCGGCCGCCGGCCAGCGTGCCGCTGTGCTGGCGCGATGCGCCTATGCAATGCAATGGCATGTCCCGTGTCGACGGTGTCGCGTTAGTGGCCGGGAGTAGAAGGTGCGCTCCAACGCGTGCCTTCTCCACCCGCGAGACGCGTCGCATTCACTCCCCAACCCGCACTGGCATCCAGTCTTACTCACCCACACGACTGCTTTTTGCGAGAGCCTCTTCTCTTGCTTCCCCTGCCCCAACACTTGAGCATGCCGACGCACCCCCTGCCGCTACAAGTCTTAAGCGACACAGGATTTAGCCTTGCGCCCCACAACGGCTGCAGCTCCGCCCATCTCCATCGCGGGCAGCGGGCATATTTGCACGCTGTGGTCTTGACTCGCCTCTGTGCGAAGCCATGCTACTTCAGTAACTTGCCGCGCAAGGTACGCCAACGCCAACGGCCAGAGAGCGGCACCATAGGCGACGGAGCCGCGACGAGCCGCACGCCAAAATTGGCTGCGGGAGCCCATCACTGTCACAAGCCTTGTGTGCACGGTTCGAAAAGGGAGCCACTATGCCCCTGCGGCCTTCGAATCAGCCCATCCCCAGTGGCTGCCTCGCCCACAATAGCGGCCCCTTCCACTTATGACGGACCTCAAGTATTCAAAATACCGTGTGTACACTTGCGGGGCAACGTGTAGAATTGCATTCGGGAACCCCTCGCTTCGGAATCGGCAGGGCCGCACCGGGCCAGCGATCCGCCCTCAGATCGGGACAATGGCTGGACGCTGGAGATGCCGCCTAAGTATCCTCCACTTCTGGATCCTGATGCCCAGTCGTATGGCAGGCTCCCAGTGCCCCTGCATTTGCACGTTGCACCCACCCATGAGCTTGGAGTAATATGCAGCCTGCTCCTCGACCGGGATCGACGCCACAACGTCTGCCTGATGAGTCCACGTTCCTGCCATTTCGTCACCGTTACCGTCCTGTTGGACCTCCTCCGGCCAGTACGTACACGCTTACCAGAATCAGTGCAGTCCAGCTCCTTTCGGAAGCATATAGTTGGATGCCACCCCCATCCATCCAAAGCAAACGACCGGAAAATGGCGCTGTAACAAATGGTTACCAAATTTTGCGGGATTATCGAGTCTGCCCTGTGTCTACTGTGATGGCAATCATTATCTACACTACGTTGTTCTTGTGTTTGTGCATGTTCGCCACTTCTGATAAAGGGCACATCATCCGCCAGATCCCGCCTCGGAATACTAGGTCCAGCTGAGAACCCATTGCGATTTACGCCCGACTGCAATGATACTGTTTGCAGGTACCGATCCGACCACGTGGACAGTGTTATTGCTATACACGGCGCGGGAAGTGGAAGCATAGATTTGGAATTGGCAGGTGCCAAGACACCGTCTCTACCAAGCAGTATCTAGCACTCTCACGCATACTCCGCTCTCCAGAACCACACTTCTAGGCCACATTTAGAAGCAGAGGCGAACCAAAACAATAGCCGATAAACCTAGAGCAAGGATACCTATGCTTGGAGAGCGGCAACGAAGGCTCTGCCTTCGCTCCCTTGCGACACTTTCACAAAAGATACTCCGGCCGCGTCTCCCTGCTGCGCGACATAGCGCTGCACAACTTTGAGCCACATTGCTTTCTCTGCCCTGCTCGCACCCCTTCCTTCCCAAACCCAAACAGTTCTTCCTGAATCCAACAGGAACACATCGCTTCCGTCCAGATCGTTCATCTCGATTCTATTTCCCTCTTTGGCCAGGCTGAATGACAATTGGCCTTCAGAGTCGCTTAGCCGGAACAACTTCTTCACCTCGCGTGCTGTCGCGCTAGACACTGGCCTTGGAGATTTGAACCTGGTTTGCAACGGGTTGATACCGCCGCCACCCAGGTAATCTACCACTACTCTGGAACGCGACTCCGCTTGACTCAGGACCTCCACTTCCACATGCTTCGCGATAGTCATGTCGTTGACTACTTGCGCCGCCTTCAATTTCTCCATCGGTGCACAATTTTTGCCCTGCCACACAAATATTTTGTCACCCTTATCGAGAACAAACACGTCGTCCTCGTCCAGGCTTTGCCATGTGGGCTCTACCTCGTGCACGAGGATGGAATCGCGGCCCGCGCCAGCGCTGGGGTGCTTGAAAATACGCAGCAGCGTGTCGGTGTGTGTCTGTTCTTCATTGGTGTCGACGTGTGTGAAGCCAGAGCGTACCCCACCCCGCAAGATCTTCAGGCGCGGGAATAATGCGGAAAACGCATCTGAAGGTGCCGATTGTAGCTCTCGATGTTGGATGGCCGTTCCGTGGAGAAATTCATCCAGCTCAACTGTTTTGTACGCTGCTGTGCCAGCCTCATCTTGACTGGTATGGCTTCCTAACCAAAAGAAGATGTCATGCACCAGCTTATCCTCATTGCCGCTCTGTTCACCTGCGGCTTTCTTTACCCGCTCACTCTTCAGAATGATGTAGGAATCGCCTTCATGAAACGCGCCATACTGTTCTTGAGGCCAAGGCACGACTTCGAAACTTTCAATTCGCCAAATGAACAGGCCTGTTTCGCACCCAATGATGCCATTGTTCCAGGCTGGCTCTGTAGAAGCGGACTGATGCTTAACCTTATGATCAATATCCGAGTTGATCAACGCAACGTTAGAATCACGCCAGTCATACTCTTCCAAATGGACGAGACCTTCGTGGGGGGGCATGGAGGGCTTCGACCGAGGAATTGTATAAGAAATGTCGCCTAAACCGTTTATTCGCACGAGAAGCAAGTCGCGGAACAAGCCTTGTAAGGAGTAGTGTCGACGGGATGGCGTTGAGGTTGTTGTTGTTGTGGGAGATACGGAGCTGACGCAGGGTTTCAAGCTTCGGCGGGGAATTTCCGTACCTGAAACGTGGGGCGTTCTCGAGGCTGATTCAATTAACGTCATCGCTCACCAAACACGACGAGGCAGTCTACACATGACAATGCACCAGCTTTGCGTTTCCCGTCGAGATCAAAGCTTACAATGGACTCCGTTCGCAGGAGCGCAAGGACAGTATTCACGCGGAGCCTAAGTGTGTGCGGTTCTACCAGTCGCTAGGCCACTACTACCTCTTTCAGCTGCAACAACATATTGCTTGAACAATATTGTTTGGGAAGAACACACGCCTCTGAATCATTATCATTATCATGCAATACGACCAAATTTCTGTGGCTGCACCGAGTAGCACGTGCAAGCGACCTCACCGTTAAGATGGCAGGCAGCAAAGTCTCAGGCCACCTGCAGCGCGGGCCGACCCATCCTCAGTCTCGTGGTTTCTGCTTGGTACGATTACATGCAGGCTGGAGCTCTTGTCAGACAGGACGAGTAGATATGTTATGGTATAATTTGCTTCGTCGCGCGGCTATCTGATAGGTTGAATCCCTTCGCGATTCTAGGCGGACGGTTACATTTGGCCGAAGTAGGTGTGAGTGTACTATCACTGATCAAGACACACGCAAGTGAGGTCCAGATTCGGGAAATCATGCAGTATGCTACATACGCCCGGTAAGTTCTCTATTGATCCAACTGCTAGATAACTTTTGAAAGATCAAACTAGTCAGCATTGGTCTTGATCATGATGGAAATATTCCAGATCGATTCATTGTCACTCAGCCTTGGCTGCATTCAATCAAGAGTCATTCTCAGCTAGACGGTGCTACTGTATTATTGTTGCCGAGCGACTGACATGTCTAAGCGCACAAAGAATCGCTGCATATGTAGATCGACTCATCGGGCCTACAAGATCCTCTACATCAGGTCAAGCGTACGCAATATCAAGAATTGCTGAGTCAACAAAACTGTTAGATCCATACGGTGTACGACTTGCTTCAAGAAACGCAGATTTTCCCGGGCGTGCGATCCTTCCCGACTAATCGCCTCCCTACTCTCCACTCGCACGAGTATTCCCAACACGCCATCCAAGCAGCCACTCAAACGCAACACCTCCGCGTAGACCTGCCGCCTCGGCGAATCTGCCTACACCTCGTTAAGCCTGGATCATCCACGACCATCATGGGATTAAGCGACGCTGTCGGCAAAAGGGTAACTGTACCCTTTCACCCATCATGCTGGGCACGTACCCCATGCTACGGCTAGCCCATGCAGTCTCTCCTATCGCATGCATACAGTCACCACCTCCATGCAACCCTATTCGTGCTCGCTTACCGCGTTGCATCCTCAGGACCCACAGCCGTTGAAGTCCACTCGTGATCCGATCGACAGCGTGGCAGAGTATCGCATGGCGTGGCACGGCATGGACGGCTTACATGCAGCCGCGACCTGCTTCCAGGGCCGTTCCAGACGGGCATTTGAAATTACCGCCGCAGGTTTTTGGTGGCGGCTGCCGAGCGGCAAACGCCTGGCAGGCTGGGTATTCATGCGTTGCCCGTTGAGACTCCGAGTGTGCCTTGTGTACGTCTGAATCATATATCAGCTCGATGTCTGAGCTTGGGTCTGAGCTCGGGGCCCCTCTTCCACAGCCCTATGTACGCTGTCGAGGCGGCAGTTGCCGATGCAGCGGACCTTGGGGTCGCTTGGTCTGCGAAATGCAGGGGCATGTCGGGGATGGAGGATGGCCGGTAGTGGAGTGTCGGCGACCTAATGGTGGATGTGAATGGCCCGCGTAGTAGGTCATGCTATGCGTCTGCTTTTGCAGACTAGACTAGCACATGATTGCTGAATGTAGTTCTCGCTAGTAGAAAGCGACTTTATTGTGGATTAGGAGTATGTTTTGCGAAGCTAGCTAGCGGGCTTCGACTAATCTTGTCGGTTTTGCGAGGTCGGGAAGCTCGGGCAAATCCCGATATTGGACAATGAGGGTGTTTTGCATAGAATTGGATTTCTTCAGAAGTATGCCTTTAGGAGCATGCATGCGTGTGCAAATTTTGGCATCCGTTCAGGGTTTTCAAGGTTCCTGCGACGTCGATGGATTCAATGATACTTGAATCTGCTCGCGGGGCAACAGCACCTGAACAGGTGATCTAATGCGGTCTATGAGCCTTGGTATCGCTCATCTAGTTACACTAATAGGATCAAAGGAGTCATATGCTTTGTTGACAGAAGACCAGTGGCAAACAACCAACTTCTCAAGGAGAATCCGCGCGAACATCGAACGGGTACCTGGGCTTTGCAACGATTGTTTCCAAAGAGTATACTCAAGCCGCGACAACCCAGTGGTGTCAATGACCCATCACAGCACTACTATCATTATTGCACTTTGCCCGCGAACTTCTGTTTTCTCTTACAGACCCACGATACATTAACGATGCCCACAAAACCCTCGAATACGACCTACAATAGCCATTGGTCGCTTTCGTTCTTCACACTGGTCAAGCGACAGTTGTTACACCGGCATGAGAAGAGCATATAGACGGGGTCGCGACGTCGAAAGGAACATGAAGTTCTCGCAGATGGCACAGACATCAAGTCTGTTCTGGTATAGATCTTATTCGTGGGCACGGCTGCAACGAGAGTAAAACAATCCGTCCTCATGTCAGTGCACATCGTCCAGTCTTGGAAGAACAGTACCTAAGGTACGTTTTGCTCCTTCCCCGAACACAACTACCGCGATGAGATGCCACCAGAACGCCGAAGTACGACACCCTCTTTATTTATTCATGCACCTGTTTCCCCAGATTCTCATCTACAGCCTTAAAAATCTTGGCGCAGGATACGAATAGCAAAGCGAGCGGCATGTCACCGCATGTCACCGTATGGCCGATGCCTCACAATCCCCACTTGCGGCCCGTACCTAGCTTCCGCTGCGGGCTTTAAAACAGGTCGCACGTACTATCTATCTGATACAAATTTTTGAGTGGCTCGAGTACTATAGTAGCTTGATGAGCGTGCGGTGTGGTACGGCCGTAGGAGAGTCTATTTTTAGCTATAGAGGGGTGCAAGTCGGCCATTCATAGAGGTGTACTGAGCTGTAGTGGACAGAAAGGAACATTCTTGCAAATGAGTAATTGACTGCTGGTGACTCGAAAAGGAAAGATATTGACTGCGTGTGATTTATCAAAGTGGAATACCATGGATATTTTAAAAGTACAAGCTCAGCACGATATTGTAACTTTGAGATAAACATGCTTTATTGTTCAAAGGGATCGATGCTCCGAAAAACCAAAACTGTTGAAGTCAAATTGTCAAAGATTGTGAGCTTTCAAAAGCTCGCGTAGAGTCATTAATTAACAGAGTATGAGCATCAACAGACTTGATCTTGTCCTACAGTCATGCTTCACGGCTTTACACGCGGAGTCACTTTCAAGGCATGGATGTGAAACTACAATACTTGTTATGAGATGGACATGGACTACAGGTCAGCTGCCGTTGCCTCGAGAGAGTCTATGGAGATAAGAATAGATGGGTATGGCTCCCGTGATCAAGTTAAGAGTCCAGGTGAGGTGAAAGAACGGTGAAGGCGGGTCGTGCTCAGCGAGCATTTGGGAAAAACCGTGCCTTCCGGAACATCAATGCACCTACCTTCACACGAGAAGCTAAAATAACTTCAACAATCCCGCCTCAATCCATACCAAAACCCTGGGCTCCCTTCCCTTTTGCCTCTACGCCTCCACTCGTGGACAACCACCCCCTCATTCATACTCTCATCACCATGCCAGCCATGGCTTACCTTGTGGCCACTCTGGCCACCCTCATCTTCGCCGCCTCGGCGAACTTCGATCTCTACCGCATCCATGGTCAGCGTGCATCCCTCGATTCTCCCTGGGGCACCCAACCCAACGGCTACATGGTGTTCAACCAAGACCCCCAATGCGGCGATGTCCAGCAGGACAAGCAGTTCTGGTGGCAGCGCTCTGACGTGAGTGGGAACAAGCTCGGCGTCCGCTGCAAGGGCAAGTGCGATGTCAACGACGTAGGTGACAGTTCCATGCCCGCCCTTAGAGCTCATACGCGGGCCTCTAGATACAACAATACTGACATCGACTCCAGTGGCCCTGGCCTGATATCCAGGAGGTCGAGATGCATTTCTGCAACGATCCGCTCTACCATTTCAGTAGGTCTTTTGGCTGGCATGATCTTGCCTGTTTCGACTAACCCAGCTTCACAGCCATTTACAAGGACCGCGGCCACCAAGATGGCGAGACCTGGAAATGGGATCTCCTCAGCATCGACAACGTAAAGCACGGCGAGTGCTTTGCATACGGAGGCTACGGCTTCGACTGCAACTGGCCGAATCCGAAGCTTCATCTCTGGGGCCAGCGCAAGTTCCGCTGCATCACGCAGGCCGACGCGAAGACCTTCAACGACTGCCACCATGGCAATACCAAGGGTGACGATGACGGCCCCTCGAATGCGACTGCCTCGGCAGTTGTTGCTCGCTCGGTCGCTTGGGCTGCATAGATGGATTGGTTACGAGGCTGGCGTACGGTAAAAGTCTACCGTGATATCGATTTCATCACGGGGTTATAGCGATGGAACGGACATAGGTGCTATGCTTTGACATGGCAGAAATACGGATTGATCATGCCATCTATCAATCGTGGCCGTCTAATGTTCTCAATCAGTTTTCGCAAATCTTCCGTCACCAACGAACGTACCTTGCCAAGTAGTGTTTGCAGAGCCACACCTTGCTGCGTGTGGAGAAGGAGGATGATCGGCTCTTGGATACACTGCGTCTGTTGCCATCGCAAGCAGCGAGTCCCACAATTCAACTGAAACTTCACTTTGGAGATATTGGCGCATGCTGACCACTTGCACATACCGATTGGACAACATCATGTCTTTCAAATGGCCTATCAGTACATTGTAATTTACCCTCGCAAAGGCAATATATGCTGCGCCAAGCAACTCTGCCTGCACAGCGGACACTCGGGCTTCTCCCTCGCCCAGTCGCTAATACACGTCCAGCAAAACACATGCCCACACGTCGTGACACTGGGATCCTTCATCCCCTCCAAGCACAGCGTGCATTTCCTATTATTCTCCCCTATCCAAGCCATTGTCTCGTCGTCGTTCAACTCGTACCGCGGCTTATCTGCGACGGGCGTATTGGTCCACTTCTGCAGCTCCGTCGGCGGCGTCGTCTGACCCGTCGACGCCTCGAACAGCAGCGCATTATTGGCGCTGTAAGCGTTGGGATCGAGCGACACTTCCGCGCCGCCGCCGACCATGGCCGAGGTGCCCATGCTGGTGCCCAGCGCGCTCGTCTGCGGTACGTCGCGGGAGACGGTGTTCTGGAGGTGGAGGTATGCCTGGACGGCCATCTGGAGGATGAGCAGCACGCCGAGCACTTCGTAGCCCATGCGCTGGTCGCTTTCCTGCACGTGGCGCGTGAATATGTAGCGCAGATTCCATATCCGCTTGGAGAGGTGGTAGTAGCTGCCCGCGAAGTAGAAGGTTGCTAGGGAGAGAGCGTAGACGGGGGATGGGGAGGTGATGGTGTCGAGGTTCTGGAGGATGTAGTTCTGCACGCGGGCGGCGAGGGGTGTGGATATGGGCTTTATGCTTTCGCTTTCGTGGGCGTGTTGCTGTGCCTTTGCGCGCTGTCGGCCGTATCTCTTGAGGTTTGCTTCTAGCTTTGCGCGTATCCTCTTTCTAAAGGCGGGTAGTATCCTCCCCAGCACATAGGGTCCCAGAACGCAACTCAGTATGTAGGCTGCTCTTCTCGCCAGGCCGGGCAGCCTCCCGCTCTCGCCTTCGACCTGTATGATATCGCAGTACTCCTCGCCTAGTGTCCGGTTCCCAATCAACGTTGTGAGACCGAGGTAGAGGAGCTCTCCGAAGACACGTGTTTCGGACGTGTATGTGTGTGCATATCGCGCGCCTTTGACTTTGCGCAGGAGCGTAGTGAGCTGTTCAAGGAGCACGGCGCTGAAGTAGGCGTCCTTCTGGTGCGAGCGGATCACGTCGGGCGAGGTCGCGAACGGGTATACAAATCGTGGTCCGGTAGACATGGTGGAGAACAAGTAGGAGAGAGCCAGCAGGCAGCAGAAACGCGCAACAGTGGAAGGGTTGTTGTCGCGATACGACTCTGATGTTCGCATGCCGCCGAGATAGTTGGACCTCGGCTTGTGACCGGGAAGGAGCTTGGGCCACCCTCTTTGCTGAACGCCGTCGTCCTAAGATATTGCCGTTGCCGCTCATAGCCATGGAGGAGTATATTCATGCAGTGGAATTTCCCAGCATGAATTTATCGATAGGACAATGAGGCTTGTTGCGGGTCTCTGGATGTATCATGTTGACAGAACACTAAAGGCCCCATCCACCCGCCCGTGTCGACGAACGCAACCCCAATTGATCGAACTGGCTTCGGACGACCATCTCAGCGATCTTGGAGGACGTGACGCATCCGCAACGAAGAAAGCCACTCTATGTAGCAGCTTTTGGTCTCTTCCCTTTGCGAGATCCGAATCCTCCAGGAATCATTGATGCAAAGTGCTAGTTGAATTCACCTGATGCGGGGTTGACGTGCGGAAACCACGAAGCAATCATGACTTCCCGTTATACAGAGAGAAGCTCGAGCCAAATCTCGCGCGCAGACCATGTTCAGCCCTTTCCCCTTCACGCGCCAGCCCCAGTAGCTATATACCTCACGGATAAAACCATCATAGCACAAGCAATCGCTCCCGCACTTTACTTCGACTCAACCTGATCCCGAGAAAGTCGCACACTCTCGCTCAGCCATAGGGCCAACCTGATTGTCACCATCGGAGTGATTGCGGTTGCCATCGGGCCCCTTCTCTTATGATGGTCCATCTCTAACAGCAGGCTTTTTCGTCGAGGGCCCGCCCAAGCCACTTTCATGACGACTCAATCGACCGAGTCACGCCTTCCATCTGGCAGCATAGAAGCAACCAGCGTCGCCTCCGCTCGCCCAGGCTTTCACAAGCCACTGCGTGAGCTGCGAGACATGGTGTACCATCTTCTATGGGCTGAAAATCCTAATATGCGAGGGGAGTATAGGCTCGCTGATGTTGGTGGCTTCTATCATTGTGGACGAGAAGTAGTTGACAACCGTACGTGAACTCTAGTTGCTGGCGTTTTAAGGCGCCCAGACTAATTTTCTGCTAGACAACTTACAAGCACTTCCGCAATGGCTCCTCAGCAGCAAGCAGATCCTACAAGAGAGCCTTGACCGAATCCGTAGAAATTCCACATGGTACGTCTTCGGCCCTAAGTGTTTGGACAACCCGTTTACGCGCTTGCCGCCGTTGATGCACTTGCGTAATGCCCAAGATCTGGTCGTGTTGCTTGCCGATATCTATAACGACTACAACCCAGCAGGACTACCATACGGGATGAGGCGAATATGGGGGATAGACCCTCGCACTACGCATGCGCTTCACCCCCTGTGGCTCTCGCTACTGGCTGATGCCAATCTGCAGAGCTTGTGCATCGATACTTTCCTTGGTTACCGCGAGTGGAGCAACGTGTCCAACATCTGTGTCCTCTATCGGGCACAGGAGGTGGAACCCGACGAAGACGTCTACTTCGATGACGGCTGATGGAGATCGACTGGGCGAGAAAATACTTGGGATGGGTGCAGAGATGAGCATTACCTCGTGTCCGAACCTTTGTGTTTAAGCGAGCATAGGGGCAAGAACAGGTTACGTTACCCACACCTTGAAGGCCGCCCCCCTGCATCATCAATGGGCCATCGCCTTCTGCATGCTATCTTGGTGTGGCTTAGCAAGGACTGTACGGCTGCAGCGATAGACCTGATCAATCATGGTCTAAAGTATGGAGACAAAGTAAGTATGAGTGGATCATGTCTCGCCTCAGCGAAGTCCTTCGTTTCGCATAGAAGACACATCCACCTTGTACCTGGTGGTTTATGAAGGCGACTGACTGCTTGACGCTGTGGTTAGGCGTCTTGCTGTCATCCCACAAGTCTGTAGTCCGGCCATCATACGCGAACATTGGAGAGAGGTCACAGCCAATTTGAATGTCATACGTTTGATAAGAATGCTCTTGCTCGTTTCGTTGTTTTCTGGGGTGAAACCATGTTCCCGGATGCTGCAAATTCTGAGTATACATACACTAAGAGGCAAGGAAACGCTCAAACGCTGCAAGATCTGAGAACAAACTAGGAGACAAAGGGACGCTGAAATGTTGCAAAGTCTAGCACTGCTCCAGAGAAGCAAAAAAACAAGAAACGTTCAAACGCTGCAATATCTATCGGAATTCCGCCGATGCACGAAGTTGCAAGCGCTGCGGTCTGAGTCGAGACCGCGATGGTGTTGTCGCCACGGCGGACCTGGATTCCGACGCTGAGGCTGCGACCGGCGGCCATAGGCTCATAAAGTATCTGACCGCGGCCCTGGACCCGGGTGTCGTTCTCGAGGGCATTAAGGCCGAGAGCATGGCCATGGTCGGTGGCCATGTGAGCGTGGAGTGTATGCCTCCGGCCGAGGACGTAGGTGGTGCCGTCGGTGCAGAGAAAGGACAACGCTCAAGGCATTCAGGGAAATACTCGACCTCGCATCCATCCCTCTTCCGCACCGCCCAAGCTCCGCCTCGTTCGCGCTCCCGAGACAGCCTGAATGGCCCGCGTCGAAACTCCCACCGCGCGCCGTTATAGCGGCCACCAGCTCCATCCGAGTCCAGTACCCTCCCACTAGTCATATCAAGGATCTTTCGAGCTGTTGACGTGCTTTTAGGCGGAAGCTTTGTGGTTTTTGAAGTGTTTTGAAGTGGAGAAGTCGTTGACATGTCATGGTTGGGGAAGATAATGCACAACAGCTTCGCCATCCCTCCGTACATCATTTCCTGAGCGGCACATGGGGGAACGTCATGATCGTCGGGAAATCTCGCCTGCACGTGCAATTGTTGGAGACTCTTACGCAGTTGCGGTGGAGGGGCGAGGTAGGACAAGTCGAACAAGTCTTCGTCGAGGCCCGTGAGCGGGTAGTCATCGTGGATGACGACGTCCAGGTCGGGTGCGTTATCCGGATAGTAGTACCACAAGTGGTCGTCGTTCTCTTCCTCATCTTCGTCGTCGTCGCCAGCCTCCTCGTCGGCACAAGCTTTCTGCAGCCCAAGGAAGAACTCGTAGAGCTGCGGGTGGTAGTCTAGCCGAAGATACCGCGTCGTGCTGCGGAACTCGAGCAACTTCAAGCGAGGCTCGCCACCGCCGTTGTCCAGGAGCAGGCGGTAGAGAGCGGTCAGTGAATCGTGTTTAGGTATTGCCCACTGGCGTGTGAGCCGGGTTGGATATCCCTCCAAGTAGTACATGTTGAACATGTTTTCCAGGCACACGATCATGTCCTCTGCTATTGCGGGATGGAGAAGCTGTTGGATGGCTAGGTCCCGAGAAAGTTCGGCCGGGTCGGAGACGCACCATACACCGCGGTTTTGAAATTGCTCGAGGCCCTCGATGAGGATCTGCTTGTTGGCGAGGAGCCACTGGGGAAGGGTCTTCATGGACCCTATGTGGAAGCATGTGTTAGTAAAGTGAGTCCGATCAAGCCAAAGAGCATGTATGTTGTCCAACTTGCCATTCTTATGATCAGGCCACGAGTCGTAGATAGCCGTGATAACGGCTCTCGCACGTAAGATTGCCTTGTAGGTGCTTGTGGCATCACACGCGACTGCCATGTGGGGTGTATCCTTCCAGAGGTGGTGGTACACCTTGTTGCGGATTTCGCGTGGAAATTTAAAGAAACTGCTACGACCTCCCACCTGTTCTGTGGCCGGCTGTTGTACCAGGGCTAATGCAGCTCTATGGATGAGGCGCTTCTTGCGGGGTGGTTCCGAGGAAGGGGACAGAGGTTGCCGACACGATGGCCAGGGGTCTAGGGGGATGGGCTCCTGTAGCTCGTAGAGCTTTCTGCGGTGTTGCTTGCCGCGGGACATTTGGAAGGGGTGCGTCAGTGAGAGGTACGTTGAGATGAAGGTACGTTCAGAAGAAGGTATTCAGAAGAAGTTGTCCGGAGGGATAGAAGATATGTGGCAGATATCGCTAAGTTGGGAAGAGTACGAATTAATACTGCTCGACATCGAATTCTTTTAGGCACTGGGAAACTTTTTGTCGCAAGTCGATCTTCTGCACGGTCGTCCGTTTTCGGTACATGTACTGGGGTTTCCTGCAGGTACATGGGGGCCTACCGTGGTTTCGATGGGCATCAATGAGTATTTATGCTGTGGAAAGAGTGGTGATGCAGTGAGAATTCTCCTCGTCAGTTTTTGACTCGGCAGGCGCGTACGGGCAGCGGTGGTGTAACGCCACGTTCTCCACGTTGCGGAACATCCAAAATACCGCTCCGATAGCAAGGAGGAGCCTATTGGTGCAATTATTCATGTCCTGGATGAAACGAGAGACAACACTGAAAACACGCTGTTGGTGAAAGGATGTAAAGGGTTGGTGGATGACGGCACACTTGAAACCTTTTCGTACCTCACAGGCACATTTGGAGGATTGAAATGGCATAGCATGTCTGTTGGCTTTCAAAGGCTAACATTCGGCCATTGCGGAAGTATAAAGCACGCGAATATCCTCGCGCTGGTGTGAAGTCGATACCCTGACGCCGCCGTCTGCGTACGCTGATCGACATATGTGTAGCCCTAAACCACCTCAATCGTGTAACAAGTCCGACAAGCCCTTGTAATCGTCTCCCCCACGTCTCTTTTCAATTTCCAATCATGGTACAGATCTCTCGCTACTGACCACGGTCGTCCCACAGATTTGGTATACCGCTTCTAAAAGAGCCAATGAATTCAATCTCGTTATAAGATGAGGTGGGCGAAGGTCTTGTGAGAGGGAGACGACGGTACGACAAGGGGGTGTCCCAGGCTCTTTGTTTTTCTTGCAGCAGCAGCGACGGTACTGGAAGGCAGCCTCCAGGTTGCTGATGACAGTGACAACGTCGCTCGTCTGGTGGCAAGTCGTGGGAGGATCTGGATCTTCCTGATTATTATCGATGTCGTCGCTCTCGCCTGTATCCTCATCATTGAGGATGCCCTCGGAGATCATCAAGCGATGAATGCGGTGGTAAAAGGGCGCACATCTCGGATCGGGTAGAGCTAACCTACTGGAACTCCGTGTAGTGGCCGAGACGGTCGGCAATTTGGTGGGAACAACCCTTGCGTAATCACAGTAACATCTGCGGGTGCAAGGTGTCCACCGTTGAGTGCAATTTGGAGCAGTACTTTAATCACAGGATCACAAATTCTCATCGACACATTGATATTGTTGACAAGCATGAACTGTGCGATGCCAGTTCTCTCGATCCAGCCACAAAGAGCATCCATGGGGTTTTGATATCCTTCCAGTTTGAGGTTGTAATAAGACGATTTGAGATCAAACTTTTAGATCTGTTTCGGCGCGTATTGCTCGGCACGGGGCGCTGGGCGGGGGCGTGACATGGTGTAGCGAATGATATGATTAGTGCTGGTGACCTCTTTGTAAGTCATATTTCGAAGTTTGGCTGGGAGTGTAAACTCCTATGTAAGCCTTTCTGTGGATCTAGTTTATAGGACATAGGGATACTGTCGTGTAGAAGAGTATGTCATGGGTCTACGTTTTCGATCTGCCGCGAAAGGAGAAATACTCTTATAAGGTTTATTCGTGCTAGTATGCCAGAGAATTGCTGAGAAAGGGAGTCACGGGTTCTCGAATAATTGAAGACAGACGTTGGAGAACGTGGCAGTTGCCGCATAGGGATACCTAAGATGCGCCCAACCATGCGCTGACAGTCGTGCGTGACTATCGTTGCAAAGCGCCTGCCCTTCGACAGCGTAGCTTCTCGCTCTGCTGGCAAGACAACAAATGTAAAGAGGGTGAACATGTTGCAGTTTCTCACGGTCGGCGCCAGAGTTGTTGAGGTTTGTTGTCTCATCTACTTCAACAACCATGGACCCTATTGAACAGAACGATCATATGACATATCTAGCCAGTGCATACGTCGAGGCAAATACGCATGCAGCCCCAGCAGCATATTACAGCGTTTGACGTACTTTCTAGCCTGCATACCGATGCGCACCTGAGCTGAGACAAGCGATATTCGGTTTCTGCATTCTGCTTGTGTTTCTTCCCTTGATGCTTTTGTGAATGAACATGACGTACATCAATCTACTGAGCACCGAACGAGGATAACAGACCAAAAGACATGCCCTTCATCAATGTCAGGACGACCAAGTCGAGCCGTGCAGCCCACAGCCAACGCTCATGGCCAAACGTCACATAATATAGCTTTTTCACACGAACAGGTCGAAAGAACCAAATCCGTTGCATGCCTTGTGCCTCGAGCCTCGACACGACACCCACCCAAAACACCTCTTCGCGGACTAGACTAACGTCCGGCCCAAAACCCGACCATCATCGGACCGCTGACTCGTCATCCATCGACGGCGCTATGTCGCGCGGGAGCCATGCAAACCGCTGGCATCGCAGTCACTAATAATTCATGCTGTCGGGTGACAGGTGCGATGCTGGCGGCTCCCATCCTTCCGTCACGGCGGACCCACCGGGGCCCACCTGCCACTGAATCAGCGCTCCGGGGCCCCTCCTTCACCATTCCATCCATTCACGTCCGCTCTCGCGCCCGCGCGCAGGACAAAGGCCAAATTGCGATCGAATCGTGGATGGACGTGTTCAGCCGTTGACAGCCTGCGTGCGGCTCCAGGGGCGCTCGTATATGCAGCGCGCATCACCCGCGCCAGCCCTCGTCCTCGATCGCGAGCGGCAACTCGGTAGCATGTGCGAGGCTTCGCGGTGCATGGAAAGGTTCATGTATGGAGGGAATGCGAACCCGAGGCGGCCTTGAATTAAATAGGGACGCGGCGCAAACACCCGCACGGTTCGCGACCCAAACTCTATGAATCCCTCGATTCCCGCGCACCCTGAGCCTCTGAGATCCCGCCCCGCAAATCGAACTCTGCGCCCATGATTCAAGCTAGTTTTACCCGGCCACGACGGCACCAGCCGCTCGCGCGCGCGCCGCGCCAAAGCCGGTCCTTTTCAGGAAATCGATTCAGGGAACAGGGCCCTGGGAGCGTTAAAGTTTGAGATCCCTTCCCTGAGCGGCATCCGTCCCCGCGAAACACTGACACTTCGTTTGCAACCCGAATCCGAACCCACCCCCTGCTCCCAGAAACCCCGTGAGAGGGACAGCACGATGCTGTTGAGCTTGTCCGCGCGCTACCGCCCTCGACCAAGAGCGGGTCTTCAATCTCCGCAATCTGCAAACACTGCCACGCCTCGGCATTGATGCCGACCCGTTGCACGTCAAGAGGCCTTGGTGTGCCGGTCTGGCGCTCGTTGTGCGACGATGATGCGCCCTCCTCCGTCATAATTGATTGTGCAGCGTGGGGCGCGGCGCAGAGGCGACGAATAGCGACCTGCATCCGCGAGGGAGAGACCCTGCCCAACACCCCTGCCCGCACAAAGTGATTTTCCTCTGCATTGATGGTCGCCCTGCTGGCCGGTCTGTACCTTTACGAGTTTGTTTGATTTTCGATTGGCGCAGCCGCCACTGGGAGCGTAGACATGGGTTTCTTCTCTTGAGCGGGCGGGTGCCCTGATGCAGAAAGCCGGTGCGATATTGGAGACTCGAAGGTTTGGTGTTCCGCAGACGATCCGCAGCGCTAAGTGTTGGCATGGCCGACGGTCCCTGATTGCCTTGCGCAGCTATGACAGCGCGCAAACAACGTGGCCGACGTTCGCTCGTGTGTAGCGGGCAAGACAGCGACTAAGCAATCGAGCTCATTCGCAGCACACCGAGGAAAAAGGGCAAGGCGTGGCAGGACCCCGCAGAACGGATTCCACGAATGATGGCGACATCGCCAAGCTGGGGAAGCGGGATCAAGCAACGCTCCGCGCTCCCGAACCATGCACGGTTGAAGACGGCGCTGCTTGCCGATGCTATGAATACCGAGGAGCGGCACAGATATTGGTCTGATCTGCTCAGTTGATGTGCATGGCTGACAGCGATCAATGATCATCTCACTATCCAACGTCCCAACGTCCCAACGTCCCAACGTCCGCACAACCCTACCACACAATGGTAGATCAACAAGACCGCGCTCGCTCTCGTGCAATACGTCGCGTGACCTTGTGCCACTGCAGTCCAATGAAAAACCACACTATGCAGGTTCGATGCCCGCTGGCCCTGTTTCGGGATCGTGACACACCAACCCGATCTGGATCGCTTGCTGTGCGTTATCGATCATCTCGACGATGCCTATTGCGCATGGACGTGCAGATGTCTGCTGTAAGCGCGCAGAAATCATCGTCGGCGAAGTACGAAATTGTCCTTGTCACGTAGCCCGTGTCTTGTTGCCTAGCCATCATTACAATATCGTACCGTGCGCACCTTCACTCGGAGATGGCCTGCTTGCATGATCTGGACCAAGCTTCGCCAGCTGACTCCAGATGTTCCCCAGGTCGCACAGGGACTCTCACAATTGCGGCCTCCCCTGCCTGGACTAATCAGTGCTTCTTCGGGCTTGGTTTCCTGCTCGCACCAGCAGTGCTGCAGGGTTGCTGTCCAGCCACCGCAAGGCACGCAGGTGTACGATGTCTGCTGCTCTTCGCTTCACGAAGCGCAACCCACGGTTCCAACCTTGCTCTTGCTGAGCGTCGCGCCAAAAGAGGGTCAGCTTCTGTGTACACTTTTCGAAACACATGCATGCCGTATGGCAGAAACGAACATTAGCCCCGTAGCCACTCAAAATATGCCTGCTGACATGCAGCTATCCATGCACTGGTGGCACAGGCCTGCAAACGAGGCTTCTCTGTTGGATTTCCGTTGTGTCACCACGAGCCTTTCAATCAGTCAAAGTTCATTTGAGTTTGATCACTCTCGTCATCCGAGGTTCGATGATGTGTGCGGCGTATACCCGAGTTGACAGACGCCAGTGCGCGCGGAAGCGACTTGATGTATATGTCGGCATGCCACTGGGCTCTAGTTTAGTGGCACGTATCAGACTGAATGTGGGGCGGAAGAGGCGCAGGACTGTGCTATGGTAGCCAAACCTTGCCCGGTGCACGCTGCGGATACAGGAATTGAACAGTCAAATGGTAAATGCGCTTGTTGAGGCGATGCAGATATGCTACGGATGCTTGAAGTAATGAAGGTCGTACGGGGGTATATGTGAGAAGTAGAGTACAGGTACATGCGCCTTGCAAGTGGGGCAAATGCGTGTATGTGAAAAGCAACGCTAGGACGTGAACATGACGGCGGATGGCGCCGAACTTTTGCAGAAAGCACGGAAGGGATCTTTGTAGACTTTGGCTTCCCATGGAGTCGACTAGAGGCGGAGCAAGAGCGTGTCGTAGAACATGAGCAGCGATGCTGGATGGATCTCGGGTGCCATGATTTGTTCATTGCACTAATGAAGCCGCCCTTCTCACGCGCTGGATGATGCTAGTGCGCAGTTTCTTCGGTCTTGACCCTATGTCCTTCTCCATGTACGTCGTGAAACATGCCGTCGGAGTCGTGGCGAGGGGGTTTGTAGGGTCCTAGTACCCGAGCTATTGTGTCAGGTAATCGAGGGTCGGGTTTGGGATCAACATGGAATGGTCCCGATGCAGTACCCCCATTCGCCTGATCGGGGGGTGGCGTTAAATGTGATATTCGTGGTGGAGACTCGCTGTCGCGTTTTTGTGACTTCGAAGGAGGGGATGTATTCTCGACGGATTCCTCGAGCTTCCTCTTGCTGCCTGATTGACGTTCGGTACAATTACAATGACCATGACCACGCAGATGAGTATCTCTCCACTTGGTGTAACTTGCATCTCTTTCGCGCTGGTACGTCTGGGAAAATGTACTCAAAGTGGTCATGTTGCGATTAAAGTCCTGGAAGTTGAGAGATGGTGTCGGATAGAACTTCTCGGTGTCTGGTGGTGGATGGCTCCATGTATCATGGCAATATGGACACTTGACCACTTCTTCATCGTTGTCTGATGCATCCTGTGGGTGCCTTGGAGTTTGTTGCAGAACATGAGTACTCGAAGGGGGCGAAGTAGCTTCTGTTGTCAGAGGCTCTGAAGGTAGAGTCGATGGAGGAATCGGTGGAGGCGGCATCTTGTTCGTTTCATTGAAGAGTACGGTATGTGGCAATGGTGGCGCGTCCGTGCGGTTTACGTCTGAATCAGAACGTTCCCGGCGGCGTTGGGAGTTCATGTTTGGAGCGTCTTGTTGAGATCCGATGGAGGGTGGGGCTGGTGGTCTACCGTAGGCAGGTGGATGTGTCAAAACGTTGCGGGAATAGGACTGGTGGGAAAGTGGATCAGAGGGAGGTGTGAGAGGATGAGCTGCAGTGTCTCGAGCAGAACGATGATGGAGTTCCGGACTTCGTGTCGATTGAGAGGTGTTTCCTGGGAGAACAGTTGTGGGTGCTTGGGAGGTTGCAGAGGGGAAGACAGCAGAGTCTTGGCGCGCGTTGATTGGCTTCCCCGCAGTCTGGTGCTCGCCTGGAGAGAAATGCGCAGGATGGCCGTCGAAGGACGACCCGCCGTGAGTGGAATTGGTCGAAGAAGAGATTGCAGTCGTCCGGTCCTGTGGCAGCGTTGGGTTCTCGCTGCGGTCCTGGTGATGCGAGGGCGGCGAGGGTTGACCGTTCACCTGGGGATTTGCGTGCCTCGTCCGTGGAGACACAGGACCCTCCGGTCGGGGTTGCTGATTGATGGGCGTCCACGAGGCCATCAGCGGAGCCGGGGTTTCACGAGGCTTGCCGTTCATGTCGACGACTTGTCTGAGGGGAGGGAGCTTGCGGTCCATGGCAGCAAGACGTGCGGGGAGAGCTGGAGGTCAAGAGGCAATCCGGGTGGCGACGAGGACAATGGGCCGTCAGCGGGAGCGGGCCGCGGCAGAGTTATGAAGCGGTTCGCCAGGCCGGGAGGAGGGTGCGGCGGTGCTGGAAATGAAGTTGCACAAGGGAGCGAGGTGAGGTCTCAGGGACGAGCGTCCATGGCAGAGCAGCAAAGGCCTGGCAGGTGCGGCGCAGACGGGCGAGCGAAGGATGCGTCCAGTCGCACCGCACAGGCAAGCGGCCGGGGCTTCGTGTTGTCTCGCTAGAGCAAGAGGCGTTCTTATGGGTTGTTGATTAGCGGGTCTTGCCAGGGTGCGTGCCGCCAGTGCGCTAAGGTGGCATGCAAAGCATCTCGGGGGACGGCGGGACTGGATCCATCTGGCACCTTGCGCGGCGCAGACGACGACCCCTGCGCCCGCGGAAGCCGGGTGTTGTTTGGGCACTTGGGCTCGCATCTGGCGTGGGATGCCAGGTGGAGCCAAGCGGCCCGGCGGTGATCGGACGACTCATCCTGCGCTGGAGAGGGAACTACTGCAACCGCGCCCCGGCACAGCGTCCAGCGCCTGTCGCCTCTCCACCGTCGCCCGCCGCCAGCCCCGTTTCCTGTGCGACCCAGAGCGCGCCGCACCAGCAGCACCGGGTGCGACCACTGCGGCGCGGCAAGCCGCCCGAGGAGTCGTCGTCGTAGACGTCGTCGTCCTCGGGCGGCGCCAGCGGGCCGCGCCTGGTCGGGAGGGCGTCTGGGACGGCGGCGCGAGGCAGAAGACAGCAACAGACGGGCCCGGCGCCTGCGGTCGAGTCTGCATGCGAGGCCAGCGCGCCTTCCAGCCCGGCTGCATGGGGAAGCTGCATCCGCGTCGCGCCTTCCCCCACGATCCCCATCCACTCCTCCCGCTGCCTCGTCGCTTGCCCGTATTGACCAGCTCCTCCCATGCCGCCAGCCGTTCGGCCAGCTGCTCCGACCTCTCCCGCTGCACAGAATCAATCGTCGGCACAGCCAACGCTGCACCCAGCCAGCACCTAGCCAGCACCCAGCCAGCACCCAGCCGGCGCCCAGCTTCCTCATTCGCCCGCACCGCCGCAGATATGCACATCACCCAGACGTTCACTTCTTCCCGACGGGTGACCGCACGGCACCCTGCTGCTCCCTGGCAACTGCACCCCCGTACCCGTGTCCCGCATCCCCGAACCTGCCCGCCGCATTGGGAGCGAGGGCTTCCAGCTGCTCGTGACGGCGCGCACGCAACGTCCTGGACAGCTGATTTGCACCTCACCGATGGATAATGTGCGCAGTTAAAACCCCGGGCCGAATAGGGGCCTCTGCCGCTCCCGGGTGTGCTCAGACTCGTCTCGGTTCAACGTCCTTCCATCTTCACCGTTCAAGAAGCCCAGGCGTTCGGGCGAGCATGTTGATGCTCCCCTCGAATCATCTCCCTGCTGTAAACGGTGTGCTGGCAGCCGAAGCGAGCGGCTTACTTCCAAGACTCGACATGATCGCCCCTTCACCATCGCTTGCACCTGCGCCTAAGAATAACGTCTGACCGTTCTAGGCCGCCTCTGATATGACGCACCGCTCGTAGAGACGTTGTCAGCCTTGGTTGATTGCTGTTATATTGAAGACCGGAGCTGAGCACAATCCAAGTCGTCACTTGTGCAGCCCTGTATGGATGTTTCATTGTTAGAGACTTTCAGCGGAGTTTGATGCGAATGCAACGACAACGGTAGAGGCGGGCGTGGAGTGACGAGTTCGTCGGACAGAGGTTACCACCACCGGTAACGCCACGGCAGACGGCTCCCTGTCTCGGGACCTCAACTCTTTGAAGAGCCACCCGGAATGTTGCTTCTACGGCCCGAACGAGAATGATCAAGTTCCCGGAATATGCCACCGTTTCAAATTCAAAATTACTTTTTTCTTGTGCTACCGAGTTGAATGGTTACCTCGCATACGACGGACATCGAGTCTCGCGAGGGGCTCCATGAAATGAGACATACGAACCACGCACTGAGCACGTCTCTGACGATTACGTTTCACACAAGCCAACGCCCAGAGACCAGTGGCAATAACTCGTTCGCCAGTAGACGTCTGCGTATTGATCTCGATGAGGTGGGAACCATACGCACCGGCTAGTCTCACCGATGCGGTTCTCTCTTTGCACCACATGTGACGGACAAGCCACCATACAGGGTTTCTGCCGTAACGCTTGCTTGCGTCGAATTGAAATCTGCTTGCAAAACTGAAAGGCGAGACCATGGCGGGGTAAAGACCGAGCCGTGTCTCGTGTGTCACCCTGTCCGAATAACGATTCGCTGGACTCTCACGTTGTGTAGCCATCTCGCGTTTGATCTTAATCTCCTGATCTGGTTCCTGCATTCGAACGTTCAATTGTCTTTCACGGCTGCAGGAGACATGATTATTGCCGCCACTTTTTTATGCCTGCTCGGCTTCGAATGAAGTTGTAATAGCCAAGCGCTCACACCATGGTCGTTCGCGACTACATACTGTCGATCCTGCCCACGATCTGTCCTCCACTTACCTCACAAATTCCGACGCTAAAATGGATTCGCGAACATTGCAGGTAGTTGTACTACACGCCATCCTTGTTTGCCGCTCACAGTGCATCTCAAGCATAGCAGGATACTGCTCTGGCCTCAAGAGCATATTCCAGCATCTTGGTAAACCTGTTCCAAGCTATTACCTCCCGTGCATTCCTCCGTCCCTCAAATACTTCACTGTCGTCCATCCACTCCAGGGGTACATTACCCGTGCACTGGTACCACCCAAATAGACCATCCCAGCAGGCAATCGATGGCCAAACCCAAGAACCTCAATCACACGGCACGGGGAATTTTGACCGTCGGCAGCTGGCGAATCCCGGCACGTGCACGGCCTCTGTGAGCGGGACGTGTGTCTACGCCAGCGATCCCAATTCCCAGTGTCAAAGTCAGAAACGTTAGCGCTCACCGGCTGGCCTCGGGCATCCTGGCTAATCGGTGAGACTGATGTCGGCCTCCTGGACCGAGTTCCATTTTTTTTTCCTTATCGCATATTCCCAGTCCTTAAGGTTGGGGTTCGTTTGGGAGGATTTGGCTCCGCGGAGCCTAAAATTGAGCGCTAGACTATCCTCAGCATAGGGGGCGTGACGCGTCGCGAACTATCCACACGGATAATGTGGACTGGACGTTTGTGTGTTGTGGGCGAGTGTTTGCGTTTGATGCAGGATTCCTCATCGAGGTGTTCGAAGGGGCCTCTGGGTTGGAGTGTGGAGTCGCGGTTGCGGGTTGGATGCCGGCTCGCGCATGTAGCGAGTGGGTGCATTGCTTTCTGCTCATGTGAGTGGGGGCCAAGGGCTTGAAGCGTCTTTGCGCTGGTGGAGTCAGTCCAATTCGTGGGAATCGCGTGCATTAATTTTCTTACATGGGCGTCTGACTGCGTTAGCAAGGGGGATATAAAGCAGACGCTCTGAGCTACTGTGGCCTCGAGTGAAAGGAGAGAGCAGTTCAGTGGACACCAAACTGGGCAGGACCGACGACGACGGGGAGGTTGTGGGCGACATTGCGTTATCGCGTCGAGGTTTGACATAAAGGCGTCAGGTTTGTGTTATGCAGGTGACATCACGTGTGGCACTTCTCAGAATCGCATCCATGGAGTCGCGAAACAGCTGTGCACCGCTTTGATGCGCGTCCACTTCTCTGAGTAAAAATGAGGTTGGGTTGGAATCTTGAAAGACACGGACTGGGTATGTGTCATCTCTACATGCACTGTGGTCGACCATAAAGAGGGGAATCCGCCCTACCGTGAACATCCACACCGATTTGTTATACTATAACTTCACAACAAAGGCATAACAGTCTGTGGCTATGAAATTTCGATATGGACTATCCAATTACACTTTGACAATAGTGTGATACAGTAGGTTCCTACAAGATAAGTACTTGAGCGTCCAAGTTTTCCGGCAGCCACTGTGTACCGTAGGTAACAGCTCCAGCTGATAAATCTATTGGTTTCAAGGTAGCTTCGTGCGCTAATTCAGTGGCTAGATATCTTAAGCGGGCAGACTTTCTGTACTGCTCTTTGCCAGGGCTGACACAAGCTCGTGAAGACTTGACAGCGTGTGTCTTATCTAGTCATAACAGCCAACGTAGTTGATAGCTATAAAGTCATGACACAGCCTGGTCACACCAGCTACTGAGAAAACTGTGTTAACAGTAGATATGGAAGAGAACAGATCGCAGTGCTTAGAGTCTTTCTCCAGGATAAGCTCTGAAGTAATTCGGCGTTCTCAAGCAAACAACGATTAGCTGACAATGCTCATGTGTTGCTAGCCATTTCTCGTCATATTCAGTCCAGGGCCAAAAATGTAAACTTTGACTTCGTATTGCTACCCGCCCTGCACCTCCCCACTCCCATCTTCTACACGACCCTGCAATTCTGGCTACCCGCCTAGGCAAGACTTCCATTTGATCCGCGGGGTGGAGTGCCCAACGCCAGGTGATCACGTTCCAAACACCTCCAAGTCATGTACCCCACCTTGGTACAATCGTTTCCAGAGCCTCAAAATATATATATACACCTTCAGCCCGTGGAGTGGAGTTGGTCACGTAACGCAACGACGACACGAGGAATTTGGGGTGTAAGTGAATGCCCAAGCAGTGTATTGTCATGTTTTCGTTCCTGGCTGGCATCCAATACAACCGCTATTCGGGCCGTTATGGACGTCAAACTATTTGTCTAAAACAGCCACACATTCAGCCGTCATTACCCTCGTTTACAATCGAAATGGGAGCTTGCATCTTGGAATATCAACGAATCACTTTCAGTCCAACCAGGTCGCCTCATAATTGCTGTTCATGTCGAGCGAACGATGGCTACAGGAGATCCAGAAGACATCATTTGGAACTGTACGCGGATGCGCGATTTCGTTGACAGCCAATGACATCATGCCGCGACGCCAAAACCATTGGCATTGCACTGCCTCAGATTCATATCGTGGACGACAAACAGGTGACTTCGAGAACCCCTACCAAATGGCACTGCCTATCTTTCCGGAGATTCAATTGCTGTCGATAGCACCGGCGCGTGCTGCCACACGCAATGCCCGAATCGAAGCCCGAATCGACTGACGACGAGCTCTCTCCTCATAAAGCGAAGCAGGAATTTATCAAATCTATCCGCAATGAGCTTTTTACGCTGAACTTCTACCGTGCGCATATGCTGTACTTCATTGTCGTCATTGCAATCAGCTCAGTCATTGTGTACGGCGAAGGTATCAAGAATGGGCCAAAGGATGGGTATTACGACAGCCATGTGAGCTATATGAACGCGCTGTTTCTGACCTGTAGTGCTATGACGACGACTGGTATGTCAAATCCTCAGCCCAGCCAATGTCTGTTTAAAGATTATGTCGGAGTTGAATGAGTAATGGGAAGAACTGGCTGACTGCGCCCAGGGCTTAACTCTGTGAACCTGGGAGACTTGTCTGGTTTCCAACAAGCAGTCCTCTGCGTACTCTTGATGGTCGGCAACATTCCATTTGTGTCGATGGTAGTCGTCTTGATCAGGCAAAGCATGTTCCGCAAAAGGATGTCTGAGGTGGTGAAACACTCCCGGGCTATGCAGAGACTGGTCCAGGATATCGAGACAAGCCATGAAAATGGGCAGAATAATGGAAGTGGCGACATCGGCTTACGGCAGCGTACCCATGCTGAGCGTGGTAGAGGCAGAGATGATGAAGGACGGGAGGCCGAGCCGAAAAAGAGGAAGATTCAGCCCTTGAACAAGAGGCGTACATTTCATCATCAGACGGGGTTTGGATTCGTACCCACACCTTGGGAGACAAAATTGGCGAAGAATCTCTTCGCTCGCATTTTCGACAACATCACGAGTGAACTCCGACCAGAGCAGCACGACTATGTCTCTTTCAAGCCACACCTAGACTCAAGAGGACGGTTTTTGGAGCTTAGCGAACATGACAGGCTTGAGCTCGGTGGTGTGGAGTATCGCGCCTTGCAGGCTCTACTGTTCATTCTTATTGGATACCAGCTCTTTTGGTACGTCTTTGGCATTGTTTTCCTCATGCCATATGCATACCGCTCCGAGACGCGCGACATTCTCCGAGAGGCACAGCCAGGAGGTCTCAACCCAGGATGGTGGGCTTTTTTTTCCACGGTCACAGAGTTTGCCAATGGCGGCCTCAACGTGCTCAACGCGAACTTTGTCCCATTCAGCGGCATGCCTTACATCCTCATCATCGCTGGTGCGCTGGCTCTGATCGGACAGACACAGTTCCCGATCTTCCTCCGACTGACGATATGGATAATGCAGAAGATGGTACCGAAAGGATCTCGACTGCGTAACACATTACAGTTCTTACTTCAGCATCCTCGACGCTGCTTCATATACCTGTTTCCTAGCAGACAAACATGGTATCTGCTGGCTATCCAGATTACGATCGATATCACCGCATGGCTATGTTTCGAGATCCTGAACATCGGCATGCCAGACGTCGAAGCCTTGACCACCGGCACCCGCATCCTCGATGGACTGTTCCAGGCCACAGGTCTCCGTACATCTGGCGCATACATCATCACTTTCTCCTCGCTTGCACCTGCCTGCCTGGTGGCCTACTTGGTCATAATGTACATTTCCAGCTACCCACTGGTCATGACCCTGCGCAAGACGAACACATACGAAGAGCGGTCGATTGGGCTGCAGGAAGGCGACGATAGCGCTGCTGGTATTGCATCGCATCTTCAGAAGCAATTAGCGTACGATATCTGGTTTCAGTTCCTTGCTTTCTTTCTGGTGTGCATCATTGAGCGGGCACATCTTCGCGCTGCAGATCCGGGGTTCGATATGTTCTCGCTGCTGTTCGAGGTGACATCGGCGTATGGGACCGTAGGGCTATCAACCGGTGTTCCTGGGGAGGATATTAGCCTCAGCGGCCGCTTTGCTGGTCTGAGCAAGGTTGTCATGTTGTTCGTGATGGTGCGTGGAAGACATCGGGGGTTGCCACTCGCGATTGATCGAAGCATTCTTCTGCCAGGGGAAGAGTTGATGAAGAGACTGGATCTGGAGTACGGTGGTGGCGCAGACGCCTCTGTGAACGACAAAAACGAGTTGGTACGTGATTTTGAAGAGGGCACTACCCAAGCGGGAGGCTCGAAGCCGATTCAAAGTGCGGAAAGGGAGAATGTTGGAGAAAGCGCCACGCCTAGTCAGTAAATTGAGGACCACTACGATTTGTGTTCTTTCTCATAATGTATGAAATAACGAATGGAAACGTAATCGCACAATTCAGCCTGTACTATCTTATACTGTTATACATTTGTAAACGTCTTGTATAATAGGTCAACGTGGCCGTTCACAGTAGGGTGGGTTCTCCTCCTTATTGGCGGCCACTGTGATTCTATTCATAGGAGAACTTCTCTGATCTGGTCTTGTATTTACTACAAGGTTATATGTTGCTGTTGCGGCAAAAGTTAAATCAGTGTCCAATTTAGCATTGCTGCATACATAGACTCATCGCACAGCACCGCGCAGATTCTCCGATCCCATGAAAAGGTAGACTATGGCTGCTGCAGAACGCCCCTCGTTGTCAAAATCTGCACAACCGGTAGGCTATCACTCATAACCTCTTTCTTCTTCATCAAAATCCCACCATGAGGCGCTCCATCTTGTTTAACATACCAGAAGTGAAAAGCACCTGGGATCTTTATATCCCAATCTCTTCCACTCAAGTCCTGGACCTTTTTCTCCTGCGCTGTTGCATTGCCGCGGAGGTTCGCAAAAATATGCGCCTGGCCGATCATCTCCCAGCCGTCTTTTGTCTCCCAGGTGATGATGAAGTAAGGCTCGTGGAACTCGGAGGTAAAGTGCTGGTACATGTTTTTGGATTCGGCGAAGGCGACGGCGTTGCCAGTGGAGGATTTGCCGTCTGGTTTGACGAAGGTGAAGTCTTGTGAAAGCTGTAGGTGGTGATGTGTCACCTCATTGTACGTACTAGAACACATGGAGTCTTCCTGGAAGCGGATGGATGTAACAAAGAGATGCATACCCATTCACTTTCCTCCTTGTCCCACTCCTCCCGCTTGTTGAAGGTTCGAGTAAAGTTTTCCATCCACTTCATGGCTGGATGCTTCCTTGTTTCGTCGTCCCAGGTTCCTGCATGCACAAAAGCTGGTGTAGTTGGGAAAGACATGGTGCAAATTCGAGTGAAGGTATTGATCTTCTTGCACCGGACCAGCTATTCCACATCATGAGGATTAAGTACATCAGAGGAAGCACCGGCAGCTGTTCAGCCCGGTTACATAAGGTGGTGTGATACCTGGTACTCATCTTCAGCTGCTCAAACTAAACACGATGGCGTCGAATTCCACGTTTGTATGAAGCTTGATATATGCTTTCGAGCTGAGCTCGTAGAAGTTGGTGAGAAGTTGTTGTATCAATGGCGGTATATTGGCCGATAGTATGCTTTTACAGTCGGCGGATGTGAGGATCAAGAGCAGTCTTGATAAATCGAACAACCGAGTTCAACTGCGCGAGCACATATCAGCGATGTCAGTAAGGTATGGACGTTGCGACTGCACTTCAGCCGCTGTTAGCTGAAGTTGGGGTGCGTGTGCGGGGAACGCTCCGTTCGGGTCGCAGCGGATGTCTGAGACCCCACAGGTCCTGCTTCGTCAAGGCTGCTATGCGGTGCTCCCTCAAGCGAACAAACACATCTGTGGCGTGACTGCCTCGCTCGTTGTTTCTGGCGCACTAGCGCGATCTGGACCCACAGATTGGAAACGTAGACAAGCTGCCAACGCTACCATAGGTATCTGTCAATATTAGCTATTGACGAAAGACAAAAGGCCGTCAAGCAGCGAGACTTTCTCGTTCACGTGGGGGCTCGCTGTCTTTACAGCATACCCAATGCCGACGAACAGAGCACCAACTTCAGGCACTGCGCATTCCAGCATCGTCCCTGCACTAAAGCAAGGGTGCAAGGCCCAAGTCTCTATGCCCAGAAACCTGCAATAGCTCAATTACTTTTTCCCTCTTAAAAGACTGCCTTGAGCATTGTGTAACAATTATCACCGCTACTTTTACGACTCAATGCACGTAGCCTGCAGGATGTTGCCGCTTGTTCACACAACAATCCGACAGGCCGAAGCATGATGTATAGGTAGCGTGAGGCTTTGGGGTCACGTCGAGGACGATGGTATGCCTCTCATCCAGTTTCTCAATGATTCGCATATTCTTATTCGAAGTCGTGCCGTGAAGGACAATCATGGTGGTTCCCCTCGAATGCGATGGAAAGGCCAAGTCTGTTGTATTTACAAGATATGGTTACAAATGGGATACAACGCCTGGTGATGCTCCGAGAACCTTCAGTCGTGTATCCGCCTTCGTATCAGGTTTATTTTAGCGATTGACGAATCGTCAATGACATAAATGCAGCGATGCCTCCTCTATTTTCCCTTGGCGTTGCCCGAATGCGTCTCGTAGAACTTGTCCGGCCACACACTCTCTTAAGGCTGTGAATGCGTCAGTCTGTATCGCCTGATGCATGATTTCTGGGGATGTCTTACCGTATTCTTTTGGCTCGAGAAGTTCTCCTTGAAGTGATCAGTTTGCGGGCCCTTGTGTTCGCTCGTTTGCCTCAACGTAGTGTCTTTGGGGTCGCCTAGAATATTCCATTAGCCAATGCCACGATAGAAAGGCCACAGGCAATGCTGCCACATACCACGCGGTGTGCCTGCCGCAGGTGTCGAGTAGGGGGTGCCTCCACCGGCGGTGAAACGATCCTCAATATTCTGCACCTCTCTCGTCTTGTAGGGATTCGGGAACCAATACTGTCGCATGAACATGTAGTAGGTGAAGCCAACGGCACCGCCGGCCATGAAGATCTTGGGGATGGTGAGACGGCCCGACATTGTTTGGTGTGTAGAGTTTTTCGAAGGTCGGATGATGCGGTAGAGGGACGCGATTTGTCTAAGGTCTCGAGGCACAAGAGGATGACGGAGTAGCTAGGCGGGTGCGGGAAGAATTGGGGATGACGGCGGTAATGTCGGGCGCTGGGTAGGTCATGCGTGTTATGCCTTTTGCGTGCACTTTGTCGTTGCTGTTGCCAAATGTTCGCGTCATCAAGCCCTTAGCGCGAGAGCTCCCCTGGTCGATCGGTCTTGGCAGGGTCAGCCCTGTCGATGAGGCTGAATGCCGTTACGTCAGCGAGGGTGTGGCGCTCCTTTTGCGAAACCACCTCTCCTGGATGCTGGAAGGGACACGCGATCACTCAAAGGACACCTTGCATAGCACAACAATACGTGGGGAAGGAGGCGGGCGCACTCACCTCTAGTCACTCGTTCAATCTATCCGACGAGAGAAGGATTAGGGCCTTCGGCGCATCGAAACGGACCGGACAGGCAACTGGCGGCATCAAAATGGACGGTGACCCGGCGGTGGAGCCGCAGCTCGACAGGTTCAGTCGCATACTGCCACTGCCTTATCGAGTTGCTTTGATTATCGTAATGGGTATGCGCTCTTCCCGTGTTGCAGCGAACTCGAGCTGACAGTCTCGCAGGCATATGGGCCTGGGGCTTGAATCTCCACTACCTCTCCCTCATTCGCATCGACGTTCCCTCCCTCATTCGGTACCCGGCGCGCAACTCTCCGCACCACCCACCGCATTATCTATCTTGCTACCGCGTCGCGCTTTCCCTCACCGTACCGCTCGTCCTTTCCCTGCTCCTCTTCTGGAGTCTCACCAACGGAAGTCCCGCCGACATCGCCGCATGGGAGATCCTGCCGAACCTGTACCTTATCGTCCTCGTCATCGGATTCATTGTACCCATACCCTTCGTGAGCAGGAATGGAAGACACCGGACACTTGCAACTCTGAAAAGGATCAGCATAGGAGGCATCGCAGAGGCGCAGGACGGAAAATTTGGGGACATCTTGCTCGCCGATGCATTGACGAGCTACGCGAAGGTGCTGGGTGATCTTTTTATTAGCCTGTGCATGTTCTTCTCGTCTAAACACAGCTCCACGGGCCCGCCAAACCGCAACTGCGGCGGCTTCTTCTGGGTCCCCTTCATCATATCCGTACCCTCGCTGATCCGTCTCCGCCAATGTCTTACCGAGTACGGGCGCGTGAAAAAGGCAAACAAGCAGGCAGGGCAGGCTAGCGCCGCGACAGGTTGGGGTGGTGTCCATCTTGCCAACGCCTTGAAGTACAGCACGGCGTTTCCCGTAATCATCCTCTCTGCCATGCAACGAAGCCCAGACCCCTCCAAATATGGCATGTCCGACAAAACCCTTTTCCGCTTATGGCTTGCTGCAGTCTTCGTCAACTCAGCGTATTCTTTCTGGTGGGACGTTAGCCGAGATTGGGATCTGACGCTCCTGCTGAGCAAAAGAGAGAGGGAAAACCCCGAGCATCCGTACGGCCTGAGACGACATCGCTGGTTCCACGCAAAGGAGTTCTACTACACGGCAATCGGGATTGACGCCGTGCTGAGGTGCACGTGGAGCATCAAGCTGAGTCCGCATCTGGATCATTTCAACGATCTGGAAGGCGGCATCTTCATGATGGAGGCATTGGAGGTGTTCAGAAGATGGGTTTGGATTTTCTTCCGTGTTGAGACGGAGTGGGGTGAGTACTCACCCATATTGACGCTTAACGCAGAGGGCTGACCGAACGCAGTGCGTAACCATCGGGGCCCCGCGCCTGACGACATCCTTCTTGGCGACTTTGCGAACGCATCGAGCAAGTATGATGAGGACGACTGATTGACTTACGGTCGAATGGCTTTGAATGAAGCGTGCGTATCGCATATGCATTTTCCGGCGTCCTTGAGCGTTCCTAGAGGTAGATAAACACAATGCTAAGATAGCAGCTTATGCATTAATTACCCCAACCGTCGCGTGTGGTGCTGATTGTTCGAAACTGTATGCGACTCCGAGCGCTCCATCCCAGAACCAACTCGTGATCGTCCCCTACTAACACCATCTACCAATCACTCACTGCCGCTACCCTTCCCCTCCCACCAAACCTGCCCCAAGCTGAACGTCATCATAAACGCCCCCTTCTCCCCGCCGCTCTCCTCCAAAACATGCTGATAATATCTCTCCAACTTCCCACAGACCCCTGCCCTCTTTCCTGGCAGCCTCGTCAGCAGAATCCTCCTGACCACTTCGTGCCACTCCCACGACACGGGCCGCTCGCACCATACGAACTTGATGGCGTCGAGGAGCTCAGCAGGGGTGTAGGTGGCGGTGTCGTCGACGGGCACGACGAGCGCGTGGGTTTTCCAGGTGGTGGCTGGTTGGACCATCCAGGCGTGGAAGCGGAGGGTCGATGGTCAGAGTGGGTGGGTTGGGATGCTACGGTGTACTATGTCAGATGTTACTCGTTCTCGGAGCGAGTGTCATCGTACCATGTTGTCAGCACCGTTCTCCATATATCTCTGCGTTGTCATGCGCACGAAGAGCACGTACATGGGAAACTCGTAGCCTTCGGCGTGGAAGATGAAGAGGCAGTGGACGTTGCGCTGTGAGCTCTACCGGACGAAGCTGTGAATACGGATCAGCAAAATCTGGTTTGCGATGGTGAGGTGAACCAGACGTACTCGGCTTGAAGCAGCGCCTGCTGAGCTTCCAGATTGTCTGAGGTACCGTCGATAATGTCTTGATCCAGGTTGGCTTTTGCCCATGCGTGGACGTCGATGTTGCCGTCAGTATCGCGTGTGAGGGCGTGCTTGCTTGGGGGAGGTGCGGACTGTGACATCTCGCTTGACGAGGTAACAGGAGTTATGAAATCCAAGAAGCACTGGTAAACTTTATGATGTAGAGGGTGCTAGCAAAATCACATTCCACGATACGGTGGATATCGCATGCGAGCTGCATTATGGGGCGGGTCACGGGTCAGCTGGCGTGACGGAGTCGGGTGAACGATAATGATTTACAATTTGAGCGCTGAAATGTGAGAACGCACGCTGGGACCTGAAGCTCCGTCATGGAGTACCGTGACAGTGATGACTTGAGCTATGGTCATTAGACGTGTGTTGCGTGCTGAAAAGGCTAAGCGGGACCATGCGAACAGAGGCAGAACACTTCTTGTACTTGACCTTGTTATCATGTTACCGATGTTGAGTCGTCACAAGATGGACAATTTCACAGAGAGAACATGACACCAGCAGATTATGGACACATACTTGCCATCTTCTAAAGTAGTATGCAGGTATTGTGGCACCCTTACGTCTCCGAGGAATCGTACCTAATATAGGTTCTCTGAGACAGCACGAACCGAGGACGTCGTGTTGGACGCAGGGCTGATTGTGGATGTGGATGCTGTTGACGACGAAACCTTTGAATAATTCGAGATCATGATTGGCAGTTGCTGGCGAGATTCTGTCGTTGCGATCCGCGTATCATCCCTGGCTTCAGTCATCTCTTCGTCACCCGATTCCTCCTCTCTCATTTCCACATCACCCTCCTCGTCCTCATCCTCGCTTTCCGTGGTACCCTTCTCTTCCTCATTGATCGCTGTCATGCGGTTGATAAACTCCTTTTGCAGCTCCTTTAGCCAGGAAGCCAGCAGATCACCCTCCAAGGTTCCATGAAACGCTTGCACCAGATGTTCTTTGAGATCAAGGATGAGCTTACGACGGCGCTCTGCAATGACATTCTCGGATATTTTCTTTTTCTGCTGAAGGCGGCGCTCGAGTTTGTGCGCGTAGTAGGTAGCATCAGCAATGACCTGAGGTGGGAGGGGCACAAGGCGGGCAAGGGCAAGGCCGTAGTGGGATTCTTTCACCGAGCCTTCGATAGCGCGGTAGAGCATTGTCATAGTGTCATCGTCACTGATCTATGAAATGTGAGCAAAGACAGCTTGAAAACGACGTGAAACTTACTTCGACGGCAAGGTGCAGGCAGATGACCCCATTGCGCTCCGAAAGAATGGTAGCCAGATCCTTGAAATGGGTCGCAAACCAGACCAGAGCCCTGCTATCGACCAACGCCTCAGCGACTGCAATAGCAATGGCGAGACCGTCGCGGGTGCTGGTGCCGCGACCGAGCTCATCAACAATCGCCATGCTGCGCCTATCAAGGTTTCGCAAAATAAATGCGATCTCTCGCATTTCTGCAGCGAATGTAGAGGCGTTGCTCTCGATGCTATCATCCATACCCACCCTAGCAAAGAGGTTGTGCAGTATGGGAAACGAAGCGCTGCTTGCAGGGACGAAGCTGCCTACCTGAGCCATAATGGATAATAGGGCGACCGACCGAATTAGGGTACTCTTGCCGCTCATGTTGCACCCAGTGATAATTTGGAAGCGACACTGTTGCGTGGCGTACACATCGTTCGGGATGAACTTCGTCTGCATTATCTTCTCTCGGATTGGGTGTCGTGCTGCTTTGATTCCAAGTGTGTCACTGATGCGAGGGCGAACATAGTCGTTGACGGTTACAAGGTGGGCAAATGCGGAAAGCTGTTTCAGTTCCAGGAATGCATTGAATGCTCAGGATTGAGTACTTACCATGTCTAGCATTGCGATTGCTTCGCAAATCTTGAACAGTGCTGACATGTGCCCTCGCACTTCCTCGATGAGAGTCTGAACGGCCTCATCGCCTGCACGTGTTAGCTTTTTTGATGATGCTGTTGTGGAAACTCGCGTACTCATCAACACGACCTCTTGATGAGAGATATTAATCTTCTGATTCCTCTTCATCAATTCCACTGTCTGACACTCGATCATGTGCTTTTTCTTGAACACGTTCGTGAACACCGGTGGAAGAGTCCTGTCTTCTAGCTCAGCCGCATGGATACGGATATAGAAGTTCCGACCGTTGTCGTACTTGAGATCGAGTTTGATGTCGTATTCTTCTACACGGCAATATCAGCTTCCATCGAATACAAATTTGTCGTCAGATTACCACTCAGCTCTGTGGCATGCTGGTAGGCATCCTCCATCGCTTCCTTGTAGGTGGTCCGGGCTACATCGAGCAAGCCATTGACTCCAGACTTGACAGCATAGTTGCGCTGATTTCGTAGCTCTAGCGGCTGCTTTGCGTACGTAGTATCCTCATTGATGTATTCATTGATGAGAGCATACACTGGAGCAACGTTCTCGGGGGCGCAGAGCTACGCTTGATCAGCTTAGGAATACGATAATTCCCAAGTGCACAAACTTCACGTATGTTGTTCAGCATCCAACTGCGAGCTCCAGTGAGTGCTTCGTAAATAGGCGAAACTGAGGTGATGAACTGCTTCAGCATGATGATTTGGTTGATGCTTTGTTCGGTGGTCTGGATGGTGGGTTTAGTTGGCACAATTATAAGCTAGGAGAGCCAGTCAGTGCAACACCTTTTTCATCTAGGTGTAGAGCATACAGCCGTCAGAATCTTGTCAGCATCCAGAAAGCCCTTCAATGCCGAACGCGTGCCGTAGAACATATCTTCCCTAGTTTGCAGCTCGTCCACAGCATCATATCGCTTTTTCAGAGTGTCAGTGTCAGTAAGCGGCTGGAGGACATTGCTGCGGAGAAGGCGAGCCCCCATCAGAGTCTGCGTCTCGTTTAGAAGGCCAAACAAGCAGTCTCTTGACTTCGGGTTGTGCAGATTCTGGAGGAGCTCGAGTGAGTAGATAGTGGAAACGTCGATCATCATAGAGCCTTCGGATGGCTCATATTTCATTCTGAGGGAGTGATAGGGAAACTTGACCCCCAATTCCAGCTCGATATACTTCAGAACCTAGACCAAATCAATTCATGGTCCCTAATGGGATCAAGCCTCTTACAGCAGCTATGCAGCAAACTGCATAGTAGCTGCCAGAAACAGAGAGCTTGATGGCTTCCACATCATCGTCAAGTGCCAGTGTCTTGATGTAGTCGAGACCAGCGCCTTCAGCCCAGTACTTGCGGTCGAGCAGGGTCATCTTACTGTCCATGATGTCCAAATTCTCTTCGATGATGGAGAACAACTTAGACTTTGGACTTGCGGATGTTGATACAGTGAGAATCTCAGAAGGACAGTAGACGCGCAGCTTATGGATAGTCTTCACGTAGGTCTGGCTGTCGCAAATCTGGCAGAGCACGGCGTCTCCAGTGTCCATGTTGACGAAGGATATGCCCACAGTGGGCGAGATGCCGCGAGACTCGGCAACGGCACAGACAACGGTCTGAGCTTCGACACGGGCAATAGTCGAGGCGCCAGTTCTAGGCCGGGCAGTCGATGGCCTTCCGGTGCTTCGACGCGTTCTAGGGCGAGACGTTGTAGTGGTGTTGTACTCACCATACCCATAGCTGTAGCTCGGATATGACGAGGCGCCTGCTGAGGTGCTGTATGAGGTAGGCGGCCTTGAACGGTGAGCCATCCTGATTAGTGAAGCTGTATGGTCAGTGTGCGATCAATTGGTTTTATCACTGGGTCGTTCAGACTTCCACGGCGCGAATTGGGAAAGCCACTGCAAGATGGGAGGAAGGAGCAACCCTCCTGGACGCGTGATGGGTGAACCGCTTAGCGCGTCACCCCTGCTAGCGCCCATGGTTATCGATAACACCAACGAAATTTTGGAGTCGCAAACTCCCCGCTACGTGCGCATTTCACTGCTTTTTGTCACGAGGAAGAAGTGACTTTCGCTACCGCAGAATGGCAACTCAAGTTCCGCCCCCGTCCAAACGCCAAAAGCGCGAGGCCATCGAAACCAGCCGCACGCAAGCCCCCGCGGCCTCCATTCCAGACGGCAGCATCCGCATCCGCTTCGTTGACCAAAGCACCGGCACCTCAGGCACACTTCCTGTCCTGACAGTTCCCCTCTCGCAAGCCACCACAGCCAATCTCAATCTCCTGCTCAACAGTCTCAAAGACCAGCTCGACGATGATTCGATACCCTACCGTTTCTACCACGGCGAGTCCCCCGAAGCGCTCGGTGACAAGGAAGATGTGTACAACTCGTTGGTGAAGCCCGGCAGGGTGACAGCAGAAGAGGAGGTCGTGCTACAGTATGCGCCGCAGGCGGTATTCAGAGTGAAGGCTGTGAGTCGATGTGCGGCGGCAGTGAGTGGGCATGGAGATAACATCTTGGCGGTGCAATTTAGTCCCAAGAACAGTTCGCGCATGGCGAGCGGGAGTGGAGATAAGACGGTGAGAATATGGGACTGCGATACGGGAACGCCGGCGCATACGCTCAAGGGACACTCAAGATGGGTGTTGGCAGTGAGCTATTCGCCAGACGGAGCGTTGCTTTCGTCGGGAGGTTACGACAATGAGGTACGGATATGGGACCCGGAAACAGGAAAGCAAATTGGTGGGCCGTTGAAGGGACACACAAACTTCATCACCAGTCTGACGTGGGAACCATATCACCTGCAACAGGAGGGCCGACCGAGGGTAGCAAGTTCGAGCAAAGACGGGACGGTGAGGGTATGGGACGCGGTCGGCGGGAAGATGGAGTACGCGCTTTCAGGCCACAAGGGCAGCGTGACATGCGTGAAATGGGGCGGCACAGGGAAAATCTACACTTCCTCGCACGACAAAACCATCAAAGTCTGGAACGGCCACGACGGCACGCTCGTCCACACGCTCTCCGGCCATGCACACTGGGTAAACCACCTCGCGCTCTCCACCGACTTCGTCCTCCGCACCTCGTACCACGACCACACAGGCAAGGTCCCTGCCACATACGCAGAGAAACTCGCAAAAGCAAAATCGCGCTTCGAAAAAGCCGCCACCATCAACGGTGAAGTCGTCGAGCGCCTCGCCACCGCCTCGGAAGACTGCACGCTCTTCCTTTGGACGCCGCTCAGCAGCAACAAGCCCGTGACACGCATGACGGGCCACCAGAAGCAGATCAACCAAGTCTGCTTCTCGCCGGACGGCAATCTCCTCGCGTCGACGGCGTGGGACAACCACGTCAAGCTGTGGTCCGCGCGCGACGGGAAATTCCTGTTCACGCTGCGCGCGCACGTCGGCCCCGTGTACATGGCGAGCTTCTCGGCGGACAGCAGGCTGCTGGCCAGCTGCAGCAAGGATACCACGCTCAAGGTGTGGGACATGAGGACGGGCAAGCTGAAGCAGGATCTGCCGGGACATCAGGACCAGGTGTTTGCGCTGGACTGGAGCCCCGACGGCGAGCGTGTCGGGAGTGGTGGTGCGGACAAGCAGATCAGGATATGGAGGAATTGAATTAAGCTGGCTGGAATCGCACATCAATATACCCCCTGTATGATTCGATCTTGCCGTCTGAGTAGCCTGGGTCCGCTGCAGCTCACTCCCCAGTTGAGCTTTCCGTCTCTAGCTCCAAACCTCCCCACCCACCCGGCCCTCACACCAACCAACCCCACTGACCACATTCCTCGTTCCCTTTCTTCCCCTGTCCCATCCAGTCCTCCACATTCCAATTCCATACCACCCAGCACCCGCGCTCAGCCCTGCCAACGAAGGACTCGTCGTCACCGGGAATGCGCAGGACCAGCCCGAAACACGAAAAGATTCTGTGGATCCACGACCCAGCTCCCTGGGCCCGCAGCGCACCAGATCAGATCAGATCAGGGACGGCTCGTACGACGGGAGGATCGTGCGATGGGGTGATCGGAATGTAAACAGGCAGGCAGTGGGGCTGCGGGGCGGGAGGGACGGCACGTCGCAACGGGCATGCATGAATGAACGGTGAAGCTGTGACGACCAATGCCGCTGTCAGGGTGGGGGAAACTAACATGGTATGACTAGGGGCAGTCGACAAAATCACGAATAGTGGAGAACGAGCATGGTTTTGTAGTGTCTGATTCTGTATCTAGCAGATGTAGCTACACGTATTTAGCTGCTGTCTGTCCAATCTGAGCCATCCTGGCGCCTCGCCAGTTGCCTTGTAATCCGCAAACACCGCCGAACCCAGTAATCCCTGCCGTAACGAGCCTGTTTCTGCGTACAATCTTGTGGGCTGATAAGGAAGTCATGACAGAGATGTAATTGTACAAAACAAACGCCGTAAAGCCGGCCCAGTCTCGTGTCATAGGCCCACGGCGTAGAGCAGATATCACCCATAACTGCGACGTCGGTACCCACTTGCTATTCCCTAGCTAAGTAGCAGTCGTCCGAACAGAATGCGAAAAGGCAGTCGTGTGTCTCTTTTAAATCGTTCAAAAAGTAAACGACAATATCCTGGAAGTTATCGAAAATCGTAAGTCGGTCGTAGTCGTAAACAGGAGTGGAGCAACAGGCCCCAAGGAGATTGCTGCTGGCTCCATGCCTAAGCCATGAGCAGTTCTTGAGCTGAAAAGCAAGGCTCGAAAGCCGTAACATCCGGTATTGTGATCCGGTGAAACAATCATAGCTCAGTTAGCTCCAGCTCCTTGAGCGTTGCAAAAACAATCCGGTAAAAGTGTTCAAACGCTCCCAATATCATGGTTTGCGCTCCCAGACTGCAGACATCCCCGAATGTCGAGTCGGCGGTATGTGGAACAAGCCGCTAGTATACATGGACAAAATGAATCTCGTACGACAAGCACGCGACTCGTTAGTCCATGTAGAAGTCGCCCTTGAGGATACGCTCCTGCATGGCGTCGGGCACCTTGGGCTGCTTGGGCATCTCGCGGACGGGTGGTTCCATGATAGCCACGCTCTTAGCCCGTTGATGGGGTGGAGGCTGCGGCTGCATCGGTTTAGCACCGGACATGGACGCGCGCTCGGCTCGGGTGCGGAGGTTCTCTGCAAAACTGTAGCCTTCGCCTGAAGTCGAAAGCATCGTCGTCAGCTCGTGTTCTCCTAAGGCTTCGTCGGGATGGCGTTTGAAATGCTCGGCGAGTACATGAGAGACATCGGAAGAATGGAAAGACGGCGAGCGCTCCGAACGCTGAGATTCGGGAGTCACGGCCTGAACATGGGGCGCAAGGGGGTTGGGGGCAGCAGATGTGGATGAAGACAGACCTCGACCTCTTGCAGTCGGGGGAGAGGAGACTTTATGGATGGAGGGTCTACCATTGGAGTTCCCAACACTGCCATTGCTCTGCCTAACATCCCGCATGGCCCGGGCGCCAAAACTCAGGCGCCGAGCAAAAGGCGTGGCGGGGTTGCTGTTTGCGGAGGGCATCGGATCATCTTCAAAGGGGCTCTCGTCGACGGAGCCAGAGTTGGCGCTCGAGATGCTCTCGGTGCGGGGCCGTGTCTGGAAGGGTGAGCTTTGGTTGGGCGAGGCCGAGAGGCCGATGGTGGTGAGGGAGAGGCGACGCCGCTGAGCGTTGACGGCGGCAGTGGTGATAGGGCCAGGGTAAGGCTGGCTCTGCACGGGCGCGCTGCTCTGGCCAAAGATGTCTCTGAACGTCTGGCCGGTGACGGAGGCTCGCCTTCGATCGGAGAAACCGGGGCTCGGAAGCGGCGGTGAGTTGCGGTCGGAGGACATTGCGGGCGTGGCGGGAGAGAAGGTGCGATGTGTGGCTGGTGCGGGTGTCGTCTGGAGCGAGGTCAATTGGGGGTTGCAAGCAATCAGCGGCGGTGTGGGCGGCAGAAAGGCAACGGGGGCGCAGGGGTAGAAATAGCAGACGATGGTCGGCCCCGATGCATGTGCTCGCTCGAGCCAGCGACTTACCAAGCGCGATACGTCACGTCACCGGCGTCCGATAAGGCCGCGGTAGCGTGATGGTGGGGGTGGAGTGGAGTGGAGCAGTTTCACAGCGCGGCACAAGCAGATGAGCGGCGGCGGAAGGAGCAATCAGTGCAGATTGAGGCGACGAGGAATGTAATGCGGCGAGAGCAACGGGCGATGATGGACCGTCTTAATATGGGACATGGCAGGAGGAGCGCCGGCGACGCGGGATCAACTGACTAGCCTTGGTAGGGAAGGCGCACCTTCCCCGCATTCTCCAGGGAAGCGACGAAGGGCCGCCTGTGGGTGCACAGCAGCGCCCGCGACAAATCAGCGCCCGCCGCCCGTACAGCTAACAACGACTACTGCGACACGGCCGCAGGCCAGCCAACAAGCCCTGCTCTCTCTGCGTCGCCGGCCCACCGTGAGCGACGGCATCCTGACGATCGCCGCACAACTCCCAACCGCCCAGGACATGCCTGGGACTGTTCGTCTCGCCCCTCAGGGGTGGGGAGCTCTGATTGCTGCATGCGTACAACCACCCTCACCCCCGGGGCCCTCCATGTCCACGGCCGGCAACGGCTGCTTCTTCTGTGTTCCCCCGCCGTGGGACGCCAGCCTGTGATGACGGCTTATCCGACTACACATGCTTCTGTGGCTTTCATTGTACTGTAAGCGACTGTCGTCAAGACCTGCCGTGACCAGCAGCGCTGCAGGGGGCCTATGCACCTGTATGCAACCACCATGTCTGCCTGTAGCCTTCCATAGCACCCGGCGGACCCAGTTACGGGGTGAGAACGATGGCCAAGAACGGCCCGAAAGCCTTCTGAACGCGACAAGCACACGAGTCCTCGCAGGCTACAGCTACGCTATGCAGCGCTTCCTGTTGAGACCGAGTGCCCTGATGTGCTTGCTTTGTCCAACCACCTCGTGTTGCATGTTGGACACACACGCGAGCATGCATGTCATGTTGGCTGACTCCTTGTTTCTCGTGGTCCACAAACGTAGAAGGCACCTTTGGTCGCGATACTTGAGCGGTCTATCATCCCGGTATCACACCACGAGCGATCGTGGACCATGCAACGGCCCGATATGCGCATCAGGTCCACTCCTATACAGTAGCTCTATCTCGGTCCTTTCTTAGCTCGAGTGAAGCACGCTTCCATCACGACTAATCGTCTCCGCGTCTTGGCACCGCGCCCGTTGCATAACATTTCCCCGCTGCAGTCATCAGCTGGACGCTTACCTGCAGTTGCACTCTACCCGAGAGGTTCCAGTCGTGCTTAGGGTGTAGTCGCAGTCCCCTTTGGACGCACATATCCCTGTACTCGCCCTGTTTACGGCCCTTGTATGCAGTATTACGAGACCTGGTTCAGTCTGCAACGCGTCCGAGACGTTCCTGCACCATTTCTGTCATCCCTTAGCGCCTCCAGACAACTGCAAAAGTGTCGCCATGGTCTCTGTTTGCAGAAAGAAAGACTGCATTTGGATTTCTGTGGGTTAAGCTAACTCGATGAGTATGTACAAGTGGGTTTGTAAAGCAGGGAAAGGAGTGGTGTGATAAGAGGAGCGCAGCCAAAGAAGTGAAGTCTAAAGTGCTATCACCACAAGCCAACCTAATGCCTATGGAATCAAGCAAGTAAGAAAGAGAAAGATATAACAGAACTGGAACGAAACTCCGGCTAGGGAAGAAAAAGAGCCCGACGGCACATGATAAAGCGGTTAAAGGAGGGGAGAAGAGGTATCGCACTGACCCAGAGTTTACCGTGTAGCCGTCCAGAGGAACACCCAAGCCACTTCGAAACATGAAATCCAGAACTGTACCCATATCAAATGAGAAACCCAAAACGATAGCGAAAGGAATGTTCGAAGGTACAGTAGAGTTGCGCGGGGTTTGAGCCGTAGTGTGCAAGCTCACTGCATCGTTCTCTTTGGACTGTTTCCACCACTCTGAGATGCCGCTCTCTTCCTGCTTTCCTGGATCAGCGAGCGTAAAACGCTCAGGTACGCGGGCGGTGTTAGTGGCGTGTTCCGGACCCGATTCTCAATCTCCCCTAGATCCACCCCGTGATGGCGAACAACATGTGGCGCCATGTCTTGGAGCTTATCCAACACAAAGAACCCATTCTCCTCGCTCGCAGGGCCTATCAAGCGGACGAAGAGGTTGTTCCTCATTGGATCGCTTGGTGGCTCTGTGGTGACCCAGGGGCTATTGGCGTAGGCGTCATTGTTGCGACTCGTGACTTCTTCCAGCATCCTAACATAAGCTAGCGCGGCCAATCTCTCGATCTCTGTATCGTCCCTCCTCTCTCCAGCGTTCGAGACCAGCGAATCCTCACGATACTCTTCAATCTTCTCTACCAATCCCTCAAGCCGGGCGGCACAGCTCACAACATCAAGAGACGGCGTACGGTGGTTGGTCGGTCCCCTCTCAATATATTCGTCCAGCGCATTGAACGCTTCATCGATGCGCTTGTTGATCTTCTCGAAGAAGACTTTCACCTGGAACTCAGGCGAGCATAACTCCTGTAGCTGCATGAAGAAGGCCGGGTACCGAATTGCATGTTGTATGACGATTGGGCGAAGCTCTCGGAACATGCGCGACTGTTCTGACAGCTCTCGCGTGTCTTCACTCTTGAATTCGGCAGGCAAGAGACCGTTCGGTTCGAAGCATGACATCATGTTGGCTACCTCGTCAATAAGTTCATCGGTATCCGGCAAGTCTTCGCCTTCAACTACCCAGTGAAAGTGATCGGCAAAGGCTTGAAGAGAACGCATCTTCAGGACTTCTGCGGGGTGAGTATTCTTTACGCTGGAGCCATCTCCTGCCAATTGAATTGTCTGATTCGTCGGTAGAACTGAGCTCAGTTGGCCTATAAACCAGAAGATGTGCTTCCCAGCAGGTCAGCGATTGTAGGTTTCCAAGTTTTTCAGTATACGCACCTTGCAGGCCTTCTCATTCTGCACGTTACCACAACTACATTTGGGAACCCTTCCTTCTTCCACTTTGATAGTGATGTCATCATCCAGATTGAAAAAGAATGCGCCATCGTCTGTTTCTCTACAGAATCGCATCCGGATATTGTTGTCGTCCTTCACGAGGCCTATCTTGGCTCGCCGGCGCAGCTCGTCGTCGAAAGTCGAGATGTCATAGATATGACCGTTGGTTGATTCGATCAATGATGGGGTCGGAGAGATGGGGCTCGAAGTAGGCGATTCCTGCGGAGTCTGCGGTGGATTTGTTCGCAAACGAGCAGCTCCAGCTCGAGTAGTGACCATAGTATCACGGAGCGACAACTTAGAGAGCTCTTCTGCCGACATGGAGAAGGATTTCCAAGTCTTGCTGTGGCTTGACAATAGGATGCCGTGGCTAGAATATATATCAATGCAGTGTACGCCGCAAACCTAGCTGATCCTGCACTGTCTTGCACTAGTGTTTACTCCCGTGGAGGCGCTTGCCAGATTGACCTTGAACGCCACAGAAGCTGCGGCGTGTATCGTGCGGGTGACAATCAAGGACTCTAGCTGAATGCGATGTACAAGGTCGGGGCTGCTAGAACAAGGTCCCGTAGGCAACGTGTTAGGTCAAGCCAATGACCGAGACAACATAGCGTTCGGAGTGGCCCGGGCCACACTGTCTTTGCCCTACGTATTGGCGGAAGAGGCGGGGCTGAAGTATCTACCGTGATTAGCACGATTGACGCCAGGGCTGATCAAGGACGAATGAGGGCTTGAAGGTATTGAAAGAGCAAAGCTTCATCGCTACGCCCGAGCATGGGTGTCGAATCTGATGTGCACACTCAAGGAAAAATGTAGTCATCCTGGTCGTAGTTGGTCTAATTCACCAATAGACGGCCTCGAGGGGACAAGTGCCCAAGAGGTCGCGGCTAAGGCAAGAGAGTATGCCTGGCGGTATGATGGCTTGACGTCAATGGGCAAATCAGTGCTTCCCGCTTCTACAAATACGAGCAACCGTGCCGCGGACTGATAGTGCGGGACAGGCCGCCGGGACGCGCTGATATAGGGCTGTTGCGTACGGAGCTAGACGATTAGTCGACCTTCAGGCTCCGATATCCGCCAGCTGCTTAGAGGGTTCTGAAGACTGGTTAATAGATACTCTTCATTGGCCAGGTGGATATTGCTGGGTGTTGGACCTTAGGTTGTGCAACGCTGTATACTTCATTCCAAGGGCTCCATGCGTGGTACAACGGAACCGAGCAGGCAGTGACAAGGCATCAGCGGTCGTTGAAGCGCGGCAAGACTGTGCACTCGCTGTTGCCGCGCTCTTGACAGCCTCTGCAGAAGCCACACATCCGCCCAAAACGGCGGAGGGGCCGGCAGCGAAGCGCTTCAATGGCGGAGTTGTAGGGTGAAGTGTGACAGTGAGGTTGAGGTGCGTGAGACGGCTCTGGCGAGGTCTCTAGCCACATGTCGTGGGCTGTGCGCTCAGCCTCGCCGTCACTTTTCGACCTCGCAGCAGCCAATCGATTTCACGACCCCTGCGCATCTGCAGCCCGGTGCGAGGCGCACTGAGTCCGGGGTGCCACAGTCAAGCTTTGGTGGGCGTGTACTCTCCCGTGCGCATTAGCCTGCGATCACCTGAATTACGCCTTGCAAGAGCGACCATGTGGAGAGCGACTGCTACGGGCGCCAAAGCGATGCATGCGAAGTTGCGATGCGAAGAAAAGCAAACGTTGAACTCTGAGGACAGTGGCCTTCGATACTGTGTTTCAGAAGTCGCTGAGCCACTGCCAGCTCGATGTTACAGAATATTCGAATAATACAGCCAATCAAACGTGCTCCCGTTGGGTATTCTACGGGACCCGCGCAGGCATTGCAGAGGCTTGTGCGGCGTATGTACTGCTTATCAACCCTCGGCCTCTCTAACGCGATCCGCAGTACACGAGCAAACCGGCCCGAAGGGTCCAGCCGGCCGCATTGTGTTGATCTCTGTGCCGTCGCACGCGGCACACATCCGCAAGCGCTCAGGCTCTCTCGAGTCTCCGCACGCTGATGGACGACTTCACCAAGCTAAAAATATCGAGTAGCGCGATGTGAACTATGTGGACCTTTGCTCGCCGGGGCAGAATTGCGGATAATGTCTTGCAATGATCGCGACTATTAGAGGATAAAGAATACCATGCTGCGCTAAACAAACACGAGAAGATCGAAGTAGGAAAGTGAGCTGCAAAAATGACCGATCATGAGCTGCACAGCAGCTACACTCTCAACTCCCCATTGCCTGAAAGGGACCGCCATAGTTGTTAAGGCGTAATACTTTGTTCTGCGACGCTTCCGCCCCCGGGTATACCTAAGACATAACGGTTACCAGAACTATAACTCCTGAGAAATGCGCTGTCCCGAACGAAACATATCCAATCGACGAAGAGTGTATTACTTCGACCCCCAGCCGGGATGACGGTAAGGGAAGTATCGCCAGGCAGGATAGCCTCGTGCAAATTGATCAGTGAGACGTAAACCAACTCTGGAGGGGCGTAAGTCATCTCTCACAGGCTGATTCGAGATAAAGACAACTCACACATGGGACATCTCACCTACTGCTGCCGCCGGTGCGCGACGCCGCCGCATATACAGAGCTCTCACGGGAACTTCGTTGTGATTTCTCCTCTCGAGATTTCCCGGTTTCCACAATGTGCTTCATGGAGATGCCACCCCACGGAAGACCAGAGAGGTCTCGGTTTTGTTCGATATTCTCGGGGTCCGGGGCGGCGTACGAAGAACCTGCGCGACGCTGGTTCTCGACTTCTCGTTCTGCCTCTTCTTTCTGCTCTCGAACTTTGTCCCCTATGGCCATGTCAGCAGTGTCAAATCTCTGCGAGTAGCTAAGCACGTACGAAAACGTCGTTGCGCAAGCTTGTTCTGGATCTTCCTGCGTTCATTGGGATCTTTCACTTCGGACCACTCGTCAGGCTTTGACCTCGATTGGTCCCTTCCCGATGACGAGGATCCCCCTCTTGTGGACATTATCGACTGGTTTCCCGTTGCTTGATTCTGGGACATGCCGTATAAAACTTGTTCTCCTAGTTGGCCGTTGATTCCACAACTCTCTGATGGGATTGACGAAACCTTATGGTTCGTAATAAAGAGTTTGATCGTGTCGACGTGTTGAGATGAGCGGCATTGAGGTTCACAAGCTCGACTGATGAATATATATTACACAAGCGGCTCAAGACTGCCGCATCGCAAGGTGGTGATAGGGCTGGCACCGGGCCAAGTGTAGACTGCGACTGAGACACTCGATGAAATTTGAGGCAGCGCAGTTGAAACGAGATAGTCTGCACTCAGCTGGCGGAGCTAGATGCCTGCTAGGTGACTGAATCAAAGACTAAAGAAAGGCGCAACTGTACCCGAAGAGAAGGTTGGAGGAGCGAACGACTGACGGATGAACAGTGACTCTACGTCAGAACGCTCTCTATGTATTCGGACCCTGGAGCCATGCGAGCGGGGCCCACGCGACTCGCCTAGGTAGATGACGGCAGAGTCCGTTGGATCGGGGTTAGACGATGAATGATGAACACCCTTGACTCAAATGGTTGCCGGCTTGAGGCTGCCCACGATACAGAGGACCTGATTGGCGAGCGTCCTAGTCACCTATGCAGGTAGAACAGGGCTCAATTGATACGTGCCTTCAAGTGGACCGAAATATTAGGCATCTACGCCAACTGTCATACATGGACTAGACAACGAGGACAGGCGTGGCCGAAATTAGGACGCGTGGGGAACGAGCGAGCCAGCTCGGCCCTCCCGTTGAGCCAGCATACGCACAAAGTGCCATGACGTTCTGCATGGGTATTAGTTCACGATCCTGGGTTTAGGATTGGGACCGAACCGCTTTGGTCTTCCACAGCCCTGTAGGGCGTTTGCTGTTGTGAACGGTAGCTAAGCGTCAGATACGAAGAGGCGCGGTGTAAGTTTTGCCGTACGCACAGGAACAGGAACTCACGTCCGCTCTTAGTAGTACACGGTTGATCATACGCGCCAATTGCTCTGCCTCACGTTATGAGTCGCATGACGTCCGCGGCTGAAGTTTAGGGTGTGTGTGACAGGTTCGTGACAATACGGCCATTCCGACATATCTCGCCAACCCGACGGTAACGAGATGCAGGTACTCGTTCTCGGTTACTACAGGGTCGGTCGAGGGGCATTCGGAGGAACCGCCCTGATTAACTGATGCTTGTAACTTTGGACTAAAGCAGTAAACCCCATGGATATGCTAAGCCTGATTGGTTTCGACTTCGATGGTGTAATAAACGGTTTGCGGCGTACGTTATACTGGTGACCTAAATCGAGAGACGTGGCTGTGCTTCAGCCTTCGGATGTTATTGATCTTCCGCAGGCCTCGCGCCATGAAGGTGGCCATGTAAAGAGTTGGCATCGGAGCGCACTGATCCCACACGATGGAACGTCAGTACCATGAGCCGTGATTGCCTTCCACCGTGCTTGAGGCTGGGCAGCTCTGCTAGCTTCTGACGGATTGAGGCTAGGATGGCAACACCGTGCGAGAAGCGAAGAAGCGGCGCGGTCTTCACCGAAAATACAACATCATGGGGACATCCGGAAGCTTGCACTGGTGTGCGGGGAACGCCTTTAGGGTCGGTGTACTCCTGGGTGAATCGTAAGGACATGCATTGGCGCATGGAGTTCACGAGTGTTGGATGCGGTCGCGACAGCGGTGACGTTTTGGAGCCATTGCCGTTAGTGCCGCCTGCATTGAATTATGATTGGACAGCAGGGGAGGTTGTGGTGGCTAAGCCGGCGTGCTAACTGCAACAGCGAGCGAGTTCACCGACAACACTTTCCACGATCATTTGCATCATCAAGCAGCGAGTCTTGTAATGAAGCGGAGAGAGCGCCATATTTTACTAAAAACATGCAGATTCTGCCTTGCGATACCCGCCACACCGCCTCTATACTTCTTGAATACCTCCTTGAACAAGTGACCCAAGCGGTTCCAATCTTGCAGCTGTTGTTTAACATGAAGAGGACTGGATATTGAGAGGCAGTGTTTGGCTCCCAGCATATGACTGCTCAATGAATAAAAAGTGGCTGACAGGTGTAAAGTGTGTCAGATCTTCAAAGACCCATAGTGGCGGGTACGGGACCCTACGTTAGCTGCTCACTCGTACGTACAGGTGCCATGTGCCAGAGGAAAAAAAATCCGCATTCGAGCGATAGTGAATAAAGCGAATAATGTAATGAAACCGCCCGTCTGCCGGCCCATTGGTTTAGCATGTTAAATACATTCAGATTAGGCACCAGTTATTCTACTACCATAGGTATTCTCCAAATTTACCTCGACAAAGGAGGTCTTGCGAATCTCGAATTCCCTCTGGTATGCTGTTCCTAAAGCCTCCAATGTGTTAGAGTAGCGGGGACCTGTCCAAATTCGTTCCCCTCTGTCTGCACAGCTGGGCCTCGCCCTTGCCCTTGCATCCAAATTACGCGGTGACATGTTGCTTTCAATCAATATAGCTGGAAACACAATTAACTTTGGGATACAAATAATAGCTACTGATTTAGGCACAGTGAAGAATTTCAGCCCTGCGAACCCTGACCCTGGGGGTGAATCGACGCTGTCGCCATGTCTCGGCCATGAGTGCACATTTGCACGGTTAACCACATGACCAGATATGTACTACCTCCAAATGAGTCACGAATTGACCGATGCCTGTGGCCACACAATTGCCGAGATACTAGCCTCAGCGTATAGTCTTTCGGATATAAAGGTAGGCAGAACTCTGTTTGATGTGAATCACCGACACCCTCAACATCACATGAATGGGGACATCGAAATCGTAGCGAATATGTAGATTCCGTATAGGGCTGCCAATGAATAATTGTACCTGGTGTTAGCGATTTCATCTGCGCTATTGTAGTTTCACAACTGGGCACATCCACGCCGCGGCCCGCAGGTCACTTCGGGAATGCGCAGTACAATTGCATATATGGTACAATGCTAATTATATCAACCCTAACGGGCATCGCTCTCCTTGCACTGCACGAATCAAGCGTGTGGATCTTTGTGTTGGCTCGATAGAGGAATGGATGGCGGCCGGAATCTGCATAGACCATGGACATGACAAAGCCGGAAAACTCTAAGTGAACTTTACAGAGAACCAGGAAATAGCTGTAATGTATCGTCGTGTGCTCAGAAGCTCTCATGACTCATATAGCTGTATCGAAACGGCAAAGTAGAAGACAAGCACTCGCACAGGAATCGAGTTGGGTGCAAGCGCTGATTGACAAGGGACTTCCTCTTCATAGCCCTGCAATGCCTGCTACATCGTCAAAATCCCACACACTGGCATTGTCGGGTTTCCCATCTTCAGGTACAAGAAGAGGAAGAGCACTGGTGAATCCCCTAGTCCGTAAGCTCGGCACGACTTTCCACCGCGAGTCTGCCACCGCCCATCACTGGGCACGGAAGCGCCCAGATAGGGCTTGTGCTCTCCCACTCGACTGTGAGATGATCTTGTCGCAAATTGCTGGATAGCAACAGCTGGCAGGCGCGCCCGCCTCCGTGATCTGCGCCACAATATCGATCCTCAGCACTTGAGTACAGTTGAAGGTTGCAACGGGCTGAGTCACGCCAACACGACGCTGACTTTGACAACAGAAGAACCCTTGCCTCGTGTCGCATGGTGCCATAGCTCTGTATAGCTCTGCGGTGTAGAAGATGGAGTTGTGGCGGGGCACAGCCACAGATGCAGCGTGGAGACGTGATCCTGATGCTCGCTCCCCTCACCACCATCAGCACTTTAAAGCATTAAAGTGCGGCTGAGCCTCTTTTGAACGCATAGGAAGCAGGACAATAAGCACTCTAATCTATTCGCAATCAGACAGCTCCCGCGTGGGAATCCACCAGCCACGAGGTTACCTCCGGGTGGTTTCAGAGCTCGCGCCGCATCGTGCGAACAGCAGCCCACGAGCCACTTTCAGGATTCCGGATTCCACGACAAACTCCGAGCTGAGACAGGCCCTCCGCGAAAGCCAGGGGCTGAAGCTCTTCTCCCTGAATCCAACGGTAGTGCCGCATCTACGCTCACCACCCTATAAGACTGCGTGTTCGGAGCTTGGAGGTGGTAGGATGACGATGAACGGCACCGCACTAACGACGAGCGTATAAGAAGAGATGTATGTCCTTTTTTAGTCCCACACATTCGTGTGAATGGCAATGAATGGGGTGGAGAAGACACGGTCCTGCTAAAAACCAATTTCGCTCTCCCACTTGCGATATGATACCGTCGGTACCCTGCTTCGAGGCCATAGAAGACTGAACCACGACGCAGTTTTAATGTGGGGTCGCAATACGAGCGCAAGCGACGAGCTGCCTAACCTTCATGACGATACATTTATCATTTCCAGGTCGGCACGCTCGATGTAAGCTTGAGGTTGCGCGATGTGCGTGAAGGAGAGAGCTTGTTGGCGAAGAGAAAAAGTCAATAAGGTAAGGGAAACGCCAAGCATTCCGGGCCGACCATTACTCCTGCCCGAGGCTAAAACTCTGCGAGCGCGCGGCTTTTTCCCTCTTCACACACATTTCATAACGAAAATGAACGGATAATCAACTGCCATTACTCGTCGATAGGATGGTTAGTCATATTGCCGTACTAGAGTGAATACCACTGGCATATTTAGGCTTCGACGCTTTCTTCACTGTAAAGTCGAGGTGTACCTGCATTCCAGACAAACCACGCATAATGCGACCACGCGTGAAAGATCTCTCACTCCTGGGGGAGCGCTGTACAGAGAAGCTGTTGATCGAGATGCACCTATTGGGCTTCCATTATCTCTGACGTCGGACGCATTAACGCGCGCTGTGAAAAGTTGGCGGCTTCATGATGAACGCGTTCTCGTACGATTGATTTGCATCATAGCGAACGGATGATATTGGATGCTCCTGGTGTCCGCAAGCGCGAGAAGGACCCAGGAGAGCCTCGTGGCGCCTTTCCACAATTGCATCGCTCAAGTGTCTAGTTGCTACTCGTCCTATGCTACTCGTCCCAACGCCTCAAAACGAAATAACAACAACCTAGCATAGATCACAGTCATACTCGACACAATACTGCGAACACATCTTTTTTTGGGCGATTACAGCTGCAGGTAGTCTCAGAAACCAATGTGAAACTATTCAAACATGTCAACCTATAACCCGCCAAGCGATTGTTGTTTAAACCCGTCAACTGTACATCGATAATTTTGGCATAATGAACCTAGATTTACGATTTTCTTCTCATGTAAGGGATATTCAATGCATCAGCCGTGCAGCAGACGGTACTAATGGTAACTTTGTGGAGAGTATATTCTAGCAACCGAATTGGAGGCATGTGTTTGAGTTCATGCATCTCAGCAGCTTCTGAACCTTCCGTTCGACTCAGCTTTGGGTAGCTGACAGGACAGCGACCGACGATGACATGTTGACGTCCGACGACAGCGATACCGGAAAGGATACTATGTTCACCCCACTTCGCGAGCATCTCTACCATAGGTATGTAGCGGTCCTGGGAGCAGCTCGAATAGCTGGATTGAATGATGTATGTATCACGCAAGCGTTCTGTTGGATGGTCATAATGCCCACGAGCCTCTCTACCGCACGCTCAAGTCTGAGCAACGCACCTATTTACTCACACAGCAAGACCAGTACAGTCCTGGATCACGTCTTCACGAGACGCATTGGACTTGTTGATTACTGTATAATAACAAAGTATTGGAAGTCGCTTTGACAGGCTCCTATGACGTTTGGAGCGGCTGCTGCGGGATAGACAGCCGGCGAGGCTGGCGTGAAGCAGAGTGGACTATCGGAGAAGACGGGTACGAGTCGTTCGACAATATGCCCCACAACTTTGGAAGTTACCACAGAATGGCGCTGTCTTTTCCTTTTTCAGCGCCGCGAACTTGCAGGATGATTCAATAGCAAGTACTCGGACTGCGTACCAGAGAGGGCGTCGGGCTCGTATAATACAATATGTGCAAGCGCGCGGCGTCTGTATGTCCAACGTGGTGCCATGGCGTTGGGTTGCAGCTTCCCAGGGTGCATCAGTGCGTGCTTTCCACGTTGTGCTGAACCCCGGGCTAGCCTTTTTAAGGTGATGCCGCACCCTTTTCCATGACCCTCGACTTGCTGCCAGCATGAATCCCGCCCTTCGCCGATAGATTCGGCTGTTGCGCTCTTGTTATAGGCGCCTGGGATATACGCTTCACGTTTCTTCTTCGCACTCTCTCTCGCCTCACGCGGCGCACGTTCTCGGTTCCCTTTCCGCGTCCTTTCGCCGGTCGCGCGTGCCGCACCTCGCCAGCACCACAGCATGGCCTCGGTGCTGAACAAGCGCCAGCAGGCGCGCAACGAGCGGACGCTGCAGGACCTCATTAAGAATGTGCCAGGCAACAGCACGTGTGCCGACTGCGGAGCGCGCAATCCAGGTGAGCGCTGCAACCCCCCGCCTTTCATGCCCAATCGACTGACAATGCGCAGGATGGGCCAGTTGGAGCGTACGTGATTCCTTCTTCGCCGACGTAGCCCTCGGAGCAGCCCTCGAGCACCGAAATCGCCGCTTTTTACAGGCACGGACACCGGCTAACAGAACTTAGGTGGGCATCTTCCTGTGCATGCGGTGCGCGGCGCTGCATCGCAAGCTCGGCACGCACATCTCCAAGGTCAAGTCGCTGAGCATGGACAAGTGGGACAGCGCGCAAGTCGATGTACGGACCACAGCAGCTAACCTGACGTTGTCTCTACTGACACTCCACAGAACATGAAGCGCATTGGCAACACCGAGTCCAACAAATCGTACAATCCCCGCAACGTGAAGCCGCAGATTCCCATCGATATCGACGAGGTGGACGGCGCAATGGAGCGATACATCAGACAAAAGTACGAGCAGAGACTGTTCATGACGGATTCGAGGCCAGGCACGCGGTCCAATACGGGTAGCTCCAGCTCCGTGGAAGACAGGCCTCCACCACTGCCGCCAAAACCGACGAAAGGGCTGGGATTTGGGCTGCGGAAGGCTTCTACACAACACAGCGTTACGCCTCCCATATCTCCCGGCATAAGCAACTTCAATGGTCACGATGCGTCTCCACCTCGAGTGAACAAGCCGTCCAGAGTTTTCGGCTCAAGCGTTACCGGGGACGGGCTGGAGTCCAAGTTGGCAACTCTGCGGGACATGGGCTTCCCAGACGACAAACGCAACTCCACAGTGCTGAAGGGACTCAATGGCAATCTCGACAGAGCAGTGGAGGCGCTGATCAGACTGGGAGAACAGAACCCCGGCAAGTCTAGAGGAAGTACACCGACTCCGCCAGATAAGCTTGATGTCAATGGTCTCATGTTGAACAAGGCCCACACCATGCCTGCAACAACGACCGCATCCTCGAACAACCCGTTCGATGCTCTCGATGCGGCGCCCTTGCCCCAGCAGCAGCAGCAGCAGGTGGCGCCAATTCAGACGCATTATGGAGGCTCTCAAACACAGCCAACGTCACCGACCAATCCATTCTACCAATTCGCATCCCAGCAACAGAGTAATCAATATCAGCAGCAGATATATCAGCAACCACAAACCTTTGCGCAGTCGAATCCTTTCGGACAGCAACAGCAAAGCTTGGAACAGTCTTTCCAAGGTATGCAACTGTCTTCGCAGCAACAGCCGCAGCAACAGCAACAAACACCGCAGCCATTGTTCCCGAACAGGACAGGCAGCTACGCTCAGCAACCCAACCCACCATTTGCGCAGAGCAATCCATTCCAACAGTCATTTACCCCCCCGCCGATGCCGCAAATGCCACCACAGTACGCATCTTTTTACCAGCCATCGCAGTCGCCTGCGCCACAGTCTCAATACCAATCAATGTCTTCTCCTAGCAGCCCCGGAAATCCTTTCCTCAAATCGACTCGAAGTCAAATGTTCTCTTCTACGACTTCATATAATGCGAATCCTTTCGGCCAGATACCCGATCAGCAGCAGCAGCAGCAGCAGCAGCAGCCGCAGTACCATCAACAGTCTCAGATTCAACCACAACAAACTGGGAATCCATTCATGATGCAACAGCAGACTCAGACGCCAATCCAACAGGCTCCGAATCCTTACCAAAACCAGCAAGCCAACTATGCACAGTTCAATCATGCTCAACAAGCGCATGCTCAGCAATCTTCAAACCCTTTCGACAAGAACTCGATCCTCGCACTCTACAACCGACCGCAGCTTGCTCCGCAGCGACCGGAACAAGCGCAGACACCTCCGGTTCAGATGGCAGCATCAGCGCCTGCGGTCCAACCGGGAGGGCAAAACCCTTTCGCTGCCATGCAAAGTCAAGCAGGAGCACAACAGCCAGCTTCGGCGTTGCCACGACAGGTTCAACAGGGACCGAGGCACGTTAGTAACGAGAGCGTTGACTTTGCCGGCCTGATGGGCGGGCGGCATTCTCCTGATGCCTTTTCAGGACTGAGCTCAAGCTTCAGGCGGTAAAGGTTTTGTGCGGTGTAGTTTTGCATATATGCATACTTGCATGAGCTACATTTTTATGTTGGCATGGATCGCAGCGACGCAGTAATTCTTTCTTTCTATTATTTGGATCTGCAGGTATAGGGATATGGCTGGGACTGGGGGTGATGTTGATGTATGTAGGATACGATTCGAACATGGCTGGTCGATCTGGATAGCGCACTTGTAATTCATGCTTATACTTTCGTGGTATGAAGTACAGTACCTGGACATGTGAGCAAAGGGTCGAGCGGGCCGCACCGCACCTGGATAGCGGGTTCCACTGCGGACCACATCACAGTTGCTTCAACATGTCGCCGCTTCACCATGTGCTGGCCGAAAATCATCGATCCACACACTCAACACATGCACGCACAAGGAAAACGTGCTACTGCATCCCCGCCCAACAACGCGGCGGCCCCACGTCGAACATGGTTCACGCAGAACATGTTGCATGGATCCTTCGGCGCTTGGCCCGCGCGAACCCTGCATGCACGGCCGAGCCCCAGCCCCCCAAAGAGCGGTCTGCGGCCTGGCGATCACCCCCGTCTGGCGTCGTCGCAAGCTCCATCCAAGCTCCACCCGTTCTGCACCGCGCCTTTTCGCTGCTGCGATCTCCCGCCGCAAGCGACACCTCCGCCTGTTCTCTGCTATCGATACACCGCCGCCGGCCGACGCGAATCGCATTGCCTGGCCATTGTTTCTTCGACCGACCGTTTGATTGGGACGAAGCTCGAGAAGACAGACACGCACAACAGCGAGGGACTGCAGCGTCGCAGCCCGACTCTGCTCCACTTTGACCGGAGGCGAGTAGGAGAGCGCTGGCAGTTGGGTTACGGCTGGACGAGTTGCTGCCCGAATCGCAAGACGCACCCTCCTTGCGACAGCGCAGGAAAGCACCACCGTCGCATGCGCCCAGCTTGATCGCAAGCACGCCACGCACGCACACTCGCCCCTTCGTCCCATACAAACCTGCCCACGCATCCGCGCCTCACACGCGCACCCGCCTGCACAATGGGTTGGTTCACAGGCTCCTCCTCCTCCTCCTCGCGACACCACTCGTCCTCGCGCCCAGGCTATGCCCGCTCCTACGCCGGGTCCTCGTACTCCTCCTCCAGCCGCCACCACGCCTCGACCTCGCGCTACAAGCGCTCACCCCGCGACGGCTACATCCAATACCTGTACCACAAGTTCCGCGAGCTGCTGCACCGCCTGTGGGCGTACGCGCGGCGGCACCCCTTCAAGGTCTTCTTCATGGTCATCATGCCGCTCGTTAGCGGGGGCGTGCTGACAAAGCTCGCGCGCAAATTTGGCGTCAATCTGCCAGATATGGGAGGCGCGCAGGGAGCGAGGGGCGGTGGTGGGTATAGCGGGGGTGGACATCAGGGCGGGTATTATGGGAGTGAGGGATACGGGAGAGAGGGAGGTGCTGGGGGTGGGATCGGCGGGAGCGGGATGAACTTGCAGAATGTGGCGAGTTCGATTGGGGGGTTGGCTAGTTTGGCGAAGATGGCGCAGAGTTTTATGTGAGGGATGACAGCTTGCGAGGAGGCTTTGATGCGTTCAGCGACGGGTGCAGAAGGCTGCATGAGAGGGCGAGGACGGCGCACAGCGTGTACATGTGGCTGAGGAGGGAAAGCAACATCAGTGGAGGACGTCCCGTTCTGGAACATGGTTTTGATTTCTGGTTGTATATCCCCGTTTGCCATTGCTATAGATAGTGTTACGAATGAATGATCTAGAAGGATTCGACTGGTGCTATTCCATGAACATTTGGAATTACCAATGAAATCTAAAAGTGGATTATGGCATCCAGGCATTCCTGAGTCGTAAACGCATCCGATATAGGAATGTCACCGTGTCCCCATCGAATGCCCCGTCATGATTCCCATGTAACCATCTTCACCTCTCTCATATCACCCAATCACCTCAGGCTCTCCTTCACCCTCAGCACCCTTCGTCGCTCCCAACACGACGCCGACAGTTAAAGCCTCTATTGGGATCAAGCTTCTCGCAAACCTGCAAAGGCGGCTTACAACTCGAGCCCCAAGACCGCTCCTGCCAATCCTCGACATCCAAGCTCCGCTCCTAGTTGCATTGTATTCCCGGCCCAAAGTCCTCGTCCGACGCCTCAGACACCTCTTGGTACTGGGCAGGCTGCTGAGCCACCACAGTGCCGTTGCGCGGGCCTGCTACAGGAGCGTTGATGAAGCGGCCGCCTTGCACGCGTCAGCGTTATAAGGGGCATCATAGCGAGGTGAGCCAGCTGGATCGGCTGGAGAAGGCGTCCGTCGCCGAGGCGTTGGAACTGGCCAGGTCCGACTCGCTGGGAAAATATGACTGTCCAGGTAAGCATGAAGGATCGGTCGCCGAGGCGACGGAAGCCAGGATACTGACTAACAGAGACTTCATTGCTGGAAGATTATGAAGCTCGGGAGCAGGTGCTCCGCAGCAAGGCCTTCGTTTCTTAGTAAGTACCCTTTCGAAGCAGACTGGCTTGCTGAGCTATGCTTGAGCGGCATGTGCCTGGTAAAGGTCGCGAGTGATTATGATCCACTGCCAGACTGCAAAGAATTCACCGAATCATGTATAGGAAGACAGATCCTTCCAGAGATAAACAAAATCCAATACAGCTATGACACAGTTTCAGGGTAAGGTATATCTTACGGGATCTCGAGCGCCTCCAAAACTAATACGAGTCCGTTGTCCAGAGCAACTTGTAAATTACCAGGAAGGTGAGTGAGCAGTAGCATTCTGCCCGCTAATATCAGCTAAGTGGTGTCTGTACACTTTCGTAATGAGTTTTGTAAATCAATGGGTCTTCAAGCTGCACCAGCCAACATCTGGACATGCTGATTGAAGAGTATGTCCCGAGAAAGAGTCAAGACCTATAGCAACTTTCCCGAAAGACGTGAAAGATGTGCTCTGCGAGATTTGTACGACCATAGGACACTAAAAGACTTGTTCGCATCCAGGAGAAGCACAAATAGGCGTGCATACTGACCAAAGCTATACAGGTGAACCACTTGCACCCCGGAAGTTTGGGTCCTTCGGTATTCAGCTCGGGTCGTAATACACTCATCTTCGTAGTGAGCAGTGACTCAGTCACCTTCTGTCGCGAGACAGATCTTGACAAGTAGGCCAAAAATAGACCCCATGGTGTAAGATGCTTGCTTAGCTGCATCCTTGGTGTACATGTCAACTAGGGCGGTCTGGGTCCGTGAAGTTGAGTCCCGCCCCAACATCTTGATATTCCGACTGTGCGTAGCGTTAGCTCATCCACTGCATGGACGAACTCTCTACGAATTTGAGATTACAGAGGCCATATACTTACATGTCATATTTGAACTCTGAGAGGAACAGGGCGACCTCATCTGCGTCCGCTCCGGCTGCAATGTTCGACAGGAGTAATCGACAGGGGAGGATATTCTTCTCCTGGTTCGCACAGTATGAGGCTTCTTCGTCAATGACTTGCTTGATTATAGCATCAAGTTCGGCCTTTGCCTCTTCGACAAGCTGACGCTTCTCACGCACAGCTACATATCCGCTTGAGCCGGCACTGAACAGATAGATGGTCCATCCTTGAGCCAACTCCCACTTGATGCCGCTCTTTTCGAGTTGAAGTGCTGTCGCGTAGCAGAGGGCCTTCTGCAAGATAGGAAGGTCGCGCTTCCGGTCGTTCTTGATTCGCTGCAACGTAGGGCCAACGGCATGGACCGCCGCATCTTGCAATTTAGCCATATCAGGTACTAAGGAGCGCTTGGACACGGGCGCGAGTATTTTCTCTGACCTAGATACAACCATGTCAGCAATGTACGAATATCCAGCATAGTCTGTGTCTCGCAGTGTGTTGTCTTGGACACTATAACCTAAGAGTTATGATCGAAGTATTAGTAGGAATATCAAGGAGTTCATACCTAGCACGCATCGTCTCCAGGTCCTCTGTCTTTTCTCCTCCAGAAGACTCGACCGGTGTCTTCGAAGGCCTGGACATCTCTTCCAGCTCCCGCATCATACTCGCGACATCTTTGTTCCTATACCCTACATCTCCGCTACCAACGCAAGACACAGGAATAGAGCTGGGCGGAGCTTGTCACGTTAGAACGGCTCACAAAAGAGTCGGCTTTCGGTTCTCACCATGTTCTTGATGATCCGCCGCTCTGTTCTCGGTTTCCGTCGCAGCTTGGGCGCCACCGTAGCCCGAAGAGGCATTATTGATCACGTTCCACGCTTCACAAGGAGGCGGGGAAGAAGGAGGATAGTCGACGAGAGGCCGCGAGGGAGAAGATGAGGAGTAGTCGACGAGCGGCCGTAAGGGAGGTGATCGGACAGCAGGCATTGGTGTCGAAGAACTACTCGTTCCTCGACTCGCTACCGCTTTCGCCGCCGTATCTCTTCGCTTCGAAGCATTCGCAAGTGTAGCCGAGATGCTGTCCAGCTGCTTGCTGAGCAATGCGTTTCCCCGCGTTTGGAGTGCGGTCATCGGTCGGGGGCGCGTCTTGGGAGGCATCTTGGAAATGTGGTACTGCACAATTCAGAGACGCCGCGGCTGGTAATGCGAACGAAACGGCCGGAAGAAGAAGGCGTCGTGGTACACAATTGTCTGCGCAGGGAGAAAGCGAGTGTGGTTGGCAGGTGTCTTCACGGATGGCGCAACTGCGATAACGGCGGGTAGCTTTGGGAAGCCACGACCAAGGCCGGCGCAACATGCAAACGGGTGTCTCAGCAACGGCACCACGGGAGCTGAAGCAACATCGAGAAACATGAGGATTGTTCGTGGAACTCGAGGTGAATGTTTTGCGCTTATAGCCATCGCTTTCCTGCCCATCTTGTTGCTCTTGTGAACCGTATAGCATCCAGAAACGATCGAATAAGTGTTCTCTTCAGTAGCTCGACCCCAGAGCTCCTTGAATGCCCTCGACCTCCATTCCGTTTGGTGATCTGCCTGTCCCGAATGCGGGGACGTGCCGTCGTGGATACCTAGTGGCCGATCAAAGGGTAAACTGGTGAGTAGATGAGAGAAGAGAAGAAAAGAGGAAAGAACAGGACATGAAGTAAAGTAAAAGAATAAGCGGACTCGTTGCAACCGATAGTTCCATGCTGGATTACCTCGCTCGCCTCCTAACCTGTGGTATATGCATCGTCCGAGTTCCATACAAAACAGCAGCCAATTATCCAACAGGTGGACGGAGCGCAATAAACGCCACCGTTACCGTCTATCTACATTCCATCCTTCTACCAATAACACACCAAAGTCAAGGCCGATATCCGTACAATCGGGCGCCTACTGCTTCTTCTTGCCTGCAGTCTTCCTTTCCTGCTCCTTCTCTTCAATCTCCTTGATCTCAGCCTCCTCCTTCCTCAGCGCGTACCATTGGCCGGCTTGTAGCACCAAAACCCCCACGAGCACCAACGCCAAGATGGTGTTACTCGCTGCAAACACCCTAAGCGTGTCCTCCCTGCTGATGTAGTCCTCCGCGTTCTCATCCTCGCTGGGATCAACATTGCCGTAGATGCCTGCAGTGACCACACGCAGACCCTTGACGATGTTGGTAATATATACCGTGATGCCAGCCATGTAAAGCACCAGGGACGCTCCATCGAACAGCATATTGGCCTGCGACGCTTTGTAGAGCTTGGTCAAGAAGCCAAGGAGGCCCGTTCCAATGACGATATGCAGGATGCGACTTATGATGGGCGGCGACGCGTGCAGAAACTTGAGGTGGTCCTCAAGGATGTTGAAGTAGACATCGCGCGGGCCTTCCGGAGTCGTCCAGATGACATTATAGTCGTAGGGGAACGAGGAGAAGAGGATGCCGAGGAAGAAACACACCGCTGGAAAGCCTATTAGTGTCCGTCGTTCATGCGCGTGCACTTGCGCTTGTGCGTTGTGGTGCCTGGGGCACTGGAAAAGGTGGGGGGTTATCGCTTACGCCCGATAATGAGGAATGTTCCAAAGGTTCCTGCTGCCATGTCTGCGACGCAATTAGGATCTATGAGCGATATTGCGCGTTCGTGTGGAAAGTCAGAAGATTGAGGTGGGCAGGTGGACACGGAGACGTTGCTGCGCGCGAAATACGGACCACGGCTTGTTGGTGTGAAGCTTGGGCTTCTGGGCCAATTGAGATGCGGGCTACTGCGCGTAAGCTTGTTAGGGAAGGTGCGTGCGTCTGTGGCTTGTCACAATATGGCTCGTCTTGCAAGCGATGTTCGTGATATTGAAAATGGTTCAGGTTGATCCAGGTTCTCTCGGGGTTGATGGCCACTGAGCGCAGCTGTGTTAAGCATGATGATGTCCGGTTGCAGCACGCGACAGCCAGGCCGCATCATAGGGCTTGGCGCGCTTGTTGCTCACCATTCACATGTAGTACTGCTTGAGAAGCGTAATCAACCTGAAAAGGGCTTGCAAAGTTCTGAGATATGCGCATGACATCGAAAACTGTTTTCAAGAATCGATTGTCGTTTACCCGTGGGCGATACATAGAAACCTCCCGTGATCAAGCCCGTGCGAAGTACATAAGTACCAATCAACGCCCATTGCGCCATGCTTGTAAATCGTCCATGCTCCTTGGCAATATCATCGCCACTGTCTTCTAGAAGTCGTCGTCTTCCATTTCTTCGTTACCCGCTTCGATGAAAACCAGTCGTGTGCCTTCTCCTGTTGTTTGCCAGACCTGTGGGAAGACGTTAGTGTTTGGAGCGTCTCAAGGTAGTTGCGGTGTAGACTTACATCCAGCATGGAGTACTCGTCGATCGCTTGTTCGAATTGGTCTGCTGTAAAACCCTTGGCAAGCACCCTCTCCCGAACTCTGCGCAGGTCGAGTTCGCCCCGGCTTCCATCACCCACAGCAGCAGCACCGCTCGCTTCCATGGTTTTGATGAGATGGTAGATCTTGCTGCTGGGTGTGTGATCATCTCTGCGGCCCTCGTCGACATACAAACTGGCCTTGCTAACTTCGATAAGCCTGAGAGCTTCATCGACATCCTCCGTAATGACCTCCTCAGCAAACCGTAGACGGGCCAGAGCTTGCGAGAGACGAAGAACACCCAGCAGTGTACGCGCCGAAGTATGCGTGAAGGCTTTCTTAGTGCCCTCATCCCGTTTCTGTTGCTGTCGCATGCGGACGAAGGCTCCCACTAGATAATCTGACACCTCCTTTGGAATCGTGGGACGGTATGAACGCGCACGAGCAACCCATTGGCGAACTTCTGCGGGGCTGAAAATAACACCACCGGCGGCCTCGGGGTGACGGTTGTGCATGTGAACATGAGTGACGTGGCGAGCAAGCTCTTCGTCGGAGTCTCGCGAAGGGGTATCAAGAATGAGGAAAAGAACGTCGAAACGGGACAAGAGCGCAGCCGGAAGGTTGATGTTTTCCACCGGGGAAATGCGAGGGTTGTAGCGGCCATATAGAGGATTAGCCGCCGCTAGGATCGAGGTGCGGGCGTTCAGGGTAGTCGAGATACCGGCTTTGCTGATGGATATCGTTTGCTGCTCCATGACTTCATGAATTGCGGTCCGATCACTGTCGTCCATCTTGTCGAACTCATCGATGCAGCACATGCCGTTGTCTGCAAGCACAAGAGCACCGCCTTCCAGCACCATCTCGTCCGTGACAGGGTCGCGCATGACAGCAGCAGTAAGACCAACTCCACTGCTTCCGCGACCAGTAGTATATACGCCTCGAGGAGCAACCTTCGTGATGTACTTAAGAAGCTGAGATTTGGCCACACCAGGATCACCCATCAGACAAACGTTGATGTCACCACGGATGCGCATGCCGTCGCCAACTTCCTTAGTCACTCCGCCGATTAGCTGCAGAAGCAGGGCCTTCTTCACATCGACGTGGCCAAAGATTTCAGGCGCAATTGAACGAGACAGGTACTCGTAAAGCTGGCCAGTCCGCTCTAATTCGTTCATGCGCTTCAATGTCGGTTGTGCTAGGACGATATCGTCGTACGCTTTTTTGTGTTGCATCACGTACTGCGCTTCCAGGTACGTGTCGGTAAGCAAGCCCGCTCGGATAGCCTTGAAGCCTGTGTAAGGGGTGGGGAGAAAGATACCAGCGCAGTCCATTACGTCGCCAGGGTTGATCTGTCGTACCAAATCGCCGTGGCAGTGGATCGTCAGCTGTCGAGGAATGTGGCCAACGGGTACTTGATCTGCCATTTCTTGGATCTTGACCTCCTGGAAGGGTAAAAATTTCGACGCGCGAGTGGATAAGAAAAGTTGACCCTTGGTCTTATTCTTTTTGCACTCCTCCGAAGGACATTCTGCCAAAGGAGTGAACTGTTTGCTCGTCACAGGTTGGAAAACCTCACATCCGCAGCGATCACAGGAGTAGGCGTTGACCTGGATAGCAGGCTTGACGTCCGAAACCCTCGTGGCAATCCCTCGAACGGTGATGAGATGGCCCAGGTGTTCTCCGCGGACGTTTCGCACAGCCAGCGCCTTCATACTCCGCTCGCTACTAGCGCCAGATGGTATTATGGGCTTGAAGTTTAGAGTATAACGGCGCGTTAGGGCAGGAGGAAAGATGAGCTCAGGGGGTGCCTGAGCCCCGTCTTGGCCTCCTTGCTGCTCCTGCATCTTTTCATTTCGTTTCGATCGTTGGGTCATTATAATGTCCAAAACATCATCCTTGAAGCTGCGGTCGTTGTCAGCAGGGCCTTGAGTCCCCGAGGTAGTATCATACTTTGGCTCCTCTGAAGGCCGAGGCAGTAGCTGGTCTACAGCTCTCGAGAATATCTCTATATAGTGGTGACAATTGCGCTCTATGGATTCGACGAGCTTGAACTGGCCCTCAGGGTCTGCGGCCTTTTCCCACTGTTTCTTGTTAGTTTTTGCATTTCCAACCGCCAGGATTGGTGCGCACAGTCTCCAGGTCGTTGAGATCGATCAGAACATTGGATCTCGTCCTATCTGCAATGTCCTGCAGCATCTCGACGTATTTTGCCTTGGTCCGGGTGCGTCTCCGATCTGCATTTGGCGCGGGGTCGTCCGAATCGTCGAGCATGTCGTATTCGTCGTTGTCGCCATCGCCGTTGAGGTTCAGATTCCGGAGCTGATCGGCAGCTTCCGTGGACGACGACTTGAAGTTCTGGAGGAAATCCACGAAGGCGGCTAGGGTCGCATTCATCAGCTGCGCTCCAGGTACCATTTTGCGCGGTCAACAAACCTTGCTGCTCCTCGTAGTTGACGAGCGACTTCTCGGTAAGAAGCGCCATTGCTTCGTGTGTATCTGAGGCCTGCACAACGTGCGGGTGTAGGGCAGGATTGGGTTCCGTGGGGGGGAAGCGGTCGCAGCAGTGAGGCTGGCGATCTCAAGCGCGTTCGAAGTTTCGCGTTGGTCGCGCGTCGCCAGGGGCGGCAAGCTGTGATTGGCCGTCCACAGCGACCAATGGAGAGCTTGGGCCATACATGCCAAAGTCTTGAGACTCTCCAGATGTCCCCTCTTGCACCTAATCAGATGATCATTGGGAAGAACTCGCTGTATGTAATAGTAAAACTCGCCCTACAGTCATAAACATAAGTAAAATCTAGCAAAACACCTTCATCGATGCGTCCCACCTAAACATGCTAAAACAGTGCCGCTCGCAGCTCTTTCTGCCGCGCGTGACCGCCTGGAGCGCCAGCTCCCAGATGTCGGCGCCGACAACCTCGGCATGCCCAGCGAGCGCAGTCGGAACTGCTGCACATGCGGCGGGCTCTTCCCTTGCACTTCACTCTGTATTATTATCGCTGCGATGGCGCCGCCGAAGAAGCCTGTGGGCCAGGTCGTGCAAGCTGAAATTGTGCTGCAACAGTCTCTGAAGAATTGCCTTGTTAACCTGCCCTCGTCGCTGGTCTCTGTGCTGGTCAATGCGAACACCGTATGCGTTGCGCAGCTTCCTTCAAGTAACCACACTGACTCATCCGGGATAGGTTGCGCAGAACGTCGTGGTCGAACTCTCCTACCGCCAGCCTCCTCCTCCCGGCGCCTCAGAGCCTAAGAATGCCTCGCCACAGAAATCCGTATTCCTGGGATGGACAGGCATGCAGAGCAAGCGCAAGCTTGCTACTGTTGTCGGTCGCGATGGCTTGACCGGTACAAGAGGTGGTCCCGCTGCCAGCCAGCAGGATGTGCAGACAGTCGAGGTGGACACGACATTTGCCCGCCTGACCGGTTTGAATGAGGGGCAGAAGGTTGGGATACTGCTGCACGTGGACCCGCCCCAGGCGCATACCATCAACATTGAGCCATTGACACCGGTCGACTGGGAGATGATCGAGCTGCATGCTCAGTTCCTGGAGTTAAATTTCCTCTCTCAGATACGCGCTTTACCAAACCCGCAAGGCCAGTCCTCTCATCCATTGACCCTTCATCTATCGCCGACTACGACCGCCAACATTACCGTGACCTCAGTGACTCCTGCACCGCCTATAGAATCACAGTTTGTCAAGATCTCACCTGATGCAGAAGTTATCGTTGCCCCAAAAACCCGACAAAAGGCGGAACGCACGTCTTCTGGACGTGAAAGCCGGAGCGTTGGCGGGACCTCGCGGAAGAGTGGGAAGAGCACTGCGAGTACCGTCAGGCGGCGAAGCGGTCGAGACGAACAGACCAGCCGTGGCGTGGTCTTTCTTCGCGGAGTGGACCGAACCGTCGCACAAGAATGGTTCGATGAAGAAGATGCATCTGGCGCAGAAGGACTCAAGATATGGGTGGACAAGGATGTTCTTCTTACCAAAGCCCTAAGGGGCGTTTCCTGGGTATCCGTGGCGGTTGTAAAGCCAGCAGGTCTACAAGAGCCGGTCGATATGTCGAAAGAGCAGGAACAAGAGAAGGCTGCAGCGCGAGTAGTGGCCAGGATCGAAACATGGGACGACGCCCCAGACAGCCGTCACGTCGCTCTATCGTCTGATCTATGTCGAGTACTTGGCTGCGCAGGCTTTGTAGGCGGTCTTGTTCGCTTAGAAGCTGCTCCAAACCAAACTGCGAAGCCTTCTTCTATTAAACCGCAAGGCCTTGGCTCCAAAGATAAGGATCCGTTCGTCAAAGCAATCAGGATTCTACCCTTTTCTTCTGTGGGAAGCCAAGTAAACGCATCACTACGATTTGGTGGTGAGTCCAAGCAGGATCAGGAAGAGGCGATCAAGCGAGTCAGGGAAGCCTACGGGAAAATGAATGGGCTTCTGAATGGCCCAGTCACTGATGGCATGGTGTTACCTCCTACAAGCGCCTCCGGCTTGGACTGGCAGGGCGGCATAGTACGATTTGAACCTCCGCAACCCTCTTCCGGCATCTCATGGATATCTTTCCCAGAAAGAAAGCCTGCTATGGAACTTGGCGCAGAGGTTCCTACACCTTCAAGCTGGACAAGGGGCGTACATCAAGGAGACTCACTTCCGACGACGCAGCCAACTTTGGTTGGTATTGATACTTTGATTGAGCAGTTGCGATCACACCTGACTCACAATTCATCTGTTCTCTTGACCGGAGGACTTGGTGCAGGCAAGACGGAATGCGCTCAAGTTCTAGCTCACCAGCTTCGCTCTGAGTTCCTTTTCAACACTGTTTACTTCTCTTGCCGCAAGCTCGTCACTGATGAGATCCGTGTGTCGACGATCAAGGAGACACTCACCCGTCTGTTCGCATCTGCAGCTTGGGGTGCTAGAAATGGCGGCAGTGCTGTGGTGATTCTCGACGACCTGGACAAGCTGTGCCCGGTCGAAACCGAGCTACAAGTGGGCAACGAGAATGGGCGAAGTCGGCACGTGAGTGAAAGCATCGTGGCCATCGTCCGACAGTACTGCACCTTGGATTCTGGAGTAGTTCTGTTGGCTACAGCCCAGGGGAAAGAATCGCTCAACAATGTCGTTGTTGGTGGACACATCGTGCGAGAGATCGTCAGTCTCAAGGCTCCGAACAAGGACGGTAGACGAAAAGTACTCGAAATGCTCGCACATAAGGATGAGAAACCTCAGGCGAGGTTGTCCAATGGTGCACCCTCTTCTGGGCATGCCTTCCCCGCCTCGCCTTCAAACAGCAGACCAAGCACCTCACATCGCAGCCAGGCAAGTGGCTCCAGTCTTCAATATAACGCTGCAACAGAGGAGGACGGGTTCGTGCTAGAGCCGTCTATCGACTTTCTGGACCTTGCTGGCCAGACCGACGGATATATGCCTGGTGACCTAGTTCTGCTCACGTCACGAGCACGGAATGAAGCGCTCATACGCTCAGTCACAGACTCGTCCAGCACGGGCACAATCTCGTTGACAAGGGAGGACTACACCCAAGCACTGACTGGCTTCACTCCGGCATCTCTACGTAATGTGACCCTACAGTCATCTACCACGAAATGGGATTCGATAGGTGGTCTCCACGACACACGGCAGATACTGCTAGAAACACTGCAGTACCCAACAACTTACGCACCTATCTTCGCACAATGTCCTCTACGACTACGATCCGGTCTTCTTCTTTACGGATATCCTGGTTGCGGTAAGACGCTGCTGGCATCTGCAGTAGCAGGTGAATGTGGACTCAACTTCATATCGGTCAAGGGACCGGAAATCCTAAACAAGTACATTGGTGCATCCGAAAAGTCGGTTCGAGATCTGTTCGAGCGCGCCGAAGCCGCGCGACCGTGCGTTCTCTTCTTCGACGAATTCGACTCGATCGCCCCTAAGCGCGGCCACGACTCTACTGGTGTCACAGATCGCGTCGTCAACCAATTGCTCACGCAAATGGATGGTGCAGAGGGTTTGAGTGGTGTATATGTCCTCGCCGCTACCTCACGACCGGACTTGATTGATCCGGCACTACTTCGCCCAGGACGTCTAGACAAGAGTCTTATCTGTGACATGCCAGCGTTAGAAGAACGCGTTGACATACTAAAGGCCGTCACGCGAAAGTTGCATCTCGCTCCCTCGCTTCTAGAAACTGGTCCTGAGGGGCAGAATCTGCGCGAAATTGCTCAGCGCACGGAGGGGTACTCGGGGGCAGATCTCCAGGCCGTGGTTTACAATGCTCAACTTGAGGCGATTCACGACGTGTTGGGTGATTCCGAACAGGGTGACCCCACCAAGAGCGGGGACCCAAAGAAGAAGTCAAGCTCTGATACCGGAGGCAAGCAAGGGAAGGAAAACCGCGTACCAGAGTTCACACACTTCCGGTTCGGCGATGCAAACACTACATCAAATGGCGCAAAACCTATTCCTTCCAGCCAACTCACGGAACGCGCTCTCATCGTACAAAAGATCCAGACACTCCAAGCGATGCGCAGAAAGCAAAAACACCTTCAGCACCAACAACGACCCGGTAGCAAAGACGAAGATGATGAGACCAAGGAGGGAGAAGACCGGAAAGAGCCCCAGATCCAGTGGTCGCATATTGAGAGCTCGTTGGCCACGACGCGAAGCAGCATCAGTGCACAGGAGCGGCGCAGACTTGAGAGCATCTACAGGGAGTTCGTCGTCGGGCGCAACGGCGAGATGCCAAGTGGACAGGGTGGGACCGAGATCGGTGGCAGGTCGAGCTTAATGTAGAGTGAAAAAACACTCTGTGTACATAGTACCAAGATCTTGGGGTGCGCATATGAACCTCAATTAACGTTCCAAACGGGCACGAAACGGCCCAGCGTTTGTGACGAGTGAGGTGCAATGCTCGAATGAAGCCATTGAGACGCCAATGCGCCGCCCCAGACTTGGCGCATATGGAGCGCCAGTGACGAAAAGCTTGGGTGGTGATCGCTCGGCAGCTCACACGGGGAGCCTCAGAGTGCTGCGTGGGATTCGGCGTGCCGGCGGCGGCTGTTGGGGCGCGCGTGCGCAAATTGTGCATCCGGAGCGTCCCAGAGCGAGGCTCGAACGGTAGTAGCACAGAGATACCGCCCGGAAATGCCTCATCGCTTGGGGCTTCGCGCCGAGGCAAGCTGGCGGCTCATTTAGATAAGCGTGCGATGACCTAATGGGCTGCAGCGTGCGATGTGAAGGCGGGCGACGCTAGGCAAGGATCCGCAGTGGAGCCGACAGTTGGGGCTCGCTGCGAACCAGGAACGCCCCGACAGTCGGTGTGGTCGCGTCGGCGCAACAAGTTGGATGTTTGCGGAGGCCGCGGTGACTTGGTGTGTAAGAGGCGATGCTCGCGCCTTGTGTGCCTGGAGCTGCCCGCGCGCCACCCACGCGAATGCCCGCGCCGAGCTGCCGATCGCGCACGCCTCCATCATTCCTGCCCTCTGGCGGCCCCGCTATTCCCTCATTGGCTGACTCGCCTAGCTCCTGCCCGGGCAAGCACCAGCTTGCTTCCTCTCCCCGGCCTCTTCAGTCCACTCCTCAGTATCTCCACTGCGTGCGCCCACTGCAACCCCTTGAGCTCAGCATCTCGCCGCCACAGCTACGCGACCCAGGTACGTGTTATTCCCGTTGTCTAGGCGACCAATTGCCATGGGGTGCCAGAGCCGGACAGACCCGCCGGTCCCGCGCGGCCAAACCAGCCCGAACAAATGCCTCATAAAAGCAGAATTTTCGGCGACCCGCTCCTCTTATAAGGCCGCTACCCGCCCCAGACCTGTGGCCGCTTTGTTTTGGATGTTCTGTCTCGCCGTCCTCTCGAGTCCATCTCCACGCCAGTTTTTGCGACGCCGACCCGACTGATCCGCTGACCAGCTCCCGTCCTCAACAGCCTCCGGACAGCTTCTAAGCCATCTTCAATCGACTCAATTTCTGTAACCCACGTTCTCAGTCGTAAAGGTACGCTGGACCATCCGCCCGCGCCGCAATTGGAGCATTGCGAGACCTCTTTGTTGGGGACCGTGTCGATGTTTCCTTCGCAACCAGCCTAGCGCCACTGGATCCTCGTTCATAAACAAGGCCCAAGCTCTTGACGGGATTTCGCCATGTCTTCACGCCTCGCGGACCGGTTTTTAGACTTGTTGAGAACGTGCAACTGACATGATTGCACAGAACTCAATCACAATGGCCGCCATTGACATGTCTCTCGCTGCCTCCCAGCTCACCAAGCGAGCCAACTTCGCGTCCCGGGAACCCGGTGTCATCGTTGTCTTCGCCATCGTCGGTGCCGTCGCCATCCTGGTTATCGGCCTGCTGATCTCCAAGAGGGTAGGATCGTCCTATTCCAAATCTCAGACCCACGAAGCTGACCTTGACATCAGATGGCTGCCCGCAAGGCTGGCGTCGTTTAAAGATACCCCGTTGGAGATGGTGGAGGAGCGAGATTGGATGAGGAGAGTTGGGGCTGCAGGTCTCATCGTTACCGGTGCTGCAATCGCTGAGATCTGCCAATGAGCTGGTTGTGGGGACAATTTTCGCTGGACAAGACGATCTTCAGCACATATTGCGCTGCCCCACGAGGTGTATATTGCTTTTGTATACCACGTTTACCCATCGAGGAATGAGCTCCCCTTCGGTTGCGCTGTGGATCGGACGCCTGGTACGAAGGGTCCGTGGTAATAATAAATAGTCCTTGAACCAACACGTACCCGCAAGCGTTCTTGAAATACTACAATACATGAATACACAGACATGCTTCTAATTACCTTCTCTTGTGCGTAGAGCAGAGGAAGCTGCCTCACGGGAAGGTACAACAATGGTTCATCAAATGGCGGTGTCTTCAGAACGTCCCAACTCGGCGGCTATCTTTCTTCTCCGAACTACTTCCTGTCGAATGACAAGGGCAGCTTCCTCGTACGAGCTCTCCGGCTCGGATCATATCGCGCTTTCTGAGACGATTCGCCCTAGCGCCAGTGCCACTTTATCACCCGTCTCACCCGCGAGGTTGTCGAATGCTTCGTCATTGCTATGCCACTGCAGCTGCAGATCGGACTATTGCCCACTCAGGCCTACCGCATTACGCTGATTACCCAGCCGCCTGCATTATTTAGCCTCAGCCATGCGCTTTCCATTTTGGCAAGGCGCCCGAATTCGACCAAATGACCCGCGTGTGGGACAGCAAGCCCGCCCCCACCAAGGCTGAACATTGGCTCCACCCTACGTTCACAACGCGCGCCACTATGCATACGCGCCGCTCATACAATGTACGACCAGGCAACAGACATCACGAATCGTGAGCCAGAAATCAAGCATCTCTGTGAGGATATCTGCGAGGCGTTTCAGGATGGCATTGCGGCTTGGGATAGCCGTGTGGAGGGCTTGCTGAGAAACAATGAAAAAGAGCTCGGAGCTGCTAAGAAGCTGAGGTCGAGTTTGGAAGAGGGCTTCCAGATATTGGCGAAAACTTATATAAAGTTTTACAAACAAGCGGGCGCGCATTTTGCTATCGGTGATCGTACGTATGTGTTCTTCGGGGTCGGTTTTCTTTTCACTGTGGTTGTCCAATGACTAACTTCTGGACAAAGAGGAGTCACAGAGGGAGCTTGCTTCAGCACTGCTTTACTTGAACTCTAAAGTTATTGAAACCCTCCAGCAAGCACCTGACGATGCCCTTGAAGGTATGCCTTGGGTACCTGGTTCTTTCGAAGAAGAGCACATCATTATTCGATATGATAACCTCCGGCAACATTCTGGCTATGTCCGGACCAAGTGCGTGCACGTACTTCATGAATTGTTTTCCAGAATATCCGATTGGGCAATTCCCGTTCACACTCTACCCCCACTTGCCAATCAAGCTTCAACAGTGACTCCTCCAACAGCCGAGCGGGGACCAGAAAGCTTTTTTGAGCGGATCCACGCGCCTTTCCATCGGCAGCGGTATGGGTACGACAAACTACCTACTCAATACTCTTTCCGTTTAGTCAAGGTACACATAGCGAGACCGTCTGTGCAATGCGAAATCGAAACTTTCAACCTCATCAGCCCACCGCCCTTCAAAGCGCTAAGTTACTGCTGGGGCAAGGGCGGACAACACTCCGATATCTGGTGCAACGATCGCCTTTTCAAAGTCTCTTCCAATCTGAAGAAAGGGCTCCAACGTCTACACAAATATGGCGCTTGGTCCCGCGTCGAGTGGTTCTGGATTGACCAGATATGTATCAACCAGAACGACTTTGAAGAACGCATGCATCAGGTGCGCTTGATGCGCGCCATCTACCAAAGAGCCCAAAATACCCTTATTTGGCTGGGGGCGGACGATACAAGCGCTCGGGGTGCGATATCCATTATTGGTGATCTTTATCGCATCGTGCTCGAGACACAAGAGAAAGAGACGGCTGCACGTGTCGAAGGCCGCTCACTGGACAATGTCCAGGTGACACTTCCTTCAGAATCAGACGAAAGGTGGAATTCCCTATCTTGGTTTTTGGATCTTCCTTGGTTCGAAAGGTGTTGGATTATTCAAGAGGTACGTGAAGTTTCCAAGTAAAGTGCTTTGCTCAACTTCATTCTTCAGCCCCCCAAAGGTCTTGTCCTTTCCCTAGTGTCTTTTCATTTGTCGCTTTTGCTGACTCTGGCTCAATTTCAAGGTGGTCGTCTCTCCAGGCGATCCTACTCTGCTATGCGGTGGCTTCCAGCTTCTCTGGTCCCGCTTCCAAGAAGCCATGGCTGCACTCCTCCGCTACCATCCTAAATTTCGGGCCGAGAGGATGAAGCTAATGAAAGGAATACTGGATCTTTCGTCCAAAAGCGAACTTTGGGAGTTGAGCTCGTTGCTCCAATCGACACGACCATTCCAAGCCACCGATCCACGGGACAAGATCTTCGCGCTACTTGGTCTCGCTGGAGAATCAAGAACTCCAGAAAAGTGGCCTAAAGCATTAATGCCAGACTACAGTCGTAGTACGCAAGACGTGTATATGGCGGTCGCGCTCTATTGTATCGACAAGACTTCATCTCTGACTATCCTATCACAAGCATGTTCCCATTGGGGAACGGACGAGGCCTCAGTAGACGGGAGTCACCGGTCATGGGTCCCGCAATGGTTGGAAACTCAACGTGAGTGTGAACTAAGCACATACATAACCACTCGAAGTGGGTCGGGCTGGAAGACACTCGTCGAGAAATACAACAATGCATCGGATAGCCACCCAGTGTCCCGAAATCCGCACACCCCGTCGCACATCCTACGATTGGAAGGCATACAAGTTGCAGATGTAGCATTGTGCTTTCCGATTGTCACTTCCGAAGCAGCGCCTTCTTCTTCTTCTTCTTCCTCCTCCTCCTCCTCCTCTTTGTCGCTAATCGACAACCCGCATCCCAAACTATTGAAGACAACAGCAGAGCTCTTCACGGTTTGCAGGTCTCACCTCATGCACCTTTCTAATGAAGCTTTCCTCCGGACGTTCTTTCTTGTCACCACCGCCGGTTTGACACACGAGAAGAATGACGCTCGCCACGAACCCATGACGCATTTGCGCGCCTTCTTGCGTATAGTAATACCGAAGAAGCTTGAGGCAGGAAGTGGAGAGGGCTCAATGTACAGCGTCCGCAGAGCTTTCAGGTCCAACCTCAGCATCTCCACACTGACACCCAGTCTCACTCCTCCAATCTCCACCGAATCATTTCAAACACCTCCTCTAGAACGGAGGGAGTCCTCTTCTGAGAATCTTCTCTCAGTGTCCGGCTCCGAGGGTGAGGAAACCCAAGCCGATCCGACGCGGTATACCTCTGCCTTGGCGCCGATGCTCTACCGGCGGCTGTTCGTTACTTCGACAGGGCATTTGGGTTTGGGACCTGCGGGCATGATGTCGGGAGATACTGTGGTGGTGCTGTTCGGTGGAAGGGTTCTGTACGTGTTGAGAAGAGTTGATGACGTGTGTTGGAGGTTCATTGGAGAGTGCTACGTGGATGGCTTTATGTACGGGGAGGCGATGCAGCCGCGTGATGAAGCTACTGGCTCAAGGAATGGGAGAGTGGAGCATGAATGGTTTGATCTGGTCTGACCACAGCTATTTTCAGTGGAATAATCAGTTGGAGACAAAGAACGCGGCCTTGCTCCAAATGACTATGTGAATTCTCGCGACCGGTGGATTCGTTAGCAAGGAAATCCCGGAGACAAGTTCTAATGAGACGATGTTGGCCTTTGAAGAGACAATAGGAATGGCGCAGCTCGCACAGGGAATTCAAGAATCTGGGAGAGTCATGATGGCTCTCAGGGACGGTCCTAGGATTGTTTTTGAACATGTGGTGATACGGAGATTGTCGCGATCCGTGGATCGGAGAAGCCATCTCACAATTGTTACGACTCTGAGAATGTCTGATCAGGAGCTGGAGGCATTATCGCTTAAGCTATTGTTCTTCCCACATTACTGTGCCGTAAAACCACCATCAACAGCCAAATTAACCTGTGCAAAAATGTCAGCGAATTGTACAGTCACGGCAAACCAAGACAAGGCAAAGATTAACGAAAAGCTCTCCAACTCACCCCAGTCATCCACCTCGCATCCTCACTCGCCAAGAACACATAAGCCCCCGTGACATCTTCCGGATTTCCGACCCCATGCAGCGGATGCATCCCCTCGATCTGCTCCACCGCCTTCTTCAGCCCCGGGTCCTCACTCCGAAACACTGCATCCGTCAAATGGCTCCTCACATAGCCCGGATTCACCGCATTGACATGCACGCCATACGGCGCGCAGTCCAGCGCCGCACTGCGCGTGAGATTTGCAACACCCCCTTTACTCGTCGCATACGCCGATGCGTGCCGCGACCCCACGAGCCCGTACACGGAACACGCATTCAGGATCCAGCCTCTGTCCCCGTGCGAGTTGATGGGGTCTTGCGTGATCATGTGTGCGGCGGCGGCCCGCGTGCCGTAGTACACACCGTCGAGGTTCACACGCAGCGTCTTGTGGTACGTCTCGAGCGTCGTCGCCCATATTGGCGCGGGGGTTGACGACTCAGGCGCGATACCCGCGTTGTTGACCATGATGTCGAGCCGGCCGTGCAGCTGGACTGTCTGCTTGACGACGGACTCGATGGACGCGGGATCTGTGACATCGCACTGGATGAAGGTGGCTTCCCCGCCCGAGGCCACGATGCGGGCGTGTGTGGAGTCGCGGGCCTCGTCGGAGGGACTGTCGATGCGCCAGGTCGACTCGGTGAGGTCGGCGCAGATTACTTTGGCGCCTTCGGCGGCGTAGCGGAGGGCGATGGCACGGCCGATGCCTGAGGCAGCGCCGGTGACGATTGCGATGCGGTTTTGGAGGCGGGGTGACATGATGGGATGGGGCTACAGTGTCACTGTCCTATGTGCTACCTCTTTTCATGCGGTTTGCCTTTGTTCCTTGTTGGGACCACTTGGGCGCTCCTTGTATACTTGTGGTACTTGAAGCTCGAGGTCTAGCTACGCCCCGTCAATGCGGGGTCTGAAATGTGGGTTTGTACCCCATCCCAAGATGCAAGTCGCAGCTCACGGCTCGTACGCGGCGTGGAGAGCATGTCCGGATAAAGGTTAGCATGGTCGTTTGTGGATCCGGCTGTCTCGGCTTATGGATCGTGTAGAGTCGCCATGGAGGAGTCAAGTTAGGTGTACTTCAATGTCAAGCGCACGCATAATCGAAATGTCGTGCTTCTTTCCCAAACCTCTTACTATGATAACTCTCATGTGCTCTTCCAAGCTCCGCCTCTCTGATCTCAATGCCAATCCCTAGGCGTCGACCCATCTAGCTCTCTCGACTGCCCATGTCTATCCCCAGGCAGCTCCGACGGCGGCGCACCCGGTAGCTCTTGCGCATAGTAATAAGAGTACACATCTTGCCCTTTGATGCCCTCTAGTTCTGCACGCCTTTCTGCGCTCTTTGCTTCTCTCCTCTTCCTCGCTTGCCGTAGTAATAACAGCACGCCGCCGAGGACCAATGCTATTCCTACCAGGCTACCTAGCACGCCCGCCGCAATCGCCGCAGTGCTCGTCTTTTTCTCTGCGGCAGCAATTCCGGAGGGTTCTGCGTTGTTCGACTGGTCAGGGTTCGATCTGGACACCGGCGTTGTTTGCGATGCCTCGCTTGACACCGTCGCCTTTGTCGTTATTGACAAAGAGGATGATGTAGAAGGAGAAGAAGTCGAAGCCTTCTGAACCAGTAAAAACGCTCTACTCGGCATCCTCGGCAGATCGATATCGAACACCCCTTCCTCAGTATGCTGGCTGAACCTGAACACGAACTTTGGCGTTGCAGCGATTTTGTCGTTCGGAACGTCGACGATCCATGAGTAGCTTCCGCTTGTGGATAAGTTGACATTTGCTGTTCGATATCAGTCTGTGAAGTGTCGCGGGTGAAAGAAGGAGAAGAAGTGCACCGTGAACCAACTGCGAGAACGCTGTCGGACGATCAGACCACATGATGAAGAGATCCGCCACGTTTGGCTGCGCGCCCTTTCCCCAGTTCCACCCCGCGTTCCAAGCTATGTCGATTGTATCGCCGATGTGCCCTTGTTGGACGAAGTCTGCCAGTGAGGAGTCGGGTTGTGTGAAGTCCGCCGCGACAAGTGCACCAACGCACAGTGCGTAGGAGAAGGAAAGAAGATTCCACATGGCAGCAACGACCGACTATCGGACGTGGAAATTACGAAATTAGTCAAAAGGGTGACCCAAGAACGCGACCACACGAGCTCTCGGGCGAATTCTCGTCTTGTATGCCTGCCAGTCGCAAGTATGCCATCGATAGAACCGTGCTCTCCTTCAGCCCCGTGGATCAACGGGGGCGGAAACACCCTCTCACAGCCGCTTCCCAATACCTTCCTGGCTCAATATAGAACATCTCTGACCAGGCAATCGTGGGGCGTATTTAAGCAGGCCGTGCGTCGAAGCGTAATCGTCTGGAGGGAACACCGCATGTCAGCTCGTGAATGCAGGGTATACTTTACAAACGCGATGAGGCTTTTATTGACATATGCTTGATAGATCCATAGCTCGTGTTATCCTACAGCCAACCGTCTTTTCTAAAAACACTCCGTCTAGGTGACATTGCACCCCAGCCATGGTATAGAACTGTAAACCAGATGCTTTTCCTGGACCAACTCCACAAATGCAGACTACCTGACAGCTCTGGCCTTTGCCTTGCGCTTCCTCGTCTCCCCGTTGAGGTTGTTTGCGGTGGCATTGTTAAGAGCGGCTTCCTCTTCAGGTACATCGGAGGGTTCAAGGAGGGGCTCCTCAACCGCCTGGGTGTTTCCCAACACGCGTCCGGCCGTCTGGTTGTAGGCATACTTGGGAAGTTTGAACAGCATCGTGTCGAAGATGGTGGGTTTGGGTTCCTCATCAGGCTAATGACAGAATTAGCATAGGCTGGGGGAGAGCTGGGGGCAGCAACTTACATCCAAAAGGAATTCCTGCTTGAGGCCTTCGTCACTCTCCTCTTCCAGGAAGACATTGCCTGCGGAATCGACAACAAGAACCTTGCCATTGTCGGCAACAATGCGCTTCTTAGCACCCTGGGGGCCCGAGGTCAGCTTGGCCTCGACAGGCGTGCTGATGCCAGAGCTGCGCGCCTTCTTCGCGACGGCAGACTTCTTGTCCTTTTTGTTCTCCTTCTCCATGGCGCGCTTCTGCCTGCGGTTCATAGGAGCCATTTCCTGCGGAGCTTCATCTGAGTCGTCACCCCAATTTTCCGTGTTAACAGGTGGGGTATCGACGCCCGGGATGCCGTTGATGCCGGTATCGTCGCCCCAGGCGGTCCTGCGCGCATGCCGAATGTATCTCTCGACGAACTCACGGCGACGCTTCCAACCCATGACGAGGGTGTAGTAGTGCACGCCACCGCCCATAACGGCAAATAAGCCAAAAAGGACAGAGCCGAGGCCGGGGCGGTAGCGACTGTAGTAGTATCCAGTGCCCTTCCACTTGGGGAAGCCGTTCCTGAGGAAGTGGTCGTATCGCTCACGGCTCTCACCCTTGAGCAGATTGGCAACGACGGACAGCCTCTGGTACGCAGAGGTGGCCTCCTTCATGTATGCATCGATTTCCTTCTTCGAAGCGGGCTTGGTGACCTTCTTGCCCTTCTTCTTGTTCTCAAGCACGCGCTTGGCCTCGAAGTTCCTGCGAGCCTTGTCGGGGTGGAGGTCGCGCGACTTCTTGCGGTAGGCCTTGGTCAGCTCATCTTGCGAGGCCGAGGGCTTGACGCCGAGCAGGTCGTAGAAGGTCACGTTCTCGCCGCTGTGGAGGGCGACCTCATCGCGGAGGCGGAAGATCTCGTGGTCTGGAGCGAGGGCTGTTAGCTGGTGTGCTTGGTGGGCAATGGCATGCGGGAGCGTGCATGTTCCCCAGAAACGCGCGGGAACGCTGCACGCTGCAACGGGACACAGCATACCCTCTTTGGTCCATGCAGCTGCAAAGGCAGCGAACAGGCACAGCACGAGCGCGGAGAGCGCGCTGGGCTTCATGGCGTGCGGCGAGCGAGCGGTGGGGACGGTGAGGCCGTCTTGAGTGGCCGCGGATGGTGGGAGCACGCACTCTGCTGCACTGTGCGTCGGTGAAGAAGCCGAACGTGGTCCAATGGGAGCGGGCGAGCGAGGCAGTAGTGCGGTGACGCGGGCGCCGGCAGAAAAAGAGAGCAGAGGCCCCGAGCAGACCCGGATTCCTTCTCTCTCGTGTCCTGCAGCAGTCGACTTTCGCTGTTGAGGCCAGATGGAAATTGTCGAGGGTGTGCCCGGGCCCCAGGCGTGTGAAACTCGGTAGCCGTTGCCAAACCCGCCTAGTTCCGTCTATTTCGGGGCGTAGTTTAGGGGATCGGCTCGCGGGCAAGGGTTCAGCTACCCATCAAAGAATATCGCAGCCTCCGCCAGCACGCGCGTACTTTCACCCCCACAGCCTCGCCCGTACGCCTGTACAAATACCGCCCGCCGCGCAACGCCGCCACTCTCCTGCGACTCTCGCGACACCGGTAAGGCCCCAGCTCTGCGTGAATTCCGCGTCTTGCTCTGCAGGAAAAAGACACGTCTCCAGCTCTGCACCAGTAGCTCGACCGCGACTCTCCGTCCCACGACCGCAACCACCGCCTGCCGCGCACCGCTGACCATGGCTCCCAACGCAGACTACGAAGCTCAGCAGAACCTGATCGAGCCCGACACCCCACCGCAATCCACCCACACACGCACGCAACCACCCGCGCACGAACCGCACATCATGTCACGACTCAGCATCCCCATTGACGCTCTGACGTCCAGGCTGAACCTCGGCGGCCGCTTCGAAGGCCTGCAGTCGCAGTCGCTCTCCGGCCGATTCGCGAACCTGCGCCCCGTCACCGAATTCTTCGACGTGAAGCGCATCTCCAAGCCCGCCAACTTCGGCGAGGTGCAGAGCCGGGTCAACTACAACCTGAGCTACTTCTCGAGCAACTATGCAGCCGTCTTCGCCATGCTCATCATCTACAGCCTGGTCACCAACCTGACCCTGCTCTTTGTCATTCTGATGCTCGTTGGCGGCATGTACGGAATTGGCAAGCTCCAGGGCAACGACCTGCAGTTAGGCAGCTGGCGCGCGACCACTTCCCAGCTCTACACGACCCTTCTGGTCATCTGCATTCCGCTCGGCTTCTGGGCTTCCCCATTGACCACCGTTCTCTGGCTCATTGGAGCCTCCGGAGTCACTATTCTGGGCCATGCTGCATTCATGGACAAGCCGATCGAGTCAGCTTTTTCCGAGGAGGCGGTCTAGGTGGTCGGCCGCGAGCTCCTTTTAGTACGCCCCTCTGGGGAAGACCGCCAGGGGGACGAGGAGCAACAGGAGTTGTGGGGAAGTATTTGGAGGCAGACGAAGATGTGTATAGATTTCAAGAAGTTGACAGTGGCGACGAAAACAATGGCGCATTATTAGATCAGGGTTACAACATGGCTTCAAGTGTTTCGAACGGTAAGCAACCGTTCAATCCGGATGAACTTTACTTCAACGACATGGACATAAGAGCATGGGAGCGGCGCGCGGCGGAACAAGACGGGTTAGCCTACGGCGATGACTACGACTATGGCTACGGCTATGTGGAAGACGAGGGATACTACGAGGATGCAGGCAACATGATATCTCCCGCCGAGTACGAAGAGCTCTTGTTCCAGCGCACGCTGGACAAGATTCGATTGGCTAGGGCCACGGGTGAAGCGGATGTATCACTTTCGCCTGAAGAACTCGAAGTGTATCAGAACCGAATGTGGCGGCAGAGGGCGCCTGCAGCGCGCCCACAAGCTAGACCCATGCCGCACAGCGCGCCTGTGGTTCCTTCGGCCACCACTTCCAGTTCTACTAGCGCACCCGGATCGAGCAGCCCACGATCGAAAAAGAACCAGCGCCGCTCATCGCTCTTCGGGGGAAAGGACAAGTCGAAGAAGGAGAAGTCTGGCAATCGAGCCCGAGCAACGTCCAACGCTACCGAATCAACCATCCAGCAGGCTCCACCAGGCTTTCTCGTGCCAGGGCCTAACGGGCAACCGATGTTCGCACCCATCAACGCCTATCAAGCCAACAATGGTCGTGATACCCGCCAGCCGGGGTCGCCATTGCGTCCAGGCTCTCGCCCGGTTTCGAAAGGCAACGAAAGACATGCCCTGGGTAAGGGGAGAAGTACTGGTAGTCCGAAAGACGCAAGACAATCACAGACTCCTCCACAATCCCCCTTACGACTTACAACAACTTCAAGAGATATCCCTGGCGCTTTCCCAAGTTCTCCTGTAAGCCTTCGTATGCCAACTCCACCTTTGACTGCACGGCCGGGATCCTCGTCTTCTCGCCTATCTGCCCAGGACCACTCAGACCGTCAGACTTCTTCAGGTGGCCGCAGCCGTTCGTCCCCCACGTTGCAGCCTCCCAAATTGGTTCCTTTCCCTGTGGCCGAGTACAAGCACCACAATACTGAACCTTTTCAATACCAAGCCGCAGGTCACCTCGCCCAACCATCAGCTCAACCCCAATATGCTCGAAGAGTAGCTCCTGCCGAATCGCCTTATGCAACAATGCCGCGCCGTGTACCGGTCCCCGGTCAGCCATCGACAGGCAGGCAAGGCATTTCAAGCAGCAACTCTGACTCTGCAATTTCACGCGTGGGGGCAATGGTCGATGCGATCGAAGACGGGGCACACACTGCCTCGCCTACCGATGACAGCGGTTCCAGCGTTCAAGCGGGAAAGATTAGTGGAAAGCAAGGTTCGGGTAGTGGTGCCGGCAAGGAAGGCGAAAGGCGTCGGAAAAGTGGACGAAGTCGTCGCAAGAACTAGTTTACCGGGCTCTTGGTCCTTTGCTCTATTTCCAGTCGTGGAGGTTTTGTTCTGTTCAATTCAATTCTGGTTTCCTTCCTACATGATTCTTTCAAGTGTTCTTTCTTATTCCGGGCATTTGCTGGCTTAGCGCTGGATAGAATGGTGCGTTGGACGTTCATGTTGGACTGAAACGGGTGCACCCATGGTGCTCGGGATATGAATGTCCCTTTTGTATTCAGGGGTTGCTTGTTCTCCAGGTGTAATGAATTCGGAAATGCCTGATTTGCTTGACTAAGCACTGCACCTATTCCATACGAAATATATCCGACAAAAACATTGTTGTGTTTTCTCAACTAAGCATCGAACAAAGTAAAGTATGTGGTCCTGACTTTTGTGGGATTGAGTCCCATGTGAACACAAGCCACATGCTGTGGCTTCTGCTGCTTGGGGCAGCAGTGGCCACTGACGTCACCTCAAACGCGCAAACGTCTCTGGCCACGGTTTGAGCAACACCATATCGCAATCCCGCTCTTGACCTCACCTATACCCTCAATATACAGACCAACGTGTTCTACAATCACCCACTTCAACCGAGAACGATCTCAGCACCTCTCACAACATGTCTGGTAAGCCTGCCTCAACCACTGCCTACTGTACCAGGCTAATATCTCGAAGCTCATGGAGTAGACTACTGTAAGTCCAAAATTTGCATAGTGACCGTTCAAACACTTATGAGCCGTCCCAGATAAGGTCCTCGAGGTCAGCGACAAGGCATCGCAACAACAAATCCGCGATGCCTACAAGAAGTACGTCGTGCCGCTCACCTTCCAACACACCTTCTGACACTACCACAGGCAAGCCCTCAAGCACCACCCCGACCGTGTCGCTTCCGACAGCCCTGAGCGCGCCGCCCGCACAAAGCGCTTCCAGCAGATAAACGACGCCTACTACACGCTCTCGGACCCCGCGCGGCGCCGCGACTACGACTCCGCCCGCAGCTACCAGTCTTTCACCGGCGCGCCCGAACCCGCGACCCCCGACTTCGAAGAGGAAATTCCCCGACAGAGCAATGCTGGCGGCGGTGGTGCCTTTGGCGGCTTCCCATGGAGCGCGTTCGGCTTCGGCAGTGCGCCCGCCGGCGACACGGAGGAGTCGCACAACCGCTTCAGCAACGATCAGTTCGGCGGGGTGTTTGAGGAGATGCTGCGCGAGGAGGGCATGGCCGAGGGTGCGGACGCGCACCCCACGGGCAAGTTCTGGAGCATGATCGGCGGCGCGAGCGGCGCGGCGATGGGCTTCATCGTTGCGAATTTCCCTGGGGCGGTTGCGGGAGCGGTTGCGGGGAACAGGCTGGGTGCTGTTAGGGATGCCCGCGGCAAGAGCGTGTACAGTGTGTTCCAGGAGTTACCGCAGGCGGATAAGGCGAGGATGTTGAGTGATCTTGCCGCGAAGGTGTTTGCGCACGCAGTGGGGTCGTAGGGATGAGAGTAGAGATTCTGTCAGGCGGGTATGGAGAGCAAGATATGGTTATACATGGCGTTGCATAGGCGCAGTGTAACGGAGTCTTGACGGAGCAAGAGAAGGAATTGGGTGGAACATGTTTGATCGTGTTGGGATGCTATTATGATATCCTCTGATCTTCTAGGTAACTGGCTGGACTGTTATGTTTTATATAGTAACCAATAGAATACTTTCGATTTCAATGTGCCAGGTCTCCGGTTTGTTTTGCAGGAATTATTCATCTTGAACAAATTGTATCTTTGATGCATCGAACGCTATGCTATATGCACCGTAGAGAGAACGCCCACACATGCCGTCCTGCACAATCCGCACACAAAATACCCTCTTCCTCTCATTATCTCTTCAGCGCACTACCCTCGAGCTTCCCCAGCTCCGCCTTCGCCACCTCGGGGTTTCCATCAAGCAGCGTCTGCACCCTCTCCTCAAATGCCTTAACCATAATATCCGCCACCTTCGGCGCCGCCCCAGCACTCAGCGCCGTATACATGGGATTCGAAAACGCAAACTCGAGCGCCAGCGACACCTCGGTCTCGTTCTCCCCCAGCGCCTCAATCGTCCAGCGACTCCGCAAGTGTGTCATCAGCCCGCTCCCCGCGCCCCTCGCGCCCCTGTTGTTGTTCTGCGCCCCTTCCATATGATGCGCAATGTCCTTCGCATTCAGATTCGTCTCCGTGTCTCCGCCAATGCTCTCGACTATCCGGCCTGGCACGCAGAACACGCGCGAGGTGAACGACTCGGTCAGATTGCCCCAGCCCACGACGAGGCTTGCTTCCGAGGGCCATTTCCGCGCGTATGTGGAGTCGGGCGCGGACCAGCGCGTTACGGCGGAGGACTGGCAGTAGGGGAGGAAGGAGGAGTAGCTTTGCACGTCGGAGACGATGGAGTAGATGGGTGCGGCTGGGTAGGAGAGGATTCGCTTCGCGGTGAGGGTTTGCGGTTGCGCGGGGCCGGCGAGGGGGTTGAGCGAAGATTGGAAGGGGTTTGAGAGGAAGGTTCGGCGTTGTTGGAGGTTCGCGAGGCGGTGGGTTGGTCCGCGGAAGAGACGGGGGAGGGTTCGTGGTGCTGCCATTGTGGGAGTATGTCGTGGCACAGGAAGAGTGAAGGCTGGGTAAGCGGAAGAAAGGAGCCAGTGTCACCTCGAAGACATGTTTCTACTGTGGATACGCAGGAACAGGGAAGCTTTTGGATATGATTATCATCGTGACGGGTCGCGAAACTGCGGGACCCGGATTGGCTGACGTCGTCCTGCCAGGCACAAGCTCGGGTGCTAACTGCATGGCGGCTAGACTCTTCTCTGGTGCTTATCGATATCGAAATTTCCCACTTTCGCTGCCCCTCCTCCGCATACAGTCAACAAGAGGTCACTTTGCGCCAGAAATACACTCATTACTGCTCCTCTGGAACACTGCCAGCCAAAATGGACACCACAATGAGTGAGAACGCCGAGGAGCGCTTCATCACCGACAACTCCAAATCCACAAAACCACAGCCGAAGCAGCAACTCTCAAAAGCAATGGAGCACATGCGCTTCGCCGTAACCGTCGACCCCATACCACGTTCCTTGTCAAGCTCCACGCCCACATCGCCGCCTCGCTCGGACACGAATACACCGCAGCCCACAGCTGAACCCGAGAGCGACGCATACGGCGTCCCCGCGTCCATCGGCCCCATCCGCAAGCCTGCGCACCGCTCGCACTCACCCACCAACAACCAAAAGCGCAGCGACCCCTTCGCCTTTGGCTCGCGCTTTCTCGAAGAAGGCGACAACATCTTCGAGTTCAACGCCTGGGACCACGTCGACGTCGACCCCGCATACCAAACCTTCTCCTCTGAGCAGTACGAACGGCAGCGCGCAGAACCCGTGTCGGACTTCGACAAGAAACGCTTCAACGACAATCCCGAGAAGTGGTGGAACATCTTCTACAAGAACAATAAGACGAACTTTTTCAAGAACAGGAAGTGGCTGGCGCAGGAGTTTCCGGTGCTGGATGAGGTGACCAAGGAGGATAGTGCGCCGGCGGTGGTGTTGGAGGTTGGTGCTGGTGCGGGTAACAGCGCGTTCCCGATTCTGCAGAAGAGGAAAAACAAGGGCTTGAAGATACATGCGTGCGACTTCTCGAAGAAGGCTGTTGAGTTGATACGGGGACATGAGTTGTACGACCCAGAGTTTATACAGGCGGACGTGTGGGATGTAGCTGCGTCGCCGGAATCAGAAAACGGAGGCTTGCCACCTGGAATCACAGAGGGCAGTGTGGATGTCGTGCTCATGATCTTCATCTTCTCGGCGTTAAATCCGAAACAATGGGACCAGGCGGTGAAGAATGTATGGAGGGTGCTCAAACCTGGCGGGCAGGTGTTGTTCAGGGATTACGGAAGGGGCGACCTGGCCCAGGTGCGATTCAAGAAAGGGAGGTACATGGAGGAGAACTTTTACGTGCGAGGCGATGGTACACGGGTTTACTTCTTCGAGAAGGAAGAGCTGGAGGAGATATGGGGCGGCAAAGAGCGCTCGTCTCTGCCAGAGCCGGATACACAGAGCGGCGAGCAAACCAACGGACAGGCCGAGTCGGCACAACAACTATCCGGTCTGCAATTTGACAAGGAGGCCGGAGCTTCGGGAGAAATTTCGGATGCTACGTCCCCACGGCCCAAGTTCGAGATCGTACATTTTGGCATCGATAGACGCATGCTCGTGAACCGGCAGCGGAGACTGAAAATGTACCGCTGCTGGATGCAGGCTGTGTTCCGGAAACCAGGACATCAGAGCGAGGTGCCCACGAGTACGTTGAGGCAGGATAAGGAGAAAGAGGGCGGCGAGGGCGAGGGCGAGGGCGAGGGCGAGGGTGAGGGTGAAGAGGCATGAATTCTAGAAAAAGCTAGTGAACATTTGGAGAGAGAGTAGGCGTTATCCAATGCTCCTTCCCTCGGAGGACTCACCTTTCGCCAAGGTTCGAGCCAACTGTGTTTGCATCGATATTTAAGTTGTCATCTTTGACAGCTCCTACTACGCGTTAAGTCATGCTTCTTTTCTTGACACGCACTGTCTGATCGCATTGTGCCTGCGCGTTTCCGCACGCACCGACCAACCGGAGCACGTTGACGTCTCATCTGATCTCGTCGACGTCCGACACTGGATTACAGTTTAAATGGATGATACCTCTAGTAGGTATCGATTCGACTCTGGTGCCCTGGCAGAAGATCTCAATCGAGACAAACATAGTTGAGAACTCGACATTGTGTCACGCAACCGTTCGCAGCAATATCGTGCTACCTCGGAACAATGCATATTTCCAGAACCCCAACCCATCATTCACTTCGAGCTCTTGTTTTCGGTTGCTTGGGTAATCTCTAGGCAGCGCGATTTAGCTTTTCACCCAGAGCATTGGCCAGGTGTGAATCGAAGAAAGCTCGCTTCAATCGACCATGGCGTCGACTTTTCGTATATATACACTTCCCTGATGCACATACACCGCCGCTCCTTCGCTCGCAACCCTCCCCCAAGCTCACCACGAGTGGCCCTCGTACACGCCCGGAACTCGTATCGGTTCTAGACCTTACGCGTGCAAGATCCCATTTGCCGGCGCAAGATCGACCTGGCTTCAACGGAAGCGCCGCGCTTAACTCGACAACAAGTGCCAGAATGGAGTACTACGGCATGAATGAGTTGCCCCATTCGTACAAACGATACAAGGGCTTGACGGGTTACTTTGAGAAGTGGCTCCTAAATGTCGCGAAAGAGCGCGGTCTCGAGATCGCCAACCAGGTAGAGGCTGAAGCTGCGAAACGCCAGAAGACTGGAGGGTCGAAATCCCATCACATCCTCATGAAAGACCTTTTGCCTATGGCTGAAGCCGTTGCAAAGTCTGGGCAACCTTCCAAAGATATCTCAGGTCTCGCCGATCTGGACGACGCTATACGCATCCGAAAAGAAGTCACTCAGTGGTATCGTCTGCAGCACATGTCTGATGAGGAGCATCCCTTCTTCACATCGGTCTTGGCCGACGTGCGTAAGGTATTCAAAGATTGGATCTTCGTTACACCAACACAACCCGAAGCCCACAAGAACCTTGAAGAATCTCGAGGCAACAAGGATCAAAATCCATTTAAGCAAGTCGCATTCATATTCAGCTACTTCGATGACTCAGCAGACATGGACGACAGTATTGACGGACCAGATACAGACTTGAACGTAGAGGCGGGACCATATCGATCCAAAGCAGGGACGGAATCCGACCAGCGACTGATATCACTCAATCCGCCAGACGCCGAATCCCAAGTACCAAAGGCCGACCTACAAATCGATCGAGAGTTCGAAGTACTTTGTTTCCTGTATGACCTTCATCTGCTCCGACAACGCATCAAAATCGTCTGGAGCGATTGGAGTCAGCGAAAAATAGGAACCATGACTGCCGCGATTGTCTCAGACCTTGCTATGGCCTACATCCAACAGAGGGTGACAAGCCTTTCACAAGAGCTGAACGACGATGGGAACGGCCAGGACATCCTCGGCATCGTCGACAAGCTGATGGAGCTGATACCGGAAGATCAGCGAGAGGTCCCACTGTCGGATGAGGGGAATGGACTGCAGGAGTATCCGCGCGATCTTCTCTGTGACGAAGCCATCTGTACCATGAGCGAATATTGGCGTCTTGGAGCAGCCGGTGCTGCTGCAACCCATGAGCTGCCTCGCCACGATTCTTTTCGGCTGCGCTTTCTTCTGCATTTCAAAGTGATCGGTGCAGGGAAATTGGAAGCCCCAGCCATGGACAAATTCACGGAGTCATTATGCTCTGCCGACACACGATCCAAAGATTGGCTTCCCTTCGGTTTCCAGGTCTTACTTGACATACAGCGACTTCTACTCCTTGAAAACAAGACAATGGGAGAAATTAGAGATGACGTTCTCGACCATGGTCTCTATATCGAAGAAGTTATGAGGCAACATATTGACTACGAAGACAAGATGTGTGATGTTGGTGAGAAGCCTGGCTACCTGTCAACGGCTGACTTCAAGTTTTCCAACACCTACCTACCGACCTTGATGCGACTTCTGGACTGGCGGCTGCAACTGCACCACGATGACTGCGAGGAAGTGTCGGGAATGCGCAACCTTCTTTTCGTTGCCGCGCATCCAATCTTCTGCGGTATGACTATGTGGTTCTATCATCGGATGTATCACAGCAGCGCTATCAACACGATATGTTGGTTTGTGGTTGGACTCGCCCATCTTTACAACGCTTGCCGTCAGGTGGGCGGGCTAAATAGTACTTGGGCAGACCTAGAATTCGTCATCAAGTCTCAAGGATCCTCACGGATCTTCGTTGGCGGCCCGCCTACAGAACCCGACACCTTCTACCAGCGTGTGCGACTAGCTCTGGGCCATTCTGTCTGTGAACATGCCTCTGACTATTATCGACACAAAATTGATCGACCCAAATCTGTGAGAAGGCAGAAACGTGGCCTTACGAATTACCCACTCCTAGAGGCTAAGATCTTAGCATACTACCAGACAAAATCCCAGGAGAAGCGCTCGTCACTGCTACACAACATCTTCGTGTTCCTACACGAGGACCTTGAAAACGCCGCTGCGAAAGGCTCAAGCACAATACCGAATGAAGAGGCATCAAAAACATCTCAAGTCCAGGAGAAAGTCCGGATTATCTTCAGAGCAATTGCTATCAAGCGCGCGTTACGGACGAAGAACAAGAAGACACGCAAGAAGAATAAGTCCAAGATTCCGTACTTCTCTGACAAGGGTGCTTTGCATGACAAGTCCCTGCATCATGCAACTTCTCAATTGGCTGAACATGAGCTTTACGCCAACTTCGACCACTTTGCTTTCTTTCGCCGAGCCTACAAAATCATGAAGCGTATTCGGACAGAGGTCCTGTGGGATAGCAACAAAGCACTCACTACGCTGGATGCTACACAAGAGGCTCCCAATGACCTTTCGCTTCTCGTCGGTCTGCTTATTAATCTCGCACCCCCACAGGACAAAAAGGACCCAGCGTGCACTGCTAAACATGCCCTTGGGATGAAGAAGCTGAAGATGATTGCGAAGATCATGCAGGGGTTCATCCTCGAGCAAGGAGATCTCGAGTGGAAAAACGCCGAAGAGCAAATGAAGCGTAGGAGGGAGCATGGTACCGTGCCGCGCGAGAAGCTTTCCTTGGAGCCGATCCAAGAAGCAACTACCTCAGAGATCAATGCTCAAGTTGATACGCTTCTGCAGATTGAGGAAAAGCCTGTTAAGAAGGTAGCTCTTGAGGTTCCCGCTACAGACCAGGAGTCTGGAACGGAGCCTCCAGTTGAACCTCAACCTGTACAGTTCCGCAGTCAAGCTGAACAGTTCATATCTGAGCTTGCAGATGCGTCCCAGCCTTCCCTATTCGGCAATAAAATTGTCCAACCTGGCAACCAGAGCAACAAGTCTTTCCATTGTGGCAATGAACCTGTCCAGTCTAGCAACCAAGGCCATAAGCATTTCCGCTTTGGCAATCGCAAGCACTCAACATTCGACTTTGATCGCGCAGTCGATATCGCCGCCAAGGCTCGGGGTGCACCTAGTCCGTTTTACGAGGCTGAAAACAAGAAAAGTAGCAGGCCCGAAGATGCAGTGATTGAGACAGAACCAGCCAACCCGTTCTATAAGTTTTTGAACCAGAGGAACAGTGAGCTCGAAGATGCAGCGGTCGAGACTGAAGCAGCCAATCCGTTCTTGGAGTTTGTAAAGAAGAAGTCCAGTGAGCACGAAGACGTAGCGGTCAAGCCTAGGGTAATATCAGGTTCTGCAGGCGCGCCAATGAAGCCAGAAGCCAGTTCAGCGCTCGAAGCTCCAGTCCTGCAGCCAGAAGCTATATGCTCACCCAAAGGCTCGGAATTGAAGCTTGATCCAGCTCCTGAGCCCCAGCGAGATGAAGTCGATGAATCTGCACAGGACGAGAATCTCAACACGTATCAAGGTGAAGGGGATGCGACTGTCACAGGTAAGCTGTCCGCTTCTCATCATGATATGTCTTTCCCAACCGCGGTCCAGACACACCTCGATCAAGAGAATCAAGGTGGCTCCGACGGCTGGTCGGATGCGGACGAAGATATCGAGGTTGACGGGCTCGCTGAGGACCGAACCCTCGAGAGCCATCTGTCGAAGTACCTTGCGTTCAGGCAGGCTACACGAGCCCAGTACCCATCAATTGCGAGTCCTGTGTCGGAGCCCCAGCCTGATGGGGGAACTTGCCCTGCAAACCCCTTATCTCTACCTCCACGCCCGGAAAACATCACTGACTACGTGACCGGAGGACGTAGGCCTGGATACTATATGTTCGACGTCTACCACCGCTTCACCTACCGCAGCACGCGATCTACCCGACAGCCAAAGTACATATCGTCTACTCGTCTCGATCGCCTTCTTGCTCGTACTCGTACAGCTTCTGAGCCTCGGCGTCGTCTGGTAGGCGCAGTGAAGCATCGCGTCTGTCACAACTGCTACGGACGATGCATGTTAGGTCACGCTCTTTTAGGGAATGTGCATGATGCTTGGCGGCATGGGGCCGTAAATGAGGATGACGGCTGGGACACTGACGATGAATGGGATACAGATGAGTGGTGTAGTGGTGATGAGTAAGGATGAAGGTCATGCCCTTTCAAGAGTGCGCTCATCATTATTTAGACACAGACATGCTGTTATTGTGCCCAAGCAAGTTGAGCGGAAGCCCAAAGATAAGTAACGAGAAGAGACGAGTCGTTTTTACCTCTGTTATATAAATTAGGAGCTGCAATAATTGTTGAAATACCTTTCCCTTTGCCCGATCTACAAAATCAAGCGGCCTTCCATTAAGGTTTTTATGCCTCGTATGCCTGAGCGCCTCCAGTATGAGAACAAAATCAAGATATGTATACCTATAACTTTTCAAAAGACAGTTCGGCATTGATCATCCAACTGGCCGTCCAACCGCTGTCACCTCATTGGCTAGGTGGTAGTCACCCCACTGACCACGCCCACGCTTCCCCCTCGTTGCGGGCAACCCGCGGGCACCCACACCACCTCCCGATTGTATTCCGGGTCTCTAGAAGAAAGACAGCTATTGCGAGCCTTAATTCAGTGGCTGTCCTCGCTCTAGCGAACGACGGCTTTGTTGCACGGCAAGATTCGCATCTCGGATACTGACAAGACATGTCCTTGCCTTGCTCTGAGGTGGCAAGATCGACCAACGACACGTGCCGAGATTCCTGAAACAGCAAACAGCCGGAGCGTGTGGAACGACTAAATTCTTTTGGGCCTTAAAAACAGCACCCCGACTAGAGACGGCAAATGTCTATAAATAAGACGAGCTGAATAGTTCTCTTATTGCTCTGGGCTGGAATGAGTGTAGATGTGCTGCGTATGGCTTCAGAAATGCCGAGTCTGACTACGATTCCGTCACATTCGACGAAGAGGATACCCCGATCGATGCTGAAACACCAATGGAAGAAATAGATGCGGATGACGATGCGACTGTCCATGGTATAGAAAGTGACCACGACAAGTAAGCTGCAGATGCGAGCTTGGAGGACCACCTTGCATCGGATGGTAGTCTCGCAGGAGCATCCTATCTGGGACCCAAGGCTATACTTACTCAAAATGATGGATCTCAGGATCCGCAATGTTCGGAAAGAGTGATCTTACCTCGTGAAAAGATGCGCTGCCGGTGCGAGAGATCAGGTGATGGCATCCTTTTCAGACCCACACAGCTTGTTAACAGAAGACGGAATGAAAGCCTCAGCTACCCGTTCTGCAGTGAACCTTTCAGTGGCACACCGCCGAAATTTCTATTGCCAGACTGATCAAGACAACGAGCATGTTGAATGAGCTTCGTAAAGAGATTCTGCTCAGTATCAGGGCATGTGAACGATTTCTTGCCTACAAAGGGGGTCACACATACTTCTATGACGACGAAAAGCCCAAAGATAGCACGACTCTCCGAAGCATCGCACATTGCATCCAATGTTCTTACAGGTGTCTCATGGACTTAGAACGACGGCTGGCGTATCTGGAAGAGTCGTTTCAGAAGTCCAAAGAAGCTGTAAGTGATCGATCATACGAGTCTTCGATACGATGAAAACTCATGTATAAATGCTTGAACTCTGTATGAGCATCCAGCACCATAGAGAAAACGCTTTCCTTGGCAGGGAAGCGAATGCGCTTAGCAAGGAAGCAAACGCGCTGACTCGGGGAGCAATAGAACTCAGTACACAGCCCGACATGCTTACGAAAGATTCGAATTCGATAGCAGCGGAAAACTGAAGGGTTTCTGCAGCAAGCAATCTCAACATGGCTGAGCTGGTCAACGTGCGTGAAGCTGACGAAAGGTGTATAACAAGCGCTGACTATGTACTAGATGAACCAATTCATGACGGCTATTGTCATTGTCGTGGGGTACCTCAGCATTCAGGGAGAGATTTTTGGTTACCGAAAGACCGCAAAGTCCTTTTTTGTCTCGGCCACCATTCTATCCTTCATGTTGTACCTTCTCAACCTCATGGTATTCCTATTGCGTCACTATCTCAGAGGAAAGGGTGCGCCGACGCGGATACTTACTAGACAACTGGACCAATTTCTCCTTGATAGGGAAAACAATGGTAAAGTGAATGGTCACAGTCTAGTGAGTGGATTGATGCTGGTTCAGGAGAATTGCAGAGATGCGCAGTTGAACTAGGCGCGTAGTTTCGCAGCATTCTTTTACTTCAGACAGTATTATAGGCAGTGTAACCGTCAATGGGATTTTCGTTCTTGAGGTCCGCATCGCTTTCTTTCGCTTTCACTTGCTGGGCCTTGCACGAGTTGGTTTAGAGTTGAACGAACTCAATCGCGCATGGATTTGCTCATGAATTAAATAAATATCGAGGAATTTTCTTTTCTAACAACTGCGATGTTTCTACCCCATCAATCCACTGTCAGCTTATCGTACTCGTATACGGTCGCTCTCTCGGTGAGATATGGCATGTCTAATAACAGCTAGAACAATCCAACATGGCCTATCATGGATGAAACATGGCTGAATATCGGTGGCAGCAGACAAGCGCTAACTTCTCCGCAGCCTTCCTATTCGTGGATAATCAAACCAAATTGACTCTAGAGACCTTGTAATCTCGCAATTGTCCAGAAAAGACAGGGGCCACCCCGATAAGCGAGGTGGAGGAAAGTCGCCCCAAACGGCAGGAAATCAAATTGGCCAGGAGATGAGCAGTCTCGAAGCCGTCGATGAATATGTCGAAGATTTTTTGCCAAGATGCCAAGAGCTCCGCTCTCTTTCGCCGAGCTGTCAGTCCAGCCTGACCCGTTGTGCCAAGGCACCCGATACCTCTTGCCATTGTTTGAGATCGAAAGGAAATTTCATTCGATATCTTACTGTGTAGCACAGGGGCATAGCGCCGGAAGGATACTCTGTTTCAAACGATATGTCGTACTCTGGGCCAACACCGTGAGGGCGGCACAGTGAAGCGGGCGGAGGTGAGGTTTTGCATAAAGAGATGGGTTGGACGCTGGTGCAGGACAGTATCTCATTCTTGAGCCTCACGTTCTCTGTCCCACTTCAGTCTCTCGTTTGCTTGAAGCAACCCACTCTCATTACCAACTTTCAATTCGTTTATATACTTGTTTACTCCAAGAACCACTTAACCATTTCTGAAAGGTTTCGACGTATCCAAAATCACCTACAATGAAGTTCACTCTTATCGCCGCTGTTGCTGCCTTTGTGGCTCCCATTGCCGCCGGTCCTGCCCAGCAGACTCCTAACGAGTTCTTCAGCTTGACCAAACGTGCTACCCTTCCCGTCCCCAAGTCGAAGGGTTCGGTCACCTACAAGAAGGCCCAGTCTATCTCGGGTACCTTTGACGGTGGCTACAAGACCTATGGCCGTGGTGTTAAGTGTACTGGTCAGGTTGAGGGCGGTGACGCTGATGCGGTCTTCATCCTTGAGAACGGCGCTACCCTGAAGAACGTTATCATTGGTGCTGGTATGTGACATCGGATGCGGCTCTTGACATCCATCCACGAAGCGCATGCTAACAGATCGCCAGACCAAATCGAGGGCGTCCACTGCAAGGGTGCCTGCACCATTGAGAATGTCTGGTGGACCAGCGTCTGCGAAGATGCCCTCTCTCTCAAGGGTGATGGCAACGCGCTCGTCAAGGGTGGAGGTGCTCAAGGTGCTGAGGATAAGGTCATACAGCACAACGGAAAGGGCACTGTCACCATCGATGGTTTTACTGTCATGGTAAGTTCATCATCACCTGCGCCCTCTTATCTCGTGTTCGATAAACTGACATTAGCTCTTCAGGACTTCGGGAAGCTCTACCGCGCATGCGGCAACTGCAAGAACTCCGTTTCCCGCAGCGTTGTTATCAAGAACGTCAAGGCCTACAACGGCAAGTTGCTCGCAGGCATCAACCCTAACTTCGGCGGAACTGCCACCATCTCTTCCACCTGCGCCTCTTCCGTCAAGACCGTCTGCGAGGAGTTCAAGGGAACCACCCCCGGCAATGAGCCCAAGTCTGTCTCCAAGGGTCCCTCCAACTACTGCAAGTACACCGCATCGACCATCAAGTCTTGCTAGAAAGCTGGTGAGACTTTCGCAAGAGCGATATGCTTGGTGAAGCTGATGAGGGCTTGTGTTTGGTGACCAGAAGATTTTTGGAGGATTCTTGTTATGTACCTTTGCACTAGTAGCACATGCGGCGCATGTAATGTATACTGAATATTTACCGACCACTCTAAACGTTCTTAGCGAGTTGATGGGACCATAAGCTTGCGTGCGGATATGATGGGATTGCCCGTTCCGAGTCTGACCGGAACACAATCCAACGTACGCAAGTTTCGTGCAAAGAGGCCTATGTCACGATTTTCAGCGTGCGCATATTCACAATTCCTGTTGGTACTGATGATCCATCCTGGAAGCCTCGAGGATCAATCGCCTGTAGTCCAACACCGCTTGTTCGAGCTCCTTCCTTTCCAAAGCCTCGTGGTCGGAATGGGCCACCAATATGCTTCCAGGTCCATAGAGGTATCTCCGATGGTCACCAGCAAGGAGTGGTACGTCCGTTCCATAGTTGACGGTCAAGGTATCAAAGCTTTTGATGTCGCAATCAATGTTGACGGGAGGATATCCCTCGCCTGCCCATTCAATCTCTAAGCCACCACCTTGCTTCTCTATACGTGTCTTCACATCCGAGAGCGCGCTTATTACGAGCCCACGAACATCGCTCGGTGTGCCAGCTGCGAGACGAACAGCAATGTTTGCTGAAGCTGTCTCTGCAACTACGTTCCCAGCAACGCCGCCCTCGATCTTCCCAAAGTTCATCGTCGTATTGCCATATTTTTCCGACCAAGGCAGGCCGTTGGCGCGTAGCTCCAACAAATTGCTGAGTGCTTCGGTGAGGACATCGTTGGCACTGACGCCTAGCCAAGGATAACCCGAATGCGCTGCCTTCCCCTTGATGCGTAAAGTGAAGCTCAGTATGCCCTTATGTCCGCAAACAAGCTTCCCCTCTGTAGGTTCACCAAAAATGACAACCTCGTAGTTGGGCCGCGGTCGCTCAGACCACGAAGAGAAAGCGCGCATCCCGTCACCGCCGGTCTCTTCGCCTACGACGAATAACAGTGACAAATCATCGCGCAGGTGCTCCCTTAGAGCTTGAACCGCGACGATCTGAGCAGCAGCACTACCCTTTGCATCAACAGAACCACGCCCGCCAATCACATCCGTTGTTTTGTTGTAGTAGTATGGCCAGTAAGGAGGTACGGTATCGATGTGAGAAGAGACGAGGATCGTGGTCGAGCGTTTCGAGCCGTATGCGAGGATGTTATGACGATTCTCAGAGACTTCCTGCGTTTCTACGGTGAAGTTCTTATCGCGCAAGTAAGAAGCAATCCATTGGCCCACATTCTTTTCGCTGCCAGTGATCGATGCGGTCTCGACGAGTTTGCGATGTAGGTACAGCAGCTCTGCTGAAGCGTGCTCTGACAGTTTGGGTGAAATGTCTGAATTTTGTTGAGAGGTATCTCCAACCGCGATAGCCCGATTCGCTACCAGTGCGAGTAAGGAAAGGTGCCAGATCATCATTTGGTGGTGTTGGTATGAAGGCGTGGGATGAAGCGAATTCCACTGCTGCAGAACATTACGTAGGTAACATACGTCGCTTATCGTACCGTGCCTTGGCAGTTGTGCACGCCGTCACTCAATGCACGCTCCCCATCAAATCGTCAGCCGGCAATATGAGGCTGTAGAGACGGCCACAAACAGTAATATCACGAGAATTTCTAGAGTTGAGGCCTCATAGGCCTGTAGATAATTGCTAGCTACTCAGATCATTGATATCTACTTGGTGTTTTGATCGTTCGGCCACTGCGCGACTGTGAGGCGGATGTAATAGAAGATGCCACATCAATATCTACAGCCTTACGCTGAGCCTATTTCTTCTTAGTAGATTTTCTAAGAGTCTTTGAGGCCTTTTAATTACCCTTTTAGGATAATTTAATACGTTTCTGAAGTTGACTTTGCGCCTTGCAGGCCTGTTGTTTAAGATGTCGATCTGTATTCTTATTAGCCCTCTGCTTTGCGCGTGTCTCTCTAGTAGCTGCTTGAGCAATACGCCTCTCCTAATGTAGCCTTGCTTTGAGCTACTAGCTGGCCCGATAGGCCTCTGCTCGCTCACTTTTTTGAAGCCGTATTTGTTTATCCTCTATATATTTTTCGCGTTGATGATTGTACGCCCGCTGCACGCTATAAGGTGACTAGAAAATAGCTCCACCATGAGACTCATCTGGCTAATTAAGAGGTAAAGGCCTGCCTTGCTTTAAGTGTTTCTTCTGTATTGCTGGGGCCTCATAGGGACCCCTATTTTTATGCTCTAGAAGCTGGTTCTGTATAGAGATATTGTTGAGTGTAAGAGTGATCGATTGGCTCTATGGGCGATGACGCATATAAACACTAGAGCTAACTAGCACCTACCACATGAACGGCGGTGCCTTCCAACAGATATGGTGTATAGTTTAACTTAGCTTCTTGGCCTTATTGCCTCTACCTATATCCATATTGGCCCTTAGTAGCCTATCAATCTTTCTCCAATCTGAGGCACTGAGTACTGAGGTTGAGCTTTCTCGTGAGTCTTGCTTAGTTGGCTGAGGCTGATCAAATCTATTGATTATAGTCGTTGGATTGACTGGGTAGATGCCTGTAGCTTTAAAGGCCTAGAGTATCGATGGCTGCCTTATTGTATTGACCTAGGCCTTCTAGAATAGGCTAAAAAGTATCTCTTAGCGATTGAGGCCAGTCCCTGGGTGTTGTTCATCAAGGCTGATAGCTCATTTAAATATGCTGTTGATAGAGTCATAAAGGTGTAGATATTGAGAGGCTGCAACGTATGTGTTGAATGGGATGGATAGATGGCTAATAGGATCTTATTGAGATCACAAAAGTTGATGAAGTCCATAGTGATATGAGATCTATGGCCGTTAACGATCAGTAGCCGATATGATTGTCTAGCTTTTGGCTTTGTGAGCCGATTAAACACCTGCTGTAGCCATGTAAGGCCGATCTGATTGTTGCTATAGCCAGATTCTAATACTTTGATAAAGGCCTGATGGTGTTGAGGATCGAGATCCTCTACCCAACTCAATTGTATGTTTGTATAGGCGGCCTGATAGATGAGGCCTGGGGCCAAGGCAGATCCGTCGGCGCATATGCAGGCTATGGCAGATATCCACTCACGGATGCCATCTTGTATCACCTGCCTCACAGTCTTGCTTTCGTATAGAGGCCTACTGAAGATCCTCTTTGTGCAAGTGGTGATCCCAAGTAGGAAGCCTTTCTCGTCCATATTGTACGTATTTTGAGCCTCGATCTGATACTCCTTAATCTTATGCTGTAGAAGCTCGAAATAGAGCTTATATTTGGCTTAAGGAATTAGCTTTATGTTGATTGTTGTTGATTCCGGGCGACTATTGAGATATTAAGGATTCCTTGTTCCGCTGTCTAAAGCGATCAACCCAGGAGATTGAGACTTGCTTTTTGGCTATATATGAGGCAAAGCTCTGTATCATCTGCCGTATAGGAGTAAGGATATGTTCCGTAAGCTGTTTGATATATTGTAGAAGCTCTACTTCTTGTTGTTGGCTGAGATTTCAACGCGCAGAGTTGGCAGCTGTACCTGCCTGTGTGATGCCTTGGTGCCGACGCGTTAGTGTAGAAACCACAACACCATAAGTTAATCTTTTGCATGATTACATTGGGCTTGGCAGGTGAGCAGAAAGAATCGTTATAGCTAGTTTGGGAACCTTTGTATATATGTATACACGCAAATGCTGGATAATTCTTCTTTCCAGCCAAGTCATGCAATACTGAGGTCGTGGACATGGAGCGTCTCAGCCATCCGCAGTTCAAGGGGAGCCGCCCGAAGCAAGGGGGAGTTGTTATGGAATGACATCCAAGCTGGTAATGGAAAGCATACCTTGCAAACAAGGGACAACATCTGCCGCCGGTGGTTCAGTGCCCTCATGTCGCTGAACACCTATCTGCAACGCCCCGAACATTGAGCGGGTCCATCTTGTCGGACTATGCTTTCGAGGAGTCCTTCCACTTTAAAGTTGATAGGTTTTCCGAGAAGGCAGCCCTGCGCATGAAGTTATGGGAAGTTCATGCTATATGATCGATAATAGGTCTTGATGCCATTAGGCAATTAAGCGACCGGAACTATACTATCCGTGCAGGACCATCTTTCCCTGTTTTTAAATGTAGCGGTAGCAGGAAGCTATGAAAGACTGTATTCATTCCTATGAGAGCTGATACATGAGATGGTTTTTATGCTCAAGCTTATCGGCCCGAGAGGCTTGTACGCCTCAGCAGCTGGCGTACACCCTATCAACCTCAAACAGCTTCAGTTCCGTCACATCAAAGCATGCCCAAGTCAGTGTTTCAGTTCGGCGGACTAACCTCGCCGACTAATGGTCCCAGCACACAGTCTCACATGTAACCTCTGGTCCCACGTTGTGCAAGGCATGCTGGCGCTTCTGTTGACTTAAGTCCCTCGGTGGCTCGGACATCTTTCTATCGTATTTTCTCTCCAACGATCGGCCTCGATCAAACGTGGCCATGAGCACTCATATCAATTTGCTATCTCCTGTCAATGAGTCTCATCTCGAAATCAGAAGCGTATGGTAAGCAAGTGTTACTTTTATCGACAGAGACTCCTCCCGCAGCTTCCTGCCCCTCAAAGTTGCCGTTTCAGCTCTCACGCATTTTGCGGAACAATCCATCATACACCTTGAAGGAAGGAGGAACGACTCTATCATTGTTGCCGCCAGCTAATGAGTAATGCAGGCAAAACGAAAGCACACTTATCTGTGGCAGTGCGTAAGTCGATCCACCACACGTACACGGTCCCAAAAATCCAATTCAATGGGCAGTGTCATTGCGGCGCTTCCTCGATACCGATACGAAGTGGCTCCTGTCCAAACTGTGGTCAATGTCGCTGTGCTTACTGTCAAACCACTCGAATTCAGATAAGAGCGAGCTGCGAGGGAGTGCCTCTTCGCCACTCGCACGGTGGCAATGTTACCCGAGGACGTCTGCAACCGAGATGTTGGAATGTCCCTTGAATTAGTTTCATAATAACGTCCAATTGAGGAAATATGGGGATTCTACGTTGTGTTCGAACGATGTGAAGAATATAGTATCAGCAGAGGTGCTATATCCTCTCTGCGCTGCGGTCGGTGAAGGATGCGCGTCGATTGAAAGTCAGCGTCACATTTTGGGATCCTTGGACTGAGAAAGGCCATAGGGAGGCGCTCGAGGGTACCCATGGACTGAACGCAAGGAGGATGGGAGCTAGGGGTTGGTCGAGGGGTTGTACTGCCTTTGTGGATTGTAACGTTACCCAGAGATACTTCACCGCTTGTCTAGCAGTGGCTTGGTCACACGAGAATACAATTTGGCCTTATGTGACACTTGTTCAATTATGTGCTACGTAAAGCTATGCTAATAACCGCCTTCTTCTCCTTCTCTAAAAATGTTCTGGCTGGAGCTCCACGTCCTGGCTTAGTTTCGTAGAGGTGAGCGTCCTAGAGAGGTAGTATAGACGCCTCTAATCTCTCCTTTGATTTAGGATAGCTATTATATTATGGATAGCTATTATATTAAGTTAATAGAATATTAATGCGTCGTAATTTTATATACTGCAATGTGGGGTTCGCAGCTCGCTTGTAAACACGTGACCCACAGTCATCCCTGTTACCCAGCTGAAACAGTGGATCTTGAGAGAAAGGTCTTGGTCTTATCACTGTTCGGCGCTATATCCCCCAGGACGCTCACTGGCTGTCTTGATGTATACGCATTGCGTCTTCTTGACGAACAATGGTAGACCGCTCGCTTGCTTAAGCAGTTTTCATTGACTTATGCGTCCAGGCAAGAAAAAGGCATATCTTTGTATGGCACTGTGTAAGTTATTGCTCATAGAGCCTCAATAATTACCAGACGCAAAGGCTTACAAGGTCAGTGTGCTTGCGGCCAAGCCTCGAACAACATTGGTGTTGGACACTGCATAAGATGTGGACACGGGAGATGTGCCTATTGCCAAACCGAAAAAGTCCAAATACGGGCCGCTATATCCGTCACAAGGTTGAAGTACTGTTTATATCAAACTATCGACGAATCGACCCGGTCTTTCGGTACAGCGCGGCCAACGTACAGTACAGTTTTGAGATACAGAGCTCCGTACGTACAAATTTTTTTGCCTGTACGTACGGGTGTACGGGACTACGGAGCCCACTTTTTGGCTGGCAAATAGGAGGTTTCTGGTGGAGTTATCCCATGTCTCTAGGCGTTTCTGTGCTACGCGTGGCGTCGCCGTATAGTGCCTTGTGTAACGTTCTCGGAGTAGACTTTTTCGCCAAGTTTGCTCCTCCATCTCTATACTGTCGTCAGCTGTTAGCATGTTATTATAGATCGCTTTGTTACCCGCGTCTCTCAGTCGTCCCAGTCAACTCAGCTGATTCCTGCCAGCCAGCAGTATCACCATTCCGGATCGCGTACGGCAGCAGCTGTTGCCACCGCTATGGCGGAGAGCTTTGAGAGCTTGGATCACCCGTCATCAGAAGCTGGCTCTATCATCGATCCCCACGCCTGGCCGGGAGACCTACAAGCCTACGGAACTTGTTTCCCTATTGCCTGGACTCGCCTTGTCTCATCGCGCTTCGGCTAAAAAGTTAAGAGCAAGGCACAGTTACTTAGGAAGCGCAAAATCGCAGCTATTTAGCGAGACTTCAAATAATATTCGTCGACGACAACCTACTCACAAGTAAGAAGATGTATAAGCGGCAGAAACGCACGTCGCAGCTTGACGAGTACTTTGACAGCCTCTATGACGACAAGCTAGCTGCATCTTCGTCTCCAGATCTCTAAAAGCTCCTACAGGATCCACACTGGTGGACGGAAGTAGGTCAAAAACGCTACCCAGTCGTATACAAATTAGCGATAGATCATCTCTCTATGCTAGTAACGTCCTGCGACTGTGAGAGATGTTTCTCATCTGCTAGAAGAACAATCACGCGCGATCGCAATTCACTATCTCTAGTTGTCGTCGAGACTCTACAGCTCCAGAAGAACTGGCTGAGGAGAGAGGCCGTACACAGTCATCTTACAAAGCTGGCAGCTCACGTCACTCAGAAGGATGCCAAGCCCAACGTCCAGCTTGCCGACAACGACCTTTACACCAGCCACCTTCCTAATTAGGCCAATTGTATACTTGAAACGGCACGTACACGTACAACGGCTGTACGGACCGTACACCAGGGGTTTCTTGGCGGTCCGTACGTACGTACACTGCTAGGGGGTCCCGTACGTACGTACAAGAGGCCTGTACGGAGGCTGTACTGTACGTTGGCCGCGCTGTTTCGGTATTACTCGATCCCATACACGGACCAATAACACTAGGTGTTGCCGTTTCTAAATGGCAACAACTGCACATACTGAATGTGAATTGCAACGAGCGCGAGGCCATGGTTGAGCACAAAGACCATCTTGCGGATATCTTCATGCACAAAGTCGTCTGAATACGTTACCATAGATGTCTTGCCTGGCAGACTTTGTTTTTGACTCGCTTGACACGCATACCTGGGCTATGAAAAAGACGAACTGTACCGGTTCTCCGGTGTCACCTACCTGATTTGCGAGTTGACTTCTGCAACACCATTGAAAACGACAGGGAGAACCAGGCGATGGATGATATAAAGACAATCACGACTCATGGGCCGCGTTTAGCCGTAGCTCGCTAACGGTACCTTTACCTTGCACACTATAACGTAGTAGACAGATCTCTGATGCACATAGTTTGGGAGGCTATGTTGCCTCGGTGGCACGTGATCTGGCCTACCTACCACCCCGATCCCTACAACCTTGTCGAGCCCTCAAGAGGAGACAGCGCTCATTTCCGAAAGATCTGCAGTACCCTACATGCAGGTCAGATGACTCGGGCCTCCACTTGCGCACCGTTGAAGCTGCACGTTCGACGACTATCTTCACAGCGTATCCCGATGGTACGGTCGTAGACTCTATCTGCCTTGAGAATCCAGCCTATTCATTGAGGACAAGCAGATTGCGGTATGGCGATGGTTGGAAAACCTTATACCTATTGGCTGCAACCAACGCATGTGTTCTGCGTCAGCCACGCATTCGGGCCCGACACGAAGAGCCTGATCGAAGAGAGCCTGGTAGCCTCGCAAAGTGCCGAGGTCATCGGACCCGATCGCTTATCCTGATGTGAAAAGTCAATGGCTACCCTTCAGCAGAGAACTCGAAAATACCATTGAGGAATAATACTCGGAACCAGGTGGCAGCATGCTAGTGGACTCCTGACGAAACAGCCTCACAGCCTTGTGTACGCCTCACGATCCGCCGACTTACCGCACGCCACGTAGTCAGAGGGAACTCTCTGGATCATTAGAAACATCGGCCGCTAGGATCGCTCCGCTGCTACACCTATGGACATTTGCCGGTGGAGAATTGAAGGACTCAGAATAGCGGGCTGTGCTGGGAATTCCTGCTAAGCTATACGAAGCTGCTGGTTTACTTGTGAGTATGGCACTGGTTATCTTGGTGGCATTGCCATATCGCTGCTGATTGACCGCCTTTCTTTTTTATCGTCACAATCTTTATATGCCCGGTTGGCTTCTAGGTTGTATGCTTCCCACCACATTGGGCCCCGCTCGTCACAAAGGTATGCATGAGCATGTCAATTAGTGCGTCCAGCAAACCATATTCAGGATCTCGGATCTACTACGTGGATTGGGTCGCGTTCTGGAACCAGTTAGCTAGATTCGGTATCAATTGCCTATGCGCATCGCGCCTGGCCCAATGACGGACGAAAATACCCTGCACCAGGAAAACTTGGGATACCCTTGGCCAAATTCCTTCTTCGAAGATCGCAACTTCCCTGAAGAGAAGTCTTTTTTGGAGGCTCGAAATCAGATAAATCCGACTGATGATGACATCCTGAACTTCCTGCTGGACTATGACGAGAACACCGCCGAAGAAGAGATCATTACTAAGTTCTGTTCGGGTGTCCATCATTCTGCGCTCACAAATCCCCGTGCGCAACATTCGAGGAGGGCATGGCTTGACGACCGGCGGTGGGACCGCCCTACCAAACCGAGCTCACGTGAAGAAGAGGCCGAGAAGCAAATGACACCACCAGTCAACATGGCAAAGGAGTCAGAATCGAAAGATCTTGTCGACGAAGCGCGCACATCTTTGCAGGACCGACTGAAATACAAGATTGATTCTTCATTCCGCGAATACGAACCCCCTTTGTCTGCGTTAGATTTGTTTCGGTACCTGAAGAGGAAGGTATGGGCACTATTTGGTTGTACAACCCCCCGACTCCGTTCGCTATCTCTCGTCTATGACACAAAACATCTCTTGGTGCCACTACCCGATCATCTGGCTAATTCAGGTAGCGATTTGGACATGGATCTCTTCCAGATGCCGATAGAAGATTGATGTGAGTAGACCGCACTTCGTATGTTCTATAGCAGGAGTACTTACTAGTCTAGCTACGTGTGGCGCCTAACGCCGGTTTATGTGCATGCACTGGTAAGAACCTGTACACAACATCAGTCAGCTGCCTTGAAAGCAACTCTCTACATGCATATCGCGCGAAAGACAGATATGGGAGTGAATATTTCGGTCCGTCAGCTAGAGTCCACCATATTGTCGCATTCTGACCTAGCACCAGTATAATTCTATCGACACCTTCGAGCTATACTTCTATATGCCATTCTATACACTGAAGGTGCCCGACGATCCGGATATACGCCATGACGGGCTGAATGGAAGTTCACATCCGGCTTGCCTAGATATATTTTCTATAACCGGGAAAAGCAGCCAAGTCCTTGAAATGGCGCACATAGCCATCAACATTTGCGGTGTCGCGGATCGTCGTTGGACAGGTTACGCGTTCGTGGATGGCGACGAGTGCATGAGCGAGGAAGACTTTGATTACACTACGATAGTCCCAGATCAATTCGCACTTAATGGCGAAGTAGATGCGAACCGCCCCATCTGGAGCCCGAGAGAGTATTTTATGCGCATACTTCCTAGCCGCGTGGAACAGATTGTCCGAAGATGGTCCTGGATCATTCAAAATATCGAAAGTGGTGCTCAAGAAGACATTCTCAGTCCAACTGCAGGATATGGAGAAAATGAAGAGATCGCATCGACTTTCAAGCGAACCCAAAAGGCGGCGAAAACCCTCGGCGTCTTGCATGACGTCCTTTCGGAGAGTAATGACGCGTGGGCCGAGTTCTCAGCTCCTGGTGGAGACATAATATACTTCGAACATACCACTGGTCTATCAGCCACTTCCCAGAAACAAATCAAGCGCTGTCTTCAAGATCTCAAGGGCAAGTTCCGCAGGATGCGCGCACTGCAGAGAAGACTGGAGACCCTTGAACGCCGGTATCAAAGGGCAGTAGATAGCCTTGAACGACTTTTAGTCGTGGAGAGCAACAAGGCTGCGAAATCTAGCGGGGCACATGCAGAATTGATGGTCGCTTGGATATCACCAGTGGCGATCGTGAGCGCGTTCTTTTCAATTCCAGCACCATTCGTCCCGCGCACGCTAATAGCATTCACTGTTGCTATGTTGGTTGTCGCAGGGTTTTTACAGCTTGTCATTCGCTTACAGCGAAAAGGTTGGCGGTGGCAGATACAGAGATTTTGCTCACATGTACTACACCAAAGAGAGTCACGACCAGTGGTATCTGGAACCACCGAACAGATTCATGACCAGCAGACATCTCCATTTCGTGTGGATACTGGACAGACTCTCGTAGACTCTGGTGTATAAGGCGAGGCTGGAACAGCTTTTCCCAATCCTTGTTAAGATACCCCTGCCTTGAAATCTCATGGGCTATACTTCATTCAAAGCGATCAACGATTCTCTTATCACCTTCGGTCGAAATGCACTTTCATGACACCAGTTCCACGCATAGCATCTGACCTATGCCCTGTTTGTGCATAGCAAGGGATCTCGACTAAATTCGTTTGCCTATTTTTTGTTTGACTATCATCATTTGGTCCATTGGGCATCGTCCTCCATCTTACGCATACAGCATGCATGCGCCTGGAGGGCTAGGATCAAGATCATGAAATGTAGGATTTTCTTTGGTGTGATAGTGCAGGGCGTGCTCAAGTACGTGGTCATCGTCCTCCCATTGATTGCGCGTGATGCACGGCCAAGCCCAGTTACCCAATCACGCATAGCCACGCATATGCTCTCCGAACAGCCAGCATACGAAGAGGCTGAAATGCAGAGACAACAAACCATTGATCTGCCGGTCAGCAACAAGGCAAATATGATTCCGTCTACACACGCATCCGGCCATACTCTGTACAAGACAAGAGCCATCTGAACTTGCCACGATTTCATAACATCCAAGCCTCAGTCACGACTGAGCTTAGGGAAATCGATGGTCTAGCTGCGCAGGCGGAACACACATGATGTCCACTCTCGAAATCACCGACTTGGAGAGCAGCCTCGCTACTCTGCGGTTAGCTGCGCCTCTTCCGGTGATCAACTCTGCTGACGCCGTAACAAATCCACTCGATCTTGTTCGAAGTCTTCTCGCGGGCATACTCAGCCAACTCGTAGAAAGTAGTCCCGAGGCTGCTTACAGATCGGTACAATTGCCCAATAGCATCTATGACGGCGACCTTGATATTGTATTACCGAAACTACGCCCAGGATGCAAGGCCGGAGAGTTGGCAATCGACCTTGCACGGCAGGTATATAACTTCGACTCGAACGTCCGAACACTTGCTAAGTACCTAGTAGTTTCCAATCGACCATCCGCTTTTCCCTCTCCCTTTCCTCGAAGGAGTGCATTGGCGTGTATTGCTCAGAGTCAATACTCTTGCACGACTTCTGTTCCCTTTCATCTTGGAACGCGGGAACACCTACGGCACCGATAAGAAAGTGGGCTCGAAGGACCCGTCATCTCCGAAAGGGGCGCGCAAGAAGTTGATCGTCGAGTTTTCATCACCAAACATCACCAATGAGTTTCATGGAAAACATCTACGCAGCACGATCATTGGAGCCTTCTTGAGTAGATTCTATGAGAGCAGGGGTTGGGATGTCACTAGACTCAACTACCTTGGTGATTGGGGGAAGAATATTGCTCTGCTCAAAGTTGGCTGGGAAAGATTCGCGGACGAAGTGGTATTCCAAGCAAGGCCCATCGAACATCTGTTGGAAGTGTATGATCAAATTAACAATCTCTTTCAGCCCGAAGTCGCCGCCAGCAGACAGGCACGTGACGAAGCTGCAAGGAACGGTCAGGACGAAGGCCAAGCGCAAACGGAAATCGAGAACCAGGGTATATACGCCCAGCGTAATACAGCGTTCAAGAAGCTCGAAGAGGGGGACGAAGAAGCCATTGCCTTCTGGAAACAGGTTAGAGATGTCAACATCGAAAACTATAAAGACTTCTACTCGCAGTTGGGCATCGAATTCGACGAGTACACTGGTGAATCGCAGGTCAAGACGGAAACAATGAATGAAGTAGAGGCTCTGCTGAAAGAGAAGAAAATTTGTGAGGAAAGCTCTGGCGCTTGGGTTATCCACATGCAGAACCACGGACTAAAAGCCGGTACTGCTGTCATACGAGGTCGGGACGGAGCGACTACATACCTTCTTCGGGACCTTGCAGCAATGATCGAGCGTTCCAAGAAGTATAACTTCAACAAGATGATCATTGTCGCTGCAAACGACCACAACTCTCTGCATTTCACGCACTTGCATCACATCTTGATCGCAATGGGCATGAAAGACCTCGCAGAGAAGATCCAGCATCTGAAGTTCAACGAGACCTCAAGTATGGCAGAAACGCTTGGGACGGGGTTTAAACCCCAGGCGATTCTAAGCCACGTTGAACAGGCCATGAGTGCTGGACTGGAAGCCGATGCAGCGAAGACCGCAATGTTCGGCAACCTCAGCAAGAGCGCAGATAGGCTGTCCGTTGCGTCTCTTCTTGTGCACGAGCTTTCGACACGTACCACATCTGCTCACTCTTTCGACCTCTCAGCCATGACGTCTTTCAAGCACGGAACCGGACCGGACTTACAATACTGGTACGCGAAGCTCTGCACCATTCTCAAAACGCGCAACGGCGATGTTCAGCTTTCCGACGAGGACTATGACTTCTTGGGCGAAGACGACTCCGCTGCCAATCTTCTCCGTCTTCTTGCTCAATATCCTGAAGTCACACGCGCCACGTACAACTCCACCTCACCCCAGCCAGATGATATAGTGAAGTACCTGGCTGGCGTGACTGAACAACTCGCTGACTGTCTGAGTGATGATGAGGACGAAGTAGACGATGGCGTGAAAGGAGAGACAGAAGCCAAAGCAGAACAGAAAACATTCGGCGCTGGACACCTCACACTTTTCGAGGCAACGCGTATTGTGCTCGAGAACGGGCTGAAGCTACTCGGCATCACCCCGTACGTAGCCGATGGTCATGAGCGGGCCGACACACCGATCGCGGAGTGACAAATGGCTGGTACTGATGCGCATGATCTTGATCTGATTGAGCTTTCTTGGTTGACGTGATTGTTGTAGCCGTACTCTGGTACAGTGCGCTTAGTTTTTTCCACAGGTCGATGGCTACGACGGCTGGAGGATATGGAAAGGAGTCATTATTACGGCTGTTTCCTACGGTCTCTTTTGTTGCATGATTCACGATGTCACGGTGTTATGATTGCTGCTGCTAATGATTTACGAAATGCGCGATTGTCGTTATGAACGAGACGGCTCCCGAATGTTGATGAACTGCAAGAGTGCAATAAAGTTCTTTCCCTGAGACCATGTGCAATGAGGCGTTCTAGTTTGGCAAGGCCTGCAACTAGTGTAGTGGAGCGGGGGCAGGACCCTGGTCTCGCCGTTTCCTCGCCGTGACTCACCACCAAGACCACCCACACCGCTGCAACTCTAGTGTTTATCTCTTGCGGTGCACGATGCAGATACCAAGTGAATTTGGGTGACCGTGGACATACAAAGTGCTTGTATATATTTTAATTATTTGCAATACACTTCATCAATCAACACAACACTATCCGATATGGTCTAGTGGCTAGGATACATCGCTCTCATGTCTTCCAGACGTTGATCCGATGTGGCCCGGGTTCGATTCCCGGTGTCGGAAAACGCTTCTTTTGTCCTCGATGCTTTGCTTTTTGCTCTTCGTGTCTAGGACGGGGCGGACGACAAGACTTTCGCTCCCCTCTGTGATCCCCACAGAAGGCATCCCGCGACTTTTTATCCTAGCATCACAGAAGTTGCTCCACCATACCTATATGTACTAACCGGAAATACCAAATGATGTTGAATTTGTACGGGTAGCATGAGAAGGAGCAGTGCTTTGAAAGCTTGGTCAAGCATGAGAACGCACGTATAGTACCACACAAATAGAGAGAAAATTCGCGCATCGTAGAAGCAACTACTACTGTACCTGCCTGTCCCCAGTGTCTCCGATCCAGCCTCAAGTGCCGAACCAAACGCGGGGTACACAAGGATCTGGATATATTACGCCTTTCAGCCAAACACCGCCTCATGTAAATCGCTCGGCCTCACCATACAATTGCCTCCTGACATGACCTCGTTCATCCAAGCTTCTTATATGCCGGCCTCCACTCGGAGCTTGGTATTTACATGACATGCTAGCATGCTATAATATAGAGAGACAGGCTGTCGGAGGTGGTGCAACCTCTCTGACCCGATTTCCGTAACGATTTCTTGAGCAGAATGTTATTCACTACTACATTCTTGTCTGCACTGGTGGCTGTGGGCGGCGCGCTGGCACAGACGACACCTCCTGGGTTTATACCGGCGGTTAACAAGACGTTGGATGTGTACTATGGCACTCAGTACATCACGCCGGGGTTGATGGTGAAGAAATCGAGTGAGTTGGTCACAGAGTGTTGTTTTGGAATTCATAGTTGACGCGTTGCGTAAGGTGTGTCGAAGCAGCCTACAATAGGTGTTACGGGACAGACCTTGACTGGGAAGTATCTGTTGGCCATGATCGGTAAGTACCATCCGTTTTCCGACAGTGGTTCATGCTGACGGCGTTCTAGATATTGACGCGTACGTCCGCCTTTCTAATTCATCAACTTATTCCCTCAGCTGCTCACCACCACTGTAGACCCGGAACACCACGCGGTACTGTCCTGCATGCGCTTCTACAAGACTGGACGCCCAGTGGGCAAACTCAAAATGGGTCATCGATCCTTGCCACGAAGGCCACCGGGCCTGCATCCTACTTTGGTCCTGCACCACCCGCCGAGACGCCGAAGCATCCGCATAACTACATATTTCTGCTGCATGCGCAGCCTGACAACTTCGCAGTTCCGGCTGCGCACAAGTCGGCGGTGCAGCAGCGCCTAGGTATCAACTGGCCCAAGTTCATCACCGACGCGGGTCTGAGTTCACCGATTGCGGCGAACTACTTGCAGGTCCAGTCGGGTGACAACACGAAGATATTTGTTTCGTAGTGTAATATCGAAGGGCCGAGAAAGTATGAGTATGTGAACAAAATGAAGTGTTCAAAGCAAGAAGAGTTGTGCCAAAATGTGTTTCATTTGGCCAATTCCTGCGCTTGACATATTGCAAAGTCATCCCGATGTCATAACTTGCGTAACGGTGATCTGCAATAGAGGAACCGTCGGAGAAGGTTTTCTTCTTTTCTCCCGTGATCCATGCAATTTGCATCATACCGGTGGCAAGTCCTATGTGGCAGCATTCTATATCTGGGAAGATGTCCGCGAACACTGTTGCCGATTCGTGATGCTCCACTGACCTTTCGACCACCTTTGGCCGAGTATATACCCCCATTCAGTCGTTGTTGAGCCCCCTCATATATGAGCTATGTATATTTGCAACACGCGTTAGCCTAAAATAACAACGATCAACAAGTCCCGATTGGGCTTATGGCATGTTGTTACCCGGAACAGCGATGATGCCAGCGATCATCGCTTACATTTCCGAAATGCACGCCGAAGATATTTGAGGACTGTTGCCGATAATATTCGTTCACTTACAAGATAGTAAAGCAATGCGCGGCGTGCTGTAGCCCTTCCTGCATCCGACGTGTACCATCAACAGCTGCGCTGCAACGCTGCGGTGTTCACTTCGAAAACGATGCAAAGGGCAGGCGTATGTAGGTAAGAGGAGATCCAAAATATCGTATGTGAGCTGCCCCATTCGACCAACACCGTGCCGTTTAAGCGAATGAAACCCTAGCATTCAAAATACTATCGAGTTCATGCTGCGAGTCGTATTTCCAGCATTGACGGTTTCCTTCCATTGCGCAATATAATCATCCCCTGGTATTAATCTGGAAGACCAAACAGAGCAACAAGTGTGTGGAGTTTTAATGGAACAGATTCCAGAGCATCAATTGCGGAGGAATTGCGGCGTATGCAGGAACGCGAAGAGTGTATCCGTTGGCGCGGATGAAGCCGACGATTCTGGTAAGATGTCTTCTTACGATGTATAAAAGCTGAGCGGTATCAATTCTATGTGTCCCAACCTGAAGTGCCCCGAGTATTTGCCTGAAGACCTAATCAATCCATCTCCACGATGAAGTTCTTCGCTACTGCCGCTGCTCTGTGCACCATCGTAGCCGCCGCTCCGCTTGCTCCTTGGGAAGTGATGGCCCCTCCGCCATCAGGGACTCAGTTTTACCAGCTTCAGACTAAATCGTACGTCACTTCGATACTTCCTACGTCCGCAAGCGAGCCGATGCTGACTGAATGGGTGTAGAGCAACTGCAGCTGTCTCCGGACAGTGGGTAGCCCTGAAGACTGGTTCGACTTCGTACTCGCTCGCCGCCCAGCAAGCTGCTGCCACCAAGTTCTTCGTCAATAAGTACGCGCCGACCGGCACATTTGCTGTGCATAACGCCGACGATACCCGCCAACTTGCTCTCCAGGGGCCTAACGGAGTCTTGCTTTCCCTCGTCGATGCAACCAACCCAACCACTGATAGTATTCCAAAAGGAACGTTGATGGAATGGGCCACGTTCACCATGGACAACAACGTGCTTTTCGTCAAGGACGGAAGCACCCTCACCAACCGTACGTTCGTCGCGGTCAAAGGTTCTGGCAGTGACTACAGCATTGCTCTCTACGATGGTAAGCCCGTGTAATGGTATCTGGGTTCAAGATTTTTCGTGCTAATCCTTCGCCAGGTGCCAGTACAACCACCTCGACGATCACGCCTGTCACGATCAACATCGTCAAGGCATAGGGTTTGTGATCCAGAGGTCGTGGCATCTAGAGGTCGTGACGGTAAGATAGTCGAGAACATGTAAATAGGTGCAATACAATTTCTTGAAGAACTCTCCATGGTTATCAGACGCTTGCCAGCTCGTAGTCTGATTGATGATTTGACAAATGACTCCGAGAGAGATGGAGATGTAGACGGGACGCGACGAGCAGTGTAGCGCTAGGGTCCCACCGCGTTTTCCCCCACATCCATACCACGCCAAGATTTCGGTGCGGCGTGGTCAGTGCGCCCAATGCCCAAAATTTCCAGGCCGACTTTCTGAGCCGCTCCTCCTGCCAAAATTCTCTCGTAAGACTATTCGGAACACTCTCTTCACAATGGGTCTCGCGGCACCAAAGAAGTATGCGATTTCTGCTCACACATGATACCCCGAATTCCTTGCTAACCTTCGGCGCAAGTCGCTCCAAGATCTCCAATGACCCACAGAACACTACCTGGGCCAACAACACCGAGCGCTTCGGCCACAAGATCCTCACGTCGCAAGGCTGGACTCCTGGCGCATCCCTCGGTGCCACCGACGCCGCTCACAAGGCGCACTACACTGCTGCCTCCCAATCCCACATCCGCGTCTTCCTCAAGGATGACAACCTCGGCCTCGGCGCAAAGCGCGGCAGCGAGCGCGCCGAGAACTTCGGTCTCGCTGGGTTCGCAAGCATATTAGGGCGTCTGAACGGGAAGGAGGAAGAAGTGAAGAAGGAAGAGGAGAGGCAAGAGAAGATCCAGCAGAGGGCGTATGTGTACAAGAAGTTCGGCATGATGAACTTCGTCAGTGGAGGATACTTGGTGGGCGACAAGATCGAGAAGGGTGTGAAGAAGGAGGTTGAGGTCAAGGTGGAGGTGAAATTCGAGCCGGCGTCGTCGGACAACGAGGTCACGGAGAAGAAGTCGAAGAAGAGAAAGAGGAGCGGCGAAGAGGACGTTAAGAAGGAAGATGAGGAAGAGCCAAAACTTAAGCGCAAGAAGAAGAGCGTGAGCCTGCGCGAAGAGGCTGCAAAGGAAGACGCCGCTCTGGAAGCGACTTCGAAGTGGAAGAAAGATAAAAAGGAGAAGAAGGACAAGAAGTCGAAGAGCGTTTCCGAAACCCCTGCCACAGACTCAGAACCGCTCACGGACAAGGCCCGCCGGAAAGCCGAGAAGCGCGCTCGCAAGGAGGAGAAAAAACTCAAGAAGGCTCTCAAGAAGGCCGCCAAGGAGGCCGCAAAGTCGAACCCCACGACTGAGGACCCCAGCTCTGAAAGCGAGAGCGAGGAGGAGAGCACACCAGCTAGCTCTGTACCTACTACGGGCACTTCGACGCCCTCTGGCTTGACGTACAACCCGCGAGGCATGCATGCTGTGCGCCAGAGATACATACGGCAGAAGAAGATGGCAAGCATGGACCCACAGGCATTGAAGGAGGTATGTTGTCCCGGCATCTACACGTCAGTCACTGTACTAACGAATCCAGATTTTCATGATCAAGACACCATCATAGCGATTGGAGCGAGCGAGCGATTCTGGGATTTGGAATGCATAGCGTGGCGTTAGACTGCGGTCCTCTTCTAGAATAGACGTTATACAGAGTGAACTACACACAATTACTGTTCAATGTTATGATACATGTCATTAGGGTTTACGCTACTGGTAGTACACAAAAGGCATTCCGCGATATCTATGCCCCGAGAGCACCCCCTTCCTTTTCCTTCGTCCTCTCTAAACCCAGCCAAGAACATGTAGACTCGCGTCCGAAACTCTGAGCAAGTGCAAGCAAGAAACGAAACATGCAATATCCCTAGGTGCAAAGAGGAAAAGAAACTCCTAAGAACAGGCCAGGCAGAAAGGAAAAGATGCGAACCGCTGGCCTAATTTTGGTTCGTCTCCCACGGCCGCCAGAACTTCCACCCTTCTCTGACTTCCCTCTCCACATTCTTTCTTATGCCATTTGTCACACCGACCAGCCTCTCGATGCCCTCGGTACCCTCAGCCCGCAAGAACTTCTCTTGGTCAATCTCCTCGCCGCCCTCTTCTTCGTTCCCGTTGTGCAGCACAGCGGGCCAGAGCACGCCCACACCATCACCCGCGAGAGTAGTCTCGAACTTCTCGAACCCTTCGTTCTCAAGCTTGACCTCGAGCGAGTCCAGGATGGCGTGCTTGAGCTTCGTGCCGGAGGAGATGATGGACGCGGCGACAGGCGAGTCGGGCTCCGAGTCCGACTCGGAAGAGGAGTGGTCGTGGTGGACGCCGTTGCCGTTGCCATTAGCAGCAGACGTCGGCCGCGGCTTGATAATTGTGATTGCGCACCCGCCGCCTCCTGCACCCGTGAGCTTCGTCCAGCCGATGCCGGTGTGGTCTATCAGCTCGCGAATTCGCTCCAGTTTCGGGTGTGAGACGCCCAGCGAGACGAGCAAGCCGTGGTTTATTGTGACGAGGTCACCGAGGTATTTGAGCGATGCGTGTGATTCTGGATCGAAGTCAGGTGCAGTGAGTAGCTTGTACGCAGATTCAGTAATCTGGCCTATCGCGTCGAGGATGTTCTCAGTGAGGATGGGGTGGTTCTCGAGGAGCGTCGCAACTTTGGCGACTTCGACGGCGGTGCTGCGGGACTGGCGGGTGTTGACGAGGAGGAGAGGGAGCTCCGGGAAGCTGTGGAGGGGTACGATGCGCGGCGGGCCGTTCTTGAACTTCTGATAGAGCACAGCTTTTCCACCCGACGCGACCGTGTTGTCGATGCCGGAGGGGTTGCCGTGTATGCACATCTCGCCTACAAAAGCCCATCTGTTTATCCGCTCAATCTGGAGTTCAGACTCTTGAGGAGGTTGGTCTTGATGTGGGCCGCTCAGTGCGCGGATTTGCAAGAGCAGCGCGGAGCTGATGCACACTGAGATACTTGCGCTGCTTCCGAGGCCGGCTCTTAGCGGGATTGTGGAGCGGAGTGTGTAGACGCATGGTGGTGTCTTTCGCGACGCGAGGGAGAGGAAGAGGTAGAGAAAAGAACATGCAGATGCGTGGTGTATCTTCCGTATCGATTCGGGAATCTTGGGTGATACTACGTCCAGGTGTGGTTGAAGAGCTTCGAGCAGTTCAGGATCCAGCGACGTCACCAGGTCGTAGTAGTGCTTCTTCTTCCCAGGCGCATTGAAGACATCCCACGGCAGCTCGTCAATGTTCCAGGTATGTTCTAGCTCAATGTCGGGAAAGCGAATCGTGACGGTGCGGTGCGACTTGGAGAGGAAAGATACGTGGAGGTACGAGCGGAGAGAAATGGCGGCCGCGATGGCAGGCTGCAATCGAAGTTAATACACAATCTTTCCAAAGCATCAGGGTGTATGCCTCACCTTTCCATGCACGACTGCGTGCTCTCCATAGACTATAACCTTGCCGGGCGAGGACACCATGAAGGGAGGCATCATCGGCGATGACTGCTTCCGCTGCATGGCTGGTTTGGTTGCCGGCGCACCCGTCTGGGGTATCTGTGAAAGTAACTGTGCAGGCATCGAGTCTATGGGTGACTGTTCCGGGGTCTGGGTGGAATGTGAGGTGGTATGTTTTAATATTCCTATGGCTGCGAGTTAGCGACCAAGAAGTCTTTCCGGCCCCGATGCATAAGCCCTGGAGCGCAGGCGCGAGTATGCTCACCTCTACCACTGGGGGCTTTCTTGCGCAGGCTGCCAGTCGCAGACATCTTAAACAGCTCGGATTGGGTCAAACAGCGTAAGAAGGCACGGGGCTGGCTGCAGTGACTGTGTGGCACTGCCGTCGTCAGTCAGGAGGCGTTGCGCCCGCCGCTGGCAGTTCATGGGCCCGAATTGCTGGGGGCGATGCTAATGCTCGACTGGGTTAATTCCGACGCGCGCTTCGACCAACTTTCGCTCCCCGCGCCGCTGCAGGAACCCAGTCCAACCGCCCCCCTGGTGCTTCTGGAAAACGCCCTATGAACGGCCCCCCGATCCCAAAATGTCATCACTGCGTCACACATCGCGGTCACACGCCTTCGTGGAGGCATCCATTTCAAACGCAGACTAGGCACTCGATCGCGCGTCTTGGACGTGGATAATACTAAGGTTTTCTTTGAATGACCGAAAGCATCCTCACGACACAGCTCGCCACCATTCATGACATCGACAACAGCTTTGAGCGCTCCCCTGCCATGGGCGCATAATCGAAACACACTCTGCTATTCTGCGAGAGCTAAAGTACAGCTACACTGGACCCAGCCGTTACCTGAGGCGGCTGGCAAGCTCGCCTTCAGCCTCAGACAGTGGTGCGCGCACCCATGTGGCGCGAGCTGAAACCACATGCAGCTCTTCGCTTGCGGCCCTCGCCGTCGCTGTTGTGCGAATGCGCCACATGGTGGCAGGCTGCTTTATCGTATAATCTTAGAAACAGTAGGCGAAGGTGCATGTTAGAGGCCCGTAATGCTCGGTACTGCCGCGCACCAATCGGCTATGGACGATGCCCTTGACTGCTTCCACATATGGTAATATCCGATGACTGCAAAGTTCGAGTTGTTGCAATAGTCCTCGATGGAGAAGTTCCGGATGAAGCCGCTTTCGCATTTCGGACCCCATGCCGCGGCTGTCTACAAGTGCGGCATGTACAGCAAAGGTACGTATTTGATCGGCGATACGGCCATGGCCGAATTTTGGCATGAGCGTTGCAATACTTGGTGTTTTGCCTCAACTTGTCTTGGTAGCGGTGGTGCTGTGGACATGATCCGTCGGCATGGAGAAATCATGCTGATTGCTCTGCTCTCGCTTTCTCCTTCTGTGCCCTGAACTCCTTGTCTTTCGCTTTCTTCGCCTTCTTCCTGGCCGCCTTGTCAAGCTTGCCCGCATCGTCCGTCTTCCTCTTCTTCCCTTCACCCGACAAATGACCAGGCTCAATCTCCTCTTGCGCCACGAAATTCGAGCGATCGCCAACCTCGCCCACTTCTATCGCGCCCTCTTCTCTTTCAAACTCGGACATGTCTTGCCAGTCCTCGGCTGCAGTGCCATCAGTCATTCCTGCGTTCGGTTGGTCCTTAGTGCCGTCGACCGCATTGCGCTCTCCGCCTTCAGGTTCCGGCGTAGGCTCAGGCTCCAGATAGTTGCCCTTGAGCCCGGCGGCTACTCTGCGTAGGTTGTGCATGATCACGCCGCCTGTAGAACCACCTTGCGCGCCGAAGGTCGTGCCACTAGGGGTGATGAGCGCATCGGGGTGTAGGTGCGAGTGCACTTCGGAGTTTGCTAGGTATTTATCGAGAATCGAGGCGGCCTTTTCGAGGGTTATGGACTGCGACGATACGACCCGGTGGGGAGCGAGAGTTTCGGCGTGCATCTTGTAATTTGCACGTTGCAATGGAATGCCGGTAGATAGCGTTCAGCAGTTGTCCAGTGTCACCCACTTTGTCTTCATCCGAAGCGATCGGAAGAGCGTCGCAAGTACGTCGCAGGCGCAATGCTGTGCTGGATAGAAAGTGTTGGAGGGAAGCTGCGACTGATTTTCGCGACTGCACTTTTTGATGCACGGGCCAGCTGTAGATTTCGTCGGCGACAAGCTCGCTGCACCTCCGAGCACCAGCGAACGACCCTTACGCCAACTCGATCCCCCAGCGTCGCGTCCCCCCATATCTTCAACGCGAACGAGGAGGAGGCGCCATGAACGCTCTCCGCTGTCTACGGGCAGTCGCCCGTCCCTCTGCGGCACCTGCAAGCCTCCTCACGCCCGCCGCAACCTCACGGTAGCCCGCCCAGCGTCTCAGCCCGCGTCTCTCTCTAATAATGTACAGATTCTCGATGCCCTCCTCAGCGCGCTCGATTTCCCTTCTTGCCCCCCGCCGACCAATGCTCCAAAACCCAGCAACGGGCTTCACGCTCCCTACACCAGGCTCCGCAACCTCCCCGGCGATACCCTCCGCTGAGGCCCTGGATCTCGCGTCAAAGATCTCTGCACACCCTGCCATTGGCTCCATGCAAATTCGATGCGGTCCTCGCGACACGTACAACCCCAGCCACTTGGTGCGAAAGAGGAGACATGGGTTCTTGAGCAGGATACGAACGAAGAAGGGCCGGAAGCTATTGATGCGGAGGCTGAAGAAGGGACGGTGGAATTTGAGCCATTAAGAGACGGGTTACATTGGTATAGCATGAGTGGTGGTGGTGGTGTGTGTGTGTAAATGTACGTGAGCGGAGAAGACCTTGTATACTAGGGATCGCGTCGAAGAAGGCAGAGACCTTTGAGACCTCTGACTGCTCGGACTGTTGTCTAGCGGCGCAGTCAGCTGCGAGAGATCTTGCAATTGGTTCGCAGAGTACGGCAAGAAAGTGACTGGCCATAGGCTTGCCTGTCAATGTAGACATATTGTACAACATGGAAAGTATCCATCATATGGTCACACATTCGAAATTAGCCTCTGTTGACAAGGCCAACTTTTACGAGCTCTAGTGGGTCCCATGGACTTGGTTCCATCATAGATACCTCCAGAAGACGAGTCCTTTGCCAATCATACATGCCTAATTCTGTCACAACAAGAAGCACCAATCATCACGGGAGAATACTGAATACGAACCACAGCTCAAATGGATGAAGAAGCCATCTGAGCCATGGATGGATCATCGGCATTACTATAAATCCTCTCGCCTGCTTTCCGATACTGAAGGCCATGTATTGCCCAACTCTTTCGGCTCGTGAACATATCGTCAACATGTCCACTCGTCAGCCTCAGAACCTCCCAGCCCTCCGCGAAACCACCCTGGGCCTGATCAACGCTATCGAAACCCATCCAGAGCTTCCAACCCGCAAACCCATCGCGGCAGTCACATCCTCTCCATGCATGGCTGTGCTGCCCGCAATAATGCAATCATACAGGCGCTCATGAACAACACTCCGCCGCCAATTAGGCCTGTGACGCGTGGCATCATACCAATTGTGGCGTCTTCTACCATAAAGGAGAATCAGGGGAAGGAGCTGGAGCTTGATGCTTCTGGACGATACGCTGTGACGTCGCCTTTAGTAGGAAGCCGACTCCGGTGACTTTCCTGATGTCTCTAAATCGCTGACTAGATGCAGGTGTCTTCAATCAGCCTGTAGGTGATTGTGATGGTTCAATTGTGGTCCGATCGAGCGTCTGGAAAACCTGGTAACATGTTGGATAGCAGTGGCCGAGTTCCTAGTAAACTATAGTGAATCTGAATGGCGATAATGTGGGTCGGCGAGTAGATGCTGAGGCAGCCGTGGGTGTAGTCACAGGCAGAATCCAAATGTTATTCTCCGCTGATCATTTTCCATCATCTCTGCTGCCCGAATCAGCTGCTGCCCTTTCTGCAGAGGCCTCCTCGGCATCTTTCCAGTCATCCTCTGTGGTTTCGTCCAGTTCCTTGGCAAGCTTTAACTCTTCATCAACCTTATCAATCTGCTTTAGTATGAAACCTATTGTTGCATCTCGGGCCTTGTCCGCTCTGTTCAAAGCCTCCATCGACATCTTGCTGTAGTCCTGGAGAGACTTTGAAGGCGTCGGAGGTGCCGGTTCCGTATCCTCCAATTTGGCTTTCTTATCCGCGAGCAATTTCCGCAACACAAAGATGTTCAGATCTCGCTCTTGTAGGTTCTCCTCAAGCTCTTTCCTTGTCGTCTCTTCTTCAACCTTGTGCTTCTTGGCTGCATGCTCTTTCTTTGCTGCATCGTCGGCAACTTTCCAGCTCCAGATTGCTTGCTTTGCGCAAGTTTCGATGTGAGTGAACCGGATGGGTCCAATGTTCTGACCGCCGTACCAGCGAGCGACTACCACAACACCTTCTGTGCCCGTATCGTTGAGCACGTGCTGAAGCCTGCTGCCAGCCCACTTCTCGCCATCATCGTCGTGGCCTAGGTCATATAGAACTTTAGATGCAGGGGTCAGAGATTTCTGCTTGGAACGCGTTCGCCATGCTGCAATTTTGTGCGATGCTGTCCTGAACTCCGGAAGGGTTTGAAGTGCTTTGGCCGAGAGGGTAGGTGAGAATGCGCCTATGAATGCTGATGTCTCGTGCTGAATCTTTTCGGAGCGAAAGATGGTTGTGGAAACGTCAGAGGGAGGCGAGTGCTCTCTTTTCAAGGCCATGGCAAATTCGCATGTGGTTGTGAAGCGGTTATGTACATGCCTGCGGGAGTTTGGGTATTGCGTAGGTCAAAGGCCGAGGAAGGTTCAGCCGAGGTTTGGTCTGTGCGTTTTGTACTCCAAGGAAGGATCTACCGCTGGACATGAACGTCTCCGTAACGACTTTTCGTCTTGAAACATAGATCAAGCTGTTTTCATCCTTATTCGTCAGCTAGTATTACATCAACTGGCTTCATCTATGCGGTGCTTCCGGGAAGTGTATAGTTCATCTGCTCTTCGCTCTTCCAAAGACGATCAATCTCGAAGCAGTGACGAGATCCCCCCTCTGTCATGCGGAGAGGAATGATTACATCCTACGATCCAGTCAAAGCAGAGGACCAGCTTTCAAATAGAAGTATGGCCGACTTTCACGCACTCTGGACTCTGGTCAAGATCATTTGTTCCCACAGCAAGAGCTTGTTTGCCTTTCTTTGCCACCTCCCACTTCAGTAAAAAGCCAATTCTCCATTATGTCGCTTTCTTCAAATCGAAGTTGATAGAGCTTTGTTTAGGTATTCTCTCTCAGCTGGGTCTCTAATCTCTACAGCAACCTGCGCGGTCCGGTTGCCCCGCTTGACCTGGCCAAGTTTCTCTTACCTGCCTATATAAAGCTCCTGTTCCTGTATCTTCAATTCTTCTCGAGATCAACTACACCACCACTCTTCGAACCTTGTAGACACACCAGGCTTGTTTCGTGCTTGGCGGGACCCAGGTTTGTGGTTTACCCCCGCGTCTTCGCTCGCTGTACATCCGGTTCCACCTCATTGAGTTCGCTCGCAAACCCAATCTACCCTGACATCTTTCGAATAACAACCTTTCTTTACTGCAGCAAGAGTAAGTGTGACATCCTTCTTTAATTTTTCCTGAGCGAGTGCACAATTGTGGAGGATCTGGCGCGGCTGCCCTGCTGCGTGCGAGGCAACTACTGCTGTCGCATTCTATTTGCACCGCAGCCACGAAAACTTCGGCCTCGAAAAATTTCCCGATACTCAAACAGACTGACATTCAGTTACCCATCAGGCAAGCGAACTTGGAACGCGCCTCAAGATGGGCCGCTTCGAGACGCTGAAGCCGGAGACGCAGGTAAGTCACCCATGCCTCGTTCCAGTCGTAGGAACGACAGCGGGTTCCAAACTCGGACGCCATAGTGTGCGTTCGTATATGAGCCAGAAAATTGATATGACTTGTTGTACCAGGACATGGTGAACGCCATAATACCCGCTATTGCCTCTTCCTACAAGATTGATCCGGAGAATTTCAAAGACATCATTCCCGAGGATATCCGCATGAGACAATGGGACTGCGAGCGCCGCGATCACATCAAGGACAAGCCAGAAGACGAGCCGCGCAATTGGGGCGTTGAGTTCCTCAAGAGCCTCCAGGCAATCGCACGCTTGAACGGAGGTGACCTGGGTGCAGTGCAAGCACGTCTGCGCGAGCTTGTTGCGAAGCATGATGAGAAACACCCGTGGGCTCGTCTCGAAGACATTCGGCAGATCAAGGCCGAGTGCCTGAACCCTCGCTTGCGCAACCCAAACGCTCAAGAGCCGGCGTCTGAGTCTAGCTCTGACGACTCCCTTGATTCTTATCTGGAGGAGCTGGTCGAGCAGGATCTCCCGAAGGGCATGAAGCGTGGTCAAAATGAGGCGTGTATGTTTGCGAATTTTTCACTCTCAGGCGCGTATTGACTGTTTCCTAGATGAAAGCCGCGTTCAGGGGTGGTGGAAACCCGCGAAGCCGAAGAAACCCAAGAAGCGTGAGTACTGCTGGTAGTTATCATATAACCCTAAACTAATGAACTTGTACAGCCGTCCGACTTCGTCGCGATCCAGACGTGGGCTGGGACCGTCGCGGAAAGGACAAGAGCAAGAGCCGAGACTTCCGTCAAATCTCCACCGACAGTGGCACTCCTGACCCTCTTCCAGAGGATTCTCCAGCACCTAAGCCGAAGCGCCGCCGCCTGAATTCTAAGGCCGCGGTCATCAAGAAGGAGTCGCCGACCGTCATGTGCGTATCATTTTTTCTGCATTTACTTCAGGCCCTTACATCTTGATACATTACTGATTTCTAACCTGTAGCAGCGACGAAGAGTCCGACGAAGATGTACCTGTCGAGGTCAAGAAGCTGCAAGCTGAGCTGGAGGCCGCCGAAGCTGAACTAGAGGTGAAGCGCAAACGCTTCAAGTTTTTGGAGGCGAAAGAGAAGGCTCAAGCTGCGAAGGTGGCCCGGGAGGCCTCCACCGGTAGTGCTAGCGGTCCTTCTCTGAATAGTCGCTATAGCGTCAATCGCTACACTAGCTACAACAACTACGAGGACGATGATAATCGCAACGGTCACAACAAGCACAACGGCTTCACTGGTTTCCAGAGATTCGATGGCTCCGATATCAACCACGGCTTTCGCGGCTTCAATGGTTTCAAAGGCTTCACCGATCGCAACGGTCATTCTCCCTACCCACTTCAGACCAATTACCCCGCTCGAAAATACTCGGACTCGCAGAATCTGCCGCTTCCTGAAGACTATTACCAGAATTCCGACGAAGAAGACCCGGAGGACGTTGATGACGACGATGAGTAGCCTGGGCGTTCGCCTCATGCACGAACATTGATTTGTCTGGAAATGGCCCTGGGCAGGAAGATGGGCGGCATTCGTTCGAGCATCTAACGTCGTTCTGGACATCACACATGGAGCCCTTAAGTTACGAATATGAAGTGTGAATCAGGTCTTCCCTGAATTGGATGATGGTATAGGGCGGTGGATCGTATGAGAATTCCTTAGACTTGGGAGTTTGGTTAGTCGTCGGTAGTTGGAGTCTTACAATTATGGGCTTCCAGCGCATCTCGATGGATCTCTGACTAGTTTGCGGAACTCTGATAATGAGACCTTCAGTATTGCTCTTCACGTTGAATGCTTTGCAGGTTGGCATGCAGGAACAGTATCAGAGATCTGCATGCTTGACCACCTCCACTGCCTTTTGTTGTTCTCAATAGGTATTCGGGTAGCCTTTCAAAAAATTCTCCTGGCCAAATTGCTCAGTCCAAAATCCTGACTAAACTTCCCCGGTATTAAGGTGATCAACGCTACAAGCACATGCACATCATGTGAGGTTCCGTGACTAGGTACAATTGAGCCCGACTTGCACCTACATCCATAATCCCATCCTACTTCGCGACCATGTCCAGGTTCCAAGGAGCATTCTCGCCCTCCCAAATACCGCTTCCCAACACTTTACCGCAGATCTTTCCTATACACGAATGTTTCTCAATCAATCTTCCTTCCACAATCCGAATCTCTCACGTATCACTGACCGTTGTAGCACTGGTTCAACATGTCTGCTCATCAAGAGGAGTTGGTGATGATGACTGGGCCTATGGTTCAGACTCTGAGATGTCCTATACTACTGATGAGGTAATGAAGCCACATGACGATCCCTCCGCAACTGCTCACCAGTCGAAAGGACCTAAACTACACCACTCCCTCCAATGTAGATTCCGACAACGATATCCTCACACCTGCAAAACCCTTAGATAGCAGCTCTGAAGACAGTGACGACGAAGATGAGTAGGAGGACTACGAAGATGAATGTGCTCCTGGTTCTAACAACGCCTCAACCTGGTCCTCCCTCCTCCTCGACTATTGGTACGAAATCGAAGATACCATCATCGGCTATTTGACCCTTGTAATACCTGTAGCAGCAGTCCTTGTGAGCATGTGGATGTGCGCTTGCGTCAGAATTGCCATCAGTTCTTGACGCGGCGGACACACACCTGCACCAGCTACAACGGTGTACTCTGCAACCATCTCTACCACTTCATATCTGGACACATATTCTGCCGCTCCAGCTGTCTTCACTGAAACGGTGATTCAAGTCGCTTTGGCTTCGATTACGCCAACGACTACAGGCACGACAACGGATGCAGACCAAGATGCCATTTCTGCGGCACTCGTCAGAGTTTACCAAGCCCCTGCTGCTGTCTCCGAAGCGTCTCCCGAGGCAGAACCTTGTTGAGGTGGTGACCTGTGGAGCCGGCTCCTTGAGGTGGCAAGAGTGCGAGCGTCTATGTTCAAGTCCTTTCCTGACACCGTCTACTGCGCACTGTTGCAGGTTGGAAGGATCATCACAGATGTGAAACGGAATGTGCATCGTAGTTGTCAAGCCGACCCGACATTCAGATAGAACCCACTTCAGAAGCAGCAGCAAGAAGAGCATCAGGCACAAGACGCGACAGCGGACCTTGGGCGCTCAGACGCAATGGAAAAAGAGCAACAGGCCGAACAGTACCCCTGCTCTACACTTGCAACGCCGAACGGGTACTTGGTGGAGCTGCCAAAGGAGCTACTACACTACAAGGAAGTACTAGCCAAAGAGCACTTCTACAACGAGCAAATGGACACTTATGAAGGCACTACGCGCGGGCGATGCGATACAGAGTCGCAGGCACAAATATGTAAGTATCGAGGAGGAACAGGGAAGCAATTCACCCAGTACCCGGGGTCTCGATGGAGACAGCAGATGATGACGCGGGGTATACGGGTATAGTAAGGGCAAGTGGATGTTTGGACTTGAGGCGCCGGGACAACCGTCTGGGGACCACAATGAGTGCAGGTAAATCTTGAGGTGCGGGGTGTGGTGTATATCCCTCATCAGCTGAGCACGAAAAAGTCTCTTTCCGCAAGAACAACACGTCTACTTTGTTCTTGGTGCTTCGCTTGTGCAGTCTTGTGACTCTTCGCTCAGTATGCGGCCTAGGCGGACAAGCAAAACCATGGCGTGGATCTTGCAACGTCAAATACGCTCAGTTTGAGATCAAATGGTCACATACCGACTTCCCCATTCACAGAAGCACCACGAAACTCTTGATCGATATCTTCAGTAGACTCTGAGATTACGTCAGAAGTAACATACGTTGATATCACTATCGAAAATCCTCACTCTGACCAGATCCTAACCACCGAAGCCCTTCCCACCGTCAGTCTTCTTTCCCTTTCCACCCTTCTGCTGCGCAGCCTCGTGTTTCCGCAGGTCCTCCGGCAGCTTGCTCTTCGTGCTGTTCGCCAGCATCTGCTTGAGATCGTACAGCACATCCGCATCGTTGTTGTCCCAGAAGGTGATCGCGACACCAGTCTTGCCCGCACGACCCGTGCGACCAATACGATGAGTGTAGCTCTCTATGTTGTGCGCCATGTTGAAGTTAACGACCAGACTAACGTCGGGAACGTCAAGACCACGTCCTGCGAGATCGGTAGCGACCAGCACTTGGGTCCGGCCGTCGCGGAGGGACAGCAGCGCGGCTTCACGCTGTTCCTGTGTCTTGGAACCATGCAAGGTGACTGCGCTAAAGCCCATTTTCTGGATGTCGCGCGCAACAGAGTCGCAGTTGCGCTTGATGTTGACGAACACGATCATAGGCGGAGCAAACTCGTTCGAGTAGAGGATCTCCTGTAGACGCTTCTTGCGCTTGTCTTCGCCTGGCACAAACTCGACGCGTTGTTCGACAGTCTCGACGGCTTCGCCCTGTTTACCGATGGTAACAATGGCTGGTCGTCGTAGGTATTTCCTTGCTATTCGTTCAACGGCAGTGGGCATGGTAGCTGTGTACATCATCGTCTGGCGGTATTGGCCTTGAGTCATGAGGCGTGAGTCTTCCGCCTCTTCAGTATCGGGCTTTTCGTTGTTGACAGGGAGGGCGTCGAGAATCTTCTGGACTGGCTCTTCAAAACCCATGTCAATCATGCGATCAGCTTCGTCCATAATGACATAACAGCACTGGCTCAAAACTAGTACACGGCGCTCAATACAATCCAAGAGACGACCGGGTGTGGCAATGATGATCTCCGCACCGTCGCGAAGCTGGAACGCCTGTTCCTCGATAGCGTGCCCTCCCACAATGACCGCAGTGTTGTAACCCAGAGGGGCAGCAAACTTCCTGGCTTCAACCTCGATTTGCTGGGCCAATTCACGAGTGGGCGCAAGAACAAGCGCGTAAGGACCATCGTTCTTGTTGGCGGCGCTGAGCCGAGGAAGTCGTGAAATATAGACCAGCAAAGGTAGGACGAATGCAGCCGTTTTACCAGAACCAGTCTGCGCGACACCAATGAGATCTCGCGCTTGTAAGGCGATGGGTATGGATGCACGCTGGATGGGTGTGGGCTCATTATACCCCGCTGATTCCACGATCCGAAGAATGTTGTCTGGGAGCCCAGCCTCTCCCCAGTTGCGCATGGGATTAGGTATCGAACCTCCTTTCGTCGCAATGTCGAAGTCTTCCTTGAAGATGCGCCAATCGCGCTCGCGCATATGCTCAAGCTTCTTATCGCTCCAATGCTTGTCCAACTGTGCATGCGGGGCCTCGTTCCGCCGTCGTTCCATCTCCAATATTTGCTCTGCGCGCTGCCTACCGTTCTCGGGGTCTGCTCGGATCATAGCTTCGATATATTTCCTGATGTTCGCATCAACACCCTGCTCGCGGTCCACCTCTTTGGCGAAACCGCCCAACGTTCCACGGCCGAACAGGTTTACATCGGCACGTTGATCGTATATCGGGTTGTAGTCTGGGCTTGTGTCCTCCTCATCGTTCCACTCAAAGTTGAACTTCTTCTCCGTCGTCCGCCTCCGCTTCTTCTTCGCTGAGAACGTAGACTGATTTATCTCGGCTCCCATATATCTTTGCCTAACCATTTGTGCCTCCGCATCTTCGGCCACCGGTCTCTTCGCGCCGCGCTTGTCTCCAGGCTTGGGGGCTGACGGAGGCGGCATATCGCTCTTCGATCGCATCGATGCAGGTCCGCTTGGAGGCTCCGCACGCATAGCCCGAGGGCCTGTCGGTACTGCTGCCGAATTTCTAGACCCGTTTGACGACACTCCATTGCTTGGATATGAACTTGTGGCGCCGTTTGTAGCTTCCTTTCTCTTACGCGCATCTTCGACCTCCTTCTGACGCCTCTCGAGCGCAATACGTTCTCTTTCGGCTTTGGATAAGAACTTGGGCTTGGCTGCCGCTGCCTCCTTCTCCCGCTTTGCCTTCAGTATGTCATCGATACTAGGTGGTTGCTTCTTGTTTTGTGAAGCGAAGCCCTTCTTCTTTTTCGGTTGCCCAAAGTTGGGGCCATCTTCCTCAGGTGGAGGCGGTGGCGGTGGCTCTATACTCGGTGGTGGTGGAGGAGGCGGTTCTGAGCTTGGTGGCGGCGGGGGAGGAGGAATATCTTCTGGGGGTGGAGGCGGCGGGTCGCGTGGAGGCGGTGGTGCGCGAGCGCCGGCAATTGTTGCCATGTCGCGCGACGTATGTGAAGAATTTAGAAGGCTTTTCTGTTACAGGACACTCTCTATGCAGAGAGGTAGCGGTGGAGCGTCGGGAGTGGAGAAGTTCAGCTTGCGCAACTGAAAGTCGCGGAGGTAGACTAGTGCGATCGCCTGGTCACGTGCGGGCTCTGCCTCAATCCCGGCTTCAACGCGCCCCACCTTGTAGAGCGACCATAACTGAACCTTCACGCTTTTGTACGCACGCTGAGCCTCTAGGTCGCTCCATTTGGGGCGATAGCCCATCGACAGAATTCCTATCGGATCTCACGCAACAGAAACATCGGAAGACAAGGAGAACAGGACAATGTCTAGGGACCATCGAAGCTTTGATCGAGCCCTGTCATACCCCAGTGGAGCAGTTCATCTAGATTATACCATATGCCGTATCATGATGGATGCCTCGTCGTCTTCCTGTTGAGGCTCCTTTAGGCTACTAGCCATGTCGTTCATAACGCTTATGATTCCAGAACCATTGATCGCTTGTACCCAGCAGCATTGCATGCCGTGCACCACCTCAGTCTTGCCTGCCCTTCAATAACCGCTTCGTCACCTTGTCCTTCTCGATGATGTAGACGTGCGCTCCCCAGCCTGATAGAGCGTCTCGGTCCACGGCGTTGAGCAGTGCTTGTGAGCACGTCTCGAAGAGGTCCTCCGGTCCCTGTTTCCGATTGTTAGTTACAGGTCAGGTGTAGGCTACAGTAGGCAGCGTTACCAGATCCGGCTCCCAAAGCCCCTCGCAAGTACCAAACAACTGGTCGCTCGCTGTTCCGCTCACGATGAAGTCCTTCGCGAAATCAATGCATCCAATGCTGTCAAATCCGCAGATGAACGGTTTTCCCGTGGTCTGGTTGATCCCCGCAATCACTGGGCTGACGAAGTATGGGCCGAACCGCCGCTCGTACAGACTCGAGCTGACAAGGTTGGCCATGGTCTGCGGGCTGATGTTGCGCTCCTCGCGCAGTCGGTACATGTTGACTTTGTAGCGGAATAGATCGGAGACGGTCGATACGTCGGTAGCGAGACCTGTTAGACCGAGGAAGACGTCGCCGTACTGGAAGATCTTGGGGAAGTTATTGGACACAGTGAGGGCTTGCATGCCAAGGCGGAGATCGCAGGCGATGGCGACGCAGTCTTTGCCCACCATGGCGACGCAGGCACCGCCGTCTGTTCGAGGTTAGGAGCTTGACTCTACAGAATGCGGAGGGCGGGCGTACTAATCGAGAACGGCGACGACTGGGGCTGTTAGCTGTATGTCATTGCGGTGGTTGATGCGCGAGCTTACCATGGCTCGGAATTGTGGGAGAAGAAGCTTTCTACGGGGTATGCAGTGCTTCTCTAGGCGGAACGGGGATATGGGCGAGGAGGGCGAGGTGAGGGGCGGCGGTGGCAGAGCTAGCTGGCGATGCTCGTAGGTAGCAACTGTTACGCGGCGGGCGGCGAGCTTCATTGGCCCGAGCGCGTTAATCGGCACGTGATCGCGAATTTCCTCCGCGCCCATCAATGCTAACACTGGGAGCTCTCCTACAATCGCATTCACACACACAATGAGCTTACAACGGCACCTCCGAACGGCACAGTCGCTGCCACCGCGGCTGATCAACTTCTTTGAGAAGTACCCGCCGCAATCGCTGCTGCACTTCACCGCGCCTGCTGCCCCAACCGCAGAGACCGCATCCACCGTCGCGCCAGCAGAGCCCGTGGCCTCTCCCGTCCACGCCGAGCCCACAGCACAAGAGCCACTCCGTGGCGACTTCTCCGTACCCCGCAACGTACCAGCCGAAGCCCAGGCTGGCCTCCCGTACCCAAACCCCTTCCTCCCGCGCAAAAACCACACCACTGGCCGCTGGTACGGGCCCGTGTTCGGCCTTCGCCAACAAGCCGATCTCGTCAAACTAGCACAAAAACACGATGTCCTCGATTTGTTGCCGTGGACTATCAAGAAGCCCGGTGCCAAGGAGCAGAGGCGGATAGAGAGGGGCTTACAGGTCAAGGGCACGGGAGAGGGTCAAAAGGTTAAGGGAAAGCTGTGGGAGAGGACGCTCAAGGGACGCTTGGAGATGAGGAAGAAGGCTATGATGGAGATGCCGGCTTTGATCCAGGAATGGAAGCAGGTGAGTTCAATCTGGATTGCTGGCAGGCGGAAACGGTATACTGACAAGCGCACAGAAGGGCCATGGTCGCGGATGGAAGAAGTACCCCTCGGGCAAGAAAGGGAAACTAAATTAGTCGAATGGGGGTATGGCAGGAGGTGTCGAAGCCTACTTTGGGCTTTCGAGAACCTGACAAGCAGTGTATTTTCTACGTGTAAGGGGAGGACAGACTCAGCATTCTATTGGAGTTGGGGAACTGAGCTTTTTGCTCTGTACAATATGAGACGAATCACTTCAGAAATTCTAAGCGCCAAATTCCGTGCTTGCTTGTAAGTATGCAATGGAAATAGTTCTAGAGTGGGGTCGTGTTCTCGCCGAAGCTGGGGTATTTGAGTGGTGGTGTGCAAGTGACTCCTCCTGATATGCCGAAAACAAACATGCACTGTAAATGACACCGGGTGGTCCTCTCTCATCGCTCCAGCCGCCTATCATTGCGCTGAACTCCATGCGGCAACATTACACCCTGCAATCCCAAATGTCTCCCGAATTGCCCAATTTCTTCTTTTTCATTACATGACCATCTCATCGTCTCCATAAGTTCGGTGGACATCGAAGTCTCTAGCGTGAGCGAAAGCTCCGTATTGATTCTCCATGTCCAAAATGCTGCCGACATTCTTTTCCCAAAGGCCGGTCTGGCCAGTATGTATGTACACTGGATCGGTTGCTTGATTGTAGCTCGTTGATTCCCGAAGGTAGTTTCCAGCAGACTTCGCCGACTCTTCATACTCCCGTCGTGCAAGCATATCGTAACCCGATACAATGTATGGTTCGGCGGCAGTATCGGGTGACCCTACGAGTATATCACGGGCTGCCTGCACTGCCGCAGTATCTGTGCTCTGGTCCATGCTCTGATCCAGCTGCTGTTGGTGTTTCTGTATTTCATCTTGCTGCACCCGCTCTTCAATCATCCTCTCATACCGTAGCTTTGCCATAGCCTCCTCTTGCGCCAGGCTTGTGGGCGGCCAGTCGTATAGCTGCCTGGCCGTACTACCTGAAGGAGGAGAAATACGCCAAAGCTCGAGTAATCGGAGCCTCTGATCGTTGTCTGCGTTCTGAAATAAGTCGATCTGTGACGGGAACAGAAGAGTCGGATCGATGCTGTTCCGCAGAAGGACTCCATGCAGTTCAGATGGTTCGATATGAGTTTTCTCAGATTCTGGGTCCAACTGACGCGTGGGAGCAACGTGGTAGCTGTGGGTGTAATGTTGGGAAGCGTAGATGATCGGCTGTGACACCTGTTCCTGCTGCTGCGCAGGCTGTTGTTGTGGTGCCACTTGAGAATCTTGAGAACCATTATTCCGGTTCTGCGATAGGCGCATATGAGCTGAGAACAGCTGCGCGAGCTCGTCTTGTTGCATGTTTGATTCTTGTTGCTTCCCGCAAGTCTTGATGTTGATGCCCGTTGATAAGGCGCCACACTATGACGTAAGGGATCAGTACTCATAGGTTGTAACAAAGTGTGGTCTTACGTGTGAACAGGAGTTGTTTTGAGAGAAGACGGAAGCTGAGAATGGTATAGCGGTCGAAGTGGAGCAGAGATCACAGAAATGAATCAACAGAGGCTGCATCAGTGTACGAATGTGCTTGGGGGATCAACAGTAACCCCGAGCGCGGCAGAACTGGGAATATGCAATGATCAGCTGTACATTTATCGGCAAATTGGGTCTGATGGATGTGTGCGCAGTGGAGCAATCGGACCAGTGTTGGCTCCGTGATTCACTGGCGATTGTGTGAAGCGAGTCGCGCCGTGCGTCGGGCGCTGGCGCCTAAGTTGAAGGCCACTTTGTGAGGTTGCTGGTATCTTCTCCAAAGAGCGGGAAGAGAAATATGTAAGAGGAAGACAAAGCCGCGAGAATCGTGCTTGTCAAACTAAGTGGCGGAGTCTTATGTACTGCGCGTGATTGTCAAGGTCATGCGTTCCCGATGGGGTCGAGTAGAGAAAAAGCGGGATGCGGTGGCTGCCCGACCAGTCATTCAAGACCTGAAACATATATAGTCCCGCTAGAGTGGTAAAGAGCCAATTAACCCTGGCGTACTTTCGCAGATTCTGTTCGACAACTCATCAACTTGTATTTGGCGGATGCGCCTCGCACAGCGACGGTCCACGATTGGAGCGTCTAATGTCGGGAGAACTTGCGGCTTCGAGCAGGTGCAGCAAATGTTGTTCGCACCCGTGGCAGGCTAGTATTTGTCCAGAGAGAACCTGCGCATCAACTGTGCATAAGAGCACAATTTGGTTGCGGAGTCGTAGCAAGAACTGGTGGGTGGTGACGAACGCTTGGTGATGCATGCCACGAACGGAGCACGTGCGCCTGCAGCTTCCCGTCCGGGACCGAGATTGCATCAGCTGTCTCACATTGTTTCCTGCCCCCACCTACACTGCACCCTTACGCTTAGTCAAATAGACATATGCCGCGTCCTTGTATTCACTCGTCCTGGAGCGCCTGCAGATTCGCCTGCCTTTGTGTTTCGCCGAGAAATGCGGTCAGTTGAATCCTTGGATCAAAGCCCAAGCCTCATAATCCTGCCCTCGCACGATAGCCGGCGCCCTGCGCAAGCAATGCATTGGAATGGCTGCTATTTGCGGTACACCAGCGTCTATCCGCTGCACATGCTCCCATACCACATGGCTGCCTGTCGAGTGCTCGTCTTCACGGTCTCTCCCCTCTTTGCATGCTCGCAGAGCTCAAACCAAAGGATGCGTCTTAACGGTACACGTTGCAAGTCGCACTGGCTCACGCAGGCCAAACAGCGATCCACATTGCCACACCTATCGAGACAATTTAATCGCGAACAGGTGGCCGACCGTTCGATTCAGGCGAAAGTTTGCCAATCCTGCTACATACTACTTCTCATCTCAAATTGTTGATCGCTACTAAGAACCAGACAGTGGCCAGGGCCTTAAAGTTCAAAAAGACATTCCCAAGGAAGGGTTGGAGTATCATTAATGCTACTTCAAGCCTTCTCGATCTCCCAGGTATTGACATGAATTGAATAAACAGACCACCTGCTGCCCCGCTTTTCAAGCGCATCTGGACTCATCATTCAACATCATTGCGCAGATGCTGCTTGTTGGCAATCACTTCTGAGCTGAGCTGAGATGTCGCAAAGCGAGTCATGCTATCGGGGCCAGGATGCGAAAGAATTGGGGTTGGTGCAAGTGGCATTGGGAAGCTGGAAACGGTACGGATCGGCCCCCTCCCAATCGATCGCCAGCATCATCCAACCAGCAGCACGCATTCGTAAACTACCATTACGCGAACGCATAGCGTAGAACAGCTACTATTTGCTACTTTGAGAAGCTTGTAATTTTCAGTGTTCACATCGGCCTCCAGTCGATTAGAATACGGCCGCGGCGTTACGTCATGAAAGCTCATTATAATGCGCCCCTAGGTTCCGCGCTAGACTCGCGCTACCTTCATGGCGACACCGTGGTTTCTCTGTGGCACTGTCATTAATTCGTTGATTGTTGGACTTTCATTCACCCCCAAAACATTCACAAGAAAAGATTTCCCCTACGTCACGCAGTGGGTTTCTGATCGTGCCGCGTCTCCTTGGACGGTACCGCTTTGTCGAGCTCTCTTGGAGAGTGCCTGTTGCTGAAAGGATAATTCGCTATGACGAGCATCACATACGCCGTTCTGGCAGTGTTACCAGTAATCGCATACTTGATTTACGTGCAGTTGTACCACTGGCGGTTTAAGAAATTCAAAGGTGCGTTTTTCGTTCATTGTTACATCAGCGAGGTCGACTTGTCATCTAAAATTTTCAATAGATATCCCTCAATTGCCGAATTCCTTTTTCATAGGGCATCTTCCCTACATCGCAAGCGGCTTCAAGAAATTTGGCGATGCTCGGCGCCATATCGGTAAGAATTTCCTGCTGTGAAGGTATTTTCATTAACGCCACGTCGTAGACTACATCTTTGAAGGGATGGCGGAAGATGCGGGACGTCCCGACGTCTTGTTTGTGGATGTGCGACCAGCCAACTATCCATTGACTGTGGTTAATTCCCACGCTGTCGCAGAGCAGATCTCAAGGATATCTAAAGGTTTCCCGACGAGTGTACAGAAGTCACCTACTATCTTCGAGTTCACACGTCTGATAGGCCATGAATCAGTCCTTTCCAAAGAGGTACGTCTACATACCTTAAACATTTCGAGTGCATCCATTTCCAGATTAAACGAGTCCAAAGGGTGATGCTTGGAAGACGCTCCGTAAACGATTCAATCCTGGATTTGCCCCTCAGCACTTGACTACACTCTTACCAGCCATCGTCGACAAGACAACAACCTTCATAGGGAAGCTAGATTCTCTCGCTAATTCTGGAAGCGAATTCGCGCTGGAACCATTGTGCACCAACGTTACGTTCGACATTATTGGCGCAGTCATCATGAATCTTGATTTTGAAGCACAAGATCTGGAAACTGGCGGCCATCCCGTTGTATTCCATACTCGAAATCTTCTACACACTTTTGCGAATTCAGGCCGGCCTGGTTTGATTCCTTGGTGGACAAACGTTCCGTTGGTGATATCACGGATCCACCATAGCAACAAAGCCGACGCAGCTATCAAAAGATGTATCGAGGACAAATTCGATGAAATCAGGGCTTCGCAAAAAGCAGGAGATAAACAGGCCCAAGACCGTTCAGTACTTGCGCTTGCTTTGAAAGACGTTGATCGGCTGTCGAGCAATGTTGTACAAAGCATAGCGGATCAGGTCAAGACTTTCTTGTTTGCAGGTCATGACACTACTTCAATATTGCTTCAGTGGTTGTACTACGCCCTCTCTATCCACCCAAAGTGTCTCGAAACTATCCGTGCCGAGCACGATGCCGTCTTTGGCGACCAAGATCCTCGTGAGGTCTATCTGGCCAAACCTGACGAGACCACGAAAGCGCTGTCATATACCTCTGCGTGTATCAAAGAAGCACTTCGACTCTGGCCTCCCGCTGGCAGTGCACGAATGTCGCGCATCGGTAGTGGTTTCAAAGTACGACTTAATGACGGACGAGAAATCTGTACCGACGGCACGATTCTTTACCTGAACCACTTCATCATTCAACGCGACCCCAAAGTATATGGTGAAACGGCTAACGACTTTGTCCCCGAGCGTTGGCTGGGTGATAGCGACACAACATCAGCATCGAAAGACGATACGTGGGACTCGAAGCAGTCAGGAGACCACAAGATTCCCATCAGTGCTTGGAGGCCCTTCGAACGAGGACCACGCAACTGCATCGGCCAGGAATTAGCTAACTTAGAAGCTAGAGTGATTTTGGCTTGCACGGTACGGAAATATGACTTCACTAAAGTTGGCGCTGGGGAAGTAGAGTTGAACGAGAAAGGGATCCCTACTTTGGATGACTCAGGGAGATATAAGCTTAAATCAGAGCTGTTCAGTGTAAGTCGCTTCTCGTCCATAGTGTTATCAATCTAACATAGATACACCTACAGGCCCCGGTTATTACCGCCAAACCGTTCGACAGCTGCATGATGAGGGTCAAGTTTCATGAGAAAGCGTAATTGCTTTAGAGGGTTTGAGTCAAGGACAACGATACGAAAACGAGCCTGTACCTGTAAATGAAAATTGGGCCTTTCCGGAATTTTGATCGTCCAGTCATGACTCTTCCTTTCCTTGGTCCTGTGGTCATCCGGCCTATAGTCATACGCGTAGATATATATCTCCTCCAAAAATAATATGACCTTAAGTTGTGCCAATCCGCCTAATTAGATGGGAGGTAAGTTCAGGGGTTCTGAGATTCCGGCGCCTTTGCTGTTCGCCGATATATTCCAAAAATCGAGATCTCCTTAAGTTCGAGGCAGCGACGTCTGATCCTCTCGAAAGATGAGCATTTATCAGCGATTAGAGTGTATTCTGGTAGGCGGTCATCCAGATCAGTCTGAGCCTCGTCCGTCAACCCGTAGACTGGGAAGTGTGTAGGGTGATCTCCGGGAATTCCTTCTAAGTGTTCTACCAACGCGAAGTGAGCAAACATAGATTAACGCGTCTGATGTAATTTGCGTTTTCTCGGCTGATTTGGTCCAAGAAAGACGCTACATCGTCGTGGGACGTTCCAGCGAACCTGAATTCATTTTCAGCGTATAGCAATGAGCTGGTCTCGGCATGGATGGGCCTGTTCGTCCGGGGAACTTCCAGACTGATTCTGAGCCACTGATCATCCTCTCTAACTATTGGAAAGGACCCATCTACTACAAGGAGCTTTCTGTATATTTGGCTCCAGAGTTCACTTAGAAGACTGATAGAGGTCGTCAACTTCTTAGCGCCCGTAGACGGTTTGTGTTAGTCATGCATTAGATATGTACATACGTAGTTGAGACGCAGCTGACTGTGCGAAAATGCCTACAATATGGATTTCTGAGTAGGGGATGACATGGTACCTCCCCCAAAAATAGTTTACATATGGTAGATAGCAGATTTTTATACATGTATGTGACTTAACAAGAGGAGATGTTGTATTGGCCAGAGCTTCGATGAATTCATCAATGAAGCATCAAGTGTACCATAGGTAATGTCATTTTCAAACACACGACTGTCATGATTTGATCCGCGTAAGCAGACTAGCGTTGGCCTTCAGAGTGCCTAATCATTTACACAAGATCTGTGACGCAGGTACGGATCCTACGCACATCACCGATTCGATTCACGTGATCGGAGTTCTTCTAGCCCCGGCCCCTAGTCGGGAACCGGTATTCGGCAGCCCGATCTTGATGAGCAATCAAGCGGTGATTCGCGAATGGGCCAATGCACTTCGGACGAACGTACGGGTGTCCGTCGATATAAAAAGTCAAACGTAGAGGGTTCAGATCATACCATATCCTTCAAGTCGCTAGAGCGAATTACGGATTGGGGTGTTTCCTACTTAGGTTACGCGCACAGACAGCACGCAATTCCGTACCACGATGACCTCTCGGTATTGCTACAACCGTCGCGACAGTGCGGCGAATGACACAACCCAAGCCCCAACAAGCCGTGACGACGCGTCACAATGCTGGTTTACTCGGACCTGCGCTTACTTGAACCTGCCCGGTTGCCGCAATAAGACCCAACGCGTCTTCCCTCGCATTTCGCAAACTTCGCCAGAGCGCCGCGATGCTTCCCTGACCGAGCCCTCTTTCGATGTGAAAGCACTGTCACCGTCGGACATTGATGCCGCGAGCGAGAAAGGAAAGACAATCCTGTACCTGGCATACGGCTCGAATCTGTGCAAAGAGACTTTTAGGGAAAAGCGAGGCATCAAGCCGCTGTCGCAGATCAATGTTCTCGTACCTTCGTTACGGTTAACCTTCGACCTGCCGGGTGTTCCCTACATTGAACCATGTTTCGGAAACAGTGCGATGCGGGAACCCGACGCGATGCAGGACCCCGACGCGATGGATAGCGAAGATTACCATAAGGATCGTTGGAAGAAAGGCCTTGTAGGCTGCGTCTACGAAGTCACACCGAGTGACTATGCGCAAATCATCGCAACCGAGGGAGGCGGAGCAGGATATCAGGACATCCTGGTGGACTGTTACCCTCTTCCTGACGGCGATACAGTACCCGAGAAGCCTACAACACAGCGATTCCTTGCTCATACGTTATTCGCACCTCCGGAGAAATCGCACGCCCGACCAGATCCCTCGTATGCGCAACCTTCGGCACGCTACCTTAACCTGATCACCACAGGGGCCGCCGAGCTCTCACTCCCACGCGAATACCAGCTCTATCTAAACGAGATCCGGCCGTACACCATTACAACCAAAAAGCAGCAGATGGGCAAAGTGCTGTTCGCCTCGATATGGTTGCCGTTTCTGCAATTGCTCTTCGCATTGAACGCACAGTTCCAGGACGACAAGGGAAGAAGTCCGCCTTGGTTGGCACAACTAGCAGCATTACTGTTCTTGGGCATCTGGCGTTGTTATGATGGGGCTTTCAAGAAAGTTTTTGGGGATGGCGAGAGGACGAAAGGAGGTGAGACATCAAGCAAAAAGGGAGACGAAATGGACGAAGCGCAATGGAGAAGAATTGGTGAAAACAATGGCTGGTTTCGCAGCCACGAAAAGATCGAGCATATGGCATAGAGATTGTAATGTTTGGTTGAATTCTGGCTTCAAGTAGACACACGAACCCACTTTACCTGGAGCAACCCAACAAAGTTCAGAGGGAGAAGAGCACTATGCACAATCAACCCAACATACCAAGCTTACACTGCTGTTCCATCTTCCAGCGTTGAATTTTCAATCGGTGGATTGTATACTGATACTTGAGTACTCCAGAGGTCATGTGCAACCCGAGATCGCGAATGGGATGTTCCGCTCGATACTCGCTCAAAATCCAGTGACAATCATCAGGCCGCCGCGTTCAAGCAAGGTGCTGGCCGTAGGCATCAGCCCTGGCGCGGTCGCCGGCGCACGATACCCATCCGCTGCCTTTGTTTTGTAGCTCCTCGTAATTCATTCGCTCTTCGGACTCCAAAGGTCTCCAGATAATATCAACACAAATACCCATTTCGTGACATTAGCAGCTTCTGCGAGCTGGAGTTGCGTGAAGTTTTATTACCCTCATTCCACATCATAGATCGCAATCTGCTTCGCCAAACCCTCCGGACTGATCTCGTCACCTTCCCAAGTCATTTTCTCTTTCTCTACAAAGCCCTCCTTCAGGTAAACTCTCATGCCCATCGGCGGTCCCACAACACCTTGACCCACCTTGTTCAGCCGGCTATACTCCAAACTCCACTTCACCAATTTAGTCCCATGCCTCCGTCCCCAATACGCCGGATGAGTGACCAGCATATCCAACTCCACCAGCTTTTCAAACCCGCATCGCACACGCGCCGCGTTTTCAACATTTATCATTGCATCGCGATGCCCCTAATGCCGGTCTCTCCATCTCAGCTCTAGCATCGACGGCAGCTCAGCACCCTCTAGAACTCTCCCCTCTGCCTCTCGCCACGCCCGTCCGCGCTCCGTCCCAACTTTCAGCACCAACGTCGCCACAGGAACTTGATCGCCTTCTTTGACATCCTCCCCCAGACCCGTAGTCACACCCTCGGGGAAATGCGCGTCTGTTTTCGAGCGCTCAGAAGGGTCAAAAGCATCTATGGCGACCAGAACGATGAATTGCGGGTCTTCAAGATATTGAATTGACCACGCGGTGTACTGTGCTAGCATATCCTCCGGGTACTGGGGGTAGTACGGACGAGCCCATTTGGCGTTTGGGGAGTAGTGGAAGGAGGCGACGTAGAGGAGCCCAAGGCGCGGGATGTCTGAAGGAAGGGCTGGGCGGGTGCCTGGTGACAAGGGAGGGTGCTGGATTGGAGACATGGTTGAGAGTGGTCATGGAAATGAATCGAGTAGATTCTCCTGCGGTTGCATTGCTGTCTTATGTTTCTGGAGCCATGTCAATTCCTTGCTAGACTCTGGACGTATGGGGTTCTTCCTGTTACTCCGTGTTGTAGTTGACTCCGAAGAGTCGCTTAGGGCCTACCTAGCGCATTCAGCGTTAGCAAGAATACGGCGACATTGATGACAGCTGATCATTGTGTCCTTGCTCTGGTGCAGCTTGGAAATAGGATGAACGTGTATTCGATCGTGTCCAGAACCATTCACGGAGTTGAAATGACATTCGTAGTCTCTCCCGGGGATCAAGTGTGATCAACGGCTGCTGATTGGTGTTTGAACTCATATCAAACTCCGAATATATTCATTCTGAACGCCTGACTATGAGTCCGAAGCATGCCTGAGTCCGTAGATAAAGCTTTACATTTACCAGCTGCATTCATGATCGTTCATTCTTTTCTATTTCGTGACGTCATAACCTACACACATCTTTGAGATCCTCTCATCGAGAGACAATCTATCCGGCGAATACGTTGGCCGGTGTACGTCGCATGAAGTCCCAGCTGGAACCTTCCCTGAAACGCTATGCATATACTTTCGACCACGTTCAGAACATGTTCAAAATCCACCTGAAGGCATACCAAGCTGCATATAGAGCCATTAGCAAAATGAGAACCATTGCGACCATCACCCTTCCTCGCATCTCAAACGCGTCACTTATTTCCAGTTTAGCGATCTTCCTGATCTTCCTATGAAGATGCCATGACCGGCGCTTTCTCTTCTCTCCACCGGATCGTTGGTCTGGATTCAAAGAATCGGGTGGCTTGACGTGGGGTGTTGAGCCCCGTCGACCCCATCTCGAGTCGTAGGGATCTTGGTACGGCTCGGGATCGAGGAAGCTGAAAAGGCTGGAGTTCTTGGTTCTTGCGACGGCGTTCTGGGTGTCAATGAGGAAGAGGGAAACGAGGAAGGACGTGAACAAGAAAGGAGTCAGGATGACCTGGGGTTGGTCAGCGTCTGTCTTAGCGGAGTCGTGAACCAGCTCAATGGATATTGCTCTGGGGTCGAGCCAAAATACGGTAGAGTGACAGCATTGCAATCAACCACGGAGATATCGGGGCCGAATACGTACCCGCTTGTACAGAGGCTCGTCCGCTATGTCCGCTTCATTTGGCGGAGATGATGGCGGTGATGCAGTAAGGGCGTGATTTGCGGGGTGTCCCAACCGAAGAAATGGATCATCTGAGCCCTTCTTCTTGTGTCTTCTTCGAGCTGTAGGAGACGATGGGGGGCTGGGTGGGAAGTGTCTCTGGCCATGTCGCTGTCGAGGCGGCGCAGCCTCCATTGTTTGACAAGCTTTAGGAGTGGCTGTAGCTGTAGCTGAAGCTGAAGCTCATACACTTAGAACGGAAGATAATTCATGCAGGTTTGAAATGAATTGACGTGTCGCGTGCATCGCATGCTGCGAGGCGTATATGAAGCGAGCCGCTCTGTTTGGCGGGTCCACGCGCGTCATTCCGTGGGTCCCGCGTGGGCTGCTGTACGGGCGTAGGGCTGGCTGCTCTGGCTCTGGCACCGGACATCGCACGAGCTTCGTAGGGGAGGTTTCGGACCAGCGATTTTCGAAAGCCATAGTTCGCGAATCTCGAACCTTCATAACGTCACGCTCGCGGTTGTCTCGAGCATTGAGTCCATACCAAGATCGACTGGGGCTTAGTTGCGCCGCCTTCCACCAAGATCCGGAACAACTTGGCTGCTATTGTCGGTGGCTCGGAAAGCCTCCGGACATATGCCGCAGTGCGCATAAAGTCTGTAGCACGAGAAACACAAGTGTGCTGATCCAGGTCCTGCGCTGACCGATGCTTCGCGGCGACCCCGAGATGCGAAAACTGGGGGAAGGGGATGAGTAGGGCGGGCTTAACTGGCATCCGCGGTGCTTGGCGGGTTCTTGACCCCTGTGAACATCAACCCGCGAGGCCACGGTTGGCTTCTGGTAGCGCAACCTCTGCCGGATTAGGACCCCTGTGCGTGCACCGCCCTTCGTTCAGGACGGTCAACGCGTCCAGTGCTGCTGCCTGAGGGCCTGTATATGATTGCTGACATGCCCAGGCTTGACGACCAACCCTTCTCTCTGCTTCTGAGACCCATTACAAAGAATCCTTCGCTTAGTAAGACGGTCGGGACGAAAAGCGGCGGAAGGAAGAACGCAAACGTACCTCGCGGCGTTTTGACCACGCACCTGGCACATTTCTGCCATTTTGTTGCCTCTCTGTGATCCGGATCGTACGAGCCCGAGTCTTAGGAGCGAGCCCGTCATCTTTTATATTTTATCTGAGCGTAGAAAGGTGTGCGGAACCTTTCGGACGAACACAAGGACAGGGGCGGGGGCCGGGCCAACTTTAGTCACAACGTATTGTGGGAACGAGGTCGACGTTCAAGATGCCGAAGGAAGAAAGCCTGCCTACGCGGAAGAAGATGAGGAAAGGGACTCATAGTTGCTTCGAATGTATGTTCACCCGATCGAGGTCCTGGTCTAATATCGCTACCTGCCTTCCTGCACGCTTCATCTTTTCTTAACTATAACCTGCTCGAATATTCCTGCGACGCCCTTTCCCTATGTAGCTGTCATTCCGGTTGAATCCGCCCGTTCATCCTCACGCCTCCACGCATAACATCTTGACCATGAAAGGCCTCACCTAACGTTGACCCAGGCCGTCGGCGAAAAATCAGATGCATCTACCCAGTAGACAACCCAAACGTCTGCTCGGAATGCTTTGCACGTGGCAGCCGCTGCATAGACCAAGAGCATGCCGACCCAGAGGTTGTTGTTGATCACAGGAAGAACCTTCGCGAGCGTGTCTCGCGGTTGGAGGCTCTCGTCGACTCCCTTCTCGAAGAGAAAACAGATAGGAGCACCTCAGACTCCACATCAATGACGCATTCGAACTCGGTATCAAGGACGCCCAATGTCGTCACGAAGGACACTTTTCCACCTACACCTCTTTCTTCAGAAGCTTCATCAACCATCAATATCCTCAAGGAAGCGCAAAGGGCACCATCTGATAGAGGACACCATGTGCCTATCCTGTCTATCTTCGAGGACGCCCTCAATGATGCCGAAGAGCGGATCAAAGCTCGTATGGAACCACTGCGCAAGGACTTGAACCCTGCCTCGGCCTCTTCTGAGCGCTATACTTTGAGCTACACTAACCCAGGCGACGTGATGGAGAGCGGCAACTCTTTCGGTCAACAGGCCAAAAGAGAGCGAACCAAGCAAGCACTTCTCGCCATGCTGCCTTCCTACGAGAAACTCGACAAGATTCTTACTACCAACAGCGAGTGGTGGCAGACTTGGCGGCGGAAGTGCAGCGGCACATCCGCCAGTGATGAGACGCTGCCTCAATTCGCGTCGAAGGCTCTGTCATCTGGTAATATTGGCGCAATGGGGACTGTTGTCCTAGCCGTCGGTATCTGCTCAGATGACGAGAAAGAGGTGGAGAAGTTCATTGAGATTGTCGATCGATGGGTATTGGGGGATGATGAATTCGCTGCCACTCTCGAGGGCATGGAGTGCCTTATTTTGAAGGCGAAATGGTATGCAGACGTTGGCCAACCTCGCCGCGCATGGCTCGCTTACCGGAAAGGCCTGATGTATACGCAACTCATGGTAGGTGTCACAACATGGTACATATGTTTAGAGCTGACGCTTCGTAGGGCCTCCACCGTAAGCGAACATCATCGGCAGCCCACGAATCCATCTGGTGGGCACTCTACCATGGTGACCGCTTCCTCTCGTTGCTCCTTGGTCTCCCTTACGGCATCTCAGATACGCACTGCGACTTGTCGCTTCCCGACATACCCAATGGGCCATATATGGCACCATTGATCTTTATGAATAAGCTATCAATTCTTGCAGGCAAGGTCATCGACCGCAACCAGGGCATCGCTGAGCAATCCTTCGCTTGGGCGCTGCAGCTCGATCAGGAGCTCGAAGATCTTTACAAAAAGCTGGACCCGGCATGGCTTGAATACTCCGAGTTACTCGCCGATATTGAAAGCAATGCCGCGGAGTTGCGTGAGCGAATCATGGCGCAGATGGTCTACCACCAGATCAGAGTGTATCTGCACCTCCCCTTCATGCTCAAGTCGGCGGTGAACAGTCGCTTTACCTACAGCCGTACCGCCTGTGTCAATGGGTCGCGCGAAGTCCTAAAGCTATACCAAGCGCTAAGAACTGGAGAAGTACAGCCACTCTACGAATGCAAAGCCGTCGACTTCATCGGCTTCACCTCCGCAGTCCTGATCGTCCTTGGCCTCTTCAATTATGGCGCAACCAATACGCCCATCTCCCCTGCCGCCCGCGAAGCAGACATCCGCCTCATCGAACAGTCCATCGACATCTTCCGGCGAGCCTCGTCCGAGAAGGGCGGAAAGGTCGCCCTGCAGTCCGCCGAGGTCCTCGAGAAGATGCTCAACAAGTTGAAGGTCGAGATTGGCCAGCCAGCCAGCAACAGCAACCCGAACGAGCTCGACGACTGCCCCGGCATGTCCGAATTCGTGATACCCTATTTCGGCACCCTGCACATCCGCCGCGGCGGTCGCCCTGTGTGCCACACCGACATGAGTCACCACGACAAGCAGATGAAGCTGGGGGCGCGGAGCACAAGCCCCCTGAACACAGCAATAGCAGCCAAAAGCACAAACGCCCAGTTCACGCCGCGCTCCGACCTGACGAGCAGCGCGGGCGACTTCTTCAGCCAAAGCTCAATGAGCAACCCAGGCCTCGTGACGCCCTCGACGACGAACACGTCGGCGACGTCCCCGAACCAGGCTTCGGGCTTCACCGACCCGTTCATCTCGTACGACGGGTTCTACAACTGGGGCACCGCGCTGGATACGCAGTCGCAGGCGGGCACGGCCTCAGGGACGCAGATCAACGACGACTCGTTGAATAACTTCCCGCTGCCGACGAACAACTTCTCGTGGCAGAATATGCCGATGGATATTGACCAGGACTGGAGCTGGTTCTTGAATGATGGCGGGAATGGGAGTAATGCGACTACGAACACAAACGCGGCTGTGAACCCGGATGTGTTCGCACAGCAGGGTTTTGTTGGGTTCGGATAGGAATTGTGACCTGGCTTTAGTGAAGTACACTCTGGGGGAGCCATGTATGATATGGGGAGGGAGCGCTCGCTAGCGGGGTTTTGCTTTGTTTGATATCCAGGCGTTGGATATGATCTCCGCTTATGCGCGAAAGAATGGAATGATTGACGCATAGCTGAATGATAACTGGGATGATCGAATATTGATGAGTGACAAGGCGCGCACGATCGATCGCTCCTCAAAGCTGAACATGACAGGGGAACATTGTAAACGCGCCTGCCTGTTGATGTAGCGAAGTATACAATTTCTTTACTCGAACATGCCCTATTTTACAGCCATTTCTTACACACGCCATTCTACCTGGCCTTCTCCTTGTTCTCGGCAGCCCTCCTCTTGGCCCGCACCTCGGCCTTTCGTCTCTCACCACCATCCACCTTGTGTCCTCTCCTCACTTCCCAGATGCCCTCTTGTAGCCGTATCCTCGCCTTCAGCCCGGCGGTGCCCTTGACTGGCTCAATGTAGCTACCCTTCAGCGTCTTCGCACCCTTGACTACCACGCCCTGCACACTGCTCAGAGACTCGATCGGCTCCGTCGGCACCTCAGAGCCCGCGGGCACATTGACGACGACCTTCCGGGTTCCGGGGTCGTGTGTCGCACTAGACATGGCAGAACGCGCGTGCATGCCGGGCACGGGGTGAGGTCCAACCGGGGCCTCCATGAGCTTCAGCTCCGCGACGCCGTCGGTGACGTGCTTGCAGTCTCCGCCGATGCCGTACTCGCCATTGCGGAACTTCTCGCGCCAGTGGAGCAGGTATTTCCGTGATCTTGCGGGCTCAATGCCGAGCTCCTTCAATTGGGCCGAGGAGAGAGTGAAGAGAGCTTCCCACGAGGGAATCTTTGCGGCGTGTGCGGAGAGGCCGCGGCCGATGGCGGTGAGGAAGCTGGCGTGGTCGGGGATGAAGGGCGTCGGCTTGGGCGCGGGGCGGATGGGGATTGAGTGCTGCAGGTTGCGGATGCAGATCTTGGGTGCCGACACGGCGGTTGCGGCCGCGTTGAGAAGGGGTCGTCGCACGATCATGCTGGTGGTTGCTGGCAGGTACTCAGCGGGTGCTCTTGAGGATGTGCAGAACGCCGGGTGTAGTGCGGAAAGAGCGGAATGTCGGATGCGCCGACGTGACGGTCGAGTTGGGATTGGAGCGGACGTCTGGTGCAGCCATCTCGAAGCCGGAGACAGCTGGGACAATTTCTCGGAGGTGCCAAGCCAACCGTGCGCCTACCTCGCAGCCCCGCCAGCCCGCGTTCGAGCTCCACCACACTCTCCCCCATCTCTCGCCCTCGCACGTGCGCATTGCAGTAGTAGAGAGTCTCCTATTGCTCCGGACTCCACACCTGCACAATGGCTCCTCCAGAAGTGAACCACCTCTTCCACCATCCCATCGCGGATCACTCCTTCTCCGCCGACCGCCAGACGCTCGCCGTAGCTCGCGACAACGTCGTCGATCTGTTCCAGCGCTCGGGCACCAAGTACACGCTGCAAGATGAGCTCACCGGCCACGACAAGACCGTCACCGGAGTCGACATCGCGCCCAATAGCGGCAAGATTGTGACGTGCTCGCAAGGTACCGCCGCCCGCCCACGACACGTGCTAGGCAGCTAAACCGCGATTCCAGACCGCAATGCATACGTTTGGGAGCCCACTCCCGAAGGCTGGAAGCCCACTCTGGTTCTCCTCCGCATCAATCGTGCGGCCACCTGCGTGCGCTGGGCGCCCTCGGAGACCAAGTTCGCCGTGGGCTCCGGCGCCCGCCTCATCCCCGTGTGCTACTTCGAGGAGGAGGACAACTGGTGGGTGTCCAAGCACATCAAGAAGCCCATCCGCTCGACCATCACCGCCGTCGCATGGCATCCCAACTCGGTGCTTCTCGCCGCAGGATCCACCGATGGCCACGCGCGTGTGCTGTCCGCCTTCGTCAAGGGTGTCGATGCGCGCCCCGAGCCTTCAGTGTGGGGAGAGCGTCTGCCCTTCAACACCGTGTGCGGCGAGTTCCTGAACAATACCGCCGGGTGGGTCCACAGCGTCGCCTTCTCGCCTTCTGGCAACGCGCTCGCATTCGCCGCCCACGACAGCACCCTCACCGTGGTGTACCCCTCTGGCCCTGAGGAACCGCCGCGTGCCGTTGTCAGCATCAGCACGCAAGTTCTGCCATTCATGTCCCTCGTCTGGTCTACCGAATCCGAGATCATCGCCGCGGGCTACAACTGCGAGGCCTACCGTCTGCAGGGCGACGAGAACGGCTGGCAGCTCGCCGGCAGCCTGGAGAGCAAGGGCCGTCCGGGTGTGCAGGATTCGAGGGAGGAGTCTGCGCTGAACATGTTCAAGCAGATGGATCTGAAGGGCAGCACCAAGGATGATACGAAGCTGAAAACGGTGCACCAGAACACCATCTCTACCATCCGCAGCTTCGAGGAGAGCGGTGGACAGGTCACGAAGATCAGCTCGACTGGTGTTGATGGTAGGGTTGTCATCTGGACGTTGTAGGATGCGAAAGCGAGCTCTGATTGACAGAGTGTGGGATTATGGTTAAATACATCATATCACTTCGCTGCAAGCTACCACTTCAGCGTCGTACCATATGTACAGTTGCTACTGCTGACAGTGACAACAACAGTCTCGGCCCTCGCTATTCGCACCCGTTCTTCCGCTTAAAGTGTGTACATGAAGTCTGGCCTCTTGTCGCCCATGTCTCGAATTTGCTCCTCGCTCTTCCCGTCCACCCACTCATCACGGTCGCCTCTGGCCCTCTTCTTATTCTCCCTCGCGAGGAGGAACCTCGTCACAACGCTCCCACCAAACAGCCAAAGTACAAGATACGCCAACACAACCCCATGTCCCACCTTGAATCTCGGCGAGTCCTTCGACCGGTAGATGTTGGATGATATGACGCCGTTGAGGTTGCCCCAACCAATGATGAAACCTATAGAAACACCCCGCTTATATACTCCCTCGACGTTGTTGCTCGCCCACGAGATCGTATTCGCGATGCAAGGATAGATCCCCATGGCGCCGAGGAACGTCCCCGCGTAGTTTACCGAGGGATTAGACGATCCAAGGAGCATGCTGAATCCCACAATCCCGACCAGCGAGATGCCAATATTGCACAACCCGCGCTGATGCGTGCGATCCGCCAGCCACCCAATCGCAATCGTGACAATCGCACCCGCAGCGTACGGCGGCACGCTCAGCAAATTCGTAACCGTGGACGAGTGCTGCGGGTACAGCTGGCGGATGATGGTCGGCAGAAAGAGCGAGAAGGCGTACAGCGCGCCGTCGGCGCCCATGTAGATGACGGCATAGCACCACGTCTTGTAGTCGGCGACGGATGCCCAAAAGTACTTCCACCTGAAGGACTCGTGCGAGGCGGAGGCTTGCTGGTCGGAGCGCAAGCGGCGGAGGACGCGCGCGCGGTCGGCGTCCGAGAGGAAGGTCGCTTCGTCAGGGAAGTCGTGGACCATCCAGTAGGAGGCAATGCCGACGAGGATTGTGGCGAGGCCTTCGAGGATCTGGACGGGGGTGGATTAGATGGGAGTTAGGAGAGGGAAGGAAGAGGGTGACGTACGAAGATCCAAGCCCAACCTGCTTTCCCGCCTATGCCGCTCATTTGCGCGATGCCTGCGGCGAGGAGACCACCAAAGGAACCTGCAAGTGCGGCGGCGGAGAAGAAGATGGCAGCGCGTATGCCGAATTCGGAACGTTTGTACCAGCAAGAGAGATAGTAATTCACACCGGGAAACAAACCTGCTTCGCACATACCGAGGAACCAGCGCTGCGGATGGTATCAGCAACTCACGCAATCAAGTCGGCAATGTAGGATGATCAACTCACAGCAGTCATCAGGCCGGCGTAGTTGTGTACCAGCCCCATGGTCGTCATGCAGATCCCCCATCCGATCATGATGAGGGGTAGGAAGATGCTGGGACGCATCTTCTTGAGCAGCACATTGGTGAGGGGCTCGAAGACAGAGTAGGAGACGAAGAAGATCGAAAGCGTGGCGTTGTATTGGCCATTGGTCATGTGTAGATCCTCTTGAAGTCCGTCGATTTTCGCATTGCCTGGGAAATCGTCAGTACTGTGATGCCGGTATGGTAGTACTATTGTATTGTTCGCTGTTCCTGGAAGACGAATGATTGGGCTCATGAAGCTGCCTCAGGACAGTCGAGATGGATCGCACCCACCAATGTTTGTCCGATCCAGGAACGATATGAGGTAAAGAAACGAAAGCCATGGTATCAGATACCGGTCGAGCTTCCAGAGCAACTTTTTATCCTGGTCTCAAGTCAGATGGTGCCAAGTTGCGAACAACAGAAGAGCAAAACACACAAGGACAGCCCTTTCCTCAGCGCTTAAGCCCGCATCAGGATCTGGTATAGGATCATTCGTATGCGTCTGAACAGCATCTAAATATTCCCGGTTCTGCGCCTCGAGTTTCTCATCGCTAATGTCGTTGCTAGCACGCTCTTTCTCCATTGCCGACGCCATGTTGAATCTTCTTCGCTTGGAAGCAGGCAAAAGATGGTTGTGCGAGGGATGCGTGGGGACCGAACTTGGAGCACTGACGGAGGACAGAGCGGGCGGGCTCGACGACGTCAAAAGAAATACCCCAGAAACGGTAGGGGGTGTCCACACTTGACCGCGTGGATGACAAAAACCCACAATTCGCTGCCTATCAGTCCGAGCCCACACCACCCACGCTACCTTTGCATGGCCGTCCCTCGCTCGTCCCCGCAACGTCATCCCGCAACCTAGTCCCGCTCGCTCATCGGAGGCTCAACTCCGCGATTATCCTCTGCGGCGAACGGTAATGGTTTCCTTGTTGAACCGTCCGCATTACTCAGCATCCGAGCCACTCAATTGAAATGCACCTTGCGCGCTGCGATGCTGACGTTTCTCTGTTGACGGTTGCCCAGACTTGGAGAGGCTTATGATGGCTTGGTGCGGGGAAGCAAGGATGGAGGGCCAATGACTGGGGAAGATGACCGCGCTAAGCTTCGGCATCCTCGGTCGCGTGCGGAGTGGCGCACATGGGTGGGTACTCCAGCTGGACGTCCTTTGGTGCGAATGTGGTTCGTGATAAAGCAACTCGGAAATAAAGTTGGTGGTTTAAAGCAGAGGTGGGGCACCGGAGACTGTAAAAGGAAGGTGCTGAGCACGCTCCATGTTAATGCCGGGTGATTTGAAAGTATGACAGTTCTTTGTGCTGTCTTGGTAAACGTTTGGAGCTGTGGAAGTTCTCTGTGTGAGAAAACCTTGGAATCTCAAGGGGCGCAGAGCGCACCTGGGCAATTGACGAAGGGCCAACTTAAGTGTACAAGATCAATAGATGGCTTTCAATGCTAAATCCTTCCTCGGCCCAAGAAATTACCTTCCATTACAACTTCGCTAATGTGTGGTACCTTCGATCCTTTCTGTAGTTTCATTTGCTCTAGCCGTCACTGCTTGCTCCTTCTCGCCCTCATGTTTACGATCGATTTTGGTGAATTCGTTCTCCAGAGTCCGTATAGGCATCTTCCCGAAGATGCCCTTTTTCTTCCTAGCTACTGCCAGTGCAATCGCGACCAAGAAGTTCAGCAACGCAAAAGCAAGTATGACTTTGAACTGCTTATTATAACTCCTTCCGAAGACTCTACCCAACTGGATGCGAGTTGCCTCGGGCAGTCGAGCAATGAAAGTTCCTGAGGCTTTGACACCAGCTATTTGTTCTGCGTTGAGGAATGCTGAAAGGTCTTCATGCAACACTGAGTTGTGCAGCGCAGAGCAAATAGCAACGGCTACGGCACTGATCAAATTCAGCATACGGAGTGATCCTGTAGGCATTTGAGCACTTACCCGCCTAGCGTTCGTAGCATATTTAATATACCAGTTCCTATGGGCACATCTTTCTCTTCAACACTGGTATACAACATAATGTAGTACGGAGTGCTTGCGAGACCAAGTCCGGCGCCCGTAATAATCTCGTACCCATACGTTGCGTCTGCGATACCATTATCGATGGGCAAGCTGCTCAGCAGTCCTGTGCCTATGCCGATGACTGCAGTACCGAGCAACAAAACACACTCTGCTGGAAACTTCTTGTTCAGCAAACCCCCAAGCATGGCGCCAACAGGAGTCATTAGCGAAACCGGTAAGAGTAGAATACCAGCACGCTCTGCGCTCACGAAGTTCACCCCTTGAAATCGCTGCGGTAGTTGAATGAACATGGACATGAATGGCATGCCCAGCAGAAACATACTGAAGAGAAGCAAGGCTGCTGCTGGGTTGGCGACAAATCGGGCTGGGAAGATCACATCAATCTTGGTCTTGTAAGACGCCCAAGACTCGTAAGCGATGAAGAAGGTGAGCAACACGAAGGCTGTGACAAGTGTGCCGATGATAACTCCACTATTCCAATCATAGGACACGCCAGCCTCTTGTAGGGCGAACAGAAGAGGGACAGGCCAGCAGACAGAGAGTACGCCTCCGATGATATCAAAACCTCGGAGGCGTTCTTTGGTGGACTTGTTGTCGTTAATACCAGGCATGCTGGAGAGCAGGATAGCCATGGAAATCGGTATCACTAATCCATTGAGCCAGAATATCCATCTCCAGTTTGTATGGTCACTGATTGCTCCTCCAATGAGGGGTCCAGAGAGGTTCGCTAAAGCAAAAACAGAACTGATGACGCCCGAGTAAAAGGCTATTTTGTCCGGGACGATCAGTTTCATGATAGTTACGAAGACGAGTGAGTAGAGTGCGGAACCACCAATGCCTTGCAGCGCGCGGAAAACAATACTAACAGTCGTCAGCACACACTTAGAGTCTAACCAGGGTGCCATACAGTTGATTCATGGTTTGGGCTGCACTACACGCCATTGAAAAGACCAGGAAGAAGCCATTAAATGCGAGCAGGATCGTGCGTAGACCCCAGATGTCGCTGAGTTTCGCCGTGATCATCAAAAACGAATTGTAGGCAAGTAGGTACGCAGTGACTAGCCATGGTCCTCGATCAAGTGCGTAGAACTCGCTAGAAATTCGAAATAAAGCAGTCGTAATGATGGTAGTGTCCATCGCAGAGACAAATAGGCAGAGCCATAGACTGTTTCTGTCAGTTTTTCTCTTTGAAAATCAATGCCCGAAAATCTGCATTTGTGAGATGGCGCAGATGTTTCGCTAGGCGATGTTCATGATGCCCTGCACTCACCCCAGAATGATCAGGTGGAGCCTAGTGCTGCCAATGTTGGGCACTACCGAAGCTTCCGCCGATGGCGCATCTTCATGCTCTCTGCTTGATGGCATTTCTCTGACAACCTTCTAGGTGCTTGAAATAAGCATCCACGATGTACGTTACCGTCGAAAAATGCGATGTCGTGAAAAGACACATCTCCAACCCCTTACCATGCTTATCGAAGGATTCAACGTCAGAGGATACGTGTACACACAGCCACAAGTCGAACGATCAGATCATGAGCAAGGGCCACAATCGTGAAGATTACATCGTTTAATCGAAGGATCCTGGCGCAGGGGAGCACATCCGGGTATGTATGGTCGACACGAACGAAAAGAACCCGCGCGGCAGGGAGAGCTCGATTCGGAGTAGCGCAAAGCGCCGTCTGCGGTGCACACTGCAAGTGTCGAGCGCGTACCGCGTACATTTCGCGTCAAGTCCCACATTGGCGCGCACTCGACCATATTGCATGAAACTTCGCAGATTGCCTGCGCGCAAATTGACAGACTCTCACCAACCTTCCGACTAAGATGTATGCTGTGTAAATTTGCGAGCTGTTCATAGCGCAGCTCCGACTCAAGGATTCTTTCAGCAGCCTTGGTTCCGCGGTCTTTTGTTAACAGAGTCGCGTGCGCTTTTCGCCTATTGCATCATACTGTTAATTCGTCTGATCGACCGTTACGATCGATGCTCTTAGTGCAGTCGCGCTGCGCTGGTAGATGGTGAAGGACTAGCTGTCGCAGCGCGCAGCGTCGTGCCTTCCTCACTTACAACTTTGGGTCAGCAGTCGCACCTGCCCGCTTCACCGCTGCTGCCATTTTCCTTTTCCTGTACCACCAACGTCTCTTTTCACTCTCTCCTCTCTTCTTGTCTCTCAACTCTACGCCCGACGTTATCTATTTCCTTCCCATTACACTTCGCACGGACGCGTCCGAGTTGATTGCGCCGAACAACTCCAACACGGATGCGAGTACTTGGTCCCAGCCTACAGAAAGCGGAGCGAGTTTACCAGGATAGTCCACCCGAATGGTAAAGCATGGCAACAACCATGTCCCAATCGCTTGAGAACGCGCTCATTGATCCCGATGACAATGCCGCCTGCCACACTCTACACCAGTTGTTGATCAGAAAGACGACCCCAGCGTCGCCTGCTCGTCCGGCAACTGCAAAGGCATACCTCGAAGCCTTCTGCGACCAGAGACGCCACGTTATACGCCGAAGATGGACTGGACTACTTCTAGCGAGACTACTCGAGTCCTGTCTCGACGTAGCGCGCCACCTGAGACGAACCCCGGACGACCTCTTTCGTATCGGTGCTGTCATTCTGGGGCTGAACGAGGCTGAAGAGACGAAAATAGTGGCGGGCCTGATAATTCGGGCCGGACTTTCTCAAGGGATCAAGTTCTCGGACTTCTGGTCTGAGAAAAAGGTTCACGCTACGTCCACACTCTTCCCCACCGAGGCAGATACATCTTGGATGAAAGCATTTCAAGATTACCTGGATACTATTTCGGGACTTTCGCCCAAGAGCTCTTCGCCCAAACTAGTACTCTTGTATCCAGTGGCATTTACAGCTGCGGACGGTTATCGGTGGTCACCGCACGACGAGAACCTGCCTCTACTTTTGATCGAAAGCCATATGCTCACCATCATCACGCCTGCGTCGGCTCTCCATGAGATTGAGTTCGTGTACATACCGTTCGGATCTATCAAAAACGTCCGCTGCAAGCCCTCGAGTCCATACGACTCCCAAGGTGGAGTGGTGCCGACCACCCCTTGGGCTGTAGTACTAGAGTTCATATCGATCCCTACACCATATCAGGTGAACTGTTCGGAACAGTCTGGCAATGAGTTCACGGTGATCATGGAGACCAGGGCGGATGCTAAAGACTGCGAGCGCTTCATCAATGATACTGTCCGTCCACAGAGGAATACAAGCGACTTTACAGATACCCCCAGTCCGGCGCTCAGCAGCGATTCGAACAAGGGCAAGGTCATGAAAGGCAGTACACAAGCACTCTCACAGGGCGGAGTAATCATGTTCGACAGGTCACAGCGGGAGGGCAGCATCGTTCAGGGCAGCCAGCAAGCACATCAAGCCGCTTTAAAGGCAGCCCAAGCTCCACGCACGGAAGCAGCTCACAGCAAATGTGGTGTACTTCCGGAGGTGAAGAAGTTACTACGTTTGGACAGTCTCCAGTCCGTGCCAGACGCTACGCTCACTGATTTCGAGTTTCCCGATCACTCACCATCGATTAAGCGACCATCGAAATCCAGGACCAAGAAGCTGCCTGTCAATCGAACTGGAAATGCAGTCTTGCAGACTTCAGCCCCAAATTCAAACACTCGGAAGCCCGCTGCATCGAAGTCGAAGTTGAAGAGCCAGGAGAGAAGCCAGTCGGATGCCGACGATGACCAAATTGAAATTATTGACAAAGAGGACGTATCAGACCCCAGAGCCCATCAGATCGAAAAGGCCACGGAGGTAACTAAAGAGTCAAAACCTATCGACAAAGAAATCAGAGGACCACAGCGCCGACAAGCAGACGTTTTCGGTATTCCGGAAGAGATGCAAGAAGATAAGAAAGGTGCTCGGGGTACGAGGCGAACACGTGCGGTGCCAATGACATACAAGGAAGACACTTCATCCGAAGAAGAAAGCGCGGCTTCCGATTTTGTTAAGAGGGAGAGGGCGAAGACGTCTCGCAACCGTGCTTCAAGGACTGTGACCAAGAAAGAACCGTTGTCGTTATCGCCAGCGAGAAGTGCGACAAGCAAGAGAAGAGCCAGGAAAGCCAAAGCAGGCACAAGGCCGCTGCAGCTGCTGAAGGGCTCTTTGCTATCCAACCTACAGCCAACGGCAGTCGCCAAAAGAGATCATAAGGCCAAACTTGCCGGAGCAGGTGACGAACAGCGCGGTCAAGGAAAGTCTACTGTTTTAGCCGAGACCAAGCACAAGACCCAGGCGCCGAGTGCTCCACGCCAGGAGAACCGGAGCTCTGAGGCGCACATCTTAGGAAGACTGAATGATATAGATTGCGACGACGAGCCTGGTAGGACTAATGCTTTGAAGAATAAGGACAGTGTAGCATCGCGAAAACGAACTGCTGCTAGCATCACGCCTTCAACGCCGCGCTTCAAACGGGCCAAACTGGATCACGATGAGATGAGAGCGAACGCAGAAGTAGACGAGTCGATGTCTATGAAACCTCCCAGTACAGTCGCTCCTGTAAGGGTTCTTCAGGAGCCGTCGAGTCCTTGTGGCAGTCGAAACATGCAGGCTCCGCCTAAACCAGTCTCTGAGGAACCTATACGCATGATCTCACCAAAGACGAATACTATGGTACGGTCACGAAAACAGCTTGATGAGCGTCAAACACCGGTACGAGTGATTAACCCGCCCTATCTGAACTCACACTGACTTTATATCCGCGTTCTAGGTCCACCAGCTCGGCAAGCGGAGTCACTCTGGCATGTCTGCCAGTTTGGAACTTCTTTCGAGCAACAGCAAACCAACTCCTGCATCACCTCGCGCAGCCTCCACAGCCATTTCGGGACATGCAGACCAGCGCCAGGTCATCATGGAGCAGGCGCAAGGCGAGTACAAAATCGAAAAGAGCGATCCTTTCCGGGCGAATCGTCGAAAGATCAGCGAGTTCACTCGCCGGCTCACGGGAAGCACAGGGCAACAATCAAAGCCCACAGAAGGAATGTCTCAAAACCACCCAATCGAGCTGGGTGATAGCCCAAGCAGCGCTTCTAGTGAAGCTCTTCCGCCACCGGTACAGAGTCCGGTAACGAAGTCAAGTCATACCGGCATCTCTCAACCCATCGATATACTTCAAATTCGAACACCAAAGCGCTCACGGAGCCGATTCGTGGAACGATCGGTTGCCGAAACCCTGCCGACGATGGAATCTCCCCAAGTTCACCCCGGCTACCTTTCACGGCACGAAGCGTCTCTCCATGATGGTACCCCTCAAATCAAAACAGGTTATCCTTTACGGCAAGAAACGTCTCATTGTAATGGTAATCGTCAAGACCACCAAGGAGCGGTAGAAGCTCTTCGTGCTAACAATTCTGAGATCGGAGGTGATACGCTAGTTGACTTCGAGGAACCACCACAAGTTCAGGACGAGGCCTTCTTACCCGACCTTAGGTCATCGCCTCCGCCAATGGGTTCACCAAGCAGCCACAGCTCGACTTCTGCAGAATCTGAACCCAAGACTGATCCTCCCGTCACAACATCTCAAGCTGAGGAGATGGAATGGGAGGCTAGTCTGCAACCTTATCAGCGCGATTTGAAAGACCAACTGCTCCGCGTCTCCAATCGTGTCTTGCAACACATTATTGATAATGAGTCTGCTGCTAGCGACATCGCAGACACCTACGCCAAAGATGGACGGCATTCGTTGGATCTACTGTTCCAGAGCCATGAGCAAGAGTTCAATGCCATGCACAAAGATGTCAAACAGAAAAAGGCTAATTTGAACGAGGCCACCGAAAAAGTGTTGTCGAAGCTTCGCCTGGTGCGTCAGACGATTGAGGACGAGACTGAATGAAGACTGCCTGCGCACTTGCTAACGAATGCCTATCTTCCATTGTTCCAACTGTTATGTACGATACGGCGGTAATGATACCAGACAGGACACCCTCGATGGCGCCTAAAACATGGATGGAAAAGGGCAGCAAGGTATTTTGGAGAAGCCAAGGTTATGGCAAGATGAGCTATTGGGCTGCTGAAATCTGGATGGGTTCGCAGCAACCCCGGTGTTCAAGGGCCATGTCTTACAGCGACAGTGGGCGATGCCTCGCACCAGTTGTGTACTTTTATAGTTTCATCGACTAGATGTACGACTCACTGATGAATAATCAGTACATAGGCACGGTGTTCCTTGACTGTTGTGAGTTATATGACACAGGTCTTTTGCCTAGAGGTACAATATCACACGAGCAGACTGAAAATTCCGCAAAGGATAAACCTGATGCTACCGATCTTTGCAAATGGTGCAGTTGTCCCGCTAGGTATTTTCTATCAATTCCTTTGCCATTAAAACGAGCTCAATCTGCACATCCAACCCAACAGTCTTGCCCATAGCCCCAATCCACATCAGTAAGTACTCAAACGACGGTATCTCTCTTCCTCCCAGACTGGCCTCCATGACTTCTGCTGTACGGCAGGGGTGGATGAAGAACACAGGTTGGTTGAGGACCGGGTGGTCCTGCGTACCTTAGTTATTTGACCTAGAAAACGTGCGATCGGGAATGTCCTAAAAGCATGGTATAAGAAAAGTGGCTTACAGTAACGGTAATGCCTCCCAGGACGCCCGCGTCTTTCGTTTGATCAACGTACTCTCGAGCAATGATATCTAAGTACAGCGTGTCCATAGTCGGCGGATAGCGGTGCAACGTGTCGGAGACGTAGAAGTAGAGTACTGGTACACTGTAGGATGGGGAGAAGAGGACGTCGTAGTGTATTAGTGGGGTGCTGTTTGCTGTGCTTGTAATCCTCTCGTCATCGTCGTCGTCAATTTCGGGGTCGTCATGGGGATCATGTTCTTGGTGGGACGTTCTGGTGACGGTGAGCTCCTTGCTTATGCGTAAATTGTTTTCGTCTGGATCGAAGCTGATGTCTAACCATCTTTGCTTCGTGGAAGTATCTCGAAGCGCATTGAAGGAGTCGACCAGAGTTGTGCAAGCGGTGTGAAATTCGGAAGCTGAGAGGTGGGGAGGGGATGCTACGGGCTTCATAGTTGCAGGATCTAGTGTCGCAACTTCAAGAGGCGAGTTTCATAGTCTAGGGTTTCCTTAGAGGCGTGAAAGGGTGCCTGCATAGAGCTAGATTGGGGTACGGAGGTACACAGTAGGAGCTTAGCGCGATGGTCACATGACCAGGCGATTAGCGTGACGCGTGAGCACCCGATTCGGCGACAGTCCTGGCACAATGTTTTATGATGCCTCAGTGGTGTGTTATGACATTTGCTTAGGCTTCTTATAGGAGACAGAAAACCATCGTTAATACTGCAAAGAACGAAACCGCCTGGTAGCTTGAATCTGGAAGGGACATGGCCTGACACTCGCGCCACTGTTGCGACTAGAACATGTGTCTATTGGCAGACATGCCACAAATGCGTGCGACGAAAATGCAGGGGGGTTCAAAGCCGTGGGGTGTCCTATCGATATAGAGTGTGCATCGTGCTGCAAGTATTGTCAGGCCTTATCGCGAGCATTGCCGCGAATCGACACGTCTAGGAGCGATCGCGGAGCAGAGAGATCCGCGGGACCGGGACTCAACACGATCAGGCATTTGAATTCTTCTGGCGGTAGTGCTGCTAGAGCGATTGATGTGTAATGCAGACGGCGCGGATGAGATGAGACGTCATTTGACAGGCGCACCCGGCGATTGCGAGGTAATCCCCGCCAGCGGAGGCCTGGACGGAGGTCTTGGCGTCGAGGCACCACCCTTCTTGAGCCGGAACCAGCGAGGCAGCCGCTCTCGAAACCATCGCCCGCAGACCACCGACTCCCTCCTTCGCCAAAGGAGATGCCCTATTCGTACTGAATCGCTCTGTCACCGCGCACGGTACTGAATACGCATAATTCCGCTTCCGCTGCAGTCCACCATGGCGTCGGAGAAAAGCCAGCTCAAGCGAGGCCGCGTATGTTGACCGTCTGCGCACCCACTGGCTAGGCAATTGCAGGCTGACACCATCCCCCACAGCAATCGCAAGGCGAGCAGGTCGAGCCCAAGAAGCCCCGTCGGTCAGAGCGCAACACCTCGCCCAGCGACCACGCCGCGCACCTGAAGCAGGGCCCGCTGCCGTCCCCCGTCACACACAAAGCCGACTCGACCGCGACCGATGAATTCAAGGAAGGCACCGTTACCCCGCCGAGCAAAGGCTCGAGTGAACAGTCTCAACGAGGCGGCCTGCGTAGCCCTCCACGGACCGGCGGCGCTAACAGCCTGTCGTCTCCACCCCAGGATACGCAGCCCTTTTCGCAGTTCACATACCCAACCAACGACCGCTCCTGGGCAGTAGACGATGAGGAGGGCGAGGGCGTGTGGGGATATCTGGTGCCTCTAGACACTCGATCGGGAGATGTCATGGTCCTCCGCCGACGATCAGCTTGTCCCGTCTCATCGTCAAGAGTTGCCAACACCTCGGGCACAGAAAAGGTTGCGAAAACCAAGTTCAAAAAGCAGGAGGAGGGATATGAGCAGGAAAAGGTGGAGAACGGTGTGACTTCAGGCGGCTATCTCATCGGACGACACCCGGAGTGCGGTAAGTGCAGCCTTCAATAATCGAAGGTTAATTCTGACACGGTTCAGACCGGCAATTGGAGTCGCCAACTGTATCGAACCGACACTGTCTGCTGTTCCCCGAGAACAAGGGTGGTGATGCGATCGCCGTCCTAGAAGATTTGTCTGGCAATGGCACATTTGTCAACGACACGATCGTCGGTCGAAACAAGCGGCGCGAGCTGCAGGAAGGCGATGAGATCAGCATTCTGGATCAAGCTCGCTTTGTCTTCAGGTACCCATCGTACCGCGACACCAACGGCTTCCGGCAGCAATACTCTTTACAGGAACAGCTGGGCAAGGGACACTTCGCATCCGTTTACCTGTGCATAGAGAAGAACTCTGGCATGAGGTACGCCGTCAAGAAGTTCGAGAAGCGTACGGGTCCTGTCGATAAATCCAAGGTCGATGGTCTTCAGCAAGAGATTGCTGTGCTCATGGGAGTTAGTCACCCCACGCTGCTATGCCTTAAAGACACATTCGACGAAGCCGACGGAGTCTATCTCGTTCTCGAGCTGGCTCCGGAGGGCGAGCTCTTCAACTGGATCGTCATGAAACAGAAGTTGACCGAGTCGGAAGCGCGCAAGGTGTTCGTACAACTGTTCCAGGGGGTTAAGTATTTGGTAAGTCGAGCCATGGCTGAATTGGCACATGAGCTTACGTGTGCAGCATGAACGCAACATCGTCCACCGAGACATCAAACCGGAGAATATTCTGCTCACCGACAAGAACCTGTCCGTCAAGCTTGCTGACTTCGGACTGGCCAAGATTATAGGCGAAGAGTCCTTCACCACTACCTTGTGTGGAACGCCGTCATGTGAGGTTATATTGCTGCTATTGTGTGAATTGAGCTGACACGTGCAGATGTCGCCCCTGAGATTTTAGAGAGCACTAATCACCGACGGTACACACGTGCGGTCGATGTGTGGTCCCTCGGAGTAGTACTGTACATTTGTCTGTGTGGATTCCCTCCCTTTTCCGACGAACTTTACAGCGCCGAGAACCCATACACACTATCGCAGCAGATCAAGATGGGCCGTTTTGACTACCCCTCACCTTACTGGGATTCAGTCGGCGACCCGGCACTTGACCTAATCGACCGCATGTTGACCGTTGACGTGGATTCTCGCATTACGATTGACCAGTGCTTGGAGCACCCGTGGATTACTCAGGCGGAGATCAACCCAAACGATAGTACTGATGGGCTTACGGGAGCAATCGCCAGCCTCGATTTCTCCAAACGTAAAATCTACCGCGAGCGAACTCTGCTCTCCAGCATCAACGACATTAAGGTCACCCGAGTTATCGAAGGCAGTGAAGGCCAACAGGCAGTCAAGGTCTACGAAAAGAACAAAGACAAGGCCAAGAATTGCGTGAAAGACTTGAACGGCGCCCACCAGAAAGAGGAAACTCCTTTCGCGAATAGGGATCCGGATGAGTTTATCCAACTGGGTGGGAAAGGAGACCAGCAGCTTTTCGACGCAGCGGAGCATTCCATCTATCCTGATGACCTGAGTTCCGTCGCACCTGCAGCAAAGACCTGATCTTGAAATACAAAAGCAGATCAGGTGTTATCATACGGGCGTCAAGCGGCGTTCTTGCCGCGATATGGGACATGTCTAGATGCTCATAGTTTCCCAGGTTTTTGGTCACTGGCCGGTTTGGAGTTTGGGAGCCTTATCAGAAGTGTTACCATATTCATGGTCGCAATGCAGACCTTCTCGAAAGGGGCTGATTTTACACATGGTAAAGGTGGCCGCGGTCATATGTTCTGTTCGAGCATCGCTTAGCCGTGAAAGATTAATCAAGGACTCAAATTACATATGTACAACATACTACATGCCAACCTGTCCCTGCAGATATAAAAGCTACAACCGCCACATCCAAAAAATTACTCGATATAAGGTATTGCGGTGGCGTCCAGTGCGCAACGTAGCTAGGACTCTGATACATGGCCGAGAGTTTCTTGATTCCCGAGGAACGATGTTAGTAACCTCGGTAAGCTGCCAGCGGTGAATAACAGACACAGCTCGTAGAGTGGATCCAATCATTAGGAGGAAAGTACTATTCTGAGCCCGGATTGACGGCCATGAGCCCGTTGATGCCGTGAATGGGTTGCCATTCGCAATTACGGCATCTGTTCCCCTACACATCAGTCTCTGGTTGTTAGCCGAAGTGACGATAAGGCCCTCTGCTCGCAGCATCCGCAATCTACAAAGCACTAATATTAGAGCACCACCGATCTAGCCATTTACGAAGAACCTGTGATGAATACTATTGATCAATCCCATGGTGATTCCCAAAGTCACATATCGCTATTCCTAAGCAAAACCTGCCAACAGCCGGAGAAGAACACAGATACGCTCGACTTCCACGTTCTCCAACCGGGAGAAGAACAAGGTTTTCCAGCTCTGAATTAAGACGGCTCGTGCGTAGTGGAACCTACCAGAAGGGTAGCCTCTTCGCGCTTCGCGTCGGGAGGAGGAATGTCCTGTTGAGTATGAGTTAACAGAGAACCAGTCGCATAGCCTAGGACAATGGGGTGCATGTACTTACATCCGGGAAGCGACCATGATGGCAGCGTGTGCTGCGAATCTTGTTGTCCCAATTAGATGGCAAGCTATCCAGACGAATCACACCCTTCCACCAATACGTATCGCCTGAGCAATCGGTTGAGCTTCTCCAAGTTAGCACCAAGCGCAAGCGATCCCTAGTAAGCTACTCACGCGTAGTTGAAGCAGTAGAAGGGGAGGCCTTGCTGGTTCTTGAATGACTCGAGCGACTGTGGACCCGTGAGCTTAGGGACCGAGAGCGGTGAGCTAAGGTTGACACGTACAGAGATGCCGCCCAATTTGTCAACATCGATCCAGGCCATGCACGTCGAGTACTTGACCATGATGCGGTCAATGTGATACCACTGGCCTCGCTGGTTGGTGTCAATGTGGAGTATGAGCTGGATAGGTCAGCAAAGTGCATTCGACAGATGATGCCGACCTGCTTACCATGTCGTAGTTGGGTAGATTTGTGGTGCCCTGGGTGCCCTGGGTGCCGGGCTCCCGGGCAGTCATAATCATAAATGCAGGAGGGGCTGGCTCATCGATTGGCCGAGCGACGCCTATGACGACCTGCATCAAAGTGACGGCAAGAGTGAGGAATCGCATGACTGCTCCGAGGTGTTCGCTATAGTGAGAACGTAGAGATATAATGGTGGAGAGCAGGATTCTGAACGTAGAACCGAGGCTTTTATGAAAGGCGCTTGACAAACGTCGAGGATTAGCTGTCTAAGTTTGATTCGAGAAGGGAAAGGGAAGCGGAGGTGCGCATGTGCTTTGAGTGAATCAACCTTCGTTTGTTACCAAGAGTCGAAGGAAGCCGAAGATATGCGGAAACGGAAAGTAAAGGGGTCATGTGCTGTGGACTGGGGTGAAATCGAGTAGATTGATAGTGCGTTTGGTTCTTCTCAACCACCGAAATAAACGGGTTTCGAAGTCTCTTTGGAACTGGTAACAGTAGCTGACAATAGGTGATGGGATTTATTTTGCCGATACGTTGCATGAGCCTCCCACGACAGCGCCATTAAATTGCCCATGACACCAGTTCGAGTCGTTAGCTTACAGACACATGAATCAAAAGGACTGTCCAGCATATCCATCATTAACCAAAAGTCAAGGTCATGGTACACTGAGGGGTATACGTGAGCCTAAGAACCTGCTGAACTAGATAGTACTGTAAGACCAGAGACTCTTTGTGACTTGATCGCCCTATAACAAACCACACCAACATAGCAGACGTACGCATCGCCTTATCAGCTATTGCAGCTCCGATGTTATTGCGGAGCATGCAGTCTTGGAGCTGGGAATATCGTGCACTTGCTGCGTGGTGCCTCGATTGAACAGGACTATGGCTATGCTTTGACTTGGATTCATCACACAATCTCTTTCTCTATTCTCTGGGCAAGCGGCCAAAGCGACGGAGGGAATTTCTCTTTGTGCCTGGCGGTGAGCAAGTGACCTCGAGCCGCAAGGGCAAGGATACGAAGGGCTAGGTGAAAAGCGCACTGGTAGCAGTCGCCGATTGTAGTTGAGCAGTGCTTCTGAGGATGCTGGTGCCACCAATCGCGTGAGCGGGAATGATGGGTACGCGTTAACCGTACGACACTCGTGGGCGTTGAGGCGGAGCATGGCCAAATCGTGGTGTGATGAGCCGCCTTCGCGGATGTCGAGCGCCCGTGGTGCCGTGCGGCCGCTAAGAAAGCCTTCGACCACTGGCGGTGCGGCAGGTACGGCGTCGGACAGGGGTGGCAAGGCCCTAGCGCAAAGCGTCGCCAGGGAAATTTGACCACTACAAGATGTCGCCGCCCGCCCCTTCTCCACGCCCAAGGCCTCTCGCGCTGCCACTTTTACCGTCATGGGAGTCCTCGAAAACGTCGCTGGCCCATTGGGCTCCTTGTCCTCGAACGCGCCCACGCTCGTCCTCGCCATCGCCGGCTTCTTCTCCTTTATCGTGCTCGCCATTGTTTTGAACGTCCTGAGCCAGGTGCTCCTGAAGAAGTCCAATGAACCGCCCATGGTCTTCCACTGGCTTCCGTGGATTGGCAGCACCGTCACCTACGGCATGGACCCCTACAAGTTCTTCTTCGCAAACAAGGAAAAGGTACGCGAGGCCCGCGCGGGCGTCGCAACGAGTCGCATACTGACGGTTTTCTAGCACGGCGATGTTTTCACTTTTGTTCTGCTCGGCCGGAAGATGACCGTCTGCCTGGACACCAAGGGCAACAACTTCATCCTGAACGGCAAGGCCAAGGACGTCAACGCCGAGGAGATCTACAACCCCTTGACTGGGCCTGTTTTCGGCAAGGATGTCGTGTATGACTGCCCGAACTCGAAGCTCATGGAGCAGAAGAAGGTGAGCAGGCGCAACGAGGGGAAATTTGCATGCGCTAACAGCAACCTCTAGTTCGTCAAGTTTGGCCTCACCTCCGACGCGCTCCGCTCCTACGTCGAGCTCATTACCCACGAGGTCCAGGATTTCGTCAAGCGCCACAAGGCCTTCAAGGGCCAGAAGGGCACCTTTAACGTTCCTAAGGTTATGGCGGAGCTCACCATCTACACCGCTTCGCGTTCGCTCCAGGGAGAGGAAGTCCGCAACATGTTCGACTCCAAATTCGCCGCTCTCTTCCACGACCTCGATCTCGGTTTCTCCCCGCTCAACTTCCAGCTCTCGTGGTTCCCGCTCCCGCACAACCGCAAGCGCGACGCGGCGCACAATGCCATGGTCGCTGTCTACTCCGAGATTGTTCGCAAGAGGCGCGCAGGCGAAGTCAAGCGTGGAAACAGCCACGACATGGTCTGGCATCTTATGGAATGTGAATATAAGGATGGAACCCCGCTCCCCGACCACGAAATTGCCGGTATCATGATCGCGCTCCTGATGGCTGGTCAGCACTCCTCCTCTTCGACTATCTCCTGGATTATGCTGCGCCTGGCCACCAAGCCCGAGATCGTAGAAGAGCTCCTCGCGGAGCAGAAGCGTATCCTAGGCGACGATCTGCCCGCTTTTACCAACGACGATCTTCCTAGACTCTCTCTCCACGCCCAGGTCGTCAAGGAAACGCTTCGCCTACACTCTCCCATCCACTCCATCATGCGCAAAGTGAAGCAGCCTCTTGTTGTCGAAGGCACCAACTACATCATTCCTACCTCTCACACGCTCATGTCCTCTCCTGGTGTCTCCGCACGAATGGACTCACACTTCCCGAACCCCTCTGTCTGGGACCCGCACCGCTGGGATGCCCTCAACTTCGAAGAAGATGACGACAAGGTCGATTACGGATTCGGCATGATCTCCAAGGGCGGTAAGTCGCCTTATCTTCCCTTCGGTGCCGGCAGGCATAGATGCGTGGGTGAGCAGTTCGCGTACGTGCAATTGCAGACCATTTTGGCCACACTTGTTCGCGAGTTCAAGGTCAGAAATGTTGGCGGCAGCAAGGACATTATCGGCACTGACTACACGTCATTATTCACCAAGCCATTATCGCCTGCCGTCGTGGAGTGGGAGAGACGGACTGCTGAGTTGTAGAGGGCTGTAATGCGACGCTGGATGTATATAAAGGACCAAGAGGATTCGCTTCTGGATCCTTCCGGACGGCTACAAGGCTGCCGGATCCTATAGACTATTGTGATTGTAATATTGAGATACGTAGTAATGAGTGCATAGCGCAGATTAGCGGCTCCATGAGAAGAGCATTGAAATCAAGGTCATCCAAAGCAAGCGTCATCCGCGTCAGGTGCAATGCTTACATTCAAATGCTGGATGCTATTCCTTCAATGCTAAGACTCCCACGCTTTTCTTCTTTCCAAAACTGGTACCTAGCCAAAAATACTGCATAGCTCATGTCGATCGTGTTTCTAGTCACAGTCATTATCCCTCTAAGGCAACTGGTCGACAGTCTCCTCAGCGCCATTCACCCCGTTCTTACCCCACTGCTGCGGCCTCTCCACATTCAAGCGCCACCCTTGCTTGTCCTCGATCTTGCCGAGCTGGATGCCCTTCAGCGTCGTGAGAAGCTTCACACATGCTGGGCCGGGCTCCTCGGCTGCGTCCTTGTACGAGATCTTCTCGCCCTTTGATTCCAGGGTGATGGACCTGATGGGAACGAGAGCTGCGGCGGTACCCGCAGCGAGAACCTCGTCAAAGGTGTGGAGTTCCTCGTAAGGAATCTGTGGTCTGTCAATATTGTTGTTGGAGGAGGGAAGAGGGAAAGTCTACCTCGCGCGACTCCGCCTCCCAGCCGAAAGACTCGGCAATCTTGAGAATGGAATCTCCCGTTACACTCTTGATGACGTTCTTGCTGTTCGACGAAACGAGCTTGTACTTGTCTCCGTTCTTCTTCACACCAATGAACGCACTCGTTGAGAACTCGTCGATGACCGTGCGCGTCTTGCTGTCCAGATGCAACGTGATGCCGTACCCAGCCTTACTCGCCTTCTCGCTCCACCGCAGCACAGGCGCGTAGTTCCCTCCGATCTTTGCGGAGCCGGTGCCCTCCGGCGCCGCGCGGTCAAAGTGCTCAAGAATCAGCGCATCAACCGGATGCGTGCCGTGGTAGACGCCAGTGGGGATCACGAAAACAACGAACGTGTACTCCTCCGGGGGATTTAGGCCCAGCTGCGCGGAGCTACCGAACAGTAACGGCCGCACGTACATGGCGGCGCCGGTCTCGTGGGGCGGGACGTACGCGGCGTTCATGCCGACGGCGAGCTTGCAGCACTCGAGGAAGTGATCAGTAGGGACTTCGGGCATGGACACGAACGAGGCCGAGTGCTGCATGCGCTCAGCGTTCTTTTGCGGACGGAAGATGCTGATGTTGCCGTCCGGGCCGCGGAAGGCCTTGAGGCCTTCGTAGCATTGCTGACCGTAGTTTAGGGCGGGCGCCATGCCGTGGATGCGGAGGAAGGGGTCCTCGACGAAGGCGGGGGTAGTCCATTGGCCAGTTTTGACGGAGTAGTGGGATTCGACGTGGCCAGCGACTGGCCAGGCTTAGCTCTTGCTTTGGGATGTTGAAGAGATATGTGTGGGAAGTGGAAATGATCGAAAAAGAAATCAAATTCATGGAGAGGTGAACTCAAGGGGGTGGGAGTGTTTTCATGGGATGTTCAAGCCACTTCCGGCGTGTTCCGTCTCTTTGGAAGACTTTTCGAAACTTTGAGTGAGCGTCGGCAGAGAGGAAACGGAAAACCTTGCATGGCAAAAGAGAGTATGAATCAATGGACAAGCTGTTGGATCTAAGTCTTACCTTCCCGAATCTTGAAGCCTACATTGCTCCAATCTGCCAAGTAGTCAGTCACATGGTCTGCCACGGACAGCACACCCACTAGAGGGGGTTATGGTACAATAGACATACCAATGGTGTTTACCGGGGGCGGGGGGTAGTCAGACATGATGATAGCGCAAGGTAGGGTCTGAGCAGTACGTTGGAATTGGGTTTGGAGTCAGTCCCACATGAGAACCAGAATTTCGTAGCTTAGTAGTTGAGGCTCATGAGTGGCGCGCTGCGATATCGGACCGACCGGTCCTTTTTCGCGACGCGACGCGTAGAGCAGCTAGCGCTCCATTGCTGGCGCCAGCTTGCCATGGTGTTATTGCTCTCACGACTCATGTCATGTTTGTTTTACGAGGAGCGAGGCTCTCTTGGGTAGAGGAATGTACAATGCGGCAATGGATGTGTGAAAAGGCGACGGGCAAGAATAAGCGAGCGGACCTCGATGCTGTGCGGAACCATGGGAGCCGTCAATTGGGCTTGGCACGTTGGGAACAGTCCGAAACTCGACCCAAAAGTCGCCAGTTGCTCAGACCATCGACTTCCTACGAGATACATACGACCCCATCCGCGACTCCCTCTCGAACTGCACGTTTTGATTTTGATCATATACTGCTGACTATGGCACCGCCCGCCGTACGGAGTCGCTTCGTGCTACTGGCCTTGTTCGGCATGGCACTCTTCACGTTCCTCATCCTTGGAGGCCACCGCTCCATAGACGGACAACCCTCGCCGATACAGCAAGCAAAGCTGAACACACAGGGAGGAGGGTCAAGCGGCGCCGTGCTCACAGGGCATGCGATAGCTCCCAAGCTGGGCAACGCGACGGCAAAGTACGACTGGCAAACTTGCTTCTTCTCGCATGATAAGCTCACACATCTGACCAACTCTCAGGGCCGAGCTCGGTCGCGCAGCATGGAAAGTGCTCCACACGACGTTCGCCCGCTTCCCTGAAAAGCCGACCGAAGAAGAGAAAGAAGCCTTGCGGTCATACGTACACCTGTTCCAGCGCTTATACCCCTGGTACGCCACCCAGTCGTATTCCCACGGCGTAGTCGCAGCTGAACACACAGCGCATGGGGCTAACTGAGATTGCAGCGGAGAATGCGCCGAGCATTTCGGAAAGGTGCTGGCCAAATACCCTCCCCAGGTCTCGTCGCGGTCGGCAGCTGCCATGTGGGGCTGCATGGTACACAACATCGTCAATAAGCGGCTTAAGAAGCCGGAATTCAACTGCGAAGACATTGGTGACGCGTATGACTGCGGGTGTGGTGATGATGAGAAGAAGAAGGATAAAGACGCGGCGCCGGCGTGAGCAACGCGGAGGCGAGCTTCTGGAGATACATGCCGGCCGGGTGATCCCACGTCCCAAGATACATAGCACGCCAGCGGGCTCTGAGAGACACCTGTCCTATGACCGCATCCCGGAAAGCGCTATTGGGACCGACAAGGGCGAAGGTCAAGGAGGCGCAGGTTGAGACAAGGTACCCCAGGATTGCAAACAAGCGCGAGCGAGTCTCCGCTCGGTCAGCGATGACCAAAGATGGGAGGGGTGTTGGGGCGCAAGTCACTCAGCACAAGTCACTCCGGATGCTAGGGCTACATGAGGAGTGGGCATGTCTCACGAACTGGTGTTCGATTGCCCTATTGAAGCCGGCAGGCACGGCTAAGCACCGCTAGATAGGATCCAGCGGGGGAGGGACCCAGCAAGTTGGGCCTCCGACGCTCCCGCACGCAGGTCACGTCAGCCGGGGGTTTCACACGAAAGCAGGTCGCGACGGCGCTGGTGGACGAGGCGCGTAGATAGTGCCGGACTCGACGCGGCAAATAGAGACACGACGTGGGCGCCTTGCCAAGCAGACTCACGAGGAGACGGCGCCGCAGGACGGGTACCTGGTCATAGCAAGCAAGAGGCCGCAATACAAACTCTCTACGTGCGACACGGCGCATTCTGCCAGAGGGCGCATCACGACGCCGCGTCACTTGTGAAATTGAGACGTCCGGACGCGCACCATCAAAGTGTTCGACCAGCGTGACACGCGTGGATGCACTTCGGGCACACCACCAGCGTCGGACGCGACGACGGCGCGCAGTCGTGTGGCTTGCGCTGGTTCGTCGCGTGATTATATTTGGCAGCGTCAGACAAGCGTGCATTGCAGGTGGGCGGCAGTGTGCTGCACTGCTGCAGGGGTGTGGCCGCCGCTACTGCAGAGGTACTCCGTGGCGCTAAGGGCAGGAAAATACTCCCGCGCTCTCGTGTTTGATGAGCAGTCCAACACCAGCTGCTGAAACAAGAACCCCCGCCGCTCTCGATCCGCTGCGCATCATGCCCGCGCTGCCGTAGCTCACCGACTCTTCTTCATCTACCACTGACGACCCGCCAGCGCTTCACCGCTACTTGCAAATTCCACCATGGTGTCGTTTTCCTGCGAGGTAAGTCTGTTTACACCCCTCGCCCGCTGACGCCAATGGCCGCCCCTCCGCCCCTGGCCCTGCGAGACTGCCGCTGACCACCGACTGCGTGCGCATAGGGCTGCGGGGACGTCCTCACCAAGAAGAAACTCGATCCCCATCGCAACCAATGCTACGGCGCCTCCTACACCTGCCTGGACTGCATGGTGCACTTTGACGGCACCAGCTACAGAGCCCATACGGTACGTCTGCGAGCCTGCTGCCCCTCCCCCTATCCCCTCGCCAGTGACGCGTTCCGCTGCTTGACGTCGACATGGCCTACAGCGGCTTGCCATGTTTGTGCGCGCGCGCAGAAAAGTTTGATTCGCTTCGCCTTGGGCACCGCTAACCAATGGCCCGCAGTCTTGCATCACCGAAGACCAGAAGTACCAGGGCAAGCTGTACCGCGAGCCCAAGCAGAACAAGAAGCAGCAGCCGCAGCACCAGAAGAAGGACAGCGTCCAGCAGCACTCTCAAGCACTCGTCCCGCGCAACGCCTACGTCGAAGATGCCGCCGACACAGACAACAATGCCGTCGCCATTGTCGATGCTCCCCCGCGCGCACCCACCCCACCGCCTGCCGCACACTCGCTAGGGTACAAGGAACAGGCTGCCCTGCCTGATGTCAACGTCTTTGACTTCTTGGACACATCCGAGACTCCTGCGCCCGCAAGGACACGCGCGCCCATCGACGAGTCGCGCATGATCGAGGACAGCATGCCGCCCGCTTACCAAGAGGAGGAACCTAAGATATCGGCAACCGATGTCATGAAATTCCAGGTGCCGGACGACGAGGACTTCACTGGCAATGGCTTCGCCTATGGTGACGAGCCTGTGCGACCTAGCAACGAGCGCTTTGACTCTTCGTACGACATCCGCGAGCAGAACCCGCAATACAGCTACACCACACCCGCGCCCAAATCCAAACACAGCCGAACCAAGTCGCGCGACAAGAACATCGACACTACAATCAGTAAGTCTGAGCGCAAGCGCAAGCGCAATTCGCCCGCCGAGCTTGACATGTCGCTGGTCCGCGCACAAGAAGAGAGGGACACCGCAATGGTAGAAGCACCACCGATCTTGCACTCCGGTCTGACTGGTGGTCTCAACCGACTTCTCCACTCTTCGCAGTTTCCTCCCACCCCTGATCACTCTGGTGATTGGGTGGAGAATTCGCCCCTGAGCCCTATGAAACGAGCGAAGCAAGGGGCTTCCAAGGCATTCCTCCGCGCGCAAAAAGATTTTGAACTTCAGCAAGAGAAGGATCGCAAAGCTGAGATCAAGGAAGAGCGAGTCCGTGAGAAAGAGGAGCGAAAAGAGCGCGAACGTGGCCGTGATCGTGAACGCAAAGAACGCAAGGAGATCAAAGCCAGCACCGCCCTCGTCAAGATCCGACCCAAGATGAAGCGCCGTGATGACTCTGAACGTTCCAGCCACAAACACCGGGAGGGAGGCGAGCGACGCCGTCGCCGCGAGACCGACTCCTCAGGCTCGCCACCTCGCCCACGCAAGACTGTCAAAGCGATCGAGTACCGCCGCTCCGAATCGCAATCCTCTGTTCCAGACAATGACCGGCAATTAATTGTCCGCCCGAACGGAGACGTTGTACCTGTCAGAACGGACCATGAGGCCCGCGCCGAACTCTTCATGTCCTTCATCAACAAAGGGCCCGAGTCGGAGCGGGGCATGAGCGTTAACAAAACGCTGAAGCGTTACCATCGCGAACGCCATGACTACGATCACCACGTCTCCAAGGCTGACGAAGAGAAAGAGCTCTGGAAGAGCTTGCGTCTCAAGCGGAATGACCGTGGCGAGATTGTTCTTTTCTTTGCACCGCCAGATATAGAGGCCGCATGACTAGAAAATCTGGACATCATTATGAAGATGGAGGCGTGGAGTTGTAGCGATCCGAGTCCCGAGCAGGCGAGTTTTGATCTGCCGCCTTCGTCAGCGTGACTGCAGGAGCTCAGCCGGAGCATGTGGACGTAGATATAGATGGACGTGGTAGGGTGACGGTGGCTGTGGAGGAGATACCCATACCCTTTTCTCACTTTCCGACACACCTACTCACAACTTTCTTGGTTGATACCCGACACATTGTCAACATACTTGTCATTTCTCGGGTGGATTGGTGTACGCACTAGAGATTTGTTGTACCGTTTGTTTTGCATACGCTTTTGTACTACTCGACTCTCCGTAACACCTTTCTTTTGTCAGATCTCATACGTTAGAAGGGCGTCTTTCTGAGGTCTGCGCAACTACTGCACTAATGCTCCTGGGCTGTGCCCTTTTTGACTGTTTCTTTTTCGTTGATAGAGCTGGAGGCTAGGCTCATGCTACGTTATTCTTCGATCTCACGAAATGGTCTGTCTTGATGCCACTGGTGACAAGAAAATTTTCTGCAATGCTGGGGCAAGCAAGGGTTTGGGGGCGGCGTTGCCACTGAGAACAACCTGCGAATCCCCAGCCATCTATCGATCACAACTGCAGCATCTTTCATTCATCGCCATGTGTACATGTTCATAGAGTAATGCCAGATTCGGCAGGGAGGCGCTAAGTGGACAATGACGGAACAGGGCAGCCGCAGCCGCAGCTCTGCCCCTGCACTTGTCAGAACCCTGCAGGCCGTCGCGCTGCCCCGCGGCCGATCTCATGTCCCACAGTCGCCATCGTCACTCTTTCTGGAACCTTGCTGCCCGTCCAAACAAAGACCACCACCTCCTTCGCTGTGCCACAGGTACACCACAGAGCGTATTTTCTTTGTTTCTTCACCTGCTAGCCGTTTGCGTTGTCCGCCTTTGTCCACGTTTCTTTCTCGTGCTGTTAGGCGCTGCAATATTCGTACACTCGGAGGCAAGGTTGCGTCGTCATGCACCTCTCCAACATGGTCGAAAGTGCTAAAAGAGCTATAAGCCCTGGCAGGACAAGTCGCAGTCCCAGACCTGGCAGGAAAATGAAGAACTGGGCAGGAGATGATACAGTTTATTTCGCGTGTGAGTTCAGCTCCGAAGCGGTGAAATGGAAGAGCTGACCGCGTTAAGACCATGATTCGAACGGTAAGCATTTCTTCACGCACTCGGTATGCTTCGGATCTTGTAGTAACGAGAAGCTCAGTGACACGCCACGACATGAGTACGTTAGCAGATGAGCATGGATGGCTGGAAGACAACGTAGGCATTGCATTGTCTATCATCAGGCATATCACTGACACGAACAGGTAATCAACTTCTGGATACAGTATGTCCGGCCAGTAGTACCCTATGATTACGAGTCTCTGTACTTACACTCTGGCACAGGTATATTGAGAATGAAGAAATGCACAACTTCCCAAAAGCCAGAATCGAGCTCTTCGCCCCGAGCATGAGCACCTTTATGAAGCTTGAGCAGGATCCGTCCGTGGCCAAATCAGTACTCGCCCAGATGCCGGATTTGGCCGCAAATAAGACAACGCACATTTTCATCCCTGTAAACGGCGACAGAAGATCTGACCATGACACCGACGCTGTGAAGTTCGGCGATGGTCAGGAAACAGCGGGGATACACTGGTCTTTACTAGTCATATCGCTGATCGATAATGTCGCTTTCCATTATGACAGCATGAACGGTCTCAACTCGCCTGATGCCAGGGACCTACTAAAAGGATTCGAGGCAGCTCTGCCTGTTTCAAGATCCCTACGATTCGTGGATATGGTAGACTCACCACAACAAACGGATGGTTGGAATTGCGGCATTTTCGCATTGGTCATTATGAAGCATCTGCTGCTCAAGCGGCTGCTCAGAGCGGACGCGAATCAGAAGATTACTATGAGTACGTCAGACCCTAACAGAACGTATTGTACATCGGAAGATTCTTCAGCAGGACATGACGAAGTACCTGTGCAACTTGTTCACTTACGCTGACTCCGTAACACGCCTTAGGCATGAAGGACCAGGACATTGACTACGAAGGCGCTCGCAAGACGATCCGCACCTTGATTGAGGAGCGCAGGGAGGAAGCTATACGGAAGCAGTGAGTGTCCAAGTCTCTTCGTGTCTTGACCAGCCTTCCTGTCCTGTCACTGCTGTTCATCTATGTGCTGACAGGTGTACTTTAGGAGCTTCAACTCGGATGGTGTGCCATCTATACCATTCCAGACCGCAGACACCACGACAACCAAGAGGTCATCCTCTTGATTTCTGAAGACGACCGTTCAATTCTGCATCGTAGCCTACCGAATCAACTGCTCTCCTGTCGCTCCATGCTCGTTCGCTAACTACTCGGCGATCGGCCTTGAATCGACTCGTTCGTGCACGCGAGGGCATACACTCTCGCAGCCCTTTCTACGTGTGTCTTCTTCAGCGAAACAGCACTTGCGAGAAGCTGGAGAAGACTACGTTGTTGTTCCGCTTCAACTGTAACCATTAGGCAGACTGTGGGGATGCGCCAAGTCCAAGGAGCATTGTACTGTATTCTTGTAGCGCAGTTCAAGAATCCAGGAGTTCTATTCCGGAGATTCGGCAGCTTAACATGAGTAATGGTCACTGAAAATGGAAGTTGTAGTCTCGATCTGAAATGTGATTCGCAATAATTCAAGCAGGATACGGAATATGGCCATAAGGATCGGCCCGCGATTCTTATTGGTTTCTCTTGGGCTGAAGTCGGCACAGACACCCTGTGCTGTTGGCTTGTCCGGCAATGCTGTTGATCTGCGTGCGAAGTTGAGTGGTCTTTGCAATTTTGTAGGACGCTCAGCGGCTCAGGACGTTTCAGTACACAAATGTACTCAACCATAGCTAAACGCCAGAACACCCCATATTCCTACCAAATATGGCAGCCAACATATGGTGGATATCGTATCGTGTCGTGAACCCCAGCAGTGTAACCAACACCCGAGGCGCAAGTCAAACAAACACCATACACCCCCAAAACTCACTAAATCGCAACATGTAGACAGACCACAATGCACAATCCACACCACGTAATACAAAAGCACCCGTCTACCACTTCCTCGGCTGCGTCCCCAACAGCCTCTCCAGATCCGCCACCCCAGCAGCCCTCCTCTTCTTCCCGCTCTCCTTCTCCGCAAACGCCAGCCCCATCAATTTCCTCTTGTCCTCCTGGATGCCCAGCACGCGCTCCTCGATGCTGCCTTCTACAACCAGCCTGAACACCTTGGTCTCGCGTTTCTGCCCCAACCGGTGCACGCGGTCGACGGCTTGGTCCTCGATGGCGGGCGCCCACCAGCTGTCCGAGAGGACGACTTGGTTTGCCGCGACGAGGTTCAGGCCGACGGAGCACACGGAGAGGGAGGCGAGCATGATGGTGCAGGTGGGCGAGGAGTCGAATTGTTCGAGGGCAGCGTCGCGCGCGGTGGCCGGCATGCTGCCGTCGATACGGGTGTATCCCATATTTGCGGCGCGGAGGTGCGGCTCTAGGAGCGTGAGGAAGGTGGTCCACTGGCTGAAGACGATGGTTTTGTTGGCGGGGTCCTGTGCGCTCGCGGTGAGGATGCTCATGAGGGCGTTGACCTTGCTGGAGGCGTTGCTCTCGAGGGACTTTTTGTCTGCGAGCTGTTCCTGCGTCGGGGCCGGGAGGACGGCGAGCTCTTTTGGGGGCTTGACGGTTGTGGTCGCCAAGGACTCGAGCTCGGCGCGGCACATGGGGCACTTGTGCTGGGTTTCGATGACGCGCTCGATGCAAGCGGTGCAGAAAATGTGTGCGCACTTGGTGATGACAGGGTCTTTGTAGGAGTCTAGACAGACGGGGCAGTCTTCCTGGGAGTCAATGGAGAGCTGGAGCATCTTCTGGAGGGTAGCCTTGTTCTCCTCGGTGAGATCGACGGTGCCCTTGGCTTCTAGTTGCTGCATGATAGAGTCGATACGTTCTTCGCTGATCATCTTCCAGTGGTTGCAGAGCTGGCGCATTCGGAGGAGAACTTCCAAAAGGTGGCGATACGTGTCAGATGCGTTTCTGCCTCTAGCTTCCTTGCGGTACAGGTCGAGTGTCCCCTTTGCTTGGGCCTCGAATGCATCATACTTTTCTTGCTCGTGGGGTAATAAGGTGACCTTGTGCACGTACTCAGCAAGCTCTGGTAGACGCAAGTCAATGAATGACATTTCCTTCTTGCGGCGGAGACAGATGCCCGCCATTAACATCTGCAGAGCCTGATTTCCAAGAGCATCGCCTGCCATGACAGGGCGCATAATAGCGGCATGGAAGATATCCAGACTGTTCAGGCCACCGGAGAGGCGGAGGAAGCGTACTAAGGAGAACAAATCTTTGAGGTTGTTGATGATAGGAGTGCCGGTCAGAGCCCATCGTGATTGCGCCAGCAGATTGCTTGCTGCAATCGTCTTCTTCGCCTTCGGATTCCTGATGTTGTGGCCCTCATCAAGGATCACCCTACGCCATTTGACAGAGAAGACTCCCGACTTCCGAGGAAGCGCGGTAGACTTTTGAGAATGCCACTCGGAAGATACGCTATCGTAAGTGCTGATAACTACGTCGAAATTTGCGATAGACTTTGGAGTGATGGGTTCCTTCCGGTTGCTGTGATAAAACATGACGCGAAGAGCATGTTCCTCTTTGATGTGCTTCTTGATCTGGGTGCTCCAGTTGCTCATCACACTTACGGGCGCAAGAATGAGCGTCGCGTTACAGGCATCAGATGCTCGACGACCCAGCTCGCGATCAGCCATAATTAGTGAGATGACCTGAATAGTTTTTCCCAAGCCCATGTCATCCGCAAGAATACCGCCACTGGCCAACGCAGGATTGGTGACCGAGAAGTTTGTAGCAATGTTGATGAAGGCACCGCGCATCTCGGGATGTGGTTTCCACAGCTGAACAACATCCCTGGTGCCTTGTGCGGGTAGTTTGGGACTCTCCTTATCGAGCAACCAATGTAGACCTTGCAGTTGGAAGTCATGCAGCTCGGTAGAAAGAGCTTGAGGTTGGCTGGCTTTTGGCATTGCAGCCTACACCTGTCAGCATGTCCTCTTTGTTTGAGTATTGGCAGCTTACTAGATCTGACTCCTTAATGCCGAATTCCTCCACGAACTGCTCAGCATTCCTCGGGTTAAACCTCTCGCTGCCTCCAATAATATCCTCCAAACTGAGGCCTTGTTCGACACCCTGCGAAGACCCAGCTGCGTACTCTGCCAGTCCGTTCTCATGCTGCTGCCCTCGGCCGACGCCCACAACTGCGCCGCCTTGCTTCTTCGCCCTTTTAGCGGCCTGTGCAGCAATCTTCTCCCTCTCTCGCTCCGCTTTCTGTCGCTGAGTAGCATCCTTCCAGCTCGAAGGAGGAAGTCCGGCATTTCTCATGTTCTCAACGAGCAGCTGCCGGGTGTTGGGATCACTGGGGCCATAGATACGGAGCATGAGGGGACACTCGAAATATTGTTTTCGTCCAGAAATCGTAGCTTCGACAATGAGGCTATGGCAGTCCATGAAGGCGGCAAGCTTCGCAGCTTGCGTCTTCGGTATGTGCCCTATCTGTTGTCGATGGACGTTGAGAACCTGGATTGCATTCCCTAATGGTGGGCCAGTAAGTTAAGTTGCTAGTGTTGCTACTGATGGCGCGGGACACTCACTATCATACTGGTTGTTAGGTTCACGACGGGGGATCGCAATCTCGCCGACATTCGCGTGCCCGGTGTAGTACCTGACGCCCACAATCTTTGTGCTAATGACGCCATACAAGACATAGCTCATGTCGGTCTCGCCGACACTCTGGCTAGAGTCCTGCACCTCTTGCGATGCATCGTCTTCGTCAGATTCATCGTCGATGACCAAGGGATCGTATTGAGAAGAGCCGGGTGCTGTGCGCGCTGGTAGAGAGTCGTAACCGGTACGTGCTGACTTGGGCGCGCGCGCTGCGGATGAAGCGCGTGCTGGCGCATAGCCTCGCGAAGCGGATGCACCTAGAGGCGTTCGGGGTGGTTCATAGCCTCCATGGTCGTCGCAGGAGGGTCGCTTCTGTCCCGCCATGAATTCTTCTGCAGATACGTCGTGATAAATCTGGAGACAAGGGAGCGGGGCGTTAGACTATGGTGAGTTTTGTAGGGATGCGCGATCCAGAAAACTGGGTCTCGGTTGCGATGACTTTCAGCGTTGATTTAATTAGGCGAGAACGCGCTAAGACGCGAGATCCTGTGATGCCCTGCCGATCAGCACTGGACTTGGCATCAAAATATCTGCTCTGAAGACCGGAAATATCTGCTGTTTGTAGGTGTCTACTCTATGTATGCAGCAATCATCCGTGCAGCCAAAGCCAGCCCACCACGAGCGACTCTCAAACATCAGTTACAATCACACCATAGCTCCCAAACGACCTAAGCTAAGTCTTCGCCCCTCTCATACTCCCAAGCGTCCTGGAAGACATCGATCAAGCAACTAGCAGACCAGGCTTGCGTCGGACAGCTATCACCGCAGAATGCTCCATCCTTCTGGCTCAGTTCTGTAAGCCCTGCCCATGGACTCTCCTCTATCTGTCGCATCATACCCGCCATCCTCCTCGTGACCTGCTGGTAACTCTCGACGCGATCCTCGGGTGTCTTTCTCCGCTGCAAATCAAATTTAAGCAGGGCACGGCAATGGAATCCCAGAGGCCACCCCCATTCGGGACCCTGGTGGTAGTTACGACCCTTGGATGTGTGGAAGTCGGTCGAATCCTCGCTGTTGATGTAGAAGGGGCGGTAGTTGTAGTCCGAGGGGTCAAGCGTTTTCATGCCGACTGGGCCGAGAAGATTCTTGTCCGCGACTTCCAAAGCGTAGAGGGCATGGTCAGGATCGAAAAGCTCGGGCGCTACCGTCATAGCTATGCTGAAGTTTGGACGGAGCTGGTAGTCCTCGTACTCCTTGCCGCCGCGGTATGTGTCTTTGTAGATGCCGCGACGGTTTATGATCTTCGGATTGACATCGTAGTTGGCGTCCTCTTCATGCGTGCGTGGGATGTAGAAAGTGCGCTCGAAATTGGCCTTGATCTTGTCGGCCCATGCGCGGAACGAGATGGCCTTCTTGCCGCCCTCGAGCGTCACGCCTTCGTATTTGTACTTGCCTTGGTCGTGCAGGTTTGCCACCCAGTTGAGGCAGCTGTACAAAAGGCCGATGATCTCGACAGGCGCACCGTCACGTGGCGTGCCAGGTACACCTTTGCTGCCAGCTTTCTCACTTTCACCCATCTTGTCCATCCATGTACCGCAGTTCCATTGGTTTCCACCGAATATCAGCCCTGTCTCCCAATCGGTTTGTACCTTGATGTTGAAGCCCTCGTCTCTCATTTGGCTGTCGATGTTCGGGCCAGCGTCGTACTCCCGGAAGTCAAGGCCAGTGGCGTGGCGTTGCAGTATTTCCTGGATTACATCCTCTACTGTGGACGACTGCGAGTAAGCGCGCTCGTCATTGTAGGGAAACCAAGTATCGTCATAGGGAAGGAAACGTCTCGGTGCCTTGTCCTGAAGCAGCTCAAGGCCACTTGGGACGATCTTGGTGTAATCCTGTACATTCTGCGTGAACCACCACACTGAATCTCTAGAGTTGTAACGAGGCAATTTCCCACTGCTTAAAAGATTCGGGATCATGCCGTGCTTGACAACACTGGCGAAAGCTAGAATGTGCTCTCTGGCATCATTGTAACGGCCGGTTCCCATGAGTAGACCGCGGGCAGAAATACAAATATCGCGACCCCAGCACCGCGCCCAGTCGTACGCAAAATGGGGAAGACCGGCGGCCATACTAGGAACGCTCTTCTCGGGCCAGAGCGACGTAGTGTTCATGAGGCCCGTCATCTGAAGGCTGACCAACGAAAGGCTGCGCAGGAACGCTGGGCCATTGCGAACCTTATCGCCCATCAGTTCGACGGCTCGATCTACGGCGGCATTGTACGCGGTCTGCATAATCATAGCGAATGATCTCGGCAAAAGGAAGCTAGGAATCTGGCGGATCCTGTCACAGCGCTCCTCGAGCCACGTCGCGGGTCCTACGATGCCGCGGTATTGTTCTTTCGCCGCAAGACGCTTCAGCCGGCCGACACAGTAATCCAATGCCCACTGTCCCTCTCGAAGGTGGTTACAGATGGGGTGACCAAGATTGTTCTCGTCAACAACAGTGCGTAATACACTCCACCAACCTTGGAGACCGGCATATACCAGTGGCCCATGTCCGGGAATGTCGTAGGTGCCGTCTTTGTTGTCGGAAGCATCTCGCTCCTCTTGATCACAACGGTACAAGATGTGGTTGAGATCTGCAAGGTCACATTTGCTGAACGCTTCTTGCGCCCCAGATGTAACGAATTTATCAAGGCCATCGTCATGCTCTGCAGAAGGGACCGAGGTTTCAAAAAGCGCAATACTTCCAGGCGGGAAGTTGTCAGGGATGCGGATTGTGGACGCATCTCCGGCCGATTCCACTACAACGCCTTGTACATCCTTGGTCCGACTGGGGAGACCACGGAGTACCTTGTCACCGATAACAGCCTTCCGAGTTTCGGCGCTGTTGTCAACCTCAAGGTTCCAGGCACCAATCAGCTTCGCTTGAGTGCCGGGTAGGTTCGTGGGCCCGAACCCACCGTTTCCGTTGCCATATCCAGGGAATGCCGTGTGGGCGATCAAGAAATACCCTTTCCTTGTCCGAGGGTTGACGCGGTGGACGGTGATATACTCTTTGTCGTGATGAATGTAAGTCTCAGTGTACTCTTTCTTGCCCATCTCCACATGGACCTTGTTCAAGATCTTCCGGATGCCGCCGATTCCACCCTCACCAGCTTGTGCCTTGATTATCTCACCAGTGGAGTTGTCTGATGCGTATAGTCTCTTCTCGTGGACCAGTTCGATGAGCTCGGGATAGACTTCGTCGAAACCGAACACACTACCCGTAGCACACGCGCACATGGCCACCAGAGCGGCACTGGACAACGTGTCGCGTGCATCGCGCTTCTGCGCAGGCGTCTCGTTGTCGTGCGTGCAGTCCATGAACAAGGCGTGGACTGGGCTCTTTTTGATCTTCTTCACAATGCGGCGAGCGCCGTCTGGAGTCATGGTAGTCGCGGAAGTATCGGCATTCATTACCTCGTCCGTATCGAAACTGCCAATGGGAACGCCACCGTGACGATGTACCAATCGGCTCAGTTCTTGCGTGCTCCATGCCTGCATGCATTCTCGGATAAGTGCATGTATACCAAGCTCTTTCACGAACTTGAAGTCCATCTCTTCGGATCCAGAAAAGAGCTCAGCAACGCAGAAGAGATTAGGGTTGACCGTACGAGCTTGATCGAGCATGTAGCTAGCGAGATGAATAGGAGTTGAGTGACAATTATCGATCCGGAACCCCTGGAAATACTTGGCCATCAACCTGGTGTACTTCGCCATGTGCTCCCAGAGGTAGGGATTGTCTTCCGGGCCATTGCCGTAACGGAGCTTTACACAGTCGCCCCATACAATAACCTCTCGCCTCAAATATGCCCTGGACTTGGGACCAGCATTGTCTCTCATTGCATCGGCAGCCCAGACCCAGCCATTATTGACGAGGGCAAGTGCTTCCGGATCGTGCTTTTTCGTGGTTTCATTGAGAGGTAGGCGCGTGAAGTATGGCTCGATGAGTGGACTGTTGTCGGTGATTTCGCCCATTTTGGGACCATGCTCGTCCAAGCGGCAGTACTTGATGCGGTTGTAGAGTTGCTCCATTATTTCAGCGGCATCTGCGTCGTACTCGCGATAGAAATGAAGATTCAGCTCGTCGATGATCTGACGGATTGCTTCGTTCGCCGCGCTCTCGTCTGGAGCATCGCTTGTCCTGGTATCGTAGCGGCCGAAGAGGGCAGTGAGCAGTGCGGCGCCTGAATCTGCATCAACAGAACGGCGGTAGCGTTCACCAAGTCTGTCGCCGCCCAGTAAGGCATGATCAACGATCCAATCGGCCTTCTTTTTCAACGACCATTTCTTCACAGCATCAAGGCCGCGTAAACCAGCCTCTCTAAAGCTGTCATCTGGGAACTTGACCTGTCCAGCAGTCCAAGATTGTACTACGGATGTTGCGGCAGTCTCCTTGTCAACAACGTAGTACTGCCAAAGCTTGGTCTCTCCGAGCACGCGTGACTTCACACCGTCCATGATTCGTAACAGATCGTCTTGGCTACTGATCTTTGTGGGCAGACCAAGTGAAGGCAGCTCACGGCTATACTTGAGAAGCGCCGTGTCCAGGTCAAGTGCAGGCCGAAGCCAGGGCGCCGTGTCCACGTTGTAGCCCGACTCGGGATGCTCCTCAAGCCACTTGCTATTGTTGGCGGTGTGATTCCAGACCACGTCAGTCATGGCCAGCAAGTTGTAATCCTTGTGCATCTTTTGCACAAGGGACGCAATGTCCTTCTCCCCGTTTGGAAACATGGCAGGGTCAAAGTGGTGTTGGTCGTATATGCTGTATGGCGAATTTGAATCACCTCGAATGTTCAGGGGTGTGAAATGTACCATGTTGTACCCACGCTCGCTAATGCCGCGCAGATGGTTGTTCCAGTCCGTGGGATAGCTGCCCATGAACTTGGAGAGGCAGGTGAACAGCGAGATCGACTCAATGGGAACTTGTTCGCCATGGAGCGTAAGCCGTGGGCAGACATCAATGTAGTATGTTGGTGTGCGGGTAGGCTTCGTCGGCGCGACGTCGGTAAAGGACCATTGTGGCAGCGGCGTGTAGGTGGTGTAAAAGGAGTAGGCATTGGCCTCGTAGATGGGGATGTCGTGCTTGATGGTGCCATTGAAGTCTGGATCCAGTCTGCACAGCGGATTAGCGCAAGGCTGTTGGGATGTCTTAGAGGAATGCTTACTTGTACTCGCGGTAGTGGTCACGCTGGAACTTCTCGCCCTTGGCGGGGATGTTCACCCACAGGCTACCCTCGCGACATATTGAGCTGGTGCCCTGTACCTCGAAGCAGACGTGGTACGGGCTGTCCTTGTTCGGAGGCGGCAGTAGTATGTACTGGCCGTCTACTTTGGGAGCCCCGTTGTCTGCCAATGGCAGAAGGTAGACATCCTGTGTTCTTGGTGTCGTGGCCATGGCTGCGTGTGCAATTGCGAGGTGTCAAGAGTCGGTCGTTGCGGTGGGCTGGCTAGTAAACAATGGCAAAATGTGCGTAAATGTGCTGCAACCGTAGAGATAGGTGCGCGCGGAGGTGCGAGGGTGAAGGAGGAGGGGTGGGGCCGGCCAGGCGGTTGGGACTATACACACTCTGCGTCGCGAAGGTGGCAGGAAGGATGAGGGCGCAATTGCCCTTGCTCTCTGAGGTGGAAGAGAGCGCGAAGGTGCGGGCGAGGACGATCGGCAGCCGATGCACGCAACATCGCTCTAACGCGCTGTCAGCCGCTGCCGTTCCTGACCTACGTCATGCCGCCAAGCTGGACCATCCCGCGGTCTCGAATCTCTCCGCCTTGGTTTCGCGTAGCGCGGAGAGGCGCACGCTCCAATAGCTCCACGACAGGGCTAATGCACCGGCATTTGACGCTTGTCGAGCACACCGCAACGTTCAACGGAAATTCTCTTCGTCCACCTTCTACGCTATACCGATATATCGTACAAATCCGCCTCGATCCCTGCTAGTACCCCGTCGAGCCAGTGAGCCATCAACGCATCGGGACTTGGAAATCGACCTAAGAATGACGCCAAAATGCAACTCGCATGCAACCTAACTCCACCGCTCAGTGCTAATTCATCAAACGACTACGAGTGCTGCCACGAGCCTAAAAGGATTCGAGAACGGGTATCGCGACATCGCGGCAGCCAAAACAAAAACCGGGACATGCAATAGATAGGAAGTGGAAAGCAAAATCGACGCTGTACCCTCAACGCACATGAACGCTTCCCTGAGATATTTCCTCTCCGCGGTGCACGTCCTTCCATTACCGTCCATTAGGTCCATTAAAGTCTATTGAAAATGGGGAACTGGGCGGATTGTTGAGATCAAGGCGGAATTGGCTCTCCGAAGGACCTCTGCTGTGCTGTGCCTGAGTAGGCGTCGCACTGGTGTCTTCATCGTCTATAGTGTCGGCGCTGACTGATGCTGGTGCTCGTTTTGGAGTCGAGCGCGCATTGAACGCTTCACGGCTGTCTGACGAAGAGATTGCTCGGTCCGCCGACATGTCCCTCTCGTGCGTGCCTCCACGCTTTGAACTGTTGGACTTCTCGGAAGACAGAAGAGATGAGTTCGGCGGGGTTGCACGTCCAGAAGCCAGACTCCTATCTGAAGACACTCCCCGCGAAGAGGGTGCCTTTCTGTCTCTCGAATCGTTCCGTGCCGAGGGAGACTTGAAGTTGTCCCCTAGAAATCCCGATGACTGTGAGCCCTTTGTCTTGCCCGAGCTGTGTCCGTTGCGGGAAGGAGTAGGATGGGGCTGCGTCTGCATTGCACTGGTATCCAGCAACTTCACCTCTTCAGCCAGGTACTCTTTCTCAGTCCAGCACCCCTGCCAGCAATTGCGCCAGTCCAGGATCAAAAATTGGAAGCAAAATGCGTCAATTTTGATAGCGGGTTGGAAGCAGATGCACAGATTGTTGTAGTTCATTTTGTTGAACTCCGAGCAAGAGTGGAGCAGACTGATGTGGCAGGTGATAGCGAACAGGAGATAGTAGTTGAATGGCGGCAGCTTAGACAGCTCATCTTTCAAGAGCTGAGGCGTACTCTTCGCACCTTGACACTCTTGCTGGATCCGCGATTGAATAGCCTTGGGAAAGATTTCATCGGGCAATTGGCGCAGCCAATTCTTGAACAACGAACCAATGACGTTTGGATCGTTCAAGTTTTCGTCTGCGATGAGGTCTATGTCGCGATCTATTGAAGATCAGCGACGAGCCAGACGTGTTTCCAATAGTAGACTCACCTTGATCAAACTTCTGCTCATAATATCTGATCTGATGAGCGGCACCAGGAACTCGGTATAGGCCTTCCTCCTCACATCCTTTCATGTTCAGATAGCTGTCCCTCGGGTCAGTTTACATGGTGTATAAATATATAGCCAAACAACGGGGACATACTCGATACAACGCCAAGGTAGCGCTGGCATCCAGAATTCCGTCTTGTCCTTGGAATTCTCCAACCGGTTCGAGATCCTGGTCAATCTCGTCTGTTCGACCAACGGCGTGTGAATGATCTTGAACTGATACTGTTCCTTGGGGATTTGGAGCTCCCTTTCATGGTTGCTCGAGCTTCGACCCAACTTCCCAAAGAGACCCTTACGAGCCGAATTGAGCTTCTCGCCGACTTTCATAGCACCAGAACCCATGTTGGACATCAACTGAGCGCCACGGCTCTCGTTATAGGAACCCGAGGCCACGGAGCTCTGCTCCCCTCGGTCTCTTCGCGCGTCATCATGGTCACGTGGTGCGAGCTGAGAGGCGTCGTGCCGATCTGCGGAGTGGGTTCGGAGTTTGCCAAACGCCATGTTTGAGCGCCATGATTTGTCCTTCTCCATTGGCGCGCTTTTTAGTAGTGCACCATCGCCGTTTTGCGTCCATGATGCTGTCGCATCTGGTGATAGTTTGGCAGGCTGAACCTTGTTGAGTTTCGTTCGCCCAGACCCTTCATCGGTTTTGATTGACCTCGATCGCCCAAGCATGCCGCTTTGTTTCTTCGCTTTCGATTTATCGCGCTTTGAGTTTGGAGTGTCTGGACCGATCTCTGCTGCCTCGCTTGACTTGCCGGAACCACTTCGCTGCTCAAAGGGAATGGTTTCAGATCGATTGTCTGTCGCTGTCAGTCTGCAATCCCAGAGTGAAAGTATATAACAAGGTCGAGATATCGGGATTCGCCTAGCTCCCCGTAGCAGGCAATGGAACTCGCAAGATATCAACCGTTCGACGTGGTGTTAGCGTGTGACTTACCATCAGAATTCGGTGTTTGGACCGGACGACTCAAGTCTGGCGTAGAATTGCCGCTGCGACCATTGACATAGATCGCTGTTTGACTCTCTCGTGGTTCAGGCAATTGGCGACTGGAATTTTCGGGGTTCGTTAAGCGCGATGAAGATCGCGTGGCGGAGAAATTGGAAAAGATGCTCTTGGAATCCTTTCGGGGTTTGGGCGAGGCAGGCGAAGCAGGCATGTCGTGATAGGGGGCGGTCGGTGTTGCACCGTTGGGGGCGTTGCCGTTCATGTCTGGGGACGATGGGCTTATGGGGCTAAGCGGAGAGTTGACGTTGTCCTTTCCGCCTTTGGGCCGCATGGCTAGTGACAAAGAAGACGATTTGGGCATTTTTCGAAGTGATTTCCGTGGCGGACTCCAAGACTGACTACGTCTTAGTATGATTGTGGCAAAGGCAGCGCCGATCTCGTGCTTTGTAGAGGGTATGTTTGGACGCGGGCAAATACCTCGGTAGATGGGGCCTCGACTGGGGAGCGAGTGAAGTATCTAGGTGGGTCCGGCGAGCGGTACGTGGGGTGTGGAAGAGACGGCTTTACGAGAGCGGGAACATGCGGCGGGTGATGTAGGCGGGATTCGAGTGCGGAAGTGCGGTTCTGGAGACTGTAATCACGCATGGTTGTCAGCGAGTGCAGAAGGGCAGCAGCTCCGGGCTGCGCAGTATTAGAGGCCAGGAGAAGGTGGTACGAACCGTGGCAACCCTGCTGTGGTGGAGAAGGGCTCTTCGCACTGCCTTCTGCAGGAGCACACGAAAGCGTGCGCAGCGAGGGTCGAGTGTGATGGCGCGTAGAGCAGGGAGACGGGCAGGCCTACGGGCTGCCGCTGTCGATCCGGACGCGGCGCTCGTGCGACGGGCAAGTGCGTACCGGCTAGAGGTGCGGTGGTGTTGACTCAGAGGGCGTTCGGTGGTTTGGCGCGAGGTTCAGGGCTGCGTGCTTGCTGCTGTCAGTACGAGGAGCCATAGGCGACCTGCGGTACCACATTGACCTGCCACGGTGTTGAAACAAAGGAGGGGGCAGGCCCAGGGCTGCGTCGGGCAGCACTTACCAGCGCCAGAACAAGGGCGTGTGTCCTGGGAAAGACAAAAAGGCGTACACCGTCAATGTGGGCTGGGTGCAGGCGGCGGCAAGTAATGGAGGGCTGCTGGGGTCCGTTGGCGGGATGCGTTTGGCAGCACTGGCAGCAGGCGGCGGCAGGGCGCGGTGAAGGCACCAACGCGGGGTCCTGGTGCTGGTGCTGGCAACGGGCAGATGGGGGCAACGGGCAACGGGCAACAGCGCAGGCTCGCGGCGCAGACGTCAAGGGCTCGTTCTCGCAGTCCCGTGGCCGGCGGGACGAGAGGGCAGCGGCAGCGACGTGTGAGAATGCTGGAGACGCTCGGGCCCAGGGCCGTTTGCGCCAGGCACAAAAGGTACGCGCGCTCTACTGAGCCTCTACAGAGTATACTACGGGGCCACTAGCGAGGCCAGCGAGGGCCAGCAGCAGCGGGCGGCCGGACGCTGCGACGAGGCTGCGCGGCGGGCCCCTGACGCCCTTGAGAGCGTCGCCGGCGCAGCGCGCTGAGGAATTGCTTGCATGCGGCGGTAGTCTCACAGGGTGCGCAGACGCGCCCGCCAGCCTGGCCTGCAACGCTGCGTGAGTGAGCCCTTGCCAGGTGCCCCAGTGGGCGCGAGGCCAAGCACCGCCGAAGATCGTTTCAGGCCCCGGCTTCCGCAGATGCGTCAACAGGTCCCAAGCGATGGTCTTTATGCGCCCGTCACCGCTCCACGCACAACCGCAGAACATCTCCCGCTGCCCGCTCCAGCGCCAGGGCCATGTCTCTTGTCTCTGGGCCTGGTCGAGGCATGGCCTCCCTGCCCGCCGAGACACGCCTCGTCGTGGACAAGCACGTCCGCTATATCCAGAGCCTCGATACCGTGCGTCTGCCTGGCGTGCATGCTGCTTCTTGTGCGTGCCATGGATAGCACTGACTGTCGCAGCGTAAAGACGAGCTCGAGTACTGGCTCACCGAGCATCTCAGGCTGAACGGCCTGTACTGGGGCATGACCGCCCTGCATCTGCTCGGCCATCCTGACGCGCTGCCCCGTGAAGGCATCCTCAAATTCGTCTTCTCCTGTCTGCACGAGAGCGGTGGCTTTGGTGCTGCACCGGGCCACGATGCACACATGCTCTACACTTGCAGTGCCGTCCAGATCATCGCGACCCTCGATGCCTTCGATGAGCTGGAAGCTCACATGGAGGACGGCCGCCGCAAGATCGGCCAGTGTATGTTTGGACTGCTCAGGGTCGGTGCGTCAACTGACGGTGTGTAGGGATCGCCTCTCTCCAGGACACGGCGACCGGCACCTTTGCAGGCGATGAATGGGGAGAGAAAGACACGAGGTTTCTATTCAATGCTTTCTTATCCTTGTCTCTCATGGGACTGCTCGATCTCGTCAACGTCGACAAAGCAGTCCAGCACGTTAACTCATGTGTCAACTTTGACGGCGCATACGGGACAAGCCCGGGCGCTGAGTCACATTCTGGCCAGGTCTACACTTGCGTGGGTGCGTTGACAATCGCGGGCCGACTCGATCTGGTCAATCAAGAGAAATTGGGGGCGTGGTTGAGCGAAAGACAGCTCAAGAACGGTGGGTTGAACGGGCGACCGGAGAAAACCGAGGATGTATGTTACAGCTGGTGGGTTATGAGTAGTCTTGCTATGATCAACAAATTGCATTGGATAGATGGCGAGAAATTGACAGCGTTCATTCTCGGCTGTCAGGTAAGGGAACAAAGCCACAGTCACCACATGTCTAACTAGTGTAGGACCCCGACTTGGGAGGTCTGTCCGACAGACCTGGCGACATGGTCGACGTGTTCCACACGCACTTCGGCATAGCAGGACTCAGCCTGCTCAAGTATCCTGGGCTCGCAGAGGTAGACCCGGTGTAGTACGTATCGCAGTGCGTCGATGGTCATGTTAGGCTAACATGGGTGTAGTTGCATGCCGCGAGATGTTGTACAGCGATGCCTACGTAAATGAATCGAGCCGATGATACCCTAGTCGAAGACGAGGATTTGGTGAAGATGAAGTGAGTGAAGGCGTAGATTGGCAGTGTCAGTGAATGGTGCATGTGGGTTGAGACCGGCCCTCAAGGCGTCCTTCGCTGCACCGGAGCTGAACTTGTTTCGATGCCAGCTTCGTGTATTTCCCCTCGTACATTGGCAGAGATACTCGTCCTCTTACTACGATCTCTATCCCGCAGAGCTGGATTTGGTGTCCAGCGCACTGGCGGTTGCCGTTCTTACTAGTTCTCCCACGTGGCACAGGCTAGAAAACGGCATCCACCTTCCCTCACCATTCTCTTCCTGCTTGTCATTGCTCGACTCCTTCCCCTATTCTTCCCCAAAAGCCATTTGTACCTGCTTCCTACTCTCGTGCCTCATCTATCGCGCCAATGGTGCAGCTGCAGCTGCAGCAGTGACCAAGAAGCCTAGCCAGTGTTATCAGCCTGCTCTTTCATCACCTCTTCTCCTTCTCAAACCTTCCCCCGCTCCTTTCAAGTCACCATCTCTCGTTACCAACCACGCTGCAGCGACAGCACTTTCACTTTTCACTTCATTGTGCTGCGTTCTGAGCGTCTGCGTTCCACAGCGGCGGCCATGGCCTCCGCCAACATTCCCCTCCATTGCAGCATCTGCCCCAAACGTCCAAACTTTAGCGATGTATCCCATCTGCTCACCCATATTGCCAGCAAGGGCCACCTCTCCAACTACTACAAAGTCAAGGTTCGTTCCGGCAACGATGATGCGGCACGCCGTCTGGTCGAATCTTACGACCGTTGGTATTCCGAGTGGAACGTTGAGGATCTGATGTCGGAGCGGATGACACAGAAGGACAAACGCCGCTCGCGTGCGAGACCGGTTGGTACGCGTCTTGACCCGCTCTGCTTGCTTCACTCCGGAATATGCTGACTTCAAGCACAGCTCGTCAAACGCCCACGCCGAAAATCGAAGCTCCGATTCCCCGCCTTGCTCGTCCTCGCACTGCCGTCGGCAATCTGCTCGACCCTCGCTTGTCCGAGCAGCAATTGATCAAACTTGAGAGCGCCGTTTCGTCTACGCCGACTCCCCAACCGGGACCTGTCTTGCGGCAGCGACCGCCTCGCCTCTTCGGTGCTCATATGCAGTATTGGACAGGCACTGATTCACGTGCGTCTCAATCTAAGGAGGATATGTACACCTTGTTCTAACGTCGCTCAGGTGCTAGCTCCCGTAGCTATACGAACGACTACGACACCTCCAGCGAATACTCGGACCCTAGCGAGCGCCGTCGGTACCAGAGCGTAACCCGTGAGGACTCGTGCGCCATTGAAGACGACCCTACCGACGCAGGCTCAGCGGACCCCATGGCGGTTAGCGAGAGCACCAAGCTCAAGGGTGTCCTCTGGCCCGGCATGGCCATCTTCGACTCGGCCACACCTGAAATGCGTCGCAAGCGCAATCAAAAGAAAGATAGCTCTGTCGTCGAACAACTAGAGATCAATTCCCAAGAAGTAGAGCCTACTGAGCTCATCTTCACCCCCACAGGCTCCTTCAAGCGCCAGCGAAGGATTTCAAGCTCTGTATACGATGATGAAGAGGATGAGATGGTCAAAGTGGAGAGCCCGACCCCCTCATTGGCGCGACCGGCCCTCGCTGACCTGGACGTCAACGCGTCCCGACGGCAGCGGCCCGTTACTCGCGCCCAACCTTTCTACGCCGCTTGCAGCAGCTACGAGGACGAACACAGTCAATCCGACCGCGCGAACAGCTACGGAGACCGTGCTCCCAAACGGAAACGGAGGTTTGAAGTCTTCCAAGACAATGAGGTATCATTCGGCCAGCCCGCTCCATTCCAGACTCTCACTGCTGGGTTCCAACACCAGGTGTCACCAACACCGGCTCCCACCGTACCTCTGTTCAAAAACTTCAATCAAAATCCATTCCAGTTCGAACCCAGGATTGAGAACAAAGAGAACATGCCCCCTATGCTCCACCATGGATCAGCATACGAGCATCACCACGCTCATCAACCTGCCGCCTTCCACTACCAGGCCTTCACTTACGGGCTTGCCCCAGAGCATCCCGCTATTCAGTACCAAAATCAGCTTTACATGCCGATGCATGGCTATCACCCAAGCCAGGATGACGACGACAGTCGCACGATTACGGCTCCTCCGTCTCCATCCACAGCCTAGCCCACCCCGCCGTCCTGCGGCGGCCTTTAGAGCCACCCTCATCATCATGCCACGAAAGGCGGCATCCTCGTGGTTTCGAATTGGTACGTTGATATTGTTCCAAGCACCCAACTGTCGACTCTCGCTTCTCCTTTTGGTTTTACGATTCGTCTTCGGCGAGCGAGAGCGACAACCATGTGTGCCAACTGTTTTCTTCTACTTCAGGTTTATAATGTATGGGCTGTGGTACAATAATCGCCTGGTATGGTTTATGGCTCATGTCATCTATCAGGGTTTGAGCTTCTAGCAGTCACTGTTGACTGCAGTCTTGTTCGGGATTTCCTGATCCCATTCTGGCATGCCTTCTTTAACCAAGTTTATTCGAGAGCGTGGATGGTGACAAGGCTGATGGGCTTGTACGATATTCACTGCGAAAGCATGATTAATGAAGGTGTTCGGGAAATCGCTTGATGGACCATGAGGCACTCACGATGCTGTGAAAATGCGATGCTTATCAAACCTTTCACAGACTACAGCGACATCAAGGCACAGTGACGCATGGTGCAGATACAAAAGGACAAGGCGGTGGCATAGTCATCCCCATGAATCCTTCATATAGGATGAGCTTCGCTGAGTATGATATTCTAATCCCGTACAGTGAGTGTCCCAGCCAAGTTCTGCTTTGAAGTCTTGACTGCCCTAAAGCTCCTCTCCGATTTGTCTTGCTCAGTGCATATTCGGCATTCCATTCAACCTCCCGTTCATCAGTCTACTTCGATTTCTTGTCCTCTCCATGTTCAATCACAGTGTCCCTTTCGATGCCGTTGACGACGCGGTAGCACCAACGTAGGCCGGCGCCGGCGGCCCACATGGCGACTCCACTCAAAGCAAAGAGACCGATGCGCTGAGTCGTGTTGAGTAATGCAAAGATGGGGTAAGGATAGAATCCTACAATAGTCAGTGATTTGAACTTCAGATCTGGAACTTGCGGAATGGGAAACATGTAGGGCCAAGCATACCATTGCGTGAGTGGCAAAGTTCTATCCAAAACCAGTAGAGGAATGCGATGGCAGTGGAGATCATCAGAGAGAGGGTCGAGGCGCGAGGGTTTATGGGGCTGGTGGGCCAAGGAGGCGAGAGGAAGAGCGCGTCTAACGACAGAAGCAGGGTTGGGAACACTGTCTCGTTTCAGCTCAGCTTGTAGACGATTGGATGGAAACCCTTTACGATGAAAGCCGAGATCGGCCATAACCGGCGGCGTGGGTAGGTCAGGTGGAATGACCAGTTCCCGATCAATCTATTTGAGCTCAGGAAATGGACGTATGAGTCTGGTAGGGGTATGTGTACGGCTCGTAAGCCCCAGTAGAGCATACTGATGATGATCTCTATCGGCGCGGCTACAAGTGCGAGGTAGTTCTTGAGCGTGAAGAGCTGCTGTGAGGACGTCATGTCGGCGAGTAGGCCAATGGTGAAACATGTCGTGGATATCGATAGACCGAGGACGGTGAGATACTGGAGATGCCATCCGAATGAGTAATTCCGTAGCAGAAGTCAGTAGATGGACAGTGCTGAGATCTCGTTTGAAAACTTTGGGATTGCTTCAATTGAGAGATAATAGAGAGTAGGGTGGAACTGTTGAGTGTTCGTTGATTCAGGATCTCGAGCCAGGCAATAAGTGTGTGTCGGAACTGGTGAGGCAGACAGCTCCAACGATTACAGGATAGTCCTGCAAGGCTTGCAACATCGAACATCTCGGGTGTCTCAACGTACAATTATATTGGGGTTATCAACCAGACTGCGATGACATCAGTGCCTGTTCCTGCTGGGATCCAAAGCTTGCATACAATTTGAACGAGCGGTAAAAGCTGACGAGACCAATGACCTGATCCATCTATTATAAATGCTGTCCGAATATCTTGCGCTGTGAGACCACATACGTGCGCTGCGCCTGATATTCCTTTACTGGGCGCATCCAGTCTTTGTAATGGATGCCGCCGTTTCAGCTCGTCGGCTACTCGAAAAGCACTCATCGCGGACCACAAGTAGAATGAGTGTAGGAAACAATCGTACTCAGCAGATTCTGTTGTTGACGAAGGCACGGGAAAGGACGAATACCTATATGACGAGTTACGGCCCGTATGCAAGCTAGAGCACGTGGCGTGTGCACGCTCCCCCGACCAAGCCACATCAAGTATTACCGTCAGCTGGCTGGCGAGATTTGTCCCCAACATTTTGAGATTTGTCCCCAAGATGAGATTTGTCCCCAACGCTAACCGCACGTCGACTAGTGCCAGATAAATTACAATAATCAAAATGCACAGCAGTGCGGACTGAACAACTAGGTAATGCCTGGCGATAAATGTACATATGATGAGACTATCTCCTACTGACGTCGATGTCTCTTGCGCGGGCTAAGAGTTTTCCATGTATCTGGAGCTGCTATTGCTGCAGCCCGCTTGGGTCGCTGCACAGGCTCATCCCTGGGCTCAGGGAGTGCACGCTGAGGCTCAAGGAGCGCATTTTGAGCATCAACCTGCGCAAACCTCTCAGCGTAGAACGCCTCCATATCTCCGAAATGATAGTTCCATGCCATGGTCGGAGTACAGGAAGCGAAAAGCCCCTCTGTAGCGAGAGCCATGTTCCGTGCTTCAACCAACTCTACCGGATCGTCTTCCTGTCCCGTTTCTACCAAGAAGTTGCTCGCTGCGAACATGTCGTTGTACTGATACATAACAGCTTGAGACCGTCGATTCTCGATATCAGCAAGAAATTCCTGTAATGACGGAGCCCGCCAGGCTGGAGGCGATGCTACCGTGACAGACACTGCAACAGCCATAGGCGGAGACGAGCGAGGGTATACAACACTAGGCGTAGGGGAAGGTGCAGGAATCGATAGAGATATACATGTAGTCACAGGGCCCGCGCTTACTACAGAAGTGGGAGCCGATACAGTGACAGATGTACTCACTTGTCGCAGAACTTCAGCGAGTGTCAGATTCTGAGGTTCATAAGAAGGTTGAAACTGAGAAGAGGAAGGCGGTACACGTCGTTCGAATGCTGATGGATCTCGGCGAGTTGATGCCTCATTCCTCCTCGGGCCACCTCGCGTTTGAGCAGGTAGCGGCTCTAGAATAGAATGGTATGGTCTTGGGGATAAACGAACTGATGGCCCTTGCTCGCGTTGATAGCGCCAATGGTCATCGTAAAGGTGATTTAACCTTAACGTCGATCTGGCCGTCACTACTTCTTGCAGCGTATGGCGGCATGGGAGACCGTTTATCTTCTCGAAGAGGCCCGAACAAGGGTGACCGCCGCGTCGTTGTCTCTGCTCCTGTTGGCGTAACAGATCCTGTTGCCTGATGCGCTCGATCGCTGGTGGTGTTAGAATATCGTGAATGCCAGGAGGCAGGAACGGCATCGCCGCTAGCCTGTGCTCAAACTTGACGCTATGCTTGGACGAAGCAAGGTCCTTCCTGTACTTGTTGTACTGACTCTTCACCATCTGTTCAATTCGTTCGACTACACGTAACAAGTCACCTCTAGAGGTCATAAGGTAGTCTTTTAGCACCTTATGCATCCCTTCCACGGGCGAGCTTGTGATCGTGTTATAGTGGCGGTGGTTTGAGGTCCAGGCAGCTGCCCACTCAGTACGGGTGAGGTATTGGTTTTCTTGCAAGTATCTACAAAGTTCCTGCTGGTGGATATAGTCTTTGATCAGGTCATTCCACTTCAACTGGAACTCTAGCGGCCTCTTCGCATAGACAAGCTGCTATAGTTAGAATATGCAGCTTAATATGATAGCCTTCTGAACGTGTCGGACGTACCTGAGTCCATCGCTTCATGAACGCAGCCCGGTGTTCAGCAATCTTTTGCTTCTCCTCTTTTGTCCCGCCATCGGCGTCCCGCCAGGTCTGCTGGGCCTTCGTCTGGACGTTCTTATTGATGTGCCATACACATAGTAGTTGAGGGACTCCTGGGAGTAGCGAGCGAGCTGCTATCTTTAAAGCCTCTTCCTGATCGCTGATGAATACCCGTGGTAGTTGTACTTCTGTCTTGAGAAGAAAGTTCGCAATGGCCCAGTAGTAGTCTGCCTGCGTCTCACTGCTAAGGAAGCAGAAACCTGCAGAGAAAAAGGTCTGTAGGTTGGTGCAGCCAAGGATGTGCAATAACGGAAGTTTATATCTATTCGTCCGGTATGTACAGTCCATTAGTAGCACGTCGGAATTGGCAAGAAGTAGCTCCACTTGCTTTTGATGGGCGAAGAAGAGATTCTGTACGCGATTATGATCGTCTTTCTTCACGGCGAAGATCCAGTCCCCAGTAGATAGATCATCCAGTAGCGTCTCAATAGAACTCCTCCCGTTCAAGTGTTTCTCTCGAATTGCTTTCCTCTCGCTTCGGATGTCGGTCGCAGAGACTAGTGTATCTTGGTCTTCTTTTTGAATTGCAGCCAGTATCTGCATCGGCCGCACCCCAGCATGGGTCATTAACTCAATTGCCTCCTTTTGTGCTGATGTACGCTTGCGGTAGACATTGTGCGCGCTAGGATTAACGGATCGAGGATGATTGTGACGTCTATCTTGGACCTCTAGTTTCCATTGGCCGCTAACCTTCATCTTGAAGACAACAAGCTTAAAGGGACATCCTGTTGACCGTGTACTTGTGCTTAGAACCTTTGCAGTTGACTGGAAGTTACTCCTAAAACGGTCGCAGTGGTAGTAGTAACGCGTCTTAGCAATTGAATTGTGAGGCCAGCTCCGCTTGAGTACGAAGCCGTAACCATGCTGTATACCATGCGTCTTAAGCGCGTCATATGCTTCTTCATAGGAGCCGTAGAGCAGGTCTGGAGGTGGGGTTATACCTTCCATGTTGTCTGTGAATAGGAGAATGAGTTACCACCTCCCTCCTCAGAAGCTATCTAGCTAAAGTAGAGACGCGTGGTGTCGCGATATTGTCGCGATGGTGTCGCGTCCATAAATTATGCGCTAAACTAAGTTAAGGCGGTAACTTTCGCTAACACTAGCGTTGGGGACAAATCTCATCTTGGGGACAAATCTCAAAATGTTGGGGACAAATCTCGCCAGCCCCGTCAGCTTGGTTCACTAACCACATCGCAGAACATCCCCACGCTCCTGGCGTTCAGCGTCATCCACGAAACCCCAGTTATCATGCATCAGCTGACGTCCACTTCTTGTGATGGAGAATCATCGGAGTATCGTCGCTTCCTCCGCGGCTCGGCTGCCGGGCTTACACCCAATGGGCAACCCGCTGGGTGAACTTCGGTCGCGCTTGGTACCAGGCTAGCCATATCGAACCGCGGCATCCAATGGTGTACATCTTGCGACTCCACAGCTGGAGACATCGCGGAATTTCGGGCCAAATCACCCGGCTATTGAGGTCGCCATGGCGTATAAAGGCTACTGGCAAGCGTCGCCAATGTCTGGCAGGTCGCGTATAACCCTCGTTACAGCGTCGTTAGCCATCTGCTCGTGGTTTCATGGTCACGTTCGGGTTTTTTTCTTCCTCAATCGATACATCTGCGGATACCCAACATGGATGCAAACATTGAGGATATTCTCCACACCCTGACCCTGGAAGAGAAGGTATCTCTGCTTGCAGGGAAGGATTTCTGGCAGACAGTACCGGTCCCGGAGAAGGGCGTCCCGGCAATAAAGGTATGTTGGTCGGACACCGCGCATGTTTGCGGACTGACATCAACCAGGTGTCTGATGGACCGAACGGTGCCCGTGGCGAGACCTTCAGTGGTGGAACTCGAGCAGCATGCTTTCCGGCTTCCTGCTGTTCAGCATCCACGTGGAACCCTCAACTCATCAGACAGGTTGGCCATGCCCTTGCGGAGGAGACACAGACTAAGGGGGCTCGAGTATTGTATGACAGTCTGGAATCAATCCTCCAATCAGATCTAACACTTTCCAGACTCGGGCCTACCATGTGCAACCACAGACATCCGCTTGGGGGGAGAAATTTCGAAAGCTTTTCCGAAGATCCGCTCCTTACCGGAAAGCTTGCTGCCCAATACGTAATAGGACTGCAAGAGAAGGGTGTGGCTGGCACCTGCAAACACTTTGCTGCGAACGAGCAAGAAACGGATCGCTTGACGGTGAACGAGATTATATCTGAGCGTGCTCTACGAGAGATCTACTTGAAACCCTTTGAGATTGCTGTCAAGGAAGCCAACCCTTGGGCTTTTATGACTTCCTACAATCAAGTTAACGGAATCCACGCAGATGCCAGCAAGTTTCTGTTGGAGAAGGTTCTCCGAGGGGAATGGGGCTGGAAAGGCCTGGTGATGAGTGACTGGGGCGGGACCAACTCCACCGCCGACTCTCTCAACGCCGGACTTGATCTTGAAATGCCAGGTCCCACGCGTCGTCGAACATACAGAGATGTCAAGGATGCAATCAAGAATGGTGAATTGACCGAGGAGACTATTAACGACCGCACAAGAAATGTTCTCGAGCTGATCCGGAAGATTGGGGCGTTCAAGAATCCAGAGATTCCTGCTGAACGATCCGAAGATAAGCCAGAGCACCGCAAACTTATCCGAGATGTAGGCGGACAGGGACTTGTCCTTCTCAGGAATGAGAACGATGTGCTTCCCTTGAAAAAGGACGAAGTAAAGGGCAAGAAGATTGCGATGCTCGGTCTTGCAAAAGAAGCTCTTATTCATGGTGGTGGAAGCGCTTCCTTACATTCCCACTACCGGATATCACCCTGGGAAGGCATGCATAATACCTATGGAAAAGATGTTGAGTTCAAATTCGCCAAGGGTAAGATCGTGTGCAAGCCCCACGGGATTCTGATTGACGAGCGTCTAGGTGCTCATACATATCGCCTCTTACCTCCTCTTGCAACAGGATGCACAGACTCGAAGGGTAAACCTGGATGGACCCTTCAGGCCTTTGAGGCCGGGAAAGGTAGCCTACCTACCATGACAATCCACGGCCACAAAGAGGCCGCTTTTACCGGCCTGTTCAACGAAGATGTGAAGTGGAAGGATCTTGAATTAACCACGACCTTCGTTCCTACTGAGACTGGTGAACACTACATCGCAGGCTCTGGCATTGGACCCACTCGCGTGAAGATCAATGGCAAAGTGGTGTTTGAACAGAAACACAGCACGAATGACAGCATGGGCTTTCTGTTTGGTGGCAATCCCGAGACAGAGTTTACTTACTCTTTCACCGCAGGCCAGTCCTATAGCATCCGCATCGAATCTGAAGCGCCTGGTAAGGAAGGATCGGACTTCGGTGGTATCCTTGCTGGCATGCCTGGGTTCCGACTAGGCTTCATGTATGCGAAAGAGCATGATGAGGACCTTGTCTCCCAAGCGGTGAACGTCGCTAAAGAGTGCGATTACGCGATCGTCTTCACCGGTCACACCCCGGTCTGGGAGACAGAAGGCCAAGATCAAGCAGCTTTCCATCTACCTAACAAAGATCGCTCCCAAGACAAGCTCGTCGAAGCTGTTGCGGCTGCTAACCCGAAGACGATCGTCGTCAACTCAACTGGAGTAGTTGTCGCCATGCCATGGCTCTCAAAGGTCTCTGCTGTGATACAAGCATGGTTTCTGGGCCAAGAGGCTGGAAATGCTATTGCAGACGTGATTTCTGGAGCAGTGAACCCTTCTGGACGGCTTCCTGTATCTTGGCCCAAGCATATTGAAGACGCTCCGGCACATGGCAACTTTCCAGGCGAGAAGAAGGATGGCCAGCTCACTGTAAAGTACGCGGAAGGTGTCTTCGTTGGGTATCGCCATTATGACCGCATGTCGCAAGACAAGGTCCAGTTTCCATTCGGTTTCGGTCTCTCGTACACAACTTTCAGCCTCAAGGACGCCCGGGTCTCGCAAACGTCGAACGGCAAGTTCACAGCAGAAGTCACGGTTACCAACACTGGGAGACGAGCCGGCGCCACTGTTGCACAACTCTACATCGGGAGGAGCAAGCAATCCTCTGAGCATCCCATCAAGACACTGGCTGCATTCAAGAAGGTATTTTTGGATGCTGGAACAAAAGAGCAGATCACGCTTTCGATAGATCTAAGAGATTTCGCCTACTTCGACCAGACAAGCTACAAATGGAAAGTTGACAATGGGCGGTACGACTTTTCCTTTGGCCAGTCCACACAGCACATCGAAAATGTTGTCAGCGTAGATATTGAAGGAGCCAGCCGAGAGCTGAAACTTTAGGGCTCATAGATGTGATAATGATAATGATAATATCTACCTTGCTGAGGTTTGAAAAGCTCGTTAGCACATATGTTGCGTACATTGCGCTGAACCAAGCTTGTCTATAATAGCGAATACATATGATACATGCATCTCTTCTGTGGAACCAAGGCCAAAGCGTATCGGTAATGCAACTAGTCCTTTTTCGGTCAACTACATGGCTCGTGCGCAATCATTACGTCGGATGCATAGGCCGAGGCATAGGTTAATCAGGCAACGCTCCGTCTATTCTGCCACCACGTCAATTCCTTAGTACAATGCGCCAGTAGGGACGAATACCTTAAGCCGTGCAGAACTATATGCCGGGTATGCACGAGCTGGCTCATTATGTTCTTGGGGTGTTGTTTTTGATCAAGTGATCCAAATCCGCGATGCCAAATGTCGGGAAGCCTTCGAAAGGCTGTGCGCATTGTAGAGCGAGAAAGGTCAAGGTGAGAAAAACTTCCCAAACGTGGAGGGATTTATTAACCATACAATCAGTGCGACCTTAAACGTCCATCGTGCTCGCAATGTATCAGGGCGGGAAGAGAGTGCCATGGCTACCGGGACCCACTTTCGATGATGTTCAAAAACGAAAGTCATGTCGTTATGAATAAGGCACAGAAAAGATATGACGCTCTCTCAAAAAAGAGGAAAGAGAGAGAGACATTTTCTGGAACACTTCCGGTGCGGCACCTGGCATCCAAGGAGACTCCAGACGGTTCATCTTCATCGACATCGTCGGAGTCACAGCACACGTCTTCCACCTCAACGCGGTCGGGAAGCGTCGCGAGATCAATTGCTCCCCCGATAGAAAACCAAGCCCTTTCATTCTTTGCCGCCAACAACATCCTGCAGCCAGCGGTTGTGGGAAGAGGCAATTACCAATGGCTGTTTCAGATGCTAAGTGGGCCCGGAATCGACGCGACCCTGCAAAGCAGTGCGCACGCTGCATCTCTGGCAACACTTGCCACGGCAAACAAGTCGCCGTTTCTGATGAAGAAAGCCCAGGAGCATTATGCCAATGCATTGACTCTGACTAATAGAGCATTAGGTGACTCAAAAAAGGTCTGCGAAGACAGCACGCTTGTGTCTGTGATTCTGCTTGGGGTTTATGAGACCTTCGTATTCGAAAAGCATTCGATGGGGGCATGGATGCAGCATCTCAAAGGCGCAGAGATACTGTTTGCGCTCCGCGGCGAAAACCAGTTCAAAAGTGATCTTGCCAGGCAGATCTTTGTACAATTCTATAGGACAACTATAACGAAGGGCGTCGAGCTCGGCACACCTATACCGGAGAAGATCGCTCGATTGTATAGGTTTCTGACTTCCTTGAAGGACTATACCATGCATGGTACGTACCAACACTCTGCAATGTTTCATTTCACTTGGTCCGATGGAAACAATTCGTTTATGCCAATGGTCAATTTGATTTCCAAAGTGCCGAGCCTTGCTAATCTAGAAAGGGGTCGAACATCAAGTCGAAGTTCTGGAGAAGGCGATCACGCTTATGCAAGATGAAGAAGGGGATCCAGCCTCCATCGTGTCCGACATAATGAAACTCGATGGTGAGCTGAACCTCATCAAATTCATGCTGCAGACCCTGTGGAGATACGAGGTTGTGCGTCTGGAAAGACCCGCGGAACATGTTTTTGGGAGCTTCTACCACATCTACACGAACCCTTGGGTCATCAACATGTGGAACATACTCAGAATGTGTCGGATACGTCTGTTCAAGTTCGTGCGCGCGCAAGTCAACAAGGGACTTCGATGCTCGCCTCCTCGGTTTTCGGAAGAAGAGGCACATGTTCATCTCAATGCTTGCAAAGATGTGATCAGTTCGCAAATGCTGGACATGTGCGCATCTACACCTCAACTCACTGGCCAAATCGCCTTCCCGCATCAAGTCAAGCAGGACCTCGATTTACTTAGCAAAGGCATAGAGGCAGTGAACTTGCGCAACAATATGTTCAAACTACATGCACAAGGAACATTTTTGGAGCCTTTCAAGTCAACTGGACTAGACCATTTGATCGGGCCACTTTATGAAATCGGACGAAGCGATTATGGTCCGAGGTTGACACGGTGGGCTGCTGATCAGCTCTATTTCATCGCTCGAACAATTGGAACAAGGCAGGCGATAATGTTAGCAGGAGAGTTGGAGGAAAAGCTGAAGGACGAATCCAACTTTATGGTTTGGAACGATCCTTGCCCAACTTCTGCACAACTTATAGCGCTAGCGAAGTAAGGAGTATCGGAGCCCAACTCCTGGGGAAAATCGACTAATCCCCGCACTAGTACGGTACCGCGGAGATAACAGACGTAACGTCATCACTCCGTCCGAGAGTGTATTGCTTCTAGCCAACCAAAGCGCTTCGCGGAGCTGGGGAATCGGAAACAATCCTGCGCTTCGGGTCGCCCCCTCTTCAGCTCAAATACATCATAGAGCTATAGAAAACACACCGTATTCATTTCTCTCCACCACGAAAACTTTGAAACTCGGGACGAGTTCTTCATACAAAATCTAAGTTGTCTACCAAAACGTTAGAAGAGTTATCATCAAAGGAAACATGGCTGCTCAAAAGATACCAGACAGCATGCAAGCCGCACAAGTCGTAGAGGTACACCTTCTCCTGAGAGTCCATCTTCAATCATGTGCCGAATTACAAAACGTTTTGCATCGCCCAAGGATGAAAGAATCTCCATACTCACCCATTGAATTTCATCCGATAACATCTTCTAACTTCCGCAGTTCGATAAACCGTATAAAATCAACACCGTCCCGGTGCCCACCGACCTCGCCCCAGAAGATCTCCTTATCCGCGTGGCCGTCGCATCTCTCTGTCACACGGACTTCATGGTCCAGCACGGCATCATGGGAACCAAGCTCCCCTGCACCGGCTCGCACGAAGGCTCCGGCACCGTTGTCGCCGTCGGCTCATCAGTCAAGAATTTCAAAGTCGGCGACCGCGTAATGGGCGGGATCATCTACCACTCATGTGGAACTTGCGGCGACTGTCGCGGCCCGGAAACGTCTACTCAATACTGCACCAATGCTGCTTACTGCGGCGTCAAAGGCGCGGATGGGTATTTCGCGGAGTATGCGCGAATCGACAGCCGATGGGCTGCTAAGCTGCCTGACAAGGTGTCATTTGAGACAGCTGCTCCGCTCGCTTGTGCAGGGTGCACGGTGTACAAGGGCGTTGTGCTTGCGGGGCTGAAGAAAGGAGAGTGGATCGCGCTTGTGGGATCAGGAGGCGGGTTGGGTCATCTAGGCGTGCAATTCGCAAAGGCGCTTGGACTGAAGGTCGTGGGTGTCGATGCACGCGATGAAGGTTTAGAATTAACAAGGAAAGGAGGCGCAGATCTTGTTGTGGATGCGCGGAAAGGCGATGAAGCAGCAGTCAAAGAGGTTAAGCACGTGACGAATGGCGAGGGCGTGGCTGCTACAGTGAACGTCAGCGATGCAAAAACTGCCGCTGCTACGAGCTGTGCCATCACGCGAATGCATGGGACAGTAGTTCAGGTCGCTCAGGTTAGTCTGCTTTCCTACGCCAGCTCATTCAGATCTGCGACGAGAACGGCGTCCGGGTCCTACTTCTGGAACACAGTACAGTTATTTGGCACTCAGACCTAACCTCCAATAGCCCGACAACGTAACCATTCCCTTCCAAGAGCTGATCTTCAGAGACATCCGGCTTCGCGGCTCCCTCATTTGCTCGGCGCAAGAAGCCAACGACATGCTGCAGCTTGTAAGCAAGCACAATATCTCCGTCAATGCCAATGCTTTCAAGGGACTCGGAGATATGGAGAAGCTTATCGAGCTTGCAGAGAGCGGGAAGATGAAAGGCAAGGGTATTGTGATCATGGATCAGTCGCAGATTGACGCGGAGGGGAAGGGGGTGATGTAACTGCGAGCCCCATAGGCGTTTGCGTATTGACGATGGAACCAGATTGAGAACATTGCTGTGATCTTGGTTTTTGTTGAAGTTGCGGCTCAGGTGCATCGCTAAATACGGGTATCATTCCGCCTCGCTATCCTTCCGTCGAGAACTTCCCTCGTTCGTCCCTCAACCTTGCAGCTATTGTGCCTTTCCGTCTGCTTACAATATCTTATGGTCCCGGCTTTACGTAACCTAGCTTTACAGTTTCCACCTCCAATGTTTCCATATCCACCAGCACAATCTGCCCGGTCTTGCTGAACTTCGGTACTCCCACAATCAGCACTTGTTGTCCCGCCGGACCCTTGACAAACTTTGCCTGAAACTTCTCTCTGTTACCCGCAAAGTAGATGTGAGGGCATTCTTTCAGTATCAGAGGATCGTCGTCCTGAAATGGGTAGCACCACAGCGTATCCGGCGCTGTAGGCGCTATACACCGCCATCTCAACATCATCTCCATGGCATCAAGCGGCCATACGCCATCCACGTATTTTAGTAAATCGTCCAGTGTCTGGCCAGCCGTTCCCAGTATTCTCCATCCCTCAACATCAGCTTCCCACGGATTTGTCACCAGGTCGAGCCCCTCGAGCGTCTCGTTTGCTAGCGCGGGCGGATATTGGTAGGCTCTGCTGAGAGGGAAAAGAGCCGGATGGAGGGGCTGTTGGGGGAGAGCAACGTTCGCGGGGTCTTGTTCACCAGGGAGGACACTGACTGGCAGGGCGGGGAGGATTTCAGCTAGGAAGGCGTCGAATTTCTCGGCGGGTGTAGCGTTGTAGGAGGAGGAATCGTAGCCGTAGTTCCTCTTCGCACCTTTTCTCACGTCGAACTCTTCTCTTGAAAGAATTGGTGAAGCGTTGGAAAGCGAGTTGCCAGCTATGACAAGCCGCGTGATACTTGACGCACTGGCCTGGTCGGGTCCGCCTGCTTCTCCTGAGAGGTATTCCACCAGCAAATCCAAGGTTACATCGTCCTCGTCTTTGCCGGTCATATCGAGGCCGGAGACTATGGCTAGTTTCCCTGCCTTTTCGCGTTTCGGCGTTGGCTCCTTGGCGACTGTGAGAGATGCGTCCTCGGCCTCCCAGCGCTGCGGTTGCCGTGGGAGGTCGGCGTATTGTGTTGCAATGACTTGAAATGAGCCGTCGGCCTGCTCGGTGCCCAGCGCGGCGAGGATGCAGCCCGTTACGTAGTGTGAGTTCAACGAGTTGCCGGCGACGCGGAGTCGCCCAGATTCGTCTTCGAGCATCATGTCGTCTGTGCCGGATGGGCTTACATACGTGTCGCGGGATGGGGGCGCGGCAATCCAGTGCTGCGTGGTCGTTAGCTGTGCGTGGGCAGAGAGTCGCAGTAGCGTTTTACGTACCTCTTTCGATATATCGTCGAGCACGTTGGGCTTCATTGCCATCTCCATGTACACTGTCCCTACAACCCAGCAGAGCTCGCCCTGCCGCACGTCGAGCACTCGCTCCACGTATTTTGCTTTATCGCCGGCCAACTGGTCAGGAAATTAGCTTCCCTCCTAATTATGTCCACCCGCGCCGCTTCGTGCCTGTGCAGCCTCCTGTTGTGCGATATCGTACCTCGAATGCATCCCAAGCCTCATGTGCCTTCTGCTTGACCGCCTCCTTCAATTGTGCCAATCGCACAAAGTACATGTCGGCAAACTGATGCGCATAGTGTTTCTCGGATCCTTTCGGCAGTTCAAACGTATGTAACGGCCTGTACGCTGAGGCATTTCGAGACGACACGGCCGCGGGGTCTTCACTGCACAGTGGTTAGCATGTATACGCAGCTTCTCCTGCGCCACACTCACAAAGGTGCCCCTTTCAGCAGGATCCCGTCGCTTGAAGCCATCGTAGCAGAGCGGTTATGTCAGTCACGGGCTGGCGCGGACCTGTGATGCTCTCGTGCCTATCGCGGTCCAGAAAGCTGGGGACGCGAAAGTCGCGTTCGCGACGCGCTTACCCGATTAGGCACCATAAGAGCGTTGCCCTTGCGAGGCGTCACCAGCCAATGCTTCTACATCTTCCGCAGCCTTTCAAGGACCACAGGAGGAGAAGATTGGGTGGAAACCTTGACGACGAACGTTACTAAGAAGATCTTGTTGAAACGCCATCTCCGGGAGCCGTATGAAGAGAAAGTCGTTCTGGTCGGTCGCCTCTCGAAACGATCATACTCTCCATTGTGAATGTTCAAAATCTGTCAGTCCGTCCATCGCCTTATTACTTCACACTTAAGAGGGATTGCAGAGTTCTATCTTAAAAGCACGCATACGAAAGTCATGCCTACAATTTTTGCCCGCTCTTTGTACACTCGCTGTGGGCGCAGGGTAACGTCCACGGTAAATGATTCACGTTGCAAAGACTGCGGTATTAGCATTACTGACGTACCTATTCACTTCGATGAAGATCACACGATTTAGAATGCGCAACGAGGTCAAACGCATCTGCGAGAGAGGAACGGCTTCACAAAGCTTGAACCCACTCAGATCGAACGCCACCGATTCAGCTGTCTTTCTCTGGCTTCCGACCTAACCTCCACCTCTTTGAGTACCCGACCTGTACACAAACTGTCTCGATTTTCTTTGTGAGATGCCTTGTTCTTGCTTCCGTGAACAAAGACTATTCTTGTCTGATCGCTTTCTTTGTCCGACGACATGGCGAGATGCAACCACCTTAATTATGGACTCATCTTCACCATTATTCTCCTCAATCTAAACTATGGTATTTCACAATATTGCTATCTGGCACTGTGTACGCTCACTACATTCACCTACACGCAATGATCAGCAACATTGCTATCGCGCTCCTTGCTGCGCATACCGTCACCGGTGCCGCAATTAAGCGCGATGAGCCCACAATTTCATGCACCGAGGGCCAGGCATCGAGCACTAATCTTGCCACCCGACCATCTGCGTCAGTCCCTTCTTACTCGAACGTCGTCCCAAGCTCCAGTGCCAGCATCTCATCGAGCGTTGTTCTTAATTCTAGCTCAACTCCTACCTTGTCTTCCTATCCCATCGGACTCCTGAGCAGTAGCCCCCTCCCGAGCTTTACTGGCGATATTAGCTCCGCTACGAGTAGCATGCTCTCTTCTAGCAGCACAAACGCCAACTCAAGCATCATCTCCTCGACCACACCTGCTTCGTCTACGCTGACCCCTTCGCCCGTTACTTCTTCTCGCTCTGGTCTTCGCACGCGTTCCCCAAATCATTCTTCGAGCGTCATGCCTTCTAGCCTAGCTTTCGTCTCGTCTAGCTTAACGCCCACCCCTCAATCCAGTGGATATTTCGTTAGACAGTCAAGCACTGCTACTGTTTCGAGCGACACTTCCCTGACCGCACTGCCGATCGTCGGTGGCAGTTCTGGTTGTGTTGCCGCCTTCACTGAAACCATCTATGCCACGGCATCGGTGCCTACAACGATCATGGAAATGCTGACGACGATTCACACTACCAGCACGGTAGCCGTGACTTTGCCTGCTTTGTCTTCTGTCCCAATGCTATCGGAGCTTGCTCCCACTCCTGTTCCCCAGTCTTCCGGATATCCTTCAAGCGAACAAAGCTCTAGCTTGAGCAGCCCCAGCCCCATCTCCACGATCCCGGAAACAAGCATAGTCCCAAGCATGACCTCCGACTCCGTCTCTGTCCCTGGTTCAAGTGGAGCTCCGGTATACGTGCCAAGTTCTGCGCGGGCCTCTGCACCGGCCTCGTCCTCAGCCATTCTTTCCTTGCCAGTTGTGCCTTCCCCATTCCTGCCAGGGTTCAGCTACCCGGCTTCCACGCCGGGACAGCCGACAGCCTCTTTTTACACAGGTCCCCCTCCATCGTCTTACGGAATCAACAACAGCACAGGCGCTTACTCTAATGGGACGGCGGCCTCGGCATCTACAACCATGATATCCACAGGTCTTGGGCGGATCGTGTCAACCAACACCATTTCTTCTAACTCTGTACCCATTCCCACCGGAAATTACTCGATGGCGACAAGTAGCAGCCCGGTGTCGCCTTCGTCCTCATCGACTGTCGCATCTAGCCCCAGTGTGCTGTCAAGCCCCACACAGGGATATCAGACAGGAGCACCATCGTTGACAACTACGACTAGTCATTCTATAATCATGGTCATACCCACCAGTACCAACGGCGTACAGTACAAGCGGGATATAATATCCATTAACCTTGCTTTTTCCGCGGCGCAGTCTCCGGTGAGCAGCACTCTGAAGCTTAGCAATGCACCAAAAGCATCTTCTAGGTCTACTTCTAGCACGCTTGAACGGAGTACTAACGCGCCGAAGTCTAAACCACTATCAAAATCCACAGTGGGCAACGAGGTCAAGACTATTGTGGTACCCCAAGATCCGCGCTGTCCGTATCCATATCCAGCGATCCGTTGCGGGGAGCCATCCACAACAGTGACAACCGTCAAGAAGGCTACGCCGACCTCGAAGCAGAGCACGAAAAAGACTGGGTCCGTCGCTTGGTGCATGTACCCATACCCTGGTGGGAAGGGAGAGGCTTGTCCATGATTCTCCGATTTTGCTGTCTTTACTGCCTTGATTTGTTTTTGTGTTTCTAGATATACAAGAGGACTGTCCTGGACGCAGACACTGGTCGTTGTCCTAAGTGGAAATGCCGTTGCTCCCAAAACCACAAGCTCTGTATTGCCTGCGATACACACAGCGATCGAATTTTGCGATGGTGGTGTTTGGATGGGCTGTTACGGTATTCTATGACGAAGTTGTTGCATGGTTCTTTTAATTTATTTTCCTGTATCAGCATCGAAAGTAATTTTCTTGGTCCCCATCTTTAGGGTTGTAAAGATGACGAATCGATCGTTGGTCAGATCACGATCGAATTTAGGTATGAGCACCTTCAACTTGTTATCCTTATTTCATCATGTGGATGCTCGCTCACCTCCCGAAATGTGCAAAGGGGGAGGCTTAGGTGGCCGGCAACAGGTCGCCACCGGCGTTGCTACTTCGACCGCATAGACTCCTAAGACAGAGGTCTGAGTCCGATCTGCCTTCGAATTATTGAACCGGGGGTGACACACTGTACACAAAATTTGACCTTATGCTGTGGTGAGTATCCTGAAGCCAAGTACCCGTGCCTTCTTGGTCAATAGGTAACCATCACATCTTATTCCATCTCACATCCCGTCACTTCGTATACTGCACCGCTTCGAGTCACACCGAGGACGTTCAACACCCAGCCACGATCCGAGTCCTCAAATAACTTACGACTGTGCTCGTGGCCGTCGCCTCCTCATCATATGTGATGGTTGATGAGGCAACCGTACAGACTCTATCCGTCTTTTGTGACCACACCTGCTCGTACACCATTGCCCCCGCCAGCTATGGCCGCGGCACACATCTCCTTCTAAATGGGTTTCCGAACTCCTCGTACGACTGGCGTCATACTATCAAGGAGCTCACAGCCGAGGGCTTTGGGGTTGTTGCGCCGGATCTCCTGGGCTATGGGGCTAATTCCAAGCCTACTGCAGTGGAAGAGTGCACACAGGAGGAAGCCAGCGGCCCCATTGTGGAAATCCTGCAGCACGAAGGCATTTCGGCGTGGTGAGTGTGGGCTATGATTGGTATGTCTTCCACCACAACAGTACACAATTGGGGATCTAACATAGAGCAGAGGCGCGGGACTTCTCAGCGCCGTGTGGTACTGCTATTCAGATCTTTCCAAGAGCCTGTATTTTCTGGCGATGCCGTAGACTGAGCCCGATCGACTTGACCGCCATCAGTACGCGGCTTTCGGGTCTTCGAGCTACGGGTGCTGGGATTTCTTGAACGAGACAGATGCCGCGAGTGTGATCGAGAAGCATGTGGATTCCGTTTGATGAGCGCACAAGCATAGCTGTTCCTGACGCATTGCATCATGAGACGTTCGCCTCTCTCTATCTGGGAAGCCCTGCAATCTGGAAGACAGATGTCTGCTCGATCGGCTCCCTGCGGAAATGGCTCGAAACCGACAAGAAATTTGGCTACGTTACAGACGAAGAGCACCGGAGTCACGATGAGATTGTGCTGGGCGGGGATTATACTGGCCCACTCAATTGGCGTTTCGCAACCATGACTGAGTCAACTTTCGCTAATATACAGTCACAGGTGCAAAGCTGCCATGGTTGGGCTGAAAGATCTCCCGCGCTTGATCCTGACCGTCAAGCCATCGACGAGCATTTTATCTTCATCTTTGGTGCGGATGACGCTGTTAGCCGGGGGAGCTCGCTCAGACGACGGCTGACGAAAGTCGTAAATCCAGGTTGCTACCGGATGTTGATATTTCGTGGTGCCCGGCGGACACTGGGTATAAGATAAGCAGATCGCACGTGTGTCGACGAACCTGAAGAGCTTGGATGGTTAGGGTTGGCGGAGGCTTGCCGTGAGTAGTTCATCATGGTTGCGGATGCATGCTAGACCATAACTCGGCAGGAGATGACCAGAGAGCTGGTATAACAGTTACATACGATACGTCGATTCGGGAGCATACGTACTCGCCGTTCCACGAAATATACAGTACTTTGAAGTCCCAAGACCCGGGTGTCTTTTGCAACTCACGAGCCATTTCTCGCGATCTTTCAAACGTTCGCAATTACTCTTTTTTCTCTAATTTGCACATATTGGAGCGTTTGCAGCAAGTGTCGAGAGCCAATTATCGAATATATGCAGAGAAGTAGAATCCATGCTTAGATGCATCGCGCCTTTACTGCTTTTGCGGAAACTTCTTGCCTGCGCATTCGGCAACCAGTCGTTGCTGAACATTGAAAGCAGTCTGCGCATAAGATGCGAGATCCTGCTTCTTGCCTTTTCCATCTGGGCCACCATCGAAGACCTCGTAACTGAACCATCCTCGGAATCCTGTCCGTAACACCGCGGTAGCAACATCAACGACGGGCAGGTACCCTCCACTGTAAGGCAGCGGCCTGAAATCATGACTCCATCGCCCCCTCGGGCGCAAGCCCGACTCGTCTGCTTCCTTACTTAGTGGCTCAGGCACTTCGTACGCGTCGCTGATTTGAAGGAGATAGATCTTGTCTTTGGGTATCGTTTTCGACAGGTCTTCCAGGCTGGCTGAAAACCTGTGTATGAGCTCAATCTTCGAAACGTCGTCGAGAAGGCCTGATTCGGTGGTGGGATCGGCCCACTCTCCGCCCGCAGTCTGGAACGTATCGAGGCAGAGGCCGATGTTGTCGCGGCCTACCTCGTCGACGATCCGCCACACGTCTTTCCAGTCTGGCGCATGCGAGCTCCAGCACCAGTTCTCGTATGCGACCTTGAAACCGTGTGGCTTGAGCATGTCGCACAGGCCCTGCAGATCCGGTACCACCTTATCCAAGTCGAGATTCTCGAGCGGTGTATCCGTGCTGCCGACTTGTAGCATGTCCGTACCCGCCGCTTGCATTATGCGCACCCAGCCACGCGCCCGCTCCCACGCATCCTTCCGGCCGTCGCTGCCTTCTTTCCAGCCCTCGAAGTTGGCAAAGGGCTGCAGCATCATGACGCCGAGCTTGCGCTTGTCGCACTCCTTCTTGATGGCCTCGGCGACCTTGACGAGCTCATCGTAGTCCTTTGGCTCGGGCGAGTGTCCGAGGACCGTCTCGCCGTAGGAAAGAATGTCGGGGAAGGAGAGTTCGATGGCGGTGAAGTTGGCGGCAGAGATGGCGTCGAGGCGATCGAGGAGGGGTGGTGGTGGTGGTGAGGATGGGGGCCCTAGGGAACAGGATGCGTAGCTGATGGGGATTGTGGTGAGAGATGCGTAGTTGAGCGCCATTGTGAGGATGGGCGTAGTGCAAGGCTCGAGCCGCTCTGTTCACCTGTGTCTCAATCGTGCCCCGAGCTAGGAGATGATCAGAGCTGGCACTGAGGAAGATCAGTCTCGGATGGGCGCGTTGGTGGGGTTCGGAAGCGCATCGGTTTCGTCGGAATGCACGGCGGTGACGTATGTTCTGGTGTAGTAACTCATGACTGCACGACAAGAGAATCTGCAAAGTGCGCAACGAATCATATCTTTGAACGATGTAGTCGCAACTCTGCAGACATCAACTGGCTGACAAGAGATGCATATACTCAGACGTTGCATGAGGATCGACCACCAGGATCAACAAGATGTCTCCAGCTTTTGGCCTCTTTCCTAGTGCACATACAAAAGGGACAGCCATGAAAAGGGTCTGCAGACACATCACTGAACTCCACGACGGAAAGCTTCCACCTTTCCGTTCCTCTGGCCATGGTTCGCAACACGAGTAAGGGAATCTGCGCTAACTTTGGTTGCGGAAAAGCGCAGTGACTGAGAAGCGCCCTGCGGCGTCGCTGCGATTGGCTCCTTGGATAAAGGATACTCCAGACGAGAGCGGCCATGGACATGTACCCACAGCAGCGTGAACTGCTGACTGCGCTTGTGTACTGGTGCTAGGCCGCAGCATCTCGCTTCACCTCTCACCTCTCGTGCGTCGGGTGTGGTAGGACAGAGAATGGCTACCCAGTCCAACGTGAACGAGCGCGTCGACCATGCGGAGGCCCAGATCCCACACCGCTGTCGCCGCAGCCAATCAGCATCGAAGCTTACTCCGTCTTCGGACTTTATCGATAGCGTGGCTGGCTTTTTGTATAGTCGACTCACAAAGAAGCTGGCCCAGTTCCACACCACTCGCCTCTGCGCCTTTGCGATCCCCCAGAGACCCCCAGGCTCTGCTTGCGTTCTTGGTCCTTTGCCGTCCTGAGCTTTGAGCCTGCACCCGACCACAGCCATGTCGACTGTAAGTGCAATTGCAATCTGCCCCACCACGTCATCCCCACTCAGCGCGCGTCTGACCACCTCCAGTTCTACATTGAGAACAAGTCGGTCGGCGACTCCAAGAATTCCGAGGACTGGCGCATTCGCGGCTACAATCCCCTCACACCTCCCGACCTGCTCCAGCACGAGATTGCGCAGACGCCCAAGTCCAAGGAGACCACCGTGCAGGCGCGCAATGAAGCCGCAGACATCGTACACGGCCGCGACGCGCAGCGGCGATTGATGGTCGTCGTCGGCCCTTGCTCCATCCACGACCCCAAAGCTGCCCTGGAATACTGCGATCGCCTGCTGAAGCTCAAGGACAAGTACAAGGACGACTTGCTCATCGTCATGCGCGCATACTTGGAAAAGCCCCGAACCACGGTGGGCTGGAAGGGTTTGATCAACGACCCGGACATCGACAACTCGTTCAAGATCAACAAGGGCTTGCGCGTGTCCCGGCAATTGTTCGTCGATCTCACCGACAAGGGCATGCCCATTGCCAGCGAAATGCTCGATACCATCTCGCCTCAATTCTTGGCAGACATGCTCAGCGTAGGAGCCATTGGCGCCAGGACGACCGAGTCGCAACTCCACCGTGAGCTTGCCTCCGGTCTGTCTTTCCCCGTAGGCTTCAAGAACGGCACCGACGGCACCTTGGACGTTGCGGTCGACGCGCTAGGCTCCGTCAAGCACCCACACCACTTCCTCTCCGTCACCAAACCCGGTGTTGTCGCCATCGTTGGTACCACCGGTAACGAGGATGCCTTCGTCATCATGCGTGGCGGAAAGAAGGGCACCAACTACGACTCCGCAAGCATCAAAGAGGCGCGCGAGAAGCTAGAGTCCAAGAACCTCAACCCGCGGTTGATGATCGACTGCAGCCACGGAAACTCGGAGAAGAAGCACATGAACCAGATCAAGGTCGCGCATAACATCGCTGAGCAAATCGCAGCCGGAGAGACCGCTATCTCAAGTGTGATGATCGAGAGCAATATCAACGAGGGTAAAAAGCGTCTTTCCAAAATACCTCGGTCGCTCACTGACGTTCACTCTAGGCAACCAGAGCGTGCCCAAGGAGGGCAGGGAAGGTCTGAAGTACGGTGTGAGCATCACGGATGCTTGCATAAGTTGGGAGGACACGGAACGCGTTTTGGAGGAGCTCGCAACGGCGGTCGCGAAGAGGAGAGCCCAACTCGGTGTGAACGGTGCTCATTGATGCATATGTTTCGAGGTGGGTCAGCAGCAACTGAGCGGGCCGCTTCGGCGTGTCCGGGCAGGAGAAAAGTTACGTTGAGCCTTTCGCACAAAATACCAAGCATGGTCCTCAGTCCTTCCGTTGTCTCATTGTAACCGTACGCTGACCCTCGGCACTCGCACAAATGGTGCCAAATGCGGCACATCGGAGGTTTCACACTGTCGGCTGTTGTGCGAATATTGCAGCGCTGGGCGTGGCTTCCACGCGTCTATATTGCAGGTGCATGCAGCCAACAGGAAACACCGACGAATTGTGACTTGCTGGCGCCAACTGCATAGTCTCACCGGAATCTGTCCACATCCCCGAACTTCTCACACAACGTGCGAGTCACTGCTTTCGCTGCACTCATCTACATGAGTTTTTTCCCCATTGCTTCCCACACCTTGGCGATTGGTTAGAATAGATGTGGCACAGTCAATCGCCACGCAACGCACGCTTGGTGGGGAACTGCGAAGTCGCTGTGTTTCGATCTGAAGCACACAAGGCTGAGACGATCCGAGGTCAGTTCGCCACCGATGCCCCGAAGCAGGGGCCATACGCGAGTGCATCTTCAAACACCGTCGATAGTTACCGCATTGAGGGTGCGTGATCGGTCTTGAGTCGACCTCACCGAAGTGTCAAACCCCGCGTCATGCTGCAGGGTCTACACTAGAGTATTTCGTATGCTTTCGGCGTCCGCGAAGAGTAGCCTTTCAGGCTTGGGTCTATCTTCCCTCGATATGCCAAGCCCAACATACCCTAGGAACTACCCTTCGTCTGCTTTGCAGTAGTTCAAGAACGAGCGCACGAGATCAACGAATGCATCCGAATGTGGGCAGAGCAAGTGTGGCACAGTCAAGTGGTGCGCCACGACTACGGGGTCGTTCACCAAGCTCGTCCACGCCCATCTTGACTACTGCATGTTGGCCATGGCAGCCTAGCAGCGGACCCAATCAGCTTACTCTGACAAGTACCGTCCAGACATCAAATCTACCCCCTGGTAACTTTAGACTAAACACACCATGATTAAATGGCTCACTGCCTCGGAGCTGAACGATCCACCTCATAGAATGCCTGCCTTTGTCGCTCAGCATACTTGGACGTCAGTTAAGGTTGTTGTACTAGCCAAAAATTTGATGGTCTTGTGTCTAGAGACTTGGAGAATTCCGGTGAACAAAGAGGGGGCGTAATGATCATGTATCTACAATGAACGACTGCGCTTCACTCCAGTATTCAATGCTGTTCAAGCCACAAGTATGATGTAATGTTGGTCACTGAGCGATTTCCTTCTAGAATTTTCAACGAACAAAATACAGGTGCTGGCACGTGCTCGGGCATCCGTACACAACGGGGTCAGCGCTGGATGCGGTCCACAAGGCAAACGCCCTAGCCCTGCGACCATTGGCGCTGCACGCACACGGCCTTTCCGTCGGTCTCGCCTTATCCTCGCAACATCCCAGCGGTACATCTCTAGCCTGGTGTTGATGCAACTCCTGCCGGCAGCCCGGTGCTACGGGCCGTCACTCGATCATGACCAGTGGTTACTTCGCTCTCCCCCGTAAATGAAGCTAAGCATATGCCATTGCTCGCTAACGATGGTGTCAGAGTTCCGCTTCGCGATTACAGGCTAGCATCCTATGCATCTTAACGGCCGTATCGACCCATAACACAGGCTCCTGGAATCCCGGCCACATTCAAATCGCCGTTGCCTCTAGGATGTGCAGATGATCTTGAGCAGTCATGACTCTCTGTCCGCCTACGCCACAGGTGGATCATCGGGGCAACGAGAGAGCGGGAGGCCTCAGTGTGCCCTGCATTGCGCCGTGGTGGAGTCGCTAGCACCTCGATGCCACACTTCGATATCACATGGAATGTCCAAAGGGCACCACCCTGCCGGGAACTTGCTTCCTGGCACGAATCGAAGCCCATGGTCTTGGGCTGAGAGGCGTAGCCAGCAAATTGCCCTGCCTGATGCACCATGATGATTGGCAGGCAGTGGCCCTGGGCTACAGCTCCGGCTGCTTTATTTCGGGACTTATCGAGGCCCTTGTTTCTCGCTTCCCGCATCTTCTGTAGTTGAGTGGAAGCTATTCCGCGTCTTGATTCGTGCCTTGACGTCTCAGCAGACGAGTCATTTGCCTAATCCAGGTGAGTGTGATGGGACATCGTGAATTCTGCTGTTGCTGCTCCAGTGTCATCGCCTCGGCTTGCGCTAATCAGTCGTGGTAGGCTGCAGCTCCATTCGCTTTGCGAGTCTGAGTTCGCGGCCCATGTGTGGTCGCGTTGTACCCATGTCTATAAACGTCCACCGTGGTCTTCTACCGCGGCTCAAGTCAGTCGGCCTCGTGGTGTTGCCTTCCATCCCGCATTGTGGCGCTGATGCGGGTCCCAGTCAACGGGTGCACACATTGGCGTGGGAATCAACCCTGCCTGGTCATTCAAGCACAGGCCTTCCTCTCTTGACCTCTCCTATCTCCAAGGTATGAGCTCGAGCTCCTTGTTCAGATACATCGCTTCTTGCTCGTATATCATTGCGACTGGTCGCAACCGACATCTCTCCCACTCACTTCGTTGCCGCCAAATTTGACTCAGGGATTTGCGCACATCAGCCCAATGTTTTTGACGTTCGCGTGACGAGTCGCACATTTATCATCGTTTGCAGCCACAGCTTTTTCCTCCCCACGTTCCGTCTCCTGACTCACATGCTCCAGCACAGCCTCCCGTCCCACAACGACCAGGATCATGTCGCCAAAATCACAGGACTCCGAGTTCGACCTGGAGAGGTTCCAGGCGCGCACACAACATACCGTTCGGGACCCATCGCCCGATGGGTCGGCAAACGAGCATGCTGAGACTGACTTGGCAGCTTTGGGTGCGGCATTCTGGGGTCGAAGAGAATCCGACTCCCGCCCTGACTCTCTTGATCTCAGCGAGGGAGAAGAGATCGCTCGGGATGGTGTTCGGATGACGGAACGAGCCGAATTGCTCTCCGATGCAGACGCCGTGGTGGCTGGGGATGCGGTGCTTCGCCGATCGCCTGCAACGCCAACTCCGACACAAACCAAGCACGGAGCATACATCCAGCCTTCCGACATGATCCAAGTTCGTGAAATAAGAGGTCGAAGGGCTCGAAGAGCACGCAAATCTCGCCGAGGTAAGTCCTCTGTTCGTCACGATGAATATTGACGCGAAGCGCACTGCTCCTCCGATCCGGCTGTTGCTTCGTCGTACACTCTGACAAGCTGCGGTCGTCTACGTTTGCTCCCCCCGTGGCGATGGTTCTTAGAAGCCTGCTACCTTGACTCCGGTCCTAGAGGTGGCTTCTATGATCCTTTGCCGTGAGCAACAACCGCATGAACAGTAAACATGGCGCTCCAAATCTACCCAGCAACACTGCTGCCGACTTCTCGCCCTTACTCAATCCGATCCCTTCTTATGACATTGTCGCTAACAGCATCAGACCCAGGATCCCGCAGCTCCGCTGGCACAGTAGAGCGGGATCGTCGCACATCCGACACTTCGAACGACGATGGCGGCCAGGACGTGGCCGATGATGCCGATCAACGAGGTCGCAGCGCGACACCCACACCGTACTTTCCGCAGAGTTACACACCATCACACCATTCTCAGCAGACTGAAGAGGAGCATGGGGAAGGTCGAGGCCCTCTGTCACCGAACCCTTGGTCATCCAACTTCCTTTACAATGCGCAACAACGCGAAAGGACTGAAGCGATCGAAGACGTCGATGTCCACTTCCCGGCTGACCAGCAGCCGCGGGCAGAACAAGCGTACCGCGAGGACGTACGTTCTGCGGGGAAGGGTCCTGGTTCGTGATCGAAGCACGAAGGAGGCCTCCCAGACCAGACAGTCAAGTTTTCCTCTATCTCAACTCAATTCGTTCGCTCATATCTTACGATTTCTGTCCTCGACCCGGAAATGCATCCGACCGCCGTGCTGCACGGGTGACGCTCGCTGCGTCGTTTCCTACGTGCAAGCTGCCCACTCCTGTCCAGTCCTTTCTCCGTATCGTAGTGTACCTTGCTCATATCTCTTAATATTACTTCAACCCCTTATGTCCCTGTGTTACCTGGCGATTTCGTTGACCGGATGCATACTTCACCAGTCGCTATGCAGGATACCATGCGAATTCCGTCCCGCCTGTTCCATTCCGCTACCAGGTATTCTTTCAGTCTTCGCACAAGGGCGTCGAAAGCACAACGTCCTACGGCACCCCGAGCACGAGCAGCGTCAACTGTACAAATACGTTGGCGCCCCGCAAGGCCCTCGAAGCGCGATGCGCTGGCAATATGTACGTTGGCGGGGTGTGCAGATACACCATGCCGCTGGCCCCAGCCTAGCTCTAGCGACTTGCATGCCCATTGATGAGTAGAGCAGCACATCACGCAGATGTACTTTTCAGTCTCACGTCCGACGTTGCGATTAACTCGCCGTGGCCCGCCACTAGCTTTACTCGGCACAACGGCTTTCCGCAAGCACGGTCCCTGCTCGCGGGTAGGGCTGCGTGCGTGCTGGTCTGAGTGTTTCGCCGCTGCCACCGCACATGCCATCGCTCTGTCATCGATCCGCACGTCCGCTCCATCCATGTCATCACGCGCGTGAACACTTCTGCGAGAGACTGCACGCAGGACATCATGGCGAGGCTATCTGGGCTGCAGAGGGATGTGTTGAGCCTGTATCGGCAATGCTTGCGGGCTGCGCGGGCGAAACCCGCTGTAAGTGCTTCCGCAGCTACTTTTGTAGACACATCAGGAGATGCATGTGTACTCACTCATTTTGCAGACGAACCGGGGACATTTCCAGGCTCTGGCTAGGTATGTGGTGCTTGTCCCTGTGGCGTGGGCACGAGGACGGTGGTGCTGACTGTGGGTAGGAACGAGTTCCACAAGCATCGCGCAGTGGATAAGAAAGATTTCAGTGCCATAGAGTACTTGCTGCGGAGGGGGAGGCGGCAGTTGGAGATGTATGAAGAGGCGGGTGTGCGTGATGTGAAGGTTTAGAGATGGGTGGCAACCATGGAAGTCTGGGTGCAGTCAGAACTTGAGTCCGAGGCTGGCAGATTGGGATAAGCAGGCAAGTAGTACGGTAAGCTCTATCGTAGTAGTCACTGTAGCTTGCTGATGGTCTGCGCAGGCCAATGGCTGAACAGCTCGAGGGAACCTGTGTGCTCAAAGTGAACACAATACAAGAGTGTACTCGATGTACGATACTGTAATCTAGCATATCCGCGTCCACGCCCGAGGTGCTCACAGCGAACAAGAACGTGAACTGGACCCTGCTAGCAAGTCTAATCAACGTCTGAAGCATGGACTTCTCCGTGATGCCTAGCCCGTTGCGCACCATTGCAGCAGCAGTCTTTACACCAGGAGATGAACCCAACCATCTTCTTCGAGCCGGCCCTGCAACACTTTCGCGAAATGCGGCTGAATAAGGCCATCTTGGAGCTGAACGATGCTGTCGCGGAATCGAAGACGCAACGAGAAGACACGGCGCTTGGCTTCATAGGATGGGTGGAGCGCCATGGCTGGATCGATCGTGAAGTGGCCCGAATCCTGGAATTAGACCGTTCAGAAACGCACTCACGATAAAGATACGCTGGACTACTGGAGGTCGCTGCGAGGCACGAAGGAGCGCGTGATTCGCGAGATGCATAAGGGGTTTTTGGGATCGAGTCTCAAGTTTGCGAAGCTCACCGGCGCGGGACGTACTGGTCTGAGCGGCGTTCTTGATAGTCCGTGGGTGTTCCTATCACCAAACGGTCATGGAGACTTCTGACACCGCTTGAGGCTTCTTCCTTGAAGGACTCGCACTCTGACCAACCACTGGTGAGTAGTAAAGTGTCGGAATGACCCGGAGACTCGCATTAGACACAATGTGGGCGCAACGAGAACGGTAGGAAAGACGGCACTACGGCGCCGCCTTGATGTAATGGCCTACGGTCAACATGTTGCCGCGGGAAGACAGCGGAGTTAGATTACATCATACATCCATGTACCTATCTCATGACCTGGGCGGCTTTGTTTCGTATGATGCTGCTTCTAGCTGCAATAAGCAGTTGGAGTTTCCGACAATGAGAACGTAAGTGACAGTCCAAACACTCTCTACATACGAGAGTCAATGCCGTCAGATGCGGACCGCGGCTATCTATACACTTGCTGCTTGGAGGAGCGTCTTGGCGGTGCAAAGGTGCGGCGGATCCGATTGCGGAAGGTGTAATGGCGACCTAAGATGGCGGCAGCACTAGCGTAGGACGATCGAACTGTTAGAGATCAAGATGAAACAGTGACAACTGGGGAAGCTTTGGCGCTGGAAGAGGATAAGTTGCCCACTTTTGCCGCGTACATGTGTACATGTCAACTGTCGTCCGGCGTGACAAAGAGGGCGTACTCAGGTATGATTTGGGCGGCACGGTGGACAAGGCAGGCGCTCTACCAAAGAACTGCCTCGTGCACGCGTGCGAACAGTACCAGGTCACGCGCGAGGCGCAGCGAGACGTGACTGGTGCACTTGAGCCTCAACGCAGAATCGCCACAGAAACGTTTCAAAGGGCGCCATTTTCGAAGCATGACGAGCATAGACGCGACATATGACGCAATTGCGAAGGCGGGCATTAGCAAGCAGGTGAGCCGACGATGTAGGCGGCCAGAGACGCCGAGCAACGAAGATGTGAGATGGATTGCCTGCGTCCGGAGTTGGTGAGGGGCTGTGGCGATCATGTGCGCTCTGGTCGACTACACAATTACACATGTGGGCGTGGAGTGACATGGCCGGTTGGCTGGACCTCTTGACAGGGCATGACAGGGAGCAGCAGATGGTGCTCCACGACGTCGTTATCGAGTCGCATGCAGGGCAACGGCCACCGACAGCCGTCTGCAGCTGCAGGACGAGGGATGCGTCGCGTCCGCGTCTGCCCTGGACGGGCTCTGGCGCGATTGGCCTGCAGGCTACGTCGGCGGCCGTCTGGAGACAGCAGCGCTTCCCCACGGCCGTGGACGGATTCGGCGCGGTCGGCTAGGGCGCATCGACGGGCAGCGGCTGGCTGGGTCGCTTGATGCATGCGTGTTTGCGACAGGCCAGGCGGGCATGGTGGCACAGGCGCGAAGGCACAGGATGGCGTGCGCACGCTGGCCCTTCGTCATGGGAAGTCATATGACCGCCCGCGACGGAGGGGGAAGGCCGCACGAGGAGCCCCCGCCACGCGCCGTGACGAGGTGCACCGCAGCGCCCGCGACGGCCGGCCCAGCATGATGGCGGCAGCGGGCGCGTCGCTGCCTCGTGGATACGGGCAGTGGACGCTGCAAGCGGGGCTGGGCTGGGCTGGCGGCGTGGTCTGCGCTGCACCGCAAGCTTCGCGCGCACTCGAAGATCAGTCCTTATCATTATCGGGTGCCCCGGCTAGCCGTCTTCGGGCATGGCGGCCTCTTAGCTATCCCAGTGTGACTCGCAGTGCTCACCCATCAACGCGCCCAGCGCTGCTTGTATCCGTCGTCTGCGAGCCTACTTCCTCTGCCCTTCTCTCCTATCCTTTTGCGCCGTTGCACCTACCGTACCCCTTCCTCCCGGTGCCCCTCCTCCCGCCTGCGTGCACCCTGTAGCGCCGCGGCGAGCTGTTCCGTCACAGCTGCCTGCCACCCTCGCTCGCCATCCTCCGCACCCATCACACCTTGGGCCTGCGCCGCGGCCTGTGATTCCAGGCCTCCACTGCTGTCGCCGCAACCTTGCCTGCATCTCGCAGCAGCCTGCCTCCTCCTACCTCCCACCGCGACCGCGTCGTGCTGTCGTACCAACATCCTTGACCGCCCCACGGCCTAGCTACTCGACCAGTACCACCACCGCGTACCCGCCGCCGTCCTCGACAGTCACTCCTCTTCGCCACTGCAACTTCATGTGCAACGTCCTCACGCCGACCCTATACCCGCATCTTCGACGATAGCTAAAGCAAGTGGCATCCCGCGAGAGAGGGGTCAGGACCAGGCTGGTCGCCCAGCGACGCCACCATGGCAGCTCCATCCAACAACCAGCTGCGCTCACGCAGGCCGGCACCCGCGAGCCAGGCGTCTTCTTCTTCCGCCTCGGAGATGATCGGGAACTTCAAGCGCCTTGAGCACATCGGCAAAGGCAGCTTTGCGGAGGTCTATCGTGGCATTCATGTCGTACGGAACCCCTCTTTCATTTCGTCCCCCAGTGCAAGGCATGCGGAGCGTCTGCCTCGTGATTCATCTCTACGCGCTCGAGTTGAATAGGCGCTAACCATGCTTGACATGCAGGAAAAGCGCCAGTCTGTCGCCATCAAGTCGGTCAACATGAGCAAGCTGAACAAGAAGCTCAAAGACAACCTCGCATCCGAGATCTCCATCCTACGCAGCCTGCTTCATCCGCACGTCGTTGCTTTGATCGATTGCCATGAGACGCCCTCACGGATGCATATAATAATGGAATTCTGTGAGCTAGGGGACCTGTCGTCGTTCATCAAGAAGCGTGCCGATCTTGTAAACCACCCATCGACCCAGCGCATGATCGAGAAATATCCGAATCCAGACGTAGGAGGCTTGAATGAAGTGATAGTTCGACATTTCGCAAAGCAGACGGCCAGCGCCCTGGAGTTTCTCCGGTCCAAAAACTACATCCATCGTGACCTGAAACCGCAAAATCTACTCCTAAACCCGTCGTCCATGTTTTACTCCCAGAGTGGGATCCTTGATCGCATGCCCCTGGCTGCCTCCGCCAATTCGCTGATCCCTGCCGCCGGTGTAGAATCTCTGCCCATGCTCAAGATTGCTGATTTCGGATTCGCTAGGATTCTGCCCAACACTTCCCTTGCTGAGACGCTCTGCGGTTCGCCGCTTTACATGGCCCCGGAGATTCTGCGATACGAAAAGTACGACGCGAAGGCTGATCTGTGGTCTGTAGGCACAGTTCTGTTCGAGATGATGTGTGCCAGGCCGCCATTCCGGGCAAACAACCACGTGGAGCTTCTCAAGAAGATTGAAGATCGCAAAGACCAAATCAGATTCTCAGAAGGTCTCGTCGCTAGTAGGGCAATGAAAAACCTGATTCGCGCCTTGCTCAAGCGCCATCCCCTGGAACGCATGTCCTACGAAAGCTTCTTCTCGGATCCGGTCATTCGCGAGGAGATTCCCGGCCTAGTCGATGAAGATCTCCCGCAATCGGCGTCGCAATCCATCGCGCCAGAGCCCATCGCGGAACCTAAGCGAGCACCAAAGACGCCCGTCGAAATGGAGCGACGAGCTTCAGAGAGTCCGTACTCCCAGTCACCCAGAGGAACCAACTATGGCACGACACCACCCCCTCGGCCTAGCTCTCGTCCATCTTCTGGTCAGTTCACTGCGGCTCCTCTTCGGCCTTCTTCTTCCGCTCGACGGATGAGCAACACTCCGCAATCACCCGTTGAGCAGCATCCTTCGCAACGCGAGCAACGAAGGCCCAGCCTCACTAACGCTGCTACTGCACCGGGTCGAACAGCAACCCTGCATGACCAAGTCGTGGACCCTTCATATGCTGGAAGCAGGCGTCGCGTGTCTCGCGAGGAGGTGCTTCCTCCGCCCTCCGGCTTGAAAGAGCACCTCGAGCGTGAGCGGATGCCACAGCGGCCAGAAGTAGCTATGAGGGAAGCTGCGGAGCGGGCTGCGCAGGACACTGCTATTGACGAGGGCTTTGTCTTCGTCGAGAAGCGACGAGTGGAAATCGATGCTCTGGCGGATGAGATAGCAGCAAGCCCGCAAACGGCAAGAGACCGTAACATCACGAGGGAGACTCTAATGAAGCGCCGAGCGACAACCCAAGGCTCGCCGACATCCACCACAGGCGCAACCGTACCTTCGAGGGCGATTCAAATCCAGCAAAAGCAGACGGCCGTACACCAACGGACTGGCTCGTATGAACGTCGCTATCGGCCAAGTTTCGAAAGCGCGACCTCGGCACTGTCCAAAGCCATGAACATGGTCAACATTCGAGGACTCGGGCTCTCGCCGCCAATGATGAAGGGTGCATCTCCGCCCCAAGGTTACGCAGGCTTCCCTGTTTATCCCACAGCTCAGAGCAGTCTCTTGCTCGTAGGAGAAAGTGGAAAGATCGCAGACAAGAGCGAAGACGCTGCGATAATCAAGCAGATTGAACAGCTTGCTCAACTTAGTCACGTCGTGTATGGTTTTGCAGAAGTCAAGTACAAGCAACTCGTACCGGTTGCGCCAAGCGATAAAGGTCTTGGCATCGGAGCAAGAGGCGTCAGGAGGGCGAACAACGACGAGCTCGAAGACGACGAAGATGACGACCTGACTCCGGATACAATCTTGGTGATCTCTGAAGAAGCGTTGGTACTCTATGTCAAAGCCCTCGGAATGCTCAACAAAGCCATGGACATCACCGCGAGCTATTGGAACCGCAATGGCCGTGGCCCGGCTTCTGAAGGTAGCAATCGAGCGGCAACGAACACCGAACGCTTCCAGGACGTAGTCAAATGGCTTCGCGATCGGTTCAACGAGTGCTGCATCAAGTCAGAGATTGTTGCGCGCAAGCTGAAGCAGGCACAGATCCTGCTTCCGTCCGATCATCCAAGCCACCCCGCCAATCGATCGACGGCGTCCGGCTCCGCGACCACCGTCGGCTCTGCTGACAACATACTTCTTACAACAGGCGTGACGGCGGAGAAGTTGATGTATGATCGCGCTCTTGAGATGAGCCGAACTGCAGCCGTGAACGAACTGGTTGGAGTCGATCTTCCCGGCTGTGATTTGAATTACTGGACTGCCATCTTGATGCTGGAGGCGATCCTCGAAGATGAAGACGAGTCGTCAAGCCAGAAGCTTGGCAGCGAAGAGCTTGACGGTCTTGAGAATGACGACCGACAAGCTATCCAAAAGCGTAAGTTCGACCCCTAAGGCTACCAAGCGGACTTGGCTAACTTCAGAATAGTTCTTGAAGGCATGAAAGCTCGTCATGCGGCACTCAAGAAGAAGCTGCAGTTGCAAAAGGCGCAGAAACGCGCATCCATCACCAGCGCGCCTACACCTCATTCAGCTACCCGCAGCTCGCCTTCATCGCAAGGCGCCGTGCGGTGATTTATCGCTCTCGCAAGAAAGATGTCCGTCGTTGAATACTGTTTCCCATCTCTGCATTTAGCATTTTGTTTCGCAAGCATTGCATCTTCAGGCGTTCCGGAACCTATCTCCTCTTCTCGCTTTTCATGCTTTCAAGCGTGTGTTTTACCATCTCTTAGCATAGCACGCCCACGCATCCTCGATCGATGCGCAAGCGTACTCAACGGCCTCCTGGGGCGCTCCGCCAGACTTGCCGCGCGCATGATACCCGTCATGGCGTCTTGGATTTCTTGTTTCGCATTTCCTCTTTCCACTGCTTGTTCTCTTTTGCGCTTTACATGGCTGTGGTCGGGCGGCGTATGCACAGGACTGTGGGTTAGTATATCATGGCGCTGGGTTTCGGGGCCGGGCTGGCAGTGCCGTGGATTGGATTAGATTGACACCTCAGGGACTCTTGTTTGGATCGGGTGGAGAGAGAATAGGGGATTGTCCCTACGTACGTACCTGCTTAGTGTATCGGTGAATATGAATAGCGAAAGCTGAGATAGACTGGAAACGGCGTGTTCTCATACGTGATACTGTGCGCGATTTGCCAAGCATCTGTGCCTTTGGGCGGCGGAATTTTCACGCTTCGCTGATGAGGATCGTGCCTTCAGGTGAATGTCTGCCGAAACAAGGTGTGCTGCCTGGTCACATTGCGAGAATCTGACCACGCAGATTGTTGGAGGTCCCGCGTCACGTTGAACCAACGTTGCACTTATTTGCTTTCACTTGACGGAATCAAGCAACGGTATAACATAACGAATGCTCTTGTATGCTAGGGGGTATGAAGACTGCCGAAAACGCAGTCGCTGTGTCCAAAAGTGCTACATGCAAATGCCGTTGGCCGCACCGGCCTTCTATCTCTACCAACGCCCGCTGAAATGCCCAAACCCACCGCCAAACTCGTCGAATGCCATGCAATGTCTAGAAATTGACCCGGAACTTGGGATTCGTGCGCATGCTCTCGCCGCGGAAGCGGAAGAACAGCGGCACGGGGATCAGCGCGAGCGCAACGAAGCCCAGAAGCGAATTTCCCCAACCGAGACCCAGCGCATCGAACATGTCGAGGCCGGCAAGGGGCAGGAACGCGCCGAAGATGGAGCGTAGGACCGTGTTGGCGGCGATTGCAGACGCCGCGTGCACGGTGAAGGCGTCGACCAGGTACGTTTGGATGGTCATCATACCTGTTAGTTCAACCAAGTCAGCACGACGAAAGGCTATCACCGACAGTCGAATGAGGGCTTCGGCGACTTTGAGGTGGATGGTCCTCGTGGGCTGCTGCTTACCTGTGAGATTGCCGAGACCGACGAACGCCGTCCCGATGATGGGCACGATCCAGTGCACGCCCTTGTCCGTTGTCCAGCCGTAGATGAAGACGCCGATGGGGAGGAGAACGGCGCCGGGGACGGTGAGAGGGAGCTCCAGGCGGTTCTCGGGCTTTGCGCCGCTCGGGCTGGCTTGCGCCCTGCGGATGTAGACGTCACTCATCTGCAGGTGATTTTAGATTTGTTATGGGTTCTACAAAGGTCTTAAATGACTTACCTTGCCGACGTAGCCCATACCGATGATTAGCCTAAATCATCAAGTTAGTGATAGGTACGGCGTTGAAGAGACTAGAGAGAGGGGCAGGGAGAGGATTGAGCTAGGCTAGGCGTGCATAAGCAAGCAATACTGGAAAGCTTCTGCTCTTGCTTGTACCTCGCATCTAGAACTTGTACCCAGAGCTACGTACCCAACGCCCATGCCTAGGTAGGCGAGCCCCACGGAGCTAGAGGAGAAGTGGTATTTTCCCTCGAAGACGAAGGTCATGGTTGTGAAGAAGAGGTACATGATGCCGTAGTTGATGGAAACGTAGATGGACATGAGGAGCACGATGGGCGAGAAGATGAGTATCTTGATCGGGCGGACGATGCTACGGGCAAAGATCTCGCGTGGGGGCAGTCCGCTGTCGAGTTTGGAGCGGAGTCTCATATTTCCGGTTTCCTTTTGGAGTCGCTTGGTCTTGCGTGCAAGGAGCGTGGGGTGGTATGTCTCGCGGCCAAAGACATAGAGGCAGATGGCGAAGAAGCCGGCGAAGATGGCGATGATCCAGAACACCCAGCGCCAGCCTTTCGCTTTGACTAGGAAGCCGCCGGCAACAGGACCGAGCACGGGCCCGAGGAGAGGGCCCATGGACCAGATAGCCATGGCGCTCGCTCTTTTATGAACTGGGAAGATATCTGCAATTGTGCCCCCACCGATCGTAAGGGGTGCTGCACCCGCCATTCCTGCAAGCACTCGGAAGGCTATGAGCATACCCATGGAGTTGCTCAGGGCACATGCTACAGTGAAAATTACGAAGAATACCTAAGGCGCGGATACAAAGTCAGCATGGGCAAAGTAAGAGAGACTGGTATCGTGCACATGTCTCGAACTGACAAGAGGAAGGTGATTCCTCTGTCAAAACGACATGCACGTTGTACCCCGTATTTCACTGACATTGCAGACGTTGTACGTCATGAATCGCCCGTACATCTCGGACATGGGAGCAATGATGAGGGGGCCAATGGCGAAGCCGAGAATGTAGATCGAGACTACGAGACCGGCGAGGATGTTCGATTTCACGCCAAAGGTCGCCATAACTTGAGGGACACCAGGAGCGAAAAACGAGGACGCGAGGGGCCTGTAAGCGTGAGTAGTGGAAAGACAGCGACTTCAGACAAACATACGTGACCAATGTAACCATTGCTAAAATGAAGATCAAAATCCATTTTTGACGGTCCGGCCAGTTCAAGGGATTTTCGGGATCCTCTGGGCCATCCCAATCTACTATATCAGGGTCTTGCTCTGCTTCTGCTGTTGGGTCGTCCCCCAACGTTCTGTCGTCGCTGTTGGTGGACAAAGCTGCGCTTTGGACGCCCTTCTCCACGTCGAGGTTTGAGGATGCGTGTGCATGATCCGAAGCAACATCCGCGTCGTGACCCTTCTCGTATGCATCGGCAGCCTTATCATCTAGATCTTGGGTTTCTCGCGCAGGATTCGACAAGGTGGCGGGAGTTGCCATTTTACACTGGGTACTGAAAATTACTCTTAGCATTTGCTATTTGGCTCTCGGCTGCCTACGAAGAGACGCAACGAGCGTCACTCAAGTCCAGGACTCGTGAGAAGTCGTGCTTACCAAAAATGCAAGAAAGCGACAATGTCAATCGGCGGTAGAGCCGAAGCTCCAAACACTAGGTTTCGTACAAGCTCGATAAGTGCACTGGGACCTATATCGGCTCAAAGTAGTCCCAAATTGGCAAAAGATGTACAAAGAAGCGAAGGTCGGGCAATGTCACACACGGGGACATCAGACTGGCGTTCCCAAGCGATCACTTTAAGGAACCCCGGGTGCGGGTATGACACTGGTCCGTCGCTTAAACCGTTGCTCCCTTTACCCACCATGTCCCTGAAGGCTGGCAGTCCAAGCTCCTTCTGGAAGGCTTGCAGTTCGTTTCTGGGGTCTGCCGTGCTTTGATTGGCGTGGCTTCGCGTAAGGCTGTTTAAGCGTACGCCGGGAGTCAAGTGCGCGGAGATACGCCGTATACGGCGGAGGGTCGGACGGTGGAAGGACGGAGCGGAGGGTGGCGCTGATTGGAGGCTGTCTCCTCTCCTTCACAGAGATCGGAGGGCAACAAGCGTGGACGGAAGGAAGGACCAGCGCCCTTCCGTTGAAGTCGTGGTCGATGGTCACGACACTGAATATGGGCAAACGCTATGGCATCTGTGGTGCGCGCATAGGACGTTTGCACTTCATCAGTCCGAATGCGCAACACGTGTAGCGGGGTGCAACTAGCTGGCATCTCGACTGCAGCCACTTTCCTGCGTTTGCATAGCTCGGCTGCTATAGAGATCCTCATTAGGGCCCAGTGCCTCCATGGTGTCCTCCTGCTCGGAGCTCTAGGGTTTGACCGTATCTTATTCAAGTTACAGAAAACTGTAGGTGCGTTCACTCATCGGAATGTCGATAGTTGACCGCAGGGCGACTTGACTTTAGGTGCATCTCGACCATAGGTCTACGTGTGAGCTGACGCCGTTCGACCCCACCCATGGACCGTTAGCATTCACGTGACCGTCTGAGCCTCCCGAGCTGGGAATAGCTTCTACATCATGAGTACATCTCTGGACATAGAGCCAGAAAGACTTTATTAGACATGACAAGGGGATTGAGAAACCGCAATCTTGATATTTTTGCGATCGTAAAGAGTAGCTGCACGTATGAACATTTAGGAGCCTGGTATGGGTGTGTTCAGGTCAGAGTGAATGCACCATGCTCCCTTGGGAGAAGTAATGCAACCCCGAGCCTGAGTACAATCTGCCCATGTATTGGCCACTCCAGGGCAACGCACCGTGCTGAGGATTTTGCCGTAGCAATGTGTATCAGGTGTCGACAGGCTCCCAGTCCCTGCAACACAAAACCATTGGCATGTGATTTCTCTCTTGACATGCAACTAGAAGACAATGGGACATGGATGCGAAGATGGTAAGAACCGGACTGATGCGAACGTGGGTGTCTCCAACGCCAATCACCAATCTGCTCCACGGCTCCAGCGATGCCTGCCAATGGAACTCGACGTCCATCACCGTTTGAAAGTCACTTGGAATCAGACATCATGGAGCAAAGAACAAACGCCGTGATGATATCGCATTTCCGATGGCCGATTGTGCAGAGCGTAACTGCGTCAGTGAGGATAGGTTGGATGCCTTGGATGAGTTTGGAGCTTGAGACCGAATGGTATTTCAGAAGCCAATATAATGCTTACTACCGCGCCTCTGCCATGAAGAAGATTCCCATAGAATGCATAAGACCGGGCCACGCCTGGACCTTTTCCGTGTCGGTATCGTCGCTCATATCCTGTATCATCACCACCGCGCCAGCCATTTACCGCAGCCTCCTGGCCTCACGCTCAGACTCGAGCAAGCAGAGGATGTCGTTCTCACGGACTGTGTGCAGTCAGCATTTGGTCCCTACCTCGAGAGCCAGCATGTGCGTACCGGGGCCCTTGACGTTGCGGATGATGCTTCGGGTAGTGTCGTCCATGAACTCGACGCGGCACTGGGTAACACCACCACGGGAGCCTGCCCAAGTCAGAATTCCATCCTCGTGTATTTCCTTTCCATGATTGTGCATCCGCAGACGACGTACCGGTGCGGCCGAGAACGCGGGTGACCTTGACGAGCTTGACGGGGACCTTGGCGGTATCCATTGTGGTAGACTGCGCGGGTCAGCGGGTGCGAAGGGAGGCAGCGTGCTGCGATGGCGGGCGTACTGTGTGAAGTCGTGCGACGGGTGGGTTGTCGGGGTCCGGGTGTGGTGTTGAGCGTGCAGGTGACTTTTCAGCGACGGCGAGTGTCCAGGTCAAAATGAAAGTGTGCGAAGCGAACTGCCCCGGCTCACCGCCCGGCGCGCAGCTAGGCCGGAATGGGCGGCTAGCGCGCTTCGGCGGGGCAGGCAGCGAGCGTGCGCGAGGCTGCTCGCCGGCGTCGTCATGATTGGCGCGCGCCCGCCAAATTTCAGCGCAAAGAGCCTCCGCGATACCGGAGGTGCAGGCCAACACGCCAGGTGCAGAACGGCGGCTTCAGCGGTGCGCTGCGGCCCTCGTGCGGTGCTCATCGCCCATCCGCGCATGCAGCCTGCCGTCTAGACCCTTCCTCGTGCTCGGCATTGGCTTCGCGCACGCAGCGAACGCCCCTCTTTGACGCTACCGAGTCACTTAACTGAGGCCAATTCTGTACACACCAAAACGACAAATCTGCGCATCGGTCCCACGCACGCCCACCGTCTGCATCCACCCCGGTACCCATCCTCAGTCCTCGCAGGCCCAATTACATCCCCCGACGTGGGCACTCGTTGCACGTCTGCATCGCCAGCAATCTAGGCTAGCAGACCTTGACGCCGCGGCCTGCGCCGCCGTACCCCAGATTGAAGCACGGAATAAGAACCATGGAGTTCGTCAGTTCGTACGTCGCCCCCGACCTGCACTCGTCCCTCCACCATGCCTTCCGCGGATCCCTCAAACGCTGTCAATGGCGTCAACGGCCAGGAGCGTCCGGCCATGCGGCAGCGCATGGGGAGCAGGAGTCTTCCCTTCATGACTGACATACTCGGAAACAGCCTGAACGATCGCTTGTTGTTTGCGGTCCCCAAGAGTACGTTCCCTCTTTCATTCCACTTTGGCCATACGCTGCGTTACCCCGCGGAGCGCACCACAGCAGCAGATGAATTGACCCTTCCGCGCCCTCGCGCCCTCAAAATCATGCTTCCGATACTCTGCAGTCCGAATGTCCCGGGTCAGCGCCTTGCGATGCGCCTGTGCACTACCGAGACCATGATTGTAGTTCTGACTCATGCTAGAGGGCCGACTCAACCAGGCATGCTTGGACCTGCTCCACGGCTCAGACATCCAATTCCACCGTCACTCGCGCCTCGATATCGCCCTCGTTAAGAACCTCCCGCTTGCTCTCATCTTCTTGCCTGCTGCCGACATTCCCACATTCGTTGGAGAAGGAAGAGTCGATCTCGGTATCACCGGAAGAGATCAGGTTGCAGAACATGAATGCGCCGAGCCGCCCACGGCCACTACTGGCGTGGTAGAGGTCATGGACCTTGACTTTGGAAGATGCAAGCTGCAGGTTCAGGTGCCTCAGAAGGGCGACATGACCAAGCCGGAAGACCTGATCGGAAAGAATGTTGTCACAAGCTTCACCAACCTCACGGAGCAATACTTCAGGAAGCTGGAGGCACAGCAGGCTGGCGATGCGACCAACGGCGACGCGACTGGCGAGAAGACCAAGCTGAAAACAAAGATAAAGTACGTTGGTGGAAGTGTCGAGGCCGCCTGCGCCCTTGGTGTTGCAGATGGCATCGTCGATCTTGTCGAGTCGGGAGAAACTATGCGCGCCGCGGGATTGCATGCTATTTCTACAGTCGTCGATACGAGTGCCATCTTGATCAAGTCAAAACACCCGTCTGACACCAAGCTGGTGGAACTCATCACTGCCAGGATTAAGGGTGTTATCACTGCGCAGAGATATGTTCTTTGCACCTACAACGTCGAGCGAAGCAAGCTCGAAGTCGCATCCAAGATTACCCCGGGCAAGCGCGCGCCGACAGTGAATTCTCTCGAGGAGGACGGATGGGTTGCAGTTTCCGTCATGGTAGAGCGAAAGCAGATTGCCATCGTCATGGACAAGCTCACCGAGGCTGGAGCCTGCGACATCCTCGTGACGAAAATCGAAAATGCTCGCGCCCAGTAAGGCACAGGAGAAAGGGTGGCTGTAGCGGGAGTTTGAGGATGCAGTCTTGGCCCAGGTGCGGACTGAGTATTGCGGCACGGTATTAACGTCAACGACCTTCACGTACTTGGGATCGGCATAGAACTTTTCTTGGAATATCACGAATTTACGAGAAGAGATAGAGGGAACGGCGCTTACCGTTGTTGCAGGAGATAGAGTGCGCGATCAAATCAAGTCTTCACCACCACATGCACGTACGCTCACCTCAGATTAATATTGAGTGCAGTGAGACCGAGAAGGAGCTTCTGCTCGAATCACTGAGGTGGCCTGGAGCCGGAGAAGGCGTCCTTTGGAGGACCCCTGTAATTTGTCAATAGAGGATATTCCTGAGCCCACTCTGACCTGCAGTACTTCTTCGCTATCGCTCGAGTTGGACTCGATCCCACTGGTCTGACCTATCTGCACTGACCAACCTGCAGGATTGGAAAGTATCCACGCAGACACCCGTTTCAGTATGCAGAATACACATTCCAAGCATGGATCGGGTCCCTACGTTTTTTGGTTACAAATTGAACTGCTCAGCTTCACATCACCGTGTTGCAGATCCCCACACGTCTGGCCACATCCCACGCGCCAGAGGAGTCCGCGGAGACGCTGTCCTACTCGTGAGCGGCTCCCAGTGGTGCCGCTGAAGACTACCAAGGGTCCGGCGTATGTGCTGTGTCGGGAGGAATCTAATATAACTCAATCGTCCACCAATGGGGGCACACGGAAAATACCCGCTGTATGACAGCTTGCCTGCTGCACGCCTTCAGGATTTGGCCTACGAAGTGTTTTGTTAATCTTCTCGACACGCACACAGAGTGCTGGTATTGCATCGATCGAGACCGGATCCATGCAGAAGGCTGGGGCTCTGTACGAGACTGTTGCATTGCATACATATGGCTTTGTTACTGACACCGCAGTGCTGCTCCCACTTGTCGCGCTTTCGCAATATGGGCTGGGATGTACTTGTGCTTGGCCTGCAAGTGTTGAAGCCAACCAAGCTTTCGGACGTCCACAGAACAACATTGTACGGTATATACGACCTACTGTATTTCCGCAGAAACACGCAGCAACACCCAGACGTGTCGGCCAAAGCCGCCAGGTGTCATGCCTTCCGGTCGCTCACCTGTACGAACCGTTGACATCTCGCGGGGGACAAGGCGACAGGAAAAGCAAGCGATCCACTCTTGTGCTCTACGTCAGGACCAAGGTACCGACTCGTATTGTTTGCAACGCGTAACTGGTTTCTTCTAACGTACGACGCGATTTATCCGGTTCCTGTCCACTTCTCGATAACTCTCGTCCGCATGAGACCTATCACTTTTTGCTCTGGGCGGTGTTGAACTTGGATTGCCGGGGAGGCAACGGCCATGCAGAGACACATTAGGTGGGTCAGAGACATGCCTGCTGTAACTCCCAGCGCAGGCGCCATGCTTTCAGACCGCTAGATGCGTGGATTTGCAATTGGCTGATCGGTATACGTCCACTTCCCGATGCGGCTGCGTCTGCTTCTGCTTTTGCTTCTGTACGACCCTACATTACCAGCCTCGTTTGCCGCGCCCATGCTGCGAAACCTGAGAACTTTGGACGAAACGGCACGGACCTGAGCGTGCAGGCTGTACGCGTAGGTCTTATAAGTTGCAGGGTGGACGTATAGAGTTCGTATTCTGCAGTTGGGCATGCGGACCTCATAGATCTAAGCATTTGAGTGCTCCTGTACCTCGCAACCCCAGCTCGTCAACTTCTGCTCCGTCGTGTCGTTCCTGCTGATCTCACCTCACCTGCTCTCATCTTGACTTGCTGCAGGAACATCATGTCTCGAACTCCCCATCGCAAAGCCCGTGCCAAGGGCATCACTTTGGCAACGAAGCGGAAGGCAGCGGCTACAAGGAAGTCGACCGCACCGTCAGGTCCGAAGCGTTCTTCTCGCTTGCCTTCTCGAGCCCGCAAGGCTATCGCCACCCGTCAAGCCGCGAAGCGCGCCCGCAGGCCAAGTTCGAAGAAGAAAAAGGGAAGGGCTTATGAGGAGAGCGATGAGGAGATGTACGACGAGAGTGATGAGATGAGTGATGAGACGAGATGAGGAGAGTGATGAGACAAGTGATGATGGGAGTGATGAGACGAGTGATGAGGAAATGCGTGAGGATACCGATGAAGAAGTAGAGGATGAAGAGGCAGAGGCAGTGGTGGTCAGGAAGAAGGCCGCTACAAAAAGGGTGTCTCGGAAGCAGATGGATGAGATGGTGAGCCAAGCCACTCTCATACTCAAGTTTCTGGCTAATCTATATCAGTTCACTGTTATTGTCCACCAGAATGAGTTTATGCATGAAATGTGGAAACAACTCTGGGCGACAACCAATGGTGGTATGCACCATAATGTGGCTCGTCTTCCGCACCAGCAGTACCAACAAGTTCATCCAACTCAGGTTGACCACCACGCACACCCCATCTCTCCAGCAGTCTCAGCGTCCAATCATGACAACACGGCTGACACTCTCGTAGCTGAGTCAACACGACCATCCTCTTCAAAGACTGGGAACAAGGTCATTGGTAGCGAGCAGAATCCAATCAACGTGAAGGATGAGGACGTGAAGGATGAAGAGGAGCATGCAGTCAGCATGCATATGGTGGCACGCGAGAAACGTGCTACGCCAGACCCCTCGCGCCAACGTGAACAACCCGTACCCAAGACTAGCCAGCCACACCGGAAACAATCCCCCGTTGTGGATGTGAGCAAAAATCGGTCGAGGAATCCCAAATCCAGGAAAGGGAGCGCAGACGTTGCTATTGGTTCTAAGCTTAACAAGGTACGTACCCACCCGCCCCAAGGCTTCAACATGACCCCAGCGATAGCCTTCACCCTGATCTCTTCCATGGACTCACTCCTGGCGGCATTCCTGGACTGACTCCATACTTAGCACGTGCCTCAGGGCTATGCTGACAGTTTTCAAGCGCACTCGCTCGAAAACTCCATTCTTCTCAAAAAGCCGAAACAGCTTCAAACCCCGTAGTGTGCGCAACCGTCGAAGCCTGCGCGATGAACATGTCTACCAATACATTCTCTTCTGCATCGCCAACAAGGTGCGTACATGCACAGTCCGTTCGTTCATCTAACTCACTGACATGAATCAAGATATGGCCTCCTCCGATGCCCATGGTGCCCATTAGGTTTCCATCTCCCCTTCGGGCCCCTCACGAGAACGTCATACCGTGGCTGGCGAAAATAGATCCGTCTCCACCAACCACGGTTCCCGCACTGGAGAGGCCCACTATTACTCGTCCTGACGACAAGGATCATGTTCTACCACCACCACAGACCAACATTCACGCGCGTGAGGGGGACGTTATTGATCCTTCCGTCCGCTTAGATTCTCTGATCGCAAAGCAACACGAGAGCCAAATATCCAAGCAACCAAATATCCGTTTGCGGCGTCGCTTAGCGGCCCCTAACAACAAGGACAAATACGATAAAATGTCGGTCTTTGGCCCGTCTGAGCCCGAGAAAGATGATCCGCGTGATAAAAGTTATGGGTACAGGCCTAGGGGTGGTAGGCGTCGTGGGTGATGAGGAGGGAACCGTTTTGCTGGCGTGGTAAGCTGGGGATGATCCTTCTCGTTGGACTTTCGTTAGTTTTGGCATTACGGCTCTTCAGAGGTATTCAAAAAGGGAGACCCAGGCATATATATCTGGTACTATATGACAAATATCTCTCGATGCATAGCACTGTGACCTGGATCACACGTGCAGTCTCATCTAGGAGGATGTTCGGGTGGCTCTCTCCGCGAGTGTCTCTGTGTTGTTAACGCCAAGGTGACAACCCTGTTTGGAGACGGGCTCTCTAGCATTTGCAGCGCGCATCTGCGAAGTGGTTCTTGAGGCCTTCCATTGCAACTATCTGGCCGTTACACTACCACGGCTGTGTAAACTGCTCTACCAGCGTTGTGCCGTGTATTCGACAATCGCAATGAGAAGTGGCGCGTATCGATGGAGAGGAAGAGCTTACAATAGTTCCAGTATCTGGCAAGACGCAGTCGAAGCCGTTGTATCAAAAAGCCAGCCTTTCAGGAGCGCCCATGCCTCACCGAGCTCTTTCATGGGAGTTGAGAGCTGAATCATTCAGACGGGCAGGAAAGGTCATGATATCGCGTCCTAACCTCCTTTCTTCACCCTCGTGCTCCCCCTACATCAGGCCTGTCCGATAACCATCGTGTTATCCGCTCGCTAGGCCTGTATAGTTACCCTTATACTACCTGCATATCAAGTCTATATAGTTAGCACTGTACATCTGTAGGGGTCCCTCCTTTTCCTAACGTCACTCTGCCGGGGTCGGGTTGGTTTGAGGGAAAATATCATGCAGCGAGTGATTAAACGGAACTAGGTTCAGTAGGTACGTCAAAAAGGGACGATTGCAAAGGTGCAATTCGGTGAGAGAATAGCCTTTTGGCCAGGAGTAACGAGCTTGATAGGCGGCATATGGGAGCATTGGGGGAAATGCTTCTGCGATAGCCCGTGCGACAATCGCCGCCACGTTGGCATATGCTACGTCATCAGCATGAATCCAATCGTGCCATTTCTGCGGGACGTTCAGAATGTCGGACCTGTTTAATGTGGCATCCGGCTTGCCATGCCCTGACGGGCGAATAGGGGCGCCGAGTGCCTTTGAGGTGAGGCGCAAAGTCGGCGGGGAAGAGCGTGTGAAGCTTGTTCGAAACTTGGATAACCGTCGGAGGCTGTGCATCTACTGCAGAGCTATACAATTTGATGGTATGTACGTCAAATTCCGGGCGACCATTGCTTGTGTCCGGGTTCGAGGACGATAACCCGGAATACTGCAGCATCGTAACCTCGTCGATGCCCACCGTTTCGCACTAAGAGGTCCCATTCATAGGCTTTATGGTTTTGGAGCCAGCCTGCCCCTGTCCAAGTAGTGGGACTGGGTGGTTCAACAAGATCCAGTTCTGTACACGACACTTTTAGAGTGGGTAGACAGGCCGACGCTGACAGAGACTGATCGATCTGATGTAGGTGGTATTTGGATGGAGACGGTCAGTTCTACTCCCAGTGTCGAGAAGGGTCCAGAACTTATGATTTGATATGAGGGCGGCGGAAAGCGGCACGCGCTGGGGGTGCTTGATGTATTGATCTCATCTTGCGGTCTGGAGAGTCGACGCTCTCAAGGGGGGGGGCTACTGCGGGCTGCAGGGGTTCCGCTGGCAGTTGCCTGTTCTTGATGCAATGAGCTTTCGGACCTCGTGATGCCCGTGTGAGTATATGACATGGTGCTCTAAGGCCCGGAACGCTTTGCTTGTCGAGTACATTAGAGTGGTAGGCTTGCATCGCCGAGGCGGGAAGAGTGACTACCATAGCGTTCAAGTAGTCATTCAGTGGGCAGTCCATCATTGGAGCTTGCGGGTGACCTTCTTGGCGATGTGGTCAATCTTCGTGGAGTTCAATTGGCTGCCGCTGCTGCCGCGACCTTCTGGTCGAAGACATATTCAGCCCTCGGGGTTGAGGTAGTCGTTTCCGCCCTGGAGGGCGGATTGGACGAAGGGGGTTGCGAGTCCAGCAACATCGGTTGCCATCTAGGATGGTGCAACGGAAATAGAGTAGACACGGAGCAGGTCTGAGAGCTGCGGTGGAAGGAGGAGGCATGTTCGTCCCTAGAGGCGGGCGAAAGGATGCCGCTTCACAGGCGCCAACTTAAGCATTCCTCCCCGGTGCCGGACGAGCTCATGGAACAGTGTGGTCGGCGATGGGATGCGTATTGGCAAATTCCAATCGGCCTCTTCCTTCGAAGTATGGAACTTCTCGGTGCCATAAAGGACAAGCCCTAGAAGCTCGCGATATATACTATACGACCAGAATCACTTAATACGAAGCAATGAATGCACGCCTGGCCTTGCATCGGGAACGCAAAGCTACCTAGGAAACAATCACAGTTGTCTAACTTGTATACGCCAACCCTCTGTAACCAAACATCCACCCTTGGAATGCGACTCAAGTCGCGGCAATTACATTGGGAAACACGCCACTAGCGCCTTGTTGGTGTCATTCGATGAACGCGACGCGGCGGATGACTGCCTAGGTGCAACTCAGGTCTAGACGCACAATTTACCAAATAGCATACGTAAGAATATAACTGAACACTGATGTGGTTCGTTGGAAAAATATTGTTTCCGTCACGTCGATGCTTGGATCTCAATGCGCCAGGACGCAAGGTCCCGATAGGTCGATCAGCGATCACGTGACTCTGACATTCCCGCGGTTCGCATGAGTCCACCAAAGTTGCCAAACCCGATATCATATATCGACCTGGCAACTAAGCAGATGGCGTGTAACACTAGCCTTCATGTGCCACATTACCTTCCAAGTTCATGCTGGGGTCGTGAGCTGGACCCGACCACGGGATCGACCCTTCTCGAAACTCTCCGAAGCTTCCCTGTGTATCCTCACTTTCCATCACACCACTACAACGAAATTACTAGAAAACTCAAGGCTTTAGAGACATCGTATGTAGCGTCATGATGACATTCCACGCAACCTACCCTCGAATATATATACCTCCATTTCATCCTCTGTAGGCTCATCATCAGAATCACAGAAACACAAGTCTTTCATGCAATCACTGCGAACTAGCTTCCGCAAATTTCCATACCGACTCAACCGCATCCAAAAGCGAAGTCTCTCAACCACACCAACAATGTCTCTCTTCCCACGCTTCACTCAGGAGTTTGCTCCCCTTTTCCGCCTCATGGACGACTACGACCGCCGCGTCTTCCGTCCAGACTTGGATGAGCAGTTCCGCTCCATCAAGGCCTTCACTCCCAAGTTTGATGTCAAGGAAGTCGAAGACGCCTACGAACTGCATGGCGAGTTCCCTGGCATCGACCAGAAGGACATCAATATCGAGTGGACTGACTCTCACACACTCACCGTGTCGGGACGCCACGAGACGCTGAGGGAGGAGGGCGAGCGACCTACCGCCGCTATCGAAGGCGCCCCTGCAAAAGACAAGCAACCGTCCGTTGAAGAGGAAGGCACCGAAGCTGAGGGTGGGCAACAACTTGCCAAGCAGGGCAGTCAGGAGGTCGCAAAGAACGACGAAGCACCCAAGCACAAATACTGGGTTAGCGAGCGCTCGGTAGGCGAGTTCCACCGCAGTTTCAGCTTCCCGCAGCGTGTGGATCAGGACGCCGTGAAGGCGAGCCTGAAGAACGGCATTCTTTCCATCCTTGTCCCAAAGGCGAAGAATCCTCAGCCGAGGAAGGTCACTATCGTGTAAGCGGCCACTTCAAACGATCCTCAATCATCTGTCGAAGTAAGGCAAGCAAGCCTCAACGCGTCGGATAATCAAATACCCTATCAACGAATAACGAGTTGTCCTGCACTCCTTCAGCATAATTCCGGTGTTTCCAACGGCCTAGCATGAGTATAGCGTTGATTATCTTTCATTTCTCCGGAAAAACCGCACGTTCCTTGCGATTATTGTTTAAATTCAAGGGTAGTTGAAAAGTTGGCGGTCACTAGGTTTGGGTTTTAAATAGTTTACCATAATTTACTAATTGTTATCCTGACATCAACTTCCGAACCAAAATACTTCCCATGCGATGTCTCCATTGCTGGACCTCACATATTTTAGCCAAAATCGTCAGCTTCTTATAGCTTCACCTCAATTGGACTACCCCTCAACCCCTCTAGCACAGCTGTCGAGCCGTCCCTGACCTCCCGGACAATGTCGCCCGCCGGTTTGACCTCTCTCACAAGTCCCACTCCGCTCCCAGCATACGTTGTCATCCGTGCCTCAAACCCCCAGCCCGCATCCCCTTTCTTCATTTCTTCTTCATACAACTTCTTGTTTTCCTCTTCGTCCATGCCAGACATCGCATCTACGTAGCTCTTATTGATCACACCCCGTGCGTTGTGCGTCTCCGACCATCCCGTAGTGCCCCGCAGATTATCATAGACCTTGGATCTTGCGGTGGACTGACCTCCGTCGCTTGCACGGAGTATCTCATCCCTGTATCCTTTTGATATGTTGGCTTCCGGGCTAGCCAGAAACCGCGTTCCCAGAACGACACCCGAGGCTCCGAGCGCGAGAGCGGCAGCCGCACCGCGAGCGTCTACTACACCGCCCGCCGCTATGAGAATGGCCGGAGAAATCCCCTCTTCTTTGCACATGGCATAAACGTTATCGGACACTTCAGGCAAGAGGGTGATGAGACTCGCGCCTTGAACCAGACCATGACCTCCTGCATCGGTGCCTTGGACGACGAGCGCATCAGGTCGTGCGGCATGCATCACTTCGGCCGCTTCTTTCATGCTGCCGATTTGCACCCAAATCTTTGTCCGCGAGGACGCTTTCCGGGTTTGAGCAGTCCACTCGCATAATGAGGAGATGGAGGTAGGTGCGAAGAACCACACCGCAGCTGGTCGGTACTGTGCTATCAGAGAGATGGCGGTATCCAGATCGGCCCCCCAGTTGATGAATCCTATGCCGATGGGCATGACGTCGTGGTTCATCGTAAGACTGGATTTTTCAATCAGTTTGGCCGCGGCCTGTAGGTCAGAGGACAAATTCGAAGTGTCTGTCCCGACCCCGATAAACCCTAAACCGCCTGTGAAATGTTACAATGGATTTAAACGTCGTTTTGAAAGATGAGCCGGGCTAAGTGGTGAGAAATAGCAAGGAAAGATGATGGATGTTAATTACCTGCTTTGGAAATCTCAACAGCCATGTCTGCCAGCGCTATTAGGCGCATCGGCGCACCTACTACGAGGGGTGTTTGTATCCATGGATAGTCTTCCCTGAGTCGTTGCGCACCCTCCATGACCTCGCCGAACTGTCAGATGTCTCTTTAATTGTCAATTTCCACAAAGATGGCTGGAATCTCAAGAACAATGGCTCGAGGCTGTGTTATTCGGCGATCTCGTAAATTGTAGGCAGCAGATCTGTGAGTGAGTTACAAGCGTGGTGTCTCGATATGAGGGTTGATGATGATGCTTCTCCTCGGCCTAGTTCGGCTTGCCGAAAAGAGGTCACATGGCGCGCACACTCGGAAGATGTTCCGGGTTTCTTCTTGATCTCTTGGGCATATCATGAATGAACATTGCACTCGCTCAAATCGACTGGGTCATAGTTGCTCAACCAACGTTACGTCTTTACAGATTTACATACATACCCCATCTATAGTATTGTACAAATGCGCTTTCTGCCCTCGACGCGTCCAAATCGTGCATGTTATATCCTCAATCGTACACTGGCTCTTTCCAACTCGCCAATATTGCCCATTCCTGCTAGGCTCCACTTCTCGGTCACAAAGCCGTCATCAATCTTTGCGCGGAGCATGCCGCTCTCCGCATAGTACTCCATGATGGAACGTGCCTCGTCCTTGCTCAAACCACCGACTTTGATAACGTCCAGCGGCTTCAATTGTTCCTTTGCCGTGGGGCTGTGGAGGTCCTTCAAAGCCTCCATGACGCGCGGGTCGATGTTCTTGTACGGATTCCAACGAGGAGTCTTGCTGGGATCGACTTGTCTTGCCTCAGCTACCTGGACTGAGAAGTCGAGCGCTGGGGTAGACGGAGCGTTCGACTGGGATGTGGCAGCGAGGATCACACCGCCGTTGGGAAGAGACTTGGCGCCGGAGAGGTGGTCGATAAAGTGCCTGATTATGGTGAGGTCGAACGAGTGGATAGGCTTCACCTCGGCGTTGAGGTAGTCGGACTCCTTCATCATGTGAGCCGTGCCATCGACAGCGAGCATGATGGGCGGTCGACCAGGCTGTGTGAGCTCCTGCCACAGCGCCACAAAGACGGGCCACGAGGCTTCAGGGTTGACTATGCCAAGCTCGATGAGTTGTTTGAGGGTGGCATCTGCGGGCAGCGCAAGAGGTAGTGCGGGGCTCGTGGTGACCTTGATCTTCTCGAGCATGGGGTTCTCGGCGGTGTTGTTGGCTTTGAGGATCTGGCTCAGGAGGCTCGCGGTGTAAGTCTCCTGGGTGTACTGCGTGGGCTGAGAGTCTGGGAGAGGCGCGTATTCGGTGTGCGCATTGATGATATCCTGGGCTGCGGGACATTAGCAGCGTGCGCGAGAGGTGTCAGACGGCGCACACACCTTCGGGGAGATTGATGACTATCCACTGCCTCACGAAAGCCATGCTCAGGCCCTGGAGCAGGAGGGTGCTCTTTCCGCTCAGTCTCTCGCCGCTCAAGACCCTGCGCAGGGTCTTCTTGTCGTCCTCGGCGGCCTTCATGACCTTGGCAAGCTCAATCGTCTCCTTGCGCATCAGCGTTGCCGGTCTCCTGAACAGACTCCAGCCCTGGGTCGTCTTGAAAGCCTCCACGGCTCGGAGCGCGTCGACGGTCGCTTCGGGGATGCCCAGCACGCGGCCCTGGTTGGCCTCGCTGAGGACGTCGGCTTTGGTCATGTCTTTGAGCGTCGCCACCTCGAGGGCGTTGTCGTTGGTGAGCACGATGCGCTTCCGGGCAGCTTTTCGCTCGCCCTGGGCTGGGCGCTTCCCCGTGTCCTGCACCGTGTTCCTGCCCTTCTTGACGTTCAGCGTCTTGTTGCCCTTCTTGGTCTGCGCCATGCCCTTCTTCTTGGACACTGGGTTGGCATACCGCGCGGCCGACGTGGAAAAGCAGGCCATCTGGGCGTGGGCGCGGGCGCGCGAGGCCATCGAGGCGCGGGCGGCCGAGTCGAGGGACAGCTGGGAGAAGCTCCGCAGGCACGTTGGCGGAGGCATGGCGGGATCGAGGCGCGGCGCCTCTGCAATGGCGAGCTGGGGGGCGGATGCGGATGCGGATGCGGAGGCTCGCTGGCTGTCGCTGCCAAAAAGCACCAAAGCACCACCCATCGGAGGTCCGCTGCCAGAGCTAGCGCCCAACGCGGCTAGCCACGTCCCCCGGCCAGGAATTTTTGTGCACGCAGCAGCAGCCCGGCGCTCCCACCTCGCAGCGTCGCGCACCCGCTCACCCACCCACACGCACAATGTCTGACACGGAGATGGACGGCGGCGTCGCGCTCAACGGCGCCGACGCAATGCACGCGGCCTCCCCGCCCAACGCAGCCATGAGCATGACCGACTCGACCCTCGCGACCAGAAGGTGCGATCCCGCCCGCCATGCGCATGCCCCGCTGCACTCTTGCTGACCTGGCGCAGACCCGTGACCGTCGACAAGCCCACGCCCTACACCTTCGACCTGGGGAACCTGCTGGCGAACGACCCCAATCCCGTGGCGCGTGACGCCGACGAAGCAGCCCTGCAAGCCAACGCCCGCGACGCCGCCCAGGTCCTCGTCAACCAGCTGCTCAGCACCTGCGAGATCAAGTCCTCGGCCGATGGCGTGCACCTTGTACTCCCCCCGTGCACCACCCCGCTGCCCCGCGAAAAACCCATCCCCGCCGAGAAGCCGCCTACCAAGTGGGAGCTCTTCGCGAAGAAGAAGGGCATCACCAAGAATAAGAACGACAAGACCAAGCTGGTTTATGACGAGGCTACCGGCGAGTGGGTCCCCAGGTGGGGCTACAAGGGCAAGAACAAGGAGGGCGACAACGAGTGGCTTGTTGAGGTCGATGACAAGAGGGAGAAGGAGACTGGCGAGGCCCACGATGCGAGGGCCGACAGCAGGGCTGCAAGGAAGGAGAAGATCCGGAGGAACGAGAGGAAACAGCGCGCCAACGAGCGCAACGCTAAGAAATCTGGCTAGGGACATGGCATCTGTGCGGCTCAAAGATGATGGGTGAGGGATTCTCGCAATGCATTGGGCGGCGTTAGGGATATTATATGATACCGGCGTATATGGCTTGAAAATGGCACCATCTTGGTCCTGGCAGCGAGCGGCAGGAAGCATCAAGATGCAACAGGTTGAAGCTCGTGTTGAAGAGTCCAGCGTTGCTTATGTTGTTTAGCCAAGAGTAAACTATGAAGTGGGATCACTGCTAATGTTCCTGCGCTGCATTGCCACATGTCTTCCCCTCCTCAACATAGGCCGTGTAATCGTCCTTACCTCCACATTGTGACTTTGAAAGCACTAAGTCGTAGAGCTTCTGCGATCAACATGGCACAGTGTGGAGCTGCGTAGGCATGTTCATAGAGAAACGGTGCTTGAGTTTACGATTCCAGTCATTCGAGTCGGTCCAATTGATTCAATCAGTCCAATCGCCATGTTTATATCAAGAAAATCGAACATCGTTCCAGCTAGTTGTGCTGCACTTTCCGATCTATTAGAGTGGAGAACCTCGACGTTGTATTCCCAAACATCTGCCCAAATTCCAGGTCTTAGCTTCTTTAGCGAACCAACGGCGCCCCTTGTCCGGCCCACACCGCGCACCAAATTTGCCCCGCCATCACTGCGCCAGTCTTTGCAACATACCAGGTTTCCAGCAATCTGCCACAGGACTTAAAATTTTTGGAATATATTTTTTTAATTTTGGCCTCTTGACATCAATTCACTACAGTTTGTAGTGGATCGTGCCCCAACCTTCTCAAAAGGTTGTGTAGTGTAGCGGTTATCACTCCGGATTCTGATCATATCAGGACCTTCCGGCAACCCCGGTTCGATTCCGGGCACGACCTATCTTTTGCCATTTCTTTTGCTCCAGCTGAGTGCTGGGACCATATAACTAGCTCACCTTTTTGCAGCGAACGGTGGGCTTTTTACCCTGGCATGGCACCATACAGTAGTACAAAGGACACCTCTCGTAACATCTTGCTGAGCTTGCATTCATCGAGTCTCGAACATTTGTTTGGCACGCGTAACCACATATACTCGGTGCTCCTCTGGTAACCTAGAGACCTACGTCCACTTTTTCAGAATTGCTAGAGAGCTATCTCCGGCAATCGAAAATACGGGTCCCCCCAATACTTGCGGGCCACGGGGCGTACTCGTGGACTGCAAGGAAGGCTCCCTAAGCACCTAGGCATGTATTACCTATTCATACACGGCCTGACAACGGCCCAAAGCCTGATATACATAAAAGTATGCTATAGAAGGACATGCAGCGTGGCGAGACCTGGCCCAGCGTCTGCCGCCAAAACAGAGTCAACGAGGCACACCATGCTCAGCTCGGCATTGTTGTTGGCATTGGTTCGAGTGATACCGGCACTGTACTTGATTGCTCTCGTTACGGTGGTGGAAGAACATTGCCTGGTGAGCATACGTGTTTCGTCCTTGATGTCCCTTTTTTCCGCTTCAATCTTCACAGACTATAGTCGTGGTAATACCCGTTTCTTTTCGAAGACACTCGATAAATATAGGCGTTCTTGTTGGTGAAATAGTCGAAAGGCACATGATTATACAGTGGCGGCTTCCTAATGATCTTCCATTGTTCGAACCAAAAATTGCTCTCTCAGAATGCATCGACGCTCAGAGATCCCCTTGCAGCTGTAGTCAACGCACAAGGCGACGATGATCTGCCTCCCGGTAAGCTCCGACACTGAATCTGTCAGTGACGCACCAACAGCGGACCCGTCACCCGTTTACCACAACCTCAAGCTGTCTCGGATCAGAAGAAGGCTTAAACGCGTAGTTGCGAACCGTGGAACATATCACGAACGATCGTTTTCCTCTCGAACATGCCCTTCACAAGGATTCTAAGATCATGCCAGGAAAGACGAGGTGTTTCTTCATCTATGCCGGCGAAGCAGGCAACAATACACGTCAGACCTTTGATGTACCCTAGGAATTGTAAAGACGCGCTTCTTGCTGCCAAAGGAGATTTAGTATATGATAATTGGCCCGTCGAATTACTTCGGTGAATATGGTAAGCCCTATGTATTGCAGCGCTCTCGATAATAAGATTCAATTGTTCCATCTGTGGCTTTTCATCTTGTCCACGTCCAGGTTAGGGCCAGTAGCGTGTATCTTTGTTGTCGTCGGGCAAGACGTATCTTTGCAATTTGGCATACATGGCCGGTTGCATCCGGGATCCGAGCTTTGAGTGTTTATTGACAATGCGCGCTTGCAGAAGGCCAAAGAGCACCGTAGAAAACTTCTATCTATGTTCGCATTGATGTGATTGAACATCCATGCCACCAAAAGACGGCATCTGAGCAAACCTTGTTCCTGTGAAGAATTGATCTGGCAGGTGAGGGAACGAGGATGTCGCGACGCTGGGGTCATGATTTACCCTCCTAGGCCCCCATTGGTCCAGCTGGAACGGCGACCACAGCCCGTCCCCACCCCCAGATTCATAACGGCCCAGCTGGGATCGGCAACAGGTACATTCAGCTTTCCACGATAGTCCAACTCCACCTCAACCTCCTCCAAACTTCGCTATGTGGATTCGCTGTCGCATCGCTATCCTTTGTGTAGTCTAACGTAACCACGCGACAATGGGTCTCGGCATCCTCGAGGATCATAAGCTGGAGCACGTCCCTGGTACGCGATCAGGGGTCCTGAATGGAAACATGCGGGGCAGCTAACACAGCGCATAGGAACGGCAAACGTACTCGAAGATGAACGAAGGAGGCAAGAAGAGCAAGGGCAAGCTCGCGATGCGGGTCTGAAGTACGATAAAACGGGGAAGATACTGCTCGTCCCTCAGCCTTCCGATGATCCTAATGATCCTCTGGTACGCGTTCTACCCAGTCAGAACCACGAATCTACAGCGAATATGCATCGTGAATGCTCACGAATCTCATGTAGAACTGGCCACTATGGCAACGCGACCTCATCGTATGCATTCTCTCCCTCATCTCGGTGATCGCAGCAACTCTCTCCCCTCTGCTCGCCGCAGACACCGTATCCCTCGCCATCTACTTCCAACGCTCATTTACGGACATGGCTCTACTCACGGGCTACCACCTCCTCGGCGTCGGCCTTGCAGGCTTTCTCTTCGTGCCATCAGCGAGGATTTGGGGGAAACGGCACGTATTTCTCATAGGAGCCGTGACCGTCATACATAGCAGTGCTTGGGGTGGCGCCAATGGCAAAAATTACAAGGTTCTCCTATGGGCACGTATTATCCAAGGTGTAGGACTTGCACCGTTTGAAGCACTCGTCAATGCTTCTGTGGGGGACCTCTATTTCGTGCACGAGAGGGGTCTGAGGATGGCACTCAGTAATCTTGCCTTGTTCGGTGGCGCGTTTTTCACTCCAGTTCTTGTGGGCAAAATCGCCGCGGAGATCGGGTATGAGTGGACGTTCTACTTCGTCGCGATCTTCACGGCCATGCTCTTCCCGTTGTTATTCTTCTTCTGTCCTGAGACGACCTACAAAAGGGAGCAACGGTTCGATATCGACACAATGGGAAACATGGTGGAGCAGACGCCGCCGCCGGTGTCAAAAGAGATAGCAGTGGAATCTTCCGCGGATACATCAGGCGAGCTTGACAGAGCGGGGAGTGGGGCAAATGCTGAGAGCACTGGGCAGCAGCCGCATCTTCGAACCAAGGTCTCGTGGAAAAGGAGTCTTCTACCATTCAATGGCCGCCACACGGACGAACGTTATCTACACCTTCTCCTTCGTCCTTTCCCACTCTTTTTCCATCCTGGCATTCTCTGGGCTTGCCTCATTCAGGGCGCATTGATCGGATGGACAGTAATGATCGGTGTTGTCTTAGCAGCTATCATGCTAGGACCTCCGCTTTGGTTTGGGGAGGAGAAAACCGGGTATATGTATTCAGGTGCCTTCATTGGAGCGCTCATCGGCTTCATTCTCTGCGGTCTCGTGTCAGACTGGTCGGCTAGGTTTCTCACGCGTCTCAACCACGGCGTCTACGAGCCAGAATTCCGTAAGTTCCCTCATTTTGTCTCGATCCAAATCCCTTGAGCAAACCTAACGAATATATGAAGGAATGTTCCTTGTGCTCCCACAGCTCGTGTTGGGATGTGCAGGCTTGTATGGATTCGGCTTTACGGGTGGTGACCCATACAAGTATGGATGGTTCTGGCCCGACTTCTTTTTCGCGCTGGAGGTGGCAGGCATGGTCTGCGGTGCTGTCGCGAGTGCTTTGTACATCGTTGATGCGCATCGTAAGTCGCCTTTGTCCCCACTCGAGACTTTCGAGACTGACCCAGTCTAGGCGACATGTCCGTCGAAGGCTTCACTTGTCTGCTCGTCTTCAAAAACATTTTCTCTTTCGCTCTCACGTTCAAAGGCTTCGAGTGGATCCAAAGAGGCAAAGTGAGGCCTGTGTTCACCGCTATCGCAAGCGTTCAGGTTGGCATCTGCATGTTGACTATCCCTATGTGTTAGTCTCTGTTTTACGTTCTCTTGGGAGGTGCTAACGCAGAGCACAGATATTTTCGGCAAAAAGAGTCGCTCTTTCTTTCACCGGCACAACGTGTTCTTCAAAGTTACTGATGCGATTGCGGATAAGATTATGATGCCATTAGACTGGAGTGTAAGAAAACTCCTGGGGCATTGAGTCGACTCGAGACGATGGTTGGAACTCAATTCGATATTTTGCGAATTATTTGCTCGATTGATAATGTAATATATGGTATCGTTTGGTTCCATTCTCACTCGCTTCCATTCTTTCAACAAATCTGTGCAGGGGTCTATATTGCCCGGATGACCCTTGCTTATGCCTCTCCCTCACCATCCTTCTTCTTTCCCTTGCCCTTCATTCCACGTATAGCCTTGCCTATCGCCCTACCGATGGCTCCAAAACCAAAGCTCCATCCCTTGATCCGAACGCTCCAGATGAAGAAATACACCAACGCCCAGTTGCTGATGCAAAACGCAAGGAAAATGCCAAAGTCGCGCCACTTGTCGCTAGCCGATATGTTCAGCGCAGCTAGATAGTCGTCTCCCGAAGAGTATGGGCAGTACATGCAGCCGGACGTCGCGTCGGGGTTCAGCAAATATCCTGGGGACTGCGACAAGAAGCCATCCGCATACGAACTGCATGTCTGACCAGGTGGCGTATCGAATAGCGCAGTCTCGCTCGACTCACACTCAACCGGAATCCCATGGAGCGTTGCCGCTAGCACACCACCGATCCAGTAAGTACTCGGGTTTACGTAGTACATTCCGTACTTCCAAAACACCGCAAGCTGCGTATACGGTCTGACCACACCGTTGAAGAGACTGAACATGACGAAAAAGAAGGGCAAAACGTTAGAGATGACAGTGAAGCTGGGCGCGAAAGCGCAGATCCACTGACCCCAGGACGAGATGAACAAGTAGAACAGCATGGTCATGAGGAAAACGTAGCCGGCAGTCGAGCTATCCGTTGGAAGCCCAGTAGGGAAATACCAGAGGAGCCAGTATAGGACAGAAGAGACGATTGCGATAGGGACCTCGGCAAGGACTTGAGCGGTCGTGAAGGCCACCCAGCCGTAAATACGCGAAGGGAGCTCGCGTGCTTGCCAGAGTGCCATATTCTGGTAGAATTTCGGAACCACAGCATTCACAATCGTAGGAGGGATGAGAAGGATTAGAAAGGATGTGAACATGCGGTTCTGCATGTCGCCAATGCTGTTGCCGAGCTTCCAGAAGGTGAAACCGTTGAAGATGCCGACAATGACAGCGACGAAGAGCTTGCCGTAGAGGTAGGAGGGATCGCGCCAGTACTGCGTGAACACGCGCTTCGTGACCATAGTCGTCTGTAGCCACACTGGTGCAGCGAATTCGGTCGCTTCGTCGTGTTTGTTTTCGGAAGCCTTCTGGCTGCGCTCGCTATTGACCCGCGTGATTTCCTGCAGCATCTCCTTGTTGTTGGACGACTTGGCCCACTCCTCGTTCCAATTGATCCTCGTTCCGTCTTTGCGTTTGACAGGTTTTGCGGCAGTCTCAAGAATAAACTCGGCGACGTTCTTGCTGGGAGGACACTCCACTCCGCGATCGGCGAAATATTCCGTGACGTCTTTGCCGTTTTCGCCTACACGTCCAAAATAGAAGGTATTTCCACCCGGATTCAGCGCGAGGATCATATCAAATTGCTGTAAACGTTAGTGGGGGGCTGGCGGGGGCAGCGGCGGCAACGTACCTGGATGAGGACCGAGGAGGGTTGATGTATGGTACAAATGATGGCTTGGCCAGCAGAAGATAGCTTTTTGAGGAAGCGAACGATTGAGTAGGCTGAATTTGAGTCTAGTCCTGAGGTAGGTTCATCAAGGAACAGTAGCAAACTAGGCTTAGCCGAAAGTTCCACCTGAAAATTATTAGTATGAGTTCAGGAAGGGTGGGTGAACACTTCGTGTGACTTACGCCTATGGTTAACCGCTTTTTCTGTTCCACACCCAAGCTAGAAACGAGAGCATCTTGGCTCTGCTGAAGCTCAAGCAGATCGATGATCTTGTCCACGTATTCGATCTTCTCCTGTCGAGGGATTTTGCGATCTTGTCTCAGAATAGCAGAGAACTCCAAAGCTTCCCGAATAGTTGCAGTACCGTCATGAAGGTCCATCTGCTCGCAGAAGCCGGTTCCCCGTTGGAACCCAACGTCCAAAGGCTTGCCGTCTACGAGCATATCGCCTGAAACGACCCCTATTTTCTGGCGCTGGCTCAATGTGTTCAGTAGCGTCGTCTTGCCAGCTCCAGAAGCACCGACAAGAGCGATCATTTGCCCCGGTTTTACGTAGCCCGAGACTCCATTGAGTAGCTTCCGCTCACCTCCCTGGTACGGCACCGTATATTCGACATTTTGCCAGGTAAAGACGCTCTCACTGCTGGAGATCTGCTCCAAGGCTTCTTCATGTTGTGCTTCCGTGGTCTCGCCGCTCAAATCACTCCCAGTGCTATCACCAGCAACGGCTTTCTCCTCATCGGAGGGGGCCTGTTTTACTGCCTTTTTAGAACGCTTTGACTTCTTGAAAATTAATGCACCGCCACCAGCCGAAGAAAAGGAAAACTTTTCGGTTGCCCACACAGTGACTATGATGTAAAGTACCGCAAAAGCGATGACCACCGCCCAATTCCTCCATAGATTACTTCTCGAATAATTGAAGCTTGTTGCCAGGTATGCGGACCCGGGAACGGTGCGTGCATTCGGTTGAGCGCCAGTCAGCGCACAGCCTTGAAAAGTCGGGTCCACGTCAGGTCCTTGGGGTACAAGTTGAGATGGCGAGCACTCCATGACTCGATCCGAGAACTCGTTGGAAATGACTCCCTCGAACGCGTAGCTTATAGGGTTGACCCACTCTAGCCATCCGAACCAGATATACTTGTTGAGCAGTTGTGGTTTGGGTATCACATATCCCTATTAGTGCATCAGTTGTGTAAGTAATATAGCGAGCCAATGTTTGGAGTATTACCGTGTATAAGATGAGCAGATTCAATGCAATGCCGGAGAATCGCACAGCGTCATCGATTGTTGGCGATAGCGCAGCAAACATTCGATACAAGGACGTAATGCAAATCGTCGTGGTATATACAAAGAGCATATAGATGAAGAACTTCGATACGTCCACATCCAGTTCCGTCATGAAGTACATGATTAGTACAAATGGTACGACCTGAAAGAGCAACAACGGAAAGTCTTGAAGCACACGCGCCAGCGCAACAGCGGAAGGCCGATAGAATGCGTAGTCGTTGTGGCGCTTGACGATCACTCGACCAGAGACGGCCTTGAGAAGTTCCGAAAGTTGTAGCCAACCCAGGAAGAGGATCGAGAAGAAAAGGGCGCCGCCGCGCGAGAAAGCGCCACTGGAATCTAGACTCTCGCCATAGAAAAGTGAACCCACGATGAGACCGTTGCTGATAATGATGAAAAACTTTGTGAAAAGTGTTGTCTTGTCGCCCCATGTCAGCCAGAGCTCTCGCTGAGTACAGGCCAGGACCTGGCGCACGAAGCTGACCGTATAGGGTGACTTCTTCGATACCGTTTTGCTCTTGCCTTCTTGGACAGCGCCCTCGAATTCTCGTGCATCAACGTAGTCTGACCGTCTGAGCTCGACCTCATATGTGTCAACCTCCCGCAGGACGCGTTTGTAACTCTCAGATTGTCGGAATGCTGCTTCGAGTTCCTCTGGTGTCTTAGGTGTTTTATGCTCGTAGCCTTCACGGAATTGTCTCTCGCCAGGGTCAGTACAAGCCGTCAAAAAGTCGGCCGTTGTTTGTCGTTCTGGGGCTTTGAACCCCAGATCGAAAAAGTATTTGCTCGCTTCATTTGCCGGCCCTTGGTAAATGCATCGACCTTGATCGATCACCATGACTTTGTCCATTAATTCGTAAATGCCTTCGCCAGCTTGGTATAATGTCACAAAAGTCGTCCGGTTGCTAATGTCAGTCATGATACGCAGTGACTTTGCGTAATCTAGCGCAGTGGAGGCGTCCAGACCTCGAGTCGAGTTGTCCCAGCATACGCAAGTACTCTTGGTCGCAAGTGTCTCCGCAATTGAAACTCTCTTGCGTTCTCCTCCGCTTACACCGCGCACAAACTCGTCACCAACCGGGGTATACCGGGTGTGCGAAATCCCGAATATCTTCAGTAGTGCTTCCAGAATCACCGGTATGTGGTCCCTGTCCTTCTTTTTCGTCTTGTTCAGGAGTGCAAAGTAAAGTGTTTGCCAGACATTGAGCTCTGCGAAGTGCACGTCATCCTCGGCGTTGTAGTTGACTTCTCCGCGGAATTTCTTTGCTTGCTCCTTTGCGGGTATCCCGCCGTATGATACGTCCCCTTCTACTGAGGCATAGCTCTCTCGTTGATTGGCCAGTACCTTGAGGAGGGTGGAGCATCCTGGGATTGATTAGCGTGGGAACTGCAACCGAATCGAAAATTTATATATACCAGATCCAGGACGTCCAAGTACAAGCATCATCTCTCCATCCCTCACACAGCCTTGGAAGTCGTGGATCAACGTTCGGGTCTGAGAGTGGCGGGATAGCTTCAGTGCGGGTATAAATCGAGATACCAATTTGTACAAGTCAGGTCCGAAGGTACCGATGATGGCGTCTGGAAGCGTCCTCACGAAGGTTGACGTGCTCCCAACACCTTGTACAGTGAGGTTCTTCCAGATAACCCCAACCTTCTTCGCAGACTGCCCATTCTTCCGCTTCTCGAAATGACCCTCCTTCATGAAAGCTCCCAACTCAAAGTCATCTTCTTTCTCAGTAGCCGCATCTTCATGATCGCCACCAGTATTACTTTCCGTCGCCGCCACTGAGTGTCGTCGCTGTACTCCGCTCCTCCCACTCCGTCGGCTGATTGTCTTCACTAGTCCGTCCGCACGTTCTGAGGCTCGCGACTGTGTTCTCGACATGGTCGTCAACCTCTCTCGTAAGACCGCAAACTCCTCCGCGGCGTGACGAGTGTCGATGTCACCCGCGTCCCGCTCTCCCCAGGTTCCTCCAGCATTGGGTCGATATCCATCCTCATCGGATTCACTGGCGGCGCTGTCTTCCGGTGGCGTTTCAACCTCCTCTAAGCGATCCGGGTGATTTTGTGCTTCATTGTGCCAAGGATTGCGTCGACTGTCCTCCGTGTTGCTGCGGGTAAGACCGCTTCCCCACATCGTTGCTGTATCAGTGGAGAGTGAAAGGGCAGATGGATAGCATTAAAGACTAATTTGTGATGGTTTTGAGGTATGACAGAGATTCGTAGAACACAAGGTCTCAATTGTCAAATATACCATTGGTACACAAACTGTTGAAGCAAGGGACATGCAGGGTGCCGTTTGCGTGTGGAGACACGGTGGATCAAGGTGAGTAATGTGCACGTTGACAAATGCTCGCCGGAGTCAAACGGATTTACGCGATATACGATTGTGAGGACGTCATTGTAGAACTGGCATGAATGGTGGGTCTCAGCACTGTGGTTTCGCGCTTATGGCAAAAAGACTGAGCTAGTCTGCCGCCATCTGCAACGTTAAAACTCTATATGCCAATCGGAACGAGTTCGTCGACTCGATCCCAGGTCAAGAGGCGGCAGATCGACATTCTTGCTGAGTCGTGTTGGTGTATTGTGATTGTTGCAGAACGGTGTGAGGAGCCGTGGGAGCCTTATCGATAAGCATTTCACTTTTTCCGCACATGGTGATTGGACAGTGAGTCTTGATGACGCAGCACGTTTCATTTTGCAATGTCCGAAAGTGGTTTGCGATACGCGACAAGCAGACGCTGTTGTCAGCGGCCAAGCGCTTTTCGCTTGTTGGGCGAATTGCATCGTTGTCTTCGGCCCTACACATGTACAATTTTGTTTTCTCCGGTCTTGTCGCCGAGTGTGTCCGTGCCAGATACGCGTGAGTCCACACGCTGATACAGCTCCGAGGAGGCAAGCGTTATGGGATTCTCACGTCGGGCTGATGCTGACAGCGGAGGGAGTAATAAGGGGACCTTGGCTCGCCTGTTGTTCTGACTTTCTTCTGACCTTGCTGAGGAATCCGTGGCCAAGTCGAAGATATGAAGACACGGCTTGAGTACGTGAACGTACAATGCTTATGGGGATGCCAAGATGACCTCGCGAGGCTTTACTGAGTTATCGCCGCTGTTGACTCCGAAGTACCTATGGTATGGGTGGATGCACAGCACCGAATATTATCGGAATGAGCCTGCTGGGCTATCGAAGATCTTTCCTGAAAGTGTTGATACGAAACATGTCTGTACTTAGTACGTCTATGAAGGGACGTTGCTAACAGCCTGCACAATCGCACCGCTCTTGCCTTGATCTAGACCGTCCAAAATTTCCATGTCCTTAACATCCAGCTCAAAGCCATAGACATCCGCGTTCTTCTCGATTCTCTTCGGCGAATCGGATTTGGGCAAGGGAACCCAACCCTTCTCTAGAGCGTAACGGATGAGTACCTGGTTCGGCGACGTCTTGTGTTTGTTCGCAATTTCGTTGAGCGTTTTGTCGTCGACCTTCTGGTTGCGAACGATCGGGCAGTATGCTTCAACAACAATGTTGTTTTTCTTGCAGTACTCAACAGCCTCACGTTGCTGGCACCACGGATGGAGCTATCGTGAATGAATGCAGCTCTGGCTTAAGATCACCTGTGCAGTACATACCTCAATCTGATTGACGGCTGGCGGCCATACCTGCCCAAATTCTTTAATCTCTTCAATGTGCCCAACTCCGTAATTGCTGACTCCGATGTCCCGCACTTTACCATTCGCTTTCGCCTTCTCCAAAGCCTGCCACATCAATTTTCTACTCTCTTTCCCACCATTGGGACTGTGTATCAAGAAAAGGTCCACGTAGCCATTCTTACCGTCCAACTTCTCAACGCTGTCTTCGATGGACTTGTATGTCGACTCAATGTCTTTGCCTGGAGAAAGAATCTTGGTGGTGATGTAGAGCTCGGAGCGGGAAACACTGGAGTCACGAACAGCTCGGCCGACGCTTGTTTCATTGGCGTAATACTGCGCAGTGTCGATATGGCGATAGCCAGCTGTGATTGCGGTGAGGCAGGAGTTCACGCAGGTAGATAGCGGGGATTGGTAGACGCCGAAGCCGATATGAGGAATCTTGTACTTGGAGTTGGGAAGTGTGAGAGCGGACGTTAGGCTTAATTTGGAAGCCATGGTGGAAAGCCTGCCATTGAGGTCAATGGACTGGAACTGCGTAGAAACACTTCCTTCAGCACTCACGAGATTGAAAAGCCTAGGAAAGGTAGAAGGTGGAGCACGGGAAGCTCGAAGAAGAGCTGTTCCTAGGTCTCAGAGCTCCATTGTTCAATTACCTATTCCTCGTGTGGTGATGTCAGGATGCCGCAGCCTGTTGCCGGGATGGGCTTTGGGAGCAAATGCGGTTAGCAGTCGGGTCTTAGTCGCAACGCGCAGGTGCACAAGGCCATGTGCATCTCTGGTACTGATTACTGGCTCTATTTCTCTGCATGTACGTAGCATTGTGCGTTCAAGTAGTGTACAGCATACACATGCGACATGAGATGGAAGAGCTTTGGAGCTCCCCCAAAACAACCCCGCGCTAGTCAGAGCGGGGCGGCTGCTCTCAGATTTTGTGGCGTCAACTTGCGCGGGCAGCTTGGGCAAACACAACTTTTTCTTCAGCATTAGCAAGTACTCCCGCAAGCTTCGCTGCGAGAAGTCAGCATGGTGCTCCAAGCCATCAAGTACTCCAGGGGCCAGCTGGAAATCCTCGACCAGTTGAAGCTTCCCCATGCTGAAGAATATGATCATATCTACTCAAGCACCGACGCGTGGCATGCGATCAAGGAGATGCGAACGCGAGGCGCCCCAGCCATTGCCATTGTAGCGGCATTGGCACTGGCCGTCGAGCTGACGAATATGAAGCTACCTTCCATCGCCGAAGAAGTCAAGGTCTTCATCATCGAGAAGCTGGACTACCTCGTCACGAGCAGACCCACCGCTGTAAATTTGGCAGATGCGGCGCGCAAGCTGAAGAAGGCGACTGAAGAATCTGCTACCAGGGAAGGAGCCACTGGCGATTCAGTACGAGAAGCCTACGTGTCGGCATCAGAGCAGATGTTGATCGATGATGTGAGCGACAACGAAAACATTGGACGTCATGGCGCAGACTGGATAGTGAAGCACACGATAGCTGCAAAAAAGGGTCCAGTGAGCATGTTGACTCACTGCAACACCGGGTAAGCCATCTGCTGTGTTCTCGTGGTCATCGCTGATCAAACAGTTCTCTTGCCACGGCTGGATACGGCACTGCTCTCGGGGTCATCCGGTCTTTACACGCTCAGGGCAACTTGAAGCATGCTTTTTGCTCTGAGACCAGGCCTTACAATCAAGGGTCCCGTCTGACAGCATTCGAACTTGTGCACGACAAGATACCAGCCACACTGGTAACGGACTCAATGGCAGCAGCTTTACTTCGCCTAAGGGGACCGAGCGAGAACATCGCTGGCATTGTTGTTGGTGCAGACAGGGTCGCTGCGAATGGCGATACCGCAAACAAAATTGGGACCTATTCACTGGCCATCCTCGCAAAGCACCATGGCGTGAAGTTCCTAGTTGCTGCGCCGCGGACTACCATCGACCTCGATACCAAGTCTGGCGCTGATATTGTCATCGAAGAGAGACCAGGCAAGGAGGTGACGCTCGTGAAAGGACCCAGGCACGACGGCGTGAATCTGGACCTCGGGGTCGTCGAAACAGTCAGCATTGCTGCGAACGGAATCGGAGTCTGGAACCCAGCCTTCGACGTGACGCCGGCCGAGTTGATTGATGGGATCATCACGGAAGTGGGAGTAGTGGAGAAGGACAGCAAAGGCGTGTTCCATTTGGACAAGGTATTTGAAGTGGCAGGTTCAACGATCAAGCCTTCGAGCGTGGGAGAAATATAGACGATATAGCTCCATCACGCCGCCCGAACTCGGGGGTGCCAGCTAGGAAGAGATCAGGGCGCAAGCCTTCGTGTACCTCTAGACTACATTCTCAAATTGCACAGCGGAGGAAACATCCTTTGAGTCTTTGGCGCCCTGTCGCCATCTGTAGCATGGGCATCGTACCTAGACATATATCGTCCGTAGCGTAGAGCGTCACGCTGCTGGTCTGCGCTCGTCGTTCGTGGACGGGTCAGTGGCCGACGACTTGGGCCGCGACGCGAGGGCTCTCTCGTCCTCCTCGGCCTTGGCGAGCATTTCCTCGATCTTCTTTTCCAGCGCATCTAGGTGGTTCTCCATGGCAGTGGCTGCGCCTTCCCCGCGGGCGAGCTCCTTGAAGGCCTGGGCTTGTCAACGGGCGCCTGAGACGAGTGCGCGGAGGCAGACCTGCGCAAAATCCGGCTCGACGTGGCCGCCGGTGTCGCCGTTGCGTTCGCCAGACATGTTGGGTTGGGGGCAGGTCAAGGTCAAGGATGTGGGCGAGCGGCGGGCTGCGCGTCCCGGAGCGCTGAGGCAAGCTCGAGCCAATGGAGAGATGACGAAGCTCTAGCGCGAAGCGTCACGAAGCACGGCACAGAGGGCGCGACCTGTCCCCTTGCACCCCCAACTGCTCCAGTGCCCCCTCGACCTCCGCTCTCTACCAAGCCCGCATACTTCGAACCCCCCCATGCGAGGCGCCCACTGAGCTCCATCGCCGCGCTCGCTCCTTCGCCATGTTCTCCGGGTCCAACTCGTACTTAGGGGGTGGGAACAGCGCCCGACCTGGCCAGCAGCCGCAGTATGGCCAGCAGCAGTCGTTCCAGCAGCCCGGCGGATTCCCGGGCGCCCTGGGGCCTCAACCGACTGGATTCGCGGGCGGCCCGCTGCAGCAGCAGTTCACGGGCTATCCTGGCCAGCCGCAGGGCTTCCAGCAGCAGCAACCGCAGCAACCGCAATTCACGGGCTATCCAGGGCAGCAGGCACAGCAATTCCAGCAAGCCCCGCAGCAGCAGCCCTTCCAGACCGGCGCGCCGCCTGCACAGCAAGCTGCCCCGCCCCAGCCGCAGCGACCGCAGCCCACGGGCATGACCTCGTCGCAGATGGCCGATTCCTTTCGAGGCACGGCCTCAGCACAGCAGGCCCCGCCTCCGGTCCCCGCCAAGACGAGCAAGATCCCGAACATCAGACTGTCCTTCATAACGGCGCAGGACCAGGCAAAGTTCGAGCAGCTGTTCAAGTCCGCCGTGGGCACCGCGCAAGCTCTGTCGGGAGACCAGGCCCGCGATCTGCTGATGCGGTCCAAGCTTCCAGGAGACGCCCTTTCGCATATCTGGTAGGCTGTGAGACTGCCATGGAGTGGGTTGATGCTAAACATGGACAGGACGCTCTCCGATACCACCAAATCGGGCCAGCTTCTCTTCCCCGAATTCGCTCTCGCTATGTACTTGTGTAACTTGAAGTTGACAGGCAAAGATCTCCCCAACTCGCTCCCGGAACGCGTCAAGAACGAGGTGTCGAGCATGGTAGACATAATCTCGTTTGGTGTGGTGGACGAACGCCCTGGCCGCTCGACCCCTGCGAGCAACGCGCCCAAGTTCGACGAGCCGCTGAACCAGAGCTCCCAAAATGTGCCCACGATCCAGCAGCCACAACCGCAACAATCCAACAGCCAGCTGCTGACTTCGCTTGCGTCTCAGCCGACCGGATTTGGTGGACTTCAGGGAGGATTACAGGCACAGGCGACAGGCTTTGGCCAGAACCTTGGTGGTGGATACACAGGCCCTCGTCCACCCATGCCTCCAATGCCTACTGGTTTTGGCGGAGGGCTGAACCCGCAGCCCACGGGCTTAGCCCCTCAGCCTACGGGTTTTGCTCCGTTGAATGCTCAGCCTACAGGAGCTCCAGGCCAGTGGGGCCTAGTCAACAACCCTACTACAGGCTTGCCCAACATTGAAGCTCTCGCTCAAAGGATGATGCCGCAGACCGGCCGCGAAGCGAGCGGCAATTACACTACCACTGGTCTGAGTGGCAATGCGACTATTCCGTGGGCTATCACCAAGGGTGAGAAGAAACTCTATGATGATACTTTCAAGGCTTGGGATGGCCTCAGCAAGGGCTACATCAGTGGCGAGCAGGCACTCGAGATTTTTGGTCAAAGCGGACTTGCCAAACCCGACCTGGAACGCATTTGGACGCTCGCTGATTCCGCCGACCGCGGTCGCCTGAACCTTGATGAGTTCGCTGTTGCCATGCATCTAATATACCGCAAACTGAACGGATATCCCGTACCCAACCGCCTGCCCCCAGAGCTAATTCCACCCTCAACTCGTAACATTAATGCTTCCATTGGAGCTATGAAGTCACTGCTCTCTCGTGACGCGGAAGAGAGGAAGAACACTGGCGCATTTCTGCAGCCCCAAAAGACTGGTGTCAGCTATCTCAAATCTCACTCCTTCCAGGCTGGAAGCCCAGCTACTGGTGGCCGCAAGGACGCCACCGTCTTTCGTAATAACGATGACAACATGGGATATCGCTCCAGTGCACGACACCGTGTCGGTGCTGGTGGCCGCTCTCCTTCCCCGGCCACACCAACCTCACCCGGTTCAGAGCGTTCCGACCAAGAATATTCCCTTGATCAGCTCAGGAAGCTAGTGAGAGAAAAACAAATACTGTTAGATGCGGTCGACATCCGGGACGAGAATGCAGCTGACGAGGACGATGCACTTGACCGTCGGGATCGACGAGAAGCAGATGACCTGTATCGTCGCATTCGCAGAGTCCAGGAAGATATCGACGCGCATCCACAGGCCGCCTTGAGAGGAAACGACTCCGATGCTGAGCGCCGTGCTCTCAAGCGTCAGCTTCAGAACTTGACTGATCGCTTACCCGAGCTTGCTTCCAACGTGCGTCGGACGGAGCGAGAAATTGCTGATGCCCAGTTGGAGCTGTTTAGGCTCAAGGATGCCAAAGCCCACCCTGGCTCTGCATCATCTATTGTGGGCACTGGCCCAGGCGGTTCGATCACTGAATCAGATCGGCTGAAGGCTCGTGCCAAAGCTATGATGCAAGCGCGTTCTGCTGCTCTCACCGGCAAGCCTGTGCCGACTACTGGGGACGATACAGGTGCGGCTGCCGAACGCTTGGAGAAGGAGAGCTCCCGAATTCGATCTGAGCGCGAAAACAACGAGCGAATGATCCGCGATGTAGAGGACAGCGTCAGTGAATACACCAAAGGCTTGGAAGCCAGTCTCAAGGAGGGCGGGCACGACAATACTAGCGAACATGAACGTCGCCGTTGGGAAGATGCGTTGGGTGTGGAGGATGAGGTCAAGGACTTTATTTTTGATCTCCAGCGAAGCAGCCGTTCAGCTCGTGTCAGGAAAGAGGATACATCTCGTCACCAGACAACCTCACGTGGCGAAGAGAACAGGGAGCTTACATCTTCATCTCGCTACGAAAGCCCAGCACGCAGTGCTGAACCGCCTCCTCGGCCATCTTCGACTACGTCCGGTACCGGTTCGTACTCATCCTATAAGACGCCAGAAGAGCGTGCGGCTTTCATCAAACAACAAGCGGAGGCGCGCATGGCGGAAAGATTGGCTGCTCTTGGCCTGCGCCCGCCAGTAAAGGGTGGAGAAAACGCACAGCAACGCCAAGAGCGGGAGAAGCAAGAAATGGAAGAGAAACGCCGAAAAGCCGAAGAAGAGGATGCGAAGCGAGAAGAGGAACGTCAGAGACGTCTGCAAGAGGAGTCTATTGCGCCGCCAGTTGGAGCGAAGACTGCCGGCAAGAAACCCCCGCCACCGCCTGCGTCAAGGAAACAAAAGCTTGACCAGACTGAAGCCGAGGGAAAGAGAGCTGACCATGACATGGCCGAAAGGGCTCTACGTGAACAACAGCAGGCTGAAGAAGCTGAGCGCAAACGCATGGAGTATGTGCTTCCCCTCTGTATCTGATTAAGCATGCTAATTTCTCATAGGGATGAGGAGCGGCGGCAAGAGAAAGAGTTGGCCCAACAGGAAGAGGAGGCTGAAGCCAGACTACGTGCGATGCAAGAACAGGTCGAGCAGGGCAAGCTCAAGAAAGCAGAGCAGAAGAAGCAGAAGGAGGCGGCTAAACGCGAAGCCAAGGAAAAGGAATCACAACTTGCTGCGCAGCGTCGCAAGCTAGATGAGATCCGCGAACGCGAACGCCAATTGCAACTACAACTGCAGAGCCTCGATGACGAGGAATCTTCGTCGGATGACGAAGGCCCTCAAAACATTACACCCAACGACACTACGCCGACCGCCAGCCAGGAACTACATCGCGATGCTGCTTCACAGTCAGCACCACCACCAGCTCCCCCGATGCCACAGATAGTCCCCCCGGTGCCGCAGCAAATGGGTACCCCGCCCTCGTCTGTGGCCAGCCCCCCAACGTCTTCACTGACAAGCCCCCACCCTGCGCACGGAGAAAGCGAGACAAAGAATCCCTTCTTGAAAAAGATGCAGCTGTCCAACCAAGATACTCACGCCTCGACACCTCCACCCCTTCCCAGCAACACTAGCGAAGTGTCTACAAACCCGTTCCATCGTTTGACGCAGGAGAATGCTAATAAAGCGGCTTTTAGCGAGCCGGCTGCTCCCACACGCACTCGCGGTCGCCAAGAAGAGGATGATTGGTCGGTCGTCGACTCTGATGATTCCTCTGACGATGAAGACGAAGCTCCGCAAGGGGGTGCGAAGCAGCTGGCTTCGTTGCTGTTTGGTACTATGGCCCCTCCACGCCCACTCTCCTCGATGGACAACAAGAGTGATCGTGCAGAAAGTCCGGCAGTTACTTCGCCTGCCGCTATCCCGCCACCTCCGCCCATGCCAACCGGAGGGGCTCCACCACCACCACCTGGACCGCCACCGCCCCCGGCCGGAGGACCACCTCCCCCTCCTGGCATGCCGCCGATGCGGCCTCCGGGCGGAGGGCTGGATAGGGGTGCCTTGCTAGGTCAAATCCAAGCGGGCAAGGGTCTGAGAAAGGTAGAGACGAAAGACAGGAGCCAGGCACCTACAGCTGGCCGAGTCTTGTAATGTTGGGTCTGAGTTGCGGTGGGGGATTGGTTGTACAGATACGTAGTCGCGCTGTGAATAGATTGGCTTGAATGCATGCACATTGCACGTGTTGCGGAAATTATTTGCACACCGCCGTTGTTCCCCATGAATCCTAATCCTTTGCTTCGCCCATTCACCACAGAGGGGATAGCTCAATTCAGATCACTGGGACTGTGTTCATGAGGCTAAATCCCATCGCCGGCCATCGAGAGTGTGAGACGTCGGGTGGGAGATAGTGGTTAATTATTTCGTATTCATGGTTCGGCGCAGAACGATTCGGTGGTCCGTGCAGAATGGACAACGGGCCTGCAGGCGCAAGTTGAACCTCACAATACCTTCATCCGTCCTCCCCACCTGTCTACACACGACCCTATTCCCTCGGTGCATATCTGCAGTCTAAGTGCCCCGTCATCGATCCAAATCTCGTATAGCCAGCATCCAGTATACCTTCAGGGAACGCGCCGATTCGACAACTTCATACACAGAAGCCCCAGCGAGTCGGATACTGTGCGCAAGAAACGAGACAACGTGAAAGAGAAGGGGACAAATCGCAAAGATGAACGCGCCCGATAGGTACGCTCATTTCGCTACTCATGTGCTTCCAGGTTCGGTGGTCGACGATGAGTGAGGCAAGTGCGGTCCGTGTACGGTCTCGAGTGTGCAGCGCCGTCTCCTGTACACGTACGAAGCCCTGGCAGCGTCAGTGACGATGGCGACCCCATTTTCAACCATGGTGCCGCGTCGCACGGGCAACAGGCAACGGCGGACCATTCTTGGTCCCTTCACTTGCCCGCGCGAAGCAGCAACGCAACGAGCATAAAGCCACCCCGCCTCACGCGCGGCCCGCTACAAGACCCGCGACCAGCAACATGGAGGGCTCTAAGATCCTACGCAATGCCAAACTCATCAAAGACAATTCGAACACCCAGAAGCGCCATTACGTTAGGCACAAGACACATGCTGAAGAAAATGTCCCTCTTAGGTTCGAGCTCTTCATCCTCGACGATGGCCAGCAGAAGATCGAAGTCCGTGAGGAAACCAGTATGTATCCTGCAACGCGCCTTCCGTGTGCTTCCGTCTTTCAGCGTACTCATCGTTTCCACAGAGGTGCCCAACACCACCGTCTTTACCTTCAACAAAGAAGACCACACGCTCGGCAACCTCATCTCTCAGCGCCTCCTCAAATACGACTACATCACCTTCTCCGCATACAAGGTTCCCCACCCGCTCTTCGCAACCTTCGAACTCCGCGTCACTACGGACGGCAGCATCACACCCAAGGACGCTGTCGTGCGTTGCTGCAAGGATGTCATTCAGGATCTGAGCAAGGTCTCGATGAGCTTCCAAGGCGAGTGGCTCAACCAGAAGATTATCGAGGAGGGCCAGCGAGACGCTGAGGTCAGGGACCAGGGTAATTACTAGACCGCTTTGGCGTGAAGCAAAGCGTATGCATCTTAGGCGTTTTGGGCGGGCGCATGCAAAATTCAAGGCGTACGGTTCTAGGTTGGCTTTGCTAGACCAAATGGTGATTGGCAGCCGGACCCGAGACACTGAGCCTCGGTCCTAACATGGTTTTTTGAGCCGGATACAGTTGTTGTACCTGCGCCAACCATGAGTACAACGGGGTGGGTATACCCAGCAGCTATTTCACGAGCAACATCCAGCTTCCTCTCGAGATTTTGAGTGCTTCTTTTTTTTTGTCATGCGTGGTCAGATGGTTTGAGAGCCAAATCAGCGCTGTATCTCAAGTTGGTCGAATGACAACGACACACTGAAATCTACTGGTGTGCAGGAGTTGGTTATGTTCCCGACCGCATTTTCACACGAAGGAGAGAGTAGTTTGCACAGTGCGGCGGTTCGATCACCAGCACTCCTATAGTTACTACTATATACATGTTAGAACCTTGCGGCACGACGTGGTATGCCGGACCGTCATGATACTTTACGGCTCGAAGCTGCTATGTTATTTGGCTTGGTGTGTAATTTTGTCAGTCGACTGTTGGTCGCAATCCTTTACACAGCCGGCCGTGACAAGCTCTTAGGGGATGTATACTCAAGCCGCCAATACGAGCGGAAACACTAGGATCACTTAGAGCGTCTGGCCCACAGCATCCGAGACATTTCACGTAAGGTGACAATCAGTAAGCACACGAAGGAAGCGCACGTCGATTATTGATCCTCGCCCCGTCTATATCCTATCTACGAGAGGAACCAAGCACCTCGTTCGCCTCCTCATTCCGCGCTGAATCCCAAGCACCGATTCATCTACGTATTCGCAATAAGCGGCGGAAAAAGAAACAGCACCAGGGTGACGACAACAGGCATGATGCTCGCCATGGTGTCCAAGGACTTCTCGAAGAGGTCGGCGTGATTCGGCCTAGGGAACAAATTCGTCAGCGGCTTGCAGGCGCAATCGTAAAACAGACATGACTCACTCCTTCAGGAAACGCCTCGTGGCCTGGAAGATGACGTATTCCTTGATGACGATGCACAGGACGAGCAGACCGGCCGAGGCGAGGTAGACCACAGGGACGACCTTGTACGGATTGTTGTACAGCGCGTCACTGATGCAGAAGTTGATGAAGCCGATGACGTTCCGGATGTGGCCCTTCTTGTAGATGGATTCTGGTATGGGCCCGTCGTCGTGGTAGATGCCGTGCTCAATCGCGTAGGCCTCCATGTCGGCGATGAGTTGCTGCCCTAGACATCGTTCAGGATGGCGATCGCCACGGAACGCGGTAGAACTTACGGAGCAGGCTGTAGAGCGGGCTGTTGACGAGCTTCTTCTGTTCTTCCGTGTAGAAGTCTTCGGCGGTCATGGGCATGTCGGAGGAGCGCGCGTCGGACATTGCGGAGCTGTGGGGATTTGCTATGGGAATTGGGTTGCGTTGTGGTGAGTATGGCGAGCCAGGCGGAGTCTCTGAGAAGAATCGAAGACAACGATGGCCCAGTGTCTACAAGATCGCGGAAGGTGAGTGTGCAGCAAGAGGGAAAGACTTGACGAAAAGGGAAGCAGCCACCGCCATACGAGCACTGTGACGCCGAATGTCGTTTGAAGGGACAAGTCATTTCCATATGGACTCTAAAGCTCTTATCAACGGCATTTCGTGCTGTTGGTCACAATCAATGAGGCAGCTTCCAAGGTTGCTCTCTGACCACGTGGTATGTTCCGGGCTTGCACGGCTTTCCGTTCTTCCTTTGCCGTCTGTTCTAGCAATACGGACAGCCACAACGTCCACTCCTGTTGACAGAAATGCAGAGGTATCATAACTATTCATCAAGTATCGAGTCTCGCTTCAGTGCTGCTTCACCGCTCCGCCCTGCCATCCCGATCGAGCAGCTCCCGCGCCGCTATTATCTCTGCCTCGTAGTACCCGCTCTGGCCTTGCTTGCTTGCGCTGTATTGCCGCACAATCTCACCGAGCTTGGCGGTAGCAATCTCTTCCAGCTTTTGCACGGACTGCGGCTTCGGCGGGGCAATGTCGTCCTCTTCAGCGTTTCGTTTTGAACCGGAGGACTCAGAGAGCAAAGGAAGCAGCTTCTGAGATACAAGCTTCAAGCCGTAGTAGCCACGAAGGTACGAGTCATTGAGCTCGACGGCGCGAGCGAAGTGTCGCAGAGCTAGGGTCAATGCAGGGACGGAAGTAGACGATGAGAGGTAGTGAAGCGTAGCGACTTGGGCGTGTGCCTGTGAATCATGTCAGTTGGCTCTTCGCATAAAGTCACGAAGACGCAGGCGTACACTCCAAGCATTGGGCATTATCAACAGGACTTCCTCCAGGCAGAAGATGGCCTGGCCCCATGCGCCAGTGCTCGCGTACAGCTCGCTCAACTCGGCCCAGGCCTCGGCATCGGTGGGGCTGTTCTCGACCAAGACTGTCAACGCCGTGATGGCATCTGCGGTCCGGCCCAGGCTCTTGAGCACGGCAATCCTCCTCTTCCTGACGCTCATGTTGGTGGGGTCGTCCTTAAGCACCTTCTCGTAGTCGTTGAAGACCTTTTCCAGGTCCTTGTCGTCCTTGGCCAGTGCCTCCTCGTACATGCCCTTCAGCGCAACCATGCGCTCGTTGTCGGCGCCGAAGCGCGTGGTCAAGCGGTCGAGGATCTGGCGGGCTGCGGCATCGTCGCCGGTGCGCAGCGCGGCCAGCAGCAGGTTCTCGTGTATGGCCCACGTCTCGGGCGTCTCGCGGCTGAAGAGGAGCGACAGCGGCCATGCCAGCGAGGACGTCGGCGCCGAGGACAGGACGAGGGGCGCCTTCTGGGAGAGCTGCAGGGCCGTCTGCGGGGGGATGCGCGAGGGCGGGGTCAGGAGGTTCGCGTGTGCCATGCTGGGGGACGTCGAGGCGGCTGCGAGGGGTCGGTGGCCGGTGCTGGGGAGCGACGTCGCGGCGGCGTGGATTGCGGCGAGTGCACGCTAGAGCGCCGGGAGCTCGAGCGCGTGCAGGGGGCCGTGGGTGCAAGCTGTCGGCGAAAGTGCGGCCCCGAGCTGCTCGTCAGGCACGTCAACGGCGACGCTGCTGCACGCCTGCACGCTGCGTCTGCTGCCCACCGCGCAGAGCCTCCCCAAGAGCTCGCCGAGCCCCGCCCACCGCCTGCCGCCCGCCCACTGCCACTCCTCCCATGCCGGGCCATCGTCGCTAGCCATGCCTGCTGGCACACGACGCTCCCGCCCACGTACCCCTCCACGCCCGCCCAGAGTCCCCGACGCACAGCGGACGCGCGCCTCGGGAGCACTGCAAACATGTATGGCACGCGCCGCATTCCGCCGCACCATGGAGCGCGAGTTAAGCTGTGTCTAGGTTCGAAAAATCGCTGTACGACCTCATCCGAGGCCTGCGCAACCACAAGGGCACCGAGAAGGAGTATATCGACGAGTCGATTAAAGAATGTCGCAAGGAGATCCGCTCCACCGACATGGACCTCAAGTCCACCGCCCTCATGAAGCTCACCTACCTCGAGATGTTCGGCCACGATATGTCCTGGGCCTCCTTCAACGTCCTCGAAGTCATGTCCTCGCCCAAGTGGAGACACAAACGGACCGGCTACCTTGCCGCCGTGCAGAGCTACCGACGAGATACTGATGTGCTGTTGCTGGCAGAAAACCAGCTCAAGAAGGACATCTCGAGCCCCACCCCGCCCGTCATCTCCCTGCCCTTGGTGGCCATACCCCACGTTATCAACCCGAGCATGGCCAGCTCCGTTCTTTCTGACCTATTACCCCGCTTGACCCACTCGCATGCGTCAATAAGAAAGAAGACGGTTGTCACGCTGTATAGACTAGCTCTAGTGTACCCGGAAACACTGCGGCCTGCATGGCCCAAGATCAAGGAGAGGCTGCAGGATGACAGTGAAGATCCGACCGTTACAGCCGCCATTGTAAATGTAATATGCGAGCTGGGATGGCGGAGACCACAGGACTTTCTACCGCTCGCCCCGCGACTATTCGATTTGCTTGTCGGGGGCGGAAATAATTGGATGGCTATCAAGCTCATCAAGCTCGTGGGTCCACTGTTACCCACGTCGAGTATAGACCACTAACAGCAACAGTTTGCGACGCTCACTCCACTGGAACCAAGACTAATCAAGAAACTGCTACCTCCGCTCACCAAAATAATCCGAGAAACTCCCGCCATGTCCTTGCTCTACGAGTGCATTAGCGGCATTATCCAGGGAGGCATCCTTGAAGCCGTAGAGGGTACGACGGAAGGTGAGGAGGTTGCAAGACTGTGCGTTGGGAAGCTCAGAGGCATGATGGCCATTGAGGGTGATGCGAACTGTAAGCTGCATTCCGAATCAAGCACCTTTGGCCACTTCTCATGTTCCTACAGTAAAATATGTTGCGTTGTTAGCATTTGACAAGATCGTCCAATCACACCCGTATCTGGTATCGCAACAGCAGGATGTGATCCTCGAGTGCATCGACGACCCTGACATCTCAATAAGAATGCGCGCTTTGGACCTTGTAGTTGGCATGGTCAACAGCGACAACCTCACAGCCATCGTTGGACGTCTTATGCGACAACTTCGCAACGCTCCCATCGCAACGTCCGCCGACAATCCGGCAAACGATCGCGCCCGAGCAACCGGCGTCACCCCGTATGCAGAATCGGATGACTCGGACGCCGAAGAATCTCTGCGACAGCATGAACAACGGTCAGACCAACCCCCACCCCTTCCAGAGGATTATCGCGTAAACGTCATCCGAAGAATCTTGGACATGTGCTCGCGCGACACATACTCCAATATCACTGATTTCGAGTGGTACATTGATGTCCTCGTACAACTGGTCCGCGTATCGCCTGCTACAAGTTCTTCTGCCGTAGAAGAACAGGGAAATCTTGATCAAGCAGATGACATAGGTCGTGGTATCGGGCGTGAACTACAGAATGTAGCTATACGCGTCAAGAGCGTACGGCCAGAAGCAGTAGACGCAGCGCAGTCTCTAATATTTGTCGACCTTCGCGACCAAATGTTCCCATCTTCCGGCAATGGCGGACAAGGCGTACTTGAATACGCCGGCTGGCTAGTCGGAGAGTTTGCCTCGTATCTGACCAAGCCTGAGCCTGTCCTGTCGTCTCTTTTACATCCGACCTCATTGCAGCTTCCCTCGAAAACGCTTGCAGTCTACCTGCAAGCTTTTCCTAAAGTGTTCACTAGCCTAGCGAGCAACGAGCAGATATCATGGACTCCGGAACGAAAGACCTTGATGTCTCTCCTCATGGCTCGGATCATACATTTCCTAGAGCCGCTATCTACCCATCCGAATCTGGAGGTTCAAGAACGTGCAGTTGAATATCTCGAATTGATGCGCCTCGCGTCCGAGGCCGCTTCAGGGACGGAGACTGGCGTAGAGCACGGCGAATTCACCGAACCTCCTCTCCTGCTCACTCAGGCCATGCCTGCTCTGTTTTCAGGAGCCGAACTTAACCCCGTCGCCCCAGGCGCCCAGCGTAAAGTGCCCATGCCTGATGATCTAGACCTTGACACGCCGATCAACCCTAATCTGCAATACCTTTTATCACAAGCAGAACTAGAAGGCTTCGAAGCAGATGAAGACGATGTGTACGCGGCGTACACAGAGCCACCGGTATCATATACCGAAGCGCAAACCCCGGCGGCGATTTCTGCTTCGGAGCGTCTTGATGCAACACACAAGGAGCCAGCGTCCTACCAGAACGCCACTGAAGATGAATATTTGGATCCTGACATCATTGCTCGACGAAAGGCAGAGCGCAAAGAACGCTACAAGGACGACCCATTCTATATTGATCCTGAAGGCGACAGAGGCAGCGGGGCAGCTACCCCGCTTGGCAGGATCGTTCGAGAAAACAACACAGAGCTCGACATTGATTCAATACCCATCATGGATCTCGAGCTTGAGAAACGCGGACCCTCACCTGGCGGAGAAGACATTGCACGAGCGCGGAGTCCCCGTCGTGCGCCTCGTCGGGTTGAAATCATGGGCGATGAGACGCTCGGTTCCAGCGACGCGCCTTCTGATGCATCTCGGGAAGATGTCATTTCCCCGCGCTTTGCATCAGCCCAAGCCAGGGGAAAGAAGAGTCTTTTGGAAGTGGACTCTTCCGGGCTCGGGTCACTATCTTTGGATGACGATGATAGCCCTGGCAGAAAGCTCACGCGCTACGAGCTGGAGCGCAAGGAGCAGGAGGAAGCCGAAATGAAACGAGCGCTTGCAGAGGTGGAACGCCTGAGGCTGGAGATGCAACGTGCCAGTGAACGATTAGAGGTCAAGGGAGAGACGGTAGTGAAGAAGAAAAAGAAGAAGGTTAGGAAGGCTGAGGTGGAAGGTGCATTGACGCAAGAGTATGCCGGCGATGCTGGGGGAGCCAACGGAGACGGAGAGGGTGAAGTTGCCCCGGTCAAGAAGAAGAAAAAGAAGGTCAAGACCGAAGGCGGCGATGTTGCGGAGGAAGGCAAAGAGGCTGAAGGCGTCGTGAAAAAGAAGAAAAAGAAGCGGAGAGTGGTCAGTATCGATGAAGGGGCGGCACCAGTAGACGCTGAGGAGTAGCAGACAACATGTGTCGAAGATTAGCACCCAAAAAAAACATCGAGAGCACCAAACTGTGCTAGAGCGGAGCTGTTCACAGTTTCTCGTCTGCGCCAGAATTTGAACTGAGTGTGTTGCATTCGGTGTCGGCCGCCGTGCTACGCACACGTGAAGAAGTCCAAGTAGGCGGCGACAGGTAGCTGTCACGCGCATATGCTAATCCCACGCTATGAACGCCGTTGTCCCTAGAGCTTTGATATCGAAAGTAAACGCCCCTCCAACCAATTGCCTGCACCTGGTCTAGATCGTGCTGCTTCTGCCAGGGATCGTGAGTGCTCAGCCACCAGGCCAGTCGCCTGGTCATGCGCAGTCGCTCGCTCGGTCTCTTTAGAAGAACAGCTTGAGAAGCTCGAAGATGGCACCGCCGGCCAGCACGAAGCCCAGGACGACTGTCGACACGTTAGCCCTCTGCCCGTACTCCTCGTACTACCTCTGTGCCGGTCGAACTGCGTGCCCACGGCATCTTTCTCTCCTGTAGATTGGCTGCGTCGTTCGGCTTCATGCCAGGGGAGCCGGGGCGACCGCGGGAGACGTACTTATCCATCCTTTGCTAATGGGCGACTTGTAGTCCTGCTTGGTGCGCTTGACCCGCTCCTCCACGGGCTTGCCCATCTTGCCCTCCTCGCGACGTGCGTAGCGCGCGTTGGCGGCGCGCTGTTGGGGTGTTTGGGCCTGCAGACAGTCCGTCAGTTCTCGTTGCTCAACGGGCCCGTGGGGCGGAGCGCAAGGGAGTGTACCATTGCGGGCGTGGTGGTCGAGTATCGTGCACACGGAGTCGCTGTCGGGGTGGGAGCAGCGCTGGCAGAGAGGGGTGGAAAGGGCGGTCGGGGTCGTCTGCTCAGGTCGCGTGTGTGGGCGTAGCGGCCGAGTTAAGAAGGGCCGTGGTGATGCAAGGTGTCTCTACCGGAAATATGCGCACGGGCCAGTTGCGGAGTGCAGCTCGGGGGTTTGCCGTTTGCCGACTGCGTTTCGTTTCGCCGCGCTGGCGGGAGCTGCGACCATCGACTCGACGTACTTTTGCGCGTCCTGAAGGGAAAAGGCGAAACGCTCTAGGTCGATTGACGGTTTGTGAACCACGTTGAAGCTTCGACCCCAAGCAAGACAATTACATTTCCCATCTGGCGCCGTCGCGAGGACGGATAGCTGCGGACAGGCAGTGCGTGAAGCTTTGATACACAGCCTGGAAGGCAGAGCATCAAGCAACGCAGGGCGACTAGAGCGCTATTCACTGAAGCATAAGGGGCTCGAGACAGAAGACGCATACCCTTCCCCTCTCACCTACGTCAGTCCACTACTACCGTTCGAAGCATTCCACGACGACACCGCTGACCCCACCTCAGCCAGCATCCTGCCTCCAACATGAACGCATCTCGCCTCTTCCGACCATCGCCGCGGATAGCTCAACGCTTCCGTGTTGCAAGGCATGCATACTCGACCAGGCCCACAGACCCCGCACCACCGCGTCCCCACCCGCCAACACAACCCTCGAGCTCGACCCAAGCGCCTCCACCTCCCAAGAAAGACCCCTCCCGCGTTGGAACCTTCTACCGCAACAACACATATCCCGTCCTCAAGGCCTTCCTCCTCGCTCTCTTCACATACCAGCTCGCCTACTACGTATGGCTGAAGCTTGAAGTCGTGGAGGAGAAGAGCGAGCAGCAAGGCACCATCCAGGGATTGGAGGAAGAAGTCAAGCGGGCCGTTGCCCAGCAGAAGAGGAAGGCGTCCGATGTAGCGGCAAAGGTGGCCGGCAGTGGGGATGAGCTCCCGGAAGAGAAGAAGAGGAAAGGGTGGCTATGGTGAAGGGCGATGGAGAGAGGGCGTTGCAAAGGCGTGTGATTCGATTGTAGGACTGATGATTGTACACTATGCATGCGTTTGCAATTTACTGACCCTAAATTCCCGTGTCTGTACTGACGCCAGCGCGAAACGCGTCTTGGGATTCTCACGAGAATCTTCCTACACATGACCTTTCAACAGAAATTGATTAGCGATGACATTCATAAAGAGTAACCGTGATCCAGCTCGCACAGCCGAAGAGTACACGGCTGAGGAGGATTCACGGACGGTACAGCAGTATCTTGTTCGCAGTGTACAAACGTACATCATCGAGAGAAATGTGACCGTGGTTTCCCATCGCCTGACTGCACGGAATCTCGAGGAAGTCAACACCACTGACTATATGTCCAAGACTTAAAACGGGCACACCTTGTACGAGCACAAAACGTCAAAAGCATGCACATCAAGCCAAACCTGAACGTGTGTCCGGTCTTTCACACGCTGGAGAGCCAGCGAGTAAACATGTGACGGGGACGCATACCGCGGTAGTCGAATAGAACTTGAGGTCTCCGGAGCCAACGCGTCTGAGGCCAAGCTCAGTACCGCACCGCACTCTCATCCACACAGTTAGCAAAACATGGGGACCCGAGCTGTTCGTGCAACACGTTCACAGTCACTCTGAACCACAAGTCACAAAGCCCCGTTGCAGCAAGTGACCTCATCAAAGCGGAGATCAGATCCAGTACGTCGTATTACCCGACCGAAGTCAAGTGTATTATAATTACGAGGGTATTACTTACGAACCCAACTCCATTCCCTACCCAACTCCATTCTCTACCATCCCAACCAGCGTCCACCATGAACCATCCAATGCATAAGCTTACAAATCCCACGAACCGACCTTCATTACATCGCTACAGGGTCGTCGCATTTTCCATCCCACATCCAATATGCAATCTTCAAGCCGTTTACACGGGGCGGACGTGGGCCCCTTCGAACCCCGCAATCTGACCCGTCAGATAAATCTTCGGCGAAGTCGGCTTCAGTCAGGTATAACGACCTGCTGAACAGTCTTGTCGAACTTGAAGCGGATCGAGGTAGCCATGGCACAGGCCACAGCGCGTGCCTGTCCTGCACGAGAACGATGAGCCCGTTCCTTTTCGCCCGCCCAGAAACCAAGAGAATAGGTAAAAGAAACGACGATTGTGAACGCTCCATGTTGATAGATAAACTCCTGAAATGCCCATAACATGATACAGTGAAGCAAGAAGACCATCGCAAATGCCAAGAAATGCAAGACCGAATGACGCTCGAGATCAAATGGCGAAAGCAAGCTAAAGCCCGTCCATCCCACGGACAAGCTCGTGCAACGAATCATCAGCGCCTCCTCTTGCACCGCCGCCCATATTGAACTTGCTCTTCCTAGCAGCCATCTTACCCCAGCCATCATCGTCGTCTTCTTGTACAATGGGGGATTTGTTCTTGAGGATGCCCTTGACCATCACAGGATTCTGACCTACGCCAGCAGACGCTTGCAGGGTCATTGATGAACTGGACTTTGCGTCCGAGTGAGTCGCTACGGGACGATACCGTGCTGAGAGTCCGATGTTCGACCGTTCCGAGGGCGCTATCGATGGCGTGTAGCCATTAAGTTGCGGTGGTGGTGCCATGGAGCCGCCGATGGGTGTCGAAAAGGGCCGCGGGGGCTGCTGTGTCTGTTGGTTGCCAATTGGCATTATGGACATCGGGCGCTGGGCGGAAGGTACGTTCAGAAGGCTAGGTGCGGCCATCGACATGCGCGGGTCATGTGGCGGCGGTATCATTTGCTGGTTAGGGAACGCCATGGACATGCGTGGATCTGCCACGTTGCTCGGGAATGCCATCGACATGCGCGGATCTTGCGCCTGCTGCATCTGCATCTGTTGGATTTGCATTTGCTGCGCTGCAAGCATTTGTTGCATCTGCTGGAAGTGCTGCATCTGCATCATGTCATTCTGTTGCATGGGGTACGCCATCTGACCACCCATCATAGGCATTCCCATAGGCGAGTTCATCATGTTCATGTTCATATTCATGCCCATGCCCATTCCCGCTCCCATCCCTTGCATCCCAGGCATCATAGACATTCGAGTGCCGGGTCCGGACTGTACTGGTGGGTTCATCTGCGCTCCAAGCATTCCGGTGAAAGGCCCTTCGTGCGGCTTCTTGGTAGATGCACCTCCCATATACTTTTGCTTCGTCATATCGCGCATGTGAATCTGCTCGACTAGCGACGGCTGGGATAGCTGTGGCTCGGGATAACCCATCATAGGCATATTCATATGCGCGTTACTGACAGAGTCACCTGCGATCGAAGCAGGTCCCCGATTACCGAAACCCATGGACTCTCGGTTTGTTGGTCGGACCAACCCTCCTCCGATGAACGACGCGTGCGGATCATCCGGCAAATTGCGTGCGAAAACAGGACGAAACATGGATGCGCGATTATCACCCGGTCCAGCAGACGCTGGTCGGTCGGGGAAATAGGACGGAATGGCGTTGGATGGTTGGGTGGGGGCTTTGTTGTGGTTCTTGCTGGGGAACCCGTGCTGCGCGAGTATGCCTAGTGGAACGTCTTCGTCCTCCCACTCCTCTGCTTGTAACGATGTTTCGGATGGGAACCCCATAGAAAAAGGTTCACTGACGCTATCGGGACGGTTGAGATTTCCTGGCGCAGTGGTTGTTCGACGCATGTGATCCCGTGCCAGATCCATCTGCTGTTTCTTACGACGAGCTATCGCTTCTTGTGCCGCCCTCTCTTGCGCCTCCTCTTCGTCCTCGTAGTCTTCCTCGTCCGAGCTCTCATCGCTTGGTTGTGCCATTGCTCTTTGTTGCTGTGCACGGAACTCGGCTTGGGTAAGGACGCGTCGACCAGAGTCGCTCGTGGGAGGCTGAGGTCGAGGCTCGTCTCTTGGAGCTAGTGCAGAAGGCTTGGCCATGGCCATGTGCTTTGGTTTGGGCGACGCGAAAATATCTTCATCTCCATCTTCAGATGAAGGTGAGGTCGCAGTGCGTAACGCAGCTTTTGGTGTGGTGATGTCGGAACCTGAGCGGGACGAGAGGGGTGTCTCAAGCGAAGGGGCTGACGAGGACGATTTCGAGGTAGGCTCCTGCTCGGGCGAGCTTTCGCGCTGTGATTTTTGCGACATGACGGGTTTACGGACAGTCGACGCGTCGTTGTCGATAAACTCGTTAGCGCCGTTCAGCTCGGGGCTGTAGGAGGCGACGGGCGCGTACTGGCCATATTTGTGAGCAGGAACGGGAGGCGGAGGAGAGTCATCCTCGGGCGAACGTGGAGATGACATAAGATTGTCAGCGGAGTTGCGGGAATCCCATGATTTGAGTGGAGGTTCGACGTCCAGCTTGCGGTCGATTTTAATTGGCTCCGCGTGGAATGTTCGTTTACCCATCAGAAGGGAACGGCCAGGGGATTCGGCGGCATGTTCGGGGGACGGCTTCCGGTCGATCCCACTGAAAAGGTCGTCAAAGCTGGTCGAACCGAAGTTCATGTCAGCGTCGAGGGTCGGCGGCTTTGCGGTACTGGCATAGCTGGACGACGTCATGGCGCGAACACGCCCGAAACCACCTACCGGCGATGTAGGCTCGCCATAACCTCCATATTCTGATTGAGGTACCGCTGGTAGCTGCTTCTTGTACGTGTTGGCAGACAGGCCGCTTTGCGAGCTGCTGTGCTGTGACATGTGGGGTCTGGGGATGGCAAAGATGTTGTCGTTTGGATCTGTGTCTGCAGAAGAGGGAAGCGTGGAAGTCGAGCCGTATTGGCCGTTGTTGTAGGGGCGCGAGGACTGGGTCCCACTGCTCGATTTGCTATCCCTGAGCATGCTTGTTAGCTTCGGAGCTGTATTTGGCCGAGGGTCGAAACATACCGCTTCGAAGACCCTGGTGAGTCTTCGTCAAAGGAGCGATTCCGCGCCTTGTTACCAGCGCTGAAGCTGCTAAACGGCCTAAATTTGGAGGCGGATTTTTCCTGTGCTCGGCGCTTCTCCTCCGTCTTCCGGGCCTCTGCCTCGCTTGTGGTCATTAAACGAAACCCACCTCCACTGCCCGAGGGCGACTCGGCCCCAGACGCAGCATCGGGAGCAGGCAATGGCTTTGCGTCCTCCATGATGTTGCCCTGGGACTTGCGGCGGCCCGCGAAGCCGAGCAGACCTGCCTTGACCATGATGGGAGACCGGAGATAGCTGTTCTATCCCCGAGGGCAGCGTGGTGGTTGTCAAACGAGGGGCCAATGCATGCGCGGGTGGAGGTACAGATCGGAGAGGCTGCCGTTTGGTAGGGTCGGGTTGGCGGGCGAAAAGCTCGATGGCGTGTATCAACGAGGGGCTGGTCTGAAATCTGTCACATGGAATCAGCAACTGGCAGCCTCGAAACACGCTCGAGGGTCTGGCGCTGTGGGCTGTGGGACTGCAGCGGCCGCTGGAGGAGGAGGAGTCGCTATGGCATCTTCGCATTGTCGAGTTTCCACGTCATCCTGTCGATGGCCGGGTGCCTGCAACGGGGGGCGTGTCTGCCTGTCCTCCCACGGCGTCGGGGGCAATTGCGTCCCAACCGCTCCGGCGGCCAGCGTGGAGCGGCCGCAGTGCGCAAGGGCGGTCGTCGGGGGGGTTGCAATGCTCGTGCCGGCTCGGGAGGCCGGGGTAGGGGTAACGCAAGAGAGGAGCGACTTACCAGACTCTGGTTTGCGGGTGGCAGCCGATGCGGTGCGCGGCAGCAGCGTGGAGGTCAACGAGAGACGCGAAGGGAGCACGAGGGCGTGGGCAGCGAGCGGGACGGCGTGCGCTTCGAGCTGCGGGACAAGGGAGAGGAGAGCTGGACGTCGGCGCGCACGGGCCTCTCAAAAGTTGAAATGATGCTGGTCGCGGGCGGGAATAGGATAGGGAGTGCTAAGGAGCAAGTGGTAAGTGGTAGCCCGCCGTGGGATGATCTGCCGATGCACCAAGCAACATCGACTCCGTGCAGTGCAGCGGTAGCGCAGTGCAGGCTCGGGGGGCAGGCCCGTCGTCCTACAGTGTCTGTCTACGGGACGTCGCCCGCCGTGCACGGCATCGCCAGCAGCAGCAGCAGCAGCAGCAGACGCGCCGCGCCACGGAGGAGCCTCTTTGAAGCGCCGCCTGGGGTGGCTGTTTGTGTCTGGCGCCGTCGCGTCTTGTCCTGTTGCAGCGCCGGCCGGCCCCAGTGCCCGCCCGCTTGGACAAGGCAATAGACTGGCCGTCATGTAAGCCGCGCTCTATTCTTGGCTGGTTCAGGGCACGTCGGCCCAATCCAGGGACGCCACCGCCGCTAACGTGCTGCTGCTATGCTGCTGCTGCTATGCTGCTGGGCTGCTCTGGCTGCTGGCCTCCTGCGCAGCCGCGAGTGTGGCCGCGAGACACGACCGCGACGACCTCTTCCGTCGAGGGCAGCCGTTGTCTCAGGCCGTCGTCAGCTCGACTCCTCCCTGTCGACGCACCGCGCTGGGGGGGTCTCCGCGACGGCGCACCTGCAGCAACCCCGGCCTCTACATTTGCCTCTCCTAGCGGCGTCTGCTCTGCGCTCTGTCCACGACGGCGTGCCCGCAATGAGTGGCCCACATGTTGGGCCATGGCCTCTTCGGAGGCAATAGGTAAAAGACAGGGCTACCAGGGTGAGGACATGGCAGCGTGGGCCAGCAACAGGATTGTAATCAGGCTCAATCCAGCGCCGGGAGCTTCCCAAGAGGCGGCTTCGCGACGCCGCAGTGCACACTGATCGGAGCCTCCACGATGGTGCCTGGCGAGGGCGATACGCGATCGCCGCCTTCGCTAACACGTTCCGCCGCCCGCTTGCTGGTGCTTGTGCCGAAGACGCTTCCCACAAGCACTTGCTTCCCAGCCGCATCCACCTCCCACACCCCACCATCGCCAGCATGTCGACGGCCGCCTTTGCACCTCGGGCGGCCACGCGCATGAGCACACCCAGCCATGGCTCCGAGCACACGCCCCTGGCGATGCCTTCCCTACAGCACCCGCACAGGCCTTTGCAGATCCCACAACGCCTATCACTCTCCTGCTTCTCCACGAGGTTGCAGCCGCTGACAATAAACTTGCAGCCTCAACCTCCAGCCTCCCGGCCATGACAGCATCGTGACCTCGCTCTGAGCAATCGACATCATGATGACATGGCGGGGTTCTACGAGGCCGCGCAGTGGTCCCGCATTCTACCCAGTCTTGTGCTGTCTCCTTCGCAAAGCTAATGCAAATCATCTCGCTCGTCTGCGTTGTCGAAGCAAGTGACCACCTCGCCGCCGGCGGTGTGGCTTCGCGTGCCGAATCGCATGTCTTCGCCCAAAGGCCGCAGTTCGCGAGGTTCGCCAATCGTTCCCACTCCGCCCAACTCCGCCCAGCCGCTGGCTGGACCCTTCTGTGAAACGTCCCGCAACGTCGCTGATGACGCCGGTGAGCTTTAGCTCTCCCGCCTCTTCTCGCCAGCCTCCTCTTGTGACTTCCAGCATGCTCAGGGTCGATTGCGCAATCGAGTCCTGCATCTCCAGCACATGGCTGGTTTCTGCAGGCTAGAGTGAAGGCTACACTCGTCATCGGCATATCCTAATATCCGTCGTCGATCCATCGCAGATCATCGGCGGTTGGGACTCGCTACCCACCTGCATGGCATCGCAGGCTAAGCGCATGCATGGCCTAAGTCTCCTTGGACTCCTGCTATAGCCCCGCAGCCCTCAACGTCTTTCGTTGGTTGGAGAGGTAACCTCATCATCGCCGCCGGCGCAGCCACACAAGTATCCACAGTGTTAGAAATCCCCTCCTGACCCTCTCCACTGGCATTGGTGATGGCCCTTCAAAGTTTGTGGTCACGACCATAAGTTACCGGGCCAATTCTAATGAGACAGACATTGGAGAAGTAACATGAGAAGGTGTAGCCTTCTGCCAACGGTCTGCAGTGTTAGCAGGTAGAATAGCACGCTATCGTTGGCATGCATACACCATGTCAACCTCGCTGAAGCATTAGCATACACATCCACAAGCCGAACGTCCACGTCTGATCGAAGGCCTGGGACTATACGAGAATTGACAGCGACATTTGGACCATGATTTGCAGTGCTCTTCTATTCGGATGCCATAGCATGCAACGCGACAGGACACTAGGTCGAGTTGTAGCTTGAACGACGATAGCGCGAGAGTGCTCAATGTGTGTGAGAACTTTCCTCTTACAGGCCTTTGCAGGCTTGTTTGTAAAAGTCATATGCCAAAGAAATCTATCATAAAAAGCCTGGCGACGCTAGACAGTTACTACATGTCAGATATCCAATACGCGTGGAATGACGGCCTGAAATCAATCTCAGTGATTGGAACGCACATCATTGCGTTCACAATACAGATTCAACATCGATGAAAGAACGCCAAAAGCAGCTCTCAAACGATTGTGGACTCACTCCTCGGTTTATCGCTCCCTAATAATGATGAGCACGAGTTGAGGTCTGTGGCGACTTGGGGTTGAGATGTGGTGGCATGTATACCCGTGGGCTGCTCGATCGGAGACTCGTGTGTCTCTCTGGTGTAAAAAGGTGTGGTACGCCAATGGAGCACTGTCTGCACATTGCGTGGACGTTACCACTGTGACGGGCCCTACCGGTCAACGGCTTCTCAAGCATCCAGTGAAAACCTGCAAATACCTTAATCCGATGATCGCTATATACTCATCATTTGTCGTCCATTTGATCACAATATATGATTGCCTACTCCACTCACCTCACTACCCCCACCTTGTAATCATAACAACGTGTGGCGTGGTAAGCTTCGATGCCTGATCTTGATCACTGCTCCACACCCCTTGGGAGATACAAGGTCCAATCCCTTCTCTTCGTAAGTCCATATCATTGACAAAGAATACATATTGTCTCGTGTACATCGAGGCGAAGCAACCTTCTCATATTCTCGAGCCCCTAGCCTCAAGTGTTCTTTCCCTAGCGTCCAATTCGGCTTCAAGGCAAGACACCTTCCGAAAACATACTACACTAATCATAAGTAGCCGATGGTATTGCGTTTATAATTCTTGATAACCTCGAATGGCGCTACTTACATAGTGTGTCTTGGATTGACGGCATGAACGCGGCTCCACGCCGTGAGTTTTTGACAGCAAATACGACACCTACTGACGAAACTGGAATACTACGATGGCTTTTGATCCTCATATGACTACTCGTGACAGCAAATCATTGCTGTTCTGGCCTTTTGAGGCACGTCCACCTAGACAACGACACCCCACATCTCCACCTTCATACGCTAAGAACGAAACGTTCGAATGCAGTATATGCACCGAAAGACCACCGATGAGATACTTCCTCAATCGCTACAGCGCCATAATGTCTTATGCTTGCTATAAACTGCTCTCGTTGAGATGACAATAAGAATTCGAAGTCCGTCTGTAGACCTTGTCACTTTCGATCTATTGTCGAGCAATTTCGAACTCGCGGCGCTGAGCGAATCCAGTGCATCAAGACAGACTTCGTGCCGCCATACTCTGATCAATCATGGGAATACTTCGCAATCCGCTGCCTACCATACCAGGTACAACCTGACTTCAACGAAGAACTGGCCCAGACGATCCAGGAATGCGATGAATGGATTTATCCAGCAGGTTGCGGCTGCGAGGATGGCTGAATCGCTACACCGAACATGACGAATGGATGGCCTCGCGTCGAGTGTCCATCTTGCAGCGGCCGCTTCTGAGCTACGTGCCGCGGGCCGTGGCATCCAGGTTTATTGTGCCAAAACTTTCAACGCTCGGGACGCTGACAGAAACGTTCCCCCTTTCTCTTCAAGGATAACTTCTCTAGTGTCTCCTCCCCCGATAGAGGCCAGACACTCATCATCAAAGATGGCAGATGCAACCACATGTGCCGCGTCGATGCGCACTGCATTTCATGTGGCGTCAGGTGGAAAAGGTTCATCTGATGAAGAAAGACAATCCCGTAGTGACGAGGGTCAGGTTGCCATTCCGATGCATCGGGTCGTGGGTCTGGATACAAAGAGCAAAGTGTGGGGCTTGGGAGAAAAGAGAAAAGAGAAAAAGATAGGACGTGTAGTTTGTGGCTCATCTCGATAGCGGTCATGATTACGATGAAGATGGTGTAGATCGGGGTGAGGATGAACATGAGGAAGGCAATTGGGACGGTGAATATGGACGAGAGGAGCGGGACTAGTTTGATTTGACGTTGAGAGACTAGAATCGCTTGCAAACTAGCAGCTCAAGATTGTGAACAGAGACTCATCGTGGTTGCCCACACCCTGACCGCTGACCGTCACGAATGCCCATCGTGAACCTGTAAGTATACTAAACGTATATATCTAATCACAATATGTTGGTCTATTCTGTCACACCATCATGCATGCACATGAGGCTGTCGTAACCATGTACCTGCACAATGCCTTGTACAAGTGAGATCTTATGTCTTTTTATATCCACCTTCCATTGTCAGTTGTATTCACTCTCTGGATCCCGTACGCCCTTCTCACACAACACCGTTCTTACCACTGGAAGCTAATAAGAGCTTCGGTCCGAATTTGATTTGGTCATTTCAAGCATGACGAACCCCTCCATTGTTCCGTACTACGGCAACACCGTCTTGCGATTCGACTCCACACAGGGATGGTACCCTACGCATCTTGGCTTTACTGCACAGGCTACCGCCGATCCGAACAACACGCCAGTCGCTCCTAAGAACCCTTTTCATAGTGTCACGCAATCCCTTGTCACACACTCGCGTGATCTTGTTGCCCTCGAGTGGGATAATGTGCGCAGGGAAGCTATGGCCATAACAAAGGGGGTTCTCGAGCGTGAACGGGTGCAGCGAGCCGAGCATGCGGCTAGAGCAAGGGCATTCGACCGTTGGATAAACGTTCGTGACGAGAAGCAGAACTAGAACAAGGAGCGCGTCGTGATGGCATTCATAGGCACAGATACCGTTCCATCCAAAGCATAGGTGAATCACGACCACTGTGGGTATCAGTACTTGGCCTTTTCCTGTGCCAATTTCGCAACGTTTGGGGCGTTGCGTACACTCAGGGTCATTGGCTCATCCTCGAAGAGCGTAATGAGCGCCTGTGCAATTTGTTTATGTGCGGTTCCCAAGGATTTACAATGCCTCGCGTGCTAAAGCCTCCCAGCACCCGCAAGTATAGTACAATTAAGCTAATTACCTTCGAATCAGAGAGCGGCAGCAAGACTGAGTTCCCCAAAGTGGCAGAAGTGATGTGAAGACGGCGTTGACGCTGGCGATACCAGCCACAGCGACCAGGATGAAACAGCTTGAAGAAACGCAAAGAAGACCTCCTTATATGTATGCCTCAAGGTATCCATCTACTAGAACCTGCACTGCAGGTCCGATTTTATCGCGATTCAAATCCGTAAACACCCAATCACAGAAAGGGTTTCCATCAACCCTTTCTCTCCACTTCCGGTATTACCTGTTACAAACACTCCAAATAGTGTTCGCCCCAACGCTGATAAATCCCCTCGATTTCCTCGATCCTATGCCATGTAGAACTTCCGCAGTAGTGTTGTTACGTCGTGTGTCTCCCGACCCGCATGCTTCGTCGCAATGAATTCGCACCTGGACCGGAATTCGGTTGAGCATCGCCGAACCCGCATCCTCCGTCTCTTTCCTGGGCAGGTATCACAGCCGCGCATTTCCCAGAGTTTCTCCCGCAACAAGCGGACGCGCAATCAGCATCTGATGCGCATACACCGGTGATGAATTGAGTTCCAGGCGCTTTGCCGGAACCTGTGCCAGCCGCTGAAGTTGCAGCAGGAGATGATCCTGTGATAATCGAGGTAGTAATAGTCCTAGTTCCAGCTGCAGCGGCTCCGGTGTTTGCGTTCGGTCCCGCGTTGGGTGCCGGGTTCCCGAAACCACACCCACCATCTCTTTCTTGCGCAGGAATCACGGCAGCACAAAGCCCACTACGGAATCCGCAACACTGTGTAGCGCAGTCTGCATCGGAAGTACAAGGGCCAGTGATGAACTGTTTGCCCTGGGCAGTAACGTAAAGAGATACTGACGGCTCGTTAGTCATCCAGCTTAAAACTCATATAGAAGTATCCTACGGTTGAACAAAACAAGGATTCTAAGCAACGGGGCCATATTATGTGAGATATATCGTTTACAGAGATCTCTAGAATGTATATAAGGACTGCTTGACTTCTCCTGGAAGTATTCGGGAAAGAGTGAGAAATGCGATGTGGAGGGTGCTCTTCGAAGCCACTGGTATGCCTAATGAACTAACCACAAGCTTGGAATCAACGTCCACTTTATATCTGGAGTAACATTGTAGGTTTGATTCGGAATGATCCACTCTGATACTACGGACTATGCCTGAGGTAGAAACGCCTTGTCCCGAAACACGAGGGCTTCTTTGTATCCTCAAATGGTGAATACAAGCAGCGGTCAGTATCATTGGTCAATGGTCTACGTGAAGCGCTGGGCACCTTGTTTTGGCGGCAGTTTGGTTTACGAATGGGGCGGGAGAGGCGATCATCATCGTCACGGTTTAGAAACAGCTGAATCGAGCCGGTGGCTGTGCTCAGCTTTATGCGTTTGAGTTCATCAAAGGCCAGCGACATTGGCGTCCGTCGAGATTGGAAGTCAGGCTTGATTTCCAGTGTGCACGGTCTCGTGATGAACGACAAGCGGCACGTCAACCCAATCGGAGCCTGGCCTACAGTACCCACTTTATCAGCGCCGCATGCGCCTGTTGCAGAAACTCAAGCCTCAAGGCATTTCGGGTTTCTCTTCTGTCTGAGGTATCTGCGAAGCGTTGCCTGGAAAAGTCAGGGGTTTCCCTTTTTGGATGGTGGGGTTGAACCGCGGAGAGGCGACCCAAACACCAATGGTCGCAGAACGCCCAACAGCGTCGGAACTTTGTATCAACCATACTTCTACAACGACGAAGCCCTGGCATATTCTCATGCGTTCTCTTTCTTTTGTAAGCCTCAGACGCCGTGTGCCCGGGTCGCTGCTTCCGGGTTTCTCATCGATACCACCTTCTCATGTCGCGTGTGTGTAAGATACAATATAATGTGCTGATGCTCTAGTTCTCTAGTGTTTTCGATGGCTTGGCAAGCGTCCCAACCATGCGATCCGATGGCAACTACGTATGTCAAGCAGATGATGAGTGGCAAAAAGTTCGCTGAAGTATGAGAGATCACTTCACATTTTGTAGCGTCACGCGATCAAAAATCTGGTGCATACATACTATGAAGTGCGCAACCGCTCAAAGATACACCTGGAAGGATTCGCTTGTGTTGTGGAAAGATGGGGGTTTCCATGGAGCCAACCATCATCTTCATCTCTCCTGTTGCCCGGACGATCCAATCGGCTATTGATCTGTCTTTCTTTCTCTTGAAGCAATACCATATCGTAGATCCGAGCATTGCGGCATTGATGCGCATCATTTATACGCCATCATTTGCGTTCCAGACCCGACTTCACGTTCTTCTCGAACCTTCGAGTATATCGCTTGTATAAATCGCAGGTGGGTAGCTCAATCAGCAACGTTAGGAGTTCAGGGTAGCCTGCTAATACCCTGTCGATGCCTATGGTACTTGGCCTTGTGTTTGTGGGACTTTGTAAAGGTCCTTGGAGCTTGAGAACAATTTATTCCGGCTAGAGATACACGCTGCAAGAACAGGTGGGACTACCCGCTACACTCAGCTAACGTCGCCCGGGGCCGGTGCAAGTTGTTTGGTAAGAATCGACCAGAGGTGCAACTCTCAGCTATCACAAGTTGATGCTGAGTATGGAGACAGTACATACAACGAGACTTAATCACATCATCGGGCTAGCATATGGTGTTATGGTTTATCATTTCTCAGCTACGCGCGATTGGTGCATCTTTGACGCTCTAATTATACTGCACGTATGTAGTGGGGTACATGTAGTCAGCGCTGTGTACACCAAGGCCGGATCTTGCCTAGTCTCTACCTAAACATAGGTAGGATCTTACCGCCCCGCTCTTATACCAGTAGATATACAGACGCTCTCTATCCTCTTCTTCTACCGTTCCCCTGATACCTAGATAGTTGGCAAGATATCAACAAGACGACAATGGCGACAGCTCAGTCTTGTTCTGCCCCATTAGGTCATCACATGGTGTTCACCATCCCCCGCACAGCATCCCATCTATTATTGAAACTATTGAATTTACCCCAACAGCACTCAGTTTATCGTCACTCGAATAATCAGGATGGATATATGTTCCTTCCTGCTGCAGCCCTACGCTTCAGACAGTCTCTACCAGGAAAGGCGATCCAAGAATGGTCAGAGGAAGAAAAGACAGCCCTGAAAGATGCGATGCAGGGTAGCTTTGATGACTGGCTTGGCTTGATTGAGGAAGCGGAGAAGCAAGGCAAGAGTACCTTTGTCAAAGAACACCTGAACTGGATGGCATCTCCTGCTGCCGAGGCTCGTCTGTATGGGCATCAAAAGAGCAACTCGAGCACTACAACACAATTCCAAGTGCACTGGAAGACTCAACAAATAAGCGACTCAAGAAAGCAAGATAACATAACCTATCTTCCTGACGCGTTCCTGCTCCAGGAGGTGAAACCCACCTTTCTCATCCGCCATCCCGCTCTCACGTTCCCCAGCTGTCTGCGTACAGCCATGGATAATGAAGGCGCCTCATCGGTAATAGACGGCGAGAAGATCCAACAGTGGGAATGTACCTACTTTTGGAGTTTGTCTCTGTACACCTTCTACATCGAATCGGCTGCGGAATTCGATCGCAGGAGCTTTGTTGATGGAGTTAAATATCCAATTGTGCTTGATGCGCAGGATCTCGGGGACGAAGCTCTTGTGAGAAAATACGCAAAGGCTGTGGGGCTGGATGAAGAGAAAGTGCGTTTCACGTGGAAGGCTGCGGAAGAGACAGAGCTAGCCAGGCTTGGAAAGGTAGAGAAGAGAATGAAGAGCACCATTCTTGCGAGTAGTGGGATTGAGGAGGGCAAGTTGAATGCTGCGCTAGACATAGAGAGTCTGAAGGAGGAGTGGCATAGCGAATTCGGAGAGATTTTGAGCGAAAGGCTCGTGAGGCTTGTCCATGGCAGTACAGAGGCTTACGAAACGCTCAAAAGCGTGAGGCTGAGATCTTGACATAGTTCGGTTAAATACAAATGTCTCCATAATGAAATTACTACGGTTCTATTTGGGTTTGGGGGGGGGGGGGGCCGGTGACGAAGCGGTCGACCATGTTCATGACAACTACCCTCTTTGCACGGCAGTCATCACCTTCGGCATCAAAAAGTCCGACAAGATCGAGATGTATAGTGGATACGAGGTTGGAACCTTGTTTTGGAAATAAACATGATGAGGGAGAAGATCATTGGCCTGGTTAGAAGAAGAGAAAGACTGCTCAGGGGGGTGGTACCGCTTCCAAGAACAGAACGGGAGGCGCCAAGGGGGTGGACGAGTAGGCAGCGGAAACAGAGGCTGATGCGGAAGGTACCATTCGATGTTGCAACAGACCAAGAGTGGGAAGAAGACGAGGAGGTGGAGGATGAAGAAGGGGACGAAACTGACTCGGCGGCATTCTGATTCATCCTACAAGTCGACTGACGATGGTGGGGAGACATGATGTGAAGACGAAGGACACTGATAGTTCTTTACTGCGATGCGCTCCTGCTTCAGATGCGGGGTGTGCTAATCGTAGCCGACGGGGAAAGAGCGACGGGCATCCAATCCCGCACATCGCTCCGCTAAATATGTCAACACCGCCGTCTTTCCAGCATCAAATCCATTCTTCCTGCATTCAAGTCAGTACATCACCCTCGTTTTGATGACATCATACAATTCTGCTTTGTTGAGCTCCAACTTGAGGAAAGCGATCAAATTGCCTCTCTAGCTGGAAAATCGATAGAATTGGAAGGCTATTGGGAGAGTTGTTCATATGTACGCAGCAATTTGCAGGAAATTATTTATGATATACATGGTGGTAGACAGGAGAATAATGAACAGCTTTTAGAGTGGCCCAAACACTCTACAAAACGACGTGAAAGGTGTCACTACTAAACTTTTTGCTATGACTTGATTCTACCTGGAATAAGACGAATGGCGAAGTATGGTCCTGTGCGGAAGTTCTAGTCTGCCCAATGTGGCTACAACTTGAAGCCCGTTGAAATCGTACTTAGAATATCACCAGTCAATCCAGATCTACCAGGTGAAATCAGGTATCGTATGTAAGTGCCATAGGTAAGTTGCTATGCACATACGAGTTGAGCATCACCAACAGCGATACAGAATATATTAGACAAATTGTACTTCACTACCTGATACTGTTGGTAAACCGCGAGAAACGGTAATAATTTCGATAGCCCACTGCTCATACTCGCCAAATGCACCTGCCGGAGGGACTCGTCTCAGGCAAGAACTTACACAGGCAGCGTTGCGCCACGGCATTGGAAAGGTATTTCCAACCAATCAAAACTAATTACGCACCGCCCCACACTTGCAGTGAGCGCACCCGGTTTTTCGGCTTACGAGCCTGGACAACTTGAGATTTGTGGAAACGAGGACCGTCATGATATCTTACCTGCAGATGCTATCTGAATGAGGTGCATAGGAGGAAATGTCATGAATGCATCGTCCAATAGACAATGATTGCGCACCTGGACTGGATTGAATAGACTAGTAAGATAAGGCGTAAGTTGCCGAAGATTTAAGAGAAGATGAAATTTGTAAGGAAGATGGAGTTGAGCGGAGATAGACGATCTGTTCCCTTCAGGCCGATGCATTCTCCTCGCTCTGTGGCATGCAACCTATTAGCATCGGAGCAAATATAAATTCAGCGAGTTTCCCACAAACCATCGTGCTACCAACACCACAACACTTTTCTACTCTTCTAAGCTTTCGGAAAAGAAGCAAGAAGACTATTTGTATCAATGTCAGAACCTCCAGCTTACACTGGCTACTTCTTCCCGGGACGGGAAAATCTTCGCCACGATATCTACTCGACCATCTGCGCCGCGCAATCATCTCTTCTAAAGCAACCCCGCAAGGTCGTTTTGATCACGGGTGCAGGCCGTGGCATCGGGCGCGCCACAGCACTCCAGTACGCTCACGCGGACGTCTCATGTATTATACTTTGCGCTCGGACTGCTTCGCAGCTCGATGAAGTACAGTCTGAGATCCATAATATCAATGAGAGCATACGGGTCCATAAGTTCTCGATGGACGTCACCGATGACTCCGCCGTAGCCCACTGTGCGGAAGAGGTCCAGAGCACGGAAGGTCGGCTGGACGTTCTTGTCAACAATGCTGGCAGCAGCGCCCCCTGGGTGCCCATCTCGGAGAGTGATCCCGAGCGGTACTGGGGCAGTCTTACGGTCAACATCAAAGGACCCTATTTATTCCTACACGCATTCCTGCCATTGTTGAAGATCACTGCTCGGGGATACAATACCACCACCACGGTCATAAACATGACAAGTGTTGGCGCGCACACCGTCTATCCGGGTCTAAGCGAGTACTGCATTGGAAAAGTAGCTCTCAATACCTTGACCCAGTTTGTGGATGCCGAGTACAGAGAACACGGCATCCAAGCTTTCGCAGTGCACCCTGGAGGCATAGATACCGAGATGGCCCGGTCAGACGAGACATTTATCAAAGGTCTTGAGGGACGTAAGTGCTCCTTTATGGATGTAACACGTGATCCTTGGATGTATGCTGACAATGCGCAGTTTTGATTGATACCGTGGAATTGCCTGGGGGCTTCTGTGTTTGGCTCAGTGCGGCGGAAAGGAAATGGCTCAGTGGAAGATACCTGGCTGCTCCATGGGATGTGGAGAGACTAGAGCAGATGCAAGACGAAATCGTTGCCGGAGATAAGCTAAAGGCTAAGCTTGTGCTCTGATAAAATCAAGGTTGGACTGTAGGCTTTCGCTGCGCCGTGGTCAAGCAGAAAAGATTCGACGCACAAATTGCATGAAAGTAACTCTACAATGATTTAAGCACAGAGGATCATGCCTCCGGACTTTTTAATGGCATTATTCTGCTTGCCTACAGACCTCCAAGGTTTCGGAAACAAATGCAGCACCGTCCTATTTTTAAACGTCAGACTTCGTGGTCGCTCCAAGTGCTTCTCCGCTCTTCGGGATCAGGAAGTCGCTCGAAGGCACTCTCCCATCGCTTAGCCTAGCCTTCTTCAGCGTACTTGGATCCACACTGACAAAGCTGGAGTTGGACCACGTCCCACTCTGCCACGAATTACCCGAAGCCTTGACAGTTGACACGAGTGTTACCTGTGAGCTACCAACATTACTAACTGCTATATTTGACTTGAGGGTTGAGCTCGAGCTGCGGAAGTTGAATCCCACGTCGCCGTTGTTCCAGGCGGTGTTGCGTTCCATCGTAAGGCTTCCAGGATTACCATTGTCGATGAAGCCTTTCTTGGCATTCGAAAAGGCAATACTGTTGCGCACGATATGGTTTGCAGGCGGATTATCAGTGATGCCGAGCTTGAAGCCGTTTCCGTCACCGTTGAAGTCGGAAAACCCCCATCGGTTGATTCCATTCCCCCATGCGTACACTTCCTCGATCGTGACTGGGGAACCGAACATGAATAGGTCAAGTCCATCATCAACGTTGTCCCAAAGCCGCGCGTTGCGTAGGACATTGCCCTCGCCTGATCCCTCTTTGCAGGCAAAACCATCCGCGGATTCGCCGTTCTTGCGCGGGTCCCGGTTGCGGTAGGAGTCCAGGTAGAGTACGGTGTTGTTCGCGGAAGCTCCTTCGATTTGGAAGCCAGTTTCATAGTTATCATGTGTGGTGATAAGTTCATAATAATTATGGGAAGCGTCACGAGCGTAGATGCCGTATGGTCCGTTAATCAGCCTAGTGCATGTCAATTGAGATAACCTTGGCACTATTGCGTGATACTCACTCTAAGTTGTAGAACTTCCAGTAATTGGCATTTTGGATATGGAACACGCCACGCTCCTTATTGGGCAGCGATTCGTCCAGTCCGTACGGAGTGCCAGGCAAATCTTCGCCATCGATGATGACCTTCTCCGTCTGGTATGAGCGAACTGTTATTGGTGACGTGCGAGTGCCGTTCGTTTTGAATTGAATATTCGTCGCGGGCTTGTATGTTCCGGCTCGAAGATAGATAGTGTCACCTGCAGCCGCAGCATTGACTGCGGATTGGATGGATCCAAAGGGTGACGTTGAAGTGCCGCTGCCAGTGCCTGTAGGCGACACATAGATTTCCCTCGCATTCGAGAGACCACTCAGTGCAGATACAACAAACACAGCAGCTTTATGTATGTCAGGCATGGTGGATATTCGTGAGCAGTGTTCACTTCTTGGTGGAGTGTTGTGTTGGCCGCACTTGCCATCAGGCAAACGGTCAACTCATATATTTCACTGACATTGCTCCGGACATGGCAGCGAGGTGAAATCCGTCCGCCAGACTAGCTGCAGTACTGTTCTAATTTCTCCTTTCACTGTAAATGCAGAGAATGCTAGGGATCGAGGCTTGGCAATTGATTAGGGAGGGCATGGGTCGTGGTGAAACGTACCCCACCAATCGGAGGACGTGCTAGGCATATTGATTCGTTGTTTTAGTCGGATTGCAGTACCGCTTGGCGATCTAAGCATGAAATGTAGAGACTGCGCGTGTGTGCTCGAATTCTCCGTGAATGCTTGAATATAAAAATGTCATACGTTTCGCGGAGCGATATTGCATGTGTTCAAAGAACAACTATGTCTGCGAAATCTTCTGCTGTTCAGTCCTTTGCATCGTCTGTTTCGATGGGAGATTGCTCGTACCAAGCTTTCATAGAAAACATTACGTATGCTTTTCAAGTGCATGCCTTAGCTCATCGTCCGCTAGGAGTTCTTTCTCTGCACCCTCAATAATGGCTCTCAGCCCAGCTGCACAGTCTTCCAGCAACTTCTGTTCGTCCCCATCCAATTGAATTGGCATCGCACGCAATATACCCTTGCGGCCAATAACAGCTGGCATGCTAAGGCAACAGGAAAGATTGGGTTGGTAGAATGAGAGTGGGCGCACTGTACGGCTGTCGAACAAGATGTACTTGCAGATGCTGGCAGATACATTTCCGATGCCATAAGCGGTACATCCCTTTGCCGCGATGATAGCACCGGCTGCACCGCGCGTGTGACTTTCGATGTCAGCCTTGAACTCAGCGGTCAGCTGATCCGACAATGCGAGACGTAGTGGTGTTGATCCGATGCTGGCGTTGCTCCACGCAACGAATTGGCTATCGCCGTGCTCTCCGAGCACATAGGCATCGATGCTGCTCGGGCTGACTTGGGCCTTCTGCGCCAGGATGCCACGGAGACGGGCAGAGTCCAGACTCGTACCTGTACCGAGGACTTGTGATTCTGGAAGACCGGAAAGCTTACGGGCGAAGTACGTCAGGATATCTACGGGATTGGCGACAAGAAGCAGAATTGTGTGGGGCGATATGGGTGACATTGATGTGAAGATGGAAGAGAGGATGCGAAGGTTCCTGTTGAGGAGAGAAAGGCGCGATTCACCTGCAAGTAGATTCGAGTCAGAAGTCGTGTGCGGTGAAAGACTGGCTGCACAGAACAAGCTTACCAGGCTTCTGCTTCGCCCCGGCAGTGATCACTACGATATCCGCCTGTCCCGCCTCTTGATGCGTCCCAGCTCTGATTTTTGTCGCGGCTCGCCCACCATAGGTTGCATCGCCCAAGTCTCTCACTTGCGCTTCCAGCAGTTCTTTCTTCGGATCGACCAGAATAACCTCGCTGCAAATGGGATTTTGGAGCAGTGTATAAGCAAGCGTGGCGCCCACTTCGCCGCAGCCTAGAATGGCGATGCTGGTTTTCAGACGCTGTTCCGTCATGTTGATGCGGAAGGTGTTGTGAGTGGCCTGACGTGAGAGGAGGGTTGTACGTTCCGAAGAGTTAGTGACAGCCGTGTTCTGAACAACAGATAGAGATCGCGCGAAGCTTCTAATCACACGTCGCCGGATATATCGGTGGCAAGTCACGAGTCTTGAAGTGGAGCCAGTTCACGCAAGCACCTGCAGATAGGCAGCGCGATCAGGAGATTCACGTGTGATACTACGGCGTCGGCGCCAAGGGCTAGGCGTACCGACAGCCTCACGTACCCCGCTGTTCTGTCTGCTGCGTGCCGTCAATCCCGGGCAACAGTCCTCAGGTTGCAATTGTAACTGGAACTAGATGACATAATATCTACCAGCGCCACTGTCTTTGGCCCGTGGTCAATAATTCAAGTCGCACGTCGTGACGTCTTCAACGAAATGGGCCTCCCGATAGGACCGCGTCCACCACAAGTACCACGGCACAATAGTCAACTTGATCTTATGTCCCAACCATCCCGCATCATTGACCGTCTTGACCACACTCTGGCTTTCGTCGAAGGCGGTATCGATCCGTTGTCTTCTCAACCTTTCATACGCGTCAAACGCTTCCTTAACGGGCGCCCCGTCATCCTTCTCCATCCACCGCCCTAGACAACGCGCAAACAGAACGCCGTCTTCGAAGACGATGCCTGTGGACTCCCCTTGGGGGGGCATGGCGTGCGCAGAATCGCCTATCAACATGACGCGGTCCGTTGCCCACTTGCCACCTTTGTTGAGAGTGAAGACGGGCCAGAGATAGAGGTCTTGGGCGTCTTCGATGAGATGGTTTATGAGGGGATTTGCGGCGCCGGCGTAGCGTTCGAGGATGTCCTGTCGTGTTTTTTCTGCATCTGCGCCGCGGGCTTTCCAGCCGTCTCGAGATGCAATCTCAGGCACTTGCATGAGGGCACCCACGTAGATGGAGTCCTTCTTTTCGTCGTGGAAGGATGTTAATAGTATGCCTCGACGCCCAAAATTCATCGCAGACGTTTCGAAGTGCGTCTCTTCGTATGCGCCCGAAGCCGTCTTGCGGCGGGGCGCGAAGCCGAAGGCATTGCAGATGCCCGAGTATATGCTTTTACGTTCAGGCTCAACATGCTTGAGGCGGGTCACGGAGTGAATGCCGTCGCAGCCAATCAGGATGTCTGCATTCACAGTGTCGCCGTCTTCGAAGGTCAAGCTGACGCCGTTCGCACCTTCCTTGATGTCGGTAGTCTTTTTGCCGCATATCAGCTCGATGTTTGAGTGTTTTCTTATGGCAGCCAAGACACCCTTTAGGCTTTCGCCTCTGGTTATCCTGAGTGCCGTAAAGGGGGGGTTGCCTAGGCCTTTGCCTTCAGGGCCGCGAAAGCTGCTCTCCGATAATTTCGTGGAGGAATAGCTTCAGACGTTAATGTAAGCAGAAAACAACAACTTGTACCCCGGGCGCACGTACAGATCAAACACTTCGACCGCGCCGCACTCCTTGCCATAGTTGTTTGCCCGGATTTCCTGTAAAGCGCCCAGATGCGAAAGGAGCCGCAGAGCATTGGGGGTGAGATTGACAGCTCCGCCGATTGTGGCGGGCTCGGGTCGGATTTCATAAAGTGTGATTCGGGGCGGTGGTCGTGAAGTTGGGGCGTATTTGGCGAGAGCGAGAGCGGTGGTCAAGCCTGCTATGCCGCCGCCGAGAATCATGATGTTGAGTGGCGAGTCTAGTTGGGCCATGTGGTTGTACAGTGCACTGATTGCGTCTTGGGCAGAGGCTTTCAACTAGCCGTCGAGGCTCTGAGGCCTAAATAGATTCAATTTTGCATTTGATCCTACATGTACACGAAAGCTCCTGTTCCGGTCCGGTGCAGTAGGGCTGACTACATGGACTATTGTGAGGCAGCGCGCGAGCTTCGGCAAAGGTTGGGGAACCGATGGGCCGTCCCGAACGAGCCGGAGGCGCTAGTCTTTGGCAGCAATGTGCGAGCAACGAGCCGGCTCGTCGTTGGCATGTTATTTTGAGCATGCTTCCACGCACCGTGAGCGCTGCAAGGCGTACCGGCAGCACGATGGTCTTGGGCAAAAAGAACACAGATTGGACACAGTGTCAGGACACCACTCGCAGCGGCGGAGAGCCCTTTCTCGCTGTGCACTGCTCGGATGCACCTCTACTACAACATATCCTGCTCGGCCCTCCTCTTCTCCATCAGACGGATCGCTCGCTGTCGGCGCTCGTCGCGCAGCGTGATGAAGACCTGCAGGCAGTCAGTCGGAGGCGGCCACGGGCACAAGCACGGTGTCGACGTACCCAGAACCACACGGTCAGCTCGATGAAGCCAAAGGCGAAGACGACGCTGTTGTTCAGGTGGTCGCCGGCACCGCGCGCGGTGCTCCCAAGGACGCCGCCCGGCTTGAAGGCATACGCATAACCCGTCAGGCCAAACAGGAAGGCGAGGCGGACGGGCGTCTGCGTGCCCCAGTGTGCCTCGACGGCCTCGTCGGACATGGAGAGCGCGGTGAGGTCGCTGATGCCGAGCAAGGCCAGCAGGACTGCGATGAAGCCCGTGGCGGCCGAGGGCCGGAGGAAGTCGCGGGGCGTGGGCTGGGCAGGCGCGTCAGTATGCGGCGCGCTCATGCCGTGGGCACGGCACCCACCAGCTGCATGGCCTCGCCCAGCAGGAAGACAATGTTCTGCTCGGCAACCATGCGCGGGTTGCGCAGCACGAACACGGCGAGCGTGACGTGGAAGAGCGCCAGCGCGCGGATGATGGTGTAGGCCGACACGACGGCCATGGCGAGGGCGGCTGGGAGCGGGCGGCTTGATATGGCGTGCGAGCCTGTGTCTGTGTGCGTCTGCGTCTGGCCGTGTCCCTCTGCGCGCGTGTGTGTGCGCACTTGGAGGAGAGCTCGAGCTCCGCCTACCGTGCCCTCCCGATGGGGATTAGTGCCCCGCTGACAGTGCCTTGCCGTCCGGCCATGTCGTCGAGCTCCGCGACAGTTGCTCGGGGTGCCAACCAGCTGCTTTGCGTGCTGTCTTGCATCGCCATGGAGAAGCACACGTTGGCTCCGCGGGACGTGGAGCAGGCCGCCCCCTCGCACCCGCCCGTTGCGGCTCCCACGCGGGCGGGCAGGGCGACGACCAAGCGCGTTGCCATTGCAGTGCTCGTTGCTGTCTTCCTGCACGTGGGCTTCTTTCTCCGACACCCGCTCTCGCATCTGGTCCAAAGTCCATCGTGCCACCGGCTTCTCGACCAGCTCACCGTCGAGCAGCGCGCGCAGAAGATCCTGAGGGAGAATCCACTCATTGGTCAGCCCGGCCCAGCACCTGCATGTCGAAACCACAACTGATCCCGCCCATAGACGGCCACAATGATCTCTTGATATCGCTTCGTATGCGATACAAGAACCTCATATATGGCCATGATTTCAAGGAGAAATTCGAACACGGCGGCTTTCCCCAACACGTCGACTTGCCGCGCCTAGACCAGGGCATGCAAGGCGGTGCCTTCTGGAGTGCCTTCATGCCCTGTCCCCCTGGGAACGGAACAGACTTTTCTGATGAGAAATATGCTCCTAGTAAGCCAGCTCCCTTCAACTGCCTGCAAAGACATCATACTTAGCGCAGCAGTCGTAAAAATGACCCTAGAGGCCTTGGACACGTACAACCGTCTGGGTCTCGCGTATCCCAAATATTTCACTCTTACCCCCGACAGCTACGCCGCCGAGCAAGCCTTCAAAGCTGGTCGTCTCATCTCCCCTGTCATCATCGAAGGTCTCCACCAAATTGGCAACTCCATTTCTACTCTACGCCTATACCACAGACTTGGCGTTCGATACGCCACATTGACCTGGAACTGCCACAACAAGTACGCCGACGCCGCCCTTGAGTCGGACGAAAACTTCGCAGCTAGAATTGCCACGCCCTATTGGAATGGTCTCAGCCCTGCCGGCCGCGACCTCGTACTGGAGATGAACCGCCTGGGTATGCTGGTTGATCTCGCCCATGTCAGCACCGACACAATGCGTGATGTCTTGATTGGTAACGGCACTGAAGAGTGGAAGGGAAGTATCGCACCTCCGATCTTCAGTCACAGTTCTGCATATGCTATATGTCCACATCCGCGCAATGTGCCAGACGATATTTTGCACCTTGTCAAAAAGCGCAATTCCATTGTCATGGTCAACTTTAGCCCGGGTTTTGTGTCCTGCAAACCCGGTAAGACGCCATCTGATCTCCCCGAATTTGATCCAGAAAACTCAACGTTAGACCACGTTGTGAAGCACATCAAACACATTGGCGAACTCATTGGGTATGACCACGTTGGGCTAGGAACAGACTACGATGGCATTGAGTCTACGCCCGAAGGCCTCGAGGACGTGTCAAAATTCCCTAACCTCGTAGCTGAGCTACTTCGACAGGGCATCAGTGAAAAGGACGTGGGGAAGATTGTGGGAAGAAACATTCTCAGGGTATGGAAAGAAGCTGACGAGGTAGCTGCGAAGCTGCAGCAGACCGCTACACCGCTTGAAGATGATATACGGAGTCCGTGGTCCTCAGACAAGGACGAACTCTGAGCGCAGGGTAGTGGCATGCACCAAGTCGCCTACGGGATGGGTTGAAACGGACACAAGGACCAAGAATGTGAAGTAGTTGATCGCACCGTAGAGAGCTCTGAAAGCCTCCGAGTGTACATAGCCTAGCTGTTCCGGGTAAGTGATCTTATACCATCTCTACCGACCAAGTTATCGGATTCGTCGTTATGGTCACGCCCAGCATTCCCATTATAGCCCTGAGCCATTCAGGTGTGCCTATGTGTTCCAGGCACGTAGTGGCCAAAGAAGTGATTGCTCCCCAGGAAAACATGAACCAATGAAGCATGCCTTGATTGAATACTCGGCGGCTCAATCCATGGCACGAGCTGGGGTTGGTTGTGAAGCCAGCGTCCTGGATGTGACGCGAAATGTAGATTAATGCCTAAAGACAGAGCCGCCATTTTGTATGATTGCCGGGGATCGCTATGCATGTAAGAAACAGAAAGCAAAGACAAAGCCTAGGAAACGGAAACGGAAACGGAAACGGAAACACTAGAGGCCCGCTTACAGCTTCGCCTCGAGCTGCAGAACTTCCTCGTTCCACTGTCTGTGCACTGGTGCCCGTCTTGGGATCTCAGGCACCTCCTCTGGGAGGTCCTGCACCTTGGCGTCTTCCTTGCGTACCACTGGCTCCTCGAGGTAAGCATATTCTTTCCGCCACTCGGACAGCATGTTGACAGTGACGTTGCTCCCTCCGCAAAGAACAATGACAATCTTCTCGTCAGGGCGCACCTTGCGGCCGAGCGCCTTCTCTAGTCGTCCGTCATAGCACAATGCGACGTTGACTCCGCAGGCAAGCTCGACCATGATTCTCTCATCGTCGGCAAGGCGCCAGCACCCCATCGCTGCCTCGGCATCTGGGAGCACGACGCCCTTGAAGTTCTGCCGCTGGGCGGTATCCAGCGTCAGCTGCGTGACTCTCGCACAGCCCAGCGATGTAGCTTGTGATGTGATCCTGGGAAGTGTGACTAATTGGCCAGCGCGCACAGCAGCGGCGAGAGATTCCGCTCCGGCAGTCTCGACACCGACGACAGTTGTCGAGTCGGAAAGACGCAGGTCATCTAGAGCCATGGCGATGCCGTTGAGAAGTCCACCCCCGCCGACAGAGCATATGATCGCGTCGGCAGGACTGTCGGGCATCTGGGTGGCAATTTCGTACATGATGCTAGAGTTTCCGGCCCAAATATCGGGATGGTCAAAAGGCGGGGCGTATATGGCTGCTTCGCCAGCCTGCATTCGCTCTGTCAGTATTGCCTTCTCCATATCGTATGTCACGATGATACAACCGTAGGAGACATGAGTTGAGACAGTGATGTAACATACCTGCGGCATCAGCTCCTCCCTCATGTACTTGTCAGCATCCGCCCACGCATCACCATGCTGAAGCACCTCGTAAGCGCCAGCAGCTTTGATCTTGGTGACCATCAGCTGCTTGACAGTCAAAGGTACAACGACTGTACAGGCGACGCCGAGCGTCCTTGAGGCGTGTACGGCGGCGAGACCAGCGTTGCCGCCACTTGAGCAAAAGATGTGGGGGTTGTTGATGTGTGCGGGGAGTTCCTCAACTCGCTTGACGAGGTAGTGTCCTATACCTCTGCAACAAGTCAGTGTTCGCCCTGGAGGTGTACGTGGAGGGAGAAATTACCGTGACTTGAACGATCCTGACGGCTGAAGGGTCTCGAGCTTGAGAAAGATTCTGCTTCTACGATTTAGAATTCCCTAATCATGCGGATGTGTCTGAAGAGGCGCAAAAAGGCAACGGGAGATGGTGGTAATGGAGAAGTGTGACCGTACCATCCCGCTGCCTGCGACAGTGCATATGACTCTCTGAGAGGCGTCTCGACCCAGGGCCTCGACTGCTCCTGCGACGATTGGAGGAACTCGTTCACGCCCATGTTTCCTTGTATGATGGGAGGTCTTTCTTGAAAAATGATTTAGGATTGCTTTGACGCTACGGAAAGCTTCCCGAAAGGAATCAACAGCAACAGAAGGAAATGCAAGGGTAGGAGCTAAGAGGAATGCGAGGTATTAGAGCATACCGCGCAGTGCAAGAACTACTCCAGATACCTCTTATACCTCCCCAGATCCGTTTCCCTCCGCTTGCACCGGCCCCATACAGCCTACCCCTCGCACCCCTGTATCCATTACCCTATAATAGCGCGAAATTACCCTATAGAAATGCTTATCGCGCGTAGCCCATTGAAAACTCGGCTAACATGACTTTCCCATGACGGGACAACATGTTGAGTAACGTCGCGTTGGTATCGTGGCCAGTGGATGGATCCGTGATCCAAACAGGGTTGGGGTTTCCCAAGTCGGTTATCGACGGCATCGACCCGCCAAGCGATAATCAGGGGCGGTGATAGGCGGCAGAACACCCAGCAGAGTATGGACTACTGCGTGCTGACGATGGGCAGATGCACGTGTGGAAACCGCACAAAGGCTACGAGCGGATGCTAGAGGTAAGCGGTGGGAGGTCGGCTCTAGAAGCGTTCGCTATCTGCGCCAGGATCAGGTGTGATAAGAGGATGGTAGCACGTCAAAACGCTCGCCAATCCTGAAGTGCAACAAGTGACATTCCCAGCTCCCAATCTCGATCGCGCCGTCTATGTCGGATGTCCGTCGGAAAAGCGGACAAATGCCCGCCTACGGATGCAGTCCACGCAGGACTCTACCATTGCCCATCGAATGCGGAGCGGTGCAGCGGGCACTTTCGACACGTTCATACGCATCCAAGAGCCGTGCGGATCGGCTCCTATGCCGCTGTCTCGGGCACCTCAAGCAGAGCTTTACGATAGTTCCAGTAGTGTGCCCTTATGGGATCGAATCGGGAGGCGAGCAGGTCCAACGCCTTCTTGGCCTCTTCCTTGCTGCCCTCCTCGTCTGCGTAGATGTCTGCCAGGAGATCGAGCGCGTGGCTGGAGTAGATGTCGTCGGGCCGGTGCATGTCGGCAAATTCGAGGGCAAAGCTAGTGAGGGTCGATAAGGGCATACCGGCGGCGCGGACCACGCCCTTGATGTAGTTCCAGGGACTCTGGTTCTGGGGCGCCTTGCGGATGGCATACTTGGCGTACTCGAGCTCTCGCTCCGCGAGGCGCGGGCTCTCCATGCGCCCACCGTGGCCGCCGACAACGAGGAACCAGCGGTGGTTCCAAGCCGAGTTGTTGCGCACGTCGTCGTCGATCATGGCCTCGGTCCAGCGTAGCTCGTCGTCGCTGGCGAACAGGTCGAAGCGCTGGACCAGCCACTGGCGGTAGCTCCAGACGTGGTAGTTCTTCGAGTCCTGCTCCAGCATCGTGGCGATGAAGTCGGCCTCGCCGGCGGGCGAGCCCAGGGCGTCGACGATGGTCTGGCGGTGGTGCCAGATCTGGTAGTTCTTGAGGTGCTGCAGCGCCGTCGGATTGAGCCAGGCTATCTCGCGGGCGAGGTCGGCGCCCGTCTCGCGCAGCGCTTTGGCGCGGTAGAGCCTGGCTGGGGGTCAGCGTTGGTGTCGGTGCAAGTGCAAGTACCAGCGCAGAGCAGCGCAGAGCAGCGAAGTGCGCGGGGGTGCAGCAGGTGCCTCGTACCAGACGGTGTAGTGGGCGGGGTTCATCGAGATGATGTGCTCGGTGAGAGCCAGCACGCGCTCGCTGTACTCGTTGGCGGCCATGACGGCGCGCAGGTAGCCCATGGCCTCGCTGTACTCGTCCGTGTAGGCAATGGACGCGAGCGGATGCAGCGCGCCGTCGTCCTGCGCCAGCGGCTGGACGTCGCCCCAGGCGGGGTCGTCGTGGTAGTAGGTTGCATCGTCGCTGGCGGGCATCCTGGGGGCGAGCAGGCGCGACCGGATCAGCACTGCGAGGGCAACGTGGAGCAGCGCGCGGTATGGCAGCACGAAGGCGCCAGCGAGCAGCGCAGCCAGGGCCGCCATGGTGGTGGGGTGCCTGTGCTTGGCGGGCGCACCGCGCCGCTTTCTTCGCGCACCCGCCGACAACAGCAAGCCGCCGTCAAAGAAACACGCCCGGCGTGCGAACAATAGCAGGCTGCTGCCGACGACGGCCGCTGCAGCGCTTGCTGGCCCGGGCCACGAACAATAGCAAGCTGCACGTGTCCACTCGAACAATGCAGATCCCATCAGCCCAGCGCAGGCATGCTTATTGCGGCTGCGGCCTCCGACGAGCGTCACCGCGAGCACAGAGCTGCTTCATCAGGGCTTAGCTAAGCTGAGGGCCTGCCCTACGGAACAGGAGCAGCAGTAGAGATTGCGAGATGCGGACATGCTCCGTTGAGACGCGCATGCATGGCTTCCCATCGCACCTGCTACACCTTGCCCCTTGCATCCACTGACCATCTACCTTCCCTCCACTGACCATCTACCTTCCCTCCACTGACCATCTACCTTCCCTCCACTGACCATCTACCTTCCCTCCACTG